GAGCATACTTGAGTAAGTCAATCCATCGTCAGGGCTTAGGTCAAGACGATCCCAAGGTTTAGGAAGGCTTGAGAGGTCAACCTTCCGTAACAATATATAGATTAGACTATCTTTTCTAAATATTACTAGGTTCTAGGCTTCTTTAAGGGCTACTATACTAACTATAAATAGCTAGATAAGGCACTCTAGTACTCCCTTTAAGATTAGGCTAGTAATTATATATAACCTATAATTAGTAATTAACCTAAGGGGATTTAAGGATACTATCCTAGGATAATTAACTTAGACCTAGAGGAGGGTGATAGTAAGGAAAATCTAATTAACTTAGATCTAGATAAGGGTAAAGAGGGTAATTTAATTATTCTCTAAGATATATATCTTATTTTATTCTATCTTTACTTTTTAATAAATTAAACTAGCTTAGTAAGTATAATTAGGTATATAGATTTCTCTTTACCTAGTTATATAGGCCCTATGTATAATACTTAAGTAAGACTTACACCTCTATATTAGTACTTAAGATAAGTAACTATTTAGTAAAACTAAGCAAGTCATCTTATATATAATTAACTAGTTCTAAATATAGTTTTGCTGGCAGAATCCTAGTGCTTATGGTTAAAAAACGTTTTTATCCTTTTGTCCAGATCGTCCCCCGTAAACCACACGCTATTCCCGTCCCCAATCTGGCGCGGGGTTTCAAAATCCCGTATTCTCTGAACTGCGGGGCCGTCGACTGCGAAGTCGCTGCAAATGACTCGGCGATTTTTCTGTCTTAGTCCATGGAGAACGAACAGTGGATGATATCCTAGGGAACTTCTGCCCCTTCACTGTCAGAGAGAACAATGTATCGACTATCAGAGAGTAAGTCAGTCTGACTCTGGAATGGCATTGGGTGACCGCTGACAAAACGAACCGCCAGTACAAGCGCACCGCCGCGAGGGCGATTGCTGGATTGCAATCCATGGGGCCGTGTACGATGTGAGTTGTTGCATAGCTTACTTGCAGAAAAGCGGTTGTTAACCTGCGAGAGATTACAACCTTCCTGCCCGCGCACCCCGGCGGCAAAGCCATCCTCCTCAAGCACGCGGGCTCCGATGCAACGGCCGCCTTCGACGCCGTCCACCCTATAGAGCTACTAGATGAGTATCTCAGCGCCGAGCAATGTCTGGGGAAACTGGAAGATGATACTCAAGGTACCGCCCTGAAGACAAACATTCACCGACAGGCCGCAAAGGAGGTGGATAGTGACCCGCCTCCAGTCCGTCACAATGCTATTCTCAGCCTCGCTGAAGTGGAATCCCTCGCCCTGAACCGTCTCTCCCCGAAAGCAATAAGCTACTACGCCTCCGGAACCGACGACGAAATTACAAAATCTGCCAATGGGACAATCTACAGATCCATCCTCCTCCGCCCGCGCGTCTTCGTCGACTGTTCGGCTTGCGATCTCTCAACAACCATCCTGGGAAACCAGGTCGGACTCCCGGTCTTCGTTGCGCCCGCGGCAATGGCCAAGCTCGCGCACCCCTCGGGCGAAGCGGGGATCGCGGCCGCCTGTTCGGCCTTCAATGCGCTGCAGATGATCAGCAAGAACGCCTCAATGTCCGTCCCCGACATCGTGCGCGCGGGACCGGAGGCAGTCTTCGCGTGGCAGCTATACGTCCTGAAGGACCTCGCAGCTACAGAACGAACACTGGCCATGATTCGGAAAATCCCGCAGATCAAATTTCTAGTCCTTACGCTCGACGCGCCCTTTCCCGGGAAACGCGAAGCAGACGAGCGGTTCAAGGCCGCGGAAGTCGCGGCGGGGACGTCGGGTCCCCAGGTTTGGGGCACAGAGGCGGGACTCACGTGGGAAAAGACGCTCGCCTGGCTTCGGAAACATACGGATCTCCCCATCGTGCTGAAAGGGGTCCAGACGTGGGAAGACGCGGCGATGGCAGCGCGGTACTCCCCTGCTGTGCGCGGGGTCATTCTCTCGAATCACGGTGGGCGCGCGCTGGATACGGCGACGACGCCTGTGCAGGTGCTTTTGGAGATTAGGAAGTTTGTTCCGTGGGTCTTTGAGAACATCGAGGTGCTTGTTGATGGGGGGATCAGACGGGGCACGGATGTGGTCAAGGCGTTGGCGTTGGGGGCGAGGGGCGTCGGGATTGGGAGGGCGGCGCTTTATGGGTTGGGGGTTGGCGGGGAGGCGGGTGTGAAGCGGACCCTTGAGAGTGAGTTTTTCATTTGCCTTTTATTCTTTCTGCGGTCTCTTTCTTGGAGTGTGGTGCTAACGCATCCAGTTCTTGCGGATGAGATTGCGACGGCTATGAGGTTACTTGGGGTGAGGAAGGTTGGTGATCTGGGGCCTCAGCATGTAAGAGCAATCCTTCAAGTCCGAGATTTAATATATCGTCCCTAACATGCAAAGGTGAATACCGCTGTTTTGAATCCATTGGTCTACGATGGGCCGGTTGAAGAGGGGTTGCTGGAGGATGGATTGAGGGCTAAGCTATAGACACTGATACATAGACCCTACAACTTCGGTTATCTATTCGTTGTCTGAAGAAATGTAAGCACGTTCGATATAATAGAGTCTTGCCGTCCAGGCAGTATCTTTGTACTTGAGACGCGGGGTACGGCATTAGTACTGGAAAATAGCGAATGATGTATTCTGTATTGAAGTCAGAGAATGTACCCATGACTTTTTCATTCGAAGTCATTGCCGATTTTACAGAACCAGGCCAGGGATGCTGATCCGGTGGCGAGATTGCTACAGCCAGACTACCATATTGGTTTCTTCTAGACGAAATAGGCGGGGGCTGTCAGGTCGATCCCCGGTGACTAGGACATCTCGAGTATCCCCGAAGGAAACCCCGGGACACTAAACACGGGAATTCAAAACCCCGTTGACCATTTGCAGTCTAGTAACATGCCCCGTGGGGAACATTCCTTACCCCAACTCGGCTCCCACAAACTCCAAAGGGCACATATATATAACGACGATCATCCCCTCGTCGAGCATCTGGCTTGCCTCTGCCTCTCACCTATCCAGAGCAGCAGCATACTTCGCAACAATGACAGACACGCAAAAGAAAGATACCGACCTCAAAGAGGTCGAGACCGTCGAAGACTCCATGGAAACCTATGCTAGGATCATGGCCACGCAAAAGCCGAATCCGATGGGGCCGGGATATATTAAGCTGTATTTGCTTTCTGCCGTGGTTTTCCTTTGCTCGACAATGAATGGTGCGTGCTCTGGAAGGGGTATTTTAGCCGGATAAACTAATATATCACTCAGGATTCGACAGCTCGCTCATGGGCTCCATCAACGCACTCCCAAACTACACGGCGTACTTTGGCTTGCCGGAGAACGGGAATGCGAGCACGGGCATTGTCTTTGCTATTTTCCAGGTTCGCAAATCTCCTTTCTTCGCTACTCAGCACACCTTGTCTAACCAACCTTCTGTTTTCAGGTCGGCCAAATGTGCGGCGCCCTCTTCATCTGGATGACAGACTGGTACGGCCGAACATGGCACATCTTCTTCGGATGCCTGGGCGTATGCATCGGGACAATTGTTACTGCACTCGCAGGGAACCTACCGACGTTCATCGCGGGTCGGTTCCTTCTCTCGTTCTTTGCGACGTGCGCGCATACCGCGGCGCCGCTGTATCTCGTTGAGATTGCGCCGCCAATCTATCGTGGGACGATTGCCGGGATGTACAATACTTTTTACAATGTGGTGAGTACATGATTCCGCTCTTGAGGATTTGACAGGGTTTCTGACAGAGGGTGCGCTGGTAGGGCTCCGTGTTCGCGACGTCGGCTGTCTACGCGTGTCACAAGTACCTGGCACACCGGGGCAACCTGGATTGGCGATTGCCCCTGTGGCTTCAGATGGTGTGCCCGGGGCTGGTTTGTTTGGCAATCAAATTTTACCCGGAGTCTCCGAGATGGTGTGTATCCTGTTTTCATCCACTCCAGCCGTCAATCTAATTGGAAGTACAGGCTTGTGTCTAAAGATCGCCATGACGAAGCCAAGGCAGTCTTCACAAGGTACCATGCCAATGGCGACGCGGACCATCCTCTTGTCGCTCTCCAGATGAGAGAGATGCTCGCGACAGTCGACCAGGACCACCAAGCCTCGTGGAAGGACCTGTTCGATCTCCGCGTTCTCGTCGAGTCACGGTCCAGTCGATACAGGCTCATGCTCAACATTGCCTTTTCCTGGTTTGGGCAATTCAGTGGGAATAAGTATGTCAAAAATCATATCTCTGAAACTTTCTTCCGTTTTTCCTCGACTAACGTCATTAGTATTGTCTCCTACTACCTCCCCATCATGCTCACCGGAATCGGGATAACCTCCACAGACACAAAGTTGATCCTCAACATCGTCTACGCCGTCGTGGGCTGGGTCAGCAGCATAATCGGCTCGCGCCTGCACGACATCGTCGGCCGCCGCAAGATGCTCCTCACCACGACGGCCGGAATGACAGTGTGCCTTGCCCTCGTCGCCGGCTGCGCCGCGGGCTACACCGAATACGCCAACCAACCCGCCTCTACAGCATCCATCGTCTTCATCTTCCTCTTCGGCGCCATCTTCGCCTGCGGCTTCACGCCCATGCAGCCAATCTACCCGGCCGAAGTGGTCAGCAACAAGATGCGCGCGAAGGCGATGGGGACGTTCAAATTGACGGCGGGGGCGGCCGGGTTCTTGAACACGTTTGTGGGGCCGATTGCGCTGGCGAACATCGGGTACTGGTTTTATGTTTTTTTTGTGTTTTGGGATGCCGGGGAGATGGCCTTTATGTATTTTTTCTTTGTCGAGACAAAGGGGTTTACGTTGGAGGAGCTGGATGTTTTCTTTGAGGATCAGAATCCGAGGAAGGCGAGTGTGAAGGCGGATAAGGCGCGGAGGAGGATTCTTAAGGAGGGGAGGGGTGGGGGGAATGTATAGGATGGGGGAGGATCGACGTAGGAGGGGTGGTTTGGATCGGGTGAAACACAGTCCACAGACTCAGCATCGGTATTTTGCCAGGCTGTCTCGGGATTAAATGCCATTGCTTCCAGAATTCAGAATGTTCGTGTGTATTGCTGGGCAAGGCACTTATGACCTCGCTCCATAAGAACTCTCCATCGTCACGAAACGCCTCCCTCTTTAATGATGATCTGTATCGCTGCGGAATTGCTTCGTCAATGTCATTCCTTCTGGTACAGCATATTCTCGAGGCTTCTTATACAGTACCCCATATACTTTGGAGTTTAACCCCCTACTCCCCAATAGGAATAGCCGGTGCGGGGTGTGACGGGATCCCTGCGTTTGGAGTCTTGGAAGAAAATCCATCTCTTCTCCTCCATCCACCCTGGACACTTGCCTCTAGCTTCTCTATGTTTCACACATTCGGGACCAGGTCGCCAACGACGACTGCCACAAGACCAAACCCACCTCGCAGACCAAGAGTCAACAAGTCGTGCTCGGAATGCACGCGACGGAAGGTCAAGTGCGACGGGGGCCAGCCTTGTAGCACCTGCCAGTACTACCGCATCTCCGACTCCTGCGCCTATCAACATCGATCCAGGAGGCAGGCCACTAGTAGAAGGTGAGAATCCCGTTTTTCTTTAATGATCTTGACGTGGGTTTTTGACGATCCTAGCGCCCTCGATAAAGCTACCGAAACCATTCGTCGCCAGGCGGGCGTCCTGCAATGTCTCTTTCCCAACGCCGCCTTGGATGACTTGGTAGGCAAGGAACGCGCTGAGCTTCTTCAGATTCTCTCGCAGGACTTTTCAGAGGCTTCGCACCTCGCAGCTGTCCCGTCAGGTGGGTCATCACCCACAGCGTCAGCTACGGGACCTCTTGGCGATCCAGACGGCGCGGCCTCCGACCGCGGAGACCCAGACGAGGAGCGGCACTGGGATGAGCTTGCCCAAAATCAGACCACCATTGCAGTCAGCGACGATATAAATGCAATCGGCCTCGCCGGTGAGCGCCATCGCCGCTCGTATCTGGGCATATGCTCGGTCAGCGCGGTTCTTAGAGCGCTATTTCGATCATGTCCCGGCGCAAAGGACCGCATCGTGGAGGCGTCCAAGATGTGGCCTGATGTCCAGCACGAAACTTCTTCTACTCTTTCAGCGCCTGCGGGCCTGACCGTTACTCATGGATCTGACCCCTTGCGAGAGACGCGATATGTGGGTTTTTACTTTGAGCATATCCATGCAATCACCCCGTTCCTCCACGAGGAGTCCTTCAGGGCCACGGTCGCCAACGCAGATCGACAGACTCACGCCTGGTTAGGTCTGTATAACATGGTCCTCACTGTGGGATCAATTGCATCCGGTAGCGACACGGCTCACATCCATTACTATAATGAAGCCCGCTCATACCTCGACCTCGATTCGCTCGGCTCGGGAAACCTGGAAACCTTGCAAGCCCTCTGCCTCCTCGGCGGGTATTACCTCCACTACCGCAACTCGCCCAACATGGCCTACGCGATCCTCGGTGCCGCTCAGCGTCTAGCTATAGCGCTCGGCCTCCATCGAGAGTCGCACGTTAGAACGGATGCCCAAGACCCCGAAACTTCCAAGCGCTACGCGATCCGCATCGAGACCCGACGACGCACATGGTGGAGCTTATACTGTCTGGACACGTGGGCAAGCATGACACTCGGCCGTCCGACCTGCGGTCGCTGGGACAGCGTGACGATGAACACGGCGCTGCCGACACCACTGCATCCCGATGATTACTTTGCGATATCATTAAAGGCGAGCGCCGAGTTCTGCCACATTGGTAACCGCGTCCAGCACCTCTTCGCCCAGTCAACTCGCATCAGCACTCAGGTCGCCCAGAGCCTCGATCGTGAACTCACCGAGTGGTACGCCGCTCTCGATCCAGTCCTTATGGATACCACAAACGCTCCGCTCCGCATGGCTGTTGCGCGGGAATTCCTGCGAAACAGGTACTATAATCTGCGGCTGATTCTCTCGCGCTGCTTTCTGCTGTATATGGCGTATGATTCGTCGAAAAAGCGCGACGAGCGTCATCATCCTCACCAGCATTCAGACGGGGAATTGGAATTGGTGAACCTCTGCCGCTCCGTCGCGGCGGAGGCGATCGATGCTATTGCCCTGCACTGGGTGCCCAACCGGACTCAGGTGTGGAATTCCGCCTGGTATCTCTTCCAGGCGTGTATGGTCCCGCTTCTTTCCATCGCGATGGGTGCGGAGTCGAGCTCCAATGATAGTAGCACCTGCGTTGCTCCGGGTACTACAATGGCATCACACCACACAACCCTAACAAAAGCCCTGACAACATTCGCCGAAATGAAACCCTGGCTGCGCGCTTCGGATCGCGCCGCGAATATCGTGGAGGCGCTGGTATCGGCTGTCTCGCACGTTCCAGATCCAGACTCGGACGCGTTCCATACCGCTGCGAATGCAAATGTATCTAGATCCATGCACACGCCCTCTGTATCAGATGGTGGGTTGCACCTGTTTGGGCTACCAGATGAGTTCCTGACCGAGATGGATTGGAGCGCTATTATCGACGGCACGGAAGGGGAATTCTTTGGGTGTTTGGGGCCGTTGACCTGAGTGGGAGGGGGGAAAGTAATCTAACAGCCGGTTGCTCGAATCTTATGAGGACGTGACAATGCCAAACACGGCATATTGTTCCAGTATCAGGGCTACGCTGGAGAACGACGATCGTGGAACGAGAAAAATCGCGTCTTCATGCTGTAGGGAAACAACGACCCTGTAGGTACTCAGCACAAATACAGCAGGCGTGACGAAGGATTCGAAAGATGGACCTTCCTCTTTAGTTTCAAAGTTGCCAGGGAGACCAGTCGGGGAGGGTTGATCCTTCCCTTCTAGATCTATGCGCGTAGTTGCCTTGTTTGTCAAGGCGCAGGCACAGAGTCCGGGAGATGCCGCCCATTGCCACTTCCTCCGCTGCATCCATCTCCCGCTTGGTGTGGAAACGCATCGTTCTCGAAACACTGGGCTGCACCATGTCTGAACCAACCCGGCCACGCGAGATTCTACTCCTGCATTGCAATCGCTTTAGTCCAGTGAACCATGTCAGCGGCTTTGGCAATGCTCATTCCTCGGGTCTTGTGAAGTAGTTATGGAGAAGCTCTCAGCATCTTGCCCACGACATCCACCGTGATGGCTGAGCATGCCCTGCGCCGTGAAGTCGCTCTACTCCCGCCTTATCAGTCGCTGAATAAAAGCCACTTTGCGTATCGATATGCTGCCGTATCAGTCCGGTCTCGTCCTGTCTTAATCCGGGGTTTCACTTCATCGCCGGAGCCCATCAAGGCTTCGAAGAAGCCATTGGCGCTTGAATTGGCGCACGGAGACGTATTGTCTATAATCCCTGAATTCGCCCAATTGTCTGAGTTTGACACGCGGCCTTAGCTCCTCTGGGAAGCTTCGTCTATTATGCTGTCGGGGGCGATGCTTCGTGGAACTGGTCTGGGTCACAGGTGGAGGGAGCAGAGCAAATACATGAGAGAAACATGAATGACTTGCAGTGTCCTCTTGATGGAAAACTCTGCAGGTGCTCGACCAAAGCTGGTTGATGTTTGAGCATATTTGCGCTAGACAGATAGTCATGTGCATCTGCTTTGTTTGTTGGCGACAGTGTGCAGAACCTTCCCAACCCCGCGCTTCTTTTCTTCTGCCACCCCCTCCTCACACCTCTTTTCCTCCTCGCAACCCTTCTCGCTATCTTGAGTCATCCTCTCCAAGCTACCTGTTTTTTAAATCTCCCTTACCCAGCGGTAGGCCATGATGGTTGACTCGGCAGATCTTCTGAAATGGTTTGTGTTACTCGCGTGCGGCCTGGTAATCCAGGATAACACCTCGCAGGTTCGAGACACTGGGCTCTCGTACGCTCGATCTCGTCGGAGACTACGCTGGGGACGAACGGTTTCTCCTTGAAGGAGACTCGCTTCTTCTCCAGTGCTTCTCGGACAACGCCCTAGACCTTTCGACCGGACTCCAGCTCCTACATGCCACCTCCCTCGTTGAGAAATTTCTCGCCAACCTCCGGCAGCGAAAGTGCGTCTTTCACGTCGTCTTCTTTGCAGAACATGCCCAGGCATGCGTTCCGGTGGGCGTTTCACAGGAACTGCGGCCGAAGTACCGCTTGGCGAGGGAAGCGATCGTCCAACATCTCGTTCAAAACCTTGAAACTTCCCTCCAGGCAATTGAGATACAGTGCTTTCCTAGCTATCATTCACGGGAATTCCAAGAATATCTCCATGCGGTTGCTCCATACTTCCTAATGTGCCACGACGGATCGGCGCCCGTGGGTCTGTCACAGGTGCCTGGCGCCAACACTTCCGACAGCGATGAGAGTGAGAGCGACGGGACGGATTCGCGGGCGACGGATCTGAATATCGGAGAGGCTGTGCCAGAATTCTCTCCAACAAAAATCATCATGCGGTCCATGATACATTGGTTCGTCTGCAATGGATACAACATCTCTCTCCTGAACAGCTTGGAGTGTCGAGACACCAAGGTGAGCCATTCCGGGCGTCTCAATAGTGCACTGCTTACCCAGGTAGGTCGTGTCGATGATACTCGAGGGATCGGCGTCCAAGGCTCAGAACCTAAAGCTCCGCGCAATTGGCGATCTGCTGAACAACGCCGATGAGGATTCGGAGTCAGACTCGCTCGAATCAGACCACGAGGAGGATTATTCCTCGCTTGGCCTGTCGGCTACTACCAGAAAGGCTCAGCAAAGTTTCCTAGCGGAAGAAGATTTGATCAGTCGAATCTCAGAACTGGCGCGAAATCGTGGCATGGAGCTGACTCAACGCGAGTGGGCTACGTTGATTGCACTCGGTTCGATGTCGCGCGTGCTCCCATTCAGGCATAATGATATCGTCGGAGCCCGCGCCATGTTGATGCACATTGCGATACTAGGCGACTGCAAGCTCTTGGAACGGGCGGTTGTCGTTCCCCGTTGCCAGGCCAGTGAAGCCTTTATGCGCACGTATGTGGAAGCTTTATACGAGATCCTCACATCAGAGTTCTGGCAGAACATGATTGCGAGGGTACCGTGCAAATGTGACCTGGGCGACGCCATTGATGGACGGCTCTTTCTTGCGACCGCAAAGGCGCTGCAACCACATAATGCCCAGGCCTTTGGCTCGTCCACCTTGGAGAAAGTCGAGACGCTCGCAACTGCCCTCGTACGACTTTTCAACCTTGATGTCCGCCCTATTGCAGCCCATTCGCCGAAGTGGTGCGACACAACGGAATGCAATGGGCTAGCATCGTCAACCGAGCAGCCCAGGAAGTCGGGTCAAACCGAGGAAGCCCTTACTGTCCTACCTTTTCACAACCCCGTTATCGACGCTCATCTAGAGCCCGTGCGTGTTGTTGTTAGCGGCAAGGCTAGTCCCAGTCCGAGCGGAAGCATGTCACGCATATTCCAAGAGCTGAGCCACTGGCACAACCACAAACGCCCTCTTGACAATCGACGGAAAATTACGCTCACTGAGCGGCAGCAAATGTTTGCCCATCGTCGCAACCAGCGGTTCATGACGGATACGGCACGTTACGCTGCAAGCCTTACAAACGCCGTAGGCGGATCGTTGACTCCGGAGACCGTCTTCGTCAAATCGCAGAGCGAGAAAGCGATGAAACAGCCCCGAGCACCTCATGCTGGTGGAACACCATATTCAAGTACTGCGAGAAAGGAAAACACATCGACGAAGCACAAAAAGACCGGCAAAGGCACGGTGTCAGTTCGCGACCAGATAGCCGCTGAACGACAATCAAAACAGCTCGAGGAATTCAATAAGCATTTTGCTAACTGGCGGACCAGTATCGAGGGACTGGAACGGGTTCCTGACAACATCGCGAGATATGTAAAAGTGAAGGCACACCTGAAGGCACACCTTACGAACTTGCCAGCGGACAAGGCGAGCGCTCTACGCCCGGAGATTCTGGCCTACATGCTGAGCATTTTGGTCAATGCCTGGAAAGAAAAGTGTGATACTAGCGAGCGTCAACACTCCGTTCATATTCTGGCTCTCATCTGGCAGGTAATTCAGGACATCGGTCATCTAAAGAAAGGTGTTACGGAGGACATTGCAAGAGAAGTCCAACGTACAGTACGAGCAATTCGGCTCCCACCTATTGAGATGCGGATTGAGGGGACACGGAAGCTGCCATTCGAATTTGCGGAGCTCTCTACACGCAACGATGCTTTTGCGCTTAGATCAACGCCAACAAAGCTTCAGCTTCTCCATGCAGGTCCGTATATGGATCGTAGTATGGGCTCGGCTCCTGATCTTCGCGTTCGTGCTTTCGAACCAGACAAGTGGCAGCGGGAGGTTTTGGATCAGATTGACGCGCGGAAGAGCTTATTCGTCGTCGCTCCAACAAGCGCGGGAAAGACATTCATTTCGTAAGTGAGCCCACTGCCAAAAAGTGTCCCTCATGTACTGATAGGTATCTTGCAGCTTCTACGCCATTAAGCAGGTCTTAGAAGACGATAATGACGGCGTGTTGGTATACGTGGCCCCCACCAAGGCGCTCGTCAACCAGATTGCCGCAGAGGTTCAGGCGAGGTTCTCGAAATCATATGGTAACACTCCAGGAAAGTCCGTCTGGGCAATTCATACGCGTGACTATCGCATCAACAACCCAACCGGCTGTCAGGTCTTGATCACTGTCCCTCACATCCTTCAAATCATGCTTCTCGCCCCTTCGAATGCAAGGTCCTGGTCTCCTCGTGTGAAGCGTATCATTTTTGACGAAGTACATTGTATTGGTCAAGCAGAAGATGGTCTCATCTGGGAGCAGCTCCTTCTTCTCGCCCCATGTCCGATCATCGCTTTGTCCGCAACTATTGGGAATCCAGCTAAATTCAAGGAATGGCTAGAAATCACGCAAAAGGCGAACGGACTAGAGTTGAAAATGATTGAACATAAGGCTCGATACTCCGACCTTAGGAAATACATCTACCATCCGCCAAAGAATTTCGTGTTCAGTGGACTTCCTACGCCTCCGCTGCTGCCTCCGCTCGGTCTCGACGAAAGCGCAAGCATGGCATTTGTTCACCCCGTTGCAAGCTTGATTGATCGCTCACGCGGTCTGCCCGATGATCTCACTTTGGAGCCGCGCGACTGCTACACTCTTTGGAAATCCATGACCAAGCATGCTACATCCGCGTTTCCTGTCGATGCATCTCTGGACCCTCACAATGCGTTGCCAAGCATTATCAAAAAAGCGGATGTTATCGAATGGGAGTCACTACTCAAACAAGTTCTCCGGAACTGGATGAACGATAGCAATTCACCCTTTCAGAAAGTCGTCAAGGATCTTTCGAAGAGCATCTCTAACCATAAAGCCGTCGATCTTCAGGTGTCTTCAGGCGAGTTTGATGGAGCACCAGAGCCTAAATCAGTCGAGCAAGGTGACCTTTTCGGCACGACGTTACCTCTAATCTGTGCGCTTCACGAGCAGGGTGCACTGCCAGCTTTGTTCTTCAACTATGATCGAAGCAAGTGTGAGAAGATCTGTTTTCATCTCCTAGGTCAGTTGGAAGACGCAGAAAAGCGCTGGAAGGCGTCCGATACAGTATGGAAGAAGAAATTACAAAAGTTCAAGGAATGGAAGAAATTACAGGAGAAGCAGACGCGCGTTCGTGAACCTAAGAAGCAAAAGGGGAAGAAAAGACGAGACGGCGACGATGATGACGGCGAAGAGGAGCGGACATCCAGAACAGAACAGGCCCGACTCGTGGCATCGAAGGAATCGAGCATGTTCGAAACCTTCAATCCCAACAACCCGGTCGCGGGATTTCATTTTGCAGACGAGAAGAAACTGACGGATTCTGAATTCGACGAATATGCTACACAACTGCGACATCGCAATGTTCCTGAACAAATGGTCACTGCCCTTAGACGCGGAATCGGTATCCACCACTCTGGTCTCAACCGCAAATACAGACAGGTCTGTGAGATATTGTTCCGCAAGGGCTATCTCCGTATAGTAATTGCGACCGGCACATTGGCCCTGGGTATCAACATGCCTTGCAAGACTGTCGTGTTCTCTGGTGACTCCGTCTATCTCACTGCGCTTGGATTTCGGCAGGCTGCTGGTCGAGCTGGTCGACGTGGATTTGACTTTCTCGGTAATGTGGTCTTCCAGGGCATTTCACAAGCAAAAGTCTGCCGTCTTCTGAGCTCCAAGTTGCCTGATCTCAACGGACATTTTCCGCTCACGACGAGTCTGGTCCTGCGGCTCATGACTTTGCTTCATGAATCCAAGGGCTCCCCGTACGCTGTCAAAGCGATCAACTCAATATTGTCCTGTCCCCGCATCTACTTGGGAGGCGACGAACCCAAGCATACAGTTCTTCACCACCTACGCTTTTCAATCGAGTATCTCCGGCGCAATTGGCTGCTCAGTGAGAGAGGCGCTCCGCTGAACTTTTCCGGTACGATTTCTCACCTGTACTATACTGGAAACTCGGGGTTCGCCTTTCACGCATTGCTCAGTGAAGGCTACTTTCATGCACTCTGCAAAAACTTATGTGGCCGAGAAAAAGAAACGCTGCGGACGCTCATGCTAGTTCTGTCACACCTATTCGGTCGCTACAATCTCCCGCCTAGCGTTTTGGAGAACCGGCAATCACGAGATAAATCCACCTCTGTCGTGGTCTTGCCAGCTCTCCCAAAGACTGCCGCGCGGATTCTCCGTTCGAGTAATCAGAAAACGTTGGGCATCTATTCGGCCTATGTCAAAACATTTGTCGACCAGCATATCACCGAAGCGGATTGCACCCTCCCTTTAACCCAGATCAAGTGTGGTGGAGACAAGCCTGCAAGGGAGATCAGTACCTCACCCTCCTTCCTTGCACCAACACGGGTCACCTCCGCCTTTGCCGCACTATCCGGCCATCGCGACGAATGGAACACTATCCACGAGCTCTGCACCCGTATCCGCAGCGGCGTTTGGCTCGAACAGTCCGTAATTCCACATCTCCAGATCTCGCCTGAGAAGGACGGCCCAGCCCCTCTGAACGCATACCTGTATGACTTTTACAAGCATGCGAACGTCCACGCTCTCCAGACGGAGAATAAGATTCGCAGTGGAGACCTCTGGTTCGTGTTAAATGATTTTTCCCTTGTTCTCGCGACGATTGTTACGAGCTTGGAGAATTTCATGAAGCTCACCCCAGGAATGGACACTGATCTCTTGGATTCCATGGGGGGTGCAGATGCTTCAGATGATGAGCTCGATGCGGGTGCTGGATCCAAGCCGGTGAATCTGCCTCTGCGCGGCCAGCCGGATGCAAAGGCGGGCGTTGCGATGGCGAAACAGCGGAAGCAGTCAAAGGTAGCGGACAGCTGGGATGATGATCTGAGCGACAACAGTGACAAAAAATTCAGCACAGCACCCGGGCACATCAACCACGCTGCGGAGTCGCTTGACGAGAAATCCAAGCAGCAGTTCCGCGGTCCAAGCCATGACAGACGCAGCAACGAGGCAGATGATTTTCTCGAAGGCGAAGGGCTCCTTCAGGTTCTCAGGGCGTTCAAAATGCTCCAGAAGGAGTTTAATGACAGGTTTAGGGCCATTTGGGCGTAATTGGGAGTTTTGTTTGGAACGCGTTGGTGGTTAAATCTAGTTGGTCGGATGTCCCGGGATAGAAGATCATTTTGTGCTTAGTGGTGCTGGGATGGTCTGCATGCTTGAGTAAATAGACTTTGTTTCATACGAATGTTGCAGTGAGTATTGAATGTAGTCAAAATTCAATTGCATATGGTATACGGGTGTAGTAGCTTCTGATTAGACGTAAACGGCCTGTTTTATACCCTCACGTTGAGTCCCCTAGCCCTGAGGCCACGAGAGTCAAATATATGTATCCGTAGTGGTAATCCACCAAATCCACCGCACTGTTTAGTCGCTTGACTCGTAGCGATTACACAGTAGTGCCTAGTTAGAGACTACTTACTTTACCTTTGAAACTGCGGTCATTGGACTTTAATCAAGAATTTTTAAAATGACAGTGCTGGTACAGGCAGGAGGGCACGTGACTTGGTAGCCCTAGCAAGTGGCCATTTGAGTCAGAACATGTCCTCTTACCTATTCAAATCTGCCTTGATGAGTCGAATCGTTCCATTCTGGCCTTGATGAGACTAGATCGACGATCAAGCCGAATAATATCTCCCAGTTTGACTCACGGATAACCCACCACCAGCTCATTTGCGAGCCATGACTCAGGCACAGCCACCCATGACTCACGAATCACGAGCAGCTCCCCCACATCAGCTCCAGCGAAGCCACTTGAAGCGACATGGGGGTTTCCACAACGAAACAAGCCGCATGAGCTTGTCTCAGCCCCAGCCTCGTATCAGTTCTGCCTGATCGACGGTCGACCGAGGGCTAATTCATGATCGTCGACAGAATCAAAACAACCTATATCTAGAACAGCGTTCCCTTAAGGTACACTACTATCCTTTCCAAACCAAACCACGTTCCCCACAAATTCAGCAAAATAATCAACACCAATGGCGCTCCCTTCACTAACCTCCCACGAAACCGCCCTATGCATTATTCCTCCACCACACCTCGTCGGGGATATCGAGCGGCTACGCGCGCTATACGATAAAGCGCATGGGCGCTGGCCGCCACACATCAATTTGATCTACCCATTTGTCGACGTCGAGAATCTCACGGAAGCGACGGAGATCGTGCAATCCGTCCTGAGCCGCCGCAAACAGGATACGCGTATTCGGGTACGACTGGATAAAGCAGATTGCTTTGCGCATAAACGACATAGTACGATTTATCGCGCGGAGAGCGGGAGTGGAAACTCTGGATCTGGTTTCCAGCAATTGGTTGAACTGCGGAAGGACATATTCGATGCCTTCGAACATACGCCCTCGCAGGAGAGTACGCTGCATTTAACCATTGGACAGAGTGAACCTGATGATGAGGCGTCGAAGCATTTCTTGCTTGGAAAGGCGGGGCGGCTTCCGGTTGTTGAGTGGGATGTGAGCGAGTTGGTTGTTCTTGTCAGGGAGAGAGCGCCAGGAGGGGATGTGAGCAGCTCGAGGATGGATGTTTGGGGGAGGATTGGGATGGCGGGGGAGTGTGCGATTACTCGGGGGGTTAGTGTTGGGGTTGACGAGGCTGCGGTCACGGCGACCTCGCCCCCCATTCCAGCATCGAAAGCCGAGAAGAAGGCTACCTTTCAATTCAGCGACACGGATGGGAAATGGATCGGGATCACGGAACCTGCGACAGAATCGAAACCGATCGACTCCCCGCTCACAATCGCCTCCTACAACGTCCTAATCGACACCCCCTACCCCCCACCGACAGAGCGCTATCCAACCCTCCGAGACAACCTCCTCTCAGCAAATGCAAACTCGGACATACTCATCCTCCAAGAAGTCTCCGACGAATTCCTCTCATTCCTTCTAGCAGACCCGCAAATCCGCACCCTGTACCCATTCACAACGCACGGACCACCAAATCAGGACGATATCAGTCCGCTAGCGAGTCTTCGGAATATTGTTGCGCTGAGCAAATATCGCTTCACATGGGACTGGCTACCGTTCGAGAAGCGACACAAGGGGGCTGTGGCTCTCCAATTTGACACTGGGCCCGAGTCAAAGCCACTCGTTGTCGCGGGTGTCCATCTAACCTGCGGTCTATCCGATGGCTCGATTCTAGCAAAGCAGTCTCAGCTCCAGAATGTCCTCCAGCATCTAGGGACAAAGCATGCTGATAGCGATTGGATCCTCGCGGGCGATTTTAACATCACTACCTCGTCATACACGATCGATGCAGCCGTCAAGCGGCAGACAATCTCGACACAGGCTGCATCCGTGCTATCCTCTCTAGACGGGATGCTATCTGCAGCGGGACTCTCAGATACCTACTTCGCCGGACGAGCAGGAGGGTCCGGTGGTGACCTGGGCACGCTCGAGGTTGGGACATTGTATGAAGGCGAGGAAGGGGCCACGTTTGATCCATCGAGGAATGAGCTTGCCGCGCGCATCGCGGGACAGAGCTTCCATAGTCGGCCACAGAGGTATGATCGGATTATGGTTCGTGGGGAGGGCATTGATGTGGCTAGTTTCAACATGTTTGGTGTTCCGGATGAGGGCGAGGGTGAGGCTGCGCTGGGGAGTGACCACTGGGGAATTAGGGCTGTTCTCGACCTCAACAGCCCTAAACAACCTCACACGGACACCCCCTTGTCGAAGAAATCAATTGCAATCGCCCCCGCCCCCGAGTCACTCAGTTCGGAACACCTCATGAACTGCCTCCGTGAAGCAGGCGCCTTCCCAGCCCCAGACGAAATCACCCACCGCCATGAGACAATCGCCCACCTGCGCGCCTTCGTCAACGAGCGGGACCCGAACCTTTCATCCGACACCCGCCTAACCCTCTCCTTCCCCGTCGTCCCCGTCGGCTCCTACGGCCTGGGGGTCTGGACGTCATCCTCCGACATCGACCTCCTCGCCATCGGCACCGTCAGCCCACGGACCTTCTTCGCGCTGATGATCTCGAAGATCCGACGCGCCGCGCAATCACCAGAAACAGAGAGCGAGATCCGCCTTCTCCGAAAAGTCAGCGCCGCATCAGGAACAATGCTCGAGCTCCAAGTCCGCGGAATCCGCATCGACCTGCAATACTGCCCCGCAACGCGCGTTGCCGAGACCTGGCCGGCGGCCCTCTCCCTCCCGCCAGCCGACCCAACCTTTGACATCCCCATGCACTCGCTCCTAAAGCTCAACCCGCTCCGCGACATGCACTACCTCCAGCGCACGATCCCGGACCTCGCGACCTTTCGCCTTGCGTATCGATTTATCAAGACGTGGGCCCTGCGCCGTGGAGTGTATTCTTCGAAATTGGGGTATCTTGGCGGGATCCATATTACGTTGCTGCTTTCGCGGGTGTGTAAGCTTGCGTTCTCCACTGGGAGAATGGCCTCTGCGCCAGATTTGATAGCTACGTTTTTCAAGACGTATGCGCAGCTCGATTGGGCTCGTGAGATGGTCTTCGATCCCGGATTTTATGCGGCGCCGCCGAGGTATTTCCGCTCGGCGAGGGAGCCCGCTGTTATCCTTACGCAGCATACGCCCAAGGTCAACGTTGCGAGGAGCGCGACTGTTCCATCCATCAGAATTCTCGAGGCGGAATTCAAACGGATGGACGGCTTGCTCTCGACTGTCGGGGGGCAAGGGGGGGATCTGGCCTGGTCTGACCTCCTTGGTTCTGCAGAGGCGGGCGTCGAGGATTTCCTCGCGGGGTATCCGAGTTACATCAAGGTGAATGTGCAGCATTGGGGCGCTGGAGGGGCCAAGGGGAGGATGCTGGTCGGATGGTTGGAGTGGCGGTGTGTTTCGCTTCTTGTTGGTATGTTACCCTCGCTCATATTTACCCCTTTCTCCTGCGTGTTAAAGCATACTAATCGAAGCTAGACATCCACCGCAAATTCCCAGATATCCACGCGCGGATCTGGCCAGCACGGTTTACCGATACCGAGAGGCAGGACGGCGAGACAGGAGAAAGTGATACTGAGTACCAGGGATGTTACCTGATCGGTCTAGCCAAGAACTCCTCGTTGATTGGGACGACTGCAGCGAGCGTGGACAGACAATCCGCTGAGATCGCCCTGGTCGCTGTCCTCAACACGTTCGCTGAGCAGATCCGGAGCGACGAAAAGTACTTTGATGCGTCGTCGAGCTGGGTCGATGTTACCCTAGCCTCACGCTCCGCCGTTCGAGGGCTCCACGTTGACTCCTCCATACTAGTCGTCGAAGACCTCTACGACGACGACGAAGACGACGAGGACCTCACACTTGACGTGCACGAATCCGACCCCGAATATGAAGGAGCAACCAACCACCGCCTCCCCATCCGCGCCCGCGCCCAAACTTCATCTCCGGGCCCCCGCCTCCGCCCCGCAAGCGACGTCCTCAGCCGTCTCCGGTGGGACGCCAACATCGACATCGACGACTACATTGTCGGCTACGACGACCGGTTCCTAGGCGAGAGGGAGATGCCTGTTGCGCAGTGGAAGGCCGAGTTGACGGATGAGGCGTTTATCCCTGGTCATCGGATTCTGTACTTCCGCCGGAAGAGTGATGGGGTCAAGGTGTGGGATCGCGAACGGAGGGTGGATTTGGTTTTTGGGAGTGGGGTTTCGGGGAATGTGTCGTAGATGGAGTTGGGGGGGTGTGATGGATGGAGATGTATACCAGGTTGTTGATGTATCGTGATGACTGGAAATCAAAGCTTACACCGTGAACTACGGTATCTCACCCGATCTTCGCGGACTGTAATTTCTGTTCGCAAACTGGTCGAGATAGCCATCTCTGGTCGTTGCTCTGACGGTAGCTTGACCCCGCACCAGCTGAGTCTGCCCTCAGCCAGCCATTCGAACAAAAACACCCCACGTCCGCAAGTCATCTCCGCCATAGGTTGCTGCCATAGGCCAGGGGCGCCATGGCATTTGGCAGAAGGTGAACTCCGAGTAGCGGACATCTCGATACGCCTGTGGCTGGCTGAGCTGCATTGCCAAACCAGGACGTCCTCTCTAAGCAGATCGGGGCTGAGCTGAATTCTTACTGCATGTGCGATCTTCGTGCCAAGTGGTCGGAAGAGTCTGTAACGTAGCCACGTTTCACTCCTATTGGAGGGGGAGGTATAGCTGGTTGTAAGCAGTCATCCTGCACGATCTTACTCGGCGCAAACTGCAGGGTTTTGGCGTTGAACGCGCTGGGCGGGGGGCGCCAGCTCAACTAGCCATCCCCCACCTTGTCGACTGCGGCTTTGGTATATAGATGCACGGAATGCGCCCGGATATGGCTGCGATTCCACAGCCTCTGCACCTCCCTCTCTCTTCCCTTGTCGCTACCAACTCGTCTACCCTGGCCCAAACAAACAGAATCATGACATTCCCCGAGTACGTGTAGCGGATCCAGATTGGCAGATACTTTGTTCGTCTCTAACGTTCCACAGAGGAACCTCGGTCAAATTCCCCGTCGGAAACGGCGAGTTCAATATCGGTACTGTAAAAGCGTTCGAGGCATGTCCTGTCCTCACCTTTGGTTTTACCCTCTTGTTAGAGCATGCATCCATGCTAATGCTGATGCCCATTTTCCATGCAGGACGGAAAATACCAGATCGAAGTCCAGGTCGGCGAGATCACCGAGCTCATCGAAGCCGAAGAGGCGGATGTGAAGGAGTTTAGGATTGAGATGTCGAGGCGAGATATTTTTGATTACCTCAAGTGAAGAGGTTGCGGAATACATGGTGGTGGGTCGATTTGTACTTTTCGAGTCATCAATCCGAATAGTACACCATTTGTAAATTCTAGTATGGCGCAATAGTATTTCTTTGACGGCTAAACCTAGATCTTGCTCACTCTCGGTCGGGTTGTAGTTGTAGCTGAGGGAGAGGTGCTTGATACCTTGCATGTCTGGGTAAAGCGTCGGTCGCTCTTTCCTACTGTACCAGCTCTCGCAAAAGGAAGGTACGCTATCTAAGCCGTCCATACTTTCCATATTCGGGTCGAAGGATGCTGGGACTCGTCTCTCCCAATAGAGCAATTGCTCGAGCTTTTTCTGGACAGGATTCCGGCTTCCGAGGACAAGCGTGCCATTTATCTTTTCTATGGCGAAGCAAGTTGAAGGAATACGGTATGCAGGAGTATAAATTTCCGATATACGTCTGCTCTCGCCACACTGTAGTTAGCATTCGTGACACTCCCCCGGCATCTATCTGTCCACCCCTCATTCCAGACCTGTTTGTAAGTTGACTGTCTAACACAGCCTTGTTGGAGTTGTTGTTAACGCCATATTAGTAATGACATTGGTCCTGTTGATATAACTCGCACTCGGACTGAGCAGATAGCAAATCGTATGGCGAACCACTCACACTCCGCCGCCCGCTGAATCGGAACCATCGCCTTAATCTGCTCCCTCTCCCCGGGATTCCTCTCCTATTCCACATCCAGCAGCGGCGTCCGCACCCGATTCCCACAAACAGCGTTACCCCATATCCCCTCGGGGGAATGGTCGAGGACCATCATACTTGTCAGCCCGATACATGCGTGTTTCGAGATCGTGTAGGGGACCTTTCCGGGGAGACGTGCGAAGGACTTTGGCGAAGCGAACGTTTACAATGGTTTACGATGGAGCGTGTGCCAACTGCGCGATGTGGGGTCGTGTACTCCTTCTTTATAGCGTATTGCAAGTTCTCCTTAGCGGAAGCCAGCGCAATCTCCGCGTTCATGTCTGCAGAGACAATGACCCGTTCACCGGCTTCGGCGATGGAAAAGGCGGCTTGTTTGCCGACGCCGCGGCCGGACTGGAGATGGTGTGGGATGAGCGGTGAGAGGAGAGAGAGAAGGGAATAGAGTGGAAGGAGACATAGGTGAACTATAAGGGCTGCGCTGTTAAGGCGGGTTCTAGCAATAGTTATTCTGATGTAATAAATCCTGGCTTGATAATTAATAGCTATAGGGGGATGATGAACACAAGGTATAACTTGATAGAATAGATTAACAAGTTAGACTATTATAGTGACTTAATAATACCTTGCGGGGTAACAGCTTTATAAAAGAAGGTTAGCCCTCTATACTTAGTCCTTGGCCATTCACAACATCTGCAGGTTCACAAGAATAACTCTACTAATTAGACAGAGGTCTCCAGCCAAGCCTGCTGGTTCACCAAGTCTATCTCTTTAACAACTAGGGGTATTTTTATTAGCAGCTTTAGCACGACAAGAATAGTCTAGCTAAATATTATTACGGCGTCCTCTTTTAGTTTCTTGTACATTACTTACAGGCTAAGTATATAATTACGCCATTTCCAACTAGAGCTGACTAACTTTCCCAATGCCTTGGCGGACTCGGTGGCTAAGCAGTATCTTAAATGTTGCGTTTCATGGGAAACGCATCTCTCCTTAGCTGGTCTGGACTCGGCAGGGAACAATAGGTGCCGAATACGAGGATTGGGCTTGGCTCTTCAGGCGATATAAATCAAACTCCTCCGCTCTTTTCTTCTGCGGCAGAACACCAAATCGAAGTCGATTACATAGACGCTTCCAGTCATGGCAACCCAACCCCCCAGCAGGCTGATGGCCCTGCTGCACATCCGCACAATTGCATCATCCATCTTGCACTTCCTCCCACGCAGCTCGCTCAAAAATCTCCGCCTGGCCAGCAAAGCCCTGGACGAGCTGGTCCTTCTGGAATCATACCTCTTCAGTCGCGTTTACTTGTCCTCCACGTATTGCGACATCCACAAACTCCAACAAACCGCCAACCACCCTCGCATCGCCCGCTGCGTAACCACGTTAGTCTGGGACGTCTGCACCGGTCCATACCTTAGCATGGCTATCCACCTTTCGTCCCAAAGAGCGCCCGAACTTGTCCGTGAAGCCATGGAATTCAGAGGGGCCGAGTATACCAAGATTAGCGACGCCGGGCTGGACTTCCGTGTACTCATGGCGGTAATCCCTCGACTGCCTCGCTTGCGCGCCGTCGTGTTTACAAATCTGATGGGCCGCTGGGCCAGGCTGAGGCACAGCCCGGATTCGGCGGCAGCATCGGACACGTGCCTCGCGCCCTCGCGGATGCATCTGCCATTCTACGAGTCCCCCGCCATGAGGGCGTGGAATGCCCTTCGCGCGCATCGCCTCCAGGACTTTTACAATCAATGGCCTGCAGGCCGTGATGTACCGGAGCCCAGTCTGGAACTCGCCCCTCGGCTCGGGACAATTGCGGATGGGATTCAACGTGGGCAGGCCGAGACGGAGGATAATCATCCCGGGAACTTCTTATCGCGCTTAGGAAACAAGTTCCACCAAGGTCCGCTCCTCTGTCTACTTGCATTCGAGGCGCATGGTCGGAAACTGCAGAGCCTCTGCGTCGAGGCATTGCCCGAGCGTGCCCGGAACAGTGTCTCGGCGTTTGAGTTCCGAGGATTCGATCTCCGCCCCTTTGTCAACTCCGATCCGGGACTCGCGGGGCTATCTACCATGGTCCGCCCCCTGCGCAAGCTGGCGCTGTGCCTGGATAATTCAACAGAGTGCAGAACGAGTTGGGACTGGAGGCGCGCCATCAGCAGCCTTCTGCGCGAGGCCGAGTACCTCCACAGACTGGAGCTCCGCCTGTTCCGCCGCGATACCCTAGGAGAAGACCTTGTTCTCCCAACGACATCTAACCTCGAGGTTTTGGTGCTGGAATCCTTCGTCGTGGCGAGCACGGAGTTGGAGGGCAGTCTCCTCCCCTGGGCCGTTCGGGTCGGACTGCGCACCCTGCAACTCATCGAGTGTCCATTTGTCATTCCGGACGGGATGCACGAGATGGATCTCATCCGCTCGCTGGCGGATAGGGATATCAGCATGGATAAACAGGACTCCTTTCCACCTTCTTATCACGATCCCCAAGGGGCAGCCCGTGACCTGCTGTGCGCCGCCGATGCAGAGTCCACCGTGAGCGACACTTCGAGCATCGACGACCCCTGGCTCGCAGCGTGCGAACACCCCAAATTACCCCGCGAAGACCCAGACGCATCGCGAATCCGATTCATGGATCTCGACTTCGAGTCCCACGCCGCTTCCAACCCCGGCGATTCCGACGCCTCGGATACCGACTCCACCTACTTCCCCTACACGGACGAGCTCTGGTCTCGCCAGATGGACGCCCCGTTTCTAAACGTCGACCTTGACGAGCCCGGGTGGAAGGAGGAGATGGCCAACTTGTACTACGAGATGTACCATGAGGATATCATCCGGCGGTATGACGGTGATTATGATGAGGATACCCCGGACCTCGAGGAGGAGTATCCGATGCGGCCTTTGCGGGCTGCTATGGCGCGTGTCTTGCCGTCTGCTGGGGGTGAATCGTTTCTGTTCCTTTTGGATGGTGGTAGGGGTCTGGACTTGAGTGAGGAGAGGAGGGGGCTTTGGCTGAGGATTGATTGTTTTTCTGTGCAGGATGGGAGTTAAGTGGAATGTACGTGCCCAATTATGCGCTGGATGACAGATTGGGCCACCTTCTCAAATATGGGATAATTAAGTGCATCCTTTTTAGATATGGTGCAACTGTCAAACCTGCAGCGCCTTGTTCATTAACTGAAAGCTAGATATGCTAGACTACATATTGAAGTGCACGTAATACATAGAGTCCTGACCTAACAGATCGCAGGCACACCGTTGGCCTTGACTCGGTCATTTAAACACTGGTGAGAAGGATGATCCTCGCCCTTGTCGCGTGAGCTGATACTAGAATTGGGGGATAGAGTAGTATGTAACACACTGTGGTATTGAATGGATATCTTCCATTATCAGGCCGCGTAGGCGCAATGTCCATGCTTGGAGTAGCTTGCCTCCAAGTATTCCGCCATGTGGGTTTTGGGTACATATCTTTAATGCATCACAGCTATGTAATGCATAGTTTAATCTTCAGGTTGTCTACTAAACCTTTGATTACATTAGAGGCACGACCAGGGGGGATCTAAACAGGATGGATGAGATGAAGGTTACGATCTCTTCGAGGTTCAAGGATGGAAAGATGGGGCTGAGTGGGATTGTGCTTGGTGAGATGGCCTGAGAAGAAAATATGACTGTTAACATAATGAACTATGGTACCAGCAACTGCCGCTTCTTTTTTTTGCTTTAAAGGCCCAGCTGCAGGCCTAGTAGATCTTCTGCAACCGGGATTAGCTTGTTCTCGTGGACCCAGCTCGGCTTTCGTCGATCAATCATGGGTCTCGCGCGAAAGAGCCATGGTGGTACAAGTATATGGCATGCTGAATGTGTGTGGGGTTTCCGATGAAGCAGGATCTCCCATTGAATGGTTGGATGGGAAGACCATTAATTTTCTGAATAATTATCTTTTGAACTATTCTCAATGTGATATTTGGTTTCGAAATATATCTTTCGCCACCAAATTCTAGACTCGATGCTGGAAACGAACAGAAACGCAAATCGAGCCATATCATCATACGAGGACTAAAGGAGAAATAGCATCGTCACTAGTAGTCATGCACCACGTGCTCCGAGCGATGCCCTAAGCCGCACGATGGTGTCCGCGAGTAATCTCCGCCGCGTGGAGTTTGTATGCTGACAGGGTTCGCCACCCACCAGTCTGGAACAACTGTACACGCATTGGTAACCACTAGATCGGATAGGATTTCGTGTACGATGGTTAGTTTCTGGATTTCAGTTCATGGTAAACTTGTAATGATAATGTCCTGCTGGATTCTTCTGATGCTCAGAGACGAATTGAGGCGGGAATCTTACATGGGGTTTGGGCCCTCGAGTTTCTGTAAGGATCAACATGCTCGGTATGATACTACCGATACTGTCAAATGAAACAAAACTATACAAGCTAAATGAGGTAGATCCAAGTGATAGGTAACAAAAATGCAAGAAAAAATGAAGTAGTAGAAGCATGAATAGAGGAAACTACTACATAGGCTTCGCCAAAGGGAGAAAAGCAGTATCCGCCATATTGGAAGTAAGGCTGCGGCTGCGTCATGAGACGGCCTCAAAGCGACAGCTTCACAATTTCTTAAGGATTGCGAGCGCCACAGCCTACATGATGTCACCATTGATGGCCGATAGATCTCAGTACACATTTATCACTTGCCAAGGGACATTAATGGCCCCAAGGGCTCGACGATGGCTTGGGCGCACTAGACTCTAATAAGCCAACAATGTTGCAGAAAGATTTCTGCTTGGATGGTTTGGTCGATATGGGCTTTCAGCGAACTGAAGTGCCTGGTTTGTCACTCAAGACAAGTGATAATAAGGGTATGAGAGAAAGAGAGCGCGCAGCTGGAGATATAGATACGCGTGCGCGTTTTGCTGGGACTCGAATGTGCACGAAGAGCCTTTGGGAGCAGCACGAATGGGGGTGGGTCAATGAGGAAGCGAGGTAACCTCGCCCATTGATTGACATGGTGGCCCACAAGCACAGCACTAGTAACGTACCTTTCGACTCCTGGAGACTTCATGCCTGGTCCCCGCGCTATCCTGCAGAGCCAGCTGGTAGGAATAGCAGACACCGCCCTGATGCAACACGGAAATGAAGCCCTGAAAGTGGAGAGGAGCGGTCCATCAGCTGAAGAAGTCGAGTGCCAATCTCGCTAGATACCGGCGGTGCAGCTGGTCCATGAATTCCATTGGACCAGAGCTGGCCGTCGCAACAGCAGCCTTCATTCTAATGGACGCCTATCGCCAAGCGCAGGGTTAAAGCCTCTACGACTTCGGACTCTGCCCGGTGCTGGTCTCACCCTCTTTAATAGAGTTCAGCAGTAGAAGCCACAGCGCAGACAAGACACGCCGGACGATGTTGGCTTAGGCCACGGTGTCTGGCGAGCGTAACCCTGTCTATCAGGGATCGGGGAGGAGGAATCTTGCAGGGCGATGGTCCCAAGCCGTTTGATTAAGCTGTCTCCAGCCGTTGGGACTTGAAACCGCCTACTTGGGAGTGGAAGTGAACGGGGAAGCGACGACCTCCACGCGTCCTTGCCCTTTACGGGAGACGAGCGTCATTCCGGACCCGTTAATTTTTACCGTGTTGGGATAGACTTGCACATGACCGTCCATGATTATCTTCATCTGCGCAACTGGTATCTGCCGTGCCACGCTCGGAAATCGGCCCGTAGTCATTCTGGAGGAGTATGTGATGACATGCCCGCGGGGATACTGGACTTTCCAGTCGGTGTCCTGAGAATACTCCGCCGACACAGGCTGACAGAATGAAGCTTCCCAAGCATTGAAGACAAGCTTTGGCGTCTTACAGGTCGCCACACAGGCTTAACGTGATATCCCATTCTGCAAGAGTTTCCCAATTGAGCCAATAACAATGCAGAGACCCGCCAGATGTGAGGTTTGTCCCCCGAAGACACCAGGGCTGAGATTTGAGACAAGAATCGCGTTTCCGTGCTCTGGAACGGGCTGCAATCTTCAGCCCTGATTTTGAACCCCCAAGTGTATATTTCTGGGGGAAGATTGGCAGTGTGGACTCCTCTTGGCTGTTTACGTGAACCTCACGCGATTCGCTTACTACAAGTGATGGCGGCGACGCAGCGAGCTGAGGTCGGCTGATCCCGACTAACGTGGACGGCCTCCGCTCTTGTTGCCACTCACCACCGCTTGAATAGATCGTCAAGATGCGTGGTTTCTGCTGCAGGTCCCTTTCCATGATTTTTACGCCTGAGTATATATCTACTTTACTCTTTGGTCTCCGAGCATCCGCGACAAGCAATTGCACCATGATGGTTATCGACGCGGAAACGCCAAAGGGCAAGGCGGCAAACGCCTGTGCAACCTGTCGCAGCCAGAAGCGAAGGTGCGACAAGAAACTGCCAGTATGCTCGAGATGCTCCAAGTAAGCATACATCCTGATCATCTGACAACCAAAGGTCTGACGGGAGAAGAACGGGCGCAGACTGCAACTACCACTGGCTTCACGAGGAACAACAGCACAACTATTCCAATGGGAACAACCCATTCGGTCCTACAACCACACTCGCCGATTTCCTTCTCTTCCATATCCCAGTCACTAGTCACCAGCAATGGCTTCCAGGGACATTTCAACCACTGCACCCTTGTCGACAGAACATTGCCTCTCGGGGATTGGATATCGACCACTTCTTTGTCGGTGTACTCATGACCACACTTACCGAGCAGAGCGACACGCTCGATCGAGTGGTCGATGCTTACTTTGTCACCATTCAGTCGTGGTTACCTATACTCCACGAGCGGACCTTTCGAGACCGTGTTTTGCAGTTGAGCACCAACCCGCAGGCAGAGACGGCTCTGCTCGTATTGACGCTGTTTCTCCTTATGGGCTGCCAGACCGAAGATCGTCCGCAGACCCCCCCGCCCGCAGGCTACAAGCGCTGGCTTTACCAACTCAGCAGCTATCTGTTCTCTTTCCTGAAACTTGTGCGGCCACCGTCACTGCAATTAGTACAGGCAGGACTATACCTAACAGTTTACGAGCTGGGCTCAAGCCTACTGGAAGCCGCCTCGATGAGTATTGGAACGTGCGCGAGAATCGGATATAGTCTGCGGTTAAACGTTGACAACCCACAGTTTCTGCCTGACACGATGTGCATTCAGTCAGAGGAGAAGCGCAGGACCTGGCTAGGAGTGTATATGCTGGACCGGTAAGCCACCTCGTTCTCGCTTCCGAGCTCAAGCTGACCCGCGACATCTAGCCTGATCAACCAGGTCTTGACTGAGAACTCCATGCCACACGCTGTAGACGACCCGAGCATCCAATTTCGACTGCCGCTCGAGGAGCAGGAGTGGGACCAGGATCCCGAGTGCCCGCCAAACAGCTTCTATCAGCCCTCCTTTTCCACCCCCATCGACCGGCCCCTTTCATATTTTGCCCGGGAAATCCAGGCCATTCGAACATTAGGCCATGTGCAGATGCTGCCGAAGCTGACGGATCCTTTGCTATTCCACCAGCAGGTGGATCACCTGGACACATTTCTGATCCAGTTCATGGAATGCCTGTTCAAGGAGACGCCGGGGAGCTGGCAGGTCCTCTGCGGAGCGAACGCCACAGTCCTATTGTAAGTCCCGCGCCTGCCAGGCGTCTTCCCGCGAGGAAAGACCCAGCCTGATTCAGGAATCACCATTAACCCAGTCCGTCCGTACATTCTAGAGCAGCAACAGCCCTGCACCGCGCCCGCTTAGGATTCGAAACACTCCCCGGCTCCCCCGGCTCAGCGCCGCAGGGGATAAATGAACGGTCGGTATTCGCTCTTCGTTCCATTATCAACATGGTCACGGATATCTGTCTCCGGTTCAACGCATTGGATCCCGCTCTCCGAGCTATATGTGTACCCTTACCGGCCGTCGTGTGTATAGGGGAAGCGGCGCGTGCGGCATTGTGGTTGCGTCGGATTGGGGAGGACGCGTGTGTGATGGCTATCGAGCCTCTGAGGGAGACGTTGGTGTATACGGGGAAGGCGTGGGGTTTGGCAGGTATGGACGATCGCGTTATCGGGTGGTGTAGGCGGTGCTAATGTGGAAGTAGAGTACTATGTTCGACAACTTGAGTGATTGCTGGATTGATCTTGGTTTTTGGCGCACAATAGACGGCGTTCAGGGCGTGCTCATACCTTAATCACGGGAGGCTCCAACCTTTCGATAAAGCTCAAGGATTCATCCAGTACTATCCAAGAAGCCGGGCGGCGTTTGGTCCTTTTACCCCTCAATAGACCTTAAGACCGAGGCATATCATGCATCGCCGACTTTTCCTGAGGCTCGGATTTCTCCGTCCGGTGAAAGACCACTAGGCGTCGCTTTCCGGCCACGAAGGAAAGCTGATCTTCCCATACTCTTACACTCTCATGGCATGCCCACATATTTCTACTCTACCAAGCGAGTTTTTTTCTTTCCAAGCAAACATGTCTGTGATACCCTACATTCCTCGGCCGCAAGGCCGACAAAGAACAACGTAATGCCCCATCAAGAAATGCAACAACGCCTTCTCCAGCCGATGAGAGCAACAGGTATGCGGCCGCTAGTGTTGAATGCACTCTGCGCACTCCCCAAATCACAGGATCTTTCTTCCAATTACGGTTCCATATACACGGGCATCCGCCAAGTATTTCAAGTTTGTGTGAGTAACGCACCATGATGCCTACTACCCTTACTGGACCCTACCGTACTATCCCCCATGCGATCCACCCATACAGATCATGTGTAACTGACGAATCCCTCACCCACTCATAATACTCAAGCCAGGCCTCTGCGCAACAAGCACATAAAGCGGCTGCTCAAACGCAACCCCATTCTCCAGCTCACCCCTCACAACTTCCAGCCTCTTCCGCAGGTCATCCCCGCTCCCCAATGACGGGGTCGGTCCATACTTGTCTAGGATCGAGTAGCTAAACTCCTCGTACGCGCCAACAGTCCCGTACGCGAAGATCGGGCGGATGGCTTCGATGGTTGGGGGGTTGTATTGCGCCACGTTCACCATTCCGAGGTTCTTGCATGTTGTTGGGAGGGCGTGCAGCCAGCTGGCACGTGGAAGTGCTTGGTTAGTTCCTGAATTACTATCGGGCCATTGACGGGAAAGGGGGAAAGGGGGTACGTAGTGGGAGGGAAGGACGTACTCGTAAGAGATGTTGAAATCCTTCAAGAACTGCGCTGCATCCCGCATAAGCGCCTCAGCGGCTTCGCTGCAGATATCCGGCCGCGGCGAGATTGCCCTCGATGCAGAGATGTCGGGCTCAATCCACTGCAGGTAGCCACCAGGCTCTGCACGATTCTTAGCCCCATCACATTCTATCCCCCTCTAGCCCGAGCCGCTCGATACCTTTCAAACCAACCGGTCGGAGCAATGGTGGATGTACTCACTCAACAGGGACAACAGATTACCTAGCAAAATGCTTACATCGTTATCCATGACCATCAGCGAGAAGAACCGGATCGCAACGACATCGTATCGTCCGCGCAGCTCCTGCGGCACGGGGCCGAGGATGTCGAGTTTCTCGAGACGCACGTTCGGCGGAAGCCACTCGCGCGGTGGAAATTGGGCGTCTGTTATGTCGAAGCCGTTTAGTTGGACTGAGGCGGGGAGGGCAAGGGACAGGGAGATGGGCCATATTCTATAGAGGATAGTTATGGATCAGTAATGAGATAGGGCGACGCGAGAGTATATGAGTGGGGATGAAGGAGAGATGTGAGGAGCGAGAAGCTGGAAGCAGGTACCCAGTCCCGGTTGCTATATCAGCAATCCGCGCGTCTTCGGGGACGGGAATATCGGGGTGCAGGAGGTAGCCGCAGGTGAGGGTCGCCCAGTAATGCTGGAGGTTTAGTCTGTGATATATTAGTGAGCTTTGCTTGGGTAGATCGGGCGTCAGGGGCAGCAGCACGGTACCTAGAACTGGCATGCTGGTTAGTTCCGATCAGGTAGTCCTTTGTTGACTCTGCCATGGTTCTTTGAGGCTCTACAGATATAATGTCTTCAGTTGAGATGTATAATGAGCTCATATATTAGAGCCGCGGGCGCCATATATGCTTATTGATGTTTATGCTGCCGGGAGTACGGCAGTTTATCTTAGCAGCCTTGCTGCAGTAAGATGATGGGGGCTTGGGCCACACGAACCACTAATGCCAGCGGCAGATGTTGTTTCTGGATAAGGTGATATGAATAGAGATACTCCGAGACATCCCCGGGAGACGTGATGCTCGAGATAGAAGCATTAAGCTCTACCAGCCAAATGCGCCAGAATTAGTAGAATTGTTGAATGCATGCACTATTCCATCCCCTCAGCTGCTGAACCATCAATCGCTGGAGCTCCTCATCCGGTCCTCGACCTCCCCTTTCGGAAGAACCCCCCAACAACCCCGAGGTCCCTGATAAGCTGCCCCAAGACTATTTCCCGATTATTCTGGACGCACCCCAGGATGTCAGGTATAGCCCAGCCAGTTTGATTAGCACGGTCTATCCAAGTTTGCCAACCCAAGGTTGACGACGGGCATGTGAACTAGCGGCCGATACATCAGCCATGCATTACCGTTTGCAGTATAGATCGCATGCTGGATGCGAAGTGCGAACATACCGCCCCTCGAGGTACAATGTGATGGTGTTATGGAGGCTCTAGACCGGGGATCTGGGAACAGCTTCAGGGCTATGGCTTGTCGAGGTAGAGCTACCATGTGAACGGAGAATCGTGCGTGCCCAGCTTGGTGATTCTTGCAGTGTCTCGGGGCTTCCAACGCCAAAGTAGCAGATCCTTAAGTAAAGGGTCCCATTCATCTCAGCCAATGAAGTATACGCGATGCGCCAAGTAACTGTCCACGAGAGTCGCTGGAACAGCAACATAACATAGGAGGTACCGAGGTGCTGATGTGGAACATCACCTACAGATATCTCAGAACGGCAACTTTTGGGAGTCCACGAGATGTGCAGAATATTCTCAACAGTCCAGCCTGCAACAATGATACGATCCTCTATGAACACGCACCACACACGACGTGGCCGAGCGGAGAGCGGTAACTCCGAACCATCCCCGAAACAGCAACTTTTGAGAATCAATCGGAAAAAGCCCCTGAAGTTCGCGCAACACAAAAACTTGTAAACGGCCCAAGGAGCGCCAAAACGTCATCAAAGCCACCTCGTCCAGGTAATATTCCTTTTCCGAGACCCGACAGGGCTTGATGACAGCGTCGTAGATTTAAGGCCTGCGCTAGGCTGCTTTGGGTACATTTTGCGGCGCTAGCCCTGCTGCGCTGACTGTGCACTATGACTCTGCAGAGGGATTTTAGCCAGGTTGCGAATTGCGAGGTGATCTCCCGCCTGATATAGTATTCGGGACGTTTAGTGCTATCTTGGTACACTCGAGTGGGAACTGGGGTAGATACTCCTTATTTATTATTCTCCTACTCTGTGACCTAGGGCTCATGTCACGGTATAGTTACAGGAAAGCTCTGCTGGAGATAGGACACTTTCGTAGAAAAGATATAATGCACACACTTATCGGTATGATACTGACTCCTACCCGCGAAGAACAAACAACCCAGGAACTTGAAACGGCCCTGGGCGATATCCCTAACTACACCGCTGTCCAGCTTGCCAGCCGCACATAGTGGCAGTCGGTATTTCGTTAGAGAATCCTGGGCCTGGAATGGAGACTCGTGCGTGTCCGGCCTCGCCATCTCTCTAAATCCTCGTCAACTTAACGAGAGCCAAGTCGGTCCCAGCAGCGCTGCCGAATCAGACAACATCTCGAGGCGATTAATTCCATACAATACAGCATCCTACGCTTAACTCGGCACTTGGCTCACGCCTCGCAATTCGCTAGGGCTCAAGCCTTACAAGGTCCATGCAAACGTCTTGATTTTCTCCCACAGGACCGCATCCACACGTGTCCCAGGAAGGATTCTAGGCTTATCCATTGATGATCGATCGTCCACGAAAATTAACCTCTGGGCCGCTATCCCTGGTCGGGGATAGATCCGACGCCACAAAAGGGCCCTTTCTGGTATAGTCCAGGTCCACTGCGCGCTGCGCTTCATGCCACCCGGGCGTAGGCTCCGGGGAGGCGGCGATGTATATATACACAGTTGGGCTCGAGGACTCGAGGGTGGTCGATTTATTCAGCATTCACAGGTTCTTCCTCCTTGGAAAGAGTGACTAACTGCTTCTAACTTTCTTGACCCCGGTGCTGAAAAGACGACATACCAATCTACACAATGACATCCTCCTCGCAGTCCCGAAAAACCGGAGTATATCCAATGTCATATCCCGTAAGTCTGACCAGTGGTCAAATCAAACACAGTGGGGCATCATCGCGTCTAACATTTTGCAGATGACACTATCACGATACCCAGAAAACCCGCAAAGCTTCAACCCAACGCCAGTAAGAAGCGCCAGCGGTGACGAATTCCACTCACCGAAGTCCCAACCAGGTGCCGTAATGTCGTTCGCAATAGATGAGCCTGCGTCCATGGGGCAGGCCCCGCCGAGCCCGAGTCCCCCGCGCTCTGTTGAGACGGGGGCTGTTCAGGCGATGGGTGGTAGGGGAAAGGTAAATCATTGACTGGTCCATCACCGTGCATCAATACAAGCTAACAATCTCCAGAAACGGCAAGAACAAAACCGGAACGCTCAGCGGCTCTACCGACAACGCAAAGCGCAATATGTGCAGGGCCTGCTCAGACACGTCGACGAGATCAACAAGCGCCACACGTCCCTGCAGAGCTCATACAAGGCGCTGTGCCACGAGACGGCCGGACTTCAGGGACAAGTCGAGGCTCTTAAAGAACAACTCGAGTTCTGGAGTAGGGTGGAGGTTGTACTTTTGAGCACGCCGGAGGGGGATCACCCGATTGCGGGTACAGGTGGCGATGCACGTGTCAATCCGGATGTGGGTGGTGGTGGGGAGATGGGGTTTCTGGGGGAGTCGTATCCGCTTTATCCGGATTTGAGTTATCATCAGATTGGGCCTTGAAGGCTTAATTTGCAGAGAAAGACTTGGTTGCTTTCGTTGGTGGCGCTAGGAGGTGGTTTGGTTTTGTCTAGTTTTACGTTGTCTTTGTAACGCTATAGAAGATGAATCGCATCATGTTCTAGACGCAGTCTGTTTGGCTGAGGAGCCATTGGCCTGAGACCAGTGATAAGACCAAATTGCCCAGATCTTGTATCGTGGCTGACAACTCGATTCTGAGACTCTCGTGGACATCGCAACTGGTAGTCCAACATCCCTTGATGAGCACAGTACAGTATTACAAGCAGCTTGCGATGTGCCCGCAAATGGGTCAATATCTCCAATGGTGACTTAGGCAGACCTGGCGAGTGTTGGCTCTTAGGATGGGACAAGGCTTTCCAAAGAGGAATAAGAGACAGCGTACATACAGACTAGAATCTGGTTTGCGAAGGGTTGGCCAAATTGCAGGGCATCACAGAAAGATGGGAAAATGGGCCGTGGAGCCTTTCATACGTGCCTCCTTCTGGCTGGCGCTTGACAAACCGCTAATTGCACGAGACATGCCGATCGCTAGGCTGACTGCAGAAATGCGAGTGGGCAGCGTTGGCAATTGAAACCCTTGGTCTGAAACGTTCGCAGCCCCTTGATAGCGTTCCGCCTGGGATTGTTGTAACGGCTTTCCGCCGCGTTGGGTGATTTTGGATGGTTATGTCGAAAACGCACATCTAGTGCACTACCCACACAGCAATTCCATAAACCGTGCTCCCTGGGGCTATGGTGTACTCTTAGTGCCCTGGGCTGATGATGAGCGGACTGCAGCCTTCAGGCCATGGAAAGCACGGCAGGGAACACAACGGCACTGGTCAGGCGAACGGTCTATTAGAAAAGTTATCGTACACCCGAGCTTTCATTGAGGACTTCTGCGAAATGAGTCAGTGTCGTACTTCGTTTTGTGACAGAGTGCAAGTACACTGACATCAATGACCAAGCAAATCGGTCGAGGCAAATCGGTCTTCCCGGCTCAAGAGACCCATTGGAATGTAATCAATATCAGAAACCTACCCACAGTGGCAGAAGAGGGCAACGCGTTATGGTTGATCTTCTATGTCGACTTTAGAGCCAGCTGATGATCGCAGTAGTTTTACACTTACTCGTGTTTTGGGTTTCAGGAATAGTTAGTGCACTCAGGAGACAGCCTCCTATGAATGTTGAACAAGCAACAATCAACTCGGAAATTGACATGCTTTTATATCCTCGTTTGCTCTGAGGGCGTAGCACGTAACTACCATATTCTTGGCAAAGAGAAGCAATGCCGGGGGCGAAATGCGGCCGCTAGATTTGCTGACCTTAAAGGGGAATCGCCATGTTCCAATCCTAGTCGCCATATCATGACGAGTCAAGAACCCCGGGGGAGCTTTTGTTCAGCATGACAGTAGCACTGTTCCCACATTTTGCTTTTTCCACCTTGAGATACCATGTCCTCCAGTAGAGCTGTCATCTCGCCACCGAGTCGGGAATCCCGGCGCCGTCCTTATCAGAGTACCCCTGCGTTCACTGCCTGCGTCATTCAAATTGGGACAGTCCATACTTGCGCTAAAGTCCAACACGAGTGCCAAGCTCAATTACGTAGAGGAATCCAGTATACAATGGACACTTGCAAGCTTTGACACTGGCCACGCGACGCACTAACCAGAATAGGCAAGTTTTGCTTGCGCTTAGGGCTACCGGGGGGACTATGGGCCGTAGGGGTATGGTGGGCCAGGTCAGATGCTTCGCCTGACAGGGCTTTCAATCTTGGATCAACTTACTATCTTATACCGCAATAACCACCTTATTCCGTCATTACGTGCCCTTATATTAGCTATGCCTCCTATGGCTGCAAACAAGGCAGTCTGTAGCCTTGGGCCATGATGACCCATAGAGCCCCAGTGGCAGACAAGAAAGCTACATGTGCTATACTAAATAATCACCTACAGAGAACATCGACTGATCTTGGGTCAAGGCCCTGTCCGTAAAGCCAGAGCACCTGTCTTCAGATGCTCTCCACGATCAGCCAAGAAAGCCCTGCGTCACCAGCTATTTACGATTAGTGATACGTGGAGTCTCACATCACCATTGGCGCCGGGATGATTTGAATTTTGATCAGTGATCAACCCTAGACCTCGGCATATTCAACAGTAAACAACTATTTGAGTCCAATCGCAGCGGTGGTACTTTTCAACGTTGCAGGGAATGATAATCTTGTCGAAGGGCAATCGCAATACTACCACCTCCTATAGTACAACAAGCCAGAAATGGCCCCCGCCCCACCAATCAACCGCCTGCACCCCGTGAAATGCGCGTCGACAATCTCCCGCGTAACATCCGACGAGCGCACCTCCGCAATCGACTTTATCAACCGCCAAAACTACATCTTCCAGGAATTCAACCACGACCGCATGCTCGCGACCTTCCTCCCGGATGCCACAGTCTACCACAGCGAGCGGACACTGCACGGCCACGCGGAAATCAAAACCTTCTTTGAGACGTGCTACGGCCGCGCGATTCCTCGCATCTGCCGCAGCGCGACGAACCATGTCGTTGACCGGGACGACGAGGACGAGGAGGGGACGGGGGTTGTTGTGCGGTATCAGCAGTATCTCATTCGGGTTGGATGGGAGGGGGAGAGAGAGGGAGAGGATGGGGTTGCTGCTGCGGGGAAGGATGTGGTTACGCAGGATGGGTTGCCGGCGATCTGGTGGTTTGGGTCGGTGGTTGATCGGTTGAGGATGACGGGGGAGGGGTGGAAGGTGTATGAGCGGTTTGTCGGGCCATCGTTTCGGAATCCGAGGCTGGATTTGGCGAAAGGGCCGAAGGGCTGAAGTGGATCCTTTTCAATAAATGCATGTCAGAGTGGGAACAACATTGAAAATTGACACCGGATGAGTGACCTACGTGGCTACTGCACATATAGCTCGTCAGTTTGCAGTAATGAGAATCGCGCCTGGGTTGAGGATTCAATCGTCTGTTGTACTCTGGGATATCGAGTCTCTACATCCTCCAGTTGTCATCGACAGTCGTCAGGGGTGCGTGTCGCAGTCTCTCAAACTGTGTATGGGCGAAGGCCGCACAGGCACCCTATACTCTATTGCAAATAGAATAAGGATACGGCCATGTTTTTTATATCCCCACCCCGCGCCGCAGTGCGGTGGTAATAAAGCCGATCATTGCCATACCGGGCCCCTGCATATACCGAGCCTGGAGCCAATCATATTCTACTCCATTTAGATCAAACTAGGTAGACACCCGATGCTCCTCGGCTGGCCCCTCGCAGCATTGCCTCGCAGGTTGCTGTAAGCTGCCGGCTCGTGCTCCAGGCAGAACAGGCGATCAGATTGAGAAGCTCAAGGATCATAGGTAGTAAAGGGACGCGGTCTGAACAAGGAAATACCAAAACAGAACTAAGACTCAGGCCAACTACCTCACATTGCTATTTTTATCTCTGAAACCTAACTGTTCGCGCCTAGAAGCTTGGGTACCACATATTAAACGGTACCTCTAGAGATTATGAGCGCTATCGGCGGGGAAAGATGGCGAAGTCTTCAAGAATGGACAAAATAAATAAAGGTCTGATCCATTGAATAGCTGAGCAAGCGACTGGATTATATACATGAGAATGGAAGAAGAGCTAAACCGAAGAAGGAAGTAGAGGTCCGTGGTCTATATCAGCCAAATCTGCGGACGTCAGTGTAGTACAGCAGGTGGCAGGGTGAGACGCCTTCACATGACCGAATCGTATAAGGAAATATTAACCAACCTGCAGGCAGGTTCCTAGCAGTCGTCAGAGCCAGCATAAATATAGGCGGTTGTACGACCAGAGTAATATGACTTTGAGCGCTTCGACCGTACCGCGTGTTGGGGTAAGGTGTTTGCGTAGTGAAACTCCTGATACAGTAACCTAAGGGATTTGTCCCGCTATTAACTGCTATACCAGCAAGAAGACCATATTAATCACTTTCATGCAGCCCTAAACTACCCGAGACGTCAACAAAGAATCTGCCCTACCAGTGATACCGTAGGCAATATCAGCCTGGAACTCTGCTCAGGGCATGGGATATGTTGTTATAGCCTGATTATCACTCGCATTATTGGCCTGCCCTTGCACGGTGTGGCTATAAGCCTACTATAGTGTCCGAGCAAAGTGTGGTAAGGCATTGGCTCCCTTTGTACGTTCATAAAAGTATGGAAGCCCACCTATTGCATACATCTTCAATGCGTGTCCTTAACTTGCAGCTTTCTATCGCTCTGGGTAACCAACGAGCATATAAGTAACGATCGCCCCGATGCCACGCACACACTAGGTGTCGTGTCGTGGAGCGTCAAACCCCATAGCCATATCTACTACCACGATATATTCACATACGTATCTCTGTTAGTCTTGTCATTTCTCGAGCAAAAGAGAACAGTCGAATTCCACGGCCGCAGCGCAGACCCCGATGACCGGGTCAGCGAGGATCTGCAGTGCACCGGCGACGATCCAATCCGTTGCCTTGTCTAGCCGCCCGGAAGCAAAGCTCAAACAACAATGGGCATGGAGATCCGAGGGAACTCAAAATCTTGAGCCTCGCTCATGGTGATTGGGCGAGAGACCTGTCCGGACGGCGCTGGAAGATCCGTCACTCGTGGTTCCTCTTGCCTTTTGTGCAGATTGCTTTTCCTCGTCCGACCTCTCTTGTTAGAGCCTGTGGTCTGCATAAAGTCCGGTTTGGACAGAGAAGTTGATACGCCCTCCTACCTGTCCCCATTAGACCCCCCAAGATTTGTGTAGGCCAAAGGCTGTAATGTTTCTCTCTTGTTGCTTTTTCTATCCTTGGCGGCTCGAGGCAGATTCTGCTTTATAATCCGGGTTCGCCCTCGCATAGATCCAGCCGTCCCAACATAGCAGAGTTGTTAATTCTCCCGCTTCTTTCGATTATCTTCATCGACCACAATCTCAACATCCAAGACGTCTCAACGGCCTAGGGCTCAATATATCCCTCCCAGCGTTAGGGGATGAGCAATGGACCGCCCACGTCTCCATAGGAAGAGCATTTGATATTTCGGAGATCTTTTCGTCGCAGCAACATCCTGCTGGCTTCCCTGCCTCAGAGGGCACTAGTTGCTACCCCGTTGACTAATGATAATTACCCCTTTGGACATTCAACCATCTTCCTGATGTGGGATACCAAACTGATCGCTTGAGCACTTCCTGCCTGAAACCACATCGACCTCCGTCTTTCACCCTTCAACCGAGCCAAGATGCCGTCTGAGCCGCCTTCCACAGAGCCCCTAATCTACGAAAATCGCCTGCAAGCAACGTCGACCGAGTCCTTGCATACGCAGTTCACACCCCAACAGACCGATCCGCCCGAAGAGACACTCGCCAAAGCCTCGGAAGGATCGCGCATCCTTGACACATGGTTCTACGAGATCCTGGCGACGATCTTCAGCATCGGCTGCTTTGTCGCAATCGTCGCAATTCTGATGGTGTACGATGGGAAACCCACACCGACGTTCACATACAGCCTCACACTCAACACGTTGATCTCAATACTTGCCACAGAATCCAAGGCATCGCTTTTGTTCATGATCGGAGAATGCACGGGTCAACTAAAATGGCTCTGGTTCTATAACGGAGAGGAGAAAAGACGACTTGATGGAATGCAACTCTTTGACAGCGCGAGCCGAGGACCCCTCGGAGCGCTATGGGTCCTTTTTCGGCACAAAGGGCGGTCGCTCGTCAGCCTGGGGGCACTGGTCATGGTCCTTTCGACACCGTACAACGCCTTTGTGCAGCAAGTCTTAACATACCCGATCCGGAACACGGTTGTCGCGACGAATTCGAGCCAGGCGCCTGCCCGTCGTGCAGTCTCGCTGCTCCTCTCGCTCCTCTGAGACGACGAAGAGGACATTGTGCAGATCGGGCAGTGGTCCGACACCTTCGTCGTCGATCCAACCTGCCAGTCGGGGAACTGCACCTGGCCGCTGTTCCAATCGGTCGAGATGTGCAGCCAGTGCGAGGACGTCACCAACTCCAGTGCTGTCGACTGTGTCCCTTTCCCCGTCAACACGACGATTCCCGATGATGGTGATTATCCAACCCGGGTCTGTTCCATCGTCAGCCCGCACGGCTACGGATCCACCCAGATTACACTGTACGATAACACCAACGGCAGCTTCCGCATCGACATGCCACTGGAACAGGTCTGGGCCCTATCTCAGTGGACCTGGAAGGACGAGCTCCCCTACCCAGCCAGCGCAATTGGGTACGCCCAAGTCGGCGTAGCGGGTAAAGAGCAGTACCTCGGCGGGTACCCGCTTGACCTGGATATTGGGATGGGGGGAGCCTCGAGGTGACGAGGGCGACAGAGTGTACGCTGCGGCTGTGCGCGCGGACGTACAATGTCACCGTCTCCAACGGAGCGGTGTCGATCGCAAAGGGCGAACCCAACTACGGCGCCCAGTTCTGGGTCGACAAGCGCAATGGCACCGCCATCCCGGGGAAGCATGCAGATTGGGACTTCAGCTCCGCGTTCCTCCGGGCGAACTATTCGACGTGCTGGCGCCCAACTGACGGGCCCGCCGTGCAGCTTACCCAGAATGCAGACAAGACAACGTGGGTGAACGAGGCCGAGATGGCCTTCTGCCCCGTCAGTGAGTTTGTCGTCGGACAATACCTCGAGGGGAAGCGGAGGGCGGCATACACGTCGGGCCATGGTGATATCGACCCCCAGTCTAATCCCGACCCGTCGATCAAGCGCATTCGCACGATCGGGCTCGAGGAGTCGGTCAGCCGCATCGCTGCGAGTTTCACAAGGCAGGCGCTTCTTGCGACCAATACAACAGTCCAGGGGACGGTGCACATCCCCGAGGTATATGTTTCTGTCGAGTGGCTGTGGATTCTGCATCCTGCGGCGCTGACTGCGCTTGCGGTTGTGTTTTTGGCGTCGACCATATTTGTGAATCACCGGCGGCACCTGAAGCTGTGGAAGACGTCGATTCTGGCTGTGCTGTATCACGGACTGACCAGGTTTGGGAGCGAGGATGAGGATGCCGACAATGATAGAAATGGCACGGTTAGTCGGATGGAGAAGACGGCGCAGGGGGTCAGAGTTCGCTTGACGACTGTTGATGAGAAGAGAGGGCTGATGCTTGATTGATTGGGATACCCTAATATTGTATATACTCGCCGTATCTTCATACTCAGTTTTGAAAAACACATGAATTGATGTCTTGTAGAATAAAGCGTCGAAGATCTCTATAATGACAGGCTACTGTCCATGCTTGCTTATTTGAGCACTATAAAGTATCTCGGACATTGCCCCAGACCAAAAATACTGTTTTGACCACATTGTGGAAACCAAGGCTGAGTCTGGCTTAAACTCATTCCCATATATTGGAACAGTATCCGGCCGGTTGAATCCCTCATTATTCAGTTGCTGTACAATTCTGATATCCCTAGCGGAATCAGGGCCTGCAAGACACACCGAGCCAACAGGGAGACGGCAGTGTGCATAACTCCAGCATTGTATCCTCAGTCGCGAAGCACAGGCCTCGATCCTTGATCACCGAGCACTCTCTTGTCTCCCGCCATACCCCCTCTAGCACCGACTACCAGTGACGGCACTCGAGACGTCACATCGTGGCTAGTCTCGGAAACAACAGTCCCGATACCCGTTAACTCGCGACATTTGTAAAGACAAAGAGCAACACGAACCATTACTTCAGGTCTTGAAAATCCCTTTCTCAAGAGCCAGCTTCACAACATCGTCCACCCAGTGATTGCACCGATAAAGCGGCTTAGAAGGGTCCTTTCGCCGACCATTCAGAAAGACCTGGGATGCAGGAGGAGCGGTCGCCTCGCAGCACTCGCGTTCAAATCTCTCCAAATCTCCAGTTGCAATTGCCGCCACCTTCTCCTTTGAGTCTGGCACATACGTGGCGTCCCGAATAGGGTCCTCGCAGTCTTGCTTCCGGTACTCCATGCCCATCAGAATCGTTCCGGTAACGTCATATTTCTGCCCCTTCCTCCTTTCCACCTCTTCATTGGGCAGTGTTTCGATGTAGAGAGCAACATGGTTAGGCTCGCCGACGAACTGGACGGTATAAACCCCATAGAATGCAGGCTCGGTATTCGCTGCACGATCCGGAGAGCGATTCCCAGCCCTAGTCCCGACGCGCCGCAACCAAACATCAAGATCGAACTGGCCTTGATCGAGATCCTCTCTGTCCCCAACAAACTGGAACGTCGACCCTATTTCTTCGAGTGGCTCCTTTCCATCCGTATAGATAATTTGGCACGGCCCGGCACGGTAATTCCCCGTTTCGTACTCGGCAAGTCTCCGCGCGTGTGCCGGTGTCTCGACACGATAGACGTACCCATCAACAACATTGTGCGGATCGCCTGCGTCCACGAGAGCAGGGTACGGACCCCATAATTTACATTCGAAGCCGGTGATTTTGGCCGGTCGAAGGTGCGGCTGGCTGTCTAGGTTGGGGATTTGGCGAAGAAGTGGGGGATGGGAGAGGGTGCCGTAGAAGAAGTACGGCCCTGTGGGCGGCGGTGAGAGGTTCTGGTGAGAGGTTAAAGTCATTCTGTGCAAGAATTGGGATGGTGGTGTGGTTCTGAGATTCAGAACAGCGGGTGAGCTTTTGGAAGTAGGGTCTTCAGGTGGTGGTGGGGGAGGGGGCGGGGCGGGAATGTCAAAGGTGGCAACTGTTATGTCTTGTTGCGTCTTTGGCATTACCTTGACGGCGAGAAAAAGCAAAGGTAGGTTTTGTCAAAGATGGGATGTGTGGGAAAGATAACCGCTGAAGCTGGTGCTTTGTATAGACGGTTCGGTTTCGTTTCCCTGGGCAACCATGCAAGTGCCGGGCTGTGGTTGTAAAGCTCTCTGCAAATTTACAGTTCTATTGCTGAAGATACAGTATTTACAATCTTCTATGGCTTCTTAATATCGCTTCTCATACCAATAGTAAATCATAATCCAACCCCCTGCCATCTCAGCCGTGCGGCAAGCAGAGCCGCATAATGACCTGGTTCCCACGGCAGTCCATGTTTCTACCGCCTCGAGGCCGCCATACTGATGAGGACGTAGTGAATAGATGAAACAGGCATATCAATGAGTCTATGTTGCGTGCCCCAGGTATTACGCCAAGTATGAAAAGCAGGGCGGCGTGCGTATTGGCTTTGGAATGCCGAGCTTCCATCCCATCAACCAGGCAACAACATCCATTCACCACACGCTCGTCTCGAATCCATTCGCACCCATACAGCCTATCTGATAGTCAATACATCCCAGATAAGCTTTAACAACCCAACCAAGTGAAAAATACCCATAATGTACCTCCCAGACCAGGCTGCACCTATGATCGTATGCGCGAGTCCATGCTGCTATCCCTGTATCCATACTATTCGATTCGACATACACCAGAATTCGCACCAAGGTTGGGTCCCTAGACAAGCCACCCAAGCCGCGGTGGAGCATCAGGTTAGGGTTACGCCGCGCCCTCGACCCCTCACGCCGTCCCGAGGAAGCTCAAGCGGCCGTGGCCGCAGCAACCAAACAACGCATTCTGAGATACGAGAGACGGTACATGCGAAGGTCCTCGTCGACCCCGGGCCGCTACGCGTTAGAAGACAGGACGGCTAAACGCATGATCTTATCAGATCCGGATCCGTTCTTCCGCCAAGCCACATCAATGATCTCGGCTGGCCTGACTTACAAAGGGAGGCGCAATTGCAAGCGAGCGTGTGATATCAACTGGCGTGGCAAATGCCCCATGAACCACCAGGCTACAGCAGTGATTGGTAGCCTGGACGGCGCTATTAGATGCGTACAAATCCCCACGGGGTTGTCAAAGCCTGGAAATAAATCTCACCTCCCTGTCTACCATTTAGATATGCATCAAATGTATTAGTCCTGACCTCTCACCAGTCACACTATTGCAGACGAGAGTGCTCCGACCCCGAAAACACCACCCTTCCAACTAGTTCCACTTCGCCACGCCAGGGTCCCGACCCTCTGGTACGGGAACAACCCGTTGCCGCATCGACATCTCCGCCATGACAGCCGAAGAACGTCTCGAATTCGCAAACACCCTCCCCGTCACCCGGAAAACGATGTCAACTCAAACTGCATGTCCGGCCTCAGGGGGCGTCTGGGTGCTCGACCAGACAGAAGAACAGGTAGAGGAACTCAAAAAGTATAAGATAGAAGGCATGGAGGACAATTGTCGTGCCCTATAGGCGGTGGGAGCGACGTTTTATAGTGATCCTAGTCAGCATGAGGAAATTGAGGATTGTAATGGAGCATATACGGGTGTATGAACCGCAGCTGAGGATGGGGTGCTGAGCGGGAGCGGAAGAAGGGATCTGCTAAACAGGGAAATCTATCTCTGGCATCGTGCCCTATTTCGTGGTGGTTCGGGGATCTAGAGGGCGCCAAAGAGTGGCTTTGCGATTGTATATACCATGGATGACATGTTTACGGTCATATCACCATGTTACATTCTACTTTCGATAGCTTCCAGCTTCTTGGCTTTGGAGTACAATCGGCGGGGACTGCATATCCCTGCCGCTTGCGGGCTAGTCAATACGACCCCGATAACTTATCCCTTTGGCCAGTCAGGGCTATCAAGACCCTGCCACGTGACCAAACAATGCCCCCTCTTTACTTCTCCGCATGCGACTGCTACCGTTGCACCTTGTCAATCCCATACATAAAACAATGCCAAAGTCGCGATAACATGGCGAAATACAGATTCAGCGCCATGTTGGGCATTTGTATCATCGCCGCCAGCCTACTGTCCGCGGGGGCTCTCGCCTCCTCCCCCTTGCAGCTACTTCCACCCGCCCCTGGCTTCGATACGCAAGAGGGCACATGGGATGTAAAGGCAAGCAGCAGGAAGATCTATATCGAGGAGACTCTCGCCACAACCAAGGATACAGACGGTCTGACTCTCATCCCACCTAGCGGCCACGACTTTGCCGAGGTCTTGCTCGAGGACCTCGACGCGGTCACCGGGTATGAATGGTCCCTCGAGACAGTCTCCTCATTACCAGACCCTACCACTGCGGACGGCGCAATCCTGCTGGGCGCCTTTACAGGCAACAGCTCATCAATGACCTACGAAAATGGCGAGGAAACAACGGAGGGATATGAACTAACAATATCCCCCTCATCCATCTCAATCAACGGATCTGGCGCCAGGGGTATGTTTTGGGGAACGCGTACTCTCCTCCAGATGCTCCTAGTCGGAAACAACACACTCCCACCAAGCCAAACCCTCGACGCCCCCGCATACGCCACACGCGGCTACATGTTCGACGCCGGCCGCAAGTGGTACACAAAAGACTTCCTGAAAGAAATGTGCAGCTACGCGTCGTTCTTCAAAATGAACGAATTCCACTACCACCTCAGCGACAATTACCCGCTGAACCGCGGACGGAATGAATCCTGGCAGGATGTCTACTCACATTTTAGTCTTCTCCCGCAAGACGAAGAGCTCAGAGGGATTATCCACGGGCGCGAGAATGAGACACTCTCGCGCGAGGAGTACGCGGATATGCAGCTGCACTGCGTGAGTAGGGGGATTGCCGTTATTCCGGAGATCGAGGCGCCGGGCCATTGTCTGTATGTGACCAAGTGGAAGCCCGAGCTTTCGCTGCCGAAGCGCGATTTGCTGAACCTTTCGCACCCTGAGACGATTCCGACTATTCAGCGTATCTGGGCTGAGTTCCTCCCGTGGTTCGATGTGAAGGAGGTGCACGTCGGCGCGGACGAGTACGACGCGACGCTCGCAGATGACTATATCAATTTCGTGAATACAATGGCCGACTTTGTAAACGAGACCTCCGGGAAGAGTATCCGGATCTGGGGGACGCCCATGGACGAGCCGAGCACAGATATCCAGATAAACCCAGAGATCACAATCCAGCACTGGCAATTCGGCCAATCGGACCCGCTCGACCTCGTCGCGCAGGGTCACGCCGTCATCAACTCGAACGACTGGTGGGCGTACATGGGGATCAAGAACGACCACACGCCGATCTACCCAGCGACATACCCGCAGTTCTTCAACGAGAGTCGGATTCTGGATTTCGGCGAGGTGCCCGGGTGGCAGTGGACGCCGAAGGACTTTAACCATGTCAATGCGAGTTTGCAGCTCCGACCGGAGGAGCCGTTGCTCAAGGGGGCTGTTATGGCGGCGTGGAATGATAATGGGCCGGATGCGTCGACGAAGCTCGAGATGTATTATGCCATGCGGAGGGGGATTGCGCTTGTGGGGGCGCGCGCGTGGAGTGGGAGTCGGGGGCCCGAGGTTAACCCCGAGACTCTTGCGACGAGCATCGACTTCTTCTCGCCTCTAGCGCCGGCGCAGAACCTCGACCGGGTCATTGTGCCCGATGCCGGGAATGGGGATCGCGACGTTCTCTTCTCCTGGAGGCGCCCCGCGTGTTCACCCGCCAACAACCACACCACTCTCGGCAGGGGGAGCAAGGGGATGAACTACACTCTGACCCTAAAGGCCACAGGCCCTTTTACCCTCTCAAGCGCCGACAATACCCTCTCCCTCACCGAAACGGGGGAGCTGATCTTCAACGAGGACGGATACATGTACCCGCTCCGCTCCGTCACGGCGGAAGACGCCCTTGAACTAGATCCTGGCCACCCGGGCCGTATCTGGGTGAATACAACGTCGACCCATGAGCCTGTTCACGTTGACGCTGAGAGTCAGAGACCTGTGGATATCAGAATTGCAACGGACGTCGAGCATGGGGCAGTGGTGTGGATTGACGGAGAGCTGGTGGGAAGGTTCGAAGTTTTCGTGTATGGGGGCCGGAATCTAGAGTTTAGCTGGAGCCAGATGGCATTTGTTGCGCCGTTGGAAGAGGCTTTTGGAACCGGGTTAGTAGAGGTGAAGGTTGAGGGAGTGGCGAGGTTTTCAGAGTGATATTGGAGCAGCTGGATGACCATCCATGGCATGAAGATAGGTCAACTAGGTCACCAAGTATATATACATCCTGGCAGGCATTGATGGAATTCTAGGTGTACCCCCCACTGCGTTCAAACGTTATACCTTGATAATAAAATAAGAGGACCCGGAACAAGCCTCTCCCCGTCCAGTCACAATCTCAAGTCACATTTCTCTAGATACAAAGCGCGCTGCAAGAGTAGATGCACCAACCAAATACCTCGACCATGAATACCCGCCATGACATGACCTTCCAGTACAAACACTGAGATGATAAATGAAGCGCCTCAACAGCCACCTCACCTCGTTCCACAAAGATCCACAGCCACCAACCAACCCCTCCTGCTCCGCCCTTCCATCTCAGCGGCCTCACGACATCAATTATTCAACACATCACAAATCGCACCCCCAGAAGGCGGACCCGGATTCACGGGCGCAGGCCCCGGCCCCGGCGCGGGAGCCGGCCGCACATGCGGCGTGGGCGTGCCCCGATGATTACACACATACGCACTGGAACACCACTTCCCATCATCCAGCTTGTACACGTTATCCACATGATAAGAATAACACTTGAGCGGCAGATGCATCTCGTACATATGCCAGGCGTCGCCCGCGGCAACGGGGTCCCTGATGGCCGGGTTGATGTGAACGGTAAAGACGTCACCGTTGGGCATGCGCGCCGACACGCCCCCCTTTTGGCCCCACGGGTACGATCCGCTCCAGGGGACGTTGACCATCATTGTCGGTCTGTTGGTGGCGGCCCCGTTGCCGGTCCAGACGTCGCCGGGGTAGTAGATCATTTCGCGCGAGGTGGAGCCGCCGTTGACGCCGAGGCCGATGCCGCAGTCGGCGAGGACGAGGTTTTCATTTGGGGTTTTTTGCGTGCTGGCCGCGTGGAGGAGGGAGAGGATGGTTGTGAGGAAGAGGAGGATGGTGTTGCTTTGTTTGGGGGTCGCCATTTTTGGTTTGCTTGAGTAGCGGGCAGGCAGGTAGTGGTGATGGACGAGCAGAGTGATCGATTGCAATTGGAATGGGCGAGGCTTCGTCTTTAACACACATCGGCCATCAACGTTGGAGCTGCGACAAATTATAAACCTGTGTGATATGAATTGGAGTGGCCTTTGGGAAGTCCGTCGACCCAGCTGAGGTGCGGATACGTACTGTAACCCTGCCTCGTACTATCATGAAGGAGCAGAAAAGCCCTGCATGCGCCCCGAGTGCATTTTCAGCCCTCGGGGTTCTCCGGGCTTCAATCCAGCCCTATCGCTATCAGCTGTTTTTTCTCTCGTCTTCACCGCATCGTATACTGCAATGCTTGTCTGCCGCAAGACCATGCCATGACTGCTTGGCCAGCAGTGGCCCCAATTGCGAATTGCGAAGTGCGCAAGCGGAACCGCCGATGCGAGGATGACGTGGGGGCCCGAGAAGCATCTAGGGCTGAAAAATCTTTCCGGGGAAGTTGGAGCTGAAACAGAGAGCCAGTTCTAGACCATTAATGGAAGGACCCTGGACCGGCAAGGGAAAGCCAATCTCGGATGACCTTTGCTGATCTACGCGCATTCGTGCATAAAGGGCAAAATAGCCGACGGCGTGTCAGGGTTTCAGTCGCTAGGGCTGAGGATCCCGGCGAAGTAAACGGCGACCTTAGTGGGGCTCCCTAGATCTAGAAGGGGAATGGGGCCCTTGAATATGCATAATGACGTCCTGTCATAGATGCATCACGCTCAGGGATGTTACAGTATCACTCTGTTTATTAGCCAAGTGTTTGTGGCGTCGCACAATACGACTGCGGTCGGATCCTCACGCATCGAGGACGCGGGCTGCGATTCAGGTGAGGCTATGCCTCTTTTTCAAGCGGGTTGGAAAATTAATCGCATTCAGCTGGCTGCGACAAGCATAGCGTCTTTGAGAAAACGACAGCACTTGGAATCATGTATATATCAAGCGGTTGGGAAGCGCTTCAGAAAAGAAACCCAGACTCTTACTACCTCGGAGACCAACCCCAACTCCAACCTCAGCGCCCGCAATGCTGTCCCTCAAGCTCCCACATCTAGCCCTCTTTCATCTGGTGCTAGGAACCTGCCTGGCAGAGCTCCTCACCCCGTTCCCCGACACCGCCAGCGACCTCGCCATAAAATTCCAACCGGTCCTCGACTTCGACACGGACAGCTGCTACCAGACCGCGGCCATCGGCAAAGACTACAAGCTCAACTCCGGCCTCAGCCCAAACCTCGCTCCACCGCGCCCCCCAGGTGGGCCAGGGATTCCTCGAGCCGCCGACGATGAGCAAGTCGTCTTCGCTGCCAATGCGACCGACAGTGAGAGCGAGATCGGGGTCCGCTCCTCGCACGGCCCCTACACACCCTTTGGATGCCGCGACAAGGAACGCCTAGACCACAGCCAGACGTACGTGCGCGAGCGCTGCAACCACGGGTGGTGCGCGTACCTGTACGGGTACTACTTTGAAGTCGACTCTGGGTTCTCAAACGCCCACCAGCACGACTGGGAGCACGTCATTGTGTGGACGCTCAACGACCAGGTGTTCTTCGTCAGCTGGTCCGCGCACGGCGACTACACGACGCACTACTCGTCGACGATCCGGTTCGAGGGCTCGCACCCGAAGATCGTGTACCACCTCGGGTCGTCGGGGACGCACTCGCTGCGCAAGGCCGAGGCCAAGGATGATGAGATTGAGAACGATACGGGGCGGTGGTTCCGGGCGCCGCTGGTGTCGCTCGAGAAGATGCCCTGCGAGTTTAACCGCAAGCTGCTGAATAACAATTGGGGCAGTGCGCATAGTGATTTGAATAGGCTAGGGGAGAAGTTGGATAAGTGGATGCCGTGGGATGCGAGAAATAATGAAAAGTTTAACCCGTGGGAGCCCAAGGTGCCGTCGTGGGCCGTGAGGGGGTGAGCTGGGAGGAGACTTTGGCTAGGAAGGGAGGAATTGGCGAGGTGAATGGAGCTGGGTATGCGTTTTGCTATTAGTTTACATGCTTTTGGTAGAATTTCTGGGAGATGGTGAGTGGTTAGTGGGCGTACGACAGCAGAGATTGCATCAGTAATTATCGTCTAGAGCGCTCAATGAAGCATTATCTACTACTGCATCGGTACAGAGTACAACAAAGTACCAATCTAGGTTGTCGAATTGCTGTTGGCAATAATGGTCATCATCTCAATCGTAAGCAGTCAATTCTCAATAACAAGAATTGCGGGGGCATGTGTCCTCATATCAAACTGGAGCTTGTTTGCTCTTGACGGTCTTTGAAATGCTTCACTGACAGATAAGCTAATGGGGCCAAATCTAGCGGATGATGCATGCGCCCAGTATGAAGCACAAGTGTATTTATTGGCAATTGCCACGTATTCCTACAATAGTCCTGCTTATAATACTAAATACTAGCTGGATTAGCTTGCAGAAACCCGCAAGGCATCCAGACGCATTTGGGACAATAGTACAGGGTTCAAATAAGCTACGGGCCGGTCCAGACCTTTTCTCGTATTTGGCACAATGCACGACTGCGTGGCCACAAGCCCTCGGCACTTCCTCGGAGACCATTACGGCCGGAATGACGGGTTGAGTGACTATATGAACTTGGTGTAGCTTATCGAATGTTTTAGCCCTAAGGCGATGGTATACTTTTAAATATCTCATTCTACTTATTTTTCAGTAGCCATGCCCTTCTATAGAAGCTCATCGCATCGTAAAAGGCTAAAGATTTAGGCAGGAGACAGTACCGTCTAATATCCACCAGTCTCACCCTCCTCCTTCATCGGCCTAAACGTAACCCGCATCGGCTCCTGCCCAATCCCCCTCTTCCTCGCCTCCTCCAAGATGGCCACAGTCGCCGTAGCCCCAATACGCGTAACCCCAAGACTCATAACATGCAGCAGATCGTCCAGGGTCCGAATACCCCCAGCCGCTTTGATCTGAACATCCAGTCCCGATTTCGCACGCATCAGCTTCAGATCCCGGACCGTCGCGCCCTTGTAGTTGTACGACCCGTCACTCTGCTTGACAAATCCATACCCAGTCGAGGTCTTGACAAACGCAACCTGAATCTCCGTGCAAATTTCGCACAAGCGTGCAATGTGTTCGGAAGCAAGATAATCGTTCTCGAAAATCACCTTCAGCGCCACACCGTGAGCCTGGACGGCGTCATTCACCTGCCGGATTTCCTCAGCCACATACCCCCAGTCCCCACCAAGGACTTTGCCGATATTCACAACCATGTCGATCTCAGCACCGGCGCCAATCTCCACCGCTGCAGCGCTCGCTTCGGCGACTTTGATCGCCGTCGTGCTGTTCCCGTGCGGGAAGCCGATGACGGGGCAGACGAGGACGTCGGTGCCGGCGAGTTCTTGCTTCGCGAGTGGAATGCTGTAAGGTTTTATGCATGCGGTCGCGACGTGGTTCTCCCGTGCGATTTTCAGACCCGCGAGGATGTCTGCGTCGGTCATTGTGGGGTGGAGGAGGGAGTGGTCGATCATCTTCGCCAGTTGCGGGAGGGAGACTGTAATGGTGGACTCGGTCATTCTTGCGTTGGTTTTGGTTGATGGCGAGGGTTTTATCGAGGCGAATATAAGATTGGGGATTGATGCTGCTGTGTTGGATTAAACGGTTTATATATACGTGGACTGCGCCCACCTCTGCCTAGCTGGGTAACTACCCCCGCCGGAGCGAGCGTCGAGCATGACCATTTTTCGGACCACGAAGCTTGGACCGCTTCGTTCCAGGGGCAAACATGCCGTTAGTTACGAGGGTTGGTTCCTTAATGGGACCTTGTTCTTGGTAGCGCTCCGGTGGAAAACGAGCGGCTGCGATTCGCCCGTACGGAAACTTCGGGTCACCGGATGCACCTTCTCAAAAAAGCAAAATGTACCGGTGGACATTTCTTCCCCCACGAACAACACTTCATTCAACCGCCTCATTGCCAAAAGAACCACCGGATGTACAACTCCGCCGTGATGACACCCCGGACACCCAAGAGAGTCTTCCGAGCATGCCAGCGTTGCCGGCAACAGAAGCTAAAGGTCCGTTTGTGAGGTGGCGATAGATGGACGTCACTGTGTTACAACCCCCATCCCTTGTACGCGAAAGGCGGCTGATCTTTCAAGTGCGACACTCAACGGCCGTGTACCCTTTGCGCAAGAACAGGGGTCGAGTGCGTCCCGGTTATGAGAGAGCGTTGGAAAGCATACGCGCCATCGCCGCGCCCGAATTTCTCTGCACCGAATGAACATGATGGAAGGAGGAAGAGGCGACTCCCAGGGCCGTCTGAGCAAGCTCGAGGACGTCGCGCCGCTAGTCCTCGCGGGCATGAGTCTACAGCTGGCGCTGATGAGGGCAATGATGTATCTCATCCTACCGTGTCCATCAGTGAAGAGCAATTAGGTGGCTCGAGCTCGACCATGTCCCTGGTTGACGGAGTAAGAGCTACGCTTGCGACCCTACAATACTGGTTCGTGGCAGTATCAGCTGAATGAATTATAGGCGTTCCGACTGTACAACGCGCCAACCCCCGAAGTCCCGTTAGCCACTGCGATTCCCGGTGGTGGCAGGACGTCCGCCAGAGTTACCAAGACGACCGGGGATCGCAGTGACAGACCAGTACCTCGAAACCGGAGGTTGCTGGCAGCACAACCGGCTGTGAAGGAGCTGATGTCCCTGCTCCCCAGCTATAATGTCGCAAAACTACTTGTTAATACCTACTTTGACTGCGTGCACTGGTTCGTTTTGCTCTTTCACCAGGATGATTTTCGTCGGAGGTGGCAGGTCCTTTACGACACACCCTCGGATCGGCGTTGTCGACACGAAGCGAAGAATGATTTCTATGATATTGGGTTCATTGGCTCATTTCTAATGGTCATCGCTATCGGTATCGAGTACTCAGGTGCTCACCGCAGGGAATTATTAGCTGCAGCGCAGGTTGATTGTGAGGCTCTGAAGTCGAAGATCCTCTCCGCGATCCGGTCGCACTTGCTCGACATCGTCGCGTGGGGCAGTCTTGAATCTGCCCAGACATGTGTCCTCCTAGGAACATATTACCTCTTCCACGGAGATCCAGGGGTCGCATGGCCCGTGTGTGGCTGTGCTCTACGAACCGCGCTCGCCCTGGGCCTGCATCGAAAGCAGCAACCGCCAGAAAATAGTACAGAGCAGGCTCTTTGCGAGTGGCGGAATCAGAATGAAGCCCGGAAGCGATGCTGGTGGGCAATATACGAGATCGAGACGTTTTGCTCCATGTCTTATGGATACCCTCATTCGATTACAAGCACAGACTGGGACGTTGAGCCACTCGACCCGTCTGCAAAGTGTCCATCTCCTTCTTGCATGCCCTCACCCGCCTCATTCGGGCAGCCACTGCTGTGTGAGACTACCCTGTTGACGTACAAGTACTTGATGTCGAAGCTCTCTGTGATAATCCAACAGGTGCTCGCCCAGCTTTACCGTATCGGGTCCACTGAGGCATCGGAATCCTTTCCATCTCCCAACATGTTGTTAGCGCGGGTTGGCGGCCTCAAACAAAAGCTGAGTGACTGGAAAAATGAGATCCCCGCCGCATTGAATGTATCGTCCCCCGGTAGCAGCTATGCCTCCCCGGAAGATTTAGACCGCGACGTGGGAGCATCTGGGCCACGCTTCGAGAGCCACATCTATCAACTCCAAGCCCTGACCCTGCATCTCGCTTATGAGAATGCTCGCATCCTCATCCATAGGCCTTTATTGTCCATGCGGTTCAAATCCCACACCAACCTAGTCAACAATGCTCCCCCCAGCACTGGCACCGAAGGTCCACTCCTCGATTCGCTACAGATCTGTCGCGACGCAGCACTCACGACATCCCGACTCATCTTGGCACCTGTCATGGCGCTTGCCGCAGAGACATACGCCGCAGCCTTTATCGGCATCCACACGTTTACGGCAGCACTAACCCTGTGCATCCTGTTCAGCACCGATCCGCTCAGCCCGCAGTCCCACGAGGTCAAACTCGGTCTGCAGCGGCTGATGGCAGTGCAGCAGAAGCTACGGGTGCACTCGCCACTCTCGGCGCAAGGGCTGGAGATCCTGAAACAGCTTGTCAGACACGCCATGGAGAAAGAGTGGGGTGCGTTGCTTGATGCGTCGCAGGTGATCTCTCAGGGCTCCGTCGCGACTCTGATGCAGTCTACAACTGCACATGCCACGGAGCCACCGCCGGGACCTGCCAACGACTTTTCCCACGACATGCCCGCATTAACTTCTGGCGAGACATTTCCTGCACTAGTGCATGGTACCGCAATTGTTGAGCGAGACATTCCGAGCCACGGACAAGAGTACATTCCAGACCCCACTCTGCTGCAGGCTATTGCGGATGTTGATCGAGGTAAGTGCGATTCTGTGCAGTGTTCCTTGTTATTCTGGAGATCGGATCCTGATCTGGACACTAGCTATCAATTCCAGTTACTCTGCCGAGCTACCCGAGCAGGACAGTCCGAATGGTCTTGGCTGGTCGTTGTCCGATCAGCAGTTGTTCCCGGAGCAGGCTTGGATATGGAGTCTCGATGCCGTTGATTACTCGCAGTGTCTTTGAATGGTCATAAGATGCGGCCTGGGCGGACGTCTGATTTACTGTGCAACAACAGGTCGGAACAGTGTGATACACGAGCGGTCAGTATATATGGGAGATGTTTCGACTACTCTAGATTATCTTCCGTTTCAAGAGTGTTCATTGTCTTGGCAAGTCAGCAGGATGGTAGTCGCCCTCCGCGCTCAATGTCCATCCCCAACTCTGAAGTAGCACCGAGTTTCGATCCGAGTCATCGCATTCATACCCACCATTTACCCCAAGCACTCCGACAAACAATCACGTCCACGCGACCGTAACCCGCTTTTCATTCGACTCCCTCGCAAGCTCAATAATCCTCAACACATCCCTCACCCCCTCGGGCTTGACCGCTAACTCCTCCCTTCTATGAATCGCCGCAGCCAGATTCTCATACAGGCCCATCCACCGGCCCGGAACAGTCGGATACTTCCCCACATACTTTTTTGACTCCGGATCGAACTTTTGAACACTTTGATCGAAGGGCTTATACGTCGTCAACTCGCCCCACATACTCTCCGGCTCCGTGCCAAACCCTGAATCCAGCGGCCTCATGCCTGCCGCAATGTGTTCCTCTTGTGGACATGTACTCCGCGCCTGCCACTTTACAAACGAGCCCTCGGTTCCGCGGACGAGTTGTTTGAGCTGCCGAGCGAGGGGCGTTACGACGCATGTTTTGACGGTGACAAGAAGGTCGGATTGTGGGCCGTCGTATTGCAGGATAATCGTAAACGAGTCCTCGACTTCGCTCTTGACTCCACGCTGATTCCGCAGGAATGCTGTTACTGAGCTGGGCCGACCGAAGAGGGCGTAGGCTTGGTCGAGCGTGTGGGAGCCTATACAGTCATTAGTCTTGCTAACGCGCACGGGGAAACCCCCGTATGACTGTGTATCGGAGGGCAAGGGTTGAGTGGGTCGTCTACCTAGCCCAAAAACATGCCCATCCCCCGGCTCGTACTTTTCCTTCGTCATATACTTCAGCCAGGGCGGGGATTCAAAGTCGTAGTGGAGCTCTGCTTCCATTATCTTCCCGAGGGCACCTTGGTTGAGGAGGTTGCGGAGGGTTTGGAAGTCGCCGTCCTGGATAATGATGTTAGACACTTCAGATTGGAAATAAGAAGGTAGAGGGATGGGGCACGGGGGTGAGTGGAGGGTGGGAGCATACCCATCGACGATTCTGGAAACATGTCACGATTAGACCTTTCTCGTTCGCGAGGTTGATGACACGGTCTGCTTCCACCGAGGAGCGAGCGAAGGGTTTGTCGACTATGGCTATATTCCAGCCAAGTCAGCGAAACTACCCAACCCTCTATCCTCCCAAACAAACGAATGAAAAAGAAAAGTAAACAAACCATGCATCCCACTTTCTAACGCCCTCTCCGCAAACTCCGCATGCGTATCATGATGCGTCGCAACAACGACGAGGTCAACCTCGCTTTCAGCAAAGAACTCATCCGGCGTGCGATAGTGTCGAATCCCCGGGATATCAACCGTGCAGTGCACACCGGCAGGTGTAGAAGCAGGATGCGCGGGCGCCTCGGCGCGCTGTAGGATCGCGACCAGCTCGTATTCGGGGATCGCGGTGATGAAGGGGATGTGGAATGTTTTTGCGGCGTTGCCGTAGCCGATTAGGCCGACTTTGATGGGCATGGCTATCTTTCAGTTAAATTAGAGGGTCTATAGTGTGGAGTGGTAAGTGAGAAGGGTAGTGAGAACGTGAGCCCGGGAGGTGCCACGGGAGTGGATTGATTCCTTTTAAGTGGGGAACATGACTGGGGGCGCTATTTAGGCTAGGACAGAGCTTTATTTGCCTAAATGTGGGGTTGGCGTCGGACCCTGAAGCGAGCCATGGGGACTGTTTCCCGCCGAGTTTGTCCTTGACAAGTGTGCAGTAAGATACATGAGCAGAGAGTTGCATTATAAGAAAAGGCGCTCTACGTGCTACATCATGAATACTGCGGGGTTCCTACGACTGGCCGAGGGCATTCAATAGCGTTTCCAAGACTATAAATGCCGATGATACTTCTGTTCCAGGATCCTACACCTGGAAAAGTCAACCAACCCATTTGAGGCTGTAGTATTGTAGATTCTATTCGTCTTGCGGCGGACATATATCTATGAGATCATGCCACATTTACACCGCATCCTTCTTCTCCACACTCGAAGCCCGCAACCCTTTCTCGCCATCAAAGATCTCCCCATCCACCTCCCTCCCCGCATAAACCTCATCCCCCGAAATCGTAACAGGCACCAGCGTCTCTTCGACCGGAAATACCCAACTCAAGCCCACATAAACAACAACCGCCGACGTAAACCCCCAGAAATAAAACATGTCATAGATCTTCTGCGCACCTCCGATGCTCCCCGCCAGATCCGTATTCACCGTCGCGGCCATCCCCGGGATATTCGGGACGACTGAGACGAGGAAGGCGAGCATCGCGCGCCAATTGCTTCCGTACGTGTTGTACCGGTAGCGGCCGCGCGCCTTGTACAGCTCAGGGACATCGATCCGGCGGCGTTTGACGAGCCAGTAGTCCGACGCCAGGATTGCGGCGATGGGGGCGAGGAAGATTCCCAGGCCCGACATGAAACTCAGCAGCGAGCTCGCACTGTAGATGATTTTCCAGGGTACCATGATCCACCCGGCTGTGACGGTGGTGAGGACGATCCCGCGGCGGATGTTGATGTATTTTGGGAAGAGACTGGTCAAGTCGTTTGCGCAGGATATAACATTCGCCGAGAGGTTCGTCCCAATCTGCGCAACGCACCAGCTGAAGCCTACAAAGAACGCGCCCGCGCGTCCGCTGGGTCCATCCCACTGCGCGACGAGCGTGACGGGGTCCCAGATGTAGTCGCCATAGACAACACTCGCAGCCGAGGTCGATATGATCCCAAACATACCGATGAGCAGCGCGATGGCCGGGAGGAACATGACCTGCCAGTAGATGGCTTTTCGATTCCGGTCATGCAGATACCGAGTAAAATCCGGGATATTCGTCGCCATTGTCGCCCAGCTGGCCGTGCAGCTCGAGAGACTAGAGAGAATGAGCCAGCGGCGCGTTTCTCCAAAGACGCGATACTCCTGTGCCCAGATCTCGCCTGTACCCCCGGCTTTGTGCGTCATTGTGATGACGACGGCGACGGAGGATGTGATGACGACAACACTCTTGAACACGAAGAACCATTTCAGTTTGTGCGGCGGCGTGAGCAAGAAGGGAACCTGGATCGACCAGAACAGAAAATGCGAGAGCAGCTCCTGGCTGGTGATGCCCGCGGACACGGGGAGGTGGTTCGGGATGGCGAGGTACGACGGCCAGATTGCGCGGATGCACTGGGTGATTGCGGTCGAGCCCGTGTAGGTTTGGATGGCGTGCCAGAAGAGCGCGGTGATCATGCGCACCACCACGGCGAAGCGCGCGAAATACCATCCGCAGGAAGACCGCATAGCTACGGAAAAGGGGATGTGCAGGTCTGCGCCCACGGCGCCGTTGAGGGCTAGTGGGATTGTGGTTGTTATGTTGCCGAAGATGATGCAGATGATTGCTTCGCGCCTGCATCCATGTTAGATAGCTTGTTTATGCTCGGATGGTGATAGTGTACGTACCATGTTAATCCAACGGCGAGAATCGCAGCTGGGGCTTGCCATCCTTGCGCGTTGAGTGCGTCTGAGAGCCAGAACCCTAACATGGTCCAGGCGCCCCAGATCCGGCGTTCGGGAGGAGTCACGTCCATGTCGATATTTGTCCTGTCTCGTCAGATACGGCTTCATGATATTCAAGAGATGCAATTCATACCACGTCCCCTCATCGGCAAGCGAGGACTGCTGTCGAGGCAGCACCCATCCAGCGACATGTCGCTTCTGCTTGAGCTTCTCCTTTGCGGCGTTGAACCGCCGGCGGATTTGGTCGGCCATTGTCGATTATATTGACTTGCACAAGTTGCTACCCCAAGCCCGGGCAACCTGCCCGATGACGGACTGGCGATTTATACATCATTGCTCACATCTCTTGCGTGTCTGCTCCGTGAAGGCGCGCGATAAGCCCTTATCTGATATCCTATCTAGACCCACGCCCTGGCGCCAAGCAGGCCTAATCAGATGTCAGTAGCGAATAAGCGCGAAACTACGAGGCCCATCAGAGAAAGTTACTCCAAACTTGATGTCGCCGCGGCCCGCGGCGAGCGGCGAAGCGCTGATAAGATCCAGCGAGTCCACTTGTCTGTCGATTTCGTGGTGTGCCAAGATCAAGGCCATCTTGGGTAGGTTGAAGATGGGCAGTCGGGATATAATTCCTGGTCTCCCCGTGATTCCGTAATTCGAGAAAAGCATGTTGAAGATTCGATCGAGTACGAAGACATGACAGAATTCACCCTCCCCAAATCCCGCCCCTATGGCTTCACCTTCCCCCTCAACCATACAGCACTGCTCATCATCGACATGCAACGCGACTTCCTCGACGAGAATGGCTTCGGCTCAGTGCAATGCGGAAACCCCGAGATCTTCGCCTCCGTGCGAAAGATTGTCCCCGTTCTTCAACGCGTCCTGCACCGATCCCGCGAACTCGGATTGCAAATCATCCACACGCGCGAGGGGCATAGAGCGGATCTCCTAGATCTCCCTGCAGCCAAGCGGCTCCGCCAAATTAGTGCGCCCGATGGCCATCATGATTTGGCGATTGGGGATCTGGGTCCGATGGGGAGGTTGCTTGTAAGGGGGGAGTATGGGCATGATATTATTGATGAACTAGCACCGAGACCGGGCGAGCTTGTTATTGATAAGCCCGGGAAGGGGAGTTTCTGGGGCACGAGCCTTCACCGGGATTTGCTTGCGAGGGGGATTACACATCTGCTTGTTGCGGGGGTGACGACGGAGTATGGTGCCCTTCCAAGTGGGATTTGCAATCAGGATGCTAAAATGCCGTATGTAGGTGCTGTGTGACGACGACGATTCGCGAGTGTAATGACCGCGGATTCGAATGCTGTCTCTTGTCTGACTGCACTGATGGCTTCGATGCACAGATGGTCACGACGGCGATGGATACCATCTGTGCTCAAGACGGGCTGTTTGGGTTTGTTGGGGACAGCTCTGATTTTCTGGAGCAGACGGCGAATCATACCCCAGCGGATCTCGCACTACCAGAGGGTGTCTTGCCCTCGATTTCACAGCTAGTACGGAAATACCGCGAGGGAGCTGAGGACCCCATCCACACCGTGAACATGGTCTATGACCGGATCGAACAATACAAGGAGACAGATCCCGTAGTGTGGACACACATCCAGAGCAGAGACGATGTTATCGCAACCATAGAATCCCTTGCGGCGCGGTACAAAGACAACAAACATCACATGCCCCCACTATTCGGGGTCCCGTTTGCAGTTCAGGATAGTCTAGATGTTGCAGGCATCCCCACTACCGCCGCCTGCGCTGGCTCGTACACACCCAACGCTGCAGCACCAGCCGTCCAGGTCCTTCTTGACGCTGGCGCCATTTTCATCGGCAAGCTGTGGTCTGATCAGCTTGCTGTCGACTTCCTTGGCTGTAGCTCCCGCCCATCATCCGGTGCTGCAGTCGCAGTCGCCGCTGGTCTGGTCCCATTTGCACTGGCGACCGATACCACAGGGGAGAGCCTCCTCTCCGGAGGCCGTAACGGTGTCACCACACTCAAGACCACAAAAGGCACCATCTCAACCAAGGGCATCGTCCCCGTCTGTCCTAGCCAGGATACAATCTCAATCATGGCGCGGAATGTTGACGACGCACGCGCCGTCTGGCTGCAAATCCAAAAGGCCGATAATACCCATGAGCCCTACGCGAAGCCATTTGCCTCGCTACCGACGTGGCACATTGATGCTCGAGATCCACGACCATGGAAGAGCAAATTCCGCTACGCTGTTCCGCCAGCGTCGTTGGTTGATGAGGGCTTTTCAGATGCGCAGCGAGAGCTGTTCAACACCACCATTGACAAGTTGCGAGAGTGCGGCGGGATGCTTGTTGAAATTGACCACGAGCCCTTTGAAACTGCCCGCAAGCTTGTGGCTACGGAAAATGGAACGAGCCTTCTGGTGCTTGAACATATCGCCGCTATTGGTGCCCAGTTTATCCCAGACAGCCTCTCTTCCCTGCATCCCAGATTGCAGCAGATGTACGAGCACCATCTCTCCACGCCCCTGGAGCCTTGGGCAATCTTTCAGGCGCAGGGTCGCCAGGCGGAATGTGTACGGAAAGTGCAGGAGTTGTTCAATCCGCTGAACCCAGCTGGGATTGATATCCTGGTTGTTCCGAGTGCACCTGCTCATAGTACCCTCTATGAGCCGGGGACGGAGGCAGGAACCGAAAACGTCTACTCTCCAGCTGGGCAGTTGGCACGTTTTGCTAATCTCTTGGACCTCTGTTCTGTGGGGTTCAATGCGGATTTGACACCGGGATCAGGGCCTGGTCCTGATCTTCCTTTTGGAGTCAGCTTCCTGGGCGGAATGGGTTATGATGCCAAGGTTATGGATCTGGCGCGGTGTTTTGAAGACGCGAAAGGAGCAAGTATCTGGATAAACGGAGTAAAGCCTGAAAGAGTAGCTTATCGTGCATAATGTACAAACCAGTGGATTTTGCGAATACTAAACAGCGACAGCGGCTATTCCACCGTTCTTCGCCGTATAAGAATCCCGTGGGGAAGTCTGTACAGAGACATATATATCATGAATCATACCACTACAGTAGGGAGTATAGTAACTACTAATGCTCGCTTCGTAGCGTGGGTAATCGCCAGCTACCAAGTGCTAATCTAAGTTTATGTATAGATTTTCATGGCCTTGTATGCCATCCTAATTAACCTTCTTATTAAGATGGAACTTATCATGATCGTGATCTATGCTGAGAGCATAATACTATATCTTACCCTGTTCCTTTGACAACATGAACGGGACTAAGTACACATGTCGACCAAGTGCGCGCGAATACCACTAGAACATTCGAAGAAAACAGCCTTGTGTATTAAGTTTAGGTGGCCCTGCAGAATATAACGTTCAAAACCTATGGCCAGTTTCTCCTCGAAGGTGTTGCGAACATTGGAAGCGCACGTGATAAATTGAGCCTTCAGCCTTGTGTTGCGGCCTAAGCTTGCGGCCCAAGGATGTTGTTGCTGTTGCCTAACCAGATAATCGCCAGGCCAAAGTGACACAAAGCTGACTATTTAAGACTGCCTCGCCCTCAAGCCGAACCTACGGCTGTTTTCTCCTGGGGGAATTAGATCGATACCTAGTAGCTCGCTTTGTTGGATTCTGGACGTCATGGATGCCCATAATCACCAAACATGCCTCGGCATCCCAGTTCCTCTTTCGGTGAAAGCCTTGGCCAAGGCACCCCCAATCTGTCTCCCAAGTCGTGCAGATTGTGAAACTATCGAGATACTCGAAAATCTTGGTAACCAGTTCAATCGTCCGAAAGATGAAATCAAACAAGCGCAGAATCTGGCCGCCGGCCTTTCAGACATAGTTATCATTCTCGAACGTCCACGCGACAGATATTACCACCCGTACAATGTTGGTTTTGACGAATTCGTCAAAACCTGTCCGACACTTCAGGCCGTCGACGAGCTCATTCGCTTCGCCACCCGCGGGGCTCGAAGCATCCATACTACTACCGTCTTGGATGCATTCTCTTATCAACCCGACAAGAAGGTAACGAAGCAAGACCAAAAGTGCCATGAAGCTCTTGCTCGGATTTTGAAAATAAAAACGCCAAAGGTCATAATAAGGTGTCACCGCGACGAGTATAAAGACGAATGGTTGAAGTGTATTGAGCAGAAAGGCGAGGATTACAAACTTGGGCGAAAGGAAATCATCATCGCCGAGGACACTACAACAGCTACAACAGTTGTCTTACAGACTTTCCATCCATCTTGTGCCGTGAACAATGCCGATTGCAGACCCGAGTATAGAGCATTACTGATGTATCACTTCGTGGCCGCTTTTGGGGAACTGAGATGTGAATTCAAGCTGCCAGGGGCCGCAGAAGAGATTCGAGAACTTTGCCGCCTGCAGGGTCAACGCACAAAGCAGAGCATTCCTAAGTACAAGCCGTGGCAAGCTGCCTCTGCCATATCGTGGACGTTGAAGAGAACATATGAAGGGCCATTCAGAGTGCATTTTCTTGAGTTTGCCAATGAACCCGAGGCCAAGTCTCGCAGCAGACAGATCAAGGCGTTCATTCGCATGTACATCGCACTAATTCAGCTTTTTGAATACTCGACAGAGCCTGGCGGCCTGGCAATCGCGAGAATCCTTCTCTTTCTTTGGGCGAACCATTTCCAAGAGCATCCTTTGTACGAACGCATAATGTCGCGGCTTATATTGCGCGGCAACGAGCAGACAGATTGGCTGCCCTCTAAGACCCGTCCGGGCTCCGATCCTCGCCCGCTCATACGAGAAAGTCTAGAAAACGAACTTCGTTCTCGAATGGTTGATGGTCTGGCGAAACACAATACTCTAATTCGCGAGTACTTGAGCGAGACCGGGATAAATGGCACCAACAATCCAATACATATCAGGGCCTCGTTATCCCAATGTGAAACTTTTATCAGCGATGATACCTCGGAGGAAGGAGACTTGGATGGCCTCATTCGAAGCCTTGGCCAACTGACATGCGTTTTCGAGGATCACGATGCATAAGAGTTGCCACGGGTTGTTGTTCTTTGTAGTGCTCTTGAATATGATAAATCCTTTGGAGAATGTAGGAATTTCATGAATGTAGAGGTCAACAAAGCTTGCCTTGGGTAAACTTGCTAGATGGGAATCAATCTGCAACATACTCCAAGGCTTCTGACAAATGACAAGAGCAACTACATGGAGTACATAGCATCTAGGATGTATTTGTTTCGCGTCCTTTCCCTTTTCCGTCCGCCCGTTGTGGTTTGAGGCGGTTCTTGGCAGTGATGAATGTCGAGGATACGGTACTTCGAGGAGTGTAGATATTGTTGACCATCTTTGCACAGTTCGGTAGTGAAATGGGGGCCATTTGTATGACTCCGGAGTGCCCGAAAGCCCACCGCCAATGCTCGGCAACAAGGCTTGTCAATTGGTGAATCCAACTGCCCGAAGTATACCCCGTAAAGAGGCGGTAAACAAACGTTTGTTGGGACGAATTCGTGGTTAGGGCTGATGGGATGGGGTCATGCGGCCGTCTCCACTGGTCAGCCGCAATCTGATTGAGGGATTATGATTCGCCGCATCGCTTACAAGGCTGAGCTTAGCTTCGCTTGATTCCCGCTAAGCCTTTCTTTAGTTTAGTGGACGTGGCATTCTAGCTAAGTTATGGGGCATGGCTTGGTATCGCTTGGAACGCGGGTGATTCCTCGATGTATATAAAGAGGTTTACTGCCTTGAGGAATAGACATCATTCTCGACATTTATTCTCTCAAACAGCAAGATCCAGGCTCTTCAAACCACAACACTCTACTTCGCCCATTTCCCCTTCCATCTGAATCCAACCCACACACGCCTCCAAAATGCACTCTAGCAGACTCTTGCTCGCCCTCACACCTATCCTCGGTGCCCTGGCTGCCGACCAAGTCGTGACACTCAACCTGCCCACCGACATTGGTGGATCCGTCACTGCCGCTGAACTCATCGGCTCGGTAAGTCATCTCAATATCAGACTAGAGCCGCCTCTACCCCAGCCATTGCGATCTGAAGTACAGCACTAACGTTAAGCGCATCCAGTCCGCATCCACAACCACCTTGTTCATCCCCTGTGCCGAGAACGTGACCATCTGCCAGGGTGGTGGTGTTACTCTCATCGCAGAGCCCACGGCGATCAGCATGGTGGTTCCCCTCGAGGACGAGTAAGTTTGGCTAGTTAACCAACCATACCAATAAAACCTACCTACTTACTTATCGATCCACACAACCCAAACTCCCAGACCAAATCACTAACAGATCCCCTCTCTTCACAGTGTGACGTACACAGCCTCCTGCTCAATCGACACTTCTGCGTCTACGGACTCGTGCGTCGCGCGCACCGGCACCGACGACACCTGGGAGGATATGGGCACCGATGACCTCTCCGCTACGGAGATCACCATTACTGCGACGGCAGCGCCGGCTTCGAACAGTGCCTCCCCGACAACATCCCCTGCCTCCACGACGCTCGAGACTAGCTCTACCAGTGGCAGCACTGCCAGTGCAGAGACTGACGATGCCTCCGCGAGCCCTAGCAGCTCTGCGGTTGAGGCCACGGACAGTGATGGTGCGGCTATTGCGATGATGACGGCTGCGCCCTGGGCTGGGGCTGTTGTTGCGGGGTTGGCGGCTGCTGTTGCGAGGATTTAGACTTTTAGTTCATTGCAGTTACGGTTTTGGGAGTGAGGGCGGGGGTTGAGAGATGTATCTCCGGTATGCCTAGGTGCTTCCATTGGTTTGCCATGTTCTAGGACGGGTCTGAGGTTGATGCGTAGTAATACGTTGTCATGTACTTGTATTTTGTCTAAATTTGCTGATAGAGATGCTTGTTCAACGAGAACACACTAGTTGTCTGCCTTTTCTAAGTACTACTAGCTGTTTATCAGTTCAGAAAGATAAAGGCAACAGTCAAGAGCCACAGAAATAAAAAGGTCAGAGACCAGTTCAGACCAGAAGCCCTAAGAAATAAACTAAAGTACATTGTAAAAGGTGACGGACCTAGCCGTCAAAAATCCCCTTGCCGCCGAACCGTATACTAACGTCTAAGCTGGATAATACCACGGACCGCGATGCTCCATCTGTTTCCTATACCCAGTACCCGCTCTAAGTAGAGCAAGTCGCAGCACTAGGAACATTCTCACAGCTATCATAATCCTCTCCTCCGGTGACATCAACATTATCCCAGGTCCAGTCCGAGCAGCCGGAGCTACCGCAGACGATGGCAATATTGGTGCCGTCCGAGGAGACGGCGCCGGAACCGGTGATGTTCTCGATGGTCAGGTCGGTGATGGGGATGCCCGAGGTTGGGTCGCCGTGGAGGTCGCCGCCGTCGTAGTTTTGTTCGATGAGGATGCCGTACCTGTATTGTAGTTCTGTTAGATTCGTTGGAACATTAAGTTGGGGGGATCGAAGGAAAGGGAAGAGGGTTCACTTGTTGATGGAGCTGAGGGTGATGCCGGAGTAGGTCACGCCCTTGATTTCGCCGGTTTCGCCGGACTTGGCCTTGATGCGGATGCCTGCGACAGTTAGCATGGCTGCGGCTTGAAAATATGGGATTGAAGAGTGTACCGTTGTCCGAGTTGGTAACCTCCGAGTCCTTGAAAGTGACGGTGTCCACAGTATTGTCATCACGCCCACCAACACTCCCAATGGACAATCCATGCCCACCAGAGCAGGTACCACCACTGAACGTAATCTCCGTCCCCGAGTTAACAGCGACACAATCATCCTGATTATAAACTTTCGCCCCGGTAATAACAACATTATTGCTCTCCCCAATATCAAACCCATCTGTATTATGCCCGCCTTCGTCATCACCGGCGGAGTTATCAATCGTCATATCGGTGATGGTCAGCCCATCGCATCCGTTGATGCTAACAGCCTGCACGGGCGTGTTCTCAATGTACAGATCCGTAATCGACGAGTCGGTCAGGTCGTGCGCGTAGAAGAACTTGGGTTTCGTTTTCCCGCCGTTGCTCCCCTCGGAATCCCACCAGCGCGCACCGTCCGGGTTAAGTTTTGCGCCGGAGGCGCCTTTGATGGTGATGCCGTTGCCTTTGATTTGGAGGAGCGGGCCGGACCATTCTTTGTAGCCCCAGGTTGTGGTGCCTTCGAAAATGACCTATATACAGCTGTTAACATATAACCCCCAATGGCTATGCTATTAGTTGTGGTTGAGATTGTAGACTTACAGTGGTGTCATCCTCGAGGTCACTCAGGTCGAGGGTGGTCCCAGAGGGAACGGCAACGTCAGAGAGAACGATGGTCGCACACGAAGCCTGGGACTTGCTCGCAGAGGCGGCACCGTTGCTACCGGAGAAGGTGCAGCTGTCTGCGCGCTTGTTGACGGTGTTGACAGTCGGCGACGCAGTAATGAGCGGCTGGGCCGGCGAAGCAGCGACGCCCGTAGCGAGGGTAACGAAGGTGAGCGAACCGAGGAGCTTGAACATCTTGGCCGGCAAGAGTTACGGTATGAAATGGAAGGAAAATGAAATGAAATGAGTGAGAGATGTTTTTGTGGGAGTTGGCGCTCTTACCAACGGATCCTAGACAGGTCCATGCTCACATCTTATATACCACGAAGCCTCCTATTCAGTGGATACGCGGTGCCACTTCCAACCCTCTGCAGCTGTTATTTCGATCCTGCAAGACACCCGGCGTTTCGATGACAGTACGGTTTCCTCCAATCGGGCCATGTGGGACTTGGCCCCGTGGTGGTTCCATTGGTGGCAGAACATTTCTCCTGGTGAACGGACCACAGAGCAATATACACACGTTATTATGCCGTGGAAAAGCTTCTGCCTGCGGAAGAACTGACAAGCTCTGCCAAGGAAGCTTCTTCATCCGAGTTTGCCGGTTTCAGGGGAGTGCTGACGAATGATGCGGGCTATGGGTGTTTCGTCGCGTTTCATATAGAGACCAGATTGATGAAAGTATCCACATTCAGCAAAGGATCGGCGGCTGCCCCGTAGGGCTTTGGGGGGGGAAACTGGGATCAATGCGTCGCAGGTGGGTATTGTTTACATGCATAATCCTTAATTTCCACCATGTATAACTCCGTGCGCTGAAGATTATGCTCTGGGCTTTTTACATCCGCCAGTTGTTGTGGCTTGCACGGATATATTCCCTTGGTGGTAAGAACTTGTGAGTAGCGTTATAGCACAAGTCTTGACGCCGCATTGATCAAGGCAGGCCGGTCTGATATGCATACATCACTACTTTAGCAATATCCAATCATTCTTCGAGAATACCAATTAGAACGGCGAACATTTCGAATGCTTGGGGCACGAGGATATGGGAAGTGCCCGGACCATCTTGACTCTCAACGGCTCCTTGTCGTTAGAGGTATACTTTGCACCGCGGAGTCTAGGTAGGTTCCAAATCCATATTTCCAAACATAGAGTATCTCTGCCCACCATTGGCTCCAGACGTGCCTCCTGCAAAGTCATAATACAACGGGTCCGTTTCAACCGTACTCGGGAATCCATGCAGGCCCTCAAAGATGGCATTATCCCACGACGCATCCTTGAGAAAGATCTGTAATGCCGGATCCACGGCATACGCGATGGGGTTTGCATTCGTGTGTGCATCGGGGTTCGTGGTTGTTGTCGCGCTTGGTTCTCCGAGCGCAGTGTATGCCTGCGGAGACGCAGCGCCATACGCAGGGCCGGGATCACCACGACTCTGTGTCGTAGCAGGAGCAGCAGCTACCCCCGTCGCAGCAGGCGACGTAACATCCCTCGGCGTAGTCTGCACCCCACTCCAAATCCGATCGAGCACCTCAAGACACCGGTTGGCCGCTGTATTACTCCTCCCCAACTGCGTTAGACAATCTCGCGCCTTGGAGATGGAAAACACCCAGAGGTCCTGATCCGCGTCGGCCAGGCTGACATCGTTGGGATCGCGCGGTTTGAATTGGTGGATGTTCAGGACGATGACGGCCTGAAAGAGGAAGTAGATGGCGTAACAGGCTAGTCCCGGATGCAGGGTGCCGTCATTTGCGTGGTCGATGCAGAATGTCGCGATGTCCTGTATCGTTTCAATGGCCGTGTATTGGCACATATTATGCGCCTCATTGGCGCCGCCGCCACCGTCGGATCCTGATACCGACCCCGATTCTTCTCGGAGGAGGCCGAGTGCACGCTGACATCCCCACCAAAGCATCATCCTTAGATTCAGCTCCTTCCAGCGGAGTATGGTGCGCGGTCCGCGGAACCAGGCAGGGACGTCGTGTGTGGTGAAGTAGAATGGCAAGGAGAGTTTCCAGGCCTTGAGCTGGCGGTCGAGAGAGCGGGCCCTCTGGAGGGTTGCGGGGTTGTTGTCGGTGGGCGCAGAAGAAGGGGCGGAGATGACAGTGCGGTGGATGGTGTTGGCGATGATGGCGAGGCGCGAGTGTGCGATTATGCTCGAGTAGATTGTTGGTTGGGTTGTTGGGGGTGGAAGGGTAGAGGCGAGGTCGCAGCCCTGATATCATATGACGTTGTAAGTTTTGGGTACAAGGCCCGCTGGAACAAGTTTCGCTACTTGTACTTATATGAATGGCGTACCGAATCATCAATATTCCTCGGAAGTCTCGTTTCGATAAACGAATCCAAAACAGTGACTGGCCTCCCCGTGGTCAGGCTAAAGCCACTGTCAAAGCAATAGACAATCCACCAGACCACCCTCCGCCGCTCATTCAGGAGCGTATCCGCTGCCGTCTGTGCCGGGGGCTCACGATGCAAGCCCAGACCCAGCGCCATGCGGTAGGCGATACCAATGAAATTGTATCCGGTATTTGGGCGATCCCGCTTTTGGAGATAGTTGCCCTACATTGATCAATATCCTTCGGAAACGTAAAGAAGGAAGAAGGCCAAGCGAGAAGATACCATAAGAAGAAAAGCCTGAACAGTAAGCAAATTCCCCGACTCGAGCATCCGCATCGACATGCGAGACCGCGCGGCGGCGTATACCCCGGCTGCTCTGCACCAGATCCGCCATTCACAATCCAGTCGCCGATCGCGAGGACGAGGTAGAATATCGGGTGCCAGCGTGGCTGCATGCGGACTTCACGGCGGCTGTGGTACTTTTGTCGGAAGATGCTCTCGTGTAGGATCGGGTACGCTGGGTGGTAGTGCAGGAAGTACGCATCTATTAGAGTGTCCAGGACTATAGTATTGTTTAGTTGTCCGATGGCTGGATGGGTTTCGAGTTGAGGTACATTTGCTGTCGAAGTAGATACCTGGTGCGTGGTATCGGGGTCAGCTGGTTCTGGGAGCAGACTTGAGATGGCTCTCAGGATGTTCGAGCCTGAACTGGTTCCTGGATATCTTCATGAGTCCTGACTGGTAACATGGCCCAAAGTTAACCCACCAAGATATCCAGCCTCCGCATTTCCCGTCGGCAGCGACCCCATCCCATCCGGACGACTCTGCCCCCGGTGTGGCGTCGCAATTGACGAGTCCTCGTTCCAGTCGAACCGATCCGCCTCCTCCGAGACCTGCCCACGGCGATCAAGGCTCAGTCGCCGATCAACTGACGGCCGAGGACTTCCAGTACCAGCCGATGCGACTGTCCTTAGAGCGTCCTCGCTGTCGATGTCGGGGTTTAGTCTGCGGAGTAGCTCTACTAGCTTTACGCAGCGGTGTTCTGCTTCGTCGAGGTTTCTACCACAAGATTCAACATGTATCACACCAAGTTCAATATTAGAGTGCGCACCTCCGCGTCAGAGGCGTCCGAGATGGCGCACGGTTAAACACGCATTCTTTATTGTTCCGGCTGCAGTACAGACATGGGGTAGTTCCAGAGCACTTGAGTAGATGTTAATCAACATTACAAGGCAAGATATTGACTCTGGCTCTTGCCTTGCTTTTGCGCTTCTACACCATCTCACCCATTAGCCTATCTTCTGCACGGGTCCGAGGGGCGCATCCTACCCGGCATTCCGTACACTGCCGTCTGTTAGCGGATTGTGGGGTCTTGAAGCACTAGACTGAGGGAGAAGGCATACTGCGCGAAACTCTGGCGCCGCTAGCGCTGGGCTCGACGACTTTGGCATCTCGGAGGCGGTGGTCCGAGTTTGTACGTGTATGTGCTGGAGAGCTGGACGATCATGAGTGATCACGTCGAGGGAAGAGGGGAGATGAGTCAGCCTCGCCTCGGCACAGAGTCGCCCGATGGTCCTGCTTTCCCAATACGAGATTCGACTTGATCCTTGCTTAGAGTGAAAGTGCCATGTGGGCCTTTGGCCACGGGACAGCGTTGACCATATCCCGTACGTGGCACTTTACCAATGCCGATGCAAAAGCATTCTATGTCTATCTATCCATCCACCTAAGCCCATTATCCACTGGGTAATATGTCACCCCACTCCACACTTTGCTACGTCTATTAGCACCGCCTCTAGGAAAATGGCTTACAACCGGCGGAAACAACAATCCTTCAGTACTGACAACGCAAGTCTGGGAAAAGATTTAAACGCATTCTGCACACGGCTACTGGAGCCTATGTCCACTGGTCTGGATATCCAGATAGTATACTCACAATGACCTACCTGCAGGGCCATATGATATTATCTCCCCCACTTCGGCACTAAAATCTGCTGGTCCGATAGCCAGTTTAAGCAAGCTGATGTTGACGGGAAGCTGAAACCAAGATTCCGGTACATGAAGGTGACTAACTGGCTTCATATGGCGGACATGATGGCGGCTATCGAAAGGCCCTGCAGGCAGAACAGCATGTGAACCGTTCATTCAAAAGCTAGATTGGCGCTATCCCACTCTCGTCATGGGTTGCTGGAACACACGGGGAAGTGAAATACATGGCACGAGTGCTCACTCGGTCTGCTGTCGACTGAGTCATCGGCTGCCGCACTCCGAAGCCGTGCCTGGTAGATGCGTAAGAGGGCCAGGATACTCTGGCCGAGGTTTAACTGACAAACCTGTACGGTCTCCAGTCGGTTATTCCGGCAACGTGAGTGGTGAGACACTCTAGATCAATAGTAGAGGATTTTGCATAGCACCATTTACAGTTTAAAGTAACTTACTGGTACACCCTTACGATAGTGATGAGCCAAAATCGTTCAGTTGGCCACCCCTTGACTATGTAGACACTATAGCCTACTTTAGTGATGGAATACCCTAGAATAGTACCTTTCCCTCTCTACCGGATCTATCCTAAACACCCCAAGGCCCTAAGGATGTTTTGGGAACGACCTATTGTATAGTCTAGGCTCTAGGCTCCCAACCAGACATAGAGGGATGACTGCGTAGTCAAGGGGATGCGAATCAAGCAGCTTGCGAGTTGTACCAGCATAACATAGTGAATTGTGCGAAATCCAAAATAATAGCATAGAAAACCTGCAACGATCCAGACAAACCCCTAGAACAGAATCCCACCGCCATCAACCACAATATCCGCCCCATTGATATAACTCCCCGCCTCACTTGCAAGCAGCACAACAGCCCCCGTCAACTCCCCCGGCGTCCCCATCCGCCCAAACGGATTCCTCTCGGCCCAGATACGTCTGTGCTCGGTGAGCCCATCCCCCTCATTCAGAATCGTATCCATGTACCCGGGACTGACGGTGTTGGTCCGGATCCCGTACCGCGCCCACTCGGCCGCAAGGCAGCTCTTGAGCATCAGCAGCGCGGCTTTGCTCACGTTGTAGGCGGCCTGTGGCTGTGGGTAGTTGACACGGTGTGCGGATATCGACGCGATGAATGTTATTGAGCCGCCCCCTCCCGGGCCTTGTATGTTCTTTCCCTGCTCAACCATATGCTTCGCGGCCGCCTGCGCGCAGATAAACGACCCCGTCGTATTGATATCGAGGATCCGCCGCCACTGCGAGACGGGCATCTCCAGCGTCTCGACGCAACCCACAACACCAACGAAACAAAGCAGGTGATCAATACTCCCCAGCACCCTCGCTGTCTCGCCCATCGCCTCCGCAACCCGCCCCTCGTCCGTAACATCAACCGCCATAGTCGCAATCGTCGCACCGGGGAATTTGGTCCGCATAGCCTGGATCTCCTTTTCTGATTCCGCCGGGTTGATATCAAAGATCATCAGTCCGGTCAGGCCATGCTCGAGGAGGGCGTCGCAGCAGCGCAGACCCAGTGTTCCTGCTCCGCCGGTGACGACGGCATTTCCCGGGACGGAGAAGCGCTGGCGCGCGCCGGTGGCTGCGTCTTGGGCGATGGGGTTGGTCGGCGGGGCGGTTTTGGATGTTGGGCTCCCGGTGCTGAGGGTCATTGAAGGGACGATGCGCGATGTAAGCGCGTCGCGGTCTGTTATGTCTGCAGGGGGCGACATGTTGCTGAGGGATCGATAGATGGATCTCGATGGTTGCGCGTAGAGCAGTATCGCGAGTTGGGTACTGGGGAGCAGAGGCACCCTTGATGAATGACCTCTTTTCACTTTCAATCCAATGTTCAGCTTTGTATTGCTCGACTGGCTGTACCACGTATGTCATACCCTTCGGAGTCAACCCGAGCGATCTGCCCTGAACCAGTGGTCCTTCTTCGGAGTGGGGAAGCCGATGGCGGGGAACGAGGGGCAGTCGACGGTAAAATCGAGACGTCACACGGCCCTGCAGGTTTCTGGGCCCATCATTCGACCGGATAAATTCGATTTCATCTATGGTCACGCATTTCCATAGTCGGGCTGCTCCAAGCCGAGCGCGCCCATATTACCCGAGCACCATTTTTTAAAAAAAAAAATCCAAGGAACCACCATCCCCCTCACCCCTCACGAATTCAATGCAGACCAAATTCAATCCCAGCAAGAAAGAAAAGCAAGAAAATCCGCCAAAATGTCCATGACAGTCGAAGACTGCACGCGAGTCCGCCCGGGCTTCCCGCGCCCGTTCCCCACCACCGCATCAAACGTCATGCAGCAGCTCAGCATGGCCGGCAAGGTCGTGATTGTGACGGGCGCCGCGGATGGAATTGGGTATGCGGTTGCAGAGGCCATGGCCGAGGCAGGAGCGGATGTTGGGATGTGGTATAATTCGTATGGTTCCCCTCGACGCTGCCAAGGGACAGTGATTCAGTTCTGACCGAGGTGATGGTTTGCGATAGGAATGATGTTGCGATCCGGAAAGCGAAGGATCTTGCACAGACGCATAGTATTAGGGCAATTCCTTACAAGGTTGATGGTAGAAAGCACCCACCTTAATCAATTCGAAGATGGAAGCTGATTTCTGCACTGTAGTCTCCGACTCGCAGCAGGTCCAGGTCACCATCGCAAAGGCCGCGCAGGACTTTGGGAAGATCGACGTGTTCATCGCGAATGCTGGTACGTCCTCGAGATCGTGTCTCAATCGACAGAGCTGACCTCAAATACAGGCATGGCGATCTCAAAACCCATCCTCGAGCAAACAATCGACGAATACCGCAAGCAAATGTCCGTCAACGGTACGTACCACACCCACCAAGTATATACCCACGCACAGACACCAGCAACTAAATCATAAAAGTCGACGGCGTCCTCTTCTGCGCCAAATACGCCGGCGAGATCTTCCGCTCCCAAGGACACGGCAACCTAATCATAACCTCCAGCATGAGCGGGCACATCGTCAACGTCCCCGTGGACCAACCCGTCTACAACGGGAGCAAAGCGTTCGTGACGCATTTTGGGAAATCGCTCGCGCGCGAGTGGCGCGATTTCGCGCGGGTGAATATCGTTTCGCCCGGGTTCTTCGATACCAAGATGGGGGCGGGCCCCCTCGCACTGGACGAGGCGTATCGCATGGCGGCGCTGGGGAGGCAGGGACATGTCAAGGAGATCAAGGGGTTGTATTTGTACCTGGCGAGTGATGCGTCGAGCTATATGACGGGGAGTGATGTGATTATTGATGGGGGGTATGTTTTGTCGTGAGTGGGGATATATAGAGATAGATACTAGATCTTAATGTACTAGAATATGGAATCCCTCCATAAATGACCGGTATTGAGGCCGTAGACGGCTGTATTTCCACTTCCCACCGTATACCTCTCAGTTAATAGAAAACTGCTGATTGAGCGAGGAGCTGAGGGGCCGAGTCGCACGCCGCGCCGAGGCGTACTAGTATGCGCATTAGACTTATGATGCGGAGGGAGTATATTTCGTCTCATCCTACGTGCGCTTGGCAGTAAAAGTAATAGTACGTGCTACAAGTACAGCAGAAAACAGATGTCAATAACCGGTTTACGCCTCCGGCTCTGACTCCGCGGTCGTTGGGGTAGTCTGTATTATACCAAATATCCCATTGATTGTTATCAAGGGAAACAAATCCGCCTTTAACCAGGCGCGTGGTATAGAATCGGGGAATTGGTTAGGGAGAGCTGGGTTGTGGATATAAGATATTGAACCCATGGTTGCAAAGAGGAGGTTTGTAAGGAGGTATGTCAAGAGTACGAATGAGGGGGAGTAGGAGAGCGTGGTGAGGCGGGTTAAGAGAGATGATTTAGCTTATAGGGTGGCTGTTGGGGATAGTAGGACGGGCTTATTATAACTAGAGTTAGTATTAATAAGTGTAATATGGTCTATAGTATAATCTAATAGTATGATTTTTATGGGCTACGAGGAGTAGATAAAGCATACTCGGAGGAGGCGGGAAGGTGACAATGGCTGCCTTGCCCAGCCACCGGCTGTTATGCGGAAGCCAGTCTACGAAGGGGGCATCCGAGAAAGAAGATCTTATTAGGGCTTGGGACAGGAAAATAGAAGATACTGGGTTTCAATTCATAATTCGAGATGATTGAGTATTACTGCTTTTCGGGGCTGGAGAAACGACAGGAGAGAATATTATTGTCAATATTAGCATTAGGGCATCGCATGCATTCAAAATACAACAACCTGAAAGTCCACAGCACATCATCAAATCATAATGTGTCCCTAAGGCAGAAGAGAAGGCGTATAACTCTGGTCCGGGGTAACAACCTCACCCCGCTCAAGCTGCTTATCCGTATACGCCGGCCAAACAATCTGACGCGTCTTCTCATTGACAACAGACAGTGTCGTGAACCCAGCGTCCGCGCCAAACTGGCCACTCCAGGCCGAGGAAATCGTGTAGATGCCGCAGGGCGCTGGTCCGCCATGAGCCTGCGAGGCGGGGGTGCCCTCGACGATGTACGTGCAATTTGCAGTCGTAGTTTCCCATTCGGAACCTGTGGAGACGCCAAAGGTCCAGGTGCATTTTGTATCACCGTGGTAGCAGACGCGCTTGAGGGAGGAGATGGTCCACGAGGTGTTTGCGACCATCATTGATTTGGCGGGGGAGGGGGCAGGCGCAGGCGCGGCGAGGGTTGAGCTTGTGAAGGCGAGGGCTGCGAGGAGGAGGGTGGTGAGGGAGAGCTGCATGGTTGCGGTGTTTTTGGATTGAGAGTGAAGGGTTGTTTGCTGTTTTGGCGATTGGATGGTCGGTGGAGATTGCCTTTCCAGCAGGGGAGACCCTTTATTTATACATTTATCGGGACATGGCCCTGGCCTCTTCACCAGGTACCTGCTGACCTCAATCAAGCCAGTCAATGGTACGTTGTACACGAATCGCGAAAGTGACACGAGTCGAAGCTCAGGCGACCCAAGGTGGCATCCGCTCCCCGCATACCTCAGGGAGGCGGCAGGCCGGGGCAAAGGGGGCGGGTGGTGCTAATTTTGGAGTGCGCCCTTCCCGTTCGCCAGGTCTCACTTGACCAAGCGAGACCCCTTGGGTGCCTTGTAGAAAAGTTGAGCGAGGCATCGGATCGCCCGGATATCCTCAAGCTTCTGAGGGGCTGTGTCCATCCCTTGCCAAGGGAGACTGTCCAAGTACCGAGAGGCTTGGTGGTTATTGCGCCGGAGTAAGACATGCATGGGACATGGCCTGTGATGGCACCCCTAGGTCCATACTCCACTGTATCAAATTGACCATCAAGTCAGTCTGATTCTTGCCACAACTCCTCCCCTTACATGTCCCAACAACCGAGTTGATGGAACATCGGGTTTGAGAACGGTCTTCTCGCCCCGCTGCCTCCTACCATCCCCCTCGAATACCCTAACAGTGTGATAATCCAGCCAAGAAAAGTTCCTTCCGTGCTCACTTGACAGACCCACTAAACAGCTGGAGACGCATGTGGTGCTGTGCAGGTTGCCACCTTGTGCTCCCTTTTAAATATAGGCCGGGAAGTCATCAAACCCCACCTCGACAAGAGCGTTTGGCAGAACCTCGCTCTATGCGTGAGTTGACGGGGGAGAAAACGCCGTTGCTATTATTTAGGAATCGAAGAGAAAGAGATGTAGGTGCGTACAGTGGCCTTGGGAGGGTTCTTGAAGGAAGGCATTGTGTAACTTGATCTATATGCTTTCAGATCTGAGCGAGCAGAGCGTAAGGCATGAGGCAGTATATTCGGCTACTGACGCCTTGGACCATTCACGTAACCAGGATAGGAGTTGGGTGCTTCTCCAACTGCTCCTGGTTTTGGAGCACGCAACCGTTCAGGTCATCTGCTATGTCAGGCGTGGGCCGAAGATACCCTCACTATTTTTCTCTTTAATTATTTTGTATACGATATTAACTGTTCTGCTAGATGAGCAGGATCATCGGATGGAGGATAGTATTGGGACCTAGCGAGATTGTGGTGGACCCAATCATTCGAGAAGGTACTCACGCCACTTGTCATTGTTCAAGTAGACCACCATGGATGGTAAGTAGATTGAGATGGGAAATAGTCCACATACTATATAAGAGTAATCTTCAAATTGTGGAACCATTCGATTAATATAGTCGCCGTGGCGTTCGAGGAACTGAACCGAGTCGATGACAAGGAGCACGAAACGAATCCACGCCTACTAGTAAGGGCAATGGCATTGTACAAGTCCGAGTCATACTAACCATGGACATGCCCTTCTGAAGCAAAGTCAATAATCTCGCAGTGAGGCTCAAAAAATACGGTTGGCTTCAACGCCCGTGTGTTGATTGGTTGCTTGCGATAGAGATAACGCACCTCGCATAGAGCGGGCAGGCCATGAACCCAACCCGCTGAAACTTCAAGTCTAGGACATGTAAAAGTGTTGCTAGGCTGGTACCATATCCCTGCAATATGATAGCTCTGGTCAAAGGGCTACTTCAACAAGAGGCAATGGATGACTCCTTCCCGGGCTACTGGTTGCGGCGGCCTTGGGTCGCTCTTCTCTTGTATGGAACGACCGACAACAAGGCAGGTGCGACCGGATCCTTGCCTGACCCAGAGAGGAGACGCACCTTCCTAGATTAGACTAGGAAGGAACAGGCCGGGGGTACAGCGGTCCGGGGTCGCCGGTCGTTCTTTCCTTCTTGGCTTGGTTGCTGTTGGGGAGGGGCCATAGGCTCGTGTCTACTCACCAAACATTCTCTTCATCTGTCTCCAAAGTTCTTGTCTAAGCATAACAATTCTTATCATTACCTATATCGCCAAGGGTAGTCTTGATAGTAAGCTCCATTTCCTCCGATCTCTTCATTTCCTTCGTACGTTGCGCATAGGGCCAAAGCTATAAGCGCGTGAATCAAGATAACCTTGGAAGACTAGGGTTCTCTGTCCAGGCGCACTGGAGACATCTTGCACCCGGCTTAGGGTTATCCACCAGGTTCTGCGAATATCGAATCATCAAAGAAACTGCTTCAGCTCACCACAGTAGTCGACATCCTCGTAATTTAGCCCGGATCCGTAGAGCTCAGGAATGATCTGGACATAGAAGTTGGCCGCAGCATCCGTCTGCACGAGTCCGATGTAGTCGGCAGAGTGATATTTGCAGCTGGCCATTACCCAGTCATCGGCGATTTTGCCTGGCATCATGTCCATGTTCGCCTGGGTCAAGAAGCGACTTCTGGCGCGTGGTGGCGGCTATCTTGAAGCCAGGGCCGGTCGCGCGCTTCTGCAGTGTCGCGGCAGCTTTGTCGTCACCGGACAAAAGGGGAGTTCTACAGTCGCCGGCGAGATTCAAGTTCAGGTCACCGTTATCGTGGTGGTTGAAGCCAACGTCGTATTCATCAGTGTCGTTGCCGAAGCCTTACATGTTGCGAACTATGACGCGAGAGACCAGCGAGGGTTCGCCGTCACGCTTCGTTAGACTCGGGAAGTAACTCATACGGCGCTGCTTGTGCCAACTTTGGCAGTGACTCTGCCAAGCGTCTTGCAGGTCGATGGAATTGTGCGTTTCTCGAGCGTCGCGAGCGCATATCCCGCCTCGTGTATAGTGCACCCGTCGATTTTGGGAATGGTGCCAACGGGGCTGGCATCTTTGTTATGGCCACAGGGGCATCAGAAACTAGGCCACTGCTAGCTAGCCGGGCGCACAGAGAGCTAGAGAGCTAGAGAGCTTCATTTCGAGAGAGAGAAAAAAACATGAGTACCAGTTGTTGAGAATGGGAAGTCGCAAGTAGCTCGGTCAGAGAAATCTCAATGTTTTATCTCTATATTTTAGTAGGGCTTGGCCGCAACGGTGGCTGTGATATCAGGACTCGGTACTGTTTCCATATTCTCGAAAGGCAAAGTGGACATGGACCCAGCAGGGCTCCGAGAACCCCAGTGTGGGTATCCTAGCATCAAATGTTAGATGTCTAAGTCGCTTGTTGGTTTCAAGCTGCAGGATTGCCCGTTGAACCCCTCAAGTACTATTATAAGACCAGATAATGGCTTGTGCTGGTCCGCATTGCTGAACAGCAATCCAGAAAGCCGCTGATGCAGCTTGCTAGGTCTAGAAGCCAAACCTGGGTCAGTAATCCTGCTAGTATCAGGAATTCAGGTTATGTTTACCACTAGTGCGATATCAACTGTTCCGTGGTTTAAGCCTTCCACCAACGAGGCTAAGATTCAATAGACTGAAGCAGGAGCAACCAAGGGTCAAGGGACAGGAGTGGGGGCACATTGTAGCTTCGCATTACTGCTACTAGAGATATATCACTACTTAGGGCATCCGCTCGCTGAGCTAGTTGGATAATCCAAGACTGCTTGAACACCACCCAAGAATTGTCGCTTATTACCCAGCTCAGCCTTTACTCTCGTAATAGTCATTGTTGCCTTTGGTCAACTACTAACTGACTCCAGTGCGGTTGAAACATAAAAGTGCTCATAACCCACTTGGCCAGCTCATTTACATCAACATCTAGGTAACCATACCATTCGGAGTTCTGAAACCTTGCAGGCTGTAATGGATAGTATCAAGCAGACTCTTTCATTGTGGGGAACCACTTGTGTAAGGCACGGAGGAGAGGAGAACCACAATTGTCCTGGTTTGGTTTCTTTACTGTAAGAGATTTCGGTGCATGTTATTAACCTGGTCTAAGCACTTTAGCGAGCCGCTAGTTGTCAGCTTGCCTGTTCATTCTACCAGAAGCGTGCCAAAGTACAGCTATGGTGTTTCCGGGGAGATGTGCATCCAGAACTACAAGCTCGATCTCTGGAGTTAGATGAGAGCACGTTGTATAGCAGGGTCGAACCAAAACTAATTTGCTTTCAAAGGACCTTCCAGCCCAAGAGCAAGTCTAAGATACCAATATACGTTCCCTAGTTCGGCCTAAGCTTGGGTCAAGAATTATAGGGCTCATCCCAGCCGGGGCAATCACGTCCGCGAACTCGAGGGCGAACGCCTCGCGGCGCCGCGCACTTTCACGCTCCCAGCTCATCCCAAAACTATGCCAGGTGTCGCCGCTAAGCTCGATATAGTCAAAGTCGGGTTCATTTGCTGCGGGGAGGCCACAGAGGTCCCGCGCCTCTTCAGGTAAGAGCCCCCAACATAGGGCTATAAGCTTACAAGGGGCTTTGTAGAGTTGGCTATATAGAACTAACTTACTTGCCTAGTATCCTAAGGTCAGCGCTCCTTATCCCTTATCCCTCTCCATCCCCTCAAATCCCACTGACTCGTCTCCTTCGCATATTGTTCTAAAGCCTTGGGATCATGCGCCTTCTCCTTGATCCTCAAAGGTTTGGGTACATGGAATCCCCAAGAGATACCAGGCCTCGCACTCAACGTTTCCTCCCACTTCTTCAGCGCCGGGAATTCGCCAAGATCAACATTGACGTACGGAGCATATATAACCTAGGACAGAGCCGCAATGCCCGCAATAGATAGATCATCCCCGACCAGGAATCCGTATTCCAACTTGGCGAGGTGAGTGTCGAGGACGCGGCAGACACGGCGCGTTTCGTTGATGTAGCATCAACCGCATACTGGATCTTTGTGGGTGCGTAACGGTAGAAGTGCGCCGCTTGGCCTTGCATGGGGCCGATTCTTATCAATCTAAGGTGAGTCAAGAACCTAGGACAGGTATCAAAAGTAGAGGGGGTATAGCCACTCATCATATCTTGCTATCTTGTGTCTGGTTGGTCCTCAGCCCTTCCGGCAAGGCGATTCTCGCGTCCAGCGCGAGAAAGGTTTTTAGTTAACGGTGGTGGCTTGTAGTCAAGAAAGGCAAGATCAGCATCTATATCCCACCCATATAAAGCCGCCAGACCACTTAATTCACACTCTGTTGGTAGGCCAGCAACAACGCCACCTAAATATCAAGTTAGTCACGGGGAATAGGGGCCAACTTAGGAGACGCACCACAACGATCCTCTCGGCTCGCTCTCCAGTTCCTGACACGGTCCCTTAGGATCTCCCTAGGCACATTCTGAGTTGTGGAATTAACATGTCTGGCTCTAGGAGAGCCAAGAGCATTGGCGTCCTTCAGCATCTGTGCAGTTGAGGTATAATGGCTGAGCCATGCCTTCCGGATTATGGAGTCGACACCCCCATGCTGCGATTGGACCAGGGGTAAAACCACCGTCCCATGACTGTTGACAGTGAGATCAGGTTTCCTTCCAAATTCCACATAAAACAATGAGATTTGTTGCTGGAAGGGCGCAACCTCATAAAAAATCCAGATCCTGGGAGTCCAACACGAGTTCAATTTGCATCATGTACACTTCGGCCTTGATATCATAATCATTCATCGAACCGTGGTTATTAATGAAGGGTGTTGGCGAGCGCTCTTCCAAATCAATGATTGGAAACATCCGATGCGCGATAGAAATGGCGGCGTTAGTCAAGTACCCGTTGGTGCTCCCAGCTAAGGGTACAATATTGCTCTCATCGTCACTAGTCTCCGGTGTGTCCACGTCTTCCTCCTCCCCCTCATCCTCATCATCATCATAAGACTAAAAGTGTACTCGAAGCAGGTGTTCGCCTCGATACCCGAGATCAACACCCTCGAAGAAGTCACGCCATGGGATACGCCTTGTTTTAATTCTTCATGAATAGGCAAGGCCCTCGCTGATAGACTTGTAGGATTTGTTCGGGCGGCACACCCATCGAGGATAACAGTCTCCAAATAGCGGCACCTGCCGGTTAATCCAGGAACATTGCTCCCTTTGCCATGGCCTAGAATGCTCCTCAGACCTTGCTAGACATGCCAAGCACCCACTGGGGCATGCGTGCAGCCTTCGCTGGATGAAGTACCGAGGAATGCGACTGCAAATAGTGGGACGGGTGGATTCGACGATCTTGTGCGTTTCTTCACCTGTTCTCTTTTCTCACTTCTATCGCTAGTGCAGAGATCTGACAGCGCGTAGTCAGCTCGAACCACCACCTCCTCGGCACAGCAGCCATGCTCCCCCGGGAACTAGGTGCCGTCGTCGATCCACAGTTGGTCGTGTACGGGACGGAGAATTGCGTGTTGTCGAGGCGTCGGCGCTGCCGACGCAGATTAGTGGGCATCTCACGAGTACTTTGTATGCCGTTGCGGAAAGGGCGGCGGATATTGTCAAGGAGCGGTGAGGGCTTGATGTTTCGTGAATGCTTTTCGAATTTGAAGAGGTGTTTGTGAGGATTGTCTCAGCCTGGGATTGTACTGAGTACTGGTCATTTAGCTGTTGGTAGTTTCATGAAAGGGTAGGATTGTGATGTGTGATGAGGACATACTTTTTTTGGGAAACAATAGTGACATGTAGTCATTGCATGCCTTGGTTAGTGAGATCAAGTTGGAATGTTGAGTGAGCTGTTAAGTAACAAAAGAATACATTTTGATATATCAGCGACAGTTGCGTACTGTACAGGACACGCTACATCTCCCCCTCTCGCATCTCGCATCTATCTATTAAATCAACCACAAGCAGGGCACATTGCAAAACGACAAATCATCGACAGACGAACATAACAAACGCTATTCTAGCTAGCAAGATTCACGCTCTTCCTCGCTTAATAGGCGTTTCGGCTCATGTCCGCCCGGATGCGGTTGTAGTCGAGGAGACCCTCGATGCTGCCCACGGCGCTGAGGGCGATGTCCTGGTCCCACAGTTTGCGGTTGGCGAAATCCATGACGTCCTTCTCGGTGATCTGGCCGATTGTGCGCTCAATGTCCTCGGGCGACAGGCGGCGGCCGGTCGTGATGATCTGGCGGCCAATGTCTTCGGCGACGGCGGTGGTGCCGTCCAGGGAGAGGAGGATCGAGGCCTTGAGCTGGGCCTTGGCGCGGTCGACCTCGGCGGCGGTGACGTTGAAGGAGAGGCGGGACCATTCGCGGAGAGCGAAGTGGACGAGGTCGTCGAGGCCGGTCATATTCTCGGAGACGAGGTAGATACCCCAGAGACTGAACAATTAGTAACTTCATCATCTATGAGTTGTAAGAAGGGGCTTACCCAGTATCGCTGTAGCTAGTGGAGAAGGACATGAAGCTGTTGGCGAGGTTGTTGCGCTCGACGAAAGAGCTGAGCTTGCTGCCGAGATAAGGCGAGTTGCCCATGGCACGATCCCAGTTACCGACGATAGCCTGAGCAACGAGAGCGGTAAAGTAGTCGTCATCCTTCCAGCTGACACCCTCGACGGCAAGGGCAATGTGAGCGGTGGGGAGGGTGTCGTCACGGACACGGACCTCGGAACCGATGAACTCGGGCTGGCGCTTCTGCTCGGCAGTGAGAGCGAGAGCGGCGGAGGTCGGGGGCTTGTTGGGGAGGGAGCCAAAGTGCTGCTCGGCGAGCTTGACGAGCTGCTCGTGGGGGATGCCACCGGCACCGACCAGGACCATGCGGTCGGCGGTGTAGTTGGTCTTGATGTAGTCGGTCAGGTTGTCGCGGGAAATGGTCTGGATGTTCTCCCTGGGGCCGAGGATCGTGCGGCCGAGGGGCTGGTGCTGGTAGGCAGTGGCGTGGAGGTGGTCAAACACAACCTCCTCGAGCTGCTTGTCGACCTCCTCCTGCTCACGGAGGATCACGTCCCTCTCGCGCTCAATGGCGGCAGGCTCCAGCTTCGAGTTTTGCAGGATATCGGCGAGGATATCGACGGCCTTGGGGACATCGTTGTTGAAGGACTTGGCGTAGTAGACGGTGTTTTCTCGCTGTGGCAGACTTGTTAGTTGCAGACCAGGTATGGTATTCCGTCATTCCGAATCCTACCGACGTGTAGGCGTTGAGGTGAGCGCCCATGTTCTCAATCTCGAGTTCCAATTGGTGCTGCGAACGCTTGCTGGTGCCCTACAACATATTAATTGTTGCCAACCAGCAATTTGTATCGGGGTACACACCTTGAAGGCAAGGTGCTCGAGGAAGTGCGCGGTTCCGTTGGTCTTGTCAGTCTCTGCCCGGCTACCGGCATCGATCCAGACGCCGACGGTCGAGGTCTGAGCCCATGGCGAGTACTCAGTGGCGATCTAAAAAGTCAGCAGGAGCAATTACACGAGTCAATGGCCAGCCGTACCGTGAAGCCGTTGCTGAGGGTGGTGGACTGGGTGGTGGACGGCAGGGTGACGGGAGACGCAAAGCCACGCTTGACGGGCTGGATGGACTTCAGGGCGGCGCGACTGCGCAGAGCCTGGTTGAGGTTGAAGGCTAGGCGCCGGGAAGCCATTGTGAGCGGATGATAAGGGTGTGTGGAGGGGGAGGGAGGGAGAATAGGGATGGTTGGACTGGGCGACCGCTGGAGTTGAGATGCGAGGTTGAAGTTCGGGAGTCAAATTGTTCGCTGGCCCGCCAGCCAATCACATGACCCGCTTTTCCAACGACCGCTTTGAGATCCCGGCCTTTTCCTGCCCCCGTCCTATTCGTTGCATCATACCACCGCTGTGAGTATGGAGAACTGAAGAAGCTACAAACAGGATGAATTTCTCAACTATCAACCTCATTCTCAATCTATTACAGCCCCAAACTCTTCGCATACCTCCTCACATTCTCAATCATCGGAATATCCGCCTGGAATCCCAGTTTCAACGCCCTCTCCGGATTAAAATGCGGTGACCACGTCTGCACAATCCGATCAATGTCCTCATCATACCGCTCCTCAACAAGCGCCCTCCTCTCCTTCCCGCCAACCTCCTCCAACGCATCCAACATCTCCTGAACAGTAACCTTTAACCCAGGCAGATTCACCGACCTCGAGTCCCCAAACGCCTCAGCGGGCACTGTCGCCGCATGGATCAGGTTCTTCACAACAGTGTACGGCGAGCAGATCCACATCTCGACCTCCTTGCTCACGGGGAGAATCGCCTTCTCGCCATTAAGGGGCTCGCGGATGATCCCGCTCGCGAAGCTGCTTGCCGCTTGGGTTGGTGCGCCGGCTCGCACGGTGACGGTGGGTAGACGGACGGCGCGGCCGTCGAGGAAGCCGCGGCGCGAGTAGTCGTTTAGCAGAGTTTCGATGATGAGCTTCTGCGAGCCGTAGGAGGAGCTAGGCACGGGCGGGAAGTTTGTCTCGTCGATGATGAACCCCGGTGGTGCGAGGCCGTAGACTGCTAGACTTGATGTAAAGACGACCTTTACCCCGGGCTGCACGGTGCGGAGTCTATCGAGGATGTATCGCGTTGAGTCGAGGTTGACGCGCATGCCGAGCTCGAAGTTTGCCTCTGAGCCGCTGGACATGATTCCGTGGAGGAGGTAGACGGTTGTGTAGCGGTTGGACTCTGTGAAGAGCTCGTCGACGACGGCGGTGGAAGTCAAGTCTGCCTTGATGCATTTTGTCCGCGAGGCGTGTTGCGTTGCAGATGCAGGGACTTGGGGTTCGACGACGTCTGTGAGGGTCACGGTGATGTCGGGGGAGCTAGCGAGCAGGGCAGAGGCGAGCTCCTGGCCGACGTAGCCGCTTGCACCGGTGATGATAATTGACATGGTAGGCTCTCGTAGAGTTGTTGAGACCAAGGGTAAGTATTTACAAAGGATGATCAGAGAAATATGCTGGTCGTTCAACGTTGAATATGTATTCCTGCCTGCGGGGCAGCCCCGGGATGCATTCCCCCGCTCTGCAACCCCCTTCCATATGCGAATCCTGTGATTCTCTCGATAATCGACTCTGATTAGTTGAGGGTGATGAGGTGTCCACGCAGTTCTTCCGACGGGACATACAGTCGGGGACGAGTCCGATGCCGAATTGGTTGGGTGGTCACAGAACTTGGTAGGGACACGGCGGAAGTCCGAGATATGGATGGTGACTTGGAGACGGAGTATCTACGAGCGATTACGTACAGTAAACGATTCATTGCTGGGAGAACGTCGATACTTACGAGAATAGGTAGATAAGTCTACTACTAGTAGTAGGAATAGTGAATCGTAATGAATTAACTCCATACAATGTCTGGTCAAGAAACACATCTAAATTCCTGACTAGAGCAAAAAAAAAAGGAAAAACATTCAAATAAATCGTAGCACACTCGACGCCAGGACAAGTCACGAAAGGATTAAGACATAGCCAGAAATGAGAAGAAACCGTGATAAAGGAACAACTGCCGTACTACCGTGCTTTTTGTGTGTGTCATTTATCCAGAACGCTTGTAGAGACCAGCAACGATACAGTGGTCTCGCTCAAAGGGCTCCAACGTCAGCTGCTCCTTGGGCTTGATCTTCTCGTCTCGCATCTTCTGCACCTCGCGCGCAAACACGACTTCCGGCTTGGCCGTGCTGTCGATACAGCTGGCCTTGATGGAGATGATGACTCCACCCTCTTGCTTGAGGAACATGTGGGCGTTCAGGCCGACAATACGGGCCTGGTCGGGCTGGGCCACGTCGGCGAAGATGACGTCGACCATGGGCACGAGCATGCGGTAGCGCAGCGGGTGTCTGGCGTCCTCGACGATGGGGATGACGTTGGTGCGGTGCGTGGCCATGCCGATCAGGTCACGGCCGGAACGGTGCGAGAACTCGACGGCGTAGACGTTTCCAGTCGGGCCGACAATGTCAGCGACGTGAGAGACGGAGGTACCGCTGGCGGAACCAAGGTACAGAACCTTGGAGCCGGGGCGCATGAAGATGTCGTCCATACCACCGAGGATACCGGCAGCCAGCTTGGAACGGAAGGGGTTCCACACGCGGTACTCGGTCTTGGTGACGGCGCCATCCTCACCGGCAGGGCCCTCGACGGAAATGCGCTTCTCGCCGTAGACAGCCTCGCCGGGGGTCAAGTTCTTGGTAACGAGCAAATCTTCCTTGCCGCCGCGGGCGACGAAGACACCGGCGTGACGGTGGGGTTCCTTTGAGAAGATGTCACGTAAGTAAACGACTGAGATTCTCCAATAAGAAGATCAACTCACAATGATAACCTTGGCGCCACCCTTAGCACCCTGAGCACCTCCGCGACCACCACCGCGACCGCCACGGCCACCACGGCCACCGCGAGGGGCACCACGACCGCCTCCTCCACGGCCACGGGGAGCACCACCGCCGAAGCCACCTACAGGCAAGACGAATTAGCAACGATCTTGGTCAAAAGAATACTGCGGGCTCAGAGCTGTGAATTCGCACTCGCTGGTCGAAGCTAAAATGGCAACGACTGAGCCGGGTCCATGACGAACACCGCCGGCGATAACCCAAGCATCTAAAGCCACTAGTATCAGAGATCGCAGTCGGTCATGACAAACCTCGACCACCACCACGGCCACCACCGCCGCCACGGGGAGCACCGCGACCACCACCGCGACCACCGAAGCCGCCGCCTCCACCGCGTCCTCCTCTAGGGCCACCGAAACCCATTATGTGATATGTTTGATGCGTGTGTGTAGAAAAAAGTGTTCCGAATAAGGATCGTCAGCCGCACAAAAAGGCTGTTGATGGACCGCGAGAGCTGGACCGAAGAGTCGAAAAAGCCGGTGGAAGGACGATTGGGAGACTTCGAGATGGCGAAATCGTTAATTTTTGAATGTTAGATAGCTGGCGGTTGCGCAACTCACTGGAAATTCACGCCCGGATTGCTTGTCAAGAATGGGTCGAGGCCGTGTAGCTCGCTGGTGTTGCGGACGAGTTTTTTCAGACAGACTTTGGGATCTTTCGAAAATCTAAAGCCGCTAGTGCGTTTGTGGATTAGCTTCCTCCAAGCTGTGGGAACCTCTGCACGTGATCTGCTCCAGACGAGGTCACGTGGGGCGCACATGAGCATATCTCCTCGATCGTGAAACACAAAGTGCAGTAGGAGCTGGAATGAGGGATATAATCATCAACCTCATCTCGAGAGCCCTGCTAACTTTTAGAAAAACAAGCATCTCACCATGCTGACGAAAAAGGAAGGTTCTACCAGCCCCCGGGGCGCCGGCCAACCCCGTCACCTTCGACACTGAGTTCCCGATTGCTCCGTCTATGTTGTCCTGGCTCAATATGAGCAGTAGTATATCGGTTGAATGGTGTAGGACACCATTTTTCCGTCTTGAAGCAGCAGTCTAATTGAGCTTTCTCGGCTAGTCTCCTGAGGGCAAGCCCGGGGTTTTATGCTCTCTTGGCGCCTTTTCGGAGTTCCTCGGGGCAATATATCTAGTGACCAACAACCTTCATCTCAGCTCTCACGGTCCATGAGAATCCAAGATGTTGATGTCTGCTGACTCGAATACTAGCTACATCGTATACAAGCCAGGATCACATTCTGTTGAGGGCCCAATGTGTGTTCCAGCCTGTTTCAGGCATATCCCGTACAACGGGGCAAGATGACATCAGCATGGATGCGCCTTGCCCGCTTTCTTGCAACGATACGCAGGTTTAAAGTTCTGCATATGCCGCCAGCTCTCAAGGGAGCAGGCAATACGCTGGACCACTGGGGCACTGTGCGAAGGCAGAGGAGCATAGCTGGAAGTACCAGGGGTGTTAGCGCCGGATTTTAGGGCCGGACCTACGAGGGCTCCGGGGGTTCCAGATATGCTGTGGAGTTTGATTAGACGAGGGAGCCATTGGGCTAGGACCTGGAGTAAGCAGATGGAGAGCCTCGATTGGATCTAATGGCGAGAGTATAGGCTCATCAAGGCCGCCTGTTGGCTGATGGGTGCTAGTATGGGTGCTGGTGCTTCAGCCGCAAATTCCAACGGGGATATATGCCACCCACGGGCATTCTTCGGTCAGCCTTGCTGACAGACGATTGCAAGCAAAGTTTACTCAAGCCTAGAGTGTGTCGTTTATAAGAAGCTCAACCGCCCAGCCCTGACAGCGTTTGCATTCGGTCTAGGCAGGTCAAACTGCTATTAACCGGGAACACTGTGTAACAACCGCAGCTTAAGAGCAGTCTTCCCAGTCCCTCCAATCTTCACACTTTTTTCTGTTGCACACAACAAGTGTATGTCGACCAACATGCCCGGCACGATAATCATCACCGGCGCAAATGGCTCCCTCGCCACGCCAGCAACCGAGCTCCTCCTCTCCAAGTACCCAGACTACACTCTAATCCTCACAGGACGCAACCCAGAGACAATCCGCACTACAAAGGCCGCAAAGAACGTCAGCATCCGTAAGCTAGACCTCTCCGACTTATCAGCAGTCCACGAATTCGCCACGAGCATCGCGTCCGAGATCCAAGCCGGAACCCTCCCACCACTAGCGAGCATAATCTGCAACGCGTATTACTGGAACCTACGCTCAGCGCCTGAAACTACAACCGACGGACTCGAGAGGACCTTTCAGATTAACCACATCGCGCATGCCACGCTCGTTCTGCGGCTTCTAGGGCAATTTGATCGGGAGGCTGGCGGCCGTGTCGTGCTGTTTAGCAGCGACGCGCACTGGCCTGGAAAGAACGGGCTAGAGAAGATTCCACCGGCGATTCCGGACGATTTGACGGCGCTGGTTGTGCCGGAGCAAGATGAGAAGGCGGATGTCATGGGTCGTGGGTTCCAGCTGTATGCGAATTCGAAGCTGGCGATTGTTATGTGGATGTATGCTTTGAATCGACATTTGGAGCCGGTGAGTGCCTTTCTTTCACTATTTTCGTTGATGCGATATATACTAATGAAGCGACAGGACCTCGCCCTCAACAAAATCACCGCGGTGGCAGTCAATCCAGGAAATCTCGCAGACTCTCGAGCCCTTAGAGTCAACACTCCGGTCTTTCTCAAGATCATCTCGTTCTTGATCATTCGCCCATTTCTCTTTCTTCTCCGACGGTTCTCAGACCCCACAATGCGCACTTGCACAGAGGCAGCGGCTGATATCGTCGAGTTTGCCACCAACACAGCTAGGCCTGGGGAACGCGGGTACTACACACTTTCCCACAAGGACGAAAGTTCCCCGGACAGTTTGGACCAGGCTAAGCAGGATGCGCTTTGGAGCAAGACGATCGAGTGGGCGGGGATCACGGGCGAGAATACTGCTCTGAAGATTGAGCATTTGTATGTTGATAATAACCCGAATTAGGGATATGAAGCAGGACGCAGTCACACCTCAACCGCGCACCCAGATCTCCCAGCTCTCCTCCACTTTTAACTGTTTGAAAAGCCGAACATATACAGGATCTCTACCAAGCAGACTATCCCAAGGAGTACTGTCAGCCCCTTTGGTGGCGACGTTGATACGATGGATGTCCCATCTAGATCCAGTATCAAGGCCTTCACTTGCTGTAGCAACGCCAAAGTTTCCGTTATGCTAGGAAAAGGCATCTCTAACCTGGCCAGGCTACTGAGCCCCATGTAGCCTGCGAGAATAGTTATCAATTCCATGTCATCTGTTTTTGTTTCGCGTCCCTGCCACTCCGGTTGAGGTGCTACTAGAGAATATAGTAAGGCATGGACAGCACATGGATATGCAATAGCAAGGCACAAAACAACACCTGATTCCAGCCACTATCCTACAACTTCATCCGCAAACCCCAACCCCGTACTAAGCCCATACGTAAAAAGCGTCCCGATCAGGGACCCTGCCACGCCCTGGTACTCCTTGACACAATACTACACGCAACGATCTGCCCCGCGACGAAGACCACATCGCCGCTGAACGCGGCGAGAATCATTGCTAGAAATCTCATCGCCCAGAAGGATTGATTTTCGGGCGTCGTTGTGAGGAGGACGTTGATAACCGCTGCGCCGATGCACCCCGCCGAAACGATCACCTACGCTGGCATCCAGGAAATTGCGCATGCGGCGAGGAATGCGGATGTGACGCCCGCGATTGCCATGGGGGGGCCGCGAGAGCCCGACGAATACGGGGTCCCAGTGGCGGATGTTCGGTAGGGAGAAGATGGCGTACCGGATGTAGATGCCTAGGCTCGTGAAGATGAAGAAGGGGGCTAGGACGATTGCGCTGAAGGATGGGGGTTTCCAGAGCCCCGGGGGGAGGATTTGACTGCGTGCGAACGGGGCTTCCCAGATTAGGAACCAGGTGAAATGGGCGATTGCTATGATGAGCAGGATGGATTCGTATGGCTTGTCCTCGCCGACGAGTGGGGGCTTGGCTTTGAATTGATCGATTAGTTTATCTGCAGACAAACTGGAAAGGGTGTGCTTTCTTCCACACAAAGTTGAACAATATCAACCCACCGACAGCCAGGTACGAGCCGATCCAATCTATATCACCTTTCGGGTCCAAGGCTTCGTCTTCTACAACAGATATGACTGCTGCGCCAAAGACTATCAGACCCAAAATCGCTCTTGGGGCTACAATTAGCATGTCGCAGAGAGGGGCGTCTGAGTTCGGGGCGATTATGGGACTACACTGCACGGGGTTGTTGCAGGGCGGGGCAATCCCAGTGAGATGGGCTTCAAATGGCCGGGATTAGGGTTTCAACTCGTTGGTTTGAGGTCAGAGTCTGCACATGCAGCTTGGGAGTTAAGAGAGTAGGCATCGGGGAGCTAGGCTTCTTACGGAGTGCAGGAAGAAAGATGGACGTCATTTCTCGGCTTACACGTCTACATCGACGGGGCCTACAAAAGCAACGACTCTGCCAATCTGATCTGCACATTCCCAAGATTAAACTATATACAAAAGAACCCAAGAACCCGCAGACACCGGAACCCACCCCGAACCTATTGCCCATAAATATAATAATTCGCCGCATACTCAACCGTAAACTGCTCCTTCAACCCCTCACAGGTCTTAGGCGGACTGCCACCGGCGGTATCAACACGATAAACACCCGTAAATCGTCCAATGGTCCCATTCGTCGCACTAAGATACAACCACGCAACGGCGCCATCCGCACCCTGAATCGCCGTGTCGGGAGCCGGGAGATCCGCGTCCTTCTTCACTTTCGCGATCCCGAGCTGTCGTTGCGGCGTCGTGTCAAGGTTGAAGACGGGAACTTTGCCCTCGAAGAAGTGGTGGCCGATCAGGTTGATGTTTGCGGGGGCCATGGGGGCGGATTCGACATTGGGGAGACGCATTCGGTAGGCGATTGCGGGGAGGAGCTCGATCATGTCGGGGAAGTTTGCGGCGTAGCAGGTGGCGTTGTAGAGGCGGGCGACGGCGCCGACGGCGACGGGTTCGGAGTCTGAGGTTGAGGTTGCACAGGTGTAGTTCTATTTTTGTGTGTTAGCAATGTGTTTCAGGCTGTTTGCTTGGTGGACTAGTTTGTTTGTGGTATTGGGATCTGGCCTGGATGGCTGGCTGGCTGGGAGAATTTGTTTGCTTCTTTACCTGGGTGCCGCGGCCGAGAGCCACATACAGTGGGCGATGGCCGTCTGTGGGGGCTGGAAGGCCTGATGCGAAGGAAGGGAGGGTGATTGTGGATGGATCGCAGGAGAGCGAGTTGTCAAAGACGTCTTCAACTCGCGAGATATGCCTGCTCACGCGGCCGAGGTATTCGGCGACATCGTCTGAGAAGTCGTACAGGTTGCTAAAGACGGGGGCAGCGGAGACAGTCGACGCTGCGAGGCAGCTGGCGATGAAGAGAATTGTATGCATTCCGGATGCTGGTCAATTCAATTTTTGAGTGACGAGAAGATCTTTAAATAAGTGAAGTAGATGTAAGATGTTGTAAAGTAGGCGGCCTCAAAGGAATAGAGTGGAGAGTCTGTAAGCACGCGACAAAGGAATGATGACCACCAGGGTATCAAGCGCTGACAAAAAGACAGAAAGTGAAATCAAAAGACGACGAGAACTTTGCACTTGAAGAATTGAATTGAAGATTGAAGAAGAAAGACCGCTGCAGCCAGGTGGCTGGCAGGGAAGTTATATAACACCCGAAACGGCAGTGATGGCCACCTGCACGATGGCGGGTACGACCATGCAGACAAGAAGCGACAGGGATCCTCTATCCGAGACTCCAAGTGCGGGAGCTATAAACAGCACCGAGTGAGAGGCCTCGTGAAAGCGCCTGTGAGGAGCCAGCGGTCCTGAGCTCGCCCATTGGGCCCGGTATGCGCTGACAAGCAAACCGCCTGGATCCTTCAGCTTGTCCCAATCTGGGGCAAACACCTGAGTAAAAGTGCCCTTGTGCAAGCCCGAGGCACATGGGAAGTGTGATTGGCTTCCCCTGCAGGAGCAGCGCACGCTCATTCGTAGAGTATTCCCCGGAGATCTAATAATATCGACGTCGGCGCTTAGAGATCGCCCTAGAGGCTTAGCTGCAGAAAAGCAAGAGAGAGGTCAATCTCCCACCTGCAGCTAATCGGAAGGTAACCTCAGGCGTGCCTCCAATAAAAGCTGGCTATTTTTGGTCGGCGTCAGAAGAATGAGCATTGTTGAATAATCGTAGATCCATCATTTCTGATCGAGATCGAGACTCTCCACCCGGCACTTTTCCTTCTCGGCGGGGATGACCAAGACAACCACGATCTCTCAACCTAACCGAATGGACGATAGCCCATTGTCGATCCAATCATGGCATCGCGGGATTCTCCCGAAGCGCCGACCCAATATCGAAGCTTGCCTCTCGCATACGGTCTGTTTCAGCAGTGACATGATGCAGCGCGACGAGAGGTGGTGAGAGCTCCGTTTGCCATTGCAACCCTGAACGGTGCCTGGCGTCTGCAGGTTAGTGGCTTGAGTAGCTCGGGGGTTAATTGTCTTACCAAGTAGTAACCATCATGGGAAATGTTCTTGTGAGCTTTGTGAAGGGCGCAAGGTAACACAGGCTGTCAGGGCGTTGGAGCGGCGGCTAGAATTCCCCGCAACGCCAGCGTTTACGGTCCTCTTTTGGCCTAACAGAACATTTCACCAATCAACGCCCGGGTGGTCTAGGGTATGTGTTTCTTCAACAATATTTCCAAGTTTCCGTTCTAACAATCTCACAGTATGATTCTTGCTTAGGGTTCACCCTTAGCATATATGCGAGAGGTCCTGCTCGATTCGCGGCTCGGGCCGTTCTTCTTTTGTCTTCTTTCCCTTCAAATCGAGAATGCAATCGCTAAATAGTTGGATTCAGTGTGGTTTTGGATCTACGTTCATGGCTCTATACAGTTTGTCCATGTGAGCAAGTTACAGCGACCTTCTTGGTTGAACATGGTGATGCGTCTCGCTGTGTGAATGGCTCCAGTGCCATCTGGAAACCCGAGACGGGAACGGTCTCGGATCCAGCACGATGAGATAATGCCCATCCATACATGATACAGCATATCCCAGGACCACTGATCCCATACTTACAAGATACGAGAACAGCGAGCCGCGGAGATATCTAAATACGTATTCTCGCCCAGTATACCCAATCCCGGGATATATCATGCCCTCGCCAACCCAGGATGACCGTCGGTCGTGTCCCCTGCAGAGTCCAAGCGCCGCCAATACACCCAGATTTACATATCCTTGCCTCAGACAGTATAGTTGCCTGTTTTATGTGCTTACTAGTATGTACTATGCTAGCTACTGATGAGGTCGGCGCGTAATCGTATGCGCACCCCGCTCTTGATACCCTGTCAGAGTTCTTCATGCCCTAGCCGCCCACCTGCAGGTAGAAGTGCCTGGGTTTATTCACTAACTAAAAGGAACTTGGAGGGTAGCGTATGAGAGATTTTATTGGATGGGTGCTGGTATACTTGGCTTTGATGCTATTGTTGGGTTATCATGACGAGGATAACTTAGATAGGAGTGATATCGGTATATTCAGCTTTGGTGAAGGGAAGTCAAACTAGTAGCAAGGGTGTGTGACTGGCCATTTCGAGTAGGGTTTCTACAAAGTAGTGTCTTGCATGGCACTGTCCTACGTAGTTCGAGGCTTTATCGCGTTCAATCAAGCCTGGCTGGGACCCGGATACAGATACATTGTAGTAGCGGCTAACAAAGTGTAACAGAAGGCTAATAAGAGTCTGCGCTATATACATTGGCTATTTACAAGATGAAAAAGGCTACCCATCTTCAATCGGACGCCACAATGGCAATCAACTGCGTCACATCGCATCGCACCCGATAAAAATACATCATGATTATCCCGCGTGATTAAACCCCTCCTGTTGCCAGTCATCGTCATGGAGCTGCCCGCTGCTACCAGATCCCCCAGCCCCTGCACTCCCACCTAGTCCTACACCTCCACCCATCGCCCCCGCCGCCGTAGCGCCGAGGCTAGCGCTGCTGTGTCTCTCAATCTCTGTTGTGCTCATCATGTACAACATGGTGAAGAGGAGGATATGCAGCGCAAAACAGTAACCTGCGAAGAGATTCCGACTCGTCCGATTCGCGAGGATTATTCGCGTTAGCGAGAATACAACGCGCTCGGGTAAGCTCATGCGTTTGTATGCTCGGGTGGACTCGCGGCCGCGGAAGGCAGCGAAGGGTGAGATTTGAGCTTCGTAGGCGGATTGATATCGATCTATTGAGAGCCCAGAGGGTGTGTCGGCGGATGGGTGGATGGATGAGGAGCTGGGTGTGTTTGCGTATGCGGAGGCGGAGGATAGGGCGCCTTGGCCTCGGCTGTAGGTTGAGACGTATCGTGTCTTCTCGTATAGGCTGAGGTTGTCTTTCTGGAGTGAGGCGATCTCTTGCCGGAGGGACTTTACTGTGCTGTACAGCTTCGACAGTTCCTCTTCTAACTCTGCATTCTTCTTCTTGAAGCGATCGCGTTGCGCCTGGATCATGGGCAAAAGGCCAGAGCCTCCACCAACTGGTTCGCCGGCGCGGATGGCGTCCATTGTGTTGTTGGACATGGCGGATTGATCGAACCCGGAGATGATCGACGATGTTGGCGATACACCTCCTCTTCGCGACGAGTGCGGATACTTCGATGTATATGTTCCAGCCACGGACATTGCTGAGGATGGGAAGGCATTGGCTGCTTCCTGCTGTAAACGGAGAAGGTCGTTTTCTAGAGTCGTCGAGAGACTTTGCGACTTGTCAAGCTCTTCCTTCGTGGTGGTAAGATCATCTCGAAGGGTTTGGAGCTGTCCCTGCAGATCGCGGTGGGAGACGCGCAGAACAGTGAGTTCGTCTGTGAGCTTTTTGTTCCGGGCTAACAAGAGCTGTTCCAGCGAGCTATTCTTTCCTTCTTTTGCTTTGACAGTGCCGTTAGCGCCATCTGGTATCTCGCCGGCATCGTCATCATCACCCGCAGAGAACTCGATAGACTATACATGATCAGTGCTTGCCCTGATGTCTGTCACGAGAACATACCTTGATCATCTCCAGCTCGCGGCGAATATCCTCGTAGTCCGCAACCTTCTCCAATCTGTTCTTCAATTCTTCTTTCTCGGCTGTAACCTTGGTGCACTGCCTCTCAGACTGGAGGAATTTGGCCTCCCATGTATGCCGCTCCGACTCGCGGTCAAATCGTGCAGCATCCAGTTTGCGTAGCAAAGAAGAATTCTCAGACTGGAGACGAAGGTATGCAGGGTCGTCATCGATAGATGTCTGTTCCTCCTTTGCATGCGAGACAGCTTGAGCCAGCTCAAGCGCCAATTGCTCGTTCCGAGCCTCCATCTCTGTCAGTCTCAAACTCGTCTTCTCCAGCTCCACAGACACCAACTCTAGCTCGGCAGCGGATGCGCCCTGTTGCTGGCTGCCTTCCTCATTCTGACCCAGTCGTTGCGAGACCTCGTAGCTAGCCTTAAGCTCCTTTATGAGACGTTCCTGGTTCTCCACCTTCTCCTCCAAGCTCTTCTCCTTGGCAGTCCAGTTGTTCGTCTTTTCCGACAACACTCCCGACCACGATGTCTCGATCTCTTTGATTTTCGAGTCCTGGTTTTCTTCCAGCTTCTTCCTCGCTGCCCGCTCCTCTTGTAGCCGGTGTTCCGTTTCCTCTAATTGAGAGGTCAGGCGGTCGACAGAGCTTTGCAACTGCTCGCGCTCGGAGGTGAGTTTTGGGACCGTTTCTTCGGCAAGGACGAGGGAATCGACCGAGGTTTCGAGTAGGGGGTATGGGTCCGGGGCTTCCGATAGGGAGGAGTATAGCTGTAAAAACGCGGATGATGATGACTTTCCCTGGTTCGTCAGAAGATCAATGAAGCCCTGGTAGGCTTTTGAGACGTTAGCCGGAGCCATTAAACATTGTGTAAATTGAAGACCAACCCTTCAGGAGACCCTTGTATTCTGCGAGCTTGGAAGCATCGTCCAGTTTGCGAAAGTCCTTCGTCTTCTGCGCCAGATCCTTTCTCTGTACAAGCGCGTCTCGTTGTTCGGCGACAATGTCAGAAGCGGTGCTGTCTAGTTTGGCCAGTGTGTTCGATAAGTCGATTCCTAGAAAGCCAGGCCATCAGCATGTGAATAAACAAGAGATACAAGAGAAGTCGGTGATTCAGTACCTCTCCAAGCTGCAATGGCGCGCTGGAACTTATTTGCTCCCTCCGGAAGAGCTCCAGTGCCCGTTTCGGGAGCGCGGTCATCTTGGTTGTCGGGCTGAGGAACGAGGCCCTCCGTGATAGCAAAAGAGTCCATGTTGTCCTTTCAGCGAAACTTCCCCGCGCGGCCGTCAATGCGATCGTGGATATGCAATAGTGGGACTGATAAAGCGCAACCCCATCAAGAGTATGACCACCAGCCCACTGCCTGGGAAATGACGAATAAAGCGACGAGGCCGAAGATGGTGCTTGTGGACTTCTCCGTATCACGATGAGCAGCCTAGAAACACCGAGCGGGCCGAGAGTAAATCCGGACGCGTAAGCTTGCGCAACTTGGTTCCTGTGGGGTTTTAAGAAAGAGTTAAATAGGATATCTATCTGAGTGATAAAAGATGAAAAGGAATTGTTTATCTCAGTCAATAATTAATGTTCGGAGAGGCATTGTTGAGGGGATCAAGCGCTCCACCTGAACTAGTGTAGTATGACGGCGGTGCCTGCCCACTGACAGGACGACCCCAGACAAAACAATTGACACCAAGTTGCTGCCTGCTTATCTTCAAAACGCATGTCTCTTCCACGAGAACTATCTTGGCCTTATCGCATGGCCAGCAGTCGACTTTCAGGTACAGAAACGTGCTGGTACCTCAGAATTGGCTCCACCTGAGTCAGCAAGAGCTCTGATCCACTCCGACGCAGCCTCACGATCACCTCCAGTTGAGGCTCAAGCTCCAGTTTCCTGGCGCCGCGAGCTGGTCTCATCATGGTGTCGGGAGATGAGGGCAATATCTCGCGCAAGCGGCGAAAGATTGGCACTCCGAAAGCTGCGCCGTATATCTTCCGGTCGCTCTTCGACCAGGTACCCGTCGCCGCCGACGATGCGGAGGAGGATGTCCATATTACATGCGTGGAATATTGGAGTAAGCTTCCCATCCTTGCGAGTGCTGCAGAAGACTAATATAAATGTTGCTTAGACGATAACTTGTACATTGGGACCTCCGCAGCGGAGATCCTGCATTTCGTCTCCCTTCCCCCCGACCCCTCCGACGAATCGACCGAACCGACCTTCATCCTAGCTTCAAGATTGCCGATCCCCTTCTCGCAGAAAGACGCGAAATCCGGTGTCCAGCAGATCCTTCTCCTGCCGACCGTAAACAAAGCGTGCGTCCTGTGCAATGGAACAGCTACATTCTACATGCTCCCGGAGCTCAGTCCGGCCTTCGGCGGCAATACCAAAGTCAACAATTGTCGCTGGATTGGCGGCCTGGATCTCAATCAGGCTGCCGAGGAGCCGGAAAATCCTGTGGTGATGATTGCGACGCAGAATCGTATAATGCTGGTGAAGATTGGAGATGGCGCGCGATTGGTTAGGAACATCGACTATCCCGGGTCTCTTACGTTCTCACGGAGAGGCATTATATCATGCGTTGCGGATAGCCGGACGTACTCTTTGCTTGACGTGGAACATCAGCAGAAGATACCGCTGTTTCCGATATCGTTCGCCGATGAGATGATTGATTCCGCCGGGGTCGAGGATATACCTACTGCCGCAAAGACTTCCCCTCTAAGCACTTCGCCCCCATCTCATAGTCGGTCTCATGGACGGAGTTCCAGTCTGAACACACTTACAGGGATGTTACAGCCACCGCGGTCGTCATCCAACGAACGATCAAGGTCTTTGACGCCGGAGCCCTCTGAATCAGGAACGCCAAGAAGGTCAATATCTACGGAGCGCGGCGAAAGCACTTCTCCAAGAGTATCATCGGATTCCGTACGGCAACCTGTGGATGAAGAGAATCGAAAACCTCTTCCGCCTCTGCCTAAGCAGACCTTCTCCCAGCTGAAGCCACACATCCTTTCTCCAACATCGTCTGAATTTCTACTAGTACGAGGGTCTGATGAAAAGGAACCTGGTGTTGGCATGTTTGTCAATGTGGACGGCGACGTCGTTCGTGGTACACTCACATTCAACAGATATCCTAAATCAATTGTCATCGACAAGGGTGACGAAACAAATCTGATTCAGTCACCGGAAAATACAAAAGACGAGTTTGTCCTTGCGGTTATAGAGTCCGATGAAGATGGGCAGACTCGAAAACTCTTGGAGGTCCAACCTTGGGATGTCGACCCAGCGGAAGCAGACGATCACAAAAGTTGGATAGAGGTACCCTCGATGCAAGACGAACAAACGGAGCACGTCGGCATTTGCCACACTATCAGTTCCACCCAACTTGAGGTTCAGGGTCTGGGAAAGCTGCTGCGAATGGTCCGCCTGAAAACTCCGGCCCTGTCTTCAAAGGCCCCTACTGCAGACCCGAGGACCGAAGCGTCGATAGAGCAGCTGCAAAAAGAAAAGGAACTCTTTGAGTCCCAAGAGCTGACCGACACCGATGTACCCAAGAAGAGCACAGACTGGGAAGCTGATCGAAATGCGGAAGAAGCAAAGATTGTGCGGCAGATGGGAAAGACCCAAAGCAGCATGGTTATGTGGGCTGGGAATCGGATATGGCGCATTGTCCGGAACCCGTTGACCGCTCAGCTCGATGATGTTCTGCAAAGCGCTAGAGAGGCAGGCAAAAGCGGGCACACCCTTGACAGGGAAGCTATTTGGGGTATCATCGAGATAGCCCAGCAAACGGAACCAAAGTCAGAGTCGGAATTTCTGGGTCTCAACTACTTGAAACAGAAGGCCAGTCTCCTCCTCTTCGGAGACCTTCTTTTCGTGGATCCCAAAGCCAGAACCAGTGCTATCATTGATACGACTGAGAGGGCGCTCATTCTTGGAGAAATTGATCCTCGGATAGTCATGATCTTGATTCCTCTCTTACGCGGTGAGACACTGCAGAGTACGCAGGGGATTTGGATCTATGCGGGCCTAGCTGAGACGGCTGAGGATTACCTTCAACAAGTTGAAAAGGCGGGCAAGTCGCTAGTGGGATTCTTCGACGATGGGGTTTTGAATATGATCAAGCGGTTTTTGCGCTCATGGCAGCAGAAGCGCGGCTATGCCAGCATCTCAGACGAAGCATACGTGTTGGACAGCGTCGATGCTGCTCTTCTGCGCCTTCTCCTGGAATCAGTGTCAGAGTTGACCAAAGAGGAGCTCGTCTCATCGCCAGCTCGTGTTGAGCTAAACAAACTGGTGGACCACTGGAAGGGCAACTTTGAACGCGCGGTCTCCCTTCTTGAGGGAGCTCACCGGCTGTACGTGCTGAGCCGCCTGTATCAGAGCCGGAAAATGTCTGGACATGTCCTCAAAACCTGGCGAAGGATCATTGAAGGCGAGCAGGATATTAGCGAAATAACTCCCGCGGACATTGAGGGACAGGTGCGGCGGTATCTGGCCCGAATTAAAGATGTGCAGCTTGTTGAAGAGTACGGGTCGTGGCTGGCTCAGCGGAATCCTCAGCTTGGTATCCAGGTGTTTGCAGACACCACGAGCAGAGTTCTGCTAGATCCGCCAGATGTCGTGAAATTGCTCAAAGAACGCTCGCCAAATGCCGTGCAGGAGTATTTAGAGCACCTTGTGTTCTCGAAAAACGTAGGTTTCTGCGCCTGTTCCTATGTCAACATATGCTAATATGACTAGTTCTCTCAATACGCCGACGACCTTTTACAGTACTATCTTGATACTGTCATATCTGTGCTCGGATCCTCCTCCGAAGCTCGGGCCTCTCTTTCCGATTCCTATTCCACCTACCGCGCCCTACGACCACCAAAACCTACCTACATGAACTTTATCACCGAAAACTGCCCTTCCGATCCGTGGTGGAAATCACGGCTTCGGCTTCTTCAGCTACTTGGTGGTGGCAGCAGCACACAGTTTACATCCACCCCTGCACCGGCCTTGAACTACTCAATCCCAGCCATTCTCGCACGCATTGAACCTTTTCAGAACGAACTCGTTTCAGAGTCAATAATCCTCGACGGACTGCAGGGTCGACACCGAGAGGCTCTCCGCCTGCTGACGCACGGGCTAGGCGACTATGATGCCGCCGCACGGTACTGTCTATTCGGCGGGCCCCGAAGCACGAGCTCAACCGGTGCGCCGTTAGAGTTTGCGGAGAAATCACGCCAGACCGAGCTATTCCAGTATCTCCTCGATGAGTTTCTGCAAATTCGCGACCTGTCAGAACGCATTGAACGCACAAGCGACCTCCTTGCACGCTTTGCAGCTTGGTTCGATGTTCGCGAGGTAATTAAGATCATCCCAGACGATTGGAGCGTGGACATCCTCAACGGCTTCTTAGCCCACGTCTTCCGCGTGCTCGTGTCAGAATCGCGAGAGGTGCGAATCGAGCGCGCGCTTTCAGCTGGTCAGAACCTGCGCATAACCGCAGAGTACATCTCGAGCATGGAGAAAGTCGGTGGTTGGGTTGAAGATGACCAGGGATTGAGGCAGTTGCGGGGGGGTCAGATCAATAGCACGCGGGGAGAGACGGAGAGTGACTTCGGGGAGATGGTGGAGGCGGGGTTGATACGTGATTCGTCTTGAGGATCGGATGGTGTGGGTTGTTAGACTTTGTACAGTCGTTCGGATTTACGGGAATAACTTTGGGCATCGTCTGAGCATGACCTATAGAAAGCGATATATACCTGTCTGAGAGCCGTGATCGGCAAATGTCTTTGCCGACAATTGTGGGGGGTGGGGATGCGGAATTGTTCCTTGAGCTGCATCCGGAGCGCTATACGGACCAGAGAGAAGATTGGTATCTTTGGTCTGAGCAGTATATTCACATTTCCGGATATAAAACCCCATCCACCCATACTAATCCATACACTAGAAGACTCTCGGTGGCACCTCTCACCCAATACACCATCAATTACAGCTGAGTAACCCAAGCTTGGACCTGCACGGCTCCGCGGGGGATTTCCGGATCTCCGCCCCTTGACCAATAAGCGCAACCCCGAAAAATCACTGCTTATTGAATCATTCTACATCCTCTCCATGCGGGGGATTTTCTTTCTTCTACAAAGTTTATATCTACCTCTCCTCGCTATTAAACTCAATTGACTCCCCAACTTCCCTCCAAAACAAACCAGAAAAAGAAACACAATGGATCCCTCACAAGTCAAAATCCCGCCCATGAAAGACCTGACAGTCGACAACATCACTGAAAACGTCATTCGGATCAATTCGCTATGCGATGACGAGCGCATGAAGTATGTTCTCGAGCGCCTCGTCACACATCTACATGACTTTGCCCGCGAGACGCGGCTCTCGTCGCAGGAGTGGATGACGGGTTTGAAGTTCCTCACGGAGGTTGGACAGATTTGTACGGAGGTTCGACAGGTACGTTTCACCTTTGCTCATTCATTTACAGAGTAAAGCTCTATAAAGAGCTATGCAGCAGCTAACACCATTATGAATAAAGGAATACATCCTCCTCTCCGATGTCCTCGGCCTCTCCATCCTCGTCGACAGCATCGACCACCCTAAACCCTCAGGCAGCACCGAAGGAACCGTCCTGGGCCCCTTCCACACCCACGAAGCTGAAGAGCTGCCCGCTGGCGGCTCCATGTCCAAAGACCCCGCGGGCGAGCCCCTCCTCGTCGTCTGCAACATCCGCGATACGAACGGGAAGCCCGTCGAGGGTGTCAAGATCGACATCTGGGAGACAGATTCATCGGGCCATTATGATGTGCAGCACGCGGACCGCGAGGGGCCCGATGGGCGGTGCATCATGCGCTCAGACAAGGAAGGTATCTTCTGGTTCCAGGCGATTACGCCCGTGCCGTATCCGATTCCGCATGATGGGCCTGTGGGGCGGCTGTTGAAGAAGTTGGGGAGACATCCGTATCGCCCGAGTCATATGCATTTTATGTTTGAGAAGGAGGGCTTTGATCATTTGATTACGTGAGTTATACCCTCGTTTTCCTCTTTGGCCTTTCTTGTTGTTCTTTTCGGGTTTTGTTGGGTTCGTTGAGCTGATATATCAAAAGCGCCCTCTACCTCCGCAACGACCCCTTCGAGACCTCCGACGCGGTCTTCGGCGTCAAGGACTCGCTCGTCGTAGACATCAAGCGCGCGGGCCCCGAGTACGCCGCGAAATACGGCGTGTCCGAGGACCACGCGCTGCTCACTTATGACTTCGTGCTCGTCTCGGACGTCGAAACAAGGGAACTGCGCGAGAAGAACTCCAAGGCGGCGCTGGACAAGCTTGGTCGGAAAGTGAAGATTGTGAATGGGTTGCCGATTCCTGAGCTTGATTAGATATGTCGAATGCTTCAAGATATGTTTGGGATGGTTTCAAAGGATATGACCTAGATGAAATGAAATGCACTGTATATTGGGTTATCAATGGGGTTTCGGGCTGGGCACCGTGACATGGATCATTTTTGCGCATATTTAGTACACAGCGCCTTTTTCCCTTCTCGTCTTATCTCCCCCGCGTCGCTCCTTCCATATACAACGTATGAGCCAGATAAATAAGGAAGGCGCGACCACGTACCTGGGGGCGCACCTTCTTAAAACAAAACAAGAAGGAATGGAAAATCGCTCTTTCCTATCCGGTGCACAAGGTCAGTAACAGTCAAGGAAGGTGCGACCAAAACATCGCTCCTTCCTGTATCTGAATCAGAACAGCAGAGGAAGGAACGACCCGTGGACGGGAGGTGCACCTTCCTAAAACAAAACAGGAAGGAGCGCCTCCTGGGGGGTGTGTTTATGGGTCGCTCCTTCCATTGTCGAAGATGGAAAAGAAAAAGGCAGGAGCGACCGGGAGACGCACCTTCCTGAACCGGATTAGGAAGGAACAAGGGTCGCTCCTCCCTTGCCCGGGCGTATGGTCGATGACATGTGAGGAAGGAGCGACCCTCGCATCGTTCCTTCCTCTTCTGTCTAGTTACAAGCGGGGAAGGAACGACCATGGGGGCTGCACCTTCCTAAAACGAACTAGGAAGGAACGTCCCCCAGGGTCATGGTCGCTCCTTCCGTTCATGGTATGGACGAATGTAGAAGGCGCGACCCTATCCTGGAGACGTGCCTTCCTAACACGAACTTGGTAGGAGCGACCCCCGTTCTTTTCTTTTCGAGGTATACAGCCTAGTCACGGGTGAGGAAGGAACGACCCAGGTGGCTCCTTTCATTTACAGATGGATAGAATAAACATGAAAGGCACGACCATGGGCCAAAGATGCACTCTCTAGGCCAAGATGGGAAGGAATGGTACTGTGGGGACCTGTTAGTAGGTTCAATCAAGGCTCTAGGTATGTCTACAGCAGCTTAGCGCAGCGCCGTTGACGAAAGAGTAGAAGAGGAAATGGCGATGTGGTTGCGGCCAAGTCTCAGTTGTTAGGGCTAACCTAGGTACATGTACGGAGTACCCAAGAGGTAGGTATATCGACCCATATAGATCCAGGCGAGGAACAAAACATGCACTGTATACGTGACCAATCTACTCTGCATCGCCCTTCTCCGCCCTCTCCATCTCCAACGCCTGCTTCACCAGATCCACAACCGTTTCCCGAAACCCCCTATAGCTGAACCCCAGCTCCCTCCCCGCGGTCTCCCCATCCAACCCATACCTTTCATCGACACTCTGCTCCTCCCGCGAAACCCTCCCACGTAACCCCTCAAACTCACCCCGAATAATCCCCGCCGCAAGTCCATACGAGAACCGCTCCGGCGCCGTCGGCGTATACCGCTTCCCACCGACCTCCTCCTTCAACAGCGCACAAACATGCGCCTCCGCAAGATCCCTCACGTCGATCCAAAACGGCACACGCGCAAGGGGGATCGGGCTCTCCCCGCTCGCAACCTTCCAAAGCATCGCATTCGACTCGTTGAGCTCGTTAACAGAGGCGACAGGATGCACGACGGGTCCAAACGTCATAGGCGGACAGAGCGCGACAAGATCGAAGGCCGGTTTCTTCTCCCGGACGAACTCCCACGCGGCGAGTTCAGCGAATTTCTTCGATCCGCGATATGCGACGACTGCGTCTGTTGTTGGGGCTGCGGCTTCGGCGTAGGTGAGTGGGTTCCAGTCCTTGGCTGTGTAGGTGAAGTAGGATTGTGCGTTGGCGTTGCGGGAGATGTCGATGACGGAGGCGAAGGAGGATGTTAGAACGATCCGCTTAATAGACGGGTTTGTAGATGCTGCTGCGAGGACTGCCTTCACGCCGTTTATAGCTGGGATGATGAGTTCCGCTTCGTTGTTTGTTGTGTCATATGTGAATGGCTGTTGACATTATTATCCCACCGAGCCTATCTCTATAGATAGAGGTATGTTTAAGGAACGTACACTAGCAGTATGAATAACCCCATCAACCCCTCTAACAGCCTCTTCGAGACCACCGGGCCTCTCAAAGTCATCTATCTGGACGAATTCAAGGCGGTCCTTCTGTTGCGGCCGGGCTGTGAGCATCGCGGCGCCTTTAGCGGGGGAGCGTGTTGCACCCCGCACTCGGAGGCCACGGGCGAGGAGGGCGTCGACGATGTGTGCACCGATGAAGCCGGTTGCGCCGGTAACGAGGACAGTCTTGATTTCCATTTTTATTACGGCTCTTCCAGCTTGGAGAGTTGGTCTTCCTTTCCGACGATGTTGGCGGTTAATTAGAAACGGAGGTGGTAGGCGTGCGTTGGTTAATATATATGCGGAGAACCTCTCAGTCGGAGATCATCCGACACGGGATAATTGCATACTAATTGAGCCAAAACCGATAAAAAGCAAGGAGTATGTTGGGAGATCGATTTCAGTCATAGCTGCGACGAAAAATCATTGGCCGGTCACTGTGATGTTATAGTGAAAGGTGTGTTGTACCTCGACCAGGATGAACAAGAACAACTGAAAGTTGAGATGCAACAACTGGCCAAGTGCCTTATAATAACTAGATCCAGAGCACGTTTCCAACGGTCCGGTCCATTTGTCTAGTGGTTAGGACGTCAGGTTTTGATACATATTAAATTCTGAACTTCTGAAAGCCCCGGTTCGATCCCGGGATGGACCTTTTTTTCAACCCCATTCATTCATTCATTGTCTTTTGACCTCCCCTATTATTTGTATACCTGTCCAACTTCTTCTACATACATATATCCAGACAAAAATCGAACGGAATGCGAGAATGCGAGCAGATTGTCTAAGAGCACCCAGTCTCTGATGACACAGGCTAATGCTGCTACTCCATAGCTTGTGTGAACAGACTAGCTGTAATGTGATTGAATATTATGTGTGGTCTTTACAAAAATGAGTGCTGACATCATGTATCCCATGTCTTTGGACCATATAGGTTTGGTTGGAAACCCTGGATCTGCCCTGTTTGAGAACCTTTGGCATGCACAAGACCTGAAGCTGAATGTCATGGCTAGAAAGAACCCTGAAATCACATGCAGCAGGAAGCTCTAAGGCCCGCGATTAGAAAGAAGCCTGCACTTTTTTTGAGGGGTCGAAAGTCAAATAAGACTAGGATGGACTTGTAACGAGAGTGAGGTCACCCTATTCACTGAATATTATGCACAGCGCCTACATACAGCATACAGGAATCAAGGTACAACTAGACTCCAATAAATACCAGATGCTTGGTTAGTATAATTAATGCGCCGACTAAATATACACAAAGAACACCAACTGCCCGGGATATCCGCTAAACCGCTCAAACAAGATGCTCAATACAGAATCAGATCTTCCAAACCAAGTCATTAAACAGATTGAGTAAAAGTATCATGCTTTCACCAGTTTCCGGTCTTGCTCCTGCTCCCGTTCCCGCTCTCTTTCTCTCTCCCTGTCGCGCTCGCGTTCATTGCTGACTTCGTGTACACCTCCTTTGGCGGCCGTTGAGACGCGGTGGTGATCTACCGTATCGAGGATAGCCTGCATCAGCCGCTGGCCTGCGTCAGGGGCGTCATCATCCGCCGCGGAGTCCTCTTTCCGGTGGATGCTTATTCGTCGATCATGCCGGTCGAAGTTATATCCGTGACTACCTTGGTTCTCACTCATTGCTCGGCGCGGCGAGATGTCTCTGAGGAGTGGCGGCCGAGGTATGGGAGCGGCGATTGGTGCGGACTCTCTGCGCATACCGACCTCTATCGGACCGTCATGGGGTCTGTCGTGCGGCCGCTCATGCGGTCTTTCATAGGGCCTCTCATGCTGTCTCTCTTGAGGCCTTTCCTGTGGTCTCTCTTGAGGTCTCTCATAAGGTCTCTCAAGTGGTCTATCGTGCTGCCGCTCATAAGGTCTTTCGTAAGACCGCTCGTGAGGTCTTTCAAGAGGCCTATCATGCGAACGTTCATGCGCCCTCTCTAGTTCAGGCACTACAACCGTGGAGACTGGCGCTGAAGCTGGTGTAGCCGCAGGCGGAGGTGCCTGGTCTCCTGGCAGAGTGGTCGGCGTGGCGGAGGTATCCTTCGAGTGTATATCTTCCGCAATCTCCCGCTCGACGCGCTGAGTTTCTCGCAACTCTTCTTCCTTCACGTCCCGCCAAGAACACTTGGCGTGCTTCTTGGTACAACCCATGCACGCGGTGAGGTTCTTGAGGCAATCCATGTGCAGACGGCGGCAACGATCACAAGGCGGCAGAATGCGATCACCTCGCTGTAATTCCTCCATGCGGGCGACCATCTCAATCTTGAAAGGCCCGCCGTCATCTTTTTCGTGGTGGTGCGACTTGGGAGGTGGAAGCAACGAGGTTGGGGTATTCGGTATGGCGACGGTTGTGGGCGTGGGCGCGTACAAATTGTAGTCACCACCACCCTCGGATACCCTAGGTCGAGGGCGGGAGGACTGGCGGTTGCTTGAGCCTGAAGCTTCTTCGTAGCCGCGGGTATGGCGATCTTGAGTGGTGAAGAACTTCTTCATGAGCTCCGCACGTGTGGTCGGAGAAGCGCCCTTAATAGATTGCCCATTGATTATTGTTACATTTTCTGTGCCCGATTGAGAGAATAGGAACGGAGCGGATAGCGGATTCTCGTCCGGATGACCTTCAGCTCCGGAGCGAGCAGTATTGACAGCGACAAACCCTGTGGAGGGAGAGTTGCCACCTAAAGTGCCATTACTGTTGAGTGGAGTGTGATTTGTACCATTACCATCGCGCCAGACAGGACTCATAGAACGCTGCTGTACGTGCGGTTGGGGCTGCGAATGAGCGAGTGATGGTCGCGAGGCATGAAGCGTTGCATCATTTTCTCGACGGGTAACAATGGCGGTTTTCCGGTTCTTCAGCCGATGATTTAACTGTCGCGCGCGGGCAGAAACTAGATGGTATGCAGTGTTAGCTTTGACAGAAGCTGAGACGGGCGAAGTTGATAGTCGGGAACAAACCTTGATCTGCCATTTGGATGATTTGCTGGAGGTTCTTCTCCAGAATTTCAAGCGCGCCCAACTCTTTCTCCTCGTCCTCAATAATCGGTTGAGGGGGGATCATCTTCTGAGGCATCCCCGAGTGAATCAACACAAAGTCTTCTTCACTGATTTCCACGCGACATTGCTTTGTGTAAAATTGGCAGACCGGAACACCATTCCGGGATTTTTCCAAGTTGAACTGCTCGGGCTTGCTCCGAGCAAACTCTACGACGTCGAGCCAGGTGACGTTGGGAGAATCCTTGCCATGCGACTTGAGAACTTTTGGCGGCCCGTCAAACAGACGCTCAAAGCGCTTTATTAGAATCGGGCCAAGAGGGCACGCGCCCAGGTTCCCCGCGATACTCTCATGGCGGTGAAGTACACCTTCGTAATCGCCGATCAAACGGATTATCTCAGACATTGTATCCGACGTCGAGACCAGGGGGAGATTATCGGGGTATTGGCGGGCGAGGTAATTGATTTGCAGGTGATTCGAATGGGTCTTGGGAACTTTGGAGGCAATCGGTGGGAACTCCCCGGATTCTGACCGGGGCCGTTTGCCGGAGGCCTCTGTTGTCACTGTCCGAGATTCCATGGCGGCGGCTGAGGGTGGATGCGAGACCCTCGAATTCGCGATAGCTGGAAGGGGCCGGAGATGTGGGCGAGTCGAAGAAAGAAAGTCCAAACCCAGGAAAGAGGGACGGCAGGGGGTTATGACGTCTCGGGGTTGTGGAAAGAGCGGCAGAGAGATTCAAGAAACGAGGGATTTGTGAAAAGTCGAGGGGTGGGTGTTATTGAGTAATGAGAACGCTGGCAGAGGAAGATGCTACCGATGGCGGAGCGTAAGGCTCCAGAATGCGGGTTCTGATTCAGCCACAGAGCCGCGTGCTCCAGGAAGTCGTTTGTCGATGCTATAGGAGACGCTGGGCAGGGTGTCAGAGGAATGCAATGTTTCTGAACGAGCCAGCGAGAGGAGACATGGGAAAGACGCAGGCGACATCAGAAAAAAGGTTGGCGAAGAGGCAGAGTCACAAAAGACCGCAGGCCCGGTGGAAGAGCGAGAGGCAGGAAAGGCGGACGGGGACACGGCCGGGAGACCAGCGCCAGTGGTTCAGTACCGTATGGTATGGTATCGGTACAGCCGTTTGATTCTCCTACCTACTAAACAAATGATGTCCCATCGCGATCCTACGCAGCGAGCGATGGGATTATTTCAGGCAGGGCGCTGGGGTCCCGGAGCGCTGTCGCACAGGTTACACGTTGCTATATGCCACTTCCGTCCGGCCACCAGGATGTCACAAGAAGATAGTAAGTAGGAGAGTGGCAGGGCTGCCCAATGGCAGACATGGTGGTCATGGGATGACGATGGCCATGGCGGAACGGGCGCTCCTCCCCTCTCGTGTGGCGAGGACCAGGAACTGACCGACCGAGCAGAGTAGCCCGGTTTCCAGTGGATCCAGATTCCAGACCGACAGGACGTTGGGGGTTGCGTCCAGGCTGGGGCTGCCCTCGCGCACCCGTCTATGGTATCCATGCGCATATTCCGATATAAGGCATCATCCAAACCGCCCCAACGTCTTCAAACAATTCCGTTTGCTCCAAAGGTCTGATCTCGGTGATCCTGACTGTTATCAATATGACTAAGCATCACGGCGGAGAGATTCCCGCCGGCCGCTTCCGCTGACAATGCCCGGGACTCGGTTCGAATCTTTACCCGTACTGACAGTACAGCGTAAGATTAGTCCCAGGCTGAGCGCTCCCTTGCAGTCACCTCAAACACGGCACACTACTGCTCGGATACCAGACCGGGAGCTATACTTGTTGTGACTGCAAGAATGCTCCTGTCATGATATCTGACAGCTATTATTTGATCCTTGAAACTCGTCGCCTGACTTGTACCCGAAAGTTACCCCAACCAACAGGTCCACGTGATCGATTCTCACTTATGTCCATATCGAGGACAAAAGCAGTCGCCAAGACTGTTCGATGGAGTTTATATGCTTGTGTTCACCTTCTGGGAAGCATGTACAGTTAGCATTATCAATAACATTGCAAATCTTGGGCAGCTCCTGCAAAGGAGAGGAGAATATCACCAAATATTGGTGCCTAAGTCATCCAACAGCCGACAGTTGTCAGGTATTGTCACCGCCGGCCGTGTGACAGTACTATCAGCATCAGCAAAGTTTTCCTCTAAACCCGTGACCTCACACCTCCCACCACAGAGCAGCCAACCGGACTTCCAGCTCAGGAATATCCTGCACTAACACGGGCTTGGACCTTAGAGCTTTGTCGCTGCGCCAGTGAGACTGCTTCGGAGACTATCTCTGCTGCTGTGCTGCGTAGACTCAACCAGCACCCTGGAAGCGTCGAACGAAAATCCCTCATACTACAGCTCCCTTCGTTCCATTTCGGACTTTCCACCCCCCCTTCGCCATCGTCGGACTGCCTGTCGCCTTGTCATTGGCAATTCCTAGGTCCGGTTTATCCCTCTATCAAACAGGACAAAGCGGGAGCTTTCTCTTTCCATCTGCCGCTCCTTGTCGGTTTCTTATCCCCCCACACTCATCCTGGTTTTCCCACGCCCCTCTATCCTTTCTTTTCCCCTCTTTTATACCTGATTTCGCTGGATTACATAACCCAATAATTCGACAACCGACCAAAGCAAGTCGGACTTGAGAAGACCAAAAGGGTAAAGGGTGCCCGACTCGATTATCATTTTCTATATCCCGATTTAGCCAAGCCATGTCCGAACGAGGCTCGTTCCGGGGAGGTGGTCGCAACCGCGGCGGAGGTTATGATCGCTCTGGCGGCCGTGGCGGAGGGCGAGGTGGCGGTGCCAGTGGCGGTGCGCAACAGCAGGAAAGGCCCAAGAAGGAGAACATCTTGGATCTGTCCAAGTACATGGACAAAGAGGTCCGCGTAAAGTTCAACGGTGGACGAGAAGGTAATATTTCTTCTCCCATCTCCACTGATTCCGAACTTATCTAACTCCCACCAGTTGCTGGCATACTGAAGGGTTTCGACCAATTGATGAACCTGGTTCTGGACGACGTCAAGGAGTCCATGCGAGGTAAGCTCGCCGTTGTCGCATCTTAACTTGCAGATCTAACTTTCAGTAGATGACGAAGGCAACGAGAACACGCGGTCTCTCGGCCTCATTGTCGCCCGTGGCACCTTGATTGTGCTGATCTCCCCCGCTGATGGCAGCGAGCAGATTGCCAATCCGTTCGTGCAGGCAGAGGAGTAAGCAACGAGTGTTTGCTCGATATGCATGTGCACCATTCGATCCTCGTTTCGCATGTCTGCCCAGCCAAGGGTTCCCGGACTTGAGGGAGCACAAGGACCCTTTTCTCGCCATCGACTGGACTTGACTCTCCTCTGATTATTAGATCAGTCTCCATCAGATCAACCTCTTCGGTTCTCTGTCTACTACGCACTACGCCTGCACGTTCTCCCAGGCCTCTTAGGTCTTCCTATTAGCCAGCGATGCGCCAAAGGAACGGTTCTCGAACTCTGTGGGAACATTCGTGGAACAAGGAAATGGAATCATCATGTGATAAAATAGTCAAAAACCTAATAATGAATGATAATGAGCATAAAACGTGCCATATCTCCGCACAATTGCATCTTCTCTCACTTATATACCACGATGACATCATCTCACTGCGTCACGAATCCTTCCCCGCTCAATCAGACCGTCAACCGGATCCTCGATAGGCTTGGATGCATCGGACCGCGGACGGCTCAGCAGCTCTGACGGCTGCTATTGCTCCGTTCGCTAGGATGATGGTGAGCGACAAGTCAGCAATCGTATCGCCCGTTCTGGATGCTTATGCTGGCGCGTCTTATATAGACTGGAGCCCTGGCAGGTAACTAATTTTCTTTGTCCTTCGGACTTGATATATACCCCGCTGTCATCTTGGATTGTAGGTCTACATTTTAAGCATACTTTACAATATGAAGCTCCAGCTCTCAGCTGTGGCTGCAGCCACAATACTCCCCGTCTGCTCTGCCCTCGCAATCCAAGAAGTCTTCAGCGATCACAAAGAGAAGGTCTCTTCTCCCTCCAACATCCGAAACTCACTCGACAACGCCCTCGAATCATCCCCCACATTCCTCACCCCCGCAGACCTCGACACCTCCGACATCGACATCGACACCGAGATCGACCGACTCATCTCGAAAACAGCCACCAACATTGACGCCTGGATCAAGGACTTCATCAACCAGCCCCTTGACGAGGTTGAAGTAACCAACCCCCCTTCGGAACCTTCCGAACTCGCCGACATCAATATTCCCATCAACCCCGCCGACCTCCTCCACCCGCCGGTCCCGGAACGAACCATCTACGAGCTCATCGCGGAAAGCAAGTACACCACTATCCTCGCGAAGATCGTCAAATCGGATCCGGAGCTCGTCGATTACCTCAACTCCACCGAGCGCAGATTCACCTTCTTCGCGCCGACCGACCACGCATTTAAGAAGATCCCCCACCATCACCACGGGGACCATCATGGCCACGACCACGATGATGGCGGCGACGGTGATGACGATGACCACCGCATCCCCAAGGAAATCGTCCGCGTTCTCCTTCGCTACCATTCCTCGCCAGAGATCCTGAACGCAGCACAGCTCTTCCACAGGCACACCATCTCCAGCGTCCTCGAGGATCCCCTTCTGGGCACAAGGAAGCCAGATGATGAGGATGACGACGACGAAGCTCTGCCGCAGCGCATCGCCGTCCGCGCCGGGTTCAAGGGCCTGACGCTAAACTTCTACAGCCACATCGTCGCCGCTGATATCGTAAGACGCTTCTACTATGCCCTAACCACCCCCATCACAGTGAAGATGTATATACTAACCAAAATACAGCCCGCAACAAACGGCCTAATCCACGGTATAGACAGCATCCTCCTCCCACCACTACCCGCCCTCCTCCTCCTGGACGTCCTCCCCACAAAATTCAGCACATTCAATCTAGGTCTACACAAAACGGATCTTGGCTCAGCTCTAAACACCAGCACCAAAGAGACCGGAAAGGGCTTCACAGTCTTCGCGCCCACAAATTCCGCCTTCGCACACCTCGGGCTAAAGATCAACGCGTTCCTCTTCTCCCCGCCGGGCCTAAAGTACCTCCGCGGCCTGCTGAAATACCACATCGTCCCCGAGCATACGCTGTACAGCGACGTGCTGTATACGGAACATGGCGAGGTGAAACCGTTTGGTGTCCGTGGGGCGACGCATCTCGACCTGCCGACGCTGCTCGGGGACCGCACGATTGCGGTTGATGTGACGCATCTGGGGCCGTATGTGAGTTTTAGGGTTAATGGTGGGCAGAGGGTGGCATTTGCGGATATTCTAGCCAAGGATGGGGTCATTCATGCGTTGGATCATGTGCTGATTCCGCCGAGGAGGCTGCAGGAGACTGATGGGGAGGAAGGGGAGTTGACGATTGGAGAGTTGATGGAGAGATTGGAGCCTTGGGTTGAGGAGGAGGATGTTGCGGATACTGAGGACGTGTTGACTGGTTATTGGGTTGAGGTTGTTGAACGTACTGGGGAACTGTGAGACGACGAGATTTATGGATTGGGTATGACGATGCTGAGCACGTATACATTGCTGGCTGGCACATAATGTTGGACTGACTTGATACAAAATTGTTATTTTCTGTCGTTTTCCCCGAAGAAGTCTCAATAAGAATGCTTGTAATTCTATCATACTGCATGGTGTAGCCTTCGTGAAGTAGCTGCTAGAGATAAGGGTGGTGTAAGACACTCCAAGGCATAAGACAAGTTGAACTGCCAAAATATTCTGATTCCCTACTGCAAGGGATAGATCTCCATTCTTTCACTGGTCTGTTTCGCATACTTCGTGATCCATCAACGTATATAATCCCACATGATGAGCCCTTTTAAGGCCTTGCTAGTGAAGCCTCCTGGCGGGCTTCATGAGTGATTGAAAAGATGATTCGAGAGCCTTTTTGAGCTCCTTGTAGCTGACGATGAAGCAGGTCTGCTCATCGCGGCTGACCAATGTGATTCTTTCGTCTGTTCCCGCATCCAATTTATTCAGACAAGTGAGAACATGGCCGAGATCAACGACAGGGTCTCCGGACGCATCCACTTGGTGAAAGACATAATCCCGGAAGATTTTTAGGAAGAATCGCTCCCCGTTCTCCGACCACTGGCGATCATGTTCGTGCTCAGGGCGCTCGTTGATAAAGTTCAGTTTCGTCAAAAGTCGCACAAGGCGCCCGTTCTCCAATTCCCTGCCTAGGTCTGAGGTGAGGTGATCGTCCATTCGAAGGGCCGAGTCAAAGGTCGACATCAACTGTGACGAGATGCCGGTAATGAAAACGTCAATATTCCGATCTTGATCCTTTTGCATTGCCCCGAGTAGCCACATCACCGTAGACTTGAGCTGCGGGGTGTACATTCGGGTGAAATGCTCCATCGCCTTGGCGGGGTTGTGCATAATGCCCGGCGAATTGGAACCCAAAGTGAGGATTAGCTGGCCAAAATTGACTAGATCTTGACGCTGAAGGTCGGCAGTCGTTCTTTGGGTATCGAATTGAACGACGTCCATGATAGCACACGCATTGAGTCGAATACGGTTGGTTCCAGTTAGGAGGATCTTGCTGGGGTCAATGATCCTTGCGGCGAGGCCATTACTATGAATCGCCTTTAGGGCGTTGGCAATCTGGGTCATGTAACCCCATAAAACCTGTTCAGAGACATGTGTATTATTACGGCCCTGAAACCTGTTCCCACCGCCCAGATGCTGTTCTGTGAGCGTTTTCGAAAGTGGGTGATAGTCGGTAACGAAGATCAAGGAGCTGTCCTGGAAACTTCGACTCGTAAATGCATCGTGTACTGTCACCATGCTACCACTGGATACTCGCTTCCAGGCTTGGACGGACCGGATTGCTTTCTCGTTTGTCAATCGAAATCCTAATACAACAAACGTTAGTGGAATTTCGCTTAAAACGAAAGTGTAGCGAGAGAAAAAAACATACCTTCCAGGCGTCGAAGGGCATAAAAGTTGCCGTCCTTGCTCGACTGTGCTTTGTAAACCCAGCTGGGGTAACCAAAAATTGCAGCATTTTTCTGATGACTGAGATCTAGAGGAACAAGAGAATGAAAATAATCAACTTGAGCTGGTAATTGGGTATCTGTCCGCGCGTTAGCTTGGCCGATCGTCACATGAATAGTGGCGTACGTACTAGGTAGCGTTTGAAGTGTAGCTGCTGCTTTCTTCTGTAGCTCTTCCCTAAAGTCATTTTGTAGAAACAAATCGTGGACACTGCGCTGATATGCTAATGTGTTTTGACTGTGAGGCCCGATCGGAGCGTAAAGGTGATATTGAACCTACGACGAGCAGCAGCTGTTAGTCAACTTGACCCGTCACGCAGGACCGGAAATATAGCTTACTGGTTGCTGGAAGCCCGACTGGTTGGCGAAGTAGGCGGCTCCGCCCAACGCAGTTGCGGTCGTGTCGTGAGAGAATGGGTTTGCTTGGACAGGCCCAACACCTGCAGGTGCAGCAAGGGGGTTCGGAGTTGTTACGAAAGGGTCGAAGGCGCCAGCCGAGGCAACACCAGGATTTCCATTTCCGTGTAGAGGAGATTGCTGTAACGATGGATTTACGGTTAGCGGATAATTCATAGGACCTGAATCGGGTTGAGCCAATGGGGATGCCATGTTTGGTAACTGCCAGGCATGTATCCATAATTTGAAAGCCGCGAAGAGTAATTTTGAGTAAACAAAGCGAAACGCGGAGCGTTGGAGGGGTAGTAGTAGGGCACCATATGTCGGTAGTTGGCAATAACACCATAAGTACCGGTACCTTGCCAACGGTCCCTGTGCACTGTGGAATCTGAAATGACAGGGATTGAATAAGGCACCGGAGCGGCAAGGATAAAGATAATTGCGCTTTCATAGGTATCGCGATTTGAAGTTCAAGGATGCCCAGGATAGGAGTGAAGAACGTAGGTTGCCAATACAGCTCATGCGGAAGGAATGACAGGCGGTGCAGGCAAAGAAGGAAAACTTACCATGTGTGTAGGTTCAAAGCCCTGTGGTACAAATTCTTGTACTTCGGCTACAGACCATTCTGGGGCCAATGCCTCCTGGCGACTACCGGGTGTGCTGGTATTTGATCCTGCTCACGGTCAGTGCTGTCCAACCTGCTACCATAATATACACCATACTTGAAGAAACAGCTCGAGGTTGGAAGGGAGCAGCGTTTGCGGCTTTCGGAGATATTGTTGAAGCTTTCTTTAAAGACGAGCTGGAGGATGTCGGGGAAGACCCGTTGGAGGGTATTAAAGAGGGTGTGAAACTTGGGGAGTCGACATTGAAACGCTTTCTATTGGCGCTACCAATGATTCTCAGTTAACAACCGAGTTATGGACTCATTGCGCATCGGATATCCATATGGAATGCTCACTTGTCAAATAGTTGGTTGGAGGAGTTCATCTTGAGCGGTGGGTCATGATTGAAAGCGCAGCCTTGACGAACGAACCCAGTCAGATAAAGCCCATAGCCAGAGTAATCAATTCGGAAAGGGGACCATCGCAGCACCTTTGTCTTCGTAGCGGCATCGACCATAGATGGTTACATTTCGGCAGAGCGTGTCCTTCGCGTTTTCTAATGATCGGCGGGTGAATGTCTTAGCAGCAATTCCCCGCATAATATAAAAAGGAGTTTCGAGCTAATTCCCGGGGTAGGTGATGAAGAGACAAGCTATATCAACGAACCTCGCGCTTTCATCTTTGGTGACCCCGTCCCACGACGGGCGTCATCCAAGCTAGGCTTTCCTGCGGAAGCCATATTCTATCCACGAGCAGAAGCGGGTCAACGCAGGCGGCTCTCCATTGATTCGAAGCAATATAAGACCAGGCGACCGAGAGTATCTAGAGGAAAGCCACATTCCTCTATCGATGAGTTGTCCGTGAAATAAGCCCAAAAGGATACGCGCGGAGTGATGGTTAGGCAAGAATAGTGACCTGGCACAAGAGAGGGGTTCTTGACAAGTTCGATATCTCAACACATTGAATTATGTAGATCCAACAGAGCCAAGCATATATCATCGTACAGAGATCGAAAACGCGATGGAAGCGTTCGCGTCACTGATGAACGAAGGGAGAGCTGCGGGAGGCCGCACGGCGACGCTGCAAGCAAGAGGGCGAGTCCGCGGGGAGGGGGAATTCGAAGGGCGGTCGGATCAGAGCGCTGCGCACGGACCAGTCGCCCGCCCCGGTCCAACGTTCAATGGAAACGTGACCTTGAGCCAGCGATGACGGAGCTCCGAACTGGACAGCTCGTCTGAAGCTATCAATCTCCTGCGACAACAACCACTGAGCGGAAACTGAGCTTACCAAAGCCGTTAATCAACCTGCCCACCTCAGACCCTCGGGCAGCCCCAACCCGAGCTTTGTATACACGAGACGAGGCAATTTCTCTTTGTCCGCCTACTTCCTGACATCAACCCCCGACGAGACCTGAAGCATCCCTGTTTATGGATCGGACAAATCATTAATCATGTCCTCGTCTGGGCCCGACATTTCCGAGCTCTCCGAGAGCCAGCGGTCTGCTCTTGAGACTTACACCGCCGTCACAGATCAAGACCCCGTGGCCGCCATTGCATTGCTAGGTCGATCGCAATGGAACGTACAGGTAGGAGCACTCATAGTATGTAATCGTGAGAGAAGCCGCTGACGTACAAAGATTGCCATTGCGAAATTCTTTGATGGAGAAGGGCCGGACCCTGTGGAAGAAGCCCGCGCCGCTCTTGAGAACAACAGCCCTGCTCGTCCGAACCGTCAAACGCAGAACCTCCTGCATGAGGATCTGACTGCACGATTCTCACCAGCCTCACCAACCTCATCAGCCGCCGAACCAGCTCCCCGTGTCGTAACCCAACCAGGCGATCAGCCCGTTTACCGTCCACCTTTCCTACTAGCCATCGTCTTCGCCCCAATTAATATCCTATACCGATTGCTCTTCAGCTCCTTCCGCCTGTTCGGCACCCTATTCCCCTTCCTCCCCCGATTGTTCAACTCAACAGCAAACCCTGCTCTACAAGGTGCCCGGCGAAATACCACGGGGCGTCGTCCGTTACCGCCAAAAGATACAGCCGCCAGATTCATTCGTGAATTCGAGGAACAATATGGGGCTCACTCGGTTGAGTTCTTGGAGAATGGATACAACATGGCGTTGGAGAGAGCGCACCGGGACTTGAAGTTCCTACTGGTTGTCTTGTTGTCGCCGGAGCACGATTACACAGATGGATGGGTCAAGGAGACACTCTTATCCAAGGAGGTCACCGATTTCATCAACGACCCACAAAACAATGTCATTGTATGGGGTGGGAACGTACAGGATGCGGAAGCATATCAAGTTGCTAACTCACTCCGATGCACGAAATTCCCCTTTGCCGCCGCGATAGCCCATACACCTAGCGTTTCATCAACCGCCATGTCTGTTATTACTAGGATTTCTGGGGTGACATCGCCCGCAGAGTTTGTGGAAAAGCTCCGGACATCGATCTCGCAGAACAAGGAGCCTCTCGAGCGAATCCGGGCCACTCGGGCCGAGCAACAGGCCACTCGCAGCCTCCGCGAACAACAAGACTCAGCGTACGAGCGCTCTCTGGCAATCGACCGAGAACGCGCAAGACAAAGAAGAGAGGCGGAAGCAGCACGGCAACGCGAGGAGCAGCTCGCAGCGGAACGCCAAGCAGCGGAAGAAAAGCGGATACGTGATCTTGTGCAATGGAAGCAATGGCGCTCCCAATCCATTCGGGAGGAACCGAGCGCAGATGTCAAAGACGCCGTCCGGATCAGCATCCGGCTACTTTCAGGCGAACGCGTGATCCGTAGGTTCGCTCCGGACGCTGATATGGAAGAACTCTACGCTTTCGTCGAGTGCTACGATATCCTGAAAGAGGCAGGGACGGACGCGTCAGAGAAGACGACAGTGGCGGAGCCAGAGGGGTTCGACCACCAATACGACTTCCGACTCGTCTCGCCGATGCCAAGAGTCGTCTACGAGGTTGATGCTGGTTGCGCGCGGGAAAAGATTGGCCGCGGCGGTACTCTACTCGTGGAGCCCATCGACGAGGGGAGCGACGAGGAGGAGTAGGTAGTGGAGGAGGGTACCCTACATTAGTGTACGCTAAGATACATAGACTCGCGTCAAGATAGACACCACACGCGGCACGCTTGTCTAATCCGAGTAGCTCTATGCCAAGCATAATTATGCAGATTGCATTCATATCACGGATGTGAAAGGTTTCCATTTCCCTTGACGGAGTCGGAGACATTCCCGGAGACATTTTCCTCGATATCTCTCCAGGGCACCATGGGAATTCCACGGAGTAGTCTTTTAGCTTCGCCGGGCACATTGGCCTAGCGACGGAGACATTTTATATTGACTCTCAAGTGTCGACCGGCGGAAATGGACACGCCCCAGCCGAAGAGTAGTGATCGTCAATGATCAACCCTCTCTTTGGACTCTATCTGATATTAACTCTCCCGGCCGTTATGGCCCCGCCAGGCTCGTAAATTCAACTTCTCCAAGAGAATGCGCCAGGCCCCCAATTAATTATTCCAGAACCTCGCAAGATTAGGCCCCCCGTTCTGTACGTAGTTCATACTAACCAATCAAGACCAGCAATGGCCAAGCTAACCCTTCTGCTGACTGAGAACCATAACTCCTGAGGGCGGCCGGAAGCCTCACTGACGGAGTTGGAGGGGATGATTCTGAACCAACAAGCAACGCCAAATAAACCTTTAATGATTGGCGCGAACTTCAATGCGGGTCAATTGGAATTTGGGCGTTTCGAAATGACAAGGGCCTCAAGGGGTGGTGTGGACTTTTGAAGAAGCAGAGGGTAGGCATGATAGGCAATTACTAAGTAATCTACTCCTGGGTACAACATAAGTGCTTCCTTCGCTAGCTCGCTTAGAGTTCATGATCCTGGTCTAATAATCATGCGCCGGCGGTTGAGCGTTTTACTGCTTTCGTTCTAGACTCCTAATGATCATGTTATAAGTTATCCCCGAACATAAACCTGGAAGCCAATAGGGGAACGGAGTGTCCAATTACAACGGTGTGGGGACCGGGGGTTGGAGGCAAGACGAAGGTAGAAAGTCTGAAAACTCGATGTCCCAGACGATCATTGCGATCTGGAGCTCAGAGTCCCGTACACAGTAACCTCTGGGGAGATAGGTAGACACAATTTCGCGTTATGTTGACGAGCACAGATGTTGCACGGCCGATGCCAGCGATAAAATATGCACCATTGGGTTTGCCAGCTCCAGGCATCACTGTCCAGGGTGTTCTTGATGTTGGTACCCCAAGCCTGTTTCCGCTGGGGGCGTTCGGGGCTAAGGTCACTTCAAATGTCATCGGGGATAAGATCGGGAATACGATCATGAAGCCAAGGAAAGTCAGGTTGTAAATCACGACAGTCCCCGCCTGTAGATGATTGAAGATCACAAGAACCTTGAAGGTTGATCATCATCGTCATCATCAGGCTCGTGCGTTTAACGACTTCCAGTCATATTTTGAGGTCGTGGAGTAGATACTAGTAGGAAGTTTGGAGCTGGAGGGTGGAGGTAATTACCCGAGCAACATCGGCGCGTGATTGCGTCCTGAACTCCTGATAAATATATATCTTGCGCCTTGATACTCTGGAACCAACGCGACGAGCATGATGAAACACCAGAGTAATTCGAAAGGAACACGTCACTCGTCAGGGACCATAGTAATCCTTGCTTAACCCTTGCATTCTTCCAGAAAGCCAAAAATTCAAAGACTCAATAGAGAATGGGGTATCCGTGCAACAGCTGCAGATGCGGAGAGATCAGGTTCATGTGTCCGAGTGATAGATGACAGTGTCCATGTGTCGGGCCCAGAATTCTCCGTGGAAAGCGCCTGAAAGATGAGGTTGCAACATGTAGATCCTGACGGAAAGACAAAAAGCGCCCATGACTTGGCATCGACTGCAAGAGGAAATTGGTCGGGTCGTCCTGTGAGGCGTGCTTGGCGAGATTCAAGGATTACGCGACCTATCCAACCTAGGTTGGGGTATGCCAAGTTGAACACATCACGGATGCATTTTTTCCATCCAAGATCAGACTTGCCGTTGTTGAGAGCAACAGGGCTGATACTGTGGAAACCACATCCACCGGAACAAGAGGCTGATTGTCAACTGGCTGGGAACTTGGCAACCCTGGAATCTTCGATTCTTTGATACGGAAGAGGCTGTGTCCGTGCCGAGAGATCGGTTGCGGCAGATAAGATCCTGCATAGCTGAGTCACGCAGTCAATGCCGGTATAAATCAGGCTGCGAGCGGACAGTGCCGCAAGAATAAAAGTTTGTCGGAATAGTGGAAGAGGCGAATCCGATACGGTATGGTACTAAAAGGGGGAGCCCTTCTCCAAATCGCGAATTTCGGGGCCGGGAAGCCTTCTTGCCGGCCCCACCGCCACCCCTAATCGCTGGCACTGGCACTGTTTCTCGATGCTTTTTCAGGCTGCCACGCTGCGATTCCCACACGCACGTCAGCGGCCAGCCATGTTGATCAATTCAGATGAAACATTGCGAACGGCGCTGGCGCATTAAGCGAGCTTCTCGAACCAACGTTAACCCAGAGTAGAAACAATGCACAATATGATTCATAATGAGTCTGTATAGCAGATGTCCAAATTCAGGTTATATCCAGATCTTCGTATCGGATACGGGGCTTGACGAGTCCCTGAATCATGGATTAATGGATAACCCGTCGCTGGATCCAATCTGATAGAGCTGTTTCGTGGATGCGATGGAGATGGGGCCGAGAACAATAGGCTATCTCCCCTGCCAGCAGCCATGCAGAGGCTGAGTGGCCAGCGCGACTGTGTAACATACGGTGTCAGCCTTCCCGCTAGTATGATGGCCAATTGACTCAGTTCGAGGTTTGGGACTGGTTATCGCCGTCAAGATGACTCTTCTCCTCGTTTCTTGCGAGTAATCGGCTGCGGTATGCCCGCTTGCACGCACTCGGGACTCCATCTCAACTGACCCGTGCATCGTTCATCTGGGTCCGGAGACAAGGCTTCACCGCACCCGATTGGCCAGACCACTGCATTTTTCCATTGCAGCCCAGACTTTTGGCGTCGCCGCTAATTTTCTGTTTTTTCTTTCGCCTGAAGTCTGGTCGGCTATGGTATTATTATTTTAGTCTTCACTGGGACAGTCGCTCTTTAAGTTACGGGGGTCCAGCTCGATTGAGGAGAAAACGTCCGCTCATTCATTCTTCTTTTCTCCCTCTACCCCCTCTCTCATTCTCAAACAACCCCTCCATACTTCCATCCCTGACACGGGCACGTCCTAGTGCTAACCCTTGTGCTCGGCTTGCTTCTCTCTTAAACAACAGCCTGCGGGCTTCCTATCTCTAACCCCATCACCCTGAGGCTGGTTGTCTCAAGCCCAACAACCATGGCTTCCTTCTTGGGAACGATCAATCCCAGTGTTAACCCCGCCCGCGAGGTGGAATCGCGGGGAGTTGAGGAGCACACCGTCACTGAAACCAGCGACTATGTAGATCAGGATGCCGTTCCGCGCGAGAAGCTGGCGCGCAGCTCCAGCAGTATTCTCAGCTCTGCCGAGACAGCTCGGGAAAAGGAAGAGCGCGACTACGAGGACGAGGCTGAGGAGGAAGTCACTCGTCTTGCTCAGCAGTTGACACACCAGTCTACAAAGTACTCCACTCACAACATCGAGAACCCGTTCATCGACATCAATGAGGACTCCTCTTTGAACCCAAGCAACCCCAACTTCAAGGCGAAGAACTGGATGAAGAACATCCTGGCTCTCTCTTCGCGCGACCCCGAACGATACCCCAAGCGCCACGCTGGTGTCTCATTCCGCAACCTCAGCATTCACGGCTTCGGCAGCCCCACAGATTACCAGAAGGATGTTTTCAACTCGGTGCTACAGATTGGGAACCTTGTTCGCCTCTTTACGGGAACTGGAAAGCAGAAGATTCAGATTCTGCGCGAGTTCGATGGTCTGGTCAAGAGTGGTGAAATGCTTGTCGTCCTAGGCCGACCCGGAAGGTAGGCACTCGCGAATGGTTTGTATCACTTCAAATACTAACCTGACACAGTGGTTGTTCAACATTCCTCAAGACCCTTGCTGGCGAAATGAATGGTATTTACATGGACCCGGCTTCGGAGCTCAACTACCAAGGTATCCCAGCAAAGCAGATGCGCAAGCAATTCCGGGGTGAAGCTATCTACACCGCCGAAACTGATGTCCACTTCCCTCAACTATCTGTTGGTGATACATTGAAGTTCGCCGCTCTTGCGCGTTGCCCCCGGAACCGTCTTCCTGGAGTTTCTAGGGAACAGTATGCAACCCACATGCGAGACGTTGTGATGGCTATGCTGGGTCTGTCCCATACGATCAACACCCGTGTTGGAAACGATTTTGTCCGTGGTGTTTCTGGTGGTGAGCGCAAGCGTGTCTCTATCGCGGAAGCCACCCTCAGCGGCAGTCCGCTGCAGTGCTGGGATAACAGTACTCGTGGTTTGGATAGTGCCAACGCCTTGGTAAGGAGAACGAGGAATCCTTCTGCACTTGTCAGTACTAATCGAAGTAGGAATTCTGCCGCACTCTGAACCTGATGACCAAGTACGCCGGTGCCACTGTGGCTGTTGCCATCTATCAGGCCTCGCAAAGCGCTTATGATGTATGTTCTCTTGTTTGCATCCACATGCGAATATCTGCTAATTTAGTTATCTAGGTCTTCGACAAGGTCACCGTCTTGTACGAGGGTAGACAGATCTACTTCGGTCCCACAGATGAAGCCAAGCAGTTCTTCGTCGACATGGGTTTCGAATGCCCAGAACGCCAGACTACTGCCGATTTCCTCACATCGCTTACCAGCCCTGCTGAGCGAATCGTGAGAAAGGGTTTCGAGGGCCGTGTGCCGCAAACACCTGATGAGTTCGCTGCCGCCTGGAAGAACAGCGCTGCTCACGCGAAGCTAGTCCGGGAGATCGAAGAGTACAACCAAGAATTCCCGCTTGGTGGTGAATCGCTCAATAAGTTCATCGAATCTCGCCGGGCCATGCAGTCCAAGAACCAGTATGTTTACTCTTGTAACCAAAATCATTCGAAGAAACTAACATTTGACAGGCGCATCAAGTCTCCGTTTACCATGTCTGTGGGGGAGCAGGTCGATCTTTGCATGATCCGTGGCTTCCAGCGTTTGAAGGGCGACGCCAGTTTGACCCTCAGTCAGCTTATTGGAAACTTTATCATGGCTTTGATTATTGGTAGTGTTTTCTACCGTTTGGACAATGATACCGGCAGCTTCTACTCTCGTGGAGCTTTGCTCTTCTTCGCCGTCCTGCTCAACGCCTTTGGTAGTGCGCTTGAAGTATGCGTTCCCCCCTACCCAGCTATTGCCTTGGCTAACAAGTTGCCAGATCTTGACCCTCTACGCCCAACGTCCGATCGTCGAAAAACAAGCTCGTTACGCCATGTACCACCCGTTCGCCGAAGCTATCGCCTCCATGCTTTGTGATATGCCCTACAAGACCCTGAATGCCATCACCTTCAATATCCCGCTCTACTTCATGACAAACCTCCGCCAAGAGGCAGGCCCATTCTTCGTGTTCCTCCTCTTCTCATTCGTGACGACTTTGACCATGTCTATGCTTTTCCGTACCATGGCTTCTTGGTCAAGGACCCTCTCCCAGGCCCTTGTGCCCGCTGCTATCTTGATTCTTGGTCTTGTCATCTACACTGGTTTCACTATCCCAACCAGAAACATGCTGGGCTGGTCCCGCTGGATGAACTACATCAACCCCATTGCCTATGGTTTTGAGAGTTTGATGGTCAACGAGTTCGAAGGCCGCACTTTCCCTTGCTCTGATAACGAGTGGATCCCGCGAGGTGACGGCTACTTGACTGTGGAACGGGTCAACCAGGTCTGCGCTGTTGTAGGTGCGGCTGCTGGTAGTGGCTCTGTTGACGGGACCACCTTCCTCCGCGAAAGTTACCAGTACACCCCTAACCACAAGTGGCGCAACCTTGGTATCATGTTTGCTTTCATGGCTTTCTTCCTCTTTACATACCTTTTTGGTGTCGAGTTTATCTCCGAGGCCAAGTCCAAGGGTGAAGTCCTCCTCTTCCGCCGCGGCCAGGCTCCTCCTGATGCTGGCGATGAAGAGACACGCAGCCCTGTTACCGCTGGAGAGAAGGTCGACCAATCCACTCAGGATGTTGCCAACATCCAGAGACAAACCGCTATCTTCCACTGGAAAGACGTTTGCTACGACATCAAGATCAAGAATGAACCCCGGCGCATTCTCGACCACGTGGACGGATGGGTGAAGCCCGGTACCTGCACGGCTCTGATGGTAAGCCTTCTTTTGATATTCTAATGGTATCATTCTGACATGATTAGGGTGTTTCTGGTGCTGGTAAAACCACACTTCTGGACGTACTTGCTACTCGTGTGACTATGGGTGTTGTCAGCGGTGAAATGCTGGTCGATGGCCGCCCTCGCGATCAATCTTTTCAGCGCAAGACTGGTTACGTGCAACAGCAGGATCTTCACCTTCACACAACCACCGTCCGTGAGGCTCTGCGCTTCAGTGCTTTGCTTCGTCAGCCCGCCCATGTTTCCCGTCAGGAGAAGCTTGATTATGTTGAAGAGGTCATCAAGCTGCTTGGTATGGAGGCTTACGCTGATGCCGTCGTTGGTGTTCCTGGTGAAGGTAAGTTCTGGTTTTGTCTTCATAAATCTCGTGCAGTTTACTGATTTCGCCCAGGTTTGAACGTTGAACAGCGAAAGCGCCTTACCATCGGTGTTGAACTTGCCGCCAAGCCCCAGCTGCTCCTTTTCCTCGACGAACCCACCTCTGGTCTTGACAGTCAAACTTCCTGGTCTATCCTTGATCTGATTGATACTCTTACCCAGCACGGTCAGGCCATTCTTTGCACTATTCACCAGCCTTCTGCTATGCTCTTCCAACGTTTTGATCGCCTCTTGTTCCTTGCCAAGGGTGGTAGGACTGTGTACTTTGGTGAGATTGGTGACAAGTCATCTACTCTGGCCAACTACTTTGAGAAGAACGGTGCCCCCAAGCTCCCTGCTGATGCCAACCCTGCGGAATGGATGCTCGAGGTTATTGGAGCTGCACCTGGATCCCACAGTGATATCGATTGGCCCGTTGTATGGCGTGAGAGCCCTGAGCGTCAAGCCGTGCATCAACACCTCGATGAACTCAAGTCCACCCTCTCGCAGAACTCCTCTGAAACCACTCAGGCCGATTCCTCCGACTACAACGAATTCGCTGCCCCCTTCACTGTTCAACTTTGGGAGTGCTTGCTTCGTGTCTTCTCCCAGTACTGGCGCACTCCAGTTTATATCTACTCAAAGATCGCCCTGTGTGTCTTGACCGCGCTTTACATTGGTTTCTCCTTTTTCCAGGCAGAGAATACTCGCCAGGGTCTCCAGAACCAGATGTTCAGTATTTTCATGTTGATGACCATCTTTGGTAACCTGGTCCAGCAAATTATGCCAAACTTTGTCACCCAGCGTGCCCTGTACGAGGCTCGTGAAAGACCCTCCAAGGCCTACTCATGGAAGGCTTTTATGACTGCCAACATTATTGTTGAGCTTCCATGGAACTCTCTCATGGCCGTTTTGATTTTCGTTTGCTGGTACTACCCTGTTGGACTCTACCGGAACGCTGAGCCCACTGATGCTGTCCATGAACGTGGAGCGCTTATGTTCCTGCTTGTTCTTACCTTCCTCCTCTTTACCTCCACCTTCTCCCACATGATCATTGCTGGTATTGAGCTTGCAGAAACAGGTGGTAACCTGGCAAACCTGCTCTTCTCCCTGTGCTTGGTCTTCTGTGGTGTCCTGGCTGGCCCTAGCCAGCTCCCGGGTTTCTGGATCTTCATGTACCGTGTTTCTCCATTTACCTATCTTGTCTCCGCGATGTTGTCTACCGGTGTCTCTGGTACAACTGCCCACTGTGAACCAGTCGAATTCGTGACGCTCACCCCGCCTGACAACACCACCTGTCTCGAGTACATGCAGACTTTTAAGGACCTCAATGGCGGCTATCTCCTAGACGACAACGCCACCTCCGAATGCACCTGGTGCCAGATTGATAACACCGACACCTTCTTGGCTGCCGTGAACAGCAACTTCGATGACGCCTGGCGCAACTTTGGCCTCATGTGGGTCTACATCTTCTTCAACATTGCCGCCGCCGTCTTCATTTACTGGCTCGCCCGTGTGCCCAAGGGTAACAAGAACAAGGGCTCCTCTTAGACGGGGTTCCCTTTTCTTTTCGCATTTCTCGGCCATTTCTTGCCTTTTTTTTTGATCCATGACATATATTTTTGGATTCCCTGTCTGGATACACCGTACATATATGCGTACTGCAAGGGTTGGTTTACATACTGTCGATATAACACATCATACATAATAGATTAGACCATCATTCTCACCTTCAAACTCGCTTCCGCTCCCTTCGGATCTATCACATCCTACCACCACTCTGCACCGCGCAATTTCTGTACATTTCCACCAAAACCCGCAGCCAGACAGCAGACAGTTCACAGATCGGACTGAACTGACTGACTCCCCTTCCGTCCCTTGATTGTCACTTTTCGTTTCTCTTCTCTTCTCCCCCAACCTCCCTTGCATCGCGTCTTTCCCTTCTCCCAAACCATAATTTCTTTTTCTCTTTCGATCAGTTATTGGCTACTATTTGTTCCGAGTTACACAATGCTCCCCAAATGTGGGATAATCGCTAAAAAGAAAAAGAACATAAATTTAAAGTTTCCACATTTCCACGTAAGTTGACTACTATTCTAAGACTCGCGACTAGTGACGGGAGATTTGCGCGACGGTAGATTCGGATAATCGTCCGAACGGCGATCAGATCGTATCCGATCCCTCTAAACGATAGTATGTATACATACACTAGATACATATCTACGGACATGTGTCAGGCAAGCCTAGTGCCCTACGTACTACAGGCTGTACATATGGACCTACCGTCCTCAGACTTCCGCTGATAAGCAAGTAACGCGTCTCATGCATATCCATACACTGTCCTTTGCTATCTCGAGAGTCGCAAAACGAAGCAAGCAGCAGAAGAACTCCAGCGACGTCCTTCCACTTCTCAGAACATTTGTTCGTCAAAAACCCAAGCGCCCTTGACCTCTTTCTGGGACACGACAACTATGACTCGGGAGGCTGGAATATTGTGCAGGGGTACCCGAGCCAGACCTACTCCATTCGCCAACCAACCCTATGCTCTCCATAAAAGGAAAGAGCGATGTACGGGTGTAGTCCTGGAGGAAGGTGCGATCGTTCGATCCCTCGGTCGCTCCTTCCTTGTCATTGGGATAAATATGTCTGCTGACAGTCGCACTTTCCTATCTCATCGGACTCGATTGTTCGCGCCTTTCAAAACCGGACATGGAAAAATCGACAAGGAAGCAACGATCGTTGGCGTTCCAGGGCCAAACATCAGTCGCCCCTGCCTCTTTATACATATCCTGGGATAGGCAGGTATTGACTCGGTCGTGCTGTCTTTAGGTTTAAGAATGACAAGACAGGATCGTACCTGGGTTCCAGACAGGAAAGAGTGTTGGGACACTCGTGGAAAAAACGTGATTGGTCGTGCATGGGATGGCTTAGAACCGAAGATCTTTCTAGGTTCGAGTCGTACCTAGAGTTCCATCGAACAGGAGGTAATCTATTCGGGAGAGGGTCTCGGCTCTGATATCCTAAGAACGGGGCTAGAGAAACTGGCCTGGCGGGATGGTATGGACCTAGCTGGGCGCACGGAATTGAGCCGGGAGAAGTCGTTCCTGGGAGGCACGTAGGGTCTCTTTCAAACGGCTGAAGCGCGAGGTATGCAACGGGTGAAAGTAGTAGTAGGAAATGGAAATAGTATATCAGTTGATCGTATAGTACACCAGATCATTGGTCAAGGACGCCGAAAATAGAATACAATCTAATCTCCTCTTCTTCATTCACTAGTCTATCCAGCATAATATAGGCACCTAATCTACAATAGACACAGAAGAGAATCGAAAGAATAAAAGTATAGGACGAACACGCAGGCGTAACCACACAGACAGACGATCAACCAAGAAAGCACTACAAAGTTTATCCAGATCCCCGAAAAGAAAGAAAGAAACCACACCGAGCAGGATAAGGTAGAGTAGATAGAAGACAAAAGGAAAACTACACCCTCCAGAGGGCTGTGGTCGCTCAATCTGTCTATCTGTCTACCGAAATAGATTGACTACCTTACTCGTAAGCGAGAAGGGCCTTGAGCAGGCTGGAAATGAAGCTCAGCTGCTCCTCGGCAGTGCCGTCCTTGGGGATTGAGATTCCGGTCGATGTAGGGGCGGAAGAAGGGACGGTGGTGGAGGTCTCCTTGGAGCCTTCGGTCGTGGTAGAGGTTGGGCGGACGGAGGTGGTCAGGGTCGTGGGGACGGCGGTGGTCGTGGGAGCCGCGGTGGTAGTCGTGGTGGCGGTCACGCTGGCAGTCGAGGTAGGGGCCGCAGAGGAGGTAGAGGTAGGAGCAGCAGAGCTCGACTCGGCAGGCTCAGAGGGCGACTCGCCACCAGAGCCAGAGCCACCGACAGTGAAGTCAACGCAGGACTCGTAGGTCTGGTCGATGCTCTCGGCGAACCAATACCACTGGATAACACAGGCACCGGCCTCGGAACACTTGGAACCCAGGTCGTCAGGGATGGTGATGGAGAAGTTTGTCTCGTCCTCGCTGACGCCGGTCGCGGTAGAGGCGTAGTCCTCAGTCCATTCGATGAGCGGGGAGCCGATGGCGGTGTTGGTGGCCGTGTCGACAATGGAGACGTTGGCGACACCGGTGTGAGGAGCGACAATGTCGACCACGAAGTCGACGACCTGGCCGGCAGTGTAGGACTGCACATTGTCGGTGTTGTCGGCGAACTGGTAACCCTTGCAGAGCCAGATACCACAGGCATCGGCGTCGTAGTCGGATTGGCCGGAGGCGACCTGGAGCTCGCCCTGGACGTTACCGGCGCGGTCGGCGGCCTGGTTGTTGTAGACTTGCTGACCGCACGCGGCGGCCATGGCGTCACCGGGGAGACGAGGGGAGGGGGAGGTGATGTAGCCGTGGGCGTTGGCGAGGGAGAAGAGGCCGGCGGCGGCGAGGATGGAAGTAGCTTGCTTCATTTTGAAGATTGGGCTGGTTGATCGATTGGCTGATTGAGCGAGAGAAAGATAGATAGAGTGAGTGATTGGCAGGTATACCAGTATACCGAGAAAGAGCGATAGTTGGTTGGAAGTAAAGAATGCGACGGTCACAGACCGGTATTGAAGTGAATGTCCGAAAGAAAGAGGGAAGACTAGCAAGCCTGCGTGCGTAGAGAAGGAAGGGAAAGAAAGCTCCAAGAATGAGGAGGCAGTATCACGTCTATATAGGACCCCAGCGCCCCGAAGAGCCATGCCTTGAGTTCTCAAGTGACATAGTGCATGAAACACAGCTAAGACCCGAAGAGGATAATTTCCATCCTTCAATCCACAGCGAATAAGGGGCCGGACATCGTGCGACGAGGTAGACGTCAGGACGCAAATTCTTCCTCAGGGCTCCGAGGGAACCCCCAAGTCGGTATGAGCCGAAGCGCTGTTTAGTTTCAGCTTGATTAGCCTCAATAACGGCGGTGGATCACGATTCTTGGCCTGATGTGGCCCAGGGATGTGACTTGGCGCTCCCGGGGTTTCAGCTTCATTAGCCTAGAATTTGCGTGCGGGCCGACTGCGATCCTCTTGAACCCAGCAATAACCTGCAATCTATTTGGCACGGTCGAGCAAGGCTGGAGCTCTGTTACGAGTCAGTTCGGATAATTAAGAATGAGGGCGTGCTGCACGGGCGACTTGCCTGTTCCATATGCTGACGCCACTGTCAGTGTCCACAAGCTCAGTCCACAATATCGCCAGTCGTCCTGTAATAGAAAGCAATTAGTAGACTGAGCTGTGATCAAGTTAGTGAAGGAGGAGGAAGATGGTTAAGGAAAATGTCCGGGGAGAAAATGCATTACACTCCGCAAAGAGGTATCGTCGAAAGGATATAAATACACAAAAAGCACGGAAGAATAAACCAAAGCTGAAACCAAAGCTGATAGAAACAAACGACCGCTAAGCATTTTGGTTTTGAGGGGGTTTGGCTGTCTGACTCGTCCCATTCCACTGGTCTCGCTGCTCCTCTACCCGACCAGGTTCGTCCGCGGGGCCTGGCAGGATCGCAGGAATACTGTAATTGTCTGCGAATGGGTTCTGCACTTGGTAATCCTCCGATCGATACTCGTACCGCCCAGCTGATGGATTGCCACCCGCCGTTGAGACATCAGATACTACGGTCTTCGTTGTACCAGACCTGTGGGTAAGAGCTTCGGGAGAAATTGGCGAGGGAGGACTGTGAGGGGGAGGCGTCTGACTGCGCTGCGGAAGAGGCGGGGGTGGGATTTGGCGCACCGCGCCGGCACCCGCGAGCTGGTCGTTTGGCTCGGGCGACTGGTTGGCCGATTCCACTGGCGGTGTTTGTTGCCCAAGGGCCTTGCGCGCCTGGAGCATGGCCCGCTGGTGTTTGGAAAGGGCTACGGACAATTCGTCGTTCGTCTCGATCAGTGTCAGAAGGGTATCCTCATCGGGAGGGGGATTCGTCGCGTGGATATAGTTCTGGATCGCGCGCGACGCCCTTCTACACCGACCAGAGAACTCTGTGATGAGATCGTTGGAGAGCATCTCGGCCGGTGTCGTCGACTGGACGAACTGCATCAAAAGCTTCGCCGAAGTCTTAGCCTCGGAAATACGAGCAACCAGCTCATCAGGCGACGGCAGCGAATCGGTACGCTCGACACGGAACATTTGGTCCGAATTCTGTCGCGACGGGCTTCCTCGCCAAGTACCCCGGCCATTACTCTACACTGGATCAGCGGCTGATGCAGATGATCGATGATCAGCGATACATACCTTGTTATTATTATAAGCTTTATCCATCTTGACCTTTTCCTTCTTCCACATCTCCACAAACGGCTTCAGATCCTCGTCCCAACCGCGCTGTGTCTCCAATGCATCCAGTGTTTCCCGCAGGAACCGTTGCACACCCATATCCTTCCCCTGGCGCAGCATATCCTTGATCGTCGCGATGAACTTGGCGTCGAGATTCCGAGAAAATGTGTGTCCGGGGTTATCGATGAGGATGCGCATCAACATGATCGCATTGTACTGAATATTAGTCGGTGTCGAGTTCGGTGTCGACAGCAGTTTCCTAAGGAGGTGGGCGGCTTCGCGCGCGGCATTGGGACTCGACTCGGCGCTCTCGACGATACTCGGCAGGTGGACGTACTCTTCTCCTTGCTGAGACGTGCGTGTAAGAAATCGCACGGCAAAGGGAGTGATCGGAGGATTAACACATACCGGATGGTGCGGGCCTTGTCCCTCTTGACAAAAGGCATTCTAGATTGTAAACAACGCGATCAGCAGTGTTCCCCGCACAGGGGTCCGACGGGTCTCTGCGAACCACTTCTCTGATGATGATGCTTTCGGGCGAGTCTTCGGAGTAATTCTGATTTTCGCGTGAAGGGCCTATCCAATGGTCAGAAAAGTCGGTCGCGGAGTCTGGCCTACTCACTCCGATTGAGCGTTGGGCGCTTGTTGATGGTACTCAGGAGGCGCTTCATGGTGTCGGTGCCGGACCGCAGGACTTGAGTTGGAATCGGAGAGAGAAAGAGGGACGGAAAACTGGGGGTAGCAAATTGTAGGGGCGAAAAAGCGAATGAGAGGGATAAAAAGAAAGGAAGTGAGAGCTAAGTTAGGCTGTTGCAGCTAGTCGGCGTAGGCGACGGCGTGCGTCGGAGTCATTTGGCAGCCTTTAGTTAAGCGCTGAGCTGCGGAAGGCAGAAAGAAAGCGGCAATCGCAGGCGACACAATCAAGAGCAGCGCTTTGTCCGCGACACGCAAGTCGAGCCAGCGCCAGTCATCCTCGGGGTAGGCATTCGATGCGATTAATGGACAATAACGGTGATGCCTGGGGAAGGGCCTCTGGAGTTTGAACTCCTTCCCCACCACCGCCACAGTGTCGCATAATCGCCTCGCATGCGATACACGTATGCCCTGTGCCTTGGACCGTGGCTATTCGTCGCCCAGCTTTAAGCTCAAGAGATTCTGTATGCAGAATGCAGCACCGCCACCCTTGGCTTCCAATGACCTATACATTTCATCGAGATTTGTCCGCACGACGTAACGGCCGAGACGGAAACTCTCGTCCCTTGGTACACTGTGCGAAACCATGGATTGTCGCAACCCAATTAATTCCCTGGATAACTGACGGACCAATGTTCCGCAAGAACAACATATTTCTTCAAATATGATAATGAGGCTAGATAGCACAAATAGAGAGCGCTAACCCTCTAATATGTTGTACTTATCGATCCCTTGTTCGCCCATGTGGTGTTACTGGTACTCTGGCAAGTCCCCGTATGCTCTGCTTTCCCCACGAGAGGCAATGCCTATACTAGTAAACTTCGTGTATTAAGGACTAACCTTCCCTAGGTGGGGTATAATTAGAGAGCTGCAACCCGAACTCTAACTCTACCTATTTTTCTTGATTTTTTCTAAGTTTAGGATTTGTATCTTGTTTGTTAGATGGAGGGGCGTGTGGTACGAGGCGATCAAGCTACTATCTGGTCACATGTTGCAAGGAAGGGACGTGGATACACCTGAGCACTGGACTTTTTGTCTATTGACGTGTTTCGCCTGTCAGGCGATACTATCTATGTCTTAGGACACTTTTTCCCGCGAGAACACAAGTTAATGTCCCCCCGGCCCTTCAGGCCAGCAAGGAGAGCTTCAGAGATGAACGCAGTAATATTCAGTCCAGACTGGCAGATCCGGGGCCCTGAGGTGGCTACAGGAATGAGCCTTCATATGCTGTACCCGGTTCGGACGTGCTTGGAAACCACATGAGTAACCAATGTGCCATCAGTTGCCGAGCTAACCCATGCATCAGAGTCAGAGATGTCCCATCTCCGCGGACACAAGCAGCCGTAGTTATTCAAAATCGGTGGGATTATCTTGCTCATATTTGTGTTTAGAGAACATTCCGAGGTCTCTTGAGAGTAACCTAATAAGGAAACCTTTCCTGTTCATATTGTACATATTTCCCTGGAGATATCTTCTCTTCATCAAGCTTTCAGATCAGCAACTCAGAGTACTAGGCATATTTGAATGTAGAGTCTGTGCGTTTCTAATTCAAATTAATACCGGTTCTATAGGCAGAGACAGATACGATTCGTTGTCTCATTTGAAATCAACATGGCTAGGTAGGGGGTTTCCGATCTCCTTTCCAGTTCGTGCTCTATGAAGCCACTCAATCTTTCAATGACTTGTACAAGATCTAGGTCTTATTAGTTGTCTACAGCATATTCTCCATCTAGTCATTTTCGGGCGTCGAACCCCCGACTACACCTCTATTCTAGCCAAAGTTTGAGCGTTTGTTGCTATATTTGGACTACTCGAGCCTCAATATTAGTCATTACTACCTCGAATATAAGGGGACGTTATAACTGGTTGGCATGTCAAGGTGCGTGTGACAGTATTTCTACATACTAAACTCGAGGTTCCGGTTGTTAGCTGTTAACTTGTTCCAATGTTGACTATAGCCGCATAGCGTTATACATGGCCCAAGTGTAGCCTACCATAGCCTTGTAGTAGATATAACTTCTATGTCTGTCTAAAAAACTGGTTGAAACCAAGAATTTGGCCCTCTGTGTCTCAAGTCCCCAAATGTATATCTTATAGACCATAAGAGCGTTCAACCATCCATAACAGCACGCGGGGTAGACAGGTGTAGGCACTGCATGAGAGTTAGTCCCAACTCGTTGTATTCCTAACTCAACCTGCCAAAGATGAGGCTGAATTTAGAAGTTGAAGGTGCTCGGGTGCCGACGAAGAAATAGCGCATATAGTAGATTGCTTGAACTTTTCGTGGTCTATATTCAAGATCGTGCTCCTGGGTCTGATTCGAGTTTCATCTTATAAATACTCAAGCTTAGTCCACGACACTGAATATTGAATCTATCAACCTACTTTACACTCGCTTTTCTATCCCCTCCTGTCTCAACGTACCCCCCACTGCCAACAACAAAATGCGCTTTTCTACTATTGCTGCCATTGCTGCCTTCGTGGCCAGCCACCTCTACAGCAATAAGACCACTGCCGCTTCGGGAGCAGACTGTGAGCCTTCATTCTGACATCGAAGTCAGTTGTGAGTACGTTCCCAGCCCTGCCTTCAAATACCCCACACCTAACCAGGAAAAGATACTGGGAAGAGGCAATTACTGATACTGTTCTTGTTGACTAGACCCCTCTAGTGATGATTTACCGGGCTACTACTTTTATCTCGCCAACTTCTTCGACGATTTTGGGAGCAAGGGGAATCCGTGCATACCCACCGGCGAGGATAATTATGTTGAAACAAAAGGAAAAACCAGCCATACCATTAAAGGAAACACTGTCCAAGCGAGTGTAGAACGCAGGTACGTACTTGACCATTTTGGAGCAGAGCTTATGATGATTGCGAAATCATACTGCAGTGAGTTAACATGACATCTCATCTAGGCCGCGGTATGCCATTGTCTTTGGTCTACAGCCCAGGCAACCAGACCAGAATTGTGCGCGGGGCCCTGAAACTGCTCCATTCGAGGTCCTGGACTACCCTTGACAGGGAATTGATTTGCACTACCACTCCCCCTAGAAAGCGAGCGTTTTTTCAAACTACAAGGTTGTCAATGAGGGGGCTGATCTCTGTGTCCTGGATTTGAGCTGTCAAAATACCTATTCTCTTCATGTCGTTTATCTTCCTGCCTTGGTCTAGGTTTTCCCCTGATTTAGATTAGGTTTCCCTATGCTGTTATGCGAATGCAAAGGCTTCTTTATACTTTTATTGACTTAAGAAACGTAAACGCGCATCCTTGCTTGAGCAATAACTAATGGATATTCTCCACTTTTCCACAGCGTGTCACTTTCATATTGATTCATTACTCCAGCTACAACACCCCCAAGTCAAAAAAATTGCCAAAATAAATTCGGAACCTTGGAGCCCACTGAGATCGGGCAAAAGTTATATCCAAGCTATCCTTAAGCAGGATGAATACTGCTCTAGAATCCCCCGGCCGACCCCACCCGATAGAGCTGGCCAAAAATCTCTCCTAAAGCCGGTCTCAGATCCCAATAACCTGCGTGATCCAATCCCGATAATAAGCAACCCTCGAAAACACACTTGGATAGCCCTGCCTACCGCACCAGTACCCCCACGAGACAATTCCAACGAGAATCCCATCAGCCACGGCAGGACCACCACTATCACCCTGACACGCACCCTTCCCACCGCCGGGCGCCCCAGCACAGAACATCCCATCCGTAATGCGAAGATTATCTCTCCCGTACGCCGCTGCACACTTTCCCCGCTCAATGATTTCCTCAGTCACGGCGTGGAGCGTCGACGACATGCCCCTGCCTTCGCCTGTGTCCCCCCACCCCGAGACGACGATTTCTTGACCGGCAACGAGGGCGGAGGAAGAATCCGAATCTGACGCATGCAAGCGGGGAAGGGATATAGGCTGCATGTACGGTCCGAACGTGAGACTCTCAGCCAGCGTGACTATCGCAATGTCGTTCTCCAGGGCAATCGGCTTCCCGTACTCCGGGTGTTTTGTGATACTGGAGACGTTCACTTTCATCCCGCCAGAGGCCCAGAGGGCGGACCCGGCGTGCACTGTATATGCATCAGTTGGAGAGCCCGAGACGCAGTGGGCGGCTGTGAGGATGTGGGTTTCGTCGATGATGCTGCCGCCGCCGGCGAAGGTGCCGTAGACCAGGATGTTGACTTGGTACGGGAAGTCTTCGATGGCGACTTCGGAGCCGCCGATGATGCGCTTGTGCGTGAGGGCTACTGATGGGATGATGGAGAGGATGAGAAGTGTTCTGGTCATGTTTCTTCAAATGGTGATTTTGGTGGCTTTTTTGAGAGAGGTTAGCATAGAGATTGCGAGGGAAGGATTATGAATATATCGAGAGGGAGAACTTGTTTTATCTAATATTCTCCCACGCGCAAGTCCAGATATACAGTTATCCCTGATATATCTTCAGGGGTGGTCAACTGATGTTAGCTTATACTTGTGTGCCTGCCAACTCTGGTGATGCATGGATAACCCTACACCCCCGCGTTTGGTGAGAGGCAAAGCCGACCTGATGTGACTCCCCAATGTTACCCTGCAGGAATCTTGTTGATTGCGGAGGTCGAAGCCAATTAATCACCGGAAACTTGTTGCGTGGCAGTCTAGTGTCAAGAACATCATCCCCAGACTGCCGCACGGGACATGGCAGTTAGAGCGATGAATTATAGCGAGCGAGGGCCACCTTGGAAGCCATGTGCCAGTCCACGTTCAGACTGCACTGCTGCTCGAGCAGTCAGATGATGGTCTCCTTCGCCTCGATAATCTCCGTACATCGGTTTTCGTCAAATGCCAGCGCAGCTATGAAAAGACATGACTCCAAAAGCTGCCATCATCAGACCACTCAGTCCTGTACCATCGCTTCTCATGCCTACATCCCTTGGAGTCCAGCATTCGAACAAGGCACTTGGAAATAACATCATGCCAGGGAATCTCCATCCCGATTTCTCGTGCCATCATATCACATCGGACTATGATCTGCCAACAATATGTGAGATACTTGCCCAGCGCCTCACGGTTCTCCGGATGTAGGGGGTCATGTTCGATCCTTAGTCTCCGCCTCGGCTCATATCCCGCCAGATCCATTATATCTAATGCCAGCTCAACAGGGAGGCCCTTCTGGCATAAAAGACCGCGGACGTCAGCCGCGTCAGATCCGAACGGTTGATAGGATATTACATCCTCAGCAGGCCTCTCCAGCGAGAGAAATTCGCGAAAGGGAACGAGTCCGTAGAGACCTGGGTTTTCACTCGTAGACCCATACATGCATGTATGAGGCGACCACCGCAGCCAATGCTGCTTATTCTTGACATAGAACCCCGCAGAGCTCCAGTGGTCGTCGGGAATACCAAAGAACTGTCGGTGCGGATATGTCACGAGGTCCGCAAGTTTGTGCTTTCCCGTACATGTCCTCACAGCGTATTGGTAGAGCTTGGTACCTCGATAGTCTTTCTTGTCATCGCTCGTCGAAGACGAAGAAGAAGAAGAGGTGCTATCCCGCGTTTCGGGGAAGCAGTAGAGCAGATTCAGACATATATACGCCGTGAGAGCCTTTTCGTAGACGAGCTCCCATCCAAGTTCGTAGCCCTGCAACAAAAGTCAACACCATAGATGGCCCACAGAACGTGTAAATATCGATAACTTACACACTGACACTCCCTCGCATCCAACCAGCCCTCGATCGCCACATCCCGATGCGCACAGCCCCGCAGAATGGTCTCCATCTCCCCATAGAGCAGCAGCGTCGCAACAACCTGTAGATTCAAGAATCCCTGCCGCTGGAAATATAGAAATTGATAACACGGGGTATGGTGATACTCTGTCAAAAACAATTTCACCGTTCGATCCTCGATGACTTCCGAATCCCTGCGAGGATTTTCCCAATTCAAATCCATTTTCACCCGGCGAACTGTCGGCGCAATCCTCCTCGCCGTTCGCTCATCGAGAATGATTTCATCGTTCGATGGAGGGTTGTAGTGATTAGGATACTTTTTGCGCTCGCAGCCTGAGTGCTCTTTGATGTTTCGGACGAATGCGTTGATGAAAAAGGTAAGTTCTCTGCCCTGGTTTGGTTGCATTCGTGGGTGGAGGTTTGTTACACCGCAGGAGCATTGGCTAGCGCGGCTGTATTTTAGGTGGGAGGAGAGGAGGGTCCATGGGATGTTGTGAGTTTGGTGGGCCATTGTCAATGGGTTGGAGTTGGTTGTGTTAGGTGGGAGCGGGTGGTTTGTAGATTGTTTGAGACGGATGATATATTTTAGTATTCCATAAGTAGAGTCTCTTACCCAGTATTATCAAACTCGATCTATCGATCTATGAGTCAAAATGTTAGTCATTTTAAGACATGAATAAACTAGTTGTGGAAAGAATAGATACTTTTCGATCAAACTAGTTGGCACTGCCCCTTCGATCTAAAATATGGTTGAATTGCAGGCTAGGGGTTGAGAGTTATGCCCCATTGGGATTATATACCCCCAAACGAACACACCTACAGACAAGGATATATATCCCTCATCATGTACTAGATCACGTCGAAGTCGTCCCCCTCTCAGACCCCATCAGTTCAACAACCTCCCTCCCATGAATAAGTGTATCCGGACTACTCGAAGCAGTCTGTTGATCCAACTCCGTCGGCCCAGCCTTCCGCTGCGGCGGGACAAACACCTCTAGCACATGCGCATGTCCACGCTCAGCCCCCGATCCAATCCCAACACCAGTGACGGTCTTCACCCGCCTCCGCCGCTCAAGGAGCGCCCATGCTACAGCCGATAGAGCCAACACACCCAGCGGGACACCGACACCCGCGCCGATTGCGACATCATTGTTGCTGCACGTTGAGGGCTCGGTACTTGCGTCGGTTCCTGTAGCAGTTGGAGACGTTGACGTCGTCGACGAAGAGGACGAATCTTCACTCGCCTCCGCCAGCGCCGCCCGCCCAAAGACCATCTCCCCGTCCTCGAGGACAAACGGCGCGTCTCCATTCGCGCATTCGTCCATTGTTTGATTTGCGCTCTGGTACCCGCAGCAGTAGATCGCGCGGCCGTCGTCGTTTGTGCCAACGCTTGTTATCGGGGCGTTTGTGCCCGTGAGAAAGTTTACTATTTGGACGTCAGTACTTTATTAGACCAGTTGGACGGTGCGTGTAGGATAGATAGATATGTGACTAGGTTGGGAATTATTATGGGTAAGCAATCGACGCACCACAATAATAAGCACAAAAATCCCCCCAGCCCGAATCCGTACAGGACCCGCGGTATAAACTGTAGGGCTGCGCCGTCACGCTGAGACAGTAGCCACTCGACAGACAGATTGCGTCGCTACCGCAGCAGAATGTGTCGTCGTCACTGCTGCAGGGGACTGCACTGGAGGATATCGTCCGGTCGGGGTTGTAGCATGTTTGCGCGGTTGTTAGGACAGTGAGTGCGAGTGTGAGCGTGAGCGCTGCTGGTGCGGTGGGAGGGGATGCGATGCCCATCTTCAACGGTTCAGGTGGATTGGGACTTGGTGAGGATGGGCTGCATGGAGAAGAGTATGCAGGAAGGAGAAATGCAATGGCATCACGACGGAATTCAGGGACAACGGCATGTGTCGGGTACTAAAGGCCTGGGAGCTGAGTCGAAGGCCGACGATGGTGACTCGCTGGCGGGGTTAGAGTAGGATTTCAGCAAGGATGCTAACTTGTACAAAGCTGGTTTCTTGCAGATCATCGCTCGCCGCTGTCAACTGGCCTTGATTCTTCCGAGACTTGCATATAATTAGTGGGATTTGTGATTGGCGCGCATATAGGCCCTCGTCTAAGTTTGACTTGGTTTGTAGGAACTTCAGGAACAGGAGAGCGGAGGATTTGACCAAATTTGGACATAATCGATCACCCAGGAGACATTGGATGTTAGTCAGGTGTTTGCCGAGATTTGCTCTGGGTTGTTTAATATATTGTCCGCAGCTTTCCTCAGCTTTCCGCCGCATGTTCGGAGATGTCGAGGCTTGAGCGGCTGGACCGCAGCGTCAGCCGCACCTTACCTGCAAGAACAAGTTAAGCAAGAGGGCAAGTAACTGGCGTTCATGTAGTCTGCACGACTACAAGTTGCTCAAGAGAGAATCCTTAAACCAGATCATCAGCATGTAATAGAACAGGCCAAGTTACAACGTCTATCAATGCAGTAGTGAAGAGCCCAAGGCTGAATATCATTCCTCAGCCTATCATTTCGAACAGTTTTTCGCCAGAAATAAAAAGAAAGAATTCTTTTGAAGAATCGTTTTGTATTTTCTTCCGTGACCAGGTATTTGTTCCGTACAACAGAAAACTCCGGCTAGTATTCCCATTCAAATTCTGACCACTTCACACACTTCTCTCCTCCCCGACCGACACTCAGTCCGCTTATGCCTCGGTGATGGCACGGCGGATCTGAGCGCCACGCTGCCGGGAGCTGAGGCGCTCCTTGCGCTCGACAACGGAAGCCTTCTGGACGACCTCCTCACCCTCGGTCAGGATGAGCTCGATGTGGCAGGGGTTGGTCATGTAGGGGTTGATCTGGACATGTTAGACGGCTTTCAATTGCACCGGAGATGGGAAACATACACGACCGTGAGCACGGTAGGTACGTCTGCGGCCCTTGGGAGCCTGGTTGACCTGGATGTGCTTGACGACAAGGTTGCCGGTGTCGAGACCCTTGGTGTCGGCGTTGGACTCAGCGTTCTTGAGGAGATCGATGAGGAACTCGGCGGACTTGACGGGCCAGCGGGCACGGGCGACACCCCACTGCTTAGCTGGAGGAAGTCAGCATCACCGTTCAAACCCCATTGTGCATTCCCAAATGTCGTCCGATAACCCGAATCAATTCCATCTCTTTCATTGAAAACTCTTTCATATAGAATTCTTCAAATCCACCTCTCAAGCAACGCATAGGTATCGTGTGCACTCACCCTGGGCGGTGCGGCCAGTGCTGCTAGCGAACCTCCGGAAGGGAACGGCCTCGGCCTTGTTGGTGACGTTCTCGAGGAAGGTAAGAGCGCGCTGGAGCTTCATGCCGTTGATGGCCTGAGCGGTCTCGCGGGTGTTCTTGAAGGAGACACGCAGGTAAGAGCCCCGGGCGCGGGCGCTCTTTGCGGCCGGAATGTCCTGATTAGCGTAACGGACCTGGTCGAGAAAAGATCCAAAATCAGCATCCAGTCCAAATTTTCACACATTTCCAACGCAATTCAACAGAGATTTCATGTGCAATCGTCGTGGGAGGGGTGCTGGGAATCGAGATTTTTCGAAGCAGCGAGATATGCAGTTGTCGAATTGCCATCACAGCAGACATTTCATCCGGGCGTGTGCGTGAAACCCTCAATATCTTGTGTTCCCCCTTGCAATTCCATGGACGTGATAATCGAAAGGAGCAATCGAGAATAACTCACCATCTTGATGTGGTTGCCGAGCGGGTGGTCTCGTTGTCGGGAAAGAAGTTGTCGCTTTTCTTTTGTTCGGCCGTCGAACTTCAGAGATCGCAGGTGTCGCTCGTCGTAGTGCGGGATTTCTTTCTTGGCACTGGCAGTGCCCTAAGCGAGCCCTAGGAGCTAACTTAACTGGGCCACCGCCCGGCAGTTCTGCCGCCGCAATCTCCGGGACAACTGAAACACTTGAAGACTGAGATCAACAACTCAGTTCTCTATTATGGAGATAGGGAGAGAGAGAGGGAGAGAAAAGAAACTGGTCATTATGTCTATGCATTTGTTTCATTATTCAAAATCTAAACGCTATCTCGTCTATTTCTTCGCTTGCTCCGGCACCTGCGTGATCAGCTCCCCCTGCTCCACCGCCGAGCGCAAGTTATCCAACACCAAGATTTCCATCTCCTTTTGCGTCTCATAAGTCATCGTACCGATATGAGGCAGCAGCATAACCCGAGGGTTGTTGAGCAGACCAAGCTCTACAATGGGTTCCTGCTCGTACACGTCGAGACCAGCCGACATGACCTACTGACTTAGCCATTGTCTTTATGAGGGGCCGAAGAACTCACCTTGCCAGACTCGAGCGCCGCTACCAATGCCTTCTCATCAATCAGAGCACCACGAGCAGTGTTGACGATAACCACACCATCCTTCATCTTCTGGAACTCCTTCTCGCCGATTATATGACGGGTAGATGGGTTGAGCGCCAGGTTCAGACTTAGCACGTCGGAGGTAGCCAGCAGATCGTCGAATGAGATGTATTTCGCGCCGCCCTCAAGCTCGGAGCTAAGCCGCGACCGATTGTGATACTGGATTGTCATTCCGAAGGCTCTGGCTCGGTTGGCCATTTCCTGTCGTTGTCAGAATCAGTCCGGAGAGAAGGCCGCAGTTCGGTGGCTTACCCGGCCAATTCCTCCCATTCCGAGGATGCCCAGCACCTTTCCCTTGGGGTCGTGACCTAGCGTAGCCTGGCCGTGCCATTTGCCTGCTCTTGTCAGTTCGACTCTTCACTCGTTTAGCTGGACGTAGCTCATACCCTCTCGGATTGCCGTTAGCGGGACGTAGGCCTGGCGCAGGGCACCGATCATGAGAAAGATGCCGACATCTGCAGTCGCATTGTTGACGGCCACCGGCGTGCTCGAAACTGAGATTTCTGTGGCCATTAGCTTCACTCGCTGCTGCAGCTTTTTCAAGGTGACGCACCGCGTTCTGAGCAGAGTGGGATGTCAATGTTGTCGTAGCCGGCTCCATTGTGGCAAATATATTTCAGGGATTTGGGGAGGAGGGGAATCAATTCTTTGTCAAAGGGGCCGGTGAACTGCGCTTGTCAGCGGAATACAGAGCGATTGAGAAGAGCGCATACCTTTGTAGAGGCATTGGATCGGTAGATGACAGTCACGTCGTCGTATTTGCCGTCCTTTAGGTTGCTGATGAACTCTTCGCGTGTACCTGAGGGAAATTCCTGAATCGCGGCACGTTAGAAGCTATCTCGAAGCGCGCATGTTTCGAGAATTGTCCACCTTGAGTGTCAGAATAGAGGAGAGCTCCTCCCACTCCTTCCGGGCGTGGGTGATGTCGCCGATGAGAAGCGCAGCAGGCATGATTTCAATGCGGGGTGGTAGAGTACACTTCTGGAGGTTGCAAAGACAGATGAAGCGCGAGAGAGAGGGAAAAGCAAAGGAAAAGAAAAGAAGAAGCAGGAGAAATGTCCGTAGATTAAAGTCTCTCGGTTCCTTACCCTGGGATTGCCGCTTTCGTGCTGATTGATGGATTCATGGAGCTGCGATGGATCTCCACGTGGGGGTTACATTTACATACTATACAGACTCGGAGGCACGAAAGAACATTGTTGGAGCTCCTCCCTCGCTCCGACTATAGCCAATCAGCCAGTTATCTTGTGAGGATAGTAAGTGAGTCATTTGTCTGGATACCCAATATTACTTGCATTCTGCCCCGGTGCCACTTCCAATACTGCTGTTGGACAGTTGGAGAGTGTCGGCTATTGATCGCTGGTTCAAAGCCCGACACGGAGCAAATCCGGCAGCGCCAACCCCACGTTCGCCGGGTAAATGTCCGCAACGCAGTCAAATACTCGATTTTCTCATTGACACTGACTCTCTATTCTCAATTATTGTCTGAATAGCATCATCTCGTTTCAGGAACATCACAATGGCCACCTGTCAAGCCCTCGTCCTCCATGGCGCCAAAGACCTGCGCCTGGTACGTCACCCCTCATCTATACAAACAACACGACTAACACGAGTATAGGAATCCAGACCCGTCGCAGAGCCCACCGGCTCAGAAGTCCAAGTCGCCATCCGCGCAACAGGTCTCTGCGGCTCTGACCTGCACTACTACAACCACGGCCGCAATGGCGACTTTGTCGTCCGCGCGCCCATGTGCCTAGGCCACGAGTCCTCTGGCATCGTCACAGCCGTCGGCCCCGACGCCAAAACACTGCAAGTCGGGGATCGTGTCGCACTCGAAGTTGGCCTCCCCTGCCGCAAGTGCCCGCTGTGCCTCTCCTCGCGCTACAACCTCTGCCCGCAAATGGCCTTTCGCAGCTCCGCAAAGATCTTCCCCCACCTCGACGGCACCCTCATGGAACTCACCACACACCCAGAGGACATGTGCCACAAGCTCCCAGACTCCGTCTCGTTTGCCGGCGGTGCCCTCGTCGAACCACTAGCCGTCTGCCTACACGCCATTAGACGCTCAAACCCACCTCCTAGATTCGCCGATGCAACCAAGCAGACAAACGCAAGCACAGCACTCATCTTCGGCGCCGGCGCAATCGGGCTCCTCCTCGCAGCGGCCCTCGCTGCCCGCGACACATTCGCCCACATCGTCGTCGCAGACATTGACGCTCCCCGCCTCGAAATCGCCTCCTCCCTCGCTCTCCCCAACCTCTCCACCTTCCTCATCCCGCGGCCCTCAACCCCCCCGGCGCGCGATGCGCCCCACGCCGAACAAACAGCCTTCGCCCTCTCAACTGCACAATCCGTCGCTGCCTCCCTCAAAGAATCCATCCCGAATACCCTCGACACAGCATCGCTCGGCTTCACCCGCGTCTACGACTGCACGGGCGTCCCCGCGTGCGTGCAGGCGGGTATCTACGCTGCGTCACCGGGAGCAGTCCTCGTACAGATCGGGATGGGGAATCCCGTGCAGACAGTTCCTGTTGGTGCGGCGGCGCTGCGCGAGGTTGATATTATTGGCGTGTTCCGGTATGATGGGTATGCGTACCCTGCGGCAATCGAGTTGATGAGTAGTGGGAAGATGAGTGTTGTCGAGGAGAAGGTTGTCACGCATCGGGTGCCGTTGGCCGAGGGGAAGAGGGCGTTTGGGCTTGCCGGGAGTGGAGTTGATGAGGATGGGAGGCCCGTTGTCAAGGTTGTTATCGAGAGCTGATTTCGTTGCGAAGATTGGATGTTTATACCCGGTGGTGATAGCTAAAATTGTGCATAAGATGGTGGGGTGGTGTTGAGGTATATGATGAGTTCGAATTATACAGTGATGTGAAGCATGAACGAGGCGTTCCTATTTACTTATCCAAGAAATATAATTATTCTTGAAAAATTGGCATCAAACCACCCCCAAATATACACTTCACATTAAAATCACAGAATAAATCTACTTCAACCCACCGGCCAACAACAAACTCTGCCCGGTCATATACCCCGTCGTCACACACATGGTAACAGCATTGGCAACCTCCTCGGGAACACCCAGCCTCCCGATCGGGATCCCTGCAGCGACCTCCGGGATGGCCTGCGCGCTGGGAATCATCCCCGTGTCTCCAATCATCGCGGGTGCGACGTCGTTGACGCTGATGTTGAATTCCGCAAGGCGCGTCGATAGGTTGCGCATCATGCCTGTCATGCCGCCTTTTGAGGCTGCGTAGTCTGTTTATGATCTTGATTAGAGCGGTTCAAAAAGTAGCTGAGTGATGAAAAACAGCGGGTAAGGTAGTTAGAGGAGGGACAAGATGAAGAGAAAGACATACGAGCTCCATTAATCCCCCCACCATACCCCGCAATCGACGACATGAACACAATCCTCCCCCAGCGCTGCCCCTTCATATGCTCAACAACGCCCTTGACGAGGATAAACGACGCGCGCAGATTCACCGTGATCGTATAGTCGAATTCCTCGAGGGTAATGTCCCACACCTGGGGCACGCGCTTGCCGTACCCGGCGTTGGAGACGAGGATATCGGGGCGCTGGCCGTGCGCCTTGTCGATTTCCAGAAACATGGACTCGATCTGCTCGGCGACGCCGACGTCCACTTTGTGTATGCTTATGCGGAGGTCTGGGGATTGGGACTTGAGTTCGTCGGTTAGTGTGGTTATGGCGGTTAGGTTGGAGGAGTAGGTGAGGGCGAGGTGGACGCCTTTTTCGGCGAGTTGGCGGGCGCAGGCGGCGCCGATTCTGGAATAACATGTTAATTCGAAGTTGGAGGGTGCGGACAGAAGGTAGTTACCCTCCTGATGCCCCGGTGATGAGGGCCAGTCGGCCGCGGATGTCATTTAGTTGGGCCATTTTGCAGTACACCAAGACGAGGTTCAGTAAATTTAGCGGCAGGTGGCCATGGTAATTCGGGTCTGAGCGGCAATAGATAAGTATCCATGCCTTGGAGGAGCTCCCCTCGGATCGGAGCAACTCCCGATGCCCCGCATTGCGTAGTGTGGGGGGACAAGGCGAGGGTACCCGCAAAGAAAGCCGCACCAATCCAGTAAAAGTACAGTGATCACGAGGCTTGCTGCGACTAGAACAGAAGAGTACTGCTCATATCTCCAGACCACATAGGGGTCTGCCATGATCTATCGGAGCCGGTTTGATACAGACTCTGGAATCCCTCCAACGAGAGCGTGTTGGGGTCCCCAGAGACATAATCGCCGACTGCTTCGAGATCTAGCCAGGAGAAATCGTTTGCAGGGCTAAAGTGCACGTACCCGCCTTGGTCAGGCATGCACTGCAGAGGGTTGGTGTTTTGCATTAGGATATCGTTGCTCTGTTGGGTTCCCGCGGGAGAGGCCGGCGCGGTTGGTTTGGAGCGCCATAAGAGTTCGAGAAGTCGCGAATAGCGGGCGCCAATATCGTCTGACCCTGCGCTGGCTCGGTTTAGCACTTCGGTGGTTCGACTGACGAGTCCGCGGACGCTCATTTCCTCGGTGGGTAGCATGACGCCGAATGACCGGGCCTGTCTAGTTAGTTTTGATCAGCAAAAGGCTCATGGCACCTACCTTGTACAGGAAAACTGCGGCATAAATGCCGTATAGGTAGAAGCGGAGGGGCATGAAATGCAGATGCTTCTCAGGGTCGACGTTCTCCACCAGGATAGTCAGGTATGCCTTTGCAGCGTCTAGCGATTCAATGATGAATCGCGCGTCCGGCATCGAAGCAACATTGCCGAATGTCGCTCGGAGGTGCTCTCTCTGCGAGTGACCGTCGTTCTTTTGCTTCGATAATGACTGCGAAATTGCAGCCTGAAACGCGAACGCATTCGTGTAAAGTCTGAGATACTCGTATGATAGCTGTAGCGTGGTTTGCATGGCAGGCGAGCCTAGCCACATTAGCAAAGTTTGAACAGCAAGGTGACCACTTACATTTCAGCGAGCCCCATCGCGATTTCCAGCGCAAGATTGCAAGCCGGAAATCATCCACATATTTTACATAATCACCCATCAGCATCATCTGGTTACTCGTCCGCATTCCCGAATAGAGAACCTCCTGTACATTTCCGTAGAGTTGGGTGAGATCCAACAACGCTTGGAAGATCTGCGCATAGTCCTCATCTCCTTCCTTGACTGGCTGAAGGGACGGGAAGTCCTGGCTGACGAGACCAGTCATTGGCCCTGGGCCCCGCGACCAGAATGCACGTCCGATTCTTACGGAGATTAATCGGTCCGAGATATAACAGGAAGTCCACGCTAATCGTCTGCGGGCTTCTATTTCTGTGTCTCCAGTAGGGTCGCTTCGAAATGATGTCCTGTCCAATCCCAGGAAGTAGCCTGAGCGTAGCGCAAGTCCGACATGCATCCAGGCGGCTCGATCTTCCTCGCCACGACCAACGCGCTCGATCCGCGGTCGTAATCCCTGAGGTTCCCATTCGGCCAGTAGGAGTAATGCTTCGACAGCCTCCACGTCGCAATCGGCCCCGGCGGCAATCCCGGAGATCAGCTCATGCATGTATTTGGAGCAGTACTCATGAATCTCTGGTCGCTCGACCAGATCCTTCGAGGCTATCGTAAGCACAGCTGTGAGAAGATGTTTCTCGTTATTGGCGAATGCGTCCAAGGCATTGCGCTGAAAGTACTTTCGCGGAACAATCGGTAGGTATGGATGGAAGTTCTCAGCATAGCGAGCAACCAGCTGCCAAACTGTTCCCGGGTCCAGAGACCGCGACTGCACTAGCCTATACGCCTTGATACCAGTCTTTGCCTGAAAGCTCATCGGGTCGCCACTCTGGAGTGCACTGAAAGTGTACCCGCCCGACCCGGCTCGATGAGAATCGGTAGTCGCAGGACTGGGACCATCCGTGCCTCGTTTCGCAATGTCAGTCAGACACTGCCATGCGTCTGAAGGATTTCGAGGTACTGAGCCGATAGATGCCGCATCTTCATCATCGACGGATACTGAAGTCGTGGTTACTACAGTCGGGGCGGGAGGGTTGGACGGCACGAAGACAACGGGGCCTGGATATGTGTTGGATGGCGGTGGTAGGTTTTCCAAGTTAGATGGGCTCGTGGATTGCACCTCCGGAGTCTTCTGAGCCGGTGGGTTCGTATTTGGAGTAAAGTTCTTGATCTTATTCTTGCGAATGCGTCGTCCTCCACGATTCGAACCGCCCAAGACACATTCGCGACGGTCTCGGATACATCGCTGACACGGCGGTACGCCCGGGCTACCGCTGGCATCTCTGTTGTACTCCAGTTAGATACGCCTACACGCAGACATGTTTGGCAGCTTCATCCTCGGGGTTGAATGGACATACAGATCACATTTGGATTTGCGCTGGCGGCAATGCAAGCATGCTCTCGAGACGCGCTTCATCAAATGATCTGGACGAGCTTTGGACTTTTGTGTCGAGGCGCCCTCCACCTGTGGAGCTTGCTCCTCCTGCTCAGTGGTTTCCATGGCTGTTGGAGACTGACACCGACTTTAGGCGTGGATTTGCGGGAACACCATTCTGAACGGAGATGCTGATTGTGGGTGGAGAACGATCGAGGAGGTCTGCAAATTCTCTAAAAGATCACAAGAGGTATCAACAGTGAGATAAAAGGTCGCAGTCGCGAAAAGGATGGAGAGAGTGATCGATATTTTTCGTGGCGTTGACAACAGACCACCTCCACACGATCTCTTCAGACCCCAAAGTATCTCCACACTAGGAAACGGCCCTTGTTTCTGGCGCAAAGAACGCTAGGCTAAAATGCTCGAAGCTCAATGGTTAGAAACCGTTAGATCTAGGGAGACACGAGGGCGAGTGAATGTCCCTTTTCCCAGGCTGCAGGGGAGTGGTGGGAAGATGGGCCATGGCTGGTGAAAGGATGTCGTGTATTACTCAATCGGTACGTATTAGTGGTAACGCCGTCTTGGAAGAGCAAGATGATCGGTGCCTTCAAGTCACCAGTGCTATGTTTGAGTAAATAAGCTCTCGGGGTGTACATAAGTGACATGACTAGCACAATGGGAATAGCCAGATATAAGTTCAACCTAGGTAGCGTATTAATTTCTACAGAAATATTCGGCCATAGCGGAGAGAAGCAATGCAGCTTAATATGGACGCGTCGATCGTTGGAAAAGACGCTTCGAGAACTATTCTCGGGCCAAAAAGAACATTCTTTGCAGTATCCACCAAAGATATCCATATTAATCATGAGTACCCCTTTGATCGAGATGCCTTTTTCTTCGCTCAAATTCATAGATGCGTACGGTAACAAGCTGTTGATTACGCCAGTATACGGTAAGGATACTTCGCACGGTGTCTTCTTCCCTGTGTCAATAGCCGAGTGCGGGGTTTCGGCATTTGGCGGCGAATGGATTATCCTGTTTTAGGCTAGGCAGCCTTCTCATCAGCCGGCTGATATTTATCGTCATAAATTCCCTCGTCGTTAATCATCTGACGACAATTGGCAGTTGAGTGATACATCTTTCAACAACCGTTTTGGTTGTCTCCAGCTCTTCGTTGGTGGGAGAGAAGAAACGGGCGCCCGACCGTGCGAACTTATCTTGTGAAGCGACCATCTGAGACGTTTCAACGAAATTCTTTGGACGAGCAGCAATCGGAGCGGCGGAGACGTCAGGTTTCCCCCACCAGATCTCTCAGAGTCCTGAAGACTACGATGAACACACCTGGAGCGATCGGCGGTTTGAGCGAGATTCGAGCCCTGGCTTTCATGCCGGCACTCTTCTCCGACCCATTCTTCGTGTGGATTTCGCTTATCGCTCGATGGAGTATACCTGTCACTTCGCCCCGACTTAAGGCCGTGCCGTGCGGCCTTAAGGCGGGGCGAAGTGACGGTAATGCCGCACCAGGCTGACGTCGAAAAGCAACGTGACGGGTAACTTGAATGACCTAGGAATTTGTTGACCGCAACGACAGGTTACGTGCTTGTGCGGCGTACCTCGGCCATGGAGCTGCGAATGCTTCCCCTTTCGTCAAGGTATAACAAGGGCGGCTAAATCCGGCGATGGAAACGTGGGAATGCTGGAACCAAAGATCATGCCATGCTGCCCGTCGATCAGGCGACTGCAAAAGTCGGACTCCGAGTGGTTCTTTTTGGGAACGAAGAGCACGGCGGAAGGTACCTTCAATTTCCACTCAATCTATGGTAAACAAAGGAACCATCGGACAGCAGAGACCTCATGGAATGCCATGCTTCCTGATCTCTGGGTACTAGTCACGGCGAAAAGGCGGAAGCGAGAACAATATATAACCAGGGGTCGGGATATATTAAACCTTAGTTCGAGACCGGTGCCTCCGAGTCAGGGATAATCAATCTTAATTAATTCTGATTAGCTTTATTAGCAAATTCCTTGGTCTGAGGCAGCTAATCATTACTCCTTCAGGGGCGGAGGTTTCAAAGTGAGTTGCACAGGGACCAGACCTGAAACGCACAGGCTCGAACCATTCAGCGGAAGGCGTTCCTCATCGCTGCCTGTCGTGGCAAGATCAATCGACGAATAGGGCGAAACAGAAAGCTAAGATGGCGGTTTCCAAGATGTTAGCGTGTGAGCTGACTGCTGAAAATCGGGGCGGTCGAGCGAGTCGGAGGTGGAAGATGGATGCGACTTCAGCCACTGGGCAGGGAATGGTGGTGGTGGTGTGACCTTGGAATCTGGATTTGACATTCAGATTCCAGCGGGAACACCTATCAAGTTTGAATATTATCAGCACTGGTCTTCTCAGAGCCAGAGAGATCTCGATACCTAGTTTGCGGTTGTGTTCTTATATCGTAGATCTGGTCGGGCGCGGCCTCGTAGGGCAGACAACGTTGAAGCTCTTCAGTGTTGCTGGACCAGTGGACAGTGCTTCAAATAACCGGGACTTTGCATCTCTCTGGACCCAGCAAGCGGCAGCTGTCAGTCGATCCTATCGGGAGCGCTCCTGGCGAATTGGCGTTGGGCTGGCGTTGAAGATGAAACAGATCAAAAAGCTGACGGACGGGGTCTTGGCCGTGGGCGCTTCTTCCTGTCGTATAACTGGGTTTCTGCGCCAATCCTCCATTCTCTCTGTGTCTTTCCTTCAAACAGTCATTCTTTATCCCGTTGTTCAGTTGCCATTCACTCGTTCAGCTGGCCCTGATTCACCCATTGTTGCAGTTTAGAGATACAGTCATTGTTCGCTCTTTTGTGTTTTTGTCTGCCTGCGACGCCGGCGTCCTGACCCTGGATCGACACCCCTATATTATTACAGCTCCCGAACCTAGGTAAATCCATTCGCTGGCACTTTTCCTCCCAGAGGCCGGCTTCTATTCACCATGTTCAGTGCGGCAGTCTCTGACGTTGCGTGCAGATCCAGCTATCCACCTCCAAGCGCTCCCCCTGCGTGGCCAAGGCAGCCTTTAGACTTGACTTCTTGTCGGCCTCTTACTATAGACATTTTCGTTCTTCTTGCATTCCTACCGGACTCTGGCGTCAGTGTTTCCGACAAGTCACAGCATTCCTCCCGTTCCCCAGTTACCAGGAATTTGCGTCACAAGACGACTCCAGACTCCAAGCGCTTTGACTTAACTGAATCGGATCGCCTGTCCTTGACTGATCCCTTATCACTCGTTATTCCGTTGTAATAGTCTCGACCCCGTCCTTTAGGAACCCTTGATTTCAATGGAAGTCGTCCCGGGACAGCTCGTCCGCCGGGGTGAATTCTCCACAAATGAGACCTATGTCTACTCTTATTCAAGGGGCCTGAACGGCGTCAATGTTCCTAGGGATGTCCTGTTTACGCGCATCATTCTCATATCCGCCGTCGGCGTCGGCTTTTTTCTCCTGTGCGGCCGGCTCGCACAGCTTACCCATGCTTATTTCCGACATATTTCATCCTTGACTGCTAGCAGGAGGGAGCAGACCTTTTGGAGTATCGAAGAATCGCAGCTATGGGCCAACATCAAGAAGCACGTCTTGTATGCCCCAATCGGTCGGAAGAGACACAATCGCGAGATCCAACTCTCGTCGGCCCTCAACGTGGGAACCCTGCCGTCCAGGTTCCAAGCGATTCTAATTACCCTCTATATCGGAAGCCAGATAGCGTACTGCGCCCTCCTGGACTACGAGGTCAACGTCAAGCGCGCGCTCGTTGCAGAGCTTCGAGGTCGTTCGGGAACGCTGGCCGTTCTCAACATGGTGCCATTGTTTATCCTTGCCGGCCGCAACAACCCTATGATTCCCCTGTTGCGCATTAGCTTCGATACTTGGAATCTTATACACCGCTGGTTGGGACGTATAGTTGTGATTGAGAGCATTGTCCACACGATCGCCTGGGCTGTCAACGCGGCAGATGAGACGAGTGTCGCCGACATGCTGGATCGCATGTGCAACACACCATTCTTTGCCTGGGGCTTGGTAGCAACTGTCGCAATGACTTTTCTCCTCCTTCATTCCCCCTCGCCGATCCGCCACGCCTTCTACGAGACCTTCCTACATCTACACCAGCTGGCTGCCCTTCTTGCTTTCCTTGGCGTCTATTACCATATCGACCTTGACAAGCTCCCCCAGATGCCCTGGATTACCGCCGCTGGTGCCTTCTGGCTCATCGACCGCATCTTCCGCCTCTACCGCCTCATATACCTCAACTACTCGCTCAAGAAGGGCTGCACACATCTTGTTGTCGAGGCACTTCCCGGCGAAGCCTGCAAAGTCACCTTCCACCTACCCAAACGTGTCCACGTTGCTCCAGGGTCCCACGTCTACGCCTACATTCCCAGCCTTTCCCTGTGGATGTCCCACCCCTTCTCCGTCGCGTGGGTTGAGCCCAATTCTAGCGTCACAACACCCGGGTATTACGACAAAGAGCCGCCAAAATACTCAATGTCGCCCTCTCGCCTTGAGAAGCAACTGCCTCCCTCGCCCGACCTAGACCTCTACCTCCCCGATAAAAGCCAACCCACGACCGTCTCCCTCATCTGCGCCGCCCGCAAAGGCATGACCCGAAAACTCTACAACAAAGCCCTCGCCTCCCCCAGATCAACCCTCCACACCACGGGCTTCATCGAGGGCCCCTATGTCTCCCACCCTTGCAACCCCGCCACCTACGGCACAGCCATCCTCTTCTCCGCCGGCGCCGGAATAACCCACCACATGCTCACCGTGCGCGACCTGCTCATCCGTGCCTCCCAGGGCCGCATCCCCACGCAGAAAATCTACCTCATCTGGTCCGTCCGAAGCACAGAACACCTCACCTGGGTCCGGGAGTGGATGGACCAGATCCTCCGTCTCCCGGGACGCCGTGACATCCTCACAATCCAGCTCTTCGTCTCAAAGCCGAAGAGTAGTCGTGAGATTGTGAGTCCCAGCGCGACGGTGCAGATGTTCCCTGGACGCTGCCGACCAGAGGTCGTCCTCGACGAGGCGATCCCCATCCGCGTCGGCGCAACGCTCGTCTCTGTCTGTGGTCCCGGTGCATTCGCAGACGAGGTCCGGTCCGCGGCTCGAGCACGGATTGGGCGAGGGGCAGTGATCGATTTTGTCGAGGAGGCTTTTACGTGGTGATGTTCCCTGCTGGTGGTTGGTTGTCATGTGAAACATGCATTGGGATCTTAATCTTTTCGCTTCGTTCTTCCTTCGACTCTTGTCCGTCATTTTTGGAGGGCAGAGCATAGGAAGTCCTTTATCTTCTTCTTCCTACTACTTACACTTCTGTTTCTGTTGGATCATATTAGATGTGTACATACCTTCTTTTTGCGTATAATTAGCCCTCCCTCTAACTAAGCATCTACGTTTTGACTTCCATCGAGATCTTCCTGCCTCATAGCTTTTCGAATTGTTTATTCGTTTAACTTCTCAGGTTACGGAGGGGTTACTTGGACACTTAGCTGAAATGTGAGAATGCCCTCGTCCATACATGGCGTTTCATGTTTACTATTGCATGTCTATGAGCTATACATACTAAATGCATCTACTGGGCATGATTAGGGTCCGCACGATTCAAGAGGAGATAAAGTGCCCCACAAGATGCGAGAAACACTCCATACCAAAGTCTAAGTACATGACCAATCTGATTGAATAAATATACTATGTGGTATCAACAAATCCGCTCACCCATCTATGTACGTCACAGGGTATCTATCCCTTGCTGACAGCGCCACGATAGATCAGGGGGCGGAGAGCGAATAAACAAGAGGAAATATGTATTTGACCTCTATTGGTTTCGTGAGCAGGCGTGGCATGGCAGGACATGGCAGAGAGACTAGTGGCTAGCTATCTGCTGGACTTGACTAAGTCTGCTCAAACAACCCGATGGTCGAACAATAGGTACTATCGTTCCCCTCAGCCGGGACGAGACTTGTTCCGTCAGAGGAAGCAATCATGTTCGCCGTTGCGATTGTGCTCAGACCAAAGATGTGCACGTCCGAGCAGTCCACCTCGACCATGTTCTCCTGGCACCCGTTCTCGGGAATGCAGGTTTGACCGTAGTTTTCGAAGAAGCTGTACAGGCCTGCGCCGTAGACGTAGACGTTGGTGCTATTCGTGACGCGGAGACCCCAGGCTTTCCTGCAAGCGTCTGTGGTACAGTGGGAGAAGTCCGGGTCGTTCCACGCTTCGACCTGTGGGGTAAATGGGACGAGGGAGTTGGGGTTGGCCTGGAAGTAGGGGGTCTCGGTCTGGATCAGGCCCATGAAGATGTTGTCGGCGTTTGCGATCTGGTAGTTATACAGTTGGTTGTGCTCTGCGGCGGTGCCGTACATCCAGACGGGACCCTGAGATTCGACAAGGATGCCGCGGCCGTTGTAGATATTGATCTGGTTGTGGTCGGTCCGGTCGAGTTCGTGGTCGGCGGTCCAGGACCAGACGTTCTCGAGGTAGGCAGTCGAGTGCTCGGTGACGTGGAGGAGCATGAACGCGCCGACGCACTCAGGGTTCGGGGTGACGGTTACGTTGGGGTTCTTCGCGCAGCGGTCGGACTGAAGTTCTGTGCCTGCTGAGCCGCCGACGCGGAAGTGGACATCCCACATTCCTACAGAGCCAAGAGATTCTTCGGCGATGTTCCACTCCATGAGGATTGCGCCCGGGGCGGGACCCTTGGTGAGCAGGGTCAGGTCGGAGATCTCGACGGACCCGACATCACCTGGCTGACCGACTTGAAGGAGAGGGATAGGGTTCTGCTCGTCGGAGAACTTGGCGCCATTGGCCATGATGACGGGCCAGACCTCGCCAACGATCTTGATGGTCTTGGGGACCTTGATGGTATCCGTCACAACATAAGCGCCGTGGTCGAAGAAGATAATTTGGTCTGCTGTTGCGCGGTCTAGAACGGCTTGAATGGCAGCTGTATCGTCCGTTGAGCCGTCACCCTTTGCACCGGCAGATTTGACGCTGACGAATGACGAGGCGGGATACGATTCGTAAAGGGGCTTGGACTTCTCGAACACCTTGCCAGTGCCGCTGTGCAGAAGCGAGTTTGGCTTGGCTGCCGCTGGAACTGCGGTTTGAGTACGAGTCTTGGTAACAGCGCGGGCGGAACATTGGCTGGAACCGTGCACCGATCCGCCGGTTGATCCACTGGATCCGGTGGAAGTAGAAGTAGCTGAGGTCGTGGTAGCCGAAGATGCAGAGCCTGTTGGCGTCGAAGCTGCGGGGACCTCCTCAACGGATGATGCAGGAGTCGAAGCGGTGGGCTCATATACAACGGTGGTTGAGTCGTCCGCGTCAGAAGATGAATCAACCAAGCCAGGTAAGAGGCTCTCAACTGGCGGAATATCGAGCGGAAGCGAGGGGAGTAGCCCATCGGTGCGGGATTCTGTCGTGGACGAAGTGGGAAGAGGCAGAGACGGTTCGGTGGACGAATGATCTCCGCAATCATAGACGGTTTCTACGATGGTCTCAATGACGACTTCAACTGAAGGCTGTGTCGCGCGCTTGTTGACCGTTGCCGAGGGTCGGTAGACTCCGCCCTGTACCCAGTTTGCAACAACAGAACCACCTTCAATAATGGCACTTCCATCCACGGACGCAACACCAACAGTAGCGCCGCTAAAGTCGACGTTATCGAGAACCAAGGTACCCGCACCGACAGGAATGCTGCTGCTGCCCCAAGCAGTAACAACACCAGTGGCAGTGTTGACAAACTCAGTATCAAGCAATAGAACCGAGCCGACAGTCTGGTTCGACGGGGAGTTGGACATGTTGAGGCCAAGGTTGCAGTTGTTGAAGGTAACCGACTTGAAGGTCCAGGCCCAGTTCCAGTTCATGTAAACACCAGTGTTGCAATCATTGAAAGTCAGGTTGCGGCTGGTGAATTGCTGGTTACCAACGAACATTCCGTAGTTTCCGCCGTTGAAGACCAGGTCAGTCATGAAACCACCAGATCCATTGTCCATGAAGATACCCTGCTGCTTGTTGGCATCATCTCCACCCTTGATCATCTCGAAGCGGATGTTCTGCAAGCTGGTGGCCTGACCGACTTGCCAGTGAATACCTGCGCCGACAGACTGGGGCATATCGGTAAGATCGATCACAAAGTTACGAATGGCACGGAAGAAGTTGTTCTGGTTGGTATACCAGTTTGAGCCGTCATCCGTGTACGGGTCTGCGTCAACAACAGCCATACCGGTAAAGTCGGCTGACGCCTTGAGAACCGGAAGATCGACAGCATCGCCGATCATTTGCGTGTAGTAGTACTCAATAATGGGCTTGGAAACGCGGTATGTTCCCGGTGGGAAATAAACTACAGCTGGTTTGGTAGTCGAAGAATCGCAGCCCAGACCACATCGGTTTCCTGACGAGATGGCCTCATTGATGGCAGCAGTGTCGTCGGTTGTACCGTCACCTAGAATTGTTAGTTCATGCAAACGACGACTGACACTAGCCACGTACCAACTGCACCAAAATCTTTCACATTGCGGTATACTTGGTAGTCCGCGTCGCCTCCAAACGGCACCGCGCCTTGGTGCTCTACATTAGCCACCCAGTACTGCGAAGCCGATTGTCTGGCGACGATATTGACGTCCTCCACAGCGGGAGATATAGGGCTGGCTCCTACCCAGGCGGAGCCCGACAGGAGCAGGAATAATTCGGTAAGACGCATGGTTGCTAAGTGTGTTTATGAAACGGCGTCAAGACGATTTGAATCTCACTGACCAGCAGCGAGTCGATGGAAGATATACCGAATAAATGCCGATCGAACAGATCGGATGACGCTCTAGTAGAAGCGAATATGCAGAAGGAGAGCAGGGGACCGTCACACGATAGAGTCAGAAGCACTCAAGTCGCAGACCGGTGTTGACAGGATAAAGTCAATAAGGACAGACAATAAAACAAGGACGATCAACAAGGAACGGCGATTGAATCCAGGATTCAATGAAGGAGCGAATGCAGACCAAAACAAAAGAAGACGAGCCGGCGCTTGAAGAGAGAAAGAAGAAAAGAAGAAGAAGAAGAAGAAGAAGAAGAAGAAGAAGAAAGGGAAGGTTGGAAGTGTTCTTCAAGCGCTGGGAAGTGAGTCCTTCTCTCTGTATTTTAGCCTGTCAAGGAAGTAACGAAATTACCGGATCTGCCGCCAATCAGGAGATGTGTTGAGGGGCAGGATCCAATCACAAAGCTGAACGGGCGTAATCCTGTCGCGGATGAAACAGAAAATGTCCCGCTGGCTCAGGGATGAAACGATGGAGAATCGCTCACGCGGTCGATTGGGGCCTGATGACCCTTAATCTTTATTAAAAGACGTAGAGGTGTAGACTCGAAGGAGTGACATGAAGCAGAGCAGAATGCAGGGAATAGAGGAAGAAGAGGTGATTGACAGCGCTCTGGGAGCCAGGGACGCCTATATACGACTTTCAGGAGAGTGATCAACATACTCTGCGTGGCCGAGACAACCCGCCTTTTCGCTAGTTTATCCTTCCGGTTTATCGCTGTTCTCTCCATCTGTGGTGGAATTCGCGGCGAGCCGGTGGTATGGAGCTACGATGCCTGCCCTGATAGCGGGCGCTGTCCTTAAGTACAGCATTCCTGTTTACCTGGCAATTATCTTGGTAGAGGAGAGCAGGTATGTTGACGGAGAACACTTGCACAACAGGGTTTTGTACCTGTGCCTACGTACGAGGTAGTCTGTACCCCAAGCAACTCTCTGTACCTGCGCTGTGCTTGTGCCCGATGTCAAGGCTCGCTTGTCGAATCTATTCTTAAGTATGGTGGAAGCCAAGCTTTGGGTCTCTACCCCAAGGTCTCAGATCCGATCGCTGAAGCCGAACGGGAGCCTGTTCTTCCTTCAGCCATGAAACCACTAGCTCGTTAGTCTCTGGTAGTGGACGCCTCTGGCGACTCTAATTATACGGCGCAACATTCGATTCGTCGATTTGTTCCGTTGAAGCGCTCCAGGACAATTCTACTTAAAGACCAAGGAGACTCGAGGTGTTTCTGCTGGGTATGTGACGCGGTCGCTGAGGAATGCAGTCTCCACCAAACCATAGCACTGACTCAGTCGATTATGAGCTCAGGGAGGCTGGACCGCCAAGTATAATGCACAGAAGGTACCTCGGTCACACAACTTTTGATAGTCGGTAGAAGGTCGTCGAATTTTCAATCATGTCGAGTGCAGATCCGTCATCTGTCTGTGTCACCCGCATCGCGCATGTGTCGATTCAATTAAAAATTGTTGTTTATTTTTCCGACTTGAACCTTATACGCGCAGTTTTACTTGATTATTTGTTATTCAACAGTCGCCCGTGGTTCGAGCTCTCTCAATCCGTGGGTCAGTGTTATCGGTGATCGCGGACCACTTTCTGACTTTACGGTCATCTGCCGAATTGCATATCCTAGGCGACGGACTCCTTCTGCCAGATTCTCCTCCTGTTCCCATGCAAAGCACAGACGCACATACGACCCAAACTCGTTCTTGGTGACCCCAAGGTCGCGCTGGACTTGGAAAAGTTCTCCTGCAGCAATCTTCACGCGGTGCTCCTGCAGTGCGACCGGGGCGAGGTCATTCGCGCGCAAGGACCCCGGCAATGCGACCCAGATGAAATACCCCCCCACAACCGAAGGTCCGCTGAAGGGCAGAGTTGCACCAAGAGGAAGAAGATGCTCGTTGATAGCAGACATCATACGGTGGTATCGCGAAGCGTATGCCGGGCGCAATACCTGGTCAATATGAGTTTGAAGGATACCTTGAGGAAACAGCTGATCGACCATGGCGGATGAGAACTGGGATGGGGAGCCTCCAGAGCGTTGGCAGCCTCTGAGATTGGTTAGCCGGCCTGCTGCCTAGTGCGGGTGTTTAGGCTTACGTTTGTGAGAGGCCGTAGGCAAAATCATCCGTGCCCTCTGCCCATCCGGTCCGAATGCCGGGGCCGATTAGTTTGCTAAAACTTCCATTGCTCACGACGTTGCCACACTCGTTGCTTGGACCGCCGTCCAGGTAGCGGTCAACGTCTACTAGTCGTGGAAGGAGTGCCTCCGCAACCGGATCCAATGGCGTCTTAAGATCAGAAGGCCATTGTAAGAAATCGTAGACGTCATCCGTGATTATCAAGATATCGAATTCTCGGGCTAGTCGGACCAAGTGCTCGCGGTCGGCCAGCGACATGGTCAAGGTGGACGGGTTGGAGAAGGTAGGAGTCGCATATAGAACATGTTTGTAGAGCCTCCCCCACGGCCGGTCGGGCTTGAGCTGTTTCGACCGTTAGTTTATGACAAGTCTATCGTCAAGTCAGATAGGAGGACCAACTGGTTGAATTCCAGCGCCGACACGCTCCTCCGCCGCAACCAGCTCTCGTCTCAGGTAGTCCAAGTCAAGTCCCGTCTTGTCCTGAGGTACGGCCCTCAATCGACCCGCAAACCCCGCGTCATCGAAGATCCGACATGCGAGGTGGTACGTCGGCGCTACCATCCACACATTCCGCGTGTAGATGGGATCCGAGAAGACCTGCAGAATGCATGCTAGGTTCTGGCTCGCACCGCCGGTGATGCAGATGCGACTGGAGGGAATCGGGTCTTTCGGCTTGTAATATGAAGTCAGCCATTGGGCGATGTGTTCTCGCACTGGGCCGTACCCCTCATCTGGGCCGTACATCAGGGCCGGAGTGCGGATGGAGGAGTCGGCCATCACCGTGTTGAACGCTTCTGACAGCGCGCTTGTCGGCAACAGGGAGGGGTTCGGCCATCCGCAGAAGAGGTCGATGACCTCTTGTTCGTGTTCCATGTCGGCAGAGATGTAGTTCCGCAGGAGTTCAATCCCTGGAGTCTTTTGTTGGTAGGTTGAGATCTTTTCCCGGTCGATAACCCGATAACATGAAGTCTATCTAATCAGCCAGCCGGACCCGGTTAGTCTTGACTAGTCGACGCGGGGATTCCCTGTCATCATTTGATCCTTTCAAGAATTCAATGGCTCAGTCAATTACATCTGACACGGGCATTGTAGATCGATAATAAGTATCTTTGTCTGTTCAGGTCCTCAGGAATCGGCGACTGCCAAGGGCATCTTCTTCCTCAGGAGAAGGATGAAGGAAAATCGTAGCTCCGAGCTCGGATGAAAAAGTGGGCTGACGCAGGTCTGGAGACTGCAAATTCCACATCTTTCGGAGCGCCGGAATTTTCGGACATCTCAGAGATGAAAGGCTCTGGGGCTGAGCTGGGAACCTTGGTAAGAAACCGTTTGTCTGGAGCGCAAAATGGCAGTGCCTGGAAAATGGAGATTCTTACGTACGCCGTGCATAGATTCGGCGCCGGACCTGCTTAGCGTCGATATATACGTTCTCCTCATACGTAGGCTATTTATTCTTTGCCTGCGCGCGATTGTTGCAGGCAGTCGCCACTCGACTCTGCGTCGAGTGACAGCGATGAGGATAACATTTGAGAGTCAAGACAGTATGCTGATCAAGAGACAATCGACTTGATGACGTGACGAGAAGAAATCGTCAGTGTGTTCGCAATTGAATTTGGCCCCTGATGAGCCTCCACCAGTTTGAGCGACTCCCTCTCGCCTCAGGCGCCTGGCGTCGGCGCGGTGGCTATGTGGGCTTTTCTTTTCTGCGTCTTCCTGGACAGCCTCGCGCCTCATTAATGTTTTCGCCTGAAGAGCCTCGTATTGCGAATTAAATGTCGTGTTGGCCCTCGTAATAGTAAGATGAAGCATTGAAGAAGTTTTCTGGGAGCTCCGCTGGCTTCCGTCGTTTTACAGATCTATAAATATCCCTCTCGACATTCAGCGATGGGTGCCCCTGTCGGTACATAATGCAATCAAGGAGGATATACAGGGCATTGTGACCAGTTACGCCCACTTGCAATGAAAGAATGCATCGAGCACAAGGTGCAGTTGCTGGGGAAGTGCCCAAGTGAGAATTCTTGGCTGGAGTAGCAAAATACTGACAGTATGGTAACAGCATATAGAAATTACATCTTTCGCTCCCCCAACACAGCACTCGGTGGCTAAATTAGGCGTAAAAAATACCCATCTTGTATTATGACGCCCGTGGACGAAAAATGGAGATACGATTGGTTCCTGTTCCAAACTCCAATATTTATCATCCACCAGGTTTCTTTCGTTCTCCTCCACTTTTCCACTTCTGCCACTCTGTACAGCTCCTCTTTCTTCTCTTTAATAAACATTGCCCTTGTTTCCCCTTTTCTATCGACCTCTCATCCATCCTATCTCTTTGCTGTCTCAACGGCTGGCTCTCTTGCTCTTTCCTTTCATTCCTCCCCGCGCCCTCCTGCAGATCCATTCCACAATTCACGTCGGGTATCGTGAATGAGCTTTGAACGTCCAGTAGGAGCAAAAGGAACTCGCAGACTCTCCTGGGGCCAGGAATAGTCTGTGGTTAGACGCTTCCGGCCACTTGAGCATTACTGTCGGCCTTCGTGCATGGTTGGTGGCTGTCATTCTTTCCTACCTCACTCACACCCGCCTTCGCCCGCTCACTCCCTCCTTCCCTTCCTTTCCATTCCCTTGCGCGATGTCCTGCCTCTGGAGAAGTCCTCTTTGCTCATTTACCATCTGCGATTGAGCTTCTCATCGAACTGTCGCCTTTCATGGGGCTAACTATTTTGTCTTCTCTTTTTCCGACCGACAGATATGCGAAGATGCTTTCAGCTCCTGTCAAATCGGCCAAGCGCATATCCTCCCTGTTCTCTTTGGGGTCAAATAAAGATGCCTCAACTCCGTCCCCACCGCGGTCGCCGAGCGTCCCTAAACTTTCGCCCGATCAGATGCCCCAGGACAAGCGACGCCGAAGTAGTTCCCGACCAGCTCGTCTAGCCTCGAATCCCGTCCCGAACTTCTCACAACCCATGTCACCGATCGCCAGGGATACCGATCTCGACTTGGACTCTCCGCTCCCGCCTCCACCGTCCTTGCTCGCTGTCAACCAAGACCTCGCCGATTCCGCTGCTAATTCGCCCGATGGTAGACCCCAGAGCCGCGGCCGCAGACTGAGTAGCAGTAGACCCTCCAGCTCCGCGGGCTTAGCGGTCCCCGGATCCGGCCCAGATTCACGACCCGGTACGCCTTCAAAACGGCGCAGTTGGATGCCTGGACGAGCTCGTGCGAGCTCGATAGACGCTAGAGCTAGCCCTCAATTGCCAGGCGCTTGGATCGCCGGGTTAGAGCATAAGATTCCATATGATATGGGTCCCTTGGGGCGGGGAGAACAGGTATGTAACCTATCTTCTCGCATTGCCTCAACTCCAGCTACGAAAGCTATTTCTACCTCAAATCCTATTCGACTCTATCTAAAGGTGACGAAATCATAGATCTCCGAGTTATGGAACGATACTGGCGACACCTACGTTTACCTGTTTCCACAAAATACCAATAGGCCTGCCTCCTTCAAGATTCACTCTACCGCTTTCGCCGACTCCGCGTCTCTGAACTTTCTCGCACGTGGTTCCGACCCGAGAGCTACCAGCAACCTTGAACGGCAAACTCGCAGCCTTTCGATCGTCAATGGCAACCCAGCCTCCCCACCTCTCGCTCCAAGTAACTGGAATGACAACGATAATGATAGTACCGGTAGCAGGCGCATGTCATTTGAGGATGATGGACAAGAAGAAACACAGGAGCTTCACCTATACCTTCCGATCCCACTAAACAGCGATGTCTCCAACGCCAACACGCCGATTTCGCAAGAAGATTTGGAGACTCTTCTTCTCTTCCGAAACCTCTTTGCCTTCCTTCTAGGACAATCGTTGATTGCCACACCTCGTTCCTCCTCGCTCTTCTCGATTTTCATGGACATCGCCACGTTACTAGCCCGCTTTGAGTTTACCAACCTCGATGGGTCAAACTTTGGCGAGATTGCCACATCCAGCTTTAGCAATTACTGCGACGAGCTTTGCCTGGCCGATATCCGCAAGAGCCGGGAAAAGACGATCGAAGCTATCATTTTGGGAGAGCGGATGCGGTTCTACCCGCTTTACCTGGAAGGGTTCGTGCACGGCGTTGGCAAATTGGACGAGCTGAAGCAGCTGAGGAGCCCCAAGTTTGGGCTGATTAGTGCAGTGACTCAGAAGCGCCTTGAGCGAGGTTTCATTGATCTTGACGGCCGACTCAAGGTTCTACAAACCAAGCTCAACGATTTCGACTTCCCTTCTGTCTTCTCCGGTATCGCCAACTCAGTCACAACAATCGAGAGCAAGGTCGTGCGGTTCAAGGCATGGAAGCAATCGTTCATGGACTTCCGGCGGTTCATGATTCAATACTATCGCCAGAAATACGGTACATGGCCGCCCAAGGCGTCCAGGAAGAATCAGTTTGAGGAGAGTGGCCTGAACCGCAAAGTCGCGAAAGAGATGTATGAGGATATGTGCGACCTCTACGACATGTTGGTCGACCGGGAATCTCTCACCACCCGAACGATAGATATGGCCCCAGAAGTTGAGAATACCTCTGATGCGGTTGAATTGACGAACCGTGCTCTTCGTATAGTCCTGAGCGAGTATGATCGAAGCACACCCCCGGTACAGCCGCCGATTCCATTTGATATCCCGCAATATCCGTCCTTACAGCCTCTCCTACGGAAACCGCTAGACCAGAAGAAAGAAGCGAAGCAGATGGCCAAGAAGCTAAAGGACTCGGACATCAACGCTGTGCTCATGGGCTCGTACACTCGCGAGAGCTTGAGGCCTACTCCATTTATCGAGGCCTTTATGCAGTTTGAGCGCCGCTCAGGCCACGGCAAATCCATCAACGACCTGATCGACCTTCGGTGTGGTCAGTGGATTCTGATGTACTGCGTTATTCAAGCACTTCCTCTAGTCGTAGTTGATGTGCAAGATGTCCGCTTCGTGGACGACGTGGAGTATTTCCTCTGCATTGCTCCTCGTGGCGGAGCGCCTTGGGTACAACATGACGGCAAGGTTGCACGAAGTTGGTTTGGTGTCGCGGGCGGTAATGGTCTCGTCAGTTTACCCTCCGATGTTGTCATCAATGGCGTGGAGGGTGTCTACCGACGCAGCCACTGCTGGCAGGTGGCAGAACAATGGGCTGAAAAGGATGCCATCCTGGGCCCACCGACGATTGACGATCCTTATGAGAACGAGTCGTCAATATCCTCTCCATACCCCGCACATCAATCATCCACCGGGTCCTCATCGGAACACCCCCATTTTCAACAGCCAATGCAAGGGCAGCAAACTCCCCCGACGCCGCTGCTGGCTCCTGGTGGTCTTGCGCCGCCACCAGCCATTCCTCGGATGAACTCTCCAGCACTACGGGCGAGAGCGGAGCATCGACACTCGATCAACCCTGGCCTTGAGGCGCTACCCTTGCCGGCCGGTGTCGCTCCAATCGATCCCCCGACTCGACCCTTGAGCAAGTTCAACCCCAACATGAGCTTCGACGATATCCTGAAACAGGTTCCCAACCAACAAAAGGGCAAGAAATGATTGCCTTGCACGATCACTGAATTTGTGTACTGGTGTCCGCGTGATTGTCGCACTTAATTAGTATCTATCATCATCATCATCGTCATCCTCCGCTATGTGCTTTAGATGGCGGGGGATGACAGGGACGGCGTACATGCGACAGAAAAGAGCTGATGTTTTACCTCATTTTGCAGCAGAGCATTTTTGATTCCGGGATTCATTTCTTCCTTGTCTTACTTTTTTTTGGAAACCCTGCTGCTTCCACTCCTTGCGCATCTCTCACCTTGCATTCTATGGATTCCCACGATTCTCGCGGCGACGTCGGATTTCTGTTATCTAGTAAATGATAGAATAATAAATAATCTGCAACTGATTCTCTCAGAGGGTGTCTGGCGATTGCGAGAAGGTGCAACTTTCAGGACTCGAGAGTCACTGAGAGGCGACTAATGTACTAACTAAATTAGTGCGGTTGATTCAGCCGCCCTTGCCAGGGTCTGCAGCTAAGCGATTTCTGACTGAAGGAACTCTTTTAAAGAGGTCTGGACTCTCATCGCTCCTTCGTCTTGCGCTTTCTCCAATCTTCGCTCTCTCTCTCCCCAGAGAAGCGCAAAAGCCGCCGACCAAGCCCACGCCAAATGACCACCCCGGTCCAGATACGCACGCACCTCTCGATTTCGATGCCATCCTAGCGATCCTACCCCGAGACTGTTGTCTCCGCATCAATTGATATTTAATTCTGCGACAACACTACTGTACCATACTTCGGAGGTCCAACAAGTGGGAACCGAAGCGGAAAAATGTCCCGCTCCCGCTCCTCGATGGCCTCATCGAGCCACCACGACCGCCTCGAACCCCGCCTCCTCAAGGCCGCTGCTACGGATAATCTAGAGGATTTAAAAGATGCTGTCGCCATCGCGCAAGATACGGGACAGTGCACGGAGGGGTTCTTGCGCGTGGGCTTGATGCGCGCTGCGGAGAAAGGGAGTGTTCGCGCGACAAAGTATCTGCTCTCGGTGCAGTTTTCAACATTGACGAACACGAGAAAGGATACGAATGCCAAGAATGACGAGGGAGGCGACACAGCAGGGAAGAAAGCGAGCGGCGGCGGGAATGGAAATGTCGGCAGGGTTATACCGTCGCCGCTGCTCAAAGCCGTTGAGAAAAATCATATACAGGTGGTGAAGCTTTTGCTCGAGGCCAAGGTCTCGACGGAGGGTGTGGACCGCAAGGGGCGCACGGCGCTCATGACGGCCGCGTGGAAGAACCACTACCATGTGCTGAAACAACTGATCAATGCAGGTGCGGACGTGAACGCGCGCGATGCGCGACGCCGCAATGTGCTGCATAATCTCGCGGCGGATAAGACGTGCGACTGGGGTAAGGATGTGATCGAAGAGCTCCTGAAAACGGTCTGCGACATTGATGCGCAGGATGAACTGGGCCGGACGCCGCTGCACTGGGCGTGTGCGACGGGCAAGGAGGAGCTGGCGAGGATGCTGCTTACAAGGCCGTTGCTTGTGGGAGCGAAGATCCCGGGCTCCGTGGGTACCATGGCTGGCGCGGATGTGAACGCCGTCGAAGGGAGGAACAAGACGGCGCTGCATTTGGCCGTTGCACATGGGAATGGGGCTATGCTGGGATTATTGCTGACTCATGGCGCGGATGTAAATGCGCGCAGTGACGGCGGATGGACACCGTTGCATAACGCTTGTGAGCGGGGCAGCGAGAGTATCGTGCGGACGCTGCTGGGCGCAGGCGCGAAGATCAACTCGCAGCTGCTGAACGGGATCTCGCCGCTGCATCTGGCCGCGCAGGGCGGGCATAAAGAGGTCGTGGAGTGTCTGCTCGAGCGGGCGGATCTGAAGCAGCGACTGAGGGATAACTTTGGGAGTACGCCTTTCTTGCGCGCGGCGCAGTTCAAGAGGAAGGACATCGTGTCGCTTCTCGCGCCGTACAACAATGTGACAGCGCTGAGCGAGGATGCGCGCGGGGCGTGCGAGGGCTTCGAGGCGACGGTTGTGGATTTCGGGAACTTTCACAACGAGAACAGGGTAAAGCGCACGTCTGTTTTCAATCTGCTGTACGGTCGCGACCCGGAGAATCGCAGGAAGCAGGCGTTTAATGCTCTGCCTTTGAATAGCAAGTCGACTGATTTCCGCTGGATCCACTTACCAGCAAATAATATGGCATGGGTCGAGGCCCTGCTGACCAAGGCGTTCATCGAAGAAGGCGCGCATGATGTTGAGAGCTTCAAGGGCCTGGAACGGTCGTTCAACTATCAGCATCGTGGGCAGAAGATGCATTCGAACTTTATGCGTCCACTGTGTCAGCACTCGCAGAGGGCGCCCAAGTTTCGTGATGCGACGACGCGGGATGACGCTGCGGAGGAAAAGACTGAGGAAGTCCGCTCGCCGCGGATTCTTATAAACGGATTGTCGAAGGACTTGCCGCCCCCCTCGCCGATCCCCTCGCCGTCGGCGAAGCTAGATGGAGGAAAGGCTAAGAAGCAGAGGCCTAGTGGTAAGGTTGAACGTATGGACTCGTACTCGCAGGATGATGGACCGAATGTATCGCAGGGAAAGAAAGGCAAGCGTGGATCTGCAGGAACATTGAAAGGGGCGGGGACGCCAAAACCCTCTATTAAACGAGACCGATCGCCGCGTCCACTGACTCTATGCAAGGATAAAGATTACAAGAGCGCGATGGACTGCAATGTCTGCGTCTTCATGCCGTATCTGCATTTTGAGACGGCGGAGCGGCGCGACAAGATGCAAGAGGCGATTGAAGAAGCGCAGGGGTCTCAGACGCCTCGCCCGGGCATTAATCGCACACCGACGCGCGATGAATTGCTCTTGCGCGCACATCTCACCTCGTCGACGACCTCGCTACATATTCGACGGACACTCGATCAGTTCTTCTACCCAAACATTGACACGCAGACCCGCGACCAGGATCAGGTCGTCTACAGGTACCAGACTAGAGGCTCGCGGACACCGGAGCCGAAGATCTTCATGGTTGACCAGTTGTGGATGTGGATTCTCGGACCGAGCTTGATTGTCACGAGCTTTCCGCAGCGGTGGGATCAGCCAAAGAATGACCCGTTGAATGTGTTGGATGGGATTATCGAGGATATCAATTCCAAGACGCGCGAGCCGGTGCGGTCGATCTATGATCTTGCTATTATCATCACGAATCGCTGCTCGGGGGTGTTTGACCGGCATAGATTGGGTGACGACGAGTACCAGTTTTTGGATATGTTCGAGTCGTCTATCGGTATTGCGACGGATCGAGAGAGCTCGCTGTTCAACAAATTCAACAACGCATCCAGGCAAGCTTCGGACTGGCTTAAGAACCACCGAAAGCTTAGCCGATTCACACGACAGAAAGACGAAAAGGACACTGCAAAGCAACTAGACAAGGAAGAAAAGAAGAAGAAAAACAGCGGCGCACACGATGACGACGAGCCGCTATTCGTTGACAACCTGCTGGACATCGGCCAGGAAACAGACCTCCTCTCCGAGGCGAAGGATATCCGTGACGAGCTCAACATGATCCGGACCGTGCTGGAACACCAACAACACGTCCTCGATGACTTCCAGGAAGTCATGTTCGACATCTGGAAAAAGGAGCAGTGGTCGCAGCTCGAGGTCAAGAAGCGATTCAAGGACCAGCAGCGCACAATCGACATGCACATCAAGGACATCGACCGAATGGACAAGCAAGCCGAACGAATCTACTCGTCCATCACCGACCTCCTCGACCTGAAACAGAAACACGCCAACGCCTTTGAAGCCCGCTTCGCGCGCGATCAGGCAGCCGGTACAGCACGCCAGGGGAAAATCCTCATGGTCTTCACCATCGTAACCATCGTCTTCCTTCCGCTATCATTCATCACATCGATCTTCACAATCCAACTACCAGAGTTCGAGAACCGGCTCGACCTCGCGTATGTTGCCAAGTATACCTTTAGCATCGGCTTCGGGATCTCGATCCCGTTGGTGTTGCTCGCGCTCGTGTTGGATGATATCGGGGATGTGTTCCAGGAGGGCATTAGACGGGTTAGGGGTTGGGTGAGGAGTCATCGGAGGCTGTCAAGTTCACAGTCGTACGCGAGGGATAGGGATAGGGATTTGTTGATGAGATTGAAGATGGCGAGGCAGAGTCGTGAGAGGACGCTTTTGCCTACTAGGGAGCGTGAGCGGGACAGGGAGAGGGAGAGGGAGAGGACGATTGAAATGCACAAGACGTTGAGTGTGTGACTGCTGTTCGAGTATGTGGCATGTAGTATATATATCATGAGCTATGACCTGTTTTCAACAATACCCAATAAGACTGTTGTTTCTTTGGCACGATCGGCATGAGATAAAGCTGGTAGTTGACTGTAGGCTTTCCCCTCAGTGTCAAATGGCTTCGACTTTGGCCGTCTCTGGCAATCCGCCCTCGACTTCGGACGAGAGCCACGGTCACGTCACCTACATATTGCTTCTGCCTTGTCTACCGGGGTGTAAGCTTGTCGCATCTCCCCGCTGAGCGGGTCGATGTCTACGTCTCGACTCTTGATGAACCTTGGGAGTCCAATCAATGGGTGCTGATCCATGGCACTTGAAGCCCAGCCCCATGGACCCAGCCATAAGCAACCTGCATAATCTTGACCCACTAGCGGCGCCTTTTCCGTTTTTAAAAGTTAACCTACAGGCTCGGCGTAAGCCGAAGTGTCGATCAGTACCATTACCTGCGTAGTATGTGGACAAGCTAGCTTACTATTCCTTCTTCAGAGAAGCAGCTTTACCTAGGCACAGCCAGGAGGCGATGCATTACATAGCAAGCTTATGTCTTGGATGTCTTGGCATGACGACGCCCTGATGGTGAAGGAAACTTCTGCGGATGAGCCATGAAGTATATGTGTCTTGCAGGCAGAGGTGCTGGCTGTCGCGACTATAAAGTCACGACATGCCACTCCGAAAACATCCATCTTCAATCTATCACGACTGACTGCTCATTTGCAAAGAAAAAGCAACCGCACCACCACAATGAAGCTCCTGAACAGCGGCTTCGCCGCCATGGGCATTGCCCTAAGCAGCCTGTCCGCATCTGCGTCCGCCCAAAACATGTCCTTCGGCGCCGACAACTTCTACCGCAGCCCCATTGTCACCGCCCACCCCATCACCTTCCCAACGCAGAACAACATGACCATTGCGGGGAACCTCTTCACGCGCAACAACCTTAGCCTCAGCTCGACCACCGGCGCCCTCCCCGCAATCGTCGTCGGCCACCCGATGGGCGCGGTCAAGGAGCAGGCCGCAAACCTGTATGCGACCAAGCTCGCAGAACAGGGGTTCGTCACAGTCTCCCTCGACCTCCCCTCTTACGGTGGAAGCTCCGGATACCCGATGAACTCCGTCTCACCGGATCTCTACGCCGAGGCATTCAGCGCTGCGGTCGACTACCTCGGGGCCCAGACGTTCGTCAACCGCACGCGCATCGGAGCGCTAGGAGTCTGCGGCAGCGGCGGCTTCGTCATCAGCGCAGCAAAGATCGATCCACGCATCCAGGCCATCGCCACGGTAAGCATGTACGACATGGGCGCCGTAAACAGAAACGGTCTTCGACACTCGCAAAACGTCACACAACGCAAGGCAGTCCTCGCCGACGCAGCGCAACAACGCTGGAACGAGGTAGACGGCGCCGAAACGGCATACGCACCCGGTACACCACTCAACCGCACTGCATCCTCGAGCGCAGTCGATCGCGAGTTCTTCGACTTCTACCGTACGCGTCGCGGGGCATTTGTGCCGGAGGGATCGACGTTCGAGCTCACGACGAGTCGGTCTGAGACCAGTAATGTGCGGTTTATGAACTTCTACCCGTTCAATGATATCGAGACGATCTCGCCGCGGCCCTTGCTGTTTGTTTCCGGGGACCAGGCGCATTCGAGGGAGTTTAGTGAAGATGCGTTTGCGCGGGCTGCGGAGCCGAAGGAGTTGTTTTGGGTGGAGGGGGCTGGGCATGTGGATTTGTATGATCGGACCGGGCTGATTCCTTGGGAGAAGTTTTTTGGATTCTTTAGGGTGAATTTGTAGATGGTAGAGAGACTGGTGTTGGGTAGGGGTTTGGCCTGAAGCCTAGAGAGCCTTTGCTGTATAGTAGACGTTGCCTGTTAGTTGTAGTGGGGAGAGGGAGAACGAAAAGGCGGGACGAGAAGTCCTCATTGTGGATAGTATAGGAAATTTTATGTTGTCAAAGAGGTTGAAAGACTCAGAGATCAAACCGAAGCCTTCATAGACGCTCGCTAAAGTATTCGACATGGTGACTTTTTCGCCACTTTTCGGGGCAGCAAAGCAGCAGCAAGAGCCTGCGACAATACATCAGAGCACAGTCCAGGCAACCCAGTGTATTGTTTCCGAACTCACCTCCTCAAAAACCTTATCCACACCCTGCCCCTCTCTAGCCGAGCACTCAACATAAGCACATCTCAAGTCCCTCGCCAATTTAGCCGCATCGTCAAACTTCACCGGTCCCAGTTTCTTACTCTCCAGCTCCCGCACCATATCAGAATCATCCCTTAGATCCGTCTTCAGCCCAACAAGAACAGACGGCACGTCGGGGCACATGTGCAGAATCTCCGGATACCAGCGCTCCCACACACGGTCCAGCGAGTCCCACGAGTCAATGGAGAAGCAAAAGAGGAATACGTCTGTGTGTGGATACCAGAGGGAGCATAGTCTCGTGTAGCCTTGTTCCCAGGTTGTGTCCCAGAGCTGCAGGGTGTATTCACGACCAGCGGATCTGCGCGATGTTAGTTTTTGTACTATTATGAGCCGTAAAGAAACATGCCTTAGGGTGGTTTTCGCGAACTCGAGGAGTTTCGGGACGTCCTCTGGGAATACCTTTGTGGTGCGAGTTATGAGCAGCGAGGTCTTGCCCACACCGCTGTCGCCAATGATGACGCACCTAAGATTGGTTAGTAGTGCAACCGCAAGGATGGAAGTCTAGGTATTTCGTGTTCTCGACGTACTTGATATCTTTTTTCTCGCTCATCCCGGATGTTTGTAGAAGAGATCTGGCATCTTCACGATCGACTCGGGATACGAGTGTTTGGGACACGAGTTTTCGGCCAGATAACCAATGGCAGTACACGAATGTCTCAACCGAGTCAAGTGACTCTGCGGAGAATCTTTATTGACGCCGTCATCGTGAATGTACCTCGATGTCGGGTGTATACATTCCCTAAAGACCAAGACTCCGACGATTGTGGCGGAATACTGTCTAAAATACAAATTAAAACAATACTGGAGAAAAAGACCGCCGAAAATAGAAAGTGTACGCGCATCTATGACTAAGCAGCTTCGACAGCCGAGGTTCCCCGCATTGCGTGGAGTGTTATCAACACTCCCTTCGCAACACCTCTAAATGCCAGCATAAAACTGTCTCTCAAGCCCAATGGAATACTCGGCAATTGCACAGCGCAAGCAAGCCCAGCTCTGGGAGCGTATACCGCAAGAATGGCGCCTTTCTCCGTCCCAAATCCCACTCGGGATGCACTCCCCTGCAGAGTCTGTCACCAATGTCCAGTATGACCGGGTCAATGTGCTGGGCATTCCTCGCTCTTGCGGGCTGCTCTCTGAGAAGGAGCTTAATATCACTGAGAACTGGGATGTTCAGGGTCTCTTGGGGCAAATCCATAGCCAGAAGTTGACATCGAAAGAGGTCATTGGGGCTTTTTGCAAGGTACGCGTAAAACTTCTTTCCCTTCTGCAGTATGCTAACAACTGTAGCGAGCAGCAATTGCACAACAAATTACCCGCTGCTTAACTGAGCCGCTCTTCGACTCGGCCTTCCGCCGAGCCCAGGAGCTCGACGACCATATCAACCGCACGGGCTCCCCCGTTGGGCCCCTCCACGGTCTCCCAGTCTCAATCAAAGACTGCTTCCACATCACGGGCGTCGACTCGAGCGTAGGAATTGCTGCTTTGGCCGAGAAGCCAGCAAAGGCTAACGCTCCACTTGTCGCCCTCCTTCAATCGCTCGGCGCAGTCATAATTGCAAAAACCAACGTCCCCCAAACAATGGGCGCCCTGGACTCGGCAAACCACCTCTTCGGTCGAACTCTCAACCCGCTCAACCGCCAACTCACAGTCGGCGGCTCTTCTGGCGGCGAGGGCGCGCTCCTCGCTCTCCGCGGGAGCATGATCGGGTTCGGGACGGATATCGGGGGCTCGATTCGCATTCCAGCGATGTGTAATGGGCTCTACGGATTTAAGCCAAGCCAGGGCCGTGTGCCCTATGGCGGGCAGACGGATGGCCAGCCCAAAGGTAAAGGGCGCATGTCGATCCAGGCTGTCGCTGGTCCGATTGCGCGCTCCGTCGCGGATATCGACGCCGTCATGACGTATCTTGTCCCGCGGGCGCAGTGGTTCGGGGAGGATTGTATCCCCGGCGCGTGGCCATCACCACTGTCTTCCTTCAACCAGCGAAAGCCGGTAACTATCGGCGTCCTACAGTCTGATGGCCTCGTGCAGCCCCTTCCACCGATCACAAAAGTTCTCAACGAAGTTGCTGCAGCTCTCAGACGCACACCGGGCGTCAATGTGATCGAGATCCCCGTCCCCGCTGCCCTAGCCAAGTGCCAAGCACTCGCTGGCCGCCTCATGAGCGTCGACGGCGGCATAACTATGCTTGACCTACTCGAAAGCACCGGCGAAACACTCATCCCCTGGCTCCAAGGCCGAACCAAGCGCGGTAAACCGTTACTCCTCTCACAACTCTCCGAACTCCAAGCGCAACGCGCCGAGATTGAGCTCGAGCTCCGAAGGAAACTTTGGATGCTGGATAGCGGTAATGAGCAAAAGGTTGACGCGATTATCCTCCCCGTCGCGCCGCATCCGGTTCCGGAGCTCGATCGGTATAATGCTGTCGGGTATACATCGAGTTTTGTCCTGTTGGATTATCCGGCTGGGGTGGTTCCTGTTCGGAAGTTTGGGGAGGCGGATTTGGAGAGGGGGGTCGAGTTAGAGACGAAGACGCTTGGGAGTTGGGATAAGAAGAATCGGGAGCTTTGTATGCCGCCCCTTACCTCATTCTCTTCCTCTCTTTGACTAGCTGTGAACGGTGCTGACTGATATCCTAGGGAACGAGAAAACCGTTGATCGGACGGTCTACCTAGACTCGCCACTTAGTGTTCAGGTTATTACTCCTAGACAGCATGACTATGAGCTCTACCAGGCTATGGAGCTCATTGACAGGGTTATCAAAACAGATCGGTCAAAGCTGTAGCTCTACATCCGATCAAACACACAGCAGTAAAGGAACTCTATTCGAGCACATATACATACTACCCTCTCCACCCTCCACACAACAAATGTATATAAATAATGAGAAAAGGAAATCACATTCTCCCTTTCAGATGAGCTCCCCCATCAGTCGTGATAACACTTCCGTTAAGATGGCTCGCCGCCCGACTCGATAAAAAGACGACAAGCCCCGCAATATCCTCCGGCTTCCCCAGCCTCTTATTCGGGCTCGCCTCCGTCAATTCCTTCAGCCCGCCTTGGATCTCAATGAGCCCGTTCGCCATCTTACTCGGGTACAGCCCCGGCGCAACCGCATTCACAAGGACATGCTTCGGCCCCAACTCGACAGCCAGATTCCTCGTCAAGTGCAGGACGGCCGCCTTCGAGGCGCTGTAGCTAAAGCTCGCATTATTCCCGAGGGAACCGAGCGTAATCCCCGCAACGGAGCCAGTAATAATCACCCGCGAAGGCTCATCAACACTCGCCTTGGCGCTAAGCAGCGGGAAGAACTTCTGGACCGTAAAGAACACACTCTTGACATTCAGATCAAGGACCTTGTCAAATGCGGACTCCGGGAACTTCTCAAACTTCTCGCCCCAAGTTGCGCCGGCGTTGGCGAAGAGGATGTCGACGTGCGAGGTTGTCTTGGAGACTTCGGCGACGAGGCGCTCGATCTCGGAGACGCGCGACGAGTCTGCGGGGACGGAGATTGCGCGGGCGCCTGGGCGGAGATTTGGGAGGGCGTTTAGGGCCGCGACGGCTTCGTCGCAGGCGGAGGCTTTGCGGGATGTTATGTAGACTTTTGAGCAGCCGGCTTGGAGTAGGCTGTTGAGTTTCCAGAGTTAGTATCGTGGCGTGGAAAAGTTTAAGCCCGGGAGTGAATGCGGAGAAGGACTCGAAGAAGACGGGGAGGGGAAAGGTACCCGCTCGCGGCGTGGAGACCGAGACCACGCGAGCCACCGGTGACGACGGCGACTTTGCCCTCGAGGGAGAAGATGGAGGAGAAGTTCTCCAGCTGGACTTGTTCTTCGGCGGACATTTTGGCGAGGAATTGGAGTGGATTGATGGAAGGAAAGCAGAGGAGAAAGGGATGAGGAGATATATTGGGTGTGGAGTGGGTGTTACCGATGATGCCGAGGTACGGACCCCGCAGCCGCGCAGGATTATGCTATTGCTGCATGCTTCCAGGTACCAAGTACCTTAAAACTTTCTTTTGGAAAGGAGTGATGACTGATATGTTTCTGGGACGGTAAGTATGACTCGGAATTTCTCATATGTACTTTATCGAGTCGATGATGATCTGGTTGGCATCGGATGGATAAGAGGTGCTGTTGTCAAGTAGGGTAAATATAAATATCTCTCACGACCACTAAGAATATGCGCTGCTAATATGCTCTATGGAGAAGTCTCGTTTCTATCTTAAAGGACGACGCGATAATCTTTAGAGTTATCTCTAGAGACACCGAGAGAAGCACCTGCGCTTGGGATGACCAAAATACCACCAACTTCAACCACCAACCAATTATGCTGTAACACACGAACGAGCCGCCTGACTGGCGCCAGCTTGGTGAGTGCCAGCATATCCCTGCACACAACTACGCCTCGAACCCTCTGCACTGCCACTGTTTGCCGGCAGAATCAATCTGCCTGCCTCTCGCACCTGGGCCAAAATCACTATCCACCATCAAGTCGCATCGCACTGTCTACCAAGATCGAATCGAGCTCGTAACAAGAAACAGATCCAAAACTGTCAAACCGTTTACCCAACGATACACGCACCCCCGCACTCAGCGTGCCTGTCCTATGATTATGGCCTCCTCTGCGAGAGAGGCATGATTCCCAGCAAGATCCAATGCCCGCGCCGCCGACGCATCCTCCCCGCGCATCGATACGAACAACCTCCGCGTCCAAGGCGCAATTCCCGCTTCTACACCAGACTCCATCGTTCTTGATCAAGAGGACAATAGTCGAAGACTGCACACGTGATGCGGACTCTGGCCGGCCGCCTAAGTATCATTGCTTGCGGAAAGAAGTAGAGAGGCGGGAAAAGCGGCGGCTTCTTGATGTTCTGAAAAGGGCACCTGTGTCTTCACTGATGCCTGGCCGGCTGAAAAGGCAGACGGGCAGGGTTAAGCTAAGCCAACAGGCGGCAATACAACAACAGCAACAACAGCAGGAGGAGACACAGCCCGAAGGTGCCATTAAATTGGATGATGGCGGCCTTAGTTCTCTATCACCGGCCGAGTATGAGAATGTCTGTCGCGTCGCGACAGTAATTAGCAACAACGTGCCTCAGAATGATATGGACAAGATCATATTGAACCTTCGAAACAGGAGTCCACGTCAAAAGAATTATCTCCACAAGAAAGGCATGGATCCTGTTACGTACTTTTTCCGTTGCCAGGCTTTGGAGTACCTTCAGCGGCGCTCCTCCCGACCCCCCAACGATACGCATTCCTCTGGTGAAGCAAGACCCAGAGACACAAAAAGACAGAATGATGACCTTTCTGGCTCCGCACCTCCCCAATTCTTTATGCGCCCCTCCTCCTCTGGACCGGATGAGAATGCTCCACACGACGACTTAATGGACACATCAGTCCCGGTGATGGGAGTTGGTAATGCGGGTGCTCACAAGGTTAATGAGGTTGCAGAGGACTCAGAGACACATCGGCGGCAAGCGCATGGGCCCAGGAATGGGAACATGCCGTATCTGTTCGCCAATATAGAAGAGTCATTGCAGGAACAGGGTCCTTTTCGTGGTTGGAGAACACAAGTAACCGTTAGGGACCGAACATATAAAGTCCATCAGATGTATGTCTGACCTCTCGCACCAAAATACCTGTCTGACCCCCCCCCCCCCCGGGTGATTTTCTACGTCCTGAAGGATAGCATCCCTTCGCCTACTTCAGCCTAAGATTCAGCTTCGCAACGCCGCTAATGCGGCTATGAGCTTTGAAGCGAAGGTGTTCAGGGGAGCAGCGTCCAAGGTTGGCTCAGACGACTTGATGCTATACTTCTACCTAAACTTATGTTCTCATAGGCCGAGTACGACAGGGAGTTTAACGACAAACTTGTGCAGATCAGAGACGCTCGTATCCAGGAACAGGCACTAGAATATCTGCACGCTGCATCCGCTCGATGAAGTTAGTGCGTTGCATCAACTATTCACGCTGCCGCCGGCAATTTACGCCAAATGTCCCTTAATATATTTGCAATCAATAGCTTATTTTGCGGGATACTACAGTAGACATGATGAACTGGTCAACAAATAGCACTCATACCTGTCTTCCTTTCGCACAGCAGTAGGGCTGTGGTAAGAGAATAAAACTCATGTGTGAAAACTCTTCCCCCACTAGAGTAGCGGACGTATAAGTAATGTGGCCATATCATAAGCACTATTTATGCCACAACAGGATTTGTACTTACTAGGTCTAGTCTTTTCGAATTCTTTGGAACCTAGCAGACTCAGACGCGCTGTGGCCATGCGTGTCGCACAAGTATTGCTCAAACTCGTTGGACACATCGATAACGTCCTGTAGGTGGCTGTATTGAAGGGACTCGCCCCGAAATTCGGCCAGCAACATGGCCGTCCGAATACTATTTCGAATCTCGCGGCCGTTTAGCTTGAAAGTGCCCAGTTCTTCGAGTTTGTCCAGGATTTGGTCGGCCTTTGCCTCGGGATTTGTACGGTGCAGCCTTGTAATGAAATTTGACCATATCCGCCGACGACTAGCTTCGTCCAGCGTCGGATAATGAAGGGTTAACTGGACTCGAGACTTGAAGGCCTCGTCAAAAGTCCCGATCCGGTTGGACGTCAGAACCAGAATGCCAGAGTAGTATTCCAACACTCGCAGGAAGACGGAGACCAGCGCATTCCGTTTTAGGTCCTGCTGCGTGCGCTCCTCCAAAAACACGTCAGCCTCATCCAGGAGAACAACGCATTGCCATACGGTACCGAGATAGAGAACGGACTCGAGGTATCTCTCCACCTCCTCGGCGTTTGTGCCGATATCTCCGCAAGTGACGCGATATAGTGGTCGTTCCGTGAGCTCCGCGACGGACTCGGCTGTGAGGGTCTTTCCCGTACCCGGTCCGCCGTGAAGGAGCAGAATTAGGCCATTCCCTTTGCCCTCTATCACATCACTGGTATCGCTAGCAGCGGTGTGCTTGGCCACAAGGGCTTTGATCAATTCTTTCTTGGTGTGTTTGAGAACCAGGTGATTGAAAGCCTCGGCATTCCACTGTATGTCGCGGACCTCCTCCACGGAAACGGAGATCCATTTCTTGTCATGGAACCCGAACCCTTGTATGTCTGCGGGGAGGAGGATCTGGAATGTTTCATTGGGTGGCAGCTCTTGATCGTGCTCGTCTTTCGAGAGGTACTGTCGGCCTGCTTCGGGAATCTTCTCGCTATGCACATGATGGTATGTCCTGGCATCTACCATATAGCGTGGGTTCGACTATGCAGGGCTTAGCAAGCTAGCAATATTCTATCAGTTGATGGGATCCATACCTTTGAAACTTCGACAGTTAAAGACGATGGTGTGTAAGATACAAACTGTCTGTTCCGACACTTCCAGAATGCAGCTCCTCGTTTCATCAAACGTGCTCTCACGTCATCGTCGACACGAAGAGGATACACAGGTAGGTCGGTTATAGCCACCTCTTCTTGCGCCTCAAAAGTGTATTCGAGAGTGACCTCTTCCTCCTCCTGGAAGAATTGACCATCAAACGACCAGGTGACGCATGGAAGGACAAAGTTGTCATCCTCCCAGCGGGGCCACTCCTTGAGAAGATATGCGCGTGGCTGCCCTCCACGGCTTGCGACAACCACGTCGTCCTTCCAGAACAGCTTCGCGAGATGCTTTTGGGTCACACAGCCTCACGCGAATGAGTCGTCCGCATCCTGGTACTCCTCCTCGAAAGCCATTTCCATATATTTCAGAAGGTCCTCCAAGCCCTCTGCAGACTCGTCGGCTTGTATATCGGGCTGCCTCAGATGAAGGTATAACCGGTTCACCGCAGCCGAGCTTTCCTGTGTCCTTGCTGCGGTAGATATACGCTCACATCGGATATCAATGGCCTCCTTGACGGCATCTTTGATTATATCATCGATGATATTAATCTCCTCGCGCTCAGGGGTTGCCTCGTCGCCGTCGGCGTGGAGAAACGAGAAATGGCGCATAAGCATCGGGTGCATTGGGTGCAAGGGCGCTCGTAGCACTTCGAATTGATCGCGGATAGATTCCAGGTAGGCATCGCAGCTGTAAACCTTGACCCAGATTAGAATGATCTCGTGGTTTTCCAGATATTCATCAATATCGTCAATCTTTTCCTCTCCGCGCAGATTGCTTGCCCTACTATCGCCGTAGAAGAGACTGGGGGCGTCGAAGTAGTCTGCCTGACGCGGGTGATCGGTGTGGTCTTTCTGCTTGCTGCATTTGACTCGGTGGATGATGAAGGGTACAAAGTTGTTCGTCTGTACCGGAGCGGGCTTGTGTGCTTTGAAGGGACGGTCAATAGGTTCAGAACCCGCTCTTCGTTTCGTTGTAAGCGACATTGTTGATTCACTTGCGCCTTTGCAATGGCTGCTTGCAGGAGCTAAAGTAGTGTCAGCTCAAACATGTTTGCTTTGGTTCTGTCGTGTTAGAAGAAGCAAAGATGCGGGGTCGATGGTCAGGCTACTCAGAGCCTTGCCCATTCCCAACCGCTCGACCAAGTCTCGCCAACACGCAAAATGAGAATATATCCAGGCGGCAAGACTGTCGAGAGCTCCAAGGATATTGAGAGCAAGTACTCCACATTCTTAACACGCACCCTTTACTCTGTTTGGGAATTCTGCTAACCTTGACTCGCTTCGCAGACGCTCTCCGAGCCGATCCCGTCGTGAATGAAAGAAGATGACAGAACCTCGCGAGCCCACCGTATATGATTACACCGTAGGTATAATATGCGCATTGGACAAAGAGCTATTAGCAGTCCGATACCTACTAGACTCGACGCACCCAGAAGTGACAGTGCTGCCTCGAGACACTAACACCTACACCCTTGGCACATTGAGCAAACACGGAGTCGTTGCGACATGCCTTCCTGCAGCCGAATACGGTACGAATGCCGCAGCTAGCGTTGCCTCTCAGATGTACCTGAGCTTTCCGGCGATACAGTTTTGCTTATTGGTTGGCATCGCCGGAGGGGTTCCTAGCAAAGACGATATCCGCCTTGGAGATGTGGTGGTCGGCGTTCCCACTGGGACACGGTCGGGAGTAATACAATATGATATGGGGAAAGCGACTCCGGATGATTGCTTCGTGGAGACAGGGTCCCTTCAAAGGCCGCCGCGCGTTCTGCTGAGCGCGATCAATGGCCTGAGGTCGAACCCTCACCTCGCAATCAACCCCCTCCAGGCGTTCTTGGAAACCATTGCGCGACAGAACCCAAAATATGCATACCTGGGAAGAGTGCACGATATTTTGTTTCCGCCCGATTGTATACATGGTCTACCCGACGCAAACTGCGACGGCCATCTTGGCTTCCAGGTCCAACGACCTGCAAGGAGCCTTGAATACCCGTGTATTCACTATGGTTTAATTGCCTCCGGGAACAGCGTCATTAGAGACGCAGCTCTCCGGGACCGCTTGGCAGATCAATACGGCTTTCTTTGCTTCGAGATGGAAGCGGCCGGGATACTCAACGTCTTGCCTTCACTGGTCATTAGGGGGATATGCGACTACTCCGACTCACACAAGTCTAAGATTTGGCAGGAGTATGCCGCTGCGACAGCTGCGGCTTATGCGAAGCTTCTTCTCACCCAGGTGCGAGTTTATGATGCGCAGTCTGTTGGCGGAACTAGAACAGTTGATTTCCGGTGTGTATTGAACTCTTGCAAGATTTGGAATGATTCACTAAGGAATTTGAACCAGGGAGGTTCACTTTCCTCCTTTAGCAGTAGAACATACAGGTTTCGATACATCCCTGGGCCACGGTACATACGTCGCTTGCGAAACGACACGCGAGCTACCGCTTTTACAATCCAGTGGTCAAACAACGCAAACTAGAAGCGCGGAAGATATATGGAGCAAAGCCCAGTCGTTTGCTGAGAGAAGCCGTCTGTGGAGACCCATTATGCCGGAAGCCGTACCCTTAATGACAGCTTTAAAGGAGTGGTCGGAAACGACCTCTCCAATGACCTCTCTAACGACCGCTACAATGACCACTCCAACGACCTCTTCAGCGACTCTGATTATCGAACCTCAGAACTCGCGCGCAGCCCAGAGGGCCGAGACCTTCGCATTTGAGGTGGCTGCCTTCCTTAGACGGCGAGGTCAATCAGTCGCCTGGGCTTTCATGCCAGAATACGATGAGCCGTTGACAGCGGGAGAGGTTGTGCATTGCCTTGCTCAACAACTGACACGACGGACATCACCAGGGAATCCCATAGCTATACAAGATAGCGACAGAGGCCCATCTGATACCTTGGTTAGGGTTTTCGACGAGCTTGGTGATTCTTTCCTTGTTGTACAGGTCAAGGACCTGGCTCTTGCACATGCAGTATTACAAGCGGTCAGACTGTCCTTCAAAGACAGGCCAACGCGAGTCCTCAAGCTTCTGCTCATAAGCTACTCGGGTGAGATTACTAGTCTGGCACTTGCATTCCCCCAAGCAACTGTGAAGGTTATCGGTCCTCCCTTACCGAAAGGGAAACGCCGCGAAGCAAGAGTCAGTTGGTGGGAGTGTATAAACCCGACTCTCTAGTCGGGATTTAGATATTGTTCCATATAGGTAAGTATGGCCAGCAGGAGGTCGGAAAAGACGTGTTGCGTGTGTGAAAGGCAAGAGCTCGAGAAGGAACCACCCTTGAAGGCATATATGCCATATATCCATTATATTGGTCGAGAATTGAGTATCCACAGTGCTGCAAACTCACTGTTTTTTTTTTTTTTCTTTCGGCAACCACGGAATGACCAACCGGCCGCTTTCAATGCAAAGGCTCTCCGGTCCCAAGCACAGACGTATTGAGCTATACCGATGGATCCACGCCGAATAATATAAGAACAAGAATATCAGGTTATTATCCTGTGTGCGTAGACTCAAGAAGACGTTTATAGAGCCATCCTACTATATATTGCATCTCGATCTCCAGACTCATATTCTTGAGGGCCAGTAGAATACTGACCATATCAGTTAATGAGGCGCAATATACATAGACTTTGCTTGGCCTGCATATAACTGCGCCACATTTGCGATAACACGACAGGCTCATCGCAGCCTGACAACTGTCTCGTCTTTGCTGCCTCCATCCCTTCTACTTACTCATCCACATTTCAGTGTCTTTGACGCTCCATCATCCAGTCATACCAAGTGACAACTCGACTACATTCATCAACCGGAAAATGGACCGCCAAACGTCCCCTAAGGCGAGGCAGGGTCCAAAGCTGGGGCGGTGTATCAAACGGACAATATCTGAGGATTGCACTGGAGGGTCAGAAGCTGAAAGGCCGTCAAAATTCCACTGTCTTCGAAAGGAAGTTCGACGACATCAGCTGCAGCCGGCACGCCTCCGCCAACTCGACGCCCATCGCTCTACAAAGAGACCTGTTAGTCAGGAACAGAAACATCTCGACGACACGTCGGGCACACTTCCCAATGCCACCCCTCCTCCCTCGGCTCAAGAGCATTCCACAGTACGCCACAAGCTGACTCGGAGTGATACTTTTAGTATTCACGACCCCAACCGGGCGTTGAATCCGGAGCAGCTCAAAAAAATGGATGGCATGCCATTCCAGCGCACAATGTTAGCAAATGACTCACCACGCCATAGTCGACGGTCTTTCAAGTGCAGGTGGGAAGGCTGCAGAAGTTCGACCTCTTTTTCCCGTGAGGGAGATCTTATTCGCCATCTTAGGACTATCCACATATCACCCATTACATATCCTTGCCCCGAGAAAGATTGTAGGAAGACATTTGGAAGGAATGATCACTTAAAGTCGCATATAATGAAAATCCACCCTGAAAGGGGGGAGATATAAGATCCTTTCTATGTCCTTACTAAGGCCTTATTACTCCTTGAAAGTTATCCTTGCTAATTACTATTATATCGACTATATTCATGTTTATGTATACCATACCTTCTTGTCTCCGCCCTTTAGTATAATAGTGGGTATAAGGAAGAATTAATTATGTCCCATACCTCTTAAGAAAGATTCCCCTCCATAATCTATGAGAGCTTGAATGGAAACTAGTGTCGTGGCAAACAGGATCATTGTAAGGAACGTTCGCTGAGTAATAGGATCATTTTTGATAGAATAAGAAGTATGGACGTACCTTCGCGTAAGGCGAGGACGTAGAAGGCATGCTCGAAATGACTATTTGATTTCTAGCAGATCCAAATCCATCCTGGACAGCCAATAGAGGTGGGGTGGGTGGGGGGAGAACAACTTGGAGAAGTTAATGGCCTTGCAGGTCAGGGTGAGTGGATTCGCGGAAATGCCTAATAGGCAGTCATTAGGTGTTAACATGGACAATAGTGACAGCAATGATGAGCCTATCTCGAGGGCTGGCTGTGGCGGGTTATCCTGGATGTGAAACAGGGTTCCTAAATAGGGTTTTGGATAGCACGGGGTGCACAGATCTACAAAGCATTAGAGAACTGCACTAGGAATGGTTGAGAGAGGGAATTGAAGCCTGATGTGTATAGGGTTAGTAGGATTAGGACACTCATTAGTACTAATATTAAGGGTGTTGAGGGAAGTACAATATCTTACATTTGTAGTATTGTACCACTGTGTAACAAATCTATGAGAGAGGGTTTAACTCTGGACTCCCTCTGATACCTACCACAGGGACCACGAGTGATACTACCAAAGAGCCTTCTTCCTGTCACAACCACGACGAAAGGAGGGGCCATGTGAGCCCACGTAGTTATACTATCTGCAAGTAAGTATACTTATCACATTGTAACCCAAATTCGCGCGTGATCAACACACCCTCCCCAGATCACTTGCCTATCATTTCCAGTCCCTTCCAGCAAAGCCGCACGTGTATAATCATCCGACCAATCGTCCGTCAGCTGCCACAATCGGTTACACAACCTAAATGATGCCGACAAAGAATCAAAGCGTGGATGTCATTTTATCTGGGCTCTGAAAAGTAGCGCTGCTGGCCTGACCTCGAGTTGGTAGCGACCTGTGTCCCTACTCAATCGACTCGTCGTCCGGGATACGCCACACGCGAGATTTGAGTTCAGCGGCTGGAGATCTTGGCCCAGGTACACACACTACGCGAGCCAAGCAATCTTAAGAAGGTAGCTTACTTCTTGATAAGTAAGATTGATTCTCATCAGGGTCCGTGGTGATCAGATTGGGATGCAAGGCATTGGGGATATACTCCGTTTTCCCACCCCCGGACCCGCTTCGCTGACACGTCACACGCATTGCATAGATAGCTGGAGAAGTGTGTTGCTCAATCTCGTCTGCAGAACCGCCGGGGTTTTAATTAATGGCATGCCGATGAACAGATGACCACCACACATGTATATGTCGAAGCTCTTTGTGGAGGCAGGCTTCGCATCAGGGCCCTTGACAACATGACATGTTTGTTTTTCAGGAAAGACAAAGATGGCTGGTTTATATACCAAATCAGGGAAAGCTTTTCAGAAGCAAGGAATCAACTGATCAATCAAATGACAGCCGCGACCCTTGAATGATAACTAAGACCCCCTTCATGCGCTCGCAGCCTCGCGCGGAGATACTACCCGACCACTGCAGAAAAACATCTGGCATCTGACATAAGACTGCAGGCGTTCGCTGAGCCCGGTGCATTCTTTCAATCTGGGCGGGGTCTAATCTCGAGAAAAACAAAGCCCAGTCACTCTGTTTCCCATTTATGGAATAGATTCTACTGCAAAGTTCCGTTTGCGTAACACCCAAGCCCGTGCCCTAATTTCGGGCAGAGCGATCTTGGCTACCTTAGCTACGGAGTACCGAGTACAACGTCGCTCGCAGCGAATCGCTACAAATAGACTGTCATCGGGTACCCCTACCTGCGTTTAGAGAAAGGGATCTGGAAAAAGGAAAGAAAATCAAAGAAGAGACAACGAAAAGAAACATCGGTTATATATGGTCGGTGGGCTCGACGGGATTTTTAGCATTTTATTCTCGAGAGGTCGGGATTGCGACTACTGTTCAACTTTTCATAATGCTTCGGTTTTCAATTTGGTTTTTTGTACTTTGCGTGCACTGGCAGGTTGTACTTGGCCGGGCAATTCCTTCAGACATTGAGCTCGATAAACGCCAATCACCCAATATTCCACTTCGGATTCTCCCTCTCGGCGCGTCAATCACATATGGCATACACTCGTCAGACGGCAATGGATTCCGCAGGCGACTCAAAGACCAATTGCGATCCGAAGGGTGGGAGGTGAATATGGTCGGAAGCCAGAATAGTGGGAATATGAGGGATAATGTACGTAGCTGCGATCCAACCTATCTAGCTCCAGACGCCGTGCAGCTTCTCTTACTGATGCACGAGCGCAGGACGTCGAAGCTCGTCCCGGAAACACGATCGACCAAGTCCGCGCCGCAACCTCCCCCTCCCTCCCCTGCAGACCAAACATCGTCCTCATAAACGCCGGCACGAACGACTGTCGCCTGAACATCGACATCCCCAACGCAGGCGCGCGCATGCGCTCGCTAATCGAAAACATACTCTCCGCAGCGGACATGCGCGATACACTCATCGTGCTATCCACGCTCCTCCCATCAGGGAACGCCGACATTTCGCGCAACACGCCCGCCGTTAACGACCAGTATCGTGCGCTCGTCCGGACGATGCGTGGGCAGGGGACGAGGATTGTCCTCGCCGAGATGAGCGGGCTTGTATACCCGGAGGATTTTACGCAGGGCGGGCAGGTGGATGATACGCATCCTGGTGACGGCGGGTATGCGAAGATGGCGCTGATATGGCATGATGCGATTTTGGACGCGGCGCGGCAGGGGCTTATCCCACGGCGGGCGTCTTTGAATGGTGGGTTGTCGTGTGATAGGAGGCGGGGAGATGATCTGTAGCTTGAGATGATGAGGAAGATCTCTTCATACTTACACCAGATCTGGCTGTTGAGTGGCTTAATGCATTCTATCTTACGTTAAAGGCAACTTTCCTTGAGCTAGCACCTGTAGCTCCTGGTGTCCGCTGACACCGAGGGCTCCTACAGCTGCTCGGTCGGGAATAGAATGTATGGCTAGTGGTGACCTGTTATTGCTTCTGTTGAAATCCTGGCCAAAGGTACAGATTCCGCGGAGTCGCGGACTCGGTTGCTCATTCTTGGGGGTGGCTGCGTTCGTTACGACATTCAATCATAATAGTAGGTTGGAATGCGCTGTGGCGCGCATAATAAATCTTTGTTGTGTTGCGGCAATCTCTAGTAAAGTAAGTTTCTCCATGCATAGAGATAGTGGAAGGGAGTCAAGAAAACAAAGAGAAAAAGGATTCAGGGAGAGGAGATGTTCAAGAGGGCAGAAAAGGAACACAGGCTGCACAGTGCGCTGCACAAGCAGAGCTGTGCAAACAGCTAGTGGCCTATTAATAGCTGCAGGGTCAATTGATCTAGCCCTAATAAAGTTAGCTTCAGCCGCCCCTGGCCACACTATCGGTGACAGGGGAAGCGCGCTGGGCCGCCACGGCGCCGCGGATCGAGGGTTGCTGCCTCAGGACGCGATCCTCAAAAAACATCAACCACAACAAAAACACGGCTCAAAGATGTGCGTATTTGTCCGGATTAAAGCGTCGATCTTTGATCTGCAGAGTCAATGACGGAGATCGGAGGAGGAATTCTGAATCTGAGCAATCAAATGCATTCATGCAACGCAACACGGCAGCGCTGCCCAGTCTCATTGCTCGATGAGCGGCCCTGTCGCGTGAGTCCCTGGATTTTCGGCGGTCGCTGAGGCTCCACCTCCGCTGGAGCTGGCACTCTCCGATTCCACTTCCCCTCTCCATTAGCGTCATCTCAGACGCTGTTGACTGAAATAGTCGCTCTTTTCTCTGCTTACTTTCAGCTCGGCCGCCGCCGTCTGTTTTGGCTTTGCTTTCCACTCTTTTGCGGGTGTTGATTGCTCCCGTTCGCTCCCTGACGATGCGTACTCAGCTCCTGGGCCTGCCGGCCCTTGCGACCCTGGCTGCGGCCGCCGTGCCATTTTATTCAGACTCGCAACTCGTCGATCGCAGTGACACTTCCCGCGCGACCGCGATCAAAGAGGCCTTTTCCCATGCCTGGGACGGTTACTACGAACACGCCTTTCCCAACGACGAGCTACACCCGATTTCCAACGGTTATGGAAATTCCCGAAACGGCTGGGGCGCGTCGGCCGTCGATGCCCTGTCCACCGCTATTATTATGAGGAACGCGACCATCGTTGACCAAATTATCGATCACATCGGCACTATCGATTACTCCAAAACAGATTCAGAAGTAAGCTTGTTCGAGACCACGATCCGATATCTCGCCGGTATGCTGTCCGGATACGATCTGCTCAAGGGGCCTGCGTCGGGCCTGGTGGATGAGAGCAAAGTCGACGTGCTCCTCAAACAGTCGAAGAACCTCGCCGACGTACTCAAATTCGCGTTCGACACCCCTTCCGGCGTTCCACATAATGTGATTGATATAATGACACATGGGAATGATGGCAATCCGGTCAACGGGCTGGCCGTGACTGGGACACTGGTGATGGAGTGGACACGTCTGTCGGACTTGACGGGTGATGATGAGTATGCTCGTCTAAGCCAGAAGGCCCAAGATTATCTCTTGCACCCGTCGCCGGAAGAGTACCAGCCATTCCCTGGCCTGCTGGGCCACACTATCAACATCACAACTGGCGAGTTCGCTGATGGCCATGTTAGTTGGGGCGGTGGTCACGACTCTTACTACGAGTACTTGATCAAGATGTTCGTGTATGACCCGAAACGCTTTAGCTTTTACCGCGACCGCTGGGTGGCCGCTGCCGAGTCGAGCATGAAATACTTGGCGTCGCACCCTTCGCCGCGCCAGGATCTGGTATACCTGGCCAATTACAACGACCACCAGTTTAGTTTTGTCAGCGGGCATCTGACATGCTTTGATGGTGGCAACTTTTTGCTTGGTGGAACTGTGCTAGACCGCAAGGACTTTACCGACTTTGGTCTTCAACTGGTAGAGTCATGCCACGAGACCTACAGTGCGACCGTGACTGGAATTGGACCCGAGTCTTTTAGCTGGGACCCCAGTCATGTTCTCGGCTCGCAGCGGGACCTGTACGAGCAACACGGGTTCTACATTACACAGGGATCGTACAACCTGCGCCCGGAAGTGGTTGAGAGTTTCTACTATGCCTGGCGCGTTACCGGCAACGAAGAGGTACGCTTGCAACCTTTATAGACAATTCTTATAAAATATGCTAACAGTTGTAGTACCGCGAATGGGTGTGGAATGCTTTCACTTCCATCAACAAGTACTGCCGGACTGGCTCTGGATTCGCCGGTCTGACAGATGTGAACGCGGCCAAAGGCGGTAATCAGGTCGACAACCAGGAGAGCTTCATCTTTGCCGAGGTGCTCAAATACATCTATCTGACATTTGCGCCGGGTACGTACGCTTGTTGAAATTCTCTGGCAATCACTAACTTCAGCAGAGGACGAGTGGCAGGTGCAGCGGGGCAGCAAAAACACTTGGGTATTCAACACCGAGGCCCATCCGATCAAGGTGTACAGAGGCGAGTAGTTATAGATGCATATAAAAAGCACGAGATTGTCATCTCTGCAATGTGGAATCCATTGTAATCACCAGCCATACCGAGCTGCTTGATGTATGACCTTAGTCACCTTTGGCCTGATCCGTTGAATGGCCTTTCGAGCCTCAACCAGTCAAACGTGCAAGTGGCTTGGTCAACCGGACATCTCCTGGCCCGTATCCTCCTTTCGGCGCGTCCACGATGAAGAGCGTGCCGCTAAGGAAGGTATGTGGGAATCCGGGGTCAAAAGTATAAGCCGACTCGGTCTTCTCAATCTCATCATCTGACAGCGTAATTCCAATCGCTGGAATAACCCCCTTCAAATGGACGACTTTCCTCGCACCAACAATCGGAAACACATACGGCGTCTTCTGCAAAACATACGCCAGCGCAATCTGCAACAACTCGACTCTATTGGCACATCCTCTAGCACCCTCGGAAGTTCGAAACGTTCTTATCATGTTCCGAGAGTGCAATGAACTTCCTTCTATGATGTTCCTCCCTCTCTCTCTCCTTCTCCACCGTCTGGAACCGCCCCTGATTCAAGACCCCATACGGCGCCAACCACTCATTTCTTGCCATGGGAATAATACCCCGCTCATGGTCCCTCATACTCGCATTTCACACCCCCCCGGTGCACAGTACACTTCCGAAGGCCATGATCCCGCGCGTATTGGTTCGCCTTAACAATAGCCCAGGCCGGTGTATCCGGGTGCCTAGATATATCACTTTCCCCGTAACAACGACATCCTTAAGCCCGCGCGTCAGTTCCGGGATCCCAAAAGCTCCCCTGACCTCATTAACAGAGAACTGTTGGATAATGTACAAACTCTGTTTCAATTGACGTCAATATTTGATGACCAAGTTCCTAAATGTATCTGGTGGTAGACCCCACTGAGTCCGCTGGGTCAAATGATCATTGGCTCGGGCGCACTCGGGTGTAATGCTCGTTGATGACAGCCCACCCAACCAAGCTCTTCTGCTGAACCTTGATAGCTGGCACTCGCAAGATTTGGCGAAGTACCAAATAACATCCTGGGAATTAAACCAAGCTATTCACTCTAAAGCTTGGGCAGGTCATGGTTATCACGTGGCTGATACTTTGCCAACCCATGTGGGGACCCTGCGCTCTGTGACCTAGTCTACTTCCAGCTAGTAAGCCCGGCAAGGTTATGGTACACTAGGCCTGAAATCGCCTAGCTCTGCTATATTTTGAGCAGATTTGAGCACCTTGTAGACAACACCCTTTGTCCTCTGCTCCCAGACAATGGTTGGATGGGAATCTGGTGTACCTTGGTGACTGATAATTCCCTCATTATTGATTACCTTTAAGATCAGGAGGTTAGATGTGTAGAGCTTTATAAGAATTAAACCCCCAACATTTGGAGTAGACAACATAAAACTCACCTCCATAAAACGTCTATATCTACAACCAAACCTCAAGCCCACCACAACTCCCCAATACTCAGACTCGGCATACAACAGATAAGAGTCAAGAAAGAACAGAATGTGTGGAATCCCCCGCCCCAGCACCGGCCACCGCATCGCCATCATGTTCCCACCCCGACACCCAAACAGCAGCACCGCGCATCCCGCAACAGCAAACTACTCCCTCTTCTTCCGGGAGTCAGATAGCGACAGCATGCAGACAACAGCAGTCTTCCGGAGTAAAGATACGTCGATGATTGATATCTTTCGTGCCTGTCGTGGGATTGATCTGAGGATTGAGTATGGCACCCTTTCTGTCCTACCCGTCACTTCGGACGGATTAGAAACGAAACAAAACGAAATGGAATCAAGAACCTCGAAAACTAATCTGAGCACTACTATAGACGCCACGGCGACCTAACACTCACCCCCTCAACACTGTTGTCATCAAAATCCCAACCACTGCACCAATTCCAACTACAACCACACTTCTCAACATCACAATCGAAATCAGCAGCACTTTCGTCCTCCGAACTCGAATTCTCGCTCCCCGAACGCCTCGACCTCGGAGTTTCAGAGAGGGGCATCGTCGGGCGCCAGGTGACGGTGTTTGCGACGGGGCAGGCGGGTGAGGTCATTCCGATGGGGAATGGCATTGTTGGGTATGATTAGATCATTTGTATCCTGGATTAGATCACTTTTATGCTGGATTAGATAGTTTGATGGATCTGCATGTACCTTGGGGTTTAGCGGAGTTAGGGTGTGTAGGAATTGATATGATTTGTTCAGTACTTTGAGAGATTGGCTGCCAGGTGGGCTGGGCTGGGCTTGCTTTGCTGGTATGTAATCAATGTGCTCAAACGTGCTCAGGGGGTCCCCATGGGTCTGGGTTGGAGGAGTTGGTATATAAGCAGTGCGAGGTATACCCTGCTACCCCTCCTTGATTCTTCTTCTTATCTTCTGCTTTGTTCTTCATCTCGCATCTTTCTCTCTATCTCTTCCTGCACATCCAAGATGTCTGACCAAAAGTTCACCCTCCCTCCCCTTCCTTATGATTACAATGTAAGCCTTCCTTTTCTCTCCTCTCGGCCCTCCCTCTCTCTTAAGTCGATACTAACACAATCAGGCCCTCGAACCCGTCATCTCCTCCCAGATAATGACCCTGCACCACACAAAGCACCACCAGACCTACGTCAACAACCTCAATGCCGCCTTCGCCTCGCAAGCAACCGCCCTATCCACGCAAAACATCCCCGAACTCATCGCCCTGCAAGCAAAGATCAAATTCAACGGCGGCGGCCACATCAACCACTCCCTCTTCTGGAAGAACCTCGCCCCCTACGAGAGCTCCGCGACGAAGATTGACTCTGCGGCTCCTACACTCAAGGCCGCCATCGAGGCGCAGTTCGGCTCCGTTAATGAGCTCATAAAGGCGTTTAATGCTGTTCTTCTAGGTATTCAGGGCAGTGGATGGGGGTGGCTTGTTGCTGATAAGGTGGGGGGCAAGTTGGAGATTGTGACGACCAAGGATCAGGATCCCGTTACGGGGGCTGTTCCTGTTTTTGGGGTTGATATGTGGGAGCATGCGTATTATCTGCAGTATTTGAATAATAAGGCTGGGTATGTGGAGGGCGTTTGGAAGGTGATTAACTGGGCGGTTGCGGAGGGGAGGTATGTTAGTGGTGTTGAGAGTGAGGTTGGGGGTGTTAAGCTTTGAATAAGGTCTTTGGCTTTAGTCTTAGTCTCTAGACGTTGCTACTTGTCCGTTTTGCGTATAGATGATGGTTGTATCCTCTTTAACCAAGTATTGCCAGAGGAACTTGGCCAATGGTATGTCCTGTTCCTCGCATCGAAAGAAACGACAACATCTTCCCAAGTCTATTTCCAACTTGTGGCTTGCACACAAAGTCAGCTTTGAATAAAGTCAATATACAATTGCTACCTTACCACGATTTGGTGGAGACACAGTCATTTATTCCCCAGATTTTGATTAAGCTGGCCCCGACTTGGAGAAACGCTCAGCGAGACCGCAACACGATGGAAGATGCCTGATACAGAGCCTTGCCCCTACCATATCATAGATACCTTGAAAAAATGGCTATACTACCCCTGCAACTGAGATCATATTCGAATTATACTTGGTAATCACTCTTGACTAGTACTGTGGAGCCAGCCCCGTAGCCCATGAAGAAGATTGCCAGAGCGAGCACTAGCGATGGGAGCCTGAGGCACCATGACCAACACCACTTTCTTCATCGCCCTCTTCCTCTTCCTCATCCTCATCATCTTCGTCGACATCATCATCCTCCTCCTCTTCCTCCTCATCCTCATCGTCGTCTTCTGCATCCGCCAACGTCACCTCTACATTGAACGCTTGCATATTTTGAAACGAACACAGGCTCACTTCCCTGAACTCAACTGTCTCAGGCGCCTCCGCGAGAATCTCCTCCACAACACCCCTAATAATACTCTTCTCCTCCTCGCTCAACACCCTCGTCATATACGCCAAGGTGATGTGAAACTTGAAAGAATCATGGTTCAGGTGCCTGATCCCCGTGGCCTTCGACAACTCCTCCCGCAGGCCCACCAAGGACCCCGAGTCTGGCAGCGGCTGCAAGGCCAATGCAACACTATGCGTGATCTCCGGAATTTTGCGCTGGACCGCGAGACGGTACGGCGGCTTCGATGACTCGTCAAGCTCGAGGTCTTCGAGTACGGACCTCGTGTACTCCAACCAGTCCTCGTACGGACCCGTTAGACCGGACTCGTATTTGATGTCGTCGGCGTATCCGTCACCAGGCATGACGTTTGGAGCGCGCTCAAGGTCGCGCACGCAGATGAAGACGGTCATGTGCCAGCTTGTTTCGGGGAGCAGCGCCTCGCCTGGGAACGCGGTACCCGCAAAGTCAAGCTCAGCGAGGGCCTCGTGGATCTCTTGGATTGTTTCTCGGAGGGGCGAGTCCTCGGGCAGATGGCAGATTACCGAGTGACCGCGGTAGATCTTGCTGACGCCGTTGGGCCAGAACTTTTTGATTGAGCCTGGGGGCATTGAATGGTCAGCCATGGCTTTTGTGTAGCAGTTGGTGTGCAGGGTACGATAACTTGGAAATTGGCAGCGCTATCTTGATGGAGTGTCAGGTTTGAAAATGGGAGAGACTCTTGATTTAACCTGATTGTGTCTCCAGGGCTTGAGGTCAGCCGCCATGGAGAGTTGCCAATATTGGATGAGGCTGCCGCATCGAGAGCCCGATTCAAGGCTCAGCAAATGTTCACATCTCAATTGGTCGTTGCAAAAATGATAATCAGGCGCCCACACCATATCGAACCTGCTTGACCGACTGGAATTTTTCCTGATGCTTCCCGTCATGGCGCACAGTTCCCTTTCGAGAAAGGCCTACGTTCAACCTGGAAGAGAGGGATAGTAACCCAGGTTTGCAATAAACTAGCCATTATTTGCTAAATGGTGTGGTAGCTTTCCGTTATCGAAGGTCAGCTCTCGGTTTGGTGTTGACAGCAACAGGCTGGTACAGGCATTGTAGCCGACACCAGTCGTTCTAGGCCAGACCACGTGTACAGGCTATTGGCTTCGAGCATGCGCGGCTGAGATGCAGCCGGTATTAGATGCGGCGGCGATAACCAGTGCCTGGGTAGCACACCCTGGTTCAAGTTGGTGGATATAGCCTTGCTTACTGCTTGACAACGAGAGGCTTGGAAACTGCTGATGAATCCGCCTAGTTATAGCTGACCCCCTGCGGGGTACATCCTGTAATGGACTCGTGCATACTGGTGGCTTGCAACTTCTGCATGTTTGATCGCCAGCACCAATTGTATCAGCCGCTTCGGCCTCACCACGGTATCTCCGCGTGACCCGAGCTCCCGCAGCCAAGGGTTGTCGGGTGGATTAGGATAAGGCTGGGAAAAATGTTCTTCTTTGATCAGTATGGAAGCACTGAAAGATGTATTGTAGAACGCTCTGATATCAACAAGGGCCTTTGCTAATCAGAATGCAGCGTCAGCTCAATCACAATCCTGGCCGACACATGCAATGCTGTTGTGGGCGAGAGGCTCAGACAGCCGGCGATTAAGAGGGCTAGACATGGACGTCCGACTGGCCTCGCAGTTTCAACTCCTGTACATGGTTCCACATAGCCTACCATCACGCGATTCCCGGAGAGTTTGGCCCTGGTACCGCCGTGATGGATCCGATTTCGGCTGCAAGTATTGCGGGGACAACAGTCCAGTTCCTCACCCTTGCTTTCGCCGTGTCATCGCGCATCCAAAAGTATTGCAAATCCGCCTCGAACGTTCCAACAACATACCGAGAATTATCAACGCAGATACCTCTGTTGGCAGAGCTCTTTCGTGACTTGCAGAGCGACCCGACCGTAAATCCTGACCAGCGGCTGGAACAAGTGCTCAACGGGTGCATTCGCAACCTGACAACCCTCAACCAGATCCTCACAAAAGTCCTCCCCGAGCGCGGAGACTCGGTCGCGTCAAAAGTTCTGAAAGCCCTACGCAGTGTTGGTGCAGAAGACAAAGCCAAGGAGTGCAAGGCAGAACTTGAAAGTTACAAGACAACGCTCACGTTGTACCTCGGGGCGCAGGCGTCCTTCAAGGCAGCTCCGCCCCCTCCATCACCGGCGTACTATCACCTTCCCTCGCTCGGTCGGGCCAAATTTATCGGACGCAAGGACACCCTGGAGGCAATTGACCGCGTTGTCAAAGCGCAAGGCAGAGACACAAACGTCGCCGTCCTGCTTGGTATGGGCGGGCAAGGCAAAACCAGCCTTGCGATTGAATATTGTCGACTCGAGAAAACACGTTCACACTTTGAGACAATCCTGTGGATAAATAGTATCTCGACAATCTCGATTCAGAGGAGCTTCGCGGAGATTGCAAAGAATATCCTCGCGCTTTCTGGAGAACAGCGCAGTTTTCCAAACATCCAGGCGCAGGTTACCTTTGTTCATACTGTCATTGAAAAGAAAGGTGGCCATTGGTTACTTGTCTTTGACAACTACGACTGGCCGCATAAAGTCAAGAATATCCTCGATTACGCGCCCAATTCGGCGAGAGGAGCTGCTATCATGACCACAAGACATGCCGATGTCGCTCCCTTGGGAACTCTGATTCCTGTCGATGGTATGAGTGAAGCGGACGCAGTTGAGCTTCTCCTTGAGCGGACGGGCCATGCTCGGACAATTGCAAATTTGACTCAGTCAAGAGCGGTTGTCAAACTGCTTGGATACTTGCCGCTCGCAATTGACCAAAGCGCTGCCTATATCAGGTCACGAAAGATCAGCCCGGAGGACTTCCTCGACCACTACAAGAACCGAAAGGAGAAGATCCTCAAAGATGTACCGAGTATCTGGGAATACCAAAGGTCGCTTGGCGGCGATGGGAATGAGACACCCCTCAGCGTGTTCACCACTTGGGAGATGTCGTTCCTTCAGGCATTGGAGCACAGTCCCATTGGGGATTGTCTTGCGGACTTTCTCAGTACCCTTGCCTTCTTCGCTCCGCTTTATGTTCGGATGGAGATGTTTCAAGCGTACTTTGAAGGGCTGCAAGCAGTCAGTGCGACACTTCCGCCGTGGATAGATGCTTTCGCGGGCGGGCCCAAGTGGGACAAGTTTGGATATCAGGATACTGTTGTCTTTCTTGCAGATCTATCGCTTGTACGCTATAGCGGCGGCTCCACTAGTGATGGCAATGACGACGTGGACACCACGGGATTCTGCACACTTTCTCTACATCCGCTCGTACGCGACTGGATTCAGCTGAGGATACCAACAAGCGAACGTCGCGCCCGCTGTATCGAGGCACTTCTTCTTCTCAGTCACTACATAAAGGCAGCCGGTATCGACTATTGCAATTGGCCGCTGAAGATCCGTCTACAAGCTCTATCCCATGTCGACGCCAGTCTGGAACTTCAGGCCAAATATGCAAGGGAATGGGCGGGTGGACCTATGTATCAAGAGCTTTGTGCCGCTTTGAAAGTGATATCCACCTTTTATGCCGACAACGGACGTTACAAGGAAGCCGAGAGGATTTGCAAGGACGTCCTGCACGCCGATACCAAGGTCCAGCGGGACAACACGGAGATTGCGTGCACACAGGTGCAACTCACGGACATCTTCCTCCTTCAAGGCCGCTACAGGGATGTCGAGGAGACCATTTGGCGGCTATTGAGCTCGGATACCGCGTTTGATCAGGGAACGAAACTCCACATGTCGAAGAATCTTGCTCGCTCATTGTTCAAACAAGGACGCTATGACGAGTCAGTCACCATCTACAATGACATTCTTCGTCAGCAAGCAATCTTTCTACCTACTAATGATCTGGACGTGCTCAATACACGTGAGCTCCTGGCCCAGGTATACCGTAACCAGGGCCAGCATGAGAAGGCAATTGAGCTGTACGATATGGTTCTTGCTGGGTACCGAGCAGAAGGACTCGCAAGTCATCTAGAGGCTCTACACTGTATGGTCAACCTGGCAAATACATACCGCGCACAGGCACGATATGACCTGGCCACTACACTCTACGAGAAGGCCAGCCTCGAGGCCGCCGCCAAGCTCCATGCCGACCACCCCACTGCGCTCTCCACCAAGATGTTCATGGCAATTAATCTGCGCGAGTTACAGCGATACGAAGACGGCGAGGAAGCATTCCGCGATGTCATTGAGCGGTCGGCGCGTGTGCTAGGCCTGCAGCATCCAGACACCCTGAAAGCCACCATGAACTATGCAATATTATGCGACCGGTGGGGAAAGGTGCGCGAGGCAGAAGAGTTGTATCGTACTACACTTGAAGGGCGGGAAAAGAAGCTCGGCGTCGATAACCCTTATACACTACGCACCGTGGAGCGGCTGGTGAGTCTGCTCTGGAACTCAGGCAGGCTGGAAGAGGCCCTGGAAATCTCCGCACGGACCCTTTCTGCCCAGAAGCGAAAGTCCCACACCGACCAGCTGCTAAGTGGCCTGACTCTGGAGGACATGAAGGATAGCAAGTATCGTCCCGTCGAGACCCTCTTCGAAAGAGCCGTAGCTCGTGACATGGAAGCCCTCGACGAAGCGCACCGCGACAGAATCGAGTCGCAGAAATCTCTTGCAACCATTTACAGGTCACAAGGTCGCGATGCGGAAGCGAAGCATTATGCAAGCCTTGCGCAGGCGGGGGAGGATGTCCTACGTGAGAGACTCGGTGTTGCCTTGCGGCAGAGAATGGATTCGGCGTCGACCCTCGTGCCGCCTGGAGCCGGCCTGTTGTCCTACGAGGATGCTGTTGGTGACCCGTCGCCGCCTTATTCAGAGGGTAGTGACTAGTTACAGCACCTATACTGTGCTATATTCACCTGTGGAGTTGTAAGTCGAGCTTCGTATATGCTTTTCATAATGAATGCTAGCTAGCTAGATTCCGGCCATGCTTGAGAATGTGAGACTCATACGGCAATACCTTGTTGAGCGCGATTCGTGAGAAAGAAAGGGCCCATTTTATTCTTCGACAGGTTTGAGTCAGGAGCGCCGCCAGAACAGGCTATGACGAAGTTCAGTATGGGACACTTTTATTGAATGACACGTTCCGTCTACTTACTTTATATAATCACTTATCTATAAGGCAGGAAACGCGGGCCTCAACCCCAAAGTGCTTGCATGAAATCCATGATTAGGTAGATTGACAGGCTGGTCTCCTCCGTCCTGCAGTTCCAGCATTCGACAAACAAGCTATAGCCCTGATCGATTTCCCGGCTATCGACAGGCCGTACTAGCATCTCTCTCCCCATATGCACCACGCAAAGAGAGTACAGGAGAGCTTATCCAGCAAACCAGCGCCCTTAATAACTCGGAAAGAAATCCGAAGCAATTCTGGCTATATACATGCGGGGAAGGGTCTATGCAAGGTTTGCTAGAGTCTGTGGAACACGTGTTTTCTAACTAAAAGGGGTCATCCGGACAGCATCCCGAGTTTATGTGGCGCTGGCAGGGCTGGGATGTTCCACCAATCACCCTGTCTGGTTCTTTTATCGTTCCTGATATACCTTGTGAATGGGCTTTTTTCCCGTAAAAGGAATCAGTAACGCAATTTACATGACATCCTTGTACGCCGGTATACTCTCATATCAGACGCCGACGGTGACTGATTCGAAGCCGTCGGGGTATGAATCTGGGTAAATGGAGCCTTGGCTTGGGAGGTGTCGTGGATTTATTCACGGCTTTCTTCTAGGAGTCTACTCTCAAGGTCGAAAGCAGTAAGAAAGCATTGCGTCACGGGTGGCTCATATCACACGGAATCATCATGCTGCTACTCTCAATGCAACGAGGACACTTCTTCTATGCTCTACTCTTTGCTCTTCTCCCAATCTTTGCCTCTGCGCAAGGATCAACCGTGCACCTTCTAGGATCTCCCGGACGTTATAAGCTTGCAGATCGCCGTGATGCTCCAGCCATTCATGTTTCTGGAGATGACTACGCCGGCATCATACGTGCTGCCAATGACCTAGCCGAAGACTTTGGGCGGGTGTTGGGGGTCGATGCAACGGTTCAAGTCATCAATGCGACTGGAGCCGGCGAGGCTTGGGACACAGACAAAAACGCAGTTATCATCGCGGGGACTATCGGCCATTCGCCGCTCATCGACAGCATTGTCGAGGACAACAAGCTCGATGTTAGCAAAATAGAGGGCAAATGAGAGTCCTACATCTCCCAAGTCGTCAAGTACCCAGTAGACGGCCTAGACTGGGCACTTGTCATCGCGGGCAGCGACAAGCGCGGAACCATCTACGGGCTATATGATCTCTCTGAACAACTCGGCATCTCACCCTGGTACTGGTGGGCCGACGTCCCCTTCAAGACCAAAGACACCGTCTGGGTCGGTAATGAGATAAAAATCCAAGGCCCACCGTCCGTCAAATACCGCGGCATCTTCATCAACGACGAAGCGCCCGCAATAACCGACTGGGCGAAGAAGACATACGGATTCTCGAATGATCCTTTCCGGCGTGAGTTCTATAAACGAGTTTTAGAGCTCCTCCTCCGTCTTCGCGCAAACTACCTCTGGCCCGCGATGTGGAGCAGTGAATTCTACAAGGATGATGCGCAGAATGGCCCCCTGGCCGATGAGTTTGGAATTGTTATGGGGACGAGCCATCACGAACCCATGGCGCGTGCTGGGGAGGAGCAGAAGAGTGAGATGGAGGGCGTGTGGGATTGGGGCAAGAATCGGGAGAATATCACAGAGTTCTTTCGGGGTGGAGTCGAGCGGGCGAGCGGGTGGGAGACATCTTGGACTATGGGGATGAGGGGGTCTGGGGATGCGGCGTCGCCGACGTTGACGGCGGATGCGCTTGAGGAGATTATTGGGGTGCAGCAGGGGCTGTTAAGGGAGGTTTTAGGCGATAGTCAGGCGGCTTTTCCGCAGGTTTGGGTTCTGTACAAGGGAAGTCTTCACTGATTCGCCTTGAGTCTTAAACTAACCACTCGCAGGAGGTTGGAAAGTATTACCAGGCCGGCATGAAAGTGCCTGATAATATTACTCTCCTCTGGACCGATGACAACTGGGGCAATCTTCTCAGAACCCCGCTTGCCAACGAGACTGATCGGACCGGTGGTGCAGGCGTGTATTATCACTTTGACTACGTTGGCAGCGTGCGAAGCTACAAGTGGATTAGTACCATTCAGCTGGTCAAGACCTGGGAGCAGATGCATCTTGCTTATGAGCACCAAGCGAGGGATTTATGAATCGTTAATGTCGGCGACATCAAACCTATGGTAAGCGGAGAGTCCCACATCAGTCACTTTCTGCAAGCCTCATCATGCTTGGCTTCTTTGCTGGCTATGGAACGATAAACTAACGTGCAGCAGGAAGTCCCTATAACCCACTTCCTGGACATGGCATACGATATGTCCAAGTTTACTTCTCCAGAAAGTACCGGGCAGTGGCTACGCGATTGGGCAGCAAAGGAATTCGGGAGCTCCCACGCCGACGAAATCACGCACCTCGTCACCGAATACGGTCAGCTGATCGCTCGCAGGAAGTACGAGCTTCTCAGCGAGGTACCCTATGTGTACAGCGTCGCCAACTACGACGAAGTCGAGCGGGTCTCAACTGAATGGGACGACCTGCTAAACCGGGCACAATCAGTCCATCGCAAATTCAGCGACACCGCCACCCAAGACGCATTCTTCCAACTGATCCTGTACCAGATTGAAGCTGGAAAGACAGTAGTCGATTTGTACAACACCGTTGCCTTGAATGGCTGGTACGCTGCGCAGCACCGGCTGAGCACTAACCGTTTGGCGGAAAGAGCCCACGAGCTGTTCGAGCTGGACGCGAATATCACGCGCAGATACCATGAAGTCAATGGAGGCAAATGGGACAAGATGGCGAGTCAGAGCCATATCGGGTACACGAATTGGCAGCAGCCTCCGGCAAACATTATGCCGAATGTGTCGTGGGTTGACGGTGATGATGACACGGACTTGGTGGGCGTTGTGGTTCAGGGCCAGGCGGGCCCGGCTTCTGAGGGCTCCAACAATACGCTACTTCCAATGAGCCCGTACATGCCTCCTAACGAGTTGCGTTATTTTGATATCTTCGCGCGCTCAAGGGGGACATTCTCGTACCATGTCAGAACGAATGCGACATATGTCCAGGTGTCCAACAGAGCAGGCACTATATCTTCCTCCGACAAGCAACCTGATGGCCAATGCGTGATAACAGTCGACTGGCGCAAGGTACCGACAGGCGTCTCTAACGTAGAAATCGTCGTGTCCCATACAGCGTACGGTGTCGGAGACTCCTACACCTTGATCCTCCCTCTCAACAAGACAAGAATCAAGCCCGGATTCAAAGGCCACGTGGAGTCCAACGGGATTATCTCCATTGAAGCCGAACATCACACACAAGCCCAGCCAGAGAACGATCTATCCTACATCACCATCCCAGGCTACGGCCGCACCTTATCCGGCGTCAAGCTCTGGCCCGCCACAGCGTCTGCGCAGACACCAGAGTCGGCACCTAGTCTCAAGTACCCATTCTACTCGTTCTCGCAGACCCAATCACCCAAGCTAATCGTCTACCTCGGCTCGACTCTAAATCATGATCCAAGCCGACCTCTCCGGTACGCCTTTTCCATTGATGGCCGCGAACCCAAAATCATTCAGCCGGTGCCAGACACTAGCATGGGAGCGAGCCGGTTGGGTGGGGTGCCACGGTTAGGAGGGATGGGTGGATATCGAGTGTGGATATTGGTGGTAAGATTGAGCAAGGGAAGCATGAGTTAACGGTGTGGCTGCTGGAGCCCGGGATCATTGTTCAGAAATTGGCGCTGGATTTGGGTGGGGTTAGGGCTAGTGCTCTGGGGCCTCCTGAGAGTTTTCGGGTGTAGCTATTGCGAGAACCGCTCCTGACAGGTGGGAGTTGGAGCTGCTAAAGCCTGGCCGGGTAGCCAATACCTTATTATACGTACCTCTGTCCTTTTTGGTATATTATATGCTGATCCATAGCAAGCCACGTCCACTGCCACTCCTTGAGTAACCAATAGTATTCTACGCTCGCATACGTTGAATCTCATCAAGATTCGTTTATTCCATCTGTCTACTCGCCTCTGGAAAGTGAGTCTCATCGAGGGTTGCTTTCCTTATCACTATGACATGAGAGACTTGAATGTTGCAAGGACGGATCTTGTGATACAGGCGGCCGACTAGCATCTTCGTTGCGGTTGGGCGTACGATAGCCTGTCAGTCATCTTGGTTTGTGTGGCGCCCTTGTACTATTGTTGAATTCGCATAAATATCTTGTTCCGCATTCACATTTCCCTCTCAGAGCTTGAATTGCATATAGGTAAATCTAGGTCAGATTGAGTAGGCTCCCGCACCATTTGGAGGCAATCATAGTCTTCCATAAACTGCCGGGAGCCTAACAAGGTCTGATATAGTCCAAGAGAACAACCGCATTACTTATTATCGCAAGTCAATCAGTGGTTCCAACGGGTACAATCGCAACATAATCCAGCACCGCAGCATCCAGCCCATCCGATACACACTCAACCCTCAAAGTATCCCCTGTGCGGATTCTCACCTTCTCAAATGTAATCCGCGTCTTGGAACCACCATCCGGTGCATCCGTTCCAGCATGCGAGAAAACATACTCGTTATTCCCAAGCCACGTTCCCAGCGATCTGTCATTGAGGTAAAGCTCCCACTCCGCTATGCCCTTAATAACATCGAAATACACCACGATGATATCCCACACCCCGCTTGAGACGCGATGGAGCTTCACCTCTGCTGTGGCAAGAGTATTATTGTCCAAAGCCGCCACGGCGAATCCTCCCGAGGCCGACTCGACGGGATCCAGCTCGATGATCCTGTACCCACTCAGCTCCATGTCCTCGGCCTCGAGACGCAGCGGGTGATGTCCGGCACGGCCCAACTCATCAGGTATCCCCGTGAGATTATGGTAGTAGTCTACGATCGAGTCTCTCCAGACGATCGCGTGCCCAGCCTGAAAGGTCAGTTGCGTGAGGACCTCCTTGTACTGCTGGCGATCAAGCTTCCCGTCTAACTTCTTCCATCGGGCTGGGAAGGTCTGCGCGGTGTCTGCGACGCTGTAGTGAGCGTTATATAGATGCTGAATCACCGTATCGCCCGAGGGCAGCTCGTGCGTGTAATTGACGTGGTGGTACCAGAGCAGAAATTCAACAGGTGTCGTGTCCATCTCCTCGAACCGCGCACCGTATTCGGGCGGATACTGCCCGGCGTATCCAGAGCCATTCCGGACCGTCCGGTCCATACCAATCGAGAATGCATCGGACCGCGTCCAGATCCCGTACTTGTTATCATCGCCGGCGCGGACATTCGGGCCGAAGTGCGTGTTGGTTACGTCTGTGAGGGAGGGAAGACCGATGTCGCTGCTCGTGTAGTTTTGGTATGCGGGCCAGGATGTATGTGCGATGTAGCGGACGACGTTGGTGACGTCGCGGTTGAGGCCGAATGTCAAGCGACTCCAGGTCTGGATGATTTGATCGGGGTCCTCTGTTGGATCCCACGCCATACGACCGAAGGCGTAGAGGTTTGACATGGAGAGGTGGCTACCTGTCCAGGTGTAATCAAGGCCAACGTTGGCGACTCCGCAGTAGCCTCCCAAATGGCGTTGGAAACGATCGCCGGAGACGATGTCCCGAACATAAGACGTCTCCCCATCAACGCGCAAATCCGCGTCTAGTATCGTCTTCCAGAGTGGAGGGAGGTAGACCGTATGAGTCTGCTGCCCGAGATACTCCTGAGCGATCTGCAGCTCAATAGCAACATTGGACTGCCGAAAGTATCCAAAGAGGGGATGAGGAGGCTCGCGGCCCTGAAAGTCGAGGGGCCCATACTTTATTTGGAGAATGACGTTATCACGGAACTGTCCGTCAAGGCCCTGGAAGGCCTCGTACGCTTCCGAGGCCCGATCAGCATTCCAATCTGCAATGTCGAGCATCTCGTAGACGAACGTTCGGAAGAATATGATACCGCCATGCGGTTTGAGAACGTGGGCTAGGACGTTGGCGCCGTCGGCGAGGGTTCGGTTGTAGGTATGGGGTCCTGGTTGTCCTTCAGAACTTGCCTTGAGAAGGTAGCCTCCGAAGTCGGAGATTTCATCATAGATGGTGTCTGTGATATTCTGCCACCATGAGATGACCCTTTTATCGAGTGGATCGTACGTGGGAAGGCCGCCAAAGTCCTTGGGCGATGCAAAGTTGACGGCAATTCCGATTTGCACCCCGTATGGTCTCATCTGGTCGGCTATTCTGCCAAGTCCCTTGATATTATCGGGCGAGAGAGTGATTGGATTGGCATTGACATTGGTCAAAATGACACCATTAATCCTGACCGAGGCCAGAAGGCGAGCATACTGCGCGACACGGGTCAAGTCTTCGCGGACTGTGTTGTTGTCAAAGAAGATGGAGAGACCTCCGTATCCACGTTCGATCGTCCCATCCATGTTGTCCCACTCGTTCGTCCATCGGAGCGGCGCACTAGGGTTGGAAGCATAGGCCACGGCGGAGAAGTTGCCCTGAGCAAGCATGGACAGGTACTCAAATGTACCATATAGAGCTCCCTTCTCGTTCTGTCCCAGGATTTGTACAGTGTCTTCGGTGATATTCAGAAAGAAGCCATCTTCCTCTAGCTGGAATTGAGAATGGAGATTTGGGTTGGGGTTGTGATCGCAGGCGTGAGTGTATGCATCCACAGTGCCAACAACAATCGACTTTGGCCCGGTGTCGCAACCATTGTAGCTGATGGTTGTATTAGAATCAAAGATTCCATCAAGACCACGTTGAAGCTCCGTCCCTGCAGAGAAAACGGGGCTTGTCTGTGTTTGGTTCAGGACCACAATGCGTGCTGGAGGCTGGAAACCATTGACGGCATTGCGAGGCAGTTTTGCGTACCGCAGCCATCCATCAATGCCGCTCTCTGCCGCTGCCAGGGCGAAGATGAGGAAATGTGCAATGAGATGCAACATGGCAGTAGATGATTTACCCAACAATTAAGCCGCAAACAATGGAGCTTCGAGCCAGACTGAAGATTGTGGGCAACGGACTTGTATACATATTGTTCAAGATCCCTCACGGGTTCGGCTCCGCGGACCAGGATGTGTTGTATACAGCAAATCAACGCAATAGTTTAGGCTATTTGGCATCTACTCCAACATACTGACCCTGACGAATCATGACGCAGCATTCACCCATATCAAACACCGACAGATATCATTTGCCTAAATAAAAAGATCTACGGAGTATGCATGGTCCAGGGGCTTGATTTGTGGATAATTAGGGCCCTGCGGGGACCCCGCATGCAGATCACAGTAGCCAACACTACAAGCCACTCAGCAACAAGGAAATGTTTCAATTCTCGTTCACTTCAATTGCCGCCCGTACTTGGAAAACTTGGAGAGGTAGAAGTCTAGAGGTACTTCAAGATTGCACAGGCTATATCCCTGCCCTTCTTACCAGAAACGCCCGGTTTTCCAATCCATCACTGCGCTGTACCTCATGTGGCTTAGATGCCCCGGCCTTTTCTCCGAAATAAAGGCCCACTTTCTATTTCTTTACAGTTGGAAAAGCTGCCTTCCCATATCTCGATTAGTATACCGGCAATTCAATGGCGAAGAAAGCGCACATCTTATATTCAAGTCGTACCACAATCTCCATTAGGCTTTTGGAGGAGAATTCAGGTTCCGAGCCCTTTTGTCTAAATAAAGTATATTGGCTGCGCACAGGGCTGGGAATTGAAAGGACTACCGATCAGGACTACTAAGCTTGATATTTTATCCTACGACAGAGTTGTTAGTTTATAAAATGCTACTTCAATTCAAGTACTAATATGACATGGCAAGTTTAATTAGGAGTTAGACATACTACGAGTTTGGCTCTCTATTATTTACCAAGTACAAGTACAGTAGTAGTCAACCAATGTCTAACAATACTATACAAGACTAAACCACGTCGCCTATGGCACTATGTGGGGCTACCCCCAGTGGAACCATTCATGGTTTAGGTAAGGCCGTCTGATGTGATCAGAGAGTTACTTTAAACATTACAGGACAAGGCCATGAACAAGAAGCCAGCATTAGCGGACTAATGTCTCAGGTGGTCTAGGATCTATATTAGCTGCAGCGCAATGATAAGTCATTGGCTACGTAGCTGCTGATACAAAACTCTTGGGCAACATGATTCGAGTTGGATGCGTTATCCTGGGCCGCCGCTGGTTATAGAGGAGAGATAGAATATGTAAGGTAATACATAATGTCACATATTTAAAAAGCCATCTCATCATGCTGGATGTCGGAATGGCCGGGATCTTCAACTCCGACTTCCCCGGGGTGATGATCAAAACGGTGATGAGACCATGGCCTGCGCCGCGACTGACATGGATGAGGGTTCCTGTGCTGGGAATAGTAGTGGACCTCTGACGAGCGGGGATGGGGATGATGGTTAAAAGGGTTTATTCGGTACACTCGGAGCGGTAAATTCCAACTGTGTTTGCGGCATTCCTGATGTATATACGAATTTTATTTCTCTGAGTGGCTGGATCGCGGAGAAAAGATGAAGCCATACTTTGACCCTTACAAAGTTCAAGCACGTGGGCGTATGGGAATTGTGGATATCTTGCTTTGGACTTATCCCTCGACGCAGAATATGGTAGAGCTTACATACTAGGTGCACTAGTGAGGCTAGGAAGTTATAGTAGTGAACCAATGGCAGAGTTGCATGACAAGTGAAAGGGCTGACTTGTAGCTGATCTCGAGAAAGTCCCCTATCCTATCATAGTGCAAGGCCGATATATGCCGTTGTCCATCTGGAGTTACCATTCTCTTGAGCGTGGACGATATCTAATGATAGACACCGAATGCCGAGCGGTCGCAGGGGAGTGAACGCCAATAAAGCCTACAGTGGTACATAGTTTGAGCTACTAGTATTAACCGGTGAAGCCAACTCCACAGCTTACTTTGCTAGGGAGATCAATCACTTCAAACAACCATCACACGTGCGCGCATACAGACTAAAGCTTTCTTCCAAGATATCAGCCTCCATTTCTAGATATCATAACCCTCCAATCGTTTATTCTCACCTGGGGTTCGATATCGCTTATCTCTAAATGCAAGTTCAGGGTTCTGTAAATATGATTCCATAATGTCGATATGATAACCATGGTTGTGGCGCATTAGTTATTGGAGTTGGTAAATCCCTCACTCAACCCTGGACCGAATGATTGGCTTCAATAATCACCGCAACTCGTACTCCGACCCAGAGATAAGCTTTCAGCTCAGCTCAAAGCTAAACAATATCATCTTCACATAGATAACGGTTCTGGCAGAATCGCGACATCAACGCCGTGGGGTGGTTTAAAATGGCTGTGGTCTGGCGTGCGCCGATACTTTCTGGTCGGCATGGCAAAGGGCATCAGGAGCTGATTTCTCCCCAAAGAATTCATTTCCAGCCACAGTATAAGTACGCATTGCATGATGTATGATGTTGACACGGTTTCCTACGTACTAATGGTTTTCTAAGCTCTCGCTGCGCTGCACCTCTTGCCTAAGACTCGCCGCACACGCTCTTTCCAACAATGGTTTCGACAACTGCAGTTGAGAAGCAGGCAGATACGTTCCTCAGCCCTCTCCGATCTACACCATCATGTCAAGAAGACGATGAAGATCCCGGCTTGTCAAAGCCTGGAGACTTTAAAGAGAAGCAGGTGCGACCTTCCTACCGTACGCAGTCCCTCCTCAAAGGATGGGTGGCTAACCCTATTCAGGTCTTCAAAGGACGCATGCTCCTCTGGCTCGCTTACCAGTCAATCGGCGTCATCTACGGCGACATAGGAACCAGCCCCCTTTACGTGTATTCGTCGACGTTTAGCGAAGCCCCCTCGCGACAAGACCTCCTCGGTGTTCTCTCCATTATTGTCTGGAGTCTGTTCATGATGGTCACAGTCAAATACGTCCTTGTCATCCTCTACGCTGACAATGGCGGCGAGGGCGGTACCTTTAGTATGTACTCCCTGCTGAGCCGCTACATGAACATCACGAACCGTGATCCCCGCGAGGCGTCGCTTGTCCAAATGAAGAGACATCCCACAATGGATCTTGAGCGGGCAAGCAAGTACGCGCGATACAGTCTCGAGTCAAGCCCTTTTGCCAGGCGTCTACTGCAGGTTATGGGGATCTTGGCGGTGACAATGGTCATTGCCGACGGCGTGCTCACACCTGCGCAGTCCGTCTTGGGAGCAGTCCAAGGCATCCAGGTCGTCTCGCCGGACATCTCCAGAAGCACTGTGATCGGAGTCACTGACGCAATCCTCGTTGTGCTCTTCCTCATCCAGCCCTTGGGGATCACGAAGCTCACTTTCGCGTTCTCCCCGGTCGTGGTCATCTGGCTCGGCATGAACGCGATTTTCGGGATCTATAACCTTGCCAAGTACGATGCGGGGGTGTTTGTTGCTTTGAACCCTGGTTTAGCGTTTAGCTTTCTCGCCCGTCATGGGGAAAAGGGCTGGAGGATGCTCAGTGGAACGCTGCTGGCGTTTACTGGCGTAGAGGCTCTCTTCGCTGACCTCGGTGCGTTCAGCAGAGGCGCTGTCCAGATCAGCTGGCTATGTTATACGCTCCCCTGCCTCTTACTCGCGTATATTGGACAAGCGGCGTACATCAGTGTCCATCCGGAAGCATACTCGAACCCTTTTTTCAATACCGCGCCTCCAGGCACCTTGTACCCAGCGCTGGTGTTTGCCATCCTAGCAGCAATTGTGGCCTCGCAGGCCATCATAACCGCCACCTTTCAGGTACCTCATCCCCCTCCTCACACAAGAAGTTCTATTCTCGTCCGGGACTAACATGGCCTGTCGACAAACCAGCTCCTAACCCAAGTAATGAAACTCTCCTACTTCCCGCAGTTCAAAGTCATCCACACATCGAAGATCTTCCACCACCAGCTCTACATCCCACTCGCAAACTGGCTCCTCATGCTCGGCACCATAATCGTCGCCTCGGTCTATAAAAACACCACCGCGCTCGGAAACGCGTACGGCGTGTGCGTCATGTTCGTCACCTTCTTCGATACATGCATGGTCAGTTTGGCAGGGATGTTCGTGTGGCGAATCAGCCCTCTGATTATAATCTTGCCGTTCCTGACCATTGCCTCGTTGGACGGTGCGTATCTGTCCTCGTCGCTGATGAAGGTTCCCCATGGCGCGTGGGTGACGCTCGTCATCGCGACGGTTCTGGCGCTGGTCTTCCTCCTCTGGCGATACGGCAAGGAGCAGCAGTGGTTCGCCGAGGCGGAGGATCGCTTCCCCACGTCGCACTTTGTCACGAGGGACCCCGGTAGTTCCGACGAGTCTGGCAGGATCGGGACGCTACTCCGATTGTCGGAGCGGTTCGGTGGAGGCGTGCTGGGCACCATGAAGGGGTTGACAGTCTTCTTCGATGAAGCGGGTGAAACGACCCCGATCGTTTTTAGCCAGTTCTTACTCAAGTTCACTGTTCTTCCGGAGGTTATTGTCTTCCTACATCTGCGGCCTCTGGAGGTCCCCTTTGTCCCTGCCGAGGATAGATTCACCGTCTCGAGATTGTCGATTCCAAACGCGTACCGACTGGTCGTGCGGTATGGTTATAACGACGAGATCATCACCGCAGGCCTCGCAGGCGCCGTAGCGGCCCAGATCAGGGAATACCTAGGAGCGCAGAGAACCTTTCCCGAAACCGTCCCAGCAGAAGAAGAGGGAAGCCAATCCAGCACGCTGAGTTGGGCGAGCCACGGGGCTACAGGTACAGAAAGCGCGCTGGAGCAGTTAGATCGTGCGTATGCCCATAACGTCGTCTATATCATGGGCAAGGAGCAAATGAAGATCAAACCCGGGACAAATGTCCTCCGTCAGTGTGTGCTCTGGATCTTTCTTTGGATACGGGAGAACACGCGTGGGAAGATGAGTTCGCTTGCGCTGCCGGTGAACCAGGTTATCGAGGTTGGGTTTTTGAAGGAGATTTGAGTAGTGTCCCTCTTATTGAGTTAGCAACGCCGACGCTCTTGGAGTACGTAGTGCACTAGGATTTGGAACAATGCCAAGGGACGAGGGGGAAGACTTCGCCTCAGAAACAGCCACCTTTCGCTGATAATTGGCTTCAACTAAGATGGTCAATGGTTGCTGTGCTAGCTCTGTACCACTCCAAGTGCCTTAGGGGGGGGCAATGATGACGCTCTTAAGCCCTACATGACTTAATGGCTTCCCCATTGCTACACTTCACAGGCCCGCACAGGATACAAATAATGCAAACAAGCCCAATCCAAGGCGTACAAACGGCACAAATGGCGAGAGTTTGGTCGTACGACCCTAGGGCTAATCCGATTTGTCAGAGACGTCGAAAAAAAGGTTCGGCACAATCATACCGGATGGATAATCATGCCGGATTGATAAGCATCAGCACCAAACAAGATGCTTATGGCGCGGCGACTTGATGACAAAAGATGGATCGGAGACAAATGGTCTATCTCTATGGCAAGCTGGCTACTCTCCATCCCGTAAGTAAGTTCACGAAAGATCCGTATATAGCTATCTAGAACAGCATCATCCTACTGCGTTTGAATGCCATACCTGCCCATACAGCAGACTCAATGCTATATTCCTTTTAATTGCCATTCAACGACCGACACAATGTCCTCAAAGATCCTAATTACTGGGGCCGCTGGCTACATGTAAGAATACCCTGAGAATTATATAAAAACTTTGCGCAAAGACACTGATATTCTCATGCGTGCAGAGGGGGCTCCCTCATCGCGGACTTCCTAAGCCAGTCCGGGTCCTGGTCCGGCAGTACCCCATTTCCCATTAGCAAAGACCGAATTGTTGCCGCCGTCCGGTCGCAGGAGCAGGCAGTTGCTCTGTCGAAATTGGATATCCCAGTCCTTCAGCTCGACCTGGCCGATAAGGAAGCTCTCGCTGCGGCTATACTAGACTACAACAGTGCGTCTCTTAGCTCCAGTCCATTGCTAGGTATTGTGGAAGCAAAACTGATCCTGAATTGCCGCTGTCACAGTCGACATTATCGTCCATACGACTAGCGCGATTGATCCAACCGCTGCCTTGCATCTGATCGATGCACTAGGCAAGCAGGCGCGAATCAGTGGGCGGAAGGTGTATTTCATCCATGTAAGGCCTTATCATCACCTTTTTCTTTCTTAAACCAAGCTCAATACTAACAATGGAGCAGACCTCGGGGATCAGCGCATTCTATTCAAGCACAGGGTGGCCACCCGGGAAGTTTCGGGATACGGATGCGGTATTCGAGACGGAGAAGCAACTAGCGCAGTCATATTCCATTCGAAATGTACTGTATCAACTCCCCCCCCCCCCCCCACCCCGACATCTGAATTAGACTCTAACAAGACCTTTTGGGAGCAGACTGATGTATCTGTCATCATGCATGCCGCGAAAAGGGGCGTGACCAGCTTCGTCGTCGTGCCCTCGCTTGTCTGTGAGTAGCTGGTCCCAGTGGTTCCATGGAGAGCACTCGCTTCTGAGACTCAATACTAACGAAATATTCTTAATAGATGGCAAAGGCACCGGTGAATGGAACAAGCTATCCGTGGTCCTGCCCGTCTATATACAGGCTGCTCTGTCGCAAAAGGCCGTGTACAGATTTCCTGAGAACCCGGTACGCTCCCCTAACGAATGCTACCTCCCCCAGGGCAGCCTGAAGTAAAGCTGCTACCGAGACACCTATTGGGCATTGGCACGTCACTAACCAACCAAATTTCAATGCAGAAAGTATCCGCCGTCCACATCTCCGACCTGACGGCATTGTACAGGCTCATCATCACTAAGATCCTCCGCGGCGAGGGCGACACCATCCCGCGCGATATGAAGGGATACTACTTCGCACTAGCACACGATGTCTTCCTCGGAGACGTGCTGAACCATCTAGCCCTAACTCTGAAATCCCGCGGTCTTGCAACTGATGCAAAGACACAGTTCTATCCCAGCGATCAGGCTGCTGCGGATTCTTTGGGCGTCCCTGAGCAGTTTGTGCAGACGTTGTGGAACTCTGGGTGAGTGACCTAATCTACCGTCCTTGATTACTTGTAAGTGATTAATAGACGGCTCTCTAGAGATCACATGGTTGCTGAGATTCCACGCACAATTGGATGGAGGCCAGCGTGGACTAAGGAACAGTTCTTCGAGAACATTGGTGGTGAGATTGATGCGGTGCTTGAGCTTGGGAAGGCGAAGAGTGGTCTTATTGACTCGCTTTTTAGCGCTGCCCAGGGCTGAATTACAATATGCTTCATCCTTAGTGGCTGCAACGGCTGGGTTTATATCACCAATCGAGTGTACCCTACCTTTCGAGGACGACAGGGATGTCTTGATGCCTGCCATATTATGCAGATTGTCTAGCAATTTTTTGTAGTAATTCTCAGAAAGTGCTGCCGCCTTGAGCAAGAGAAATACCCAGGTACTACGCAGTGACAGTGGATCACACATTAGCGAAAAATCTCTCCGTATGCCTTCACTCACACTATCCGCCGAAGATAAAACTGACGCAGGCGGAGTCTACACGGCGCCCCCTGATTCGGACCGGAGTGGCCAGTCAATATCCCGGGCGGGGGATCTCACTGATCTCACTGATCTCACCGGGTGAATTATCTCGGGGCCCCGCAATTTGGAGTAAGCATTGGCCCTCCCGCTAGGGCCAGGGGCTTTGCTTGCAAATGCCGGGCGTTGACTCAGGTACTCGAGTCTTGTTGGGGTTCCCCACGCTTGGAGACGGAGAGGCGGCATATATCCCAATTGAGAAGCGGAGGGCTCCGAATGATCTCCAATGATCGGCAACCGTCAATCTCAGGTATATTATGTAGGGTGTAGATGGCTCCCACCAAGTTTAATTCAGTATGCAACCATGTTAATCTCTGTGATCACCATCGGTGGCCTTGCTGCCCTTACCGGCCGTACGTCCGCTCTCGATACCGGGGTCGGTAAACTCCCAAAGCTTGGTTACAACAGTAAGTTGCGTTGTCTGCTTGAAAGCTCGTCCGCTAAGCTCGTGCCATAGCTTTCAATGCCTTTGGATGCCAGTACGACGAGGATGTTGTGCTTTCCCAGGCCAAGGCAATGAAAGATCTGGGCCTGGTCGACCTGGGCTATAACTCGTTTCTGCTGGATGACTGCATGACCGAGTATGTTTTTCTGCTGGTTTCATGTGCCCCCATGCTAGTCCGTTATTAATGTGCATTGCAGGAAAACCCGCGACTCAAATGGGCGATTGGTCGCCGACGCCGAAAAGTTCCCTCACGGGCTCAAGCGACTTACCTCCAGATTAAAGTCACTGGGAATATCGTCCAGCGCATACTCGGATGCCGGCCACTGGACATGTGCCGGGTACCCCGGCTCATACGGCCATGAAGCGCAAGACCTCGAGTCCTGGGAGCACTGGGGATTCGACTACCTAAAGTACGACAACTGCTTCATCCCCTTCGACAACGTCACGCAGGAGAATGTGTACGGGCGATACAAGCGGATGGCGGATGCTATCGCCGACCGCGCTGCGAAGAAGCCTCACTCCAAGCCGTTCCAGTTCTCCCTGTGCGAGTGGGGGTGGCAGCAGCCCTGGATCTGGGCCCGCCAGTTGGGCCAGAGCTGGCGCGTCAACGGCGACATTAAACCCTGGTGGAGTTCCATCGCGAGTATCATCAACACGGCATCGTTTGTATCCTCTACTACGGACTTTTACGGTCGCAATGACTATGACATCCTGGAGGTTGGAAACTATGGGCAGGGCGAGCCACACGGCAACATGACCTATGACGAGGAAAAGAGCCACTTTACGGCTTGGGCCCTGCTCAAGTCCCCTCTGCTCATCAGCGCCAACCTAACCAACATCACCCGGCAGAGTCTTGAGATCCTCTCCAACAAGGACCTCCTCCGCATTAACCAAGACCCCCACGTCGGCGGCAGCATTAGTCCCTTCCGCTGGGGGATCAACCCTGACTTCACATTCAACGAAACGCATCCCGCGCAGTACTGGACGGGGAACTCTAGCTACGGGGTGGTCTTTATGCTCCTCAATACGCTGGACACGACAGAAGTCATGAGCTTCAACCTCACCGAAAGCTGGGCCATCCGCGCGGGGAGGCTGTACGATGTCTACGACATGTGGAGCCACACGCACAACGGGACGGCATATCGGAATCTCACGGTTACTGTACCGCCCCATGGAGTGGCGGCGCTTCTCCTGAATGATGCAGGACCTGAGCAAAGCGGCGTCGAGCCCTACTGTGCGGGTTGGTGGCAGTGTTCGTATCCGAATGGGACATACTATAGCAATTAGGAAGGTACTGCTGGCCCTTGGTGCCTGGCGACTTCACTAGTCTGCTAGTTGAATTGGGATGCACCTATTTGCACCATCTTCCAGAGTCCCCTGGTGTAGACCAATAAGTTTTCATTACAAATACAGGTTTTGCATTTCAGTCTGAAAAAGCTTCGACCGAGCACCTAGGTAGCCCTAACTCGCCAAGGATTCGCGCGCAAAGACCCACCGCACCGCACAGTCCAAGCATAGGAAACATACGACTGCCGACACGACACGGATACAGTCTGGGAAATCTACTTTACTTTCTTAGTTCGTCGTGTGGAATCCTAATCCGCTCTCTGCTGGGTGGAGTGTGACGCGCTCCTGAAGGCGTTTTGGGATGCTGATGGCGGGAGCCATAATAAATACTAATGAGATGGGCTGGGATGCACATGGGCCCGTTGCTTAGGGTGCACCATATTGGGAATAAGCGGGAAAAATATAGTATACAATTGCGGAAAAAGACGGCATATTTACTGGACCCTGGAATTTGGTGGATTACTCACCAACTAGTATATTATCCAACGCCAGGCTGGCAAGGCTGCGATGGGTGTTGTCCATGAGGTTGGGCACTTGATATTTAATTTTATATCACTTTATATTGCTTATTTAGCTCTGTCAGGCCTGGTTCAAAGTGGGTATTAGAGGTCGTTTTATATTACGTGCACCTCGCCCGCCAAACCAGCTTTTGATGTCCCACAGAATCGCTTCTACGAATACTTGCTCAGCTGGACAAGTAGATTGAAGGGTAGTCCGATTCCACATGGAAGCCCGTCATGGTCATGCAGGCGCCGGCCTCGGTGGCGGCTGGAGAATCGCCAACCGCGCAAGGGTTATAAACATCCCACCCTTCGAAGACCGGACTGTCCTCGCCGACCAGGGTGCCCGTCCCATTTTGATAGATCTCGTAGCCCTGATATTCCAGCCCAGGGTAAGTCACACCGGACGGCGGACGAGGCGCCAGGGGCAGGTGTGGGTAGATGTTGCCCAGGGCCTGTTGCACGTACCGGGCGAGGGCGTACAGGGCGAAAGTGTCGGCGTTTTGCAGGGTCCAGAAACCCGTGAAGCGACCTAGACCTTTGGCTTTGTAGGGTGCGTAGGCCGTGAACCACCGGAGAACCTGGGACTGCGTGTCCCTGTATCCAAGCTTTATGTCTGTCATGTGCGGGTTCCCGTTCAGCGAGACTCAGTCGACGTGGAATAGCTCGTGAACCCAGACGTGCGCCTGATTCAGATAGTAATTGTCCAGAATGGCATAGACGTTGGGGCTCTCCACGTGTGAGCATAAACGCCCATTTTGTCGTCCAGCGTATCCATCTCGAAGTTTCTCGGGCAAAAGTTGATTGAAGATCCAGCTGCTGGGTATTATGACAAGACTATCTGGATACAAAAATGCCCCCTCCTGCCCCTGACACATAGTAGGCTGACCACATTGACGCTTTCTATTCTTGGGTGGTCTGAGAACTCAAGGGAGGCGGCTCATAGCTGACATCTGTCTCTTCCCCAAGCTCCTTATAGTACTCACGCAGCTGCTGTATCTTCAAGCGAACAAAATTCTCCCGCCCCTGATGCATCTCGCCCATTCCCGTAAAAGCGTGAGCTCGATCGGCCATGGACGACCGGGGCCCCCAGCAATATTCATCGAGCAGGTCCCAGTATATCAAATCTACCGACGCAATTTTGCGACATGCGAGCATGAACCACGCGGAACGATTTTCCAAAGACTGTCGCATGTGGGCAGATAATCGGTTATCCTCTGTGTTTAAACCCAGAGTCCGTTCCCGCTCCTCCAGGGCTTGTATAAAGGTATTCGCCTTTGGGAGGAATGCGTCGAAGAAAGAGGCTGGGCCGATATCGTCGACGATGTAGTCGGGTCGCCTCAAGAGTAACCACCATGGAATGCTCGCTGCGAACTGCGAAGGGGCCGCATAGCAAAACTCCCAGTCAATGACCGCGACTATTTCTAGTTCATCGTTTACGAGGACGTTCCCGGGCCCAAAGTCATCGCAAAAGAGCTTGAACGGGCCATCGTCATTACTCGGAATGAAGTTTAACGCGATAGCTTTCATAAGCTGGCGACAGGCATATTTATTCCTGCAGTCTTCGGAATCATATACACTGTTCCGCTGCTGCTCGAGCTGCGTCGATTGTAGATCAAGCAGGAATTTGATATAGTCAGTGGAGGTGTGATATGTCCGCTGGGGCGAGGGATCTTGAATGCCGCTTGCTCTGATTAACTCGTTGACTTCTTGGGTCAGTGGAGGCCCGTCGATGACGATTTTTCCATTTGTGCTCTCCTCGCCGAGAGAGCCAATTTTGTCAAAGTTGAGGCTCCAGAGGCTGCTCAGTACCCCGGCTATCTGGTAATATGCTCTTTTTAGAACATCTGGAGCTAGATTGGGATTCAGCATGTCGACTTCGCTGTCTTCGTCTCTTAGGACATCAGACAGTTTCTTTCCCTCGACCCATGTCATGATAATGAACGGGCCAAGACCGGTGGAATTCTCGGATGCCCTGCCATAACAGATGATCTTGGGGACGGGGATATTAGTCTCCTCGGCAATGTGTTTCATGAGCACGGCCTCCCTGTAGACCTTTTGGTCGAGGAACATGGACTTTCCCGGTATTGGGAAGCGAATAAGCCAGTCCTCCTTACCATCTTCCCAGTGGAGACGGATGCTAAAGTTGAACGAGCCACGGTGCATAGAACGGAGGAAGCAATCATCGCGGTGTCGGTACTGATCCGCCAACTGGCAGATCCCGAGGCCAGAACGAGAGCAAAGTGCGAACCATTCGCTTTGTGTTTTATTAAACTTGGTGAGACTAATGTCATCAAAGTCCATCTTGAATCATAAGAGGCGATGGAGAAAGAATCACATTGCAGTTGGAGAAATGCTTTGAAGGGGTCCAGGAGATAGGTGTCCACCAACAGCTTTTTGCGGGCCCAGCCACCTGATAAAAATTGCTGCCTGAGAGATCGATAGCTGGGACCTGCATCCTACCTTAGGCTAACTACTGCGTGATCTGCCATATGCGCCAAATGTACCTAGGGTATGTAAGTGGTACTTGTCCTTCCCAGGATGATAATTCAGTGGTGGATGTCTATCTCGTGGTCATAGAAACCTGGACCTTACATTTATGGCATACTAAAAGGATGCCTATTTATAGTAGTGTGAGCGAAGCTTGAAGCAGGTATAATGGCTAGCAAAGATTTTCGGCCTCCTCTGTCTCTTATAATTTGCGAACTATGTATACCTTGTATGGTTACAAACCCTAAGTGCAGTGAGAAAGCCAGGAGATCCAAGCATCACCACACCCATGATTTGTTGGGTATTCCACAAAATCAGCTTAACTGTCCACTTCCTCACCATCCTCCTATTCATTATTCTAGAAACCACGAACAATACCTAGAGCCCCAACTCAAGTCTCTCCTCGACCAAATCCGGCCTCCCAACCCTAACAACGGCCCTCCGCGCCTTCAAATCCATAACGATATTAAACAGCGTCTCGATGTCTCCCGATCGACAGATCGCCGCAGGCGCATTCTCCCGGTCTACAAATAGACCCTCTATCCCATCCCACGTCGGCTTCCCAGTACCATCCCCGCTTTCAACCAGGTCATCAGTCAACTTCAGCATCCTCTCAACTCGAAATGGCGAGTCCTTCAGCCACGCCGTATCTACCACTCCGGAGTGCTCGAGAAGTAAATGATTCGAGTGGATAACTCGACCTCGCTCATCCATGGGCAGAACAGCGATAGTCTTCGCGGTAACCTCGCACCCAGCCGAAGTCTCCAAATCCGCGATGAGGATATGCGCTGACGACGCGACACCATATTTCTTCAGCGAATTAACAGCCTGAGCCGTTGATGTACATTCAAGCGCCATTCGCAGCGCTAGGTGGACAGGTAGTCGAGATGGATCCATTCCATGTGCCCGAATCGCGTTGAGACATACGCCAACGCCCGCAGAGTTGAAGCCGATTTTGCCGATTATTCCGGCCTCGGTTATCATTTTTATAGAGGGTTTTTCGTTTCCTCCTGTGGCTTGAGAGGGGTGGATCTCGAGGACGATGAGGTTTTGCTTTTGGGCGGGCAGCCACTGTCATTCCACTCAGTACTCTCTTGCTGATATGAAGATGAATGGCAGCTGTGAAGAGAGTAGGGTACGATACGTACATCCCAGTTCTGCGCGAGAAAGCTATGCTCGTCGCTCTGCCAGCTCAGCGATGTACACCCGTCACTAAAGCAGCCGAATGCGATCTCCGTACGAACGTTTAGGGCGACGATGTCGAGCGTCGAGCGGCCTGAGCCCTCTGCAATGCCTACATGGACGTCAACTTTAACCCTCCTTCTACGTCGTCAAAAAGAGGAAAGGGGGCTAAGCATACCCTCCATCTCCTCGTAGAACTCCGGCCAAACAGCCTTGATGCGCGCCGAAAAACTCTCGGCAAGGGCAAGGACATCATTCCAGCCGAGCGAACTAGTCTTTACGAACATTCCCGTGTAGAAATCGATGCATCGGGCGATTTGGGCTGCTGCGGAGGCTCCGTGTTGTTTTCCGATCTGTCATATAAGTGGTTAGGTTTATGAGGGTTGAAGCCGAGGTTCTCATGTTATAGGTCAGGATATGTACCTCGCGTGGCGAGCCTGAGCATTTTACGACGAGCATTATGTCGGTGGCTGCCAAAGGTTGAGCCAAGGTGAGATAATGATGAAAGCGACGAGATAATTGAGCAAGATATTCAAGAGGGAAACAGCACTGGAACCTCGCCTTAGAGGTCCGGGAGTTGGAGTAGCACCACCCCTCCCTCCAACAGCCTTCCCCACTTCATCCCCGCTCGATAAGCAAGCATCGCGGGCCTTTTAGCCACCTTCTAGTATTGATCTGCCACCAAAGCAGTGCGACCATGTGGATATTCACAATAGAGTTTCGCATGGATCAGATAGTATATCTCCGCTTCGCCATGGTCCATCGTCCTCCCCCGTCGCTTCGCTCCGAGGTGCAGCTATGACGCTATATCTAAGTGTGCCGAGGTTAAGGGGATAAGCTTCTAGGTCTGTTGTTGAAACGTGTAAGGAGCATGGGGTGGACTAGTAGTCACTTCTTTATTCAGAGGGTCTTATAGCATGTATCCAGGTATATAAACAATTAGGGCTGTACCGGAAAGCTTTCATGGCATACGGGGGTACTACACGCTTCGTATATATTTCGCATATATACATAGCCATAACTCGATAGTTCAATAAAAAGGATGAGAGTAAATTCAACATTATTTACTCTACCTTCCTCGTCCTAGGTTACATATACCGAAAAATCGAAACTACCCCTTGGCTACGTCCAGATTCCATACGAGTGCGCCTGCAAGTTATGCTCCTCAAACGTATCCAATACATCGCCGCCGAATGTACACGCCACGACTTCCCAACCAAATGACCAGGAAACTCGTCGCCCAGATCGCTGCTCCAAGACATCCAATGAGGATAAAGGCGTTCTGCACACCCATGTTAGAAATCATGGGTGATATAGCGTAGGTGATTACGAATCCTAAGGTTTTGTTAGCTTTGTAGTTCCGTGCGATGTCCAAGAAGTATAGAGACTTGGGATAGAGAAGTGAGGACGGCTAACCCATCGTATTTCGAACAAGAACAACCGCTACAATCGCCTCGCTCGCCGCTTCCTTGTAGCAGTCAATCACCTAGATCGACACAACAAGCGAGCCCATCGGCAACGTCGCTGAAGTGAGGCCGATGTCCAGGACCGGCGCGATCCAGTGCACTTTCTGTGCGGTGCCTATGCCGTATAGTTGGTTGGGCTGGGAATGGGTACGAAACTATTGAGCGGTTTAATGGGGATCCGGCTGAGCTTTATGAGACAGTGTGTCGCCGGAGTCAGTTGACGGGTGAGACTTGAAACTATAAGCTTTGCTGCTTTTTAAGGTTGGGTAGGGCTAGGGCTGTGCTGGGCCAAAGTTTTCTGCATTGCATGATATACTCTGGCTCTTCGTGACTACAACTCACGTGTCATCTCGCGCTCCTCTTTTTATTGCGAATCCATCACTACTGTTAAGTTAGCCTACCAGTCAGAGTCTCCCTCTGCTTATCATACAAGATTATATCCACCATTCCCACCGTTGCTGCTCCACAGACAGTGACGCCTGCTCCTGTCTTTTATCGCCACATCGGTACTCCCGAGGAAGTCCACTTCTGAAGCCGAGAAAGTACTTATGTACTGGTAGATATAGGGGGGAGTATTCTGGTCCAAGGTAAGCAAGTTTCTTACTTTCTATCTTCCTGCTTACACTGCCACTAACTCCGCATTACAAAATCTATAGCACTTCGAACAACCGACAATTCTATCTTGGGTTGAATATGGATTCCCCTGATATGAGAACGCTTCATCCACGAGAGGTGCTACGCCAAGTCGCCGACCACCTGAACGGTCAACACAACGACCTCTCAATCGCACTCCCTGTCAAGACCACAATCGGAGAGGCCGTCCGAGCAGCCGAAGCGGCTCTCAGAGATGTCCAAGATGAGCATGTATATTTGATGCCTCCCAGAGTCAGCACCCGTCGCCAGATCAGAGAAACAGCGCTCAAGAATGTTTCCGAACTCGACACACAGACCCCTTCCCTCCGCCCCATCCGATCAACTGTTGAGCTGATAAGGCCTCGAGAGCCACGCCGAGCTCTCAGCGACGCAGCTCGCGAACGTTTACGGAAGACGGCACGAGATACCGCCGCCGCAGGGTTCCGCGAGCCGTATACAACCCTACGAACAGGGCTCGGTGAGAGCCACCTGCCTGTTATCCGTTCGGACATCATACTTCGAGTCGTAGATAACGACGACGCCGACCGCACCTGCGAACTCCCTTCCACGAGAATGATTTTCGACACAGGTGCTCATCACACCATTATCGCAGAAGAGCTCCTTCCGCCTGCGTTTCGGGATTTTCTCAGAGAGGCTGTACATAATCCGTACCGGTCAGGTGATGGCAACGGCCTGGTTCTTCAAATTGATGCGCAGTTGGCTTTTACCAATTGTCCGGTGGCCATTGAAGCTGTTGCCGTTGTAGTTCCGGCGGCTAGGATGCCGAACGGGTTGGTTGGGGTGTTATTGGGACAGTCTCAGTGCATTGATTGGCTCAAGATTCGGTGTGTACCCCGAAGTATACTTCTTGCGAAGGGGAACGACATTTCAGAGGAATTTTGGGGGGATATCGTGGTTGAGGAGTATCTCGATATGAAAGAGGGAGTTGTTTCGCTCTCCAGCTAAGTCTTCAATATCTTCCGGGGAGGAGGAGGACTACTATACCTGTCGTTACTCGCTTAAACTTACAGCAGGCATGAATTTGCAGAAGAACGTCGCATTCCTCGTCGCCTGCTATCCGCTACCGAAGGCGTTCCTATGCCAATCCCTTGCAAGAATCAGTTACATTACACTAATAATCGTCTTTTCTCATGATTAGTCCCATGTTGCTTAGAGTAGCCCTATGTCGGACATGATAGGCGTTCTTTGTACTCGATACGGCTCAATATGATGGCCCTTGTCAGTCTCGAACTTGAACGAGTATTTCAAAGGCCCGTTTGAGCGCTTCCCATGGATAATCTAGTCTGGTTCTTTGTCTTGTTCCGCGTCTTGCTTCTACATTGATCTTTCTTCAGATCCAAGCGCTTTGTCAGAATCCTACAAGCTAACTAAACATCAACAAAGCCCTCTTACTATTGTGCCCTAGATTCCAAACGTCTGAAAGCTCCTTTGTGCGAGCACTGACAATAGAACACCCTTCTTATTTATATATCCAAAATCCTTCTAGAGCCATGATACCAGCAAAACATAACTTCCCATTCCAAAAACAATACTTACTCTTTTCGTAATACAGCTGACCACATACACTTCAAACAACCAACCATGTTCAAGTCCAACGAGTACATCCCATGCTACGGCAGCGAATGCACCAAATTCGGCGTAAACCGGGAATCCTCATTCCGCCACCTCACCTTCAAGGTCACCGTCAACTACATCTACGTCGACGACCCGCGCCGCCGGCAGCATTCCGCGGGCCCCGTCGGCACCCAGCAGGGACACCCCCGCCTGGTTCTAGACTGCTTCGCGGGCGCCGCGAGCCGCGCAATGAATCAGATCAAAAACGGACCCAGGGTCGTCGGCCCTGCGAAGATCGACATAAAACTCGGCGATTTTGAGCTCAGTGTTGGCGATGACGCGCAGCCTGGGCATTGGATTGCGCCGGGTTTGTTGAGGAGTCCGACGATGGTTCCAGTCCATGTTATGGAGAAAGTAAATAAAGCTAATGAGGCGCTTGCTGGGCGGAATCCGGTGCCTGGGTGTGGGTATCAGAGTCAGTTGACTACGACTGGGGAGGTGGTTGTGCTCCTCTGGGTGGAGAGGCGCAGATAGGATGATTAGGGTCCGTGACCCTGGTATGTCATTCCTCTGTTTGTTCCCTTCTCCTGATTTGGGGTATCTTCTAGACTTCAATCCTGCTATGTAGAGCATAGCCAGTCTTGTTTAGCAAATATATGCCATGTCAGAACCTATTGCGTTCAAGGCTTTCTTCTCGTCTACCAATATCTATTGTACGTTGAATAAAAGTAGGCCATCTCATTGCTAACAGAGGCAGAATGAGTGAATAGTCAGGCTTACTACAATGCTTTATGAAGGCGCGGATCAGATGTCTCAGACTTATAGTTGAGAGTTCCCGTGGCGTTGCCCTAAGCTAGATAGATCTCCACTTACGGACGCCCGCGGCCTCGGATCGGCTCTCCGGTTGATCAATCTCCACCGGAGGTTTCATGTTTCAGGGCCTCAGGGTCTGATATGTTCTGTAGGTGCAATTCGTTTGAGGCATTGGTGTTCAATGCCCACCCTTTTGAGATAGGGCGCCGTACATTTCTATTTATGTACAATGCCAGTGTGCAGCACTCCACCCGAATCCACTAGAAGCATTGAATACGAAACCTAGTATGTAAAGCTTAAGAAGGTATATGAGCGGAATTACTATAAAAGAGTATATCTATACCTCATGTTTTACCAGGTTCGAATTGCCCTTGCGTTGCTCGCTTCAGCCAAACCTGATCTCGTAGATTATGCCATCAGCAACAGCAGAAAAAGACAACGGCTGCAATCAGCATTGCAACACCGGTATGGGAAACAATGCGACCACCGCTCCCGTCAAATGCTTCGTCACTCTCTGTGTTGTCAGCTAAACCCTCAGTCGAGTCATCAGTAGTGTCTTGTTCTTCGCTGGCAGGGCTATCATTGGAAGGGCGGGTCTCCGTGATATGGTCGTCATTTGTGTCATTTGAGCTGTCGGTATCAGGGACTTCAGTTTCGTTATCGGTATCGGTATCAATATTCTCTTCGTCCTCCTCTTCGACGCTGGGAGTTGTACCCTCGTCGCTGTCGTCTAAGAACTGATCGTCAAGTTCGAAACACTTATACTGATTATAGTCATCTCTGGCCCATGTCCATAACTTCAGTAGGGTTTCGTTGCAAGGGAGACGGTCGCCATAGGCGATTGAGATTGAGTCGACATGCTCGATGTTGGGTAGGTCGACACTGAACACAAGTTAATCAAAGTTCATACGAGTTGCTGGGCCAAAGTCGTATTATTCCAGCTTAGGAATAGTGGTAAATACTAACGTTGCGATATTTCCCCAGAGCCAGAGATACCCGGTACTTTCAAGTGTAGAGTAAATATGGAGATGTGTGTCAGTGTTGAACTCAATGTCAACATCAGACTCCCCCAAGGAGGGCAAACGGAACCTGCCAAGGTCAGACTAAGGAACAATCTTGAATGCAGGGAGTTGGGGTTCCTTACGAGGTCACATTGCCGTAAACCTGCAGACTGCCGTTGAGGAATTCTAATTCAGGTACCTCAATTGGGATGTGGTTCGCTGAGCTTATTCGCAGCCCTGGTCTCCCACTTATGTATGTGTATGGTCGGCCATCTGCGTATGTTTGGTACAAGTAGTCAACTCCTTCTTCATGCTCTCCTATAGTCGTGAGGCGAGGGAGTGATAGACTGCATAAGCCCGTTAGCTCGCTCCACTTGGAGTTCGGACAGGTGGGCAACGGAATAGCAAACCTTTCGAAGAGACCTGAGACCCCAAAGTAGTTGGCAGATTCTAGTGCTGGAAGGTCGACCACTACGCTCACGGGCTCCTCCCCCTCTGGCACATCCCAGCTGTAGGTTCCACTGATGTCGACCTGCGTGGCCCTTTGCAACGAGCCCAGGTTGATACTATCAAAGTGTTAGCAGCAGGATCTGCTATTGATATATCAGGAGCCAGTTCATGGTACCCTGTCCAATCACCCCGCAATCCTACATGGCCGGCCTCCACCAAGGAGCCAAGGTCTACTTCGCCCGCAGACGACTGTTCCAAGTAGATATTTCCAGCATGCACTAGGCTTGGCAGACGTACATTGACGACCTTGGGAACAAAGATAGCATCGATCGTTGTCAGATCAAGCATCTCAAAGGCATTAAGCTTGTCACCATAGCCACTGAGAGGTGCGGAAATATTGCCCTTGAACTCGGAAACGCCGTTCAGAACGAAATCGCCGGAGTAGTCGGATTCAATCAAAATGTGCCCAACGATTGTGGTACAATCATCGCCAAATACGTCGAGCTGTTCTGGGCTGTTCACCCGCAGGATCTTCTCGCCAGTCTCGGGGTCGTTTTCGCTTGTTGTTTCGCAATCAGCGGCCCAGATACCTAACGAACAGACATTAGTACGTGTGCCACACCAAAGATACGCCATAAATACCGAGTGGCAGGCCCAGCGCAGCGGTCAAGCCAATATTGAAGTGTTTCATCGTTACTGCGGCTTCAATGCGGCTTTCGTATAAGAATCACAGAGCGAGCAACCACAGAATACAAGAATAAGAGTGGGAATTTCCGGGGAATGGCAGCATTTTAGGCAGAGGCTCAAGCCCAGGCGTTTCCCAAATGAAGCTGAGACACAACACAGACTAAAAGTGGGCGGAGGGGGGCTATCAGAGGTAGTGGGCTTGGCTCTTTTATTCCTTCAACGCTCATAGGTGGTCCCCTGTCAACAGGGTTCCTAGACTCCCTATAGGGCGGAGTTGTCAGGGCACGCAGCGCCGGGAGGGTGTATTGGTCCATGGCTATATTATTAGCGATGTAACGAATTCGTGAACTCGGGTCATGCGGCGTGAGATGCCTTCCCTGGTCCATCTCGGCCACCGAGATTAAGCCAGTTCATGAGGCGCAGCTAGGTCATAAACTGACTATAAGAGCCAGTGAGCTGCTGCTGCTAATGTCTCGCAGCAAATGTTCCAGAAAGAGTTATGTTTAATTGCCAAGCATCATCAGGCGGTCATGTTACATAGATGGATTTCAGATCGGCCTGAGGCTCCCCGCAGGCGCCGATAGCGGGCAACAATGAAGGCGGTGAGGGCGCGGGGCGGAAGAATTTCTCTGAGCGTATGATTCACTGGCGATGGTTACACAGGAGCCACCTCAACGTTCACCCCTCGCTTTGCTTAAGACCTCGTCAATTCCAGCCCGGGGACTGGAATCTGATCCTAGTATTCTTCCTCTTTCTATCCATATCCATAGTATCCCATCAGTTGACCGTATTCCACCATGGCCACTCCTTTCCTCGTCTCCTACGACCCCGCCTCCGCCTCCAACGGCATCTCTCTTCAGCAGATTGCATACTTCGGTCGCGTTTTGGTTAAAGCTGCAGATGTCGCCCAAATAGAGAATTTTGTTAAACAAAACTTCCGCCGCCTTGACGTTTACGTCGATGCCACTGCCATCACCTCCACCGGTGACCTTGTCGATATCCTTAACGCTGGTGCGGCCAAGATCTTTATCTCTCTCGACCAACTGACGGCACTCTCCGAAGAACAGTCGGTACCGTCGTCGCGCCTCGTTGTATATACCTCCTCCGATAGCCAAGTGGAAGCCTTCCAGAAATGGGTATGCCAGCACATTGAGCGGGAAGAAGCGGGCCTTGCAACCGATGCCTCCGCCGTCCACGCCATCTCCGTCAAGCTGGGCTTGAACCCCGAAGCTCAACTCCTCTACCGCACATACTCCGGAGATGTGACAGAGGCCGCTATAAAGGATACCATGAAGCAAGGGGCTGTCAGCATTGTGCCTGCCACCGCGCTAACGGTCGAGCGGGATGAGTCAAGCGGCAAGATCCAGGCCGGCTCGCTCATCGCAGCCCGTGGTGTCGCGGACCAGGGCAATGGTCTTTATGCCACCACGGTGACTGACGAGAGAGGCACGTGCCTTGGCTTCGTATGGAGCAGCGATGAGAGTATTGCGGAGGCGCTCCGCACGGGTACCGGCGTCTATCAGAGTCGCAAGCGTGGTCTTTGGTACAAGGGTCAGTCTAGCGGAGATGTCCAGGAGTTGATCCGTGTTGGTTTCGATTGCGATAGCGATTGTTTGGTTTTCGTTGTCAAGCAGATTGGCAGAGGTAAGCGTACAATTTCCGTTGGTAACTTATCATACTCATGTCGCCAGGATTCTGCCACCTTGGCACAGCCAGCTGTTTCGGTCCTTACACTGGTCTTTCACGTCTGAACAAGACTCTCCAGGCTCGCAAAGCGGACGCGCCTGCTGGTTCATATACTGCCCGACTGTTCAACGAGCCGAAGCTTGCTCAAGCTAAGATCATGGAGGAAGCAGAAGAGCTGTGCAACGCAACGACCAAGGAAGAGATTGCCTTCGAGGCCGCTGATCTCCTCTACTTTGCTCTCACGCGCTGTATCGCCGCTGGCGTCAGTCTTGAGGACGTCGAGAGAAACCTCGACCTCAAGAGCTTGAAGGTGAAGCGGAGAAAGGGTGACGCCAAGGGCCCCTGGGCCGAGAAGGCTGGCCTCGTTCCCACTGCTGCTGAATCCAAGCCCGCAACAGCACCGGAGAAGAAAGAAGAGCCCAAGGCAGATGACTCGCGGATTGAGATGATACGCGTTGTCACCGCCTCGACTCCTGCTGAAAAGGTCCAAGATTACCTCAAGCGTCCATCGCAAAAATCCAACGATGCGATCGTTGGTCTCGTGAAGCCTATTATCCAGGATGTCCGTGAAGGTGGAGACGCTGGAGTGCTCAAATACACTCACAAGTTTGAGAAGGCCACCTCTCTGACATCTCCCGTTATCAACGCTCCCTTCCCTCCAGAGCTCATGAAGCTTACCCCCGAGGTCCAAGAGGCTATCGACGTCAGTATATCCAACATTGCCAAGTTCCACAGTGCTCAGAAGAGCAGCAACGACACGCTCCAGATGGAAACCATGCCCGGCGTAGTATGCTCACGCTTCTCACGTCCTATCGAGCGCGTCGGTCTCTACATTCCCGGTGGAACTGCCGTGCTGCCTTCAACAGCGATGATGCTGGGCGTTCCTGCCATGGTGGCTGGCTGCAAGAAGATCGTCTTTGCTTCTCCTCCACGCGCTGACGGCAGCATCACTCCGGAGATTGTGTACGTTGCGCACAAGGTAGGAGCCGAGAGCATTGTCCTCGCCGGTGGCGCCCAAGCTGTGGCAGCCATGGCTTACGGCACGGAGAGCATCAGTAAGGTCGACAAGATCCTCGGACCTGGTAACCAGTTCGTCACAGCCGCAAAGATGCTGGTCTCCAATGACACGTCTGCGGGCGTCAGTATTGATATGCCCGCTGGGCCAAGTGAGGTGCTCGTGATCGCAGACAAGCACGCCAACCCCGCATTTGTCGCCTCGGATCTTTTGAGTCAGGCCGAACACGGTGTCGACTCTCAGGTTATCCTCATTGCCATCGACCTGAACGAGCAGGAACTACAGGCGATTGATGACGAGGTTGATCGCCAGGCCAGAGCCCTTCCCCGGATGGACATTGTCCGAGGATCTCTCGAACACTCGGTGACATTTGTGGTGAAGGACCTTGAGGAGGCGATGGCTCTTAGCAACGATTATGCCCCGGAACACCTTATCCTGCAAATCGAGAATGCCGAGTCTGTGGTGGAAAAGGTCGAGAACGCCGGCAGTGTCTTTATTGGACAATGGACGCCTGAGAGTGTCGGTGACTACTCTGCAGGCGTGAACCACTCTTTGCGTAAGTTCTCCATCGCTAGTCTGTCTGTGTTTATACTAACCCTTCCAGCAACATACGGATACGCCAAGCAGTACTCTGGCGTCAACCTGGGCTCCTTCCTCAAGCACATCACCAGCTCTAACCTGACAGCAGACGGGTTGCTCCGTCTCTCTAAAACGGTAGAGACGCTCGCAGCTGTTGAGGGCCTGGACGCCCACAAGCGGGCTGTAAGCATCCGCGTGGCTGCGATGAAGCAGCAATAGATGGCTTTTGGTATATTGTTTTGGTTTGCGGGAGTTAGACACGAGTCATGTTTGTATATGTGCATTACTTATTAGAGCAATAAAAGTGATGTCTTTAGAGCAAAGGACATGGTATCGAACGCCTACAATAATACACAGTCTATAGATCCCAAACTTTTCCAGAGCCGTCATAAGTCATAGCAAAGGGCGACGACCGGAATCACCGCTTGCGCTCGCGAATCTTGAACTTGAGGCCGTTCTTGTTGACGCCTCCGACAGAGTTTGACATCTTCGCGCGTTGAAGGTCCAGCGCACGCTCTGCAGCGGTGATGTCTGCGTGCTGCTTCTGCAGAGCCTTGAGCTTGTTCTGCTTCCACTCAAGTGCCCTCTTCTTCATCTTCCGGGCCCGCCTCTCAGCATACAAAGCCTGCTTCTCGGCCTCCAGCTCTTTCCGGCTCTTCTTCTTCTGCTGCTGTTCCTTCTGCAGGGCTCCAAACGATGCTTCTCCAGCCTCTTCATCCTCATCCTCCCCTTCACTCTCACTCCCACTCCCAAGCGCCCTCTTCAACGTCCTCTGCTCCTCCCTATCATCCGCAAAAACCAACCTCCGAGGCTTCTTCTCCACCTCATCGAAATCAAACCCAAAGTCATCATCATCATCTTCCCCATTCTTCTTCTCATCCTCATCCTTCTCCCCAATCAACTCCCGAATCCCCTCTTGCACCCTAAGCTCCTCCTCAACCTTCTCCATCGCCCGTCGAACCCTTTCTCCAACAGTCCGCAGATACCCCGCATCCTGCGTCTTGAGCAGCTTGATCGCATCGTGGTTCAGGCCCCTCGCTTCGGCGGAGTCGCGCATGCCCGTGCCATGTTTGCCGGCTTTCGCCGTGTGCGAGTTCATCATTCCAAAGGCGAATTCATCGGGGTTGCGGTCGCGGGCGATTTCTTCGAGGCGCTTGATCTTGGCTTGTTTTGCGTTGTAGTCTTTGGCGCGGAGGGAGTAGTCCTGCAGAGATAAATCATGTTAGTGATTGTTTGACTGTGACGAAAATGTACTCTCGCTGGTATAATAAGGAGCAAGACAGGGAGAGATAGACCTTGTGCTTCTCGAGGATACCCCATTTTTCACGGCCTTTGAGCTGCCCACGCTCGCGGTGCTGGCGGCGTTGGACGGCGTTGCGCATGGAGGACATTTTGGCGGTTTCTTTTTCTCTCTTTATTTATTGGACAAGGAGGAAAAGAACAGTTCAGGCGCTCGAAAAGTCCGAAAAAAAATAGCGGACAGTCGAGAACGCAGGTGGTGGTTGTGTCGAGGTTTTTCAAGAAACGGAGGTAAAACTTTCCACCCCGGCGAAAAGAACTCAAGAAAATGGGTTGACTAAAATCGACCTCAACCCAGCCGGCAGCCAGCTCGTCCGACACCTAGCGTAGCTTCACCACGCACTCAATCGCCCAGCAATCTCTGTCCTCCTCCTTTCGCCGCATCGATAATTATCCTCGATTACAACTAGACTTCAATTGGATACTGAAATAAAGCAAAAATGGCAACCACAAACCCCAAATACAACCTCCGCAACCCCCTCCCGCTCTCCGCCGCCCAAGAAGCCGAAGTCAAGCAATTATACTACAAGCGCGTGCGAGCTCATTGTGCGCCGGAGATTAAAGGTGCCTTCCCATTTTCTCTTCTCATCGTCCAGTTCCTCCTGGGGAAAATCTTGGGAAACACATGCTAACGAATGCCGTGTGTACAGCCTTCGCCGAATGCGCCGTCAACCGCACGGTCACAGCTACATGGGTGTGCCGGACACAGCGACTCGCGATGAACTCGTGTATGGTTGCGCATGCGAAGCCAGAGGAGGAGGACCGGGCGCGAGAGGAGTGGTTTGCTACGCATGGGGAGCGGCGGAAGGCGAAGGAGGAAGAGCTTGCGAGGACGGAGAAGAGGAGAGAAGAAGTTATCAGGATGATGCGGGAGGATGAGAGGCGGCAGGCGGCGGCGAAGGGGTCGAGTTGATGGGGTGGCACATACTAGGTACTCGCTTGGGTATGTCCGTCCGTGGTTGGGATATGAGGTATTGATTGAGGCGTGGATGATATTCTTATGTTGTGTATATCTACATGTGTCTGGCGTTGTGTTTTTGGCCTGTTTTTTTTCCAACTTTGCTGTGAGCTGATTATAGCATCTTGCGTTGCATCGGGCTGGGCTGAGCTGAGCTGAGCTACAGTTCACTACTTTATGTACAGTACGGATTATCTTGTGGAACTAGAATTCAACCCAATCTCTCCTTTACCTGCTTAACCTGACCGACCTGACCTAATGTGACCTGAACCCAAAAACCAAGAGATCAACTTGAAGGAGTAAACGCCGATATAGATGCATATAAGAACCGTCCGATCAGACATCCGTCATGTCCTTGTCCCCATCATCATCCTCCCCATCGCCCATCGCAGCATCTTCTCCGAATATATCCTCCATCTTCCCATCCTCGTCCTCGTCTTCTTCTCCCTCCCCTTCCCTCTCTTCCTTTGCCGCCATCACACCCTCATCGCGCTCCTCTTCAAGCACAACCTCCTCCTCTCCCTCACTCTCCCACTCATCACTCATCTTCCAGCCAGTCCCCGTCAAGCAAAACCTCTCCGGCGGCAACCTCATCCCCGCCATAAGCACACTACTCGACGCAGCAGGTTTCCCTGTCCCAGGAGCCGCCTCAAACCCTCTCGTAGCCCCGGGCAATGCGACCCGATTCCTTTCCGCGGCGACATCCATCAGAAACTCCTTCGGCAGCCCCGTCTGAAACTGGTAATGCAGTCGCGAGGCAATACTCAGCCTCAACGCCGGCAACGTCACGCTATTCACCTCGAGCGGCGCGCGATTCCCCGCCGCATTCGCCGCCTCAGGCCCCGCCCCTGCATACCCTTCCGTCGTGAGGTGCACAGCATCTTGTAATACTCCCGAGGTGTATCGGTATGCGAAATCGAGGAGTTGCAGCGGGACACGGTCTTGGTACGCAGTTACCCCAAGGGACGTGAGGAGCATGTGGATTAAGCGGACATCGCGCGGGCGTCGGGATTTCCCCGAGTCCTTGAGCGAGGTTGTGGGGACTGTGACGGGTTGAGAGGCCGGTGTTGTGCCTGTGCGGGATGGCTGTGCGTTTGTGTTTGTGCCTGTGGTTGCGGGTTGTTGTGAAGGGGCGGAGGTTGTGCTTGATGTGGCGTTATTGGTCGAGGGCTCGGCGGGTGGTGTCAGAGGCTGAGTTGAGGGCGCTACTTGTGACTGGCCCGGTGATGCCATTTCTGCGCGGATCTATTGCCGTCGTGATGCGGCGGCTGGTGGAGGATAAGGAGAGGTACGGTTGGTCGATGAACGAGCGGAGCTGATATTAGGCTTTGAGCATGCGGTGCCAGCTATGGGGCTTTGAGCGTCAATTGCGCGATTTTCGGAGGCTCGCTTGCGCGTCAGGTTCGTGGTAGCGAAATGATGAGAGAAGAGGCGATAGTGAAGGGATTGAGTGTAGAGATGAATGTGTCTGTGGTCGTCGACGGAAATGCTGGAGATTCTGCCGCATCCGCGCTATGCCAAGATAGGAAAGTTGCTTCAACCGCAGCAAAACAGCCTTGAGGGGAGTACTCCGTCATAGACGGCTTTTTGGTCTTCAGGATTTTTGATATTAAGAATAGCAGTATTATTGTATCTATAGTAAGTAGAAATACAAGGTCTAGCCTGAAAGCCATAAACAGCAACGCTTATATGCAACCGTCAAAAACACCATCATGCAGCTTGAAATCATGAACACCGTCAGCGATGCAAGTTTCTAAACAATTTCCCCGAATGTCAAAAAAGGAGCGGCTCCCTCACTCGGAGAGATATGCCCAATATGTTGAATCACCTTTCACCGGCGAGGAGCCGGAACGGAATCCCTGTCGTGGATTGAGACTTTTGGATCTAGCGCCTCTTCTGGCTCCTCGAGCTCTTCAACCCCATCTTCTTCTTCTTCTTCTTCCTCCTCCTCCTCCTCCTCGTCTGAAGCCACGCTCTGTGTTTCGGCTTCGTTGTATGGATCTGTAACCTGAGAGATGAAGCTTGCCCCGAGGTCTTCCTCGGCAATTTCATCATCTTCGAGCTCACTACCTTCCTCGTCGCTCAACTCGCCGTCATATTCTTCGTCTCCATCATCATCCTCGTCTGCCTGGCTTTCATCTTCACTATCTGTCGTTGAAATGTCATCAAGGTCTTGCGGTACGTCCCTCCAAAAGGTGAAATCGGTGTAATTCTCACCACCAGCTTGGACCAGCAAGCTGACTGGTGGAAAGAAATGATCCACCAGCTCACGCATAGATACGTAGCTGCTCTTATACTTGTTTAAGCTCAACATGTCCAGCTGAACCTCTGCGTTCGAATTGATGGTGAAGATCCTGGTGGATGGTATATTCACGGACCGGTAGCTGAGGGCATCTGTAAGTCTGTTGCCAAAGCCGGCATAGAATGGATTCTCCTTTCCGTTAAAGAGGCCCAGGATATCTCTTAAGCAGGCCATCTTGAAAACTTCAGGCTTTCTCAGGTAGATTTCTCGTCGAAGCGCAGCCATCGTTCGATCCGGACTCATGATCACAGGGCCTTTGGGCAATCTGTACCCATCCTGATTGACACCATAGATGTATGATCGCGTGGTATCAGCTTGTCCCACAGACCGGCTAGTAAGGTACATGATGTTATAGCCGTTGCTGACGATATCAGTGTATAACTTGGCCACTCCAGCATGAGTCCAGTCTCGACCGATCATGTTCAAAACATGACCCAGTGCATCCGACCTATTGTCCATTAGCAGACGAAATCAGAACGAAATTCCAGAACTCACTTGGTAATAGTCCCGTCAACATCCGAGATAACAATCGGGAGTTGGCCACTCCATAAATACATGTTGGCCGTGCAAGTAGCTTTGTTGACGCTAAAAGACATGTCGTTGATGCCCGGCTTGAGTTTGAGCGCCTTCAGCTGATCACTTGTGAGTCGAAGTGTTTTTGCATAATTGCGAATTGGCTCAAGCATAGAAGTTTGAGGAGGCGACAGAGGTGGGGTGGGAAATCCAGGCTGAACATCGGACTTTGCGCGGTGATGCCTGGTCTGAAAAGTCGGATCTCGAAGAGACTCGGCACCGTCGCTGTGATAGCCGGGATCAGAGATCGCATTCTCGCTCATGGCGGAGCTAGGTCGCATGGAATTAAATGTCGCCCGGCGATTCGCTGCCTCCTTCGCTTCCTCGCTACTATAGATCCACAAGTTGCCGTGCTCGTCTGCTCCAATAAGCGCCCCGATATCATAGTTCCCTTCCAGCTCTTCTGAAAGGATCTTGCGCGCAACGACTTCTGCGCGGAGTGCGTCTTCCTCATTGCTCTTGTACCCTGTCATGTCAAGCATAAGGTCACCAGCGTCGGTAACACGAGAGGGTATATTAGATGAGGAAAGCTTCTGAGACAATGACAATGCGCGCGACACGGCTTCTTGTAGTGATATCGGAGGAGGACTTTGAGAGCGTCGATTGTCATTGGGATCTCCGGACGAACTGGCGGACCCAGGTCGGTGTAGCTGGAAAGCATAATCGGATACACCAGGGCCGCTGGAGTGTGCCCCGGCTGGCAGAACGCCATCGGAAACTGCACGGTCTAGTTTGGTCGGTTCCGCACCGAATGAGTTTTCGCGCGATCTACCTAGGGTGGACTCGTTCGGAGACTGAGATAAAGGTGTCACCAAGCCTAGACGCAGATTAGTATAGGAGCAGATGCAATCGCGAAGGCAGGGTCACCGTACCCAGGTCACTGGTCGCCCTAGCTCCCCTTGAGACCAGCGGGGGATGAACAGCTCCTTTCGACTGGTCAAGATCCAGATACTCCGGTTCTTGCAATGATGGTGCTAGATTTTCCTCGCTCTGTATCTTCGGGCTCGCGGCGGGCGATACCAGTGGTGACGTCTGCATGGAGGCGGGAATTTCCTCGGTCGTTTCAAAGACGAAGAAGGCCTCGCCGCCCTCCCCCAGCTTCATCGCATATTCTTGTTTGACTCCATTGACTTTGAATTCGACCTTGAAAGCGACAGGTTAGCCATTTTGGCCGGGCTGGACGTGGGGAAGCCTTGGTCTTGCAGTACCTTCTTTTCATACGGGCGGAGCAGAGAGAACTTGCCGAAGCGGACATGGAAAGGCGAACATGCAAGGGTTCCTATCCAAACTACAGTCAGCACCTATGCAATAATCCGAATCATTCATCGCAAACGCACCATCTTCCTGCTCGATGACAATCACATCGATGGCTCCGCTCAATGTGGCTGGATTTATCGAATTCCACGTCTTGGAGACGGAGCCACTGATACTTCGGACGTACTGCATCCCGCAATGTTGAGGTGAGATCCCCCAGCAGAATTCAATGATCGCAAGCAACAAGAGAGTGTGTAATTTCGCTGGAGAAGCATGGACTGAAAATGAAGTCACTCGGACTTGGAAGCGTTGACAGTCACAAGCTGAAAAGCAGGAAATTGCCGCCTACAACACAACCCATGTGACAAGCCGAGAGACATGCCCCGGAGTGGAGAAACAAGTGGGAGAGATAATGATGAGGATGAGTCGGTTCACGGCGCTGACCGCGAGTCTTCAGATCATCTCAGCAGGGAGTGCAAACGAATGGAATTATGGCCGGAGACAAGCTGAGGGGCTTTTAAAAGGCCGCCAACGGAGTGAAGGGACGCTGAGGGCGTTGACAGGGCAGCCGTTGAGGAGGTTGCTCAACAGCCCAACATGCAATCAGCTGCTCTTATCCGCCGGGATAATTGGCTATCTAAGCATGGATAATTCAAGATATTTGTGCTGCACTAATTCTTTTGTCCATCCAGCCAAGCTAGACCACATTCAATCAGCCTTGTCGCATGATCCAACTTTTAGTCTAACTGAGTTGGGTAAAAGCTTGTTCTCGAAGATTTACTTTTTCAATATTAGGTTAGTGCCTGAACCTTAGTCAGCTCACATGACCTCCCCGCCGTAACTTCTCCAGCGGCATTTTATCGAGGCCCTGTCGGACTTGAGGCCGAGAGAGCAGACTCGCAGAGACCAGCTTCTCGTCAACCCGCCTTGAACTTCCCCATGGACCGAAGCTGGGATGTATGAGCCATTTTATCTTCCATTTGACGCCTATCCCAGCGTGGTCCCCCGTGTGAGGGTACGAGGCGTCATGGCTCTCTTTCTGGCAGTCAGCATCCTCTGGGCTCTGAGCTGGTAAGTTTCTTGATTATTTATCTATTACCGACTAATTGACATCTCCAAAGGCTTCTGTATCGGGCGTGGCAGGTCTGTCAGACACCCAATGAGGTGCTGATTGAAAAACTTGGTTTGGATATCCCTCCGCCACCAGAAGTTACGCTGGAAGAGATAACCGCTCGCGAGATCCGAATTGCTTGGAAACAACCAGAGTTTCACAACTCTATTCACAAGCATATAATACAGGTAAATGGCGCAAAAGGTAAGCTTTGCTCGACAAAGGTTCTTTCCATTAAACCATTGAAAAAAATAGCGACTCACGAATGGCAACTCACAGTGGGTGAATCCAAACGAGCCGAAACCGCCGTCGAAATCCAGAATCTTATTCCAGGAAGCATATATCACATATGCGTCCTCTCGATCAGCGCCGCCAATTTCCATACCCCCAGTGCAGTGATCCACGTGCGCACCAAATCCCTTCCGGCATCTCAATCTGAAGAAAATGCTCCGTCGACAGGTCCTACGATCCGGGCCTCAGTTCCCCGGTCGACTGCTGGACTTCCGACTCCTTCGGCGCCACTGATGGCCCGCGAACATAGTGGGGGTCCGATGCAGGGGAAGCGATCATCGGTTGGGCGTAGACAGTCCCCCGCCGCCGGCAATACAGACCTTTCGCACAGTCATCCGGAGAGTATGCAGCATCACAATGCTGCCTATGATCAAGACGAAGACATCTCTCGGCTAGCGGATCGACTCAAATCTCTGCAACATGACAACGAGACCGTGGAGCGACAAACTGCTGAAGAAGATGAGGAACATATTGCGCTTCTCAAGGAGCTTGAGAAACAGCGGGATGAGTTGAGGAAGCGCGTGAGAGAAAAGGACGAGGCCAGTGGTGATCTCAAGAAGCATGTCAACAAGCTGGAGAGCGTCAATCGTACGGTGCAAAGTGAAAAGGCCAAGCGTGAGAGAGTGCTCCAGCAGAAAGAGGCCGATCGCAAAAAACGGAAGAGTGATCTTCTACGATGGCGAGAACAGGTTGCTCAGCTATGTACTGAGGCTACGCGCGTTAGGGAAGAGAAGTTGCGTTTGGAGGAGGAGGGAAGGAAGGAAGCCGAGGAACTCAGCGAGAAGCTCGCAAAGGAGCAAGCCGAGATTAAGATATTGGAAGGGGAGATTCAGGACAAAGGTGGTAGGGTCAAGAAGCTCGAGGATGACAGGAAGGACCCAGATGCGGATGGAGACGATGGCAAAGAGCTGGATCGAATTGATAACGAACGGGCCCGGCAGTGGGAAATCAAGTTCAACAGTCTTCAAGCACAATACGCCCACCTTGTTGGCATCAGCACCCGAGCCCATCAAGAGTACCAAGAAGCACAGGACCGCTTGAAGTGGTTAACCTCGCAACGCGCCGCCAGCGGCGCTGCTCCATTCCCACTATCCGCTCTGGATCTGGACTTGCCCAGCGGTGCAACTATCCGTCCCCCGCGTCGTCACCGCAGTTCCCTCAATAGCAACGTCTCATCGCCGATGAACTTCCCTCCTTTGGAGCCGTTTCCTACCAGCATAGCCTACAACCCTCCTACAACCAGCTCTCCTACTTTTGCTCCAGCGCCGTCTTTCTTCAACATCAACAATGGAATGACCCTTCCCGGTCTGACAGGTGACTCTGAAAGTTTCCGTCGGGGGTCCGACTTTTCCATTGCCAATCCCCAAATGAGTCCTCGGGCGGATGCACTGCTCCCGTCCGATCTGTTAGGCGACGAAGAATCCCCAGAGTTACCTAGACCTATCATAAGACCTCGGTTCTCAGATATTGATCAATCGACCACTCAGCGTGATAGCTTCCCTACCGGGCCGGTGTCGCCAGTGTCTTCTGGAAGTCGACCGGCAAGTCTTCTCACCAGTCCACAGGAATCACAGAATCGCTCCCAGGACGTCGATAATCAAACTCTGCCTCTAGGCGTTGCAGATGAGGCCCCCAAAAGTGCGACGAGACGACTGTCTGGCTTTTTCGGCCTCAATCGCCCGCGTGGAAAAACTCTCGCAGAGGAAGGGCCTCTTCTGGGAACCCTGAAGCCAGGTCAGAGCCAGTCATTCCCTCGAGAGTTTGATGAGATAGATCCCATCACGTCCAGGCGTCGTCGTCTAAGCCACACCACCAGCTGGGCCAACCCAATGTCTTTGCTCCCGAGGAACAACACAACTGGCGGAGTCACCGCGGACAGCTCGTCGGATCATCTGCCCTCCAGGCGCACTGCAATCTCCAGTATATTTTCACCCAGTCGGTTCGGATTTGGCAGCAACAATAGCCTGAGCAAGTCTGGCGAGGGGTCTGGCTACAACCAATTTAGCCCTAGACACGATCCTATCGACCCATCATCGATACTGGGTACGGTTCGACGGGGCTCGTTGTCCCCTAAGCCATCGTCCGCATTTTTAGATAACCTGCTCCCTCATCCTTCCACAGATAATCGCCACTTTGGTTGGCCATCGGCAGACAAGTCTGGTCACCGCAGTCCCCTCGGGTTCGATTGGGCTTCCCCATCCACATGGTCGAGAACACAATCCAGACGCCCGTCTACTACTCATTACGGCTCTTCCGGCCATCTCCCTCTAGGTCTCGCGGAGACTGATTTTATCGACGACTCATCGACCTTTGAAAGACAAGGTCGCCCGTTGCAGGCGCCTATTGGCACACGGCCGTCGTCCTCGCATCGCCCAATCACTCCGAAGTTAAACCCGGCGGCACCTACGTTTGACATATTCGGGAAGCGATCCAACAAGAAGGAAGGAAAGGACAAGAAGGGGAAGGATAAGGATGCGGATACGTCATTTGACATGGCGTTTGAAGGCGATTCCCCCTCGGAATCCCGCGTCTCTCGGGATTCTCGATCCCTCAGCAACTTTCCGCGTGACTCTTATGAGGACCTTGAACGCATGCCGTCCGCTGCCTCCACGGATAACGCCGGATCGAAAGAATCATTTATCCGAAAAATTACCCGGAAAGGCAGCTCCAGCAAGTTTAACTCTTGGAAGGATCGCTCGAATCTATTTTTCAAGAAAGGAGATTCATCAGCAGGCGACATTGAAGAGGATGGCGACGATTCGCACCTTGCCAAGAGCATCGATAGCACTGTTTCTAGCACACATTCAGCCGACAGGTTGAGCAGGAGCAGCCTAAACTTCTTTAGCCGCAAGTCGAAGAAGTCGGACAAGGCGGCCAGCGAGACTAGTGAAAGGCCCAGCGAACGGGCCAGTGAGTTTGGTGATGATGACATTCCTGAGGAGGAGACTACCTCCTGATTTCATATATTGCATGTGTTGCCCCATGCAGGGGCTTGCCACTCTTTAGAGCTTTTCTATCTATAGTATAGACCACTATAAGACTATATTCCCTTCTCTCATAGCATTACATATTTGTATTCCCTGCATAGTCGGTCTAGCAGACAGAACAAACGCGTAAACTGGGATCTCATAATTATATTAGTGTTCGTCTTGTAGTTTTGAGGATGCGTCGGTTACCAACGTTGAAACTGGGAACGCGAGCCCGATTCCCCACAATTTCTTCATCTCTCAAGATACAGAGAGCAGCCTCTCAAATCAGCACGACAGCAGTAACTAGCAGCTGCCGAACTTAAGTCGGAGAGGAGGACACAGAAATAATCCCTAGCTTCATGGCGAATTCAAGGTACATACTATCCCACATCTCTCATCCGTTCATGACTAACATTGCCCGCAGATACGAATATGTCAAAGCCTTTGAGCAACCAGACATCATCCTCCCAAACACATGGATCGTAGTCCGAATAGATGGACGAGGCTTTCACAAGTCAGTTAGCTTCATGACCCTTGCTTTTATCCGCTCTACATGATGCCAATCCGCGCAAAAGCCCTCTACTCACCACTTGCGAGACAGGCTATCCGCTCGATATGAATTCAAAAAGCCAAACGACCTCCGCGCGCTAGATCTCATGAACGCTGCAGCTGTCGAGGTTTTGAAAGATCTGCCAGATCTGGTGATTGCGTATGGTGTCAGTGACGAGTATAGGTTTGTCGTCCATCTTCTGCTCGAAATGTAAGGTAGCAAGGATCCTCGCTAACCCTCGCCGTGGAGTTTCGTCTTCCATCCCTCGTGTGATCTTTTTGAAAGGCGGGGCGCGTATGTCTATCCCTTTTTTCCTCTCTCTGACCCTGACTGCCTTCTGTCGACGATGACGTTGACATGTCGGATAGGAAACTGGTCACGACGATCGTCTCGACATTTACAGCACATTATATCTTCCTGTGGGGGAAGTTTTTCCCAGATATGCCACTCCAGTCGCCGTATCTGCCTTCCTTTGATGGACGCGCGGTCGTGTACCCAACAACGAAGAATCTACGGGATTATATGAGTTGGAGACAGGTTGATTGTGAGCTTTCTCTCCTTCTGTTGGGTTTTAGCCCTGAAATTAACAAAGAGCAGGTCATATCAATAACCTCTATAATACGACATTCTGGTATATGGTCCAGGAGGGGAAGATGAGCAATACTGATGCAGAGCAAGAGCTAAAGGTGAGTTAGGAGATGGAAATATGGCCGATGCCAATTGGTGCTCACGCGAACAGGGAACTGTCTCTTCGGATAAGAACGAGATCCTATTCAAGAGGTTTGGGATCAACTATAACAATGAGAAGGAGATTTACAAGAAGGGGAGTGTAGTGTTTCGCCAGGTAGGTTACTCTGCTCGTTAGGTCTGAGCTTGCTACTAACGAGGTCTAGTACCAACTCGAGGAGACAAAGACAGGACCAGAGTCCAAAGTTCCACAAGCTCAAGGCGAAGAAGAGTCGACTGCGCAGGAGAAGATCTCGAAGACGCAGCAGGAAAAGATCCGTAAGCAACGGCGGAAGGCCCAGGTCGTTGTTGAGCATGTGGACATTATCAAGGATGAGTTTTGGGAGCGGAGACCTTGGATCCTCTCTGGGAAGCCGGGTAAGCTGCCCAAAGGCGCTTGACATCTTTTTAGCATAGAATGTGATGTCAAAATGAAAAAAAAAAATCCGTCTATGTGTATGCAAAATGGGTATCTAGAAGAGGTCAAGACTATATATGCCATGCTATCCCATGCAACGAACGTCTTAGCTCGTTTTGCTCTTTTTTGATTTCCGCTTCGAGGTCTCGTCTGACGAAGAAGAGTCCTGCTTTCTGCTCTTCACTTTCTTGCCTTCTTTATCCTTTTTCTTTTCCTTCTTTTCCTTCTTCTTCAGCTTTGCCAACTTCTCCAAATCCAAAGGCATCTCCGCCCCCTGCCCATTATCCGCTGGATCCAGATCCATCGACACCGGCGTGGGATAATCTTCCTCAGGACGTTTCTTCGCCAGAGCCCTCAAGGCCTTCTTCTCCTTTTTCGCCCTCTTCTCCTCTTTCTTTACCCTCCTAGCCTCTCTCCTCGCCTCCTTCTCCGCCTTTCTCGCTCTCTTTTCCTCCTTCCGCTTGCGCTTCTCCTCTTTCGTCTCCCTCACCCCCTCATCACCTTCGTCCCTCTTCCTCTTCTTCGTCTTCGCCTTATCCACGACGTCACCCTTGTTAACATCATCCCCCAACGTCCCCCGAATAACCTCCCCCCTAACAAAAAACCGATAAAGCTCACTCGTCAATGCATTCGCCTTCCCCGCCGTACTCCCACTTGCTGCGTTAGCAGCGGCATCCGTGCCAACCCCCTTGAGCGCATCCTCGAAGCCCCGCAGCCACCACTGATTCGTCGGGTCCTTCGTCGTCTTCTTGCCAACGCCCTGGTTCCCGCTCCGTCGCGCGACAAGGATCGGTTTCGTGAGGCCCAGCCCGCCGCGTGAGCCCCCTGCGCGGTCCGGGTTTAGCGGGTTGCCTGTGCCAGACCAACCGTGGCGTATTAGGTAGGCGTACGGGTCGATTTTCTTTTGCGGGGCGGTGGATATTGTGGTCATTTTGGTGATTGAAATTGCGTTGTGGATGTTGTAGGAGGTAGGTAGAGAGGTAGACTCGCTCTCAGTCGGGGAGCGTTCGTCGTCGGCCGTTGCGATTATACAATCATCGATTTGGGATAAGGATAATGGCGTTATTTTCTTTTCGTTCGTCAACGGCAGCTCAAGCCGAGAGAGGTCGAGATTCGTCGATATATAAGAGGACTGTGCGGGAGGTGCTGCGCTGATTGTTGGATCAAGTTTCTTATCGCGATGGGAGGAAACAAAAAAATTTCTGGCACACCACCGCCAAGACTGAATCTCCGCAACGCGCAAAAGTGGGGACAGCATGCGGCCGGGCACAGCACCCGTCAAAAGTCCTGGTTCGAGTCCAGGGGATTGTTATTCTTCAAGAAATGAAGTGATCTTGAATTTTCTTCTTTTCGGTTGCTTTAGTGTCCATGACTCCATATATCAGATACTCGAGTATTGGAGCTAAAGCTTGGCGGTTCATTCTACAAACCCGCCCATGTGCGGAGTCGGATCAAGAATATATAGTTTTGCGACAAATGAATGAATTAACACCTTTACTGTATCAATTGTGATTTCCCATATCGTAGCAACAAAATAACAACTATTGCTACTTTCTATGTTTAATCTAATAAGGCTTGTATCGAGCCTTCTCTTTAGGCTTCTTCTCCTTCGCCCGTGGTGTTGCGATCAATGTATCCGAACCACCCTGCGCTACGTCTGCCTCAGGCTTCCAGGCACGAACGAAACCGTCCTCGCCGCAAGTGAATACGGATTGATTCTAAATCGTCAGCCTAGAGCTTCCCAAAGCGGACATTAGAAAGAGGTTATCATAGTCTTACCTGCTCATCCACGTAGACGGAGCGCACGACTTCTTCGCCATGGCCGCCAGGGAGGCGCCAGACATTCTGCTCGTCAAAGTGCCATGAGGGAGTTGGGACAACAGGGATCAGATCCAGTCGTTTGTCACTGCATGTCGCTAGATTAGCGTACGGTTTGAAACTGAAGACTTGGGCTAAGCACGCACATCTTGTTTCCTGCAGCAATGTACGGCCCCTGGCTGCCGACGCAGACTTGTGCGATATACTCGCAGCTAAGCGGTTGCCTCAGATCACCAAACTGCACGGGATTAGGCTCCTGTGTCGGGTTGTCTGGGTTTGTGGCAGGGTGGATGGAGAAGTCCTCATCGTGGCTCAGGGCGTAGATAGTTTTCTCGTTGATAAAGCCAGCATGATGCACGGAACCGTGGTTGATGACCTGCACGAGGGCTTCGTCCTCATCCGTGATTGTTGTATCGTAGATGTTAACTAGACCGTCGGTACTCCCTGAGAGCAAAATGTTGTGGCGGGTTGGATGATATTGAAGCTGTAATCGCGGCATTGTTTAGCATGGCGAGTCATCCCCGGACGGTTGAGTCATACATACCTCAGTTACATCATCGTTGTGGCTCTCAACGTACTGGAGATGCGGTTGGTTGGGAGATCTGACGTCCCTGCGTCAGTTAGCAGCCCAAGGAACTACCGCGGCATGAAGAAACGGGCCCAATAGATCCCTTGACGACATTCAGACTGCGAGGTCTGGGCGGAAACTCACCAGAATGAAACAATCGCCTGATGGGAGAAGAGTTCTGTCCCGGCGACAATGTTGTTGGTTTCAGAGCAACTGGCTATTGATAGCACGGGGGACTGATTGGCTAATGGCAAAGTACTGATCAGTCAACTGCTTGCATAGCCACCATGAACGGAGAAAACACTCCAGAGCCCCACTACCGTCCATGGGGATCAACCGAAGACAGTAGAAATGCTTGGAGGAGGGCAGAAAGCAGAGGAGCTTACATGTTTCCACCGCGACAACCGCCGTATTCTTGCCGTTACGAAGATCCCAAAGTTTCATCTTCCCGTCTCTTCCTCCGGTGATCACTAGCTGCTTGCTTGCATCATACGTCCCTAATGAGGTTACTCCATCGTGCGCGTTGTTGGCCACTAGGGATGCATGACTGAGTTTGCTCGCATCGAATATGCGGAGCGAGTCATCGGACGAGATCGCTGCAAACTCTGTTCGAGACGAAGGCACAATCGAGTAGATGTAGTTATCCCCGGCTAGAGACAGGGAGGAGGACGCAACTTCCTTCAGTGTGTACATGGCTGAAAGGAATGATGACTCGTCTGATGCCTTGGTTTTGTTGGTTTGGTCCCCAAAGTAAATAGTAATGCTCTCGAATCAGCCTCAAGCGCAAGGCAGAGTTGTTGACCCTGCAAGAAGAAGGCAAAACAAGTATAGCGTGCTTTTTTCCTGCCCCAGCCCAGTCCGCCGAAAACCCACAATCCTTCTCACTGCGAGGGAGTGGAGATTGTGTTTGATAGAAAAGGATGTGGAAAACTTTCTCTCCCTTTTCTGCGGTCTCTTCCAAACGTGGTTACGAGACCTGACGTGGCTGAGCTCGATAGAAATGTTCCAGACTGAGATGAGCTGTTCGCAGAACGTCGATAGTGATGATCTCAGAGTTCGCCTGATTGTGGTTGGGCTGTTGGAATGGAGGATTGATGGAGGGACGGAAAGCCAAGACCAGAGAAAAATCCAGAAACCTGCCTGATGTTTCAGGCATCACTGCGGATATAGTAATTACAGTACAAGAGGAGCCCACTGATCCCTACAAGGAATCTCTTCTCCTAAGAGATGTCCAAGGGCTTCAGCATATATCCCGGACTCAGCAGCGGTGCTGTTCATTGTCTAGCGCCCCATCTCCACATCATACCTATCAAAGCTACCTGAAGATACCACTTTATAGGGATCTATAACTGAGCGTATAAGTACCCGGGATATTGGACTAGGTAAGTCATGGATGGCCTACGGCAATGCGAATCCATTTGGTTCCAGCATCTCAGTATGCATTTGGTTTCGGTCTCGAAGCACTTGGTACCTGTGTGTTCGAGGCCAAAACCGTAAAGATGTTCGAAGGGGTTACTCCGTAAACCTGGAATGAGCTGTGGATCACCAAAAACTTACCAGCCCACAAGGAAGATCCAGAAGCTGAATACAATCGTCGAATGTGATTGGTAATCACCAATGCATGAGGCCGTCCTCGTCCGCCAGTCACCCTCCGAGGTACCATCGCGGGAAGTGACTCCGGAAGGCAATCCCAATCCGAGTTTGCTGGTCGGTCCGTGCGATGTACTCTGTGTGTTTGTTCACAGGTCATGTTATTGGCAGACTGACACTCGCTGCGCCCTCGTTACACCAGAAAGTGTGGGAATCGCCGACCACGATGGCTCTCACTCCTCGTGGGCGACAACAATAAGTGGACTCTTGGACCGGCCTTGGTCCGATCATCGGATGGAGGAATAACAGGGAGTATTATTACCATCTTTCCGGGCAAGATGCAAATGCAACACTCTAAGGCGTGGTTGGCTCTCTAGATCTCCGCGAGTCGATGATTAATGCATAACTTAGATAGCGCATTTGTGAAGATTAGGCATATATACTCTTGGCTTTGCGCTGAGTGTTGAGGGTACCAGGAAAAATCGAACGGGGTAATCGATATGATGTCTTGCAAAGGCCGAACCGACCAGATTAGGTAGAGATGCGCTGCCGCAAAAGGCGCACCAAATCAGAGTCAGTCGGCGAAGGGCTATTTTGCGGATTCAGCGAAGAAGTCGGTGAGGAAGGGAACGGGATGCACCTGATGTTCCTGCTTTCCACAAGACCATGAGACAGGTACAGTCCCCTGTGATATACAAGGCAATATCCGTCAACGCAAGTCTCGTGATTGAAGCCAGAGAATAGTTCCCATCGCTAACCAATGGCCATCAATGAACACAGCTAACCTGCCAATTGCCCCTAGGAAGTACGGAGTAGGAACAGATGCAGACGGACTGGCCGCTACTTGCTCCCTCGCAGTAGTAGCTTCTTGGGCCTCGTGGGAAGGAGTGGGTACGCTGGAGAAGGCCGGAGCCACGAGAGTCGAGAGGGAATTTTGGTCCACTTAACGGAGTACATGTGCGCGTTTCATCGCGATTATCGTTGGTTTCGGCCTTATTGGGACCCCGTTTCGGGTCGTGGACGTTGCAGGATCCGTGTCTGGCTGCGGATTGTGGACTGTACGAAGTAGTACAGCCACGCTAGACGGCGAACGAACTGGGGCCGTTGGGAGCTGTTGGAGCTGTATCTAGTTTTGTTGTTGTTGGATTGGTTGGAATCACCAAGAGAACTCGATGATCAACATCATTATGAGAGCCGTGTGACACAGAAGGAGATCCGACTCTGGCAGTGAGACCTACCGCGATACCCTCGACGCCAACCAAAGTGGTTACGGCCTGGTTTTGTGAAGCACAGATGGGGAAGACGGCGCTTATCCAGGCCCCCTGATATGATACCAACGGTTGAACGGCCAAACCAGGAGCGCTGGGGCCGAAAGGGAAATGGACGGTTTCACCTTTGCCCCTGAGGCATGAGAACCAAGAATTCCAGATCCTTGAGTCGCCGATATCCAAACTACGAAGTAAATGTGAAGGGCTAGGATGGGCAGCAGATGGAGTCGGGGCCCGGAAGGGACGCAGGGGGGATAGGCAGGCTCTGTAAGCGCCAGTGCTTGGATATATTTGCGGCCGTCCCACCAGAACAAAGGAACAAAGTTTTGCTACAGTAGCATTATCAGTCTTTGGACGCTGCGGCGTAATTTCTCCAAATATCGCAGAGAAATGGAGATAATTAATAGCAGACTTCTGACCCACAGCGCTGGGAGGTCAAGAGAAGCGAACTCAAATGCCAGAATTTGGGGCAATCCTTCACCCAGAGTGCTGGGACTGGCTTCAGGAGACAAAGAAAGTGGTTCAAGTCTTGACGGACGGACCGCGTCCCGCCCGGAAGTCTCCTGAAAGTTGGGAAAAATGAGACCCATCGCAGCATCGCATGGACCAGCAGAAAATTCTCCGTAACTCTTCCCAATTGATTCTAGCTTCTGTTGCTGTTGGACAAAGAAACGACAATTTTTACTTTTCTGCCCCAGACTTGATCAACCCAATAATCCATCGGCGAAAAAGCAACGTGGAAGGCGTAGAATGGTGCCCAGTCTGCCCTGGGGGAGAAAAGAAATTATACAAACCATCAATAGCTCGAGAACAAAGAAAGCGCCTATAATTCAAAAAGCATCCATGGGCCGTCATAGGCTCCCCGGAGCGCTTTGCGGCCTCCGTCTGTCGGCTCATGCTCCGGAGTGCTAGGCGGTTCCAGGAAAGCTGGATCGAGTGTGGAAGCGCTGGCAGACGTCAAGGCCAAAGGCTAAGTGACGTTAAGTAGATTCGATGAGGCTAAGGATCGCGAACCGTGGTTGAGGGGAGGGGTCCCTTTACCAGGGCGAAACTGGGACCAATGGTTCCAGTACACACCCATTCACTGGTGTGATATTGTTGCATACAGGGGACTGGCTCCTGGCCTTTGCCGCCAGCGGCTTCCCCTGATTCTGCGTCCGTTCCATCTGGGAATCCCTCCAGCGACGACTGAATTTGCGTCTGTAACCGCCCCGCCCTCGAGCGCCCGTGGGCCCCAACCGGGTCAAGAAAGCGGCTGCGACAACCTTAAAGAACAGGGCTGGCTGCTTGTTGAAGTTGCTTCTCTGGTTCTTCCAATTGCGTTGCTCCTGCATCGCCTCTGACCTATGCCCATTGCGTCCTGTGGTCGCTGTTCCTCTGGTCGTCGCTGGACACGAGCTCGCGAGTTGCGCTTGCTCATTACTACTGCTGGCTTCTTCTTGCTCTCATTCCCCTCAGCGCCGTGACCGCCACTTTCTTTTCTGTCCTGGTCCCTCCCGACGGCGGTTGGAGAGAAGTTCTCTCGCCGGAGGGCTCTCGTTCTTCCAATTGGGAGGTATATTTGACCCCTGGTCCGCCCTCTCTACAGCTCCCCTCCCTTCTCCTCGTGTATTATTTTTTTGTGCTTGGCTTTGATTCAGCGGACTTGTTCAAGTCTTCAGTCCCGCACACCCCACTATCTATTTTCTTTTTTACTTCTCCATCACTATCAGCCATTTGCATTGCTTATATACACACCATTAATGTCCTAGGGCAAGAGGCTCGGGCGTGCAATCTAGGTTATCGACCAGTCCGGTCTATAGCAGTCATCCTTTTAGCTCTGCGGTCACGGCCTGGCCAGATTACCCGCTGTGCGCTCTCACCACCCCGGAGGGTTTCCTATACTCTGCCACAAGATCCGCAACCCATCCCTGCTCGCTTAACGATATTGCTCATAATATAAGCGCCTAAGATGTTCGGAAACGGCCCAGTGGGACCTCGAGCCCCCGCCATGATCTCCCCGACGCACAAGCACTACAGCTTCCACTCTCCAACCTCTAGCGACATGGGCCGGTCAAGGCAGAACTCAGATGCCATGGATATTCAAGCCATCACTGAGCGGGAACCTGCATCGAGAATTGCGGCCACTGGTGAAGCATGGCGTAATGGGTCTCCGAGTATGAGCCCCAGTTATAGCAAGTACTTCTCTCTTTCCCCTCCACGTTTCTTCCTTAGCTTGTTTGCCTCAACTTGCCCTTCCCTTTGTCAAGACTGTATTCACTGGCCGCACTGTGACTGACTATGAGCGCTACTTTCTTTCTGTGCTAGGGATTCGGAGAGTGATCACACTTATGAAGAGAACGACCGAAAATACCAGAGCTTTCGCAAGGGAGCCTACTTTCTACCCTGCGACGACCAAGAGCAGGATCGTCTCGATATCTTTCACAAACTATTCACGGTGGCCCGAGTGTCGGAGAGTCTCATCTACGCGCCGCATCCCAACAATGGCCGGTTCTTGGACCTAGGTTGTGGGACTGGGATCTGGGCTATCGAGGTGGCTAACAAATACCCTAATGCCGAGGTTACAGGGGTAGATTTGGCCCCGATACAACCTAAGAACCATCCAAAGAACTGCCAATTTTACGCCCCCTTTGATTTTGAGAGCCCCTTTGCACTGGGCGAGGATTCTTGGGATCTGATCCATCTTCAGATGGGCTGTGGGAGCGTCCTCGGCTGGCCGAACTTATATCGAAGGATCTTCAACCACCTAACCCCTGGCACCGGCTGGCTCGAGCAGGTAGAGATCGACTTTGAACCTCGCTGTGACGATCGATCGCTAGAGGGAATGGCCATACGCGACTGGTACAAATTACTGAAACAAGCAACCGCGGAATCGATGCGGCCCATCGCTCATAGCTCTCGCGACACCATCAAGCATCTACAGGAGGCTGGGTTTGTGGATATCGACCACCAAATAGTCGGGCTCCCACTTAACCCGTGGCACCAAGACGAGCATGAGAGGAATGTGGCTCGCTGGTACAATCTCGCATTCTCAGAGAGCATTGAGAATATGAGCTTGGCACCTTTTACTCGTGTACTTGGCTGGTCACGGGGGGACATTGACAACCTCGTCCAAAGCGTCAGAAACGAGGCGTATAACAAGAATATCCACGCATACAACATATTGCACATATACCAGGCACGGAGGCCTAACCCAGCTGAGCGACAGAGATAGAGGAGATCATGTGACGACGTTGTCTGCCGCGGGTTCTCTTGGAGTGCGTGTGTGCAGATTCAAATTACGACTCGACGAAAATGCGGTTAGTGGAGGAATGGATCATTGAAACAACCCCGAGACCTTCGTCCAGCAAACGCCACTCTTTCCTCCTGCCATTGGCGCCCGAGCGAGGACTGCTGAGGCGTTGATTCACATCATATATAATCACTACAGAGACTTCTGATCGTCCGATCATTGTCATCAATCCGTCACTCCAGCTGCTCTCATTCCTACGAGGGCTTGAGGTCTGCGCCCGGAGATCCCGTTTACTTCTGAGGGAAGAGGGAAGGACAGTCGTTGCGATGGGAAGCCCAGATTGTTCAGCGACTTGACACGTCAAGTCCCGAGTTTGGTCTTTCCGTGCGGGTTACAACAGTCAGCGGTTACTGGTATATGCGGAGTCTATATAATACGTGGGACAACCATGGAAGACACCAGAAGTAGTATAGGTGGATCGTGAAGGCTGCAACGGCACCATCTGATAGTGGATCGAATCTGGTGCAAATCTAGCCACCGTCGGCTGATCTTTTGGATCATACCATGGCCAAGTTTTGGCAGCACCGAGCAACAGGGTGGTGCTGAGCCCTCACGGCCGTAGGGTATCCAAGAACATGTAAATAGTATAAGAACATCAAATGTGCAGAAAAAAAAATATATGAACTGGATATAAGGAGTTCGATTTCGTAACAGTAGTCTCCTTGCTTTTCCACCCAAACTCCAACAGCCCGATGCCTATATACCTGCTGCCCTATGCATGCACCAAACGCCAAGCAACAAAAACTGGTTCCGTAAAAGTCTATGGTTTACATGTGTTCGACAGAGAAGAAACAGAAGATGATGAAACAAGGCATGTCATCGCCGTCGACTCTTCGCTCCTCGCGCGGTCCCGTTCCGCCCATCTTTCTCCCCGTCCCCATTCGCCAACCGATCCCGCCCAGCACCAGGACTACGACGCCGCATGGTCCCGGGCCCAACAGCGACAATATCCTCCTCGCTCTCGCTATCCGAGAGGTCCAGGAGAACGGGCATGCGGAAGGATTCAATTTCCTCGTCATCGGGATCATTCTTTTGCTTCTCGATGGTGAGAACGTCCGGCTCCTCGTCTTCCTGGTCTAGACGGCGCTGGTGAATCTCTCCAGCTGGGTGGATGTCAAATTCGTCTTCGCGCTCCATGTACTCGACGTTTTCTTCGACTTCGCCGAAGTCGGGCGCGAGCGCGGACCATTTCTGCGGGGTGACGATGGTCCATGTGTAGATGCAGCCTGATTCAAGGCCGCAGGCGACGACGAAGGGGCGGGCTGGGTGCCATTCTACGACGCCGAGTTCCTCGCGGGGTCCCTCGAGGATTTTCACGAGGGAGCCGTGGCTGCGTTCCCAGACGTAAATGTCTGGGTTCATGAAGGTGGATGCGGTGACGAATTCGCCGGTTGAGGAGAAGCCGACGTGGTTCCAGCTTAGGCGGTTGACTACGTCTTGGAATTTGTGCTCGACTTGGAGCTTGATGTTGCTCGGTTCGAGGTCTATGCCGAGTTTGGAGAGGTCTGGCATGAGGATTGTGCGGATGACGCGGTCGGAGCTGTTGACGAGGAGATCGCGGCCGTTGCTGGCGAGGCGGAGGAGGATTATGACACCCGAGCAGAGTTTCGTGGAGTGGATTGTGGTGCAGGTTTGAGTTTCGATGATGTTGATCCAACCCTTTGAGGTGCCAGCTATAATGTGGTTACCCAGCGCAGTGAAGACGGTAACGCAGGTTGAATGCTTTGCGTCCTGTGCGGCTTGTTTTGCGGCTGCAGCGCGATTCACTTCTTCGTCTTTGGAGGGCGGGGCGCGGTATGGGGCGGAGGGGATGATGCGTTTGATGGGTTTGGGGGACGAGATGTCGACGAGGACGGGCTGGTCTTCGAAGAGGGAGGCCACAAATAATAAGCTGTGGAAAGAGGAAGGGGACTTAGCGCATGGCAATATTCCGGCGTGTCACTGAGGATACGTACTGGTTGAAAGGATGGAGTTCTGCGATATATACGGGAGCTTCAAAGCGCACTGTGCGTACCCGGGAGCCGTCCTTCAGGTCCCACAGTATACATTTCCAATCCTGGGAGGAACTGAGAAGATAGCGACCATCTCTAGACCAGCTGCAAGTGCGGAGTTAACCATCTGGAATTGATCGCATGCGTGCGTAGACCCATGTGTATACCTTAAAGATTGGATTTGTCGGATGTGCCCCTTCAGCTTGCGCGCGACTCCATGTGTCTCGATATCAAAAATGACCACCGTACCGTCCGCCTAATAAGGAAAGTCAGCATGCGCCCGGCGGTTGACAAGTATTCGTGATCGAACTTACTCGTCCGGAGGCTAGATAATCCCCTTTGCGATTGAATCGGAGACATGTCGCATGTCCACTTCCTGTAATCTTAGTAAGTAAGAAGTAATCTCAGGATTTCTTTATGGTGGTGGCATACGTAGTTTTTCCGATAATGTGTCTGGATAGTCCTGGGCCAGAACAAAGGGATCAATGAGTGAGAGATTCATAGCGCGCGGGAAGCCTAGACTTTGCCTCAGGAGACAGCCAGATCAGAGAGAAAGGTGAAAAGAGGATGGAAAAGATCTCCAGCCTGAAGAAAGGCCAGGGGAAAGTCTGAGAGCAAACATCAAGCGCTCTCGACGACCTCTAAGCAGTCAAAGCAGTGGGGAGGTCAATGCTTCTTGGTGGTGATAATTGCAAAAACTGGGGAGCTGGGCGGTGAGTAGCCCCTTTATAATCTGGACAGAACGCCCCACCGTGACAAAGGCTCCGGCCTATTTTAGTGGCGGAAAGTACTTGATGAGATTCGAGTGACTGAGTTTTAGAGACCACGCTAACAGCAGGCTGCGGCTCAGAAAACTCGTTCCCCGTCGCCGACTAACTTGACAACCAACGTCTCCCTTTCATCTCCCCGACACGCTGCTCAACATCCACCCACCAGCCCTCGACCATCGCGTTTAATCGCGATATTATCCTACGAGCTGGACTATTCCCATTGCCGATCGTGATTTCCCTCTTTTTCGCCTTTTTTTCGGAGCTTCGCAACGTCGTGGACAGGGTCGCAGGCGCCCTCGTGGCAAGGGCTGCCAGAGGCCTCATCTGGCCCTCTGCTCGCAACATCTCTCGTTAATCGCTGACTCGTGCTTGGAAAATAACGAAAAAAAGGACTCGAAAGCTGTCTACAATACTGCTAGGAACTTCTTCTCCGCCTTCGCCGACTGTTTTTGCCTCTTGATTTCCTCGGTTTTTCGCGCGATTATCCATCATGTCGAACGTTTACTTTCCGTACTCCAAGGCGCCTTTGCGCACCATCAAGGAGATCCAGTTTGGTCTTTTCTCACCCGAGGAGATCAAGCGGATGAGTGTGGTACATGTCGAATATCCAGAGACTATGGTTGGTGTTCCTTTGTTCTCTTTGACGCGACCCTTTGTGCGCAACACTAACACAAAGAAACCACAATAGGACGATCAAAGACAACGGCCCCGAACCAAAGGTCTGAACGACCCGCGCTTAGGAACTATCGACCGCCAGTGGAACTGTGAAACATGTGAGGAGGGACAGAAAGAGTGTCCTGGACACTTCGGACATATTGAGCTTGCCACTCCGGTTTTCCATATCGGTATGAAAACGCTTCTAGACAGGAAAGGCTTGATACGCTAACTTTTTCCATAGGTTTCTTGACCAAAATCAAGAAATTGCTCGAGACAGTCTGCCACAACTGTGGAAAGATCAAAGCCAACACGGTTAGTCATCCCTTATGGGATGGCAAATCTATCATGGCAGATTAGGCTAACTTAGAACCAGTCCGATTCCAAGTTTCTAGATGCCCTGCGGATTAGAGACCCGAAAAGACGCTTCGACCACATCTGGCGACTCTCGAAGGATGTTCTTATTTGCGAGGCCGACCCTCCTCCGGATGACGATGAGTACGGGAAAGAAAGCTCGAAACCCCTGCGGCTTCACGGTGGATGTGGCAATGCGCAACCCACCATTCGCAAGGAAGGAATTACACTGGTTGGAACATGGAAACCTTCCAAAAGTATGATGGATGAGATGGACATGCAGCAGCCTGAGAAGAAAACCATTACTCCTCAGATCGCTCTGAATGTCTTTCGCAACATCTCTCACGAGGATGTTCGCATCATGGGCCTGAGCAATGACTATGCTCGTCCCGAGTGGATGATCATTACTGTCTTGCCTGTTCCTCCACCGCCTGTGCGCCCGAGTGTGCTTGTTGGTGGCAGCACGAGCGGCCAGCGTGGTGAGGATGATTTGACCTATAAACTGGCTGAAATCGTCCGCGCGAACCAAAACGTTCAGCGCTGCGAGCAGGAGGGTGCACCAGAGCACGTTGTGCGCGAGTTCGAGTCTCTCTTGCAGTATCACATTGCGACTTACATGGATAACGATATTGCCGGTCAACCGAAGGCCATGCAAAAGTCCAACAGACCTGTCAAGGCTATTCGAAGTCGTCTAAAGGGTAAAGAAGGTCGTCTACGACAAAACCTGATGGGAAAGCGTGTAGACTTTTCTGCTCGTACCGTCATTACTGGTGATCCGAATCTGTCGCTCGATGAGGTCGGCGTGCCAAAAAGTATTGCAAGGACATTGACTTATCCCGAAGTTGTGACTCCTTACAATATCGAGAAACTGCAGGCGTTGGTCATGAACGGTCCTACTGAGCATCCTGGCGCGCGGTACATTGTCAGAGATAATGGTGAGCGCATTGATCTTCGTCATGCAAAGAGGGCAGGAGGACAACAGCTGCTATACGGCTGGAAGGTTGAACGCCACATCATGGATGGGGACGTCATTCTTTTCAACCGACAGCCGTCCCTTCACAAGGAATCCATGATGGGTCATCGTGTCCGAGTGATGCCTTACTCTACGTTCCGACTCAACCTTTCAGTCACTACCCCTTACAACGCCGATTTTGATGGTGATGAAATGAACTTGCACGTCCCTCAGAGCGAAGAGTCCCGTGCGGAACTTCTCAACCTTGCTCTAGTGCCACACAACATCGTCTCGCCTCAGCGAAATGGTCCACTCATGGGTATCGTACAGGATACTCTGTGCGGTATCTACAAGATTTGCAGACGTGATATCTTTTTGACCAAGGAACAAGTCATGAATGTTATGATGTGGGTTCCCGAATGGGATGGGGTGATTCCTCCGCCTGCAATCCTGAAGCCCAGACCCCGGTGGACTGGTAAACAGATGATCAGTATGGCGCTCCCGTCCGGTCTCAACCTTTTGCGAGTTGAGAAAGATGGCTCTCCACTTTCAGAGAAGTTTTCTCCTCTGCATGACGGTGGCCTTCTTATTCACGGCGGACAGTTGATGTATGGAATGTTCTCCAAGAAGACTGTTGGTGCTAGTGGTGGTGGTGTCATCCACACTATTTTCAACGAGTATGGTCCGCAAACAGCCGTGGCTTTCTTCAACGGCGCGCAGGCCATTGTCGGCTATTGGCTGTTGCACAACGGTTTCAGTATCGGTATCGGTGATACTATTCCCGATGAATTGACCATCCAGCGCATTGAGAACTGCGTTCGCGCCCGGAAGCAGGAAGTCGAGTCGATTACCGCTAGCGCCACTGATAATACGCTCGAACCCCTGCCTGGTATGAATGTGCGTGAGACGTTTGAGAGTAAGGTTTCTCGTGCTCTCAACAATGCCCGTGATGAAGCCGGTAGCGAAACCGAGAAGAGCTTGAAGGATTTGAACAACGCCATTCAAATGGCCCGCTCTGGATCCAAGGGTTCAACCATTAACATTTCACAAATGACTGCTGTTGTTGGTCAGCAGTCCGTCGAGGGTAAACGTATTCCGTTCGGTTTCAAGTATCGTACATTGCCGCACTTCACAAAGGACGATTACTCCCCCGAGTCTAGAGGTTTCGTTGAGAACTCATACCTCCGTGGCTTGACCCCAACAGAGTTCTTCTTCCACGCCATGGCCGGTCGAGAAGGTTTGATTGATACTGCTGTCAAGACTGCTGAAACTGGTTATATCCAGCGTAAGCTGGTCAAGGCCCTCGAAGAAGTCATGGTGAAGTATGACGGTACTGTCCGTAACTCCCTTGGCGATATTATCCAGTTCATTTACGGAGAGGACGGACTCGACGGTGCGCATATCGAAAACCAGCGTGTTGACATTATCAAATGTTCCGACGAAAAGTTCAAGGAAAGGTTCCGTATTGATCTTATGGATCCTGAGCGAAGCCTGGGACCCGACGTTCTGGAACAGGCGAACGAGATTGCTGGAGATGTTGAGGTTCAAAGATATCTGGACGAGGAGTGGGAAGCACTGCTCAAGGATCGGGCTTTCCTCCGCTCCGTTGCAAAGGAAGATGAAGAGATGATGCAGCTTCCTATCAATGTGCAACGTATCCTCGAAATGGCTAGGTCAACGTTCAGAATTCGTGAGGGGACGATTAGTGACCTGCACCCCGCCGAAGTCATTCCTCAGGTGCAGTCGCTTCTCGACAGGCTTATGGTTGTCCGTGGCGACGATGTCATCTCGAGAGAGGCCCAGGACAACGCAACCCTTCTCTTCAAAGCCCAACTACGCAGTCGTCTCGCATTCCGAAGACTGGTGACTGAGTATTCCATGAACAAACTTGCCTTCCAGCACGTTCTTGGGGCTATTGAGAGTCGATTTGCCAAGGCTGGTGCGGCTCCCGGTGAAATGGTTGGTGTTTTGGCTGCCCAGTCCATTGGTGAACCCGCCACGCAAATGACATTGAACACTTTCCACTTTGCTGGTGTGTCATCTAAGAACGTCACGCTTGGTGTTCCTCGTTTGAAGGAAATTCTCAATGTTGCGACCAACATCAAGACCCCGTCTATGACAGTGTACCAAGAACCTGGTAGGACCTACGATAAGGAGGGAGCCAAGCAACTTCGAAGCGCCGTTGAACACACCAGTCTGCGTTCCGTCACGGAGGCCACCGAAATCTACTACGATCCAGACATCCAGACAACCGTAATCGAGAACGACCGAGATATGGTGGAGTCTTACTTCATTATTCCGGAAGATGTTACGGATGATTCATCTCGCCAATCCAAGTGGCTGCTTCGTATCATTCTTAGCCGGCCTAAGCTTCTCGACAAGGGTCTAACTGTGCAAGACGTTGCTACCAGGATCAAGCAGGCTTATCCGAAAGATATCGCTGTCATCTTCAGTGACAACAACGCTGACGAGCAGGTCATTCGTATTCGTCAAATCCAAGATTACAAGGATGATGAGGACGATGACGATATCGAATACGATGTCACTTTGAAGAAGCTGGAGCAGCACTTGCTTGATACTTTGACTCTTCGCGGTGTTAATGGAGTCGAGCGTGCGTTCATCAACGAGAAAAGCAAGGTCAGAGTCCTGGAAGACGGCTCCCTCTTCTCCAGCAAGACAGACCCTCTGTGCAAAGAATGGGTGCTTGAAACCAGCGGCTCTTCTCTTGGTGAGGTTCTGGCTATTCCTGGGGTTGATGCTAGCCGAACATATTCCAACCAGTTTATCGAGATTTTCGAAGTGTTCGGTATTGAAGCTGCGCGAACGGCTGTCCTTCGTGAGTTGACGCAAGTGTTGGCCTTCGATGGATCTTATGTCAACCATCGTCATTTGGCCCTCCTTGTCGATGTAATGACTGTGCGAGGCTATCTGACCCCTGTTACTCGACATGGTATCAACCGCGCTGACAACGGTGCCCTTATGCGTTGTTCGTTCGAAGAGACTGTGGAGATTCTGCTTGAGGCTGCGGCGTTCGGAGAGCTGGACGACTGCCGTGGTGTGTCAGAGAACCTGATCCTGGGTCAAATGGCTCCTGCGGGTACTGGAGAGTTCGACATCTACCTTGACCAGGGCATGTTGAACACCGTTGTTTCAAACAATGCTCGCTATGGAGTGATGGGTGCCTTGGGTGCCAAAGACGCTATCATTTCCGATGGAGCTGCTACGCAGTACGACACTGGCTCGCCAATGCAGGAAAGTGCATACATTGGTACCCCTGATCCTGACTCGAACTTCTCACCTATCCGCCAGGCGGGTGCCGAAACTCCAGGTGGCTTCACTGAGTACCAACCTACTGGCGGCTTCGGCGGTGGGTTCAGTCCTGCCGCCACGAGTCCCGCTGGATATTCCCCAAGCAGCCCCTTCAGTGCCAATCCTACCTCGCCTGGTTATTCCCCAACTTCCAGCTATTCTCCCACGTCTCCTGGTATGGGTATAACAAGTCCCCGCTTCATGACTTCTCCGGGATTCTCCCCCGCCAGTCCATCATTTGCGCCGACATCACCGGCCTACTCGCCCACATCTCCCGCATATGGACAGGCTTCTCCGACATCCCCGTCGTACTCCCCAACATCTCCCGGGTTTTCGCCGACGTCGCCAAACTACAGTCCCACATCGCCGAGCTTCAGTCCCGCTTCACCCGCCTTCAGCCCAACATCGCCAAGCTACAGCCCTACCAGTCCGGCTCTTGGCGGCGCGCGACACCTGTCTCCTACTTCGCCAACCTCTCCCAAATATACGCCTACGTCTCCTGGGTGGTCTCCCACAAGTCCCCAGACGTACTCTCCTACATCTCCCAACTTTGCCGGCTCGCCGACCTCGCCTGGAGGCCCTACTTCTCCTGGCTATAGCCCGACGTCGCCGGCCTTCAGTCCCACGTAAGCTATACCTCATCTCGGCAAACTAATGTTACTTTGCTAACAGATTCCTCAGTTCACCACGCCAGTGAAATTGAACCACCTATGCTTGGGCTCGTCCTGGCCTCCGTTGTATTCTTGTACTATCACTTTCGCATAAAGAACCCGTCGAAACAAGAAAAGAAATCATATTGCATATTCGCCACAGACTTGGTTGGTTATATTACTCGCAATTTGGGCATGCCTAGCCCGTTTCAACCTTCTCCGTTACTATTATCTTTCGTCCTCCTTCTTAATGTATGTGAATTACCTCACGCCCTAACCTGAGCCTGTCGATGTTATTCCAAGCCTCTGAGCCAGCCTGCCGAAATTGCGAACAAATTCCTACGGGTTGGTGATGCGTTACGTTTCTCTCTGCAAGCGATTGTTTCTCTTTTTAATTTTTAGAGCTCAAGATCCCTGGGATCCATTTTCAGTTCCGCTCGATGTGAGAGACTGGAATGTGATCGTCCCTTTTACTGATGTTCCCTCGGTTTGCATGGAGACGATTGCTAGTTTTGCTTGCGATCGGAGTTTTCTTTTTATCCTGTATACATTTTTAGAATATAAGTTATGGGGCAGGAGGGAGGGGATAAAATTTTGTGAAAAAACTTGAAAAATGAAAGTTCTTATGATGACATTGGCCTTCGTCTTCAGAGTAGCTCGAGTGCTCCTATCGTAGACAAATTCAACGTCCATTCAATTTATGTATATATATCCCTCAGAAGAAACTACATGTTGCGACAGGCCTTGATGCAAAGGTCCGTCGTTCGGCCTCTTATCTTTGTTTATCAACATGAAGCTTTAAGAAAATCAACTGACGTTTTAAAATATGTGATTGTAAATATCTTCTCAATGTTCACTCGCATGCTTTTCTTCTGCGGCGAACTAGGTCCGAAGTTGGCCATGTGTCAGGTTGGGGAGGTTGTCGGCGAAATGAACCTCCGCAACGACAGGTGTTCGGATTGACCCCAGCTTACGACCAACCCCATCCCGCGTTCTGTTGGCGATTCCCGCTCTTCCATTTCATACTCAAGGGAATTGTGACAGGAAGGGTTCGCCATGCGTTTCTCCTTGTCATTTCTTATCAAGTTCTCACAAGCAAGATGAAGTACCTGTGGTTATGGCGCTTCCTGCCTCTGGTCCTCCGTGAGTCTCCCGCGACGGCTTGTCACCGTCACAATCGAGCTCGACTGACTCCGGCATTTCCTCATCTTAGTGCTCTTACAATCGCTTGCTCATGATATCAAGGGATCTTCCGGCGATGAATATCCCCTTTCTGATATTACCCACGAGTCGACCCATACCCGCGATGATAGGCCCGACGCTCGTCCAAATGGTAAACTCCCCTCGATGACCACCTAACTGGGAATATACGCTGACCAGATATCATTTTTGTAGCGCATGTTGAGCGCGCATTGAATATCCTCCGCGAAGCCAAAATCCCAATCGCCCACACCTCGGAAAAGCCGTCTGGCTTCATCGGCCACACCTGGCACTATGCACAAGAAGCTTTCCGAATATTGTTCATGAACGGACCGCCATCGAGTGGCGCCTCACGGAGGAAGATACACCCAAGTATCGGCAAAGCTGTTGACGAGCTCACGATCGCCGCGGTAGAGGATCAGAGCCCAGACGCCATGTTTTTGCTGGCAGAGATGAACTTTTACGGCAACTTTTCGCACCCTCAGGACTTCAAACAGGCATTCCGTTGGTATGAGAAGCTGGCTTCGTGGAATGGGAATAGCACGGCGCAGTATATGCTTGGTTTCATGTATGCCACAGGCATCGGGGGTGGAGTTGAACGCGACCAGGCCAAGGCTCTACTATACCATACTTTCGCGGCGGAAGCGGGGAATACCAGATCGGAAATGACACTTGCGTATCGCCATCACGCGGGTATCGGAACTCCGCGCAACTGCGACGAGGCAACGTACTATTACAAGCAAGTCGCGGACAAAGCCATTGAGTACCTTCGATCCGGACCGCCTGGCGGTCACAGCATGGCGCGTGAATCATACCGCTGGGCCGACGAAGAAGGCGGCGTATATGGTGAAGGCGCGAGTGTATCCACTTCCGGACCCAATGCACTTCGGGATGGATCAGGATCTTCGGACGCCAGTCTAGAGGATCTTTTGGAGTATTTTGACCTTATGTCCCGAAAAGGTGAACTAAAGGCAACGTTTACTCTCGGCAAGATGTACTACGAAGGCACAAAGGGCTTGCCCAAGAACTACAGGAAGGCTATGAAGTATTTCAGACAAGTGACGTTACGGTACTGGAATAAGGATGGCTCGTTGAACCCAAACCATCCCGCTGGGATCGAGAAGTTGGCATCAAAAGCCGCAGGTTACATTGGGCTGATGTATCTGCGCGGAGAGGGTGTGGAGCAGAATTTCGCCGATGCGTTTATCTGGTTCAAACAGGGGTTGACCAATGGCGATGCGCTCTGCCAATACGAACTTGGTCTCATGTATCTGCATGGATATGGGGTACAGCAGGACGCGTTCAAAGCCTCATCTTATTTCATACCGGCAGCTGATCAAGATCTTCCTGCGGCCGAGACCCGGTTAGGTGTTTTGTTCCTGGACCAGGGTGATATCCCGACGGCCACGAAATATTTCGAGTTGGCTGCTCGTTGGGGCTCCATGGAGGCGTTCTACTACTTGGCCGAGTTGGCCAACAATGGAATTGGCCGACAGAGACACTGCGGACTCGCTGCATCATATTACAAGATGGTCGCTGAGAGAGCGGAGGTTATCCACTCTTCCTTTATTGAAGCGAATACTGCATACGAGAAGGGGGACAAGGATCGAGCATTTATTCCGACGCTCATGGCCGCAGAGCAAGGATATGAGTTTGCCCAGGCTAACGTAGCGTTCATCCTTGATGAACAGCGTTCTCTATTCCCATTGGAGAAATTCTTCCCTGCAATGAGAAAACCACGATCCTCGTTGCTCCGAAACGCAGCGTTGGCTCTTATCCACTGGACACGTTCCGCCAAGCAGGCAAACATTGATTCGCTACTAAAAATGGGCGACTATTATTTGAGCGGAATCGGCAGTGCTCTGGATACAGAAAAAGCCTCTACCTGTTACCACACAGCTGCTGAAGCTCATTATAGCGCGCAAGCCTATTGGAACCTTGGCTGGATGCATGAAAATGGCGTTGCTGTGGAGCAAGACTTCCACATGGCGAAGAGATATTATGATCTAGCGCTGTTGACCAGTGGTGAAGCCTACTTGCCTGTTAAGTTGAGCCTGCTCAAATTGCGGGCACGAAGTGCTTGGAACCGCCTCACTAATGGGAAGATCAAGTCCATTCAGGATGATACCGGTATGACGTACTTTTTTTCCAGCATATCTTGTGATTTACTAACGCAATGCTAGAACCGAAACCTCGCCGGACCTTCTCAGAGTGGATCACTGCCTTTATCGAAAACGACGAAGAGGAAGAAGTAAACTACCGTGCACAGCTGTATAAGCGTGGTGAAGAGGAGGACGATGATCTCTCGAACGGCGATCCACATCGTTTGGATGAGCACGAGGACGGCTACTATGATGACCTCGAGCTTGATATCGACGAGAGCGTTCTGGAAGGCCTCATAATTCTATCGTTGGCTGCAACTTTGATGGTCTTGGTATACTTGAGACAGCAACGGAATAACCGCCAGCGACCCAACGATAATCAAAACGCGAACGCGGCAGGGCAGGCCAACGCCAATGACCGAGGGTTCTTCCCTCGCCCTGGTGAGCCGGAGTTCGGTCAATGGGTGGCCGGCGGAGTTGGTCACTAGCCGGATCTATTACTACCACTTTCCTCTGCTTTTGTACATGTGTGTAATTTACGATTTTCAGTTCTATTATGAATATAAACGATTATTATTAGACCACCAGTCCAATTATCCTCCTGCTGTCCTGCGTGAAAATGGCGCCCACTCGGCCAGCACCCGCTGCCGCCTGCTCGAACTTCCGACCGAGATCCAGCTCATCAGCTACGGATTCGTTTTCGGGGACAGGGCTCTACATATAGGATGGGAAAGCGGCGCCAACGACTCTTCAAACAACGTTTGGGGGTGGGCTTATTCCGTTTGATAAGCGGACTCGTTGAGAACCATACGCCAGGAGAGTGGTTGGAGACGCGCGATGCCGGCCGGGCAAGCCAACAGCAAAAGCCATTCCAAGGCCAGCGATAGAATCTGGTCGCGAGACTTGGGCTTAGTTGCGGAGAAGGGAATGGACTTAAGCCTGCTGCGCGTGAAATAACCAGGTGTACCGCGAAGCCGCCGATGTACTTTTCTCCTCGAACACTTTTGTTCATGGCACGGCTCGGGGCACGAAGCGATCGAGAGCTGATTTCGAGAAGGACAACGTGAGCATGGCCAAAGGAGACCGTGATTGTCAGCCGGAACCGCCAGCAGAGAAAAGAGTAACGAAATCTTGCACCGACTTGACCCTCGTCACGCATTGCTATGGCGTTAGATCTGTTCCATGCCACCTGCAAATATGACTGCACGTCTTACGACCGGACAATGGGACAGACCGAACTCATGTTTAGACAGAGATACTGGGACACGGATGATTGGTATGAGCGCCTTATTCGGTCGCCGGGGCTTTTCAATGCGCTCAAGAGTATACGCAGGCTACGGATAGTCATCGCGCGCGACGAAGAGGACGAGGAGCAGCATAAAACTTCGTCGATCAGGCATGGGGCCTGGGATGAGCTTTGGCTGGTATATGGGCTTATAATCATGGAGTTGCGAGTGATAGACATTGATGTTAGTTTGTGTTGCGGTAGAAACGGAGAGGAGGCGAAGGGAGAGGCTTATGCAAGGATGCTGAAAAAAAAAACTAGGTTACTGGAACCATGGGATAAGGCAGAGAAGGAGATGGGAAGAATCGAGCATTGGTATCGGACAAGAATACCATGAGGAAGTCTTGGTTCTGAAAAAGCGTTGAATTTTTTATGAGTTTTGAAATTGCCTCGAGGGGAGGACCACTCGCTCAATTTACCTGATCATGGATAAGAAGCAACTTTTCTACTTTTATGATCTCATTTCCTCCACTTTGCTTTCATCACCTTAACACAAGGCTATCTTGACATAACCAACTCAGATTGCATTCTTTACAGTATCCAATGCCACTTAACGGTATTCTTTGATTGAGCGTACTGCTCGCCTCGCTAATGTCATCTCAAACTGCCTCTGCTAAGCGGCGCCGTCTCGACAAAGCGTCTGCTGCACTGTCCAGACCGTTCAAGTCTCCTCTCCGCAGAGACACGCCAACAGTGATAAAAGAGGAGGCCGCATCGCCAGAGAAGGGCCAGAGCATAGCATCTAACCCGTCCACTCAAACCACTCCATCGCTCGAAAAAACCCCACAGAATCCGCCGCACACACCTACCACGACTAACACATTAGCCACACCACCACTAACAGCTCGCAAAAGAACAATCTACGGACAACATACCGCCGCTTTGCGAAAGCCGGTATCAACAGACCCGGAGATCCAAGGCCTGCAGAAAGAGCAACGAACGCTACAGTCTCGCCTGGCGACCCTCCGCTCCGAACTCGATACAGTGCAGCAGGCTCTCCGTATCGAGTCTTCGAGTAGAGATGAAGAGCTCGAGGCACTGATCGCCAAATGGAAGAAGGTTAGCCAGGATGCCGCGGAAGAGGTTTTTACAGGCGCCCAGGAGCGGATTTCTCGTATGGGAGGGGTCCAGGGCTGGCGGGAAAAGATGAGGAGTACCGACAATAGATGGGAGCAGGAGGAGATGGAGTCGTGGTTTGGTAATGTTAATGCAGAAGCTCTTGATTTCGATGCGGATGAGGTGGAGGCTCGCAGGGCGGAGATGAGGGAGGAGGCTGAGAAGAAGGCTCGGGAGGAACAGAAGAAACGGGAGGCAGAGGCGAATGAGTCTGAGGTATGTTTACTTCTTGGAGGTTTTCCGGATTGGATACGCTAATTTTGTTTGCGGTTTTGTAGGAGTTTACGATGGATATGATGCTGAAGACGCTGAACATTGACTTCAAGCTTATTGGTTACGACAAGGCGGATCAGCGATGGATTAAGGGATAAGATACCTCTCTGCAACTGCTTTAAAGGTTGATGTGCTGGCGCAGAATATCCTAAGTATGGCCTTTGTGCTTCCAAATTTGTATTGACTATCTTGAGCTAGGGCTTTCATAACCATACAGTCGTTGCGAAATGTCCACAAATTTCAGAGTAGAAGCAATCTACCAGCTACACGACAGCCATTAAAGCGCGCAACGAGAACCACTATGGTCTGATGGGCAGCAGGGCTTCTCCATCGAGACCACGTGCTGTCACGAGCAGATTTGGGATATGTGGTTTCCAAACTCCATCGATTTCCATCCACCGTCACATCAACTGGGTTCCCATTGACATAGCAGTCGAAATGACCCAATTCAATTCCTTCAGGGACTCGAAGTGTTCCTTCGATTTTGAGACTGACTGTTGAGTCCATGATATTCTTAGACTGACTACCCACCTCGATCAGTGCGTTTTCCACCACACCTTTTGAACGTATACCGCTCGAACTCTTTGAGATAAAGTCCGAATCTAATTCAGGCACAAGTTTTGGCAGTGACCGGTGCTTCGTCTCCGTCTCGAATGCGTAGGCATACTCCATGAGCTTGCTGTCTTCGTACGCCTTTCCTGCAAAAGTCAAATTGACCGGCATCATCGTATCCTCCATCAGACCCATCGGAACAGAAATGGTAGGAACACCCAAATGACGGATAGCCTGGTTACCATTGGAGTACTTCACCCCGTTCTCCCACGCAAACCGGGAAGATTCATGGTCGACGTCGGCATTCGCGCGCCCAATGTCTGCATTCGCTGGGAACACAATCGCGTCCAAACCTTCCTTATCCATCCACTCTTCAAGTGTTTCCTTCCGTGCGTTCTCGAGAGCTCTGAGCGCTTGCTCCATCTCTGAGATATCAAAGATAGAACCCGGCTTAGACTTGGGATACTCGACGATTTGCTTCCACTGAAGTTGGTTTGCTGGGATCGGCGCTCCTCTAAGTGACCCAGGAGCAAGAGGAAAGATATCGTCAGGGTCCACACGTGTCAAAGAGTTCAAGCCTGGATGAGCGTTGGTGGCCAGAAAGTCGTCCCAGGCATGAGCAACTAGATCGCTTCGTTCCTTTGCCGGCCATTTCTCTGGAAGATTTTTGATGTTCACCAATTGATTGCGATGAACATTGGCTTCGTATGTGGCGAGGAGAGGGAAGTCGACTTCGACTACAGTGGCACCGCACGACTCGAGAGCAAGCTTTGCTGATTCCCAGAGCGCAATAATTGAGGGCCTTGTGCGGATCTTGTTTGGGAGTGTGTCTTTGGAGTTGATGAACATGGAAGGTATTCCTAGCCGTTTACCCTGCAGAGAAGATCCCTTTGCTAACTCCTCGTAGTTCTGTGGGCGGACGGTTTTGACAGACGGCAGCGATACGAGCTTTTGCTCTTTCCAAAAGTCTCCTTCAGGATTCTGGTCAGTGACGGCTAGGACATTGAGCACCTGAAAGAGATCGGACATCGTGCGAGTATGAGGCACCAGTACATCGCAGGTTGGATACAAAGGCCACACTCCGCGAAGAGGCAACAGGCCTTTTGAGGGTGTGTAGGCAATAATGGAATTATTTGACGCTGGGGATCTTCCTGAAGATACAGTCTCAGAGCCCAAGCTGAATGCACAAAAGTTCGCGGCAGTGGCAGTGGCAGAGCCGTTGGAAGACCCAGATCCATATGCTGCCGTCAGGTACTCCATATTGTATGGACTCTCGGCGCGACCATATGAGCCGCGCTGCATGCCTCCGTAGGCCATTGCGGGCATGTTCGTCCGTCCTAATAGCACTGCTCCTGCGTCTCGAAGTATCTTCACACATGCAGCATCGTCGGTGGCAATGAGGCCCTCAAATGCCGGAGAACCGCAGGCTACCGTCATGCCCTTTACCTTGATGCTGTCTTTGACAAGATAGGGAATGCCTTCTAGCGGTCTAGGCGGAAGCCCAGCAGCTCTTCGTGCATCTGATTCTTCGGCTTCTCTGAAAGCAGACGGGTTGAGTATGGGAATTGCACTGAGTGTAAGTCCGGCTGCATCATACACACTGATCCGTCGCAGATATTTCGCGACCAGTTCAACGCTTGTTGTCCATCCTAGTGTCAGAGCCTCTTGGAGCTCGGAAATGCTGGCGTCGATAAGACCGAGGGCTCGCGGGTCCTGTGATTTCTGTCAGCCGCAGAAGCTCCAATGATTGCTTCGACCTGGGTGAGAGCTTACGGATGCCATAATTGATCTTCTTTACGATATCTGGTCAATGTCTGATAATTGATCATCAGCTCTGGCCGTGAATGTGAGACAGATAAAAGTGCGGCCGAGGATAAGTATCTGCTCGAAGGAGATAGCTGGTGACCCTCGGCTATCTGATAGTATGCGGTCGCTTTCTCCCGGTCCCTTGAATCTTCAATCAAATCCACCAACGCCTGGCTCAACTCCACTTTTGATGCATGATACGAAGCGCGCTGCTGTGACACGCAGCTTATGGCATATGGCTTGTCACTCAGCTGCCTTATTGGGAAAGTACATCCGACAGACTAGTCTCCATATAAGGGCCTCTGAGCCTACCAAGGGCGGCTAATTCCTGATCTGCTCTGGGGAGTTGGAGTACTTAAATAAGTCCACAACGCCATTGGCTGCCAGCCCGAAATCAATGATAACCCTGAGAGGTCCACCCGTTACTATGCACTGGCCTCTACATTGGAGAGCTATTGTGGACACAGTTATGATTGACAGCCAAGAGATAGATAATAGATAACACACGCTACCCCTCCATCGCGTCCTGATAACGGACTTGCTTTGGAGATGGGCCTGTGATGGGCGCAAGGATATAAGAGCGAGATTGCCATGTCTCGACTCCAGACGACACTTCTTCCTCCAGTCAACGCTTCGTTTTACATAGCTTCCCCAGAAATTTTACGGCTGGTGGATCACAGTCTCCACATATTGCTGTCGCAATGTCTGATGTCAAAGAAGTGAAAATGGGGACACCAGATGAGCCCAGCTTGGAGAAGAACAATGAGCTGGGAAGCGGAGAGGTTCAGGATATTGGAGCTCAGCTTTTCGTTGAAGGCGAGGAGATTACCCCTGAGGAACTCGAGATTGAAGGCGCCGAGGTACGCAAGATCCTCGACAAGCGCATCATGCCAATGGTAAGTTACTCCACAGAGTCTGAGGATGTACCTAACGAGCTACTAGCTATACTTGACATATTGCATCCAATTCTTAGGTTTGTTGTGCACTATTCACAGCCGGTGGCAAAAGCTAACACCTACACATCCAGATAAACTTTCCCTCAACTATGCCTCTGCTTATACCCTAATCCCCGACCTAGGCCTCGAAGGCCAGAGGTACTCCTGGGTCGCGGCAATATTCAACTTTGGGTACCTGGCATTCGCTATACCTTCAAATCTTCTGATCCAACGACTGCCGCTCGCAAAATACATGGGTGCGGTGCTTCTACTATGGGCAGGATTGGTAGTAGCTCATGTTGGAGCAAAGAACTATGCTGGGATGCTAGTTCTACGGTTCATCCTGGGAATGGCAGAAGCATGCGTTAGCCCCTGTAGTACGTTGACCATGATCCGAACAGAGGACTAGCATCTCTCAACTAACGAACCAGTGATGAACTTTACATCTATGTTCTACAAACGATCCGAGCAACCCCTGCGCATGGCTGTATGGCTCTCCGCAAATGGAACAGCGACAATGGTCGGCGCCCTCCTCGGCTTCGGTCTCGGCCACGTCCACAACACCACTCTAAAGAGCTGGCAGCTGATTTTCCTCGTAATCGGTCTCCTTAACTTCATCACAGGCGTCCTCTTCCTCTGGGTGATGCCCGACTCCCCTAGCTCCGCCAAATTTCTCACCCATCGCCAGCGCATCATCGCCGTCCAGCGCGTCTCAGAGAACATGATAGGCGTCAAGACCAAACAGTTCAAATTCCGGCAAGCCCTCGAACTCACCTACGACATCAAAGTTCACTGCATCCTATTCATCGGCGTCGCCTGCGGTATCATCAACGGCGGCGTTTCCAACTTCGCATCATCGCTCATCAAGGGCTACGGATTCTCAGGCATCTACGCTACCCTCCTCCAGCTCCCCACGGGAGCAATCGAGGCCGTCGTCGTCCCGATCTGTGGGCTCGTCTCGACGTACGTCCGCGACTCCCGCTGCATCGTCCTCGCCGTCGTGTGTCTTATCCCCTTTGGCGGACTTTTGGGGATTCGCTTCACGGATCTGGACCACCGCTGGACCCTCGTTGGCTGCACATGGCTCCAGTATATCATCGGCGCGCCCGTCATCGTTTCTTGGAACCTGCTTTCGACAAATGTTGCGGGCCACACGAAACGGTCGATTGCCAATGGCCTGTGGTTCACCCTCTACGCAGGCGGAAATGTCGCGGGTTCGAACATCTTCTTTGCGCGCGAGGCGCCTAGGTACTACTCCGCGTTGACTGGCTTGTTGGTCTGCTATGCAGGCATGATTGTCCTAGCTGGTGTTGCGTACGCCGCTATGAAGATTGACAACATTCGGAGGGATCGAAAGATGGGCGCGGATGAGAGTGTGGGGAGACAGGAGCGGGCTGTGTTGGACGGGTTCAAGGATATGACGGATATGGAGTCGAAGGATTTTCGGTATGCGCTTTGAGCTCTTTGCTGGGCTTCAATGGCCGACGTATCGACATATGGTTGGCGATTGGCGATATTATTGGCTTGATTAGATGAAGGATTAGACCTCTTATGTTGCATGCAGGGTGGCTGCATCTGCTTCGAGCTAGACAATTGAATAGTTCCCATTGGGCGCCGCGAATCTAAAGACAGACCCAATGTTTTGCGTATAGTAAAGTTCATTCATAGCATTAACATTCTAGAAACTACCCGAAATAAGTGGGAAAATATCTTGCACCCTAGGCTTACGCCTTGGCGATATACTTCGCGAAGATTTCCGGCATAGCCTTCGCGCTCGCCTTTGGGTACCTCTTCTGGTCATTCACATAGTCGACAAATGTAACGCCAAAACGGGTCTCGTAGCCCTCAGCCCACTCAAAGTTGCTATTCAACGTTAATACAAGGACACTATATGAGGAAAACGGGTGTGACTTACTCCATCAAACTCCAAGCCATGTAAGCCCTAACATTGACATTGTCGTAGGTGTAGGCCTCCGCCATAGCTTTGATGTAGTCCTCAAAGTACTTGACTCGGAAATCATCCTTGAGCAGCTGCTCAAGCGGTAGATCGTTCTCACCCTTCAGACTGGTTCCGTTCTCGGTGACATAGATCTTCGGCCTGCCGTATCGGTCACTGAGCCATTTGAGAAGTTTGCGGAATCCGATTGCCGAAGGACGCAGCCAGGGTGATTGCGTCTCGGGACCGACCCATTCGCCTGCTTTGTTCTGGAGGAGAAGCTCAAGGTTACCAGCAACGTCTGTGAGTTCTGGCTCGCCCGTCTTAGCACGGATGTAGTTGGCGCAGTAGTGATTCATGCCGTAAAAGTCGTTGCTGCCCTTGACAAGAGCGACTTCTTCAGGGGTGAATTCCGGAAGGCGGGACCCGAGTTGCTTGACCATGCTTGCGGGATAGTGACCAAAGTAGACGGGGTCGGCAAACCAGGATATGGCGAATTCGATCTTGCGGTCACAGGCCTCGACGTCTGCCGGGTTTTCGGGGTCCCAGGGCTCGGCCCAGTCACCTGTGTTCCGTTAGGCAAAGCCAACCCAACAACATACAATAACATACCGTTAAGAGTAATACCAATCTCACCACCATCGCGTTCTTTAAATTCTTCACGGTAAATCTTCACGACTGTACCGTGGGCAACTAGAATGTTGTGGCCGACAATCCAGGGCTCGGTGGAGCCATCACCTTCCGGGTTCTTGTTTCGGTCACTGGTCCTGCCAGGAGCGAATTGGCCGACATTGTATCCGAGTACACTGCTGCACCATGGCTCATTGAAGGTGATCCAGTATTTTACTTTTGAGCTCAGAGCGTTGAAGATCACTCGGGCGTAATTGGCAAAGTCGGCAACGAACTCTTCCTTGTTCAACAAGCCGCCGTACCGCTTGTCTAACTCATCCGGGAGATCCCAATGGAATAAGGTGACTAGAGGTGTTATACCGGCGGCTAAGAGGTCGTCAACAAATTTGACGTAGAATTGCAGACCCTTTTCGTTGATAGGGTCGTTTCGGCCTCCAAGAGGAATCACACGAGACCTGGATCAAGCACATGATTCATTAGGACAGCTCAACCCAGACGTTTAGCGGACAAATAAACGCACCAAGAGATTGAGAAGCGGTAGGCCATTGCCTTGCACTGCTTCAGCAGTTCAATGTCTTCTTGAGTATGATGGTACGAGTCGCAGGCCACATCGCCATTTGCTCCACCAGCGATTTTGCCGGGTTTCTTGCAGAAAGTATCCCAGATGGAGGGACCGCGACCATCTTCATCGACCGCGCCTTCGATTTGGTAGCTGTTGAGCACAAAGCCTCCTGTGTAAGCTGCAGTGAACTTGTGGAATGCGATGGTCAAGTGTGAAGTACCTCGCTGTTGCGAAACCCCAGAGGAAGTCAGAAGGAAGCTGCGGAGACTCCAGAGAACCCATGATGAATCAGATTGAGCAACAAGATTCGTCGTCTAATAGGGGAATAGGCCAATGGATTGAAACAACAACACCAACGGCGGCAACGTCGGGAGAACGAAGGGTGAGGATCTCAAAGGATACCGAGCTAGGCGGAACATTTAAGTGCCTGTAGCCTCATCTCGGTTTCCTCGTCGGTCAAGGAGGGCTCCGCGAACAATAAGGTGGGCATCCGACGACGGCGGAGTGGCCGGACTGGATCAGGCGGCGGGGAGGTGAAACTCGGCCGTTGAGCGTGGCATCCGAGTGCATGGCAAAACGAGGCTCTGGTCCAACCAGAAGAGCTCCCAGGAAGCGAGAACGCGGTGGAACAAGTTGGCGATGGAGGAGTCGTGTTCCTGGCGAGGGGCGCAATCCAACAACGGTCAAGTGGCGGCTGGACGGGCCGTTCGCCGTGTCTAAAAGGGGAAAGACCACTGGCAGTCAAGAAAAGCACGTTGCCCCATAAATCTGCTGAGATCTCATTCCTACAGCTATCTAGCGACTAGTAGTGCTTAGTAGCTTGCGGGTATTGTACCATATACACCATATTATCGCCCTCCGGAACTCCGCGTATGTAGCCTGTACCCATACAATAGCAAACACCAGTGCATAGAACCGAAATCGTGACAAAGAACATGAAAAAAAAAAGGAACTGGACAAGAAAAGCTGCTATTTTATCTTGAGCGGCCACCTCATATTTCCTCGAGCCCATCCATCTCGTCCGCCTCAATCTCGTCGCCGTCCATAGCAGCACCGTTGAGAGTCAGCCGCGACCGTTTCAGTTCACGGCCAGTGCTCAGTCCATCATCTGCCCCCAATGTCCCGACGAGCTCTAGCTCTGGTCCCGCAATGATCCGACCCTCCATGTCAACCACCTCACACAGGTCAATCAGGCTCTGCCTGCTGAGAGACTTGAAGCCATCGGTCCGGACAACCCGACCCCAATGGCTGAGGCAGAACTGAGCAGCTCGTCTCATCAGCCATTCCTCATTCGTCCGTCCAGCTCGATCCCAGATGATTGCCGCGTTTTCCACATCTAGCTCGCGCCTTAGGCGGTTGACGCATAGAAGGCGTAGACGGGGCATATCGTATAGGTTTGCCATCACTAGCATTCCAGCTACATCGATGACATCAGCGCAGTACTCCGGGTGACCGGCAATGCTATCCGTGTAAAGATAGTATAAAAATGCACGGACAACAGAGTAGGGCTCTGGGATATGCATCCGATTGGTGTGATACTCCAACATCTGCGCGGAATACAATCGCTTGAAATGCGGCCATCTCAGCTGTAAGATGAGTTTGTGCACGTGAATAGGAGGAGATGTGGGGGTGTTGGCGGGCAGAGTGGCTGTGATTGATCCATCTTCGGTCCCATCATCGACGTAGACAAAGTCATCTGAATTGGCAGTAATCGTGAAATCCGCACCGCTGCCTGACTCTGGTGATTGATCAAAGGCGGATGACAGGTCTGTCCCTAAGCTTGAGAGAGGTCCCAGATGTGTTCGCGCAGAGGTCATCGCTCTTCTAGGGTCGGGAGATAGGGCCGCCATCTCGTTGCCCAGCAAGCCATACCTTTCCAGATCGATGCATAAAACCTCGCTCATGTGATTCTCGTCGCTGTTGCCAGGATTGCTGCTAGCATCTAGACTGCAGCCTAGCAACCACGCTTTGGTGCCGCTTGCATTGGTTATACAATAGTGCCATCGGTATCCGGGCCTGAAAATTTCGGGTCCATCCGCTAGCTTTTGCCATCGCAGCGAGTCGAGTTCCAGGGATGAAAGGCTACAATCATAGATACGTGTAGTCTCGGATGGGGTGACCAAGTCGAGTAAGACACCGGAGGCGAATGCTTGGAAGTGAGTACCAGAATAAAGGGCGGGAACATTAGGGCCTGATCTGAACTGGAGACACGAGATAGATCCTGGAGCGAAAGACTTCCTACGGCCGGCATTGCGGACCTGTACACTCGCGGAATTTGCGGCGTAGCTCCCGGACCGGCTGGGAGGCTGCTGCGTTGTGTTACTATACAGAGTATTTTCTAAACCGTGAGTTATCCTGCCAAGTCTCGTGGGAGGATCCATGGTACCTTGTGAAGCTGCCGTCTCAAAAGCTGGAATGGCCTGAAGATCCAACCACCAGATATCCGTGGTCCGTTCCATATCCGGATCGAGTCCACCAAATATCCAGAGGCGACCACCCCAGATCCAGGCGATGTGATCAAAGCGGGGGGCGAATTTCCAGGACCGGGACCAGGTCCAAGTTTTGAGATCCAGATAGGACATGTCATCAAGCATAGCGCTGCTGTCCGAGGTGATGCCACCAGAAATGAATAGCTTGTCCTCGTGAATAACGGCCGCATGGCGAGCTCGTCCCCTAGGTATTTGTCCACGAACTTCCGGTTGCGTCCAGGTGGAGGTGGGGATGTCGAATATAACCACGTCCGATAAGTACTGACCGTGTTCGTTTTCACCACCAAATATGACCAATTTGTCATCGTTGTAGAGACTCGCCGTATGGCCTATATCAGCGAGGGGCGGTAGCCGTTAGCGATGATCATATTGCGCGGCTTCAGGGGCCAATTTCACTTACCCATCCGTACACCAGGTATATCACCATAGTTGTCCACAAGCTCCCATAGGGAAGTATTTAGATTCAACCGCAGCACGTGGTTGTAAACTATATCAATCGCTCAAAGTCAGATTGTATGGCGAGGACAGGACAGGACCAGTAAACTATGAACCTTCGTCCGTATATTGGTCAAACCCCCCAAAAGCGTAGATCTCATCATTATTGCAATGCGTTACCGAGGCATTGACTAAACATGCAGGAACATGGCCCTGAACCTTGCGAATAGTCGGACGAGAGTCCGCACTGCCGCGACGACGGCCACTAGGGCTTGTGGGCATTAGATATACACCCTCCGAATTCGATGACTGCTGAGTGGCAGCCATCGCATAGTATGGGGAGGGACGATCGGGACGAAAGTGGGTCAATGTGGAATTCGGGGCAATTCCGTTGCGGAAGAGAGGAATTGTACGGTGTCTCAAGCAATAATCGCTATCACAGACACAACTTGAAGGCGATCCTGATCAAGTAGCGGGATCGATCGCGCAGTGTTGGATTGGGGCGGGGGATGGCTGCCATGCGCATCACTGGCCGAAAGGTGACGTAGAAGGGGAAGGGACAAACAGACGTCGCAGTAAGCGAGAGTTGTGGGTTGGATCTGTCAAAGGCAAGCGACTATCAGGTTTCCACCATCCTGGTCAGGACTTGACATACATCCACAAACTCGAGCGAGGAGAGAAGCTGTCGGAGAGAATAGTCCCAGTGTTCCAGCCGGCGTTTTCGGAGGCCCGACCAACTGCAGGAGGAAAATGACCGAACAGGAAAAGCCGCCAAGCCTTCAAACCCAAGAAATGACGAGCCTCAGTCAGCTAACTTTTGCCAATCTAGCCTAATATAGACTAGTGATAACTGTATCCCCGTCAACGACGGTTGTCAGGGCGCTCTCCTGAACTATACGCAAGCCTGGTATTTAGTCTCCTGGTTCTGATTTCTCTTTCCATCCCTCTTCTCTTCCCCTTGCTATTCACACTGCATCCTCTTTCTGCTGCTATCTGCTTTACTCTGCATCCGATATACCCTTGACTGGGTTTCTCTGCATCGCATACTACCGCATCTTAGCTGTTCCTGTCCGTGGTTAGCGTCAGCCAGCGGTTGGACGACCTCGACAGCCTCAGTTCGAAAAGTCGTTTTTGTACAGATTTCTGCTCAGCGTGTTGCAGCTCGATTACTTCAGTATGGCTACTCCTCTGGTTTCTACGCCAGTAAAGACCCACCATGGGATCTTCTCAACCAAGATGGCGGGCGGCCGCATACCCCTCACACCCTCTCCCCGCGGACGACGGGACAGCGTCGCCTCCAACAACTCCTCCCCCTTCACGCCTCCTCGTCACGACTCCGAAACAACCAAAGAACATGCCCGCTCTGTCTATGGCGGAAACCTTTCTTCGTATTTTGCCAAATCCGTCTCCCGAACCTCCCGTGCCTACCGAGAGTCTCCCAAGTCCAACATTGCCCGTATCCGCAAATCTCCCAGGCACCTTGAGCTGGGCGCTTCAGACTGGTCTTTGACCGGAACCGGTCCCTCATCTACTCAGTCACCATCGAAGGAACGGTTACGAAAGGAGGTTCCCAGCCGCGCACGGGCTGGCAAAACGACTGTCAGAATCGCCCACAACGCCGGAGATCGCTTTATCCCCAACCGATCTGCAAGTGAAGGACTAGTTACGTCTGGAGCTGCCAAGCCCGAAGAAAGCCAACGGCCCAAGACGAGCGGTGGTGGTGATGGGTCAAGTGTGCTGGCCAGTGCGGCCAGCGCCTTTGATATCGGTGGCCGTGGAACCGACGAAGACCTTACAGCAGCTTTGGAGAATCTCGGTTTGGACGACGATGAAAGCTCGACATCATCATACACAAAGCCGGCACCGGACGCCGTGGCATACGAGTCGTCTTTGGCCAATGCTTGCGGTGTGAACCTAAACACCCGCATCCTCGCCTTCAAGCCGCCACCTCCAGAGTCTTCAAAGCCGATTGATCTTCGTGCTCAGTATAACCGTCCTCTTAGGAACGCCAAATCTCAGTCCGCTCAATTCCGTCGCCGCGTCCAGACCGCGCCAGAGCGTGTGCTAGATGCTCCTGGTCTTCTCGATGACTACTACCTCAACCTCCTTGATTGGAGTTCTGGTAACCAGGTCGCCATTGGCCTGGAACGTAATGTATATGTTTGGTCTGCCGATTCGGGGACCGTTAGCTGCCTGTTAGAGACATCTCCTGACACCTATATCAGTAGTGTCAAATGGAGTGGTGACGGTGCTTATGTTGGCGTTGGCCTGGGCACCGGCGAGGTGCAGATCTGGGATGTGGAAGAGGGAACCAAGCTTCGCAGCATGTATGGACATGAATCGCGTGTTGGTGTGATGGGCTGGTCCAAGCACACTTTGTCAACTGGCGCCCGTAGCGGCCTGGTTTTCAACCACGATGTCCGCATTGCTCAACACAAGGTGGCCGAGCTGGTCTCCCACACCTCCGAAGTCTGCGGCCTTGAATGGCGATCCGATGGCGCTCAGCTTGCCACTGGTGGTAACGACAACCTGGTCAACATTTGGGATGCCCGCTCCCTGAGTGCTCCAAAGTTCACCAAGACCAATCACCGCGCCGCCGTTAAGGCCCTGAGCTGGTGCCCCTGGCAACTCAACCTCCTCGCCACTGGTGGTGGCTCGTACGATCGTCACATCCACTTCTGGAACACCACGACCGGTGCCCGCACAAACAGCATCGACACAGGATCCCAAGTCACCAGCCTCCGATGGAGCAACCACTACCGCGAAATCGTCAGCTCGAGCGGTTTCCCTGACAACTCTCTAAGCATCTGGAGCTACCCGACCCTTGTCCGCAACGTTGAGATCCCAGCTCACGAGACTCGTGTTCTTCACAGCTGTTTAAGCCCCGATGGCCAGCTTCTAGCCACCGCCGCCGCTGACGAAAGCTTGAAGTTTTGGAAGATCTTTGAGCGCAAGCCCGGCACCAGTGCCTCTGCCTCGCGCGAGGGCGGCGTTGGAAGCAAGGCGCAAATGACCAAGTCGATGACTATTCGGTAAAGTGGTACATTATATCTCTTTCTTTTTGCATGGTACCCTAGCATGTTTGATCATTGTACTTCGGGTTCCTGGGGCATGGAGTTCTGGCGCAGCCTTCCGGCATTGCATTTAGTTTGACGTATATCAGATTGTCTAGAAGTTGCGAATTCACACTGCATCCTAATCGGCTCTTTCTTCCAGCTGTAGAACAATACGAACGGACTAAGATTCTTCCCAGCGCTCATAGTCGGGGAAATACGCATCATGAATCCTCCCCGTATACTCCAGGACAACAGGAAACCCGAGTATCACTTCCTTCATCTTCGGCCCTCTACGCAAAAAGACCAATTAGCCCAAGCAAACGGAAGAAGGGAAACAAAGGTGGGAAGACATACGCAGTCGAAATCAACCCCGAAACCACAAATCCAAACAGCGCTGCATCCGCCTCGGTCGGGTCATTTCCACCCAAGATCCAGAACGGCCCCTCCTCCTCGCCGTCGCCGTGCGCCTGAGCCTTCTTGGCCTTTGACGCAACGAGCAAGTCGTTCACGGCTTCCCAGACCTCTACGCGGAAGCTCTGGATCTCATCATCCGTGTACCGGCCCGTTCCTTGCCCGTGTAGGGTCTGCAATGTGCTGCGATATATCAGGATGCCGACGAGGATGCGAACCGGGAAAGGGATTGCGCCAAGGGCGTGGTCGCGCATTGTGTGGTAGTTTTCTGTCCATCGCTCGCGAGTCTAGATCCTTGTCAGACTGGTAGAACGCAATGCTGCAGACAGCCTGCGAGATTTGATCTGGGTGTGCGATACATTGTAGAAATAGGCTTTATCCTCAAGAAGAGCGCGGAGAGCGAGGTCGTGGGCTCGCTCCGCTGGAGACAAAGAGCCATTGAGATCCGGGACGATGTTCCGCTCGACTAGGTGTTTGATGATCAGGGTCGAGTCGCCAATGCTGTTTGATGAGTCTTCGTCTGTGATCTCGAGGTAGGGAATTTTGCCCTTAGGCGCTGTCCTGACGGAGCCTGATGCCGCCTTGTAAGGAACATTCGCGAAGCGAAGGCGGGCCTCGAGCTTTGTTACAAAGGGGGACCAGACGTAGCGGTTGGGTTCGAGCCAGCCGCGGTAGATTGTCAGGTTTGGCATTGTTGGCGATGACTCTTACAGATTGTTGGATGCTACTTTAGATACTAGCAGGCGTTAAGCTTTTAAGAGGTGACCTCGGAGGGTTTATAGGCACCGGTAGGCGGCATTTTGGCCCCCAATAGCTGTCGCTATCATGAATGATCATATTGAGGTTGAAGGGTCTCATCTCGTTATCGGGGAGATTGTCGAATACATTCAGCCTTGGCAGAGCTCTCAACACTCGAATGCGTGGCTACTCCGTACAGAGCCTCAAAGAACCCTATGGACAGGCAAGGCGAATAACAAAGAGGCGGTTCGAGAATTTATAAGAAATGACGCTAGGGTGCTGAGTCATCTGCCTGGAGTGCTGGATTTCGCCCGGGTAAAGCGACCCTCATCCGAACCAACACCTATCGCTCTCGCCCTTCTATCTCTTTTCTACTCCCTTTCACTGGGCCAGCGCCGCATTTTAAGGGTTATATCATTCTGTCAAATACATCTCGCTGTTGTCGGGGGACGATATCTACGGGTACAAGTGCTAGTCCCGGTGATAAGATATAGTGACCGTTGGGGAGCTCAACCGCCGCAACCCAGAGGCCTGTGATTGCCGACCACTGCGACGACGAGGCTGTCCAGGCGAAACCGCCTTTTGTTAGGTTCTTGGGCTTTCCTTTTGACTTTTCTTTACTTTTTCGTTAGAAAGTGAGCAAGAAACAATCTCAGAGTCCCTTCTGTTGTCTTCTAAATCCGACGATAATCGCCTACGGACTCCCTTGTCTTGACGTCTTGACGAACAGCACCATGTCGAACCAGTTGGTGGTGAGTGCCATCTAAACACAATTCTACCTTGAATGAGCCAAAGATATCAGCAGTTGCTGCTGGTTCTTATCCCTTACTTTCCTTGTTCTGAGGATGTTTGGCTGAACTGGGTCGTCTCGCAGGGTTCGGTGTTTGAGCGTGTCATCCAGGAGGTGTGCGATGCATCCCAGGTGGATTTCGAAGAGAGTGGTGTGGACCAGCAGACACTTGCAGATTTGCGCAATGTGAGTGTTTTTTCAACCTTTTTTCGCTTTGATGAGATGTCTTTGTTCGTTGAGGGGGAGCCCCTTGATGGGTGACTTGAGTCTGGGCGGGGGAGCCCGAGAGATGCGGAAGCGGCGAATGTCCTGGGGGACTGCCTGCTTTTAGTCTCTTTTTATACCCGCCTGAGGCCGCCAAGCCACCTCACCTCCTCCAGCGCATCTTGACTTCCCCTCTATTTAATTACGGCTCTTGACCTAATCGTCATTCTGATACATCATATGTTACACCCTTGTGATATTTGACATTTGTTTTCTTCTGCTCGGGATTTCTAACTTCGTTGCAGAGCTGGCAAAAGAAGCTTTCCTCTCTTGGAGTCGCTCACTTCCCTTGGGACCCTCCACCACCGCAGCCAGCTCCGGCTCAGCCTCAAAATCAACCGATCCTCCCACCTACAGCGACCGTCCCATCCAACGCTCCTCGTCCTCCTCAACCTCCTGCAGTACAGCAACAGCAACACCAACATGTTCCGCCTCAACAACCACATCCCCAGACTCTCCCTCCCAATATCCCACCTCTTCATGCTCCAACTCCAGTTACCGCTGGTCCCATGGGCCATTCACCGCAGATCAAGACTGAACCCGGTCTGAACGGTCATCCCGGACTGCCTCCCATGAGTCACATGATGGGCGCACCCCCAAATGCACAGTCGGCACGGGAACGGGCGACCAACCTGATCCAGCAGCGCTATGGCGCTGCGGCCGCCAACTCTATCGGCCAAATGCAAGCTCAGCAACCACCTATGGGATTGCCGCGCCCTCCTAATATGCAAATGCCGAACGGCCAAAACCATCAGAATCGTCAGGTTAAGCAAGAGCCTGGCTACCATCCTGTGCCGCACCCATCGATAAGCAACTCGCAAACCGACGGCCCCGCTGCTAATGCGTTGTCAGACTGGAAGGCAGAAGTTGCACGGAGGCGCGAGGCTGCCGAGCGTCAAGATGGCGAAGGTGACCGGGTGCTCCGAAACCACTTAAGAGAACGTATGCTACAATTCGAAGGAGGCGGTCTCATGGTACCCTTGGACGAGCGTGAAGCTCAGCCAAAGACTCGATCAGCCCACACTGCCGGCTCATCCACGATGCCAAAGGCGCAATATGATGGCCCCGGCGGTGATGATACCAAGGAAGAGGACGACGAAGACGCCATCAACTCGGATCTCGACGATCCGGACGACCTAGTTGCTGAAGATCACGATGCTGAAGACGCCGTCGGGCAGGTTATGCTTTGCACATACGACAAAGTACAACGCGTCAAGAATAAGTGGAAGTGCACTTTGAAAGATGGGATCTTGACCACAGGAGGAAAAGAGTATGTTCTATATAGCCAAAGTCAGCAAACGCTCGCTAACATGCACCAGATACGTCTTCCACAAAGGTCAAGGAGAGTTCGAATGGTAGAACCTCGACCATTAATACTGCATCCAGACTGTAGTACCTATCGTACTCACCAACCCTCTAAACAACATTTTGACCATGTAAAATCTCTTTCTCGCCTTTTTCTTACTTGGCATTCGGCGAACTACCACAACAGAACGAAACCCATAATGATTCTTTTCCTCAAATTTACGAAAGACCAACAACACAGGATTATCAACAGAGTAGTGCCACTTAGTTACCTTTGCCTTCTCTTTTACCCCTTTTTTTCGCGCAGCCGGTGTGGATGGCGCTATGCAGGCGGATGATGCAGTTTTTTCCACGATTTCTGTATTAGAACATCTATAGTGACAAATCACATCTCGAAAGTTGAAACTCGGATTCGCTTTGCTGCCCCTCTTCAACCTATTCAAAGAAGTGGCCGAGAGCTGCCATACTTTCTCTACAAGGTCTACGCAGTTGTAAAAGAACACTCGTAAGCAAAAGCAACATGAATCTCGGATTTCCAGAACTTTTTTCTCTGTAGTAACGACGCCTTGAATGATGAAATCGAATGGGAATCAAGAAAAGCCAGAAACAAGCTCTATCAACGAGGATAGCAAAACACCGAGTAGGAAAACACAAACAGTTGTATCTCAAAGACCGTAACAAGCCACGAAAAAGCCACGCCAAGAGAGAAAAGAACAAACCCCAAGCAGTGCAGTTGATAAGTCAGAAACCTGTCTGACACCTTTGTAATGTCTAACCAGAATACATTCACCAATTCTCCTACGTATTCCCTTTTGTCCCGATCGATACCAAAAGTGGGATGCGACAAAAAACACCAAACGCATGTTTCGTCCAACTGACCTAAACCCGATCTAGACACATCATCTCTATGATGAATCTCGGCGCTGTTCTGTCGTGATTTATCGCAGCTAAAGGGAAAAACCACGAAACGTTATGAGTATTAGACCGAGAGGTGAGGAAATCGAGTCGACAAATTGCAGCCCCATAACTGGTCAAGGCGGAGGGGAGAAATGTAAATCGAACAAAAGCAACATTGAAAGAAGATCGTATGAAAGATGTGAGATGCCTCTCCAACCTCGGTCGGTATCGTCAAATCCAAGGAGCCAACTGTTCAAAGACCATCTCTTTACACGGGCAACTGGGCAATATTAACTCCAAACCACCGAACCGGTCATTAAATCGTATGTCACGCGGGGCCGTAAGATTTCATAGAATCGAAATAAGGGGACCGACTGAAGAAGCCAAGGAAAAAATGAGTCAGCAGGGGAGTCTATAAAAGACCTTCCTCGCCGATGCCAGGTAAGCCCGCTCCTGCAACGTTGATGTTCTGTCCCTGCATCACTCCTCCGCCGTAGTTCAAACTACGAGCGGCGGCGAGCTGGAAATCGGGATTGCATGGAGGTGAATGTGACTTGTGGTACTTGAGGCCGTTCAGGTTCTTGTACCGCTTGCCGCAAACTTCGCAGCGATATGGTTTCTCCTTCTCCATGCCAAGGGTACCAGGGTAAGGAGCAGATGTTTCTGGGTTAACGATAGAGAATGTGCCATCAGCATTATCATGCAGTTGTTGGTTATTGTGGCCATGCTAGATTAGACAGTCAGCTTGCGAAACATACTGAAAGGAACTAGTGTCGAAAACTTACAGCCTTGTGGTACTTTAGTCCATTTTGATTCTTATAAGCCTTCTCACAGCCAATTACAGGGCAGCGGTAGGGCTTAGGCTCTTCGTTCGGAAGCAGCGAAGTAGTGTCAGGAACGCCTGCCAAGATTTGCTGTTCGCGTATTCTTCTCGCGATGTCACTGTTGGGCCCGTACTGCGCTCCACTTAGTTTGAAATGGGCATTTGAGGTGTTGATTCCACCAGTGGGGCTAAAAAGTCGTTTCGCGGGCTCGTCAATACACAGGTCCACCATGTCGTTATTCCCGGTGAACCTCGCAAATTGTGGCTGACCCTGCAGCATTGCAGCTTGCATAGAAAGCTCCCCAAATGGATTGATCATGCTGTCGTCGAGCTCTGCAGGGGTCCCAGGAGTTGAGGAATCTGGGGTACCGCGGAACTGTGAATTCTGGAGCGCGTTTGGCATAAGAGTGGGAGTATTGACGGAGGAAACGGTAGGGTTGTTCTGCAGAGAGAGAGGTCGAGCAGATGCTACCGGCGTCCCAGGTTGAGACCCCTTGAAACCCTGGTGACTTGGGAGCATTGACAAGTTCAAATTGGGGAGTCCATGATTCGGGGTGCCGAAACCTTGACTCGAATCTCGCGATGGATTTGTGAATAGCTGGGAAGACGCATCGCCGCCGTCCATGGGTTCATCCATCTCCATGTCATCGATAGTGTCCATGTCGGAAAGTGGCTGGGGTGTATGCATCTGACTCAACTTGCGCTGCATGTCCAGTGTTCTATCCGGCTGTAAGCCTCGATTCTGGCCGTTGCTTTGCTGGCTTGGCTGCTGTGACATCGCGGCAGCAGCGAGCGCGGCGCGGCTGTCTACTTGGCTTGGGCGCTCCCCCGACTTTTGAGCGTGCGCTTCTTCATAATGTTGTAATAGGTCGTGGAGTGTAGGCAGGGTCACACCGCAGCAGGCAAAGTCGCGCATGTAGTTCGCTTCTAATTTGGGTAGATAAGAGGAAGAGTGAAATGAGGGCGATTGGAATGTAGTAAAGGGAGAGGTGCCGGTCATTATGATACTATGGCAGCTCTGGTTAGCTTTCCACCAGGCATGTCACAAGAGGACTTCATATCACAGAACTTACTCATCGCGAATCCAGCTGCCGACAGAAACACCGCCCCAGCTCATGCCACCCACTAAGCTTCCAGCTAAAGACTCTCGGCGCTGCATATCGCGGTTGGCGTTGGACATTGAGATCGGCTTGGTGCCGTTTCCCCATTGCGCGGACCCTGCACCGATGGAATCCTTGCGAGGCACTGGAGGTTTAAACATGCTGCTGATGCCGATACCGTTGGCATTGGAGATGCTGCCCGTACGCTCTGCATGGCTAGCGCCTCGGAGAGCTGATGTCAAGTTCGAAGCCTGCTGCCCCGGAGGAGAGACAGAGGTCTGTCGGGTGGCGATGTCGATAGGAGGAGTTGTGTTACTCGTCATCATGTCGTGTGTGAGAGAAGGCAAGTCGAGAAACGGAAAAGAGAGACAGGGAAGGCTTGGAATGAAGGTAATAGCCCTGGCGAAGCTCCAAGTATCACGGAATGAGTGTCGCTAAAGTGGCAGTGAAGGTACAGGACCTTTTTTTACTTTCCGGTCCGCGCAACGGCAAGCCAAAGCGGGAGGGGAATGGCGACTCGACGAACGATTCGGATGATAAATAGAGGGGCAAGAGTAAGGATAGCCGGGATGAAGGGAGCGGTAAGAGGCGAAAGAGATGAGGTGAGGGTCTGTCTCTCTCGAGGTGCAACGTGCAGCATAAACTTGGCGAGGTAGACGATAGGCAGGTGTTGCTGAGACGAGAGTCCACCTTCCACCCTCGGATAACGTCCCGCTTGCACTGCGGAACTCTGACGGATTCGGGAGGTGGCGGCTTCGTAGCAGAAACGCCGAGTCTATGACGGCTCGGGTAGACGATAGGGAGAAGCAGCGCGGGTGAGGAGCAGTCGATAAAGTCGTATCACGCAGGGCGCCGCTTCTGCGAGGGACAGTAAAGGTGAAAGTAGAAGTACGAGTGCGATGCAGGGAAATTATAATATGATGGGTTGAGGTCAACTAACACTGGGACGGGGTTGGAGCGGTAAGTTTGATTCACTGTTGGATACGCGCGTAATACCGGACCAAGTGCATCCACCGCTCCTCTCCAGCCTGGCGTTTTAGAATTTCGATTCCAGTCCTGCAGCTATTAGTAGTAGTAGTACCATAAGCGCCTCAGAGCTACTTATGAGTCGCTATAGTGTGCCGTGCTAGCCCGTGGATCGTAGATGGCATGATTACGTCGGGTAGACGTGAACTTGAAGCTTCCCGGGGCTGGGTAATGATGTATGGTCAATAACGATCCTCCCAGAGGGTGGAACCAGTATTCACCACGACGATGGGCCGCTTGCAGGCCTTAGTTGGCCTCTAGTGTGCTTCCAGAAAGTCCTTGAGCCAAAGGAGGAACTCCGTCGCCAATTCTACGGTAAAGCCGGCGCCCTTGGCGTATAATTAGGTAAAAAATACTCGCTGTTTCATACCAGCACTTGTGCATCTTTCAACTGGCAACTGCAAAACCCCGATTTCTGGCGAATTTTTCGGTCCTCCTGATGGCAGAATAGATGTTTGGGCTCTGCACAGAACGTCGGACTATCTACTCATGTTGACAAGTTGTCCTCGAAGCTGCAGGTCTTTGGGCTTTGGGATTTAGCCCTGCTTGCATTCCTATGAGTTGTGACACCTGAATCTGACGCTGCAATCCCCCACGGGCTTATCGAGCGATCAAGCGATCAAGCGGACAAGCGGGCAACTTTCGGAGGGGCAACTCCCTCCCCCAATTCTTGGCTCATATGCAACTCCATGGCTCTGTGCTTCACTGCCTACAGTACACTTCTGGAGTGTGAACCTCTGAACTCAACACTGGTAAGTTCAAATTTGGTCCGTACTGAAGCCCCTGAAGCTTCCAAACCTAGTGAGCGTTGCACGTCTTTTTCCGGCTCTTCGAGCCAGTCTTCCATCCGGAATAGCCTTTCCTACTCGGGTGCTGATGAACAGCCATTTGGAGTCCCTGATCCAGAAGGCTCACCATCCGTCCGTTCTTTCGAGTTCGTGTGCAGAGATTTGAGCCTGAGTAGCAGGCGCATTGCCTACCGGGAGAGAGCATGGTTGGAAAAAGCAACCGACGATGAGTATGCGCCTCGCCTTCTTAACTCACTATTATCAATGCTTCGTCCGCTAGTTCCGCGGCCTGCTCGAACCAGATGATATAGCTCTATTCTTATCCCTTCAGCATCAAATCTTACCTAGGTATATAAGTTCTGACTTCACATCGCTTCGAACCATCGACCCCTGCCGGTTGGCCCAAGTTATTCCTCGGGATGGCGGGGATGCGACTTGAACTGGGGATGAACCGGCATGATTTACTTAACTGAGGAATAGTGCGAGATACACTGACGCTAGAGTCATACTAGAATCGTCTCATATTACTCCGTAGTGTATCTTTGCCCCAAAGTATAGTACTCACAGTCACGGAATACACCCTTGCTTTAGGAGAGGGCTGGTATTCTTCGATACCAGATCCACCTCTCGGTCTACCCAGGCTCCGTACTTGTTTCAGTTATACCTCTCCAGCTGCTTTGCATGCATGGGATTTTAATCTCGGCTGTATAGATTCCATTCTGCTCCGGGTTGGCGTCAATAGTTTCGAGTATAAACCTCTTATCTATAGCAAACACAACATCCTTGTACCACCACATCCTAGTGCGATCTATAGTGCGATCTGCCAATGTACGTGCTAAGACCATTATGAATTTATGAATCATTGTGGGGGGTATACGTACTCCAATAATCCCCATATGGGCTGTGTTGCCACTCCCGCCACTCCCCTTTGCAAACAGTACAAACCTCTTGCAGTGGGGCTCAAATCTCAAAATTATCTCCGTCGCGTTTACCTTTGTTGAACGGAGCATTGCGCTGGTCTGGCGGGGTTCCGAACGGCTGCCACTCCCTCTTCTGTCTTTCGTAAAGGCAACTTTGAGCCATCCAACTGTTTGTGAACCGCCATGGACCCCCCAGCGGATTCGAAAGTCGTTCCTGAACATCCAGCGCAAAATGTTGAGAACGGCATTAATCATGCTGAAGAACCGCCTACGAAGAGAGTCAAATTGGACGAATTCAACCCTTATTCTGGACAGCAGAATGGAGAGCTTCCCCCCCAGAGACAGAAGGGCATAGCACCAATCAAGGCAGAGTATGCGATGCCGAGAGCTCTCCGAATCCTACGCTGACACAGACCGACTCACCTTCCAGGTTTCTCATTCCCAAACCTACGCATGCCCAGCCCGCCGACGATGCCGACGATGCCGCCGAAGAATCAGCCTATCAAGACCGCGACGACGAGAAAAAGGGAGGGAAGAAGAAGAAAGGCGGCGGCCAGAACACGAACCGTACGTTCGGGAGGTCGCAAGACGCAAAGGGACTGTGCGCAAGTAGGACTTTCAGCCCAGAGTTCTCGCCGGAAGAGTGCAAGTTCGGTGACAAATGTCGCTTCGAGCATGACCTGCGTGTTTACTTGAAGGAGCACAAGCGCGAGGATCTTACAACTCTAGGCGGGGTTTGCCCCGTTTGGGATGCTCGGGGGAAATGCGCTTCAGGCTGGAAATGTCGACTTGTCGGCTCACATATGACCGAACGGGATACATCAGATGGAAGAAAGGAGTTGGTCCTGGTTGAGGATGAAGAGCGCAAGAGCAAGGCCCGGCCGCTTGTTCCGTTTGCCGGAGAGGACGGCGTGGTGAATGCGACTTCATCAGAGGACAAGGTGGCGCTTGCGAGAAGACGGACACAGACCCCAAAGGCCGATGCTTATACGAGCTGGCTCGACAAGTCCTCCAAGTGGCTAGAGCAAACGCTTCACGGACGCTACCAGGAGGGAGAACAGCCGGTTGGCGAGGACAAAGACAAACAGGAAAGAGAGGACAATCGCGCAACATTCATGCAGGCTCCATTCTTGCCATCCGAGAAGCGTCGACTATACTTTGGACCCGAGACTCCGGCTCTAGCGCCATTGACTACGCAAGGAAATCTACCGTTCAGAAGACTGTGCGTGGAACTCGGTGCACAGCTCACCTACTCAGAGATGGCTGTCAGCATGCCGTTGATTCAAGGCCACAAACCGGAGTGGGCATTGATGCGCGCACACGAGTCAGAAGCACTTCCCCCAACCGTCTCTCCGGGCGACGGAATTGTCCAAGGCTATGACAACTCACAGGACATGAGGTTTGGCGCTCAGATTGCTGCAAGCAAGTACAAGTGGGCCTTGAAAGCAACAGAGGTGCTGTCCGCTCTCACTCCGAATCTGCGGGTGATTGACTTGAACTGCGGGTGTCCTATTGATCTCCTCTACCGTGAGGGAGCTGGATCTGCACTGCTTGACAGTCAATCAAAGCTGGAGAAGATTCTTCGCGGAATGAATGCGGTCTCTGAGAAGATTCCCATTACAGTCAAAATTCGAACTGGTACGAAGGACAACAGCCCGACTGCCCAGAAACTGGTCGAACGACTCGTCCTTGGAGGCCACGAGTCCAGCCTGCTCGGCTGTGGCCCAACTGGCGTTGCGGCTATCACTCTTCATGGAAGAAGCCGACAGCAGCGGTACACGAGAGAGGCCAACTGGGAATACATTTCTGAAACGGCGGCGCTTATCAAGCGCCTCAATGAAAAGACAGACGAGGTTACAGACACCATTCGAGAACCCGAGGAGCGATTGCAGCCGAACGGTGGCAAAACCTGGTTCTTGGGTAATGGAGACTGCTACTCACATGTTGACTATGACGACCATATCAACCATGCCGGAGTAGACAGCGTTATGGTCGGTCGCGGTGCCCTGGTCAAGCCATGGCTCTTTGAGGAGATTCAGGCAGGGCAGTACCTTGACAAGTCCGCTTCCGAGCGGTTAGCATACATTGAAAAGTTCGCCAAGTACGGCATGGAAACATGGGGAACGGACGAATACGGCTTGGGCATAACTCGACGCTTCATGCTGGAGTGGCTGAGCTTCGCATCACGATATGTGCCGATTGGACTGCTGGAGTATTTGCCTCCAAAGCTAAACGATCGACCTCCGTTCTGGAGGGGTAGGAATGACTTGGAAACGCTAATGGGCAGTACGAACTACAAGGATTGGATCAAGATCAGGTAAGTTTATATAACCAAGCTGCCGCTGCTCGATGCTAACAGGACTATAGTGAAATGTTCCTTGGCCCAGCCCATAAGGACTTTAAGTTCGAACCCAAGCATAAATCAAAATCTTACGAAGCAGAAGGATAATTGATACAGGTATATGGGGCTATTGTATATATCGATCTAGCACCAATCAAAATAGAATCCTGAGGCAGTCTTCCAGTAGATCTAGATCGGTATCACGTGTAATTCTAAAGTACATCATCACGTGACTAGACAGCAGCTCAATCTGAATTTATGACGTCTTCTCGCCTTGGAACCTGCTAAAAGACCACCTCATCTCTCCTTCGTCCACCTGAAAAGGTTCCTTCTCAAATACTTTCAGTCTTCGAACCTCTCCTTTGAAGACACTCTACAAGCTATTTCTTTGAACCTAAATCTTTGCTCACCTTTTGAGTGACAATTATCTGTCGCTGAGCCTTTGTTTACCTTTTTTTCAACCTCCCCTCATCGCATACCTTAGCTCTCGAATCGATTAACGAAGCTTTCTAAACGAGTCGAAATTGACACTTGAGCAAAATGACGCTCTACTACAGTCTTGTAAGTATTATGGGCCGATCCTAAAGTTCTCGTTCTCGAGGCATTGGCGCTGGGTTTGACTGCAGCCTGGAAATTGGGCCTCGGACCATCCGGCTTCAGGTTTCACGAACTAACTATTTCGCAGGTCTTTTGCCTACTCGTCTTCGAGATGGCCGTGTTTATGGGCTTGATCGTTCCCCTTCCATTCACGGTCAGGCGGAAGCTGTTTGCCTTTGTCTCCGAAAGTCCTATAATAGCCAAGTTACAGTATGGGTTGAGGGTAAGCCACTGTGGTTTTTCGGTGGAAACTCCATCCTAACTGTGAATTAGATTACCTTTATCTTCATCCTCATCCTCTTCATTGACAGCGTCAACCGGGTATATCGTGTGCAGCTTGAGGTTGCTGCATTCGGCAAGGAAGGCGGCAATATGGGGTACGTTTTCTCCTCTTGACTGCACATTTCTATCGACTCGAATGCGCTAATTGTTCTGTTAGCAGAGCGGCCGCACTCGGTACCGATCGCATGGAAGTCCAGGCCCGCAAATTCTACTCGCAGCGCAACATGTACCTGTGTGGATTCACCCTCTTCTTGTCCCTGATTCTCAACCGTACCTACACCATGATCCTCGAGACCCTCCGTCTAGAGGACCGCATCAAGCTTCTCGAGGGTGACAAGCGGGCCGGTGGCAAGGACTCCGCTCGTCTTGCGCAAGCTGGTGACATGGGCGAGATCGGCCGTCTGAAGAATGAGCTCGAGGCCAAGGAGCGCGACATTGAAACTTTAAAGAAGCAGTGCGAGGGTCTCACTAGGGAGTATCACAACTTGGGTGACCAGGTTGCAGGAAGCAAGAGCGAGGACGGCCCCAAGAAGGACCTATAACTCTTGACCCTCCAGCTCCGCTTCTAAGTGGATTAGTGCTGTCTGTTAGGTGGCGTATCTAAGCGACCCCAACTGTTGCGAATAAGACAGCATATGAAACTCGGTTGCACTCTCCTGAGGGAATGATCTTGCGACTGTTGACGGGTCAGGTGATTTCCAAGCTTCCCGCCGCTCCGGGTACCTAGTATCGGCGAGGACGGACGACGAACGGGTTCATGCCGTGCTATCTGGAATTTGTTATTTGTGCCTATTTATGAGGCGTTTAGGTGATGGAGTGGTGAGTGGGTACATAGGTATACGGCGTGTCATGCTCAAAACGGAAGCGTTCAATATGATCTTTGAAGTTCTAAAGCCGCAGTTCATTGCGCTATGCGATGGATATATCCCAGAGTCTGTTTGTACTAGTAGACACCGCCAGTCGGTCCGAAAAGATTAAGCACAACTGTTGCTAGAACAACACATGATCTCAGTATATATATATATAAAAAGACAGGCAGCAGTGGGAAGAATCGTCATCTATCCAAATCATTGTCTCGGTGAATAAAGTATTGTACAATTGGTCGCGCCTGCCCATTAATTCAGATTTGTAGACAACCTTAAGAAATAGCCACACAAGACCCATCATTGCTCTTTCCCCATTTGACCAATCGAGTATATGAGGAAGGAACGACCGACGACCTCGAGGGAACGCCCTTTCTTACTTCATTCCAGGAAAGAGCGACCTCTAACCCCGCCGGGGGTCGTGCCTTCCTCATCTGTCTAGTTTGGATATACAGCATGGAAGGAAGGAGCTACCCATGCCCTGTCGTCGCTCTTGCCTCGGCTGACCAGGCGCATAGGGACGGGAGGGACGACCGGGACCTCACTCCAGCATTACCACGCTCCTCCTGTTTCGTTCCAGGAAGGCGCTTCGGGTACCTGGGTAGGTAGTCGCGCCTTCTGCGTAAACCTAGTCTATGCTATCTCGCGCCACGGTAATGTATTATCGTCCTGTAAGAGCGATCTCGGTGTGCTGCGGAAGGGCATCTTTCCTGCCGTTTGCATCATGACTCATGACTAGGGCCGCGTCGCATCAGTGTGTAAAGTCAACGGAAGGGGTTGGGTGGAGGGCGCCAGTGAGAAAAGCGGGAATTGCCAAGCTCCGGCGGAAGGTTTTGTCCTGAGGCATAACCGGGGTTCGCGCTGTGATGCTGAAGCAGGATGCATGGTCCCGTCCCGTGGATGGGATTTTCTGCAAGTTCTAGGGTTTGGAAGAGAGTTACTGGTAGCCTTAGAAGAAACACGGCTGTGGAGGTGCTCCCGAGGCTGGTGGAAGTGGCACCAGCGTGGATGAGTGAAGGCGAGCGGAAGCAGGGGCGGGTTCCGGGGGAAGTTGTCAGTTGAGGGACCTTCGGGGTATGACAACGGGGGAATATCCTGGGTGACGATGAGAAAGTCTGTGTAAGACGGGGAGTCGAAAAGCACGTTGAACTCTGAAGTTTGAGCGAGCTGGGCACATGGATGGTGTGCCAGTCTGCCAGGGGAACGGGGGAGTGTGGGGGAGAGCTTGGATTGGATAGGGTGGGCGCGGAGACGGCCGTTATTTTGGGGATGACAGAGTTGGTCGGGAGAGTATGACAAGCTCTGCTCCCAAGTTTGTGTATCGTACCAGGGGACTGGACCAGTCTTCTTCATTGTTTGTTCTCAATTCGTCAGAGACTCCAGAGGAAAACAAACGAATGGATGCTGGAACCATGGACAAGCAAACTGGAGCTCGTTACGCGCCAAGGCAGATCAGGGAGGCTTAGCAGCCAGAGCTAGGCAACAAGCGACCCAAACTCCGGTTTCCGGCGCTTTGGCCCAGGGACCGTCTGGGCTCGAATCGAGGGCTCAAGATGATCAATTTGCCAAGAACCGACAATCACATCATACGGATTGTTGCGTATTTTGATTTCTAAGACTGATCTGCTTCTGACGTGTACACTGTACAGTAGTAGCTCAGCCATCTTATCACACTAGAATTACGGCATCGCCTACTCGATACTGGTGTGTAGGATAACGTAAAGTCAGGTGAGCAAGGGTGTCCTCTAGGGGCAAGGCCAAGCGTAGCCAAGAGACACGAAGGTTCCAAGTGGTCATCATAGCCAAAGGTTAACTTACAACATCCTCGCACTCTACGGAAAGATGTAAACACGGGAGCCTGGGGGAGTGGCGGGGCTGGCCGTGGGCAAAAGAAAAAACATCATATGATGCAGATTCAGACAGAGGTTGAAGAAGGCTCTCGAAGGACGGATCATATGACCACACCCCACCTCCGCAGGAAAAAGAAACAATATTCTGAAAATTTGAAAGGAAAGCTGACGCCGTCGGCGGGTTGCGATAAAGTCCAACAGTGCGAGCCAAGAGGCGCAACCTAACACCGAATGGACAGAAATGCCGAAATGGAATGTGCCCCAGCAAGCCTCGATGTATAGGAGAGAGGATTAAGAGCCCGCCCATCGGCAGATGTGTCCTCGTTGTTCGTAATCGATATGCCACTGGAACTCCAGCTGGGAGGGCCCCAGGATGTCGGTTGGAGAGGAGCAGAAGTCCGCTGCAGGCTGCATTGCTTGGAGGCTATTTTGCTTTTTCCAGTTATTGACTCCGTCGAGCACTTGCCGAGAAGGCGTCTTGTGATTGGTTGGCGTAGGCTATTTCGGTGTAGCATCTGGGCAAGTGGCCCAGGCGGGTGAACACAGATTAAGTTCCATGCAGCAAGATAACCTAACTTGATCCTTTGGATTCTCCCACTTCCCCTCCTTGTTGCCACATTTTTCGCTTCTGGGAATCTTGGGCGGGCTGGGCCCACGTCTCACCACTGACCAGAGATCTGGAAGCTCTGAGAGTCGTGTAACTTGGATCTGAGATTGCGTTGAACGGTCGAGAACACATTCTGGGTACTTTGTTTACAACCGTCTACAGCGAGATTACCAACTCTTATTGTGAGGATCTCACGAAAACGGTGGTCAGGGGTAAAAATCTCGGCTATCATTGCTTGGCTGTGGAACATCGAAAGATGCAATTTATCAGATCACCATTGCACAGGGCTTGGCGGTTTATCAAGTTGCCTCTTGGCAGTTATCCATCAGCGCCCCTCGCTTCATCTCCTGTAGCCCTCCGATTGTCCGCTAGGCGAAGACAAGCGGTACGGAGTAGTGGTATCATATGCGTCATAGGACAAAGGATGCTAGTAATATAGGAACCCAGAATGGAAAGCAACAAAAGGTACGCAAAAAGAAAGACTCAAATCCATATCCACCAAATAGAGACTTCATGGTCGTGTCCAGCGCGATTCGAGACTCCAAGGCGGAGATCGTCGCTAGCATTTAATCATGGCCTAGGTAGAGGAAGCCACCAGGAAGACGAGAGACATTTCGGCTGAGTCGGCGGGTGTTGCTGCCGCTCGAGGACTGGCTGTCAGAGCGCTCGCGCACGGGCGAGTGGGGGACAATGTCGTGGCCGAGAAACAGGAAACCGCCAGGTAGGCGTGAGACAGTGCGGCTGGGTCTGATGCTGCTGGCACTAGAGGATTGACTGTCGGAGCGCTCACGCACGGTAGAGTATGCGTTGGGAATGTCGTGGCCGAGGTAGAGGAAGCCACTGCGTCGGCTGGCGGTAGAAGACTGGCTGTCGGCGCGGTCACGCACAGGGGAGAAGGCAATCTCACTCTGCTCGCTGGTAGTTGCGAGAGGAGCGTGTTGGATGGGAGCCAGGACAAGGAACTTTTGGTTGGTGGTGTGGGAGAACATTGTGCTCGGTTATTCGCGGGTGAACCAAATAGAGGGGTTGATTTTGGAGTGGAGAGGGGTTGAGAGGTTGAAGATGGAGGGGAGAGTTTTTCTTGAGGAGCTTGAGAAGAGTGTTGTTGAAGACACCATTCGGTCGGATTCGGCGCCCTTTTTATACATGTGGGAGAGGCAGCCAAGAGCCGGGAGGGGTGACCAAAAAGGGTGTCGATCAAGCGCGGAATCCAGTGTCCGCTCGGTCAAGCACCACGAAGGTTTCCCAGGCCCAACGGGTGGACCAAAAGACAAACACGCTGTATTCCGTATTTCACATGCCTGGACCGGTATTATTAGGAACAAGAGGGCTGAAAAACGTCATTGCCGGCAAGCCCCCTGTTCCAATACAGGTCTTGGCTGAGATGATCCGCTTTCCTCCATAAAGGAAATACCCCACCAAGCTGGGGTTGTGTATCAGCTTGCGCAGGGCCCCTAGGTCCTATGCCGCCATTGGGCGTCGGCGCCGGTGGATTCTCAGAGGTTGTGACCTCAAATCAGCACAAGCACCTGGGCCGACGCGTATCCGAAAACCCTGCCTCGGATGATCAGCGACCAGGAAGTGCAGCCAAGAAACGTGCCCTGACTATTGATCTGGATTGATCTGGCTGCCGCTTCAGTTGCAAGAGCGTGGGGTCGCTTGTCTGCAGAAGACAGCATCGTGCAACCATTAAGCTCTGGACTCTTCTCCGATGCATTCTTTTGTATCCCCTTAAGCCCGCATGACCCGATCTATTGTTTGGTCGTTCGCTTGGCTGCAGGCTATCTCGCATAGTTTCCACCGGCTAATCTCCTCGTCAAGATCACGCGTGCCATACGTGGACTCTGCCATAAAGTGGGTTATGTAAGTAGGTAAGCAGAGATTCAAGGGGGATATTTGAGCATATCTCACCCTCGCTCAAAACCAGTCAACGGACGAATTGAGGGCATGATGTTGTATTGCTCGAGGGATAGAAAAACGTTCAGGCAGAATTGGGAGCCACATCAGACAAGACTACGTTTGTGTTTATCAGTGGCTTTCCCCAGAAGAGGTGAGCTAAAGAAGAGCAGTTCTTGCCTTTCTTTAACGGCTGCCAGGAACGCACAGTCACGTGCCACGAGCCTCCTGCGGCGCCAACAAGCTCCAGGCAAGGCGTTCTCGACACTTGCCGGGGCTGCATTCCCCGAGATTCATTGAGCGCCTATGGTTTTCTGCTCTTGAAGAGACGTCGATCCAACAGCGGCTATGAACCTGCTGTGCCGCAGGGGTGAACCTGTCGATTGTCGCTGTTTTAGCGCCTCAGCCCTTTGCGCCGTATCGCCTTGGTCACTTTGTCGGTGGCGCGGATCCCCAGCGGCTCAACATTCATAGAGACGACCTATAGGCCGGAGAACGCCTGGCACGAAGAAAAACGCCTCGAGAACTGATACCTCTGTTCGAATGATCATTCTCAATGAAAATTTTCCTTCTCTAGACGACGTTCATCATCGGCTCCATTGATCGTGAAGAAGCGACAAAAATTCATAGGCCGAGAATGCTTCGTCACTAGCACACTAAGTTAGCGATTATACACTCTGTCGGTATCACACACCAACACTGCATCGCTGAATGCCTCCATTTACTCATTTCGACCAAGCTCGGCTCCCAATTTTCGTCTCTTATGCAGCGAGAGCGCGAGATTTTGAGATTAGAGCTCGGCATAAGAGAGCGCAGTAGATGGCGAGTGGTGGGGAAGCATGTTGAGACTTGCAGGTATCACCAACTGCGTCAAGTACCAAATGCTGCATACATTGGTCAGTTGCAAAGTATCGCCTCCTAAATGCTGTGATGACAATGTGATTCTTGCAGATTGGCCTTTTAGCCTCTCGGCCTCTCCGTGAGGTGTACGCAAGTGCCCGCAAGATCCTGGGTCGGCCCCGGAAGCTGCGTACCTGTCTTGCTGTGGATGCGAGATGCGGAAACGTCAGGGAATTGCGGCACATACCCCTGACAGGCGCAGACCATGACAGTTCATGTGAACCAACAGGCATGGGAACAAGGACTGGTGGTCGTGTGTCCTCTGGACTCTTGATATCAGAATGACCATATCAGGATGACCATATCAAACCGTCGGATGCCAAGTTCATGACGAATAGGTCTCGAGAGAAGAAGGGCTCGGTCTCAATAAGAGGGCTCGGTCCGTTGCCTGGCGCTGCCTAGTGTTCGTCAGATGCTCGATCTAGGGAGTAGCCGGACTGCGGCATGACCTCGAACAATGATAGAACTGTTGGTCACATACGAGCACTGATTCGACAAGGGGAATGTTGGCCTCTTCTTATTTTTCAAAATATCTCTTTCCCAGCCGCATACGTGACTGGCTGACAGAGACAGCACAGTGCCTTCAACATGATGTCAAGCCTCTTATGATGCAGTCCGGGTTTAATGAAGCTCATAGGCAAGGATTCCGATTTAATTCTGCCGATGAAGCAGACCAGTACCTTTCCCCCATTTACTTTACAAGGCAAGGAGTGCTCCTCTAGGCAGCCCCCCGGTAGCCTCCATCTGCACAGATGATCCGCAGTACCGCCAATCTCTTTAGAAGTGGAAGAGTCGGGCTGCAGTAGACCCCGAGGATAATTTGTGGATGGAACCATTCGTCGAGATGCTTCCATTTGAGTGTGATAGACGTTGAATCACCAACCCCTAGGCCCTTTATGTCTTAAGGGTGTCTAGGAATAAGAGAACATGCATCAGTAGTTACCGTTCGCTTTCACTTACCACCTGCAGCCCCCGTTCTTCCTTCGCCGTTTCCCTGTCGATTTTTTTATTATTTTAATTTTACTTATACCTTCTGAGCCACTTGTTCATTCTGTCATACCCACTGCCGTTGCTTCTTTTGTGTTGTTTTGTATTGAGAGTTGCTGCGGCGCAGTCAACGAGGAAGCCCTGCTCTATCCTTTGGCGATTCCCCCCAGCTGCGGTGATTGCATTATTTAAGACCCTCACCACCCGGCGAGTTTGAGCAGAACATCATCAACCATCAACTCTTCACTCGAGCTTTCCTCAAGCAACTCTCGAAGAACTATCTCTTTCCGAACCTGCACAGCTACAGTCACTCTTCGGCTGCTCTTTGGCTCATTTCCTCTACCGGACCCTCACGATGTGTTCCCAATACATCTACGAGTACGACTGCGGTTGCAGCATTCCTGAAGGCGATGTCGTCCACTGCGCCAGGCGAGGCACATCCTGTACCGGAGTGCGCGAGCAGATCCGCCGGCGAACAGGTTATAACTGCCCAAAGCATGGCGGCTAGCCATTGCTACTGAGGTCTTTTGAAAGTGAGTCCATCTGGATGATTCCTTAAAGCACAGCCCCGACGACCTGAAACTCTTGTTGAAATTCGAGGTATCAAAGACAACGAAAACATCATTTCTAACATCTATGCCGCATAGAACAATGACCGTCGTTTCTGCTATCGAAATGGTCTAGTTGTCGGGGAGGATATTTGTGGTAGCGTTTTGTCAAGGGACATTGGGAATGAATCAGGTCGACAGTTCGACAGCGTGTCTCGGCCCCCTCGAGCTTCCTGACCGCTTCAAATGGACGTGTTCTAGGCAGTTCTGAGGGAGCCAGGACAAAGGGACAGTCGATGCAGTTCTTCTCGTTGCCCCATTTCCATGCTTGTACTTCTCTTCTGATACGTGGTTCTTTACCAAGCCTGCAGCATAGTCTGTATTTTTTCTGTATCTCTTACTGCCACTGTGAGTATCACAGCTTTTGGTCTCACACTGCACTGTCTTGCCAGTTTATCTCTGCATGTTATTGATATGCTTATCTAAGCAATAAAGTCATTCAGACAGCTATCATTTGCCCCTACTAAGTAGTAATGCTCCATTGCGGACTGTATTGAAGGCCGGGGAGGCAGGCAGGACCTGGCTTGTGGAGCAGCAATAAGTCTCAACAATTATTCAGTCCAGGGCTCCCCGAGCCCTCCAAATGCCACAGACGGCTCTAACGGCATGGCCTACAGGAAAAAGACCACGTGAGCGGGCAGCTGTCATAATTAGCGAGCCTTGTCCCATCACATCTCTTTGTCTCGGACTTTTCTGGAAGAAAATGCCAGCAATAAGCTTGGAGATACTCCGGGGACACCGATGAGGGAATGACGATAGGGGATTTGACGAGGCAACGGCCTCTAACCGCCTCACTTTTCACCAAATGTGCGTGATTTCGCGTACCTTAGAAGGCGTTTCGTCTATGTGCGCGGGCGTGCGAGGCAAGAGAAATTTTATTTTATTCTTGGTCAGGGATTTATTCCCATGGTCACCTATGATTAGCACCATGCAGCAGTTGGGTGCATTAGCACCGCAGACAACTCTCATCATCTGATCGAATCGTCGAATCGGAAGGCGGATTGGAGGGGTGCACTGGGCTATCCAGTGGCGATCGAGACGCACTGGAGCCAACGGAGACGCGGGAGGAGGGGAAGGACAGACAGAGGAGTAGTGACGGATGGTGGTTGGCGCGTAAACCGATTACTCTTCTCGCTAACTATCCTCGGAAGGTGTTTGCAGCTGGGGGAACTTGTGATTTTGCGCTCAAGTTTCAGGCCCAGAACCTTGCTGTGACTGTGAGATTCATTTCCGTGTTTTGCTGAAAGTTCGAGTCAGGAGCGGCCGCAAAACCAAGACCAAGAGTTGACGATGGAACTGCGGGTTAGCGACGGACGATTTGCAGGTGTCATCAAAGAGGCAATCCGAAGGATGTGGCGCACCTTTGTCGACGCCAAGAGGGTTATCACAGTCAGTTTCGTGAAAGAAAAGTGACGCGAGGAGTTTCGAGCAGGCTCCTGCTCCACAGATAGGCGGCAACGGAACTGAGAAAAAAAAAGCTGCTGTGATGGAACTTGGAAGAGCCAGTCGGGGTAAAATATAAGCCAGGATCAAGGGGGAATGAGGTTAATAATAAGAGATAAACGTGAAAGGGTGGGCGAGAATCCACCCGTTCATCCTTTTCAGTGTAGGAGACGATCAGTACACCAATAACAGCTCCTGAATTCAGAGCTCGAGTGTTGGATCGATCTTAGGGCCGCGACGATGCGGATATATCGTGGCTAGAACCATGGTTCCGTTGCAGTCTCATGGTGGCCGAGCCCCTGGGGAATTCCTTGTGTTGAGCCATCTAAGACAGGAGTCATTTCGGAAATGCGGAGTGCTCAGCACCGGGTGTGTTCATAACGTTTATGAATACGTGGTGCTTAATAAAGAGGAGGAGCGGGAGCGAAACGAGGCCACGAAGTGACTGATCCATAGTACTGGGTCGGGAGAAAACCTAAAGCGGTGTGAAAACCGGTTACAGGAAAGCAGGCAGCACAAACCGCTGCTGGGCAAAAGGGTAGGTACCTATTAGGCCCAATTTTACCCTGGAAGAGGCATTGTGTTGGAAACGGTGCCTGAAAGATGTTGTTGTCGTTGTTGTTGATGCAGGTTGAAGTTGAGGCTGTTGCAGACGTACCTGATCGCTGGCTGGCCCTTGCTCCTGTCACGTGATGGCCTCGAACCAACAGTCCAAAACCGTTTCCCCAAACCAACAGTCCAATTTCCCCAGACTTGCTAATTTGCCCTAAGCCAGCCATTCATCATACGCTTCACATGTGATGTCCATCGAGGTCGATTGGGGGACTGCAACCTCTGGTCCAGACGGCGAGGCTCTGGCTGAGCGTATCCGCTCCTTCATCCACGACAAATTCCAGCAGGTGCCCCTCCCACGATTCATCCGCTCTGTCCAAGTCCATGCCTTTGAGTTTGGAACCATCGCGCCTGATCTCGAGATCAAAGACTTTTGCGAACCGTTTGCCGACTTTTACGAAGATGACGACGATGACGCGGCCTCTGACATCTCGGAAGAGTTGAGCCACGACGATCTGTGGCATGGAACGCAATCCGAGCTCAACGAGCCCTCCTCCTTTCGCGAAGACGTACCGATAACTAGACACCATCATAGCCTTCGAGATCCCTTTGATACCGATCATCGCCGTCTACCGTCCTCCCCGTTACGCTCCCCAATCGCTCTCGGAGACCACCTCAATCCTCACTTCTTGCCTCGCGCCGGTACACCAGGTATTCCCGGCGGAACTTCGACATTGGGCTACCACCTCATGTCTTTGGGAGGCCTCTCGGGTACGCAGACTCCTCTCGCTGCCGTCGCAGGTGGCTCTCCATTTGCCAACAACTGGCCGGACTCGACGGGACATGGGAACAGGGGCGGGAATCGACCGTCCGCGCACCACCGCCCCGACGCAGATATCGACTCTAGCAATCCGACCTCGCGTCCCTCAACAGCAAGCACACACCCCTCCGGCTCAAAAAAGAATAGTCGGGATGGATCCCATCACCCAGATGAGCATCTTGCCGACGATCCAGCTCATCCCTCTGGTCCCCTCGGCCTCCCACCTCGCATGCGAGAGCGCCGGCCGGAGGATTTCCAAGTCCTCTGCCACGCCAAATATGCTGGTGATATCAAAATATCTTTGACCGCTGAAATACTTCTCGATTACCCCATGCCCAGTTTCGTCGGGCTTCCTCTCAAGTTGAACGTCACCGGTGTAACATTCGACGGCGTCGCGGTAATAGCCTATATCCGCAAACGCATTCATTTCTGTTTTCTCTCTCCAGAGGATGCCGATGCACTAGTTGGCTCCCCTAGTAACGACCACAGCCAACAAGACTCCGGTCCCGGTTCGGACCTCAAACAAAAGGGTCTCGGCCTTTTGCAAGAAATCCGAGTTGAGAGCGAGATTGGCCGCAAGGAGGACGGGAAGCAGGCTCTCAAGAACGTCGGCAAGGTCGAGCGCTTTGTTCTTGCCCAGGTGCGGCGGATCTTTGAGGAAGAGCTTGTGTTCCCGAGCTTCTATACATTTCTTGTTTGATATTGTCATATTTACAACTGTATATTATCATAACGACCGGTTACAGAAAAGGGTTACGGAGCAGAAAACCATACAACTATTTCATTATCTATCTACTATACTACCCCGAAAATCAGTCTGAGCAGGAAGATCAGTAAAAGAGAAAAATGTAACCGTATTATATTACCCTTAAATAGGCCTCGAGGTAGAGGAGCAGAAGATGATGACGATGATGTGCGCCACGTCGAGAGGGACTTGATACAAGGTGTGGTAATGGACCAAGAGCAAAGCAACCGCTAAGATGAAGAAGAATAGGCAGGCAGGCAGGGTCAATTTACAATGGGCCAGGGTTATAATGACAGGAAGAAGGATATGGGATGAAGAGAGATGAAAAGAAAAGCAACAACAAAGCTGTGACAAAGGAAATAAATGGGCAAAAGCAAAAATTTATTCTGAACATGGAAAGGTGAAAGGTGAGAAACGCAAACATGCTAGGGGATATACATGCGGGGAAGAAAAAGATGGCTGCTGGTACAACAGAGGACAAACCGATAGCTACAAGCAACAGAAGGGGACAAAAGTTGCATGGGTATCACGGGGGTATCCAAATAACTTCTCTGCTCTCTCAACGCTGACATCTTTTGAGCCTGGCCGACTGTTTTTCACCAGGAAAGCGTCAATCGAAAACGCACTGACGGACCCAACCTCGATTGAATCCTGGGTCAAGTGCGGGCAATACAACGTCTTGCAGCATTCTTGAATCTTCGGCTGTATAGAGAACAAGAAGCAAAAGGTATCAAGACCAGAAGTATTGGTCTCTTGGTCCATGCACAGACCAAGAAGAGAAGCTGAATCCGGTCCAAATCGGACGGGAAGATTGGAAGAAAAATGATTATAAAATACGAACAAGGGGACTACCGCTCATCCCCAGCTCTGGACTTTGCCCTCCGACGGAAAAAGTCCATGACTTTTCGGGCTGCTCCAGAACTACCGGAATGGTGTGACAGGTCACGCTCGTACTCGTAGGCATCTGCAAACTTTCGATGATTCTTCTGTAAGACACCAGGGCGGTTCGAGGATCGCCCGGTTTGCATCGATACCCGCGAACCATTATCATGGACGCCGTTATACTCATCATAGTAGTTGGGCGTTGAATGGTTGGCATATTGATTCCGGTAGTAGTGGTCAGTCTCGTTTTGGTGGATCTGTTCAGCCGACGCAGCACCATATGACGGTTGGTATGATCCGCTGTTGTTCGAGTGCAGCACGGCAAACTGCTGGTCGATGCGCGCCTGATAATTGACGGGCTCATCGTGTGTGATGGCATCATCGGAAGGAGCACCTTCAGGCGGCACAACGGCCATTGTATCTTGGGCGCCGTAGCTGGTGGCTCGCGTACGTGTAGGTAGAACTCCTGTTGAGGGACGCTGGTTGACACGGTTGTCCAAGAAACGGTCCGGTCGTGAATCTTCATCAGGGGTCTGTGATCTGCTTGAAGAGGAGAGGCCCTTTAATGAGAATGAAGGTGGCAGTAAAGAGAAGCGACGCGGCCTGTTCTCGCCGCCGGTTTCGCTTGTCTTGCGGTTAGAGACAAACTGGCCTGAGCGCCGTGAGTCCATCGAGGCCCGTCCGTCGTCGCCAGAATACGGATCTCTCATGCTCGTAGGTGGGTAACGTTTGCCAGTCTTTTGTTTCGAAGCACTTGGCTGACCACGGCCCCCAAAGATAGAGCCTGACCTCCCAAATAACCTCTCGCCGATGCTCGAGACAGTATTCGATCGCTTGTGGCCCTTTGGAGGCTCTTGCCGCGGCGTCGTATTGAACCTGGAGGGGAGGTTTTGTGAACTTGAAGGATCCATATCGGGAGAATGCATCGCATCCTGCTGAATCGGTGCGGAAATGACGTATTGCTTGCTCTTCGGTTGGGCGAGTCGGCCTTGAGCATTGGTCGCTGCCACAGTAGGCGCCACAGGTTGCCCGTACGATCCGCGCGACGGTAACCGTCCAGCGTTGAATGAAGCCATCGAGCCACCGGTTGTAGGTCGGGTGGCTTGAGTCGTCGCAGGTTGGGAAGCTGTTCCTGTAAGGGCCGCTGAATCGGACGTGGAGCGAGGTAGATGGGTGATCGGTGCTGATGGCTGGGCTGATGATTGGGCTGGTGCAGCCTGAGGAGGGCCCCTCTGTGCAACTTGCTCGGGAGCACCCTGCACGTTGGCGTAATCTTGACTTGGAGGTTTTGTCCGAGTCGAAGTCGGCTCTACGGGCGAAACATTTTGAATAGTGGCGCTGGAACCGGCTGATGTTTCTCCACGGGATGTCTGAGATTGGGGAGCAACATATTCCACTTGAACGGTCCGGCGTTTTGTATCGCGGGGTGTTTTGGATCGGTCGCTGTGGTCCTGTGAGACATCTCCCGCATGATGTACCAAGCCTCCCACGGAGGGACTTGAACCGTGATGTGTCTTGGGCGGTTCTCGGACTGACGCACTGCGAGCCAGTGACTGGCCTTCTCTAGGTTGTTCTACTAAAGTCAATACGGGGTCGGTGATGATTATATCAGGGGCCATACCGCGGGACACGGTGGTGGTTGAAATGTCAGCCACCTTGGTTGTACTACTGGTGATGTGTGAGACAATGTCGGAGTACTCGCTGAGCCAACTGTGTCGCGCAACCTCAAAGAGATCCGCGCGTTTTCGTGGATCCGGGACCAATATCCGTCTCAAGAGGTCACGGGCATGAGGCGTCACATATTCGGGGAAAGTGAGCGGGGTTGTCACAATGTATTTATACAACAGGTTAATGTTATCACCATCAGGATTCGCCGGGTCGTCGTCAAAGGGGAGGTATCCTGCGAGCATAGCGTACTATTGCCGTTAGCACAGCAAAAGAGGAGAAGTAAAAAAGGTGGCCATACCAGAATAACACCACAACTCCAAACATCTACTTTTCGTCCAGTATAGAGCGAATCGCTCACGACAAGCTCCGGGGCGGCATAACAGGGGCTGCCACAGCTGGTCTGCATGAGATCTCCCCTCCGCATTCCCTTGGCGTTGGGCTTGTCTAAGCGCGTCCTCTTCACGAATTCCTTATTCGTGAGATTATATTCAATCTCTTCGCTGAGCTCATCACTAGCGTCAAACGTGTTGGCGAATCCAAAATCCGTGATGATGATATTGCGATTCCGGTCCAGCAGCAAGTTTTCCAACTTCAAGTCACGATGAACGATACCCTTTTTGTGGAGATAGCCAACTCCGGATACAAGCTGTGCAAAGAGACGTCGAGCGGAGTTGTCCTTCAAGTACTTGTTTCTGAGAATGTGGTCAAACAGTTCACCGCCAGACGCATACTCCATGATGATTCCGATATGGCGATCCGTCTCTACCATTTCGTGAAGTCGTACGATATTTGGATGCGAAAGGTCCCGCAGAATCGAGATCTCCCGGTAAATTTTCGGTAACCGAGTTGGATTATTCCCGAGCGACTCGCGGCGGATAAGTTTGATGGCCACTTCGACCGAGCCATCTCGCTTCCATCCCAATTTAACTTTGCCGAATTCACCCTCGCCCACTGTTTGTCCGAGAATATACTGACCAAACGTCGTTTCTTTGCGCTTAATGGTGTGTTCAGTGAAGTCTTGTCGGCTCGGTAGGTTACTACTCTGTGCGCCATCATCCTCCACACTTTCCAAGCCGAGTCCTGGGGCGCTCGCGTTGGATGGGGATACTGATGTTCCTGCTTGTCGGGCGTGTTCTCGTTCAATATCGACAGCCGGGTCGCTCACTAGAACTTGATTAATGACGGTACTTGACTCCTTGACCAACGTGCCCTGACTCGGATTTGTCTCCAAGAGGTCTTCGGGGTGCGCAGAGCCCTGCCCATATTTGCTCGGTCCCCTTGATGGATCCTCGGACGTTGTGACAGCCTGACGACGCGAACGAGAATCGTCACCTTTCTTCTCACGGCGGCTCCGCTCATCCCCCTTACTCCTATGGCGCGACCCTGATCCCTTCTCGTGACTTCGGTGGTTGGATGACGTTCTCGGCGGCGGAATAGGCGGCACACCGTGAAGATCTGGGTATATCGGGGATCGGCTACTGCTGTGGGCGGAGGATAGTGCCGCCGGTGTCATAGCTGGGGAGGCATGGGTGCGTGGCAGAGCCTGAGGTATGGAATCGCTCATAGCCAAAAGAAGGCCGTTGGGACAGGATCAACAACGGCTAGAGTAAAATCAGCAACGTATAAAAGTGTATAGATTTTGGCACAATGCGAAATCGAATGCTGTAATCTCGGAGCGCAAATGTATGGACAAAAAGACGAGGGCAGTAGTTGTTTGATCGCAACACATACCTACGATTCTCGTGCTCTGAGCTCAACGGTCACTTTGCTCGTTTTTTCCGTCCAAGGCGGTCTCTTAAAGCTCGCACAGACAGAAGACCGGCGATTCGTTTCGTGCGTTTGAGCAGCTGCAGTCGAGGATGGAAAGCCCAACACGTAAACGGCGTTTCCTAATTGGCTGTCCTCCTGCGGTTTTCTCTTCTTTTTTGTCCTCTGATCTTGCGAATATTCGATTTTAGTCTTTCACCCTCGAAATAGGGTTGGTCGGCGACTGCGATGAGTTGGTCTACGGCGCGACTTTGTTCGGTCGGGCAGCTGAATCGCGATCGGATACAAGTTAGTTTCCCGAACGGTAAGCTGTCACTGATAAGGGGGCTGAAAACTGACAACACAGCAATGGCCAGAGCCCAATATCACAGAAGTTGTAGTTTTAGTTGGTATATCTTGGTATATCGAAGACACCAGGTCACGCAATGAAAAATGAAATAAAAGCTTCAAAAACAGAAATCGAGGAAGGGGCAAGCTTCGTAACAAAGGAAATGGGGTTTGTTTTTGGGGTGATTTGTTTCTCGATTCGATTGTGGATTCGGTCGCAGTAATCGGACGAATCTGGATCTGCACTGCAGAGAATTGCCTTTCGTACTTCAGATCTCTCTCGACGTATCCGCTGCCTGGGCTGGGAATGCGCTGGCGAGGACGGAGAATGAGTGGGAGAACAAACGCGGGCGGGAAAGGGAGCAGCCTCGGGAGACGCGCGATTCTGCACCAGCACAAGCCAAAGTCGGACAACGGGCAATTCAGCTTCTCAGCACTGTTGCTGGGCGAATTGAAACGGCAGAGTGTATACTAGAGTGAGAAGCATGTTCGAGAATCTGGTTCTGTCGAAGCAAGCGGCAAGAGGGGCGTTGTTAGAGGTCGACTCTTTCTTGTGGCCCCGGAGAGCGGACAGGGGGTAACGGGCTGGCGCGAGGGGAGAGCTGAGCGCGCGGCAACCAGAGCCCCAAAGGAGGTGGGAATAATCGACCCAAGGGAGGACCGAGAAAAGGGAACAGAAGAAGGAAACGAAGAAGAAGGGAAGAAAGGAAGGGGAGGAGGGGAGGAGGGGGGGTGGAAGGAAGAGAAGGGAGGAAGAGAGCGAGAGCAAGACTGAGGAAGTTGGGTTGCAGCGCCAGCCGATGGTCGAGTCGGCTTCAATGTTAGGCTTCCTCGACCGCACGGTTCTTGTTTACATTGACTCCTATACTTTGTTTCTACTGCTGCTGGTGCTGCTGCATCTGCTACTCTAACTTTCAAGCTGTACGCCATTCATCCGGGGATGATTCAATCTCGTCGCAGCGGGTCGGCGGATCGGGGCACCCTGGACAACCAGATCGAATAGGTAGCATCCTTTACTCCCCGCATGCGCTGAAACTGCAAGCTGCACAGAATCAATTCGCATTCGACGTTCGTCCCAGCACGAAGAATAATGCCATTGACTGCGCAGCGCTCCTCCCAATCGCCTGGTCGGGAGCTCAATGGTGGTCAGGTAAGGCTGTTTCATATGCTTCGGGATTGACTCGAACAGCGGATAATTATAGCGCTCGTCAGTCGATTGAATCATGAGTCTTGACTTTCTGGGGTCTTGCAACCTTGTTCGCGAAGACTCTGATTGAGAACGAAACCAGCCAAATCATCAGGGGCGCCGAACCACTGTTTCATCCTGGCCGGGAAGTCGCTAGAGCCTCGGGGCGCAGCCGATCGTCATCTTAACCACGCAGGAAAGCTTTCGCATAACGCTCTGACGGACTGGCGGTCAATTGGGGATGGAATCAAATTTGTCCGTCCGTCTCACCGGCTGGATTTACCCAGCGCGCGCTGCCAGGGTTGGTTTTCATGGCGCATTGACCTGCGCCCAGATAGCAGTCGAGGCCTGGGTGCCCTCCGCTTATATCCACTGTATCCACGGCGGAGCTGTTGCTGTTCCATGGATAATAATGGACGGCTCAAAGACCTTCCAGGGCTCCAAAAATGCTCAACTATACGACCAGAGCATAATCCTCACATCCATTCCTTGCTGTTCCCGAACCCTTTTTCGTCCACGCTAGATTTCTCGTATACAGGTGCATATATCCTTCCGATAATCATTTATGCCAGCTTACTAGTAAGCTTCTATTCAATATATTTCTTTCTAGTTCATGTCTATAATAGCCGCCCATCACATAGCCTCATCCACTCTTCCTTGCAGACGGGCCCTAGTTTTAACGGAATGTTTTGTTGCTCTATATACAAGAAATATTAGCAAGTGCCTTACTTCTCGAATGATCTCTTGATAGATGATCTATTGTGTGGAGCTATTTTCAACTATATAAACCGGCGCGTTGCCCACTGTACCGCTATCTAATCATCAAGGCCCCAAGTCTTATCCGCTCAGAGCCCTCCATAGATCTCAATGTGCCATATTAGACAGAAAAGGATACAAAAAAGCTCATTAAGCATGCCATAAATCGTGACAGTCACATCATCAACATGAACCCGTGAACGTAGGAAGAAGTGAAAAGCGAACAAGTCGACAAATTGTAATTCACGCATGCGCATCTAACGCTTCGCTCCTGACATGCTGGCCCCACCGAGTGAAAAGGTGCCTGGAGCTCCATAGGCGGGTGGTGGCGTGGGTGTGGGAGACGGGCCTCTGGCCGGACTGCGACTCGGTCCTGGGCTAGAAAGCTCTCCACCATCGCCTGCACCGACGACGACTTGTTTCCCGTCCTTCATGCGCCCAACAACCATGCCCTTGGCGACAGACTTGAGGACCGCTTTGCGACTCACACCAGAGGCGTCAATATAGACTAACCCCACATTCTTGATGCCTCCTGTCAGGTTGGAAGCCACCGTCCCGGCTTCCGACCCGTACCGATGACCAATCATTGTAGAGGCGGCGGCTGACCCAGACGTCAGTACATTCCGGGCGCCTTGTTCAATTCCATCCGCTAATGTTGAAAAGGCAATCAACGACTTATTGAGAATTCCCGGTTTCCCATACGCAGGAACCTTTGACTTTTCGGAGCTTCGAGCCTTTCCGTCGTCCTTGTTGCGACCGGCCAAGGAGGCACCAAAATTCTGAGCATACTTGCCGACCTGACCCACTGTCCTCGACGATATGTCGGCCGCTCCGCTGGAGAACGTCCCGATCTTCCGAATGCGGGTATGTGTGGTGTCTGAAAAAGTTGCCGGTTTGGGGTTTGGTTTGACCTTTCTAGTGAATGCGTCTGCACCGGTAGTCATCGCGTTGGCAAGATATGTAGATCCGGTTACAATCAAACGAGAAGCCGTAGCCGATGATTGAACGAGTGACGAGCTCTTGTACGCGGGGTGCCTGGCAGTCGACAGGTATTCTTCAGATACATTGCTGACGCTGACTTGATTACCCTCACCCTCTGTTGGGAGTTGGATTTCGACGGGTCCTGTATGGTCAGCACTTGACAGCGAGCACCAAAGGGTGCAAGACTTACTTTTTGAGCCTGGCTTCACGTCAGGGTTCTCGACGACATCGTATCCTTCCATTTCCCCGACAACACTGCCGTTCTCTTCGTCCACAAGCACAATCCGTCCATGCTGGTCGGCTTTGCTATGGGGTCCAGCAGTATTTGGCGAAGATACATAGCCCTCGCCGGCTGCAAAATTGGCGGGGTTGTACGGAGCATGGTCCCCTGAAACCTGTGCACGTTCGAGAAAGGCCGTGCATTGCGCCAAAATTGTTTCGAAAGTGTCAATATCCTCTTGCGTCACTTTGTTGGGCCCTGATCCAATACTGGGGAACTGGATACGAATAAAAGCGCCCGCATCGGGTCCCAAATCCCAGCGAGGAATTAGGTAACTGTTGGGTGGCTGGTGGTAGATTTGAGTCGTGGCAGGAAGCGCCAAATCCAACTCTGGAGGTAGATGAAGGTGGAGATAAAAGTCATCCTCTGGCTGAGTATCTTGAATGGGCGCTAAAGGTGAATTCTGGTTTTGAGTGGGCGACGTTGTGGTTGGAACCATCAGAAGGGAGAGCGTTTGAGGGCCTGACGGAGTCAGGCTGGACTCTTCGCCGTCCTGCAAGTGGAAGGCGAGGACATTGTTGATGCTGTAGAGCAGCCTGGGATCATTGGATGAGGCCATGGCCCTGTTGCTGAGATGTCAAGGGATCCTGAAGGATTGATGATCGATCTGGATTCTGGAGTCCTGGACCCTTAAAGAGCTGAGCGATATGACGTTATGGGGCGGGGGAAGGTGTTAAGTCGTAGACTCGACAAGATGAGGAAAGGGTCAACCACGGATATTAAACAAAATAAAGAAATAAGGAGAGAGATACAAGGAGAAAAGAAAATGACGCGCGGGCACAAGACAAATTTATTGTGATGCAGGCTACACTCTTGGAGTCTTGGGAGCTCAAGGCGGGGCGGCGGCTACGGAGTACTCAGTATTGCATTGAAGTCAAATGCAGCGCCACCACTCGGCGCACCGCCACATATATTGTGATTGGTCAGGATACTGTAAGAATAGCAATAAGAGAACGTCATGTGTGACTTGCGAACAGAGAAGAAATCAGGTCGGAAGCTCAGGAATATAATGGGTCCAGTCTTTCAGAAACCGTCAGCGGAGCAGGAGGCGTTGAGGGCGAACCCCACGACATTATCATCTCTGGCACCAACGGCGGCTACAGAAAGATCAGCTCGGTTTCAGCCAAAGCGCTTAAAATCAGCTTACTCTTGACAGGGCCACAGTACCTGATAGCCAACAAAGATGGCGACGTTCCAGATTCTCTCAGACCTCCATCTTGAGAATCCACGCGCATACGACGTATTCGATATCCCACCGAAAGCCCCATATTTGGCACTTTTGGGAGATATTGGCAGCGTCAAAGATGACGGTCTCTTCGCATTTCTGGAAACCCAGCTCCAAAAATTCCAGTTGGTATTCTTCCTTCTTGGAAACCATGAGCCCTACGATTCCGACTGGACAGCCCTGAAGATTCGGGTCAGGGAGTTTTCCGAGAACATCAGGTGTCGACGCGCCCACGAGCGGGGACTGGGAACATTTGTCTTCCTCGACCAAACACGATATGATGTTTCCGACAATATCACAGTGCTGGGCTGCACACTCTATTCTCAATTTTCCCCGTCTCAAACAGAGACTGTCAGTTTCGGCGTCAACGACTTTTACTACATCAAAGATTGGACGGTTGAGGCGCACTGTGCGGCCCATGAAGCAGACCGGAGTTGGCTGAATGATCAAGTATCGCAGATAACAATCTCAAACCCTCACCAAAAGATCATCATATTCACTCATCATTCGCCAACACTTGTTCCCAAAGCAACTGATCCAGCCCATGTCAACAGTCCCATCTCTTCGGGGTTCTCGACGGATCTCAGTGGTGACGCTTGTTGGGAGAAACCACAGGTGCGACTATGGGCATTTGGGCATACGCATTACAACTGCGATTACACTGAACAACGCACTGGGAAAAGAGTGATGGCGAACCAGAGGGGTTACTATTTTGCCCAGGCCAAGGCGTTTGACCCCGAAAAGGTAGTTGTGTTGTAGACAGTTGTCTAGTAAAGGACAGCGAAACCGGAATCGATAAATGACGACGTCAAAAGCGAACAGAGAAGATATAGAATGAGATCTTGAATACGGAGTTATTGAATACATGCCTCGGATGAAAGTGCTGGCTTTGCTTGGTCGGATCGCCACGGCCATTCCTAGGCCGACTTTAACCGAGGCTCCTGGCTTCCTCGTGATTACTTCCTCTACCCCGGATCTCCCAGCTCTCCATCCCACCAATTCTCTTTCATTCCTCTCCTATCCTTCCGTGCCGTCAGGGACTCGGTTCGTTTTCTTCAGCCGTCAACTTGAAATTGCTCATCTCGTGTCGATGGCGTCTATAACCCGTGCTCTGCGGCCTTTGTCCCGCACGGTTACCTCTCTCCGCCCCGTCGCAACGCGACCATTAACCTCCCGCCTCGCTCAAAGGTGTGTTCGCACCACTAAGATTTGTCATTGGAGATCTACTACTGAACCTGAATTTGCGAGTATTGGCTAACCCCCCTTTCCAGCAGCGCCCATGCCTTCTCAACCACATGCCGACGGCGGGATGCCGACCTAGCCAATCTCAGTCCGACACCAATCACACACCTCTCTGAGACCGAGTCATTGATGGCCGAGACAGTATCCAAGTTTGCGCAGGAACAAATCGGCCCGAAAGTCCGGGATATGGACGAATTGGAGACAATGGACCCTGCCCTGGTAGAGCAGCTATTTGAGCAAGGGCTCATGGGCATCGAAATTCCCGAAGAATACGGTGGAGCCGGAATGAACTTTACCTCTGCGATTGTGGCCATTGAGGAGTTGGCCCGTGTCGATCCTAGTGTTAGTGTTTTGGTGGATGTCCACAATACCCTTGTCAACACAGCGTTTATCAAATACGGCGATGCGCAGACGCAGCGGACGTGGCTGCCCAAGCTGGCTACGGGGACAGTAGGCTCATTCTGCCTGTCTGAACCCATCTCCGGGTCGGATGCGTTTGCTCTGCAGACCAAGGCTGAGAAGACTGCGGACGGCTACAAGCTGAATGGATCCAAGATGTGGATCACCAACTCCATGGAGGCCGGTATCTTTATTGTGTTTGCCAACCTTGACCCCAGCAAGGGCTACAAGGGAATCACCGCATTCATCGTGGAAAAGGATACTCCTGGGTTCTCAATCGCCAAAAAGGAGAAGAAGCTCGGTATCAGAGCTAGCAGCACCTGCGTACTAAACTTTGATGACGTTGTGATTCCCAAGGCGAACCTCTTGGGTCGGGAGGGACAGGGCTACAAGTACGCCATCGGGCTACTTAACGAGGGCCGTATCGGTATCGCCGCTCAGATGACGGGCCTTGCCCTGGGTGCCTGGGAAAACGCCGCACAGTAAGTCACAACACAAGTACCGAATTACAACACTAACCTCTATAGCTACGTCTGGAACGACCGTCGCCAATTCGGCCAACTTATCGGCGAATTCCAAGGCATGCAGCACCAGATCGCGCAAGCCTACACCGAGATCGCCGCCGCACGCGCTCTCGTCTTCAACGCCGCCCGCAAGAAGGAGGCCGGTCAGGACTTTGTGCAGGACGCTGCCATGGCCAAGCTCTACGCTTCCCAGGTCGCTGGCCGCGTCGCCGGCTCTGCAGTCGAGTGGATGGGCGGCATGGGCTTTGTCCGCGAGGGTATTGCTGAGAAGATGTTCCGGGATAGCAAGATTGGCGCAATCTACGAGGGTACCAGTAATATTCAGCTGCAGACGATTGCGAAGCTGCTGCAAAAGCAGTATACGCGTTGAATGTTAGGCTTTGATTTCTGTTAGAATAAAGATCAGCGCTGTAATTTTCAATTAGAATATATGATAAGCCCCTGACTTCTGGGCATGACTTTTGAAAGCTAGCGACTTTCGATAAATTAGGGATTGCCATCACATTGCTTGACATTATTCGACTAAAGGTACAAACGTCCGGATGGTGGTGGGAGTGGGGAATAGATATATAGCGTGTTGCGCATATATAACGGGTATCTCTGATTGAGGTATGGCAATCAACTGTGATGATAGATCGTCCAAGATGCTTCCTAGAGTTGATCCAACTGGTATGAAGCATTGTCCGGGGGCAAGATTGTACGATTGTATAACAGTAAACGACGTTCAACAGAAGTCACCCGGCAGCCTATTTGAGAAAGCGCAACTCGCGTAATACTCCTGAATAGACAATTGGGCTCTTGAAACAGGCTTCTCACGTCTTGATAGCGAGTGCGGGTGGTCCGGCTTTAGACTGTGGTCGTGGTTCGTCTTATCGAGCCGGCAGCTCGATCGTACAAAGTGTAGGGCATTATTATCGACAGCAACGAGGTTCGAGAGGTTTGGAGGAGGGAATTCTTGACATGCCCATAAAAGTTCTGTATTCAATATTTGATTAGCGTTTGGACTGCCGGGAGATGAGATAATTTATTAGGGCAAAAACGTAGGGCTGAGAGGTAGATAGAGTAAGCGCTACTTACGTGACGCGTGTGGCGCACGGATTCGTGATCGCCTTGATCGTCCAGATGGCGTGCAAATCATAGAACAGTCATTCTATTGCGACTTGACGAGACCTTTGTTGCTCCCACTTCGCACAAGAACTAGTCATTCACGGCTCAAGCTCGTTGAACCCAATCATAGTCGTATTCGCTCCTCGAGGGCTGGGGAGGCTGTGCCGGCTGCGTCACAAGCTGTTGGTATTGCGGCGGCGGCTGAAGCGTAGTGTAGCCCGTTGATGGGGCTTCTGATGGCCCTGATACAGCTTGTCGAGGGTCCTCGTAAGCGGCTTCTTGCGGATTGTGATTTTGAGACCGTAGTTCCCCCCCGGGGGCCCGTGTGGCGTTTGGTTCGTTGTATATGTGTGGATAGTTCTGGAAGGAAGACTCTGGTACATGCCCGGCGGGTGTAGGTTGTGCGTGGTATCCAACATGTGAGTGAGGCATGGGAACAGGGACGGGCGCGTGGGAAGGGCCCTCGTAGGCCCAGGGTTCGACTCTGGCTGGGTACTCTGTATCAGAGGATTCACATCTGGACGACGACCGGGTCGAGCTAAATGGCGGCCACTCACGCGAGGCGGAAACTTGACTCGACGTTGATAAGACGGACGGTGTCCTCGACGCTAGAGTGTCGGGATACTGAGGCGATGGCATGATCGGTCCAGGTTGTTGGCTATATGACTCTTCTGTTTTGGAAAGTGCCTAAGTCAGCTATCGCGCGGATGGCTTTGTATCATCAATGATAGCATACCTAGAGGCTGGTATCCTGGGCTTCCACCTGCCACGGTCAACTGATGTCTCAGTGCCCGGATCTCATTCTCCAGGATGGCGTTTCTTCGCATGACCTCATCGAATTTGTCTCCTTTGGCTCTGAGTTCGGCGACCTGAAGCTCCAATCGCTCGATATGCTCTTTAGTCCGTTGCCGAATAGTTCTCTGAGCCTCACGATCGTTGGCGCGCTTCCTCTCCAGTTGTTCTGGAGTGAGCGAGGTTACTCTACGTGTCCCAGCCCTGGTCTCTTTCTTTTTGGACGGGTAGGGTTCTTCGTGGGAGCTCATTCTGCGTGAGATTTCTCACTGTTTGTGGGCGTGCACGAGGGGAAACAGCGCTACCTTCCAGATGTACTCCGGAAGTAGTAGTAGGATTCGCCTCGATATTAAAAGGTGACAATAGTCGTGCCACGTGCGTGGGTCGCAGCTGCCCAGGGAAAAGGGAAATAAATAGTAGACAAGAATAGAATTATTCTGTCAGGAGGGTAAAAAAGATTAAAAGGATGAGCCCCATTGCGGGTGCGGTGCAACATCAAGATAAAGCGATCTGCCCCGAAGGGCCAAAGCAAGTCATTTGGAAAGTCGTTAGAAATCTCGAGCGAAAAGGTGAGATTGGCTCGGATTTAAGCAGTATGGGCAGCAACCACCTAACTAAGCCACTGCCTCGCTCGGGGTCACGGATCAAACCAGGCCTGAATGATGCCAGGGGAAAATAAAGAGACGTCGTCAGTTGTCAGCCTGCACAGCAGCGCAATAATTATCACTCTTGGGACTCTGGGTCCCGGATAGCTACCAACAACCCATCCGGCGCATACGGCGCCAATAATGATGTGGGCAGGCACAGAACAGCCTGCAAGATGGTGGCAACTGTGAGAGGGTAAGCGTCCGAGCCCCCCAAGGGGCTATTACTATGGGTCCGCGCTATGGAATCCTCCGACCAACCCACCTACGGAGGTTAGGCATGCCCTAGTTCGCAATGGGAAATGGGGGACTCGGCACCCAGAAAGCGTTGATCTAGGGTGCCCTATGCGGAGCATTGGGGGGTTACCCGATCTGGCATTGGGATCGAAAAGATACTGCCACCCGACGCCACGGCGCGGTCAGGATACCTCTCTGGATTTATATTATGTTATTGTCGATGAGCCATGCCTAAGATTCGCAGAGATTTGGGGACATTCCGGCAATGGTTGGCCCAGAAAGCGGATCCTTAGTGCACCCGTGCCACATGGTGTGAGCAAAAGATGGCTCAAGCACCAGTCGGGTGCTTGAATGATCCTTGGTACAGGTCCGATAGAGTTTCGTGAAGTGGAATAGGTCTGTAAACCAGGCATATTTGGCGCTCAGGTACTCCGTATATGCCGCCCTCCGGAAACGGAAAGCTCATGAGAACAATTGGAGAAGGTATCTCCAATGGATCGCTGGGCGAGGGGCGGATATAGTCCAGCTACTATTATCTGCTGGCCAATCTGATACTTACTTAAACCACTTGACACACAAACAATCAGGTTGGAGAGATCTTTGACTTTTCAAGTCATCTTATTCACAAGTCAATCCGGAAGTGCAAGTGCAGAGCGATGCCGATTTTTCAGATCTCCAACCTTGGCGACCACTAAGTTTCGAGAAGCTCTCCGACCTTGTTAAGATTCAGCGAATCGCATTTCATCCTTGTTAGCGTGGACAAGCCAAGAATCGCTAGCCTTTGCGAGAGAGCGGCCTGTATCCGAAACCTCCATCGTTGGATCTTTGGAAACGCTCGCACCAGGATTCTAGAACCAGAGGTGGTATGAGCTAACTCAGCCACAAGGATTTCATCATTCCAAAGGACATGTGAGCCAACTCCACTTTGCTAGACTTTCAATTTGCAGCATCTTGTTCATTTTCGGGAACCTGAGTGGTCAGCGCAATGCGGAGGTAGAAAGGGACCGTTGATAGCACGCAGAAGGGCGTTCATAAGCGTCAGAGATAACGGAGATAGACTGTGAATAAAACAAGGAGGGCACAAGGACTCAAGGCTCGAGAGTCGAGCCCGAAGCCGGATTAAAGTGGGGATTGTGCAGGAAAACACAGAAAAAGGGCCGAAGTCGAAAAACACCAATGACAACTGCTAGCTGCACCATAAATGACGTTACCGGCTACCGGAGCATGTTGTAATGCCCCAGTCTGATCTTTTCTGTTGGTTAGTCGAGGTATCAACGGAGGGGAGGTTGGGAAGCTTGGGGATATCATTATTCAACCTGAGTCAATCCTCCTTCATCCTCTTTCGATAATGATTCGTTCTTGCAATTTTCCCTCGGCTGGAAGCCAGCTTCCGAAGTATGGCCGAACCATAGATATGTTTCAAGCGGTTCGCTGCCGCACGAAACAAGGAATTCATCGGGCTCTAATATAAAAGGAGGGTCCTTCAACCTGACAATCATACATCGAGGAATGATGAATTGATAATCACTGAGGATGATAATCTGATCTGAAGTGGACCTATTTGCCTGGAGGCTGAACGCAAAGACAACAACTGAGCCGCGGAGTCGACTCGTACTATGGAGACGGTTCTCGTTATCAAAACTTTCCTGGGTTGGGATCGTGCTGTTTCTGGCCGACAAGGTCCTGAATCATTCATAGTACGCCCAGGTATTATCGATATTTGAGGTCTTTCGGAATATGGGCTTCTAGGCTGTTGAGCGGCATCCCCAAATGAGGCTCAACAGCTCTCCAATCTGCAAACACGCCACGATGGCCCTGGAGGAACGGCTGACTGCTCCAGAAACTGGTGGCGGGGGTAATCTATCCTCCTGCTGGTCGTAAAGCGTCCGGAAGTGCACACTCTCCCAAGCGATAGATCATACGTATCTCTATCAATCTTGAAAACTCCCACTTGAAGAGAAATCTGGAGATCGTGTGGCTTGGAGCTTGCGGGCGGATTCGCCGTTCGGTCTCCAAATTCCAATGAACTGGGCCTTGTCTTAGCTCCACGTGTTCAGCAGCCTTTAAGCCACGCAGACCAGGTTCAGAAAGAAGATTGGTTATCTTGACGACTTCTCTTGACGTTCCAATGGGGATAGATTCTGATGGTGTCTTTCCTCCATTTTCCCATGGCTCTCGACTTGTTTCTTTGGGAGTGTTATCGATTCTTCGGCCTTCAAGTTGAGATTATCGACACACTGTCATGGCACGCTTGATCAGTCGGACGTGAATCAGGTAATCTTGCCGAAGTTAACTGATAACCAGCCCGCAGGATTCTGGTCAAGAGAAAGCTGTGATCCTTCGTGAAATTGCGGGGTAACGTTGCCAACTCATGTTGGAGGCAATGAAGCGGGAGGAATTGATATTGTCTGATTCGTAACATTAAGATATTTGAGGTTAGGATGTTGAGGCCCAGACTCGTCCATGACGCCTCGCTATTTTAACCACGAACCTGAAGATCGTCACCCGTACGGTCAAGTCGAAAGGAGGTTGCAGGTTTGACTTGAAGTCGAGGAAACTTGAGGAACAAACCATGCGGCGTAACGGTATTACTTTATTTACCATACTCGTCCAATAAATGCCCCCTTGTGCGTATTACCAAGACCGGCAAAAGGACAGATACCCGTGACAAATACAGGTGGACTTGGAGTTTCCGATCCACTTCAAAGTTATGATCGTTTTTGATGCGGAGAGGCCACATCAACGACAACTCGCAATCTTCACAACTGCAGCTTATGCATGATGACCCATTGAGCACCTTTTGCTTACGCGTATTTCTCGAGATAGCATGGACCCCTCGTACAAATCCCGCAAAGAGGCGTTTGTCTCAAATCTGGCCGGAGGAAGCGTCCTGGAAATCAATGCAGTAACTCTCGTGGCCCCCGTTAGTAACGTCTTTTCTGATATATCCAATCTCTTGCAAAGCTAATGGAAGACTTGTAACACCATAGGCTTCTGTTTTTCTGTGGTCCGTGCTGCAATCCCGACTTTCGTTCTTCACACCCTATAGCCCTGCGGCGCTCATCACCGACTTTCTGCTCAACGTCTCAGCGATCCTCTTTGCCACGACCCTCTATTCCTCAGCCCCATGGCTCCTAAACATCCTTCTGATATCTCCGGCTTTTCTCATCCTGTTGAATTCACGGCCTCGACGGACCCAGCAGAAAGCAAAGCCGCCGCAAACAGCCGCCGCACAACATGGGCCAGTCACTCCACAACCCTTACCCATCCACCCTTTTCTCACCACATATCGTGGGGCCATGATGATAATCACCTGCATTGCAATTCTCGCGGTAGACTTCCATGTGTTTCCTCGTCGGTTTGCCAAGGCTGAAAACTGGGGTACATCTCTGATGGATTTGGGCGTTGGATCATTTGTGTTCTCAGGAGGAGTGGTGTCCGCGCGCGCTCTTGTCAAAGACCAGGAACACGGCGCGGCGTCGAAGAAGACCTTGCTACAGAGGTTTGCCTCGTCGATGCGGCACTCGATTCCGCTTCTCGTGTTGGGTCTGATCCGGCTCTACAGCGTCAAGAACCTTGAATACGCGGAACACGTCACAGAGTATGGTGTTCACTGGAACTTCTTCTTTACACTGGGCCTCCTACCACCGTTTGTGGAAATTTTTGAAGTTCTGGCTAGACTTATTCCGTCCTATGAGGTCCTTTCTCTCGCAGTCGCGGTACTCTATCAGGTTGCGCTTGAATCCACCGATTTGAAGGGCTATATTCTTGTGTCACCCCGGGGGCCTGATCTGCTCTCCAAGAACCGCGAGGGAGTCTTCTCATTTCTGGGCTACCTGGCAATATTCCTTGCAGGCCGTGCTACTGGGATTCGAATCATGTCAAGGGGAGCTTCTTCTATGACCCCACAGCAGGCAAAAAAACGAGTGCTTATCAATTTGGGAGCACAAGCACTAGGGTGCACAACACTCTTTGCTCTAAACTCTATGTATCTCTTTGGCTATGGCGCCAATATTCCAGTCTCCCGACGTCTCGCGAATATGCCATATGTCCTGTGGGTCGCTGCCTTCAACAACGCCCAGCTTTTTCTTTTCTGCCTCATCGAAACGCTCCTCTTCCCTGCTGGTAATCAAACGTCCGCAGTGAGAACTGATTCTGAAGCGGAACGGACAGCCTTTGCGACAAGCCGCATCCTTAAAGCGTTCAATCGTGGCGGGCTCGCCGTATTCTTACTCGCCAACCTCCTCACTGGAGCTGTCAATCTGACTGTGCCGACCCTTGATGTCAACAACGCTCAGGCCATGGTCATACTCATTGGGTATGCCGCCGTCATCACCGGGATTGCATTGGGGCTTGACAAAGCTAATATAAAGTTGTCGCTTTGAGAGGCCAGTCATGCCTGTACTATACTAGACCTCGGTAGCTTCCAGACCGAAAGATTTCTTCGACAGTTCGTCTCAGCTAAGAAGTAGATTATCCATGTACCCAAATAGGACAAATATGACGCTGTCGGCGAGTTAACAGCTGTGACTGCTGAGTGATGAAGGTGATGGGCCGATCGACTCGGCGCAATCACATGCAAGTGCCAGGAGCTTATATATTTTGGAGGTCCAGCTCCAGCTTACGAGTCACGACTCCACCCAACCTTCGACTTTCCAGAGTTTCCATCCACTCGTAACACCAACGACTCGACATGTCGTCTGGAATCGGAGAACAGCCGTTTATTAGCTATCCAGAGATTCGTCAAGGCCCTGCTGTGCCCTACAAGAATGAGGACCAGTCGATCCCTGTCTTTCGAGGCACCCCTCTGGTGATTGGAGCTTCACTGTAAGGAATTGCGCATAACTTTACTGAAATAGTCTAACATGACTTTTCCCGCCGCAGGATTTCAAATGTCGGTTTCGTCCAGAGCTACTTCTGGCGCAATGCAGGTTTTGACGTCGTCCGCCATATCCCCAGCCTTGACCAATATCCCGCCCGCTACGATCCGACCGTGATCCCTGTTCACCACGGTACAACGACTGCTTCGCAGGATCTTCCTGCTCCGACTACAAGGAGATCAGGCGACAATGGCTACTACACCTCTGCCGATTACCACGCCTTATACACCTCCGGTGAATTGACACCAACTGCGGTCGTTGATGCAATCCTCCCCGTCGTCCGTCGCGATACCAACCCTCCCGGCAAGCACTCCATTGCATTCCTGGAATGCGCGGTTGAAAAGGCTCGCGCTGCAGCCGAAGAGTCTACGCAAAGATATAAAAATGGCCAGCCGCTAGGACCCTTGGACGGGATCCCAGTCACAGTAAAGGACGAAGTGCACATGGAAGGGTACCGGCGGACACTGGGGACGAAGATGGATTTCACAGGAGATTTCGCTGGATCGACCTCCTGGTGTGTCAAGAAATGGGAAGAAGCAGGCGCGATTGTAATCGCCAAGTCCACAATGCATGAACTAGGATTGGGTAAGCATCACAGGCTGCATGCATGCATGCATGCATGCTCTAGAAAAGCTGGCTGACCCGTGAACTTCGGCAGATACAACAAACAACAATCCCAACTTCGGCACCCCAAAGAACCCACACAATCCCAACTACTACACTGGCGGCTCGTCCGGCGGCTCCGCCTACGCCGTCGGTGCAGGTATAGTCCCAATTGCCCTCGGCGCAGACGGCGGAGGCTCAATCCGTATCCCCTCTTCTTTCTGCGGCGTCTGGGGCCTAAAGCCCTCCCACAGCCGAGTCAGCGGCTTCCCTACTGCTGGTCTTGCAACCACAGTGGGAGTCCTAGGCCCCATCGCCTCGAGCATCGACGACCTAGCCCTTGCCTACAGAATCATGGCAACGCCTGCAAGTGCATCCGACGACTCCAAATCCAGCTCCTTCCCACACCCACTCATCGAACTCAATTCGGTACCCCCCGAATCCCGGCCCAAGAACAAAACTATCGGCATCATGCGCGACTGGCTCGACCGCGCCGAACCCGCCGTCCGCGCCGTCTTCGACAGAGCCCTCGACTACTACCGCACGCAAAAGAACTACACCATCGTGGACATTACAATCCCATACATCCCCGAAGGTGCCCGCGCACACGTTCTAACCATCATGGCCGAGATCGCATCGGGCCTCTCGCCTTCACAGATCTCCAAGCTCACTGCGCCAAACAAAGTTCTCGTCTCAATGGGCATGCACCAGATCTCCAGCCAGGAGTTCCTCGCCGCCCAGCGCGTCCGTGGGCTACTCATGTCGCATCTCGGTTACCTGTTCCAGAAATACCCTGGCCTGCTCATCTTCACCCCCACGACGCCGATTCCCGGGTGGAAGATCTCGGGCGGTGATGCGGATCTCGTCCGTGGTGTCTCGGACGGGAAGTCGTCTGTCCGCAATATGGAGTATGTCTGGTTGGCGAACTTTACGGGTTGCCCAGCCATCAATTGCCCTGCAGGATACGCGGAGGATAATGGGCACCGTGTGCCTATCGGTATCATGGCAATGGGCGAGTGGGGATCAGAGGAGGATCTGATTGCTTTTGCGAGAGATGGGGAGGGAATCCTAAATCTTCCAGAGAATAAGGGTCCCGTGACAGAGTCTGGGGAGCACGCGACAGGTCTGACAATCCCACGTGGTGCTGATTCTTTGTGGGAGGATGTTGTTGGGAATGCCAAAGCAGCATCCAGTTCGTGAGAAGAGTCGAAAAAAAAAAATCTATATATACCATTCGCATGTTTGACGCCAAAGGTTGGGAGGAGTGGTCAAGTGGGTAATCACAATCGTTCCTATAACACTCACAAGCTTGATACATGGTTGTTAGCAGATAGCTTGGCTATCTCTCTCTACGGAAGCTCGACCACTTGTGTTTAAGAGGGACGGATTAAACTTTGCCCTCTTTGGTGGCTTTACCTTTGCTTCTATAGAAGCTTGAGCTAATCCCAAGCTAACTCTGCCCATTGAAGTCTAATCTTCTGCCCACATGCTGGGACAATCAAGATAACGGGCTTAGGCCCAAGAGCTCGTACATAATGTTCCCTTTATACTGTACAGAGACTTCTAAAGGATCGGAGGAAGGAATGACACTGATGAAGTGACTCTATAATTGATGCAACAAGGTAAGAGATGCTTACAGAGGTACAGAGGCTCCGTAGCGAGAAGCGGTTCTTATGGACGTTGTTCCTTCCTCAACACATCTCCCCTAAACTATTCATGACATGGAGTTAAATGATGGCAGTAGGCCCACTAGAGACGTATCAGGTTTGTATGGTGATGGTCAAGGTAGAAAGAGACACCCCCCCTTCTACCCTGACTACTTAGATACCCCCTGCCACCTTCCTAAGAGGGCAACTAGCAAGAATCTACCCCTAATATAGTAAGGATCTTGCACGACGAGAAGTCTTCAAAGTAGAGAATATTGAGCTAATCCCTCACCGCAGTGAGGATATCGAGGTTATGGAGGTTCTTAAGCGCGCGGTACCAATCAAGAGGTCTATCTGAATGGAGCGTTGATGATAGTTTAAGTAGAGGATTTAGAGACGGTTGGTGAGAGGTTAAGTGAAGGTCTAGATAGTAGCTGTAGAGGTGTAGAAAGGCTTGTGGGGGTGGGTGGTTTGCGAGGTGGAGGTCAAAATCAGGGTCACCAGTTTGTAAAAGAGTTTTAAAGGATTGGAGAAAGTAATACTAATGAAGTGCTCTGTAAATAAAACATACAAAAAGCATTGCATTGTAGGTCTATCATAACGTCATAGGTGAGCGCCTGCTGAAAGTGCCATCAGCGCTGCGTTTCTATTAATTACCACTATAATAATACACCTGAAACTTCAGGCATGCGTTTTCAGTTATTCAAAATGAATGCTTGCGCCCCGTTTGGGAATGTAGAACGAACAACCGAGCTTGGCCTTCTGGCCCAGATGCCTCAGCTCTTGCAGGATGGTCTCGCCCGGGTGGGGCGAATCGGTCATATCGTCCTTCACGTGGATGATATAAATCTGGAGACCTGAGAGTGGCATATCTGATGAATCGCGGTTCGTATTTTGAGTAGAGCTCGCATGGCTTTGACGAGACGCAATGAGTGGGATAGACTCGGATGTATCTGAGGAACCCCTGGATTTACCAGAGGGCGTGATCCGTTTCGATTTGGGAGCAGGCGATTCTAGACTCTGCGAAATGCGGCTAATCCGGCGTTTGCGCTTCCCGTCCTTTGCTTCATCCTCCAATACTGTCACTAGTTCTGCCAAAACGCCCAGCTCCGCAATCAAGTGTCGCGGGCACAGGTGGCCAAAGAGGTAAGCATCCTCTGTGCTGTCACTGTAGGAACATTCGATGAAAATCGCGCGCAGGTTGCCAGAAATGACTTTCGGCGCTGCTGCTTGCCATACCCTTTTGTTGTGTCCAGCCTGCGAGATTGCATCAGATTCAACGTCACCAAAGACGATGATTTCGACTCCAGTATTCTTCTCGCGAATGAAGAAAGCAGAGCTCTCAACGGTTGTCTCTGATATTCTCGACGCCGACCTTGACTGTTCTTCAAGGATTGGTTCTCGTATATCAGTGCCCATCTTCGATGTGCCATGGCTGACTCTGAAACACCGAGTTAGTAAGTCCTCGGCGACCTGTACGTAGAGCCGGTCATCGCCACGACCCATACTAGCAGAACCTCCTTCAGTCAGGCGCTGATAGGTGATAAGGCCAGCTCCGTCATCCTCGTCGGAGAGATTTGGAAAGATGACATCGTTGAAAACGTGTGCTTTGAGGGCTTCAACCACGGAGGGCAATGCGGCAACTGTTTTTGGGTTACAGTGCGCACCCAGAACCGGAGAGTTGATGGCTAGGGCTGATATGTGATCAAGATGAGGGTGTGAAACCATCACCGTGCGAACAAGCCTCCGGAAGATGAATACTGCGTTGGCCTTGGTTGACTGAAATTCCCTGGTTAATCCTGTAAATGGTCCAGTTGTAAAACGAGTAAACTCGTCCACTTCATTCCACGTATCCAGAATTTCGATGACAGATGAAAGAAGGATTCCTGCATCAACTGCGATCATCGTATTCAGTGACCAGCCAGGAGTTCGAGATCGCACAAGGATACTAGAAACCCAATCCTCGCGGGGCCCTCCTCCTGCGCCCTAAATCATTATCAGCAAAATTTGTCCACCAAGAAGAGAGAAGAGGCAGTGAGATGAAAGTGGGGAGAAAGTGGGGAGAAAGTGGGAGGAAAGTGGGAGGAAAGGAGGAGGAAAGTAGGAGGAAAACGATGGTAAGAGAAATCTAGAAGCAAGAGGTATAAAAGTATAAAAGTAAAAGATATAAGAGTAAGAGAAAAGTGGGAGAAAGAGGAACGTGAGAGAGACATGGGAGTAAGAAGGAGATAGGAATCAGAGAAGAGGGAGTAATAGAAAGCAGAGATAAAAGAGACAAGTTGCTTAAGAGAGAAGAGGATCAAGATCACAGGGTCGTGTTAAGAGAGCAACTGCATCAAGAAGGAGAAAAGAGCCCCTCACCAGTACTATGATGTGCATCCCGTGTCTGTTCTGGGGTATAAAAGAGTGCGGCACCTCAAATGAACTGTTTGTTGCCTTACTGCCGCTGGTATCAGGCTCGCTGACCTGACCCGCCGGTGCTGCACTGTCATCTCTTCGACTGGGACCGGGTGCGTCGGTCGCTGGACTGGGGCTTGCCGTACTTTCAGCTGGCTGATTGACCGCCGTGAAGGACCCTGAATTCTTGCGACGGGCCGCCTTTGCAGCGGTCGTCGCCGTGCTGGTTTTCCTGGGCATAACTGCTGACCGGAGCTGTTCCTGCCAGAAGATCGTGCTTTATTTGGCAGCCGATCGCGGTACCTGCAGCGATCACCTAGGGCACAGGAAGCCGATCGCGGGTTGGGGGAGGGTCTCTTCCCCGGACCTAAGTATGCAGCGTGTGCTCGAGTGCTGGGACCGGATCTGAAACCGATGCGCTTCGCCGACGCCGAGTGGAGCGCAGAATCGGAAAATGAGCCGAGCTAAAAGAAAATCGGGGATGTAAAATGTCTCAGAAACAATGCTTGGACATACAGAGAAGTTGAGATTGCTCGAGAGAAAGGGAAAAGAGTGACGAGTGAGCGAAGGGGCGAAGGCTGGTAACTGGTAACGCCCCGCGCCTTCTAGTTCTGGATCGACTTCAGCTCTCCAGCCATGCGCTTTGAATGAAGATCTACATAGCGAGCCCAGCCCCGATAGCCCTACTATGTAACTTACGTATACCCAACAGTGTCATCATGACGCTCCACAAGAGAATTCAGGCATGACAGGTGTCTTGGAAGAAGATATCTAGCAGATACCTGCTGAATCAGCTAAACCACATGCAAGAACCTCCTGAATGTGCAGATAGTGGCCTGGCAACAGACGGTCCGTGTAGCTGGTGGATAGCGGGAAAGAGCGCGAGGGATGAAATATGATTGAAAACCATCGAGTAGATGAACCGGTGGTAGTAAAGCAAAAGAGAATTAAACGCCGTGGAGCCCTGATAAGAGACCAGGGGTGAGTTCGTAAGATACATGAGTCGTTCCGTTGCCCCTCCTTGACACCAAGGGCGCAATGACCCCAACAGGATGAAACCGCTAGAACAAAGATAACCTGTCCGTATACATGTAAAGCAGCCGCCCTAATTGGAATGTAACCTATAAAAAAAATATTCAACCAGCAGAGTCCCGCCCGTCGAAACGCCAGTTTAAAGCCCGCTAAAAAAAATCAAACAACTTCTGTAGGCCAGTGACCAAATACAGTGAACCAATCTCAAACAAAGAGGGATATCATTGGCGTTAATGCGTGGGAGAGCTGCTGCGGTCATTGCCGACCGCAGCGTCGTAGCTAGGAATGGGGGGATGATCCTCGCGTGAGAGATCGTGACTTGTCCTTGGACTTCCGTCGGGGCTGGAGTATTCTGGCGGTGGGCCTTGCTCCAGGTCATCCGGATTAATCAAAGGAACCTGCTCAGGGTTGCCATTCCGGCTGGATCCTTCTCCAGCATCCTCGTGTGAGGGTATATGGGAAAGCGGAGCGAGGGAGATATCAGTTGGGGACCGAACAGGACCGGGGCTCGCGGATGGCGGTATTCGAATCGTCGAGTTTGTTTGTGCATAACTAGGGTCTTGGTAATGCCGGTGCGAGCCATGGGCGGCGCTTTCTCGGCCAGACTCTAAGAGGATGCTGCCTTGTTCGCTTCCATACGGCGGAGGAGGCGCCAGGCTACCTGTCATCGGTGCTAGGCCCCATTTTTTGACATTGGCTTCGATGAACACAAATCCCATCTGCCCAAAATTCACGTGCACAGTGCAAGGCCCGTTGGCCCCGATTGTAGGGAAGAAATTCTGGGACTTTTGGCCATGAAGCACATCTTCCAGTTTCTTGCCGTTCCGCGTAAAAAATATAGTGCCTGAGCGAGGTCGGTAGCCCACGCCCACAACATCACCCTGTGTAAGCGGAGGCCCATATGGGAATGAGACGAATGGTTGATTGTACCTTCGGTAGCCCGTGGATTCGTAGGCAACTGACGCTTTGTGGTATCCTAAAGAGTGTTAGACAAGGCAGAGAAGATCATGCGCTGGCTCAAACTCACCAGGTAACCTGAACAACGGGTATGGTTTCGTAGACATGCCGATGCCTATAAGCGTGCTCTCTGGTTTGTCGTATATCTTTGCTTCCCAGTAATAGACGTCGTTTTGCTTGGGGACTGGTAGATTTGTTTGGACACTGCATATTGAGTCGTAAAACTCAATCTCGGTTCGACCTTCAACGAAACAATTGGCAATTTCGAGTTCTGGCTGAAACTCCCACGCTGATACTCCTTTTTCTTGTATTGCGAGAAACTGCGACAGCGAAATGTCGGTTTGCACCGATTCGGGCGGATAGGCTTCTACGAATGCTGCAAGATATTAGTCAAGAAGCCAAAATGCCTGTCATGATAAACTCACCTTTCGCTCTCAGATACTCTGATCGCGACAAGTCATCCATAACCTCCAATGCATCGGCCTCTTCGCGCAAAAACGCCTGTTCATCGTCGAACTCGCCGGGCCGACCCATACGATCCAACAAAATCCTACCACGTTGCGTGTATTTGAAGAAGAAAAAAGCCGCGAGGATCAACACTGCAACCGCTGCTGAGCCAAAGGCAGATAATACACCAATCAATATGCCCTTCCCCGTCGACGTCGACGGGTTGCCACTGACACTTATCCGACCGCCATTCGCCCGTTCCCACGACATCGAAGAGAAAGCACGTTCAGGGCTTGATGCGACATGTTGAGGGTCGACTGGAGATGCGGTATCAACGGCGGTGGGAAAAGTCGGAGGAATGGTCCTGATGGATGTTGCGAGGGTCGAGGGAGCATCCCAGATAGCACCGGGCGCCGATGCCTCAGATCCCCGCATCGTTCATTGACCGAATAAGACCTTGCGTCGATAAGACTCCAAATGTATTAAAGGCGTAGCGTGGATACCCGCAAGTACAATAGGCAATGCAGACAGGTTGAACTCGATGAAACGGAGGCGTGGAAGTGGATGGAGGAAATGACGATAGCAAGAGCAGGCTGGGAGGATGGATCGACACCCGATGAATAAAGGGCGGACCTGAGAGCGTCAGTGGCCGGAACTTGGCGGGGGCGATGATAAAAATGGATCGCCAGCGGCCAACGACGTTTCCGGGCGCTGCCTTCAAAGATTTGCGACTGACAGGAAGTATAATTTGCCTGTTTGGTCCTTTAGAGACAATTAAGCGCCTGCAAGACAGGGGATGGTCATGATGTGCGGACGACCCTTTACTCCTGTTTGGCAGATTCCAGTTATGGAGTACTTACGGAGTACTGTCAACTCAACGACTCGGGCGGCGTGCTAGCGCCCCGTCCAAGAGCGTCATGCCAGATGGGACCCATCAACCATCCTCTTTGTTGTTATCCTTTACTTCGGCCACTTTTGCGCTTTATCTTCTCGCCAACATCTGTCACGTAAATTCTTACATCTTGTGTCCTTAGAATGCGTGCCTCCGATCAGTCAGAGGTTGTGATATCTCCGGATGACACCTGCGACATTCGTATCACAGTGCTGACGGAGGAGTGCGACAAGTACCCAGGTACGCTTCAACAGCATACCCCTTTGCCCCTTTCATCGTTCCCACAGACGCTATTCCCGACACTATATCTCCGGCTAACAAAATATGGGACAGCAAAGCAGCACGCACGCAGAGTGGCTGCAAAACTAGGAGCTAGTAATGGCCTCATCTATCTCGCCGGCAAGGCGACCAGAAACTGGGGCGACTCAGATCAACAACGTCCTTTCCGACAAAGACGGTATTTTTACTACGTGAGCGGCGTGGATGAGGCGGACTGCCACTTGACATACGATATTCGCAACGACGTCTTGACCCTCTATGTTCCGAAAATCAGCCTGCGGGAAGCGATATATATGGGGCCGACGCTAAGCGTGGATGAGGCACAACAGCGTTACGATATAGATTGCGCACGCTACTACGACACTATACAACGTGACTTGGCGGAATGGATCGATCGCTATAACCAAGATGCTCCAATCTACATCTTACACGACACTCAAGCACCCGATATCCCTTTGAACGACCTCAGATTGGACGAAAAGTCATTGTTGCCTGCGATGGATGCTGCGAGAGAAGTCAAGGACGAGTATGAGATCCGAATGATACGCGAAGCCAACAGGATTTCAGGACTAGCGCACCGAAAGGTTCTTGAGAACATACACCGCATGTCTAACGAAGGAGAGATAGAGGGTCTATTTCTGGATGTTTGCGTGTCGCATGGGGCCAAGAATCAGGCGTATGGCATAATCGCCGGATCAGGACCCAATGCCGCCGTTCTTCACTACATGAAGAACAACGAGCCTCTCAGAGGAAGGCAGCTTGTCTGCATCGATGCAGGCGCAGAATGGAACTGCTATGCTAGTGATGTCACTCGAACAATCCCTCTAGGACGAGATTGGCCCAGTGAGCATGCAAAAGATATCTATGCCATCGTAGAGGAGATGCAGGAAGAATGTATCAGACGTGTCAGGCAGGGGGTGCGATACCGGGAGTTGAACGAGCTTGCACATGTCATCGCCATCAAAGGACTGCAGAGACTTGGAATCCTCAACGACGGAAGCGTAGATGAAATTCGCCAATCCGGAGCATCAGCGGTTTTCTTCCCTCATGGACTTGGCCATCATGTAGGACTGGAGGTCCATGACGTGTCGGCGCAGCCGATAACTGCTTCTGACCAGGCCGATGGGCATCGCTATCGCGAGTTTGTACCGACAATGAGCACGCCGCTACTTCAGGAAGGTATGGTGATTACCATTGAGCCAGGGATTTACTTCAACAGGCTTGCTTTGGAGAACGCTCGGACACTGTCGTTATCAAAGTACATCAACTTTGACAAGGCTGAGCAGTACCTTCCTGTTGGTGGTGTACGCATTGAAGACGACCTCTTGGTTACGCGCACGGGCTATGAGAATTTGACTACAGCACCAAAAGGCCAGGAGATGCTTGAAATCATTCGCCGTTGTGGAAATTAACGGACTGATATCCCATTTCAGCAGGTGTTTCATGTCGAGTTCTTGCAGAATCCATTGGCGGCTTGAAGATCTTATTTGGAGATCATAATGACTTTGTGCGAGCATCATCTAGAATCCTGTGTTTTAGCCATACCCAAGCATATAAAGCCAGCTCAACCGACACTTTCTGCTCCAAGCTGACTGACTGTAGGATTTTTATAGAGCTTGGAGCTCTCACTTTCAACTTTCAAGCTGTCACACCCAGCCACTTGCAAGCTGTAGGCTGAGCTGTTACACACGTGGCGCGTACCTACAGGATGTCAGGAAGTCATACAGAACAACAAAAGCTATAGTGCTCCATAATCAGGCCACTATTTTTTTTTTAGCTTCAGAACGTCGCTTCCCGGAACCCAAAACCAAGTATCCCTTACAAAGTGAAACCAGAACTTTCCTCCCTTGCAGCCGTGAATCATCCCACTGTAATCGTCACCAGACCTCAACATGCGATGCGCTGCCAAGGGGTATGCTTCCATATTGAGTAACTCGCGTCATCGGCACCGGATCTTTCAGGAACTGTTCGCCTTACAAAGAGCCTACTAAGTACCTTGGCCGACCGCGTGAATAATCATTCTCCCTAAGCAGCAGGAGTACGTAGTCAGCCATCGAAAGATGGGGAACAGAGCTATCCCGAGCCCGAAGGCTCCGGAACCAACCCGACAAACTCCGAATCGCAATTTTTCCCAGGGATGAGCCAATTTGGCACCATAGGAGACCCGGATTTAGGCACACCTGCAGTCTAGCCCCGATGCAAGAACAAAAGAACCTTAAGAAAGAAAAAAAAAAAAGCAAGAGAGTGGGGACCCGGGAATCCGAGAATCGTGTGGATCTCTTTGTAAAGGGTTTTTTTCCTTGTGCTGCAGGTTCCGAAGTAGGAGCTCCCATCACCTGATTGGACTAGAGTGAGTCACACCATAACCAAGCAGCATTCTGCTATCCGTCATCGTGTCATACCAGGAGGTCTATATATGGAGCTTGAGTAGGCTCTTTTCATTGAATTTGATTTTCTCTCTTCCTTTCTACCTCATCTCGCCTTTCCATGGGGGTGATGGTCACTCCCCTCCTTGCTATCTAGGGTTCCTGGTCTACTTTCATCCTCACGCTTTGTTTTGGTCCATCTATACTCCTACCTATACGCCTCCGGACCCTAGAGAGAAAGCGAGGGAAGGGAGGAACAAAATCCTCAAAAAAGAATTCCAAAAGTTTTGCTTGCTCTTCATTCCCACCCTCATAGAATGGGACAAAGACATAATCGACGACGCACACGCCCACGATCTCGAAACCGCTCCGCCAATATACGCCCGGTTCCTCTCGATACCTTCTCAATCCCAGCCGACCTTTGCGCTGCATCTTGTCTATCCGATCTCGACTGCCTTGGAAATCGCCCCGCCTCGACCCGGCACTATAGGGGGTTGTCATGGCAGGACCGTGAGCACGCGCTGAAACCAGAGGCAGCCATGCTGGAGACCGAGCAGTATCGACTCTTTGGAGGCGAGCCCGGCGACGATGTCGGGCTCTGCTACCGCATGCTCGAGTACTTTGGCGGACTCGACTATATAGATCCGTGAGTATCTTCGAGAAGCGTGCCGTGAAACTTGTCCTGATCTCGTCGCGCTGCAGTTTACAGGACTTCAGGCCACTACCTGGGTGATTTTCGACTCGGATAAACCTGGCGGGCACCGACATCAGTTGTTTTGTCAGTGGTGGAATATACAACAAAAAAGAATCCGAAAGACGGTTCGATAAACGACTCGATCTTGAGCGTCATACTTCGCGAAAAACGCTCTCCTCACGCTGAAATCTCTTCGCGACACACTGGGGATCATCAACCCCCAGCGGCACAAGCACAAGTATACATGGAAACCCCAAGTCACCGACTTGTAGCAATGAAGATTCTCCAGAATCGGATTGGTCTATTCAGACTTGGCCAAGTGATACTTGGTTGGACGACGACATACCCTGACAGCCGAAGAAGCACCCTTAACTGCGCTCGCTTGACAGGTTGAGTTCGCGCTGCGGCGCTTGAATTCCCTTTGATCGAGGCTCAGCTTAAGAGGGCTTGTCTGGCTGTGTACTCGGTACCATCGCAAGGTATGAGTCACCACGCCTGTGACCATGACTCAGCAGAAAAGGACGAAGAGCAAGGAGGAAATCGGTCTGATGAGCCATATCATATATGAGATACGAGATCATGTATAGACAACGAATTTTTGTCCTTTCGGCAACATTCAGCGGGTCGATGCGACTGCAGCTCGACATCGCTGACCAGATTTCTGCAACAGAAACTTAGCCATTTTGAGTTGTTTGACTTGAAAAAAAGAATCAGAACCCTTTAAATGTTGCGAAGACCATTCGCTTCGAACTTCGAATGCCCAGTAGCAATGCGCAGTAGCCACGTAGACTTGGAGAAAACCGAGTGGTAGAAACTTGAAAGTGTTTACCACGCTGATAACACACGGGTTTCACCGCATTCACGGAGAAAAGCCGACTGCCAGCCGAACTTGTCTACGAAGAAAAATTGCTACGAGCACAGCTCACTATATCGACATGCAAGTAGCCCACACAGAAATAATGATAGAGAAAAAGGTATATCACGCCCCCTCCACAGCCAAAGCGCATGGGGATCTAATCTGACGAAAAGATACCCTAGCCCAGCCATAAATTGTAAGGGAAAAAGAAGGACGCAGATTGCTCTCCAGAGCCGGGAACGGAAGGAAACCCACAGAGAATATAAAAATTCCTAGAAGAATAACCCTCAGCAAGCCGCCGTAGCGGAGCTCCAGTTGATTTACATGGTATGTAAACCTCTACTGATGATGAGGAGAAAAGAAAAAGAAGAGGAACAGGCGAGGGAACGCTGCGCTTTTGTAGTCGGCGTTGACGGGCCAGGCTAGGGTCGATCAGGCTTAGCGCTGATTAGGCTCCGGCTGTCTGAGTTTTTCCGTTTTAGCGCTTTGCTATTCTGGGACTCAATAAGGGCTTAGGGCTAATGTCTAGTTGGCGGTGGCAGAATAGGCGGCAGGAGGAAATCACATGAAAATAGTTGAGGGGCTAGACTGAATCAAGTTAGCGGGGTACAGTATTGACTTTCCCTCATTGAGCGTCAAGGGCAAAGGTGGCAGCGCAGTTCCCCCATGATGCAGCCATGCCGCGCACACGAGCTGTATCCTGATAAGCGATGTATTCCCTTGCCCCCGGTCTCGGAGAATTAAGTTCTCACCCACAGAGCTTGTCCCGCGGGGGGAGGGCCTGTGACGAGGATTCATGAGATGGAGAACAAGCTCGAATGAAGAGGGGCGTTCTTGCCTCTCCAATCACAGGCAGGGAGGCACGAGACCACCACACCGTTAAGGCCAGGCTTGACGACATCGTCTCCTCTTTCTCTGGCGTCCCCCCCCTTCTTTCAAGACCACTCGCATACCCTCTCTACTCTTTTCTTTTTCTTCCCCCTTTTTCGCTTCGACCTTCTTACTACGGAGCGAACCCCCATCTTGACTGTTGACACTCGAGCATCAATTGCCGGTCGATTTGTGCTCGTTGAGAATTTCCGGCTGCCTAGTATTTTGCCTCCCGGTACCTGACCCAGGATTACCTACCGTGGTACATAATAGTAAGTGATCATGGTTTCCAACAGTGGCCTAATTTTTGTCTTTGCAGTCTGGTTGCTGACTGTGTTCTAGACTTCTAGGAATATATCTGGCATTCTCGCCCCTGATTCCCCCGTATTTTCATTTCTCTGCGATAGACAAAATGGGTTCAATAAACGGATCGGCCGAGGTGCTTGCGCCTACTCCTCGATACATCGCCAAATCATACAACCATGCGGACTCGCAGGCCTCTGCCCTGAGGCTTGTGTTGACGTTGAACCCTCACTGGGAGGGCGGCGACAATAAGATTGAGTTTGTGCGATTCACAGACGGAATCACTAATACTGTACGTGATCAATCTTTACGAAGCGATAATATCGGCGGGCTAATATCCAGCAGCTGTTCAAGGCTATAAACCGCAAGCCGGGCTTGACAGAGGAGGAAATAGACAAGGAGGCAGTACTGATGAGAGCGTACGGTAATCATACAGAAATTCTCATAGACCGCGAAAGTATGCGAACCGCACATCAACCCCCTCCTGCCCAATGCGACATGTGCTAAGTAGAACTGGTCCATCTACAGGAGAAACGAACTCGCATGCTCTTCTCGCTAGATATGGCTTAGCCCCTCCCCTCCTGGCTCGCTTTAAAAACGGTCTGCTCTACCGGTTCATTCGTGGTCGCCCGGCTACCCATCAGGATCTGGTTACAGAGGGCGTTTGGCGTGGAGTTGCCCGCCGACTTGGAGAATGGCATGCCATCCTTCCCATCAAGGCCGCCGAGACATTACCTGCATCAAAACAGGAGACGGCGCTGCTAGACTCTGTAGAAGTGTCCGCGGACGGCCAACCGGTCAAGACAGACGACCTACAAGTGATTCAACCCAGGCAGCCGGGAGCCAATCTCTGGGCGGTGCTCCAGAAATGGATACTTGCCCTGCCAACAAGTACTGAAGCGCAGCGCCAGAGGCGTCGAAGTCTACAGACGGAGCTCGAGCGCGTCGTACGCGAGTTCGATAACGGGAAGGGATTAGGCGAGCATGGAGTAAGTCGTCTTCGAAATATTCGCCGGACATGGAAGGTATTAACCGAGAACAGTTGGTATTCGCTCATTGCGATCTCCTATCTGCAAATGTCATCATCCTCCCGCGCGAAGGGGCTGTTACCGCCGCCGACGAAACCGAAACGGTTAACTTTATCGACTACGAATACGCCACACCGTCGCCAGCCGCATTCGATATTGCAAACCACTTTGCCGAATGGGGTGGTTTCGACTGCGATTACAATATGATGCCGACGAAGTCGGTCCGCCGGCAATTCTTGAAGGAATACGTCCGCAGCTACAGCGAGCACCAGGGAATCCCAGAGTCATCCCAAGCAGAGATTGTGGAACAGTTGTGCGATGAAGTAGACCGATACCGCGGATTGCCTGGATTATACTGGTGCGTCAAGATATACCGTATCAGAATTTGGGTAATGCTAACTAGCGATACAGGGGAATTTGGGCACTGATTCAGGCACAAATCTCTCAGATTGACTTTGACTATGCCTCGTACGCAGAAACACGGCTGGGTGAGTATTATGCCTGGCGGGCTGAGACGGATGGGACTCGAGGAGACGGAAAACTACCCCTACGTGAGCGACGATGGGCGCAAGAGGTTTAGGACACAGGCAATAGACGGGTTGGATATTCAACAAAATCCTTACTGCATATGTACAACGAACGGTTCTTCAACAGCATGCAAGCATGTGTTTACTTAATTTAATCTATACACGTTATACCATTAGCCAGGTTTCTAACCAGGGTTCTTTGACTAAATACTATATAACAGGGCTACAACCGATGCTGAACAGCAACCTCTTCTACCGACATCGTCACCCTCTTACTGTCAGCGGACACTACTGGGGAAGGGACATCAACTCCCAACCCTAAAGCCGCAACAACCCTCCTCCAACTCTCCATCCCTCTCTCCGCATGCTCACCAGGAACGCGCGGGTCCTTATCCGCACACGTTCTCGAGAACAACTCCAACGACACCCACCCGGTGAACCCAATGTCAAAAAACGCCTCCGCAATCCTCAACACAGGCAGATACCCGCCGCGATCCTCCTCGCACGGGAACAACCTCGCATTCCGCGACCAGTTCATCCGCGTCGGCTGACCGGCCACATGGAACGGGTGCGTTAAGTCCAGAGGCTTGGATAGTCTCTCTCCATCAACGAGCTGGATGTAGAAGATCTTGCTTATATCAAGCTCGCCGGAGCGAGCCGAGTCTCGCAGTAACTGCAGGGACTTGGTGAGGTCTGCATCTGCTGTGGCCGTCTTCCCAGAGGGATCCGCGGGATCCGCATAGATGCGGCCAGCGAGGTTGAACGTGTCAAGACACAAGCCGAAATTAGGTCTGTCGACGGCCCGGACAACGGCCCAGGCTGCTTCCCAGGTGTCGATGTGTGTAGACCAGCAGAGGGCCTCGTAGACGAAGCGGAAGCCCTGCTTGGCGCCGATGTCAGCGATGGCCTGGAGGTCCGAGACGATGAGGTTGAAGTCGCCTGATGTGCGCGGTTTCCCCGTCTCGGGATCCGCGGGGAGGAAGTTTGCGGGGATCTGGATGAGGTCTGTGTTTAGGATGCGGGCAAGGTCGAACCAGAGGGGGAGTTTCTGGGTGAGGAGGGAGGAGGTCTGTGTGCGGTCGAGGAGCCCTTCGTAGAAGCCAAAGGGTTGCAGGCAGATGATGGTGAGGTTGAGGGATTTGCAGACGGAGGAGATGTGTGTGGCGGCTTTGAGGATGGAGTTTTGGAAGCGCAGTTGAGCAAAGTGTGTGAGGTCGTCGATGAAGAGCTCGATTCCTTCGAAGCCGTGCTGGGCGGCTACGCGGAGCTTGTCGTCTAGTGGGTGGAGGCCGGGACGGCCGAGGGACATGGTTGGGATACCGATCTTGTAGGCCATTTTGTCTTTGGATAATGATATGGTAGGTGGGAGAGGAAGAGGGAAGAAGAGGGTGAGGGGGGGTTATATCCCTGCAGAATGTTTGCTGTGGCTGATCGACTCCAGCTGAGGGTTGGAGGAAATAAGGATCGGATCGTATACGTCAGATTTTTTTAGACAGTTTATTTGGCAATCAGCCAAGGCACGTATTATTGTTCGTTAGACAAAAGGCAATCTCGCTCGAGAATCAACATTTATACTTGGAGTCCTATCAACTTGGTACTTACTCTGATTGGGGTAAAACGATCTCCCACCGTTTACCCGGTAGCCGACCATGAAATACACCTGGCGTCAACAACTTGCTTTGCGAAAATCGGCAACATTTCAACCAGCAGGGCTGAAGCGCCTCACTGCCAACAGAATTATCTCGATGCAGGGGTTAGGTATCGTGTTGTGAGTGTGGGTTGGGTGTGGTTATTCCTAAAGTTTGGGCTGGTGCATGGCGCGCGGCCGGCTATCTATTCCCGAATGTCCTGGCGTATCCATGGACGTCTGTCACAAAAAAAATTCAGGGATGGCAAATGCAGAATCTGGACCCATTGAAAGAGATGTGCAAAGTGCCGCGAGATTAGAATTATGGGACCTGCGCGTCGAGTGTACGGAGGGGGGCAGAGCTCCAGGTTTTCCCCAGAGGAGGGCAGAATCTTGACCCCTTCCACGTCCCACCGAAAAAAACAGCTGGATCCCACTCCACACTCTCCACGTCAGATTCCGGAGTAAATAATCTGTCATTTGTCGTATAAATGCAAGGGTCCGAAAGTCAACCCCACAGAAACCCAACCTTGAACCTGAGTCGAACTTAACTTGAAAATCAATCACCATGATCCGTATTGTAGTCATCGGCGCAGGCCTCATCGGTCCCCGCCACGCACAATCTGTACAAACAAACCCATCAACCCAGTTAACAGCCTTCGTCGATCCCTCGCCAACCGCTCTTCCAATCGCCCAATCCTTTGCCGTCCCGTGCTTCCCCTCCCTGCAATCTCTGCTCGAGTCTCTGCCCAAGGAACAACACCCGCACGCCGCCATCATCTGCACGCCGAATCACACGCACGTTCCCGTCGCGAAGCAACTCATTGCAGCGGGAATCCACATCCTGCTCGAGAAACCAGTCGGCGATTCCATCGAGTCTGCGCAGGAGCTCCTGTCCACGCTCAACGAGCCCCAGAATAAGAATATCAAGGTTCTTGTTGGCCACCATCGCCGCTTCAACTCTTATGTGCAAACTACCAAATCCCTCTTGACTTCAAATTCGCTTGGCGCACCTATCGCAGTAAACGGTCTCTGGACTCTACAGAAGCCTGATGACTACTTCGCCCCGCCACTAGGCGCCTGGCGCGCCGATAAATCCAAGGGCGGCGTCTTCGGGATTAACCTCATTCACGACATTGATCTACTGCATTTCTTCTTTGGGCCAATTACCCGGGTCTATGCAGAGCCCATCAGCCCGCAGCGCCAGAGTTCGAACAGCGAGCATACAGCTGAAGAAGGCGCTGCGTTAACGTTCCGCTTCGCATCCGGTGTCGTGGGGACGTTCCTTGTCTGCGACGCGACGCCGTCCCCGCTGAACTTTGAGACAGGCACAGGCGAAAACCCGCTTATTCCGCAAGTTGACCCAAAGCACAGCGCGAGTGACTGTTATCGGATCTTCGGTAGCGCGGCGTCGCTGTCTGTGCCGGACATGACGAGGTGGAGTTATGATGGGAAGGCTGTGAAGGGCTGGAATGGGGATTTGGCTGTTGAGAAGGTGGACATCGAGGGGGTGGATGTGAAGCCGTTTGATCGGCAGCTGGCGCATTTTGTGGATGTATTAGAGGGAAGGACGGCAGAGGTTAGTTGTTCGGTTGAAGAGGGAGTGCGGGCGCTGTTGGTTGTTAGAGCTGCGAAGAGGTCGCTTGAGACCGGGCTGCCTGTGGAGGTTCTGTAGATTCATGTATGCATCTACGGGTCGAGATCGACTTGACTACAACAGTATAAGCATACACATACATCAAATCAGCAAGCCAATAGCAAGCCACCGTAGTGTTTAAAGGTAACCATAATCAAAGTTAAAGTATCCCAATCATTCCTGCATCAGATTCCTCGAGATATATCCAAATCTCGTTATATACATATTATATATATGAAGCAATTTAGACCTTCGCCTCCTCAATGTGTTCCTGCATACCAGCCCGCTTGTACTGGGTCTCCTCAATATCATGACGGAAGCGCTCCTCGTCTTCGCGCAGCTCCTTGAGCAGCATGGCATGAGCCCGCCACACGGGCTTCTTGTCGAAGAGCGACTCCATGCTCTCCAGCGGTATACCCTTGGTCTCTGGAATGAGGAACCACACAAAGATGATAGAGAGAATCATCAGAGATGCAAAGAAGAAGTAAACGCCGTAGCTCATCTTATCGAACATCTGCGGGGTGAAGCGCGAGATGAGGAAGTTCCAGAGCCAGTTGGAGGCCGCAGCGCAGGCTTGGGCGAGAGATCGAACAGTGGGGTCGAACATTTCCTGTATCTGTTAGCTTATGCATGACCCCTAGGATCAATGAACTTACAGAGTTGATGACCCATGGGGTACCGTTCCAGGATGGAGTGTAGAAGGCCGTCCACAGGTAGAAGAAGAACATGGCCGCGATGCCGCCTCCACCGAGTTGAGTACCCTCGGGGTTGTTCTCGGGCTTCGCCACACAGATATACGCACCCACAACCCACAGACAAATTGACCCACCGGCGGCACCGACGAGGAGAAGGAGACGGCGGCCCATGTGGTCGATTAGGTATAGTAGCCAGACAAAAGTAATGACAGCCTTGACGACACCAAAGATACCCGTTGTAAGGAGACTAGTGTTACCACCAGTGACACCAATACTGCGGAAGACAGTAGGGCTGTAGTAGTTGATGGCGTTGATACCAGAACCGTTCTGCCAGAGGAACAGCATGCTACCCAGGAAAAGACGGTAGAGAATGCGCTTGTTGGTCCAAGCGGCCTTGAAGGGCTTCCAGAAGCCAAGACCAATCTTTGCCCGCTGCTGCTCGAGAGACTGGTCGATCATGCTCACTTCCTCCATCATGTAAATGTGGTCGGCGGGGAGGTTGCGGATCCAGGCGAGAGTTTCAATGCCCTGCTCACGTTTGCCACGTAGGAACATCCATCTAGGAGACTCGCGGATGAAGATGGCGCCGATGATCAGCAGACCAGCGGGGATGAGTTGCACGGCGAAGGGGATGAGCCATTGCTTGTGGCTAGGGGCGAGGGTCTCATCCACACCATACTACCTTTCATTAGCACAGGTAACAATGTGGAAGCAAGAAACTCACGTTGATCCAGAAACCGACAACACCTCCAATCTGCCATCCCAGTTCGTAGACACCGACAAGACGACCACGAATGGCAGGGGGCGCCATCTCAGAGATATAGATCGGGCAGAGGTTGGAACCAGCACCGACACCGATACCGGCGAGCACACGTCCACCATAGATTAGGCCAAGTCCACGGTCGCCATTGGCACCCAGCATCATACCAGCACCAAGGAAGAAGACCAGAGCAGAGGCCATAAGGCCCAATCTGCGGCCCCAGAAGTGACCGGCAGGGTAGGCAAAGAGAGCACCGAAGAAGGCACCGGCTTGGTAGAGGGAGACAATGTTGGCGCTGACCAAGCGCTGCTTGCTGTCGCTCATCTCTTCCCACCGGAACTCATCCTTGAAGGAATCGAGACTGAGAGTCGTGCCAATGAACGCGGAATCATAGCCAATCATGCAACTGGTAAAGGAGGCAACGGCAGCGAGAAGATAGACGCGCCAGTTGTAGACCTCCCGAGGGGTTGGTCGGTCCTCGACCAGCGAGAGGATGGACATGGTGATGGATGACTCAGATGGATCAAGGGGATAGGAAGATAATGATGATTAGAAAAAGGAAGAGGAGAAGGGGAGTGGGTAAGAGGAGGAAGAAGGAGAGTTGAAGAGGGTTATATACTGGCCGATCACGGGGAGGAGGAGAGACGATTGGGGGATGGAAAAAAGGAAGTCGACTCGCAGCAGCAAAAACAGCCAGGCAGAGTTTGCGGGGAAAAGTGTATTCCTCACTTTATCGCAGATTAAAAAACGAACATCCCCACGGGGTCTCGATTAAGCGAAGCTCGCAGAGAATTTCATCTGTTCCGTGGGCAGCGTGGAGCCCTCCCCTGGTCGGGGAGAATGGGCAAATGGTTCATCCACTGCTTCCCCACACCGGCTAAACACTATCCTATTATCTGTTATAAGTTATTCTCATTCTTCTCTCTCTCTCTCTTTCGCCTTCAATAACCGAACCATAAGCCAAAAATGGAGCAAATCACTATCCCCTCCGACCGCGACGGCGTCGCCTACCTCTACGGCCACCCTCTGCGCAACTCCCTCTCGCCTCCCCTCCACCAAACAGTCTACAACGCCCTCGGCCTCAACTGGACACAGATCCCCCTTTCCAGCGCAAATGGCGTCTCCTACACTCAGTCCCCCGACATCAGCACATTCCTCTCCTCCATCCGCGCAAACCCTAAATTCGTCGGCTCTTCCGTCACTATGCCCTGGAAGGTCGCGATCATGCCGCACCTCGACGACCTGACCGAAGACGCCCGACAGGCCGGCGCATGCAACACGATCTTCCTGCGCAAGGGCGGCGACTCAAACTCTCAGATTTCCTACGTCGGCACAAACACAGACTGCATCGGTATCCGTGAAGCGCTCCTGCAGGGTTCGCCGACGGGGCCAGACCACTTCCGGGGTAAGCCGGCGCTGATTGTCGGAGGTGGCGGTACGGCCCGGACGGCGATTTATGTGCTGCGCCGCTGGCTCGGCGCTAGTAAGATCTATATCGTCAACCGGGATGCCGCAGAGGTAGAGGCCATTCTCGCCGAGGACAAGCAGCGGAATCCCAACGCCTCTGCGGTTGCCCCGCTTGTACCTGTCTCCGACCCGGCTACTGCAGCGACCGTTGAGGCGCCTGTTGCCGTTGTCTCGGGAATCCCGAATTACCCACCCAAGACTGAGGAGGAAATTCGTGCGCGGGAAACACTCAAGGTGCTGTTGCAGCGCCAGTCGCATGAGAAGGACCAGGGTGTGATCCTAGAGATGTGCTACCACCCGTCGCCATGGACGGAGATCGCCCAGATTGCGTCGGATGCGCGCTGGCAGGTTGTGCTTGGGTCAGAGGCGCTCATCTGGCAGGGTCTGGAGCAAGCAAAGCTCTGGACGGGGACGGACGTTGTGGCCGTGCCTGGTTTGGTTGAGCAGGTCAAGGATTTTGTTGCACAGGCTGTTGCTGAGCGGTCCAAGCCGAACTTATAACTTCATATATAGATAGAATAGATTTGCATTGTATATAATTCTACTATTCTCTATGCCCCTGGTCTATTATAATCTAGCTGGCGCACCCGGCGCCAGACTTCGCGTACTGTTCTTTCCTGTGTCTCTCGTCCTGTTTCTGTCTCGGAGGGGCCGGCAGGTCTATTCTGTTAGCTTAGATGTCAGAGATACAAGGATGAGTCTCTTACCGAATAGCCAAATACAGTCGACTTCCCAGTTTCACGGGCGCAATGGGCGCACTTATATCATCGGGCGGATTCGCTGTAGTCACCAGCCCTCCGGCTTCAAGCAGGATCGCAATACCAGCCGCCACATCCCTAGGTAGTGAGCTACTATTCTCAAAACTGGAGATATAGAAAAGACTCACCATTCCCAACAACCCCCCTCCCACCAAATATCCACCGACCCCATGGCCGTGTATGCGAGATCCATTGTCGCACTCCCTAAACTCCTAACCCCGTGCACCATACCACCTTTCCCACCTCGCCCCTCCCGCTCAGAAGCCAGGTTGACAAAACTCTCAATCTTGCGATGTAGATTCCCATCGGGGATATCGCGTCGGTCTTTACCCCATTCGCATCCAAGTATGCACTTTGATGGTGCGTTTGCCGGCATCGGTGGGATAGAGGGCTTCCGGATGAGCGGCAGCTGGCGCTTCTCGTTGAGCCATGCGCCGCGGTTGAGGCAAGACGAGAATAGTTGATCGAGGAGGGGCGCGTATATAACTCCGATGACGGGATAGTGATTTACGATAAAGCCTATCGAGACGCAGAACATGGGAAAGGCGTGGGTGAAGTTGACGGTTCCTAGACTCGTTAGTAACATTGCCACTATACGTGTTGATAAGGGAGAACTAACCGTCTAAAGGATCGACACACCATGTCGGCTGCTCATCGATAAGGTATTCCCTTGACTGACCCTTCGCGTAGGTTTCTTCACCAAGAAATTTATGTGCGGGGTATTTGGTTTGAATTGCGGTCTTGATCAAAGATTCGACATCTATAACGTAACACTTAGTATGATAGTTCCACGAACAAAAAAGAGCTGGCGTACCTTCATCCGTCTGAGTCACTAGGTCGACCGCATTCTCTTTCTCAGTGTACACTTGGTCAGCATTGCGCTCGTCGATGCGGTCTAGTAGGAGTTGGCCTGCTTTGCGGGCGAGGTCGATCGCAAAGGTATAAATTTCGTCCAGCTGATCCTGTGGAATAGGGCAGTCCATAGTGAAGGCCTTGCGGTATGGTGACTTTCGTGTGTTTTGTGAGGAAGAGGAGAAAGAAGATCGGAGGGGAACTAAGAGATTGCGGAAGGTGGAGATGCAGTGGCCGCTGGTAACCGAGTCAGCATGTATAAGCTGCGTACAGTGATAACAGAATTGCATAGAATCACAGTTGGCTAGCTCGAGACTAAGGTGTATAATGAGAACCGGCGATCCCTGGACAGTTCCTCTTACCCCATACTTCCATTCAGACCTCAAGTCCGTGCTGTGAGAAAGGCAGCTTCAGTGGCATACTCTGCGGTTGCCGGCAGAGCCTTCTGCCACGGCTTTTCTTTTGCCGATGGATGGGCATCCCCGCAATTTTACATCATGTACACCCGGTATTTATTAACAGAAAGTCTCCCTTTGACACTCGCAAATATCTTACATCCATACACACATACGATCATTAAAATGGCCAAATCAATCCTCCTCATCAACGGCCCTAACCTCAACCTCCTGGGCACCCGTGAACCACACATCTACGGCTCGACCACACTCAAGGACGTCGAAGAATCATCCAAAGCCCATGCCGCCTCCTTCGGTGCTACTCTCGAAACATATCAATCGAACCATGAAGGGGCCATAGTGGATCGCATCCAAGCCGCTCGCGGTAACATCGACGCTATCATCATCAACCCTGGCGCATACACACACACCTCTGTCGCCATCCGAGACGCCCTTCTGGGCGTAGCGATTCCTTTCATTGAGCTCCATGTGAGTAATGTCCATGCGCGGGAGCCCTGGAGGCATCACAGTTACTTCAGCGACAAAGCTGCTGGGATCATCGTGGGATTGGGCGTGTATGGGTATAAGGTCGCGGTCGAGCATGTTGCTTTGAACTTCAAGCCTCTGGAAAAGGCAGCTCTGTAAATAGTGTATGCAAACTATTCCTCTGGCCACGAGTTGAATGCGTAAAATTGTGTAAGATCAAGTTCACACTCGGCGTCAAGAAACTCATCTGGAGTTTAGGGCTGGATCACTCGTTATGTGCGACTGTCGCCTAAGATCTGTTGTCTCGGGAGAGGTCAAGGACGGCTGTGTCGGGGCTAGGAGGAATGGGTCTGATTGGCCGGTATAGGGGTATAGCTCAGGCATGCCTGCCTCAGGAACAAAGCCCAGATTTTGCATAAACTCCGGTTGGTTGTCCATCCTGTTATTCGGAGACGATTAGTATTCTACCACACTCACAAGCAAAATAAAGAGATGAAGCTCACCTGTCAGTGCCATCAAGCGAGGCCAATTCGTCGAACAACGCATCGAGATCAGGAGCAATTCTTGGCCGACGTAGTGACCCGTGTCCCTCTAGGTCGACCATCGAGTTGAACTGCAGGTTTGGGTCGTTGTAGGTTTGTTGATACTGAGCCGTTGCTGTTGCCGAGAAGGGTGCCGCTAGATCCGATAACATGGGCCCCCCGTTTTGCCTCGAAGAGACGGAAGATCGATGCTGGTGATGCACGACTCGCTGAGAGCGAGGATTTGGTACTTCAAGACCAGGTCCAATATTCAGAGAAGACGCTGGTGTCGGTAGAGATAGAGCGGCATTCTCATCGTTAGAGGATGTCCGTATCCAAGTTGGTGAGAGGAACGACTCTGGGCTTGAAAGATTCCCTGGGCGAGAATCACCAATCAAATTGGCCACTCGTAAATTGCTGCCAGACACGTTCTGCGCTAGTGGGCTCCTATAAGCATTGCCCTGGCGTAAAGTCGCTGCCAAGGTAGGCGAAGCAGTCAATTCGGATCTTGCATGCGGAAGACTGCTATCATGAACCCATACCGTTGCCAGATGGGCTGAAAATGATTGTAATTTCTGCTTGATACCAGGATCAGTCTCAAAGACCCAGGGTGCACTCGTTCTCGCACTAGCTGGCGGAAGACCCAACATTAAAATCATTCCAAATGTTGGACAGGTCGCCGACAAACTATAGGTCTCCATGTATGCTTGGATCAATGAGACGAGTCGCTTAGACCCCTCTACAGCACGCCGTAGCCCACTTCTCTCATTTCTCTGCAGGGAAAACTGCAAGCTTATAGATGTCGCGACAGCTTCGTACATCATCTCAAGTCCAAATATATGCGGTGACGCAGGCTTGGCTGAGACCGTTTGCAAGTCGATGCGATATGTTTTGGGAAGTGCTGACACCCAGAGTTGGAGTTGCCGCTCAAGTGCTTCAAGATGAGAGAGTGAATTCGTTGACGATTGCCCCCAAATGCACAAATCGTTCAGAATGCACATCAATGATAGCAGCCTATTAAATGTACTCAATGCATGAAGGGGCCCTCGATGAAACGAACCTCGGGATGACTCAACCGGACGAAGACCAGTCTGATCCTCCCAAGGATGCCATTCTTCTAGACCATCCTCATTGACCGGGCCGATCTTCGTAAGATCACTCTTACGTAGAGAAGGCACTTGACCAACTTGCGCCGCAACTAGTGTCTCCAGGACAAAACACCCCAGAAACACATGTTTAGAGCGCCCTGCAATCTTTCCTCCTTCGGCAGGGTTCGTAGATGGATCAGGGAGATTATTCAGCCCTAGACTTTGAGCAATCCTAACGGCGTGTCCTACAAGAACCCATGCTGCAGGCCAGTCTTGCTGGCCCAGCTTAATCAACGACAAGACCAAGAGTGCTTGAACATGGCCAATTTCATGGGCTCCATTCTCCCCAGGAACTAGGCTTCTCGCCTTCGCATACAGCTGACTAGGGTCGGGTCGATCCTCCGCAAAATCCGCCAGCTGGCGTGTAGCTGCAATCGAACTCTGCTGTATAGAAGCAAGTGCCAAAACAGCCCACAAGGCAGCGTGGTCTCCCGAGCCTAGTGGCATGGCTGAGACAGACTGGTCGTCGTCCGCATGGCGGAACGCGGTTCGAAGAATGTCGTGTTTTTCAAGTATCGGAAACCAGCATTGGGTATATGAGAAGTATATATCAAGTAACGGCCATGGATTAGGTGGAAGTTGTTGGTAACAGTTTTGAGCAACGGATTTGGATATCCCAGCTCCAGATGAACTTCCAATTTGATCCTCGACTAGAGGCAGGGTTTGTGTCCCAGAATTCCTGGTCGATGTTTGTCGTACCGCTGAAGGGGTGATGGGTGCTCTCACCGGTGACGGTCCAATGGTTAGTGGAGGTTCTCTTGCGTCCCCAAGCGGGTCAGGCAGATGCCACTCTAGCGTTTCGGACGATAGCACACTATTCCCATCCGGAGATTCGATCTCTCCAAGCGCCCTGGCCCTTTCTTGTTCCTCTTCCGGCTGCTCAAGGAATGTCAAGAGTCGCTCAATCTCCTTCAAAACAATACTGTTTTTCCATGACGATAGCAGGGTATCGGATCCTTCTGCCTCCTTTCCCATGGTGGCCAAGTGACTGGGGATGTTGGCTGCCCTCAAGAGGGTTCGAACAACCTCCTCACTACCCTGTATCTTTGTAAACACAAGTCCCCATAGCAGTTCAAGAGTGCGAATGTATCCAGTCGGCAGGCCGCGCTTCTTCGGATTGGCTCGGTAGGTACATGGTCGTGAGAGGGAAGCGCAGGTCGAGCATATCGGTTGAGCCCCGTCGCATTTGTCCTTCTTGGACCTGCAGCTGTCGCAAGCACGAGAAACCCGCTGCCTCTTGGGATTCGAAGTGGGGTCATCGGTCGCAGGGGCCTGCCTGCCATCGTCGTCGACAGCATCGTTTACTCGCCTTTTGGACCTGATGCTGCCACCGGTGTTTTGGCGGGTATCGCTGCTCATAATCGATACAGCGGTGCACGAGCCTGCTCTGGATACAAGCTCATTTTCGACCCGGCGCAAGCGAGATGAATGCTTTGCCGGCGGTTGGTTAGCACGCCCCGGAAGCGTTGAATGTCGGACGTCGCAGCGTTTGGTTCCCGCCGATACAGCGGAAGGTTATTGTGCGATTGGTCCGAGGATTGCAAAAGAGCGAGATTGAAATTATCCTCTGATTTGGCAGAGCCGCAGCAGTCAAGATAGCCGACGCGAAAAATCGCAGGTGATGGGATAATGTGTGGTCGGCCGGAAGCGGAGAAGCTGGGGAGAAATCACGATGAGTACCTCGCTCCTTCTCAGCGGGTAAGCAATATCAGGGATTGTGATTCTGAGAGACGGGTATTCGCAAATGAGACCATTAGCAAAGTTTTCATCAGCCAAGGCCTAACCTAGAGCGCTTTTGCCCACCGGTCGAGCTGGAGAAGAGGTAACGTGGAACTGGTGCCAAATGCTGGTGTGCGGTGGACGTCGGACATTCCCCGCATTCCCCGGGGAAAAGGGAGATTCAGCATTTTCTGCCAATAGACTGTCGCATAATTCCATCGCTGTTGGTCCGAGAGAGCCACAGAACATGAGTGAGAGGTTGGCGAAGTTGTCGGCACTGGTTCGCGGCAGTTGCCAGTGAGCGGGCGGATAAATGAAGAAGCCCCTCAGGCGCTAAGGCTGTCATAGTGTGACTTTCCCCGCGAGCGCAAGCCCCCAAGAAAGCTCATTTCATCTTCTTCTCTCCACCATCGTCAGCTTCCCCGGCCCTTTGACTGGCTGGTGATTGCTCACTCCGGAGTACGGGGCGCCCTGCTTTGCTGGTTCCGATGCCCTTCCCCTCAGGCTCTGCCTTTCCACACCAATTTTCCCTCTGCAAATCTTACTATCTGGACAAGCACCCCCGCCCCCCTCTCCTCTCTCATTCCCGCACATGCTCCTCGGGTCTTGTCGGGCTGAATATGCTCCCCACACTGATTTTTGAATCACCATAACCTTTGTTGTTTCCCCGTTATGTCAATCCTCGTGCGGCCTCCCAAACGCCGGCTCGACGATATTGACGGCCTTCCAGCTCAGACCCACCGCCGTCTTACACGAGGTTTCAATGGACCAGGCTACGCGACAGGGGGGAATCAGTACGCAGGAGGCGAATATGGACGCTTCGAAGAGCCTCTGGACACATCTGGAGATGGATCCAGGTTTGCATCGCCGTTTCGGGACTTAAACTCCAGTCGCGCGTCGCCCACCCGCTTCGAAGACTCGCTTCACCCCCCGAGGAAATTCCGCCAGAATGCGTCAATTGTGCTGATAGGCATACGCGGTACAGGAAAGTCGAGTCTTGCTGTCATGCTCACGGCCACCTACGGGAGACGGTTGATTGAGGCAGATCGATACTTTCAACAGGTGACGGGGCGCTCCCGCTCCGCTTATAAACGAGAGTACAGTCCTTCGGAATACCGTCGACAGGAAGCCGCGGTCATGGAATCTATGCTTATGGAAAATCAAGAGGATTGCGTTATTGTCTGTGGCTCGGGCGACGTTGAGCGCAACGGACAGATCCTGCTCCGGGAATACGCCAAAACCCACCCCGTCATCCATATAGTTCGAGACCTGGGAAGCATCAAATCGTATTTGAGGACAACGGATACAGAGAAGGTTCGCCGATTCCTTGAGCTGTCTGGTCCGATATATCGAGCCTGTTCGAACTTCGAATTCTTCAACGTCTCGGAAAAAGGCATTGGAGAACAGCCGTTAAGCAAGGACAGTCAGCACTACACTCAGTGGGATGCCGAGGTGGACCAGCGAGCTCAAACTTCGACCCCATTCCTAATGCTCAAGCGGCTACAGCGCGATTTCTTACGCTTCGTGGCGTTCGCGGCAGGCAATATCCCCGAATTGAGGAACCAACTCTCACCCTTCCCTCTTCATATGCAGCCCATCGAGTCCCGCAAATACACATATGCCGCGACTGTCCCGATATCCTCTCTCCTCGAACGTGACCTTGATATCGAAGAGTTGGAATCTACCGCGGATGCCTTTGAGCTTAGGATTGACATTTCCGCAACACCCTCGAGTCAGCTGGGCACCGAGTCGAATTTGGCGGACGGGATCAGTCAAGTTGCGGCAACAGTACGCCGCAATATCATTGTACCTTTGATATATCATGTCGAAGGTACTGTAGCTTCAGTCAACCAACATAATGAGTTCGTGCGGCGCTCAGAAGCTTCGTACCTAGAACTAGTACAGCACGGTTTACGCTTGGGGCCAGAGTTCGTGACCGCCGACTTGTCATTTGAAGATAACATCTTGTCTCAGATTATCGCTACAAAGGGCTCTAGTAAAGTCATTGGTCATTATTCAGCCAGTCAGCCATTTCCTAAAGGTTGGGAGGACCCTGAGTACTTATCAATCTATGAAAGGGCGAAGAGACTGGGATGTGATATGGTTCGCTTAACACAGCCAGCAGCCTCGATTGATGACAACTTTGCCGTCGGGCGCTTTCGCCATCATATAAAAACTCTCTCCGGACCACAATTACCTATCATCGCTTATAATACCGGTCCTCTAGGCCGGCAATCTTGCTGTTTCAACCCGATTTTGACCCCTGTTATCCCTCGGCCACTCATTTCTGAAGCTGCGGCGAAAAGGTTGCCGTCTCTCACTATAAATGAAGCCCAAGACGCTCTCTACGCCTCATTTGTCCTGGACCCAATGCAATTCTTTGTTTTTGGTGCCAACACTACCTACAGTCTGTCACCAGCAATGCACAACGCGGCCTTTAAGATGCGTGGAATGCCACATACATATCGTATTCATCAATCAGCCACTTTGCGCGGCCTTAATGACCTCGTGGAGAATCCGAACTTTGGCGGCTCGAGTGTCAGTTTGCCATACAAGACAGAAGTCATTCCACTTCTCCATTCGATGTCGCCACATGCCCGTGCGATCGGAGCTGTCAATACGTTGATCCCTATTCGAGACATGGAAAATAGCACAGATAATGCTCTGGATATGGAGAAGAGTCGGTCAGGGCCGATAAAGGGCTTGCACGGAGATAACACGGACTGGATCGGCATTTGCAACTGTATCCGACGTGGTCTGTCTCCCGCAAATGCCATTCGCCCCTCAACAACGGGACTGATCATTGGAGCCGGTGGTATGGCGCGTGCTGGTATATACTCTATGATACATCTGGGAGTGCAGAACATCTTCATCTGGAACCGTACGCTTGCCAACTCCAAAAGGCTAGCCGAACACTATATGCGCCTGAATTTCAAGGCCCTCGGCAAGAGCGGACCATCTACCAACTATCAGATACATGTTCTGGAGTCGCTGCAGGACAGTTGGCCGGCCGACTACAAACAGCCTACTATAGTCTGCTCGGGAATACCGGCACACCGGATAGGAGACCAACCAGCGCCAAACTTTCAACTCCCATCGCAATGGATTGAGAGTCCTACAGGTGGAGTGGTTGTGGACGTAAGTTCTTGTTATTATTATCTCACTGGAAGAAGGATTGCTAACAGTTCCCTAAGCTCGCCTACAAACCTCTCAACACTCCTCTTATGCGCCAGATCCGGTCCCTATCTCATCGTGGCTGGGTTGCCCTCGATGGTCTAGACGTTTTACCCGAGCAAGGATTCGCGCAATTCGAGCTCTTCACCGGCTGTCGCGCTCCCCGGCGCCTCATGCGGACAATCGTCTTGCAGGAATACAAGGAGGAAGAGCAGGAAGAGGATTACGATCAGAACGCTATGCAGACTCGACTTGAGAATCTCGATGGACAACCGATGTGAGGTTTGATACTGCAAGTATCCGAAACGAATCTCTCATCACCCGCGCCTAGTGAGCAAAGTACCTGTCCAAAAGCCGAAGCATTTCCGGCCACTGGGAATATTCAAGGTCAACAACCGCTCTGCAAAGACCGTTCATGCAGCATCAAAACCCGTTTCTGCAGTCTTTCGGTACCGAGGTCCAAAGTAAATGCCGCTGATTCTCGAAGGCTCATCGGATGTTTCACGACTTCAATAACTGGGATGTATGAAACAACTCCCCGCATAGCGGGACTTCCGAGGAGCCAAGAGGGGATCACTTGTATCACAACTACATCCGGCCGCTATTCTGGCAGACTCATCCTCAGGAGCTTACACAGCAAATCATGATTCGAACGACTTGATTATATTATACCCTCGCATTTTTCTATTTGTCTCATATGACCCAGGCATTTTAATGAAACAATCCCTAGTCCTGAAATTTAACTCCGATCTTGACATTAACGATGTAACCCCAACGAAAAGTATGCATCATCATGCATCCCATTCTTGCCAATCTCTTCCAAAGGAGTCAAAGTTACCGCACGACAGTCTGACGCTGTTGGGACCGTGAACCACCCAGGACAGATCGCCAAAATAAGCTGGTTGGCCAGGAGTGTTCGAGAGGAAGAAGTCTAAATATGTGGCCCGAAAATCCTCGCCGGGTGGCGCCCAAGCAGGTCCATGCTTCCCGCTCAGGTCACCAACCTCGCAAGTTTGAGGCTGTGTGATGTCACAAGGTGGTGTTTGCCCACGGCCGTAGGGGTCGAGGTGAGCACCGGTTGCATAGCAATTGCCGTCTTCTGGGACACGGTATTGGTGAATGTGGTAGTCTGTTTGCCCAATTGCTATAGTTAGCGATGCGTTTCTGCACAGGGTTACTTATGAGGAGAGGCGTACTCAGTGCTTGGTTCTCTGGGATTCCACCAATCAATACTTCGACCTGGAGGGCATTCGAGTTTGGTTGTGGGCGAATTTGAATACCGCCCCAGATCGTGGCGTTGTCTTTGTCGAGGAGACTGGCATGATGGAAGGACACGGGCTGGTTGTCGGTCACGATAGGAGCATTCTGCGCAGCAGCAGAAAGGGCCAGGCCCATGAAGGCGCCTGCGATGAATTTGGAATGCATTGAGAATTGTCAATAAGCCGGGAATAGTGTGGGATCAGGTTCGATGAATGGGAGGAGTGAAAGGATATAGGGCTGTGAAGGATGCGGCTGGTATGGAGGACCATCAAAGAGCGGAACCGGGTTAGGACCAGGTTAAATAGACCATGCACTGAGTTTCTTTCAGGATGTTTGTGCAACCTGGGGACAAGGCTCCGGAAAGAGCGATCCTCAAACTTCGTTTCCGTCTTTGGAAGAGCCAAGATCTTTGGGCTTTGAGACGAGAGCAGGCATCCATGACGAGTCACTTTATTGGTCGTGATGAAACATCCAACCGTCAGGATTACAATAAGCAACCATGGAGGTTGGTTCCTTAGGACAGGGCGCCTAATCTGCACCTAAATTGCAGGCCTGTCCTCAGCGCCCTGACAACGCATGAACTTTCGTCGCCAACTCGGATTCCGAGAATGCTGGCTATTTGCAGTCGACCTGCGCTTAGGCATAATAATAGCTCCCCCCGCGCTGGCAAATGGTGATCCAATTCAGGGGCCAAGCTAATCTAGAGTGCCGAGCCTGGCCCCCATTGCAGAACAAAGTTGAAACCCGGTCGTCGTTTGGATCTTGACTTGGCGGTACTCCAATACATATTCTTGTCACTGGTGGATTGTCGAAGCATTTCGTGCGTTTGAGCCTTGCGAAAGCGCCCAGGCGCAGTCCGTCAGAATCCTAAAATCGCGAGTTGGAGACAGCGGTGTCCACTATGTGCATATATTGAAATCTCAGTGCCTAACATTCTAAGGGCATTGGCTGTGAGATCGCTGAGAAGGATCTCGAGCTTACCCCCCCCGCGGCTCGGATGACTTTTTGTTCCCGCTCAGCTAGATAGTGAGCGTTAGTTGAAATGCTGTCAGTGAATTCGATTTTTGATCCAGTAGGATAATAACTCGACAAGACTCCGGTGTAGCAATAAGATAGGCAGCGAGATGGAACGAAGCCGACGCTGGCTAAGCAAAGGTCAGGAATGGCGACTCGCATAGTTAAATAGGTGCACGTTTGTATCTGCGTTGGAGGCCTTCACTTTGCTGGTGGGTAAATGCGAGATGATTTATCATCAAGGCTAGGTGCAAATTGTGGCAGCATCGCTCGGTTTCAGGGTATCCTCGTTCCCTGTTCAAGACGAGAGATGGTCCTTTGACTTACTTATAACACGTCCCCCGACATATGCAATGGTGGTTTGTTCCCTCGGCGACTGTGCCTCGCACGTCTCTCCAGTCCTCAAGGCTGACGCAGAGAAGTTGTATGCGAGACCAGCCTCACCAGACGAGAGTGCGCGGTGACATTGATCAATAATTCCCATCACAGGGTCTTCGGTTCAAGCGCGCATAATCACTTGGTATAAATCAACGACTCTGGTTGTTGAAAGCAGAGGCATGGTGTAAGCACCCATGGGAAGCCAAATTCTTTGTATGACCTTGTGATAGGCAGCGTTTTATTTTGCTTTATGAAAACTTGAAGATTCTCAACATGACCGACATCCGTGTCAGCTACCGTGGTGCCTTCTGGGGCTTTCTTCCGACCTGCATATATATTAGAACCGGTCATAGGCGAAGCCAAAACAGGTTGTAATCCGTTGGTACGGGAGATCAGAAGCTCGATAGGCAGATGCTTGGATTTCGTCCCAATTCAGGCGTGCGGTATCTTGAAGCTGGTCTGCGTCGGTTGTTTTAGTAGGAGCAGGAGATGGCTGGGAGACGATGGCCTGCGAGTCGCATCACATCTCGAAGTAGCTCTCGCATCGTCTCGTGATCATACCTGCTTCGTTCTAGGCCAAACGTTGGTAATGCGGTTCTTCGAAGTCCAGACTGGCTGAACCTCCGTTCATCCGAGAGCGCCGACTTGGTTCAACATGTGCAAATGCAGTGCCTTGGACTGAAAGCACCCAAGTCTGCATGCTTCGCCACTGATGTGTGAAGTAGAGAGGGGGGAGACAGAAGACGAATCGATTGACGACGACGAAAAGAGAAGCTGGAGCCACAGTTACCTTAAATAGGGAATTCATGCGACAAGCGGCAGAATTACCGGGTTGGGCTTCCCCTCATGGTCCCCGCATGCGAACCCCCACCAAGCCCACTCTTTCTTTTGCTTCTTCCCCAGCTCACAGCGCCGTCGTGGCCAAATGAAGCGCCTGCGATGGCGCTCATGATCCAGCCCAGACCCATCACCTGGTCATTCGGACACTCTCCGACTAGCTTCTCCCCGATGGAGCTGCTTCGGCGTAGGACTTTCCCGAATACATACTTATACCGGGCGCCGACCGGTTTCCCAACACCCAATTCTGCTTCGAGCGTGTCCTACACCTAGTTTTAATCAAACACACCGAGAGGGGATCATCCACTATGTCTCTAGCTCAGAACCACTACATAATCCAACTCCCCTCAACACCTACCCTTCACCGGGCACCAGAGCCGCGAGCGATTGCGCAACAATGGATCACAGATCTCGAGGTTCTACTGAGAACCAGTGAATTTTCTAACCTGTCCAGTCTCGTTCATGAGAAGTCATGGTGGCGCGATAATCTAAGTCTGACCTGGGATCTTCGCACGATCCAGAATCTCAGCGGTATCCAACAGTTCCTGACCCAACACCAACCCCGCGCCCAGTTGTCTGCCTTTCGGCTTCAACATGAGGGCAAGTGCCAGGCAAAACTGGAATCACCCGCCCCAGGCCTGACGTGGATTTCGTCAATGTTCTTCTTCGAGACCGCCACCGGACGCGGCTCTGGTGTCATTCGTCTCACCCAGGATAGCAAGGGTGTGTGGAAGGCCTATGCGATCTATACCTCTTTGCAGGAATTGAAGAACATGGAGGAGCCGGTAGGAGCGCGAAGGGCCTACGGTACAACTGAGACGATGCCAGGAGGTTTGGCTCAGGGAACTTGGATTGAGCGGCGAAAGCGGCAGGTTCTCTTCAATGAAGAGGAGCCCGCGACGCTCATAGTGGGTGCCGGTGAGTATTATTTTCTCAGAGACAGGCCTTCGTGCTAATTATTTCTTTAGGCCAGGCTGGTTTGAACCTGGGAGCTCGTCTTCAGTCGCTCGGCGTACCCTCTCTGATCGTTGACCGTCATGAGAGGATTGGTGATAACTGGAGAAACCGTTACAGGGTATGCGTACCTCTCAATCCGGGCTTCTATATCAGCAACTGACTTGTGCAAGACCCTCGTAACCCACGATCCTGTCGAATTCACACACATGGCCTACCTGCCCTTCCCAAAGAATTGGCCCGAGTTTACTCCCAAAGACAAATTAGGCGACTGGTTCGAAGCCTACGCAAGCATCATGGAACTAAACGTCTGGCTCAAAACCAGTGTCACAGCAGCTACATACGACGACACTAAGAAACAATGGACTGTGACGGTGACCCGCGGCGATGGTACGGAGCGCATCTTGCGTCCTCGTCACCTCATCTGGTGCACCGGCCACTCTGGTGAACCCTTGGTCCCCACCTTCACAGAGCAGGACAAGTTTAAGGGGAAGATCTACCATGCTATTCAGCATACCGATGCCTCCCAACATGATGTTAAGGGGAAAAAAGTCGTAGTCGTTGGTACAGGAAACAGCGGGCACGATATCGCTCAGAATTTCTATGAGAATGGCGCGGATGTGATGATGCTCCAGCGGCGCGGTACATACGTTATCACCGCTGACAAGGGGGTCTTCATGATGCACGAAGGTCTCCACGCGGAGAACGGGTATGCCCATTTCTCCTGTCACCCTCGTCTCACCTCAAGCTATACACAATGACTGACTCCATGAAAACACAGACCCACAACCGAAGAAGCCGACATAATCGCCGAATCTCTCCCTTATCCTGTCCGCTTCGCGCTAGATGTTCACTTCACAAAACGCGTCTACGAGGCCGAAAAGGATATAATGGAAGGCCTACAACGCGCAGGCTTTGAAATTGACCACGGTATAGACGGCGCAGGGATCTCGCGCGCCTACATGACCCGCGGTGGCGGATACTACATTGACGTCGGCTGCAGCCAATTGATCGCAGACGGCAAGGTCAAAGTAAAGCGCAGCCCCGAGGGGATTTCGAAATTCACTGAGCGCGGACTTGTCCTCAAGGACGGGACCGAGTTGGAGAGTGACATTGTTGTCCTCGCGACGGGGTATGATAATATGCGCACGACTGTGCGGAAGACGTTGGGGGATAAGGTGGCGGATCGGTTGAGAGACGTGTGGGATTTGGATGAGGAGGGAGAGCTTAATGCCGTGAGTACTTTCCTTTCAGCCCTGCCCTCTCTTGTCTTCTTCTCTTCTGGGGCTTCCCCGAGCTTGTTCAAAAGGTTTGGTTGAAACTAACAGGCTCCTTAGATGTGGCGGCCGAGTGGCCATCCGGGATTCTGGTATATGGGTGGTAACCTTGCCCTGTGCCGCATCTATTCCAAGTTCCTGGCGTTGCAGATCAAGGCTATTGAGGTGGGGTTGGTGTCTCAGTAAGCGAATTATTAGATCATATAGAGTTATATTAATGCATGCGGCATGTATCTTCAAGGCATACCAGAAAGCTACGCTGAAATGCGTGGTGTCTTAGTAAAGATTAGGGCTCTGTACCATAGTTGACAGTAGGTATAGTTACTACGTCATTTTCAGTGCATTCAACGGATGGACCGTCAGTCCCCGAATCACATTGAACCCTCACTATTATAGAAGAGCAGGAATAATGAGCATGGTTGTACAGGGTTATAATTCTAGAGGGATTAAATGGTACGGCTTCTCTGCGGTGATCGAGGCGGCTATGTTGGATGGTGGTGCATAGCTCAAGAGGCCCAGACCCCCGGTTATATTTGTTGGGAGGAGGTTAAGTAGTGAAAGGGGATAAGTTGTGCAAACATCTTTCATAGGTAGTGTATCAGGTATCTATTAACATACATATCTCATCCTAAGTAATAACAAAAAAAGGCACCGAAATGCAAACAAGATCCTCGCTATCAGAACCAATATCATCATAGTATCCAAGAAAATCTCTGTATGTCCAATCAACAAGCCACCATCAAGGTGGGCGCAGAATATACGGAGCATAAGTCATCAAGAGTAGTAATAAAGATAGAAGCTCTATGCCTCTAACTTAGTCGTCAGTTTCTTCCACGCCGTCATCAATAATCATTTCCACCTCCTTCACAGGATGAAGAAGCATCGGAGGTAAGCACATTCGTCCTTCGCCGGCAAGTTCTTCTTGTTCACCACCGTCATTGTCGACCTTGTAGCCGAGCCACCGCCTCCATAGATTCGGCGAGAAGCCAGCGGAGTAGAACCAGGTCGTGCCACGGAAGTTGTGTTCACGGTCACCAAAGATGGATGTGCGCGCGCCTCCGGAGGCACCATTTCGCCCGGCGTTGAAGACAGATTCGAGGTACTCGGTAGGCCATTGTCGGTCAATGTAGACGGAATGGGGCACGTAGACAGCCTTGAATCCATGATGCAGGGCGGTGGTAGCAGGCCACATTTCCGAGAACATCGTATGACGCTTGAATGTTGTCTCCTTGTGCATGGTGTGTAGCAGCTTGCGCGAAAGTCGAGAAGCAGTAATGATTGCAGCTCGTCGTGGTGGTAAGCCCTTTTCATGACTGTATCCTGTAACATCTTCCTTTAAATGCCATGTGGTCCCATCTGGATCGTAAAGAGGATTGAACACAATCAGATCTGCCTCCTCATCGACTCCCCATTCGTATCGATCCTTCTCCATTGTTGTCTGAGGGATGCCCTCTCCCTCCACTTCTAAAACATCCTGCTCGTCGGGTCGCACAGGACCCCAGACGAACTTATCGCCCTGGCGCTGGGCAGGTTTTTCGCCATGCGCAAAATCATGGCTTGACCCCGCACTCCACATGTTGTTCGGGCTATTGGTGCCAATCTCCGTCTGCACACGGACCATCTGTCTGAAATCTTCCCAGGACCCGTGGATAGAAGGAACATAGAACCTAGAGTTCCTTTCCCACAGCCCTCTTCGGGGCTGCTGACGCGCCCAGGTGACAACCTTGTCGAACAAGTGGTACCAATGACCAGTGTATCGTGCGTCCATCTCCCAGTTCCAGTAATAGTCGTATTCAGGATGCCGGTAAGCAAAGTACTGCATAGGCATAAAGGTGCTGCGGTAGACTCCATGGACAGACAAACCACGAGCCCAGGTCTCTTCTAAGCCTGAGTAAACAAGGGACATTTGCTGCTCGGACCACAGGGTGCCCATTCCCTGGAACTCTTCTGGAAGAGCATCCCTAAGCACGCGGTCATAGGTCTCATCGTCCGCCCAGATTTGCAAATTCGTGTCTCTGACATGGACCAGGAAATGAACGGTGTACTCTCCGCCAGAGAGGAGGGAAAGCTCGGAGATCAGAGCACGTAAGTACAAAATGTCCTCTGAGGTATACTGAAAGTCATGCCACGTCCTAATCACCATCGCCGTTCGAGGCAGACGCTTTTGGTTGTCTTCAACGAATGCTGCTGTTTCTTTTGAGGTTTCGGCTGACTCATCTGACTCGGTGGCACGAGCCATCAATGTTTCGAAGCTGTCGGGTTGCTGCTGAGGTATGTCCTGGAAACGGTGACTATTTATGGTCATGCATCGGTTTTGCGCAGCTGCCCAGCTCACTCGGCCAAAGTCCACGGGAGGAAACTCATCCCAGATTCGCTCGGAACCTTCCCGATGGCCTTCCAAGCCTGCACCTATGCCACCTTTCCTCACACTATAGCCAAGGCCATATGGGCCCAGGCGTCCAAACCGATCAAAGCAGATGTCGTCTTGAATGCCCAGCATCTCGTTGGATCCCATCACAGCGTCCGGAAAGCCACGGGGAACTCCAGGGTAGGAGTGCACCATCGGGATTCGCAAAGTCTCGTCTTCGTCCAAGAAGCACTCGCGTTTCATACCATACTTTTCAATGTACTCCGGCGATGTATAATCCGGATAGGGATTGAAAGTCGAACTTGTGAAAGGTAAAGCCTCGTCACGCGCTTCAAGGCTTGTTGTGTTTGAGCTGACATCTTTGTCTGAGATCATGCCTTCGGGGTCGTCGTTGGGATACTCTGGCACATTGTCTGCGCGTGAAACCAGTGTTCGAATGCCTCCATGGTATCGCTTAAGAAAAGGGAAGCTCTCCCATTGAGGCGGCCTTGATGGGGCTTTGGGTACTTCGAGCGGCGCTGGTGACGCTTGCGATGTGAGAGTAAATCGAAAAAGGGTCAGGATAAAAAGCAATAGGGCCGAGAACAACGCGAAGCAAAGCCATCTCATAATTCGGTGGGGGATTCGATAGAAACCGACGGTCGCTCGTGTGCGCCGCGTTGTAGCTGCCGTATTTATCATGGGATAGTAGGAGGCTGCGGATGAAGAAGATGCTATCGAATCGTCACCGCTGTCGGAATCTAATGAGCTGTGGCTCATGCTTCGATAATGATAATCCCGGCGTGAGTATTGTTTTTCGATGTCGATTGTGTCTTTGCGGACCCCCGGTCGACCGGGCGATCGCCCTCTCGTTTTGAACGCCATTGTGTTTTCCACAGTGTGATGCGCCTAGAGGCCAGGGACAGCACCGGACAGGTGAGATATCAGATGGAAGGCATCAACTTCTCGTGCGTTTCGGGAGGCTGCGGGTCTAAGAAGACAATGTCTTAAATTAATCCAAATTCAGGGACGGAAATCCGAGGTGAGCTCACAGTACGTAATAATAGCTTCTCCGGGTGTTGAAAGAGCAACAAATCAAAGATGAGTAGCTTAGTGTAGATAGTCAACCCAAACGACTACCACTAACAATGTTTTTTGACGAAATATCAGAGAGATAAAAGCACCACAACGGTCAAAATGGAGCTGATGAGAGGCAGAAGAACGGTGGAAACAAAAGATGGCAACGCAAGGAAAAGAGTATACACGAACTGTTTGCGGGCCGTCGTTGCCAGAGCGATGCCCCCGCGCTTGCGCACCAGAGCGGGCCAGCCGTCGCGACCAGATCGGATCGAACATTCGCTGTCTTGACTCGTCACTCAGCAGAGGTTGGAAAAATAAAAAATAGGCAAATTTGACCTGGCGCAAAATGCTCTGGTTCGAATCCGGGATTGTCTTTCTCTTTTCATCCTCTCCACCGCCTCAACAAGACCTTCCCTTTTGTCTTCAAGGCTTGATGCCAGGGAGGCTAGGCGTGTCTTTCAGCGGTGCGGCTTTCCTACCATGCCACATACACTCTTCTTCTCGTCGGCAAGAACCTATGGCTGTCTGCCATCTGCCACACATGGCAAAGTAGGTTATCGCTCACGAGATCAATGACAAAAGCGATGATGCAGCAATCTCACCTTGTCGGGGCTCATTGCGGAGCTGCCTTGCGATTCCTGTGTCTTGCTCAACCACGTCTTTCTGCGTTGTCACCAGTCTTGGTCCCTTAAAACTAGTGGCTAAGCACAGGGCAGAGCTTTAAATTAGGCCCTGTTTCGGCATCATATCGCGCGTCTAGGGCCCCTGGTCTGGTGCCTGCGGACAAAAGTCTTTTTTCTCACCAATCGTGATGTGGAGGCTCTGTACTCCGCATCCTGGGCTCGTCCCCCACACTTTCTCCTACGTCAGACTGCGATCCCCTTTTAGATTTTGTTATCTCTGCACACCGTTTACTGAAAAACCATGCGCTCTGCTTTGCCTTTACTGATCATATGAAGGTATTCATGATGTTGTTTGTGGGGGGGCAAAGGAATGCGAACAGCACCCACATACATCATACTGACGCCTCCCGATGGTATCCGCGTACCATGATTCAGAAGATGCTCACTCCACGACGACACCTCTGGATACTAATCGACATGTTTCTAATTGGACTGCGCCGCCAACATACGGTGTGATGTAACTGGTTCGGTCGCAACAATCCGCCTGATCAAGTTGGGCTGCCTGACGTTCAGATACCTTCAGCTAGTACTTTACTATGCGACTCTATAAAGAGCGTTGAAGCACTGATACTGGAAGCATCGAGTCAAACCACCATAATTACCAAGCCCAGCCTCTTCTATATGGTAACAATCTCTCGCAATAGTCTATTTTCAAACTGACAATCTTCCAGGCAAGCAGCAATCTCAAGTTCGTCCTATCTTATCCGGACCATGGGGACTTCCCTTTCGCCCTTTTGTCCGTTTTCCGCGTCCAGCTTGTCCTCCTCTTCCTCCTTCCTCTCGCCGTTTACCTCACTCATACCATTCGCAAAGACTACCATGCCTTTCTTGCCCTTGGGCCTGGCGGCACACCCTCGACTCCTGCAGGATACCTTCGAATCTGCATCCTCCGCCTCGTATCTCTCCGCAACCCTCTAGAACCCCCGCTAGTCCCGCCAACACTCAACCCAAAACATGGCTTCTTGTCCCGGGCCATCCTGCCGCTTCGATCGGGGCCCCGTCCTACAGTCGTGGGAATCGCACCGCAGCGCCAGATAACCCAAAAGTCCGGTCCACCCATGTACGACGCCCTTTCAGCAGAAATCCGGCGCCTCACCAACTCCCACCCAAACACACTCTTCACCGCAACCTCGTGCTTTGAGAAACACAGCACAGGTATCTTCTACCGCTTCCCGACTTCCACTGCTTGCCCGAATCCCGGCACCACCAGAGCTGGGGAGCAGCAGCAGCATAACCGCCGTCCCCAGCTACAATCCCACAAACACCGCATAACCTGCAACGGCGAAGTCTGTCATTCCCATCCCAGTGACGGAAGCCTACACCTCACTCTGCACCCGGCTGACGTGGAGCTTGTTATTGAGCGCGGTTGGGGGCAGAGACACCCGCTAGCAAGGGATGATTGGTGGTGGGTGACTAGGTTCGTGCCAGCGGGATTCGTTATGATCTATGCGCCGCGGGACGCGGACGAGTTAAAGTGTGTTGTTGAGATTATACGGGCTGCGGCATGGTGGGTCGGTGGGAAGGAGCTGCGATGAGGAGTTGATAATTGAGAAAAAGGTAGGGTTGCGTTGGAGCCTTAAGTTCAGAAAGCATGCTTACGACAGAGACGATTCATGAACACTGTAATGAGGAAGGTATATGCGATAGTAGTCTGTCGTTACGATGGTTGTTTTTGAGCGAGCATATAATTTTTTAGGTCAATTTGATTACTATCTACTTAGCTTTCAGTTACTAATCGACGAAGATGGAATCAATGTGTCTAATTTAATGCTACTTTGAGATTCTACATTTTGAGTACCCGCATCACAAACCCAAGAATTGCCGAAGATACCACGTGCGCACGACCGGATTCCTTCCTTCACTCAGACGTTGCGATGCCGAGGTCAAGTTTTGCATAAGCATAGGCATATGTATGGATTGAGACATCAAAAGAAGAAACGAGAAGGGTTGAAGGGAGAAATGGTAGTTGGTAGACGATTTGTAAACGAGGAAGGGGCGATTGTTTTCAAGCGCAAAGGATAATCTTTCGGGTTGACGCCGGGATTAGAGAGAGAGAAAAAGGAAAGCTAATAGCATAGAGAAAATAAAGAGCCGTTAGGAAACATACAAGCACCACCGAGTAGCACATCCCTTCCCTATACGAGGTGTCTGTCGGCCCCCAGTTCCCCATCCATCATATCCCCAACTCCCAGTCAAAAGTTCAGGTATCTATCCACTCATCACATATAGGCTGCCGCATCTAGTCGCGGCCAGTCTTCCGCAGTGTCTCGGCGAGCCATTCGAGACCTTCGTACAAACCATCACCGGTGGTGGCGCAAGTAGATTGGATGTACTATGAACACGTTAATTAGTCGCTAGATATCAACAGGAGAGGGTCGATCGACTTACCCAGGGACGGCGGGTGAGGCTTTGAAGACCGAGCTGCTGGGTAATCTCGGCAGGGCTCATGGCGTTCTAAAAGAGAAGTTGCTATCAGTATCCGTATCCAAGTGGGTGGTGCGTCATCGGAGGGTGTATGCATACGGGTAGATCTTGCTTGTTGGCGAAGACAAGGAGAAGGGCATCACGGAGTTCATCCTCGTTCAACATGCGCTGCAGTTCTTCCCGGGCTTCGATGATACGGTCGCGATCGTTGCTGTCGACGACGAAAATGATACCCTGGGTGTTCTGGAAGTAGTGCCTCCAGAGGGGACGGATCTTGTCCTGACCACCGACATCCCACACGGTAAATTGAATGTTCTTGTACTCGACAGTCTCGACGTTGAAACCTGTAGACACCCAAGTCTCGTTAGCATCTCACGTTATCTAGGCGCGCACAGACGCAATTGGAACCCGGCGCCCGAAGGCAGCGGAGCAACTTGATGGCAGGCCAGGGAGGGAAGAAAGCGACTGACCAATTGTGGGAATGGTGGTGACGATTTCACCAAGCTTCAGCTTGTACAGGATAGTGGTCTTTCCGGCAGCATCGAGACCGACCATCAGAATTCGCATCTCCTTCTTACCCCATAGTCGGTCAAACAATCTCGAGATGGCGATACCCATGTTGGCGGTGGCGAAAGCGAGTCCTCAAGGTCTAGAGAGTGATGCGAGGTTAGATCAAGCGATAAACCCGAGAGGGAAACCGAAAGCAGGATATCCGAGGCGAATGCGGTTGATGTCGGATGATGGAAGGTGAGAACAGGAAGCCAGGGTTGGCGCAGCTGGGGAGGATGGGGGATGAAAAGGCGGACTGAGGGGCGTTAGGTGGTCACGCCGGGAGACCACCGTGTGGGAATCAGGGGTGAACTGCCCATCCGCTCGAAGAAGTGGCGAAAGCACGGAGAGGAGAGTCGAGCAGTAAGGCAAACGACAGGGAGGTACTTACCAACAAGATAGGCGTTGAGGGAGCAGACGTGAGGAGGATGAAACGGTCGGACAGGTCAAGCAGCGAGACTGGACACTGTTTTGTCGAGGTGTGGAATTTTTGGGTGCCAGAATGCCAGGTCGAGAAATTCAGCCGCCGGCGTAGCTTCCGTCACTAATCGGCGATGCTCGACAACGAATTGGGAGTCACAACAGTCCAGAAACCACTTGGACAAATGAAAGGACGGTGAATAAATTTGTATATAAGGTCCTGGGTCCCAAGATACGCTCCTCTCCGCTGCTATACCTCCTCCATTATTTATCCTCTCTTTCAACGTCTCTGCCTACTCAGAAAGAGGACACGGTGTTTCCCGTCCACGGCGCCCAGTCACCACTGGTTCCAGGAGGTTCGCCCATTGATCCCTCAAGAGTGCTCGAGAGGGCCCAGATTCGAGACGCTATGTCCACTTTGATAGGCTCCCGTTATATCTCTTTCAGTCCCCAAACCCGGTGGATCGCCAGAAGTGGCTCCCGCTGAGATATCTGTCTCGTGCTCCTCACACCAGATATTTGGGACAGCTTGCGTCAACGCCCATCCACACTGGTCCCTTCACAATTCTGTTGGCATGACTATCGCCCTGGACTAGGCTCACTTCTTTGATTCTTTTGAACGGATCTTAATCCCTTTGATGCCTTCAGAGACCTCTCTAACTTAGGAAGAAGATTCCGATCATGTGATCCGGTAGCCTTAACGGTCCTACGTTTCGAAAAGACAGAACCCAATACACAGCCATAGAGGTGTCGAAGAATGGCTTCTTTTGAAGGCCACTGACTCATATACTTGCCTATGGCGGGTTGTATCATTCTAGAGCACAGCCATTGTTATCTACCTGGTGGACACCGCAACCACACTGCGCCCATTGCTGCCTTGAACCTTGTGGGATAATGCCATCTGGCTTCTTGTGGCTATCATTAGGGTATAAAAGTCAAAACTGCATGCCAGGGTATAATATAACCCTTTTGAGGAGGTCTTCTCCACCGGACAATCACAACGCGACGTTCGAATCTACATTTGGGTCCCTCTCGAAAAGCCTGATCTTTGACTTGCGAAAGAACGTCCGGAACATTGACCTATATATGGTCTTCCCCTCAACAGTGTCGCTCACATACCCGAATAGGGAAAGCAAAATGATGGACAAGACCATGATCACAGCAAAGCTCACCCAGTATTCGACTTGGGTGTATACTCCTTTGACCCCCTCGAGCTCAGTTGAAAAGTAACCCGTCATCAAACTAACGGGTAGAAACAAGATGGTGACCTTGGCCAAGAGGATTGTTATCCTTGTCAGTTTCTCAACAGCCTGAGAGTCTTTCAGAGCGATCAAATTGAAGTTCTATATAATTTTTTGTCAGCAATGAATCACGAATGAATTGGAGCCGTGGCAACGTACGAGGAATGTAAGCGATTCTTTTTCTGTCAAGCAGCTGTCGATCTCAGACAGGCAGTAAAGCTTGATGCGGTCCAGAAGTCTTTCAAACCGAGCTATAGCGGGTGTGCTTAGACGCACACCAACGGTCGTTTCCGGAGCACTCGAGACACTAGTAGCGCTCTGCATGGTCATCTGCCGGCGTTCATGGATCTCGGTATCGGCGAATGTATGTCCTACCGCATACTTTGGGTGAGCTGAGCGGGCTTCGTCGCGAAGCACACGCTGTCTCTGGAGGATGCGGGTCATGATGAGCTCGTAGCTTTGGTAGAGGCGTTTGAGCACCGCGAGCTGTCTGCCCAGCCAATGTAGTTCGTCTATCAGATCGACCACCGGTTTGGTAAGCATGTTATGTCTCTACACCGAAGTCAGTACTCCTCCGAGGAAGTAGAGGGATTATATACCAAATGATCAAGCGCGACTCCGTACGTGTGCTCACGCTTTGCGACAAGCGCATAGCTGGAAACCCAGTCGTCGAATATGTAGAAAAAGAGAAGACTTGGTCCATCTTCTTGCTTGATAGCGGCGGGATCCGGGCCCGTGTCATGGAAAGGTCGAACTCTGATTGTAACGAGCGAGTCATTTTCTGAAGCTGGGGAGTGCTGCCTTGAGACCCCTGCAAAGATCAATTGTATATTTCTGCGGGACACGGCTGTAACGGCTTTCATCTCAGCTTCCGATTGTGCTGCCGATTCAGGATATGGGTTCTCTTGAATGGAAACAACAGTCCCTAGGGAAAGGTTGGCATAAGCATTGAATCAAAGACCAACCTACATACCATCGTCGAACAGCATGAGCCATGACCATAGCCGCCGTCCATCCGGCAATCCCCTCCCATTCGGCATATCAAGATTAGGAACCACGTAAAGAGAGTTATATCCGATGCAAGTATCTAGCAGATTGTTAGTGTAAGCTCAACCAAGGCCTGGAAGGCACTGCATACACCTAGGGCCAAAATCTGTAGAGCAGAAATGCCATATCTGATCTACAACATTGCCAAAGGTAAGCCCCCTAGGTGAGGCAGCAGCATGGACTTCTTCTGAGCTCGGCAAGTGCTTCATAGCATGGCCATCCTCAAGGTCTTCGTTAATCTGGACACGGGATGGCGTAGCACTACTTTTTGGCTGGAAGCTCTTTCTCGGGGCTTGGTTTGGAGCAATGTGTCGCTGAGGACGGCGGGCTACCGGATCGCTGCACATCAAACCTTGCAATCGCTCAGACACACCGTAGTAGCTTGTGATGGCCTGAACAAGTCAGACAAGAGTAAAAATTGTAAGCGCAAATCAACTGACCTTGATCAAGTCCTTCTGTTGTTCCGGGGCCCAGATATTGCTTACAACGTTCAGCGACCTCGAGTAGGCGAGATAGAGAGGAAGGGGAATGGCTTACATCCATCGCGTACCGAAACACCTGGGCTTCTGTATGTAAGTCAGCTCAAGCTCACTCAGTTATCAAAAACAGACACGGTTTGCCTATCACTTACACTGTGGGTCAGCAAGGCTGTAAGATCTTCCTGCTCCAGATCTACGGCACACCATGCATCTTCGTTGCCGAAATCCAACACAAAGCTCCGAGTCTGGGCATCGCGCAATGACGCCAAGTTATCTCGGAAATGCAATTCCTCATCAATATTTCGAAACTTCTTCGAGATGCTCAAGTTTCCTGGAAAGCTGGAATAATACTCCTCTGGTGTCATCAAGCTTCGTACTGGCGATCCCTCGGCCATGTTGTCGGTCTCCGCTCTCCGATTGTTTGGCTACTCTTGCTCGTCAAGCTCCGTCGAATCTACCATCAGATGCGACAAAGAGAGTGCTTAACACTTTGAGGGCTGAGCTTGGTTGAAAGAGCGATGGAGTTCGGGAGCGAGCTCGTGTGCACGAGATCAGCTGCTGGAGGAAGGTGACCGGGGTCATTTGAGCGCTTAAACACAGAGCCTCTCGAGCCTCGAATCAGCCTTGCCCCTGCCTAATGCTTGGTGCCTCTGATAAATTTTTGGCCAGGCCACCTTTTGGACATCGGCAAGGCATGAAACTTTAAGTCGGTCGTCTGATTCCAAACCCCGATTCCACGTTTATATATCTCAGGGGCATTTCTGTGTCACAGAGCGAGCCGTTGGCAGGGTGTCACCTGGTAGCCTCTGACAGCGTTCTTAAGTCACCAGCAGCTGACTCAACTTCATGTCCAAGGAAGCTTTTACTTTAGGATCTTGCTCGAAAATATACTAGGATTGTGGCCAAAAACCCATTTGTTGTAGGGACCGATGAGGAGTCACGTGCCACGGTTGAGCAAGGCGGCGGGATGACGCACCAGCCTCCAGCGGGAGCAGGATCCTTTCTTCTACAACCATGGTAAAGTGGTAAAGTGAAACTAATTCAAAACTAAACCAGAATAAAGGTTGCGAAGCGCAATGATCGAGTGGCAGGCGAGTAAGTCTCGTACTCGGCCAGCTACTGCGTGCACAGAGTGTCAAAGGCGAAAGCAAAAGGCAAGTAAAAATGCTACTGAAGACTAAACCCATAAGGCTAACCTGACGGTTGCCGAGCAGTGTAGCCGCGAATGGCCTTGCAATCATTGTCAGACAAGGAAAATCGCCCATCGATGTAAATTTGCTCCGAGAAGGACTGTAAGAGTAGCTAAGTCAATATCCCGGGAAACAAGGTCTGTTCTTGGTCTCCACGTCGCAAAGTGAGGCTAATATCCAAATAGACAGTCAGAATGTCTCCAGACACCTGGTAGTTCTTTTACGGCAGAGCCTGTCACTCAGATCAAACATGATAACCAACATGATGATGACTTCCGTGTGTTAGGATACTTGCCGGACTATCAAAATGCAGACAAGGCAGGTAGCGAAAGCGAGGGAAATCACCAACTGTCTTTCAGTGGGGAGATGGAGGCTGCTCTACGTATTATCCCCGCGAAACCCTACGCAGGTATGTCTCCTATATCGTCGGCTGGATCATTTAAACCTCGGGTGCTCATCCTGCTTTAGATATCCTTATAGAACACTTTCTCGACAACACGAATTATCAATACTATGCTTTATACCCTCCCGCTTTCATGCATGACTATTCTATCTGGTGGTCAAGAAGAACAAATGGTCTGCCACTTACTGCAGAGTTCACTTGCTTGTTAATACGAGTCTGCGTGTGCTCTTTGTCTTACATTGAGGAAGGCCTACGGCAAAAACTGGGATCCGAGTTAGGAGAAAACCTGGACCACCTTTCCGTGCGCTATCACAATACGGCCAAGCAACTCAGCAGTACCATCGGCCCAGGCAGAGGGGGTATGACGCAGATACAACAATTATTTCTTACAGCACAGTGGTATAAAACAGAAGCATTGTTTGTGGAGTCATGGCATGCCCTAAGCGTTGCAATCCACGAGGCACAGGAACAAGGTATGCCCCTCTCGAGACTTGGCTGCACTAGGCTTGCTGATATTCTCTCACAGGCATGCATAAGGATTCTTCGAGCAGCAAGCTCTCGGACTTTGACCGAGAGATGAGGAGACGGCTTTGGTGCATACTGTACGCCTGGGACTGGTATGGTGACCGTTCCATCTCCTTCGAATTGACTCTAATGAATCAAGGCAAATGTCTCTACTGCTCTCTCGTCCATTCATAATCAACAGCAGCTGCTGCGCCTTTGAGATGCCGACGATGCAGCTGGAAAGCGGCGACTCAAAGTCAGAAACTCCTTCCCCTATGGCCCATATGGTCCTTCAATGCCAACTTGGCCTGGCAATATCGAAGATACCGGGTGTAATGAAAGGGGAGCTGTCTGCAACCCATGCGATATCTATTCAAGAACAGACCGAGAAGTGGTTCGACAGTTTTCCTCCTGCTTACTCGATCTTAAATACGAATACTCAATGGGACAGTAAGTTTCATTTTGTCAAACTGCAACGTCTTCAGCTTCACGTCATTGGGTACATGATGCTCTTAATGCCACTCAAGGAATGCCTCACAAAACAATTCGGCGCGCACAGCTCTAGCATAGAAAAGGGTCTCCAGAGAACTGCAGCCGAGAACGCATTAAAGCTGCTCGCAGCTTGTGATGAGTTGTTCAGACATACATTCCCGTTGAACGCCAAGTTCCATTTTGCGCCATTCCTCATGTTTGATACCGCCGCTTTATTGTGTTCAGCGATACTGCACAACAAGGAGGAAAGTCTTCCACGACGCGAGGAAATTCTCAAGGCAATTTCAATGACTCTTAATGATCTAAGCCGACTATCAGAACGGGCAAAGACAGGAATGATATGCTATAGGATTCTCAAGAAGCTTGTCGCTTCTCTCCCGACAAAAACAAGATCTACGGAATCGGAAACTCCGCAGAGCTCAATTGATGCGCCTCCGACCCTCCCCGATATGCCAGGCATTGCAGACCCTATGCCTTGTTGTCCAACAACCGACTTGTCGATTTCACATGACAGCGAGGTCTTTCCCCCTGAACCACTGAATTTCACCTCGCTGGGCACTCTTGGAGGGCTTGGCGATCTTTGCAACGTAGATCTGGGTGAGTTAGGCCAAATATGGGACTGGCAGGATCTTGATATCACCGGACCATTCATGTAGTTGTTGGATACCCGAGGCGTCTATGGTGTGTAGTCTCGCCGCGAATAGTGAATTACCAACTTTGCGCGCCGCAGATTTCCTAACGACAATGATTGACTTCACCTGTAATTTTTATGCCTTAAAAGTAGTGGGAAGAGATTCAGCCCCATTTTACCAACAAAATCACAAGTGGTCAACTCTTCCAGCAAGCAACAGGTTACCCCATCAAAAGAGAACGCTTAGTCATGCACATGTGATTAGGGCACCGCTTTACCAGATATGCGTTAGCGCGCCCACAAGCGGAGACCGGATTTTCTGAGCCACCATCGAGCCGCCGAAGACTCTTTTTCTTTCGTCCAGCAACATTCAGCGCAGAGCCACACCATAAGGATTTTGAAAGAGGTTCTTTTGGAAGACTGTCAGCAAAATGTCTAAGATCACAGTCGGTATGCTCACACGCCTATACGATTTCCAGCCTTGATCTCTCTCCGACTAACAGCATCTGTTCTTCACTATAGCCGGAGTGCGCCAGAATGTCGAGCAGCTGCTCGAGTACTCTCTCGAGCAGAAGAAGCGTAACTTCCTCGAGACCGTCGAGCTTCAGATCGGTCTGAAGAACTACGACCCCCAGCGTGACAAGCGTTTCTCTGGCACCATCAAGCTGCCCACCGTCCCCCGTCCCAACATGTCCATCTGGTACGTTCGACCGTCGTTTAGTCCATACCATCGCCAGCAGAGAGGGAGGGAAAATGGGCTTCAATAGGAAACGGTGACTGACGATGGAAATAACAGTGTTCTCGGTGACCAGCACGATCTCGACCGTGCCAAGCACCACGGCATCGATGCCATGTCCGCTGACGACCTCAAGAAGCTGAACAAGAACAAGAAGCTCATCAAGAAGCTCGCTCGCAAGTACGACGCTTTCCTTGCTTCCGACACTCTTATCAAGCAGATTCCTCGTCTCTTGGGTCCCGGTCTCTCCAAGGGTATGTTAATTCACCCGCATCCTCGCCAGCATAGTCCCGCAGCCTACTGACATGCCATCCCAGCTGGTAAATTCCCTACCCCCGTCTCCCACAACGAGGATCTTGCCGCCAAGGTCACCGACGTCAAGTCCACCATCAAGTTCCAGCTTAAGAAGGTTCTTTGCCTCGGTGTTGCTGTCGGCAACGTCGGCATGGCCCAGGAGGAGCTTGTCGCCAACATCATGTTGGCCATCAACTACCTCGTCTCTCTGCTCAAGAAGGGCTGGCAGAACGTTGGTTCCCTTGTCATCAAGGCTACCATGTCTCCTCCCAAGCGTCTCTACTAGATGCTTTTCTTGGTAGCTAGGGAACTAAAAAAATGTTATACCATTTAGGACTTTCAAAGTGGGATTATGTATGCTTTAGTTAGCTGAAATATGACTGATTGTTCGTTCCTATATCTGCCTTTTGATGTTTTTTCTCGTAGTTCAACTTGCTCATTTGGGGACTACCCGAGCCCAACCGGTATATTGTACATTATCTAAGCTGAAGCTGTATATTACACATTTCAAGGAATAATGCAGGGCAAACCTATTGCATACCCTGCATCAAATCCGTCTTATCAAGAATCATCCCCCTTATCCCAATAAACTCTCGTAGATTCTCCCATTCCTCCCCTTCCTCCTCACCCCGCATATACAAATCCTTGAATCCCCACGCCACTGCGACCTTATCCAGTGCAGCACGTTCCTCTTCCCGCAGCCACCGGTCCCGTAAAGGAACTCCCGGAAGCCACACAACCCGCTCCATATGGTCATTTGCAGTTGTAATAGCCAATAGACCGACAGATGATGTACCTCCAACATACGCGAGTGTAGCGGCGAACGCAATTGCCGTGGCCGTGCTCGGCTCCATGGTGTTCTGGAATGTCGCTGCCCAAGAAGCGGCGGCATAGCAGGCGGCCGGTGTAGTTCCCAGCAGACCGAGCGGGATGGCGGCCTTTTTGAAGAACTTTGCCCGGTGGAACGCAGGTGCGCAAAAAGTGTTATCGATGATGGCTAGGACAAGACCGAGATTCCGTTGCGAGATAGCTACATCGAGAGCCATGTTGGCTAGTTCAACGGGGATGGCACTGTTGATGCTTTTCGGGTTCGGACGGAGGTATTTAATGGGAGAACTGTTCTCCTCGGGAATTGGTTTGTTGGCGTAGAGGTGGAAGATCTCGGGGAAGCGCTCGGGACGGTTGAGAAGAGTGTGGATCTTGACGTAAAATGTCAATGTTTCTGGCGAAATGAATATCTTTTCGTCCGTTATTAAATCGTGGACGATGCGGCAAAGTGCGTCCGCCGACGGTTGTTGATGCGCATTCCGGGTAGATTTGGGTGCCTTTTTCGAGCTGTTTTTCTCCTCGAGGTGCAGTAAAGAAGATATTTCATTGTCCTCCTCTTTGGATGCGCGATCTGGCTGGGCAATAGCCTCGGCAACGTCGAGGCACTGTTGTAAGACCGCGACAACTGCCTCGTTGGACGGCACAGTCTGCAAGTTTCGAAGCTTCGCGGAGCCCTTTTCAATACCACTCAAGGACGTGCCGAAGTCGGAAGGACCGGTTTGTGATGATGCGGTGGATGCATAGCGTTTGATGACCCGTGACTGCGTCAAATAAGTTCTCAGGGCCTTCTTTGAAGGAGATTGTCCACTGTCGCTGCGGGGAGTCGTCGTGGTCGCGGAGGAATAAGACCGTGTCGTTTGTTGGCTATACCGAGCAGCCGGTGACGGCGAGACCTGGCATAATTGACAAATAAGTGTTTCAGGCTTGGAAGCCCTATGGCCTCTCAGTGCAATGCTTCTCATATCAGCGGATATAGCCCTTCGTAAAGAAATGCTCCAGTGAAGAAGATTGGCGCAATCAAGCGCCCTGAACCAGCGACAAGGCGGAGTAATACTGCCGCCTACAGCACCGCCACTCGTCTGGCCTGGCTATCAGGTCCTCCATCGTCATCTTCTCCTTACGACCTCGATTCCTCGATTCCTTTCGATGATTTTCCCGGTAGAGCTACTTCAAAACCTCCTGGCCTAGACAGAACCCGGGATACTAGACGGGTACCCGGCCTTTGCATGTTTGAGCCATCCTAGACCATCGCTGTCTGGTGCCATCCTTGGGCTTCGACATCACAGCATCGCCTGTTCACCATAATGCCTCCTCCACCACCTCCGCCGCCGCCGCCGCCCCCTGGCGGTGGTGCACCCCCTCCACCCCCCCCTCCAGGGGGAAATCTACCTGCCAGGCCGTCGAAATCGGACACAAAAGACAGAGTATGCCCTCGCGTGGTCTCACCTAAGGTCAAACCGCTAATTGCCTTTATAGAGTGCCCTACTTACAGACATCACAAAAGGCACGCGACTGAAGAAGACTGTTACAAATGATAGATCTGCGCCGCAAATTGGGGGTGGAGGAGTCAAGTCCTCCGGACCAGCTTTGGGAGCCGCGCCTCCTGTGCCCGGAATGCTAAAACCTCCTGGTGGGCTTGCTCCACCCGTCCCTGGAGGCGCGAATCGATTACGGAGCAATAGTGATACAGGCCCTGGGAACAATACTTATTCAGCTGCCCCAGCGGCGCCTCAACTTGGAGGCCTCTTCGCGGGACTAGGAGCCATGCCAAAGCTACGCAGCCGCGGAGGTGGTGTAGATACTGGCGCCAACCGGGAATCGTCGCCATACCTATCAGATTCAGAAACCTCGCGTGTTCCTAAGCCTCCTGTTGCATCAGCTCCAAAGATACCGGCAGTCCGTCCTCCGCCTCCGCCTTCTACTGACGCACCGCCTGCTCCGCCAATGAACCCGTTACTCGCAAGTCTGAAGAAACCCCCCCCACGCCCAGCTTCAAGACCAACTTCAACGATCTCGAACTTCTCAACAAAATCAGCGCCTGAAGCGCCTGCACGGGCACCTCCGCCATTACCCGGTACAACAAAACCACCAATGTCAGTACGCAAACCATCGGCGCCTGCTCCACCACCACCCCCGCCGCCCGCCGCCAGCCCGGCTGCACCACCACCTCCGCCCCCTCCTCCTGGTGCGGCTGCTCCTCGACCACCTCCATCAGCCCCAACGCGATCTACTCCGCCTCCTCCCCCATCTGCTCCTGCTCCGCCGCCCATCCCACCGAATGGTGCCCCTTCGGCGTCTCTAGCAGTTCAAGCCGCCCGAAATGCGCTTGGGCACAGCCATTCGACTCCGCCGGCGCCGCCACCACCTCCGCCAGCGCCACCAGCTTCGTCCGCTCCCTTGGCACCTCCACCACCACCTCCGTCTGCCCCTCTATCTGCCCCTCCTTCTCTTCCACCATCCGCTCCGCCGAGCGAGCCATCTTCAAGGGCGTACTCCTATGAATCTCAGGCTAGTCATGTGCCAGATCGATCCAGTCTAGCCCCAAGCGCTTATACCCTCTCCAACGGCGGGCCGTCACCGGGATCAGGCGCTCTAACACCAAACTCGCACGGAAACAACCGTGTGGAAGATACGCGGTTTAAATTTCAGAACGAGGGACTATTGCCTAAACCGCGACCATTTGTTGGCGGGGTAAAGCGCTACCGAGCTGGAAGAGGCAGTAGTGTGCCATTGGACCTCAGCGCATTAGGTGGTTAAGTGGACTGTTGACAATGATGTTGCACTTAATTCATACCGGTCGCTCTAACTAATGAGCCCATCAACATATCAAATTCACTTTATGAGTCGTAAAACCTGGAGGTGGACAAAGTACATATCGCGATAGAGATCATGTAATGCAATTACTATAGACTTTAAGCCAGTATATGGAACCCATCACGTGATTGCGATGAGCTCTGGATAAGGTTTCGAGCCCAGAGAACTAAGAAGCATCAACATCAGCAACTGACATCCTACTACCCACCCAAGGTGACAACATACGAGCAATCAGCGCCTTTTGTCAGCTATAGGAGCTTGCTTCAGCTGTACCACAAGTGCAGGACTTGAACTTAGCAGACAGTTTCGGAAACAAGCCAAAGCCGCAAATCGTTCGCTGCTTTTCCTTAAGGCCGATTGTGCTTTGTTACCATCATAGTACACTTCTTTGCGACTCAGATTTCCAAGAAGCGAAGCATCCGAGCGCTCTGTTGGAACCCCGTTGATCGTCTACCCATCTTCATTCTTTTGTTTACTCGTTCCGCATCCTTCAGCCCGCCACGATGTCAATTAACGCCTATATCAACAGTAGGTTCACCAAGGGCTTTTCTATCGCGTCCCAGTGAGGACTAACGAACCAATTCTGTCAATAGAGAAAGTTTTAATACTTACTGTCGACGGACGAACTCTCCTCGGAACCCTTCTCTCAACCGACCAACTCACAAACCTGGTTCTCCTAGACACAATAGAACGAATCATCCGAACACCCGACGATCCCGAACCAAGCTCGCAGATTGAGCACGGTCTTTACTTAATCCGAGGTGATAATGTGGTATTATGCGGCGAGGTGGATGAGGCAATTGACAAGGATATCGACTGGGCCAAGGTGAAGGGCGAGGTGGTGCGAGGGACGAAAAATGCATGATTGCGGATTATACGACTGGCAGTATAAAGCTATTATGCGAGGCCAGGTTTCCATTCATCTTGCCCGGTTCATTGGAGGGATGGAAGCCTGATGTCGTGGTCGACGAGATGGGCTTCCTCTCCCACTCTTCGTATCGTGGGATAGCGCGCCGGCTTGCGCATGATCTCGTGAGAAACGGAGATGGACATTTTTGTCGCTCGTCATTCCGCTAGGACGGCCCGTCTGCGGTGGTCTGCCATGGTCCGGCCTGCGATTAAACCATGCAAGTTTGCACTCACGCTCGTGACATCGTGGGATGAACAATAGGCAGGGGTATTTGCATGCATTCGGATTATGTATACTGGGGGCTACCAGGAATATCTGACGAGGCAGCAGCGACCGGAACTGCAATGTTATAATTTCTTTTTATGCCTAGCACGGGACGGGTGAGATTTATGTGCTTGAGATAAGTAATCGAAGCAGAAAAGCATACTATACTTACATTGCATTTCTCGATTCTCTTCATGGCTGTTGACTTATGATTAACTCCTAATTTAATCCGACTTGAAAGCCTTGATTGACCACGAGGCATTAATATTAGGATTAATATGTCAAATCTTGTTTGGTGACGACGACTCAATGTTAGCCAAGGCTTGTCACAGTGGAATGATGAGTTGGCACTGCATCGGGGCCTGACAGGACATTCAGTGTGGTGAGAAGTATCTTGAAAACCTTCAATATTAAGAGGTCCTTTTTGATGCTCAAGTTAGTGATGGAGTGCCTTTGAGCCTACTGGACTTGGTGATCAACAGCGTTGACAGCCAACTAACGCAACGGGAAGCCCCGCCGCATCTATAGTTTGAACCAGGAATAATAGAGCCCCGTCTTTCTTTCCCCTGACTGCACCGCACCTCCTCTTTCCTCCTCTCAAACCCCCACGACTCGCGTTTGGCTTCTTGTGTCATTTTTCTGCTGCAGTCCTTTCACCTCTGTCCCTCTCTACTTAATTGCCTGTTTCCGCCCCTCTTTCCTTCGATTGCCTCCTTTTTCGTTTCGTATCCTCCTATCACTGCAAGGTCGCTGGGCGATCTCTCATAACACCCTCAATTTAACCCCTCATAACCTATTATTTCCCCCTCGTTACCCCCCCCTTGGTGGTTGTCCTGTGGCTTTTCAATTCTCTAACACAGATGCCCCCAATGCGGTTCTCGGCCACTTTGACTCTGGATCTCTGCCTCTGCGTTTTGGCATTCCACGCTCAACCTCACTTTGCGACATCCAGATACTGATTCATTCAGGCGTTGCCTCTGGCCAGCCCGTGCTTCAGCCCGTTTCGTCCGCTGTCTGCCCCGCGCTGAGGCTCTGAGGAGGTTACACAGCATGTGGCTCTACCGGGGCGCTCAATCTGCCGTCTTCTACTACGTCACCTGCACTCCCTGTGCCAGTTCCCTTGACCGTCGCAAACGCAAGAAGGAAGCTGCCCGCTCACGGTCAGAAAGAGAGAAATATCAGAGTGATGCCATTGTTACCGACCAACCTCAACCTTTTCCGCAGCCAACTCCCTTTAGCACCAATCAAGGATGGATGGAAGAACTCGCCCTCGGACCCGGACCTCCAAAGCGGCGCGGACATCGGACTACTGCTCATCACCGCGTGGAAAGTTGGGACACTGGTGCCTGGTCTACCACATCCGGCCAGGACCTCGATCTCTCTGATTCTACGTCACCGAGGATTAGCAAGATCGGATCCAGACATCTAGGTGACCGATTCAACCGCATGCTACGGTACCAACGTGAAGACGAGCCGCTTTGGGGAGAAGACGTAGAGGTCAAGGGTTCGTCGGTTGGACTCTCTGGCCGGGGTAGGATAGACGCTCGAGCTCCTAGCAAATACTATATCCCGCGTGTGCCACCGGTCAATGACCTTCACCCGCCAATCGTGAGCGGTCCCAAAAGTAGAGCCGAGACTCGATGGATGCTTCAACCTCCACCAAGCGCCAGAGTCATGGCTGGAAAGGAGCTCAGTCCTACCGTGGTTCGACCAACCAATTACAGCAGTCTGCGCGGGGATAGTGACAGGCGCACCCATACACTGCCTCCTTTAACAACTGACGCTCCCAAAAGATCTCCACAAGCTTCACCTTCTTTTCCCTTGCGTTCCCCGAGTACACCAGGGAAAACACCGCAGATTCTTCCCCGTCCGCCGTCGCCCAGTTACTTCGCGTATGGAAAGGACGAGTCCCACTTCGTCATTGCGTCCTCTATTTACTCAGCATCAGATTCTTGCTCGACGTTGTCCTCGGTTGATTCAGATTTCGAGTCGCCCGATACTCCCATATCGCGACCTGTTTCCAAAGGAGTCAGCGAACATCGCGAACACCCTCGTCCGTTGATATCACGGGCTTTGACTACTGTGCAGCATGAAAGCAAAAAGGTCCATTTACTACGCTTTGAGCTTCAAGAACAGCATGATATCGAGGAAGGTCAAGTCAAACGAGTGCGCCCATGGCGGTGGAGCATGGATATTTGATCCGCACTATCGTTCGTCCGCACATGTAATAGACATTGTTCTCGAGTATTGTTTTGGGTATCGGAGCACTATGGGTAGACTTGACTATGTTTAGACATCCTTGTGCCATGACAGCAAGCAAGAGTACCTATGGTCTTGTCTAAACCCTATCACCACACCTTCGCAATTTGGAGTTTGATGGAAACCGACTATACCCAAAAGCTTTTGGACCAGACTGCCTGGCTTTTTTCTTACCTGTCTTGTTTGTTTAGCATATCGTTCCTGCTAAGATTTTGTGCAGAGTACTCTCAGATTGGCTTCGTTCCCCTCCATGTTTTTGTCCGATCCTTATCCATTTCCTCTGTACACAAATGCCATTTGGCACTTTAATGCGCTGCGAATCCTGGTCGCACATCCGGCGCTTTTGTCTATTCTCTTGTCGTCCTTGGCTGTCTAGCATTCTGGAGCCCTGCATAGCAACATGTGTTTCTCTTCAATCAACCAACAACACCTGGATTTGGCTATTACTAGATCAGTATTTGGCTCTCACCTAGGGTTAGAGCGGAGTTTCAACATCACAAGAAAAGCACCATACAGTGTGCAGAAGAATATATCAAAAGTAGACCAAAATTTGATTTCGATTTCAATTCTTGTATGGGGGTTTATAGATGTTTTGTGTAGTATGTGCTCCGCGGCTTCGAGTCAACCCCACGGAGGTAGTATGATAGAGTAGATATAAGATAAACGAAGAAAAAGCTCATGTCTGCTTTTTTAATAATGCAACGGCTTTCATACAGAATCGACTTTCCAAAATGAACCTGAGAGCAAAAATAAAATAAACATAAAGATAGGGTTGAGAGACGTTTCGGGTTAGCCAGGCTTTGCTCTTTGCGGTTGTCGCTGCCTTTCATATAACGTGGAGGAAACGTGGACAGGGCGTACGAGGAATGAGACGGCTCTGCCGGTTTATAGGAGGGATTCGCTGGCGGGCGCTTGTTGCTTCCGCGAGTGTGTGCTCTAGTAGACTTTCTTCTTCTCGTCCATGCTCAGTTGGCCGGGGCCCATGTTTACCAAGAGGAGCAGACCTCCACTGTTTTTCATTAGTGTATGTATGAGATGAGGGCTTGCTGCGACTTACACGATGGACAGAATCTGGAAGAAGTCGTACTTGGCGAAATCCTTGTGGGGGTGGTGAGGGTGGAGCTAGTGGTAGATTGTCAGCCTTGAATACGAGAAGAATATAGATGAGCCACTGGCAATGCACGTACCGTCCAGAAGTTGTTGACCAAGACATTGAAGACGCTCAAAAGCAGGACAAGCATAATCGCGCTGAATTTGGCCTTGAAACCAACAATGACCATGACGCAGGCAACGAATCCAAACAGGCTCACGACGACCCTCCACAAGCTCCATTGGCCAGAGAAGATGAATCCAATGAAGAGGAAGATGAGTAAGACGCGGCCAGCGAACTGGACGTACATCTTGCGATCCTTCTCGTCCAGCTGGGGCAGACCGGCAGGGACAAACTTCTTGCGTACCCAAGAGTCGGACAGAACCATGAGCAGACCGCCGACAACGCTCAAGTTGCGGAGGAAGAAGTTGAGATCGAAGATGAGACCGTATCCGAGACCTTGAATGAGAACAACACTCAAAAGACCAGCGACAGCATATTCGGCGTGTTTACGGGCGATGACTAGGAAGGAGCAGACTGTCATGACTATGACGTTGACGATGAGGAAAGTATGCGTGATGCCCCAAGGAACTGTTGAGAAGAAAGGTACATGTTAGAGTCATTGCTTTTTTCTGCGTTTGCGGGTCTGCGGCATATACGTATAGCGGGAGATGCCATGCCTCGGCCGTAAAGTGGGATATCTCAAGGGATGTGATTGTATGGCTTACTCTTTCGGTAGTCGCGCAAGTAGAGAAGCTGATCGCTCCATTGTGTAAGAATACGTAAGCTGTCCTCGAAGAAAGTGACCACAATCAAGAAACGACCGACTGCGGGCAAGTACCTGAGGGGAAAAGACACATTGTCAGCGAAGTTTCAAACTGGCTTGCCTCACAGTACGGCCCCCAATTCCCACGGAAGCTCGCCAGACGATCTGAATACCTCAGAAGAGGTCCAAGAGCAGTCACTTACGGCTTGATAGGATCCGAGATAGTGTCTAGCCAATCCTCAATCTTGCTCGTGTGTTCGCGAATAGTATCCAAGGGGCTTGGATCATTCGACGCAGCGGCACTGCCGGGACCGCCAAAAGGGTTTTGATGGCCGAGGTTATAGCCTGCGGTGCCACGGATTTGCGCCATGGCAGCAAGAGTTGAGTTGTACGCGGGCGTTCGAGGTTGACAGAGATCGGTCGTAAGGGAGGGGGAGTCGGAGGCGCAATGGGGAACAAGGAGCTTAGGACAAGGCAATTGACAGGAATCCGACGAGAATGGTAAGCACAGGTTGCGTCCCAGAAGCTTAAAGTGAAGGGGCGAGAAGAAGGAAAGCAAAAGAGGGAAGGGAGAAAGAGAGGAAATGATTGAGGGCTCAATAGAGGAAAGTTGAATAGTTGTCTGTTCAACAACTCCGCCTCCGAGGCCCGTGACTTTCGACTTTCAGGCCACGATGACCGAAACAAGGCGCTAGACCTGTTTGGGATGTGGCTGCCAAGCCCTGCAGCTTGAATTCCACAAGTGACGCCATTGTTATTCGATCGCCGATCCTGCATCGGGCGAATTGCACTAGATTCTCTGTGAAATTGCCATGTGAAATTGATCCCAGAGTATTATCATATCCAGAAAGATAGTCTTCAGTACATTCTAGACTGCGTTGCGCACGCCGCAGACACACGCAGCGATATCGAATCAACCCCACTTTCATCAGCAAGGTAGGTAGTGGTACCCCGTGATCTTCGTTCCCGAGGCCAATCAATCAGCCCCGGCAGATCAAGCAAGGGTTGTCAAAACAATCAAAAAAAGGGAACAAGGTAAACAACACATGTACTATTCTGGACTCTGTGATCATACACCTCCCCAAGCTGCAATGCAATGTCTGAACTAACAGTACAAAATGTAAAATACACAAAAGTAGAAGAAAAGCCTCCCTTGTTCCGCTTCAATCAGCTTTACCAGAAACTTATAAGAATCCGAAAGCGCATGATAATGCCCGAAAAAAAACATCAATCTGGATAAGAACATGTGTGAAGAGGGAGGAAGGACGACAAGATGAGCTTGGGCAAAACAAGGTGAAAGAAGACATGATTTTGATTTGAATCTCTCTTTTTTTTTTCGTTCTTTGTTACGGTGCTTTTCTGCTTTTTTTGGGGTTGAATGTTTGCGGTGCTAATCGATATCCGAATATCGTCTCCTTTGCTGAAGCAAACCATGTCGCCAGACACGCGGCAACTTTTTGGTATAATGATGCACCCCGAACGCCAAACCAAAAGTAAGAAGTGCGGCCCATGGTGAGAATACTCCAAAGGTAGAGGGATCCATCCCTAGATGGGATACATATTTCGTCTCAAGGAAGTAGGTTAATTTCGTTCATGCGGCCCAGTCGGAATCAAGAGGATGTCCTTTCGTGTTGGATCGAAGAATGTCGGGGAGATAGGTGGGTGTCACTTTGACCTTGGGCTCGACAGGTGTAGGTGCAGATGGGATCGGCTGGCTCTCAGAGGCGCTGGCCTCGCTTTCGTCCGTCCTTCCGCCCTTCTTCTTAGGTTTCTTGGTACCAACGGTGGTCCAAGCATCCTGCCCGTTAGAGGCGCCAAGAATGCGCATCTGCTCCTCCTCTGAGGGAAGTGCTTGGTACTCCTGGGAAGTAGCAGGAGACTTGGCGGAGGGCGCAACAGGTTCGAAAGTGTCTAGCAGTTCAACATTGGGGCTCTGAGAGACTGGCGCAGTGCCGTTAACAGCCTCACGGGTGTTCTTTGTCTGCCAGGCATTAGTCTGAGAAGCCGATGTCGACTTGGCAGCCTCACGACGCTCAGCTTCGCGAGCGGTGTGGAGCTGCTTCTCAAGTAGCTTGCGTCGCTGCTCTTCAGCTTCCTGGACCTGCTGCTTGCGAGCCTCGTTCTTTACTCGCTGTTGACGTTGCTTCTTGGTCTCCACTTGCTTGAAGTTCTGAGGCTTGGCCTTCTTCTTCTGCGAATCAGAGTCGACGGAGCCAGTCACACGAAGGACAGATGCTCCAGGGGCAGGGGCCTCGAGCATGTCGGAGACATAACCGGCCGCAGGAACCGTGGCATTGACCTGAGGGGAGCCAGCCGGAGAGAGGTCATCATCAGCATCAGCGCCGGTAGTCGAAGACGTAGTAGTGGAGACACGAGAGGCGGAGCGCTCGCCGTTGGTGGGTTCAAGCTGTCGGGGAGCAGCGGCCTTGCTCTTCTTCTTCTTTTGGCTCTTGCTTTCACCGCTGGCAAATTGGGAGGAAGAAGTGCCGTTCTTCACAGCGGCGAACCGCTTCGCCAGCTCCTTCTGGTCAATTTCCTCATCCGGAATATCACTCTCTGGCGCCTTGGACTCAAAGGCGGGCTTCTCGCTCGGAGCGGCGGAGGGCTCAGGAGATTTCTTCGCCTTTCGTTTTTGTTTCTTGGCAACAGGCGCGGCTTCTGTCTTTTCCAGAAGGGGCTTTGCAGGACTCTTCGTTTTGGCGTTTGTATCGCTGTAGTACCATCCTAGACTACCAGCGACCACGAGCACAATAGCCCAGCTAATATATGGATTCATCGTCATTGATCTAACATCGGTGATTATTAGCTGCGGAAGTTCCACAGGGACTGAGATGAAAGCAATGCATACGGGTATATAAACTTGGACTTGGTCCAATGTAACAAACTGTCACACGATGTTCGAGCGATGGAAGTAGGTTAAATCCGAGAAATTTAGGTTTGCGGCCGGGATGGTACGACCTGCGAGCAGGGGAGTTGCGAGACCTAGGGAAGGAAAGTGCAGCAAGTCGAGCGGAGGCGTTAAGGTAGGACGAATGAATGCGATCTCTCGCGAGGAGCTCTCAATCACTCTTTAGTCATCGGATTGCCGAATGTCGAGAGAGAAAGGAGAAGTGGTTGAAGGACAAAGGGGCTAATCGCGCTGAAAGGCCAGATTGCCGCTCGGAGCTCGGTCACGACAGCGATTCAGAGAGAATGGTCCCAAGAACGACCTGACGAGCTCGAGAAATGTCCTCTTCGACCGTCAAGCCAATTCTGAGAAGGATTGAGCAAATCGCTAGTGGGTGAGAGGGTGTGGTCAAGGCAAGAATCTAGGCAACACGTTGCGGCAAAAGTTGACTGGCGCGTCACCGAAAGAGCATCGGGAGAGCTAACACAGTCGGGAGGTGGAGCTGCGATTTGTGGAGGAGGCGAAAACCAATGGTGACGGTATGGATGCTAGCAGCAATGGGAAGAGAAAAGAAAGAAGACCGGGGGATTGCCTTTTCTTATTCTCGAGACAAGCGAGAGGAGAAAAGGAGAGGGGGCAGTTGAGGAAGAGGACACGGTGCGTCCTGGGCGAGCGACTGCCAAACTCTCCAGACAGAAACAGCCCTGGCCATTTAATTCCAGCTCCTCGCCAATCGCCTTGGAGTTTTCAGAGCTCCACACATTAAAGTAATTATCCAGGCTACCATACAGCTAGTAATTTGATTCCAATCATGCAGGTCAGGTTCAGAAAGTCCTGTCCAACAGTTTTCTGGAATCATTGAATGACAGACAGGATTGCGGGGAAGGATCTTCCAGACTTTCACCGGATTGCGGCATTTCCACCCCTGTCACTCTCAATCCAGAAACCAGATATCCTGGGAGAACCTTGGAAGATTCTAATTAACTCAACTTCTATCTATCCAGTGCCCCGGTGTAGTCTGAACGACTTGGATGAAGAGTCCGTCGATCGCAAAGGATGAACCCCAATTGGCTTCTTTTTCGACCATGGCCCAGCACAACCATGACAATGGGATGGGTCCAGCGAGGTTATACAGGAATCTGACATCTTATACTGTACACAATGTACCACTTTATTGATTCAAGGGAGACGATTAGGTGGAATCGATTGAACTCATGATTGCCAAGACATCCCACCTTCTCCCCTCTATCTTCGGCGAGTTCCGAACCTCTCATCTTTTGTCAACACCTGTCTTTTTAAAAGCAATTTGCGAATGAACGAAGTATCAGACTTGAATATGGCGCCTAAGAAGAAGATTATTATTGATACCGATCCTGTATGCCCCATCTGTTTCAGCAATTTCACTTGAATGCTTGCTAAGAACCTGAAGGGAATTGATGATATCCTCGCTCTTTTACTGGCTTTCTCAGAGAAGTCGGCCGATGTCGAAGTCCTTCTAGTCTCCTTGACGTTCGGCAACGTGGAGGTAAAAAGGTGAGGTAATGGACTCCAGAAACACTGTTTCTCTGTTAACCGTGTATGAATAGCTGCTTGAGGAATGTCGTCTCCATGTTCCATATTCTTGAGAAGGAGATGAAATGGCGTCGCGAGCAAGGACGACCGGAAGGCTTCGATGCATTGCGCGCTCGTGCTCCAATTGTTGCCCTGGGCGCACAGGATCCCCTAGAGGACCAGAAGATGTTGGCAGACTACTTTCGTGAGTTACGGCGGGCTTTCAGGTCTCATTCGTGCTAACCACTTGAAGATGGAGTGGATGGCCTAGGTGGCATTCATGATAGTGTAAGTGAGATCTAAAGGCCGAACGACTGCGAAACTCGCTGACGATCATGGTAGCATCCTCACCTGACTCCCCAGGACGCATGGGAACATCTCTTTGATCCAACTCACGAGCCCGTGGAGCTCAAGCCCGTCTCCGCAGAGCCTAATGCGCATCAATCTTTTATTCCTTCAAAGCGCGTTGCGCATGAGGAAATCCTCCGCGTACTGCGCGAGAATGATCCAGATACAGTGACCATCGTCGCTGTCGGACCCCTTACCAATCTGGCCTTGGCGTCTGCCGCCGATGCGGAGACGTTCCTCCGAGCCAAAGAAGTTGTGGTGATGGGCGGAGCTGTGAATGAACCCGGAAATGTAAGTCACGGTTGACCTGTTCACTTTGGGTCCGCTGACAAGAGCCCAGGTGACTCCAGTAGCCGAGTTCAACGCATACGCCGATGCATTTGCTGCGGCTCGTGTCTATGCCCTTACCTCTCCTTCTCCCAAGAGCACTTTGCCTCCAAGCAAGTCTCTCCCGGATTTCCCGCCCAACCTCAGCCGACAGCTCACTCTCCGCCTGTTTCCCCTGGATATCACCCTCAAGCATGGCTTGAACCGGGGTCAGTTCCGCAAAGCAATCACTCCTCTGCTTGAAACTGGCTCACCGCTGGCTGAGTGGGTTTCAGCCTTCATGGCGCATACTTTCGCTACCCTCGAGAGGCTCCACGCAAACCAGCGAGGAGACAGTGCGGAGCTCAGTCTTCACGATCCTGTCTGTGTCTGGTACGCCCTGACGGCTGACGACGAGGGATGGAAACCATCAGAGAAGTCCCCCGAGGATATCCGGGTAGAGACTACCGGCCAGTGGACTCGGGGTGCGTGTATTGTCGACCGAAGGGACCGACACCCGGTCGATGGGGACGAGGAAAGCTCAAGCGACCACGGTCTCTGGTTGAGCCGGAGAGCCGGGAACCGGATCTGGAGGATGGACAAGTCCCCTGCAGAAAGCAACTTCGGAGAAATTCTCATTGAGCGACTGTTCACATGAGTGATTGGATACTTAGGTTTAGTGAAGCAAGGAGTATGCGCTGTATCTTGGAACCCATCTGTAAATTGGTCATATAGACGTCATGTTCTGCTTGGGAATTGAGAGCCTCTAGATTCTTCCCAATCATGCAGATGATTATGATTATATATGTGGCGGCCTGAATAGAATGCGTGTGTCGATTTGAGATGCCAAGTCAATAGTCCGATACCAGGGGCTCACCTCCTTTGGTGGAACGGGACCCCAACAGTGATTGGAACACCTACGAGAGTCGCCATGTGTGGCCTGGAAGACGCGTGAGGAAAGCTACATGCGCAATGAAGCACCTAGTAACAATCAAAATGAGCAAGCAATTGAGTGAAAGCCCGACCAAGGGCCTGAATATTCGTACAGAACGACAGCCCTAGTAACCTCAGAGTGGGCGGGTACTCGTCACTAACCTTGTCATAGCAACAGCTATACCAAACAAGCGTGTCCTACCACATGGTTTCCCACTTCAAGGAATTAGACAATTTCATCACTCATATTCGTAGGGTTTGGTGAGTATAGCTCCCGTATGCCGGTTTGTAGCTCGACAAACAGTAGAATTGTTTAGATAGCCGTCACCGCATGTATAACCCATAAAGGTATTCCAGTGCTTGATTTCCACTGCTTTATCTAGAATTTAAGCATATCATGGACGGTCCTGACGGAGGTGTGGGCTCAAAAAAGCAATATTACGACGGCTGGCGGGCACATTGGCTCGGTGGTGAACACATCCCAACAAGGGAAAGACTCACACGAGACGCGAAGGATCCCCGAATTCAGTGAGTAATACAGACTCAAACTGATGATAACTTAAGGACTCCGGCAAGGTCTCTGTAATTAATCCCCGTAGATGAGCCGGGATCCAATAGTATGTGGAGCTTCAAGATGCGTGCTCCTGGATTCAATCCAGAAAGGGCATGCGACAAAAGGCCAGCTGCGTGTCAAGTCACAGCTTCCGCACTGATCAATCCATTAGTCCGCGAGCTTTGGACTGTTGAAACAACATGTGAAGGAGATAATGATGGAATACCAATCAGTGCCTGATCCGGGGCAGCATGCTCTGATCCCTCCGTTTTCTTCCATGCCCTCGACCGGAGCGATAACACACCCCGCAGCCGAGCAAAGGTTCAATGCTCCCAAGCAAGGGACCTGAATCTACAGGAGAGCCCGTAAGAAGAGTGAACCGAAGCACGAGCGCCGATTGCATCGACGAGTTGGCTATGGGCAAGCGGTCTCGTGCTTCCTTGGTGCTTCCTTGGGGAGTGTGGTGCGGGCCAATCAGGCCGGGCCCTGGAACCGCGTGGGCTCTCCCAAGCACGCGACACCAACTCAACCATTTCACTTGCAAAAGGCTTCCTGAAACCCACCATCTACCTCCTCCCTCCTTCGTCGATCGCTCCAATTTTGCTCTCAATGCCTGCGATCTTCTTTTATTCTCATCTTCGTACCATGGCTACCGCGCCGTTTTCTCACGACTTCGCCACCATGTTGTTTTCGTCGTCGGGAGTATAGAAGCGTCTCCTTCTGCCTTGCCGGTGCCTCACCTCGTCTTTTTCCTTTTTGTCCTTATATACCTCTTCTCACTCCTCTCTGACCTGGCTGGCCCTGGAATTAGGACTGTACGACCCCCGACATCCACCTGGCAGTCCTGTCCCACTTTGCCAGAAGTCACTCCGACTATACTGCTCGCATTCTAGGAGGTGTCGGGTATACCTCCTGTAGCACCCAAAGCCATTACAGCCTTCATCCAAATCATGTCACGCTCCCGGTTTCCTCCTACGCCCTCCATGTCTGGAGAGTTCATAATCAAAGACCAGACAGCCGTCGATGGTTCAGATTGCTTTGCTCTCCCTCCTGCTGCCCTAAGTCCGTCCAAAATGGATGCTGCCAGTCGAAGGCCATCAAAGTCGGGCAATTCAGTCTTCTTTCCTGCGTCTCCCACATCACCAAGGCTGGAACCGAGCCGCAATGCGAGTTCATCCACTCAGGCTGGTCTCAAGAGACCGCTGGACGATCTAGACCTCCCTCCACCTCCTACCCGCACCCGCAAGATCATTCAAATGAAGCCTAAGACCCAGACATCGCCGAAGCCTATTGCTGCATCAGCCAAGCCCGCCACAAAAGGGAACACAAAGGCAGCCGCAAATGGCACTGCACAGGGAGGCTCGAAGAAGAAGCAACCGAGTGCCACCAGCGCAGCCGGTCGAAAGATTGCTAGGAAAACTGCTCACAGCTTGATCGAACGGCGGCGGCGGTCTAAGATGAATGAGGAGTTTGCAACACTCAAGAATATGATTCCAGCCTGTCAAGGGCAAGAGATGCATAAACTTGCCATTCTGCAGGTTCGTCTTTTCTTGTCCCATCTTGAACTAGAAGCCGGCTAACAATGGTACCATCTAGGCCAGCATTGACTACGTCAATTACCTCGAGAAATGCATCCAAGACCTGAAAGTGCCTGGTGGCAAAAAGCCGGTTCCACCTACTCTCCCTTCCGCTCCTCTCTCACCAACATCTCCAGAGTTCATTGGGGAACTGGGCCACACGTACTCTACGTCAGTGTCGCCCGAAGTACATCCTGATGGTTTTGCTGCCAGCACCTCCCCGATGTACTCCCCGAGGAGCAGGTTCCCATCAACCAGCGCGCTGTCAGAGATTCCTCCATCCATACTGCCCAGTCCTGCACTAGGCCCCGTCCGCCCCAATGAGCGCTCGATTGATTCTGCACGTAGCTCATGGGCATTACCTTCTTCTACAACCTCACCTGCAATTCAACCTCGGTTCTCCAACGGCTCTTCGGCGGATGTGGACCACGAAGCTTCTGCCGCTCTGCTCATGCTGAACAGGGATCCTCGGGGGTCAATCGACTCCGGCCGTGACAGCTCCGCGACCTCTTCCCTTTCTCGCGACGACGAGGCATATAAGCCCCTTGAGCCGCAGCGCAAGAGGATGAGTGTGATGGACTTGTTAATCTCTTAGATATATAATATACTTATGATAGATGTTGTCGATGACAACTCAAAAGGTGTGACGGCGTTTCTGGTGGAGGCGGGGTTCTCACTTGTTTGACTCGGCTAGTATATGATAATGAAATGGCGTTTGATTCTGGTCTGTCTTTGAATACATGGTAACATGTACTCCCTTCAAGCCTTCACTAGTAGGTTGCTTGTTAAGTCGCTCGAAATATCGGGGAAGACGGGCAGCAGAGCCCTTGTCAGGACAGTATATGAGACCTTGACTATGGCGGGGGTCAACTTGCTGCGGGCCTATATTGTGCTTACTATACGGAGGACTTGGTACACTTCAGTGGTAGCTAATGACAATAAATGTTGCTAGCCAATCGCCAGGGCATTCAACGACACGTACCTGGGTAGGCTACGTCTCAATCAAGGTTTTCTCGGGATATCTTCATTTGGATAGCTTCATGTGAGGCTCGGGATCCAGAGTATGGTATGTACCCCGCACCTCAGAACATCTTCAGGCCATAATTGACGTAGTGATCATTTAGGGTCAAGTCTATGCTCCCTTTTTGAAGTGAACACTCTTTTCTGGATGCCAGTGTAGTGCGACGATATTTCTCGAGTTCCAGACCACCAGTTCATAAGAATCCTACATGTTGTGTTCGAATGTGGAGTAGGACACCGGTCCATAAGAATGGTAAGCCCAAGTGTCCCGCGATTCCAACGCACGACGATCATCCTTCCTCGCCCGCCTAAACAGATGTACAGCGGCCGTCGCCAAGGGCTTGGGTGGTGGTGCACCTGGAACCTCGTAGAACATCCCAAGGCTAAGGATGCAGAGGAAAAGCCGGAAAGGCCAAAACGCAGCGTGGTTGGACGAAGGATTAATTGCGCGCTGAACGCGGTCTATTGACTTTGTGTAACGGCGGAGTTGGCGTTGAGGACAATTCAAGGTTCTCCGTACATGTCACAGACTCACTCTTGCCCCTTTACGACTTGATCTACTGCCAAGAGGACAAGATCCACTGATGTGTTTTCTTGTCAAATGCCAATTCATAGTCTGAATCCGCTGGGAATAATCAAACCTCAGTTAAGTTCGGGTGTTGGTGCCGTGTAAGGCAAAAGATCAAATTCCGATATCCGAGACACAGAGGCGTGACAATGTTAGCAAGTCAAAGCAAAGTGTCAATGATGTCAGTTTGTGGGTCACGCTTCGTGAGGTATTTTGGAGGAACGAAGGCCCGGTAAATACTAAATTCCAGGGTCCATGACTCGAGGATCCCTCTTTCCTTTTGCAAGCACCAGCAGTGTCGCAGCGCAGCACGAGAACAACTTACAGATCTTGAGAGCCTGGAGGGGGCTGAGCCAGACCAATACTCCTCTCGTATGTACTCCGTACTTGCGATGCCAAGATGGTAGTGCAACCTCCATTTCCCTCTTTTCTGAAGCTATTCTCGGCACATTGCGTCGCCCAGACTGCAGTGCCAGGCCCGGACTTGGACTTGACCACCAAAGTTAGAGGCCCCGCACGCCCGGGTGAATCCCCTCCCCAACGAGGTTTGCCTGTCCCTCCCCCAGTATTAATTTACTCTCGTTCTCCCCCACGCCCATCTCTTCCCCTCTGGTTCTATTCTTTCTCCATCATGACAAAACTGTTCTATCATACATGATCTTGACAACGTTGAGTACTTAGACTCCACCATGGCTCGGTTTCGCTCCCACCAGCGCAAGAAAAGCACCCGCTCCATCATCTCCGAGGGCCCCTGGAAGGTCGACACCCCGTTTGGCCCACCTCGGATCTCCCATATACACGTCCCTGGAGGTATTCGACGAATTCGCAATACACTGTCCAAGCTTTCCCCCTCTGCGCGCGCCGAACGAGAACTTCTGCGACAGAAGAACCGATATAAGATACCCCTGACCGAGCGGAATATCGATACTTTTATCACGCATCAAGAGTTCACCGATGCCTGTCATCCCAATCAACATAGCACCGAGATTCAAGTGACGGCTTGGCTCAATCGGCTCTCTTGATGACATCGCGTCAATACCCCTGTCCCCCACCATTTCGCTCTTTCGACCGCACACATCGATCTCTACAACTCAAAATTCCGCAGCACGAGCTGAGTCCGATCGCGGCTTGCCAGCACTTCTGCCGATCCTCCTGACAGTCTTGGCGCATATGTGAAAGTTTACAACGCTTACTCCGTAACTATAGAGTATGTCGATGCATCATCGGCTTGCGAATCCTTTCTTGGCGCTGGTGTCACTGTGTTGGCGCAGTCGCCAAGCATGCAAGTCCGACGCCCGCAGGCAACAAGCACACGACACCGAAAGTCCGAAACACCATGAAGTATCATCATATCGTGACAGAATCTGAGCCTCGCCCGCTGCTTTGTCATCCATCGATCCCTCGGGTCGTTTGCTGATAACAGAACACATCGACCATCAACTAACGCATCCCCAGTATGGCTCTCGCTAAGGGTTCAGCACTGAGCATATCCGCAGTTCGGGTCAGCTTTCTGTTGTTTTTGCTCCAAATCTTTATCTTTTGCCGGAATCTCTGTTGTTGCGATTGATGGTTATCACGGTCGCTTTAATTTCCTTTTCTAGTGTTTTCCTTTTCTTCTATTTATCTTTTGGATTGGTTGGATATTCGATCGCAAGGCGCACGTTGATACCCATTTGCTTTTTTGTCTCCCCATCGCATGGTGTTTGGTGCCTAGATTGCTTTTTAGACATGTTTCGCAGCTGGTGAACCTTTGCAACTATACATTCTTAATGAAAATTACTATGGTTAATTCACTGCTTTCATCTACATTTTCGAGCGATTTTTCGAGCGCATTTTTGGCAAATCTCCAGTAATAACTAATAGTACATGCTTAAGGTTATCGCAGCCCCTGGCCAATTAATAAAATAAAGTCGGTATTCCAAGTTGTCTACCACAAGCGAGCCACTAGAGACTGTCTGCAACTACGGAGTACGCATGGTTAGTATAGGCCAGTAGATGGCTTCAAGAGGTCACGTGGGTAGCGTCCACAAGAAATCCTCATTTTCATCCGCATTGCGTCCTGTCATCTTCCTAGTAGCATCAACGCTTGACAATCTTGAACCCTTGACTCGAGCTCTGCCACAATCCCTTATTTTGCCCGAAAGCATCTATTAATGCAAGCCAGTTACCCCGCTGGCGCCCTGTTCCCAAGCGCGTCCAAACACTCAACATCGAAATCAAACACGGCCTCTTTTTAAACCAAGATGTCGCGAGTACCGACCATCAGAGATGTGATACCCGGTAAACTCGTCAACATCATCTTGAAGGCCGACCAAACAACAGGCCGAACAGTCTCAGGGACCGTAGCCACGCTTCTAACGCGTGGCGACCACCCTCGTGGGATCAAAGTCCGGCTCACTGATGGTCGTGTTGGCAGAGTCCAGTCGATGGTGGCTGGAGGAGCAGGGAATGGGGCTTCTTCCCAAACGACGACTGCTCCTATGCTTCCTACTTCACGTGTCGCCGCGTCTGCGGTGGAACCTCCCTCCCAGACGATTGGCCTGGACGCGTACATCACGAAGCCTCGGCGACGAGGGAAGGGTGGGAAGCATGCAAACAGCCAGCAGTCCTCGGGTGGTAACGAGGAAGAGCAAGCAGCCTGTTCTTCGGAGGCTGTGACTTGTCCGGTTTGTGGCGATTTTGAAGGCGATGAAGCTGCTGTTGCACACCATGTGTCAAGCCATTTTGGTGATTGATTGGCCTGCGCGTCTTTTTGATGGCTATTGATGCGACGGTGTCATGCCAGGACATTGGTCTTTAGAGGCGAATGAGACAGGCGAAAAGGCTGCGTCCTTACGCAGTTTTACAGCTTCCTATCTTCGAGGTCATTTGGGAGAGCTCTGAGACCGAGCATGTATCTCACGCTCAAATCTTCCGGGATGACTACCCTCGGATTCCATACCACTTGAATTCTCAGAACTATGTGTCACACTCTAGGGAGTATCTTCTCGGAGACGCGACATTCTCAAACAGGATGGACCCTCATATTCTGGAATCAAGGGCACCGGCGGAGATCGATTCGAAAGGAAGCCACACCCATTTCTAGATGGGTCGGGATAGTTTAGATATATTTTTGGTTGCTTCGTGATACTCATTGGACTATAATATTATATGCGCACCATTTACTATGCCGGTTCATGTACCTCGAGTTCTTTCTCGCCGTCAATAACATACTCACTGGGAACGCCGAAAGCCTGGCCAATGATCCTGATGATACTTACTTGTTGGGAGGAGATGCATTGAACATGAAATTTATACGAGGCTTCCCACCCTTTGAGGAAGACTGCAATTTTAGCCTTCTATTGTTATGTACTTTGCACCCCACTAAGATTGCGGGGCAGGGAAGTCGCGACCTTCACGGTTGAGTTTGAAGTGGACCACTTCGAAGTTGGAACCACCATCGAAGCTCTCACCTAGTGAGGCCTTACTGAAATATCTAGGATGTGGAAGACCTATTAGCCTGGTGTTATACTCTATTTTGTGGCCATCAATTTCACGCCAGCCAACGATATCATAGAGTGGAAAATCCCACGGGATAGTCACACATGAGCCTCCCCAAGAAGGTTGCCATCATCGGTACGTACTATATATCTATCTCATTCTCCTCCCTACACCATATAGAGAAATTTACCTACTAACAAACCTAGGCGCCGGCCCTTCCGGCCTCGCAACGGCAAAAACTCTCCTCCACAACTTTCCCAAGGGAACATTCCAACCGACAATATTTGAGAAGAAACACCGCCTTGGCGGCCTCTGGGCCGTTGATTACCCATCAGACAGGGATAGGGCGAATGGCCACAGTCATGGTCGCAGTCGCAGTCATCATGACCGACAAACCCGCGGCTATGTGGACCCCAACATGCGGACGAATATTAGTCGCTTTTCGGTTGCATTTTCCGATCTCGCATGGGAGTCGGTATTGGGGCCGGATGTGCCGATGTTTCCGCGGGCGTGGCAGGTGAGAAAGTACCTGGAGGAGTATGCGGGGAGGTATGTCCCTGAGGGAGTGGTTAGGTTGGGGAGAAGAGTTGTCAAGACTGCGAGGAAGAGGAAGGAAGCGGGGCTGGGTGCGCGATGGGAAGTGCAGTGGATTGATGATAGGTAAGTATAGAAACGCGTTTGGGAGGCGAAGCTAATCGAGTTGCAGGGAGAAGGGATGTTCCTCTGCGGGGGCCTCTAGCGAGCCTGAGATCAAAACTGAAAGCTTCGACTTTCTTGTCGTTGCTTCAGGGCATTTTGGGACACCGCACACGCCGGATATACCTGGGCTCGATGGTGTGGCGAGTATAGTCCACAGCTCAGAACTGCAGAGTGCAAATGATATCTCACGCTTACTAGAGACGTCACCAGTTAAGCAAGGGAAAGTGGTCGTCGTTGGAGGAAGTATGTCTGGGGTAGAAGCTGCAACATCGATTGCTCTGCATCTGTCGTCTTTGAGCTTTAGACCCGACTCAACCAAGCAAGGTGGATCAGGATACGAAGTGTGGCACCTCAGCACCAGCCCGTTTTGGGTCTTGCCTACTTACCTCCCGCATCAGTACTCGGATGATCCTTTGAAGAAAGGCACGATGCCGCTTCTGCCGCTTGATCTATTCTTGTACGACCTGTCTCGTCGTCCGCCTGGCACGGTTAATCTCGCGTACGGGCCCAAGTCGCCAGAGCAGGTCTCGTTGATATACAAGTCTTTCAAGGGCATGCTTGGGAAAGACTATAGCAGGATTGGCGGTGTTAACATCACTGATACTGACGGGAACGAGAGCACACGGCCCCCTTGGGTAGTGATAGCAGATTACTACGCCGAGTTCGTTCGTTCTAAAGCCATCAAACTCGAGACAGGCCGCGTTCGCTCGATGACTGGCTCTCCGGCCGCCTATACTATCGATATTGAGTCACCTGGTGGCTCCAAGCCACTTACTGACGTTGCTGCGGTGGTAATGGCTACAGGCTTCAGCCCTTCCGAGTCCCTTTCTTTTCTCGATGACGACGTGCTGCGGGTGCTTGAGCACTCCGAGAAAGACCAATTCCTCCCGCTTATCCTAGATGGGTTTAGTAGCTCGCATTCTGAGATTCCAGATTTGGGCTTCGTGGGCTTCTACAGAGGCGCATTCTGGGGCCCTGCAGAGTTACAATCGCAGATATTAGCCCAGCGATGGAGTCAGAAAGGCTTGGAAGAAGTACCAACACCGGCAGAAGATCAAGCCGAAAGAGCCAAGGAACGGGAAATGGTCCGCAATTTCAGGAACTTATTCCCCCCCGGTACCCGTGGCCAATTTCCTTTGGGGGACTATGTGGGCTTGATGGAATCCCTAGCTCGCCAGCTAGGAAGACCTCGTCAGCCTATCTCGAAAGACTTACCAGCGGATACGCAACCTCTGGGACCTGTTGTGCCAGTTCGATATCATCTTGAAAATGATCATCTGGCACAGGAGCAGGTGGACACAACGATAGAGGCCTTGAGGTACACTCTAACTGCGGGCTCTGAGCGAGCGCGCATGTGCACTGCAGCAGCGATTTTCAGAGCATTACACGGCCAGTGGAGATTTACAAGAGAGAGGGAAGGACTCGAAAAATCTGGGATCGCTACGTTCCACCCTCGTTACCCGTCTCGTCTGGGATATGAACGGGAGTATCTTTGTGCGGAGACCGAGAATGGAACTGAAACCAGGCTCGTTTACCGACTATCTGAGGACTCTTCTGAGTTGGTAAAAAAGGCACAGGTTCGGATCTGGTCTGTGGATCAAGCATCCCCGAACTCAGCTTCGGGTCTTCTGAGTGAAGTTCAGTTTGAAACATCTTCAGAGGTGACAGTGCTAGGCGACTACAGGGTTCAAGCCTTCTATTCTGCTGCCTCTGGCGAAGAGCACACATACGATTTCATTCTCGACCGCGTGGCGATCCGGAGCTGGAGCTGCACAGTGACACGACCGAGTAGCTCTGGGCGCCAAACCGGGATCGAGACCCATACATCATACACTAGACCTTAGACACCAGACCACAACCTATGGATAAGTCTTGGGAGCGGCGGATCGGAAAGTAAATGCGCACAACTTGGCAGCGAGACCCACAGTGGAATTCCTCCGCCTGGTGTGCGGGGGCGAAATCCGGGGTATGCTCTGTTCCCACCTTTTCACGTTCCGTTTCCCCAACCTCTTATTTCCGAGCATCATACGATGGCATTGGCTAGGCTAGATAAGATACTTAAGCTGGTACAGATCCAACGAATGAAGGTAAATGTCACTGGAATGTATAGCCCTAACTTGTCTAGTCTTCGGATTCCCTTGCACCATTACATACTGCAAATCGACATAGTCAACACGGCAAGGACATGGCATTGACTCCGCACTAACCCTCATCAACCAGTAATGTCAAGCTTCGTATCTCTTTGCCTTGCGGGAAAGAGGCGCCACACCCTGCTGACGCTGGTTGACTCGAACCTATCAAAGCTCGCGCAACTCCAAAACCTCCTCTTTCCCTCGATTTGAACCGTGTGCATGGTTGCCCGAAACTTGGCAGATATACCCTATAGTCTCAGTGCGGAATTCGGCTACGACAGCGGAATGATGTTTCTCTCCTCTTTGGGGTATCCCAGATCGGAAGTGAAGGGTGGATGTATAAAACTACGCCCAAATAGAGCTATTTCACTATCCATGGTATGAACCTGCAGCTTAAGACCTTGCTTGTATCTTGTTGATACAGTCTACAATATGACCGAAAAGCAAAGCACCTCCCACCACGAAACTCTCACCGACCCAGACCTCAAACACGGCGAGATCAACATTCCCCACGATGACTCGCTCGACGCCAAAGTCCTCCGAAAATGCGACCTCCATGTCGTCCCTATCCTAACTGTCCTCTTCCTCTTTGCTTTCCTGGACCGGATAAACATCGGCAACGCACGGCTCCTAGGTCTAGAAGAAGAACTTGATATGCAAGGCCACCAGTACAACATTGCGCTCTTTGTGTTCTTCATCCCATACATTCTCTTCGAGGTGCCGAGTAACATGCTTTTGAAGAAGATTCGGCCCTCGACGTGGCTAAGTGGTATTATGGCTGCTTGGGGTGTAGTCACGGTCTGCCAGGGGGTTACGGGCAGTTTTACGGGGCTGGTTGCTTGTAGGGTGCTTATCGGGGCGTTGGAGGCAGGGTTGATGCCTGGTATACTTCCTTTTCTTTATCGGTTTTCATTCCATCTCATCGTGATGTTGCCTTACTGGAATCCAGACTAAACTATGGCTATAGGCAGCGTCTACCTCATCAACATGTACTACCGCCGCCACGAACTCCAATGGCGCCTCAACTTCTTCTTCAGCGCGAGCATCTTTGCTGGTGCCGTAAGCGGCTTCCTCGCATACGCAATCGCCAATATGGAGGGTATCGCCGGGTACAGGGCGTGGCGCTGGATCTTCATCCTCGAAGGGATTGCGACGGTGCTCGTGGCGATAACTGCGAAGTTCATCATCGTCGATTGGCCCGAGTCTGCTACGTTCTTGACGGATGAGGAGCGCGCTGTGCTACTGAGCAGGCTTGCTGAGGATCAGGGTGAGGCGCAGATGAATCGGTTGGATAAGGCTTCGATGAAGAGGACGTTTTCGGATCCGAAGATATATCTTGGGTGAGTCTACCTGCTCTCCCTTTTTTTTGTCTAGCTCCTCGCTGATGATCTATTACAGACCGATCATGTACTTCGGCATCGTCAACACCGGCTACGCAGTCTCCTTCTTTACCCCTACAATCCTCGAACAACTCGGCTGGACCTCGATCCGCGCCCAGGTCATGAGCATCCCTATCTACGCTGTGGCAATGGTCATCACCCTCTCAACAGCGTACCTCAGCGACCGCCTCAAGCACCGCTACGCATTCACGCTAGCCGGCTGCCTAATCGCAACAATGGGCTACATCCTTCTTCTCAACCAGTCCTCCATCCCCGTCGGCGCCCGCTACTTCGCCGTCTTCGCCATAACAGGTGGCGGGTACCTGACGCAGCCGATCCTCATGGGCTGGCTGAGCAATAATATGGCAGGCCACTATAAGCAGTCGATTGCGTCGGCTATGCAGATTGGGTTTGGAAATTGTGGTGGGCTCGTTGCGAGTAATGTCTTCTTTGATGACGAGGCGCCGGGGTATAGGACTGGGTTTGGGGTTAGTCTGGGGATGACGTGGATTTGTGGGCTGGCGTGCTTCGCCTTTCTGATGTATTTGGTCAGGGAGAATAAGGCGAGGGAGCGCGGGGAGAGGGATGAGCGGTATGAGTTGCCGCAGGAGGAGAGGGAGAATCTTGGGGATGATCACCCGAGTTTTCGGTTTACTTATTGATATATATCTATATGAGTGGAGCTGCTATTAGCACATCTCACGAAGGATGTTAAGAAGCAGCTTGTATATGTATCAACACGACCCAAACCCGCACACACCCTTCCCCTCCTCTCTTCCCTGCACCTGAACCTGAACCTGCACCTCTCCAATATAACCTCCAAACCGCCGTCGCCAAAAAAACCCCCCTATCCTCCGTAACAAACATCCAACAACAACCCCCAACCCAGAAATGGTGTGGGGCAATACATACATTTAGGGCACTGAACATGCCTGGGTGGTAGAACACCGTCCAGGCTACGATGAATACGCTGTGCCTGCTTATTGTGTGTACAAGGCTGGGAGTATGATAGTATAAGAGTGCTAAGATACCAGGGGCGCAACTCTATTTTTTGAATAGAAGTACTTGTTGTGGCATATTTCCTTGGATCAACAAGCATGTGTACCTTCTTGCGAGATATCTCACTGTAGTACCCACTTAGTATCCCAAACCCACAGTGGATTAAGCTCCAATTGCAAAATCTGCTCCAAATTGGCGTGATATAACGAGGTAAAGGTTGAAATTTTGTTATAGCGCCATCCCGGGCACTTGGGTTTATCTGCTTTCTCGGCCGGCTGTATGATGGGGACCGCCTGACTCGCCGGCTGGATCTACCCTTCCTATCTCTATCTCTATTGATATAGATCAGAGGCGTGCTACTTCCTGCTGAAGACGAACGTCCTCCTCTCTAGCCGCCTTTTGCCAAACGCCTTGTACCTGATTCCTCAGTAAGTACCATCTTCGCCAAGAAGAAATCAATAGAAAGATACGGAGCACATACATCATAATCATACAACCACCCATACTCCCTCCCCCACTTCCCGCGAATGGTATGCGCGGTGCCCTCATCGAAGCTCAGGTTCGATCGTCCCAGCTCGGCATCAGACTTCTTAAAGGCATCAAGTATAGCGTACATAGCCTGATAATGTGGAGAACGAACTCGGTCGTATAGATCCAGGCCACGGCTGAGAGTATGACCTCGCTCGTAAGCCCATTCTACGGCTCGGGCGAGGACGTAGCTGTCTTCGAGGGCAAAGCCGGCGCCGTTGCCTGCAGGGAATTAGCTTGCAGTGTAATCGAATGAGTTGAGGCACGTACCGAATGCGCCGGAGAGAGCTTTAGAGATCAGCGTATTTATCATTATAGAGAGGAATAGATGTAATATAGTGGAAGCTTACGATGAGAAGCGTCTCCAATCAGAGCAATTGAGTCTCTAGAGACAACAGATTCCAGCCGCGGACCCGCGAATAGCGCGAAGCGCTGCACATCTGTTGCGAGACCGATGATCTGCTGGACGAGTGGTCCAAAGTCCTGCAGAAATATACCGATTAGCCTTCCGACGACTCCATCTCATTTCATCTTATCTCACCTTCCACGGCCTCCTAAATTCCTCCAAGCTCGCCTCCTCGCCCCAACTAACCCTCCCCCCGTCATTCGGGACATCCGCATTACATGTAAGCTCATAAACCCCATGTCTCAGATTGCACGTGTAAACCCAGTCCCTCGGCCCATGCCAAAAAGTGACTGCGTCCGGGAACCCGGGAATTGCGGGGATCTTTTCCGTAGGGATAAGGCCGCGGTACGCTGTCATTCGTGTATGCGATCTTGTGCTCTGGGAAAGTGAATTGGCGGACGACCGAGCGGACACCATCAGCGCCGATGACAAGGTCGACTTCGTTGGTGTGGCCGTTTGAGAAGTGCAGGGTTAGAGGACCTGTTGGAGTGTATTGTGTTATGTGTTGCAGGCGAGAAGAGAGCTGGATAGTTGTCTTCTCCTGGTCGAGGGTCTGCAGGAGTGCTTTCTGGAGGACGGAGCGAAAGACACGCGCATGGAGGTGATGAGAGGGTGTGTCTAAGTCTGTTAGTAAAAGCGTCTCTCTTCTTTAGGTAGATCAGTTTCAAATCGCAGTTGAAAGCGCTACATACCTCCCTGTGCATGCGACACACTGAGCTCTCCCGTGCGCCCATTGCGATGTTGCACCGAATGCCTATTAGCAGCGCGGAACATCTCCTCGGGCTTGTTATGCTGCAGTGCGCCCAGAGATTCTAGCATGCGCCAAGTGTTTCGCTGGAGGCTAAGTCCGCTTCCGATTTCTCGGAGGACGGTGGCCTGTTCGTAGATGCGCAGGTCCACGAAGGGCAATCTCTGGAATTCGATGGCGGCGCTGAGGCCTGCTGGGCCGGCGCCGATGATGGCGACGCGGAGACGCTTTTCGGTCATATTTCTGTTCCTGTTCCTGGGCGTCCTTCTTCCTGAGCCTAGTTCAAGATTTGAGAGGTGCTGCGAGGAAAGCTTGGTTTATGGTGGTTTCACTAGTGAGGGGTCGGTTCCACAAGGGTTGGCAGATTATATATCCTTTTCCTCTCGAGTAACATCTTCGGTCTTACTATATGCATGAGAGTCATGGGTCTCCAAGTCGGATCATGGTGGTTGGCTGTGACGAGTTTTAGTCTGGATTGACACCATCGGTTTCGTGATTGTCGGAGATCTTGAGCTCAGTTAGACATGCATATAAAAAACAGAGATGGCTGGCTCAGATTGAAAGCGAATTGATGAATAAACTCGGAACTTTCAGCCGGTTAGAGCAGATATGATATATAATTTGTCAATTGCCTGGTATAGTGCTCCTATCAGATAACTAGGATAAGGCTGTTACTCCTCCCCCACCAACTTCCCACAACCCCTGTCTATCATAACACGTGGAAAGTCACACCTCTACTCCTTGTGAGTGACCACTTGCTTCTCAGAAGTCATGAGCTCTTCACCACGGGTGACGTGGTTGGCTCCACCGAACAGCGCATCAATTTCCTCCAGGGGAACTTGCTTGGTCTCAGGAATGAAGAACCAGACAAACACCGCGAGAAGGAAGTTAATCCCGGCAAACATGTAGAACGCGTAAAAGCCGCAGTTGTCCAGGAAGGTCGGGAAAAACTGCTGGACAATGGTGTTGGCGACGTTCTGGGTCTGGGACGCCATGCCGACGGCCTGCGCACGAACGTTCATTGAGAAGACTTCCGAAGTCCAAATCCACACGGTAGCACCCCAAGAAGGCTTATCTGTGATAGAGTTAGCTGCCGACCCTGAGCAGACGGTGGAAGGGTTGACTTACAGAAGAATATAAATAGGAACAGCAAGAACACAATGGCTATACCGACCGATTGCGACTTTATGCCATTGACCGATGGTGTTTCGGTTTCAACAGCTGCAACGATAATCATACAAATACCCATGCCGATGCCTCCGACAATGAGGAGGAATTTACGGCCGAAGCGGTCAATAATCCACACAGCGTTGAGGGTGAAGAGAATGCCGAATGTCGCGTTGAGAGCATTGATCAAGGCGATTTTTCCGGCATTGTCCCATACTTTTTTATAGATCTTGGTCGAATAGGAGTTCAGGCTTCCCTGGCCAGTCACCTGCTGACCAGCATTCATGATGAGGGCAAGGACCATGCGCTTGCGAAGCGACTTGTCCTTCCACAGCGCAGAATAGTTGCTGGAGATAGCCTCCTTTTCGTATTCAAGAGCCTCACGGATTCGAAGGAGCTCTTCCTCGACCTCTTCGTCAGTCTCACGCACTGACGCAAGTGCGGCACGGGCTTTCTCGATGTTGTTACCGCGTTGGACGTACCTGCTTCCGTGTTAGTCATGCATGCTTGATTGTGCACAGAGGAACTCACCACCGCGGACTCCCGGGGATAGTCGGCAACAGAGCTAGAATGAGCACTGGGACAAGCAGTTGGAAGATGACGACCATTTTCCAGTCCCACTCGCCCAGATTCTCCCTGTGTTGAGTGCAGCCGTAGTTCACCCAGAAGCAAATGAAAGACCCGACTGAGTAGAACATTTGCCAGAATGTCATGATCTTTCCACGAATCTCAGGTGGCGCCAGTTCACCAATGTAGATAGGGCCCGCGGCTTGTAAAAAGAAATGTCAGCTTGATTGACTAGTTGACACTCTGGGAGAAATGACTTACTCAAGGCAATACCCTGACCAATACCGATGATGACTCGTCCAGCAATAAAGCATCCGATGTTGTGTCGCGGGGCAAAGGTTTGCATAAAAGTTGATACAATAACCAGTACGCAACCAATGCCCATACCGAACTTACGCCCCAGAAAGTCTGCAACGGGACCACCCAAGAAGAAGCCACCGAAAATGGCGCCCACTGTATACGATGTGTTGATTGCGCCGATCAGGTTTGCGTCTGGGTTATTGAAGTAGGCGACCCAGTTGTCCGAGCCCTGCACGGAATTGTATACAGATGCATCGTATCCGTAGAGCACCATGCATGCAGCCGCAACAAGAGAAATGTACCTAGAACACACAATATTAGTCGTGCTACTCAAATTGCACGCGTTCTTGACTGACCAGTTGTAGGCTCTCTTGGAGCCAAGGAAGTTAATCGCCATTGATGCTTGTTCGCAGCACTCGACTGCTTGGCTAGCAAAGACAGGACGGAAAAGGATGCGCCCGTTTGCTTAACTCTTTGCCCAGACAAGCCCAGAAAGACCAAGACAGATGAAGAGAGCGGCTGGCTGATCTGAAGTTCCTGGCGATTCCCTGCCGGTTTTTATAGGAGAAAAGAGGAAGCACGGGGCCAGAAAGCCCAGCAGTAGGATTCAGCCGATATATTAGCCTCCCTCACCCCATCGCGCCAGCGGAGGCCCCAGATAGCGATAACGAGTCAAGGAGACACCCATGGGGAACTCTCCCGGTGGGACCATGGTCTCCCACACAAGCCTGCTCCCAAGCGGTCTCCAAGCTTCCACATTTCTTAGTGGTGGGCTGCTGGCTCTAGAACCGACTGGTGGCTCGAAGAGACGTCGCGGACCTGGTCCGGGGGAAATCTGGGGTTGGCATTCGAGGAATTTCTCCGCCGAGGCAATCTGGGCCTTCGTGTTTCCACGAATCAGGGTAGTAGCACAGTTGGAAGGAATCTAGCAAGGTCCACCAATGGAGCATCTACTACGGAGTATCTGGGATGCTTTTGAAATCGGCTAAATCAGCGTCCAAGCTTGGAGTTCAGAAAGTAGTCGCCAGTGACACTGCGCGAGACGGAACTCGAGGTGGAGAGAGAACGAGGTTCAGCTAGACGATTGGGGAGTCACATGCCAAACACCCCTGCCCTCTTTCTCAGCACACCGTAAGCAGTCTCATATTTGCTCTGAGCTGCTGATACTTTAGTAGATGGCTCCATCTGCCCGATATATCATGGAGGGTAACCGGCGTATCGTGTCCACACTTCCTATCGGGGCCGTGTGTAAGGACTAGACCGGTATGCGGTTATAGTCCGGACGCGAATGGCGGATGCCATACGGCTAGACATCATTGGTATTTTCGTTCCAACTTCCTCCGCCGTCAGTCTTGGGATTGACCCTTGGGAAAATCCAGCAAGTGTGACGGTAAATATGAGGTTCGATTGAGGTAAAGTGCCGATGGAATATGACTCCGAATATGTCTGCATCCAACTTAATTTTGTACTGCTCCAATCCCCTTGCCACTCAGAAAGTCAATCACTATAGGCTCCACAAAAAAGCATAAATAATGTCCTTGATTGAGAAGTGAAAAGATGCAATGTCACGGACTTAAATGGCAATCTGATATCACGTGCTCTCGCGCCAGCCCAACGCGAACCACCGCGCTTTGCCGCAAGAAACTAAGAAGCTCCATCTCCATAACCTTGACTTCTTCATCATTTAGACACTTTGAAAGTACCACTATATACTCCGAGATATAGCTGCGATATTACAATCAAACTCCGATCAGCGACACTCAGGTACCCCACTACCTATGCCCCGCACCTACGGTAAATCCAAAGGCAAGGCGAAGCAAACACGGCTTGCCTTTGTACCAGCAGAGTTCGATTCAGAAATTAAAGATGACAAAAGCAGTCGCAAAGCGAATGTTCGCTACACTCACCCATCAATGTCCACTGTGCGCCGAGGCCGATCAGCTGGCGAGCAAAGCTCAGCGCCCGCGCCGTTTGTGACAGTCGAGCCTTCGCCCGAGGAGTCGTCGCATTCGGATGTTGGGAAACGATCTAAAAGGCGCCCGCGGAGTGAGAAACGAGGTATGTGATCGGGCACTCACTTTTGAGGTCTCTGTCTGATTGTATGTGAATGACTAGGTTCATCACAAAAATCCACCTCGAACAATGTAACTCCATCTGCCCCTCCTTCTCCGCCAACGGCTACTCAGGATTCCGAAAGCGAATTGGACATTGTACACAGCGCGCGCAAAACCACGAGGACAAGGGCAATGAAGCGGAAGAGACCGGTGGATTCCTCGGAGTCGGAAGAACAGCAGAAGTCGGAGGAAAGTGATGTGGATGAGATCGTTTCTCGGCCTCGTCGGAAATTGAGACGTGGCGGAGCACCTCAAGCTATCGTGGTTGACGACGATTCTTCGGATGAAGAGATTCGGATTGTCGCTTCTAAATCGCCCAGTGTTCCTCACACCCCACGCCGAGACTCGGCTCAGGACAGGATTGACTTAGAGGAGGATCTCGAGGATTTACAGGACTCAGGTACATCTCTTTCCGGCTACCGCTTCAATTCTATCTAACACATTTGCATAGTCGTCAGAACCTCACGCACTCGCGGGAACATCGCCAATTCAGCTAGGGCTCAGAGACAACTACACCTTGAAGCGTTGCGACGCCGAAGAGCTGGGCAGAAAGAAGAGGACGAAGATCATCAGCTATCACCACAACCAGAAGGGTCAGAGTCGGAAGATAACGAGGAAGAGTTGGAAGATGAGGAAGCGCCAGTCCGCCAGCCGGCCTTCCGAAGCTGGGCTGATCAGAGCGAAGGCAGCGACGTCGAATCTACGATAGGAGCGAACGATGACCTCGACCGTTACGAGGACGACTTTGTGTTGGAGGACGAAGACGACAAGCTTGGAGCTCCTACCGGTCTGGAGGATATACCAATCGAGTTCTCTCGTCATTCCTACAAACAGCTGAAGGATTATTTCCAGGATGCCGTGGAATGGATGGTGCACAACCAACTCAACCCCGCTTTCCCTCGTTCAGATCCTGTCTACAGGGTAGCCTTCGACAAGCTCGAACAAGAAGTCCGAGGGCGTACGGGTTCGCAGCTTGTATCATCTGTCTGGAGCACCGATTTCCGCAGGGCACTGCTAGCACGGCCACAGCTCGAAGTTACAAAATTCCCGACGGAATTCCAGCACCCTTGTGACGCATGCAACCGTTCCGGACACCCAGCGTCCTTTGACATCAAGCTGTACGGGAAAGCATACTCGCTCGAGATGCTCGAGCCGTTAGCGGACGCAGATGCAGACAGCGATGAAGAGCAATCAGGAAGCGAAGAAGACAGCGATGGCAAAGAAAGAGACCGGGACGGCTACGTCTTACCAGACGAAGACAAACGATTTTACCTCGGACGGTTTGTTGCCTTTTCCCTTTTAAAAACCCCATAGCATTTACTAACACATCCTCACATTACAGACACTGTATGAAAAACGCAGATATGGCACATACTCTAACTCACTGGCGCTTCCACCTCAACGAATGGGTCGTCGAACACCTCCGGACAACGGGCTACATGTCGGAAAGGAAGATCATCAAACGTTGTCACATGAGCCAGAAGAAGAAGAACAAGCATGCTGCCAAGGCCTTCGTCAAGATGATTGAATCGGGAGAGGTCAAGAAGTTGTGGCGCGATTTCCATATCAATTTGAGGACTGCGAGGGAGTCAACGGTATGCCTCTTTACCTGACACCAACGGAGGCCGCGAGAATTACTGACGAAGTTGCAGACACTCTGATTGTACACCTGCGCTTTGTCTCCGTTTCCTCGAGTGTCTTCTTCTCCTGGTGCTTCTCTACGAGATACCTTGCTCTTATTCACCTTGGAGGCCCTCTCTACTTCTTCTCGGGGCTTGACTATCTTTTATCATTCGAGAGGCGTTTCATCTGGTTTAGCACATTGTGGGGGGTGGGCGGCGCATGATTTTCGGTGCAATTAGTTTGATACCCGCGCAACATTTCATGATCTGGTCTTACTCTATTCCACTTTCTTTATGAGCATTCCATATAAATGAACATTCCTACAGTCAGCGCACGCTTTGCGCGAGTATATATGGCGTCTTTAAAGTCATCCACGTTCCATTATCTAGAAACATAAGTCAATAAGACAATCAAGAATGGACATGAAACCACATAAGAAGAAATTACATGAAGAATAACTGAAAAAGAAAAAAAAGCGAAACCGGTTGTACAGATACACAATACCTTGGAGCGAGAAAAGAGCTTCAAAGGAGAGAGAATAGGTGAGAGGGAGAGAGTTATAAGAATCCAAGCAGTCCTGCAGCAATATGCAAAAGAGGAGAAACCGTGTCCGTAAGCCCGATCCAATGCTTGAATTTGTTGCGCCAACCCCAGCCAGTGGTACATAGAAAGACGAATTCAAGGCCAACATTGCTTCCGCCGTTATGTCCCTTATCGAAAACAACCGTAAACCTGTATATAGCGGAACATTGATGGTTTTATTTTTGAAAGAGGCGTTTTCAGCTTTCGGCTTCGTGAGCGCTGATCTCGCCACGATATGCGTGACCGCTCCGCCCCAAGAAGCATATGGAAAGCCGACATAACAACGCAAGTAAGTAGAGGCAGACATTAAATATCGACCGCGTTATTTGCGATCGGTGGACGAGGACAAGGCGCTTCTATCTTTCGGCATGTGCCGCGTTCTCGAATGGAGGTAGAGGTGTTATCTATAGAGTAGGCTGAGCCTGCTGCTCATCCGTGGAGGGAGCTCCGGGGGCGAGCATCTGATAGAAAATAAAGTCAGTCATCAACAACACACTGCATTGAGCTCGCATTTAAATAAGACGCGAACGATGACGCCAGTTCTCCAATGTCTTGGCAAAACCAACGCGACAGAAAAGTTTTCAAGATCGGGGTCGACGGACGCATCGAGCTCAAATGACGAAGACCATCCAAGCGACGAGCAATCAAAAGCACCGACAAGATAGTAGCAAATAAATCAACTGTGGCTTACCTCATTAGCTCCCTTGATCATACCCTGCTCACGCTCCATCTGAATGTACTGCTCCTCTTCGGCGTACGCAAGAGCCCACGGGACACCGAGAAGGAAGGCACTGGTGCTGAGAATCCAGAGCGCCTTGCCGCTGAAGGCAATGCTAGACTTTGCGAACGAGGTGACGGTGGAAACAGTGTTGGTGACTTGCAGACGGGCGGAGGGAGGAACAATATCTTTCAAGGCGGACAGGCGCTCGTAGAGCGTCTCGCCTTCAAGGTCATAGTCGGACTCAACGGAGATCTCGGATTCTGAACAATAGATATACCAGTTAGGATACTTGATAGCGAAGGCAGGTGGTCGTTGGAGACTGACCAGTGTCGGTGTAGTCGTCGTCTTCGTCATCAGAAGCCAGGAGAACGTTGTGCTTGCTGGCCTGGGGCTTCTCCTGGGCGAAGTGCTCGTCCTCAACCTCTGTAAGCTTGACCATTGTGGCGGATGTGTTTGGAAGAGCTCTAAGAAGTTGTGGTTGAAAAGTGAGGTGATGACGACGCGAAAAGAGTTGAAGATGGACGGAGGCTTGATGGAGTTCGGTTCCAACTTTTTTCCCGACCACCAAAAGCGGTAAAGCACTACCATTGCGGTCCGAGGTCTTCCTCCAACCACCCTCTACTCCGTAAAGCTCATTAGTAGCTCCGATACTGTATGGTGTGATCATCTCATCCAATTGGATATTGTACATGAATATTGATATTTATCTAAATACATCGAGTGAATAATGCAGAGTCCCGTGGTAGACAGAATATTGTACAAGGAATCTACTCTAAATTACCTCCTTCCGAGCTGCCACCTTGATATCCGGTCCTGGATCTCGTCCCAAGGAAATGGGCGCAGTTGATAGCCCTCAAGCTCACCCTCCTGCAGTACAACGGTAGGCTTTCCGGTGCCCTGTCCCTTGTTCTGGACCTGGCCGCCAAAGACCTTCCGCGCCACGCGTCGCAGGTCTTCAACAGTGAGAGATTCAATATGCTTGCACATCTCCTTCACTCCGATCTTACGTCCGTGAACCTGGACCTGACGGCCGAGATCCTCAAGCTCGACCATGCGAGATTCGAGATTCATGAGGAGTGATGAACGAAGCTGGTTCTTTGCACGGTTGACCTCCTGTGGCTGGAGAGCTGTGTACCCGGTGTCAAGGGTCAGAGCTTGAAGTTCCCGGCACATGACTTCAAGCATCTGGTTTGTTCGAGTGGGACTGCATGAGGCAGAGATACCGAAAATGCCGCTGTCTGTGTAGCCGTGGTTGAAAGCAATGCAGCTCTCGACCCAACCGTGCTGGTTGAGAACGTTGGTGTATAGGCGCGAGTACATGCCCTTTCCTGGACCTCCAGCGGAGAATGACCCACCTCCTCCAAGGAGGGTCTGCAAGGTCGCGAGAGCGTAGATGTCGGGGTCTGAGATTGGGAGAGCCTCAAAGGCGAGGTGAATATAACTCAACCGGGGTAGCATAGGGTTGGCTGGCGGAGGAATGGGAGGGAGTGTGAGGAATCCGCCAGTATAGTGAGAAGGCCGGGTCAACTCGAGACCACCGGCGGCTGAGAAGTCATCTTTCGATCCGAAACCTTTGAGAAACGGTAGCTTTGAGAGGAGGCCTGAGTTGGATGTAGGTGCGGGTGGGACGGATGAGGCTGTCGACGTCGGAGTAAACTGAGGAACTGTCGGCAGCTGTCCTTCTTTACCAGGTGAGAGAGTGGTATCAACACCAGAGCCAGAAATGGTAGGGCCATCACTCAAGTTGGGGGCCCGCATATCCCCAAATAGCTTCTCTGTAAGTTTCACAGCCTCGTGATGCGGTACACCCGCAAACGCAACAACCATCCGGTCCGGGCGGATAAAGGTTTCCCTATATTTCTCCACGACTGACTTGTTAATCTCCATCAGCCGTTCGCGTGGGCAGAGAAGCGGGTTGCCCAGTGTGTTGTCCTTGTAAGCTGCCGAATGAACCAACTCCGGCAGGATGAGCTCGGGCTTCGCCCAAATCTCGTTAATCTCATATTCGGCGGTAGCCAGCTGCTGAAGGACCTCTTCTTCGGTAATAAGAGGATCACGGATGGTTTCCGCCAGCAGGCCGAGGGTTGTCGGAACGGCCGAGTTGAAGCTGGCAGACTGATACATCAGAGACTCCCGGGAAGAGGCACATTGAATATTTCCCCCGAGACCCTCGAGTGTCTCGATCATTTCATCTGCGGTATGGTGCTTGGTAGATTTGAAAGCCAAACGATCCATGATATGGCTCACACCTCGCAGGCTTGCATCCTCATAGCGAGACCCAGCATCAATGTAAACTCCGACGCCGGCGAAGGGGCCGGGGAGGGATTCGGTGGCGACGCGTATGCCATTTGGAAGCGTAGATATTTGATCTAGTTCGGCCGGATCCTGTAACGAGCAGAAAGCAGATCAGAAACAAGTCAATGGACACATCGGTCATGGGTTGCCCGTTACCTTTGAATCCGACTCGATGACGGTGCTGAAGCCTCTGGAGACCGAACGCGGCACTCGGGTAAGCGGTTTGGCGGACTCAACCGCTCGTAAGACTGAGCGACGCATCTTGCGATATATATGTGCGCTCCGTAATGCTCGGGAGAACGTCGAACCAAGGCGCGTCCTTTCAAGGTTTGCGTCGAGAAAAAGCTGCTTTGCGAGGAGGATTTCGGTGGCCGCAGGACGGAGAACAAGCAAAAAGCGGCTTATCTAATCGTCTTCCCCTTCATCTCTTCAACGTCATCGCAGAAACGGCTATCGTACCAGACTCATATCTAACATGAGCAAATGCATTTTATAGTCTCTATTTATATGAATATCTAAGGATGTTCAGCCGCCCATGCGCGATACCAGTCGAGACACGAAGCGTTCGCAACACTGGCTCCAATCTTAATGTTCAGACCGCACAGAATCTGCTTCACGGAATTCTCGACTTTCTTGCCATTTGACGTCACTGGGATTTCTGGACAGACATCGACGATGCCCGGGACATGTCGAGGACTTAATTCCTTGCGGATCATCGCTTGTATGCGTCCTGCAAGATCAGCTGGCATGCTTCCCAGAGGCTCGCTTCGAGATGCCAGCTTCACGAACAGTACCACGGTTTCATCCGTATCCAGCCCTTCTCTCCTTCGCCCAACGCACAAGGAGTCTTCTACTTCATCTGCAAAGTGCTTCAGAAGGATGTTGTAGATTTCCGCACTGCCAAAGCGAACGCCAGCCGGCTTCAGAACACCGTCGCTTCGGCCTAGCATGACAACTCCGCCGGTTTGTGGGTTTACACGCACAAAGTCACCGTGGTGCCAAATTGACGGTCCGAAAACGTCGAAATAACTCTTGCGGTATTTCTCTGCACCGACAGGGCCCGGTGGCCAGAACATGACAGGTTGTGCAGGGAATGGCCGTGTACAGACAAGATCACCAGGTTCGCCGGTGGCACTAATATCGTTGCCAGCATAGTCGTAGACTGAAACTGCCATTCCTAGACTCCGACATTGAATCTCGCCCTTGTAGACGGGCAGAATTGGGCAGCAGCAGCAGAAGAGTGAGATGATATCGGTGCCACCAGTAATCGAGCCCAACATGATATCTGAGTGAATCGAGGAGTAAACGTACTCAAAAGTCGAAGGGGCCAAGGGCGACCCGGTACTGAAAATCGCCTTCAGGGTCTGTAGAGTGACTGGACGATGAGGATGCTTTCTTGGGTTGAGAGCGGCTTGCTCTAACATAGAGAGATATTTGGCAGAAGTTCCGAAGTGGGTGATCTTCAGTTCGTCAATCAGACGTGGCATGGCCATCTCCCCATTCCCTCCTTCCAGGTCTAATGGCCGGAAAGGTGAACCGTCGTAAAGGACAATAGTGGCACCGCTGGCCAGACCAGATACCAGCCAATGCCACATCATCCAGGTGATCGTAGTGAAGTAGAACAAGCGGTCCCCAGCGCGAATATCGCAATGAAGCACATGCTCTTTTTTATGTTGCAGCAACGTCCCCAATGAGCCATGCACAATAGGTTTTGGTGCCCCGGTTGTGCCTGAGGAGTAGAGAATATAGACCGGATGCTCAGGCGGCAAGCTTGCAAACTCAAGGAGGGCCGAAGGGTTGCTGGCCGTAGATAGAAAGTCCTGATATGTATATGCTTCCCCCTTTATGGGTGAGAGCCCTTCCAGGCTGACACCATGTGATCTAATAGTATCGAAAATGACGAGCCTCTCCAAATTCGGCAGCTCAGCAACAATCTGCCTGGTTTTGGCACTCGCACCATGTACTTTGCCATTGTAGAGGGAGGCATTATCAGCAAATAAAACCTTGGGCTCAATCTGCTTCAAACGTTCAAGGACAGCATGGACTCCTGTGTCCGGTGAAACGCCTGTCCAGAACGCTCCGATGGATGTCGTCGCCAGCATTGCAACGACTGCATTAGCATGGTTCCCCAAAAAACCTGCAACTCTGTCACCTTCTTCTATGCCAGCTGTCTTCAATGCATTGGCACATTGCCGAACACGTTCCCGAAGATTCTTCCAGGAGATGGATTCGCGATCTACCTCGGTGACTTCAATGATCGCGATAGCATCTTCGTCAGGAGAGCTGGCCGGATAGAGGAGATTCTCGGCAAAGTTCAATCTTGCACCTTTGAAAAATTGAGGCCGGGGGAATAGAAGCGTCTCGGAGCCCATAGCCTGTCTCAAATCAGGACCTCGTTCAGGTAACAATAATGATTCTGCTCACCTGATCATAGGACGTATGTGCCTTTATATCTGTATAGTGCCATGTATCCTCCCAGAATTTAGCAGGCTCCGAAATACTCCATTTCCAGAGATCATCGTAGTCGTCTAGAGTCACTCCGTGCTTTTCGGAAGTTTCCCTCATGAACTGGTGTATCTGTGTGGATTCAGGCGCAGTGTGCCGCCATAGCGCCTGGGGACTCTCGGAAGATCCGTTGGCAGACATTGCTCTTGTGGCCAATCTGTCTAGGCTGATTCTTAGGATTGTTTTCAATTCAAGGGGAAAGAATAAAGACAGATCGGGGGTGGATAAAGAAGGTCCATTATATGGTGCATGCTCATACTTACCGAGTGCTCGCGATACTGACCTTTCCTTTTACGTCTAGTGGCCAAATTGCACCTGCACCTCTAAAAGCCGGTCCGACTCGACTCGGACGATGCTAGCGATCGTCTCGGATTCAGCATATTATTTGTACTTCTTTACGAGCTGTCCGTGATTTCTTCTATTTGTTTGTCTACCTTTGTCCAAAAGTTTCCCCTGCTGTCTTGAAAATTCTTTCGAGAATACCCCATACCGAGGCTATACCCCGAGCGGGCCACGGCGGCCCGCCTCCGGGGATAGTTACTCGAGATTCCCCGGAGCACACCGCACACTGTTATCAAGAACGATGTGGGCAACGCTGCCCCTATACCTCTTTTGCCAGAATTCGGCCGACTATACACCAAGCGCCAAGTGCCCCAGCAGTTTCAAGCTCGATATTTCTCCTTGAACAGCTTCTCTCTTTCCGCTATCTTCTGAATATTTTCATGCCCGCCAGCTGACGCTGCCTCGTAGGACAAGCGATACAAATGTAGAGCCTCTGAAAATAATGGCCGCACGTCACTCCAGCCGGTGACTTTGCGCAACTTTTCCGACGAAGTCCACTGAGGAAAGTCAATGAGAGCAGGTGGCCAGGGATTCTCCGATTGCGGTAAAGCATTAGGCTCGACGTATTTCAATCCACTTGAGATATCGTATTCGGCTAGGAGAGCTTTTGCAATTTCATCCACCGTCTCGTACCTCCGAGCGGAAATATTGAAGACTTGTCCTTCTACCTCTCCAGGCCGCGGATGGCTTGCGAGTGCGGCGTAGGCATCACCGCAGTCATCCACATGAAGAGCATGGCAGATGGAACTGGGAGGCACTGGGAGGACTAAGGGCTGATTGAGCTTGCTGTAACGGGCTGCAACCTCGAAGAAACCCCGGTAATAACTGGCAGACCGGCCGAAAACATTGGTTGGACGCACCACCACGGGCGCAAAGGCATCCTTGTGCTGGAAGATTTCTAACGATGATCGAGTACGAATGGAGAGGAGTTCGGGGGGATTGAGAGGGCTTTCTTCGGTATGTGGCTGTAAGTCACTGGCGCCATCGTAATGCGGGCCGATGCCGTAGTCTTTGCAGCCCGAGGATATGATGACCAGGGGACGTATGCCATTCGCCTTGCTTGCGAGGGAGATGGTCCGGAGAAGGCTCACGGTGTTGTTGAAATGGTTGGTATAGTTGTCGAAGCTCTCCGTTGTAGAAACGATAGCATTGACTGTTGCAGGCAATTGCTGGACAATGGACTGATGCGATTCAACGTCGTCAATTTTGCCTATCACCGGTAGGACTTCTTCAAGCTCTAGAGATCGACTGGCATTCTCCGAGCGAACAAGTCCATATGTGATCCAGCCAGCGCGAGAGAATGCGCGTGCTACAGCATTTCCGATGTAGCCATTGGCGCCGGTAACAAGCACAGTTCGAGGTGGCATCATGGGATAGCTGGTATGATTGCTGAATCGATGCTGCTGTTGTGAGTCAAAGTATATATAATTCACATATTTCCCAGCCTCGGGGCCTCGTTGATTACAAATCGGGATTGGAGTGATGACAAACTGCCATTAGTATTAGATCGCTTGTTTTCGTGTTCGCAAACAAATTGCTTCTTGATTCATCCGCGACGAGACCATCGCGCTTAAATGGGATCTTGTTATTGGAGGCCATCTGGTGAATAGCCTATTGCACGCCAGGTCGAGCTTAGCGTGGTTCAATCGAGTGGTATACTCGGAGACTTTCCTATCGGAAGAGAAAGGTGATCATAGCTAGGTGAGTATCGAGAGAGATGATGCGATCTATAAGGTCATAGGTTCGCTAGCGCTGCCTTTGGACTCTCAATTGAAGCATACTCGTCAGAGTAAGGATCCCCCATCAAGGCTCTGAGCTTCCAGGTCGAAGAAGAGAGCATTCCAGTCAATCGTTTCTGTCCTACTGTCAAAGGTTTGCGTAATCCCGGCCCAATATGAAGACTGTGGATTGAGGAGACTTTCTTCAGCGACCAAACCAGGAAACCCATAACTGGGACTACCTGGAGCGCCCGCTGCCTCCGTAGTAATGGAGCCTAGATCAGGAGTCGAGATGACATTTGCCCCTTCATCCGTGCTGGCATTATTCATCCCATTGATCGAGACTTTATGTTTTTGAATGACTTGCATAAACGAGTTCAGAAGTCTCGCAGCAATAGACGAGTCATTCTTTGCATTTTGCAAGATAGCGCAGGCTTCAGCGGCTTCTCTCTTGCGTTCTTCTTCATGCCCTTCATTCTTGTAAAGGCATACATCCAGGACGAAGACAATGATAGCGATGCTTAGACAGTGCATTGAGCCGGCAAACCGAAACCGGGTACGCACGAATAATATTGATTCTTTTTCAAGTATCCGCTCGGCGCGGATGACAGCTCTCGCAGCTTCCAAGCAGACTTTTCGTGAGAAGGCGTAGCTTGGATTGACAGATCCCATGGCAAAATATGGTAGATGCAGCCTGCATCGATGGGCATAGGTAAGTGTGTTGAGGATATATCTCTGGGTTAGAATTCCCGGGGCGACTTTGGGATTTATCTTTTCTATATCTTGCAACGAGCCACCCTCAAGTTGAAAGAAGGTCGGGAAGCCTTTGATATAATCGTGGGTCTTTTTGTCGTATTCTAGCACTATATCGTAATTGAGCTTTTCAGAGCCAAAGATTGAGGTTCGGTCAGTGAATTCTCGGCAGAGTTCACCGAGTCGAATCCGTTGAAGTGTGTAGGAAACATATGTTGGATATTCCATAGGCCGTTCGACGATAGGCGTGCCGTGACAGAGGTCGGCATCATCAATATTACTTGGCTTCCTTACCAGCATATGGCGGGGGTTGACTGTGTAGGTGCCCTTTAGAGGACCTTCCCAGTGAGAAAGAACCCTAAGTGTATTAGATCCTGCCGCATCGAAGTAGGTGGTGATCTTACCAGTCGGTGGCAGTCAGATACCACCAGATTCTTCTGACTATCTCGGCCTCAACTGTGCCACTAGTAGTACGCCTATCCATATTGGTAGAATCATCTTGGTAATCAATTCTATGGAGGGTTAGCTCTCGTGCACTGGCGATGGCGGTCATGAGCAAGCTCCTGTATCTCGGCGAAACACCTTCAAGGTTGCAGATGAGACTGGACACGATAATCCTGGCCTGGATTCCCTCTAAGGCGTCACCAGACGTTTGAGAAGCATAGTCTAGCAGGTCAAGCGTGGATTTCAGCCACATAAAAGCGCCTTTATTAGCACCGTCCACTGGTAAGGATAGCCATTTTTCTGAGTCTTGACGGGTCCACGAGTGGAGGGTGTTTGCGATGATGCTCGAAAGTAGTGCGACATGCGAAGGGTTTGGACGCTTCTGCACATGGATGTCCCGATATAACTGGTCCACGGTCGCTCTCATAGTCGGAATGTGGATGATATGAACGAGGTATGTGAGGTCCTCAACATATTTCTCAACAAGACACCTCGATTCCTGGTATAGGGGAACCCAGAAGCACTTCGTGATATCCTCACTTGGTACAGTCAGAGAGCTTTGTACCATTATAGATACACCTTCGTTTATCTGACCAATAGGACGCTCCTTGAATATAGCCCTATCGGGTTCAATGACACACTATACGTGTCTGGATCAGCAATCATCATCGACAACTTGAGTCCCTGTGCAACATACAGACATTTGCTGAATGGAACACTCCAGCTGTAGCCATCGAGCATCATCTGCGGCATTTTGTTCACCCCAAATGCTTCGTGACTGTGCCAGTAAGTCATTAGGAATCGGATTGGAGTCTGGTGTGGATATTTGTTTGTTCTTCTGGAGAACTATATCCTCCAAGGCATGTAGCCGCGCAAGGATATTCGCGGTAGTAGCATCAGTACTACTATTAGATTTATCCTCAGAAAGGTTTTCGGGTGGTTGAGAGACGTACAACTCGCACGAAATCCCTCGGCTTGTGCAGTTTGGACAGGGGAAACGGCGGCTGCATCGGAGCTTTCTTGATCGGCAGAAATGACAGGAGACAGGTCGCTTCCGCGATGATCTTTTCGAGATAGCAAATTCGTTTGTCGGCATGTTGTTCATCGATGCAGTCGACAGAGCAGCAAGCCACTTGCTTGTATGAAGGTTGCAAGATGAGAATAGCCCAGGTACAACGACTTGGGGGTTGTTGTTCCAGCAGCCAATGGCGCTGCGAGAATGCCGCGGAATCTCCGTGGGGCCAACGGAGACAGGCGATCTATAAGAAAACGCGATGGATGTGTAACAAAGACGAGGCCATTATTAAGTCTGTATAGATCCGAACATTATTGCTCTCATTCATAATCCCCAGGAATCTCAATGGACGATATTATCATGCAAATTCGCGCTCTAACTAGCGGCACTGATGCTTCCAGTAAAGCTAAGATCCAGAATGCACTTCGAGAGGTCCTGTCCGAACTAGAGAGCCCACGAGATTTCTTGGTGCAGCTGTTCAATGCAGTAAGTCACGAGCCTGCTTCAGAGTGTGTTCAAGCAGCTTTCCCATATGAACATACGCTAACTAAGTGCTCTAGCACCTGAACATTGCAACCGTCCGGCTCGCAATCAATCTGGGTCTCTTCAGGTCATTGTCACGACCAAGCCAGGACCCATTGCAGGTGGAGGAGATGGCTAAACGAATGAGTGCTAGTCCTCAAATGCTTGGTGAGAGCCTTCACGATACTGATTGCAACCACTTGTGGAGTCTAATCATTTGGATGAACCTATCTAGAACGAATCGCCCGATATCTTGCCTCGACCGGTATGATAGAGGAAGATGGGGCCGGCAGATTCAGAGCCAACAAGATCACCCATATTCTCTCCGATCAAAATGCGGAAGCCTTTGTTCACCATGCGTATGTCCTAGGTCGAAGTCGCGTGACGCATCGTTGCAGACTAACTGGAAGATGTCTCTCACAGGTTCGATATCTGCGGTCCTGCCATTCAAGTATTTCCCAATTTCCTCAAAGATACGGAATATGCTGAGATCACCAGCAACACCAGTACGCCTTTCCAAAGAGCTTTCGACACGGATCTGGCTTGCTTTGCATGGATTTCTCAGCATCCAGAGCACCTAGACGCAATACAACAAGTGATGACGGCATTTCAGTCTAGCGAGTGGTTTGCAGACTTCAGGCTTTTTGAGAAAGAAGCTCTTGATACTGCACAGGGCTCGAAGAGATTATTTTTCGTGGATGTGGGTGGTGGTCACGGACATCAGTGTATTGAAGTGAGAAACAGATTTCCCAACCTTGAGGGTCAACTTGTGCTTCAAGACCTACCAGAGGTTGTTGCTGGACTCGCCGATATCTCTGGAGTCAAGATAGAAGCTTGCGATTTCTTCCAGGGACAGACTGTCAAGGGTAAGTGCTGGTCACCAAATATGACAATTGATCTGGTTAACGTGACATTCCGATTAGGCGCGAAATTCTACTATCTCCGTCGAATTCTGCACGACTGGCCAGATGCCCTCTGCGTCAAAATCCTCCAGAATCTGCGATCCGCGCTGGCGAGTGATTCTAAGATTCTGATCGATGAGATTGTCCTGCCACAAGGCAAGATACCCTGGCAGTCTGCAATGGCAGACCTCATGATGATGATCACGCTGGGCGGTAAAGAGCGATCCAAGAGGCAATGGATATGGATCGCTCAACGATCGGGTTTGCAAGTCGAGTACATTCATAAGTATGATGGTGCAGCAACCTTCAACTCGGTGATTGTCCTTGGGTTGGACCAGATCTGAACAGGCCATCAAGGAGACTGGATATGGCTAGGATTACCAGCTGCAGCTGGAAATTATCCCGACGATCAGCTCCTCGTTTGGAATCCTCTGTGCGTAAGGTTATTGTTATTGCAAGCTTTCGATGAAGCCCGAGCAAGCTTTGCCCTTGAGTGGTGGAGAAAGCCTTCTTCTCATTTTTGAAGCAGGAGCAAAGGTTTGGAGAGACAAATTGAATGGCGAATAGCATTTGTTGTTTGCAATGCAGTGGATTAGGTCTATTTGATGACAATCCTTTAATTTCTTTCACGAGTCGCCTTGCACCCGTTTTATGAGCACAACTGGAATCGCCGCCCCTTTTTGAGTGCCGATTCCAGGGGGCTCGTACTCTGTACAAGCTGAGTGGCTGATGTGACGGTAACGAAACTCACGTTTGGGTCCCACTCGGGGCGAGATTCTGGCGAAAGATCCTTCAGAATACAGTACGGTACCACGGGTCCGAGCTCTCGTAGAAAGAGAAAAAATCAGGAGATTTTCATCATCCACTTTCAAGCAATGGCGACTTTGGCTCGCCCTCTGGTCCCTCAGCAGTCGGACTTTCACTTCGTCCGCTGATCTCCCATTTCCATCTTGTCAACATCTCTCGAGTCTCCCAACATCTAGTGTCGCGATCTCTCCTCATTTCCTGGCGACTTTGTCCTTCAGCGAGGTCAATTCGGAGCCTGCGAGCTTCCAGCCTCCGCACGTGCCAAGGTACGCTACTGAATAATTATGAATGATGGTGAGCCCGGCTGGCCCGGAGGTCGGTTGGTCTGGCTGTGTCCCCGTTCCCTCTTCCACGACTTCCTCCACTCTGTCTGCTCTTGACTTTCGGCTGCTAATATGGTTTTCTCTATATACAGTGAATCTTCTCTGATCTGTTGCCATTTCTATTGTGTGATAGACGAGACCGGCATCTTAAGCAGCTCATGCTTAGTGTGACCTCGACCACGATCAATTGTGCTTACTCTTCAGGAAAGCGCGATAGACGGTTTGCACTGTACGCCATTTGCGTTACTGTGACCTCGCTTGCCTTGACCCAGCCGTTTCACTGCGATGCCGCGTCGATCTGCTAGCACATCTCTCGCCAACGACCCCTCCAAGACCTCGTCCTCAATCGGAAAGAGCGGCATCGCCGTCAAGGCACCCTCGAAGCCCAACCGCCTGAGCCAGCTATTCTCGACCTCCCCTAAATTCAAGGCAGAGCCTCCGACTGCGCGAGCTGCTCTGCAGAACGCCAGCGGCACCACCACTGCCGCTCCGCCGATTAGCTCTGCCTCACTGTCCTTACCGACCATCTCGCTCTCGACAGCAACCGCGGACAACCCAAACATGAACGAGCCGCCAACCACACTCTTTCAACCTCCTTCACCTGAAGAGGCTCGTCGCCTGGCAAAACAACATGCCCAATTTGGCCCCCTCGGTCATCCCAGCCACCGGTATTCCAGTCGGCATCCCGGTGGCCCCTTTCCGGAGCCGGTAATGGATGAGCCTCCTTATTACTATCTCATTACAACCTATATCAGTTATCTAATCCTAATTGCTTTCGGCCATGTTCGCGATTTCTTCGGGAAACGCTTTCGCGAGGAGAATTACCGCCACTTGAAGCCCCGAAATGGTTACGCTGCGCTAAACAGCGACTTCGATAATTTCTACGTTCGCCGCCTTAAACAACGCATCAACGACTGTTTTGAACGTCCTATCACCGGTGTTCCTGGAAGATATATTACTCTGATCGATCGAGCCACGGATGATCACAACAAAAGCTTTTATTTGACCGGAACCACGACCGATACCCTCAACTTGAGCTCGTACAATTACCTCGGATTCGCCCAGTCAGAAGGCCCTTGTGCCGATATCACCGAAGAAACTATTCGCAAGTATGGTATCACCCCAGTTAGCACTCGCGCGGAGGTCGGAACTCAAGATCTGCACGTGGAGCTCGAGGATCTAGTCGCCAACTTTACTGGAAAAGAAGCATCCATGGTCTTTTCGATGGGTTTCGGCACCAACGCCAACATCTTCCCGGCTCTGGTCAGCAAAGGTTGCTTGATTATCTCTGATGAGCTGAACCACGCATCTATCCGTTTCGGTTCGCGTCTCTCCGGTGCTTCTATTACTATGTTTCGACACAATGACATGCGGGACCTTGAGGCCAAGCTTCGAGAGGCTATCAGCCAAGGTCAGCCCCGCACCCACCGACCATGGAAAAAGATTCTTGTTGTTGTGGAGGGCCTCTACTCTATGGAAGGTTCCATGTGCAACCTGCCTAGTCTCATTGCCCTGAAGAAACGCTACAAGTTCTACCTCTTTGTTGACGAAGCACATTCGATTGGTGCCATCGGCCCCCATGGACGAGGTGTTTGCGATTACTTTGGCATCGACACAAAAGAAGTGGATATTCTCATGGGTACCTTGACCAAGTCATTCGGTGCTAACGGCGGTTACATTGCCGCGGACAAGGCGATGATTGACAAATTGAAGGCTATCAATTCCGGCATGTTCTACGGAGAATCAACGGCTCCAGCGGTTATCGCGCAGATCGTCTCGGCATTACGACTTATCAACGGTGAACTTATCCCCGGCCAGGGCGAGGAGCGACTACAGCGATTGGCCTTCAACTCCAGATACCTCCGTTTGGGGTTGAAGCGTCTTGGCTTTATAGTGTACGGTCACGACGATTCGCCCATCATTCCTGTCCTTCTCTTCAACCCTGCCAAGATGCCTGCCTTCTCCCATGAGATGTTGAAGCGCAAGATTTCCGTTGTCATTGTCGGTTATCCTGCGACACCTCTAGTCTCATCTCGAGCTCGATTCTGTGTCTCCGCTGCCCACACAAAGGAGGATCTTGACCGTGTCTTGGCGGCCTGTGATGAGATCGGAAACTCGCTTCAACTCAAGTTCTCCACCGGCGTTGCAGGAGGTGCTATACCTGTCAGCGATGACATGGCACCGCCGCCAGAGAAGGAAGTTCAGTGGCAGCAGAAACGGAATCCAAGAATTGTTCCTCCCAGGTGGCGCATTGAAGACGTTATCAGACGCGGTGTTCAGGATGTCAAGACAAGCCTGTATTAGGCCAACCTTGAGCCGCCACGGATGGCTTGACTTTAATGACCTCTCTCGCTTATGCCGATTAATGCGATTAATGCCTCATGTTTACACTTGGTGCTATCATACATGATTACGGGGATGATCCTTTCACAGGCGCTTCGACGCACTCGGTTGATGCTGGCCATGCCACCTTGCTGGGTCGGTGCTCTTTCCCGGATTTTGGTGTATGATGAATGAACACGAACATCATGGCAACAATCTCGCTTCCTTTGGTTACCTATCTTTAACCAACCCCAGGACGGGAATTCTCACAAGGCCTCGAAATCAGCCTGCATATGTGGAGTCTCAAACACTCCCTACGCTCCCTTCGCATCTTTGGCCTCGTGCAAAAGAAGCTCACCATCCCGTCCTTCTTCCCAGTGGAAAACCTTATATTTTTTCCCCTTTGCTTACCCTTGCTTTGTCCCCTTCTTTCGCTGTTACTTATAGACACTCTATCGCTAGCTCATGTCCTCCTACCAAGTGCTGGGGGCTTGGGACGTGAGCAAGCTGCTTGTTTACATATGGGGCCCTACACTATGCTTGTACCTAATGAGATGATGCGAGGGGTTGGGAGTACATGATCGGCGTGAACGAAACTGCTTGCTACCTGGAGTTGTTCTACCTTACCATTACCTACTACTATTGTTATAATTCAATGACCGATTACCTTCTCATCATCTTCATCTCTTCCTGCCACAATCATACCCACAGCCTCCAGAAGCTCACCAATCCCCATGCCACTCCTTGCACTCGTTTCCAGAAACTTATACCCCATTTTGGCCGCCACGTCTTCACTAACCACTCTCTCAACGTCCCTCTTCTCCTCCAAGTCAACCTTATTCCCAACAAGCACATACCGCGTCAGCGTCGGATCCACATGCGCCTGCCCTGCATGGCTCTCAATCTTGCGCAGCACATCATCAAACGACGCCCGACTCGTCACATCATACACTGCAACGACGACCCGCGCATCACGGGAGAAGGCCGGGACGGCATACCAGTATCGCTCCTTGCCGCAGCAGTCCCAGATCAGGCTTGATCTTTCGGTGTGTGGGAAGGTCTAGAGAAAATGCTTAATTTGAGTATACTGTGTGGAAGACTGGACTGGAGCGGGCCATTTATAGATAGGTATTGAGAACGTATCGATGGGGCAACTTACAACCCGCACAAGATCTACGCCCTCGGTGGGTGGGATATGTTCGTCGAAAGAGTCGTGGGTGAAGCGGGTGAGGAGTGATGTTTTGCCGACTATGGATGATGAGTCTTCTTAGTATTTGTATCCTAGTAGTGGTCACTGATCACTACCAGTAGATAGTGGTCGTGGGCGAAACGTAGTCACATACCCTTGACTGGACCTATGAATATGACCCTGTGAGGATATTCAGCTTCTAGTAGGTATTATTTTGTAGAATATTGGTCGAAGTACTTTTGAGCACGATGTTTGGTAGTTGCGTCGGCGGTTGGGGTTGGTAAGGAAAGCAGAGAGCCCATCCTTGCTTTGTTTGTTTGAGATGGAGGGAGTCGAGTTCAAAAATATAGGGACACGTGTTTAGATCGTCGTATATGTCTTCCTAGTATAAGGACCAATTCTGTTGCCTGGATATACGAACAATCTCCCCAGTCCCTTCTGATCATACACCTACTTATCGACTTCAAGGCTCCAGGAAGTCGAGGTTCATAACTACGAGCTTTGATGGTTGAGCTGTTGATAGATCTAACCAAGAAAGCGGTATAATAAAGAGGTCTTATCAGTGTCCCTGTTCAATGTATCGTGATATCAAGCCATGTGCTAACCAAAATGCGAAGGACAGATGCTGTGGAACTTGCATATTGTAAACAAGAAGAGCCCGGAAAGCCCGAAAATAACGCCAGTTTATGTTAATGTGTAATCCTCTCATGTATGGGCTCAATGATCTATGCATGACGGCCTTTCCGTTTCCCAAGCATTGAATGTAATGCGGAACTCAAACCCCCGAAAGAAAACGCCGGAGAAAGATGTGAAGACAGGAAAGTACATCTAATGGCTAAAGATGAAGCAAGATAAAAATAGAGAGAAAGATGAATATCGTGACATCGTAGAAATATCCTGACAAGGATACGCGAAAAGCAAAGGGGCGACCAGCTGTCCGAAACACTGATGCGCATCAGACCGTGCCATACCTGCTTCGCCTCTCAGTAAAAAGAGACTGCTCCTCAGAACCAGACTCAGATCTTGGTTTCCGCACAGGCGAGGGGATCCAGCCTCTCATCCAGCCGCGGACCCGTGTCCAACGACCGCGCTTGGTATCCTCAATCTCAATCACAGATTCGTCATCAGCCGAGCCATACATGAGGAATTGCACACCCATGAAGCCGTCGAGGAAAAGGACGCCAAAGGCTCCGAGGAAGAAAGGAGTAGCGCGTGCCACCCACTCAAAGCGGTTATTTCCATCTGCATCTGCCCACCCGCCGCCACCATATGGTGCAAAATCATACCAGGCGTTTGGGTTCGTGAGAAGAGAAGAGGAGTAAAAGAGGTTACCGCAAAATGCGGCCATGAAAAGGAGCGGCGACAGGCCAGAGGTGCTCTTGCGGTGATAGTTCTTGTACAGCTGAGGCGGGCGCGAGCCGAGGTAGAGGACTGTGGACATCCAAGAGAAGATAGTACCAAGAAACATAAGAGTCAGCCCTGATGAAGGGGAAGCCGGGTCGACTTCAGTTGGTGCTGCATTGGCTGCAACTGTGCAAAGCATGGACGCCAATAGTACGGTGCGAGCCGCTGTGTTCTGGAAAGTCATGCTGCCGCCGCCAGATCTAACGATAGACCGTCGCGATGAGCTGAGTTTCTCGTTCGAAAAAGACGGCGAGACATTGTTCAAGGTGTTGAAACTCCCCGTCTTGAAATCTATCGCGCCCTTGATGTCTGATTTGGGAGCGATTTGTGGGGAGTTGCCAGTTGCGAGAGATCCATCCTCGGAGAAGGAGATGCCCTCAATGACATTCGGGGGTGCATTATCATTGCCGGGATGAGGAATGGCGGTGTGGTTATCGATTCGGCGTCCCTTGAAATGAGTGTACCAGAAGAACTGGAATACAAGAGTGATATCAACGAAGACATAGTAGCCCGCGATGATGACCTGCCAAGCGGCTTGCTTGGTGAATAGAGCTCCGAGAAGATTGCCCATGTCTCCGAGACACCAGATGATGAGGAAGAATATTGAAAGGCTGGAAGTTGATTGGAGTTGATAGTTCTTGTATATCTGAGGAAGCTGAGCGAACAGCCATGACAAGATGCTCAGTGTCCCCAGTGTCGACGAAAGAAGCGCTTGTAGTGTAGGAAGACATATGTGTAGGTGGGAGGAGAGCGAGGCAAGGAACGACGACGTCGGTTCGCAGTGGTCAGGGAGGGCGTAGGCGACGTATTTTATTAATGGAGGGGCCATCTTGAGGATGTGTAGCGGAGTGGCAGTCTAACTTAGGTGGTAACGACGACAAGAGGCCTGCAGCCGCAACAATGACGAAGGCGGCTAGACAAACGCGATAAGACAATCGGACAGCGGATAAAGGAAGCGATAAAGGAATTCCGGACGTGTGAAAGACTGTGTCTAGCATAGAAGAAGGAGAGAGAGAGTAAGAGAGTGAAGAGGACAGGGAGGCAGCGCAATAATAAGAATAGGGATCGGACGATAGGAGCGAGGGATGGAGAGATGCAGGTGAGCGTGTCGAGTCATCCCCCCTTCGAGATGGGGTCACGAGAGCCTGGAGGCAATCTCTAGCTGGAGAAACTGAGATAAGACTCAGCCGATCCTGATGGGGAAGGTCTGAGCCCTGAGATTATCAGCTGCCTATGATTCGTTGCATTCCCGGGGCTCAGGCATCAACCAGGCAGCCAAAAACGCCCAGGGCCGAATTATCGGAGCGTTAGTCAAACAATTATTAACTATGTACAAGAGTAGGCGAAGGATACACGAAGGATATCAATTTGCTTGCCAGATGTTTAGATATTCAGGGCCCGTCTCGCCTCCCAATGTCAGATATGGTACCCTACGAATCCGTGCTGCGATGACTATCTCGCGACCGACTGCGATGGCTGTATCGAGAGCGACTGCGGTGACTGTGCGGGGATCGACTCCGATGACGAGCGGGGTGATAATGTCCGTGATGCTGCCCATGGTGGTGAGCGCTGTGTCGGTCCTCTCTCCTCTCGTCCACTTTCTTCTCAATAAAATTACCCAGCAGCGCACCGCCGATAGCTCCAAGTAGCCCATGATGCTTCCTATGGCCCAAGTAGTAGCCTGTTGCGCCGCCGACAAGTGTTCCTCCTATCCCCCGCTCTCCTTCATCTCCACTGCCACTTATCTCATCTTCCCGGCCTCGACGCTCGTGGGAGGTCGATCTGGCGGTAGTGCGATGAGAACGACTCGAATCCTCGCTATATAAGGCTCATGTCAGCGTTGATACAAGGAGATCCTTGGGGTTAAGGCCGAGGAAAGCAAGAAGACGGACAAATACTCGGCGTTACTGCCCCGGTAATCGCGACTACGCGGTTCATAGTGGGGGCTCAGCAACGTATTATCATGTTTATAATCTTCCGAGCCCGTGTATTCATATTGCCCACTGAGATGGCCGTCCTGCGGCTCTGCCGGCTGATGATGATACTGAAACTGGGTCTGGGAATGGCCATGACCTGAGTGTTCACTGTACTGCGGCTGAGCATGTGGATAGCCTTGCTGTTGGTGTGGTAGATGTCCGTGGCCATATGCAGGTGGCTGATATTGACTCTCAGCATGTTTTCCGTTGGTTGTGGATGGGTAGCTATGGGGCTGGTTGTAGTAAGGGTCGGACATATCGGGGATGTTCTGCGGGGTACTGGAAGTCTCGAAGATCGATGAAACACTGGGAGTAAGTGCACTTGACGAAGGAAAAGGTAGGATTATATTCTCCGTCATGGTTGTGTTGTTAAGTCAGGGTTTGCTCGTCCGATGACGACGTCAGCCGACAGACTCGAAGACCACGCGTGTTACCTCGGGGGTTGCACAAAGCGGCTGAGCACTCGGAAACTTGAGAAGGCACTTATTGCAGAAGCAGTCCAAACAAAGAAATGTATGAGATTGGGTATTCCAGTAGTAGCTGTGAAATCGACGTTAAATAACAAGAGAAGAACAACTCGCACCATCCGAGAACCTGCCCACAGTAACCTAGCATGTGAGGAACCAAGGGAAAGATGGCACATGAAACGTGCCTTCTCAAAAGCGATAGAAGCGATCGTTATCCGTAATATAACACAGGAAGGGCAGACAGAAGAAGGAAATAAAGGTCGACAAGGAAAGTAGTCCAAAATATATGCGCCCAGCACATTAACAGCTCCTGGCCAGTTAGTGAATGTCAATCTTGGTACATCAAGTCAATTTCGTCTTGATTCGATGAGCCGCGAAGCTCATTGGAGGCGCTCGGTTGTAAGGTGTGAGGAAGCCTCTTCATTGACTCGTCGATTTGCGGACTCTCCGAGTCACCCAGTCGGATAGCATGGAGTCCAACTGGCTATTCATCTCCTTTAGCCTTTTGCTCTCATCCTTGAACAAGTTGCCAGTTATTGGATGTTCGGGACCCGCGGGAGGAATGTTGGTATTATCATAAACAATAACATATAGGTCACGGAGTTCGTGATCATCCTCCAGGTATGAGCGCAGGCTGGCGTCGCTCCAAGTCGGAGTGGGGACTTCGAATGGCGTCTGAATTGCCTCGGCGCGTCGACTGTCGGTGGTGTCTGCAGGCGATAAGGGTGGTGAATCGGGAGAAGTAAGATGCTCACGAGAAGGCGATAGATCAGTAGTAAGGCCGGGTACGCTTGGTGAGCTCCGTTCCAAAGGCGACGATGCGCTGATAGGTGAATCCAAAAGTCGACTTTGAGGTTCTGTGCTCTGTTGCGGCGGAAATCTCTGCGGTGGTGATGTGATGGATTGCTGCGAGTATAACGCTTGGGGAGATTGGTTTTGGCGAGTGTTAGGAGCTTCGCTTGGTGACATAGGTTTCTTGGAAGGGCTCTGGATACGGGCGTTCCGAACAACGTCACGGTCTGCTTCGTAGGGTTTAGAACGAGAGGATCCGGAAATTTCCTCCACTTCGTCAAGAACCACTTGGCGTATCGTCTGATCCGGTCTCTGGTTCTCTTTTGGCGATATCTCTTTTCCCGTTACGGGTGATTCGACCACAGGCTCCTTGTATGGATCGCGAATTGCCTGAGAGACGCTATCCGGCGGTTGTTTCTGAAGCTTACTAGACTGTCTCTGGGGTCCAACTTGTTTCGTAGTTCGTGCCTCGGGGGAAGAAACAGACTCTGATGATGTTTTCGGTGGTGGCGATGCTCGAGACAACTCGGCTGAATGCTTCTCAAGGAGATCCTCGCCGTCATCTTCAGACGATTTAGACTTCTTATCCTTCCGTTTGAATAGACCGCTAAGCATTCCGGGTTTCTTATCCTTCCGCTTCTTGTCATCCTTGACCTTTTCGTTGGAAGTGGTTTTATCAAGTGTTTCCAAACTGACGCGAGGCTATTTTGGGATTAGTAAAGAGTATCCAAGGAGATAAAGGATGATAACGTACCTCTCTTAGCTCATTGGAAACAGCACCGGTGTCGTCACGAAGAAGATTTGGAGTAAGAGATATCTTCTTCGTCTCAACAGTATCATCTTTGAAGAACGAGTCGGTGTTGCGGAGAGTGCCATTCCTCGATCTGCTGACGCCGAGCTCAGAAGACGTAGGAGAGGTGGGACCTTCTTGCTCAAAAATCTCCTGGCTTGATCTCTGTTTTTCTGGGCTAGCCGCATTCGTTTCTTGTGTCTCGTGTGCGCCTTGTGTCTCTTGTGTCCCTTTATCCCGTTGCGACTTGGGCCTCAGAGGCTCGACAACAATATCCTCGTTCTGCTCATCCCGCGCGTCGTATTCATCGCGTGATGCGTATTCGTCAGTGAAGGAAACGTCGTCATCCTCCTCTTCTTCCGTCGAGTATTCAACATCAGATGCTTCGATGTATGTTGGGCTAGTGAAAGTGACTGTCTTCGCATTCCGTCGTCGCATCGCCTTCTTCAGCGGGTTTTTGGACTTCTCCAGATTGTCTCCGAGCATTGTCGCAGATAGCTTCCTGAGTCAGCTGAATCCGACCTATTTTGGAGGGCAAACCTACATCCACATTTCTGTGCTTGTTCAAGCGCGCCAGTCTTTCCGTAGGCGTTTCGATATGCTCAGCAGGCAGATATCCTGTTACCGATTAGCTCCGTCCGTGCGGTCCTGTATCTAAACCTACCGATGCTACCGTCCTTCACGATTCGAACAAGCCACCAGTAGCTGTTGCTATCATCTAGAAGTACCATGTTGTCCCCCTTTGCCGCATTTGCCTGTCCGTCCACGGTTGCAACAAAATTGTGCAAAGCATAAACGAATTCGAAGTTGATATCATCTATTCCCAGGTCAGTCGTAATTCCTCCACCCAAGGTCGGAAGAGCATTGGGAGGAGAGCAAAGAAGCTCTCAGTCCCAGGTCCCGTGGAAGCAAGTTTTTGGGAAAGAATACCATACCGTCATCATTGATAGAGGGAGAGCTGGAGATCTTGTCCATCAGATCGTCATCCAGCAGATCATCATCATCCTCCTCATCGCTAAGACCACCTTCCTCGGCCCTTCCACGGATTTCGCTCTCATCCCGGTGAGCAGCCAGTCCAACATGAATGTCGTCTGTACCATCGTATATCTCAATTCCGTCCTGGTAACCGTCCGTGTCCAAGTGTGTTCCGTGACCATTGGGACCGTGCATCATCTCAGCTTTCGAGTCATGATCGGCATGGCGAATTTCTTGCTCTTGATGGGGAGCTAGACCGGTTCCTTCACTTGTCTGTACAGCATGTTTTGAGTGATCTTTCGCCGACGGAGCGTTGTGGTCTTGGAGATCAAGGGTATCTATCCAGTCAAAGTCAGTTGTTGAAGGGATATAGCAGATCGAACTTTTGAAAGTCGGGACGAAACATACCGGCCCGCACAATTCGAGGTCTAGACATGTTTTGGACAAGTATATGCTTTCGTATTTTCGAGTTGGGTGGAGCGGGTTCGGGAGAAAAGGCGGCTCAGCAGTCGACGGACATTGAATCAGAGAGTGGAATTGGACGGAATCTGTGACTTTGTTGTATTGCACAGGGAGCGGAAACAAGACGACAGAAGTATCAAGAGCGATTGATAGCAATGAAGGGAATGCCACGACCAGCGGCGGGGGTTGTTAACGTATGATGGGAGGACGAGTTTCGAGCCACAGGACGAAATGAAGTGTTCCCCGGGAAATCGAGTTGGATGGGACAAAAGCAAGAAAGTAACGAAGGGGAAAACAGAATCAAGAGAAAGAAAGAGGCAGCAAGACCCAGAACCGTGATTGAGCGAACGATGCTCAAAGAGTTCCCCAGACTCTCAAGACATGGATCGAGAGAAAGGAGGTGTAAGAGAGCCAAACGCCCCTTGCGCGCGCTTATCCACAGCGCCCCGTGCCTGGCCAATTGCTAGTGGAACCCACGAGGTCTAACCATGATCGGCTTGACTGCGATCAATGCTCATTTCTTGTCTTCTTTAGAGTCCAGAGTCTAAAGTCAAGACAGATCAAATCGTGAAGAACTCTTTCAGACTCTCCCGCAGTTCAGGCCTAGAACTGTGATCGAGGTTACGACCTGGGCATCTGGAGCAGCGGTACCTCCCAATTTCTGGTTCAAGCCGCTACTAAGGGTGACTGTCACATCCACTGCATCGTCAAATTATGGGTTGATTAAGATCCGCGAGGCGTTTCTGGTCCGCCAGCGGATGAAAAGTCCCTTACCTTTAGGAATTTTTTTTTAAATTTTTTTCTTCTTTGGAAAATTGACGTTGTATCGCAGAGTTACTCTTTCTATAGCATCTGCTAACACAAGAGGTGCTACTACTACCAGCATAGAATTCCTGATTAAATCAGTCAGTCGATCAGTTTGACGGACAACCGGGACCAAGCGCAATCCCATCATTCAATCCCGCACCCAGACCAGTCACCCAACTTATTCAAGGCTACTTTTGTACTTTGCCTTTGGCCATACTGGTTGAATAACCCTCCTCAGAGTTGGAGAGAAAAACTGGCGAGTACAAATCACCAAAAAGTCACCAAAGGCTGCTAAGCGTCTTGGTCAATGGCCAATGCTACCAGCTTGGCCTCTAATAGTACAGCACAAGTCTTCGAAGCAAACTTGCAGCTGGATGCCTGTTGCCCCGGATTAGATGATCCACGATGTCTACCTTGCTAAGGAGCGATGGGGAGAAGTAATCAGGCGGACTACCATAGGCCATCGTGAGAGCATGGCGAACAATGGAGGTTTCTGGTGTTGCTAACACCGACTTTACATAGGACCTTATGGTGCCTTCTCAGAGTTCGCCATACGTGAATAAAACACCCACATAGCCTCCTCCATAAAGACGAAGTGTAACAGGCAATATTTCGAGGGTCAATGAAAAAGAAAAGTCGAGCATAAGGAGTACTTTGGAGGAGAACATCGTAAGGCGCCCTGTGCCACTCCGTCGAGCGGCCATAATCGAGTTTCGACCGGTGGCTTGTTCCCAGACAAAGAAGTCCGACGCAGGTAATAATAGACTTTCGATATACCCCCGCCTCCGCAGTTCGCTTCCGATCTGATCGACTGTACAGCCCATGTTCGATGATCAAAAGCGATCAATAAAGATCAGAGAAAGGCTCAGCTGTGGCGCGTCGACGTGCGCCAAGAGCAGCAGGATGGGGGCTTCGTCAGTCGTGACGAGGTTGAGCTGTACGGAGGACGTTGTGCAAGCCTCAAGCAGTCTGAGGTCTGAGAGCATGTGTACACCAGTCAGGGGTCAAATCCGACCGGTGACTAGCTGAGCAGCATCTGGTTGGTGAATAAAGTAGGGGGTGTCAAGCATCCTAACAGCGCTCATCGCGGCAAACCAGGGCTTCGATGACGTCGATATACATGAGTTGATCTAAATAAAAAAGAATAGGCTACATAATAGCGTCGAATAATAATAGACGTGAAAGCAATGAGTTCTCCAGTGCCGTTAAGTCAACCGCAAGACACACCGGAATTACTAATGAGGAATGAAGTAACTTCAGCTTCCCCTCTTTATAAATTCGCCTCCGTTTTCTCCCGAAGGTATTCGCGTCTCAGATGTCGACGTCTTCATTTTCTGTCTCCTTCACATTCTGCGTCAAAGAATAGCCTTTTGTTTCGTCTTCGCCAATGAACTTTTGCTATAAATGATCCCTGTCCTCCACATTTCTCCATCTGCTTCTGCCCCGATCACCGTTTAGGCTTAGTCTTGTTTTATCGGCCGCCTCCGATAGTTGTCCTCGATAAGATACTACTGTACCCCATATCTACATCCACAGAGCTTCTTTTATCCAACTTTACCTCATCCCGAGCGCTCGCACAACTCTACTTCTCCTTCATTTACACTTCATGTTCACCTCTACTTCCTTTGCAGCTCTCTCGTGCTCTCCCTGAGAGCATGGCAACTGCACAGAGAAACAATAGGTCGGCTGGGTTGAGGATTGAGACTTCCTTCCATCATGCATCGCGAATTCGCTGGCGCGATGGCGAGGGAGCGGGAAACAGGGCGGGGGCTGATGTTCGAGCTGGTAACGAGGGCGACCGTACCAACATCTCTCAAGATTATCACGCACCCCGTTGCGGTACTGATGAGGAAAGCAGTGTTCTGAGCAGCCTTCACTCTTCGACTCCTCCAATCTCAGTTCCGCGCCATGATGATCATTCGAGACAAGATGCCGATATTCCTCATAAGCCGGATGACATGAGTTGCTCCCCTTTTGGCTCTTTTCTCCAAGATGATAAACCGTCTATCAACTTTGAGCCCGCGATCACCGTTACACCGAGCAAACAGCGATCCTTAGAACGACAGCTGTCGCAGAGCGAGAAATTGAACCATACGTATAGGTTCCTCCCCCCAAAAACATCTAGCCTCCGGAATATGTTACCGCGCGATGAGGAGGAGGTAACACACGGTATCAGCCAGTTGGGCTTCAGCTCCAGTGCGCGAAGATACCGTATCCAGCGGGGTGTTCCCAGCGGGTATTCACAAGACGGTCACCCTACGAGCCCGAACGGAGCTATTGACCACCCTACCTCCCTTACGTCCGTCTCGACCGTCTCCCCAGGGGACGAAATTCAAACCCCACCGTCTCGCGGCATGCTTTCGCCCATCTGTGTGGCCTCGCCAGAACAAGTATACGAATCGCCTGATGACCGCAGCTCGTGGTCCGGCACCTCTGCTACGCCGTTTGGTAGCAAACCAGGGCGCTATCGCTCCCTACGCGGTCGCTCCCGGCGATCGACTGCCTCTAGCGGAAAGTCTCCGGCAAGTATGTTTCTCTCCATGTGGAATACTACTCGCGAGGAGGCAGTGCCGAATCCCGATGATGAGGGCCAAATGGTTGGGACCGACTACGTTCTTGGGAAAGTTATTGGTTCCGGGGGATTCAGTGTTGTCAAGGAGGCTTTCAAAATTGTGGAAGGTGGCGTGCCTAGACAACTGGCCGTAAAGATTGTCAAGAAGCAAGTCCCTGACAAATCCGAGACGGAGAATGATGCGGTTCAGGCCGAGTTCGACCACGAAGTCCGTGTTTGGCGGTATCTCAGCCATCCAAATGTGCTGTCGCTCGATGCAGTCTATGAAACCGATTATGCCACATTTTGTTTCACAAAATTTGCCATAGGTGGAACACTTTTTGACCTGATCCGTCAAAACCGTCAAGGAATCGGACTTCAGCTTGCCAAAAAATACACTTATCAACTTGCCTGCGCTCTGCGCTACCTACACGAAGATGCGCGAGTGGTGCACAGGGATATCAAGCTGGAGAATTGCCTTTTAGACCCTGTTAAAATGCCGGATGGCACAGAAGCATCAAATCTCATACTTTGCGACTTTGGAATGGCAGAGTGGATTAGTGGAGATAATGAAGATGCTTCTTCAAATCCGTATGAAGATGCAGGAGACCGTCCGCCACCTAGAAGCATTGGGCCCTCCGATTCCAGCACCAGCATCGCAGGGAGTCTGGAGTATGCATCTCCAGAACTTCTCAACTCTAAGGCTGGGATAATTGATCCTTCGGTTGATATCTGGGCATTTGGGGTCATCGTGTATACCGTCATAGTTGGATCGCGCCCATTCCAGGACCCCTTCCAACCCCGTTTGATATCGAACATTCGCGGCGGCCATTGGAACCGGAACGCCATACTAGGTGGACAACTCGAGTGCGATGCCCGTCGTGATGCGCTCGAACTCGTCACAGGATGCCTGGAAATGGACTATCGCAAGCGCTGGACCGTTCGCGATGTCTTGTCTTCCCGGTGGCTACGGGAGTTTGCCGAAAACGACAACAGTCCATCGGAGTCTGTTTGGAAGCTATAGTATTTTGAACACCAACCCGACAAAAAACTCCCAAAAAAAATCGTCAAACGACCTTACGATATAATCAACCACCTTTATTTTACGGACGAGCGCTGGTGTTTGGGTTTAGTATTGTGATACCCTACTCTTTTTACTTTTTTTACCTACTATATCGCGCACTCGACTCTTTCGTGAATCGCACTCGAATTCGAATGAATCTCTCTCCAGTGATCAGCAAGGCGTTTATTTGGAATGGGTGCTTAGGCCCATGTACTTATATACCAGGACATTCTGGATGGTTTCCGCCCGTTCTGTCTCTTTGCGAAGCGAGCTTGCTGTTACTGCTTTAGAGCGGGGGTATCTTCTACTCTATATTGTCTCTAAATAGGTATTTTCCGAGTGCTGCTAGAATGGACATCGTTTTCGCTTCATATATTCCGCAGAGTGAGTAGGCTATCCGTACTCGGAGATAGTAGTGCGTAAAAGTAGGACCAAGTCAAGTCGGCATGGAAACGCATGGATAGCAAGCATAATATACAAATAGTAGTAGTAGTAGTAGTAGTAGGGCCCCCCAACCCCTTCTTTCCCTCTAAACCCCTCAGGTAATATACAACCCATCTATCTCTACCAGAGCCTATTCTCCGGCAACACCCTCTCCTTCTTGACACCCGCCGCACTCTTCCGCTCAATAGGCGAAACGAAAAACAAACTAGGTCCTTCAAGCGGCCTCAGCAAGTGAGACAGGTACCCCCGATGCGCAGGGTCACGGTAGTATTCGATATCGCGACGACCAGTGGGATCCGGAAGCCTATACTTGAACCCGCCAGTCTGCATGATCTGCCGCTCCCTCTCCAAGGGTCCACCGGCCTCTTCTGAGAGCTCGAGCCCAGCAGCCGCGTTGAATTCGGCCGGCGCGCTCTTGGCGTCCCACTGCGCCGAGAAGAACGGGTGCGTCTCGCGTTGCATGATGGCGCGGATCGAAGATTTGGTGTAGTACCGCGTCGTCACGGAGCCGCCAGCGGCCTCGATTGCGGCAACCGCAGAGGCGGACGCGCGCGAGACGACGACATGGATGGGTTGTTTGAGGGCGGAGGGTTTCTCTGTCTCTTCTACGACAGCTTCGGCGGCTTCGGGTTCAACGGCTTCAGGCGCGGGCGCGGATCCCGGGACACCCTGTGCTGACTTTGGCGGCGGCGTCTTGTTCTTCTTCCACTTTGGGATTGCGGGGGTTGGGCGGTTGCTGTTTAGGAGGAGTTTAACGCCTTCCTTGGGTCGGTGGATGCAGCGGGATTTGGCGAGTTCGCGGATCGTGATCGGTTTCGTTGGGTCGAGGCGGCCCTGGTCGATCCATTCTTGGATTCGTTCGAGGTTGGTGATGGCGAGTTCGGGGGTGAAGCTGCAGAGTACGTGTCAACATAACCATTTCACCCTTTTCTTCATCGCACAGTTTCCTATGAGGAACTAGAAAGATGTAAAGGGGAGCATACTGGTTGATAAACCCCCTCTCCCCATGAACAACAATCTCCGGCGTCTGACCACCATTGAACCCATACGGAACACTGCCATGCTGCTTCTGACCCTTGTGACCACGTCCAGAGGTTTTACCCTTCCCAGAGGCAGGACCACGACCTCGTCGGATGCGCTTGTTGTAGGCGCCCGGGTTATCGGAGAGCGAGGCTAGGATGTGTGCATTTCGGGATTGCGATTGGAGGGTCGTGAGGAGGGACAATGGCGAGGGTTTTGAGGGGACTGGTCGGAATAATGTCCTCTGGAGGCCCAGAGGGAGGATCTGAAGCCTTGGAGGCATGCTTGCGGTGGGTTTGTGGTGATGCTTTTGGCGTCGGCTTGCGGTGGTTTGGCCGGGGAGATGTCAGGATCTTTTTGGTTTGTTGGTGCCTGAGGTGTTACGGACAAATGTCGGGCCGGATCCACATCGTACTATAGCGAGACCTTAAGAAAACGATTGGACTAGGGAGGCGGGACAATTCATCTTGATTTAACCAGTAACCTACTGTCAAAGACCAAAGGAGTTTTAACTTATTAGTGTAGGCCTTGTCTTCTGTCTGGTTGAGGTGCACACCTTGTAAGAGTGGCAGAACGCAAAAGCAAAAGGCGGCCGTTGCTTTGTCTTCGACGTACTACTTTAGTAACTATATGAGTTGAAGGCGCATGGAAGAAAATGATCTGGTGATGTTTCAGTGAGAGCAAGCTCTCATCAATTCTGTGGTTTGCTAAGTTTAGTAAGCCATTTCGGCCCTAAGATGCCACACATAATGCAAGTGTAAATGTCCGTACCAAGCATATGGTGGGAGGACAGAATAGGACGCCGTTCATGCTGTGGTCGAGACAAAAGTCAAATCACCTCCCAATCCCCGGAATAAATGCATGCAATGCGTCTTCCAGAATAACCATCTATGGTGTCAAAACGCCGAAATCAATGCAAGGTCGTAACAGAGGACAAGTGGAACTGTACAATATACACGGTGAATGGAGTGGTAAAAAGTACAAAGGGGAGAGTAAGAGGGAGAGAAAGAGGGAGAAATATCTCTCTCGGGTGGATGCTGACAGGGTCATGAATCATAAATGTGGCGTTAAATAGGGTCGATTCAAGGTGCGTAATGAGGGGTAGGGAAAAAGTTGGGAGGAATATAGGTTCCCTGTGGCCACGCCTCGTGGTGGAGATAAGGCAACAGCCCGGTTTTGCGTTCCGCAACAGATTTTCCTAGCGGCTGATAATGCATGTGGTCGAAGGGAACGGTGCGTTGTTGTTCGAGAGAAGCTGATGGTGGCGGGATCAGCAGGGTATTAACACTCCGCACAGGTCGGTATGGAGAGTTCCTGTTTGCTAAGAAGAAGGAGGGGGATAAGTGGGTTTGAGGAGTGTGCACTGCATAGGCAGTGACGGCCGGGGATACGGTAGCTGAGGTGACGGCAAACGGGCTGTTGTTGCGCCTTGACGGATCAGGCAGTGATAAAGCGGGGGCAACAACGCCGCTTGTGATCGGTTGAGTCGCAGCCGAGACTGGAATCTGTGGCGCCCAGGCGCTGGGATTGTATACAGGAGGCATAGTCGGGCGGCCTGGTGCAGCAGTGAGCTGAGGTATGGATGCTGGGACACTTGGCGCAAAAGCGTGAGGCAGGCGCGGAAGAGGACCGGGAATGCTCTGTTGAGGCGGTGCTGATGTTGGCGCTAGCATTGGTGGCAGGGCAGGCAGGCTCATCTGGCTAGAAGATGGCAGGGTAGACGGCGGCATAGGAACCGCGTTTTGCATCGCAATCTTCTTTGCCGGATGCTGCTCTTCAACGGGCTCTTCATAACGTCGCTTGCGCGAGCTTGCTTGGAGGGATTCAGTGACGGCTTGAGGAGCGGGTGCGTATGGCGGTCCGTTCACCGGGGCCCAAGAGTACGGGTGCAAAATCTCGGTCGTCGGTGAGGGGAGCCGAGCTGACGAGATTGGAGACAACTGCGCCCGCGCGGTCGGTGCAAAGTTGGGCGAGAGGCGAAGTACTGGGGTGTGAAGCACATCGCCGCTCTCTGAAGAGAGAGGTGCGTTGTTGAAGAAATCGGCAAAAAGTCCGAGCTTGACATGCCACTCGGCCCATTCTTTCTTGGATGCGTAGAGGTTGTATCGAAGGTTGCTCAGGAACTCTACCTCCATCACATGGATTTCTTGGACTGAAATTCTCGAAACCTCCGCCCATGTCTTGTTGGTGTAAGTGTTGTCGTCCAGGACTAGGATTGATCATCAGTAAAAGGCTCCGAAAGTTAAATCGGAAAGGGGCCTACATTTATTTCCCAGCATAAGAGCGATTGTCATCAGCCTATACTCGCTGCCCTTTTTCCCACGTACTCCCGGGTTAAACTTCTTCAATCGATACACAAAAAGGAGAGCCAGCAGAATGACGTTTTGGCTGACTTGTGTCGTGGATAGAATGCTCGATACCCATTTTTGAAATCCGATTGTGGGAATCGCCTCCGGGGACAGAGAAGCACCGTGGCTCGTGCGGTCTTCAATCGACTTCAATTTCGCGGAGCTCTCAAACCAGAACAGGCAAGTCATCTACCACCGAGTCAGTTCGCTCCCAGCCTGAACGTACCGGATACCCTTACCTGAGCAGCAAAATCGGGCAAATTGCCTTTGCCGTTGTTTATCGAAGAAGGGATTTGTAGGTACGACGGTGTAGAACTGTCCCTATCCTTGATATGCCCCTCCGCCTCCCGGATCGGTGCGTCCTTGACTGGCGGTTCAGAATGTGGCTGAGGCTGAGTGTGCTGCACCATCCTGTTGACGAAGTTGGTGTTTACTCGCGGGTAGATGGGCGCCTTGGTGTAGACTGGAACCCCATATCCCTCCGGTTTGCCTCCGTAGGAGGGTACGTTGTACGCCACACTGTTCATATCGCCTGGAGGGGTGGGCAGACCGTCCCGAAAGGGAACAGTCCACGAGAGATCTGGAAGCTCCGAGTTGTTCTCAATGTGTTGCTTTGCGGCGACGGTCGAACGGTCTGTTTGAGAGTCGTGGGGAATAGTCGGGGTGATTGGAGGGGCAGCGAGATATGGAATAGTGGAGAGCACCGGTAAAGACATATGGCGAGCTGTTTAAAGGTCCAGGAAAACCTTGGACCAGAAAGAAAAGAAAAGATTAGACTCCGAAAATGCTCAAATGTCATCGAAGTCCCATTGATTGAGGTTGGCCGTTGAAGAGGTTCAATTGTGTTATTTGATACCCGCTACCATGCGCATCTGCCTGCACTGGCCAACAATATGGACTCCGGCGGTACTAGTATTGAACGAGGAAACAACCCAGATGGAACGCGGACGAGGAAACCGGCTATTATTGTTGAAGTAGACCGTTGATATCGCAAGTTGTAAACAGTGGTGTCGCAGCAAAGCGGATCCAGTATTGAATGTTGTTGACTATGTCCTGTCAATGGAATGAAGGCACGTTGAAGGGGTGAGGAGCGGTCCGGTCAGTCCAGGGCAGTGAGGTGCTCTGTAGCATAGTCGAGCAGAGCAGACTTCAGGCAGTCATGTCATACATATAGAACGAGCAGAATATGGAAGGCGAGGTTGACCCAGAAGTCATTGACAAGGACCATCCAAATTTGCAAGTACGGAGTACATCCAGTTATAGCCCAGTCAAAGACGAGGAGACTGGAAAATGAAAATTAATAATAAATAGAGCAGCGACAAATAGGAAGCGAAGTTTAAGAAATAGTCCAGCATTGAAATCAAGATCCATACGTTGTCGTCTTGTAGAGCCCGAATTTAAAATTGAAATAAAAGTCAGAAATAAATCGAAAAGTTAGTTAGCAAAAATTGATGGGACGAGCTAAAAAAGAAAAAAAAAAGGCAGTGAAATTAATGAAAACAAGGTGAAAGAAACCAAAAGTGTATACGATAATAGAAGATGAAGTCAAGACATCATCTTTTGGCCAGCAAATAATGACTCTCCATCGTGTGAAAAAGCTCCGCTCAATGGGCAAGGGTCGATGAGGTTTAGTTCCATCCGGAAAAAGCGCTGTGTTGCAGTGTCCAGTCACGGCCGCAGAGTTTGGAGCCAGACGCAGGTCCAAAGGGTTGATCCTCCTTTCTGGACTCGTTTGGGCTTCGGTTCCGGCGTTGATTGTCTCTGGGCTTATCATGGAAGAGGAAAGGAGGAGCATAAAAAAATAAAATAAAAATAAAAATAAAAATAAAAACGGAAGGAAGCGAGGTGAAATACCGGTTGATGTCAGAGCGGCGGGGATGGGGGGAAGAAGGGAACAAGTGGATGCAGGCGACAACGGAGCTGTGGGAGGGTGGTAACAACTTTGGTGGAAGGTCAGCAGCAGCAGGAGTCGCACCTGGACCAGTCTCAGCTTCAGCCGAAGAGGGAAAAGAGGCGCCTCCATCCTCATCCAAAGAACGGGGGGGAGCGGCGTTGTTAGTCAGTCAGGGAGGGAAGCGAAAGGGACGGGAAATGGAAGAAAGAGATGAACCCCGGAAGAATCGTCGTTGCCCTGCCTTCTGACTCCGTCAGACCTGGCTCGGATCCAATAATACGCCTGGGCCAGAGTCACATTGCAACGAACCCATCAGTCTGGTGTGCCGCCCAAATTTCTTTTCCCTTTTGGTTTGTCTCTCCCTTGGAGGACGTGCGGTGCGGTGTCAGGAAGGGAAGGGCGCGACACTCAAGGGGGCCGGGCATTGCTCAGCAGCACGGGATGGAGGGGGGTTTGTGCACTTTGGTTGATCGCCAATTTTCGTCCGGCCAAGTGCGAGCCAGAGGAATGCCTGGCGCTGGCAAAGATACTTCAAGATTCCTTCGTCCAGGTATGGAGTAAACAGATGAACTATTCGTATCAGACGAATCAAACCACGCATGCAGAGTTTCCAGACTCTCTCCAAAGTTGCTGTGGCCAAAAGGGGGCGGAATACTTTACGCCGGAAGTTGGCCAGGCCGCCAGTGGTTGGCTGCAGTGGGATTTACACACTCATACATGGTTACCTAGAGGCCTTGGGGCAAGGTCAGTTCATCAGTGGTACGAGCCGGCAAGGTGCGACGCCAAATCTGGTGGAGAGACTTTGAAATCGTGGCCGAGGCTTGCGGTATCGTAAAGGCTGTACAGAGGTACGAACGGATGGAATTGACCAGAAGGCTGGGCGGCAGGAACGGCAGAAAATTCGGCGGTTGGACAGTGAGGGGAACACTTGAAGTTCACAGCGCTGAGCGGCCAGCCTGTGCTCACTGCTGACTGCAAGTGGAGTCGCGCGACCACGATGGACCAGCAGCCATATGAGCACTCACATATGAAGGACACTCCACCTCGAGAAGTGAGACCGAGACAGAAATTGTGTCTTGTACTAATGTATGTACGCAAGGTATATTCCAGCCTGCTCGGACAAAGCAACTTCAACAGTGGAAAGCATGGGTAGCAGCTGCTGGTCAAATCAAATGCGGCCGCGGTGTATGTATCAGCATTGCCTCCAGCTCCCACTCCATGAGTGACCCTTTCGCATGCGTCAGCAAACTGGCCAGCCAACAGACCAATCACTGCGTTTAACACGACCCTGGGGCTGGCTCCATCTTCATTCTGATTTCCCCCTCTGGTTTCGGGCGAAGATTCGAGGCGAAGTCTGGACACAGGACCACAGATATACCGACAGTAAGATAGTTTAGTGTTCGTATTATTGAACCAAAGGCTGGGCGACTGGAGAGCAAATATCCATAAGAATCCACACCAACCAAAACTCACCAGTCAACACACGCAGCGCGGTTCTCCAGCCGTCGTGTTCCGCGTATCATCCAAGCCCAGAAATTACTTTCTTAGGTCATCCAGACCTTTTTTGCCTTCCGCCAGTCCGACCGGCAACACCAGACCATCCTCGCCCGACCCAGTTCTTTGTGATGACGCTAACGGAGAAAGTCAGTCCTACGGTGACCGCCCAGCGCCGAGGAGTTTTGTCACAGGAAGAAGCCATCCAGCTGACGATCCATGGAGGCGCAGATGTTCGCTGATTTCGGTTTTACGTCTGGCAGCACGTCAACTGCTCGTGGACGATGAGCGGGCTACAGAAAGCCTTTGGAGACGTATCATAGTGCCTGCTTCGGGCTTAGTCCCAGAAGTTTCATCCACTTGCCTCATCCGTCGGTCGGGGCCGTTTTTTTCGTGTTCAGGGATTCTTTGATGATGCAGCCTCACATTCTTGGTTCTTTAGTCTCGCGTCGAGAGTCCTCGGAGCCGTCGCTTTGCATCCCAACAGCAAAGGGACCCCGTGGCACTGTGATGGGGACACCATTCTCGTCATGCTGATTGAGTTGGCAAAAAGTGTCATCCCCTGTGACTCGATCCTCGACGGACAAGAAAAGAGACGCGACAAGAGATCCCAGCCTTGGTAACCAATGTGTCCACACGTCCTCGGGGCTGGTCTGACTCCTGCGTCACGTTTCTGCATTCGGCGACAAAAGAGTCTCAACTAAAGCAAATGACAGGATACGATTAACAGGTCACTGGCAGAGTGACTCCCGATAGAAGATGCACGCAGCACAGCAGACCGTCGAGGAAAGATCCGCTGCCTTTCACGCACCAGGGACAGAAGCAGTAGCTCCTTCGAATAGGGCATCATCCGCTGGGCGCGACCAGAGATATCTGACCCTGATAGTGCAGGCAATGGCTTTCTGATGGCTCAATGAAAAGCGACAATGGACTCGATCGATGCATTTGAGACGACACCTCGAATCCGACCTCTCATTCGCCTAGTTTCCAACAGCGGCTAGCGACAACCCCGCCCGTTAATAATGAAGGCACATAACTATCTGTCGATAATCAAAGGATTCAAGGGTAAAAACCTGTAGGGCGGACACAGTCACAGAGACAAAAAGAAAAACCGGGTTCCAACTACAATCCTGGCCTCGTACAGGGGCTGTGTGATGGTCCTTCGGGAGCTTTCTTTTTCCTGCACCCTGGGTGATTCGCGAAGTCCTGCTGCCTCTTCATAATTAAGGAGGGTCGAAAGTTTGAACTGCAAAGCAATCCTTTGTTGGGCGAGATCCATACTTGTGGTCTTCACTTTGATTCTGAACTAGCGTTCACCATTTTTAGCTGGGCTTCGGATCTCCGTCCTGATTGCCTTGTGTGACTCTTTCCTTTTCCAAGTCTTGGTTGGTCCAGGATGTGACCTGGAAACCCGCAACATCTGATTCAAAGTCAGTTCTTGCATTTGCCATCCGCAGCAATCAGAAGAGGATACAGTAATCATGTGATGGCGGTTTTCCTCGTTAGGGAGGAAAAGCCCACATAGATCGCTCCAAACAAAGACGTCTCATAGGCTGATCCTCCGACCATCTTAGCCCTCACGCTCAGTGTCTTGATACTTCTTGCAGAACTCGAAGTCAATCATGTCATACAGCTCCATTTCATCCTCATATTGCTGAGTCCATTTCAGAGTTCAGAACCATTGGTACGAATCAGCAGGGAGACAATCGGACTCTTGATGCGTCCGTCAGCCAGACTTTGCATCTCACGCATTTGCATATCACTACATTGATGTACATCGTATGGTTAAAACTCATTTGTCTCCCCGCTGCCACGTTCGGGCGAATCAACATCTAGTTTCAAGATCCAGACAGAGGATTCTGGGCCGCCTCCATCCGACGAGAGAGCGACTCCGGACTACTCCGTACGGAGTACTCACAACTCATTGAGGTACTACTACTCGTACTGCTAAAAATTAAATCATGCACCGTTACAAGCTCCAGTCAAGAATACCATAACGTGGCTTGCCGGTTGTTCCAGAACACCAGAAACGACGTTCAGAAACAGTGGAGCGAGTGCCACAGTGCTATTCCTTATTGGCCGAGGTCTCGTTACCGTCAATTTATGCATCAGTGCGTATCAACGATCACCGCCATCGTCATCAGGTTCTTTTTATCTGGGACCTTGGCCCGGTTGGTTTGCCATTTCGCTCCAAGACTTGAAAGATGAGTCCACGACGATCCAAACTGTGATTGAATTGACTTTTGCCCTCGAGTCTGAGACAAGGCGCATTCATAGTGATAGTGGAAAGCGAGTCACGGAATATTGTTTCCATCTCTTGCATCAATGCATGAGCCCAACGTCTTGTTCTCCATAGATTGCGGAGGTTTGCTTCTTCGACCCCAAAGTTTTTGAGCCATCAAATCTTTCTGGGAGCAGATCGACCTGATACTAGTAGAAGTCAGCCTCAAAGACTTCCTTCTTCCCTCGCACCTCGGGATATATTTCTTTTTCTTCTCAATCGATTGCAAATCATGATGGGATAGTTAATCCCGCATGCAATAATAACAATCCTTTCAGCCCGGCACTCTTTGGTCGCCTTGCGAAAACCTACGATTGGGTAGACTGCTGCGATATTGCTGGAGCGACGGAGTGTACTTCCATTGGGTTGATAACCCAATCGCTTGGAGCGCTAGCCTCGAATTGCTTTTTTCAAACTGCTAGCCGACCTATATCCCAGAAACATGATTTCCACGCTAAACTTGCTGACCAGCGGACCAACTTCCAAGTTGCCACAAGATGCAGATTCAGGAGTGGTCGCCGAGGCTCCTGGTCACCGCCACGGCGAGCCTACGGCACTGCTCCTTCCGCGATTAATCAGCGTGCACGGCTTCCACGCCCCCCATCGACGCGTTCCCAACTCAATTTAACTCCAGTCGTCACTTTCATCTCACGCTGGAGTCTGGATGGAGACTTTCCCGTCTGTTTCCTTGTCAAGGATCAAGAAGATGACCTGGAGATGAAATCAACCAGCCTTTGCCGATCCCAACTCTCTCACGCCCTCCGCGCCATCGTTGATTTCTTCCGGCTCCGCTTGTGACCACATCCAGACAGGGGTGAGATGCTCCAGGTTGGAGCCTGGATGCAGGTGTCTTCTGATCGTCTCGTCGCGTTCATGAGACACTGGCCCTGCCATTCGGCAGTTCGAACCTTGAAAGTCATTCTGTCGAAGGGATGAAGGAAACGGTATTACGGAGTATACCCTTTGAGCCGCTTGCAGGTAAGCCGATCGACATCCTCTTGTTCGTACCGCCAGCTCTCCATAGCCTGCATGGACGATTGCAACCTGGGACACACAACTCTTCAGTCGACCCCTGGAGAATACCAGTGTCAAGCTTCGCGCACCGACTTGGTCCTCACGACAATGGTGTATCATCGGTGCCTCGCTCCATTGGCCCACAAATTAGTATTATTGCCATTATTGAACTAATCTATCTTGCGACCATGGCTTCCTGCATGATTAACCGCCACAAGACTGTTACTCCCACCTGTGTGGATAAACATGGTTATCGGAGATATTCTTCTTCCCGACAGACATGTTCTTGACTGATATGCCTGCGCTGCACGCGGGTAATCTTGGTCCCTGCCCTCACCTCAAAGGTCAAACTGGGAACTTTATGGGTGACTGCATCACCAGACTTTCTTCGCGCTGAACATCCGAAAAGACAGGCATCTTCAGGCAATATTTGTTGTTTTGTCTCAGGTTCCCACTTTGATGCCATTTACAGCTCCTTGCGTTCATCGGATCCTTGCAATCAAAGCCTCATGCCTCGCAGGTGCAGGCAGACGATTAGCATGCCACGGAGTCCTACCTTGGAAAACCAGGGCCCTGCATTCCTAATTCTGAGATCACATCATGATCGCAAACCTTGCCGTTGCTTCCAATCCCCAGGAACGCCGGATTCGTCTTGACGGCCCCGGCAGGTTGGCAACAGCGTCGCTTCTTGCGCCCACTCGATCTTGTTGTTCAGTATCGTATCAATCTTCGCTTGCGCATGTTTCGGGTGTGATTTCCAGCGAGGGATGCGTCACAATGGTGGATTTGTTCGTCTTAATAGACCACTTTAAACGACCCTTAAACCGCATCAGAGATATTTTCGCGAAGCGCACCATTACTTTCGTCTGTCATACTCTTCGACTCTGGGCCTGAGATCTCGTAATAATAATTCCTACTGGATGTTGCCCGTGTATCTCGACTGATATTGTACGGGGAAAAAGCGGGTCCTCGCATACTTCTCGTCAAGCGATCCGCTCATCTCCGATTGTCATTAATATCTGGTCAGTGATGAGGTTCAAGACGGCTTGCAAATAATAAAGTGAACCAAGGACGTGAAATGGCGCTTTGATGAGAAATAAAGAGGCTTTCGAAGCCTCCCTGCTCAAAAGTTTGCATCCAAAGCGTTGGTGCAGGAAGCGCCAAAACTCAGAGAGCCACCTGAACCTCTTCATCCTCCAGACTAAGTTCAGTGCTCTTCTGGCGTCTCCACCGACTCCTCATCTTCTGGAGTCGAGTGCCTGCTTAGGCGAGAATCGAGTCAACGAAGAGTGCCATTCATTATTATCATGTCTGCGACGCTCCAGAGTCGAGAGCGGCGAGGTTGCTGGGATGATCAAAAGCAAAGTCCAACAAACCCACTTTGGATTAACCCCACCTCGGAAAGAGTCGTATATTCACAGTCGTTGACGAGAGCACAACGTATACATTGCAGATTATCTTCGGAATTTGGCCAGTGCACATGCGTTGGAGATATGACGATCCTATAGTCGTCACGATTATGAAGACCGGAGTTAATAACGGACTCTGCAAATTGGCAGCAATGAATGTTTGATCCGCTTCGTACTCAGATCTTTGGTCAGGTCATTCAATTGGTTGTAAAGTCAGCTCGAATCCTGACGACCTCCGTCCATCCATGGATTATTTGCCTATATATATCAAGCCGTTTCGCGAATGTTACCTGCCACAAGGTGCTCGCCCAGGAGTTGGGGGCGCAGACAAGGAGAGCGCTAGACACGTTGAAGTACGAGTCCCCCTACCGGTCGTACTTTTGTGTCACTACTTCTTCAACGGAGTCGCTACATAACGACTCCAGCTTCCACTTATCCTCCAAACACAAGAGGGGGAAATAAGATTCCAAGTCCGACAGTCTATCCGAGCGAATCAAATGGGTCCTTATTTCTTCCTCCTGCAGAAACCCTTGCTGCAGTGCGCTTTCTCCAGCCAAGTTAACCAACATCTCTTTAGAGTCTGTGACCTCGTCAAAGTGTCTACTCCAACTTACTAGTCTCCACCTCCTGAAGGCTGAACAACCCAAGTTCATGATTTGTTTAGCCAGAGAAAACAAAAGCCCCATTTGCATCCTTGGTGTTTCTTCTCACCTTCCACAACCAGCAGAGCACCAACATGGTTTCTTCTGCTGATACCAATCGGCTTATCACCGCCACTTGAACCGCGTCAATCCATCAGCATCTGGCCGTTCGTAGGACCCAGTACCATAAATACAGGCCGGGTGGGAATATTAACAGCTGAGCCCAGTAAAACTGGGGTGGAGTGACGGAGGAGGAGGGGTCATCTTGTCTGAGGCTGGCACACAATAAAGACAAGACACAGCCACCAACCCATACGACGACGTCATCATCACTGGGGTTGTCTTACCACATGGATGGGAGGATGTTTGAGAAAAAAGCAAAAAGAAAAAAAAAAAAACTGGAGGACGGAGCTGAGACACGACGACGAGAAAATGCGGCGGAATGCGGTAAATTAGCACTGGCCAAAAGCGGGCTACCTGCCGACCGGGTCACAAAAGATGTCAGTGGGCCTTCAGTCAGCGCTGTTTCTCTGAGTCTTGACTCTCTTTGACGATCCCGTCACTTCGCGCTGTTTCTCGTCCTGTCTGCTCTTCCGAGTCTCTTTGTTCCTGTTTCGGATTTGGGATGGGACGTAGTGCCCGCCTGTGGTAGTAATAGCGTGTGATAAGGCGGCCAGCGATTCAGATCAACGCAATAATGGGAGAGGAGACACGATGGGGACTCGAAGGAGGCTCATGACAAGCCTCCAGCCTCAGCGGACTTGATATCTCGGAAAGCCGCATCACTTCTTCCTCGAGTATTTACTCTAGATATACTACAGGGCACACGCACCCCTCGAAAGGGGGGATCAGAAGTAGGCGCGCCATGCTTATTGAAAGGCAAGCAATCGTCAACCATCGAACATACAGAGTCCCATCGCAGGGCAATTCTAAGCCTCTGTACTGTAGTTCCACCTGCTTTGCTCACGTTGGGGTGAGCCTTCCATACATCTATCACGGCGGCCATCACGTGATATCCATCCGACTATGAATAGTTCAATCTCAGCTTGCACTAATTATTCGGGACCCCTTTGCTGTAATTGATTGCACTATACGGAGTAGATCTATTTAAGTCTGACCGCCAGCTTTGTGCTTCGCAGCTTGCGGACGATGGATGCCTATGGTGTTCAAGTAGACTGTCATCTCGGCGTCAAGTCCAAGCGGAATATCTTCAACTCAACATATATTTGGGGTATCAGGTTAAGTTATGATTTCTGCTAGATTTTCTGATATGATGTCGACGAGAAGGAAGTAAAGCTGTTCTTAACCCGAACCTGTGTCGTGTTTTTTGGTACCCAGTCTCGCGCCGAAATACAACTGTATATATCTTGTAGACCTTTCGCTTAACGACCATACGATTTATCTACCTCTCATACCCACCACAGCCACAAACAAAGGAAGCACCTAGAATCAAACCAGCTTCCTGCTCTACGCCAAAACCATTGCGCCCTGCAGAATGCCCACTGTCCTGCGAGGAGAGCACCGTATGTATTATGAAGCTAGAATGGAAACCTCCTGGTCTTGATGGCGCATCCTCAAGGCAACGTTGGGAATATTACTTGCTATAGCATAACCACACTCTGTCAAGATCAAGCTCGTAAGAGTAATCCCCCAGAGGGCATAGTAATGTGTCCGCAGCCACCAAAAGAGATATCGATCTTACTATAGACGGCCTCAGGGGTTGGCCATGAAGTACCAAACTATTTCCTAGCAGGCGAATGGCCATTATGTATCCTGCTGGCCCTGAAAACCCCCAGCGCAAGTGGTCAGGTTCAAATTGAGTCTACAGGATGGTTTCTAGCTAGGCATCGATGGCTAGGCAAGCTTCAAAGGGAGACATAAGCCTTGTGTTCCTACAGTGAGTAGTGGTGGCGACTACCAAGTCGATAAATCGAACTGTTCACAAAGGCGTAGAAAGTGAAGATAACACTCCCAGGTTGCTTGATTGGACAACCAAAAGCTCAGAGCACCAGTCCACGACGGGGCTGAGCTGGCATTGCATACACGACTGAGAAAAACATGCTCTGCAATGGAATCAGGACTTTATAAAACCACCCGCTTACCAAGCGACCCATGAGCGATGTAGGAAGACCGAAATGGAAGGGCAATAGAAGGCAACCGAAGTCGTAGGTGTCACCTAGATGCAATGGCACTGCGCTGAACAAGGAAAGAAACCTCAAGTCTCACTGGATGCCGAGCGGATACGGCTGGAGGTATGGTGGTAGAATATCGATCTCAACCGTTTGCTCTGTGGTTCGGTCTGAAATTCGCTGTGCGGGGCGTGTTGGTGCAGGTCAATACGCGAGAAGATTAAATCATTGCCTGGCAGTAAACAGACTGAGGAACGGCCACTAAGGCCAAAGGTTATGCTGTTGTGTAGTGTGAATGCATGTAGCCATAAGGGAAACTTCACTGTACTTTGGACCAGGGTCACAGCTTACCATGCCCGGTGTCTGGTCGATCGTACTCGAAACATGTCGTGATAGCCTCAGTTGGCCGTGCTTAAGCTCTGTTTGAAAAGGAATACGTGTCTAGCATCGATGGAGCTGCATTTTTCTGATTGGAAAGGAGCACTAGCCAAGTAACATTGCGTGGATACTGTACGATAGAAGAGCTGATATCAAACGGTTGATAAGATTGTGCGTCTGTGCTTCCAATGCAAGGAGAAAATGCGAGTAAGAAAGGAGGAAGCGATATCCATGTCGTGACTGGGTAAAGTGTGTTGTGTTGGTGATGTAGGTAGGGTTCGTAGGTGGCTATTTCGGTTAGACTGTACAGAGAGCCCGATGATTGGATCCCCATTAGGGTCTGAAGCCTGTCACCAGTCGGTAAATCTTGTGGCCTGCTGAACGTCACAAGCAAGTGTATAGAGCCCGTGTGCATGGCTGCTTCGGCCGGGATCAAGATTGACCTGTATATGGTCATCTCTGCAGTGGCGTCTCGATGGTAGCAAGTCCATCAGCTCTTGCAGAAGATAGGCCGCCCGCCTCCGCACCCTCGCCCGGGCCCCGGCATCCCCTGCCGAACATGATCGGTCGTGCTGTGCAGGTGAGATTGTGATGTGCAAAGAGCCTTGCGTCCCGGGCTGGCTAGGCGCGTGACTCAATCTGGGGTATAATGAGTTGTTTTGAGAGCTTTCGCCGTTTTCGCAGCTGTTATAGACCACCGATGAGGATTTCGCAGGGCTCGGCTTAAGTCAGGATGACTGCTCATGGGGTATATACGACCTGTTTAATGAGATGGATGACAGCTAATGTCAAATCATCCACTACGCCCCTTGCGGTATGCATGTCTTGAGACACCGCCGATTATTGCATCCGAGTGGAGCCGAGCAAAGGCTGAGCTGTTTTATGATAAAGAGGCTCCCGGCCGTTCACTGTCAACCCTAGTTCTTCGGTGCTGCTGAGCAGGGATAAGATGCGAGACAACAGGCTCCGTTCATGGTAACATGATCCTCGCAACTCGCGGGAACGTCGTCTGCATCTCTGAAACCACCATGCTGCCTGTCTCACGCCTAGAACGGGCGGTCGAATTCGGGTGGGAAGACGACCTTTGGGTAGTGTCAAGAGCAGCGCAGAGGCATCACAATATCTCAACCATCGAGTATTTCACCTGCAAGCGATTTTGCCCTGAGCATTCTGAAAGGTCACCAGCGGTAACGATTGGAGCTTCGCCCATGTCCTAGAGAACTCACCGCAAGGGTGAGGCCACTTTCGGCGAGTAGGCAGCAGGTAAGCGATGCTCGAGACCTATAAGGCTAAGAAAGCCTGGAGTTGCGCATGCAGTATCTGCCAACAGACCTCACAGCCCGTAGGTGTGATACCAAAATGGAACGGAAGCTTCCATTTTCTTCTGAAAATACTCGATATCTTAGCAGAAACTTCGAGGATATAACCTACAAACCGTCTCACGGCATGCCACAGGTTAAGGTCTTCTGAAAGAAGATGCAGCTCTGCTGGCAAACGTGAGCTAGTAGTCTGCTTGCCTGATGAGAATTGGGGAGAATCGTCCCCATCGTGTTGCCACGGCGAAGATCTGAAGGGAAAACGGCTGCCATGTTCTAACTTCCTTCCGTCTCTTAGAGTTACCTACTCACTTTGCGCCTTTCATTACATGAATCGAGAGCTTCTCGTCGTCATGTTCGGTGCGAGATGTGATAGATAGGTGAATAGTAACCAAGGAACAAGGCAAGCCGAGGCACATGTCCAAGCGACGAGAATCCCCGGATGGAAAGAAACGGAGCCCTTCAGAGCAGAAAGTGGATCTCGAATGATTTCCCCGGACTTTGATCGTGCGTTCTCTGTTGAATCGAGGAGTCCAGCTGCTTCGAACTGTGGATGCGGGAAATCCCGGCGACACTGCGGGAATGACCGTAGGGCAGAGGATGAGTCAGCGACCTTGACGTTCTGGGGGCAGATCTCGGCATCCCGAAGGAGCTCAGAGTTTGGGAACAAAAAGCTCGACAGCTCGGTTGGAGAGATGCTGTTGGCATGTTGCAACGCAGCAACGGTGCATACAAGCGCTATCTCGGATTTAGTCCCGTTTATGATCGGATGTATCTCCGAAAACTGTATACAATCTGTGATTTAAATTTACTGAAGGGGCGCTTAATTTCTCCTCACCGAGAAAGTTCCCCTCACGCTCGTTTCTCCAATTCTTTCCCTTCAGACTCCAGCAACCACAAGTGGATCCTGAGGCATCCACCGACCGCGAAAAGAGGGAAAATTCCGTAAGTTTTGCTTGGAAAGGGCTCGACTCGAGTCACACCGGCACTCCCAAAATAGCTACGACGCTCTATCGCAGCTCCCAGAAAAATTCCTGATTTTTTTAATTTTTTTTTTATTTTTTTCAGATTGCGCCTTTTAATTGTGAATCATCATTGCCATCGTCACTTGTTCTTCTTCATCCTCCCATCTCCTCTCCCTCCCATCCCCCCATCCCTTCGCTCCCACGCGTTGTACAGCCTGACAATGGTTGGAAGTACGCTGGCTGTCCGGTCCAAGATGGCCTCGCCATCCGTCATGCAATTGACGTCGCTGTCGCGCAGGACGCTCTCGACGCGGTCACCGGTCCAGGCTCTTCGCTCCAGCCGTAACGCCCAGCAAACAATCCAGCGCACTGCTCGTCGTGCCTACGCCAATGATGCTCCTGCTCCTGCGCCAAAGCCCCGGAGACGATTTCGATTCCTGCGCTGGACCTGGCGTCTGACCTTGCTGGCGGGTGTTGGTCTAGTGGGAAATCTCGCTTACAACATTTACGACCAACGCCATCCCATCGAGCAATCCCTCCCTGATCCGAGCAAAAAGACCCTCGTGATTCTTGGTAAGTTCAAGTATTTTCGGTTTTGCTTGCTCGCGCTAGAGCCTCGCAGAACTCAATTAATCATTGATCGGACTCTCAGGTACTGGCTGGGGCTCTGTCTCTCTTCTCAAGAAGCTCGATACCGAAAACTACAATGTTATCGTCATCTCGCCCCGGAATTACTTCCTATTCACGCCTCTGCTGCCATCCTGCACAACTGGTCAGGTTGAGCACCGCTCGATCATGGAGCCTATCCGAAGCATTTTGCGCCACAAGAAAGCCCACGTGAAGTTCTACGAAGCGGATGCCACCAAGGTCGACTACGAGAAGCGTGTTGTGCACATTAGCGATGAGTCGGAAATCAAGGGTGAAATCTCTCACACCGAGGTTCCCTTTGACATGCTCGTCATGGGCGTTGGCGCTGAGAATGCTACTTTCGGTATGCGAAATGCCCTTGCCCCGAAGGCGCTCTACTAAAGTAATGATAGGTATCAAGGGTGTCAAGGAGCACTCTTGCTTCCTGAAGGAGGTCGGTGACGCTCAGAAAATTCGCAAGCGTATCATGGACTGCGTCGAGACTGCCATGTTCAAGGATCAGACCGATGAGGAGGTCAAACGTCTCCTCCACATGGTTGTGGTTGGTGGTGGCCCGACCGGTGTCGAATTCGCTGGTGAGCTGCAGGACTTTTTCGAGGAAGATCTGAAGAAGTGGATTCCCGAGATCCAGGAGAATTTCCACGTCACGCTTGTGGAAGCTCTTCCCAATGTGCTTCCCATGTTCTCGAAGCAGCTGATTGACTACACTGAATCCACATTCAAGGAGGAAGCTATAACGATCCGCACCAAGACGATGGTCAAGAACGTTACCGACAAGTACATCGAAGCCGAAATCACCAAGCCTGATGGATCCAAGGAAATCGAGACCATTCCCTACGGATTGCTGGTGTGGGCCACTGGCAATGCTCTTCGCCCCATCGTTCGCGACCTCATGAGCCAGCTTCCCGCCCAAAAGAACTCTCGCCGTGGCCTTGCTGTCAACGAGTACCTCGTCGTGAACGGAACAGAGAACGTCTGGGCCGTCGGTGACTGCGCTATCACCAACTACGCCCCTACAGCCCAGGTTGCTAGCCAGGAGGGTGCTTTCCTTGCCCGCCTCTTCAACACCATGGCCAAGACCGACGCCATCGAGCAGGATCTGAAGGAGCTGTCTCAGGCTCAGTCAGTAGCCAAGGGTGAGGAGGAACGCAACAGGATCTTTGATGAAATCCGCGAACTCCACAAGCAACTGCGAAGAACCAAGCAGATTGGTCCCTTCCAGTACTCCCATCAAGGAAGTCTGGCCTACATCGGAAAGGAGCGTGCGGTTGCAGACATCAGCTGGCTGAGCGGCAACATCGCAAGCGGTGGAACTATGACCTACCTCTTCTGGCGTAGTGCTTATTTGAGCATGTGCTTCAGCAGTATGTACCCTGTTCGCCCATTCCATTATACCGAACTGTTCTAACCTTTTCATCTAGCCCGGAACCGCGTCTTGGTTGCTCTTGACTGGGTCAAGGCCAAGCTGTTTGGCCGTGACGTGTCTCGCGAGTAAACCAGTCCTTGCAGTTGATAGATGACTGTTGGGAACCGTGTACAACATTAGATACGCCATACTTTATGATATTCCAAGCGTGACCCTTGTTTCCTTTCTCCGATCCTAATCCCCTGTTCTACATGACGCCTCCTCTACGACTTACCTTTCTTTATACACCTCCGAACCGAGCTTTCCGCGCCATGTTGATATCCCGACCTGTGTGACAACCTATCTTGTCATCGTACATCCGCTATTCCCACTTGTCGCCAATAGGGTTGCAGTCACAAAATGTTCTTTTTTTTCTTGTTCTAGTGGTGGATTTTCTATGGACCTTAACGATCGGGATCCTGGCTGAGATCCATCTTTTTCGTGATTCTTATCTTTCGTTTTTCTTACCTACTCATGTACGATTGGATAGACTGGGTTTGTGGGCCTTCGCATAGACTTCTGATTGTTAGAGTTGTGGGACTCAATAACGTATTTCCTTCTGTTTCAATATCAATCTCTCCATATATGTTCTTCAAATCTCTCGGACGAGTCAATTTATATTTGTTCACTTGAAAATCTATGTAGAGAATACCTGCCTAGAGTTGGGATTGACAAGAGGGAATAAAGCGTGGTATGTAGTAAATAAACACAAACGCTTTGAGAACGCCTTTTAGGAGTGATTGGTGAGTATGAGCAACAAGATATCTGAGCTATGGTATGCAGAGAGAGTCAAAAGGTCTCCATGGTATGAAAGAGGTATAAGAGCCATGGATTTGGCAGATAGTAAATGGAAAGGAGGATATTGGACGGCAGAAGAAAACAAAGACGTGGCAAGCATCTCAATCAAAAGAGATTCCATCCACGACTCCTCTGCTCCTTGCCTCCCAACGGACGCTCGGGATCCCGGTGTTTCCCGCGGCCATCGAGTTGCCTGATACTCTCGATTTTTTGAAGAGCGAGCTCTAGAAGCTCCTTCTTCTTGATGACATCAAGATGTCTCCGGATGCGGGGGTCTTCGCGTGCGAACCGCTCAACCTCTGCATCGGAGAGGTGCCGGCCAAGACGCATGTCGAGCTCGCGGGGGAAGTTGTAGTAGAATTCGGAGAGGAGCTCGACGTTGAGAAAGAGGACTGCGGTTGAGGTGAGCTTGTCGGCGACGACGTCGAGGAAGACTTCCGGGCAGTAGTATTTGTTCTTCTTGGAGGCGCATTGTTTCGAGCGCACGGCCATTAGTCGCATCTTGATGATGTCGGCGCGATCGCGGAGGAAGGCGCCCTCGCGGCCTGTAATGGGTGGTTAGTCGAGTTTAGTGGTGTGAGAGGGTACTTAACGAACCTAGGGCTAGGAGGGAAGAGCTGAATCCTCCCGCACCACCAGAACCGTCTCCCTCAAGGACGACTTCTCCCTTTCTGACCCTCTCAATGAAGGAGATTACATCGCGGAGCTTTCTCTTTCCAACATTATCTTCAACTCGTTTGAGTGCAGCTTCGCAGGCTTTTAGTTCTTCTTTCAGAGTCTTGCTGATGTTTTCCCGTCCTTTGACCCATTCGGGGTCCTCGACTTCAATCTCGAATTTATAGGGCTTGATACAATTCTCGACCTGGTCGCTCGTGCTAAAGAAGCGGTCGTTTAGGATGCTGGTGCAGGCATCGCCAATTTGTTTTTGAGCATAAGGATGGGAGGCAAAAGTAGAGTTGGCTATTAAACGCTCGACGTGTGTCTGAATCGCGTTCGCCACGACTGTCGTGGCTAGTCTGCCAATGCCTAGCTTTGTTAGGGATGATGTGGAAGCATCGAGTTTACGATGCCAGAATTGCGATTCGGGATCGGCCTTGGGAAGGTCACTGAGAGGGTCCAGCTCGGCCATTGGTGGTGTTAGGTCGTCGATGGGCCGGTTCCAATACCTCTGGGCGAGAATGTCCATGACGCGCTGGTCGAGTTCAGCCTTTAGCATTTCTCGAACCTGAGGACGACCGAAACTTTCCGCAAACGCCTTGAATGAATGCTTGAAGCCATCAAGACTTTCAGCGAGGTATGACTCTGCGCTCAGAGGCCGGTCGTTGTACTGCACCTTGAACTCGTAAGTTGCTTCTTCCAGCTCTTGACTGATGGCATCCCTAGTACCTGCTAGGCTTGACGCCATCGTTTGTTCAAGAACATGCATGAGCTTCTTCTGGAGTGTCTTGACGCCCACCGAAACACCTGCTTCCGGGCCAAATTCACCAGGATGAGCTGAAAAGTAGGCGTTTTCATTCCTCAGGATCGCACGTGTGATGTTCCCGCTTCCCCTCGAGAAGAGGGCATTTGTTTGCGGAATACGAGAAACGACACCCACGTATCCGAGCCGTAGAGGGTATTTCTTATCTGACAGTATGCTTAGACCACGTTCCGGATCGACCAGGTCCATCTTTGTTATGACGCCGATTGTCCTTTCACCCCTGGGATCAACCCTGCGACTTGCCCGCAGGGCGGTCGAGTTGGCCAGATCCACGTCTGCGGCGGAAATTGCGAGAATGACGTTCGGTGGCTGAATATACTTGTCACACAAATCGGCAATCTTCTGTTTCAATTCAGGTGGCTGATCGTGGCCGGCAACCTGAATATATCCGGGAAGATCGATAAGAGAAAGATCGGGAACATTGGGCGAATAAATCGTGAGCTGGATAGGATCGTCTGAAACACAGTCCCTTTCAGGGACAGCAAGATTGAGGTCGGTCAACGTCCGTTGAATCTGTGAAAAGTCTGTTATCTTGCCGAGCCCAAGGGCAGGAAACTCTCCGAATTCTGCTTGCGCGTTGGGGGTGTTGACTAGAGTGAGTTCGATGGGACGTCGAGTGACCATGTTCGAGCCCTTTGGAAGGAACTCGTGCCCGACGATAGCCTCAAGAACAGAGCTTTTACCAGATGATTGCGAGCCAATGACCACGATTGACGGTAGGGTCAAAGAGCCAGATTGCCCGACTGTCTGTAGGATATTTCGAATCTCAATCATCTTCCGAGTGAGCACCATCATCTGATCGTTCTCTGCATCAGTCCGAGCCGCCGAATCGTCCTCCGATTGCTCATACCCAAAGACGGACCCAACAGCTCCTGCAGCCGCAGCCGTTCCAGCTCGACTTTCTTTCGGTGATTGTCCACCACTACCACCAGATGATCCACCGCCTTGCGAGTCTTGGTCGGCGCGTAATAGCTTCTGTAACCATTCAGGTGCCTCAATATCCTCCGTAGTCTTTTGCCATCCTCGTTGTGTTTGCTCGGCCACCCCTTGCAGTCCCTGGAAAAATCCCGACGCAGCATCGCCCGCTGTTTCCCCCGCACGCTTCAGTACATCCATTGCATAGTTGCCCGCCTCTAAACAACCCAAATCGTTAGCGTATTCCGATTTTGATAGCGGGAATCAATCACATACGCGTTGCATGATATTGAAAGTAAGCAAGGCCAGCTATCATAGCTCCTCCGAACATAGCAGGCACCCGTACGAGTTTCAACGCGAGTTTGGGAAGCATTCGAGCAAAGGAGATGTTCCGCACAGCGGTCACATTGTTATGAATCCCATTTGCCCCGATAGGCCAGGCGCGACCACGCAGCGCAGCACCGCTCTCAGCTCGTAAAAGACCACCGGTCCTCGCACCGGCGTTGTGAACATGTCGGGCTAAAAGGCCCGTCCGCATGAGCGGAACAAGACGGTGGGAGAGGATCCTCCCGCTCATGGCTTTCGAGGTCGCAGTCTCACGCGCATCCAGTAAGCCGGAAGAAGTAGATGGCTGTCATGTGGCCCCAGGCGATGCGCCACGGTTGTTGGTTGATTTGCTGATACAGGCGGCGATGAGGAAAGTCACGATTATTGCCGCTGGCCGAGAACGAAAGTCAGTCGGGATCCTCGGTGGCGGAGATCCCGTGACTGACCTGCATTGGTGGCCGCTGCGCCGACCGTAAATTCCATGAGATGAGTCACGTGTGCCATAAACTGACGTGATTTATGGCTGTCGGACAAAAAGCAAAACAGGGGTAAATTTTTCTTTTCTTTCAAGCTATATCCTTGAATGATAGTTGAGCTGTATCTCGTCAATTGAAAATCTCCTGAACGTGGTTGTTGTGTCTGATGCCAGAGATTCAGTACGCCGTACTCGGAGCAAACAAAGCTAATCGTTTGCCTTCTGACTGCTGTGACCGCTACATCTAAAGTACAGCTGCTTTTTGGCACTTCTTTTCTACGAGTTTGAGATTACCCATACTGTGTCAGCTTTTAGTCCGCAAGCCGGACTACTTTGGCCAGATATGTGTCGTTTTCTAGTACGCCGAAATAATCACCTATATCTTAGCTTGACTAACGCTCTTTCAGGTATACAAGGGCAGGCATGAGATTCGCCTCAGCAAGCTAGTCACAGAGCCCAGTCACTCCATCCTTACACAGTCGTACGACTCTCGATTAAGGCTCGTAAGGGAAACCAGCATCTAAGCGTCTCATCAAATTCAGCAACAGGGCTAACTCCAACAGGACAACCGCCGCCCCGTCAATGGTGATGGCTTCGGCGTGGGCTTCTATACGGACCCCAAACTCGGTCCAGAGCCCTGCATATTCACATCCACGATCCCGGCCTGGAACTGCGAGAACCTTGAGCGTCTCGCCAGCAAGACATGCTCGAATCTCATCTTTGCGCACGTCCGCGCAACAACAGAGGGCACTCTCTCCGACACAAACTGCCACCCGTTCCAGCACCAGACGCTGATGTGGATGCACAACGGCGGGATTGGCGGCTGGCACTATATCAAGCGTGCGCTGGCCGACTCGCTCGAGGACAAATGGTACCTAGGCGTCAAGGGCGGGACGGATAGCGAGTGGGCGTTTGCGCTGTTCCTTGACTTGCTTGCGAAGGAAGGGGTTGATCCGAGTTCGGACCCGGGGCCCGAGGGTTTCGGACAGGCGCTTTTGCGGCGGGTGATGGTCAAGACGATTGCGAAGATCAATGAGTTCATTGCAGATATTCCGAAGCGGCACAATGTGAAGAACTTGGAGACACGCAGTCTCCTCAACTTTGCAGTGACCGACGGCCATACTGTGGTTTGCACGAGGTACATCAGCAGCAAGACGGACGAACCGGCGAGCTTGTATTTCTCCTCGGGGACCAAGTGGAAGGAGGGCAAGGTGAAGGGGCATTTCAAGATGGAGCGACACGATAAAGGTGCCGACATTGTCCTGGTTGCTAGCGAGCCTATTACCTTCGAGAGACGTAAGACACCCACTGAGTACTGACGGAGTTGTTTGCTAACATCTTCTACCAGACAATTGGGTCTCCGTTCCCGCCAACTCCATTGTCACGATCCATAAACAAACCGTCCTCTTACATCCGATCCTAGACGAGTTCTACAGCGAGGACCTAAACCATGATCGTTCCTCGTGCTATGCCGTCTCCAAGGGCCTTGTTAGTACGGCGCCAGGAACCACAGTGCAGCCAGCAGCGGCGGACAAGGCCACGGCACCTGATATTAGAGTCAACGGTCCCGGGCTTGGCCTTGACGAGGCCAACAATGGTATCCCTAAGAGCCGGCTGGAGACAACTAATCAGCTCGCCATGTCACACTAAGGTACAGAGTTTTGAGTTTGAAGAGTTGACAAGATGTGTGGAGTCAATGGCGTTGGGTCAAGCATGGTCAAGCGTTGGGAGCTTGTTTATTGAGTTGGTTATAGTACATAGAGTGTCGTGCATTTCATTTCATTGATTATAGTTATGATTCTTGCGGTCAAGTGTCATCTCCTGTGATATTGGCATGCTTAAAGTACTTCATGCCAACCCATGCAACAACAACCCATACCCACGACATGACCGCGGTCAATATAATGAGCGCAGGATAATATCCAACAATAGGCAGAGTAGGGTCATCCTCCAGCTCCGGAGGTGCATAAGGAGTCTCCCCAACATCCCATGCCCAGCTCCAGACACCAAAGCAACTTCCCATCCCTACGACAAAGACCAACCAGGTCACTATCAGTATTATCCAACCCCACCATTCGGTTTCAGAATAGTCCCAACCCAACACTTCCTGGCCACTAGTGATGTCAACCGCATGCGTTGCGAGGGGCGACTTTGCGCGATGGGTACTTCGGTACTTTTGGTCCGTTTGCAGGGAGTAGTAGGAATCGGCGCTCGACCCAGGAGTTGGAAGGTGCAAGCCCGCACCGCTGGTGCTTGAGGTGTTACTGGAGCTGCGGAACGCACTTGGACCGGCGCCAATGCCTTTTCTAGAAGGAAAAGAAACAATATCCTCATCGTCGGTTGTGACATCCCCGCTGACGAGGCTCTCCTTAGATTGCATTGGATGGTGGTGAGGACCGTTCCGAGCCCGTTGCGGCACATCCATTAAGGTCCAGGTGGGTGCACTATTCTCAGCTGGCGTCTCTCGCCCGGGGGGTTCGCTCGGTGTAAATGAGTTGTTCAAAGGAACCGAATCGGCGAAAGATCGCAAGCGCGTATGACTATGGGTCGGAACAGGCGGTGGTTGAAGTTGTGGTTGTTGCTGGGGTTGTGGTTGGAGTTGAGGTTGGTCGGCAACATCTCCACGGATAGCATCGACAGGGGGTCTTGTAGCCTTTTTGTCGCGATAATCAAATCGTGTGCCTAGCAAGGCCGTCTTTCTCAGCGAACCTCTTCTCCTGCGTGTCCGTCTCTGTTGTAGGGCGCTTGACATTGCCCTCCCTTTCAAGCTGGAACTGAGGTCGTCCCCGTCATCGTCGGCTTCGAGGCCCGAGTGGCCTCGTTCCGAGGGATTTTGGCTAGCTTGCATCATGCGCAAAAACGAGAGTCTGGATAGCAATGATCCCGAGGAGCTGCGCTTGTGTCCACTGCTTGCGCTCTCAGAGCGGGCCCGACCCGAAAGCCGATCTTCATTGTCGTGGGACGGTGCAGCAGCCTTGTCGTCAATTGCATCTTCCATTGACCAGGTGGCCTTGACAAGGTGTTAGTCCATCCACATCTATCTCTGCCAAAGCAAAGCAAATCGCGTGGAGATGTGATTCTCGAAAGGTGGTGGATGTCAGGGGCAGGAAAGGGCCAGCCCCGAAGGCGGTCACCGATCCAGACTTTCATGGCTCCCCGCAACTTCCCCACCAAGGTCTCCTCAACTACTTTATTTTACCCAGTGTATCACTTTCCCAACTTTCCAAGCGACGATTATCCTGCGAGTACTTTGAAGTGATACAACGCCTGCGGTATGATTCAGGACCTAAATGGACTATGAATGGTCTAAGCTGGTGATATAGAGTAAGCAATGGGAGGGAATCTTGAGGCCGTTAAAGAAGAAAAAGTTTCAGGAGCACAAGAATAACATGAAAGGGATACCAGCAGCCATGAAAGGAACAGAGAACTATCGCACAGGAATTCTGATATGGCCGATGGGAAATAGCAGGTCTTTCCAAGACCGCTCGTACATACGAAAGAGATACGATACAGATTCAAAGACATTTTAATCAGATATAGGGGTCCAAAACGGGCTCAACCATGGTGTGGGGACAGGAAGAAAGTACTTTTAGTTTATTCCGCAGGACGCTTGAATCCGAAGCCCAAGAAGCTTGACTCTGATCGAAGAGGTGCAGTATCGTTCAAAGAAAGAGCAGACGAAATTTGGCTCAACAATGTGGACTTGGGGTATTGGTGCACGAGAACACACAAATTTCATTTCAGAAAACAAGACAATTCGAGAATGGAAAAATGGCGCTCAGAGATCCAGTAGGTAATCATCAACAAGCACAAGCACAGATAGAAGGGGATGAAGTAGTCGATTCGGGATGTGGTGATGGTCGAAGATACAAGGACAGTTAGGAAGGGAGTGGAGGAAACAAAGAGGAAAGTCAAGTCCTCACGGATGTGACAGATATGGTTGGCGAATTGTCGACATGCTACTGTTGGTAGCCACCAAATCCATTTCCGAAGCTGGTGCTGTTGGGCTGATTCCAGCCAGGGTTGGGCGTGCCTTGTCCTCGGCCATAGCCGGCATTGCCTGGAACTTGGCCGTAGCCCTGGCCAGCCATCGCTGGCTGCTCCCAACCTCTTCCAGCGGGCGCTGGACCTGTGAACAACCATACTTAGTAACCACGTCTGGTTAATGGCGACAATAAGAGGAACGGAGATAAATCAAGAATAAGAGGAACGGCAATTACCTTGAGGAGTCATGGGACCCCCAGGGCCACTGTACTGAGGGAAATACGGACCTGGGCTGGAATTGAAAGACGAGTTGCCCTGCTGACCAGAGAAATTATCGAACTGGCCGGTAGGAGGACGATCCTTACCCCACTGCTAATGGTTAGCACTCGATAGATATGAGAGGAAAGCAGAACGAAGTATATGGCTGGGAACGTACGCTGCACTTCAAGGGACGGCCGTTGACATTGTAGCCATTCAGCTGGCAGATGGCCATCGCGGCATTCTCGTGGCTGTCCATCTTGATGAACGCGAATCCTCTGTCCGCTTGCATACGGTTCTCAATAACGTAGCCAAAGTTCTGGAAGAGGGGCACGATGTCATTCTGCGTGGTATAAGGGGTAAGGTTGCCCACATAGCAAGTGGTCTGCCACTGCGGGGTCTGCTGGACAACCATGTCGTAGCTCTGGATACCGTGAGTAGGAAAGTGGTGATGACCAAAGGGCGTTGTCGGTGTCATGCCCATTGCAGCCATTGCCTGCTGCTGGGAAATGGACGGTTGCCCCTTTTGATTAGCCCAGTTGCAGCGGATGGCGCGAGAACCGAGCCATTCCCCATCCATCGAGCTTAACGCTTTCTCTGCGTCTCCGCGATCACGGAAGGCGACGAAGCCATAGCCGCGGGAGCGACCAGTCTTCATGTCCCACATCACGCGCGCCTCGGAAACCGAGCCAAAGGCTGAAAAGGCTTGAAGAAGAACCTCGTCGTTGACTTCATTGCTCAAGTCGCCGACAAAGATGTGAAAATGGTTGGAAGTGTCCTCCTTGTTGGTGGTGTTGGACTGGTATGCCCAGTTCACACGGATCTCCTAGAACAGGTATCAGCGGAGATGAGGATGAAAAGGGTATTTTCGCGCATACCGACTGATGGATCCGGCGCCCATTCAGCGTCTGCATAGCCCTCTCGGCGGCACCTGGGTCGTCAAATTCGACGAAGCCATAGTTGTTTCCCTTGTTGTTAAATTGCTGTTTAATTCAGTACGTTACGAGAAGCGGGGCTCGGTGTCATGCTCACATTTGTAGAACTTACGGTCTTGTCGGGAATGATCTTGACGCTGACAACATGGCCAGTGGTCTCAAAGATTTGTTTCAGTATGTCTTCCGTCACTCGGGGATCGAGACCGCCGACGTAGAGAGCCCGCTTGTTTGGCTCAGGGGCTGCACGCCGCACATATCCACCAGCGCTGGTGGGAGACACCATATTCCCAGACATCGGAGATGTAATCGCGGTCGGGATGGGGTTTGTGTTCTGAGGAATCACTACGGGTGGGCGAGGCGGCGGAGGCATGTGGGAGGGATTGGTCTGGCCATTTCCCTGAGAGGAATCGTACTGTTGGTTCGAGACAGCAGTTGAAGCTTGCGGCGGCGGATGGGACGAAGTGGTCGAAGCAGACACGTTATCCGCCATTGTTGAAGAGAATCACAGGTTTGCGGCGTACACGAGAAGGCTGGAGTTCACAGAATAAATCCGCAAGCGAGGGGGTGACAGCAGCGTTTGGCTAGGTAGTGGAGGACAATATGACAATCGCCTGTGACGGGACGATGCAGCGTGTTACGCTGTGACTGGAATTCGGTGGTGGTCGAAGGCGGAAAAAGCGACGCGGGGATGGAGGCGTCCAAGGAGAGGAGGGGGGAACAGGAGAGGAAACGAGATGTAGGGTAGTTGACTCGGAGCAAGACGAGGAAAGAGAAAAGTGAAAAGGAATAAAGAAAGAGAAAAGCAAAGAAAAAGAGACACGCTAGATTATACAATCAAGCAGCAAACAGTTGCTGAGAAGGAAAAAAGACGGTGACAAGTCGAGGGGATGGTGGAAAGCTTTGTGATGGATGGAAAGGCGCTAAGTGGAATCCTGCCTCCTCCAGGTCCGCCCGCAAAACCACAGTTTGGACAAGGTTAGGTATAGGAAAGTGGTCGAGCTATATAAGTAAAGATAACGAGGCCAGAGAAAAATAGAGAATCTACAGCAAGGTAAAAACTAGACGCTCTGCTCGCAAAAAGGAGAAGAGTGTAAGAGAAACGGGCAAAAGTAGCAGAAGAAGGACCAGGGGCAAAAGCTGGGGAGATCTGACTTGTACCAAAAGAACGATCTCCTCAGGTACGAGCTACAAATAGTAATCTACGACCGTACCATAAAAAGTCCCATCACCCATTGCGCGGAAGGGCTTTTTGATCCTCGTTTTGTCCAGAGTGCTCTCGCCTTTTTTCCTCACTAGTGGTCAAGAGCCGCCTCGGTGGGGGATCCGCTATACTATGTACGGTTAGCGCAGTATCGATGGGGTCGGCTTTTCGAAGACAGGCGCTTAACCAGACTGCTCGATCCTCTCCAATCGATCACTCATCCCTTCTTGACCAACAACTTCACTCCGCTTGCCAACGCTAGAAACAGGGGAACAAGTTCTGACGGTCGAGCCGCCAGGAACCCCCTTCTCTGACTATTAATAACTTCTCAAGCTCGTGGTCTTACCTCTGCTCCACCGTCTCAAACCACATTCTTTTTTTGTCGGCTGCCGGCGAATCGCTACCTCCGTTTCAGCGTGCTCTCGAATTCGGATCGTCAAAAGGTGTTTTCTAGAGGGTAAACGGGCTCAGTATTGGAAACCCGGGAGTCGGCTTGCCCAATCTGCGAATTTACAAGAATACCGCAGTCCTCATGGCATATCCAAACCTCTCCAATCCGGATTCACTGGAAACCCTAACAGCCACATTAAATCAAACGGTATTGTCTCTTTTTAGAAGATAGATCTGTTGATAATGCATGCTGATTTCAGATTAGCTTATCGAGACTGGCCGGTTTTTCCGATCACAAGGGTCCTTGCAGTCTCGAGCCCAATTGAAGCGAACTCTTCCTGCAGCGCATGATAAGTTCCAATTTGCGCTGGACAATCTCTCCGAGCAGATTGTATGTGGCTAACTTGATCTATGTCTATCACGAACTCTCTGAAGGGTGCTAACAAAGGATAGTTCGTTGCGAAAGCATTCCTAGAAAGGGACTATGAAGTTATTCGGGCGAGGAAAGCAGCTCTTCGCAAACGTCCTGATGCGGATGTTGTCATGGGAGAGTCGGCCGCCCTTGACGGGCCTCAAGCTATGCTCGGCCCAGAGCAAACGGTGGCTGGCTCCGGTGCCGGAGAACCAATAGATACCGCAATCAAGGTCGAGCAGCAAACGGACATGAATAGTGACCAACAGGATACGTCCGATATCTCTGTCAAGCTAGAGGAACCACAAGGGGAGAGCGCTGGTCCCACTGTTCCTAGCCAGGAGGCTACAGGGACAGAGGAAATCAACTTTGATTCCCTGCTGAACAACCAAGGGCAAAACGAGTTCGACCTTACACTTGACTTTGGAGACGATAATAACGCCGGAAACGAGAACTTTTTCAATGCAAACTTTGGCGATCCAAATGTCAACAATGGCCTCGAGGTTGGAAGTACGGAGCCGGGTCACGAAAATGCTTTGCCCGCAGGAGGGGACGCCTTTGACCTTGAGCTTCAAAAGTTCTCGGGAGATCCAAATGAACAATTTGGGACGAACACAGAAGATATTATGGGACCAGGGGAGTCGAGTTTCGATGATCTGTTTATGGAAAGTGAGAATATGGGAGGGAACGAAAACGGCGACCAGGATTTGCTGGGAGGTGATGAATTGATGCAGATCCATGAGCTGGATGATAGCTGGTTTACATGAACTTGAAGAATCTTGGTGGCAGCCGCCTGATCAAAAGAGTTGTGAAGAGAGGTGCCCAGCGTTGACTGACATATCTCGGATTATTGTTCCGGTCCTGGTACCTGAGAATGATGCCAGACACGCGAGCTTGAAGAATGCCGAAGCTCCCCACACGTTCGAAAGCTAAACTCAAGGTTAGCGCTGCCGGCCTGCTGGGACTACATACATCTGAACTCTAAGATAGTCAGTCCCTTGGAATTCAATTCATGGCTTGCAGACCTTCAAATGCCGGATTTATACTCCTAATATCGGAGTCAATCTATATTGGGGTTTCGATCGAGCTGAATATATTTTGACCTTTTACTGTCCAATATCATGGGTGTGCACATGATAAATCTTGATTGACTCTATAGGAGACATTTAGAGTTAAGAACGAAACTTGATGCTGAAAACAATCAGAAAATCAGGAATTCTATACAAAAGCACGAACATCGCAACAGACGAACCGTGCAGACACTGACAGCTGACAGGGCTGGCGAAACCGAAGTAAATCCGAGCCCTCAGAGTTTTCTGGGGCCGCACCGGGCGATGTCACCTGGCTAGGTAAGTTGAGCCTGGAGGATGAGCCAGACCGTGTTCTAGTTATGAGACAGGCGAACAGTTGCCTTAGTAAGGCAAAGTCATCATTTGTGGCCCAAAGTCAGACGACGAAGACGAAAAGCGAGCTAAATCATGATGTCACCAGCGCCGCGTCAATATCCCCGCATTGGCAAGTGGCTCATGCAATTCCAAGAAACTTGGCCGCTGCCCTGAACATCACTCATCAAGCGTCTCACAGGCTTGAGCGTGCTTCTCTGCTTGCCGATTCTCCCGCATCCACCACCGTTCGGATGGACTTGGGAGAATCTCGACGTCATTCCTATTTCGGGGGCGGCCTTTTGGGTGGGTGAGGGTGGTTCCTTGGTCCAGACCCCAGGCCCATTCCGGTAATTCTTCACTGGGGATCGATGCTTGGCCGGGCTAGTATGAATCCATCCAAGGATAAGCGTCCGAATGGCGGCGCACATCAGTAAATAATCACATGGGGCCAGTTTTAGTGATGGGAAGGGTGTGTCAAAACACTGTCAAAGCGGAGCATGTCAAATCTCCTGTGTATCGGAGGAGAAGAGAATAACGATCGCCACTGATATTAGTTATTCTTATTCGACTAACATCAGCATTAACTAAAGGGCGAGGATGTTCGTCATGCTGTGGTCAAGCGCAAGCAAGCGTTTTGTAGTACCGCCGGATCGCCGGATGGCATCGTCTAATCGCAGGCGGAAAAAGGGCTCAGTTTAATGGATCGAATTGGACGTACCGAATTTTGTTCCGCGTCATCGTTCATGAACCGTTTTCTTTTCTTTTCTTGTCGCATATGAGAGCCCGAAGATCCCTTTTCCTCATCTCGTGCCCAAAAAAAAAAAAAGAATTGTTCCCGCACCGCCTCACTCTTGGTGTTGTCATCCACTTTCTTTGCCTTTTGCCATACATCAGAGTCTAGTCTCTCAGAACGTTTCAGAACAATAATCGGTTCCCAGTTCCCAACTCCAAGACCGGCTGTGCTCTTCTGTCCTCGCTCGTTTGCTCGTCACTCGCTTTGCAGTGTGCTCTGGGCAGCTCCTTGCGCTGTCGATCATCCTCCCCAGTACGGAAGGATGCAATAGAGGAAGCGAAAAGCAAAGAAAAAGACGCGGCAGAAGACGTTGTTCAACTGGTCGCACGACTCAAGTGCACCTTGGGATCGTGCGTAAGACTTGTACCGAAACCAATAGAGCTACCCAATAATGCAGAAACTATAATCTCAACTGTTGTTGAAGCCGCTGGCCCGCTGCACCGCAAATCGCTCATTTTCTGCTGCAGAGGCATCCATCCATCATATCTCCATTCTCCAGGCCTGGTAAGTGCAAGTCATCTGTCTCGCCCTGTCTTTGTTTTTGTGATGTCTTGTCTCGCTTCTTTATTATGCTTCTATTTTTCTTGCACGGGCTCATCCTTGCGTCCCCTTTTCTCCTTCTCCTTCCTTTCCTTTTGTTTGTCCTCCACTGCTCTTTCTCATACTTCAAATCTACAATCCCGCCTTTGCGAGTCTCGTCCAACCTCACTCTCAACACATCTATCACCCTCTGTTCCTGAAGGATCTGCAATTCAGCTTATTCTCGTCATCCACATCTCACAAATTATGACACTGGGTTGTTTTTCTCCACGATGACAGCTGCTTATGTGCCTCAGGATCTACCAGGATCAGTCACCGCCACAAATCTAGTCCCCGGCCAACTCGTCCACGATCCGCCTGAACCCGTACCTCTCCTGTCCAGTCTTCTGAGTTCCAGAATACATCGTCGCTCAGGCTCAACGGCGACTACGGACACCAACTTTGCAACCCAACAATTTCCCAAGCAGGCTGGCCTGAGTCGTCGCGGGTCTATTTTCAGAAAGCTGGCGGGTCCCCGGGAAAACGCAAAGCGCCTTCTCCGCTTTGGGACAGCCCAATCTCCGACGCCATCGCTTCAGGATCGCCCAATGGCTCGCCAACGTCGTCATCGCCCGCTCTCTGAGATTATCGGTTCCCCAGACGATGCAAACATGCTTGCCGCCACCTCTTTCCAGCCGGGCAGAATGCGCTCTCATTCTTCCTCGAATTCCTCTATAATCGCTCGAGGTGCTTCACCAGGACGCATCCCAGAGTCCGCCCCATTTCCGCAATTGCCCAATGAAAAGACCGTCGCGACAGGGAGCGGGATCACTGTTGGTATTGCGCTCACCGAACCGGTACTGTTCCTTCAAGGCTACGATCAGAATGATCCCACAACGAAGAAATCTGCTATCTTGCGAGGGCAGTTGCATTTGAAAGTCACAAAAAGTGTGAAGATTAAGAAAATCTCAATATGTTTCAGAGGGCAGGCACAGACCGACTGGCCTGATGGTAGGTTTTCTCAACCCTGGTTGTTACTAGAGTTTGACCACACGTATTGACTTGCTTTGCTTAATTCAGGTATCCCGCCCAAGAAGATTCATTTCCACGATAAGAAAGACCTGGTAACTCACGGGGTGGTTTACTTCAACCATGGCGACACGGCGCTTATGCAAAACGATTATGGAGCCCACTTTTACCAACACGCGAAACCTGTCACCTCGCTAGTAAAGGATGGCTCGACAACTGTCACCCGAGAAATCTTTACTAAGAGCGGTTCTGCGACCTCGCTCAGCCCCGGCCCAACGCCCAGAGAATTAAAGCGTCTCTCATTGCAGTCGAACAACTCGCGCAGTTTCGGGAGGGGTGATACGCCCCCACCCGGGCCGCCCCAACCCCAGCGCAATTACAGACTATTTCCAGTTGGCGATTATCTGTACAGCTTTGAATTCCCCATCGACGGGTCACTACCCGAGACAATCAAGACGGAGCTCGGTTTTGTGAAATATGATTTGGAAGCGATCGTGGAACGAGCAGGGGCTTTCCGCCCCAATCTACTGGGTACGCTGGAAGTACCCGTCATTCGCACGCCGGCAGAAGGCTCGCTTGAACAAGTAGAGCCTATCGCCATCTCTCGTAATTGGGAGGACCAGCTGCACTATGACATTGTCATATCAGGGAAATCATTTCCCTTGGGCTCCCAAATCCCAATCGCCTTCAAACTCACCCCGCTGGCCAAAGTGGAATGCCATCGGATCAAAGTTTACGTGACGGAAAATATACAACATTGGACTGCAGACAAGAGCGTGCATCGATTCCAGCCTGCAAAGAAGGTCTTGTTGTTCGAAAAGCGAGCCGACCAGCTCAGCACCAGCACGTACCCCGGCAGTTCAATGCGAGTTATGGCTGGCGGCGGCATCGAATGGGATCGACGCGCCGCTGCTGCGAGAGGAGAAGAAATCGTGGACCGGGGTCGGACGAACCTGCTTGGGAACCTTAGCAGCGAGTCAGGTGTCGGTCCAACTGAAATGGAATTCAACGTTCAACTTCCAAGCTGTCACGAGATGAAGAACCGGGATGAATCCCAGCGCCTGCATTTTGATACGACGTACGATAATATCCAGATCAATCACTGGATCAAGGTACACTTTACCACTCTACCATGCAAATCGGTTTACTAATCTGGCATACAGATCGTCCTTCGCCTATCCAAACAAGATGAGCGCGACCCTGGGAAACGACGACACTTCGAAATCTCCATCGACTCCCCATTCCATCTTCTCTCCTGCAAAGCAACACAAGCGAATATCTTCCTTCCGGCATATACCTCGCCGGACTCGGAGCCAGCGACACCTGGACCCGAATTCGAATGCGGTTGTGCTGGAGCACCCCAACTTCGTCGAAATCCTTCCGGTACCCCATCAAGCTCGGACCGAGATGAAGCGCCGGCTGCCGTTTCTAGGAGTTTCACAAGTGGCTCCGGGGGTCTGGCTCGGCCACCAGCGGCCCATCTGGCTTCAGAACATGACGGGCGAGCGAGCGAACGGTCACAGGCGCCCCGGCCGATGCACCTCCTTCGTGCCCCATCGTTCGCGCCGCCTGCTTTCGACGACGTTCCTCCTCCGCCACCACTTATAACACCTCCACCTGAGTACACCACTATCGTTGGAAACAATGACCGCGATGCGGTCCTCGAAGACTACTTCTCACGCCTGTCCTGCTACGAGGAACGGGTAGACGAGGAACGAGGTTCCGGACGAGTCGACGTGCCGCTGACCCCAGGCGCGCGGGTAAACCGCAGTATGGACGTTCCCCGTGAGTGGGTGCGTATCGACCAAACGACTCCTTGAAACTTGAAGCTATATATATCTACGACTCCATGATTGATATAAATCACGACGTCATGATTCTCTTGATTTCCGGACAGCGGGACGAAGGAGTTTGCGATAACTGGCCATCTTTTGCTTTGTGATTCCCTGAGCGCTGTATAGGTCTTTACATTTTGTGACATTTTAAAATAGGCGCTGTTGGAACATATCCGGTACTTTGTACCATCGTTAGCATGCTTTTTTGAATTGCGGTTCCAGATTTATATAACTCTGCTCATTCGTGTTCAAGGCAGTATATATCTATCTCGTGAATTAACCCTTTCTATGGTAACGTCATCCTAGTTCTTCAGCCGTCCCGAGCTATGTCTCTCCGGCGCAATGAAGCGTGTTCTGTATCCAATCGATATGCTTCTCCCGTTAGCACATCTACTGTCCAATAAAGGAAAGGGGCGGCTAACCCTGATTTCGTCTCATCCGCGAAGTTTTTGTGATCAGGATGGACACTTGCCCGAAAATCCTCGTCCTCCCACAGCCGCTTGAAGTCGTTAACATCTCTCATGACGAACTGCACAACGTAATCGTAGTCGGCAATCTTCTTCGACATTTGCATTTCCTCAGCATATGGACGACAAGAGGTGAAGTTATCGATCTGTTCAAGTAATAAGTATGAATGTAGATTGTCAGTAAGCGTAGGGAGGGGGTCAGGTATATACCAGGTTATACTCCTTGATCCCATACTTGAGAAGAAAAGGCAAAGCAAGAGGAGCATGATAGTTGGTGAGGTATTTGTGGAAATCAGACTCGTTGAGTCCTGGCTTGCGAATACCGGTGATTGTGATGCAGATTTCTGTAGCCATTGTACTGCGAGCAGGGTGGTGGTTGGGGGGTGGGGGGGCGATTAATGATGGATGTTAATCCTCGTGGGATCGGAATATTGCGAGGTATATAAAAAACGAGACTGGAATGCTGGATGCTACATTGCTTCTACAGGGTCGTTCTGGACCGTGGTTGTACACTGGATCCGGAGGGCTGGATTGTTTGGGTCGGACGAAAGCAGCGGGTGGGGTTGGAAGATCCGATGGCCGTGCTCGGATCTATGGAGATCTCTGGAATCGATTTCGATTGCTTATTGCACCTTCGCGAATGGATGCATTGTTATCACCAAGTCACCATCATGTAGAGCTCGTATTAATCGCAGGCATCTTATGAGGATTGCAGGGATATTACTAGTAGTAGATTTAGCATGGGCGCGAGTCAGCTGCTAACTCACTGGGCGTTTAGAACGTTGCAGTCGGGCCATCCTTTGCTCCCTCATCTCAACTTCGCCCACAAACATGCCATCTCTTACGACCATTTCAGCCATTTCAGTTGGCATCTTACTCCCTCTGTTCCAATATGTAATCCGCCCGCTCCTCGTCTCCCCGCTCGCCAAAATCCCCAATGCACACTTCACCTCCTCCCTCTCCAGCCGATGGATTCAGAGCATTCGCCAGGCTGGCAACGAGGTGCTCACCATTCACGCTCTGCACCGCCAGCACGGTCCTGTCGTTCGGCTTGCGCCGAATGAACTGAGCGTCAATTCCCTGCATGGTCTTCGCATCATCTACACGGGCGCCTTTGAGAAGCATCCGCTCTACCGCGAACTGTTTCTCAATTTCCATACGGACAACCTGGTTGGTATGGTCCATAATGGTCCCCACGCCCGCCAGAAACGCATGTTGAGTCGAGTCTACTCCAAGTCGTACCTCCAGGAGTCGCCCGATGTTGCCATTCTCTCGGCGGTAGTTTTGTCTCAGCGACTGTTTCCCATTCTGCAGCGATTGGCTACAGATGGGGAGACTGTCAATGTCCTTCCACTTTTCCAGGCTGTTGGGATGGACTTTACCTCGTCGTATTTGTTTGGGACGCAAAACGGAACGAAATACCTCTTCAATCTGCCCGAGTGGCAGAAGTGGCTCGAGGAGTACGAGAAATTCAAGCATCTTAGCCTCGACGAGCGCGCAGACGGCTTCGTGGAAAAGTGGTGTCTCTCTCTGTGTCAACAGACTGAGATTGCAAAGCCTCAGACCCGACTGAACTCCTCTGAGCCAGTGGTCTACAAGTCACTTCATGAAGCCTTGGTGAAGTCTCCAGATTCAAGGCCCCTCGACCTGACGATCGCCTCTGAGCTCCTCGACCATCTCATTGCTGGCCATGAAACATCTGGCATCACCTTTACCTATGTCATGTGGGAACTTTCGCAGCGTCCAGAACTTCAGGTGGAACTTCGCCGGGAGCTCTTGAGCCTCGGAACCTCACTGAAGTATCCATTCTCGCCTAATGGTGGCCTTCCGGATCTCCCTCATCCATTTGCAATTGACTCTCTACCTCTACTCGACGCCATTGTTCGCGAGACACTCCGTCTACACGCCCCGGCATCATCGCCACTGCCCCGTCTCACACCAGATACACCTGGTGGAACGTCGATCAATGGCTACGATGGTATTCCTGGAGGAATCACGGTAGCTTCGTCAGCATATACTCTTCATCGAATTGAGGAAGTGTACCCGCACCCGGCTGAATGGCTTCCAGAGCGCTGGATCAATCCAAGCCCAGGAAAACAGCACGACATGCGCCGTTTGTGGTGGCCATTCGGAAGTGGAGGTAGGATGTGCCTGGGGAGCAATTTTGCCTTGCAAGGTATACTTGACGTTACCCGGTCAGCATCATATGAGCTGACATCATTACAGAAATCAAACTCATCATGGCGGCTGTATATACAAACTATACGACATCTATTGTCGATGACGAGGGCATCGAGCAGGACTTTGAAGAATTCATCTCGCTACCAAAAGGACGAAAGCTGGTGCTGAAATTCCACCATGTCAACGCCTGAAGCTCATGGTGAGCTCTTCTTCGGTTCACGGACCATGCAATATAACTGTCAAGGTCAGCAACAATCCCTTTAGCATGCTCCGAAAATGTACATACCATACAAACATTCCCTTCCCCCTCCCGATTAGAGCTCTTATCCCGACACTCCATAACCTTCCTCATATCAAACCCCAGCTTCTCATAAATCCCCACATTCGGCTGATTCCTCGAACTCTCCAAATAACACTTGACCCCCTCCTCATCCGCCTTCCTCGTAACCTCCTCAAACAACTTCCTCCCAACCCCCTTCCCCTGGGCCTCCGGCCTCACCGCAACAATATTACAAAAATAGTACCCGCGCTCATCATCCCAAATGGCCCCCTGCGCCTCCGCCTGCCTCTCCTTCCAGATATAGTATCGCCGCACATTCAGCCCCCCGCGCCCGCCGTGCCGAAGGTTATTCAACCCCTGCCGGAACCAGAGGACCCACCCATCGTACCAGGAGGCCCAGGATTCTGGTTGAGAGGGCGGATGCGGGGGGAGCCAGCATGAGACTCCGAGGATGCCTTCGGGTCCCGAGGGACCGGACTCTTCCTTTGCGACGTGGAATATGGCGTTTTTTATGCCCCAGAGGCAGCGCGCTTCTAGGGAGCCGTAGTTGCGGGTTTTTTTGAACTGGGTTGCTTGTTAGCTTGTTCATAATCTCCATGTTTTCTTTTCCATGTATATCTCCTTGCTTCTCAAGGGATATAGTTGGTGCACGACAGACATACATTCTTCTCATCAAACACCCACCTGAAATATGGATCCTCCGCGAATGCAACCTGGATTACCTCGATTGCACCCGGGATATCCTTTTCTGTTAGAGCGTATACTTTGATAACCATTTTGCCTTTTATGCGTGTTTCTAATCCTGTAGGTGGCGAGTAGATAGTAGCTGTAGTGGTGGAAGATAACGGAGCTACTCGGTGTTAGTATGAATCTGAGAATCAGTCTCCGGAACTGCCAACGTACATTATCGTTGCGCTCTAAATCAAAGTTGCGTTTTCTTGGTATATGGGGTAATTGTAGATAACGGTTCTTGATGCTCGACAGCGAGGCTCACGGCGAATTCTGTTCGAGAAGAGGGAGGGCTGTCTTTTGCATGCGGGTGGCGAAATTAGCAAAGTCTTTAATTTGTAAGATGTGAGGAGGAAACTGTCGAGGCAGTGTCTTATAATCGTGAGTTGATTGAGAGCTAAAATAGTAACTGAATCGGGCAGGTTCATGCGGATGGATCCATCACGGGATAATCCACTTTTTGCCTTTGATCTAAACAGAGTCTATACATCTAGCTATCTGTGATAATGTGATATCTTATACGGAGTAAATAATTAGGAAGCATTATATATTACCTAGGTAGTCTATAACGTCTATATTGAGAAGAAGATGATAATTACGCCTCCCACTCCTCAAACAGCTTCGAATCAAGATCGAAGAACCCCTCTAGGACTCCCATTCCCCTTACCCTCTCCGCCTCAACCCGCTCCCAACCCCACTCCTCTCCATCCCAGGAAGCCTCGTTGACCCTCTTATCGGCTCTCAACTTGCTACCCTCGGGAATATCCCCATCCTGCAACTTAAGCACCTCGCGCACAAGCGACCCGTCCACACCACTCGCCGTCGCCGTAATGCCCGCCGGCGTCCCCGTCCCCGAGGCATCCTCCGATTCCAGGCCGGTAGCAGAAGCAGAAACAGCAGGCTCAGCAGCACCCTCAGGCCTTTCCGGCAGGAACCCACTCTTCCTCAACACCCTCTCCGGCGCAATCGTCAACCGCCCCTTCTTAACAACATACTTACTCACAGCCGTCGCATAGAGCACCCTCTTCCCGCCTTTCTTCGCCGGCGGCGCAAAGAAGAAACTCAAAATATACATCCACTTTTGGTCCCACGCCAGCACGCGCGACTCAACCTCGTACAGAGCATACGGCTTGATCTCGCGCTTGAAGCTACAAAACACGGACCCCAGCGCAATGTAGATTGATTTCCGCGGCGGGACGGGTTTCCCCGCATCGCGCGCGGTGGCGGCGAATTCGGCGTCGAGTTCCTTGCTCAAGAGGCCGACGCCGGGGCTGTAGATGCGCGTTACGAGCGCTGTGCGCGAGACGTCGAGGTCGCTGAAGTAGGTGCTGTTGGACTTGTGGAGGTTGTAGTCTGTTTCGAGGAGCGGGGTGCGGGTTTTTATGGACATGGGGACGAAGATTGGGTGTGTTGGTTTGCCAGTTGCGGTTGTCAAGGCTTTGTTCTTGGGGAAGAAGGGGGCGTTTGGGCGCCAGCGGATGTTGATGAGGAAGTGGCGGAATAGGCGGACCTGGATGAATATATCTGGTTAGGTTTCCTAGTTCAAGCGATGAGGGTGAGGTGGGTGACTTACGTGCCATACGAACGGGAGGTTCTTCAGGTTGAGGACTGCGAGGATGAGCGCAAGGGTTCGCCATGTAGCGAGCGCTGAGAACGCCGCACGAGCGTTTTCAAGGGTTAAAGCTCCCATTATATCTAACATATAGGGTAGAAAAGGAAAGAAAAAGGAGTGGAAGAGAAACGGTGAGATTAATGAATGTACTCGGGGTAGATTGACCGATGGTAGATAATCACGGATGGCGCCGTTGCGGGGATTTTCAACCAGACGCCGATAAAGGTAATTATATACACGAAGAAAAGGAGCGGAGATTTATGGTATCATCAAAAGGAATCGGATCGTCAGCTTGTGAAGCTGTTGGAGACACTGACTTGGCTGAATTGTTGGGAATAATCCACAATCGCGATGCCGAGGTAGTGTACATATTTCACGTGAAGTCCATTACTAAGATATGCATTTATGCAGGTACAAGTTGAGGAGTATATAGAGAGCAGATGATAAGATTCATTCAACTAAAAACTAAAAAATGGCCATACAGTTTGGCGGACTCGATACTCCATTCTTGCAATTCAACGGGCTACTCGACACAAAAAAGGTCCACCGTCCATGCTCCTTACACATCTTCGCCAACTCCTCTAGATCGAACATCTCCCCAATCGGCACTCCCCAGCCCGCGAGCAAGTGATGGTGTAGATCAAACTCCGGGTTCAGCGGTGGAAACACCTCAAAACTTACTGCGTCCGACGCAACAGCCGCAAAGTGGTTATCCCAGAAGAACCGCAGTACGCGCTCGCTCTGCTCGATCCCTGCGTGTTTCGGCATCGCCTGCGCGCTATACTCCTGTTTCTGGGTCTCGTTCATACCTGCCCATGTCTGTGGTAGTCCGACGCGGAGAAAGAAGATGTCCCCGCGCTGGAACTCGATCTTGGAGTCTTTGGCGATTTCCAGAACCGTGTCGAGGGAGATTTGATCCTGTGCTAGAGCATTGATAGGGAGACCTCGTTTTTCAGCCCATGAAACGTAGTCGATTAGCACACCACGCCCGGCAATTCCCTTCTTGGCCCAGAATCCGATTCCGATACGCGAGTTTTGGGGATCCTGGATCTCCTCAGCTGTCGTACCGCCGTAGAATAGTTTACGGGACGAATCCTCGCTCGTCGGCGCAGGCCCGTTATGATGTCGGAATCCGTCCCACTGAGACGATTGCTGAGGGTTAAAGTGGTACTCGTCGTCAAAGGCGATACCCTCGGCGACCCATTTCACCTTGTGCTCAAAGGGCTTGCGCTTGAATCCTAAAGCGCCAGGTTAGCTATTATAGTTCTAGTTCTGAAGGAAACAGGTTATCTGCTGTGCTCACCTGGAGGGTTTAGGTTCTCGAGGTCCCAGTTTAGACATACGCGCTCTCCGGTCTGGATTTGTGTGCGCGCTGCGTTGGCGATGATGTCCGGGGTCAGTATACGGAGCATGCCGAGGCCTTCTTCTTCTGAGCCTGGCGCCGCGGGCCAGTACTGGCGCTTGTTGGGGAGGTCATCGAACTTCTTCGGGAGATCGAAAGCAGCCATGTTTGCTGGGGAAGAGCTGAATGAGTGTCGCAGTGTTGTTGGAAGAAGGTAATTGTGAGGCAGTTCTGCGAGCAACTGGACATGCCCACTTGTCCCGCACTTTAGGATAAATACATCGGATAATTCAGACCGGCAGGTGGGGGATGATGCAGTGGTCTCGGAGTCGGAGCAAGTCCGCTACCAGAGCGGCGCCGAAGATACTCCAAGTCGAGATGGGCGCAAAGGCGCTATAAGAATAAAGTATATATCTAAATAGTCACAATAAAGAGCTCATGATAATCATGTAGAAGTTACATATCGATCGTTTACTACAAGTCATCCACGTCATCGTCCACCGAAGACTTTCCCTGTTTGTTGAGTCGGGACATCTCGTGCTCGTCTCCAGATCGCGAAGAGCCTCCGGCTGACATGGCAATTGCTTGTCGTCCAGTATCCGAGGACTCCAGAAACTCGCGCAAGCGCCGCTTGCCCTCAATCAGCGCCTGGTTTGATGCGGCCTCCGTCATCTTTATGATAGGTCCCCATAAGTTGAGCTGGTAGGTCACGTATGCCCCGACGGCGCACACGAAGAGTAGGAAGAAGTACGCAGGGTTGCGGAGGACTGTAGTGCATAGCCGGTCAGCAATGAAAAGGAGTCAGAAACAAGAGAATGGGAAGCCGTACCAGCTATAATCTCGTTCCAACCCAGAGCCAGGAGTAGACCGTAAAAGTACAGGGGAACCTGGGTCATTCCTCCAATGGCGCTCCGCTTGGCTTCCACATACACGCCATCCGCAGCTTTCTTGAATCGCACAGTGAGCTCTTGACGCTTCGCATCGCCAAGAACGGTCATTTCCTCCTCCAGGCTCTTGCCTTCTTCTTCATCCACGCCTCCGATGGGTGCCAAATCTTCCTCATCTGCAGGAGTAGCTGAGCTAGGAGTGTGTCCGATCCAGCGGTCCAGTGGCGGAGGAGCCGAGTTCTCAGCCAGTCGGAACTTTGAGAGAAGCGGGATCAGAGTCAATGTCGACTCGCGGGCTCGAGTGTAGAGGCCCTCAATGTCGTCAGTTGGTCGCCAGATTCTAGGAACACCAGCCTCGTCGTAGCGGAACTTGTCTTCAAAGTTCTCTCGTAGCTTGAGTAAAAGATTGCCCTCGATCATCTCCTCTTCGATCTTGGCACGCAAGACTCCCCAAGACTTCCTCCGTAGTCTCCACAGGCCAACATCGACCTCCTCTAAACTGGCGTCAAAGCTGCTAGCGCGGTCCGTAAATCTCCTCTCGGCATCAAGGACCGTCTCGACAAAGACATTCCACACCCGATCCCAGAATCTCTTCTCCGACGGCTTCTCGCCAGATTCCGGCGCAGCACCACCGGCACGTCCGGAGCCGAGGGCATTGAACTCGAGGCCAACAGAATCACCCAAGCGAGACTGAACCCATCGCTCAACACGCGTTGCCAGTCGCCTCATTTCATCTCTTCGTAATCGGCCACTGACCTCTGCAAGTTCCTTCTCATACAAGGCCAATTCTTGCTGATAATCACTCCAGGGAGTACCTTCAACGACCGTTGTGCGAGCAACTTCTTCAAACTTCTCCAACGCTTTTTTAACCTCGTCATTGACAATTTCAGCAAAGTCATATCCGGTGCCTTTCTTCTGCCCCGCCTTGACGGCGGCGGTCACGGCTTCACTGAATTCGTTGATGCCAGACTTGTGGGCAGCCTCGAGCTGGCCCCGAAGAAGAGCCTTTAGACGAGAATCCACCTTATTCTCAAGTTCGGCCCGTTTCCGCTGATAGACACCCTTGTGATATCGGCTTGCTTCGGCTTCGAAATTCTTTATAGATTTGGCACGCGCTGACCGCATGACGGGCCCCAGGCCACCTAGAACTTCAGGTTCCCCAAGGCGAGCAGCCTGGGACTGCTTGTCTTCAAACGGAACAATAGCCTCGTCAAAGGCGACCATCACCTCGCGGAGAATTTCGTCACATCGGAACTGCGCGAGTAATTCTTGTTGAGTTGGCAAGTCCAAATCTTTGTTGTTGACAATCTGATCCCAGATGCCTTCAGCATATACCGAAAAACCATCCGCAGGAATGCGGCGATGGTACTCTGGAAGGAATACTCCACCCTCGGAGAATTCGCCGTTGCGCGCATCGAGTTGGGCATTTTTCTGTCCCTCACGGAAACGTAAGCTGAGCTTCTTCGTTTCTTCGACAAACTTCTCGGGTTGGTAGCTCTTGTGAGGGAGCCCATAGAACTGAAAGTCAAAGTAATCATGGACACTCGAACGTTCCAGGCCCGAAGGTTTAGAGATCGAATCCCACAAACGAGACATGTCTTCCATCAATGTCTTTTGCAAGGCCTTGAGCGGCGTGCCGCCGACGAAATCACGGATTACGAAGAACAAGAGGGACCGGTGAGTGGTGCTAAAAAAAGAATCAGCCCTGATCTATGGTTCGAGTGGTCGGTGACGTACTGCTTATCCTTAAGGAACAACTGGAGATTGACCTCAAAGACAGTCTTGAGCAAGCCCATGTTGGCGCCTTGATACAGACCAACTTGGTGCTCCCAAATGTTGACAATCAGGACCTCACTGGTAGCGAGCGCGAAGAGAGCGCTCTTGCGCTCAAAGTCCTGGTCTTCTCCTCTCTCGCGACCATCAGTACCCTCCACATCCATTACCAAGATGTTGTCGGCCATGGACTTTCCATCTCCATTCTTGTTTTTAGACAGCCAGATACCCTTGGTGGTCTGACGTCTCTCGGCCTCGGCCATGACGGAGAAGTGGGTGCCGAAGAGGTGATTAAGGAGGGTCGACTTTCCGGTGGACTGGGAGCCGAAGACCGATATGAGATGGTAGTTGAAGCCGGCCGGTGCGACATTTTCCAAGCTTAGATACCTGGACAAGTTTGTACTATAGCATTGTTTGTTAGTTCTGAAGCCACTACCCCATTGCCACACAAGGATGCGGTCCGACGTCACATTGAGCTACAAGCACAAACTCTCAGCAGCAGGGAACCTACTTGAAATCTTTATTCTCGTCTATAACTTGAACGCCATGCTCATAAGTCGTCTTATCACTGCTATCGCTGCCAATGGGGGCAAAGTGGCCATTGGTCGCCATGTTGAGGAACGCTGTTGGGATTCACCCAAAGCCAAAAAATATCGGATGTTGCGAGAATCAAAATGCGGCGATTAGTGCTGGAAGATTCCCATGTGAGAAGCGACGAAAGTGCGGCTGGAACGTTGCGTGACGGCGAGTATGCGGAGTAGGCTGGGATGGTAGTAAGGAGGCAGGGGAATAATAATGCAGGAGAAATTGGATGCAGGGGATGGGGAACTGAACTTCGACGAAGTAAGAAAGGGTCACGGAGAATGGTGTCAATCACAAGACTCTTGCAGCCACGCACAAATCGAGCTCAACGACCTCGTGGTGCGCCCGAGGTTGATTGGAAGGCCAAGTTGGTCTCGTCCCCAGCCTCCAGGAGTGGGCATTCCGTGGGCAGGAGGCATCCCGGGCGTCATCGTTGCCTGAATTTCGAGGCAGCAATATACCTGTTCAGGTCTAGCCTAGTTGATCAGATGTTATGTTCATGGGCACATGCTATGACGACTGGGCAACAGAGTACATCATTTGTAGTTTTATTGCGGCCTCGGGACTGGTTAGATTCATTCAATTCGTATATAAATGGCAAGAGAGGAGAAGATAAAAACATTCTACATGGTGAATAAAATACATATATGAAATACAGCTCAAAAACTCCAGAGCGACCCCAGTGCCAATAAAACGACGTTCTGAATCTCCTCGCGGTCCCCTGCACGGCAAGCTATAAGACCCAGAAAGAGACTTTTCATTTAGTACACAGCAGCCATCTAGGCCTCGACGACACGGGTGATCAAACCAGTGGCAACGGTGCGGCCACCTTCACGGATGTTGAAACGCTCACCAGCCTCAGCAGCGACAGGGTTGAGGAGGGAAAGGATCATCTCCACGTTGTCACCGGGCATGACGCGGCGGGAGTTGTCACCGTCGGGGAAAGTAAGATCGCAAGCCTCGTCTATAGTACGTGTTAGAAATGACCCTAAAGTCTTCCACGAGAAACAATATGGTGGAACTTACCAGCAGTGCGAATATAGCATTGGGGACGGTAGTTGACACCGAAACCGTTGCGGCGACCACCCTCAGCCTCGGTCAAAACGTACATGGAAACCATGAACTTCTTGTTGGCCTTGGCAGTGCCTGGAGCGGCAACAACCATACCACGCTTGACATCCTCACGGCGGATACCACGGAGCAGGAGACCTGAGCTGTCACCGGCGCGGGACTCATCACAGTGCTTCTTGAAGGTTTCAATGTCAGTGACCTTGGTCTTGATGGGAGCGCCACCACCACCGAGGATCTCGACTTCGCTATCCTTCTTGAGAATACCACGCTCGACACGGCCAGAGGCAACGGTACCACGGCCGGCAATAGAGAACACTTCTTCAATGGACATCAGGAAGGGCTTGTCCAGGTCACGCTCGGGGGTAGGGATCCAGGTATCGACGGCTTCGAGCAGCTGATCGATACGCTCGGCACCGATGTCGGGGCGGCGGTCCTCGAGAGCGCACAGAGCGGAACCGAAGATGATGGGGGTCTCCTCGCCCTCGAAACCGTAGGTTCCAAGAAGCTCGCGCATTTCCAGCTCAACGAGCTCCAACATCTCAGGGTCATCAACGGCATCAACCTTGTTGACGAATACTACAAGTCTCTGGACACCGACCTGGCGGGCAAGCAACAAGTGCTCACGAGTCTGAGGCCTGTTGTAAAATTAGCCTTCTTCCTGGTGAAGTCGAGAATCCGGGGTAGCCTACATCTGACCATCGGAGGCAGCAACGACTACAATGGCACCATCCATGCTGGCAGCTCCAGTAATCATGTTCTTAATGTAATCAGCGTGACCGGGGCAGTCGACGTGAGCGTAATGTCTGTTGTCCGTGGAGAACTCGATGTGTGCGGTTGAGATGGTGATACCACGCTTGCGCTCCTCAGGGGCCTTATCAATGGCACCATACTCGAGGAAGGTAGCAAGGCCCTTGGAAGCCTGGTGCTTGGTGATGGCAGCGGTCAATGTGGTCTGAGAGAAAAGGCATTAGTTATCAAAGCAGTACTTTGGATGAAAGTTGACGAAGACGCGGGTCTCACCTTGCCGTGATCGACGTGTCCAATGGTACCTTCACAGCATTATTAGAATAAACACCAGGTTAATGGAGTCAAGAAAAGCATACCAATGTTCACGTGAGGCTTGGTGCGCTCGAAAACAGTGGCCATCCCGCGGGCAGTCTGCCTGTCCTTGGAGAGCGCATAGTGGACGGGGTTAACGGCGCGAGGACGCAGGAGAGCCGTCCTGGTCGTGCGGAAAAGAAGGTTGGCGGTTCTAGAAATGCCCGACATGATGAATGCCTCGCAATGATAAAGACAAACAGAAAAGAAGGCTAGGACACGCGATGGATAGCAGAAAGGAGAGCCGGACGACAGGTTGAGCTTTGCTGAAAAATTTAGGGGACGTGCTTAGTCATTCATGGCGGATGTTCCTGGCCGGGAGCCTTCGGCCGCCCGTGGCTAGACAACGCTTGGAGCATCCAGATTTCGGATTGCTATGACAGCTTCGTCGCATGCCTACTGTCATTCATCTAGATAAATGCTCGAGCGCATTTATCTGTACGACAGGCCATCTCCGCGTAGCCTGTAATCTCTTAGTGGAAGCTGATTTCATATTATACATGATCCCTGGCTCTAGGAGCCAAGATATACCTACACACCCAAACTTGCCCAACACCTCTATACTACAATCAATGAAAATGACCTCCTTCATGTCTCACGTTTCTTTACAGTAAGCATGAGTCGCCTGCCCGGCTCTCCTTCCATAGCCTTACTCTGCACAGCATCGGCATCCTTGATGGTCTGTAATACCTTGTCCATCACACTCTTGACTTCCTCAACCGTCGGAGGCCGCTTACCCTTTTTTCTCAAGAGAATGATCTCAACCTTGCAACCTTTTTCGAGAAAGCTCGTTATTTGCTTTAAGCGATGAGTCAGGTCGTTGTTATCAATGGCCCAATTCAGTTCCATTTGTTTCACAGAGACCTTGGCAGCACGAGCTGTTTTTGCGTATGCACGCTCACTCTCCCGAAGAGCAGCGCGGTTGACGATTTTGCAAACAGGCGGCTCGTTCGTGGGAGAGACGGGCGATACTTGGAGGACAAAGTTCGCTGGCCGCTCAATCGAGCGTAGGACTCTTGAAAGCATCTCTGGTGGACCCAGCCGGCCGTCCTCCTCTACGATTCGGACATAATGTGCTTTGATAGCTTCGTCCTTAGGTTGTTCGGCTTTGTTGGCTATCTTGGGCGTATCGGAGGACCCAGGCCCACGCCAACGGGCACAGGGCCGTGACGAGTGAAAAGGGCGTAGTTGTAAGGGTATGTGCGTATGGACAGAGGAAGTAAACTGGGTGCGCGGAATCGTTTGCGGGACGAGGAATATCTGGCGAAGAGCTTGTGTCGCAGAGACAAGGCCGCGAATATGCTTCATAGTTGGCAGGCAATAAGGGGTAGTACGTGGGTAGAAAGAGGACAGCTGGATGTTCAGCTTGAAGATTGGCGTAGATATCTCGGCCACCAACTTCAGTCAAGTGGTGGAAGAAAGTCTGGGTAGCTGCGAGGAGAATTTGAACGCATGCGGTTGGACCCCGACCTGGCAGCCACAGTTCCAGGCTCCGAGATCGACGCCACAGCGGCTCTGATCCCTTTTCCCTTGAAAGTCTTGGGACAACTTTCTTATCCTTTCCACTCTCTTGGACCACCCATCTATTTCGTTATTGTTCTTCCCAGTCCAATTTCCTTCTGGAATGGTCCCGACACCTCAGACTCTATGAGTTCGTTTCTCTACGGTCGTTAATCTTGTTTTTTTTTCTTCACAGTTCCTTGGGCGTTAGTCGTCTCCTGGGACGTGACTAGAACATTTCTCACTTCTTCTTGCTCGCATGTCGACTGGAGTTGAAAACTCCCAGCCAGGCCCCAGAGCTAGTAGACGTTCCATCTCACGGGTCACTGATACCACGGATTCGTCCTTGCACCTACCGATTGCATTTGCAGATAAACCATCAATGGTCACCATGAATCAAAGCCAGAGGTCGCGGTACCTCAAGACGGGCGCCATTGTCAGCGCCGTCTTGCTCATGCTGCTCTGGCTCACCCCCTCGCGCAGTCCAGCACTCAGCTATGGCCCTGGTAGGTCGCACCGGCAAGAGTCTTGGGATGGTCTGCTAACCTCGTTGACTTCCAGGGTCTCAGGCTCCTAGCGGCGCTGCTCCCCTGACGGAAAAATGCTCAAAGCCTCACGATTCCTCCAAGCCTCTCATCCAATATGCCCTTATGATTGATGCCGGAAGTCAAGGCTCACGGATTCACGTCTACAAGTTCAACAACTGCGGATCTACCCCCGAACTCGAGCACGAGACCTTTGTTCAGACTGAGCCTAGAGAGGGCGGCTCCGGACTCAGCTCTTACAAAGCAGATGCCGAGGGAGCAGCAAAAAGTCTCGATCCTCTTATGGAGGCCGCGCTGGAAGCAGTTCCTGCCGAGTACAGATCTTGCTCCCCGGTCGCCGTCAAAGCTACGGCTGGGCTGCGAATGCTTGGTGCTGAAATGAGTCGGAATACCTTGGAGGCAGTGAGGTCTCGGCTAGAGACCGTTTATCCTTTCCCCGTCGTCTCCCGGGAAAAGGGTGGTGTTGAGATTATGGATGGCTCTGACGAGGGCGTTTATGCTTGGATTACTACGAATTACCTTCTTGGAAAGATCGGTGGGCCAGATGAGACTCCAACCGCTGCTGTTTTTGATCTTGGTGGAGGCTCTACTCAGATTGTTTTCGAGCCCACCTTTGAGAAGAGCCCGTCTGGCGGCATGCCCGAGCACTTGGCCGAGGGTGACCACAAGTACGACCTCCAATTTGGTGGCCGGCATTTCGAGCTATACCAGCATTCGCATCTCGGATATGGCCTGATGGCCGCACGGGAAACCGTGCATAAATCCCTCATCGAGACCAAGCTGGCAGCAAACCCGAATGATCTGGCATGGTTGAAGCAGCCTATTGTCAACCCTTGTATCGCTCCTGGTATGGAACGTGAAGTGAAGTTGAAATATGAGGGTGAGCAGGCGCATCATGTCCTCGCTCCCGCGGTCACGGTGACCATGGTCGGTCCAAAGGAGGGATCCCCATCAGCAGCTGCTCAGTGCCGCGGTTTGACCGAGAAGATCCTCAAGAAGGAGGCTGAGTGCGCTTTGGCGCCGTGCTCTTTCAACGGTGTCCACCAGCCATCGCTCGCCAAGACCTTCGCCAGGGAGGATGTCTACATCTTCTCCTACTTTTACGAACGCACCAAGGAATTGGGTATGCCAGACTCTTTCACGATTGACGAGATGCATGATCTCACAAACACTGTCTGCGCCGGAGAGTCTGCTTGGGGCGTGTTTGAAGGGGTGGAAAACGCCCTGACCGAACTGCGTGACCGACCAGAGTGGTGTCTCGATTTGAACTTTATGCTTAGCCTGCTCCACACTGGTTACGAGATGCCCCTGTCGCGTGAGGTCAAGGTCGCGAAGAAGATCAAGAACAACGAAGTTGGATGGTGTCTTGGCGCCAGGTAAGCATTATTATTGTCTTTTTCGATTATTCAGTACTAACTGATCTCTATAGTCTTCCTCTCTTGAGCCAGGAATCCGGCTGGACATGCCGAGTGAAGGAGATTTCATAGATTACGGTGACACGGCAATGACCTGAGATACATTTTTAATCATAAATAGATGGGTGCATACGCTTTCTTCTTCGCTGCTAACTGGCTAGACCGTTAGCAGTCGCTTCTTTTGTCTTCATTCAAATTCAAATTTGCCTGGCTTCATATTGTAGGGTACAGGCGAGTTTTGGCTCTTGGTGGTATATAGAATAATGCATTATTGGTAAACGAAGCACAGCCATGGTCTCAGCAAAAAGAGAGAGAAAAAAAAAAAACACTCTTTTCCAATGTCCAGCGCAGTTTTTGAACGCCTGTCATGATCTCTAGAATTACCGATCGTCGATCAAACCCTAAGTCAATAAAGTGTCAACTCCAAGAACACAGCACAAGTATAGAATCCAAGACACTGCCAGGTCTTTGAACAACGCCGAAGATATGCAAAAGATGACCGTCTACTCGTTGATTTCCTGAATTGATGGTTTGCCGGACGAAGACGTTTTTTCCTTCTTCATCAAGCGATCGAGGACGTTTGTTTCTTGTGGCTCGCCCTGCTTTCCGTGCTCGTTCGTCTCGCCTTCGCTAAAGTCCTCGTCATCGCCCGGCCGTTTCTCTTCCAAAACGCCCAATCCTAGGTTCTATAGAGCCGCTTGTTAGCAATGTGTGATTCCCGGGTGCGGGTCAAAGAAAGAACCCAAGACGAACCATCTCAATGTATTGACCGTTACGATGCTCGTCGTCCTCGTCGTCTTCAGCATCAAGTTGGATATCCTTGGAGCGCCCTGCGGCGATTTCCTTTTCTAGATCCTCATTGGCGGTCTTCATCTGCGGTAAGAAAGCAGAAAGTTTCGAGAGGAGACTCGGTGAGTTGTTGAATCGGCGAATGTTGGGCTTTTTCCTGGCTGGCAGAGAGGTGATCTGATCACTGTCGCCGCTTAGGCCTGATTCTCTGGCGATCTCACCCTGAGTATCATTATCGTCATCATCTTCCTCGTCCGAGGACGACAAGGACGAACCGGATGAGGAAGTATAATCGTCGTCGTCGTCGTCGTCGTCCCGAGTCTTCGAGGCTCCGTTGCGGTCATTTGCTGCGGAGGTAGCCAAAACTTCGCGCCCGCCGGTGGCCGTCACAGCAGGGCGAGCAGACTCGTCAGCGCGAGATCGCTCGAGCAATGTCACCACGGATTGTGAAGCGACAGACTGGGCATCATCACGCTGCGGGCGCTTCTGTGGCACATGGTCCATTCTCAGCGCTGCCAATGAAAGCTGGAAGACGGTTGTCGCTGGCGGGCGAAGGATGTGCTGCGGGAAACAAGGTGGGGTCGTTGGGCCAGGATGCGAAAACGGAATAGCCTCAGGCATTAGTTTATGCAGGTCCCCGAGGTTGATTGGATTGGCATGGTGTACAATGCAGTGCCAGGTGCGCTGATGGCGTTGCAGAAGGTTTAGAATCTGAAACTTGGGAAGTCGCTGAAGAATCAATCGTCTTGGTTCAACGGTTTGTTGTTTTAGCTTTACTGCCTTGATTCGGAGAGCAGCCTGCAGCCATCTAGGATCCATCACCACCACTGAGCTAGTCTGGTGGCAGTGAAGCTGTCATCTTCCCATATGATTGGGGATTAATTAGCTGGATATAAGAGACTCGACTCCAGCCAGCTCGAATGTTCCTTCTCCCTTCTCCTGGGGCTTATTCCTCCCCCTCTTTTCGTCGCCTTCTTTCACCTCTTCACGGACTCGTCTCAAGGCCTCAAGGGGGGTTTGTTTAAAGCTCCTTTATTGCTTTGTTGCACAGAGTATATATGTTCGTGCATTGGCACCTGTGCACTGTCACCTACACTTTCAACCATACAACTTGACAACGTTCAAGGTAAGTACTGCACTTCCTTCGTATACTCCTGACGATGCTAATCATTTCGTAGAACCAGTAAACACCAGTCCGTTGAAGCAGAGCGTGGATGCATCTCGCTCCTTGAGACTATCACCGACCAAAGACCACCAACCAACCACTTTGCATCCAACAGGAACTCGAAGACCAGAGGATCAACATGGATCCCCCCGAACTCCGAGTTGAGAAACCCTCTCCAACAGAGAGCGACAACGCCAGCCCAGCAACCCGCAAGACCCTGCACCAGAACATCTTTGGGAAACTCCGGCCCCTCCCCCTGCAGTACCACTGGACCTTCTGGTATGACAAGCACGCCGAGGGCTCCTCAGACTACGGCGACAGGCTCTACGTCCTATACGAGGACGTCTCAGACATCGCAACCTTCTACCGTGTCTACAACAACTACCCCTGGGAGAAGATCCCGCAGCGCGACACGGTGCACATCTTCCGGAAGGGCGTCAAGCCCGTCTGGGAGGACCCCGAGAACCTCAGGGGTGGATGCTGGAGGTTCCGCGTGCCAAAGAGGAAGGCGCAGGCGTTCTTTCACGAGATTGCGATTCTTTGTTTGGCGAATGAGTTCCAGGCGGCGCTTGAGAAAGGTATGTGTGCGCCTCTCGGGTGGTGTTCTTTTGGATGTTTTCTATTTCTGTGCGGAGGCTGACTGGGAGGATAGAGCATGACCATGTCCTTGGAGTCTCTACATCGGTACGCTTCAACACGCACTTGATCTCGGTATGGAACAAGCTGGGTTCGAATGAGCGCTCTATCAAGATCTTAGAGGAGACGATTCTTTCCCGGCTGTCGCCGAATCTGCGGCCAACTGACCCAGGCCCTAACTCTTACTTCTATAAGCGCCATGACCAGAATGACGGTTATAAGGAAGCCATTGAACAGCAAGATGCTTCAAAGCAGTGAAGTGCTGGCCGTTTGTTTTGTTGAATTTGAGTTGCTTTTCCGCCGAGGAGGCTTCAACAGCTTTGAGCTGGTCATTTCAAATGTTATATGTATAGTTTAGAGTATAAAATAGGCACCACCGGAGCACAACCAGAGGCATACTAGATTTAGTTGTGAGAAATTGACCTTCAATACCCGGATCCAATCGAGGATACCGATGTGCTCATTAACTGATTATTATGATATATAGATAGTGTACACGGTAAACGTACATGGCTGCGGCCGGGGTTTACTCCCTCGAAGTAGGTTTCTCTTCTGCATCACCTGGCCGCCAACTTTGTGCCTTGTGATTCTGATCACGGTTTCTGTCGCGGGTTTGATCTCGGTCTCCACCACCGCCTGGCATATACCGGTCTATCTCAACAAAGCCTCGCGGCCGCTCCTCAGGGCGTTCAGGTGATCGAACTCGTCGACGGGGGGAGCGGCTCCGGTGGCTGGTCAGGGGTACATAGCGATCGATATCAAGGAGACTTGGAGAGCGTCGCCGCGAGCGGGAGCGACGACGAGGCGATGTGGACGACTTTCGCTCTCTGTCCCTCCCACGTTCTCGATCTTTGTCCCTCTCCTTGTCCTTTTCAGCGGGCCTGTCCCGCTCCCGATCTCTTTCCTTTTCGCGATCTCTTTCTTTATCCACGGGCCTCTCCCGCTCCGGGTCTCTGTCCTTCTCGCGGTTCCTTTCTCTGTCTCTTCCCTTGTCTCTGTCTCGTGACCTGTCTCTGTTTCTATCGCGGTCACGTTCGCGCGACCTATCCCGTTCCCTGGACTTGTCTCTGTTTCTTTCTCGGTCCCTGTCACGATCTCGATCTCTCTGAGGCGAGCGTGGACGTGAGCGTGACCGAGAGTAGTGGCTATACCGCCGACGGTATCTATCACGATCGTCCCTATCTCTATCCCTGTCTCGAGCGCGGTCACGATCGCGACTGCGATCCCGGCTTCGATCTCGACGACGGTCATGGTCTCTATCCCGGTCGTCCCGGCCGCGATCCCTGTCACGGTCTGTCCTCCGCTCTCGATCACGGTCCTTCTCACGATCTCTCTCCCTTTCCCTGTCCCGGTCCCGATCCCGATCGACCCTGTCGTGATCGCGATCTTTTCGCTCAGGATCGCGGTCCCTATCCCTATCATGCGTTGTTCGAGTGATGGAACGGCTCCTGCTACGGCGATTTGGCCGATAGCTTCTATTGCCGTAGCCCTCCCGGAAATCGCGAATAGGTAGTTTGTCTTCCGAAGCACGTTCTCGCGGTCGGTCTGATACTTCTCGCGAGCGCCCATGACGGTCTTCCTCAAACCGCGAGCTTCTACGTCTGGAATCGCTGCGGCTAATAGCTCCTCTTCGGTTTCGCTCGTCCACGCCCGTCGACTCACGTCTGCGGTTCCTTTCTGAATCGACAGCTGGGCTTCCTGATTTGGTTGGAGTATTCGAGAACCGGGAATCGGACATGCCTTTGGGTTTCGTTGGTGGTGGCTTGAGCCCACTTTCGATAGCTTCGGCTTCCTCAAAATCAAACTCCGGCTTCTGTCGAGCCTTTGCTGCAAGCTCTTCACCTTCCTTAAGCAGGAGCAGTAGTGCGGTCTCTTCCAAGGTCTTCTCATCCACTGGCGCAGGTGGAGGAACGGGTGGAGTTGGCTCCTTTGGAGCTGGCGATTTGTCTTTTTTGGTCTCTCGTTGACGAGGCGAGACACCACGGTCAGAGCGATAGCCTGGAGAGCGATCACGGTAGCGATAAGAGTCTCTCCGATCCCGATCTCTGTCCGAGTCCCTATCCCTTGTACGCGAACGGTCTCGATCACGATATCCCCAATCTCTGTATTTCTCACGGTCGTCGCGGCGACGTCGGTCGTACCGTTCTTGTCGTTCCTTATCTCTTTGTTCATCGAGTTGGCGGTGTTCTGTCCGTCGTTGTTCGTCACGTTCCCTCTGCCTTGTACGGTCCTCTTCATCCTTTTGTCGCTGAATTTCGCGTTGCTTGCGGTCCTCTTCCGCCTTCAGCCGGGCTTCTTCTTCCTCGAGATCTCTTCGCTTGCGCTCTGCCTCCTGCCACAGCTTTTCGCGCTCATCCCGCCTGGCCTTCACAAATGCAGCGTATTCTTCGTCGGTCTTATTGCCAGCTTGTTCTTCGCGCGCGGCGTTCTCCTCACCAATTTCCTGGCGGCGAATCTCACGAATAGACTCTAATATAGTCGGGAGGTGTTGTGCGGCCAGCGCATCCAAAGTTTTCTCCACCGTCTTGTAGACATCGCTTCGATCCACCGCGCCTTCAATCAGTGTCGCAGCCTTGCCTTGATCTCTCGAGAGAAGTGAGGGTTCGCGCTCGATTTCGGATTCAGCCAAGTCAGTGAGTAGCTTCGTAAATTCCGCTTTTCCCTCCTAGCGCGTAGTCAGTAGCTGGTACCACAGCGAGTTGGATATGAGAATCGCAAAAAGCATACTCCATCGTGAAACTCCGACCAGATCTTCTTCCGAATCGTATCAAATCCTCCCTTTTTCTTGAAGCTGTGGAGCAGGTTCTCAATAGCTTCGTGCTGCCCAGCAGTCAAGGGTAGCTCCTCGGTCTTGAACTTCTTGTGCTGCAAACTCTCAAGGTCGACGGACGGTCGCTTGACGCCGTTGACGTGAGGGCTGGAGGCCTCCAAAGGTCCATCCATAACAAGAAAAACCAGAGGGCCTAATGCGACGTTCCCTGACCCCTAAAATCAGTGGGCCAAGAAGAAATTCCGAGCAGATCGCGATCGCCGCGCGTGTACCAGACCCTGTGGTGCAGGCGGCCGACGGGGCTTCGGAGAAATCGGCGTTCCGGAGCGGATTGGGAACTGCCGCCCCGTGATTCGACGCTGCAACAACTTCATCCTGGACCGACTGTCTGTGTTTCTGGTCGAACGAGCTCCATTGCGTCGCTAGCCTGTGTCCTTTTCGCGAAGTGACTGCTTATTGTCATTCTAGCAGTCCCGATACCCTTTTTTTTTCCTCTATCCGCGCATCCGCGAACCGTCCTCCGCCAATATGGTCCACAAAGTCCTCTTCTGGGGCGGCTTCGGTACGTACGACAAGTCGAGTTTATGTCGCCGGAGTGGCTGGTCAATTCGCATTGTCCCTCTGTCGGCTGCGCCAGGATATTTGTCTGCAGCTATTATCTTCATACTAACTTGTTTATTACAGGCATCGCCGTCCGACTCTGGCAACTCGGCATCGAAATGCGTCCGATCCTCGCCCGTGAATCCCTCTGGGTATACCCCCTCTTTGCCGGTGTCGGTGGCAGCTTCGGATACTGGCTCCAGGGCGTCGAGCAGCGCCAACTCCGGATCCTCGCACAGCAACGGGAAGCTATCCTCGAGAAGCGTCGGCGACGAGACAAGGGCACATTGAGCACGGTGGAGGAGGCCGGCACTTTGGCTGCGACGTCGTGAAACTGTTACAATACTGCTTGTGCTTATATCGTCATGTCTTCTTTTGATTTGTTCACGGGATAGCGGGTGGAGGAATAGACCGGGGGATTTGCTCGGGGACCCAGGCCTGTACGTGCCTTGTACGAAAATGCAAAAAGGGTTCAGACCCGATATTATTCCGATATTTACGATAAGGACTGTTTGGGCTTTGCTACCGTGAACTGTTTCCCTAGACGTAGATTGCATTGTAGAGATTCAATGTGGGCTTCAAATACCTTTTACTGGGTATAATGGATAACATGTGTTGTCCCGGATATCTTTATATATCCCCTTGTCTTGGAATGGTTACCTGGATAGATTTTTGACTCAACTTCACTGCACTGCCGGCATAAACTAAAATTGAGCTCCTGGATGTTATGTTTTCTCTTCGAGTGTCAAGGTCGACACAAACAAACTAAACTTCCAGGCGCAGCATGACAAAGGGCCTAATAAACGAGGCTGTCGCTAAATGCCAATCAATGCCTTGAAGTTTGAAATATAAATGTGGACGAGATAAGTTATGCTCCGATATAGTCCTCGTTGACCTCAGACTATATAATCATCGAAGGGCCGAAGGTATTGTGGAATTATAAAGTGATCATTGTCTTAAGCCCGTAAACTGCACTCTATCAATCTGTAATCTTGTCTTTGACACGTCGGTAAAAAAGGCATCGGTTGTGTGTACCTAACTAATTGTCGTGACTCGTCCAGAAACTTGTTAGTTTCTTACTCTCGGTTGGAAGTCCAAAACAACAAAAACAAAAAGATCATGCGTCAGCGACCGGATTCGAACCGGCGCGGGCGAACCCAACAGCTTTCTTAATCGTCGTTCGAGGCTGTCGCCTTAACCACTCGGCCACACTGACTAGAAGACTCTTGTTTGACACCCATTCTTTCTCTATGATCCTAAAGCTGATGTGTTCGTACATCTAGCATCATCCTCACTGCGCAAGTTGCTTGCTCTCAATACAATATCATTAGCCAGTCAAGATCGCCAAAATGTAGTAACCGCAATCTCTACCTAGTATATAATTCTAAGAGTAGATCCTAAGTACATGAAATATCCCGTCATGGAGATGACCGAACCCAGCTCAAGACTTCTCTATTGTGAATTGAACAGAAATCTCCCACTTCTGACCACCGCCGCCGTATCCTCCACCAAGCCGATTCCTGACCAGGCTGGACACACGCTCACGGAGTCTGGAAAGATTGTCTTCCGAACCGGATACGCGAAGCTTCAGATTCGCCATGCATAGGCCGTAATGCACCTGCCAGAACCGGGCGTCATCGACGGCGAATACGCATGGGTCCGCTTCGATGTCGCGAACGACCTCAGAGACACCGGGTCCCGAGTAGGACATGAGGAGCATTGATCCTAGAGTTTTGACCAGTCGAACGCCAATAACGCACATGGAGATCGAGATTGTGCTAGATAGCAGGACATCCAGCCAGTTATAGAGCTGGACGGAGACCAATGGGAGTATCAGGAGCAGGGTGGAGCAGGAAAGTGTGAGGAAATGGGATGGGTTGCTGAGAACAGAGGGCAGTGACTCGATGTACCCGAATCGCATTGCCTTTCCAATTCGTCCATGGTTTCTCAAGCCGATCGCAGAGACCAAGGTGGACGAGATGGCGAGGAGCGCGGTGAAGTCCACGCTTCCTGGGGAGACACGTTCATGAGCATGTGAGTGATGTGGCTCGTGCCCTGAAGACTCGAGAAAGTGCTGTAGGTTGTGCGAGATCAGGTCCATCCCCATGAACAACAAAAGAACACACATGGCGAATCCAGCCAGCACTTCCGCACGCTCCAAGCCAAACGGATGCCGGATGCTCGACCGCTTCCAGACCTCAAAGTTGCCCAATACGTCCACAGCAACGCAAAGCATTGCGCCTAACGAGTCGAATAGAATCAAGTGGGACAAAGCCGTCATTGCCAGGGATCCATGGGCACTCCACAAAGTATAAGCGGCGACAAACATATGGCACACGCTCCACCAGAATCTCCGTTTCTGGTCAACGGACATACTGGCTCGGCATTCTTTCAGATTCGGTATAGGTAGCGAATTGGGCAACGCTAGAGGAGCTCTAGGGGGCGGTTCGAGGAAAATCTGATGCGAGATACTACTGTGTTTGTACTTGTGGCCACGTCGCTGGCCAATGTTCTAGAAAGCCGAGAGTCAATGTCATGCGCGAGAGAATAAGACATGAAGCAAGCTTACAGACTTCACGATAGGGCTCTTAGCCATAGTCGTGGTCTTGAAATTGAACGGTCCTGAGCCATTGTCGCTTTGGCCATTCTGTTGCGCAGAATCCGCGGGGAGATTGAACGAGGCCCTTGTAGGACTAAGGCGACTTCGATCATCCGAGTCGGAGGTATTTCGCAATGACGGTGGAAACGAGTCTACGAGAGGCGACAGGGCGTCGCGGTCAAGAGCGTAGGATGGATAGCTGGAGGTGCCGGGGAAATCATCCGGGGGCGGAGTTGGAGTTCGCGGAGGCACAGGAAGTGGATAATTCGACGCCATTGCGCCGGCGCAGGAGGACGCTGCTCGGTATCGCGGGTCGATGAAGCGATGTTACGCCCGCTCGATACAACCGGAAAGAAGGTCGATCTTGAGAAGGCCTGGAGCGCAGATGGAACACGGTTCGTGGATAAAAGAGCCAACCGAGTCAGGAGGCGGGGAGGAGATAGTGGCCTCAGGTCCAAGCGGAGCCTACTCATCGCATCATCGACTCTCCGTCCTCCATAGTAATTCCAACTTCCATCTTTCTTCGCTTCCACATCCTTTGATGCACTTTAACGTTCTTCCATGATATGAGAAAATCTTTTGGCCATCCCCGGCAATGCGACTCCCTTTGGCGACTTAACGTTGCTTGATTCATCGGCGCTCCTCGGATGCCGGCGTCTACCTAGTCCACTATGGATCACCGCGGCTCGTTCTTCTTCTTCTTGGTTGTCTTTTACTTTCTTCTCAGCTCACAGTCACATCCTCCGTTAATTTCGCAGGATCGTGAACACCAACGAGAGCTGGAGAGAGAACGGAATGCGCTTCGCCTTTTGAACGAGTCCAAATATGGGGACTTTGAGCCAGGAGCAGACAAGTGGCTTCCATTCGTCGGGACCCGTAAGAATGATAGTTTTGATTGGGAGCTTCTCGAAGATGCTCAAAACAGAGCGCGATATCAGCTGCGATCAACGTTCACAGATGCTGGTCTAGTCCCTCCGGGAGGGCTCGAAAGCGGCGATACATCCGGTAACCTGAACCTCTCTCAGCTCGTTCTGCCCGTCTACCATAACTCAACGGGCACATTACGCGGGAACTGGGTACGCCGCAAGTCTGATACGGTCAGGCCGCCGCTTAACAAGACCGCTATCGTTCTCCAGCACGAATATCTGACCCATGAGTTCAGTCAGAACATCACAGGAGATAGTGGGACTTTCTATCTGAACATACACGAAGGTGGCGGGGAAGAAGTAAAATCGGCGGGAGGACATGTTCGAGAGATTCGAGCGACCTTGGCCGTGGAAACGGGCGACTACTGGGGTAACACATGGTATATCTCCTTATATGGAATACACTTTCCTGATACCGGGGGCATCATCCTGACCACGACGAGTGAGAAATTCCGTGGTGTTTTTACTCTACCGCACTTGACAATGTCAGTCGACTCGTACAATATCTCCCACCAACTTCTCTCCAAGTCACTCTCGGATACTATCGCGGAAAAACAGAATCGGCCTCCTACGCTGTTTCCTTGGTCTTCGCTCGTAGGAACAGAGCAGGTGGAATTTCCGGCTCCAAAATGCGAGCACATCGTTTACCTACAGCAGCACCCGGTAGCCATAGAGGGTTACCTGGCGGACCAGGTGATAATTGATCAGATGGAGCAAGAACTGAGATATCCGATGGGCGCGCCAATCCCTTCACCACCTCTGATGGTCATGTCGGGGGTGGTATACTCTCCTGACTGTGGATACATTCTTGAGACTAAGGAAGCTGCTGATTTTCCTCCGACAGAGGGACTGTATCTTCTGGGCCATAAATCAGAGGAGTATGCCAAATACGCCGCTCGCCTAGTATTCTTGATATCCGCAGCGTTCGTTGGGCAGATTACCCTCCTCATGCGACAAATCAAAGATGCTTCCACTCCCTCAACACGCAGTCGAGTCAGTTTCTACACCATTGCGCTCATGGCGTATGGAGATGCCTTCGTGTTGATATTCCTCCTACTAGAGCTTTATCCGGATGTCTCCTTTCTGGTCACATCGGTAATTTCGTTCCTCGCCTTCCTTTCTGTTAGCTACATTGGCATGAAATTCATGATGGAAATTTGGGCCATTCAAAGTCCCGAACGGAGGCAGCAAAACCGCCGAGCGAATCCTTCAGCACCAACGACTCGTCCGGGCGAACTCCCGCCTCCTGCGACAGCCGCGCGAGTACGTGATTCTGGGGCTACGCCAATCATCTTGACACCTGATCAGGACCCCCCTGCCGACGAAGATGAAGCAGCAACACCGAACCGGTCTACTGTGCCAACCGCACAAGAGACTCGGAGCGACGTTGGTGCCATGTATGCGCGCTTCTATTTTATCCTCTTCGTTATGCTCATCGTGTCTATCTGGTCATTTCTTTGGCCCAATAGGCTGGGCGGCTGGTACGCTCGAGCACTGGCATTTGTCTACCTGTCTTTCTGGGTTCCGCAAATCTACCGGAATGTCATGCGCAACTGTCGGAAAGCTCTACGATGGGACTTTGTGATAGGCGAGAGCTGTTTTCGTCTGTTCCCATTTGTATATTTTCTTGTTGCTCGCGAAAATATCTTGTTTGTCCGCACAGACATCAAAACCGCACTCGCTCTGGCCGGTTGGGTCTGGGTGCAAGTCTGGATCTTGGCAAGTCAGGATATCCTAGGACCTCGATTCTTCGTCCCTCGAGGATGGGCGCCTCCGGCATATGACTATCACCCGATTCTTCGCGAGGGTCCGGAGGAGGATCTTGACCTTGAGTCAGGCAGTGTCCTTCCAATCGGAGCCCTACGAGCAGACGGACGAGACTCGAGCGATGCCAAGGATGACGACCGACACCGCAACAAAGACAGGAAGAGGGCCATTTTCGACTGTGCTATATGTATGCAGGACATCGAAGTACCCGTTCTCGCAGCGCCCGGGGCCGCAGGCGGCAGTAGTGTTGCAGACGGGGCGACGAGTATCCTCACTCGCCGGACGTACATGGTTACTCCATGCCGCCACATATTCCACAGTGCTTGTCTCCAGAGTTGGATGAAGCTCAGACTGCAGTGTCCTATATGCCGCGAGTCTATTTCACCAGTTTAGAAGCTCTTTAGCTTTGCATAGCATCTAGATAGATGGTGTTTCAGAGTAGAATTTCTTGGCTGTACACTCGCCTTTGTGTTTTCTTTCAACTTAGATACGTTGACCACACTGCCATATCTAGCGTTACATAGAGCGACGCCAGGCACTTGACATCAGCGCAACGCTAAACCCTCAGCACGATGATTCCTGAACAAATATAATATTCCCGCCTTTCATGTTGAACGTTCAAAGCGCATGCAGCCGATGAGGGCCGAATATAGTCTAACAGGAAAATCACCTCTCATCAACAAGACGGCAAGACAAAGACAGAGCAAGGCACGAAACCAAAGCAGAAACCGCTCCACATTCCATTCATTTTCAGAAACGCATGTCAAAAGTATAGATACTCCTCTCCACAGCTCACATCTCCTAGCTGCAGCGCCTACTCCTCATCAATAGTCTCCTTGTAGGCAGCCTCGTCCAGCAGGCCGTCGAACTCAGCGGCGTCGCTGACGGAGATCTCCGCGATCCAAGCATCACCCTCAGGGCTCTCGTTGATGAACTTGGCCTTGTCCTCAAGGATGGCGTTCCCCTGGATCACCGTACCGGAGACGGGAGAAAGGACATCGGAGGCAGACTTGACGGACTCTACGGCGCCGACGGGCTCGCCAGCGCTGACCTCGAGGTCGGCCGGCGGGAGCTCAACGAAGACGACGTCGCCGAGCGACTTGGCGGCGTACTTTGTGATTCCGATCTTGGCTGTATGAAGGAAGAAAAAGTTAGATCAGCGATCGAAATCCTCGGGAGCTGGAGCTCACCCGTCTTGCCGTCATCGGCGAGCTCGATCCATTCGTGAGACTCGGTGTACTTCTTCACCTCCACTGTAGCATTGCGATTTCAATGATTAGCATATAAGTTTAGATAGGCCTGCGACAGGACCCAATGGCCTCGCAAAGGCATTTCGAGTGCTATTCTTACAGAAAGGGCTCTGCGAAAAGCTCCGGATGCTTCCCCGCGGGAAACCTGCTGTGGGAGAGACCATGCGGGCGGAGCTCAATGGGAGCTTCTGGGAGAGGGCGCGCGAGGCAAAGGGGCGGACAACTCTGGCAGCGGCAGACATTATGGCGAGTTATGAGCGACAAGAGAGGGGAAAGCGAAGAAATTGAACAGAGGAGAGTGTGAGGGAGGAAAAAAGAGGATGGTCGAGGATGATGTCGGAGAGAGTAGATAAAGCGCCAAGAAATCAACTGATAAGCGCGTCATCTCGGGAAAATCTTCACTTGTGGCCTCCTGCCTCTTCAGCCCTTCTCCTTCTCCGATCCGACGCCAGTCTGAACCCCACTTTCGCAGTTTGACTTGTTTCCTGTTTTTGAAGATGTTGTACGAGTTGATTGCGATTGTATGCTGCCCTTTTTCGGATGGATCGAGCCCGGCCTTGGTCGTTTGTTGCTAACTTTCTTCATTAGGTCCGTCCGGGCAGCCTTCACGAGGTTCGAGAGTACGTACCCCGAATAACGTTCAATGTCGAATCTTGACATCGGATTCACTGCCGAAGCAGACTGCACGACATGGGAGAGAGCGCAATGAACTGACGCGAAACAGAATCGCCCGTAACGCTGGCATTCAAGTCCTGCGCTCCGGCGGCGTGGTCCGCGGATACACCAACTGGGGAGTCTTTATGCTTCCCAAGCCCACGACGAAACATCAAGCTCGATACAACGAGGGCCACCACTTTATCATGCGCTTCGATGCCTCCGGTCCTGTCCAAACGTCCATTCGCCGAACCCTATCGCTCGATCCCCGAATGATTCGCTTCTCAGTCGTCAAGCTCGGTGACAAGCTGGAAGAGGTTGGCGATATTTCGGGCCAGGTCCAATGGAACAACAGGCGCAACTTGTCGGACTTGGTCTAAGCATTGACGTTGACTTTTTCGCTTTTCGCATCCGACGACGGCAGTGGGCGCTGTAACAGAAACCTACTGGTTGGGGTTCGGATATTAAATTTACTGTTCTGGGTTGGGACGAAAGATATCACTCTGTATATTATCATTGGCATCAACGGCGTATATGACTTTGTTTTCAATCGGGTCGGATTCTTAGAGTTGTCTTGACAGATATTTGCTTTTTACCTCGTGACGCGGCATATCGCCAGGATCAAGAAATCATACAGGTTGCTCTCTTACACAGGATACAGCAATAATGCGTAGGCTTTTCTCTCCATATTGATTACATTATCATTTTAAGCGCGCACAGCCTCTGCATGGGTCGTTTTGAATGCATTTAGCCAAGCATACACACGAGGACTAGCTTACTCCAAAGCCGAGGTTATTCCAGCCTCCCCGGCGCGCGCATACGAAGTGGAAAACATATCCGATGGGCATGATCAATGTCCCCATTCGAGCTGAAAACACCAAGAAGATTCATTGACCGACCGATCAGAGCATACGGTGCAGCTGCTTTGGCCCCTCACCACACATCAAATACCACAGGTTCACTCCAGGATGGATGAACACGAGGAGGGGTACCCACGACTCTCGTTTGTGGAGCTGATGGCCCTGAAACCCTTAGGGACCAGAGAAGCCAAAGTCAATCCCGATGAACCAGAAAAAATCGAGCGGTTTGAGTCTCTTGCAGCCCCTTATCGGCCCGGTCTAGGTACGCGCTCATTTGGAGGCCATGTGTACGCCCAAACAGCCTACGCGGCGTCAAAGACTGTTCCTAAAGGGATGGTGATACATGTAGGCTCTACAGTCTCGCTAGACTCAATCAAGCATGAGCCAATGCTAACATTCCTCAGTCCATGACCGGCACATTCATCCTCCCAGGCCGCTATGATGTGCCATACATCTACACCGTCCGCCATCTCCGCGACGGAGCCGTCTACTGCACAAGGGCCGTAGACGCCCGGCAAGACGGCCAGATCTGTTTCTCGGGCATATGCTCCTTCAAGCGTGATGAGAAGAAGGACGACTTCAACCACCAGGCGCCTTCCGCGCAGGAGCGATATCGCTCTATCCTCGCCGGCAAACGGCCAGAGGATCATCCCGTCAGCCCTAGTGTCGATGCTGACTGGTGGATTGATCAAGTGGCGCAGGGCGAATTCGTGGAGCATGAGTTCCCGGGGTTAGACGTTCGCAAGGTCGATATGAAGGACTACAACAGCACACCCGAGGTGAAGCGGAGTCCGGAGAAGTATCGCCAGCTTACGGTGTACTCGCTCTTGGGATCGCCAGGGAATGGCTCAACCACGGACGCGAATGAACTACGAAGACGAGAGGAGAGCGGGGAGTTTGATAATCTGTATGCCTGTGCTCATATGTATTCAAGCGACAAGAACTCACTGCTCCTTATCCCTCGCTCGCTGGGGATTAAGCATTGGAGCTCAATGGCCAGCTTGACGCTGACTGTTGTGTTCCATTTACATGGTGAGCCGTTGCGGATGGTCGACTGGGATGCGAGCAGCAATGAACCGGCTTCGGACCTTCCTAAGAAGTGGTTTATCCAGGAAGGGTGGACGCCTCGGTCTGGGGAGAATAGAGCAATGCATGAGAGCTGGCTGTGGAGTCCGGATGGAAAGCTACTCGCGACTAGCTACCAGGATAGTATGTTGCGGTTGGATTGGGGGAAGTTATAGCCAGCAGCATCCGACACCTACTACCCTGTGGTCCATGGAATAGATATAGATTTAGACCTCATTCCTCAACATGTACAGAGATCATGCTACCACAATCCTCTAGCGACTCAATATACATACTACAGATCGCGGTCACCTAAAGCTTCGCTCGCCCCTCGAATCCCGCAATGAAATCAGCTCTCTTGATCTCCGGCGCCGCAGCCAGATTTCCCGCAAGGGCTTTCCCGAACTGCTTGAACGCTGGAGAAGATGCATGCTCTTTTAGGTTAGCAGCGTCGGTGTATCTGCATAAGATGTTAATGTTAGCAAGGCACGACCCTAGAGACAGGATATACAAAATAATACTCACTTCTCAACAAACACAAACTCTTCGGTCCCCTGCGGCTGAAGCGCAAAGTAAATCTGCGTCTTCGGCTCGTGGTCCTCGATGTACTTTGAAAGAGTCTTGAAGGCTTCGGCGACCTTTGCATGCGATTAACATGTAACCTTAACTCAACTGCGTATCCGAATGTAGGTAGATACCTCTTGGAACTTGCCCGGCTTCGGGACTAGTCTGACAACATTGTAGATTTCCTTTGGAGACATTGTGCTGGTACGGTATGTCTGAGACGATAAGACTTTTCTTGAGTGTAGAGGAAACTGTAAGAGAGCTGAGAGATATATGTTGACTGTTGGAGGTCATCAAGGTCTCAGATCTCGGATATCAAAAGGTGGAGACGAAAAGATGCCGAGGCTGTTTTTTGTATAGTCGGGATGAGTGATCACCAACGATTCAAGCTGGTTACATCTCAGGAGGTGCCAGTGGACTGCATACGTGGTCTAGATTCGACTGATTGCACTCAATGTCGTTGTAGTGGAAGCAGAGGAGAGCTTCGTCATTGCAGAGCATTGGAATGTTTTATACAGTCGATTATATATATTTGTGCCCAACAGATGATAATGCACGTATCGGCGAGGCCTCAGATATAAAGGAAAGATACTGCCGATTAAGCCTTACTATATCAAGAGAGCCATCTACTACTCCTACTTATGCCCAGCATTCAACAAAATGTAAGTACTAGATTAGAAAGAGCAATCGCATCGCCCAATATATGACGTAATAGCTGCTCACGTGGACAGCTGGATCTTTTGACGAGGCTCTTTCCCAAGCAACAATAACATTGCAGCAACATAGCCCATGAACAGCTTCGCCCTCAAAGATGAAAAAGACACTGCTACTAGTGTTTATACATGGATTCAAGGTGAGTCAAAGCACAGTTTGGTACACCAGCTGAGGGTTTGCGCAATATAAATCTCCCCCGCATATTGCCTCAAAATCGCACCCCACATTCACCGCTAACAGCACAATTCCTGCGCATCTAGGGCGGGGATGATACGTTCGGCAACTTCCCCCAGCATCTCAAGGCGCTTCTCAGCCAGAAGCTCACTGCCATTGATGTGAGAATGCTCGTTTACCCCAAGTACGAGACCCGAGGAAGTCTACAAGAAACAGTGCTTGCTTTCCGAGAATGGTATGTAGTCGGCGCTTTTACCTGTGGTTTATGGAGCCCTGGGATCGTAAGCTAACTGATCCATCTAGGCTGCAAAATCAGGTCATTGATATCGAAGTTTCCAACCGAACGGCTTCGCCCACCGTTGACCCTTCCGTGCATGTCTTCCTTGTTGGCCACTCGATGGGTGGAATAGTTGCTGCCGATACACTTCTGCTGTTAGCATCCGAACAGCCAATACCGGTCAGGTCTTCGCCGCAACAACCTCCTGACCAGTCCGATGAAGCGATGGACGAAGGAGCGGCAGCCTCAAGCAGCGCAGATATTGGAGGACCGGGCTCGTTCATGTTTCCTCATATCCAAGGAGTGTTCGCCTTTGATACTCCATACTTCGGAATTGCTCCCGGCGTGGTGTCGTACGGTGCAGAGGGGCACTACAAGAACATTACAACCACGTACAATGCTTTCTCTGAGGTAGCTGGACTCTTTGGATTTGGAGCGAGCAACACATCTTCAAACAAGCAGGCGCCGGCGCCACCGACAGCTGACAAGAAACCGCTGCCTCCAGTTTCTGATGGTGATGCTGCAGCGACACCGTCCTGGCAACGCTGGGGCCGGTATGCCATGTTTGCAGGCGCTGCAGGGGCAGTTGCTGCTGGAGGCGCGGCTGCCATGTATTCACAACGTCACCGGTTGACTGACAGCTGGGGTTGGGTTTCATCACATCTCGCATTTGTGGGCTGTTTAGCACGTCCGACGGAACTTCGACAACGACAGTCACAGATTGCGCAGGTACGCAAGGATCGAGGAATCAAATGTGTGAACTTCTTCACCTGCCTTGGGAAGAGTGCCTCGTCCCTGGTGGAGAACAAAAGCACCGTTGATGAAACAACAGGCAGTAGTAACGCCCCGTTCAGCTCCAAGATAATCCGATCGAAACATCGTACTTTCTGTTGTCTTCCTGAGAAAGAGGAGGGCCAAGAAAAGCCAATCCATTCGGGACCGGGAGTCGAGTGGATCAAAGCCGTGAATGATAGAGCCACCGACGAGATCCAGGCCCATACGTGCATGTTTCTACCGAAGCAGAACCCGGCTTTTAATGAGCTGATTAATAATGCATACACGGCGATGGTGAGATCCGTTGATAGGGGATGGTACAGTACTGCTCAAACGCAAGCAGTTGACGATGACACGGACGAGCCGCGGCCCGAGAAGGACCGAGCCCATCATCAAGCCGAAAGCGGGACCTTTGATGACGGGGATGAGGACATTGTGGTTGTTGACTGATCTCTTCATGGTACCATCGGATATGGCCTGTTTCAGATCATTAGCCTCAATTCCGGCGATTGATTCCGAGTGTCATGAGATCCGTGGATGCTGTCAGACTGACGATGATTCCTTCATGCTCCGATCGACATTGTTACCAGCCCGCTGGAGTCCATGCTAGCTAGTTTCATTGGGGCAACCTCTGCGCAGGAGCCATTAGGATGAAGAAGTACGGATCCCCGACATGCATTCATAATACTAAAGGCAACTATAAGTTGTCTTCACCGACTCATCATTGTTCAGTCAGTTCCGGGTGGGGATACTCCGTCCGCTCACTAGTTATCGAGTTCCCGAGGTAGTAACCGGGCATCTTCGACCTGACCCGCACTGCACTGCCTTGACTATCAAAAGTCAGCTTACTTTTGGTATAAACCTATTGCCTATCAAGGAATGTTATGATCGTTCATCACAATGTGGAGAGTCAGCGGTGGAACGGCAGAGTCAGTCAGTCAGCCACCTGTTTTCGAGTCAGTGGCCAGGGTTCCTTCATGTTGTCGGAGGTTTGTTCCTTGCTGGTTCCTTGCCGAGGAGTAGGGTTTAGATTAATCCCCGAAATTAAGCCTCCCAAAAGCCACGAGGCCTGGACCTGCTGGAACTGCGGCTAAATCCGACGCTCCAATGAAAATCTCCTCTTTCCGTCGTCCTTTGAAAGAAAAGGAGTACGAAGGCGCACGCCATACCGCAAGATATCCTTCGAGTTATCTACCATGGTTGACTTCGAGACCGAAGGCTTAGCACTATGGGACTTGCCTGTTCAGGCACGGAACAGGACTGAATGGAGTTATCTCGGCACACCAAGAGTCTTAATGGTCACCAGGATTTTCTAGCCTTCCTCGGTTGATACCTAAGTTGATGGAACACTTCCGGCGTCCGTGCGCCACTCTCGGACTTAGCATGTATGAAGTAATGAACAATGACCATAGTGACATAGCCAAGGCGAAAATTGAGATTATGAAAATGGTGATTCCGAAGTAGAACTGTACAAGGAAAGATTAGATGCTGATATCGTGTAAATCCATAAAGATAGCCAAGTAAATCGCTGAAAGTCGCTCTCGGACGAATGCAGAAAAGGTGACACAACGTCATGCTCAGAGGCTAGCTGCACCTCGGAGAAAGAAAACCTAATCGAAAACCAGTATCGTATGTCAATTAATATCCATGCCCGTTGTAGGTGGACGCCCGGTGGTGATACACGCTCCCGGCGTATTCCGAGTTCGTATCTTGATACGCCGTTGCGCGTCGGTCATCTTCAGGAAGAAGCTCCTTGACCTCCCAGCTGCTCGGTTTAATTCCTACCGAGAACTCCAGATCCTCCTTGGTGATGTAATCCCAAAACTAGACGCATTTAGTTAGACATGCACAGCGGAAGGATCTGCGAAGGGTGTGGCGGTTGGCGAGGGGAGGGGAAATGTGACGATGACGCGAAGGGACATACCTTGTAGACCATCATGACGGCAAGCAGGTTACAGAATGTAGCAAAGAACAGACCGTCAAGGTAGTGCTGGACGTTGTCGCAGATCGTATCGCCAAAGGCGTACAGGATGACCTGACCGGCGATGAAGACCAGAAGGCCAAAGGCGATGTGGCCGAGGGGCCATCGGTCCTCCAGCGTGTTGAGCACGAGGAGGAGCTGCATGACGAGGTAGACTGCGATGCAGATCGCGTTGACGATGTACAGGACCGCAAACATGCCGATGGTATTTGTCGGGCTCAGACCGCCCCATGACTTGAAGGTGAGAATCGAGACGAGGAAAGACACGGCAAACATAACGGTTGACGTCAGCCGGAGGAGCCACACGGAGAGAGCAGTCCCATCTTCGTAGAGCTGGAACCCGACGAACCCGTTGACGAGCAGGCTTGTACATAGTGCCGAGGCCAGGCCGTTTTGCACGGCGACGAACCAGGGGAAGGGGCCGCTTCGTGGAGGGACCACGCCTGCGTCGATGACCAGTGAACACATAGTAAGCGCCATGAAGATGTAGAAGAATGTGATGATTTCCTTTCGGCCTGCAAAGTAGCGCATATCAAATTAGTGGGGCGGCTTCTTTTTTTTGATGCGGGTACCACTTGCGGGGGAGAGTGATCGAAACGTACCCACAGCGGTGAATTTGGACCGGATGTGCAGAATCATAATCACCGTCATTCCAAGCGCAATGATGTGGACAAACGAGGCGGCGCCCTCAAAGATGATCGTATTGGCGAGTTCGACATTGCGTGCGTAGCAGTTCGGGATCACGCCGGTTTCGCCTGATATCGCGGACGGCGGGCCGACGAGAGAGCATAGCGGCAGTGCAGCCTTTCGGCAGATCGAATCGAAGTCACCGAAGCCCATGACGCAGATGGGTCAGGTTACGTATTGTGTTTCCAACACGTTGGCTGCCAGAGAAACCTCGCGAGAAGCTGCGATACGGCCGGCGGCTGGCTGGGATAGGGGGCTCCGCTCCTGTCCAGGAACGAGGCCACAACGAGCGACTTAAGGATCGTAATCCGAGCGCAATCGACGGATGGCCGTTAGAGAAAACGGAACAGCGGATGGCGATGAGGGATCGGGCGGCAGGGTGGTGTTCGAGTGCGACGAAAATTGCGACAGTCGCCTCAGTGAGGCTGGAATGAGAGGGGACGATTGTTTGAGTCGTGGATCACGGGATGCGCTAGTGCCAGATCGGGATTGGGCGAGGCTGGTTGTCGTTGTTGCTATTTTCGGCTAGTACGGAGTACGGAGCCTGTGCCCCAGGAACAATTCTTCGACTCTAAAGTTTCCGCTAGCCGCAATAGGAAAGATGTTTACCTGGAGCCCCGCCCGGCAGCCGGAGTTCCCTCTGCATTCAACTCCGGCAGCTTCCACGGCCTTGAGGTGATGGAAGGAAGCAGGCGACTTTTTGCAGACCTGCAATACAACATGATCTGGGATTTCGGAGTAGCACACAGAGGATTTCCGAATCCTGGGCCGAACAGCCGAGTCTGACAGCGTTCGGCACGCCTCTCAGTCGAAAACAATTGCAACCTGTCATGAAGCATTCCTCTTCCCCGCCTGCGCCACACAAACTTCGTCCGCTAGTTGTACTATGGCTTCGACTTCCAAGTTCCATGCCAGAATTTCAGAGTCTCGAGTCTCGACTCGAGAACCTCAACAGCAGAAACCTCTTCCGTGCTTCAATCACAGGTACTCTTTGCCAAGGGAGTAGTGTCGTTTTTGAATCCATATACCCAACATCGCTAATATTGCCTGTCTGCCCCCTACAGTTTCCTTACCGCAAACTGTTTGTGGATATCCCGATTGACCGTGGCGCAACTCAAGGGAATGACTTCATTTACCCTCCGATCTCGGCCAAAAATTCCGACGATTGGCCCTCATTATGCTAAACAACATTATCCGAAATTGCCTTGTTGTGGTGTCATCAATACAGAAGCGCCTCAGATTTGCATGGATTTCCTGTTGATCGGGAAATTCCGTTAGATATGACGAAAATGAGCGAAAGTAGCGGAAGTTGAGAGCGGACTCCCGCAGTCGGAGTGCTGGAGGACCGCTGAAGACTGATGTCTCAGCTCAGCCTTCGAACCCTCCAGTGTCCACAGTACGTTCAAACTGTCCACCGGCAAGTCGAGCCGTGGCTCGGATGAAGACAGATGTCACAGAAGGCGCACTGTGGCTAATTGCCTAGCCTTGGAAAAAGGCAATGAGCGGGGAGAAAGGTTCCGAAAGGACTCAAAGGAGGGCAGAGCGAGGAAGTGGAGTTAAAGCTCGTTTGGTTTTGGATTTTCGTATCCTCAGAAGGACGTTCTAGCTCGGAAACGGAGACTTGGCACCGTCCCATGCTGCAAATGATGCCAAAGGCTAATTGTCTCTCCAGGTACTAAGCAGGGGCTGTCAGGCCTATGAGGAGCCAGTAATAATTAGCAGGTAGCCAATGGGTCTCGTTCCTGGCACCGTATTTCAAGGATCCCCAACCGTGGGTGGCACTTTCGATTTTCGAATCACAATCCTTTCCGCGATTCCAAATATTTTTGTTTTCAACTCAAGACGCGGTCTGTAGGCAACCAGGTATTCTGACCTGGCAATCTCCATTCCCTGCTTCATCCTTGACTCCTTCTGGCCTTGTTCCTCGGCCCTGGCACTACAGGGATTTGATAAGCGGAGATAGCGCCAAAAATTAGAGCACACTAAGCTCTGCAAGCAAAGGCCGGCAGACACACACTGATTGCTTGTTAGACTTTGCAGCGTCAACAGATTTGGGGCCCAGCAATAAGAATGTCCGCCCTGTTTAAGTCCCGGAGGAAAGCAAGCCTAGCGTAAGGTTTCTTGTTGCTGACGGTGGGGCCACTCCTGCGTATACTCCATGCAGGCACTGGCTGCGACAGCAAAAACCTACGGCTTTCCCCATAGATTACCCTAGCCACTCTGGCACTTCCCCCGTCTGTTCTCTTCCGCAACATCATAGGCCCGTCGGTTCTCAATAATAATGGGCTTCCCTGTCGAATATCCGGCTCCACGCTTTGTGGCAATTGCCGTTCACAGGAGATGGCTCCCTGACCCAAATCATCCATGATTGAGCCAATGTGGCTATAGTGGAAGCCTTATCGACTCTGCAAAGCAACACGGCTCCTCGTGCATGAAGATCCCAGCTAGCGCCACGTGCCGCTGAAAGGCTTGAAGCGTCACAAACGTCAACGGCTTTTGAGGGACGGCGTCGATCTCCCACCTATTGTCCCGATCAAGCCGAACTGTTAGATCAAGTTAGACTGTTAGATGCACTTCAAGGAGTGGGCCAGTTCCACCTCAGCGTTCCACTTCGAAACTCCTTCACGGTCCTGCAGCCGCGGTTCTTCTTCGGGCCCGACGATGAGGTCTCGGAAAATGACCCTTTTATCGTTCAATGACGCTTGACAGTATCGCAGTGGGGATGTTTCTGGAGTTTTCCGTGGCAGCGGGATTGCTCTGTGGTTGGTTCAGGGAGATCTCCATTATTTTTCCTGATATTTAACCCGAGAAAACGACAAAGACTAAATTGGCCAGGGCAATAATAATAACGAGCAGAATAATAATATTAATAAACCACGGAATAATAACACGCCAGAGGAGAAAAAAAAAGTCCAATCAATGAAAAAGGATTTTCCTTTTTTCTCCTGCTCCCCTGTCGAGTAACCCTCACTGCACACGGTTTCTGGTTTCTGGCTTGTGACGACCCTTGGGAGCAATCCTTGATAGTGACAGTTACAGATTGGACCACTTTCCTCTTCGAAGGTCCGTCATGAGCAACAGCACCCCTCGAGTATATATTGTTCATGTTTCTCTGGTACACTCTCGAGCGCCAATTTCGATTGTCTCTACAACGCATCTGGACCATTGTCGACCGTTCGTCTCCACCACGGATTGAACTGTTCTACCGCTTGCTTAGCCCTACTACCGAGCGTTCTCGACTCTCCAACCTTTTTGTTTTCATTCTCATTGGGGAGGGGGGGCTCACATACGCCTGGGTCGCCCATTTGGCCACCATGTGCAATCACTACAAAAACTTCTTTATCTACAGCAGCTGCAGCCAGCCGAGTTCTCATATAATCCGCACCGAGATGGATGAACCAAAAGAGGCCCGGTGCTCAGAAGCTCCGCACGACCGATTTATTGTGGTTGTGGGCAAATGCCTTCTCTGCCCCCGTCGCTGAGAGGCTTCATCGCCGTCACCACAGACAACTTGACCGTTTGCTCTCGAAGCCTGGCGGGGTTAATGAGCATTCTCCGTGGGGTCTCCAAAGCCTTACTTGAGGGTCAAAGATACTGTTCTATATGCGTTTAGGACACCGTGCGCCTCGTCTGCGACGACACTCTGTGCGAACTTTTGCGTCCGACTTGTTCTCGTCTTTATTTGCTTGGGATACCCCCTTTGCGGTCTTTTATATACCTGGCTCGTGTCCTGGATAAGCTGAAGTGTCTTTGGCGGCGTCTTTCTCGGCTTGGTTATGGCGTTGGTATCAACATACCCACTGCTCTTTTGGAACACAGGACCCAATTGGGATGTCTGCGTCGGAATGAATTAGACGGATGGGACTTGTATGGCGTTTGGGACAATTGGGAGTTAGAAAGTTGGGATCGCGGGCATATCTAGATGGGGTCTGCGAGGTATTTTTTTTTTTTTCTGTCGGCAGTACGAGTGAATGAGTTTGATGGGCGATTGTATGAATATTGCAATATACGGATATACGGCTGCCACATATGTTCATGGATTGCGCTGCACTCTGGCATCCTTCAATTCCCCTTTTGCTAATAGAGTTGATGAGTGCATCGGTTGCCTGAGGAGGAGTTGACCCGTCTCAACCCGCTGCTCGGAAAGACTCAAGCTCTAGACTCTGGATCACCAAGCAGCAGCATCACATGTCCACCACTGCGCTGCAGCATGTGTCCGGAAGGGTGCGGTTTGGAGTCAAAGCTCTTGGCCTTTAGCAGAGGGTATTATTTTCTTTTTTTTTCTGTGAAGGGAACGGAGAGGAGCGCGGGAGGATGAAGCGGCAGTCGCGGCGGGGTGAACCGTCCCAGGCAGCATCGCTAAGACGGAGAATCTGGCGTCTGCAATCTGGCATCTGCTTTGACCATGCGCCGCCACTCTAAGTAATTGTTCATCGTCGTTTGAGATTCAGAGCCCTCATAAGATCTATTTAATTTTCAGCAATTGCAGGTGACGCGGAAGGGCGGATCCGGCAGAGGCCTTTGGCTCTGCCAAGGCGCCAGTCTGATTGCATCCACTCTGGCAGTCCAGGGCCGAGATGAAGAAATGGAAATGGGCGTCTGTGCTCCTACCGGCGACTGGGATCGCGCGACCGGCACTGCCATCCCCTCCCCATGCGCTCGCTGACTCGATTGCTGTCACACCTGCTCGACCACTTGGAGTTTCTCGTTGAAATTGTGCGGCCCTTGCTTCCTGCTTGGATTTTCTTTTCTTCGGCCATGTGTTGGGCTGCCAGTTTCTCACCTGACGAGGCCCATCCCATCTCCATCCCGCTGTCTTCCCCGGCCCATCTGGCCCCCAGTGGGTCCCTTCATCGTTGGGACGCCCTCGTGTAAAGTACGAGGGGAACCAGACTTCAGAGTCGCATGCATCATCTCCTGGAGTTTCCTTTCTCGCCCTGGAAGGCTTCCGGCTCTTCCCACCGCGCGTTGCATGAGCAAGGTTGGCGATTAATTTGCGGGAGAGTGCTTGAGAGGACACCAATTAATTGCGAGCGCGAATCACGGCACTTCCACGGCTGCTAAGAATCCATCCAAGTTACAGGAGCTTTAGACTATGCGCCAACGCCGTCCATGTCTCGCAACGCACCAATCTGCATCTCGGGCCGATCGCTCGCGCTGCAGGCCCCCTGGCCTCTGCAGCGGCATTGGACCGCGCTATGATTTTCCTCCCTCATACCGTTGCGTCGCGGTGCATGCGCATGCTCAAGCTCGATTATAAGCCTCTGCTCGGCCCATGCCTTGCGGCACTATTGTCCATTTGTTTTTGTGTTGTTGGAAAAGATGGAGGACACACAAGACTGTGCCAGTCGCCGCCAGGACTGTCCCCATTCATCCAAGCGCAGGAGATTCAGTCTCTGCCGGCGTGTCTCGGACATCACTCATCTTGGCCACCTGACAACTTGTGACAGCGCCTGTGCTCCTCCCTTTAGCGCGTCGGATTGTTGGCCGCTGCCACTATGAGCTACGTACCCTGAATCAATCTGCCACAGTCGGAACCGCTAGCTGTCGATCATATCATCCTTCCTCCTCTCTCTCAAATTTCCGTTCCTCCTCTCCTGGTTCTTTTCGTCACTGCCGATGACGACACGGCCAACCTCTTGGGATAGCCGTTGTCCCTTCCCACGGAATGATGATGGGTGCCCGTGCCGCGGAAAGCGAGGTTTCATGGCGATCAGGACCATCCCCACCGATTCTGAGAGCTCCTTGATCAGTCACGGATGATCGCTCCCCAACTGTGCCTAGCTTTCTCCGGAGTCGTTAGCGTTACACCACGCTAAGGCATGCGACTGCCGGGCTGCGGAAGCCGAGTGCCAACCACGGAGGTATAGCACCGCCCAATAACATTCCCGACAAGGCCCCAGCTTCCAAGGACACTCAATCATCAATCATCAATCATCATCGCCGCCGTTATCGACTAATCGCACCCTCCGTTCTGAAAAGGAAGAGTTTCCCTGCAGATACCGCCAATTACGCAAATATGATCTCACTGTTGACGTCGTCTCGGGGTCTGTAATGTCGGTTAAACAGCTTTTGTTTCGTTCCTCCACTTTGTTGCTCAGCCGGAATTAATCCTGTCCATCGGAAAGTGGCCCGGAACACCACCCGATATCGCGGACCCGGCACTTTTCCCCGAAAATTGCGGTGCATAACTTCCGAGGGCCGGCTGAATTGCGTGTACAAATGTACACGCACATGGCTGTAGACGTACAACGACAGATACGGAGTAGAGGCGTTTACCTTGATAGATAGGAGCACCAGCGTAAGCTCCGTGCGCAAGCTAAGCTAGGATGCTTAAATAATTTGCCGGCGGCCGCAGGGGGTGACGGGCCAAGCTGCCAACAGCGCTGCCCGAAATGTTCTTCCTTTCCGAATACGAGGTTCGTGAAGATGAGCAGCAGCTTGAGCCGGGAACGTCTCCATGAGGGCATGAGCACTGAGCAGGCTCGCATTCGTACAAATTATCGAGAGAGAAAGAGTCTCGAACTCGGTCAATTAGCGGCCATTTCTCGTATCTACTTGAGTCTTGACCCTCAATGCTCAATAATCCCTGTTAGCGCACGCTATTCGAGCTCACTAATCCTTGGTCGGTTTATCGTAAGGTCTTACCGGTTTTGAGATAGCTTATTTCAACTGAAGCTCCCGGAGACCTTGCAGCTGAATTTTGCTGCCTCTGGGGATTGATGCAAAAGTTTTGCAGATTTTGATCGCCAATGAGATTTCTTGTTGTTTCGAGGTTTATCAAGCTCGATAAGGCTTGATTCGAATTATGCAAACATACTTTACAACAACGTACGCTTGATGTTCAATGGAGCATGAACTGAACACTAACGTTTCTCTGGGACACTATCTGCAGCTTGCGGACGAAATCCGACTGAGGGCCTTACGAGTCGCAATAGCTACAGCGGCTGGCTGTATGCCCATTGTAAGGTGGCAGCGCATCCTGGCATGGTAAGATAAGCCACCGCCCAGGTAACCGTGCCTGGAGAACCTCCTCTCCGTTCGATCCTAAGCGAGTGTACTACTATACTATCCCGGCACAGGATCCACCCAGCCCTAAGTTTGGAGAGTTGAATCTTGACAATTGCACGTGTCATGCAAGCGAAGGAGACTCGGAGTAGTGTTGTGGACTTGACTAGCGAGCTGCAGTAGTACATTGCACTTCGCAAGTAAGGTCTTATCGAAACTCCACCAGACCAAACATGGGTGATGAAACCCACTCTAACTACCAAAAACCGTCTAGTCCCACCGAGTCTTGGTAACGAGTCAGATCGCGAACCTAAAACTGACAGCGACACGCCGAGTCAGCCTCTTCAAGTTGACAAGTTCACACCTGTGACGGTTTGGTTGTCCTTTCCAGGGCCATAGCCCATCTTCATTGATTCTCGAAAATCTGGACTCAGCGTGATCTTTCGATTTTGGTCTATGCTATGCGGCACGTGTGTGGAGCTGGAGGCTGGAGCCGATAGCCACGGCCCGGGCTATGTATGCTAGGCCCACACTGCACCGCATCCCCGTCCGTGGCCACGTGTTTGCATCCGAACGAATCCGTCCAGTGCGTTCCTGGCCCGCTGCAGATGTCAATCATGCATGGTGCCTGTCGACGATGCCATACCATGCTATTCCTTGTTTGCAGACGCAGACGCAGAGGCAGATCCACCACGCCTGCGGGCTGACACGTTTCCTCGTCCTCATCTCTTTTCTGGACGCGACATGACAGGCATCTCACCTCCTCCGGAGCCGCCGGAAGCACACCGCACGAATCGGGACGCGGTGCGAGAATTCCGGTGTGGAGCGGCGGACCACGGGTCCACTGGACCTTGGTTGGCGACGAGTTGTTGACTGTCGGTGATTGTGGGCCGGGGGCTCGGTGACCTGGTCATATCTTTGATTGTGCATGATTCATAAGTCGCCTCAATCTGTACATGGAAGGCTTCTGACGAATCCGCTCCTTCAGGCTTCGTTGGGGCTCAGTCCTATAACTCGGGACGGACTAGTGGCCACCGTCGGCCTTGGAGGTTGCAAGTAGCAAGTATTGCGGTCCGCCTGAAGTCTGGGAGCTGCAGCCTGGTTTTCTTGCTTTTGGGCTGACTTGACTTGTCATGAGCTGAGCCGAGTCGAGCCGAGCTGAGAATGTGGGTCGAGACTTCTCGGGCCGACTCGTGTCCTGCCTGGTTTTCCTGAGATTCATGTGACTCGAACCTGGCAATGTGAATGCTAGAGAACTAGGTTGTTCTAGAATCTCCATCATGGTTTGATTGATGACACGTGGAGTCCCCTTCCCAGTTAATGTGTTTTGGGTTATACTTCGCGTGGGGAATCTCCGCGCCCAATACTCAATGATTCGGATCGCTTCCGATGGGATTGTTTGCGTATGCTATCATATCCAACGAAGTATCCAATAACGATAAAGTAAGATTGGTGAAACCTGTTATTACGCGCATCAAGGTGTCCACTGGTCTAGAGAGCGAGATATTAGGGTGAAGTCCCTCTGCATACGGAGTAGTATGCAACCTGAGGCCGGATCAGATCCTCGAGCCCCCGCTAAAGGTTCAATCAAACTTGATTCACAGTTGGTTCTAAAGAACGCGTTCCTGCCCCAATCTGCTGAATGTTGACGGGGGATCCGGTTTAAAAATCAACTAGGCAGACGTTTCGCCGCTGATAGGCTCGCTCGCTCTTAGAGTTAGGGGGAGTCGAATATCGAGATCTAGAACTGTATTACTGGAACATCGAATAGAACAAAGCCTTTATTCCCTCAACTTACTGCTTATATCCCATAGCCTACCGCATCCGGTATGGAATCAGCTCATGGACTTTCAGACCTAGCCACCCGGCTATGCGCCGAAGGCTTTTTTGGAGTTTCATTTGCTGCGCTTCAGCTCTGGCCCTGCTGATATTATGGCTGTCAGAATGTCTGACTATGTAGCATATCGAAACCACTTGGGTCGAGTCGCACTCGTTCTGCGGTACATAGATGTCTCGAAAAGACGCATTTCTAGTTTGCTCTCAAGCGTATAGAGTATACTTGAAGTACTTGAATGGTATCCAACTTGGTACCGCGGGCTGTGGACCAATACCACTATTAGGTTAAGGGGCGGCGCTACCCGGCTTATACTCATTTTAATCCGAGCAAGATGTCCAGGACGGACTGATCAGAAACTGTGCTCTTCTTAACTACTGTAACTTGACAAAGATATGATTGAGGACCTTCTACGCCGGAATCTCGGATGGGGGTTTAATCCACTCTACCGGGGGTATACCTCACTGGATAAGAGCGATGAGGACCTCAGGACCTCATCTACGCATCGTTTTAGTTAGGAGATTCACAGAATGAAAGGTATAAAGTGTCTCGAGGCCCGTCGCTCTTGCCGCAACAGGTGAGGTGTAGAGGCGCGCCTGTCTTTTTAGGCATTATATAACATGGGAATAGCGACCGAGCTTAGCACACTTGCCTCAGCGCTCTCGAGAGCTTTTACCCAACTAGAAAGGCTCGACTCTTTACCTACCCTACCTAGCCTGTATTGCTCAGAACGAATATCTGCTGAGTAGGCGGCTATATAGTGATAAAGCCAAAGCAAATAGCCCTTCCTCATTGTTCATATCTGGGAGGGTTGCAGAGCGCCACGGCGTTGGATATAATGGAGTGATGACGGTTGTAATCCAGGCGCCGTCAAGCCTCCGGAATCGATCCAGCCCCTCACACAGCGCATATACCCGAATCGGTATTTCCCACAGAACAACCGAGTGCAGGGGTTTCGGATACGGGGGGTGGTTGCAAAGCCGGGTTTACTTCCCAGTGATGAAGGTCGCATCGAAGTGTCCATCTTCCGTCTTCGGCCCCTCCTATATCATCTCCCTTGGCCGCATCCTCCTTGCAGCGTTTCTCTGCCAACTCTTTGGTATAAACTTTTATCGCCACGACCCTCTCAATCTCAGCCCTTTCCCCAGGCTCGAATAAATCGAGTCTGTTGCCAAACATCGTCAACGGGAGTAGAGGTCTTCCCAAAGAATCGCTGATCGATCTTGTGCCAATACACCAAGTCAAATGCAAAGTTATTCCTTGCCGCATACGCAACCCAAAAGTCTCCACTCTTCCAGCTATCTTGCATCGGAGCAGAGAGCGGCTGCGCATCCCTTAGCCGCCCCTCCTTAATCGCCTTGTCCTCCTGGTATCTCATAGCGCGGAGAAAGGTCTGAAGACGCCGTTCACACTCGACACACCAATCATCAAGGCCTTGAGGCCAGTACTCGGGCATCTCAATCAGAAGCCACCACGGTGGTGCAAAGGAGAATCCAACCGGGGCGGCATACGTGAATTCCCAGTCTACCACGCCAAAAATTTTCCCCTCCTCATCCAGAAGGATGTTGGCTGGGCGGAGGTCGTCGCACCACAGTTGGAAGGGGCCTTTATCGAACGCCGCCCACTGTGCCGTTAAGCAGTGTTCTCTGGCGAGTTTACGGAACAGAAAGCGAGCAACGAGCTTGCGCCGACAGTCTTCGGCCGAGTCGACTGCATCGTTGCGCTGGTTTATGAGGCGAGAGATGTGGAGTTCTGCTAGCGCTTCCATGTATGAGGACGTGGTGGTAAAGGTCGTGGCTGGTAGCTTCGACTGAGGCAAAGATCCCAGTCGAATTAGACTGTTCATGGGCATTGATAAAGGCCTTTTTGTCACTTCCCAGGTGAAATCATCAACTTGGTTGAGTGACCCTATCCGAGGTAGAGATGGTCGAGAAAGCTGAAGAAGGATACTTGCAACTTCCGAATAAAGAGCCTCTAATTTTGCTTCACTGATATTTGGGTCGAGAGTGCCGCGATCTTCTTTCAGGCATTCAGGCGTATTCAGAGCATCATACATGCGTGTAGCATGCTCAATATAATCCATGATGATGGCCGGTCCCAACTCCAACGGACTCTCCTTCCTGGTCGCGTAGTGGTGCACAAAAGGCACAGGAATCGAAGTCTGGTCGTAGATATATCGCATCGCCGCGACCTCATTGCACACTTTCTCTTCAGGAAACATGGTAGCACCGGGCAGGGGGAGGCGGATAACGGCGGTCCTTGCGTTTTTGTACTCCATCTGGAAGGAGATGTTGTAGGCGCCTTTCTCCAGAAAACTGAATACACTGGCCTCCCCAGGGCGATGGTGGCTGATCAGGAAATTTCCAACGGACTTGATTATCTCGGGCTCGAGAAACTGGCGAACCCATTCGTCGGCAATGGCTTCGCTTTTCTCCCAGGCGACATCGTCGTAGCGCAAGCGGTGTTGCATACTTGAGAGGAAACCTAGGTAGTTAAAGTATGGAAGAAAGAATGCAAGTATCGTAGCCGTCAGGGGCTGGTTGGATCGGGTCGGGCAAATATCCCCGTGATGATATCGAGGCCGTGTGGATGAATTGGGACGACAAGAAGTCAATTGCAGGCCACTTTGAAAGGAAAACAAAAGCCACGCGATTATGCGAGGTGTCATATTCATTTTTCTTGAACCATACTATTATTCAATGTCCAGACTTTTCATACCAAGATTCACCTATATACCGAATCTCGAATCCCTATGGAACAAAAATGGCTCTCTGGATGCAGGGTTCTCGTCCAAAAACCTAAACTTAGGGCTCTATACATATAATCAAACTCTGCCATAGACTCATACTATACTCGTCGTATAACTATATATATGTCTAAAAGGTCTTGGGGCTAAAACGTCATACATATATATCTCGACATCTTGGAAGCCATCTGGGATAAACAGTGCTATTGTTTGACCGCACAACCCACCGCAGCGTTATCGACTATATAAACTGGCAGAGGGAGTAGTATACATGGCAGGGCGACATAAAGGCTACTGGTAGGCTGCTTGGCGAAGCGTGAGATGCAATATGAAGAGGTTTACGGAGTATACAGCCACTAAATAGAAATATCGATATACTGATAAGGTGTTCTCAAGTCTTCTCTGGTGAGACCAGTAATTTTAAGCACTGCTAGGATTCGTAATTAGGCCGGTAATATGCAATAAGAACCTGCTCACTAAGCCCTAATGCCACACCCCCGAGCCAATTTACTTTTCTGAAAGTGATTCTAGAACGCTGACGAGATTTCCAACAACGCCGTAGTCTACTGTAACTGTCTGAGCAATGTTTGATGGCTGTGACTAGCTATAAATATCTATCACCGGATATAGTAGTAGGTCAAGTTCACCGTTCGCGACAGCACAAATGACTGGTGTTGAGAAGAACCGAGAACTTCGACGATGGTTTGGCCGACGCCGCCGGTGCCACCAGCTACTGCAACGTTTACCATGGTGGGAAAACTTGCGATGTGGGGAGCACAAGAGTTAGCAGGAGAGAGATGCTCCAAGTACTTCCGTGGGTTGAAGAACATTGGTAGGATGCATATTCATATGCCCGTCCCCGCCGCGCGCGGCGCCCGGCGTAACTTGAAAAAACTACTTGCGGAGACCTTTACTGCAGATCCGCCTGTTCAGGAACTAAATGCTGACACTAAAGCATGGCAGGTGGAGAACTGTTCAACGCGGGGTTGTATACATTGATCGAGTTAGGACGTTGCGTTGAAAAGGTGTCTTGAGCTCTTACCGAGTGTGGCGTTTTCTATATGTTGCTTTGGTTGCAAAATCGGGCAGATATGCCTTGTTTATCTTATGTGACCACAAAATAGTTCCCCAGCCTAGTCGCGAGGAGCAAGGCTGATGTTAGGATACCGAGTCCAACCAAACAGGAATGGTATGATGATAATCCTACAGGCTTAATTTGCGTTTGATTTCACTGAATGTCTGGTATCTCTTATTGACAAATGAGGAGCAATAGTGACGGACACGGCCGGTGCTCGAAATAGGTAGTACGATACTCTTGTATATGAGAGTTTAATAAAACCCACTTCTTTTTGACCCTACGTCGATTGAAATTCAAAGAAAAACCTTCTGATCAGTATAAAAATGCGTGTACGCATAGTATACAGCGGACAGTTACTCTTACGGCTATGTGACCTCGGGTAAGGATGCAAAGGGAGAAGATCTATAAGGAGGCTGTCCACTAACCATCCCACGCATTTCGCTTACCTGCCCCAAGTATTGTATTGGCCCAACATTCTTGAATGACATGACCATTCCGACTGGGCATCGTATCCCGTTCTCACTTATTGGTCGGATACGAGCGACCACGCCCGACTGTTGCCCCATTCACAGCCCCAAACCAACCCTGCCGTAGGCAGCCTGAACGATAAACCTATCCGTTCCCCGTCGACTTCATGACAGACTGTGTTATCGAATCTCTGGACTTCCAATATATCAGGTAGGAAACATGTCATCCAAACACGGTTCACCGCCACCTGCGCACCCCGGGCAGGATCATCCATTCCCAGGACCGATGACTTTGCGGCGCCTTGAGTGCCCCGAGACGTCCCCATCGCCGCCTCGTCCTACTCCTATCGCGCCACCGCCGAGGAGTGAGAAGCTAGCTCTACATAACAACCAAGCGCCAGTTTTGTCCCCCCCGCCAACGTCGTCAGTGTCACCCTCAGCATCCTTTGCCAGAAGTCCGGACCCGGCGACAAAAGTCGCAAGCTTCAGCTCACAGCCCGCTGAAGAGCCGCCTACCCGTCGTCTTCAATGCCATACGGGCCGTATCCACGATATCGCAATGGCAGCAGACAAGAACCTGCTGGCCACAACATCGTCGGATATGCTAGTCCGCCTGTGGGACCCTGTAACCGGAGCCCTATTGCACACACTAGAGCGCTGGCCCGAGTGCTCCAGGGCCACAGCCATCTGTCCGGACGTCAGATACTTGGTGTCTGCACAGATGGATGGAACGATACTGGTTCTGGACTGCTCAATGATCAGCTGGCCTCGCGCGATGCCGAGGTCTCTCGGAGGCCGTTCGGGATCTATTAATGCGCTTGACATTTCCCCAGACGGGAAGACTATAGCCGCAGGCTGCGAGAACAAGACGGTACAGCTGTGGGATCTCGAGTCGGGTGTCTTACAACGGACGTTTGCAGGCCACCCGGCAGCTGTCACTGCAGTTGCATTTTCGACAGATGGGTGCCTGGTTGCGTCTGGATCGGGGGATGGCAAGGTCCGAATCTGGCGCACCGCCACCACATTTCCAGTTGCAATAGAGACGTACAAACAGCACTCGAGCGCTGTGACGGCAGTTGTTTTCTCACCGGGTGATGAGTTTCTCGCGTCCGGACATGAGAACGGTAACGTGGTTCTCTGGAACAGACACAAATCTACTGCTGTTCGCTCGATTTTGGGATATTCCGCCCCCATAACCGCCCTGCGTTTCTCACCGGATGCAACGCAGCTGGTATCTGCATCTCGCGATACGTATATCAGGGTCTGGGATATCCCAAGAAGCATGTCGGAGTGCGTCCTTACGGGACACACGGACATCGTGTCAAAGGTGAAATTCTCGCCTGACGGGAGACTCTTAGGATCAGGTTCAAGGGACCGGACGGGCCGGATTTGGGATCTCGCCACTGGAAAAGAGATACATAAAGTGACCAACACTGACGATCCAGTCGATGACCTGGTCTTCTCCGCGGACGGATCTCAAATAACAATGACCGAGTTTGGGCTCTCGACATGGAACCTGAATCCGTGGAGATGGGCTGGCAGACACCAGACTGGATACTTTTACCACTCGATTTGCATGTCCCCTCACGGCGAGATACTAGCGACCGGGGTGTATAGCAAGCTAGTTCGAATATGGTGCTGTAGCACAGGTCGGCTGTTACGTTCTCTTGATGGCCACCAGAGCCGCACCACGGCTATGGCCTTCTCGTCCGATGGGAAATTTCTGGCAACCGGGTCCGTTGACACGACGGTGGTAGTCTGGAAGATCCGCAGCGGAAAAATCATCACAAGACTCCGCGGGCACGAAAAGGATGTTCTAAAGGTTTCATTCGCCTCTGACGGCAACCTCCTCGCCTCTGCAAGCGCAGACGGATCTGTACGGGTCTGGGACACAAAATCAGGCACCACGGTGAGGATACTCGACGCCCAGGGCTCCTATCACGATTCCCCCCACAGCTTCGACTTTACAGCAGACTGTGACTGGGCAGTAGCGCGCTCTTACAGCCATGGTCTGCGGATCTGGCAGTCCAGGTACGGTGCACTCCAGCACACGGAGCAGGAAAGCGGCGGAGATATGGTCCGCATCAGTCCCGATGCTATGACGGTGGTTACAACCTCTGACAGGGGTCGTGACGGGGTAGTCATACGGATGTGGAAGCTGACTACAGGCAAACTACTCGGGATCTTGGAGGGTCATCGCACGCATGTTACTGATCTTGTATTCTCGCCTAATAGCCGTCGACTCGCCTCGTCCTCTATGGATGGCTCTGTTCGGCTGTGGGATGTGGAGTCTAGGACGCTCTTGCGTGTCCTGCGGGGCAGTGGTTGGGGTCTACATGCGCTTGCGTTTTGCTCCGAGGGGAAGATGCTTGTAGCTGGGTCGTCTGGTGGAGATGTTTTTATCTGGAAAGTTGATTGATGATAGAGGAGGAATGTATGATATGATCAAGTCAACTTTTTTTTTTTATCCCTGATTTGATACCACTGTTCAAGTTTGTAGACCAGGCTGCTTGTAATGTCTTCCCCCTATTCTGTACATGGTAAAAGTGACAAAGCTGCCAACTTTGCATCCTGTACAAACGTAGTGAGAATAGCGCGATGTGGAACTAATCCAAATAGATACACCATATAGCCTTCAATGCATAAATGCCAAGCATATCCCCATAATCCTGACACGCATCATTGGCTCGATCTACATGCATCGGACCGTGGCTATGGATCCATGGATGTGGATACCGCGCTGGTCCGTGCTGAGGTTCTTTGTCTCCAGCGTCCAGATCCGCTCTCCTTGCAGGTCAACTTGGGACGAGGAGGGGCCGCGCGAAAGCTTTTAGTTGACCGCTTCCCCTCATTCTTGAACGCGGGGATTACAACTCTATGACACTTTTTCTCCCTGCCACACTGACCGAGACTCGAGAGTCAACCCCACATCAGCCCACCATGCCCACCTTAAAACCACACCACAACCCTAGACATTTCTCTCCCTCCCAACTCAGATCCGCAAGAAAATATACACCCACCTGCTCAAACTCCCCAGAGTCAATATACATCTTCCAAGACCGCAACTCCCCCCTCTCATCATTGGCGCCCTCACGACCACGAAACTGGACCGCGATCCTCCGCACAAACCACCAAATCCACACCCGAGGCTCGAGAGACCCTCTACGCCGGGAACCGGTTTACGATTGAGGAGGTGCGCTCACCGAGGTATTCGAGTCGGGGCTTCGAAGCATTTCTGGATTGGTATTGGCGCGGTCAGTGCGGGGTTTCTAAGGGATTTGGTTGCGACGTTTCCGGGTGTTGGGAGAGACGATGGAGGAGGGTGGAGGGTTAAGGAGAAGGGGGGAAATGTTGCTTGCACGGGTGAGGGGGGAGTGTACGGGGTTGGTGAGGATTGAGCTTCTTGTTTATGGGCCTGGTGCTCGTGAGCTGGTTGAGGCTGATTTGGACGTCGATGGGTCCGTTAGGGAGGTGTTTTCTAAGGCAGATGAGCAGTGAAGAGGGGTGCGCTCGCTGGAGAGGATTGCACTTAGGGTTTCGAGAGGCTCTGCGTCACCTTCAGTGAAGGACTTTGTGCAGGAGCTTGGATGGGCGGTATATTAGATGGTCTGACGTATTGAAATAGAATTACATATCGTGACTATCAGGAAGCACCACTATATTCTGGCTAAACGAGAATCAGTCCCCAAGGCTAAGCCCGCCTCCAGTGAGATCATCTTCCTGCAGACTCGCAGCAGCTCCACCAGGATCCAAATGGCCATGTGGCACTCCGGCATTCACATCACCAACCCCGATTGGGAGAGAAAGGGGTGGCTGAGGATTGAATCCAAATGTACTAGGCTGCGCATCCAGCTACATCCGCAGCTCCATCTGCTCGGGCTGAAAACTGGCCGGCCTCGCCTTGAGCTCGTAATACCGCGTTGCCACATCACAGGAAACCCGGAACAGGCGATGGTGTTTTGCGATTGCGGGCGAATGAGGGCATGTGGACTCTATTGATGCGACAAATGCTTGCATGTTGTTTAGGTCTTCGACATCGCCAGGAGCTATGTTAAGTACGATAAACTCGGCATTGGAGTACACCTGGGAAAAGTACATCTATAGACAAAGATCCGACAAGTTCTGCGAGGGAAGGAAACGGTTAAGGAACTGGCAGGTCGATTGAGAATCAAGATTGTCCTCTGTTAGACGAGGAAGTCAACATCAGCGTATATTCACGAACCGTACTCTGGGTTTAATACAAATGTGAGCGATACATACCCTCGGAAGGTCATAGTAATGCAAGGGCAGTCTCTATTGGTTGCCTTGCTCATTCGCAATCCTAGTGTGATGCTCCTCGACGAGGCAACCAGTGCTTTAGATACAGAGTCCGAAGCCGTAGTCCAGGCTGCGTTGATAGAGGCTGCTAGGGGCGGGGAGAGGGTCACGATCGCTGTGGCGCACCGGCTGTCGTCTGTGCGCGAGGCGCATTGTATCTTTGTGTTTAGGGGTGGGAGAGTTGGTAAGATGGGAAGGTAAGGAGTTGGTGGCCATGGGCGGGGTTTATGCGGGGATGTGTGAGGCACAGAGGTTGGACTTTGGGGAGCTGTATCTATTGGGTATATTAGAGGATTCGCCTTTTTTTTTTTTTTTTTTTTTTTTTGTTTTATAAACAGTGAAAGGTCGGGACACTGGTCGCTTACAATGATAGTAGCCGAGCATAACTTGCTAGGCCCAGGATTATATCTACTTTTAAGACTAGATAATTGAGCGTTGGCCGGCTCTGAGACGATGGACGGCATTGGAAGAGTTCTCAGCGGCCCTGGATACTCGGAGAAGAATAAGCAATTAGGGCTAGCTGGTGGACTTACTGCCTCGGATGGTATCTCAAAGCCATGCTTTTCTCCCACGAATCCTACCGCAGCTCTATACCTAGGCTATCATCGTTTAGAATAGAGCGGATTATAACTGTCGTAAATTCAGTAGTTGGATAGTTAGGCCGTACATGGACGTCGGTAATTTCTATCCAAGCTCCTGTTATCTTCGGGAGATCCCGAGTCTGTGCAACGACCCGGGTTGCCCGCCTCTACTCTGTACTATGCTTGGCTTGCGAGCTGGAGATCGCCAATGACGCAGATATGGGAAAATTACACCAATTATGCAGAAGCTTGGCGGCTTTGCAGGGGATACGCGAAACGAAAGCTACAACGGATCGTATTGGGGGCATACCCTTGCCTTTTCCCCGAAATTGGCTAATCACACACTTTGGCTTGCTCCATCATTTCTTGTCATTGCCTAATCGGCTTATCCGCATGAGACCCTGGTTAATGGCTTACGGGACAATCTCCCAGATTGCTTTTTCAGAACCTGACCGGATGTCAATTGCCCGTACGTTTTTTTTTTTTCGGAAAGTGGATGAGGCATTGAAGATTAACTGTAGGATTTGATATCCATACGCTGTTGCTTTACCTATTAAATGAGTTTTCCACTGCCGTGCCCTATGCTTGTACTTTTCTTGGTCAAACCCAGCCACCTCCATGGGCAGTGCAGTTCATGTTTGTTACACAACATGTGACGAGCAAGCGCCCTGTGCACAGCTGGAGCTGCACCAGTTCCCCGCCCCTCCAAGAGCTTTTCTGCAACTTGTGTTGCCAGATTCTTCATTTAACCCTCGCGTATTCTGCACAAATTCATTCCGATTTGCACTTTTCCCCTCTTCCCGCTTCCCGCCCTTCCACACCCGAGCAAGAATCATGCTGACACTCCTGCTCTACCCCATCGCAGCCCTCATCCTCTACATAACCACCACCACAATCCGATCTATATACCTGCACCCACAAGCCCACATCCCCGGTCCCAAAACCTGGATCGCCTTCCCAATCCTGCGCCACATATCCGCCATCCGTGGCAGAATCCACCTCGACCTCTGCCGTTTCCACGCGACATACGGCCCCGTCGTGCGATATGGTCCTGACACTTTGTCGATAATCACCGAAGAGGTCTGGCCGAAAGTCTACGGGCATGGACATAGACAGTTACCAAAAGTTCAGCCCTCCGCCTCAAACCCGCGCGATATCCTCAGCGCGAATGACGAGGACCATGCGCGGTATCGCAAGGCGTTACTGCCCGCATTCTCAGCACGGGGCCTACAGGCGCAAGAGCCGTTGATTATTGGGTATGTGGACAAATTGATACACCGCTTGAGGGAAATTGCCGAGTCCGGCGCAGCAACAGATATGGTCAAGTGGTATAATCTGACGACGTTTGATATTATTGGCGATTTGATTTTCGGCGAGTCCTTTGGGGGATTGGATAATTCCGAGTACCATCATTGGGTTGTGACGATTTTTCGCACGATCAAGTCGCGGCCGTTTTTCTTCCTCATGGATGAGTATCCAATCGTCTTTCGTGTACTTCGTCTACTCATGCCGAGGGGGTTCGTCCCGGACGCTGTGATGCAGTCTAGGCAGGCGCACAAGACACACACGCAAGAGGCTATCGCGAAGAGACTCGAGAATGCAGCGGCGTATAACCGCAATGACCTGATGGACTCGATGCTGCACACCCGAGGCGGGAAGAACGAGCTAAGTGACCTCGAGCTCGAAGGGAACGCCAATCTCCTCCTCGTGGCGGGAAGCGAGACAGTTGCGACGTTTCTATCTGGCACGACGTACTGGCTCTGTCAAAGCCCCGAGGTCCTGGACAGATTGACGGGCGAGGTTCGTTCGGCGTTCAAGACGGAGTCAGAAATCACCATTCGGAATGTGAGCGCAAATCTGCCGTACATGGATGCCTGTATCAACGAGATATTCCGCATCTACCCGCCTGTTGTGACGGGGATGGAGCGGAGGACGGTCGATCCGGTTCACATTGGGGGTTATCACATTCCGCCTGGCGTACGTCATTCTCCCATCCTGGCCCTAACCAACGCATACAACCGTGCAAAATCCAAACTAACACCACCTAAAACCCGCAGACCGAACTCTCCATCCCACAGGCCGTCGCATACACCTCCTCAAGAAACTTCCACAACCCCCACTCCTTCGACCCCGCACGCTGGCTCCCCGAATCCAAAACCGACCCGTCATCGCCCTACTTCAACGATAACCGCGACGTCGTGCAGCAGTTCTCCGTTGGGCCAAGGAATTGTATCGGGAGTAATCTTGCGTTTGCGGAGATTCGGCTGATTCTAGCGCGGTTGCTGTGGAATTTTGATTTGACGCTGTGTGACCAGAGTCAAAGGTGGAGTGAGCAGAGGGCGTATGTTGTTTGGGAGAAGGGAGGGTTGATGTGTAGGTTGACGGTAAGAGGTGGTGGAGGGTGAGTGTGCTGGAAGGGGATGGACACAGGATGGCCGATGTCGATGTGTTAAATGTCTCTAGAACTCGTACAATTTGGAAAGTAGTGTTCATGCCTGATTGAGGGTGATTTATATGTACGTGCGAGCTGTACGATTACCAAGTTGATAGGTCCGACATGATGAAGCTTTCCGTTCCTCAACGTCTTATTCGCAGAGTGGTTCAGCCGTCCCCTACAAACATGCGAATTCGCTAGATTCCACTCTGATATCACGTATACAAGGCGATGAACTTCAGGCCCTCCACGATCTTGCGGTGTCAGGGCGCACTCGAGGTCTCCTCTGGTGCGTCAATATTCTCTGAAAATTCTCTCTGTGCTCTGGCGGGAGAACTGCGCCTGAATCGTTGGGTTGGCTTGACAGTGGGCCACATAATCATTCTAATACTCCAGCCCGGTTTGACTGTCGCTTCCCAAGTCTCTGGGTGAATGTTAATATTGTTAGGGCCAACTAAGTGATAATGACCCGCCGCAATGTGAAAATGCGAGTCCTCGTATAGGAATAGTTGGTAGATAAGCTCTTCCATTCCCTGATCCAGATTGATAGTCAGATAAGAACTTGAAACCTCCGGGATGACCTCAATAGCAAGCAAGCACTTACCCGCCAAGTGCAGCACAAGTCCCACGGGAAACTAAACTCTCTGCCAAGAGGATCCTTGAAATTGATGGTCTCCTTCTTAATAGTCGGAAGGGTATTGGTTGTGACTGCCGGTGCTGTTACGGCTTCCTCTTCTGTTGCCCCTGCTTCTTCTTCCTCTCTTACCCAATCGATAGGTGCATTTGGCTCTCCCACGATTTTTTCTCACGCTATTGTCCATCTTTGGCCGTCTGAGCCGCGCCTTCCTCAGCGGCCGGAACGGTCAAGCGGGCCTCCCGGGCTTCACGCTCAGCTCGTTCTTCAAGAATTAGCTGCCCGAGCCTTGCGATGGCCGCTGCTCTCGTTGGATCCTCAGCGGGGTCAGTTTTGCTTCTTTTGCTTCTTGGCTGCTCGAGCGTCGTGACGGATTCGTCGTCCCCTGAATATCCAGTACGCTCACTCTTCTCGCTTGTTTCAATGAGCGTTCCAGCCGACATAGCGTCCTCTTCCCTACTAGAGCCATCAACCGCTGGATCGGCTATATCAAGGTCGCTCTCGGAACATACGGGCCCTTCGGAGTCGAGCGATAGCCCCTTGGCCGTGGAGTGCCCCTCATTCGCTGCGCTATTCGACACTTGAGCAGAGAGTGTTTCAGCTTCGTCCTCTGGTCCTGTCCGTGGAAGGACAAAAAGCGCCAGCTCCTCCAGGTGCCGACCGACGTGTCTCTCAAAAATTGCCGGTCGCTGGATTGCCAGCTTGCACAGGAGACATACCACACAACTGTCCGGACTTGTTTCAAGTGCATGCTGGATACGTAGATGATCGTACCACTGCCGGCGACTCTCATATACCTTTGATGGCGTGGTGCACCCCAAATAAATGCACGTGTATGGCATGATATCGCGGAAGATGTGTCGGGTCCAGTCTTTCCGATCCTTGACACTAATTATTACAAAGCAATAGGGGCATTCGAAGGGGGCTTGATTGGCCGACTCTAGAGGCGGAGGTGGAATACAGACGCCGTTTTGGCTAGCAACAAGCGTTGTTGCATATGAGGTTCTCGACACGCCCGAATCCGACGTGCCGTCTAGGAACTGAAGATGGTTTTCTGGTGCCTCGATGAATTCGGTCGCAGCTGTTTCAGACATCAACTCCACATGCGAATGTGGCTCTTCATTGCCCTCGAATCCCTGACCAAGCTTCGCGCGGTGCCTTTCGCGGTACTTTAGGACAGCGCTTTGGCGTGCCATGGCTGCCCCCAAGCGCTGTACAATCTCCGGCTCCAAACCCGGATACTTGTCGGAAACATGGCGCTCTGCCCACGGGATAAACACGGTCGCGTCGATCATCCTCGTCTCTAGGAGCTGATCGTGGCGAGCAGGTTGCCGAATCGCCATCGACATGCGGTACAGATAGTTTATGACATCAACTATAGCCTGGTATACTTGTTGCACCTCAGTCAGGTCACCTTCATACAACTCGTCGAATTCGTCCTCGTCTTCCGCATCGGATGAGGCGTCAACGACCTCATGAAGATCCCGCAATGTTTCGAGGAGACTGTTTAGAAGATTCATGGTCTCCATTTTCAGGTGAGAAGCATCGCGAAGTCGGTAATCCAGCGACGACTGGCCACTTTGATGCGCACCGATATTCGCCGCCCAAACGCGCAGCCTGCCCAGCTCGTCTTCCCATTTTCGCGCAGATACGTCCGTTTCGAACCGAGCAAGCGTTTCGAACTCGATCAATTCAACAAAGAGCTTCATACATTTCTTGAGAGAGGAAGATATCATTGCCATAATCGCTGTTGGTGGGTGGAGAGCCGACAATCCTCCCCGAGGGCAACGACAGAGTCCCCCTCGCCGCGAGCTGACGGAAATGAGGCTCGCTACTATTGGTCCACGATTGCTGCAGTCTAGCACGAGACTGCATTAGACCAAGTGCGGGGCTCAATGCTGACACCTCCCTACCCTGTGAGCACTTCTCATGGCCTTGGGACGCTCCTTCTGACTATCATTGTGACTGCCAGGACAAGATGGTGACTGGCATCGAGGCAACCGGGCTCGCTTAGGCTCTTCTCCCGCTCCTCGTCAACCAGCTTGACGGATATGTTCGTGGACTGGAGAAAATCAAGTCCTCCCGGCGCTATCGCCTTGAGATTCGAGGATATCGCATTGGATTAAGCGCACAGCATGCGAACCTCCTGAACACTCTAGAGCTGCTTCTTGAGGATATCGTCGATGATTATGACAAGAGACAGGCTCTGATTACCGATCCCAAAGGTCCTGGCTGGACATCTCCCGATCTCCAGCAAAAGCTCGTGCAGAAGTTAGGACGAAATAATGCTGTCTTCCTCGAGACGGCAACTGGGCTCTGTGAACTTCTGAACTCGCTGGCGAAGAAGCTTGGACTGAAAGATGCAGATAGACTAAAGGTAGCGCCTACCCTGACTGTAATTTGCAGATGTCTAACCCGACCCTTTGCGAACAAAAGACAGATTCCCTTCCCTTTTCGCAGGCCCTTAAATTCCGGATGATGTTCTCGAGAGCCGTATACGACGACCTGCTGGCGAAGATCGACGCGACCAACCAGATCCTTAGAAGTCTGGCCGATCACTCAAGGCACCGCCCACAGATTCGTGGATCACATCGCCAAAAGAAAGTGTTGAGAGCATATCAGACGGCGCGGAAGCATGCGAGGGCTCTATATAATTCTATTGTTCGTGGCCATTGCTGGAAATGCCTCAACACATGCCAGCATTCAGTGCGCCTTCAGCTCCAACTTGTCTCTATACAATCCGCACAACCTGCGGTGGACGGTGCCATGATCACTGGACACACCTTGATCCTATCGTCAAGTCAAGTCGGCTCCAAGAAGAGATGGTACGAAATCACTGCCGAGCCCTATCTCGCTAGACCTCTGTCCCCAGTGCATGCTAATGAGTCGGGTGTTCGTCCAACGAAAGGTGGAAAGGTTCGTTTTCTTCCACCGGACGATAATCCTAAAGTATCAGCAAAGGGAGCGCAGGACTTGACTTGTTTTCCAATTCAGGATCTATGCTTGTCCCTGCGAGCATTTGATAGACTGAACACCCAGACTGGCCTCATCGGCTACATTTCCGACGTATCGGACAAGACAAACCACTACAAGATGCGACTGCTGCGCGACCACGAATCATATGTTCATACTGAGTCACTACATGAGATACTTGAAGCCTTGCATTCTTCATCGGAATTTGCTCCAAAGCCGGAAGTCATCGAGCTCTGTCGACGGGATAGACTCTTTCTAGCGGCGACCCTCGCCTCTGCTGTCCTTCAACTGCACGGGACCTGGCTGAAGAATCAATGGAGCAGCCACGATATCCAATTTGCGAACAATCTAACAGACAAGTACTCGGCCATTAAACGCCCATATCTCTCGTGGCAGGTATCCGGCCCATCCCCCGTATGTCTTTCCTGCCAGGATGATCCACCTCCGCAAAAGAAACCTACCAGTCGTCTCCTCCCGCTTACCATCTCACTCATAGAGCTCTCACTCGGTAGGCCTATTGCAGCCTTGAAGCGGGATGAAGATGGCGAACTAACGCAAATCGAAGCGACTGCCAAGATACTTGACAAGGTACAGCAGGAAAGCGGCTCAACCTACTGCGACGTCGTCAAGGAGTGTCTTTACTGGTCTCAGCCTGGCGGGCTGGAGTTTGGAGATGAGAAGTCTGACGAGCGGTTGTTTGAGGCTGTTGTGTCTCCGCTGCTTAGGGATTTTAGTTCTTTCGAGGGGATATCATATGTAGAGTAGTAGATGATACTATCACTATGTAAGGACAGGTATTCATAGAATAAGAGCCTGTATGTACCACGAGGCTTGTGGCTCCGTGTTTGAAACCTGTAGATTCTGGGAGTAATGGGAAGATCCCTTAGCGAGCCTCCTTCTAACGAAGATGGCTACATACGTCTGTGTGTGGGTAGGTGGGGAATAGGGCTTTCTACAGAGCGAGGATTAGGCCGTATACTAGGCAAATTACACTTTAATTTTAACCTAATCATAGGGAAATCTCGGAAGCTAGCTTCAAATAGATGAAACCTGTATTCGGTCACCTTTGGTTGCGGCCTTTTGACCCGGTAGTACATCCAGCTATATAAAACCGTACCAAGCTTCACGGCTCTTACATGTGCCTACCTATCATGGCTCGGTTAAACTTCTGTTTGTAGACTCGATATTGCTAACCATTTCCATACTAATAACGTACGACTTCGGATCATCCTCCAGATCTTGCTTGAGCTTTGCAATGGAGAAATGAGGCTTTCAGGCCTGGAAGAGTGGCGGCCAATCAAATGGGTTGCAGGAAACGGCGAAGCCTCGGCTTGTTCCAACCCCTGATTACTAAGTGGCCGTTAAGTGGAGTTGTCCCCACAAGGCGTCCGAATCAGAATCGAGCAAGGAACGGTGACTGAGGCAGCCAAATTTCAAACCCTGCAGCGACAGACTTCTCTTCAACAGCCCAGACCACCAGCTTTGATCACAATGGCCCCAACAGTAAGCAGTTACATGGGCAAGGCTGCCCGGAAAACACATACCAAGTCGCGGCTGGGCTGTGGCAATTGCAAGCGCAGGAAAATCAAAGTAAGTCCCACGTAACCGCCACGCTACCGCAATAAGAGATGAGATGAAGCTAAAGCAGACCAGTGTGACGAGGTCAAGCCCTCATGCAAGAACTGTTTACGGCATTCAGTGCATTGTGACTATACCATCACCTCATCTACCACCGAGGCGCCATCTTCAACAACCCCTATCGAGCTTGCGGCTCAGGATGGACTGACTTTCATCTCTTCATTGCAAGCGGATTTCAAGCCCCCAAAGCGCGCTTACAAAAGGCGCGAAGGGGCAACTTCTGACCTTTCAGAGCAATCCTCTATCCCAGAGGCCTCGTCTGCTCTAGGTCGTCGACCGTTCCAGTTCAGTGCGACGGACCTGGCTTTATTCCACCACCTTATGACCTGCGCAGACCTCGGAGCCGACCAGAGTGAGTGGCAGACGCAAATGACACGCTGGGGCTTCCAACATCATTACGTTCTTCGCCTCCTGCTCGCCTTTGCGGGATTCCACCTGGCGCAAAATCCAGCCCAGATTCAGCAGATCATTGGCCAAGATGTAGACTACGCCGCCGAGGCAGAGAAACACTACGACATTGCCGTCCGTGAGGCCGCCGCCGCTGTATCCCAAATTACCGGCTGCAATGGCCAGGTTGTTTACATGGGTGCTTGTTTCATCTTCACCTGCTCCCTGGCAAGAGGTCCACAACCAGGCGAGTACCTGGGCTTCCGAGACGATGGCGGGACAGGTTGCCTCTCGCTGCTTATGGGGGTCCGCTCGATACGCGAGATATGCAGTACTGTTCTGTCGCTGCAGGTGGATGTCCATACGTCCGAGAATCACGCCGCCCAAGACCATACAATGGAATCTGACTCGCTACCAGCACCCCCGCAGCCACGGCCCCCATCACAAACCGATCCCCCCGCGACAGTAACCGAGCACCTCGATCAACTGAGCTTGCTCGTGGATAGCACATACCCCCCGCACCAATCAATCCACCTGGAATATACCCGTCTTCTCGACGACCTCAAGCAGACATACAGCGCTGTGCATCCCCCGCCAGACTTGCCCGGGGAGCGGGTCGCCAAGTTCCCTTTTGTGTTTGGCTGGCTATACAGGCTGCCTGACAGCGTCCTCCATGACCTGCAGCGACGGCATCCGCTCGCCTTGACCGTCTTTGCCTTCTTTACCGTCTTACTCAAGGACATGGATGTTGCCTGGTTTATCCGCGGGTGGCCAGAGCATATACTGGATGGCTGCTGGCGGAATCTCGACGAATTTCACAGGCAGTTTATCCTGTGGCCGATGCAGCAACTTCGGGTGTCTTGAATCGATTGCAAAAGAAGTGTACGTCTATTGTACAAGAACGCAATCTATACAACACTATTGTACTGCATATTCAAAGTGTGCTCTCCTTCTTCTCGAGGACAAGCGCTCAAACGCGGCTTCCTGCACACACAGCAGAAGCTGCTCGCCACTGCGACATCCCCGGCAATATACCTCGCCTGCTGAGGATAAGGGGAAAGGATTCGCTTGTATATCGTCCCATTGGCGGCAGGGGATTTCACAGGTGGTGTCTCCGGCGCCCTCCCGTTCTCAACCCAGCGTCTCAAGGCATCAAAGACGGTCGTGGGCTGCCTGACTTTCCCCAAAGCGCAATGAGCCAGTCCGGGAGACTCGAAGAACCGGTAGAGCCCTTGGATATCGGGGGAAAGCTCTTCCACGGTATCGTAGTAAAGTTCAGTGTCATTGTCTTTGGTGCGGATGGAAGGGTCGGCCTGTATGCCAGCGAGGGTGCGTTTGCGATAGCAGTGGTAAATAAAGGGTTAGTTATGGTAGACAAACGTACGCATGCCATGATGTGCGATGAGCTTTCCTCCCTCGTTGCGGAACTCCTTCACCGCGTGCTCGAAGGAGCTCGCGTACTCGTCGAACTTCATTATGAAAACTCAAACCAATTTTCTCTGACCGAAAGTAATTGAAGAACTATCTGCCTCCCAGGTCAACTTTTCTCATGGCTGTATATTCTAGATGGGCGCATCGTACTCTCAAGTAAGAGACTCATAAATTGTATTTCTTCCCTCAGTAGTTCGAGAAAAAAAAAGTAAAAGTCGGGTTGTGTATTTAAACAAAAGAAAGAAATAAAGATTGACAGCAGATATTAGACCGCGAATAAACCATCCTCCTGAAAAATATAATCCCCAGTTACTATTTCCGACAAGAGCTCCGACCAAGTATCAAGGATACGCCATCTGAGGCGTGCTCCTGTATCCTGTCAACTCGGGCCGAGTCCGCAACTCCATCTCCTTCTCCTCCTGCACGAGTGCACAGCACCCGCACCAGAAGGCGGTGCAGCAATCTCCGCAGCATGACCCTTCAATCTGATGTTTCTCGCGCATCTCGCCGCGTCGGATTGTCTGGATGATCCATTGGGCGTAGCCGAGGGAGAGGACACCGAAGATTATGCACTGAGAGTCAGAACCGCCGGTGTTAGGTTAGTTGCGCTGATTTCCCACGAACCAGGGTGGAGACTGTCACATATAGCTTACCTCCGAGTTGATGCTATCGTAGGTCTGTAAAGTCGGATCTCGCAACCGGGCTTGTGTTTTGCCAAACGTGAGACATGGGAGACAGCAGGTCAAGAAGCCTACATGGCGTTATCAATTAGCTCAGATCCAGTAGGGAGAAAGGACATGTGCCTACACAGTGTGGCCGGGGAGCAGCAGCTGCCCAGTGAGTAGTTCCAGTCTTTATTGTGCGTGATGCTTCGTGCCTCGGGCGAAACATCTTGGCCATATGCTGGCGGCGCACTCGGCCTCGAGTGGTATGATTTGTCGTACGCGGCCATTTTCGCCAGGAGTGGTGTTGAGGTATTGTGATTTATTTTTCACGATACTTTCTAGGGAGAGTCCTTATTTATGGATTTGTGACACACGATGACGCTCTCAACAGCCATACTCCTGATACTGCACCCTGCGGAGCCCCACTCTAGGAGACGCCCGAGAAGGCAGTTCGTATCCGGACCGAGGGCTGCTAACCAAGTCTGATAGGGCTGTGGGAAAAATTCGGCATCTTGATCCACACAGTTCGGAAAAATCTTCAGCAAACACGAATGCGATTTTCCATTCGCAGAATCTTGTCAGCTGATGAGTCCCTTGAGCCTTACAAACCCGAGCTAGTTAACATCGTTCAAGCTTTGGAATCTATGTTTCGGTGTCGGCCCTGTGGGATATCGTGGCCAGAGAACGGAGCCCAGTCTGGCGAAAACCAACAGAATTCGGGATGCGTCCGTTCCATGGTTGGATTTGCCAGTGTATAATGCGAAAACTACAAATTCATGACCATGCAGCAGCCAGCATGTTTCCTTTCGTAATTTCTCCTATGACTTATTCCATCTCCCATAACCCTATGCATACCGAGGACGAGAACCGGCTGCCTCTCTCCTGATCCAAGATACCAGTCAAATCTGCGTCAATATCTTGTCGCAATGGGAAAGTTTGGCCGTACATGCGTCAGCATCGTACCATACTTGTTTTCTCTGGCATCGCTGGTTTGCCTTGCAATAGTTTGCGTCAGTTGCAATAGGAAAACTGCAGACATTGAGAATCTCTACTTTTTGCGGGTACGTCTGTTACTATTCACCTCTATTTGTGATGATTCTATCTTAACTTTGATCTAATCATTATAATATCAGGTGAACTTTTCGAACTTCACGGCGCTATCAGACCCGGAGTCCATCGACAAGATCCAACTTCGAAACTCGACCAGTGTTGAATACCTCAGCACCGCGCTACACAAGGCGCAGAAAGGTGGCGAGCTCAAAGACTTTTATTCAGTTGGCCTGTGGGGCTATTGTGAAGGAGAGGTCTCCGATAATGGAAGCTATGAGACCACCTACTGCTCCAAGCCTCGCCCGAAATTCTGGTTCAATCCTCTCGACATATGGCGGCTGAATGGCACGACCAGCGCAAGCGTCAACGCTGACACCGACACCGATGACATGCCGCTTCCCTCCCACTTGGCTAAATCCCTACGAGTCTACAAGAAAGTCTCCCTTTGGATGTCCACAGGCTACATAATCGCCATCACCGTTACCACCGTCGAGCTTCTCCTCGGTGTCCTCTCCATATGCAGCCGCCGGGGCAGCTGCATCACAGCCCTGGTTTCAGCCGTTGCCTGCCTATTCACTGTCGCGGGGACCGTCACCGCAACCGCAATATTCTCAGTGCTGAAAGGGACCTTTGTGACCGTCTTGCGGGACCTTGACATCACAACTACACTGGGGATCAGGGTACTGGTTAGCTCCTGGGCAGCGGTTCTCTGCTCGCTAGCTGCTCTGGTCTTCTGGATTGTCACAATGTGCTGCTGTGGCGAGCGTCCAGGCACGTCCAGACAGCCGGATCGTGGCCCGAAGTATTCCCATGTCGGCCCCGGCCCGCTGCACCCTCTCGCCATGACCCACGAGCAATCGCCGTTTCCGCCTTCCGCACCTGGTGCCGGCCCGTACCCTATGCAGCCAGTGCAGCAGATGCCTTACGGCCCGCAGACTGGTGGTTATGTCTATAGGTGAGGTGAGGCCGCCGCTCTGTAGTGTCTGCTGTGGCTCAAGTGGCGTTCAATCGGTGCCCTGTTATCCCTCTTTATGTGGGGCATGCAGCATCTTTCCAAGGGATTCTAAAAAGTCGCCCACAGATTAGCTACAAAGGTCACATCACGCTTTCTCATACCTAGACACGCCTGGATGATCTTGGAGGGAAAACCATGTCTTGATAGTTTGAATTCTTGGAACACAAAAAAGGAACAAATCAATTATAGCAACGTGGTCAGCCAACTCCGTGTTGATTTGTTCCGCTCTCCATCGTTCTGGTGGCCATTGGATACGGTGAATGCTTCTCAACCACCTTAGAATAGATGAGCCCCATTCTGTACTGATGGAAGACTGCAGACATTGGGGTGAACCAAGGATACAGGTTGGCCATGGGACAACAGGGGTAAAGCGTTCTCTAAGACTGATTATCTCGAGAAAGCGAAATAATAAAATAGTGCTCGGGAGATTATTTATTTTAATACTAAGGTACAGCTGAAGTCGCTCAGTACCTCATTCCTCACTACCCATCTCCTTGTTTGAACCAAGAGGCCGTCTAGTCAATCCACGCGGCCAAAATCACAAATCACAAATCACAACGGGCTTACATGTAGAGACCAAGATCATACCACCTGCACCTGTCATTTGCCACCATATCAATAGCATGGGATATACTCGTAGCACTCAGTTTAATGACATTGCCTTGCTCTCCGTATCTGGGGAATGCGGCCACGCCATCTACCGAGCTTGACGGAATGCCATTTATAGCAAATGTAGTGATATAGTCCTGGATGGCGAATGCAAGCGTCTCATTCGGCGACGATGGGCCCTTCTCGTAGGGATTGAAGAATACGTACGAAGAGTCCAGCCCATGGAAGGCGGGGAAAACATCGAACCAATAGCCGTAGGACTCGTTGAAGGCCCTGCCGAAAGAGAAGGCCTTGCAGGCAAAGTTGGATTCGGTGGCTAGAAACGCTGCACGGCTGATCTGATCGTGGTAGAGCGAGGACTCGTTGGAGGGTGGCGGGTAGAATTCGTCGGCAAGAAGGTTCAAGACGGAAGGTTCAGCGGTGGGAAACCCGGTCTTGATAATATCATAGAAGTCCGAGTTATTAATGCTGGAAGGTGCGAAACCAAGACCCTCATTCGTGTTATGGGCCACCATGACTCTCAGGTCCTTGAAATACTGATCGTGGTTCAGTAGAACGCGTGGATCTTAAGTGACGAACTTGCCGTCAATTACTGGTCCGTAAATAAAGGAGCTGTACGGGGCACGGGCGATCTGGAGGGCGTTGGCGTGAATTAAATTGCTGGATGGCATTTGCCGCAGCTCAGCCAGGCTGCTGACGCCCGCCTGTGCTAAGAAGTCGTTAAAAGTCTCTTCTTGAGCAAAGAGGGTTGGGCTATTCGGCCAGCCCGGGGACTGAGGAACTGCTTGTTGAAAAGGGGCCCGCTGGCTGCCACCAAACGCCACGACTTGGTGGATGAGAGATCCGGCCCCGGCTGAACCACCGAATACAGTCACCCTGTTCCTGTCGCCGCCGAACAGGTGAATGTATGTCTGAATCCACTCAAGCGCCATCCTCTGATCATACAGGCCAGCATTCGCCGTTCCATCTTCCTGAAAGGTAGGCCCCGAGAGGAACCCGAACGCGCCGGTTCGGTAATTCATGGCAACATAGATCACACCAGTTGCTGAGTGGGTTTGGCTGCGAGCCAATATGCCTGTCGGGTCAACCGAGCCTTTCTCGCCGTTGGTATAGCCACCACCTTGATGGGAATATTAGCTCAATCCACCAAAAGATGTTGCTGTAGAAGATACCGTAGATACAGACCAGTACCGGTGCCCTCATGCCCTTATTTCTGCCTTCAAAGACCTTTTTAGGGACCATTACATCCAGAAAAAGACAGTCTTCAGTCTCGCGCGAGTCTCGAACATCCGAAATGGTGGCATTAGAAGGGGACGTGAGTGAGTAGGAGTAATTGGAAGGGACTTTGCCATCCACGATGTAGGGCAACGCCCATTCCGCGGCTTTGATCTGCCAAGCAGGAAGACCTTGAGGGCATATATGTCCTTGGTTACCGTTCTGAATGATAGAACGATTGGTGACGGGTGGGCTTGGGGCTCTGAAGCGCAGCTCCCCTACCGGAGGCGCCGCGTATCGGATATTGGAGAAGTTATAGTAGCCTATTGCCTGCTTCGCAAGATGGTGAGTCATGTCACTTGACAGGAGGCCGGAGAGGGCTCACATTAAGACTAATGGCGCGATGGAGCTGGTAACCCAAGTCTACAACTGGAAGATCCTGGGAGACATTGACGGTTGCGGCCGAAGCTGACAGCATAAAAGTTGAAGCTAGAGCGGCGAAGAAAAGCATTTTCAGTCAGGCTTGCATACGAATAAAATTCTTGGATTCCCCTTCTCCGACGGAAATCCCAGCCCATTAAATAGGAGGAAGAAAGGCGGTTCCTGGTGATTATTATGATGTCGTGACTACTGAACTCCTCTGTATGGGCGGTAGAAGTACGTATTTTCACGCGCAAGGTCCACAGCCGCGGGCATAAACATGGCCAAATTACATTTTACGGTGGAGTCCATTTCCGGCTCCTGAGACTCCAATTCCCCAGGCAGTGACATATAGACCTCGAGTGCCGAGGGGTTCTGCAACAGCGTTTGCTCTTCAAGGACATGACGGTTAAAACCTGCCTTCGCAAGCACTGAAGAATAGTCGCTGCGCTTATTCTGTTCCTTTCCATGAGCGGTTGCGATTGCAACAACCACGAACACGAACTTCTAAAGAGTTGGTGAAACCGTCTTCTAGTGGGACTTGCTCATTGCCCGGCAAGAGATCATAGGAGGGAGATATCTGGAGACAAATGACCCACGTCAAGGATTGCCTCTCGGAACACATTTCGGTTCTTGTTTGTTAGACCCCAATAAGGGCTGCATCATGCCGACGATTTGAGGCTGCCATTCGACCAATTACGGGGGTTGAATTTTCGTATTTAGAGTTTGGTCTGGAGCATCCATGGTAGGGCTTAAAACAAATCCATGCATCGGCCCCTCTTCTCCCGAAGGAAGCATTGAATCAATTGATGGGTGTGGGTCCTCTCTATATTCATGGCTTCCTGGCCAAGTTGTTTGGTACCATCGAGAAGAAAAAGTCTGTCCGAATACGACCAACTTCCATTTCCGGCAAGATTGGCTCTTGCGAAGATTATTGCTTGATCTGCTGTGCTATTTGTCTCCACCGAATCTTGGCTGATATTCATTTTCTTTTCCAGAGTTAAGCTTCGGAATTTTCGTATTTAGAGTTTGCTTCAGAACTCTGAATCAACTGCCATTGGCTCAAAGCGGTACATGGCTAATTAGTATATGAGAGAAGAGGGTCACCCATCACCCACAACCACCTCTTTTTTCGTACACAAAACTCGTACTCAGCTTATCAAGATAGCCCTTGCACAAGGCAGCATGGCCACCCAACAAGACTCAGATACCAATGAACCACTAAGAAGAAGGCGACCCCATCACAAGTCAAGTAAGTGCGTTTTATCATTACCACGGCTTGTGCCTGTTGACACTGGCTAGGAAATGGATGTTCCATGTGCAAGCTCCGCAAAGTAAAGTGCACAGAGGAGAGGCCGGCATGCCAGAGCTGTACCCGCTTTGACCTTACATGTAGTCTTCAGCCCCTGGATTCTTCCCTGCGAGTGCCATAGAGGCCTCGTACCCCTTGCGACGAGGACGAGGCCGACCTCGCAACGACTGGAGCGCAACTATTGCATCTCAAGCCACAGAACCCCCCCCAAATCAGTCTTTACGCAGGCCACCATCGGGGGGCGACTCCAATAAGGATTGCCCGTGGGATACGTCAGAGGCTGAGCTCTTGCTCCATTTTGTCTCCTCGACGTCTCGCTCCTTTGACGCCAGCCAAGGGCCCAATGATCCGATGCATGGTTTCTGGAGTTCAAATGTGCCGCAATTGGGTCTGAAACATCATTTTGTTATGCATCTGATCTTGGCCATTGCTGCTCATCACTTGGCGTACCTCCAAGTCAACAAACCCAGCGCAAAGCACTACACCCTACTTGCCTTGAAACACGCCTCCAAGGGTCTCAAGGGCTTCACTGCTGCTACTGCCAGTCCCAGGGATAACAATTGCGGTGCTCTGTATGTTTCGGCCATTCTCGTATGCTACTGTACCTTTGCCGGCGGTCCCACTGGGCCGGGGGATCTGCTCATATGCAATATTGATGGCGGGGACGCTGGGACACCGCGCTTGCTTATCCAAGGCGTGGGGATTATCCGGGAGATGATTGATCCCACCACGTTGTTCTCCGGGCATTTGGAGCCTCTGGGACTAGCCACCACCAATGTGTCGAAAAATCAAATATCAGAGCCCACGTATAAACGCGACGGATTTCCCCGTATAGACTGGGAAGACCCGTTGCAAAAGCTACCGGAGGCGATAACCGCTAGTGGAGGTAGTGGCATGCCTGCCTATCTCGACGGCCTAGAGGAGCTTGCAGCCATCTATCATGCCACCTATGGAGATAGCCATGGGGTCTACACTGGTGCAGACAAAAATTCTCATATATTTGGCTGGTTGTACAGGCTGCAAGCACCGTTTCGGGACTGCCTGCTGCGTAAGGAGCCCGTCGCTCTGTTGCTCCTGGCGTACTATGCTGTCTTGTTCAAGACTACAGAGAGATGCTGGTATATGGACGGCTGGATGGAGCATCTCATTCTTACTATCAACACCCTAATTAGAGGTGACCTTGCGTTCTGCATGCAATGGCCCATCGCGCAAATTTCGCCTAAAGACTCGACAAGTCGTGCATGAATCAACACTGGCGCTTTGATACGGTTAAAACAATTCGAGTATATGTCACAAGCTACGTTGTAAAGCTTGACAAGAAAAATTGGTGCCCAAGAGAGAGTCAGTCCAAGTCTGAACGGTGTTGCCTTCTGGAATGGACCAACAATGTTTCTTGGTTGGCCTGCCAACGTATTATCAGTACGGACTGCGCCCATACTTGTTGGTATTAGGAGACGCTTTATTTGACTTGATCACGCGTAATTGAGATATAAACTGCTAATTATCTCAATGTTGAAATAAGATTCATCTAATCAAGATTGTAGCTGCCTAGTGAGGACTGCCGGCCTTCTGCTGCTGAGTAGAAGTAATTGTTCACAAGGTTCGGAGGAAGACTTATACAAGTCTCTGCCTTGAGGAACAACCCTGTAACCACTGACACATCGGGGTGGGCAAATATTAGCTGCTACCCAATCTTCTCAAACGGGACGAGCGTGACTGGGGATCCTCATTCAGGAGAAAAAGGCAGTTCCATCGTCAATCTGTAACCCCAAAAGGCCCAAAGGACTTCTGTAAAAGACTCGCAGACTTTTCTAGGTATCCACGCTTTTCTCTCTTGCAAGCCTGTAGCATTTTCTAGTACACTTCTATACTTTAGATCAGTAACTTTCGAACCACGCATTCGCATGGCTGCCTCATTTTTCTGGTTCCCCAAATACGAAAATTGTGCCGAATCCGAGATACGAAAAAAGAATTCCTGGAGCTTTGACCCACAAAAGATACATGGAGGAAATAACACGAACTACGGTGTACAGGCTGGACGCGTTGGCTAAGACTCTTCGTCTTGAAGGGTACCAGGTTTTCCTTTCTTATTCCTCAGCGGTGCCCGTCTTCTTGCTGCCAGTGGTTATGATATGGCTTTCACGGGTGGTCTTCCTTGAACCCCAACATCGCTTAAACTTTCTGGTTGGACATGGTGCTTGAGACGGCTCCAGCTCTCTAGTGAAACTAACATGTGAGCAGCAAGTGCATAGTCTGATATCAAATCGTTGTTCACGTTGAAGACTTCTCAAGAAAACTATGGCACATCTTGTATAATACCATACAACCTTTGTTGCACAACCATGGAGGGGCACGCCACCCGGTATATTTAGACCCGACTCATTCTGGCGACATAGCCTAAAACTTGCCTTTCAATAGCGATATTTTGGCCAGACATGAGGGGAAGGTGATGAAATGCGGGGTTTCGCTCGGTGGACCCCTTTTAGCCTGAGCTGTCAGCAGTCATCGGTCTCCTGGGAAAGAAGGCCCCGAGATACGACTAGAAATAAGCGTTCGAGGACCAATGTCTTCACCGCAACTATCATCTTAGGAGTCAGTACACTCTGTTCTTACCCTGATATTCATCAAATATTGACTTAATATGCCGCCCTTGCCGTCCAGTATCGGCCTGCAGGCACCGCAGCCGCCTCATCTCCGAAAGAATGCGCGTTCCAGTCAGCTCATTGTCAACGGGGAGCCTTTTCTGCTCCTCGGCGCCGAGTTGCACAACTCGACACTGAGCAACGCCTCCTTTTTCTCTTCATTATTGCCCAAGCTCAAGGCGATGAACGTCAACACGATTCTGGGGGCCGTGAGCTGGGCAATGATCGAACCAATCGAGGGTGAGTTCGACTTTGTCGAACTCGACCGGTGTATCGTGGCTGCCCGGGAGCAGGGCTTCCACCTGGTCCTGCTATGGTTCGGGGCGTACAAGAACGCAATGAGTGTGTATGCACCAGACTGGGTCCAGCGTGATAACACACGGTTCCCACGGATGCAACTCAGGCAGGCTGGTGGGGTGTTGAAGACCGTCAACGTCTTGCAGCCTTTCTGTGACGCCGCCAAAAATGCAGACGCCAGAGCCTTTGCCGCTCTAATGAGGCATGTGCGGGAATTTGATTCGGCATACAGCACGGTCATCATGGTCCAGGTGGAGAACGAGGTGGGCTTGATGGGCGACTCGCGCGATGGATCATCGACTGCCACGCAGTTGTATCAAAATCGTGTCCCTGATGGTCTACTCGCGCATCTTTCCGCGAGCTATGATCGGCTCCACCCGGCTTTCAGGGACAAGTTTCACAAAGTCAAAGGCAAAACAGGGCCACTCTCGTGGGCGGAAGCGTTTGGTGCTGGGCCACTACTCATGGCAAGACTTTGGGTACATTCCTCCGGAGGTTCCGTTGGGCGACCGTCCAGGAGAGTATCCGTCTGGCGGACCAGTGGGCCATAATCTGGATGTGTATGTCTACAATGCTCCCGACATCCAAATCTACGGTCCCGACATCTACTTGCAAAAGTACGAGATGGTCAGCGAGTGTTTTCGGTATGGGAACATGCCTCTGTTTGTCCCCGAGCAGAGAAGGGATGAGTACGGCGCACGGCGAATCTGGCCCGCATACGGAACCCAGCTCGCGATCGGCTGCTCACCCTTTGGGGTCGACTCTTTAATGCCTTGGGAAACATGCCCATTCACTCTGCACTACAAGCTACTCCACGACGTGCGGAAATACATTCTCGAGGCCCAGGCAACCAGCCCGGATAACATTTTCGGCTTCTACTATGACGAAGAGGAACACCCGCTGGAGAAGCCGTGGGTCAAATCCTTTGGTGACTACGAGGCTACGGTCGAACGCGTCTTCTCCTTTGGGAAGAAAGGCCAAGCCGCAGGGATGCTGATCAGGGAACCGGACGGCAAATTTCTTGCGGTCGGATTCGGATACCAGGTCGTTTTTCAGATCACCAATCCCAGCTCAGTCTTTACTGGGGTGCTGTGTGTCGAAGAGATGGAGGCCCAGGAAGATGGTACTCTGCGGCGGGGCCGAGTCTTTAATGGCGACGAGACACAGCACGGCAAGTGTCTGGTGATGCCACCGCAGGAACCGGACTACGGTGGATTTCCCATCCCCTTCCACATACCGGCACGGACAATGATGGCTCGGTGCACTGTTTTTAATTTGGTGGAAGCGGAGGAGAGTACATAAAGATAGTGTAAGGCTAGAAACATTAGACACGCTAGTAGTAAAGGACTGGGTTTCCTATCAAGTTTAGTGTGCAGTCCATAACTTGCGTGTCCACTATCCAAGTGTTGAGCATATCATAGATTATAAAACACCGGGTCTTGGGCCAAGCCCCTTGGGCCGAATATTGGCCCGCGCATATTCAGGCACTCAAGTAACGCTCAGGATAAGTATGATCGCCGTTCCGGTTCAATTGCCCTAAAATGCTTCCTCCGGCTCCCCAGAGCTTTGCCAGCCATCGAGCTGTGATTTGTGAAAGATTCCGAGTATTAAGAGTAGTAACCATACCTTCAATGCCCATATACATAGAAGCCGCAGGGAAGGAGGCCGATAAGTTTATACTGGCTATTCAACCCTTTCACTACGGATGTAGAGCTGTATCGGCAACTGCAAACAAACATGAGGGTGATAGACATTCCGGAACACGGATCTCCTGGATCTAACAGCCAAACTGCATTAATACTGAACCAGACATTGCGGGAGGGTTCGTCCATCCACTTTCCCAGGGCGCTCCCACCTTTGCCAAATCATGAGCTCGATAGTCACGGTCTCCATCACGGCCGACACTCGCTCCAGGGTCTTTGCTTCCGACCACTGGTCCACCTGAGACCTATCAAGGAGGATGGAGGCGGTTCTCCGACTTTGTGGGCGTTCCCCTTTCTCCGCCGGGGGAAGAACGACATTCCCGTCCATTTTCTGCGATGACCTCACGCAACGCATTACGCTGCGCCCTTCACCCTATGCCCGTCGGTGAACTCAATTCGCACAGTTACCCTTGGAACAGATGTTCCTTTCGACCCCGGCATGACGGCTACTTGACGCCCTCGGCCGCAAGGGGTTTGCCGAAGAGTATATGCGGAGAGCGGACGTCGTTGCGTCCTGCGTTGACGGTAAATTCTTCAGAGACGGGCTGGCAGCACTCTCTGTTCCGAAACGTCTACTTAGGGCATTCTCAAGCCTGAAAAGTGTTCCCCTAAGTGGATGACAGGGGAGGACTTGTGGTTGAGGATATGAAATACTGCTTGACACATGGCAACCTATGGTCCCAACCCTCGTACTATGTGCTTCCAAAGACTAAAAGGCCCACAGAAAAAAAAAAAAAAAAAAAAAAAAAAAAGCCTTCCGCCGCATTATCGGCTTCCCCAGCGACGCCTATATACGGCGCTTCTTCCCTCTGTCTTTGCTGATCACACAAAAAAAAAAAAAAAAAAAAACCAAAGACAATTACAATGGCAGCTTCAATCCGCGCCAATTGCCGCAAGGTCATTTGCATCGGCCGAAACTACGCNTAAAAGGCCCACAGAAAAAAAAAAAAAAAAAAAAAAAAAAAAGCCTTGATTGCAATGGGTGACACATAATAGCTCTCGGCAAATCGGAGCGGGCGAGAGACGAAAGAGATCTCGGAATTGCAATCTTCAGCCTTGCCTGCTACTCGTACGAATGCTAAAGGGTGGATCAAGCCTCGCCCACCACAACCAAACCAGACACAGTGCCCGCCAAAAGGTTACACATAGAGCGCCGCCCGTAGGTCATCTCTCTTTCGTAGCATCTTCTTCCATTTCCGCCATTCTCTGGGTTAGCGTTAAGGTTCGGTGGAATCGCCAGGGCTTAACCTTGCGCTCAAAAAGTTCGTCGAGCTCAGCAGTAGAACGCCTGCCCCGTTGGTCAATATAGACTTTGAAAGAGCAGAAGGAAAAAAAAAAAGTGACCAACGCCCCCAGCGGTTTCCGGCAACAAGAACCACAAGGCAAGCAGAAAAGGCGCGCCGATTCCTGTGAAAAACCAGGTCGTCTTCAGGCCCCAGTTCCACTGATTGGTATTGAGCATGTATGGCACCAGGACTCCCATGACAATGCCCACGGGGCCAATAATGCCAATTGCAAAGCTGACGGTGTATGTGCGAAGTCGTAGGGACGAGACCTCGCTCAGGTAGGCATACCCGCCCGCATTGTTCGCGATGAGACCGATATCTGGCCAGGAGAGTTAGCGTCATACTCGGCAATGAGAAATGCAAGCTCAAACGCCAGGGGACCCTTTAGCTTACTCCAGAAGACAGCAAAGATAACTAGAATGATATCTGATGCGCCACTCTGTGGCACAAGACCAAGTATGCCAACGCCGATATTGCACACCCAGCATAGCGTGCTTCCCCAAGTCACCATCCACCGACGGCCGGTTAAATCTGCCAGGTAAATAATAAGAAGACTAGCTGCAATGTTCACTCCACTTGTGATACACGTCGCCATAAATGGATCCGCAAGACCAGCCTGCTGAAAGAAGTATGTTCCATAGGTAAAGAAGACCTGAAGACCCAGAAACTGTTGGGTCATGATGGCCCAAAAGGAGATGATATCCGGATTCGATTGGTGCCTCGGAAAATCTCGTACCAGCTCTCGCCTTGCTGCTTCTCTGCTACCTCGCGTTCATGGTTGATATTGATAGAAAGGAGGTTGTATTGGTGGTCGATATCAACGCCGTCAACGTGCCAGTAGATAAGACGCAAGCTTTTCTTGGCCAACTCTCCCTTTCCGCGCAGGATGTACCAGGATGGCGATTCTGGTACCACGAGGAAGACAACCAGCATCAGCCCAATGTGCCCCCATTGCGTATACACCGGCGTTAACCAATTTCCGGGGTTCGACTTGGAAAGTGACTGGAGGGCGACGGGAGCAAAAAACTGTCCAGTCACCCACCACATACTATAGCACATTATGCAGGTTCCTCGGATTCGAATGGGCGCAATCTCCCCGATATAAAGTGGAAGTGTGGCCTGCAAACAACCAACCCCAAGGCCTCCCAGGATTTTCGCCACCAGCCAGACTTTCCAGTTTCGAGAGATCCCTTCAACGATAACACTCAGAGCCAATAACAGCCAAAGGGCGTACATGGCAGCCTTCCTACCAAATCGGTTTGAGAGGAAGGAAATGGACAGTTGGCCGACCAGCTGGCCGACTGATTGGAGGGATCCCCATGTGCTTAGGATAGGGGAAGCAAGGGCGGGCTGACCGGTCTCATTTTTCTGGGTTGCAAACACCTCTACAAATCCAGTATTGGAGATGATGCTCCCAACCAGGCTGTACAAAGATGGTCAGGTTCAGAGTCAAAGGACGGCATTACAAACCGAGAGTGAAGCACGAACCTGATCTGGTACCCCTCGGCAGCGGCGCTGATGGCAGCAAGGAAACAAATGGCAAAGGCCACTGAAAACTTTTTGATGCTGGCCCAAGCACCCAGGTGCTCGTATCCAGTTAGGCCTTGGCCATGGGCAGCGGCGGTGGAGGGGAGTCCCTTTAGGTCCTCGGGGGTCTGGCTGCTATGGCCTATGCCTTCGATTTGCTCGACTGCCGGGGCCGGAGTATCGTCCTCTTTCGTGTGAGACATGATGGTAGCTTGAATTTGCAGGTACTTTGGAGGTGACAAGTGGAATAATCTCACGCATTTATGAGCACTGTTCGGTCCCAACTCTTCCGCTGACCGAGTGTGCTAAACCCCGCAAAGTCTCTTAGTTTAGGAATTACGCTAAACTTTCCATGTGCAAGTGTTGAGCGATGTCTGAGGGGCTCCGCTCTAAGCAGCCACATTGGCTCCCCGGCGCGAATCAAGCTCCTTGTTTATTCGCATGGGATCCGAAAATTCTCTGCCAATGCTTCCAGTGCCGGGTTCAGCGAGACACCCAAGCGTTAAGCATCATTTCTGGTGTCTAATTGGCACATATATATGGCATTGTATTACTCCACCTTTTAGTTGGATACTCGCCCCAAGGGATTACCCCAATACCCGAGGTTGAACGCCCAGACAACATTGATTTTTTTTGCTCCCCATAGGCCTGGCACGCAGTTTTTTGGCTTTCGCTAGATGCCCCTGACAGAAGTGACCTGCCCCTCCGGTCCAACTGTTGTATCCGACTAGTTTTCTACTCGGAGAAATATCGACCGACCAGGCAGAACTTATTCACAATTGATAAAGCAAAATCTTAGTCGCTCCCTCCTCTAAACATGAGTTAGCTACGAATTAAAGCATCTTTTGGGGCCTAATAGTTACCCACTCAGGGAAAAGGAGGGCAAAAGCCACTAGGGACCGCAACGCTAACTCTTCCTCGATTATTGCTCTACTTTACTAGCCAGGATGGGGTGGTACTTCATGGCAGTAGGCGGGTGTTTGGGTCCAGTCGGTCGAAAAAGCAATTGAAACGGTGGGATTCAAGACCGTTTGGCTTTAGCACCAAAGACAAACAGCCCCTGGTCTTCTAACTGGAAGGTGGTAGGATATCTCACTTTCGTGCAGGGAGTTGCAGCGGTCTCTAACCTCTTGTTCGCATTTTCTGGCACCCCTAGTAACTTCTTATCTTCCTCTAGCTACCCCTGATATTTGCACCATATTATTATACTCACGGCTCCTCTCCATGATTCTTCTCTATCATCTCTAAGATGCGTGATCCCAAGCGGTATACGCCCGCCATGCTCACCTGCATTGCTCAGAGCATGATGTATATAAATAACGTCACCATCTTCATGATATACATACCTTGATTCACCATGACTGCTTATCATGATGGCGACGTAAAGTCCCTCCGAAATGTCGCGGCCGTCACCCAGAAATGATGTGAGTGTCAGCCATTCTTTTCTTTCGGATCAAGATTCTCTGCCCAGCTTAGGTGATTGCAGCGGTATCAGTACTTGTTCCTCTGATTCCAGTGCTCAGGAGGTGAACCGTATTTAGTGGTTGGAAAAGGGAACTCAGCAACCTCAATAATCAACGTGTTCAACTCCTGGCTTTCTATAAGATGTACTTGCAAAACACGGCAAGACATAGAGTATTAAAATTGAAGAGAGAAAAGCCCAGCTTGTGAACCCTGCTCGGGAGTATCTCTTGGCCATCGTGGCAGCGGTATCCGTAGCCAAGGCGGAGCGAGCCTAAGTATGGCGGTAGGCATTTCGTGGCTACACAGAGCTCTGCTGCGGATACAGTCGTTGAAGACCTGTTTAGGCACCGTCCATCAAGAAATAGGCAAACTTCCCACACTGCAGTTCCGTGGTGAGGTCAGAGATCAAGGTGGGTAGAATTCCTGGGGCCATCTCAGCAAGTTGAGTGTAGTTAAACCGGGATAGATCGTTCAATATATAAGCCGATTAAAATGAGTTGGAAATTACTCCCCAAGCCGACCCCGCCTATGAGCAAATGTAAGATAAATTGCCAGTTTGACCGACTGGGTTGCGGCCAGTCGGTGGGACTGGCGCTGCAAAGCGCAGGTTGCCGAGCGGAGGCTGCGCATATCGAATGTTGTAAACCGTTAAAGCTGAGCAGTTTCCTGTAAATCCTGGATTCAGATAAGCCCTGGTTTCAAAATAGCCGATTATTTTATGTAACTTACATTGTAGGAGAGAACCTGGTGTATCTCATATCCCAAATCAACTTTCGGAAGTGTGTGCCCCGCTGAAAAGAGCTGAAAGCGTAGAGCCGCAGTGGTAGAAAGGGTCGAAAACAAATTGTTCATCTTGAGTGGTACTACGGTTTCTAGCAAGATTCAGTCTATCCAGCATCCTTTATAGTTGCCCTTTCCTAATACTAAGCCTATCCCAAAGGTTATTATCCAAGTATTATGAGCCCCTTTGAAATCATTTCCATAAAGATAACGTTGTCGCCCTACTAGGGAGGAGAATTCGCACTCTAGTCTTAATTGTTAGGTACCACATGGCACTGCCCTACCCCGCATTCCACCGTCTTTGCCCCTCCCACATCCAACGAGCAGGTCAGCAACCCAATGGAGCCCATACGCTTGGGTCTCGGCGATGAAATCCCTGGGTGGGGATACCTGCCAGCCGAACAATATTTAATTGTAACCGAGAGCACTCGCGCACCCTACAAGCCCGCTTGATGCAACAACACTAACCAGCTCTTAGCGACACTGGAACCCCGCATCTCCCGAATCGCCCGACCAGCAGCGAGAAAGCCTCATCCAGGAGTTTCTGAGTCTCGATGAAATACCCAAAGAACTCGATGCCACGCGATTTGGGACCAGGCCATTCAATCAGGATCCGCAGGCGCGTACCCCGACCAAGGAGGAGATCGCGACCATCCTTCGGCCTTGGCGCTCGGACATGATGCGAGTCCGGGCGTGGAAACTGTGGAAACAAGGGGCGGATTATGGTCATCCTGTGCTACTTCGGACATACTACGATCCAAACCACGACGACCGTGTGGAGTGCTGGACGCCCCTAGGCGAGTACTGGGCCGGGCAGACATACTGGTCGTTCCTGGACGATCGGCGGCTATTCGATTTCGAGGGCAACAATCTGGACTGGAAACGAGTCTTCCATGTCCTACCAGAGATCTCCAAACTCGACACTCGGTATTCCCGTCTCAGAAACATGGACCTCTACCCCGAATTCCGGACCAACTTCAAGGATAGCCTGGATACTGTCAAACGAGCCTACCCAACACAATGGAGAAATAACCTTAACCTCTTGCTGACCGAGAACGATGCGGCGATCTCGCTGCTGTACTTTCTATCCACGACGCAAATGCTGATTGCCGACAGGAAAAGCTTCCAGACGGATCAATTCCTCCTGGTTCTCCTAGATGCAAAGCAAAACGTCACCATGCAATGCCGCATTGAGATTACAGAGGAGAGATTGGATTGTCTTTCGACAGAATGGGGACTGCGTGAACTCCCGATGGAGCTTGAAGATCAAGTGACGATTGGGCCAGAATACCTGGTTGATGGTGAGCAGGGGAAGGTGTTGTACCAGTGGACAAAGCAGGACTTAGAGGGGGATCCCGCTTCTGACGTTGAGGGGGCCACTACCGGTGCTTCGCACATAGATATCTAGATTGGAGCCTTTATTTGAGTCCTTTCCCCCTGGTTGAATCCGCAGCATGCATATCCCTGGATTATATCTAGCTCTTTATATGTGTAAACAGCGGGCGCCTCTTGTCATTAACCTTCGTCTCCTCTTCAGTCGTAATCACTTTTATCAGAGCAGCTTGCTAAGCTATTAGAGAATATTACTCTTAAAGCGGCTAATAACCGCGACTTTAGTGTATTTACAGCTGCAAAGAGCTCGATACTGTCAGACCTACCCAGACACTGACTGGGCGAAGGTATTGGTTTACATAAAGTTGAGATATCTCCCGCGGCGTTTTTACAAGTGGAATCAAGCACTTGACAGACCTTATTGAACCCCTTTTTTTTAAATAATCACGTACCTCTGATCTGATAGAACTAGAACAGAAAATCCCACCCTGACGTCAGGGAAGCATTCCGACATGTTAGGTTGCTGAAGAATACGAGGCCTGCCCCACACCATCTCCCAACACCCTCCCTCATCCCGCTTCCACGATTGCACACACCCACCGCTTCCCAGTAATCTCATCACGATAGCAAGGCAACCGTGGAAATGGCAACTCCTTTAGATACACCCATGACGCTAACGGGCGGATGTCTGTGTGCCGCCATTCGATACGAAGTAGCCTTCTCCAAGGACAGACAATGGCCGCCTGCGGTATGACATTACTCACCCCGCTCTTCCTATTCCTCGCCCAGTTCTCTACTGGAGACCGCTACTAAGCCTTGAAATAGCTCGGCGACTGCACCTGCACAATGTGCCGAAAATGGACGGGCGCGCTGCTGTATCAGAACATCGCCGTTTCGCAGGACCAAGTCTCGCCGCCATTGTCCTCCTTTCCGAGCTATAAGGAGTATGTCTCGTCGCCCGGTCGGTTCCGCGGGTTTTGCAGTCTGTGTGGGAGTTCGTTGGTTTGGAGGTCGGAGCGAGAGGGCGAGAGGCATAAGTATGAGATTATGCTTGGGAGTCTGGATGAGCGGTGGCTTAAGGGGACCGGGGGAGAGGGAATGGGGGCAGGGGTACTTGGTGAGCTTTTGGGAAAGTCATCTAATGCACAGTAGTAATGAGGAGATTACTATAGGTGTGGGATTAATGCTGTGCAACTGCAGACTACTATGCAAGGAAAGATTCTATATTTGCAGAATGTCATTGCCCATTGAGTTGAAGTGTTGGTATGTAGGTATGCTATCCGGTATAGACACCTATATACGCAGGAAGAAGGCTGGGTGAGAAATCAGAAACTATAGAAACATGCAAAATCATATATAATATTGATTCTTATTCTGTATTCTAAATGGCAGGCCCAGGTTGTTATCATGAGCGAGAGATTAATTATTATCCTCTATACAACCCTCTAATGCACCTCCAATCTATCTAAAGCAATCTGTGGAGATATACACAACCTCAAAGCACCCCACAATCAACAGACCCAGACTCCCCACCCAACTTTGAAACCTGAAGTATGGCATTCACAAAAGTCCGCGGCGCCTCGTACGGAATATTCTCACCAATGCCAGGGAGCTGGTAGTGACACCTCGGCCCCGTAAAGAACTTGGCACTCGCCGACGCATTCGCCGGCTTGAGCACAACACTCTCCTCGGGATCCAGTGTAACAGAAGGGACCGTGATGACCGGCTGCGCATCCAAGCGATCCGCCAGATCCACAAACGCCGGATCCCCCGGCGAATAAAGCAACCGATTGCGATAAAAGTCCACCGCAATGGAGACAAAGTCCGGGTTATACAGCGCCGTCGTCGTCAGATCTAGATACGCCTCGGTGAAGTTCCAGGCAGGCGAGTTCTTCGCCCACAGTGTGCGCGTCCACTCCTTGGGACTCTGCGCGAGGCCCGCGGCGCCACGGGGCGTCAAGAACAGGTAATAGTACCACTTTGTCGCTTCAGAGTCCGGATCACTCGGCACCCACGCCGTCGACCGGTTCTGAACCAGGTAGCTGTTCGCCGCGACCATGCGCGTGCACCGTTCGGGCCATAGAGCTGTCGCAGTGTTCACAGCGACGGTTCCCCAATCATACCCCGCGCAGGTTGCATTATTGATGTCGAGCGCGTCCATGAGCGCGATGATATCGTATCCCAGCGCCGCCTGTTCTGCGCTCCGCGGCGTGTCGGCGTGCAGGAAGCGCGTTCCGCCGAAACCGCGGAGATACGGGATGATGACGCGGTAGCCGTGCTCGACGAGGAGCGGGGCGACGGGTGCGTACGAGTCGATTGAGTAGGGGAAGCCGTGGACGAGGATGACAGCTTGGCCATCTGATGGGCCCGCTTCGTAGTATTCGATGTTTAGCGGACTGGGGCCCGTTGTTTTGGCGTGTTTCAGGGGGCTCAGGCGGTTGGCGCTGAAAGTTGTTGAGTTGCCCTTTGCTGTTGAGAGCGTGGCGAGGCAGAGTGCCGCTGCCCAAAGTTTTGACAACTGTACCATGATGGCTGGGGGGTTGGGTAGCTGGCTTGTTGTTCTGTGCTGTGGTACAAACGGGTGCTCCACTACCTTAAATACACAGGCCAAATACCCCGGGAGCACGAGCATTTACAATAAACATTGCAGCCTACATGCAAGAAAGGTGCGTAGGTGGCGCAGCGTCCCTTGAGTAAGCTTCTCGGTAAAAATTCCCAGAGATCGAAAAACATCTGCAGCCCAACGTAGAAGAGATCGCCCTACTGCGGGCTGGTCAGATCTTAGCCCGCACATTCCGCTCAGATGACGCCAGATCGGCCACCACACCTTGTCCATCCCTGCTAACGTGCGGAAGCTAGCGGGGGCTGAGCCATGCTTATTCTATCGAATCCGCGGAGCTAATAGGTAGAATACGTTCACACTGGTGCAAGCTCAACACAGCGCTAGATGACTAGCACCCTACGGCCTGTGAGCTAACCTACCTTATGGCAAGGCCCCATATGCATGTTATTAACAGCCACTCGCAAGTCATGCATTAGGCAAGTATCGGGCAGCCAACTCAATGTATCAGCAGCTCTTTAGACGTATACTGTATAAGAGCCTAACTATGCTGTGCAATCATCTCCCCCTCAGACGACGCCCTGTGATCTACAGATAAGACGGCCTAGCCGTCAATCCGTCTATTCAAACATCAAGTCTCCGCAAGGCTCCAATCCCGAATAGGAACTTGTTTCAGTAGATTCAGGAACTATTTTCAACACCCACCGGCGGGTATTACAAGGGTGAAAGTACCCAGGCTCATCGTACAACAGGTCTGGCGGCGCGGATAGTATCATCTGCGCGGTGAGCCAGCTTAGAAATGAAGTTTTCTACTCGTCTGCGACTGTTGAGAAGGCTTAGACAAAGCTTGATAAAGGCTGGTTGTTCTATGAGAATCTTATAGCTACCGACTACAGTGGGCCAATAACATTGGATCTTGCCTATCTCTTATTATCATGTATTGAAAATACTCTGGGTGATCCAGTTCCTAACTTGGGGGTCTTTAGAATGGAAATAATATTCCGCGGAGGCCGAATACGAGAAGGGGAGTTATTGAAGCTCAAATAGAAGCAGGTAGTTAGATTAAGTCTATAAGCCTATTAGATTTATATATTTTTGTAGGGTCCTGTGAATGTTTTTACATCCTGAAGAGAACATGACAAGAAGGCTCGAAACCCAGCAAGAATGCTCTTGAGTATTTGAATATCGAAATTTCTAACCCATTTCCCGGGACAGATGCAGGTGAGATGTCAAAACTGCTCGTAGGGGCTAGTGGTTGTCGACGAAGATCTGCGGGGCAGGCCGACTTGAATGCCGCCGAACTTCACCAATTCCCCCACCGTTTCCACCCACAGACTTCCTTTACCTGTAGCTACTCCTCAGGTCTGATAGCTTGGACCCGCAAATATAGTTCTCTATTTTTCACTTGTATCATGGGCACGTGGCCGAATTTCGTTCCACGCTGGGGTCGCCTTCCGGTCGAACAGTACCTGATCGTACGCGCTCCCCCTTTCACATCCCATCCCCACCCCACAAACGTTGAATCATAAAACGCCTACTAAACCCAAGCCAGAGAAACTGGAACCATGCATCCCCGGATCCTCCTCCCCAACAACGCTCACGCCTAGTCCACGAATACATCCACCTCGACACCATCCCCAAAGAATGGGATCCCACAGATTTCGGCGAAGCCTGGTACAAGCCGGACCCCTCCGACGGAGACCCAGCTTTTGCACCCACGCGAATCCCAACAGACGACGAGATCGAGACCATCCTGCGTCCCTGGCGATCGCAGGATCTCCGCAAGAAGGCGTGGGAGATTTGGTGTGATCGGGGCCGGGGGAATCCCGTGATGCTGCGGACGTATTATGGGGATGGTGAAGAGGCGGAGGGGGATAGGAAGTTTGGCGAGTATACGCGGGTCTCTGATACATACGATGCTGTCGCAGATGTCTATGCGCTGAATAACCGCGCGCTTTTTGACTTTGGGTCGGACTGGCGACGGGTCTTTGAGGATTTGCCGGAGATCGCTGGCTGCGCCGATGGAAATAATGCTGCTGAGATTCCGCCCTTGGCGTCTTACTCGCGGTGGCCGGACCTGGAGATGCTAGATAATGACTTTGTGGACCTCGCTGAGGAGATCCAAACTAGCAAGGCTGAGCTCCCTAACTGGAACGAGGATCCGGATATATTGCTTGAGCCGGGCGATACTGCTATACGGTCACTACTACGGACGGCGACAATCTCGTGGATTATCATTGTGGACGAGACGACCTTCAAGACCGACGAGCTCTTGATTGTGTATTTCGATATGCATCAGAATGTGACGGTGGAAGGACGGCTTGAGCTTGATCAGGGCTATATTGATGAGATGCTCATGCGGTGGGAGAATGGAGGGCGGCCGCTGGGGATTGTCATGGAGAATGGGACGGTTGGAGAGAGATATAGATTGTCTAGTGAGGAGGGGAGGAAGTTTTTTCGCCTGAGTGAGGATCTCGAGTACAAGGGCGATGGTGCGTCACTTTCGTGAGAAGGATGAGAGTGAGAGGGATGAAATGTCTGAGCTGTGAAAGCAGAGAATTTGAGCATGGGCTGAGATTACGATGAGAGCGTTGAGAGTAATGGCCGGCCACCCCGGTTTATGACAAAGCTAGCTTAATGGTCGATCTCCTGCAGTTCCCGCTCGTTTCTCCCCCAAGATCCCCTTGAGAAAAGCTCCAACTTGTCATGCCTTGTGAGATTATCAGGGAAAGCTAAAGCTTGGCCAGTCTCGAGTCGTGGGAAGACAAGAAGCGGGTGCACGCGTTTCGTGGCCACGACCGGGAGAATTCCGACTCCACCCCGGCCAGACATGATGCCCGGACGAATCGCGTTGCCTGGTCGCCGTGGGGCAATGGGGTCCGCCGGCTGGTCTCCGCGAGAGGAAACGATCGGCCTGTGCTCGAGCTGCACGAGTCATTCTACAGAAAGCGGAGGTGGCGCGGATATGCTCTTATGCGGAGTTCCTTGATCTGAAACTCTGGAGGCTGCTGTCCAGAGCTCGATACGCAGAAAAGCCGCTGGGCCGTCCAAGTCACCATTAAGGGTATATACCTCTATCCTGAATCTAGCTATTTACATCCAGCCCGTCCAGAAGTGAAACACAACCACCCGCGACGCGTCTATGCCGCCTTCCTCCACTCCATCCGCAAATCCTCGAGCATTGTCGCCATCGGCCACCCCGTGCGCGCACCACACGCCTGAATAAACGAGACTATCGTCTCTTGCTTCGCCTCGTCCTGAACGCAGAGCCCGGCGCCGAAGAGGCATTGCGCGGAGATGATCTGGCAGCTGGGGTCCGTCAGCTCCATTGCGATTCCACAGATTGTTGCGATGGCGTCGTTGAGTGTTTTCTACATTTTATGCGTTAGCACGTTCTGAATCTTACTTGCTAACATTGAGACTCGGGTTTTGGGGGAGGCACACCTGAATCTTCCGAAACTCGGCAAACCCACTCGTTGCCGGACTATGCAGGCACACGAGGATCTTCGCAAAGCTATACACCTGCATCGCGACCGCAAACGCCGGTGGGTGAATCCATATTGGCGTCCACCCGTGCACACCATCGCGGCTCTCCGTCGGAAGAATCTTGAAGGCGCTGCTCGCGAAAGTCCGCCAGCGCTCCAGCATCTCCATCAGCTCTGTCCCACGCTCACTCCGCCACCGCGCCGCCTCGATATCCGCATCCCCCTCTCGATTCCCATTCCCACTGTTCGCGTCTATCCTCGACTCGGCACAGAAATTCACAGCCTGGCTAAGCAAATACACCGCCCGCAGGGCCAAATCCTCATGCCCAAGGTCCTGGTAATCCACAACAGGCCCCCAAAACGAAAAACAGCGACGGCGCTCGCGAAACGCGGCCCAGATATCCTGGCGCAACCACGCCCACCACACGGCCTGCCGCAGCCCTCCGGACGACCCATTCACGTCCTGCGACCGCTGGATCCAGAAGACGCCCTTGAGGTGGCGCTGCCAGTTTGAGTTGTGCGTGCTTGCGTCGAGCATTTCGTAGGTGCTGATTACGATTGCGGTGGCCAGGAGCTCTTCGCTGTGTTTGTATGTCGTGTATTGGAGGGCGGTGCTGACGTAGTGGAGGGTTTCGTAGTAGAATTGGATCGATTCGGCGGGGTCGATGGGGGTTGTGGATGGTTCGTTCCCAGTGGTCTTGGAAGGGGTGGTCGTGTTGGTTGGATCTGAAGGGGTGGTTGTCGAGAGGGCTGAGTAGCGGGCTGAAAGGGCTAGGATGGCTTTCATGAGTCCGAGGTTGCGCGTCGCAAGACGGGTTGCGTAGTTTGAAAACGGTTTATGCGGATCAAAGAGATCAAGCTAATCCATCAGTCCACCACCATCCCAAATATAAGAATAGAAAACACACCCAAGAAGCAATCCTCTCCGTAAACACCCTAAAAAGCCTTGCCTCCCTCCTCGACAACGCGAGATCACTCTCCTCCTGCCACGCGTACCTCTCCGGATGCCTCGAAGAAAGCAAATGCGCCGGCGGACTCGGCTCAAACCCCGTCCGCGGCACATCATGCAGACTCTGTACATCGTGCAGCGGCGTCAGCCGGAACCCATCACCTGCCTGCGCGGCATCTGTGGCGAGGAGATCGAGCCACCGCGTCGTCGCATGCTCTGCACTTGCGTCGGTCTCGGGGGATTGCACGGCGTAGCCTAGCGAGGAGGCGGGGTAGATGTCCGGGACGGAGGGTTGGGGTTGCCCCTGTGGCGGTGGTCGCGGTCGTGTATCTGGATATAGCGCTGCGAGTTCGGGGTCGATGATGTTGTGTGTCTCTAGGCTGGGGCCGGCGGTTGCGTTGTAGTCGAGGGTTGGGGCGACGGGGGCGTGGGCGTGCGGGAGACCATGGCTGGTACTGCGACCGTTACTGTGGTCGTGGTCGTGATTATTTTCACCATCATGATCGGGGATATGGGTGTTACTGTGGCTGCGACTCTGACTCGTCGAGGACTGCGTGGGCGAGAGGATATTGTGTATCCTCGCCGCACTCGACGCCGAACTTGTAGTGGTCTCTGAGCGCGAGTCAGGGGCCGCAAAGATGCATTCACGATCGGACATTGTACACTGCCCGCATCGTGGTTCTTGTTGTCAACGTCAGTGTGGATCGTTGCTGATAGGGGGAGTCTATCTCGAAGCAAGTCCTTACTAGTCTCGTCGCACTTTCTGTGCCTCGTGCGACATGTCAAGCTACAAAGGTAGTTAGACAAGAAACGCCCATTCAACAAAGTGAAGCATACCATCCAGTTCTCGCCCTCAATCCCCGACCCCGCGGCTTACGGATGCGCTTCTTGATAACTTTTGCGGGTATTGCGTCCATTCTGTTGGTGTTGCGATGCGGTGCGTGTGCGTGTGCGGGAGAAATGCCACGAGACGTGGGCTATGTATCAGGAGATGATTCGGCGTACCTACTGCCCCGCATCCTGCTTAGCGTGCAACGCAGCCGAGTGGCGCTTTTCACGTTCACTTTGGGGGGGGGGGAATCCCGAAGATCCCCCGACCGAGTCTCGGGGTTGGGCCGATTGCGCTTCGGCTCCACGCGGTTTGATTGAAGGAAGCTCATTGTAAGGTCAATTGCGCTTTGGAGATTGTAGCTGGGAAATACGCAGAAACAAAAACTTGAATTCTATAGCCAACATGCACTACCACGCCCCAACAATCCCCGCAATCGGGATATCAATCCCCGTCGTGTATGTCGCGGTGTCACTGAGCAGATAGACATACGCACCCCCCAGCTCCTGCGGCAGCGCCAACCGGGGCATCCCCCCGTAGTACTTCATCTTGGTATCCCAGTCCGGACTCGTCTCCACATAGTACGTCAATGCAGTTTTCACAAACCCAGGGCTAATACTATTCACCCGGATCCCATGCTGCGCCCACTCCATCGCCAGCGTATGCGTCATGTTCCGGACCGCCGCCTTGGTCCCTCCATACGGCGCACTGGGCGCGGCCCGGTTCGGCCTGTAACTCGTCATACTCGCCGTAAACACGATGGAGCCCTTGGTCCCGAGTTTGATCATCGCGCGCGCCGCGGCAGTCGCACACGTCCATGCCCCGAACACATTCAGCTCAAACAGCTTCTTGACCTGGTCCATGGTAAAGTCCAGCGCGGGCTGGTGCTTTGTGGCGCCCGCGTTGGCGATCATCCCATCGAAGCGGCCCTGTTCCGAGACGATGCGGTCGAGGGCTGCTGTGACCGATTCTTCGGACGTCACGTCGGTCTGGATGTAGGAGAATTTCTTGGGGTTCTTGGTTGCGAGTTCATTAAACGGGTCGCCGGGGGTAGAGATGTCGAGGGAGTAGACGTGTGCGGCGTTGTTGGCGAGGCAGACTTCGGCGAGGCCCAGGCCGATGCCCTGGTTTGCGCCGGTGACTGTATCCGAGGGTTAGCTAGTTGATAGACTCGCAGACTGCTGGATGTCATGTGCGGAGGGTTGACTTACTGGCGATGACCTTGCCGGACAGAGTAACCTGCCAGTTGTGGTCCGGGGCAGGCAGTGTGCTGAGCACCTGGCTGGAAGAGCCGTTTGGTGTTCCGTTTGTGGCCATTGTGAGGTGTGAGTGAATGTAATTGTGCAATTGATGGTATGCTTAAGGTTTAAAAGTGCCAAAGTGCCTGTGCGCAGGTCGTCGTTTATATAGGTCCTCTCCCCTGGCCGGAAGAAAATGAACAACCTGTCCCCTCACAAGACGTCATTCAACGAGGGGTATGTGTTTACTCGGACAATGTCTACATAGAAGCTCCAGAGCCAGCTTCAGTTTGCGTAGCGGGGCAACAACCACTCTGTACAGTGGAGACATGGGTGGCCGCGAGCCGCGATGGTGCGTGTCCCCGACACGCGGGCACATGCAGTGGACCCGCTTTCAGTTTCTCGACACGAGGCGGTCCACAATCGTCTGACCATGCAGGTGGAGATGCGAGACGGAGACTTAGCTCGCTTCCACAACCCCAGAGCGCGTATTCCCGGGGGCGGAGCGACCGACCGACTATCCCCCAGACTCGAGGGACGGCCATGCGTCATTGCACTGCATTTCCGTTGCGTGCCGGTTCAGAGAACTGCACCCCGACTTGTTGGAGTACATTCGTCCGTGCTTATTGGAGAGGTTTTCTATAAAGGGGGGACTGCCACGCGAGGGATTGATCATCTTTCACCGACTCATCGACTCACCACCTGCCAGTACCCAGCCTTTGTTGACGCTTTTTTGCCCGCTATGAAAGACCACCATGATGCGTCCTCTTCGTTGGAGGTTGAGGATGTTGAGGGCAAGGTTGGCGTTTCTCACTCTACGGTCCCTGGCTATGTCCCGGATACCGAAGAGGAGAAGAAGCTCGTTCGGAAGATTGACCTGTACATCCTTCCGATGATGTGGTGTGTACCTGTCCTCCTCCTTGCTGCAGGTGAAATACTGATCGATATAGGGTCATGTACCTCCTCAGTTACATGGACCGAACCAAGTAAGCCACCTCCCACCCCCTGATCAACCACGAACCCCCTAACAAACCTAGCATCGGCAACGCCCGAGTCGCCGGCATGGACGTGGACCTAGACCTCGACTCAAACCGCTACTCCATCGCCCTCGTCGTCTTCTTCATCGGCTACGTCGTCTTCGAAGTCCCCTCCAACATGCTCCTCGCCCGAATCAGGCCTAGCATTTATCTTCCGTCCATCATGTTCGCCTGGGGTGTTGTCACCATCGGAATGGCATTCGTCAAGGACTATAAAGGACTGATTGGGTTCCGTGTGGCTATGGGTATCCTCGAGGCGGGGTTCGCGCCTGGTATGCTGCTTCTTCTGAACTCGTGGTATAAAAAGGCGGAGCAGAGTAAGCGGTTTGCGGTGTATATCTCTGCGGCTATTCTGTCTGGTGCTTTTGGTGGGTTGATTGCTGGTGGGATTGTTGGGGGGTTGGATGGGGCCCATGGGATGGCGGGGTGGAGGTGGTTGTTCATCGTCGAAGGGGCGGCAACAGCTGGTGTTTCAATCATTGCCAGCTTCGTCCTTCCCGACTTCCCGTCCTCGACGAGCAAGCTCAATGAGCGCGAGCGAGAACTTGCCGTCGCCCGCATGGCCGCAGACTCCCTCTCCACCGCAACCGACGACGACCCGAACATGACCCACCTCCAAGCTCTTAAACTCAGTCTCAGCGTCTGGAAGACCTGGCTCTTTGTCGTCGGATACATGGTGAACCCGGGCGTCCCTCCATCCTTCGCAATATAACTAACAAATTATCAGGCAATCGTCGGCTCCTCAACCCTCTCCTACTTCTACCCAACCCTCGTCCAAGGCCTCGGCTACACAGGAAACATGGCCCAGTACATGGTCATCCCCATCTACGCCGTCGCCTTTGTCTGCACTGCGATGACTGGCTACATCGCCGATAAACAGCAACACCTTCGCGGATACTACCTCGCGGCCTGGATGACCGTCGCCATGGTCTGCGCGGTCATCACCTGCGCAGTCTACGACCTCAAGGGCCGGTACGCACTGCTGGTCATCATGGCGTCGGGACTCTGGGCGTCGAACGGGTTATCTCTATCCTATGCGTCGATTAACTTCGCCGAGATGCCCCGCGAGGCGCGGGCGATTTCGCTGGCGCTGGTGAATGCCATGGGGAACCTCGCGCAGATCTACGGCGCGTATCTGTTTCCGGATGACGATAAGCCGAAATATCTCATGGGATTTGGGGTTATTTCTGGGCTGTGCTTTACGGGGGTTGTTTCGTATCTCGCGTTGCAGCTTTTGTTGAAGCCGAGTTCGCGACGGATTTAGCTTGGGGAGATTTACATGGGATAGGGGTAGGCGTCATCAATGAACAAACGCGTGTATCGATTGTTATATGATCCTCGTGATTGGTCTGTATGATAAGATAAGGCGCTCGTGCACATGTAGTCTCCTGTGGCCCTGTGCTGGATATACTTGTCCATTTGACCCCAAGCATCGCAGAGACATAACGACTCGGCGGAGCATTTGGACACTTCCAACTCGCTTTACAGCAAGGAAGAGAAAAACCACATCTTCTCTCTTCCATCTTGCAATTGTAGAAACGTTCACCCCCTTCTGACCCTTTTGTGACAGGTTAGATGAGATGGGAGGGAATCTGGGCAAGGTAACCTTGATCCATCCTCTTATGAGTGTGGTTAGGCTGGCAGTGGCTATGCCCAGGAGAGCTAGAGGCGTTGCGGAGGGCAATGGATTGTTGGATACATGCATGAGAGAGAATTTCGCTAGCTCGTCAGCAGCAATGGCGCTATACATCTAAGAGCAACATGCTGGAGGTGCTAGCCAGATGATCACGGACTAGGATCTCTTGACAAATTTTACAACAAGAACAGTAGGAGAGATCAGTGATATGGTGCTATTATTAGTGGATCTTAAATCTTATTGTTGAAAAAGGAAGCAACGGACTGCTCGACACCTCTATAAGAACATTGTCAACCAACCCACAATCATCCGTAGCAGCATCTTGATCATTACGGGAATAGCGCAGCTCAATGCTATTTCGTCCTATCTCCGTTCCTATAAACTGCCGAGTTTAGATAGCAATCAGGCAGACTCTGTAGGACGCCTGCTGTACCTTCATTCCAATTTCTCCTTCGCGAACCATCTCCATAAGCTATTTTTTTCCATCTCTATAAGTATTCTTAAAGCCACTTACTTTGCAACCCTACTTGACCTCTGTTTACGCTCTAACAAAGCCTTTTCTATACCGCCTATAAACGATTACTTGAACGCTCCTTAAGCCTCTTTTTTTAAATAAAAAAAACCTTTTAATCAGATATCTCGCGCTCAATCCCCCCTGTTGTCCTTTGATCCTATCTATGACAAGGGCTGATCTTAATTTTCCTTAGTTTTAACACGCTTAACATACGAAAACTCTACTATGGTAGGGGATAAGGGGTAGCCCTTAGGCACTTAGCAGTTTCCTCTTTAGTCATCCGATATGGTTTTCCATGAGGTAGCAGGGTAGAAGGGGGAACTGGGTGCGCTGTCTGAAGCTGTTTTCCGGGCGTTAGCCAACTCGTACATGAACTTTATTTCCACTTTGGATCACGCCATTGCTATTTTTTTTCTCCCCCTATTGAATGGCCTATGGATTTACGGAGCGGAATCCGTATATGATCACTCGCTATAGATATAAGAACCGTGTCTCGCTGGGAACATTTGTAGTAACTGAGTAACTGAGCAACAGCCATTCTTACTAGTGTATTCGTGATCATGGGGTCAGTGTGGTTCAATGTCATTGCGTCCTGTCTCTTTCGGTTCTTCTTACAGCAGGCACAGAAATCTCATTACGACTGAAATATACTAGGTACCCTACCACTGCAGGGCTGTATGCAATATGGTTGGATATGCACCGTGGTAAAAAGAAGTAAGAACGAGAGAAAGGATAGGGAATAAAACAAAGACAAAAAGTACACAAAAAAAGGAGGAAAATAAACCGCAACAGAAACAAGTCAGCCTTCCACCTCATCAAGAAACAACTGAATGATCTGCCGGTGTATCCAGAGTTCCCAGCGGGGTTAGCCGTAAGTCGAGTCTCCCGCTGCTTCCGGTAGGACATCCAGGGCGCTGCATAGTAGCTTGTGATTCTTCGGCACCCAGTCACAATAGAGGGTGAGGATGAAATGATGATTTATCTAGCGATTCTAGTCATTGCCCGTGTCCCACGTTACCCTGTGGATCTCGCGTCGGTGGTAGGATATTTCCGCTGCAGATGTCGAGGTGGCTTTTTTGACAATCGGATAGTACACGTGGACACAGGCCATGCAACAGTTGTAAGACACCGAAAACCCTAGGATGCGCCGGTAAAGATCCGTTTCGCCCTTCACCAGCTTGAAAAGGTCAACCACACCCCTAAGGGCGCGCGGCCCATGCTGTGCATGTTCTTCCGCTCCATCTCCTTTAGCCCGTGTTTCGCAAAGTTCGCTTTTGCCTAAAGAATATAATTTTTATAAAGTTTAATAGTAACCTTTTTGAGTGATACTTTAATAAAGGAAAATAATAGCAACCCTCTCCTAGTGATGTGGTTTTGAGGTTCAGGCGTTATCGAAGCCAGCTGCCTTTAGGATTTATAAAAAGACAAGTAGTTTAATTCTCATTATCCTAGTCAACGCCGGGTGCATCGTGTGATTTTGGATATTATTCTTGATAGGCTCCTTCCAACGTTAGCGGCTATCGGAGAGATTTCCAACAACCTTTCTTCAAAATTGGTAGAGCCCGTCAATTTATCGTCCCAGACGGTTCGCGTGGCTTCACCAGCTCCATCGAAAACAGCCGTCGCGGATATTTCCGATGACTGCCTCGCAGGCTGTGGTCGAGTGCCGTTGAGGGGAACGCGCCCTACAACGTTGTTGGAATGAACTTCCGGCCGGATCGATCTCGCGAGATAGAGCAAAACTCTGCATCCGGATTCGACCATCTAAAAACGATTAGACGAGAAGCGGAGTCAGGAACCTGTCAGATTTCTGCATCCCGAGATCACCCATGGAAACTCCGGGCAGTTGAAGTTGTGACTGGCTCGAGCGAGTGCTGCCATGGATCCACCGCGCCAGCGCGTCATTGACTCTGCGACTATCACCGTTATGAGGCATCGCGCCGGAAGGATGGAGATATACCCAGGGTCGCAGAGTTTGAAACAGCGTGCTATTGCGGGGGAACTTAAATATGGCAGTGGGGTAAGATGCCCGAGCGATCTCCAGCAGCGAAAAGCTCATCCTCACGCCGCGGGCCATGCGATCCTCCCCCTCCCCGAATCATCGCCATCGACAATGTCCCAGCCAGATTTAGGCATCAACCTCAACTCCAAAATCCCGCGCCCAGCAACCTACGCCGTCACCGCCTTTCTTTCCATCGCGCTGTACAATGTCATCGAACTCACATGCCTCGTCTTCATCGTCTTCAAGCGATACCGCGGCCTGTACTTTTGGAGCTTCCTCGTCGCCACCTGGGGAATCGCCATCTACTCCGTCGGCTTCGTGCTCAACGACTTTGACATTTCCGACAACATCCGCCTGTTTAATGTCACCCTTATAGTCCTGGGCTGGTGCGCTATGGTCACCGGACAGTCGCTAGTCCTGTACTCGCGCCTACATCTGATCGTGCACCGCCGCCTGATCCTCCGGCTCGTCCTCGGGATGATCATCATGAATGCGATTCTCCTGCATATCCCGACTATAATCCTCTGCTACGGCGCAAACTCCGTCCTCTACCGGCGCTTCTCGATCCCGTATGGAATCTACGAGCGGATCCAGGTGACGATATTCTTCCTGCAGGAAACGTCCATTTCCGCAATCTACATGTACCAAATGTGCCGGCTGTTCTACACCGGCGGGGGACCGCTCACGGCGATACATGGGGCAGAAGCTGGTCGTCGTCTGATGCTGCATTTGATCTACATGAACGTCTTCGTCATCCTCCTCGATGTCTTGATTGTCGCCCTCCAGTTTAGTGGCCGGTATGCGACGCAGACGGCAGCCAAGGCGTTTATTTATAGCGTCAAGTTGAAGCTCGAGTTCAATATCCTGAATAGGCTGGTGGGGGTCGCGCAGAGGGTGCCGCGGCGGTGGAGTGATAGCGGCGATAGGGAGAGTGGGCCTCCGCCGGACTTTATAGGGCCACCCGACCAGCAGGAGCAGCAGGAACGTCAGATGGAGGAGGGCAGACGGCGGAAATATTTGTGTCCATGGCAATTGTTCACAATCAGGGTTAATGAGGTGGTCGCCAACGGGACTGCACGCAGGTAGTATGCTACTTGGCATTGACAGATGATGCTCCAGGCAAACTTGGTTGACTCGGATCGTCTACAATGCCAGTGTCAGTCATTAGATCACACGTGCTGCTCACTCACTCTCTCGGTAATGTCTCTCGATTGCCTACGTACGACCAGCAATCATTATTCGACTATTTTGCTGCAGACCATGTACCTGATGCCATTTATACCCTGGCTACAAGATTAAGGTGTCGTCGTGGGTTGGTCTTCGGAGATAAAACCCACATCGCCAGGGATGGGCAAGTCACACGGGGTCGGTCTCATAGTGTTGGGAGTCCTTTTATCTGTACATTTACAAGCTTCTAGCGCACATTTGGGCTGTGTTGTGTCAAGGTGACCAAGGTATAGCTAGCAAGCATCTACTAGATAGCTCTCTCCAGATTAGATCGAATATCTCTGTCCTGCGTCATCGTTCTAACCGTGACAGGCCCGGGGCCTGCCAAGCCAGCACACCCTTGTAAATCCAAGCCATCCCCGGATCCAATCGGGCGTAGCCAGGACGTTGGCCCCCTGAAAGTCTCGGCACGCACACGTGGCATGATGAGGCTCAGCCTACCTACCTCACCTACCGGAGTAGGTCGGGAGGGACCACAGTGTTTTATCTCCACAACGCTCCACTATCTTAGGAGCCGCAACCTTCAATATCCCCATACTCTTCACCGCGCTGTGACCATGAAGATTACGATAATTACCTGTTTATCAACACTAGCAGGCCTCGCTCGCACATACGCGGGCTGCATACCTTCGAGCCAACGAGATGCTCCAGGTAGATCGCCCAAAGGCGATGTGGACCAAACCGAACTAACACGCAAATAGGGGTGGGAATTGACCTAACCATGGCATATGTGTAAATATCGCCCCGCCCCGTCCCGCCACAATCCTTGGTAGCGACCCGCTAACGCTGTGTAGAGCAGTTGCCATCCATTTTGAAAATGGGACGACAGTGGACATTGCGCGCGTCGATGGCTCCTCGGAGTATTTGGCAGCCATGCGCTCCTTAGCAGAGGATGCTCGGCAGTTCCACGGCCTTGGACCAACAGTGTCAGTGCCAGTGTAGTGACAATGATCGTGGTGACCAACATACTAACCTGGGACCAGGGATTGCACACACGAACCCACACAGACATTCCACCCGCCCCTCTTTCTGCTGGAGTGGTGGCGGGCAATCAGAGCGTGGTTCCACACGAACCCCGATCCGCCATCCGACCCTTATCAACCAGACAGATGGGTGGACGCAGTAGCCGACACGCTAGCATCGATCAAGTCCGACATCCTCGACGTGTTCGACTCGCCAGGGCCCGATCGGGTCTTTACAACCTGGCCGGATTTCGAAGCCGGGACCGGTTCGGTGTATCGCGTTCGCTTCCGCCTTGCGTGCCGGCGCGCAGGACTCGACCATCTCGATGGCGAGATCGCTTCCTATCACGCGCTGGGATATGACGGGATAGTGGTAGATGATGATCAGGATGAGGATGGAGCGCCCGCCGGGCCCCGGGCAATGCTAGTCATCAGCTACAGCGCCGCAAGCCTCGGGGTAACCCTGAATATCCGAGATGGGGGAACCGTATGGCCGCGGAGACTTGTCGAGAGTCCGGAACTTGGTGCTGCCCGAAACAGCGAGGCAACCTACTGGCAGTCCGTCAAGCTTTTGCTAGAGGAGGTCATCCAGGATGAACCAGTCGATCATATTCTGCTCCTTGGCCCGCGGGCCTATGATGCGGACCTGATTCGGGCGGTCCGTAATGTTGTGGAACACCATGAGAACATCAATTCTTCTATCCTGGAGCGGTATCGCGGGGTAGATTCGGACATGCGCGATGAGAACCTGCCGGTTTTTACGACGGCGAGGCAAGCTGCGGCGGTGGCTAGAGATATCATAACGGCAAGATCGTGTGTTGTCGACGAGAAAGCAACCAGTGAGGTCCATTCGGAGCTTTAGATTGTGGGAAGGCATCTACTCTGACATCGCAAAACGATAAGCAAAGGCCCAGACTGCTTGTTTAAGCATAGTCTTGCTCTAATAGGAACATTTCAAAATGAATGCCTTGTCTACCCTGTCCATACTCACCTAGGTTTAATGGCTTTGATACTTGAGGAGAAAGCTCTATCAAAGCCCTTGTTCAAGAGCTTATCTTATTTTTCAGAGCTGTGCGTAGCTGGTGGACAAAGAATGGTTCATGACAATTGACTTGCCATTGCATTGTCTACTGTTTGAGATAGCGAATAGATTGTGGACTCCACTGTCTCCAACCTTTGAGATGATGTTGAAAAAAGAATTATTAAGGGTTTGAGGTGCTGTTTGTTTCAAAAGCAAGGTGGCACTCCGTCTAAATTAACAACGAACCAGGGTAATGTCCAAAGTTCAACTCTGATTGTTCCAATCAATGAAATGTTTGAACAAACCCAAAACAAGGAGACCTCTCACACGCCCTCTGTCTTTATTCGAAAAAGCATATAAGCGACTCATCACATCTCCATCTCCTTCTCTCATCGTCATCGTTCTCATCATCCTCCCCATCATCATCCTCAGCTTCCAGCTAAGCAGCACTACAAACTCCACAACCCTCACACAGCAAATCCAACATCACAGTACTTTCATCGCTCAAAATGCCTTCAGATATCTTCAGCGGGTATTCCGCGTATTCCCTCTCCTCACAATGGATGAAGCTCGCCGAGAAAAACAAAAACCTCACAGTAGAGACCTACACCCACGCTCAGTCCTACTCGACCGACTACAAGAATGGCGCTCAGAACATCAAGGCCAAGAAAAGCTACGGGTACGACATCCGGGGCCCCTCCGGCCGCGTCAAGGAGAAGAAGTCGGCCGGGTTCGACGGTACGCGCGCGGCGAATGGGAAGATCGAAGGCGAGGCCTGGAGGCACAAGACAGATGGGTTCAGCGACGAGACGTTCAACAACGGGTTCAACGTGGGCAAGCGTCTTGAGAATCCATTTGGCAGTCCCCGGCGTATTGAAAATGCATTTCCCTCTTCGCCTCTTCGGCCCCGCGCCCTGGACGATGGTCCTCCTTCCCGCGCGCTTGAACGGGGGTCTGGTTCCCGGGCTCTCCAACGGGCCAAGCCTCTCTTGGACGACAACAGGAGCTTCCGCGATGGGTTCCGCACCGCGCTGTTCGGTACCAACTACGCCAACGACGACAACTCTACCGTCTCGACGGCCACGACGTCGGGTTCGGAACCCGCGCGCCCGCTGGGAGTTGACCAGTTGAGGGAGGAGAGTCCGCCTGCGAGCTACGCGAATTTCACGCCCTGGCGGGAGGATAGCCTTCCGCCTTCGTCGGGGCCGAACAGGCCGTATCCGAGCCGTGGGATTGCGAAGAATAGAAGTAGGTTGTCTACTAAGTCCAACTCGACTCTTGCGCCTAAGGACTCTGCGTCTCAGAGATCGAGGTTTTCGTAAGAGGTGTTTTCTAGCGCATGTTGAGGGGGGGTTTGATGGTCTACATCTCTGGTTGACGGAAAACGAAATCACAAAAAAAATTGGTTTGGCTTGTGAGCCCATATTGTTGCGGAGTATGTTTTTTTCAGGTTAATGTTTAGGACTAAGTAGGAATAAAGCGGCTGGCTTGTTATCGTTCATTTTCTTGTAGACAACTTATACAATAGCCCGTAGGGTATTCTTCATGGTCAAGACGACATTCAATATGCAAATAATGCGTCATCGTGGCTTCTGCGTTATCACACATGGCGTCTATGAGCCCGATCCGCGCCTTCCCGATCCACGCCTTCCCGATCCTGGATTTGTCGCAGCAGGAAGGAGCGACGAGTAGCCCCCCTGGGGATGTCTCTCGAGCCCAGGGCATTTGCCGAAGGATTTTCTTCCCCTCTCCACGGTCGCCGCTGGACATCGTCTCTCATTATTATCCCCATTTTTATCTCAATAGCTCTATAGCTATATAGTTCAATCAACATGTTGTTAATCGATTTATCCATTACTATTGACCCAAACTTTATGCTCTTTGAGCTGGTGGCCTACCTCGTCGTCGTCATCGTCGTCGTCACCCTCTCGAGGGTGTTCTACCTGTGGACCAAGACCAAGCTTGGTGCCACAGGCCGGTGAGTTAAAATGGCGGATAGTCCTTGATTGAACAATACTGACGACCTCTACAGCTACGCGGGGCGGCGATCATCGAGATCTACAAAAGTCCGTCTGCCTCAGTGCCTCGCTCGAATTCAACTGGGAACACATGCGACGGTGATCGAGACGGGGAAAGTCCATCTGCTTCATGTCCCCCACGGGAATCTATGCAAAGCGACAACCATCGGGGTCAACGAGTTCGATTTGAGAAATGGTCGAGAAGGGGAGGGCTCCCCGGGAACTAGTTCCCTACGAGATGACGTGAGGCTTTTGGTAAGTGATGAGTACCCCAAAGTTAAGGGCGCGAAGCTTACTGTTGTCTGTTGTTAGCCAGTCAACCCACATGAACCCAAATAATCAGACCTGGAGTCCACCTCAAAGCCTTAAGGCCAGGCTTGCACAAACAATTCAATCAAACTCTCCACTTCGGTCAGTCAGAGCCCACGCCAGCGCACGTCGTATCCTTCCTCAACAGCCATAGATGATCAACGCACTTGAGTGACCACTACCGCGCATTCCTCTCGGCGACGTCCCCGGTGCTGAGTCCCGGACGAGCCATTCTATAGCTCGACCTCACTGTCATATCACCGTCTACCTCCGTTCTCCCTTATCCCCGGTGCGGGTCGAATCCGGTCCCATTCATCAAGAATTACTATCAGTTGTTGCTTTTGTCGTTGTTATTATTAGCCATCCATGTGGACCATCTCCATGTTTCTCCTTTGTGCTAGCCAGTTTGTTATGACATGTCAACTGGAAAAAAGTGCTCTTTGCGCTACTCACAATAGACTTGCAAGGTCGTGGTATTGAAACTCATGTATATAGCGTTCTTGAGAAATGAAGATACATACAAATTACCGCCTCAACTGACTCAAATGGTCGCAAGACGCTTGACCACCTTTAAAGCTATTTAAACTTCGCGAAAACAGACGAAACGCCTGTTTGCACGCATTTTGGGAAGCAATAGTGTGCATATGAGCAGCATCGTACCGATTCATCTCGTACGAGACATTGAGCCGATCTCCAAGTGACATAAACCGGCGCGTGGAGGTTTCTCGAAAGCCTTGTGGGTCGAGTTGCGGCCTTGGAGGTCCGGAACTTTTCTCCGGCTTAAACTCCCTAGCCCCAAGTGCGTTCGCACGTTATTGCGATCCGCCACCTCGACCTCGACGTTGAGAAATCCATGCCTAGTAATTGAAATAAAGTACCTCGCGTCTATATCCGCTACGCGACATCAACTGATGAGTCAAAACTTCACACGCACCGTGTTAAAAAAGCAAAAAAGACATTTCCGATACGGGGAATCGAACCCCGAGCTGCCGTGTGAGAGACGGCGATGTTAACCATTACACCATATCGGATTGGCTGTGAAATGTGGGCCGCAAGTAGGGCTACTCATGGACGACCATAGCAGGTACCTGTAAAAAATTCTAGTGGAGCCATGCCCTGCAGATGAGACTCGGTCTTTTTAAGTTAAAGCTAGTACGAGGGGTATGTGTAGGTGGACAGCAACAAACAGGCGAGAAATGATAGACATTGGACTTGCTTCAGTATGTACAGGACCCCATCTCGCATTGGTAGGCTTGATATATTCGTGGTCTTTCGGTAAGGTCGAGGCGCTATTATATATTTTCTGTGACCCCACTAGTCTCAGCGTCATCTAGCCTTAGGGCTCGGATAGAAAGAACCCCTTTCTCCTTCACGCATATAGATACCTCCGAGGAGTTATCATCAATCGCTTGACCATCACCACTAGGTAGACCTGCCGACCAAGTAGGACTCATCTTACTCGCCGTCATCTTGCGAAAGAGGGGCATATTTGCCCGAAAGCCTTACAGAGGCCCTTGAGACCTTTCCTTCCCTGGTTCAGGTACGTGGTCATCTTGTGTACCATTTTCTCTCGATGAGAGGCTTATTCATGGCAGATAATGGATTAATAATGACAGCGGAGCTGATAACGTGCAAGACCTGACCAGTGCCATATTCGCTCATATTCACCTCCGGAGGATGTTGGTCATTGCATTGATAATATAAAAGTCCTGAAAGTACGGAATCCTCGACTCGAATTGTAAAAGGAGAGTAGATGAATACAAGAGGGATCGAATCGGAGCGAGGTTCTTAGGGGGGTTGTTGGCGGTCCGTCGCGCCTTGTTTGACAGTATGATAACCTAGAAGCCAAAACGATCGCAAGTATTACACGCTCCCATAGTGGTGAGAACAAGAGGGCGCGGTAGGACCCCGCTCAAGGTGTTGCATGGCTGCACCCCTCAGTTGAATTCGGTCCGTCTGATCTCGGCAGAGGGGATTGATTACCCTGGGGTCTTGCATAGTGTACCCGTATTATCCCAAGACTTCCGAGCTGGAGAGCTACTTTCCCAGCACGCTACCTAGGTAGCCTGCTAGCCAGCATTTCTCGGTTGAGAAGAGGCCTAGAGGGGCAATACAGGAGCTTATTCTGAGTCAGGCTCCAAGGGCGTTTGTCAGTCATTGCCCGATGGGCTATATGGACAGCACACCGTTCTGAAATACTGCCGCTACAGTCCCAGTACGTACCTGTCCACGCATAACAGGCGCCCCGATGGGTGTAGGTTGAAGGCTAGATTGGGGCCCGCTTCAGTCCGCGAGAGCTTAAGCCCGTAGATGACAAGATTGCTTTTTAGCGTGGCGAAAGCGCATGTTCTAAAGTCGTTGAGGAGCAGCACTTGGATTCTTCGCGATGAGAATAGATGTGGAGCGCCTTCTGCTCTGCTCGACAGGTATGACCCTTCCAACTTGCTCTGATAGAATGGTATAGGTACAAGGAGCGGTGCATCACGCAAGCACAGCAAGATAGCGCGGGACATGCGCTGGAAGATAGAACCAAAGATCCCTATATCATATCGAGATCCGGAACCGCCGTAAAAATGGAAGCATTAAAGCAAGCACGGTCGAAGAAGTTGGGCGGCAGACATGTCATCATGGGATCCTGTCCATCCAACGCTACCGAGCTGGACCGGGTTGGGTCCGCGGTGGTAGACTCGCTCGGAACGGTTTGTTGATTTACAGGTGCTGCGTTCCACTGACACCGCTCCAGTGAAGCCGACATCAGATCCGCTGCAGAAGATCGTAAGCTTTGATATGTCGACTCGGCTAGTTCCCAGGTCCGTCGGGCACTCTTAAGGCAGCCGAGGATGAGATTGACGCGGTTGCAATGGTGATCGAAGCATTCGTCCGAGTGGACTGTGGACGTAGCGAGTTGGATGAGGCCGCAAAGTGAGAGCGCGGGAAGGATAAAGGGGCTATGTTTGAGGATATTGGGGCAGATCGAGATGGAGTCGGAGACCTGGCGCGAGGCCTCGGTTGCTTTTATGCTGTGGACCAGTCGGGTTGACGTAGATGAGAGCTGCTGATGGCATGATGCCCCCGGCCAGAACTGGCTCTTTTCAGGCTGTGCTAGGACTGGATGTAGATCGCTCCGTGGTAGGTGGAGGAGCATCGCCGCGTAGCCGATTGTCAGATGAGCTTGGAATATCATCTCGTCGACGGTTCCGTATGCGTCGACGATGTCGAGTTTCGTTGCTGGGAGATGGTTTGTCCAGCTCACGAGAGCGTTTTCGGCAGCTTGGACGTGGTCGCGATGGCAGTCAGGGATGCGATTCAACATGGTCACTCGAGACAAAATCGCCGTAGCTTCAATCCGGTAGCTGAACGAGGAAAATATCGGATCTTCAGCAGCGAGAATGCGCCGTCGAAAGTCAAGCATCGTGCTCGGTCTGGGAATGCCCTTACCCGCATTGTAGATGGATTCCTCGCAGGGAAGAGGCACCTCCAGATGGGAAGCACAGCAGCGGTTGGTACACGAGTTGAGTGAGATGGCCATGTGAATCTCGGTGATATAAAGCTCCCACCACGTCCGGCGTAAGCTTTCGGCTTGGAGCGAGCATTCTGCATAGGCAGACGAGGCGTATCCAGCACGGTTCATCCCTAGCTCCAGAGCCAGGTCGATGCTGCGGGTCAGTGCAGCTTTAGCTTCGTCTGTTTCCCTTCGGGCGTTTAACACGATGGCGTATATGAGCCAAGCCTGGACTGCCGCTGGTGAGTGCTCTGTATGGGATGCCAGCAGGTCGACAACCCTATTCTTGTATTCGTTTGACCGACCGGACGATGTGTATTGAGATCCGACAAAGTAAACCACAGCCTGTAGGTAGGGTGGATAGTTTTGGTCGTTGTACATTCCGCTCGGGGCAAGAATCGGATGAGCGGCATGGAAGTTTTCGTAGTATAACCGAAGCAGACGATTGTCATCTTCAACGCTTGCTTTGCTCAAACTAACACCGGAGGCGTAGTCATTCGTGGGAAGTATCCCTAGCCACGAAGCTTCATCACTACCAGCATTGGAGAGATCGTTACCGGTCAGTTGTTGAGAGAATGAAGTACTTGGCGGAGTGGGAATGTGACGATTCGCCTGTCCAGACAAGTCGGGAGTAACACTCTGCAAAACAGATTGGGTATGGTTGAGAGTCATGCCCGGCAAACTCTGCTGATACACTGGTGATGATGAAGCGGCACTTAGCTTCTGCTTATGACGAGATATACGACGCCCACCCCGACGTGAAGCGATGTATTCGCAGTGAAGGCCATTCTGGAGACAGCGAGAGCAGGACGGGCGCTTAGCATCGCACTTGAGGTGCTGCTTCCTGCACTCGACACAGGCCACCGTGGTCAGACCGCTTTCCTTGGTTGGCCGCACGGGCATCGCGCTGGCTCAATGAGTCTTTCGGCCTTTGTCAGGAGACCACTATCAGGATAATTTCAGCTGGGAAGGTTGGAGCCCATGACATTCTGTTGTTATGAAATGGAGGTGTGCAGTTAGTTCAAGGTTCCCGACAGATTCCTGGTCGGGTGTTTCTGATCCATAAGACTGCCGACCAATCGGAGATCCCGCTTGGTCGCCCATCTCCGAGGTCCAGACACCGATGCCCAAGTATAGGGTCCGAAGCTCGATGATGTCTATCCATCAGGTTAGCGTCAGATAGACGAGAATGGGCATTTAGAGTTCTCCCTGTAAGATAACGCAGGATGCCTTATCATCCCTTGCTTCAGCACTCATATTCAGCAAAGCATTCCCGTAGGGGTTGCATCAGAGTTAATATGGGTCGCCGATTGCGCATTCGGCGATTGCTCACCGCAAATAGCCACAAGACCCATAAAGGGGACACAATGCTTCCCATATCCAAACAGTCCAAAAGTATCCAATTATAGCCCAATTCCACCTCACGAGTCCATATGTCGGTCCTCTATCCGCCCGCACTCCCAGTGAGTGAGAAACTCGGCCACTGCCATGAGCAACTCCCCGACGAATACTCCCTTGACAACCTTGTCCGCGATATCAAGACCTACCTCGGCAGTACAAGCGGGATATCTTCCTCCGATGTCGACTCAAACTATCTGATATCGCTGGTCAAGAAGTACGAAGCCGGCGAAGGCGGCTGGACGAGATATTATCATAACGACCCGTCGAAGAACTATACGCGCAATGCCATCGAAAACATCAACCACAAAGCGAACATTGTAAGTTGCGCCTCTTTGGATATACCCTGCTATAATGTCTTGTCTAATTGCTCATGTTCTACTTACAGCTCCTCCTCGTATGGAACCCCCAAAAGGGCTCACCCATCCATGACCACGCCAACGCCCACTGCATCATGAAGGTGCTTGCAGGGAATTTGACGGAAACGGTTTATGCTGCGCCTGAGAAGGGTTCCGATGGCACCAAGCCTCTTAAGGTCAAATCAGAGACAACGCATTCTACCAACGATGTGACGTATATCGCGGACGATATTGGCCTTCATCGAGTACATAACCCGCATCCTACCAAGGTGGCTGTTTCTCTGCACTGTAAGTATCCTTTACTACTTCGAATCTTATTGATGGGGCTATACTAATTCTTGACAGTATATACCCCACCAAATGCGGCCGATTACGGGTATCACATCTTCGACGAGGCGACGGGCAAGTCGAGCTATGTGCCGCAAGCGAGGGCCATCCTACGTCCGAGCATGCCCGAAGAGTCTGAATGACCACTTTACCTCTGACTCGACCCTTGATGATACAACCTCATGACACTGAATGACCGATTTTCCATACCCTGGCGTTTGGTATTTGCTTTCTGGCGTGAAATTCATAGTCTACCCAGTACCTCTATAATAAATGTTAATCGCATCTCCGCAGTAAGAATACTGCCAGGAATTCCTCTAATCTGGATGTCCCCTCCGTCTTCTGTGCTTATAGCCATGCTTGTTTAAAGGAAGATATCCAACAAGATCTGGACAATCACACGTGGAAACCGTGGTCCCGTCATCCGTTTAGAGCAACGATCTCGGGCCCCTGTAAGCCCTCAACGGCGAACCCCCCCACGGCACCATAGCCATTGGAAGGGGAACCATATTCCCAGTGCGAGGGACAGTGAGAGCGCCATGTCTCGGCACAACCCTCCTTCTTGACCAGTAGAGGATGAGCTGCCGCATCTTTGAGGCCTTTGGAGGCTTCTGCAGGACGTCGTCGAAGCCTCTTTCCTGGAACCAGCCGCTGTCGATCTGAGAACGCAGCAAGTGTGCTGCCAAGGCGATTATCGGTGTCGTGGAGATTTTTGGGTCTGTCGCGAAGGGTGGCTGGGTACGGAGGATGTTTGTTGCTTCAATTCCGCCCATTACGGGCATTGCGGTCTTTGGGATTCGTCTTAGAAGGGGCCCATTCGCTGGGAAAAAAAGGGCGGAAGGATGCTCTTACGTCCATGAGTATAATATCCGGCCGAGGATGTGTGACTGGTGATGCGTAGAGGTAGTCGAGAGCTTCCTGACCATTGTTGGCGATCGAGACGGTGCATTCCAGACGGCTGATGCTGCGGGTGAATAACCTTTGGTTGACGCGGCTGGTACAAAGTTAGTAACTCATGGGCCTTGTCGTAGACTTTCAGGAAGCTTACTTGTCTTCAGCAAGCAGAATGTGCATTCTGGCCTTGTAAGAGCGACTGGTGTCTGGATGGTTGTGTCTGGGAGAGGCAGTGTGTTGTGGTGCGACCAAGCGGGGAATGAGGCTGAGTCCCAGTGATGATCGGCATTGGGCAAGCCACTTTGATACGATACTTCCGTATTAGAAATACACTGAAAATACGGCTAGTCCGTTTACAGAAGTCTTGTTTGGTGGCCCCACGCTGCAGACAACTCATCCTCACCCAGGCTAACTTGAGCTTCTGCTCCAAGTGGTACTCACTTTCTTCAACTTGCAGATGCCACATGCCTATTTCTTGACTTTCTATGGCAGAATTGCGTATCTTACTGGTTATTCTGATTCCTGCCCCATTCGAAATGCCCCTTCTTTCTCTACCAAACGAGCTGCTGCTGTTGATTGGCGAGTATATTGCCTCTGAAGCCGACCTCAACTCCTTCCTGCGCACAAACCACCGTCTACACGACTTGCTCTTGGATTATCTCTACCAGTACAATATCAAGCATCATAACAGCGAATGTCTTCACTGGGCAGCGGAGCATGGTATCCTTGGCACATTGAAGAAAGCAATCAACCAAGGAGCCAACGTCAACGCGGGTATAAACCTTATACACCGTGTCTCAGAAAAGGGGTTCTTTATAGACTCCAAGATGACCCCGTTATCCCGAGCAGCAGCGAAAGGACACAAGGGGCTTGTCAGTGCCCTGCTGGACGCGGGAGCTGATGTTGAGGCTAAACGGGGACAATTCCCAAATATCGCACCAATAGTGCACGCAATGGATGCTGAACAAGGATCGTTGGAGACAATTCAAATCCTGATAAACCACGGCGCAGACGTTAACAGAAATGGTGATTATGCGGAGGCCCCGTTATTGCGGGTAGTGGAGAAGGGCAAGGTGGAAATCGCCGATCCGAATAAGCGGAACGGACCCCAAAGCCCTCTCGATAGAGCGGAGGCCCACAATGACCAGGCACTGATCAAACTGCTCAGGGATTATGGCGGCATGACATACGACGAAATGTGGGCAGTTCAAGACTCTTGATGAGGCCTGCACAGCCGTTAGACGGTCCGTGCGAAAACCCGCTGAGCTTAGCTACTTACAGTCGACATGACTCCACGTTTGCCGCTCCATGGTCTCCTTTGCAATCAGGTCTGACATCTTGAGCGTACAGTTCTACTTTCCTATGCCTTCCGTCTTCGTCTTCTTCGCCAAAAGTTGAGAGTGGTCCTGCATACGAAAATACGGCGTTGACACCCGGACAGATACAATCCAGTATGTACATACCATTAGAATACAATGGTGCACTGGATGGAACACTTTGGGATGGGGTATTTATGGCCGAGAAGAAGCAATTAGAAACAGTCTTGGATGATTATGGAAGTATTGTGCTTATTCTTGGTCAGTTGATTTTTCCTGGGAGGGTCAACTGTGCCTCCTGCAGATGGCTGGCTAGCTTGTGTCCTTGTGATTCTAACATGGCATCGTAATGGTAATGGGGCGGTATCCGACTGCCGATTCATCCTCTACTTCAAATAACAAAATAGACATACGGCAGTAAGGTTTCGTCATGCAAATGGGCTAGTTTGCAATCAGGCGACCAAAAGTAGGCATTGGGAGCGAAGATCAGGGCGCAGAGAGCGACTCTTAGAGTGAGGAGCTTCATTGCAAGAGCTGATATAACCTTTCTGGATGAGGCAAGTAGGATACTAGTAAGCTTCTGGGACTGAAAACGAGTTGCCACTGAGATAATAGTATTTGTATCTGAACTTCCGAGCTGGGGTTTATACCTCCCCAAATCTGGGAATATCCATGCAACCCCTCGGATAGCCGGGCCGCCATATTTGCTGTGGTATGATCAGGTCGCAACCACTCAACCCTGTCCAAGGTAACATGTTGGAGAATCTCAATATCCGAGTGGTAGTGTTTCTCGATCCCCTGTCCGTAAACTAAGATTTAGGCTAAAACCCCTGAGTAGGGTTCGATCGGGCAGCCAAGCAGCTATCAAGATCAGGATTTATTAAGCTCCCGTTGCGCCGTCCCCGCTCTAGATCTTTTTCATTTGCTTAACTTCCACGTTCATGCATTCTCCTACCATCATGCCCCTCTCGAAGTTTGTCCTCGGTTTGTTGGCGCTTTGTCCAGGCGCACTAGCACAAGGCCAAAGCGACCAATCAACCCTCAGCGATCTGATCATGGATCAGAATCCCCAGAGAAGCACAACCCATGATGTTACGCTACGAGTAGGTTCCTCCCCTCTTTGCTTAAAGTACCGTTCCCAGGATTTAACCGGACCTCCAGTTCGATGACATCGCTACCATGCGCGAAACCGGATCGATATCATCGTACTCATATCTGAACTTCCGCGGATTCTCTGTTGTGCATGCTTTGACAGCAGCAAACCTCGGCCTTATCGAACAGAACGCCATAGACTGCGCCTCCTCATCCCCCAACGCACTCTTCAGCCCTCAGACCAAGCAGCCATGGATAAGACCGCAGTTTGAGTCTAACGCAACCAGGCTCCGCACGGCCGGTCTCCTGCCATTCTTCAATCTCAAGGGTATTTCTTACAAGCCACTTGGTGACGTCCCGCCTAATCTGTTAATGAATATCAACGCGTGGGAAATCGTGGACTCCGAGGCACGGAATGTGTACACTTACTGGAGTCCGTACAAACATGGTGGCCATCAGAAGATGGAGCGAATAGAGTTTAATATCTTTGGAGATAATGGGTGGGGAGAGAATGTAAATATGGTTGAGATCTTTGCGACGGCTCCGGATGGGGATGAGTACTGGGACTTTTGCGTTGATGACTTGTGGATTGAGATCCTGGAGGACAAGGGGCAGAGGGAGGAGATCTAGTTTGGAATAGAGACCGGTTATTAGTTCCGCCTGGGGCAGACCAGCTCAAATCCCGCCCGCACCCATACGGCTTCGCTTACCCCTGCTAACCCTCTTAGTTCTCGGAACGATTTATACAAGACGGCAAAAACGGCGGGCACGACGCAGCGTGGGCCTTGATTCTTGCAGTTAAAGATCAAATGAAAGAAGTTGACCCCGAGGCCAGCCCGGCCACCAGCTACAATATCCGAGTCTTCGCCAACGTGCTGGGCCTGACGAAGCTCTATCGGCCTCGGCTCAGACTCCTCAGTCGTCCCACTCTCTTCGACACCCTCACTCCAACTGGTACCCGTTGACTCGGGAGCAGTTGCGGAGGCCCTCGATATGTAGACTCTATGATCCTCTTTAATCATATCTCCAGAGTAAGGAAATATGTCTACTGGAAATTACCCCAGTAGCTGCACGTGATAGAGGATGTCGAGCTCCACAGGTATGCCCGGGCCTCCTGCATTGGGAATGAAATCGAAGCCCGATTTTAAACTGCGACAGCGATCAGAAGGCATAACAACTTGAATACCTAGGACATGACAGAAGCACATCCGCACCAGCGTCTCAGTATATTGATTTAAACATTACTATAAACTAATGAGAGTATACATAGAACTGTGCATGCGTCATAGCCAACTCTTAAATCCTCGTGGATGCCAATTCAAGTAATCGTCAGTCAGCCAAGAGCTCCATAGAGAGTATAAAGCTAGATTGCCATACACTCGGCGTCCCCCAGTCTTCAGAATTTATGTGTACAATCCCCCATTACCTTAGGCCCTGCCGATTAGGCGTAATTCATATTGATGGCTATGAGCTGGGCTAATTGAAGCGCAGCATTTGGTATTTAATGCCGACCCGTTTTGTCCAACGCGTTCCATTTATCCAACACCGCCGCCCTCTCCTCTGGTAGAGTAGCGTTCCATTCGGCAATCCCTTGTCTGATCCGGGACTTTACCACGTAGTCCACTCGATTTGCACCATATGACTGCTCTATCTCTCGATGGATTCCGCTCAAGGGATAACCGAGCAATCCCCATAACCCTATATTTAGTTCATGATTCACATAGTCAATCAACATGCTTGTTGGGATACCGAGTGCAGCAACACTCACCGGCTTGAGGTTTGAGAAGTACGCCTCCCACTCCTTTACCAAGCCCTTTGCCCAAGCCACCGAACCTCCCGTCATTCCAGCCCTGCCTGGGTTGTGTTACGAGTCCAGTTATGCCGTCATAGAAGCTATAGCCAAATTCCTTGTCTCGTTAGAATTTTAGTCACGTCCTGCGGAATCAAGATTATTGTACCTTTCCAGCCGCAATAAAACCAGACTTCACGCCAGCCACTTCAGGTGTGTCCCTCACAGCGTGATCATGATAGCCGCGCGGTAAGTAATGGAAGAACTGGGAGAGCATCACCGTAAGGCCCATGGGTACTTCTACCATCCAATTTAGCGTTCGGCGGCCCATATAACTTGCACTGACCCCTAATTTCTTCAATCGGCCCTGTTTAGTCGCCATGGACGGCGCACCAACCTGGGACTGAATCGTTACCGCTGACGATAAGCACGGCGCCTGCCCTGCGTCATTGTTTGTTGTCACTTCAGCCTGGCTAGAGACTCTGGGTACCTCGGGCAACTGCATAGTTTGATATGCCTCGTGAGGAGGCATGTTGTAGCTTGCAGCGAAGCGTTCCGATGGTGGCTGTAGGATATTTTGCACAGCATTTAGCGGCATCCCAACCACCCCGGTCAGGAAATTACTAATGGCTCCTGAAAAAGCATCGGCCCCTAGGCAGCCATCGCTTGTGCTATACCGTTTTGAGTAGTACCTGATTACTTAGATCAGTTTAAGACGCGCAATTAAAGTCCTGTGGGCGCCACCTACAGCATGACATCTTTTGGATCAAGCTTCTTCTCCACAACCAAAACAGTGGCCGCAAATGCGCTAAGCAGAATTCTTGTCTTCTTAATGCGCCACACGGCCGGACGATCAGGACACAGCGCACATTGAAGACGTTGAACATCCAGCTTCTGGTGGAAGCTGTCTACTGCACTGCGAGCACCGTCCTCTGCTCGGATTCTCTCACCCAGTTTCTGTGCCTTTTCGACGGTGTCAACCCCAAGACAAAAACGGATTGCGTTCGCGAGACGGGTCGCGGTTAGCTGTTGTATTGGAATAGGTGGAGGGCCTGCTCCGTTCTGCGCCACCAACGCGCCCCAAAACGGCTGGTCACCGAAGAAAGGGACAATGACTGTTGGTCGTCCCAAAGCAACACCGGTAGCTGTCGTTCCAGCTCCACCATGATGAATCACACAGCAGACTCTCTGGAATAACCAGTCATGCGGGCAGTTTCCTAAGAATAATACATCACGCTGGTTGATGAGGCCGGCTCCAAGTCCGCCCCATCCTTTTGAAATAACGGCCCGTTGGCCTGTTATCTCGACCGCCTCTAGGATGGTCCGCGAAAGAGCATCGGGATCATCGACCACAATGGAACCGAACCCGATATACAGCGGCGGGGGGCCTGCTTCAAGAAAGTCGACAAGATCCTGTGGAGGAGTGTAGTCGTGATTTGAAGGAAGAAAATTGAAACCAGTTACTTCGATGTGATCAGCCCAGTCATCCGGCTTGGGGAGTAGCGAAGGGGACCTGTTGACATGGAATGAATACATCTACATGGCAGGAGCCAAAGTAGAGTACAGACCAGAAATATGTGAATGGAACCCTTAGCCGGTGCAGCAAGCTCGGCGCGCCTGTGCCTTCCAGCTGATCCAATCCCAGCTCAAAGCGACGGAACTCATTAATCAAATCACCCACCCCTTGCCAAATGAGAATCTCCGTAAGGACGTAAGACAGAAAGTTTGCAACGGAAGGCTTTGCATCGCGGGTAAGAATATTCGCCAGAGGATGTGGAAAGGCCTGGGTAGGCGACCATGGCATGCTAGAGACATCAGTAACCATTTGCATAGGATTTTCAGACAGGAACCTACGTGAACATCATATGCAACGGTACTCCCATCTTTTGCGCACAGTTGAAATGCGCAAAACTCGGCGGATTTGCAATAATCGCGTCGGCCACAAAAGGCAGCGCAGTCATGGCGTCAGAACCAGTCGGGTCAGTACCTTCGCCGGTTTCGAAACACGACCGCCAACATCCCCCAATCATGGTCCGAATCTCCTTGCGACGTTTCCCAACGGTTCCTTGTAAAAGGGTCTTCATCTTCGGCATCAGCTTCGGATTCTTGACCATGAATGACATCAACTCCGCCGGGTCGCCCCCAATATTGAAAAACTCCAACCCATTATCTTTGACAAAGTCGCGGAACACGAAATGGGTCGCTAGTCTCACGCGATGTCCGTGTTTCTGCAGAGCCTGGCCTAAGGCAATGAAAGGTTGGACGTCACCGCGCGATCCCACGACGTGGATCACCACATTAAGCCGGATTGGGAAGCGAATCTCCTTTATCTGTGAATGAATGGGGATTGACCGGGCCTGGAGCGCTTGTAGCAGGCTGACTGCCTTCGGGCCTCCTTCATTGACCGCGACTTCCACGCGACCATCATCTGGGGAAATAACTGTCAGTGAAAGCCATTCGACTTTTAGTATTCCTCAAGGAGCTATAGCAAACCGGTCACGTGCGCCTCGGCATTAAGGTCATCGGTGATTCGCTGCCGGTCGGTGGGCGCTTCAAGCAGGGCGAAGGGAATATTAGCTGCCCCAGTGGCCATGTTAATTGAGTTTGCGTTTAGGGGAGCCAAGGCCGAAGAAGAGGCTTTTGTTGAAATTAAGAATGACGCCGCTGTGGCCGGAGCGGGAAATCGGGTTCCTCAGTCATTTTACATACATATGTCGAACCTCACCGCTCAGTTCCTGTAAGGAAAAGCGTTCAAACCCAGCTAATACCGAGTATTTCATCCCCGACACTTTTTGCCCCGAGCCCGAATGGTGACGTATATGCGAACCTTATTGCTGGGCTTGCTTACCCAAGCATTTTCCATCGCAGGTTTCTTATTGTATGGTGATTCCCAGTGTGGCAGGGGGAAGTAATCTCCAACCGTAAGCACAGGTGTAGTCTTTCGAAAACTAGTTCTATGATTATATAAGTTATCTAGTACTAACATGTCCCTGAGATTAATGATTTAGATATTATGTTGTGACAGTGCTAGCATTTATAGAATTAGTTGTATAGCTACGATGATTCTGTCAGAGTTTCTAACGTCGAATGTTGAACAAGCTATCTTGACTTCTAAAGAATACTCTGCCTAAATATTTCCTATTCCTTTCACGACAATAGTGTTTTTGATAATAATAACTTCCACCAGTTCTGCTGGTTAGGAGAGCAAATATACCGCGATCTGACTCTTGCCACTGAATGATTCGAGATATCTTATTCATCGTCTAGGTGTCGTTTGTAAAGAGCGCAGCTGTTGGATGCGGTATGAGCGTCAAACGGACCGGATTTACTTCCTTAAAAAGTGGGCTGTACCTCTTCCCCTTTCTTCTGCCATGGTAGGAATCTGATGTCGCATTTTATTGCAAACTGTCCATTGCTTGTCTTATTAACACCCAGTCTTAGAGAATATTCTAGTTACTATAAAACTGAAACTCATCAAGACCGCACCCTGAGGGAACCATGGGCAATGTCAAAGATTCTCGGGCGACCTTTACTTCCAGCACAGCAGGTCCTTTTGTTTCCAACAGCCATTTTAATTTTTCGTCGACTTCGTCCAACTTTGAACAGCACTGGGCCTGCACGCCCATTGCCTCAGAAGCGCGTACAAAGTCAGGGTTTAGACCATGGCTCTGACAGAACCGATTCTGATAGTACACGGTCTGAAGGTGTGTGACCATCCCTTGACCCTCATTATTCAAAATAATCACCTTGACGCCAATATCGAACTCACTCGCGGTTTGCAGTTCACTCAGAGTCATATTAAAGGATGCATCGCCGTCAATGTCAATAACAACGGCGTCTGGGCGAGCGATCTTGGCTCCGATAGCGGCGGGGAGTCCAAACCCCATTGTACCTAAACCTCCAGACGTGACCATTGTTCGAGGATATTTCCATCGGAAGTGTTGGGCGGCCCACATCTGGTGCTGGCCAACACCTGTGGTGATGATTGTCCGGTCCTTTATTGGAGCCACCATCTCATTTAGCCGTTCAATAATTCCCTGAGGTTGGATCTGGTCACCAAGGCCACTGCACCTATATGCACTGAAAGGGTACTTGTCCTTCCATGCCTGTATTTGAGCCAGCCACTCAGGTCTTTCTGCCTTGTTGACGTGTGGTAGAAGCTGGCCCAAGCTACTTCCACAGTCGCCGACTACTGCCACCGTGGCTTCCACAACCTTGTTGATGGATTTTGGTGAGATGTCAAAATGAACAATTCCACCCCGCCCTTGAGATGCTGCTAGGTTGGCCTCCGGCGCAAACTTGGTGATGTTCCCAGTGACTCGGTCGTCAAATCTCGCGCCTAGAGCGATAATAAGGTCTGCGTGTTGCATTGCCATATTTGCATACCCAGCGCCATGCAAACCTAACATATGTAGCGCCTTGGGATCATCTTCGTCGAAGGCTCCCAAGCCTTGTAGACTGGTCGTCACTGGTATTGACGCTTTATCGGCAAGACTCTTCAAGTGCAACGGCCCTTGTGGCGTAGCCAGCACGCCCTGTCCACCATATATGATCGGTTTCTTAGCAATGTTGATCAATCTTACTGTCTCGCCAATCGCACGGTTTAAACTTTTTCGTTCCATTTGCCTCATCGCCATTCCGGCTGGGCTCATGCGGCTGGACAGAGAAAGGGAGAGAGGAGGACGCTCGTGGGCCCTCCCTGCTGTGACATCCTGCGGAAGCTCCACGAGAACAGGCCCTGGTCGACCGCGAATGGCGATTTCGAACGCCTCCTCAACCTGCCGTGGGAGCTCTTCTGGACTTCGGACGCGGACATTCCATTTCGTGCAAGGTTGAGACATTGAGAGCATGTCGACTTCCTGGAAAGAATCTAAACCAATTATTGCGGTATTCACCTGGCCCGCGAAAACCACAAGCGGGGTACCGTCCGCCAGCGCATCCATCATAGGCGTGATGAGATTGGTCGCGCCAGGCCCAGAGGTAACCAGAACGACACCGGGCTTTCCCGTCACCCTCGAGTATCCTTGCGCCATATGCCCTGCTCCTTGCTCGTGCCGGGGTAGGATAAATTGGAAGTGTTTCGAGTTGTATATCGCGTCAAAAACGGGGAGAATTGCACCTCCGGGGTATCCAACTGTTTCGAATTGTATTAGTAGTAGGAAGGCAGCCGGGGTCAGATGGATCCCTACAGATATGCTTGACGTTGTGCCGAATCATCAAGTCATGGAAGATCTCGCCGCCGGTTTTTCCAAGCCTGCCTCAGGTGTTATGATCAGTGCACCTCTAGCCACTTATTGGAGACGTACAAAGTATTGGGTGCTCTTTCACGCCTGGTTTCTATCTTCCGGGACCGAAAACTATGCCTACATTTTCAGAGGACGTATTAGTCGGGGGTTCCGGGTGCTGATAAAGGGCGGATGCTAGGAGGAAGATATATCCTTTATCTATACCCACTCATTTGATGGTTCTTTGGTGTGATTTAGACCAATAGCAGCCTCAAATACGGCCGTGGACTTGGATTCTGCAACTGCTAGAGAAGACAAATCACGGACTCTCCAATTTCGTTTGGCCCATTTTCTGGGCTTGACAAGCCTCCACCGTACAGCTGCGATCATTTTGTTTGCTTGCAAGTCTCAAAAAGGAGGTTGACGGGATCGTAGAAAACGATGGCTGATATCTGCTTGGCCGGCGTTGAGCCGATCGCAAGGAAAGTGATGCTGCAGGCTGGCCGCTGTCGGGGTAACGGGTAGGGTGGCTCGGTTCTAGGAGAGGATGCATTGCGAGGTGGGAAAAAAACACTGACTATATTTGGTGCTTTGGCGTTTGCGAGAATGGTACCGAGTCTCATCTTGGTGCCTTCATGGGAATTCGCCTTCGATGTGGAGAAATGATGGAGATGCTGTCGGCTCGGGTTCGGCCTCGGGTAACCAGGGGTGCAACAATCAACGCGGCTGGCTTCGGTATGTACATGGGCTTGGTGGAGACGAGGCCGAATTTCGAAAAATCCCAAGAACGCGATAGGATTTCCAACCCGAACGCCACAGTCAGGATGCGAAGAAAAACCGTTGCCCGGGCATTCCGTCTCCTTTCTTTGACGGGCTATTTTATGCAATCGTCACGGCTAAATGGATATGCTGACCAGGAAAAGGAAAAGAAAGAAAAGGCACCATGGCAGGCTGATTTCACAGTTCACTGGGCGTGCACTGGGGCTACTCGTAGGTGACGCCCCAGTTGGTCAAAATAACCTGGCAGGGGCTATATAGGGATGTCCTTATTTTGTTGTCTACCTTTGCATTTGATGATGTGATTCCTACGTAAATCGTGGAGCCGGTTTAGACATCAACACTCACACCACAATCACGTTTTCTATCATACAGGTGTAATGGCAAGAGGGAACTGGCCGTTGACATCGAGTCCTTCCCGGCTCAATAATGCAGATATATCAGTGTATGCCGAAGCAGAACCCTCATTTCCCACGCTATACGTATCCTCAGCAGAGGGCGGCGCATTAGCGCCAGATCCAACACCGCGAACCGTGCTGTTCCCTGCCTGCTCTGGTGCCAATCTCTGAGGGAAGAGTATGTCCCAAGAATCTCTGAATTCTGTGATAGTGTATGGAGGCTCAGGTTGCGACGGCGTTGAGGCAAAGATTGCCACAGGGAGGGCATCCGGTTGATTTCCCATCCCCTCTGGAATGTGGCTCGAGATATCATTCCCCGCCAGCAGTCGGTTTGGACCGTCCTTTGACTGGGACATCTCGGCCAAGATTAGCTCGTGGAAGCTCTGACAGGAGCTTTGATCTTTCGGTAGACGGCCTTTGCTCAAGGCCACATCGATGCTGAAGGCCATTATGAGGTACCAGGCTGGTTGGAACGTTAGCATGGGGACACGTCCTTCCCTGCGCCCCGAGTACTGTGGGATGGAGGACGTTTCCAGCGCCCGAGAAATGGAAGTCGTCCCAGCCCGGGCCATGGTGACTACGCGATTAATTGTCTCACTAATCCAGTCAACGCCCTCGTATTGGAGCTGGTACATCTCCATGGCCATCTGCAGGACTTTAAGCCGCTGGGTGATCAGCTTCGACTGGTTCGCTGTGTCGACATGGAGTGAGGAGGAGACTTCCAAGCCAAGAATATGCAACAAAAGGGGTAGTGCAGTGCAAGAGACTGCTGTGACAGGGAGCCACTTGATCAATCGACGGTAGGCTAGCTTCTGCAAGCAGGAAGTGATCTCTAGGGTTGCATTCTGAAGCTCAAGGTGATTATTCTCCAGGGCAAATATGTTGGTTGATTCCGGTGAGGATGGTGCTGCAGCGGTCGTAAGCTGCAGCATTTCGTAGTGCCCAAGTGTGGCCTTGGTGGAACTGAAATACCAAAATATCAGTCGTGGGTTCATACCAGCCAATACGTGACTTAGGGTCAGACCTACTAGTAGTACATATAGACAAGGTTGGTGAAAAGGATCACCGAATCATGCTGGTTGGCCTCGTCAGACGATGTTGCGGCAGCCGGCAGCTTTAGCAGCGCCTCCGCATGCCATTTCCGGAGGGCAACCCTGGAATTATGAACCCGTCGCTGTATATCTGTACCATTACCGCAGTGTGTCAATCCTGCTTCCATGGGAAAGGCGAGCTCAAGGATATCGGTTAGTATTATGCACAGCTCGACCAGGAGCTCAAGAATATTGGCCAGCTGCATCTTGACGGCGAGATCATGCACTTTGCTGCGGTGCAGTTCACCGACCAATTCGTAATAACTGAGCCCTGAATGTTGGACAACGTTGAACTGTCCCGCTGTGATATGGAGGGGCCGACGCATCCCCAAGGCAAACAGGCGGTCCCGAATGATACAACACCACCACAATCGCTTGCGAACTTCGTAGCTCTCCGACCCTTCAGCAAATGCTTTGTAGTTATGGGCGTCGGCGTCACGAGCATGTTGAATGGCTATTGAAAGCCATGGGATATTGGCTTTCCGCGGCAACTCATAGGATGAGAAAGACCAGGAGGCGAGGAGTAATGCGGCCTGAGACCTGGTAATTGACGAGCCATCAGCCTCAAGGCCAAACAGAAGTTTCGCCCGGCGATAGAATGTGGCCCGGGCCTTGCGCGCTGTGTTGAACCCGAGCTGGTTCAAAGTTGTTTGCGGAACGAACTGTTTAGCCCAAAACCTTGTGAGTAAGCTTATTCTCCCAAGACCATGTCAGGCAGGACCAGACTCACATTGCAGCATGCAAATAGCATAGCCTGGAATAGGAGAAGTGGGATCGTTCCGAAGGAGTCGCTCTGGTTGGGATGCCGGTCATATATGTCCCAAAACATGCCCTCGTCAAGAATTGGTAGCATGGGATGCATGTGCATAAAGTACTGGCGGACGAGTACGTCGAGAGTTGGACGAAGAGGAACATGCAGACAGCCCTGCAGCTCTAGGAGCTGGTATGCCCGAGCAGGAATTTGGGAAACGTTGTCAACAGTTAGAAACTGATAGTAAGAATACCCGATGTAGTGTGACGGGGAGACAGCCTCATCTATAGATCTGGAGGCTGTGTCGTCCGCAGCCGCCGTTGCTCCATATTTATAGCCTTCCTTCTGGCACGATATGATCCTTGTGTCCTGCTCGCAATAGTGTTCAATGGCTGATGAAGGACCAACTGGGCTTCGAGACGCATCGGGTCCAATGCCGTCGACCTGATTGGCGTCTATAAGAGGAGCGCTTGAAGTGGACTTGGGTGATGCTACCCTTGTGTTTTTCTCCCGTTCGCGCGGCTCCGTCTGGGGCTCACTGTCCTCGACACCATCGAAGTCAAGGTGGCCGTTATTCTCTCGGTGACCGTGGCCCAAGAGAGATAACGACGGGGCCATATTCGGCCATCCACGCCCTCTAAGGCCTAGCGCACGCCGCCTGCCAGGGATCAGTTTTCCGTGCATGCGTAACCCATCACCACAGTTTTATGCAACATACCGTCGTCGCTTGATGCGCTCTGATTCTTCGACTCTGCACTCTCGTCCATCGAGCAGGCAGTTTGTACATTGTCCGCCCCGCATTTCAACATCACACCGCACCTTGCGCACCCGGCATCTCGCGCAGGCGTGGGTGGCACGCCGAAATTTCCTGTTGCCGGTTGGCGAATCCGTCGCCTTATCTGCCTCTTCGGAACTCATAGATGGGTAAGGAAGTAAAATCTTGGGGAAATCTTTAGGATTCGGGACCCCTAGTTATTCTGGGACTATGGAAAACAAAAAAAAAAAAATCAATTCATGCAATCACATGTACATTGCAAAAGGAATAAGATTGAATCCTCTGCTGAGGATATCGGCCGACTTGCTCTTATACCTGTCTCGTAATATGGGCCTGGCCGACCAAACTTTCCGTCGTAATAGCAAAAGCAATGAAGCATCCATTCGAATACGGACTTGGAACGGTGTGAGACGCCGCATTCTGTTTCTCCAGAATCTCAGCGTCAGTTGTGGGGTAAGCGAGCCCGAACCCGAGCCCGAGCCCGAGCCCGAGCGAAAGCCACGATTCGACTTGGTCGCATGGCTGGGATCGACCCAAGAAAATCCAACGTGACTTCTGCCCTGCGAATTAACTACAGAGTTCGAGACTGGAACCTAGAATAGGTAAAGACATCTTCATATGCACTCCATCTGGCCTGAAGAAGAAATACAACATGACCGCTCAGATATCGGTCATCGTCGGCATCCACGTACTAAAAACCATGTCCTTCGGAACCTCTTTCCATTGTAGAGATTGCTCATCCAATGACTTCTCTACAGCTTCCCACCACGTTTCTCTAATCATTAGAGCCTTCTTTTCACTGCGGGGTGATATGGTCACCTCGAAAGGCGCTGGCTGCATAGTCAGACTGCCGACGAGGTGGTCGATATCGGGTAGTGGCTTCTGTTCCCCCGTCCGAGGGTCCACGGGCCGTGAGAAGTTGAAGGCCCATAGTAGGCGTGCCACGCCCAAGAACAGAGACCGCTCAGCAATATGCATCCCCTGGCACAGTCGGCGGCCGGCGCCAAACTGATAATTGTTTCGCGTGCTAGGGTCGCGAGTTGTAGCTGCCTCCAGCTCGCTGCGATGATCGTCTATGAAACGAGTAGGGTCGAATTTGCGAGGGTCCGGGTTCCGCTTTGGGTCCATATGAAGGCTCCTGAGACAGCGAAAAGTGCCAGGTTAGTAGTGTAATTCTCGAGACTGTCCCTGCGGATTCGCCTCGCTGGCCATTCACATACCAAACATTGAGGATCACGGTTGCACCGGCTGGGAGTCTGTACCCCATGTAACTGTCGTCCTTCATAAGCCCGTGGGGGGCTGCAGTGACTGTCGTCGGCATCCACCGGAGGCTTTCCTTCACACACGCCCTAATGTAAGGCAAGCTCTCCATGTCCTCTATGTCAGGCAAGCGATCGGTGCCCACCACTTTGTCTATCTCGTCTTGTGCCATCTTTTGAACATCGGGGAAAACCATAATGGCCTGCACAAACCCAACAAGAGTGGATGCGGTCGTGTCCGATCCGGCCTCAAGAAGAGAACCGCTCAAGTACGCTGCTTGCTCATCAGACATTTGCTCGGGTCCCTGCGCTCGCAGCACGTCGTTACAGAAACAGGGCTGTAAAGTAGGAATTAATGAGCCCACGTATCTTTATTGCTGGAAATCCGTGCTTACCAGACCAGTTCCATCCTCAAGGCCTTTCTTAGTGTTCATCCAGTGCCCAAGGTACAAAGCCATCTCTTTCTTGTGGAGTTCTCGAGCGTAATGATACCTGGGGGACAAAAAGGCTGGGAGCTTTTGGAGTACAGGATACAGGTCCAGTAGCTGTGATCCTGCCCCTTGGATGAGCTCACCCCAGCGTTCAAACCCCTGCAGCAGAGAAAGGTCGTCAGCTTCTGTCTCTAGCTGAGTGGAAAAGCCGAAACACAAACCTGAAATAGCTGCAACAGCCTAGGATCATTTTTATCCACCGTTCGAAACCCGAAGATCATCTGGGTTGTTAGCGAGGTAGTGTACCGACGGATATGGGCAGCGAATTCAGCCGGTTCATCCAACAGATCAAGCATCATGCGCTTGTTCTCCAGGTCTTGATATGGAACGTATGTGGCAGCGGCTTTCACGTTGAGAATGCTGTGGGTCATCTTGTGCATCTTGCGCCATAGTGGGGAGTATTTCTAGACGCCAGATCAGCACCAACAGTCAGCCTACCAGGACCCTGAATTGGTCTACCATGGTCACCAGCCTTAGCCCGCCACTCGCGACTTCCTGACCCATGTACATATCTGGTCGAGACGAATAAATACCACTTCGCTTATCCAACAGGTCCCTCACGGCGGTATCTGAGGATAGAACAATATATGTTCGAGTTCCCAAGATGAGGGAGTATACCGGGCTGCCAACGTCAGTACTCGTCAAGGAGCATAATTACGCATGCATCTCTCGTACCCATATTCCTCTGCCCATTTTTTAAATTGAAGGTAATGCCGTTCTTTGGGGAGCTAGAAGGACACAGAGAAGCTATCAATATCCTGCAACGCAAGGACGTGCGTGGGGATGTAGATACTCACCAGATGGAGGTTGCCCAAGACCGGTAGGGTCGGGGGTCCTGGCGGGTAGTCTGCAGGTCTTCGTCCAATCCGTAGACATATCCACAAGAAGTACAGAGAGACACCAGCCGCAGCTACCGCTCCCAGGCCGAAGATTCCAGGTTCAGTCATTGTAAAGCACTTGTTGAAAATCTCACAATCACGCGAGTTCAGGTGACGATCTGACAGTATACCGTTGGTATCGCTCCTGTAAAGGGCGGGCGAGGTATGTGCAGTCTATAAGTAAGCTGGGTTTTAGCAATGTCCTCCAACAAGGATCCCCCGCAACCTGGACAGTTGCTCTACCAGGCCCCGCATGGTGTCTTCCCCGCCCCATCTCCCCTCGCAGATCGACAGGCCAGGTGCAATTCCACCCAAAGCATGATTCGTCCGAAACCGAGCCGCCACCCGAACCCGATCCCGAGCGCAACCGCACTTCAAAGGAAGACTAAACTTGGTCATCTTTGCCTCCAGCCTCCAGAGACAGTGTACACGGCTAAGGCTTGAAGCCGCATTTGGACCGAACGATCGATTGAATCCTCGGATAGGAATTTCTCGCAAACCAATATAACGACGAAATTTCTCCATGGCTGCCTTCTCAGCAGCGCAGTATTTGTCTTCATCTTTGCATCAGCATGGATTGTGGTAAGATACCACGAACGCTTTGGGAGCATGATTCTCCAACGGACACCGAAATGTATGCTTTCATGAAAAGTATTAATAGCAATTTTGAGGTAAGTTTGACTATTGCCACAACCCTGCCTTTACTTAAGCGTCCACGTCAGTCATTTCAAGACCTCTACAACTATTCGGTTCAAAACCGGCCCGCTTTCTACGATCAGCTCTTTCGGTGGGCCAACCTTATCCACGAAGGTTCCTACGATACCGTCATTGACGAACACGCTCCGATTGACTCTATACCTGTCTGGTTCCGTGGAGTGCGCCTTAATTGGGCGGAAAACATACTCTTTTCTCGAGACATTTCCGATCCGAGGGATCACCGGGGGACCCGAACAAAATCCAATGACAAGACTGCTGTAACGGAAATCCGTGAGGGAACCACTGAGATCAGACACGTGTCGTGGGCCCAGTTGCGCCATAATGCTGGCCGTCTAGCAGCCGCCCTCAAGGCTCGCGGTCTCCGTCAGGCAGATCGTGTTATAGTCATCGGCGCCAACTCTCGAGAGACCTTGCTGGTCTTTCTGGCGACGACATGGCTAGGGGGTATATTCAGCAGCATTTCAACTGACATGGGTACGAACGGCATTTGGCAAAGGGCTAGCCAAGTCAACCCGAAGGTTGGTCTGCGCCAGCATTGTGGTTGCCAACTATTAATCTGATCATCAGTTTATCTTCTTTGATGACGCCGCGGTCTACAACGGCAAAACCGTTGATCTACGCCCAAAAGTCAAAGCCTTATTGACCCGGCTGAGAACATGCACGAATCTATGTGCGGCGATTGTCACTCCGCGCTTTGATGAACCCAAGGATATTTCTTCCATACCGGGGGCAGAGACACTTCCGGATTTTCTTAACTCTACTACCACAGCTGCCATGCCATCTTTTGTTCGTATTCCCTTCCACGACCCTTTTCTGATCTGCTATTCTTCCGGTACCACAGGGAATCCCAAAGCTATCGTACATAGTGTTGGCGGAGTGCTCCTGAACTTGCTAAAGGAAGGGCGCCTCCACCAGTCCACATCGGCCGATTCGGTTACGTTGCAGTACACCACCACCAGTTGGATTATGTATGTCTTGCAACTCGATACATTGATACCCTGGTGGACGCGTGATATTATACGACGGATCGCCTCTGATACCCGACTTGACGACTTTGCTCCAGATTCTAGCAGAACAGCGTGTGACAAAATTCGGTACTAGCCCCCGATGGATGTTGGAGATGGCCAAGAATAATATCAGTCCACGAGAAAGAGTCGATCTCAGTGCCCTGAAGGTAGTCACCAGTACAGGGATGGCGCTAACTGATGAGATGTTCGAGTGGTTTTACGACCTCGGTTTCCCACGGCATACGCATTTGATCAACATGTCTGGAGGAACAGACATTGTAAGCTCCTCCGAAATCTTCTTGAACGTTCTAACCGACTGTGATTTCCAGGCGGGGTGTTTTGGTGTGGGAAATCCACTCACTCCTGTCTATGTAGGAGGTACACAAGGGCCATCTTTGGGAGTGCCTATTGCTGTTTTTGACTCCCAATGCGAAGATACCGTTGGGGTCCCTGTGCCGCCTGGCGTCGCTGGAGAGCTCGTCGTTACTGCTGCCTTTCCCAATATGCCTTGTTTCTTCTGGGGTGACGCTCCTCCGTCCGGCGCCGCCACAGCAGGGTCAAAATACCATTCATCTTACTTTAATAGGTTCGAACATGTGTGGACACATGGAGACTTTTGCATTATTCACCCCACGACATCCAATATCCATTTTCTGGGCCGTTCGGATGGCGTCCTCAACCCGTCAGGGATTAGATTTGGAAGCTCCGAGATTTACGCAGTCATTGAAGCCTACTTCTCTAACCAAGTCGCCGACAGTCTATGTGTTGGACAGAGAAGATCTGGAGATGATGACGAAAGAGTCTTGCTGTTTCTACTCATGAGGAAAGGCCAAACTCTCACTCGAGACCTAACGAAACACATTCAATCCACCATCGCGAAAGCACTCAGCAAGAGGCATACCCCAAAATATATCTTCGAGACTCCAGAAATACCGGCAAGTTGATAGCCCCTTGCCCGGGTTATTCCTTTGCATTGCTAACGTGCCTTAGATGACGGTCAATGGCAAGAAGATTGAGGTACCCGTCAAGCAGATTGTCTCGGGTCACAGAGTCAAGCCCAGTGCCTCGTTGGCAAATCCCCACAGTCTGGAATTGTATTACAAATTTGTAAACGTCGAGGAACTAGACAGACCGCTTGGGAAGTTGTAAAGAGTACCGGATTCTGGGGCAGGGCATGACTGCTATATTGTGAGAGATTTGTACATATTTATAGATTGATTTAGGATATAGAACCAGGCGCTGCGCAGATTCGTTCCCAGTCATTCGATATATCTGAAGACAGAGGGTCTTTGTAACAATCGCCAATCTGAGAGCGGCATCGTGGCCCGTGCCTCACTTAGCAAGCTTTACTTTACCTAATGTAACAGTATGAGCTGCAAGTTTGTATCTTAAAGGTCCACTGAATATCCCCGTACGACCAACTTTGCCTTCGCCATCCTTCGAAGAACCGTGTGCGCAAATCAAATACACGTTGATAGAGCTTCACAAACAAAAGCTCAACTGACGTGTTCCTCGTGTAAGAGGGGACCTGCGAGCCAATCCCCGCTATTCCAACCGCTGGTGCGGGGTTTCCGGCCCCGAGCTCGACACCCACTGGAACCCGCCGGGCTAATCTGCACTCCCCAGGATTTCCACTGCGCGGGAATTTCCACTGCCCGAGGGTTCCCACTGCCCGAGAATTGCCGCTGTATTGTTGTGAAAGTAGTTGCCTGGTTCGCTGGGCCGTGGCCGACGAGTATATAGCTCGATGTGCTGAGTACCATGCCACAAGTCAGATTTTCTTTACGAGTCATCACTTGCGCACTATCATTCGTCCACCCACAGAGCCGAAACAAGATGACAACCTCCAATATCCCAGACTTTGATGCTCCCAGCTCCGGAGTCCTGAGTCCTGCCTCACTGGCGCACGTCGTGCTTCGCACAGCCAAACTTCGTCAAAGTGTCATCTTCTACACGAACTTTCTGGGCGGAACCGTGACCCACGAAAACGACATGATCTCGTTCATCACCTATGACGACGAACACCACAGAATTGCTCTCATAGGGCTTCCGGATACGGCTCCCAAGGACCCAAGGACTTGTGGCTTGGAACATATAGCTTTCAGTTTCAACACCCTGGCAGATCTTTTACTGTCCTACCGGCAACGAAAGGCTCGTGGAATTGAGCCTGTGTGGTGTGTCAACCATGGCCCGACGACTAGCATATATTACAAAGATCCCGACGGCAACATGCTGGAGACACAGGTTGACAACTTCGACTCGGTGGAGGATGCGACGAAGCACATGATGTCAACAGAATTTGCCGAGAACCCCATCGGAACGGATTTTGATGCAGAGGAGATGATTGTTGCCCTCAAGAGTGGTGTGCCAGAATCGGTCCTGAAAAAGCGCAAGGAGATTGGCCCGCGTGATATGCCAGACTTGGCTGCGATGTAAATTCGGCGGCATTCTGTATATTCTAGCTATCAGGAGGAACTTGGTGACCGAGCTGGCGTGTCATTTTCTTTCCAGACTACTCCCTTGGCCTCTAAAGCAGAGTAGTAACTTCAGACTCACTATTACTGGCACTCTCCTTTGGTTGCGCCCGGGCTCGGGCTCGGGCTCGGGCTCGGGCTGACATAGATATGGAATGCAAGACTCACTTGGCGTACATAGCGGCGTATTCAAGAAGCAATATCTGTTCCACATAAATACTCCAAAGAATGTTGACGCCAACTTAATCACCTATATTAGAGTGGCTTGCTTTTTGGCTGTCCTTTCGCAACTCCACTGAATAAAGCTGTATAATATATTATGGCAACTCGTGCCTCTCTAACATACCATGCTAACTCTAGGAGTTGATCTAGTCATTGAATGAGGCGTACGGAGGCCCCTCTGAAGACAAGATCCACTTTGGATTCAACTATATCGTGTTGGGCCTCATAGTAGCATATCCAGAGACAGCGTCATATTTCCAAAGATGACTGCATATAGAACAACTTGCTGAATAAAATGTAGAGCTATTGCAAGTTCAAAGCAGGGCATGAGAAGGATCGACACCTTGTTGGCGACCCTACCGTCCGTTCCAAGTCTTGTGGTATATTGCTCAAGGCCTGGAACACCGTTATTATACAGGCTTTCAATTCAAATCCGAATCAATGTGTTTGGGCGATAAGGAACAGCTTCAAGCTTTGGGCGAAAAGCTGAGCAAAGGGGTATCTGGCTCAGCTGGAAATTATGGGAGCTGGCACCCATGTCCCCAACCATTGATCGTGGTCGTTGGAAATGTCCACGGGAGGTGATAAAGTGGGCACCATGTCGGGATATAACAATCGGTGCACGTAGGTTCCGTCAAGGTCATGGTTTGGCGGGGTCGTCAACGTAGTGAACAATTCATCCTCCGCCGCGCGTCTAGACGCAACACGCGTGCCTGATAGAGTTGACAAGGATCCTGCTCCATCGAACAAGGTCTGGTCCAAATACGATTGGCTTTGCTGCGAGTGATCATCAGGAACATCATTGCTCCTTCTGTCTGCGCTATCAGTCATCGAGTTGTGATATGCGGGTTTTCTATGCCTATCTACAAAGAGACGTGCCTGGCGGACGAACTCTCTGCTATTCGTGAAGGCAGCTTCTCCTGATGTCACATATTCTAAGCGACCCAAGAGACCGACAATAGTTTCCATCAAGACAATATCACGCGGTGTAGATTCGTCTAGAGGAGATGACAAAACGTGGATGAAGATAGTGGTAAGGGCGGTAAAAGGATAATAGAAGGCAAGCCTGTATGGGTCAGTCAAGGTCAAAGAGAGGAAAAGTTGTTCAGAGACTAAGCAGGTTGTCTTACCAGCCTGGAGTGAAGCTCTCTACATCGAGATGCTTCGTAAGCAACGCCATGGATCTAGCTGCTTCGATGTGTGTAGGGTGGTTGTGGTGAGGAAGTTGGACACTACCCTGCTCTTGGGTGAACAAGGGTGAGAATCTTCGATAAACCGCGCACAGTGCGTAGTAATACGAAAAGTGCAAAATCATCACCTGTGTCTTCGACAAGTTCAAGGTGTTGCATCGCCGCCCAACGGGTTTTGAAGGCTTAATTTCTTCCGGAATCGCCCCGCACCATGCTTCCAATTGATCGAGAAGTATGACTGCTTTCCCTTGTAGCTGACCAGAGGTTAAGGTGAGAGCTGTCGCAGAGTAGAGTTGGTGTGAAATTGCTCCGCATATGCGAGCAAATTTGGTAAAGCATAGAAAAAAATCCAGTGATGAAGCCTCCTTTGCGCTATCTTTATCGTTGCATCCTCCATAGTTGATTTCAATCCCACAAGGGAAAGGGCAACTAATTTCAGCATCATCAATGACAGCCGGTCGGCCGCAACGGAGAGCTATCGTTTTGTCGAGGCAGTATATTACCCAAAATACCCGACTTCTCTCGTGTCTCTCACGTTCGGTGATGTGCCATTCCTGTGATGTATAACAATGCAGTCCGAGACTTTGGGCCAGCCGCGAAGCAATCGAACAAAGTGTGAATTCAAGCCGCTGAGGGCTTGATAGACCTTGGGCAAAAACTGCCATCACAGCGTACGCCTGGGCCGCTAACAGATCTGTGGAACAGTGAAAGATTGCGCTCTCGTGGGATAATGCTTTCTGGAAATAACCCCACGCCTTGCGGGTGGACTTCTGAAAGGCTTCGGGTGTTTCGTCAGAGAGAGCTGCACGGCAACCTGAAGCAAGTACTGCGTTTAATAAAGCATCCCATGAAGGCATAGTGTTGTTCGGACTCGTGCCAAAGTGCGCTAGTTGGGCCAGGAAAATAGGCTTATTCAGTATCGGGAACGTCATCTGCACGGTCGAAAAATAGGCCTCAACATACTCCATGATTGTGGAATCCGTTGTTATACAGGGATCTGCCGGAGTCCCTGGAAATAATGGGAGGCCGAGGGGTATGGACTTGGGATGCCGAAGGTGGTTGATGATACCGGTTCCGATTTCCTGGGTGATTCTGCAAAGGCCATCGGAGTCTGGGATATGCTCTCGAATCCATTTCAAACCTGTGTCTGAGATAGCGAAGATGCCCGATGATGGGCCTGTGTATTCGTCTGCATTATTGACCCGTACCCAGAGCGCCGGACCCGTCTCACCGGGGATACTCGGGTTCTGGCCCTCAAGTAAGCGGTCGAGAAGGGTCGCAGGCGGCTCGAAGTCTAAGGCTGGGGCTGGCAGAGCCTGTATGGTAAGCTCGGAGGGATACTGCGAATCGCTCGTGGTACCGCCGGGGTTGAGTTGTCTCGCGGTTGTGCTGGATCTCCGTCGATGGGCCTGAGGCTGGCCATCATGATCATCTCGAGAAGACATGGCTGACAGCGATGTATGCTGTGACTGGTAGTTGGCGTCAAATTGATTGTCTGCTTCAGGTAACAGCACGGTGCTGTCCTCCGACCGGCGGCGGCGTTTTCGCCTCTCGCCCGTGTAGGTGCATAAGGTCCCTTTAACCCTGCAGTTCTGGCAGACGGGGCGTCCACGGTCACATTTTACTTTGCGTATTCGACAGCTTTTGCACGCCATGGTAAAGTTGACAAGTGCAAAAGCGACGGACGAGGGAAATGTGGCAATCTGGGGCCCCGGACAGCGCCGGGATGAATGGGCGGGGAAATGGAGAGCTTGCTCGAGACCCAATGTCACGACTTTACCCATATCGCTCTTATTGGTTAGTTCACGCCCCCGCCGCTCCGGCCCCGGTCACGGGTTCGTCCCGGAGATCCCGTTAATAAGCTTGCTTGCCTCTCCTCCTCGGGTGAGGAAGGTGAGGAAGTAAGAGAAAAGTACGCTCCCGTTATGTACACTGCCCTTTCCGTACGTGGCAAGTGCGGACTTGGTCTTGGCATTGGCTCCGCTCCAAGGAGAGTCGTCCCAGTCCAAGCTGGCGTATACAACGTCTTCGATTCCTGAGCGCAGCTGACTTGCCATTTAGTGCTCCAGGAAACGTGGTAAAGTCTAAGTCATTGCACAATTGAGCGATCTTGATGTCATTGAAGCCGACATGGCCGCCGTGACAATATTAGCTTAAGGAGATTCTGTTCCTAGGCAGTTAGAGATGTCCTACCATCTACACAATTAGAAAATATATATAATACTAGACTCCAACACTGCTTCTAGCCTTTGGCAGATAAGGTCCCCCGACCCGTCCTGGTCGAGAGATTTTAGGATGTTCCTCCATCCCCCGAGCTACAGACTAGATCCGAATAGTTGAAAGGTAGACAGGCTGGTATTCCGAAAGTAATACATTTGTTATGATCGATACGCCTCGCCCGTCATAGCTGACCGGCCGATCCATTGTTCCATAATATTCCCTAAGCTAGATGCGGTCGGATTGTTTCCTCCCAATTGAGCCCAGCAGGCAACAACCTGCCGGTCACAGTCCGCAGGATGGTCTCCGCCGCTTCTAACGATCCAACCCGATCCCCTCTCCAAGCAGCATGGTGATCTGGCCGAACCAACACAAGATTTCTCTCAAAGAGGCCAGAGGCGTGTATTTCGTGTGATAAGTTCACTAGATCTAATGGAAGTGAAAGCTTCCGTGCAGTGGAAAGTAAGTACTGGTGCCCAGTCTCGTCGTTGGAGAATATGAGAAGAGTCCAGTTTTTGCCAAACCTGTCAAAAATAGGCGTACCGTCCGTGAGGAAAACGTGAGGCACCCGACTTCCCGGCCAAGTGGTAGGCGTATATTGTCGTGGACTCCATGGTGGTTCGACACAATCGGACTCTTCATCACGGAAAATGACGGGGGAGGTATACCTGTACCCCATTTCAATTCCAAGGTCCCTGTTTTCACCATCATGCCGCTGGTAGTATTCATGGATCCGGTGACGGAGATCCTGCCCTTCCTTGGTATCCTCATCGACGAGGTGAGGCGCGCCGCCAGCCAAAATGCTCTGGAGTTGGCCATGAACCTCGAAATGCTCTCGGGAACGTTGCACATTCCGAACAGCCACTGGCTTACGCTCCAACTCGTAGGACGCCAGTAAGCCAGTCCCAGCTTCACCTTTGATGACAGAGGCCAGCTTCCACCCTAGGTCAAAAGCATCTCCGATGCCCATATTCATCCCATAGCCACCGGTTGGGATATTCTGATGTGCTGCATCTCCAGCAAGGTGGATACGTTGATTTTCACTGGCCCAAGACTTTGCCACTGCAACGTGCGGGGTCCAAATCGAGGATACCAATAGCTTGTCGACCTTCACCTCATAGTTACCATAGAGGCCCCCCAACACTCGATAAACTGTCTCAAGGGGATCAAACAGTTCAAGCTTTGTATCTGGAGGGGCGAAAAGATGCACTGTCCAGGTGTCTTTCTCATCTTGTGCGATAATAACTCCTTCAAAGCCACCAGATTCCCCAACAAAGAAGATATGCCAAAACCTTCCTTGTCTGTGGAGACGCGTGAGATCGCTGGACTTAAAGTGCACCAGTAAAGCACGCGCGGGGCTCTGCTGTCTCAGCAAACGGAAACACTTCCTGGACATGAGGTTGTCTTACATTGGGCCACCTTCTAGGGAGATATTCAATGACCTTCGCACTTGGCTCGAAGCACCATCACAGCCCGCGACGTGAGCGGAGCGCCACGTGGTGCTGACACCTGTCTCGATATTCGTGACGGTGGTTCTGACACGGGTCCCCTCCTCTTCCACGCCGTCAACCCGGAACCCATAGTTCAGGTCGATTAAAGGGTCGTCATCGCACACCCCCTTGAGCCACCTCTCAAAAATAACTTGGGAGATTCGTTGCCAAGGTTCAAGTGGCTGAGTTCCGTCGTTCGTTTCCCGGATTTGTTTGCGGAACTCATCAACACTCGGTAGCTCCCACTGAGTTAGCGGTGTCTCCCTCGAGAGGCCAGTCGATATGAGGACGTTGTGGTCGAAATGACTTGGGACGCCATGTTTCCGTAACTCGTCCGCTAGACCGATCTTTCGGAAAAGTTCCATTGACCTTGGATTCGTCAAATCCATCTTGGGCCAGCTGGTAGTTGTCACATTGCGCTCGAACAATTTGGACTTGACGCCATAAAAGGACAAGAGGCGCGCCAGTATGAGTCCTACAGGACCTCCACCGGCGATGAGAACTGTCCCCTCAGGCAAATCCTTGATGGCTGACATTTTGGATTTCAGATCTGGAATTGGAAAGAATATGGACAGCAAGGTATTGACATTGAGACATCCAGTGTCTTGAAGCCTATGTATGAGGTATCGAAGGGATACGGCTTGTCCACGCTTGACCGCTCCATACCGGACCCCGGCCGGAATGCCCCATGGGGTACAGTCAATGGGGCACCCAGGTAACTTCGCGGTGTCGTCCACTTCCTTGTTCCGGCGAGCCCGAGCCGAGTTGTCTCAGTACAACTCCAACTTAACGACACACTACCCGAGCCCGAACCCGAGCCCGAACCCGAGCCCGGGCCCGAGCCCGAGCACTGGCACATCATCTCAGTCGTGCAACACGACTATTTTGCACAAATAAAAATATACACCCAGCACAATCCGCGGGTCTAGCTATCAGATTCTGCAAAATCCAGCTCTATGCCCTTTTTCTACTCATAATGGCCGCTGTTTTCAACCGTCTACTCCGTTTCAGGGACACAGGTGGCAAAATTCATTATGGCGAAACAGACGATCTCTCCGACTGGAAAGGCAAACAGATTCAAGTTTACAGTGGCGAAGTGCCTTGGGATCTTTCACCAACGAACAAGAAGGCTGAGGTAGCCGAGGTGCTCTGCCCGTTGCCCGAGGTGCCTCTCTTCTACGGTATCGGTCTCAATTACAAGCGCCATATCGAAGAAGCTGGTTTTCCAGTCCCCAAACACCCGGTAGTATTTATAAAACCACCGGACGCGCTTGCTGGGCCCTTTGAGGATATCCCTATCGACCGAAGATGCCTGGACATGGACTACGAAGGAGAGTTATGCGTCATCATTGGCAAAGACTGCAAGAATTTCCCTATCGGCGATGATCCCTTGGAATATGTCCTCGGATACACTGTTGGAAACGACATCTCCTCGCGATTCTGGCAGATGCCTTCTCAGTCTGGCCATCAGCATGGATATGCCAAGTCCTTTGACAAATTTGGCCCAGTCGGACCTCTCATCGTCAGCCCTCACGTGAAGTCAATACAGAATGGAATGGTTGACGGAATTCCAGACCTGGCTTTGCGAGTTCTAGTCAATGGCGAAAAACGACAAAGCAGCCGCACCAGTGACCTGTTATTTACGCTCAGTGATCTCTTGGAGCATCTCAGTCGCGGAACAACAATCAGGAAAGGGACGATTATTATGACTGGCACTCCAAGTGGGGTTGCGGCTTTTCTAGATCCCCCTCAATGGCTACAATCAGGAGATGTTGTTGAAGTTGGTATTGAAGGACTTGGTAGTATCAGAAACAAGATTATTATTGAGTAGCCATTACTGCCCTCATAAAACTTGTATGTAGCATTCGCACCTATCCTTACTGCAAGTATGCAGTCTCGCCATCCTAAATATTGACCAACTACTCTTTGTTTGTAATTCCCCCTCTTTCTCGGGGGTGATTCTAAGTGAAATTACCCGAATTCTCCAACCCCGAAACAAGCGGTAATATTAAATAATTTGTCATAGCTTGAGGAATCACGGTCGCTGCAATTGCATTTAACCCCTCTGTTTTCCTTTTCTTCTCGTTTTTCCAATTGTCCCGGTACTCACCTCCTTGCTCCCACCCCAACATGAGTTACGTACTGCAATCAACAAAATGGTCATCTGTTCCAGTGGATCCGGACATCCAAAGCCTGATTGCATCTTTCTATGAATTAGCAGACAATAAGGCCCCAGACGCTGGCCCGCTACTCGCACGTGAGGTGTTTGCTCCGACCGGGAAGCTGGTTGCTTCCACCGGGACTTTTAACGGCACTGAAGGTGAGGTTGAAATATGCATATGTGAACCGCGTTAATACAGAATGACTTTCTCAATATCACTGACACTTCTCCGGGCAGAGATTTCTAAAAGCCGTGCTAATGCATGGGGCAAAGTGATTGCAAGGAGACATCAGGTCCTCCAGGTTTTTACCAATGATCGCGAAGGCCACGATCTCATGATTATTGGCGTTGTGAAAATGACTCTGTGGAACGGTGAAAGCCTTGAAATGCAGTTTGCAAGTCGATTCGTAGTGGATGGTAGCAGTGTCGAGAGCAATGATCCCCGCCTGAGCCTTGTTCAGGTTTTTGCGGTACGGTTCCCAAGTTTCTCAGTGTCATTACCATTGGGATTTACTCATTATTGTTTTCTGATCCAGGATAGCTCTCCGCTGGTTGCCGCTCTGAAGGAAGCCTGATTAGCCATGGTTGGATGGAACATGGTCAAAAGATCTCCAGGTATCTTATTCTCAGTACTTAGCAACAATCACCCACCAGTTTTGTTTTTCTCCCTTTTAAAGGTGTCACGACGACTCTTCCGCGGTAGGGTAATTCTTTAATAAGAACCAAGTTTCTAAGGTCTGGCTGTCGGTGACAACATGTCACCGGCGGATACGACCTGTCTTAGCAAAGCAGTAAGGAGTCCATCATCGTTACTCCGATACAACCCTTAGTCTCATTAGGTTACGCTCCAGCTCCTCAGGCGAACCACTAGACGGTTTCAAGGCCTTTCAGCACCTAGTACAGGAACCCTATTTGGGATTTTGCGCGGACGTGAGCTAGAAATGTTTTGAAATAGATATCCAATCATACGATACCCAGTTATGTTGTAATCTCCCGATAGCTTCCCTGCGCAAGTCGCCGCCCGAGGTATAACTCACCCGCGGGTAACCGCAGCTGCGTCTACACATTCGACCACGCAGGCTGATATCCACTAATAAAGAAACAGTCAGTACCTTTTACGAGGGTAGTCATCCTCCTTGATCCTGTTGAGATGGCCGTCTTTCGAACCCCGCGCCTGTTCGCTCTACAGGTCCGACACTATTCTTCCACAATTCCAACGAGCCGACGACTGAACCTTCCTATTGATTTCAAGACCACGCCTCTCTTACATCACACATCGAACACCTTTAGCGCTATCCCAGGTCTTCCCAAAGAGGGTCCCTCCAAGAGACTGAACCTTTGTCAAGCCGTGAATGAAGCGCTAGCGACTGCTCTCCGTGCTTCAAACAGGGTTCTGTGCTTTGGGGAGGATGTCGCGTTTGGGGGGGTCTTTCGTTGCACTGCGGGTCTGCAGGCAGAGTTTGGCACTGACAGGGTTTTCAATACACCAATCACCGAGCAAGGCATTGTTGGTGCTGCGATTGGGGCGGCCGCGGAGGGGATGAAACCAGTGGCGGAAATTCAGTTCGCAGATTACGTCTGGCCTGCCTATGATCAAATCGTCAATGAAGCCAGTAAGTTCCGATATCGAGAAGGAACCACTGGGGCAAATCTGGGCGGGTTGGTCATCCGAATGCCTTGCGGAGGCGTTGGTCATGGTGCATTGTATGTTTCCACTGGTCCTGGAGCTGCTGCGACGACGCTAATTAACTGCTGGCACTTCTAGATACCACACCCAGTCTCCCGAGAGCATGTTCTGTCACATCCCTGGTTTCCGAGTCGTGATGCCACGATCACCGTCACAGGCAAAGGGTTTGTTATTGTCTGCAATTTTAGACTCCCAAGACCCTGTGATCTTTATGGAGCCAAAAGTCCTCTATCGTGCAGCTGTCGAAGAAGTCCCAGAGGAACCATACTATCTCCCTCTGAGCAAAGCAGAAGTCCTCCGGGAAGGTGGTGATCTGACCCTTATCTCATATGGCCGCCCTCTCTATACCTGCCAGGCCGCGATTGACGCTGTAGAGAGGGAACGAGGTGTCAAGATTGAATTGATCGACCTCCGAACGCTGTATCCCTGGGACCAGGAAACTGTTATGCAGAGTGTAAAGAAAACAGGGAGAGCAGTAGTCGTCCATGAAAGCATGGTCAACTATGGCGTTGGTGCAGAAGTGTCAGCTAAAATCCAGGAAAAGGCATTCTTCCATCTTTCCGCTCCGGTCAAGCGGGTTGCGGGCTGGACAACGCACACCGGTCTTGCATGGGAGAAATATATCTTGCCCGATGTAGCGAGTAAGTAACCCTGATGCCTCGAAAACGCAGAAAACGCAAAAATGATGACTGATAGAATCGTGACAGGAATCTACGATGGTATTCTCGAGACCTTGGATACCTAAAGCTACAGAGCTAGCAGAGGCTCCGGTTCTGTCGTCGTTCTGGGGGGGAGCTTGAAGCGCCTTTTTTCTTTCAAATGCACAAAGTAGTAATACCAGTTCAAAACTCAAATCCATAAAAGTAAAGAGTTTCGATGAGAAGTTGCAGCTCTCGATGTACAATCAGTTCAAGTGGTAGAGCCAGGACTGGAACAGACAGTAAATGTGAGCCATACAATATTCAGTTAAAAGAAACAAATTATTAGAGACCCCCAAGACCATTCCTGTGCTCATGAACATCATACTCCGCCGGGTACTTCTGCAGCAGCCTTCGCAGCTCCTCGCGCTGTTCCTTCGCCTCCTCCGTAAGCTCAGCATAGACATCGTCGAAAATAGCGGACAGGGGAGGCTTCTGCTCCTTCTCAGCGGCGACTAATTCTCTGAGGACGTCTTTTCGAACAGACATTTTTAGATCATTATCCATCTGCTCATTCCAGAGGCCTCTGTTTTCGAGCCACGTCCGTAATCGCGTAATAGGACTATCTCGTGTCTTCCAAGTTCCAAGGTCTTTGCTGTCCCGGTACGCAGAGCTGTCGTCGCTGGTGCTATGATGTGATACCCGGTAGCTCATGAACTCTATGATAATTGGTCGTCCGCCGCCTTCGAGAGCCCTTCTCCGCGCCTCTTTTGTTGCTTCATAGACCGCGAATATGTCCGTTCCGTCTACACGGATAGACTCAACACCATATCCAATACCCCGGATAGCAATTCCGTCACCGGCATACTGCTCAGTTGTCGGGGTGGAAATAGCAAATCCATTGTTTCGGCAGAGGAAAAGGACAGGGCATTTTCTGACAGCAGCGACGTTTACGGCTGCATGAAAATCTCCCTCGCTAGTAGCTCCTTCACCAAAATAGGCAGCTGCTACCCGGGGAGGGTTGCTTGGGTCTTCCTTGGCTATCGTTTTCAACGCGTATGCAGCCCCTGTAGCATGTGGGATCTGTGTAGCCAGGGTTGATGCAACTGCATGCTGTACAAGATTAATTCCTCGAATGCTATTTCCCTCAAAAGATACCGAACTTACCACGTTGACTTTACTCTTCCCACTGTAATGGTTTGGCATATTCCGCCCTTTCCCTGGGTCATTGTGATTTGCCGTTAATTGAGACATGAAATCCTTCAACTCGAATCCACGCTGCAGGAAAACCCCATGTTCGCGGTACTGACAGGTGATAACGTCCTCTGGATCAAGGGCCGCCGCAGATCCTACAGTGACGCCCTCCTCCCCAGCAGAGACCATATAAAAACTTACACGGCCCTGTCGTTGTGCCTCGAACATTACGGAATCCATTATGTTAACTGCAACACACATCAATTAACCGTGCATGCTAGAGTATATACCCGATTCTCACGTACCAGTAACCATGTTTTTGTACCATGTCAATACCTGTTCATCCCCGACATCTGGTGCCTCTCGCGTCTTGTCTGCCATTTCTCCCCTTGCATTCATCACATGGAACGTTGGGATGCATGGAACCTGGTTCGGGGAGGTGAAGTCCATCCGCGTCGTCCGGGGACTCCCCATCGCTTGCGGGAATTTTCTGTTCGGGCCGATTAGCAGTATTACACAATCTTTGTCAGTCGAATCTAGCTCACGGTAGTCCGTCACTTTGATCGGTGGCGAGTCTTCGAGTAAAGACAAAGGTAGCATTTTGTCGTGCGGATGGTATGCTTCGTCGGAAAAGAGCCGACGTTTGGCAAATTCGGACCGCCATCCCAAGCAGCAAAGATAATAGCTGAACTTCAGATGGGAAACAGGGGAATGGGAGAGTAACACATGCGACTTTTTGGAGGAGCTGATTTGCCTATCTACTCCTCGCCACGGCTATTCTCGGAGGGGCGAAGTACGAAAAGAGAGCGTACCGATTAGACGCCGTCCTCCACCCTCGGATATCCTCACGAAGCGACCGCGGATGCCGTACAGCGCTTTCAGACTACCAATATCCTGCAGGAGGTGCCTCGGACAATCAATATCTCGATAAAATGCCACGTCGTTGGTAATAAATGTTCTGTTAATTCCGTTACTTGTTTCAAGATAGTTCTCTATTTTTTTTTTTGGTGGCAGGACAACCGCCAGCACCGTGGACCAACTGTCGGGCCTTGTTTGCTCCCTCAGCCGTTATTGTTCCTCGCTTGGAATTCTCGATTATTTTCTTGTTCTTGCTTTTTTTTTTTTTTTTTTTTTTTTTTGCGGGGGTGTTTTCGACTCCGTTTTATTTCTAAAACTGCACAAGAATGGCAGCCCTTGCCTGCCGGAGCAGAGGCCGCGAATGGGCTCTTAGCAAGCTTGGACGATGTCCATTGACGGCAAAACCGCAATATCCCCGGCTTTGTGGTTACCGCTATTTCCATGAGACACCTTCGCAGGCAAAGCTTCAGCCGTATCTTCTAGCCGATATTGGTGAAGGTGCAGTTCATCTTGAGTGTGATGGAAAAGCAATAAGGAAAATGTATTGATACCGTTTAGGAATTACCGAGTGTCGAATTGTCCAGTGGTTTGTCAAGCCGGGTGATCGTGTGAATCAATTTGATGCTGTCTGCGAGGTTCAATCAGACAAGGCATCAGTCGAGGTAGGCACGCACGCGAAGAACTTGGTATGAAAAGGTCAGGGCTAATTCATAAGCCAGATTACCTCTCGATATGATGGTGTCATTGGGAAGCTCCACCATGAGGTGGATGAAATAGCAAGTGTCGGGCAGGTAAGCATAGCGGTCATGCGTGATATTTCTTGGCTCTATGCTAACGAAATACCAGCCGCTCTTGGACATAGACGTCGAGGATAGCACTGCGGACCAGGGCAACCCAATCCTTGAAGAACCCCCGGCCGAGGCAGCGAGAGATTCAGTTCCACATCTTGATAATGATATGCAGTCTGAAAGCCTTCAGAAGAAGGCTTTCGATGTGTCTTCTGCAGAAAATCCGTCATCTGCGAAGAGCCGAGCTCGGGCTGTGCTGGCGATGCCGGCCGCGAGGGTCATGCTGAAGCAACATGGCATTGACATCAGCGATGTACTAGGCACCGGTGTGGAAGGGCGGATTATGAAGGAGGATGTGCAACGCTATCTTAATGGCCGAGTCACGCCCCAGCAGCCACCGACATTAATGGCTGCAGCAACTGCCTCCGATGTCACCATTTCTCCAACACCGACTGAGAGGCAAATGTTCAAGGTCATGACCGACTCGCTTAGTATTCCACACTTGGGCTACACTCATTCTGTCGACCTGACTGCTCTTGATTCGATCCGTCAAAAACACAACGCGCGGAAGGATCTCGCAAGCGAGGTGTTAGGGAGACCTGCTCCAAAGCTCACTTTTCTGCCGATTATCATAAAAGCGCTTTCAATAGCTTTTCAACATCATAAAAAACTGAATTCGCATTTGGTAGTGGCTGGCGAGTCCCAAAAACCTGAACTGGTCTTGAAGGGGTCTCACGACTTCGGAATTGCAGTGGACACACCCAAGGGTCTATTGGTCCCAGTGATTCGGGGGGTCCAGACCCGGTCCATCATGTCCATTGCGGAGGAGATCAATCGCCTAAGTGATTTTGCCAAGCAAGGAAAGCTCAAGCCGTCGGACCTTCAAGGTGCGACCTTCACGGTGAGCAATATTGGAAGCATTGGTGGCAACGTTGTCAGTCCAATAATTGTCCCCCCTATGGTGGGTATTTTGGCGGTCGGCAAAGTTGAGCGTATTGCACGATTCATGATGGACGCAAAAGGTGAGGAGCAAATAGTCAAACGCCAGGAAGCAGTGCTGAGCTGGAGCGTTGACCACCGTGTCCTTGACGGAGCATCTGTGGCACGATGTGCAAATTTGGTATCATCAATTCTGGAGGAAATTGATGGCGTTTCTTTGGCGTTAATGTAGATTATCGAATATATGTGCAAAGTAACTAGGTAAATATTGACATTCGTCTATCGTAACGGCACTACCGTGCTCAGTGTCTTCCAATATTTATAATACGGTTTACGCTTCACAACCAAAGCTGGTTGCAAGCGTGAGGGTCAAGGAACAATCCCCAGCAAGGCCATCACCGAAAGGATAGCTGATGAATTCACAGACAGCACCAGGCCAAGTAGATTAATCTGGAGGCTCCTGGTCGAGATATATACCTTGGAGTCTTCATCGCGCGTCGTCGCCTGGCCTCCGTACGGGCTAATATTGCGTACACCCGAGATACGATCAATGACCTGATATCTTTGACCAGCGCTTCAACTGATGTCTGACCCCCTTTTTTCGGTCCACTAGGCCACCGGATATCCCCAAAAAATGCATTGCGCTTATCCAGTTGAGCGTTAGCATAGGGTGGTATCCCAACAATTGAATTGGCTCATGTCAAACATGTGGCTGGAGTTGACAACTATCAAGCAGTTATGGGACAGGAGATATGAGTGATCGAACACAAAGTTCGCACGCAAGTTTAATTGGGAAATTTTCAAGTAAATGTTAAGTTTAACTAGCTTTATTTTCATTGTTCATATTTACAATTTAAGTAAGGGGACGAACCTCTGCTGCTCCTCGATGTACATGGTACCAAATAATTGGTACATATTCATATACATCCGCACACTTGTGCTGGGAGATAGAATATTCTTTAGAACTTTGTACAGTATGCTGCAGCGGCATTTGAATGTGTGAATCGAACCACTGGGGAGAAGTGGACTTGTCGCCGTTAACAAGTTGTCAATCCGCCTTTCGCGTGGGACCTCGGATCAATACGCAGCATGACCAGCAGTATCTATTTGACCTCAAGTTGGATATCTTTCTCAATTACCCTTACTTCTAAGAAGGCCCCGCAACAGTTTTGCGGTGAAGGGTGGGTGAATGCATTTGCCTCCAAGCTACCCCCCGCCTTCCTAAAAGGGTAATGGCTCGAGTAGTATTAACCCTATTAGAGGAGCCAGGGACCCCGTTGATGGAGTCTCCTTTGACTGCCCTACCAAAATGAGTCGGTAACCACGCAAGGGAGACGGATAAGGATCAACCATGTCAGGTCAACTGGAATTCGCACTGTAGGATTCTGGCCATCTTTTCAGACCGAGATAAATGCTTTGGCTCGTTATGGCGCTTTGTAGTAGACTTGAACGCCAGTGAATAGATTTTGTAGCTAGATCAACGTCACTTGCATATTCCCTCTTGCCCCTTTTCCTGGTCATTCGTGACATTTTCCCTCTCAACACTCTCACTCTCATCATGCCCAGCCGCATCCAGTACATCATCTACAAGAACAGCCACGGGTATCTTGGCCCCAGGATACGGAAACCAATAATCCAGCCCCAAATACACCACGGCACTCCCAGCGAACCCCAAAAGCCACCCAAACTCGTACGGATGCACGCCAACGCCAATCTCAATCCCCGAATTCACAGAATGGATCAACCCAGGGAGACTCGGCGTCGTGCCCACGATGAAAGCAACGAGTGCATGGATGTTAACCCCGGCTGTATACCGATATATTCCACGGGGCTGATACAGCATGACGCAGTCGTATCTCCGGCTCTTGACGACCCAGAAATCACACACCATGATTGCAGCGATGGGCCCGAGGAAGATTGCGTACGCAGACATGAAGTTGAGGAATGTGCCTGCGGAGGCGAGGATCTTCCAGGGGACAAGGGCCCAGGCTAGCACGGCGCAGAGGATCTGGCCGCGGCGGATTGTCAGGTAGCGCGGCGCGAGCGCCGCAAAGTCATTCGCGGCGGATAGCGAGTTGGCCGAAATGTTCGAGCCCAGTGCCGCCAGCGCGAACGAGAATGCGCCAAAGAAGCGACATGCGCGACTGCCCCATAGGCTTACGAGGACATTTGGGTCCCAGGGGATGGAGGCAGTGTTGTATTTTGCCTGTCCCGCGGATGAGACGGCGATCCCGATGAAGGCGATGAAGGTGAAGAATGCTGGAAGAAGAAAGACGTAGAGGATATGCCATCGCGGACTGACGCAGGAATATCGGGAGAAATCAGCTTGGTTCACGCTGAGGGTGGCGTAGTTTCCAATGACGGCTGTCAGAGACGACATCATTGCCCAGCTGTATGATGGGCCGGATAGCTCGCTGCGTTGCGCGAAGAGGTCGCCTCCATTTGGGATCGCGACAAAGGCCCAAATGAGCATGGCTGTCCAGGCTGCTGGTACGATGATCGACTTGAAGAGGAATAGCCAGCGGAGCTGATTCGGATGCACGAGGAGGAAGGGGATCTGGAAGAGCCAGAAGAGGAGGAAGCCGACCATGCCCTGTGTTGTGATGCCTTCGCCCTCGGGCAGGCCGTTGGGGATGTTGAGGAAGCTCGGCCAGATGGCTCCTAGCATGACAACAACGGAATTACCGCCGTTGACACTATTCGTCGCGAACCAGAAGACTGCCAGGATAAGCCTCGAAACGATGGGAACATAGGAACCCCAGAACCCCCAGCTGGCGCGGGCAATGACGGGGAACGGGACATGATATATGGCGCCAACAGCACCATTCATGGCGATAACAATGGACAGGATGAAGAAGCCGAGAGCGACCATCCCCAGCGACTCTTTCCAGGAAAGTCCGATGGCAATGATACTACTCGCCAGCTGCCAGTTTGCGACGGAGAAACAGTCGGAGATCCAGTACCCGATGAAGCTGAGGACCGTCCATTTCCGCAGGGCAGGAGGAACGGGGTCAAGGTCTTTGTTCGTCCACCGCACGTTGCCGCGCATGAAGCTCGATTCGCTCTGGGGCACCAGTAGCTGGGGCCTGCGAGGTGTTGGAAATTTCATAGTTGTACACGTTCACAGCTTGTAGAAGAGTAGTCGACATCGCTATTGATCCAACATAAGATGGGCGAAATATTGTTATATAGGCCTGTATAGGCATGCTGTTACTCAGTGGCCGGGGTTCATAAGATAAGAGGGTAAAGACATACTGGATGCCAACCCTAATCTACACTACACATTTCCGGAGGCTGACGGACATCCTTGCCGCGATGCTATTGGCTCGCCATCACCCAAAATTGTTGTTACCCCAGGCGAATGCACACTAGTCTCCAACAACTTTGAGCGCGGCAGGTAAGCGAGGCCTCGGTCGAGATAGCAGTCCCTCCCTGCTGATAAGCCGCTTTACATCCAATCAAATTACGTCGAGCTAGTTCATACGCAGCTTATCCGGCTGACTCGCCTATGTTTAAGCGGCTCTCATGTAGTCCTGGACAAAGCAACCGGCGTTGGCCGCTATTCCGGCTCCTGCATCGGAGGATGCCGCTGTTTTAGCACTACGCAGGAACATGTATGTGCACAGTAAGAGCAGCATCAATACCCCGCTATAAACACCCCGCTCCCCTGAGATCTCTCTGAGAGGGCCAAACCATCTACTACAACTTTCCTAGACATCGATAATGCTCCCACCTACATCCCCTCCCTCAGGGCTCATCCCCCTAACACCCACTCAACTAAACCTGGCAGCAACAAAATGCCTCGCCCTCCAAGCCACCGGCCGACAAACCCACTCCAAGCGCCCCTTCGCCGCCCTCCTCCTCGCCCCCGACAACGAAACCGTCCTAATGACCTCCCTCTCCCTCTCACACGTACGTCACGCAGAATGCGAACTCGCGCGCAACGCCGCAGATAACTATGCATTCGAGTACCTAGCCTCATGCACAATGGTCTCAACATGGGAGCCCTGCGCCATGTGTGCAGGGACAATCTACTGGGCGCATATTGGGCGGTTGGTATATTTGGCTTCGGAGAAGGAGCTGCGGAGGTTGACGGGGGAGGGGAATAAGGAGAATTTGACGCTGGATTTGCCGTGTCGCGAGGTTTTTAGCGCGGGGCAGACGGCTGTGGAGGTTTTGGGGCCGTTGAGTGAGGAGGGGTGGGAGGGGAGGGTTGTGGATGATGCGGCGCTGTTTTGGGGGAAGGGGGCTTAGTCGGGGTTTGGAATTGGCTTTTGAGGTTGAAGTAAAAGAAGAGATGTCGAGTTTGTGAGAAATAGACATTTATATGTCACAAAGAAGTAGAGGGGAGCCTCGCGTTAGATCAATAGCCATCTCGTAGAAAATTTGGTCTCTGAGGCGTACTTTTGAGGCTCCTGGCATGGGTACTGTTACCTGACACTCTAATGTAAACTCCGAATATCACTGGCTGGTAAAGTTTATGCCTTGAATTAAAGTTGAAATTACACTTGCTCGCATCAGTCACATGAGAAGCGCTGGTAGCGCTCAAGATCGTCTCGCTCCCACTCAGCACCTCAACCTTCTGCTCACCACGAACCATCCCCGGAACAGCAGCATAGTTGGGTCCCAGACGCATCGACAGTAGATAGAACCGTTCCACCACTAGGAACACGGATCCGCAACCCTGTGCTACCCACAGGAAACACAACCGCATAATTACCATTGTCAACCGCCGAAGCCGCAATAGATGGTATGTTCGCAGAGCAAGTCTAACATGCCGCGGTACCACATGACTCCAATGGGCTCACTGGCACTGCCTGAAGCCTCTATCTTGTCCGCCGTCTTGCCATTCTTGAACGCTGTATTTAACCATGTGATCAGTGGCTGCCAGGCGTAGTGTGGCCCGTCGGCCATGTTGGCATACTGGAGGATCTTGGGTGCCATGGTGTATCCTTCTTCCCGTAGGTTTCCGATATAGTGGCTTTCGCCTCCATTGTCCTACGTTTGTTAGTAAGTGCGAGCTGCGTGCTGGGACTGTGGTTTATCACGTACCCAGGTTACCACCTCTGTAAACGCAGGCTGCAAGTGTAGGATCTGCTCCATGCACTGTCGTTGGTCTACCTCGCCGATGCGATACCAGGTTTCACTATTTATGTCGTTGTACTTGAGCGACCATAGTCCGGTAAGTAATTGGTTACGCCAAGCCATCTCTGAAAGATAACGTGTAAAGGAGGAACCTGAACATATCGCTCGTATAGTCCTTGCTCACGCTATAGGCATACTCCGTTACAGCCTGATCACTAACACAGCTCACGTTAACAGGCCCCCCTGTAGAAGCAGGCCACGCGGACTCCCAACTAAAGAAGGCATGAACAAAGTCAGGCCTTGAATGTTGGCCCGCCGCCACCGATATTCAGCGCAAATGCATCGAATCCCACTGCAATTCCGTCTGCGATGTCGCGTGGCGCGTGGTTGGTGCTTGCGTCGACGGTGTCTATCTGGTTTGTGATTCGGGTTAACTTTCGCTGTCCGGAGAGTCCCTCTGGTGCTGGGCTTGCTTATCATACCATGTAGTGTGCAAACATTGATTTCACAGTCGCTACGGAAAGCTCCAGGGCCATCAAGACTTCGAATGATGGGGTCAATGCACAGATAGTTCAGCCGTGCGCTCCCCATGGGGTTGAGAGTGCCGTGTTTCCGTGCGACGTCGCCATCAATGCGGGGAACTCAGTGGAGAGCTAGTTTCACCTGCAGGAGGAGAAGCTAGGGACTTGGATGGCCCACAGGGTAGTAGCTCGCGAGTACTTTCGCATAAATCAGGTCTTGGCTGCGGACGACTGATTGGGGAGCACGCACTTGATAAATTCCCCGAGAAAATTCCCGAGAACCGCCAAGAAGGACCGTAAACCCGCCCGCTGTTTACACCGACTGAATCAGGGAAGATCTGCTGTAAGAATCCATCTGCGCATCATAAGCGCAAACTGTTTCCTGGATTTCCCACCACCCTATCTGGCTGCTCCGCACTGGCGGGGATCACCTTCTGTTGCCCGTCGTTAAATTCAATCCGGGGTTTCGCCGTCTCTTCCAAGTTCCCCTCCACCATCTCCTGAGGCTGCCTGAATTTGATCAGGAAGGAGAAAGGCCCCGAAGTCATCTCGGTGAGCTGTCGGTTCATGACGGCGAGTGGTTGTGGCTCGCGCTGCAACAGCGAGATAAGAGTTTCTGAAATATTATGTTTCCCACAGGCAGGGCTGGCTGGACGTAGTTAGAACAAGCGCATTTGCTGAACTGGATGTACAATGGTAATAAATTAGAGGAGTGAGTGTGACGTAACGGATTATGGCAGATAATTGAGGATCAAGAATGCAATGACGAATAGGATATGTTAGGAATCAATCTCCGCCGAAAAGCTTTCCACGGTGCGATGTACGTCTTCCAGTTTTGGCGATCAATGAGGAGACACGGAAGAGTAGACAAAAAGAGCAATGGTTGACCCGGGAAGGAATGGTAAAGGGACAGTGCATGTCCGAGGATATTAACTAACCTTCGAGGTCCAATGGCCCGAAGAGCAGTGGTCCTCACCACCCCCACGGTCTCCCATCCCTTAGGACAAGCCCGTAACTTCATAGTTCCAGTTACACACGGCAGAGGAGCTCTGCGCCTGAACCGCCTTGGTCCCGCTTGCCCTCGACACGATAGCCCCCGCGGGATCACGGACCACAAGTTGCTGGTTCTGCCCTGCCCGAAGACCAAGGACCATACGATAATTCAAACCAGGTCCCGCAGGATAACTGCCAATAACCTGACCATCGCTAATTACATCGAGGCTGTATCCGCTCGCGCTGGCCGGGAGGATGACAGCATAATTAATCGCATCTTGCGCCTGCTCATGATTCGTAATCGCCGATGAGCAGCTCGCCGACGTGAGGAGCGTACGGTACCACATAGCCCCAACAGGTGTGTTTCCAGGAGGCCGAATCTGGGCAATATCCCTCACACCGTTCCGGTATGCTTCCATGAAGGGCATCAATACTTGCAGCCAAGCTCGGTGGTCGAAGCCATCCGTGTAACTGGGGATCTCGGTGCCGGCGATCTGCTCGGGCCAGACGTTACCGACGTAGTGGCCCTCGCCGGCGTCGTTCCAGGTCAGCATTTCGACAAAGTGCGGCTGCAGGGCCAAGATCTGCTGCATGCGTTGGGCGAGGTTGATTTCGCCGATGCGGTACCATCTATCACCGCCAAACCATTTGAATTGAAAGGGAGACAGTGCTGGACATTCGAGAACGTGTTAGTATCGGATCCCGGAAAGAGGGACTGTAAAAGTGCGTACGTACGCATCATGTAGACTTTACCCGCTGCCTGCGCCTGAGCAAGGATATTCCTGTCAACAGAATCGCTAACCGGGACCTGTCCAGTGCCTGGGGCGGGCCAAGCAGCTTCCCAGGAGAATGCGCCATCCACCGAAGGAAAGTTGTTGAAGAATTTATTCGGCCAACCAGACCAATCATCAAAGTCAGGAACGAAAAACGGCCTTGAATTATTAGCGACCAAGGGTTGGATGAAATCCGCATCCCACTGAGTGTTGGGGATGTTCCCACCCCAAAAGGTACTGACGAATGGTCTGCCATCTACCTTGTAATAGGACTCGTGGCTCGAGAATCTGGTGAGGAAAGCGCCGAGTCTTTTGGTATCCAGTCCCCAGCTCATGTCAAAGGAGAGGAAGAGCTTGAAGTCGGTACCCCGGGCGGCATCTAGGAGCCATTGGATTGTGTTCAGGTTCCACTGATCTGTAGACTCTAGAGTGTGGGTGTTCAAGGCAAATCCGTCAAAACCTGCATTTATTGCGTCTCTGACATCAATAGGTGCTTGATCTGCTCTCATCGATCCCACCTAGCCAGAGTTAGCAGGGAATTCCTCGACAGGTCTGACTGTCTCTCATACCATGTAATGCGCGAATACAGCTTTAGTCGCGCTGGGAGCGCTGGTTGTCGTTCGAGTCGTTGTCTGCGAGGTTGTGGCTGTGGCAGACGTCGTAACAACCGAGGAAGTTGACGCGGTGGAAGTGGCAGTTGCGGTGCCAGTTCCTCTCGATACCAGCTGTGCAGTGGTTGCCGTTCCCGCCTGTCCTGGAGGGATACAGGTCCCAGCAACAGGCCTGGAGTAATCATAGACGCCAATCATATCAGTGAGACAGCAAAAGCTATTGCCATATGCTCCCTGCCAGCGTGACCAGGCCCCATCTGCACACGTAGGTGCACCCTGGACACTTCCACGGCAGTCACTTCCTTTGGCCAAAAGTCAGCAGTGGAATTGAGTTATTGGGCATGTTCAGCAATACTGACCAGTTGCGCAACATGCAGCCACCTCGAAGTTTCCTGGATTGTTACAAAACAAGCTTGAGGGGCAGCATGCAGCGGTCCCACAGCGTACACTTCCTGCTGGACAACTTGAAGCTTGCAGCGACCAGCCTTGTTGGACTCCGCGCTCCTGAATCACAGCAGCCGAGACTCCCTGTGTCCAGTATACGCCAGCTACTAGGCAGAGATATGTGAAAGTCCACATGCCGAGAAGGAGTGTAATTCGTTCGAGCGTTCTCGCTGCTCAAATGTATGCCCGGGGTTTGCTGATCCTTTATACATTTGCAAACCATGCCTTGGGTGTCGATACTGGGCGATAAGGCTTCAAGCGCTCGTTCAATTTCGCCGACGACATACAACGTGGCCAAGGCTACGACCCATTGCGCTGAGGAAGTCGCGAAAATCTGACGAATGGCATCTGTACGCTCGGGAAATTGTTAGGTACTGCTGGTGAATGAATCCTTCGACGACAGGCCTAGAACTGGAAGCTTTCAACCTCGTGATCACGCAGGCGTCCGAAGCTGCCCCATAAGCCCACCTTACTTACCTTGTGGTGTGACATCGTGAGTGCCCAGTCGCTCTTGCCAGACTGCGGAGGCGCTGGCACCTCCCAGTCTCCGTCCCCGAACCCCGCATCCCCCACGCCAACGAGCGCCACTCAATTGTTCCTCCGGTTGAAGAGCGGGGCAGGCATTAAAGACGGGCCCCAATATTGCAAAGTATCCAATCTCATTGGCGGTTCGGCTTTTTTCTGTCCTCAGAATTTCCGCGAACTGTATCCACCCATCGCGTCGCGCATTGGGCATCGATCCCATTTGCTCCCTGGGATGTTGCAAGCTAGAACCGAGGTAGTAGTAAGGAGGAAATTTGCTCTTGCTGCCTTAGGCAACATCGCCCCCGTCTATGCAGGACCAGTACCTCTTCAAACCATGATGGGAAGCTGCATGAGGTATGTCAGGGTATCTGTATTATTATAAATGCGGCTGTACACCTCCAGCTCGTGTGAGGAAGACCCTCTTCCACTGCGGACTCAGATTCAGACTTACTGCGCTCGCAATGGGTGGTGCAGGAGGGATTACTGGTGTCATGGGAGGAGGTAAAGGTCAAAGGTACAAAGGAGCCATGAAGCCTCTGTTGACGCCCATAATAGGGGTTTCATTCCCTTCATTAGGTCCTTTAGGTTGATCAACACACCAGGGAGCCGCGTGGTGTGGGCCTAAACCTGGAGCAGATGTTGGTGGTTGCCTGAGGCTGCTATGTAGCTTTTGTGTTACTGGTAAAGAGATTGAGGTTCTTCTGTCTTCCTTCCACCACCATTCCTCCTACTTCACTACTTCACTACAGGGTCACAGCAGGTTGTGCTACTGACGAGAGCAATACTGGAGGCCACGTTCCTTTGCCTCTCCAGTCAGGTACCAACTCAGCGGTTCTGCTGCTGTCCTGATTATTGACGATCTTCCCACTATTTCCCCTCCCCAACCACGACCTTATTTTGCTGATGGTTTGAGATTGCCAGTTGCTACAGGCTCTTGTAGTACTGTACATCGCCTTGTCACGAAACCAAAGATTCCTCCTCAACTTGACCCGGCTACCAATTGCCCATCCCCATACGGTCACACGTACAGCAACACAACAGCTATGCCGGAAAACCACAGACCCTGCCGTGAGCACGGTGACAGTGAAAGCGAGGTCGCCTCTAGCGATTCTCACTCAGATAAAGGTAGCGGGCTGGAAGAGACGGGAACAACACATCAAAATGGGGATCATGGCGAAGCTGAGCGCGGTATACCCGGAGGGTGAGTCCGTGCTTTGTCCATTGTGTAGCCACCAAGTCCCGCGGGCTAACAAAGCAATATAGTGCGCATCATAATGAAAAGCCCTTCCGTTTCCTTGACCTCCCCGCCGAGATTCGTCAGATAATCTATCATTTCGTGCTCGGCGATCAGACCATCCGCGTTCGATACTACGACGATTATGGCCTCGACGACGAGGATGAGTTTGCGGTAGATTTCTTCGTAACCGAGATTCTATCCTTTCGCTTCCAGAAGATGGATATCGCTACTGATTTGGAAGGACTGTTTTGGTGTGAATGGAACTTGGGCAATGAGGGCGCAGCGGACAACAGCTCCTACGGAGGGGACCCCGTATGCCTCAATATCCTACTCGCAAATAGGCAGGTTTACAGCGAGGCCTGCAAGATCCCGTACTTCACGAATACCTTTTCGTTCTTCGAGGCTCATGCGTTCCAGCTCTTCGTCTCGCCCTTGTTCAGCGGTTGTCCTCGGGACTCGTGCAGGAAACTTGTTCGCAGCGTTGCCTTGTACCTCCCGCTCTTTGCAGAACCAACAGCCGAGGATTGGGATGCTCCTCCCTCGTCCTCGTCTGCCTGGGAACCCCAGGGTCTCGACGGATTGCAGCAGCTGCATATCGTGGTTGGACGACGGGAGGAGGGGGGTGGCATGGACACGGACCCCGAAAGTTCCGACGAGGAATGGTGGACCGACATCTATCATCTTAACGACCTTTTCGTCTTTGCCAAGCTGAACCTCCAAAAAGTCACCGTTGAGGTTCTTTTAAACTGGAATTGCGATGAGTCACAGCAAGAGCAGGCGAAGGTTTTCGAGCGGCGGCTGGAGGCGAAGCTGCTGAAATGTGGTAAGGATGATCGTGAGAACGTGGTCCAGACGTCTGATAGCAAGGACTCGCTGTGAACTTCAGGCACGCTAAGCGCTAGTGTGGGGTCTACGTGGTTTGATGCACGACGACTCGGCTTTATGTACTAATAGCGCTATGAGGGAGACGTTATGTCGGGACAGGGCTGGTGTCGTCGTGGACACACTTCGGTTTTCATCTTTAAAAATCATCCATCTGAGCTGTCCTGGCCGCGGTCAATTTACTATTTACAGATAAGCCTTTATGTAAGAGTCGAGTAGCTTTTGTCTGAGTTTAGGCGCAGTCTTTTTACTGTTCTGTTCGACAAACACCATTAAGAAATCCAGTACGTCGCTGTTAGTATTAAAGTAGGGGAGACTATTTAATTCTAGCCGCAGGACAATTACAATTCTGAAGTTGCATGCACTAAACAGATAAGCCTATACTCTAAGAAGCCTATTATACACCCATGGGACCCACGTCTGGCCTTTAAATGCTTGTCTATGACTCTTCTACTGGGTGACTATGCCTGCACATGCACTGAAAGGGACTGCGACCAACTTGATGTGGATAGATAAGCAGAACATGGAACTTGACAGTGAATATCTTCATGGTTTATACCCTGTTTAGCTCGTGCGCTTCGCGTGACAATCTAGAAGCATAATTAAAGGACATATTTCGAGAGGTTGAATACGCTGTGAAATATATAACCTGGGACAATATGCTAGAATATAGATTGGGGTTTGAGCGTTTGAGGATGTTAGGAGGACATTGATAATTGTTGCAACATAGTTAATGGAGGTTTATCCTTACGAAGAGCATACTCCGCTACGTGTTGTCGAGCCACCTGCCACATCTTTTGCATCACCTGGAGCTGATCCAGGGACTGGTCGAAATTATTGAGCTAGGCTACAGAAAGTAAGGCGCGCTCTGCCGCTAGCCAGAATCCTTCCATTTAATGGGCCAGGCCACGCTTGTGGTCCACTTTGGCTGAGCGATCGGCCGGGGTTTGCGATCCCCGAAAGTCCGGCAGAGAAACTCTTGCTATGCAGACGAGGGGTTATAAACCCATTGAAAGCACTTCTTCTGGTGGTTAGACATTTGCATTTCTTCCAGACTACGACCCTGCTCCAGCTTCCGATTTGGAATCTCTTGCCTCGCGCATCATTGAAAATGCGCCCCTTTGACGTCTTCACTAGATGGCGCCCGCTCCCAAGCACAGAATCCCAGGCACCAACACAAGAAATCGACCGAGTCCATACAAGATACCCCAACGCCCTCGTATCAACATCCTTAACACCGCCTCTTATCACAAAAATCACTCATTGCCGCCCCTGGAAAAGCAACCCCGTCTTCACGCACGTCTTCGAAGGCCACGATACCAACAAAACCGTCTTCGCCAAAGTCGTCTCACCAATCCTGCCCCGCGTCTTGAACGGAGAAACATGCAACCTCCTCGCATACGGACACTCCGGCAGCGGAAAATCGCACACGATCATCGGGTACGACTTTGAAACCGCGGATGAATTCGGGCTTTGCCTTGCGGCGGCGAGGGATCTTAGCGCTGAGGCCGCGCGACTCAATGAGGCCGTGGAGAACGGAAGCGAGGATGAGCTGGGCATCGGTCTACGCATGTACGAGCTCCGCGGAAACAGCGCATTCGATCTCCTGAATAGCCACTGCAAGTGCCATATCCGCGAGGGGTATGATGGCCAGACCCACATCCGCGGGGAGACCGAGGTCATGTCCGACGGGCGCGTGCGCGTTCGACCCATTGTAACCAAGGCATGTTGGACGTTCGATGACGTGCGGAGGGAGCTACTGGCTGGACGAGAGCTTCGAGCGACGCGGACCTCGACGGTCCACGACCAGAGTTCTCGGACACATGCTGTGCTCGAGATTGAACTTGTTACGAGGGCTTTACTCGACGCGAGAGATGCGGTTATTGAGAGACAGTCTGAACTAGTTCCTGTTGCGAAGCGTGCGACAGACGTTTATCTGGAGGAGAATATGAAGGCGTTCGTCCGGACGGAGGATGGGAAGTATGTACCGAATCCAGCGTACCATATTGATGAGGCGCGGATCCACGAGGCGGAGGCGAGGCAAGCTGAGCTTGAGGGGTATGTGCAGGATGCAGAGACCCATGTCAACGAATTGATGCAATCATCCTCGCATCCTTGCCTGGGAGGGAAGTTGGTCTTTGTCGACCTCGCGGGCTCAGAGTACTACCACGAGAAATCCATCTCCGGTTCGGCTCCACGGGCCAAGCAAACCCCACAGGAACAGCGAGAGGGGAGACAAATCAATACGGACCTGCTTGCTCTAAAGGAAGTGATTCGTGCGAGAGCGCTGAAGCAGCCGCGAATTCCCTACCGGTCTTCTCCACTGACGATGGTTCTCCGAGGTCACTTTGAGCCAAGTGGTCCAACAAACTCCTATACGGCGATGATTCTGACAGCATCATCCGAGGCAACGCAGTATTCTGCTACGATGAATACGCTCAAGTATGGGAATCTGGTTGGCGTGGCTGGTGAGGATAAAGCTGGAGCGGCCGCTAGAAAGGCATAAGGTATTTGCCCTAGAGTAGAAGGTAGGACTAGATTAATTCACTGTGACCGTTCACAGGCTTGTATCATTGTTCTCATCATAGCCATAACTGGCCTCAGCTCAACCCGCTCATCCGCCGTTCTCTCCACAAATTTCTTAACCCAGGACAGCAGCTCAGGATCAAAAGATATGCGATCGGTTCCCTTCATAATCACGTCGGTACACACGGTCAAAAGAGGAACGAATTGATGGAGGAGAACCAAACTACCCGCAGCATCAGTACAGCAGCATACTTTCAAGTTGGGAGGGAATGGAACATACCTAACGCCCCAATGTGCATAGGACGCCGAACTCATAAATGTCCGTACAGTCTTGAGCGACTGAACGGCCATCTCGGACGACAGCGGGCCGACGCCATAGTTGGCCTGGCAGTATGCTTTGGTGCGTGCTTGATCGAGGATGATGAACATCTTGTAGCAGCCCAGCAGGATGTCGACGGAGAACCATGAGTCGATGTGATTTGTTGTCATGGTAAGGATCTCATCCTATGTACGTCAGATTACCATGCCATCACGTATTGGGAGAGAAAGTGCTGCGTACCGGCTTCCAAAGTCTTCGAATCGAATTGACCTCCTCAATAAGCCCACTAATGAACGCCTCATCAACCTCATCCGGATTCAATACCGTATCCATGTACTCGAGGTACTTCAACATAACAAGCGTCTGCCTCATCGTCGCCAGGAAATGTATCTCGATAACCCGCGTAGAAGAATTCTCATCTTCAATCCCAGTGATACTCGGATGCTGTGGAAAATTGACCTCCCATGAGCCTCTGGGAATTAGAGCCGGCTTACCAAACGACAGCCTGAAAAGACAGTCTGTGCGGAGGAGATGCCAGAATTCGAAGCGCTTCCGGTTGCGCTCTTCCGCTGGCTCGCTGGGGTCGTCTTCGAGTAATGTGGAGTCAACGTGGAAGTAGCCGAGGGCTCTGGCGATCTTGCACGCTTCGCCTAGCATTTTCCATGATTGTTCGATATCCCCGCCTTCGAGTGCCATGGCTATCTAGTTCAGCCAATTAGTGCTCGTTCCTACTCCTGTATATCCACTTAGGTCGACATACCAGGAAACATGCTGCGGACAAGTCCGCCGCCGTATATTTCACCTCGCGAACCCAGTCCCCTGCGAGCGCCATGGACGTACGACAGAGGTATTGTGAGATTTCACTCTTCGCGTCGTATCCGGTCTCGCTCAGGAGAATTCCATGCAGAAGAACGTTGTAGTAAATGATTCGCGAGGTGCAATCTAGCTGGACGTGTGGTATCTCTAGCAGGTCCGGAACGGACATTAGAAATTTCTTTTCAAGAGGTACTCGAAATCCGGGGAACTGGTAGTGGTCGAAATACTCTAGTACGCTGTTAGCCTGACTGATGCGCATGGGCGTAGCCGACGTACTCTGTACCCAACCCCGTGCCATCTCCTTGGAGATTGTAGGGATTATGCGGGGCAGGCTAGTGTCTGGTATCTCTATCTCGTCAATAACTGATTCTATCGCGTTGATGCAGCGCTCGTTTGTATAGAACAACGTTTCAAGCTTTCTCAGATGAGAGAAGGCATCAGACAGATGGCGCGGTCGAGTTTCCGGGTTCTTGATCAAGTCCCACATCTCTCGCGCTGTGAGAGATTGAAACCCGTTCAGATGCTCCTGGAGTACGCTCGTCGAGTTCGGAAGTAAAATGTCAGATGAGTGCGATGAAATCGACATCAAATCCTCTGCGGCCTCCTGATTCAGCGCGCAGTGGTCCTCTAAACGGTCCAGCCGCCTGAGGATGTTCGTGAGGACATGTTTATCGTCAGCGCCGCTAGCAATGTGCCATTATAGTCAGCTACCACTCAGCCCAGCGCCAATATGGAGAAAGCAGCGCACAATCGTCTGACGGGCCGTGTTTTCCGGGGCAGATATCGACACTCTGCGCCGGCCGCTTCACATTTGTCGCATCGCGGAGCGACACGGTTGCATTTAATCTAGTTTACTGTTAATTGAAGCCAATGTTCGGGTACATGGTGATTATAATACCTTCTTTGTCTGACACCGACTGCACTATGCTCCGTGTTAGTTGGCGGGGATGGGGCTAGACGAGGGGGTTGTCCACATACCGAGACTCGCTTCAGGGGGTTTCGAGAACTCATATTTTGCCGGTCCCCAAGAGAAATTCTGGTTATCTCTTATCAGTCATGCCCTCTTTTGTCTGTATTGCGATCGACTGCGCCAACGCTGGTGGGATAAGGGAAGAACGTTGTCAGGTGACGTTCGCTGCTCCTGATTTTTCGGATCCTCCGATCACGTGCCAGGGGTCTATTTCCTAATCTACCCTCATTGGACTGCAGGTGGGCGAGTGTGGTAGCCCTCGGCCTTCGATTGATGGAGTTGCATTCCGCTATCTTGTATTCTAACACTTGAGATATATAGATATACGTATAAGGTTCCTTGCTGTGTTCCTTTGATTACCGGCTCTAGAGAGTCGTCTTCAGAGATATATTGTCGGTGTGTATGATGTTAGGAAAATAAAAAATCAATAGACGTATAAAAATTTAGATGTATACGTTCCAGCCGCTTCGAAATTGGCACTTTGTGAGATGCCTTTCAGATCACATCTGGTCATAGTCTACGTGGCAATGCTAGGAAAGGTAAATGTTGAGTTCCATGTACTAGTTTGATACTGACAGGCCTATCGTACATTGATCAATAATGTCCACGACCCAAGACTCCATAGCAAACACTACGAGGCATCCCTAATAGGACCAGGACAAGAGCCAAGTACATGCTTTAGACCAGATGCCTCGGGTAATATGGATGCCTAGGCTGAGGCCGCCATGCCATGCAACTAGGTGACTAGGGCTAGCGCCGCCCCCGCCAATAAAACGACCTCCCCTGCCAACTCAATCTCAACCTCATCCGGCCCCCCTTCCTCTCAGGCGCCAGGATATCACAGGAGACGCAGAAAATTGCCCGGTAAACCTCACAGCGAAGACAGGAAGATGATGCTCCTCCCATTAATCGCCGTCTGCATCCTGCAGTCCGGATCCGCACTGGCGATGAGCATGGAATATCGCAGACCCTACCCGCATATCTACCGCGGCGATGTAAACTTCGATTCAACCTGTTCTTCGGACCCATGGTGGGTCAAGCCGATCGCGATCAGTCTGGGATGCCATGTAAGTAAAAGATGCAGTGGATATGATACTCCTCCCGCGTACTAACAGCCCAGAACTGCCGCCTACGCCTACTCCGACACGAACATCAGCGTAATCGCGTATCTAGCGACCGGAAACCCAGACGCTAATCTGACAGCATACGCGGAAGCCATGCACGAACTGCGCCAGCAATATGAGAGAACGTGGAACGCGCCCCGGGAAGAGCCACCAGCGCCTGTGACTGGGCTCCAGGGCTGGCTCAGGGGTATCTGGTGGGAATATGGAATGTTATTCGAGGATATATGGGACCGCGTTTCGAGGTCGTGGGCGTCTCTCAAACAAGCCGTCGAGACGTCAACATCACCATTACTGGCTCCTTCTCGGCTGGCGATGGGTTACCTTGCTCCCGCAATCGAGCTCGCGACATCCCCGCTCAAGGCCGGGGCATCGAAAATTGGCCTATTCCCCTCCGCCGAGGGTCTTGCTGAGTATGCTCTCCGCGAGAATCTCACCGTGGCAGTCGCCGTCGCACTCGAGATGATCAAGGCCAGGGCGCTGCAGGACACGGGAATTGACATTACAGCCGCCATGGTCCTTTACCCTGATTTTTTTGAATCCGTTGGCTTGTAAAATCTGGTGGTTGCATCCTCAATATGACCTTGAGCGCGCCTGTCGGCGCGCAGGGATCGAAACAATGACTTACCAGCCCATGTCTGATAGACTGTTGATTCAATCGTCATTAACCACCTTGTGGGAGACCGAGGCAGCGCAGGGCCCGCATCCTTGGAAACCCATGTCAAACATTATTATCCTTGATCAGGACCTGTCAAATTTCGATGTTATGGTTTCAGGCCCTTATTGCTCGATGAGCCTGCCTGTTGAAGAGCTCAACTGCACCAGTGTGGTCTATGGGTCAATCTTAGGGAATCCCAAGAAGAGCCTCCTTCTTGGAGAACTCGAACGGGGTGCTTCTTTCCATAGGCTCGCGTCTGAGATTCTGCGTACAAGAGCTCTCCTTGAAGCAGAACGAGGGAAGCAGAGACCGTGATGAAGACGCCGCGGAGCAGTGGCCAATACATCTCGATGGCTGGTGGGTGAGCGACAATCATCAACCTGTTTCACTACGCTGGACGGACGTCAAGCGTGGCGACGACCTGTATGAGGATACGTTACTGGACGCACTACGCGAAGTCCACTCATGTGTAATACGTATGTCCCCCAGCCCCGACCGGGCGCTTGCTGAGACTAGTATGCTAATGGCCACACAGAAGGAGCGAACAAATGCGGCGAACGATCCAATTCAACAATCGAAGGGGTCGTAATACTCAACAGCTACTGCGACACGTCACTGATGAAAACGGCCATCACGGAGGCTGTTGGCAATCACGTCGAGATCTTCGGAGCGACGTCTGGGGGTGATCTGACGTACGTCGCTCGACTTGGTGCACGTTATGCTTTGAAGAAACGTGACCGTGCAGTACAAGACGTGAAGTATGCCTGCGAACAGGCGGACCGTGATAGGGAAGCTGAATTAAGGCATTTGATACATGGCGAGCTGTAGTCCATGTCAGGTTCCGGTATGGTGCAGGGAAGGAACGAGGCTCGGGGGTTGTAGAGGATTGGCCGATCGCTCCTTCTGGCCTCGGGAGATTGTTGACTTGGGGGGAAGGCGCGACCCTAGATCGAGAGGCTCCTTCCTAACGCGAAACGGGAAAGAGCAGTATGTTACCGGTGGTCGTTACTTCCTTCTCTGCCCAGTGGGCCGCCCGAGGAAAGAACGACCAAACCGGGCCACAGCATGTTGGTTCGCGTTTCATAGTTAGCAACTACGAAAGGGTTTAGTTCTGGTGTCATAAGCAAAGATATGTTGCCGTCTCCTATTAACTTTTGGTGTCTATGTAGCAAATATAATAAACAACGAAGCGAAGCTCTCCCTGCACACAACATAAACCATGACACCAAAGCATATGTATGCGAGGGTACACATCAATCATCGGCACGATAAGCTATAAATAACTCATTTTCCTCATCCCACACCTAAACAGCCTCGGGGAAAGTATGCGGATTAGTCAAAGTGGAGGGACTATCCCGCTTATGCGGCCCAATGAGATGGTCAAACGCGGGAGAATGCGAAACACGCGGCGAAAAGTCCTCAAGATCCCAAAGGTATCCGAGCGTCTTCAAAACAGACGTCGCGCTATACGATGCGGACTTTCCAGTCGCAGGGTCAATACCGTAGTCCTCAATATGGCCTTTCTTGGTGTACGGCGAGATGAGCCAGGTGGGCATCCGGCCACCGAGACGGTCAAAGTTGAATGTGTACGATTCGCCATCGTGTGCGGTTTCGGTGTATGTCTTGTCGTCGGGACGAACAGCAAGAGGGGGAGCGACGTGGTCGAAGAATCCGCCCGTCTCATCGAATGTAAGGAGGAGGAGGGTCTTGTCCCATTGCGGGCCCGTGCGGAGCGCATCATACACTTGCTTCACGAGAACCTGGCCAAAGGAAACATTGCCGGAGGGATGCATAGAGTTCGTATCAAGACCACAGCAAGATGGGTTAATGTACGAGAGCTGGGGCAGGAGACCGAGGTAAGCGTCCTGGTAGAAATTCTCGAGGGGAACAACGTTGCTCTTGGCGTTTCGAGCTGTCCAGTCGAAGAAGAGGGCGTCAGAGAGGAAGGCGCCGTTTGTGCCGTCATAGTTCTTCCAGCTGATGCCCTTTTCGCTGGCGACTTGGAAGATGCTGGAAGTCTCAATGCCGGAGACGTCGAAGCTGTGGTCATTTTTGCCATGGCCATCCGTGACACCAGAGACGCCACAGAGGCGGTTGGGGTTTGTAGGCTGGAAATAATCAGATTAGTGTTGAGAGAAAGACCAATGAGGGGCACAGGAAAACTAACACCGGGGACACATGAGTGCCAGTAGTTGAATGTCGTGAACTCATCAACCAGATCAACAAGGGTAGGAATTTCGTCCTCGGAGTAGTACCCCAACACCTCCTCAGCAGCAAGCTTTGGGTCAAGACCCTTGTGGTGAACCAGATGCTGTTCAATGAAGCCTGGTGCCGTAGCCTTTAGGGAGCCGTTGAGAATGGCAGCGTCATTGGGAGCGTATGTCCCATACAGCTCCATGTTGTATCCCGTAATCGAGTGGTCAGGGTCATGGATGACAGAGTCAAAGTCCTTGTAGAAGCTGCACCACTTGGCACTGCTAGGATCGCTAACATTCTGCAGGTTGCAGAAGGGGCCGTTGTTGACGACGTTGTCGAGGCCTTTGCGCTTGACGCCACCGAGGATGTTGTCAAAGCTGCGGTTCTCGAGGACGATCCACACAACGTTCTCGACCTTGTCCTTGAGGTTCGCAATTGACGTTTCGGATCCGGAAGCATATCCAAAAGGAGTCTTGCCATGGATATCCACCGCTGCAGCTGCAGCACTGCTGGAGAGACCAAGCAGGGGGATGAGAATGTTGCCCTTCATGATGGATGTTCAAGGTGAAGATCGATGTGCCTGTCAAATTGTCTCTAGATGTGGTCGTCCACAGCCATTTTATATTCTCTCACGGCACGCTGTCCCTGCATGTGGAGTAGATCCAAGGCCTATGGTTACATTTCTGACAGATTGTTAGCACTGACACCGCTGGCAAATAGCAAGTGCTGCTTAGGAACACATGTGCTGATCGTTGGAGGTCGACCAAATCTCTTATCTATCTCTTGGATCTTGCTGTGGATCAACGCGCCCACGTGCCCTTGCGCATATTAGCCCCAGCTCGTTGGAGTCGTGCATATTGTGCCGGTTTCGGAACAGTTTCAGTTTCCTGCAGGTACGATTCCTGCATGGGCGAGCAGCTTTATCACTCTATTCTTCACAGTTGAATGCATCTTGTTGAGTAGAAATACGTCTGTAAAAGTCAACAGCATTACAAATAGACGCGTTGTTGTTTTCGTATTGCTATCAGGGAACTTACCATGGACGATAGACCAAACTTGAAGCATGGAACGTGGAATGAACAAAGGCCGCGGCCAAGCTTCGACCAAGCTTCCAAGGCTTCCTTGGCCCAGGCCCCACTTGGCCCTGGGCGCATCCCCACCAGCTCCAATCAAAGACTTGGCAGTCAACCACGATCTACAGGCCGATCAATTAATTGGACAGTTTTGTCAACCTACTTGGCGAATCACGTTTAGGACCTCAACCATGTGTTTCGCCAGGGGCATGGACCAACTTCCAAGGCCTACGACATGCCGGTGCAACCGCACATATACGGCTCTCCAACTATCTTCATACGTGCAGAAACATCAGATCTCAGGGGCAAGAAGAGCATTGACCAATGGTAAGCGTTCTGATATGCTCAGGGTTTGGAATGATTGGAGGAAGTCCATGTAACGTGAGCCAACTCCTTGTAACTAATCTACAGTTAAGATCTTAGCATGCTCAACAGGCAATCCTTCTGTTCGATTGCCTGACCTGAGATTGTCCTGGGCACCCTGACATGATATCCCATACCGGCTGTCACCGGGAATCATCAAATCATTTCTGTCAACTGAGTAGGGGAGAAAACGCACGTTCAAGATCACGGCTTATGCTAATCCGAGATCGGGTCTATCGAACAGCCTACCAACAAGAAGCAATGGAGAAAATGGGAGCAAAGATCAAACAGACAACGCATGCGACAGGATAGCTTGGCTAAACTCCTCGGGCATCCGCTTATGTAACACAAAACCCTGTTCACGACAGCAGCCAGAAATGAGACCAGAAGAAGCAGAGGCTTCCCTCACAAGCCCGATGGAAACCGAGGAGATCTCAGAGCGATGATTATCAAGCGGATTCCAGGCAGAATTCGGGCCCCATTGCTAACCGACCTGATTGAAACTGAACTTGTCAATCCGTTCCGCATGACCGGACACACTGAAAGCTGACCAGAAGGAATGGAGACCTGCACCAACCAACAAATCTTGCCTTTTATCAACCACGGGCTGAATATTCAGAGCCGCTCCTCAAGACGGGAAGGAGCTCATATTCGGGTGGCGCCTGCGGGCGAGGTCCCTGAGCGGAGGCCCCGGGCACACCGACCTTCGGACCGCGCTGAAGTGCTAGAGGAAACCCCACGGATTGCCTGTAATATTCTCAAAGTTGCACATATTAATTGGATTTCGCCTTCTCCCGGCACATCTTTTGTATCTTGCCGAGCGAACCTAAACAGTGAAGAAAAGGGACAAGTCAAGGAAGGACGTATGGTCAGGTCTCGGGACGGACCAGAGATGATGCACAGAAACCGTTTTGCAAGAATCGCACTGATATATGCTAGAATACTGCGGTGTATCAAGTTCTGTTGCACGGTCATTACTACTACAGCACCCCAGACGGGTCCTTTGATTTTGATGATACGCTTCAGCGTGGTTGGCTTATACTCAGAGTTACACGGACCGCTGCCAGTTGCGTGTTGTGAGTGAGCATGCTCGAAAGTTAGGGTCATATGTCCTTCTTGGCGCGAGGGAAAAAAAGCAATGTGCTTGTAGAAGGGGCACTATCCTGGAACCTTCATGGACAATAAACCAGGGAACCCAAGCCATGATGTTCAGCACCGAAATAGTGCTTGTCAACTAAAAACCCCGAAATACACTGGACGTAACTAGAGACTACTGATAACAATACCAATCATCGAGGAAGCAAGCCAAAAAGCCGTGAGAATCCCAAGTCTAGGCGGACAAAACCTAAATCCACTTAGCTGCTATTGACCAACTATGTGAAGCCCAGGGGTACTTACTCTTCCGCACTGAGACCAAGAAATCCACCCCAAAAGAGCCATTGTGCAATCCAAAGAAGGAGCATGGTGATAACCGTGCCCGTGTACGGGAATGCCTCCGGAGATGACCTAGTGTCCTTTTGGCTGGAGAAAGTGCCATACGCGCTGGTATGTCCCCTTCTGCTGCTTGCCAAGAGCGCTTCTTCAAAGTCTCTGAGCGTGTCCAATGGTTGAAGATCCCCCTCCATCTTGGTCCAGCGGTCGTGCAAGAGCGCCACCACTTCATCTGCAATCTGAGATGTTGTGGCTTGGGACGTTTGGGAGCATGAGGGGTCGGCACCGCCAGAATTAGCCAGATTGTTCATCCTCCGCATAGCACGCATCGATTGCACGAGAGCCAGACCAACGACAACAAGCCAAAGTAGTGCGCCGGCATACATGGCTGTGGCGTACGTCCCTATCATCTCGGTAGGTAGACTGCCAAAGTAGAAGCCATGCTCCCGACCATAATTGACTGTCATGAGTATGTAGTATGATGATAGAGTTTGAAGGATCGTTTCTGCGAAGAACAGAGACGCGGCCGGGGAAACTTCCCGTGCGCCGAGCGGCTGGAGACCAAGTAGCAGAATGATGGGCCAAAGCAAACGAGGCAATGAGCACCAGAGAAGCATCAGTTGAATAGCGGGAACGTTTTCATAACCAGGGGTATTCTGAACGAGCAGGCTATTGACCCCATTGACGAGGAGTTGCAGAGCTGCAATCAACACTCCCTTGGAGAACCAGGACCACGGCTGGGAGGTTCGTAGGTCGCCGGCTATAGTTCGATTCTTGCCTCTTATCCGGACGAGCATTGCTGTGAGGATGGTAGCCATGTTGACGATCGCAATGCTTCCCAGCGTCCACTCGTTCCAGGGACAACCCTCCTGTGGATCTAATAGTTTCGACTGCCCGATATTGGAAATATTGGAATCGTAGGACGGCTGGACTGTCCATTTCCATGGTATCATGTCGGTAGGGCTAGGGACAGCTAGTTTACGCCAATTTTCCGGTAGACCGTGCCAGTCCGCTACTTTGCCGCAAAGACTGTGGAGCCACTGAACATAATCTATCCGGTTCTCGAATACTTGGCAGGAACCCTTGCACGAATCGTAGCTGATACTGTTGCAGAAACAGGCCCTGTCCACGGCACGTCTGACATCGCAGTAACCACTCGAGTCGACCTCACAGGCATCGGTCGCACACTGATCAGTAAGATCAATCACCTGCTTCGGCATATCCGCAAAACACATGGGCCAGTGCCAAGCTTCGACAGGAATGTACGCAAATTGTGTGGTTTTGAGGCCATCTTTCCAGTTCTTAGGCAAGGAAGCCGAACCACAGATGGCATTGATCCATAACCGCTCTTTTGTGAGATCCAGGGCTGCACCTCCTGAACAAGGTTCATCCGCATGATTGAGAGTGAAGGAGCTGCAGAAGCACTTCTTATCAAAATAGTTACCGTCTGCGATGTAGCGCCGCACAAAATCGTAACTGGCGGTTTCTGAATCAAGAGCGACCATTGACCGGAAGTGCTCATTATACTCCCAAGGCCGAGCAGCATTTCCAGTGTGGCGGGTAGTACTGGTGAAACCACAGGAGGCTATTACATGCTGAAATGGTTCCATTGATAAAGCAGAACCCGAACCGGTCAGACAGGTTGGTGCCTTATCAATCACGTCGAGGCCGGCGGACCCCCGAGTGAGGGAAGCTGGAGACAGATCCGGCAGCTCGTTCGTGTCGCCAACATCAACGAGCCATGGTCGACCGGTGATGCCCCGAACCCATTGGTATAGTTGTGCTTTGGCGAGTATGGATCTGTCGCAATACGAGTAATAAGACCGGATGACATCTGGAGAAAATGCGGTGCTAAGACAGCTGAGCTGGGTCAGCCATTGATGGTGGGTGCAGATGATTCCAAAGTGGTTGGTGCATCGTTTCGCGGTGCATCCGGTCATCGTACTCAGCCAGACACCCTGATCTTGCTGGGCAATGCACTGTGGCATAGGAGGCAGATCCTCGGGATTGACCCAGCCATTGCGGTTGTTTAGTGGGGTCAAGCTCTGGTCACCCCCATTAGGCTCGGTGGAGACGGTACGGAGCGCTAGAGCGGTATGAGTATTTAGCATCGTGGAAGTGCACGGATACCATATGAAACCTACCTCCAGAATGTAGTCCGTTAGCACCTGCTATTAGCAAGACCAGATATACAATAGATAATATCATCTTGCTGGTGGTGATGCCCAGGCGCCTCGCGCTTCGCAGTGGGCTCAACGGAATCCGCAAAGACTTTCCGAATCCACCAAAAAACGGTATTATAGTACGAGAAAAAGGAAGTCAGAGACGGTATAACGTTTGGACACGACTGATAATCCTTCTGCCTTCGTTGAGGCGATGCTGTTCTCAAGACAGGGAAGGTTTGGGCAGGAGCTGAGGTGAGGTGGGCGTGGTGCGGGGTAGCGGAATGTTGACGCGGGTGCCTGAGGCACCATCAGTGAGCGAGTCAAGCATCTTCATTCCCTTGATACCGTATCAACATCGGACCAATCAAGTCGGCCCCGGAAAGAGTTGTTGGCATCCATGATGCCATGAGACGCGCTTCATTAGGGAGCCGCTCTGATTTATTCAAAATGTATTTTTTAATGGTGTCAGACTATTCGTAAAACTCTGAATTGTTGGCTGCACGTGGTGCCCGCCACCTGTAGTGTGCACTAAGCAATTCTACCAAGGCTCAAATTAGAGCCCCTTAGCTCTATATATAAAAGTGGAACAGGGAGCTCCTGAACAACTTTTAGTAATGAAATAATAATACTTGTTGAATGACAGGTCTCATGAGGATTGGACGTTTTCATGGAGGTAATCAAGCCGGGGGTGCCTTTTGCCCTTTCCTAAGTAGTACTGTGATACCAACCCTGGTGCTTGTTCTTGATAACTGCATTTCTTCCGTCGACTTATTTCCCGTCTCACTATATCCTCACTATATCGTGTATTGGTTCTTACAAGTACCATGATTGTGACATCTTGACCTGACAGAACCAAAGGGCTCTAACAGATGTTGCATTCGAGACCAATAGCGAGTCTAATCGTTGGAATCATTATAGCAAAGGAGCAGGGTTTCAGATTTATGGAGCTAACCAATTCTCGAATGGGATGGGTGGTCTGAAGGGTGAAAGAAGGCTAAAGTCTCCTGTACTTGATATCAAGGATACGGAGATTCTGATTAAACGAGATCCCGAGGACATGATTACCGAGAGGATCAGTAAGTATAGGAGCGCTGTATTATAGTTTGTTCTTTGATCCGAATTCAGAGTTGTGAAACGTGCTGAGTTTTTTTCAGAGCAGACAACCAGAGGCCAAATGACAGACACAAAGCGCGAAGCCTTCATCGCTAAGAAAAGCGGAGGCAGCCGTTGATAGATAGTCTGTCTCTTTAAATGAACATACTTGAAGCCCACGCTGATCATACTAAACCTGATTCTTTTCCAAAAAGCCCAGGACTTTCTCCGCAATCAAGCCAGCATCACTCTCCACAGCAAAATGCCCCGCATCAATCAACTTGACCTCCGCATCCGGCAAATCCTTTTTGAAAGCCCCCGCCCCTTCCGGCACAAAAATCTTGTCATTCCTCCCCCAAATCGCCAGAAGCGGAACCTGCCTCTCCCTGAAGTACTTATGGAACTCCGGATACAGCTTCACATTACTCGCATAGTCCCTAAACAGATCAATCTGGATCTCATCGTTGCCCGGGCGCTGCAGGAGCGCGTAGTCGAGGTGGTAGGATTCCGGCGCGATGGTTGAGAGGTCGCGCGTTCCCTCGACGTATTGCCAGCGTGTTGCTTCGAAGGATAGAAGGGCTCTTTTGAGAGATTCGCGCTCTTCGGGGGTGTTGTCTCCTGCCCAGAAGTTGCGAATCGGGTCCCAGAATTCGCCAAGGCCTTCTTCGTACGCGTTCCCGCTCTGTGAGATGATGGCTTGGATTGCGTGTGGTCTTTCGAGGGCTAGACGCAGGCCCGTCGGCGCGCCGTAGTCGAAGATGTAGACGATGAACTTTTTAATCTCAAGGACGTCGAGGAACTCGCCGATTGTCGAGGCGAGGCTCGCGAATGTGTATTTGAACTCTGGCGTCGAGGGGACCTCGGTGAAGCCGAAGCCTGGGAGATCCGGAGCGATCACACGGTACTTTTCGGCGAGGAGGGGAATGAGCTTGCGGTACTGGTGGGAGGAGGAGGGGAAGCCGTGCAGCAGGAGGATGACCGGACGGTCTTTGTCGCCTTGTTCGCGGTAGAAGATGGAGATGTTGGATTTGGGGAGGGTGAGGCGTTTGGTTTGGGTGGACATGCTGACGTCTGAAGTATGATGAGCTTCTAAATTCGATATGGAGATACACTCGAGGCAAGTAGAAGAAATTGAGTAGACGAGTATCCAGGAGGGTAGGGCACATTTATATACCCCCCCACTCGGACACTCGGCCCAAAGCCATGGAATTAATCAGCCTGACAAACACATACTGACTGTTGAAAGTACCAAGCCCATGGAACATTAAACTCTCATTTGAACTGCAGTGGCGACGATGACCACCACAATTGAAACCGAGTCCGGGGGCTGCATATGCAGGCGCAATCCAGCGTTTTCTTAATCAGGCCTAGTGGCATGAGACGGGCCTAGCCGGAAATAGAAAGCGCTGGGGTTGTGGCTGCAGATGTCAAACATGCCGATCCATGGATCGTGTGGAGGGTGATTTTTATGACGACGTGAAGCCTCTAGACATATTCTGGTCGTTGTACCGGTCGATGTGAGGAGGGGAGGGGGCGGGATTGTAAACCGGTGGAAAGGCATAAAAATCACCGATGGCTCGCTCTATTCAGGGTGTTGTTCACCAAAACTTCGCGAACATTTTTGTTTGTCTTTTCCACTGCGTATCATCAAGGATACTCCTCGTCAGATCTACCTTGACAGGAACAACATTCACCAAACCATCAACCGTCAACCATCCACCATCCACAATGACAACAATGAAAGCGATCGTGATCTCCAAATTCGGCGGCCCCGACGTCCTCACCATCCAGGATGTGCCGAAACCGACCGCCAAAGAAGGTCAAGTGATCATAAAAATTAAAGCCTTTGGAATCAACCACGCAGAGATGTACATGCGGCAAGGCGACTGGGCCGAATGGATGCCCATCAGCGGCATCGAGTGCGTTGGCGTCGTCGACTCGTGCCCGGGCGGCGAGTTGGCAGTAGGCACGCCCGTCGCGAGTCTAATGGGCGGGCTTGGCCGCACGATCAATGGGAGTTATGCCGAGTATACGTGCGCGAATGTGTCGACTGTTGTTCCGCTGGGGGAGTCCGGGCTGAGTTGGGCGCAACTTGCTGCGATCCCGGAGACGTATGCGACGGCGTGGACGTGTTTGTTTGGGAATCTGGATCTGAGGAGTGGGCAGAAGTTGTTGATTCGTGGGGCAACGTCTGCGCTGGGTCAGGCGGCGCTAAATCTGGCCGTTGTCAAGGGGGTACGTGTTGTTGCGACGACCAGGAAGGAGAGTCGCTTTGCGCATCTGAAGGAGCTTGGTGCCGAGCGGGCAGAACTCGAGGGGCCGAACTTGTCTGAACGTGTGACGGAGAAGTTCGACGCTGTTCTCGAGCTCATTGGAAACAGTACAATCCTTGACTCCCTGAAAATGCTCCGTCGCGGTGGTAAAATGTGCCTCGCGGGGTTCCTGGGTGGATTGGCTCCAGTTCAGGACTTTAATCCGCTTCTGCAGATGGCGAGCGGAGTGCACTTTAGCTTCTTTGGGAGTTTCGTTTTTGGACAGCCGGAGTTCCCGCTGTCGGATGTGCCCATGGACAAGATTGTGAAGATGGTTGCGGATGGGAAGTTCAAGGCGCAGCCCTCACGGGTCTTCCAGTTTGAGGAGATTCGCGAGGCGCATCGGGTGATGGAGGCGAGTGAGGCGATTGGGAAGATGGTTGTTGTTGTTGATCATTAGTTTGCAGCAGTTTCTGTAAATAGTTTCTGGTCCAAAGAATCCAAAGACTGCCCCAATGCTTCGGAGCTCCAGAGAAAGTCCAATATCATATTTTTATATTCCTGAAATGTCGGTATCTGCAGCACGTCCAGTACCTGCGACAACTGCCCTGTAAACCAGTCCCTCAGTTCTTGGTGTAGACACGATGCACTCGCACCAACCGTCAGAGTCCAGACAAGATAAAAATTCGTAGACTCTATGTAAACCGGGAGATCAACGCCCTGTAGAAGTAACTGTAGTTTGGATCCATACAACTGACCCGGAATCGTATCGACACCGAAAAGACCCCGCAGTTCCGTCAGGTAGATAATAGCGGCAAGGCGGAAGCATTCTATCAACTGGTCGTATAAACCGTCGTAGACCATAGCACGGGGTTGAGATAGAAGAGCGTGAAGGAGTGGCGATATGTGGAAGCCGGGGAAGATAATATCGGTCCACAAGGCCCTTATAGAAAGCTCGGACCGGATAATATCATGCAATTCAAGAATGCTATTGCGAATCTGGGAGATTGCTATTCCTGCTGTATATGCCTCATTGACTGTATGGCTGGGCTGATCAAGAACGTCAATGTTCAGTTGACTCCGAACAGAAAGAATCGCGAGCGGTTGTGGGTACCGAGGAACAATGTCTTGCAAGTAAGACCCGTTCACATCCACCCTATCAGCGTTAGATAGTAGTTACCCGAGAGTGCCAATAGACTTTACCAATAGACCATCGTCCTTAATAGAGGATTTGGATCCAACGACCGAATGCCTCCTCTACAGTCGAGGATACGGTCAAGGCCATTCATATGGACGTTGAGGAGACCTGGATCTCTGAACATATTCTAGGCCACCAATTAGAGACTAACAACCATGAATGAAACTTGTACTTACCGCATAGCACGCAAAGGCTAGAACAACAGCGATCACCTCATCCGACGTGCATGCCGTAGGGTCGGCGAGTCGCGCTTGCAGGGAGTTTGTCGCCTGGATAGAGTAGGCGTAGGAATCCGCACTGCCGCTGCCGAGGAGGAGACCCAAGTGTCTCGAAGACGCAGAGAGCATTTGAGCGAGAGCAATTGTTTCCCGCACAAGGTCTAAGAAGCCGATCTTGTTCATTGTTCGGAACATGGGGCAGGCTCCGTCATACACTTGCGCTATCAGTTGCGCTCAAGAACTGGGAGAAGGTATTCCGAGACTTGAGCAACTCACTGTGATCCCACAGCTGACGAGAGCGATGAGTCCCATTGATTGGAAACGTCCCAAAAGGATCAGATCGATAGGTGTCTAGCAGAGACGCCGGGCTTGGGCCACGCAACACTAATGACTGCTCTGGGTCGACGGCATGTAATCCAGCAGCTGTCGGTTGGAGAGACCCATCGAGCAGCGGCGTCACGTCGAGCTCGATGGTATGATTTTGACTCTCTTTGGGCTGCGTAGAGCGCCGCTTGTAGTCGACCATCGCGTGGCTTCGCACACGGCGGCGCGTTGTATCATCCCCAGCGACATTGTTCCCAGAGACGGTTATAAACTCAAAGCGTGTGCCAGTGGTCTGGCGCTTGCCTCGACTATGTTTGCCTGGCCTCATCTTTGGAATTGTTGTAGGTGGGTGAGATGGAGAAGGTCCAGCAAAGCCCGTAAGGGGAGCGTAATGATACGTGAAATACGGTAAGCCGTCCCGTGACTTGGTTAATTCTATCGCTCGGCCGCAATCTTTGGTGTCACGGGCGGTACACGAACGCGGGGAACCGTCCCTGTCAGCCAGCGCCATGAAACATCTTGGCGCGGGCCCACGATCTCTTGTCAGACTTGGCCTGGACGCTCGACCCTTTCGCTTCCATTTGCCTATGCGGTCCCTTCACTAGAACGTAAAGCCGGGAGTCGTCTTGCTCCTCGCTGGGCGCCGATCTGACCATGTCCACGCTCCTCGTTCCGATCGCTCCTGCCTTGACTTCGGCACCGCTGGGAGAGCCTCACACATCCCAATCGAAAGCTACGAAGCCTTTCAACTGCCAGCCTTGCGTGCGCAAGAAGATAAAATGTGACAGAAATCAACCAGCATGTTCTGGGTGTACAAAAGCAAAGATTCCGTGTGTTTATCTAGCTCCCTTACCACGAAAGCGAAAGCAACCTCCCCAGGACGATGTGTATGAGCGGTTGGCAAGATACGAGGGCATTCTGAGAGAAAATAACCTTCTTCCAGCTGACACTGCACTGTGTTCTCCTACCTTGGAAGAGGAGACATCCTCTAGTCCAGAGAAGAGTGGTCCCTTACCAGAAGCGCACCCGCCCGGCAAGCGGTACATTGACAGTGTCCTTCTGCTCGGCGCTGGAGAAGGGGATCTCTGCCAAGTTGACGACTCGGCCCAAGAGGCTTCCAGTGAGAATTCTCCATCCGGTTTTCTTGAATCTCTGGCGACGTACGCAATCTGTGGCACAGTTATTGGAACCGCTCGCTCACTTATCGGATCTCATCCTACCAGAGAGGAAGCTATGAAGCTCTGGAATGCGTACGTTGACAATGTCGATCCTCTGTGCAAAGTGTTACATACTCCAACCGTGAAGGAGATGCTTGACAGGGTCTCATTTGACCCAGCCACTGCTTCACAGAACGACGATTGTCTGCTCTTCGCTATTTACTACTTGGCCGTGTTCTCCATGTCAGACGATGGATGTCTTTTGAATTTCAGCCAATCAAAGAACCATCTCATGTCGAGATACCAGTCTTGCCTCTGGCAGGCCCTTCTCAATGCGTCTTGGCTAAGGAGTACCGCGATGCCAGTACTCCAGTCGTACACCCTGCTCCTCATCGCCCTCCGCACGGAGGTTGATTCGCACACGTTTTGGATTCTGACCGGAATTGCCATTCGTTTGGCACAGCGTATGGGCCTGCATCGGGATGAAGAAGCACTCCGACTACCGCCATTTGAAGCGCAAATGCGGCGGCGGCTCTTCTGGCAACTTCTCCCGCTAGATACCTTTGCCAGCCAGGCTTGCGGCGTCGGGATTTCTTTGCCGCCAAACAGCTGGGACACACAGCCTCCACTGAACGTAAACGACAGCGACATCTTTCCTGGTATGACGGAGGAGCCTGTGGAGCGAAAGGGCGCAACACAGATGATCTTTTGTCTCTCACGTTTACAGATACATGATTTCTATACGCGGAAGGGTGTAAAATCAGACAGTGCGGGTACAACACAGTCCAAAAATCCGGAAGAGGTGGAAGCGGCCATCGGGGAAGTCGAAGACTTGATCGAAACAAAGTATCTTCGGTACTGCGATATCGTGAACCCGCTCCACTTTCTCACGTTTGCAATGGTGCGATCTGCAACGAATGCCGTTCGAATACGCGCCCGGATGCCGTTGGTGCTCAAAGATACCAGCACACTCGCCGAGCGAAAGGCGCTCAGTACACTTGCCGAAAGGATCCTCGATACGCAAAGCGCCGTATACAGCAACCCATCCTTGGTGAAATTTCGATGGCAAACGCAGACATTCTTCATATGGGATGCGCTGCTTTGCGTCCTGCGCTGTCTTGCGGATCCGGGATTCTATTCCGCATCGGAGCTGACACGGACTTGGGACAAGGTGGCCGAGGTCTATTCTAATCACCCGGAACTTTTGAAAGGAACGCGAACACTTTATGTCACTATCGGCAACCTGACCTTGAAAGCATGGCGTGTAAACCCTCTACCCGGTCCTACGGCGCAGCTAGCGTTTATTGATGCGCTGCGTGCCCGGTATGAGGCAGTAGACAACACACAACCTGAAGTCAACGGCTCTGCAAATCCAAGCGGAACCCTCGATGGTCTCGCAGCTCTTGGTGACGTTTCTAACAACAGCTACTCAGATCTAAATATTGACGGCCTGGGGTCGCCGGACTGGGAGTTCTGGAATCAGTTCCAGTATGGAGAAACTTGAACAGGAGCGGAGATTTCTACACTACTGTACAGATATAAACAAGATCACCAGTCTCCACTCCATAACCGCCTATCCAGCAGCGAACCTCGAAACACCTCTTAGCCTTTCCCCAAACACCCAAAAGCCGACCGGCGCAGTCCACCCAATCGCAACCGTAACCAAAGCTAAAACGCTGGTTCCCCACGCATACCCCAGAGAGTCATACATATACGGCGCAAAAAGCGGAAACCCAAATCCGGCCAGGCTTCTCAGTACCGCACACGCCGCCAGTGCACTCGCCGCGTAAGTCTGGTAGCTATCGACAATATATGTCTGCATCCCCTGTAAGCAGGAGATCGTTCCCGCTGTGTAGATGAAAGCGCCGATATTCGGCATAATCCAGTGTGTTCGCCCAATACTCCAGGCGTACCAGAAGAGACCGATTGTGCCAAGGACAGAGCCGATAAACAGCAATGGCATTCGGAACTCGGGCGTTGCGATACCGTTGTTCCTTCTCTTCAGGGCGTGGTATATCCTGTCGATGAGTTTTAGTTGCATAACGAGGCCGACGAAAGAGCCTATCGCGATGGAGAGGTAATTCAACCCGGCTATACTGGGTGTCTCGTTATAGACCTCAGTCCAGATCTCCGGAAACGTCGCAAACATGAGATACGTCGTCCCAAAGAGGTAGGCCATGTACAGGGCCATAGCAAACACAATCGGCTGCGTTGTGAAAAGCAAGATCGGCCGGGCGAAAGCATGTAGGAGCTTGGTCATGAGGGCCTGAAGTCTCTCCTCCGTGTGCGGATTCAGGTTTCCCATCTCCTTGGCAAGACGTTCACACCGTCTGCGAAGGATCGTGCCCGGATGGCATTCGCGCAGGCATACAAAGCCGATAACCTGCACCACAACCGCCGCCGCAGACGTCGACCAAAATATCCATCGCCACGTCGAGTACTGTGCGATGAACCCACCGGCAATGGGGCCGATAACGGGTCCGAGGAGTGGACCGAGCGTGTACACGCCCATGGCCTTGCCGCGTTCTTCGGCGGTCCACATGTCGCTAGACAACGAGCAGTTGTTAGTATATTTTTCTTTAATGCCGGTGTAGTGGTTGGAACTCACCTAATAGCACCCCCTCCTATGGCCAGCGGCGCACTCCCTCCAATCCCCGCGAGGAATCTGAACGCAAACAGCTGCCTCTTCGTCTGCGCGAATCCACAGCCTAGGTTCCACGCTGTATACCACAGGTTACTCACTTGCAGCAGCCGAACACGTCCATAGAGTTCCGAGGCCGGGCCAAAGAAGATCGGTCCTATGGCGTAGGCAAGAATGAATATAGCCATAGAGAGGTAGACTTCGAAATCGCTGCGCATATCTAGTGCTTCGCCAAGGTCTTGCATTGCGGGAGCAATCATTGACGAGGAGATTGGGGAGATAAAGACGAATAGGGAGATCGTCCATGTATTCTTCCACTTTGTGCTCTTGGGCCAGTTTTTGGGGTTTTCTGGGTCGGTCTCGCTGCTCCGTGTTGCCAGGTCCGGGTCGCGGTCTTGGGGTTGCTCGAGCGCTGGTGGTTTTGATGCTTCGAGGTCGATTTTGTCTGGCGCCGGGCTGGGCCCCTGATGAGATTCCTCCTGCAAGCGCATGATGATGGTCAACGTGGTGGAGTTGCCTCAAGATGGCCAGGCAAAAAAAAAAATAAAAAAAATACATCAATGTTGGGCTGCCCTGGCCGCTTGGATGATGGATTGATATAGATTTCACCATATATCGAACAACCAATCAACGCACGAGATTTTGTTTCGGGCCCGGGGATGCGCCAAGGCCCGATGAATTGCCCAATCACGATACGTTGGTTTCGGGCTCAGGGCGCGGGCCGGTTTTCAACTATTTACTGTACGAAATTTAAGTCAGACTCGTGACTGTCGTATGGGAATGAGCAAGTCTATCCAATACATGCGTGCATACACGGATAGACTCGGGCTAGTGGGCCAGTGAGCGAGCTTGGGGGCGCGGCGTTGAATCTTCGGCCCTCGTGATATAGTAGATATACCCCCCGGCCCGGTACGTCTCAGCTATCCTGATATCGCTCTTTAGCAAGAAGCAGTATCTTATGTATCAAGTGTGAGGCATTCTGCGGGTATGTGATGGCGTATTGCTGCGCGAGGAAGCCGCCGAAACTTCCTGCGATGAGGACTATGGGTTTATCACTTGAAAAGTGGACACGGAGTGCTTCCATGTCGTCAACTAGTAGGGCGAATGTGTAGGGTCCTGTTCGTGAGCTGATGCCGTGGCCACGGAAGTCGGAGGTGTGGTCGCCGAAGCCGCGGCCACCGTGGAGGGTGATTATTAGAGGTGTGGGAGGCCAAGTCTAGCCTTTACGGGAGGCGAATTAAATGAATGGTTCCCAGCTACACAGGCCTTTGCATTCGCATAACGATATGGGAAACCCCCATGATAACAAGTGGGACAAGGAACCTATATCAAGGCACAAACTGGCGAGATACAGGAAAAAGAACAAAAACAGCAGCATTATCTCAGTTCCAGTCCTGTTGTCCGCCAAACCTGCGTGGACCGCCCACATTAACCACATTACCACCAGCACCAGTTACTACCGCCCCTAAGGAGTCTATACGTCTGTCGCGATAATATGTTAACTTTTTGGGATAAATATTTTTGCAGCTTAACCGATTTGATGAATATATGCCGTCTTCTTACCTCGCAACACACGTTGTATGCATCGTTGCGGGTAGCGACAATCACAATCATATTGGAAAAAATCAGAAAATCATTCCCTGATATACTCAAGCGGGCCGAGGGTTGTTCGCTGCCAAACTATCACGAGACGACGCTCTCACCAACAACAGGTTTACTCCTGCCCTCGCTTATCCTCAACGTGAACAACCCTCAACCCCTTCGCATCCTCATCGCGATACCCCCTCCCAATCAACCCGGCAACCATACTCGGCGCGCCCTCGCGCACCGCATCACCGGGAACATAATTCAGAACATCCTTATGATGCCCCGTAACGACAAATCCGCCTACCTCTTCCTCGGAAAGGTCAATGACGTTGAAGTCGGCCGACGGTGTCGCTACGTGCACGGGGCCCCAGACTTTGAGGATGTCGATCGCTTGAGTTTCGAGGTCGTCGGTTGTGGGATCCATGAGGATGACAATCGTGCCCTTCTCGAAGAGGACCCAGCTTTTTGTGCTTCCGGCGGAAAGGATGGAGCGCCAGGTTTCTGGGGTGCAGATTTGGTGGGCTGCGTCGTTTTGTGCCATTGGGGCTGATTTCTTCTGAATCGTCCGGAGAGGGTGGGGTGGTTGATGATCGTGGACTGACTTGAAACTGCTTGCTATATGGGTTTTCTGTATTTGTGGCTGGCTGCTGTGCAGAATCCAAGCTTTGGGACGAGGTGATGTTCGATTTCAAGAGGCTCAAACTTATGGCGGGGTGTGCTTTGGCTTTAATACGAGCAGCTGAAACAGCCGCTAAGATGATCAGGTGATTCAGAAGTAGAGGCAACAGGGATCGGCCTGGTGCCCGGCATCAACGGGGCGCCTAACTCGTATTCCAAGATTCATGGTCAAGCATAGTTTAGCACCAGTCTAAGGCGGCGAAATCTGCAGAATCGCTCGTTTCACCTGAGCACAGCTGTCAAGCGCCTCATCCTCGCGCTGGAACTCCACACAGCGTGTCTTGAACTTGGTATCTGTAAGGACCGTATTGACTCCGTCCCGGGTGGCAGCAACACTTGGTGGATCTCTTCAAGTTTATAGCAATCCCAGACCATTCGCCTCGAGCGCAGACCTCAGACTTGTTCTCTATAGAAAAGTTAGTATTTTATGGCTGGCAGTAAGGTTAGCGAGGAGACTCACAAACCGGATCGTGCGAGAACCTTGGGAACGCTATTAATCACGCCATAGAGGAACCCGCCGTACACAGCATTCGAAACGAGGACGTCGGCTTGGGGTAAAACGGCATCATAGGGCAAAAGGTCGACAACGCCTGTGTTAACCAGGACGTTACTCTCCTCCAGCATGGCCCCAGGCCATGGATGGCGACAATGCTGCTACTGTTAGGAGCGTGTGACTGACGGCGAAGGAGACTAACTTGATTTCTACAGGACCTTTGATAGGCTGATAGATTGACCGAAGCCCTAAATTCTGCGACTCTTGGTCGCATTCGTAGGTGGGCGATTGATTCCGTTTCATCTTGATTCTTGTCAAACCTACCCTAGCAACCGTTGATTGTTGCAGTCGGAGAGTGGGGAACGAAGAGGACTCATAAAAAAAGGACGAAATACAAAAAGGAAAAAGCCAGATGCGCGGCACACCCGCATATAATCAGGCTCGAGGGATGCAGTCAGGGCACTGTAGCTTATCAACAGGCAGGCTATGCAAGCGCCTCATTTTTTCAGACGAATGCGTGCGAGCGGCTGAGGGGTGTGTTGTGCCAATGACCTGGTCAACCAGATGGCTGGCAACGCGAGCACCTTTTTGCTGAACTTCTAGTTGGCGAATGAGGAAACAGATGGCCTCTCTAGCTGCATGCTAAGGCTCTTCCTCGCAGGCCCACCTTTGTCCATCGAACGAGGCCCCACTGTTCCATCCCCAACGCCTCTTCCCGGAAGAGGGCGGAGAACTTGTTACCATGTTGAATTTGTTGCCAATCGTAATCAACCGTGTCTCCATGGCTGTTGATCTGCCTGATTGCCCTTGCGGTAAATCGTTTGTGATGAACAAGCCGACATGCACCTGATCAGGTCGAGAATCGGAGTCGCCGGATTAATAAGGATGGACAAGAGACGAAATGTCAGAGTGTCACGGTTGGCAATAGGAGGCGTTGTATTTTCGGGTAAGTTTCGAAGGTGGAACAACAGGACTAGACCTCGGACTCGCGGGCAATCCCTCCTCGGGCCTTGCATGTTGGTAAGTACTTGAAGAATCATCCTAGACCGGAACATGAAAAGGATCCGTGACGGAAACCCCATCTTGTAAACCAAGGACCCTCCCGGCGGGTAGGACTGAGGGCTAGAGACTTCCGGCAGATCGTTCCCCTACCATCAGTGATTGTGGGCCATGAACTATGTGAAGGTAAGCCATTCGGTCGTCTTAACGACCCTGCTGGATTTGAAGCATATTTCTGGCCAGTAAATTATGGACTAATTAGTACTTCCAAGCTCCAGTACCTCGATCACGGCACCTAGGCCGAACTCTTCGAGACGCTGATATACGCCAACCCTGCGCAATACGAATCTCAAAACCTTGCCGATCCCTAGACTATTGAGTATCCGAGCATAGAGCCCAACTACCCTAAGCGCAATTGTAACAGTGATATACAGTGGTGGCTCAACAAGCAGCGTTATCAGGGGATGGACGTGTTGCCCGGTAGTGGAGTCGGTGATGAGTTGGCAGGCATTGTCGATGGTCTCGACGACGCTCTCGCCAAGGTCTTTTATCAAGTCTGCCAAATGTCGGTCCACGTGCTCTGCGTTCTCCGAGGTATGAGCTCGAAGGGCGGTATCACACTCCTGCAGTGCGAGTCGGGCGTCTTCGACAAGGGGCTTCAGGGTCTTGGCCACTTTTTCGGTCTCGTTCCCGCTCTTATCGTGCTTATTTGCCTATTTATGCAGCGTCAGTAAGGTAAGTCCAGCCAGGTTGAGGAGAGCAGGGATGCGTACTAGCTTCATCTGACAACGCAGTGGCTCAATCGCGTCTCGCATCTGCCGCACTATGGCATACATCCGCTCATCCTCAGGAATGAGCTCGACCTCTCCAATGACTGTCCCATTCGCATCGCGTATCCGGCGATCTCTACCAATCTCCCTCCCCACCACCGCCGTCTCACCAACCACATACGCAATCGGCACCCCCTCAGCATCCATAACATTGCCTTGCTTGTTAGCCTTCAACCCCTCAACAACCCCAAACTCCTCAGTCGTACGCTCCTCTCCCTCCTCACGAACAACATCAACCCGCCCAATCAAGTCCCCATCCTCATCAAGAATCTCCCCATCATCGTCAACGGTCTGCCCAACCAGATCATCCGCCTCCCCCTCAACAACCCGTCCAATAACCTCTCCATCATCATCGAGCACCTTCCCATTCTCAGACACGGGAAACCCATACAACTTGGCCAGCTCAAGATGATGCCTCTCCGAATCACCCACCATCAACACAGTCTCGCCACTACCATCCTCCTCAAGGTGCGCCGGGTCATTCGTAAGCCACACCTCGCGCGTCGACTCGCGCGGGAACACCTTTGACGAGCTATGGTTGCGCATCTGGACGGGACGGCGCGAATGCCCAACCTCTTTGACGGCAAGAGCAGCAGGAGCGGCAGCACCCCTCACTGCACCGCTCCTCCGGCGCAGGGGCGTCATCCTGGTTCCGGCGGCGAGATTCGCAGCCTGCGCGCCGCGAGAGCGGTATCCGGCTAGTCGTCTCTCGCGAGCTGTATCTCCATGTTTCCGACTGTGTTGGTACTCGGGGATTTCGGATTGGAAACCTTCCGAGACGACGGGGCTAGCGGGCGTTTGCTCGTCTCGGGGGGCGCGAGGGTTGCGGATTCCGGTTGGGTGGGCGAGGAGGGAGGTCATTTTCGCGGAGCTTCTTGATTATCTTCAGCTTTCCCGAGTGCGGTCAAGATTGGGATGAGAACGTTGTCTGTGTTGCTCGCTCAGGTATACTCGATGAGCGGGAGCATTGGAAATTACGAAGGGTCTCAGAGAGACGTACAAGACGCGGAGCTGGGGTGTCTAGAGTATAAGATGGCTAATGTTGTACGGTGGACCTAGCAGTGTACTCGGCGTTGAGAGTGGAGATATTGCATCATGACTCTAACTTGTACCCACCAACCAGCGCTTCCTGATGTTCGTCCCGAGATTGTGCCAGGGTCCGATAGTAAATAGCCTCGGGTTGACAACTAGAGTGGATAAGTGGTACCAGGGACAGAACAGTCATTGGGAAGAACAGAATTGTGGTTGTTCCGTTGTATGCTCTAGACCAGGGAGCCCCTTGGCTCGATCCAGATTTCGAGTGAGACCAGGGTTTGTGTGTTCATGTGAAATTCTCGGTCTAGCCATAATATTGCGTAGATCTTATCTAAGGTACCCACTACCCTGTCTGTCAACTTAATCTCAACGTGTAAGAGCTAGATCCCAAGCGCCCATTCGCCGAAAGAAACACAGTAACCAAACCCTAACTCTATCTCGATCTCACGTCCTAGACCAATTAGCTAGTGCACCTCTAACTCCATACCACAACCTACCAACCCTCCCAAAGCACAGAAGGGAGAGTAGGGAAAGTAAGGAAAAACTCACAACAAAGCCAACGTCAAATCCCCCCGAATCTTCGCCTTGAGCTCAACCTCGACATCAAGGTTAACATCAAGCCGAAGCTTCAACCCCGACGACTCCCGAGGTTCGAGATCCTGCACCTGCGACTTCTCCGAAACCTCCTGCTGCGAGATCTGCCCATTGTCCATTGTCGTCGAGACATGCCGCGATGTTGTCCCCTGGTACCGCTGCATTGCACCCGGGTCGCTTTGGACCGTGTGGTTTTCTGTTATGGAGTGTCGGCGGCGTTGGTGCGAGGGGTTTCGGGAGGGGGAAAGGGTGGTTGTTGTGTGTTCACGCGATGTACTGTATTGTTGTTGTTGCTGCTGCTGCTGCTGCTGGCCTGGGCTCGAGTCGGGGCCTGGAGAGGATGTACTGTAGACGTCATGGGTACCGTAGATATACTGCGTGTGAGGCTGGGGCTCTCTTTGAGAGCGAGGATTGTATGCCATGATGAATATTGTTCAGCTGGTAGTAGGCACTAATAATGTGACTCGGGGCATTTGGGGTATAAGGGAACCACTCTGCGTAGCTGAAGGGTTGCAGAAGACATCAGAGGCGCAGGGAATGACACAGGTAGTCCAGGCATAAAGATGACCCTCCTATGATAGCTCGACTTGGACGCCACCACACCGGAATTTCATGTGAACGGGAAGCGGGCCGTGAGCAGGCTTTGGCGTTCCAGGTTTTTATATGAGCTATTAGGTTCGCGTCCCCCCAATTAGAACAACGTTCTCTGCTGTCCGGCTCGGATTCAGAACCTCCCGAAGCCTAGAGGGCTTGGATTCCTCCTTGTGGCGTTTTCGGCGTTGTCCCCGGTCCTCCACTCAGGGTTCGCTTGGAAACCTTATTCCATCTCTACAGGGCACAAAATGTCCGAACCCTAGGGCAGGAGCACAAACCTCCTGTGGAGAACGATATCTGCAGATCGTGGGCCCTGGCGCGATAAGCTTACTCTAGACCGAACCGCTACCCACATTTGATGTCAATGGCGTTGTTGAGGTCTGTTGTCGCAGACCGATATCATACTTACCATAAGTGAGTATCCGTACAAGTTAAAAGATTACGTGCCTTCGTCAACGGATGAAACTATCGCATCTGTGCTATTGGCACAACGGACCTGCTTCCACATCCTTGTTCTCAGCACGCATTCTCCTTAGCTGTTTGTTTATTGTTTTCCCACTGCAGTCCCTTGTCCATAATGGCCGAGACGTTCGCACTGGACATGCAGGCGGCTAGGCCCCCGGAGGGTCCAACATCCATCTTCCCCACAGACAGAAAGAGGAGACCACCGAAGCTGAGACGAAAGGTTCCTCGAGAAACAACAGTGGAGATCCTACCTGACTCGGAGGGGAACTCCACTTCTCGCTCAGATCAGGCCATATACAAGCGAAGCAAGCACAGGTCGCTCTCCTCACAGTGTGAGTCCGACCACGAATACGAACACGAACGTCCCTCACCGTCGACCGGGCCCAGCTCCCCGGAAGATAATAGCCCCGGACACCAAGCTGTTGTTTTCGACTACGAGTGCGACGCGCCGGATCGCGCGGTGCAGAGACATGATCGCTATGAGCAGCGGGTTGATGGAGCTGGTGAGAATCGTGACAGCCAAGAGCTCGTTCAGGACATCAGTACCAAGGCCGTTGGGGTGGTTGGGGACAGCGCTGGAGCTATCGGTGCGACTGCGGGCAACCTGGTTGGGAGTACGCTCGCGATGTCGTCGTCCCGGCGAGACGCCAGCCAGAGAGATGAGCAACTCCGCCTGCGACTCGATTTGAATCTGGATTTGGAAATCCAGCTCAAGGCGAAGATTCATGGGGATTTGATGTTGCAGCTTCTGTATGGCCTCCCCGCTCACTTGTTTCGTTTTGTTTGTTGTCAAGGAGTGTCATCCACGGCTGACTGGTTGGTCTCTTTTTTCTCGGAAATGAATGATAGAGAGGTGTGTTTGGCGTGTATACTGTCATACTTGTTCGTGGCGGGGTAGTGGGTATCCTGTAATGGGCGGTAGAATATCCTATTACCTAGGTCGACACTATAAACATTGCGCATTAGCGAACAAAAGTTTGTTCTCAAGTATGGAGTTGAATTCTGGCTTCGACTTGGCGGACCAGGAGAAACTTGGACATTCTGGTCTCATCCGCCAAGTTCTATATGCGCAGTTGCGTGACAGGTTGCTTCTCAGCGAAAGTCGCTGTAGTATCCAACTGAGTGTGCTAAGAGGCGCTGGGCCGCGATCATCTTCGACGAGGGTGCATTCTACCGGACGACGACGACACTCCGGGGGGCGGTACACGTTCACCGGGGGCCTGAATATGAGACCCTGCACGGCGGCACTCGGGCGGGAGGAAACCGTGACACCGGGCTCATTTCACATTGACCTTGTCGCCCGCACACTAGCGAAACTTAAAATGAAAGAGGATTTCGACAATGGACTCGACGAGTGCCCCGCCTTCGGAACCAACCCCCCTCGCCCTCCACCCTCCAAGTGACGGACGCCCCTGCCCGATCCTCGCAGAGGAGGCACAAGGCCTGCCCGACCCCTACCGCTCGCGGCTAACCCACAACGCGCAGTTTGAGTGCGTTGGCTTCTACTACACCAACGCCGTCCTGGACACCCGACTGGGTGCCGGACCCTGGGCAGGTGCTGGCGTGCGCAGCTTGGTTTGATGAGATTCCGCCGCCTGTGTGGGTGGACTGGTCGGCCTGGGTTTCGTCGGTGAGTCGGAGCTTGCTGGCTAGTTCAACTTCGTCGTTGACTGCTTCGTCGAGTGGGACTTGGAATGTGGAGGTTCCACTCGAGACGGGCGCAGGAAAAGAAGGAGATGTGGGTGCTGGTGCTGATTCCGGCGAGGGGTCGGGTGCGACGACGATCCGGAGTGCGGATCTGGGGATCTGGAGTCTGTTTCGTATTCTCCACAGTGTTTTGTTTGTGTAACAGTGAAGCCAGCTCGAAAAGCCTCAGGTCGAGAGATGTTGTGCCTCGGGCATCGGCTCTCAGGGCAGTCACGGGATTGTCACATGGTGCTCTTTGTCTCTAGCCACTCAGAAGCTTAGAAGGAACCAAGCAACTTCGTCAGAATCCTCTGTTCAATGGAAAGATCTTCGGAATAGCTTCAGATTGAATGGGCAAGATCACTTGTACCTTGGGAACGGAAGACGGTTGATCCGGCTCCGGTTTGCATACAACGGGTACAAACAGTCAACCTCAACCCCTCATCTCGTCCTCACCTCAAGTCTCCCTCCTTTGGCATCTAGTCGCCGACATGCTCCCTGAATTCCTGCAGAGTAGTTACGCTCGCTACAAAGAGGACACCAATACATTTGCAACATGGCTGCTGGAGACAGCCAACCAATGTGGCTATCAACCACCGACCTTCTCTGCCACTGTTCCTGCCGCGAAGAAGGGGAAAAGTAAAGGCAAAAAGGGCGACTCCGATGATGCTGCAGATGCAGTTCTTTATAGTGTTACTACCAAAGATCTGCAAAAACTCGCCGATGTGGTCGCCGATTCCGCTCTTACGGTCCCCAGGTCCGTCCTGACGATCGCCAAACGGGCCATCAAGTTGAGAAAGGCGGTCACTTCGTGGTTCTTGGGCCAGGGCGACGCCGCGGGGAACAAGGGTCATGCGCATTTTATCACTGCGCTGGAGAAGATCTGTGAGACCCTTGAATGGAAGATCAACCAGGCCTCGGGGAAGCCGGACGCGAAGAAGTCGCCGCAGCCCCCGACTGTCGATGAGCAAAGTGACGACGCTGAGGCTGCCGCATTTCTTAACAGATTTGCTGTTCTCACGGTGGAGGAGCCTCAGGACACTGCGGCGCCGACACAACCAGCATCACCTAAATCGAAGACGATCGTCAAAGTGACGGTCGTTGAAGAGGACGATCATGAGGCGGCAGACTCATATCTCGGTCACTTGTTCTTCAAGACCTTCTGCTTGCTTCAGGACCTACATAATATGCGCAAGTTCCTCTCCATCACATGGTCCGAGTATCGGAATGGGAAAATTGATCTGATGAACGCCGCTGTCGTGACTGACAGTGCATTGCGACTCGCCCGCGATCTTGTCAAAGACTTGGAGGCCGACTGGCGCACTTGCCTTACGATTGAAGGTGACAACAATGTCCAGAATCTGGTTTTCAATCTTGCTGTTATGAACCGTGGTAGTTCTGAAGCTCCATCGACAGAGATTGGCTTGCCATACAACAAGGACATGGCTGATGTCGCCGAATGGTGCTACGTGCCAACCATGGCCCTCCTCGAGTCATTCGCAGCCGTTCTCCAGGACAATCATCTGCCAGTCTTTAAAAAGGGTCATTTCGGCTCCTACGATCCGAAAGCGGACAGAGAGCGTATGCCTCTGGGTGAGAGATTCAACGAGGACAAAATGATCCTCATGTCGATCCTGCCCGAGTTCTGCATGCTGGATGCATTCAAGGTCCAGATGCCGGTGGAAGATGTACTAACGCGTGGCCTTGCGGAATTCGCCAAAACCAAGCGCGTGACTCTATGGCTTTGCTTTGCGTCCCAGATCTTCCTTGACGTTCACCATACCATGCGACACAGCACCCTGGGTGCATTTGCGGACCTTCGGATGTCGGGACTTCGCATCATGAAGAGTATCAAGGAGTACCAGCAACTGTCCAGAACCCACCCGCCGCCCACGTTCTGGCCCGAGGAGGGTGACAGGGAGATTCAAGGTATAAGCAACGCTGTCGAGTCATGGATCATACAGGATCTGTTCCTTGATCTCCGGACACGGTCCGGACTCGACAGAGTTGGGCCCCAGCCGGAAAAGCACGCACTCCTCTCACAGCACCCTATCCTTTGCGGCTTATTCCTCTTTAACCTCAACCTCCGCATGCAGTTTGTCGGCCAGCAGCTCGTCACGCAATGGTACGACGTCCAACAATTGGCCTTTTTGTACAACCTCGTCGTAAAGTCCTCCCCAGTGCACAAGGACCTACAATGGCCCGATATGGACGCGTTTATCAAAATCCACGGGGAATCTCACATCTTCATCGGCTCGCGGCCCACAAACGCCGCGGAATCGCTGCAGCGCCTCGAGCTGGCCACGGGCATCTCCTCCGCGACAAACTTTGCCCGCGACTCTCGAAACAAATCCGAATGGCACAAGCCCAACGGCAAGGACGCGCGCGTCCTCACGCCCACGAGCGCAGTCGCGAACCTGTTTTTCGAGCAGTACGTCAGCGGCCCCGATCCTTTCGCAGGCGAGGCAGCCGGACTCGCAGGCTTCGACACGATCCTCGACCAACTCTCGCAGCAGAAATCGAAACTGGAATCATCCACACTCACCAAGAAACAGAAACAGCGCCAGCAGCAGCTTCAGAAACGACCAAATCCAGAACTCAGCATCGCGCGCCACTGGTCTCACACGCACAACATCGACACGCTACACCTCCTCGCCTTCCTCAAGACGAAACTCTTTGAGGAAGAGCCGGTCATCTTGTACAATTATTTCGGGATGCACAAGCGCGCCGTCGAGTTACTGCGCCTCATCCGCGATAAGGAACACCATAAATTCGCGCAGTATTTCACTGCAGGATATATGCCCGATGACTCGTTCATCTCGAATATCGTCATCCTCATCCATCATGTTGCGCGCGGGTCCGCGCAGAATGCGCGCGCCATGGGACTCGGGTCACGTGGGGACAATGAGATCTGTAGTCGGATTGTGGTCAGCGCTGCCGATGTGATGCGCGGGTACCTGGCGAAGAATGGGGCGATGGCGTGCAAGGAGCTCCGGGTGTTTTGCAAGAATAAAAAGGCGATAGTGCCAGATGGTGGAGATGATTATCGGGCCAAGGAGGACGCCGACCAGCTCGTGTATTCTTGGTTGAGTCTGGAGGATGTTTTGGGTCCCAAGGGTGTTGCTTCGCTCCAGACTGGGATTCCCATTGCGTGAGCTAATCTTATTGCGATGAGAATTAAATAAAGATCAGTCACTTTGGAGCCTGGATCTAGGACCTAGAGGTCTTTAGTAGTAATCGCCTCATTTGCTTCTGGCTGGCCGACATGCTGAGGTAAAGAAAGTATGGAATTTGGGAGTGGAGAAGGGCCCTACACGGAAGGACAAAATCCTCCGTCTTCGAGTTCAATCTACTAGAACATATACCCAAGAATGTGAAATAGGATCATAATCCCACTCGAAAGACCCAACGTAAAATGTAAACTACATTCACAGGGCTAGCCAGGTAATCCACATCACACTTGGGAAACTCATGGTCTGCGTATAATACACATGTAGAAGAATATCTAGTATAGCAAACATCGCCCTATAAGTAGATGGACACTCTAAAACATAGCAGCAACAACCGCAAAAACCACACTAGCACCAATCAAACCCTTCGCCCCAAAAACCCTCGCCGCAGCACCCGTAGGAGTCGCATCCGCACCCGTCTCAGACGCACTCTCAGAGGGAGAGGGAGTCTCGGACGCCTGCGCAGCCCCACTAGTCGAAGCTTCCGCGGCCGACGTCGCAGCCGAGGTGGAAGTAACAGTCGTCGACACATCGGCCTCAGTAACGGATCCCGCGGTGATGGTCACGGGCAAGAGATCCACGGTCGTTGTTGTGGTTGACACACCAGGGAAGTTTGCGTCGGGGCCGCCGGCGCTTTCTGTGCAGGTTGCTTTGGAGTTTTTGACTGTGCAGATGGCGGTGTATTGGCTGCAACAGATATTAATTTCTACCACAGGGAGTGGATAGGGGAATGCGGGGTGGGTAGTGGGGAATAGGGAATGGGGACGTACAAAGCAGGCCCGTCGTCGAAAATCCACGAGGTAACGTCCTTGCCCGCGACGAGGGTCATCCCGGGACCCATGCCGCAGTCGTTGCCGTCTGTTCCGGGCGGGCAGTTTATGCTGTAGGTTGTTGCGGTTTGGTCCTGTCGTTCCCCTGTTAGCAACACAATTTATTGCATGGGGGGAACTGTGCCGATCAACCCACATTCCCAACGATCGACGCAGCAAGCGGCTGCTCATCGGCACCAAAGATGAACATGGAGGTTACCGTGCTCTCGGCGTAAGCGACCGAGGCGAGAGCCGGGATAAGGAGCGACGAGAACATCATTTTGGCTGTAAATGAGTGACTTTTGTTGAAAGTTGAGAGAAGACGATGATGAAGACAGATGGAAAGAAGTTAAGAATGAGAAACAGAAAAAAAAAAAAATGTTGGGGAAAACGCGAGAATCCCTGTCAAGGGGGAAAGCTTCAATTAAAAGCCCGCGGTTCAGGGTCTAGGCCCCTGAAGCTAATCTTAGATCTGGGGTTTCATTGGTGGTGAACTGCGAAGCGTGGCAATTTGTGGGGCTGTTGTTTCGCCGCATGGCTCCGAAATGTTCTTCCGGACCACGAGGTCGGGACAAGCCGACTTTGCCCCTCAAAAAAACAAAGGCAAGATTGTTGGTGTTGTTGTGACACAGGCAGATAAGAAACACCTCCGGCGGTACCCGGAATGGTACTGTTTATACTAAGAATGTTGAGCTCGCCATAACCAAACTAGGTACTATGCTCGGCATTATGCTCGATTATATATATTGGTGGCGCTTAATACTGACCAAAAACAATATCCTCTTACAAAGGTCTGAGGCCCATTCTTTACAGAGAGTGACTGGTGTCAATCAAAATACCCCCAGCGAGCCACGTCGGTGAATATCTAGTGGAGAGAGCTCTGAAGTTCAAGACATCCGTTGACCAAACCAAGAATATGACTTGTGGTTGACAAAAGAACATAACAAGCCTAAATAAAACCACGACTAGGAGTGTGAAATGTAGATAGTGAAGTACTTGCAGATTGTAACAGTACTGGATTGTACTTGCATAATAACTAGTGTACCAACCACTCGATGACCCAACGCGTCAACTACCCTGTGTCTCGGTTGTGCTGTAAGGGATCAACAAACAGGAAAGAAAAAGAAGCATCATGGTACGTGGTCAACCAAAAACGGCCCACTCGTCTCCCATCCTACTAGAGTAAGAAAGACGGATCACAAGCCATGCTTCTGTTCGAGCCTCTTCTCTGCATTCTCCCAGCCGCGAATCCATTCCACCAGGTGTTCCTCGCCAAGCCGTTCCTTCGACGCGGACTCCCGACGGTCATTGAGTAAGAGCAGCAGGGTGCGGTTGAGGACCTTTAACTGAGTGGCGACGGAATTTTCCTGCAGGATTGCGTCGTGTCGGTTTTGCAACTCTTTGCCAAAGTCTTCGGCGGCGGCAAGGGCCTCGAAATCTGGGTTCATTGCTTGGAGACGGCTGTATAGCGAGCGGAAAGGTTGAGGCAGTGGTTCACAGTCTTCTTCCTTGTCGACACATCGCATACAGTCCTCGCTTGGATCATCAAAGACACAATAGTTGGGTCGAATCACTCCATCATTGCATTCTTGGAATGCTCTCTTGGCACACTCGATGCACGGGATCTAATATAGAAGATTTACCTCGTTAGAGGTGAGAATGATTAAGCTGTGGTGAAGGAGCATTTACATCGGCGGACGCAGAAGAAGATTTGGCAACGGATACCGAAGAGGTACTAGGTTCTTCAAGGGCAGACTGCGTGCGAATCTAAATTAGTTTCGAGTGTCACCGCTGGCTTTTCGAAGCCCGTTTCCTTACCGATGACGATGAAGCAGTTATTGGCAAATCATGATCGCGAGGGAAGGAGGGAGCGTCGGGCTGGTCGCGCGGCGGGGAAACTGAATCCTAGGTCACAATCAGTACAAGGCGATCTTCAAGTCAACAGCTGGGTTTACTGACAGATGGGGAAGGTGAAGCTTTCCTGGCGTCTTTCTCTTTGGCGACAGGTCGGCGTTTCTTGGTGTTGCCCGTCGGAGACGCTGCACCAAGAGGACGCTTTTTAGACATCGCGTGGTCAATAATGGGAGTGCGTAGGTACAGGACGGTGAAAGGGAAGAAGGAATGAGATTAGGCCGCTCTGTTGGCCCCAGTGTCCACGGTCAGGACCATGGAGATGGATGGTGTTGGTAGGTAGGGTGGAGGGAGGATGGAGCGGGAGGTAAGAAGAGGAACCGCACGTAGTGGGAGAAATTTGAATATTAGGGAGTCCAAGTTGGCACAAATACCCATTTTCTTTCTTCAGTCATACCCTTTGAGAATAGCCAGCAACGTAGCACGTCATGATCTTTCATAAACATCATAGGCCCAAAGAAACGCACGTGTTGGCCGTGATCTATTGGTACTCCAAGATAATACAGACACCATACACTAGGGAATTGTAGTTTCAACAAGCATAGTTGACCTAAGCCAACTCTATTTTTTGAATATGGAGCTGTTCATCGGGAAAACCTACTACATTACAAAACAAGTTGTCCTCGGGGCATTCTTGTCTGGAGGAAAGTTTGGGCTCTGGTATCCCGATCTTGATTATTCCTTATCCTGTTGCGGAACTAAGGCACACCCAAAGAGAGAAGAACTGGAAGTAAGGCGAAAGTCAGGTAAAGATGTGCAGAAAAGTAGAGAAGCTCAAAGCCGCTCCAGCACTTAGCAGCAGATCATAGACAACCCCCTTCCTATGATGTTATTTGGCAGGACTTTTGATACGAAGAGCAAGCCTCTCTAGCTCAAGATAATGATATTCAGGTCTGGATGACTCGCAAGCTAATCCTGTTCTCTCACGACAGATAGGAAGAGGATTCCGCTGACACCAAATCATCATGTCGCTAGCCCTCATTCATACTTTCCATCCTCTGTCTCATCCCACGCAGAAGAAAAGTCCTCCAGATATCCAAGGTCCAAAGGTTCTTTAGAGTTACTTTCCCGGAGCTCATTAACCACGCGGAATAAGTTGCGGTTGATGTTCCGTAACTCAGTTAGCTTGGCGTCAGTCCGGTCAAGAACTTTCCATACCGACTTCAACCTCGCCGAAAGGGCTTGAGTGGCTTTGAGCGCTTTTCGGCCTGGCTTCATCTTCTGTATCTCGGCGGCAGTTGCACGAGCAGGCCAAGTTAGGTGAGTGCAAGGGAGGTTGAGGCGTGTACACTCGGAGCATGGTTCCTCTTCATCGGAGTAGAGGCATTTGAGTGGGCCGATAATCTCCCCGCCGGGACCCTCGGAGAAGAGTTTCTGGGCGCATTCTGAGCAGGGAAGCTAGCAAAAGAAAAAGCATTAGTACAATACTCACACGGAGTGCTATGCAACGCGAGGGCATTCACAGGGTCTTGAGGAGTATTGGTGTCTTCAGGGGCATTATCGTCTGGAAGATCCTGAAAGACAGCTCGGTTAGTACAAAGGAAGTTTCAGCCAACAGTTCGTGACAAACATACGGAAAAGCCGGGTGCCAACGGGGACGGGGGTGCAGCAGTTGAGGCCTGTATCATGATTAGTCGAATGTCTTTGTGACTAGGTCCAGGTTGGCTCAAGCTTACAGATGGAGAAGCCTCAGCTTCACGCTTGATCGCCACTTCATGAACCTTGTCCTCAATGGAAGGTGTAAGTCGCTGTTTCTTGATCTCGGGCGAGGGCATCCCGCCGTCGGAGCCGGAACGCTTGTTGGGCATGTTGGGCTTGTCCGTAGACAAGAGTGACTCAGAGATTGGCTGTTTCCGGGGCGCAAACCGTCGTGGACAGGAGGTTGGGGATGCTCGATGTGTTAACCAGCGAGGACTTGGAAGTTGGCAGATGATAGAAATGCTGACACCGATCGCCGGTGTCAGAATTGGCCAGGCTGGTGAATGTGTTACTGATCCAGTTTGTATCGGCAACGCGTTCAACGTGAATGCTGACATCAGCGCTGATTGTCTTTGATGGCACCGTGGAATTGGATCCCTTGGACCGGCTTTATTTTGGACCTAGTCTTAAACATTCTGGTTCCTGCGGCCCTTTCGTACCTATCTATCTAGCGAGTCTCGACCGCCAAAATGAGTACCTATCTGGTAACACTTTGCCTCAAACATCACACTTCGGTCACACAGGAAAGGTAGCAAGACGGTTCTACTGAACGAAAAGCCTATGCGAATAATCATAGTCTGCTTGAGATAATCTCGAACGATGGTCCAGATATAGCCAAGTGATATCAAAACCGCTGGGAGAGCCTCCTGCATCAAGGCAAGGGAACTGCCAGCAACAAAGGAAAGTCTCCACAAGCCCGAGCTATTTCTCACATGGCACAGTCAGCCAAATCCCACCGAAGACGCGCCGCCTCTCTCCTTCGCATCATCTCCGCCCCAACACCCACAACCGCAACGGCACAGCCTTGGACCTCCTTTTCGGCTTCTTTTCCTCCTTCTTCTCCTCCTCCTCCTCGTCCGTCGAGTCCCAATAAAACCCAATATACGTATTCTCAAGCTCATACACAAACTTCCCCGAAGCCTTCCACCCTCTCTAAATCGGCGGCATTCGCGAGATTTTGAGGGCTTCGCGATGGGCTGCGGGTGGTAGCGGAGAGCATCCGAGGTTGTGCTTTTTGCACTTTTCGCAACCTTTCGGGGTAGAGATGCAGTGGTGTAGACCGGAGATTTCGCCGTTTGGGGGTTTGAGGGTGAAGATGTTCATTGCGCATTGGAAGCAGGGGACCTATTCCGCGGTTGGCGGGATATTCGCTAGGATGTGAAGTTGAGATATGTCAGGGGAGGGATCACGACTCACAGGTGGATGAGGAGCAGAAGTGCGGAATCTCTCTATATGAGGATCTATGTTCGAGGAAGAAGTTGTTGTCTATCAGATTCAGTACACACCCTCTTTCTGATGCCGAGCTGATAACACTTACAGGCGTTGTTGTGGACGCTTCGTCGCTAACCTCTTCCTCCTCCTCTACGCGCGGCTCAGGTATCGGGATGGGTTCACCTTGCTTGTTATTTGCTCTTGTGAACGGGGTTACCGGGCCGGCTCGAGTGCGTTTCGTGGGCATGGTGTTGGTTAGGTAAGGCAAGAACTGTCGGATCACCTGGTACTATCGCTGAAGAGGAGGTGTGTTGCGGTCAGAGCGTCACAGCCGCAGTGGAAATGACTTTGGAAAATGGGAGACTTACACCCATCGTGGTGAAAGAAACCCGTCACTGAGAGATCCTTTCATCATTGACTGCCACGGCGAAGCGCATTGCACAACATCGCCTTCAAGACAATGACACCGGCCAAGTGAAGTCCCACAATAAACACAGTGTGAGTCTCTGGCATAAGGTGGACGATTTCCATGTACATGCTGCTAAACCCTACCAAATTGTGTCTCATGGAGAACTTTTCCGATACAGGAGAGAAGGGCACTGGGGAACAGCGAAAACCGGTTCAATTCTCGAAAATACTATCAGGGGCTCTTTTGAGAACTGAGGCATCTTCCTTGCGCCTCTACTTGCTCTGGTATGACCCGCTCGCTCCTCGCCGATATTGATAGCCCCGATACACAGGGTAAAAGTGCGTTGAACCCGCCATAGCAGCAGTCGCGCCTTCCCAATTCGATTATGGCCCAACATACCCTGAACCGAAGGCATGACCCAGCCATTGCCAGCCATACCTGCGTCATGGAATGGTGGTGCCTTCCTAAAATAGTGAGGCCGAAAACAAGCCGAGGAAGGAGCGATGGAGGGACCATAGCAACCGTTGCATCTTCCTTGTTCGGGTCATAACCGGCTGAACTTCCTGTCTCGAACAGGAGGAACGACGCGGCCATTGCCAACCGTACCTGCCTCGCATGGTGGCGCGTTCTGATTCTTATGATACCATAGGTTCCGAACGTGCTTTCCTTGTCACTGGGTGGATGGGCCGCGACGAGTCGAAGATGGCATCCGGCTTTTTATCGACCCAGGATAATTTATATCTGTCCACGGTTGCGGTAGATGGCCACTTCGGTGCCCGCCGTAATCGATGACGGTCTCCATAGCTGGTTAGAGCTAGGGCGCCCAGCGAGGAGCTACGCGGCCGAATGGCAGGAGATCTTTGCTTGACTGTGAGGCAGCAGGTGAATTGATCATGTATTATCTCCCTATCGTGACACATGCTAAGTTTCTCTACATTGTACTCACATGCAAACCTTCAAACTGTCCTATACCCCATTATTCACAGCAAGATCATCGCCTCCTGCCCGGTCTATACCGCCGCCTCTCCCCCTCATACCCCCGATCCTCCTCATAACCCTCCTCCTGCTCCTCCTCAGAAACATCCTCGGACGGATATCCCTGCTCGCCAGCAGCATCCTCCTCGGGATACTCCTCGCCATCAGTATAATCATCCTCGGCAACAGACGCGCGATCCGGGGTCCGCGGATTCGTACTCCAGCCTGAGTACCCCGAGTCATCTCTCCGTCTGACGGGCGCGTTCGGGCGGAGGTTCGCTCCGAGAGGTGAGCCTCGCGCCGGCGGAGCATCGCTGACCTGTGGCGTTCGTCGAGGTCTAGGGGTCCCCGACTGTCTTGTAGACTCTCGCGACGGCGGTCCCTCTCGGGATGTCGGAGGCTGATACTTCTTTCTCGGCCCTGGACGACGACTAGGCGGGTTCTGCTGCGCCTGGCGCCGCGGAGGCTGGCTGTATCCGCTTCCACGACTGGATCCTGCGCTTGGATGATACACGTTTCCGCCCTCCCAGGTATGGTCGTCTGCGCGAAGCACGAGTGTGCGAGCCTGGTCGCCGGGTGTACTACCCATGGTGTCATACAGGTACAAATCGAACTTTTCGATCGTCTCTGCGACGGTGCTGAACTGCTCATAGTTCAGCGTGAGCGGGCGCTGAAGCTGGTTCTCATCCTGCTCGACACCCTCGACATCACTCGCAGCATCCTCATCGTCTTGGTCATCAAAATCCTCATCATTCTCATCATCCCAATCCTCCAAAGAAGTCTTATTCATATCAAACTGCGCCAGCGAATGCGCTATCTGAAACGCGTTGCGGATCTGCCGTCCATTCCATCTCTCATGCGGTTTATGGCTTCGATAATGCCATTTGGCGAAATCGAGGATCCCCCACTCGTCGATGAATAACGGTGGGCGGCCCTTGGTTAGGTTGCGCGCTTCTTTCTCCTTTTCGATTTCGCGAACGCGGTTGATGTTTACTTTGAAGATTGCGAGGGTTTGTTTCTCGCTTAGCGGTGGGTAGTACAGGCTAACGTGGATGCGGGATTTGAAGGCTTCGTCCAGGGTCCCGACGCGGTTTGTTGTTAGGAAGAGGATACCGCTGTAGTATTCGAGGACGCGAAGGAAGACTAAGCGTCGTCAGTAAGGGCAGTAAAGCTTGTAGAGGGGTACTAACCTGATACCAGCGCATTGCGCTTTAGATCGCTGAGTTCCCGACGAGACAAGAAGACATCGGCCTCATCGAGCAACAGCACACAGTCCCACAAATGAGCAAGACGGAAGATATCCCGCAGATTTGTTTCGACCTCACCAGGCGTAAACCCCAAATCGCCGCAAGTGATGGTAAACAGCGGCTTCTTGTGTGCCTGCGCCACGGCCTCTGCAGTAGTCGTCTTACCAACACCAGGAACACCATGCAGGAGAACAATAAGGCCCGAGCCCTTTCCTTTGATCAGATCCTGATTCATCCCGATACTCGCCGGCTGCTTTTGAAGGTCCTTCTTCCGAAAGTGTGATTTCACCAGCGACTTGACCATACGTTTGTGGCTCTTGTCAATCTGCAGGTCTTTGAAAGCGTTTTGGTGCACGGGGACTTCCTTCAGGGACTCAATGTCGACCATGAAGAACCGTCGCTCGCGAAACGCGTACGCGATAACCCGTCTCGGCAAAATCGCAAGATCATCGCCGTCAATGCTCGTCGCGCCGCCGTCGGCTTCCCACGCCTGCATGAATTTGCTCTCCTTGCGATGGCGCGTCTTGAGGAGCTCACCGAACCATTCGTCGGGCTGGATATTCTCTCGGAACTCGCCGAGGAGTTCCGATCGTGCTGAATCGCTCCACTGCTTGATCGGGTGGTTGTCGGTACCCTTTGGCCAGCCCTCGTCGTCGAACCGCGCAAGTGGCTCAAAGTGGGGAGGGGTCAGCGTTGCATCCGCCTTGTACCCCTCGACAAAGTCGACGATCACCTCGCTGTCAATGTGTTCGGAGATGACGGGTGGCCTGTTTTCGGCGTCCCCCATGGGCCCGTGAGTGAGCGTCCAACCGTCGTAGTAAAGATGCTTCTTCTTGATCAGGTCGCGGAACTGTTCGCCCTGGGCAAGGAACTTGGCTTTGAGTTTGTCGGCGTCTTTGGCGAAGCGGAGTGGGTAGACGGGGAGAGAGGTGATGTCCTTTTCTCCCTCGTAATCGCGGATCCGGAACTCGTGTTTGACAGGGCCGTAAAAGGACCCGTCGTAGTCGATGTAGTAGGCAAACAGGTGGAAGAATCGCTTGCTGTTGTTGGATACATCGTCCGGGTCGCCGTCGCGGACTTTGTCGCGTACCAGGGAGTACAGTCTCCAGACGTTTTGGTACATTTTGATACCAGAGCCGGAGCCTATCGTGGTATCGGAAGCCTTGGTCGCGTCTGAGCTCTGCGACGAGTCCGCAGTTGGTGGAACATAGAGAAGCTCGCCTTGCTGGAATGTCATCCACAAGTCCGACCAGCGAACCTTGCGGTGGTTGGTGCCAGAAGCGCGATTCCACATGGGCACGACTTCTGCTTCGACAAACTCGACATATTTGCGCAGGTGCCTGAGTGCAGTGACTGAATCCGCGATAGGCCCATTGACGGCGTCGTGAGGGTCCATACCGGTGGTTTTCTCGTCTGCGGGTTCAGAGCCAGGCTCACTGCGCAGGTCATCTTCAGCGCCAATTTCGTGCTCCTTGGCGACGTCTCCCTCCTGTGCTGATTGGGGTTCATTTTCTCCATCCTCACCCTTGGCCTCGATTGCAGCCCACTTTTCCTCTAGAATCGCAAGACACGCCTTCATCTGTGGGAGCAGATAATAAAACGCGCGAAACGGGCGGAAGAAGGCCTTGGCCGTCTCGAATGACCACAAATCACTGTGCCCCGAAAGGCGCGAGAGAAGAAGCATCAGCGGCGCCGACTGAATCCGCACACGATGCGCCCACGTCTGATCCGGATCCGTACTCGATTTCAACCAAGTCGCCTCGCGCCTTCTCTTGGATCCCCTTCGATGCTCGTGGAGAACTTCCTGGGCTAGATGCTCATGACCCCGCAGGACCTCGATTATCTCCAACCCCTCATCCTCGCCGTACCGATTCCGCCAGTGCTCATAATCGACCCAGCGCACCTCTGCAACTTTTGGTTTCATGGACCATTTATACGCCCAGGAATCCTCGTCGGGCATGGGGTCGGGTTCCCCCCATGGCTCCGGACCATTGGGCTCGGGGTTCGGTGTCTGCACGGGGAGGTCGAATGGATTGCCTTGGTTGGTAGGGCCCGGTGGTGGTAATGTGGGTGGCGGAGAATAATCGCGCGGGATGCGGGCGCCCGGTGGGAAATTGCTCGGTGGTGGAGGGTCCATGTTGGGATGTGGGGGTAAGGGCATGGATTTATCGTAGTACTCTACGGGGACTGGCGCGTATGGAGCGGCCATGATTCCTTGGGTCGGGAACCTGCGGTTCACATTGGCACTGGAGTTGGTCAAGAGAGAGCTTTGGAGAGCGTCTTGGTCAGATGGCGAACACGAGCCATTTATTCAACACTGGGCACTGGCAGGAGCGGCCCGCCTCCGAACCAAACGCCAGTAGTAGTGGGGGCAGAGCCCAGAGCCTCCCCAGCCTCGCTCCATCCAGGTGTATCAACCACGATTCCTTCGCTGCAACAGTCGGCCGGCCGTTCCATCCACTGAAGCCGATCCACAAATCACGGCTGCCGAAACGGGGTCTTTTCCGACCCTACACCGTAAAAAGGCGCTTCAACCGCTGCAGAACATGTTTGATAGTGTTGAGAACCTTGCAACATGCGACAGGCAAGGAACTGCTGCATGGACTACTCCAGCCGCAGTGCAGCACCACCAATCATTACGCGCCGCGTACATGAGCTGAAAACTGCGAGCTCCACAGTGCTATTATTCCTGCCACTCATACTGCTATTATTTTTGGCATTAATATTCGGACCCCAAGCCGAGCCATGAGGCTGTGTCCAGTGCCTCCGCCCCCTCTAGCCTCTTGGCCGGGGCTGGCCTCTCGCCGACCGATGTGATGCCACTCTACCCCGCCAGTCTCGAGAGCTCTACATTTTGAAGAGCTATCTATCTCAAACCCAGGTTTCTGGATAATTTCGACTTCAAGAATCTCATCTTCTCATACTTGATCAGCCTCGATCTTTATTCAGATGGCGCTTGCCGACCGTCCAGGCGAGCTGGACTGGACCGGTCCGGGCCCCAAAGAACTCGTCCGAGCCGCAACGTTCATCAGCGAAGAAGGCCAGGACATCCACGATGGCCTTGGCGGTTCATCACAGTTTGACCTCGAGCGCGCTGCTTTCGTACACTTCCGACCGTATTTGTGAGTCCCCTCCCTGCGTCTCACTCCCGCTACGCCATTGCTAACCTCGCTCCAGACAACTAGAACAAGAATTGCGCCTCTGCCTACCGACAACCCTGCGCATCGAGGCAGAAGAGACTACAAGCTGGGAAGATATGCTTGAACAGGTCCAGAAGATGGAGAGGACGTATCGCGGTCGGAAGAGCGGCTTCTGGCACTCGATCTGGCACAAGGCTGGCGAGAACAGGGGTGAGATTGAGGGGTGGGTTGTCCTTATTCCGGATACGTGTGGGCTTGCTGTTGTAAAGGTGGGATTGGCGGTTGTGTTTAAGGTTAGTATGCGTTTTCCTTTTGCCATGTTCAGTCGATGACAAGTCACTGACTATGACCAGCTAGCGGAGCATTCTGCAGAGAAATGCAGAAAGATCTCGGATACCTTTGAGGCGCTGCGAGACGTGCTCGACGGCGTGGACCCAAAACGTACAAGTTTCAGCACGAACAAGAAGGTTAGAGAAAGTGGTGACCAGCTGTATCAGGGTATAGTGGACGTCATCAGGGACATGATCGTGCTGCTGTCGCCAGAGAAACCTGAAAGGCCGGATGAAGATGGCACGACGAAGAGACGATGTGAGTCCGGAACTTACTTGTTAAAGAGTCGCGTGCTAGGTGCTAACTATGTTTGAGTCAACCTCATCAAACGACGGCCAAAACGTCCAGACCCCGAAGAGATCCTTCAACGATTACAGCAGCAAATCAAAGACTTCCAGCGTGCGCTCGGCATTGCGCGAGACAAGGCCATCGAAAACACCGAAGCCATGACGCAGGCTAACGGAGCGCAAACCTACTTAGCTCGACGGGATTTGAAAGTTACCAAAGACAATACAGAAGGGTTGAAAACAAGTATGAAGGAGCATGGTGGTAAGCTCACCAAAATGGATGGCCGTTTGGGCGAGATGCATAGGGACGTGGGACATATTGCCTCACATGGCAACAAGGCTGCGAAAGAGATGAGGAGGATGAGAGAGAATACTAAGAGGACGGATCAACGAATTGCGAATATCGAAAACATGGTATCCAGGGCTCTAGGGCAGAGGAATGCGATCGCTGAACGGGAGATGGCCCTACAGGATGACCAGCTAGAAAGTAGGAATGGAGTGCTAGCCCTGCTTATGGAGCAGCAAAGTACGTCAACCACTATGTGCACTGTGCTCAGTTTGCTAATATTATATTCTCAGGGAACATCGCCATACTACAGCAACGCCTCTCTCGGCAGCAGAAGCGCGGGGCAGTCGTCAGCCGGGACCGATTCTGTCAGATCCTGGCACAACCACGCTGGATGGATGGAGAGCCCTCAGACTTAGAACACATGTTCCAACATCCGAACACCGATCTAGAACAAGCGCTTCTACAGAAAGGCAGATTCAAGCCAAGCGTCCAAGGCCAGGTCCAATCCCTTCTACGACACAAGCGACTCCCCGAATGGCTGAACCCTCACGCTCCCGACCTGCTCCTCGTCGACGCCAACCTCCGCTCGGGCGGGCTTGAGCGTCTCTCAGCCGTATCAGTCTTCTGCGCAACGTTCATCACCGGGATGATCAAAGTCCGACCAGAAGACGTCATCGTCCACTTCTTCTGCGGCCAGCACCTCGCCCCACGAGACCCCTGGAACGGCCCCAACGGCCTCGTCCGCTCCCTCATCATGCAACTACTCATGAACCTCGTCGACATGCAGCGCCTGAGCTTGGATTTCATTGACGACCGCGGTTTTCTCTCCGAGCTCGAGGACCACGACCTCCCCGCCCTCTGCGACGCACTCTACTACATCGTCTCGCAGTTCCCAGCAGATACAATGGTCTACGTCATAATCGACCATATCTCGGCCTTTGACACGGAATCCCTCTTCGCGGATCTAACACTCGTCCTAGAATATCTACGGGACATGGTGGAAGACGCGAACCTCGTTCCGGTCTTCAAGGTCCTCCTGACGAATCCGATGCAGAGTACCCGGCGGATGAAGGAGCTGTCGATGTTTGATGAACAGTATCGGATTGTCACGTTGTCGCCTATGAACTCTGTCCCACTGCAGATTAATAGTTTGGCTGTTGAGAATCAGCTTCTGAGGCCTGCGACGCCGACGCCGTCGTTGTCGAGCGGGGGGAGGTCGAGGGCTGGGAGTACGACCAGCTTTTAGAGCGGATATGGCTGCAACCAGATTGAGAGAGGCGATCTTCCATCGATCTAAATTAAAGACCGCAGCCATATGCCCGGCGCAATGTTTCAACAGCAAAACATGGGACTCTTGACTCTCTCTTCTACAAATGCTTGCCCCCAACCTTGGCGGGATCCCGCGACAGAGCAGGCACTGAGCTTATGGCATCACGATGCTGATCCAGCGGCCCAGCTTACCATGCTTGAGCGGGGATCAACGCAACAGGTGCTGTCATCGCTGCCGCTTTCCAGCAGCAGGTCCCATATACCTCCTTTGAATGCTGCACGGCCCGTATCAGATTTGGAAGAGCAACCACACTACGGGTCGTGGATTCTGGAGGACTTGCCTACCTATGTGCTGAAAATTCCATGTTGACTACATGATAGAAATGCTGTCCATGGACTTGCCGAACAGGTGTTGCCAAGCCAATGTAATTTATCCGGATGGCATCCAAGACCCAGCCTGGACTCCGCACAATCATGTGGGCCAATTTCACGACTCTATTGTTAATCGGACTTGACTTGCTCAACCCAGATTGGGAGTCCAACCTCACAACCGGCCAGGGACAAGGTGAAGGTCGTTTCTCAGAACACCTCAATATGTATACCACCAACACCAACTCAATACAACGGAGACACCGTTATATATGTACCATAACAGAATGCCAAATCAAGGTCCTTTGGCATCTATACACTCAAACCATTATGCGCGTACGTGCCGTGCTGTACTATCGGGTTTTGACATATCACAAGAAGCAACTCGCCTCAACTCTAGTGTGCTCTGCAACAGGCTCTCATTCGACAAGCCTGCCTGCCTAACTACGTGAAAATAAAAACTAGAGATAGTCTAGACACTAATCAAAGTGGACAACCTCGAAACGTTTCTACTCATGCAGTGCGGCTCAAGGAGTAGATACGGAATCCCTATACGCATAACAGGCTGCGGGGACGATCATTGTGGCGGATGCTTGGGCGGGCCACGGATCCGCAGAGGAGCTTGAGGCCATGACCAAACTACGCGCCAGAGGGGGTGAAGCTGCATGAGGTAGTCGTTGCTATAACACCTTGGTGATCGTCTAACAGCCTCTTGGTTCGTCGCTCGTGCTCGGGATGCTCTCTGTCTAGGGTTAGGATGGTGCTGGAGGGTTCATCGTCAGCCTGAATGTGGAGCGGAGGGGCTGGTCGAATCAACTCTGTAGACGAGTATACTGCAAGGAGCGTATTGGACCCTCGAGTTGCCTGTTGTAGAAGAGAAGTATAAGAGGGAGGTTAATGGACCACCACACCACCTGACCCGCGATCATCATCATCATCATCATCATTACCTCGGTCGACTCCAAGCCAACCCAAACAAGAACACCAACGACAGAAGCCACAGCAATGCTCGCCAACAAACCCCTCACAACCATTACCCTCACCCTTCTCGCCGCACCAAACACCCTCGCCGCTCCCGCCCCAGCCATCCCGACAATCGCAACCTCGGATATCGACCCAGTCCCCGACCTCCCGGCCCTCCCCCTCGACAAGAAACGCTCTACTCTCTCGTGCCAGGACGACGGCGCCGGTTACCGCCCCATCAGCAAGCGCAGGCATGCGTGAACTTTCTGCTAGCCAAGGGCGACGCCGCGTGTCGGGTTGCGAGTGCGAACTCGGTGTTTTGTCGCGAGGGGGATACGGTTGTTAGTGGGAGTAATGTTTTTGCGCAGGCTGGGGGTGTGAGTTCGAGTTGGTATGTTCTTGCTTTAAAAGACGGGGAAAAAAAAAGAAAAAGAAAAGGAACTATTATACACCGTTACGCCGCCTGCTAACTTGCTTCTTTTGTAATCGTAATGTTTCACTCGGCGCGCAGCGGATTATTGATAGTTGTACGACGCCTCAGGGGACTGTTACTGGTGAGTAACATGGCAATACCTCCCACCTAGATACGATGATGCGGGTCCGTGTGGTGAGCAAGAAGCTAACAAGGCCCCAGGCCACCACGCGGCGAATGGAAATGGCGAGCTTATTGTTGTAATCAACCGAGCCTAGGAGACGGTGCTCAGGAGGTCTCGGGCAGTCTTTCAGGATACCTGTAGGAACTTACCTAGAGAGCAACGTAGTCTCGGTCCCGGTGGTGTCAATGTGTGTGGAAATACAAATGACCCTTTAGCTCCATAGAAACCTTTTGCAAACAGATACAAGGACAAAGTCAGGGAATGCTCATAACAACCTCCATTGAAGAGCTCATGGGCCCAGTGGATTCGCTTGTGGAGCAGGGGAAACGTGCTCTATCTCGGGCTTCCGGATACACCAGGTTGGGTGAATGTATATGCCAAGAAACATTGACCAGATACTGGTTCACCTAATAGCACTCTGCCCCCTTTGAGAGCGCCGTAACCGACCCCTTGGTCCCAAATGCAGCATGCCTATAATCCCGGCCCCCGTCATCAAGCTCCCCAAACCGTAGCTGCACCTTACCAGCGTCATGGCTCCACGAGTCTTCAGAACCCAAACAGTGTCCCACAGCGAGCCGATCCAGTTCCGGGTTCCGAGTCGTCATCAGCACGCTAGAGAACGACGTGCTCTGCGGGACGCCATTCTTGTATAGTGCCACCAGCCCGATAATAACGCAGGCCACCGTGGCACCGAGGGCAGACATGTATGCCGCCAATAGGTTCCCAACGTTGTAGCTGTAAAAGTTCTGCCCGCTCGAAACGGTGACAGGGAGAAGCGTATTCGCAGCATTGAGACTGAGAAGACTATACGTGAAATTCCGCGACAGATCCGCAATGGCCGCAGCAAGCGTCCCATTGCGACAATTGACGGTCGTCTCTGCACCACCAGCGCCCAGGATCTTCTCGTAGTCGCTGGTATTCCAGAACTCGGCGCAGCCGAAGAGCGCCGTCTCCATGGGTGATATCGACTTGTACACGGCGTTGGCGGCCGCGTTGCTCAGCAGGGTATTCGACTGCGTGCTCCAGATCTCGTAGCTTAGCAACCCACCGAAGAGGAGATGCGTTAGGTAGAAGCCGCCGTTGACCTCAGGGCCTTGGTCCATGATTGTGGCGTTGGCGCCTTCCCCTCCGCTGAAATTCGATGGCGCGATGAGCTCCGTTGAGAGCGGCGTTAGGGTGCGCACGCTATTTGTATAATTGAGGTGCGCCACGTACGACGTGTTCCACAGCTGGCAGACGAGCCGTGTCATCCCGTCGCTGTCCTGGTGGTCCCACAGCGGGTTATGCCCCTTTGCGTAGACGAAGATCATATTCCGATTATACCACACACCCTTGTACCACCAATACTCTTCATTGCCAATTTGCTTCTCCCACAACTCCTTTACCGAGCCTACATCGTCCCCCGTCGAATTCGTGACTCTTGCGGCGCCCACTTCACTCAGCCCTCGGCAGTCATACGAGGGACCCCAGAACTCGAGTGTATATGATGAGTTTGGGGACGGTGGAGTGAATGGGGGAACCTGCATTGATGAGGCGGTGGTGGTTAGCTGGCGCATGATTGCTGGTGCGGGGGTGATGATTTCGCCACGGGGCCCGTCTGTCACCCAGGGCCGCCAGAAGGAGTTGTCGCTGAACTTTAGGGTGGGGACGTGTGTCGCTGTGATATTGCTTGTTTGGAGCAGGCGGACAGAGAGAGTTGCTGGTGTGATTACTGCTGTAAGAGGAATGACCCTGGTTGATTGTGAGCAAAGGCTTCTGGCAAGTATATAAATCCCTGCCGTGGGAGAAAAGGTATACGCACCACGAAACAATCGCCATCATCGTCAGAATCTTCGCATACATCCACAGATCCGGTACCAGGAACGCAAGCGGACTGGTCAGAACAGCAAACATGCCATCGATCCCACGAAGCGTCATATACTTTCTCCGAAGAACAGCCCATATCTCCTGTACGGCTGCAACCCCGACCGCGGAAACCAGCGACGCCTTGACGAGAAAGGCGAACCCGGTACCGATTCGAATGGCCCACGTTTGCTGGTTGGTGGAAGTTACCAGGGTGTTGTCGAGGGAGTCGTAGTAGAGATGATGTCCTAGGGCCAGCAGAGCGCCGCACACAGCGAAACCGATCATCATGGTCGGACATTGCCAGCCTATACCCCACTGCGGCGGAGCGGCCTCGACCTTGGGGGCATGAGGGGGTGATTCGATGTCTTGGTCAGAGTCGTGATCAGAGTCTCGATCAGAGTCTCGATCGGAGACGCGGTCGTACTCGGTCGGGTTTTCGGTAGGTGAAGGCATCTTGACTAAATTTCTGCATCTCCCATGATGTTTCTAAAGTATCGACTTTGCATCGTTATGTACTCAACCGGACGCCAAGTTGCCAACAGCACAGCCTGGGTGTCGTAAATAGCACGGCAGCCTGGCATCTTTGCAGGGCAACCGTCGCCAATTACCAGTCTGTGCTCGTGGAAAAACTTGCACTTTCATACGCTAAAACCCTAGCCAAGCGGTTTTGGCCCCTTCTTCAGGCGTTCCACTGTCTCGGCGACAGGCAAAGCCTCCTCAAGTCTCGGCAAGCCCTAGTTCTGGCCCTTTTGCCGGTGTTGCGGCTCGAATTGCGACAGATCAAGTGGGGTTTTCCCGTTCGCACTTCGCCTCATTGCGCCGATGACACGGCAAGCGCCCCGCTCGATATGGTTGGGAAGGAGCTATTGGTGGCAGTATTTACCACACTTTCAAGTTTGAACCTCTTTATCGAACAACAACCATTCTTACCCATCCCCTTTTTCCAATTCCTTCTTACAATACCCCGTGGTTCGTAGCAACTGAACAGCTGGAGAATACACCGATGGACTTGCGGAACCTGGCCAGAGGCACCCCTTGTTTCTCTCGCAGGACTACATATTCACATCCATGCATGGCGGGATTGACTGTTCACAGATGGCCTGACTGCTAAGGCTTGTAAAAGAACCTGGAGAGCGTAGGCTCAGACTTGATGTAGACTGGCCAGTGCCAAAGTGCGCTTTACCTGGGGCTAGGTAGTTGCACTCTCAACCCACCGCCTGCATCTTGTTGATCTGATCAAGAACCTGTTTAGAGGGTTGACAGTGATCCCATATTCTTTGCTTGGGATCTCCCGCAATTCATGAGACTGGGATACCACTTGCTGATCTATGCTAGGTAATTTCATGATAACCTGTTTCATCTGGTTAATGGCAAGTCAATCTTCTTAATGTTCCAGGAGCACCTGGGTAGATATTAACGATGCCCTATTGGGTCTTCTAGCGCTTAGATGTCCTTAGCAGGACTTATAACTTTGGCTAATGTGCGACTAACCCAAGGGTGACACTTTGAGAGGACATGTCAGCCCTACATAGTATACACGCCGACTCTTATTTCTAGCTCCCAGCACTGGGTATAAAGCCGGTCATGTCGCCTCCTAGCAACGGATATAATGAGTTTTCCTGTTTCAACCTGCATATTATCCATCGTCAGTGATCTGCTAATTTCCTCCTTTTATCCTTGCAAAATGACCGCAACCACCATCCCCGCACTGTTTGTGGGTTCGAGGTGACGCCTAGCGGGTTCGCTCATTCCACTCTACCTAACAAGACCTTGCTGATGGATTCACATTTGCGATGTTTCCACGAGTAGCGCATTGCTATAGGTCAATGGTTATCACATCGAAGGCTTGTAGAAGCAATATACAGGCTCTTGGGTGCTACTAGGAGGTCTGATCTAATTCGGACCTACTGGCCCCATGATCGAGAACGTGTTCTGAATAGAGGAAAGGAAGTGGCCCATTCACTGAGCATTCAAGGGACCTTGCCATGATTACCTAGCATAGGCTTAGTCCTACCTCCATAAGCTCTACTAATCACAGACATACAACTACCCCAATATACCCTTGAAATAGATAACCGCAGGTTACCAAGTCACGCCCTGCAAAACAGGGTCACTTTCTATTCTTATAAGAGACATCAACGAGAGAGGACACCGAGCCAGGATACCCCAGGCAATGTTGGACATGGGCAATTTGTTCTGGGATTCTGGTCGAGTTTTTCTTACCAAAGGAATGCATCCATCACAGATGAACAACTATCAGCAATCATATGCTTACATACGAATGCTGAATTCAAGGCAAGACAGCTCTTCGGGACAAGCACCGAGTTCGTTCTCCGTGTTTGCTCAAAGGGTGCAAGAAGCTTTTCCCACCTAGTCTTCGTATGCGGATGAATTCCGCTTGTTAGAGCTGACCAGCGGCAGGTCCTCGGTATGAACATTCAAGCAAGTTCCAACCAGAAGTAGCGCGCTTTTGACAGCGTCTGTTGTAACCCCATTGAAGGACCTTTTACAGAAGAGATTCTGTATAAGTTTATTTGGGCAGATGCTTGGAGCTGACTGAATTCAAGGCGGTATTGTAAGGACAGAAAGACCGTTCGGTAAGGGGAAAGCGCTTAGAAAACAACCTGGGTGTGCTTTAGATGCCTTTGGGTCTAAAAAAACAAAGAAAAGGGACAAACATATTCCAGAACGTCTAATCTCTGAAGGAAAGAAAAGCTTGTGGAGGGCTGACATGAAGAGGCACCACACTCGCAGTAGTCCGACAACAACCAATGAGGCCCCTCGAAAATCACACCAAAAGCGGAATAGCACGATATACCGCCCACCCACCCATGCCCACGTTTCCACGTTTCGCGGATCATTGAAGGCCTGGCTCGAGCCATGGACTGTCTCTCTCGCTTGACCCCTATCTACCGAACCGGAAGTTGTTTCCTTGAACCTCGACCTTTCTGGGCAGAGACTGCGGGAAAGATATCTTTCCACTGTCCTTGGTAATGGTGCTCAACCGCGGCGTCCATCCACGCGAATGAGCGGAGCACCTGTAGCAATTCACCAAGCGAAGCGATTTCCAGATCTAGGCAGAGCTTCAAGAAAAGTTTCATGATTACTTTATGCAATGGTTTTCCATCCGATGCAATTAGAGCAACGCTCGCAGACCATAAAACGATTCGATTTGAGACTCCTTGGTCAACTAGCAACTGGAGTTTGGGACAGAGAGATTTCAGAAGCGGCCCGCTGACGAGAGACGATCGAGGGATGGGGAATGTGACGTGGATAGCGAATAAGAGGGCGGCTAGTCGAGCAGTAAGATAGATTTCTTTTGTCCGCTGGCGCTCAGCGTCAGCGATAGCTGCCTCGGGCAATCCTTCAGACTGCAGAATTTGCTCCGTGGCATCCTTCTCGTCGGGGAGTGAGAAAAGGCGGTGGTGCACGAGATTCCGACAGTCGCCGAGGAGATCCAGAGCCTTGGGGCTGCAGGGTTGGTCTGAGAGGGATTGCAGCACGTACGAGAGCTCGCCGACGTTGGCGAGCGCTGTAACGTGTTCCGGTCTCACGGGCGGGACGAGAGAGAGCAGGTCGCGGAAGCCAGATCCGGGGTGCTGAGACCCAGGTTCCACCTGGACTCCGTACGCCGTGAATAATCGAAGAGGAGGGTCGAGATTTAGGACCGAGCCATCGACGCCCAGGCATGGGTAGATTGGCTTTACGATCGCGTGGGCGGCGTTCATTATGTCGGCGATGGAGAGCAGCCACGCGACCCCATGCGCACGGAGGACTGTGATCCCGCCGAGTCTCCCGAGGAGGTCCTGGATGACTGTCCAGTGAAGGGGATGATAGTCTCGACTGCCGTAAAAGTCCAAAGAATGCAGGCCAGTAAATAGCGGCGTGAACGGACTTGGGTCTCGAAAGACTCCTTTCTCGACGGTGTCATTCACAGCCAGGTACAGAATGCACATGATGATGCCATCTACTGGCGTTTGCGTTGTATATGTCTCGATCGCCCCTCGCAGCGTCTGCAGAGTGAGTCCCTTTAGATAGAGCTGCTCCTTTGACTCTCTCCGATGATCCCGATCCCCATACGTCAGGCGCAAAACGTCTAGATGGTACGAGGCCGACCACAGGGTCGCATACAGCGTCAGCTTGTCATTGTACGGAACGACCCACGACTGGTAGCAATCGGAGGTATACCGCAGCGGTCGGAAATTCGGCCAGATCTGCGTGCTCGCAAAGTGCAGAATCTCCTGCACCTTGAGTTGGCTCGTGACTTCGTTCTTGGGCAGGATGGGGTCGTGGTTCCCTGCGCCAAGGTCAAATACCGAACCCAGTGCCACAGAGGGGGTAGTGGGTGAGCGCCGCACGCGCAGATATCGCCCGCAGAACGAGCAAAACTGGCCCTGCACATTCCGTACTCGAGGGTCGGCCTGCGACGGCGCCTTGGGCTTTATTGGTCGGAACCCCTGGAGCTCCGACGAGCCACTGCCCCCTGCAGGAGGGATAGTAAGGTGTAGTGACTGTTCCCGGCCGGTACCAGCCGGACTTGCGCGATAACAGGTGCACTCTGGATTCGTCCCTTCTCGTAATAGTTCTTCTACCTCGATCGCTGCGTCGAGCCGTCGCTGCTGCTTCGTATCGCGGCGGCCCTGCCTGATGGCCCGGCCTCGGAGTGGGCCGCCCTTGTTCATCAGCGGGCCGCCGACAAAGACGAACTTGGCCTCCTGGCCCTGGTCCGATTGTTGTGTCATTGGCGAAGCAAGCGCTCGCTCCGACCCCGGTGGAGCACAAATCGCGATCGCTGGCAAGATCACTTGAGATCCGAGCGGGGGATTTTTTTCTCCTGGTTTTTGGTGGAGTCGAGTTCCGCTTAGCGACAACACTCAATTCCTGTCTAATTCACATGCCAAGCGGCCCACTTGAGTTGCTGACACATGCTGATATATCCATGTTGCCTCCCACTTGCCTTCCTCTTTACCCCTCGCCTTGTCTTTTGCATCCATTACAATGACAATCTATTCCACTCAGACCAGCCTCGCCAGGGACGTTGAGCAAAACAACGTACCCTGGGGGTTGGCGATCTATCGCACAACATACACTGCTTTTTCTGACACCCGCTTCCCTCAGATCCTTGAGCTTATTACCGCCCTTACCAAATATAGTGTACGTGCATATGAAGATACGACTGCACATACCCCCAACAAGGATGCTGCCAAATCCATCCTCGAAGAGAGATACAGCCGTATTATTATAAATAACAAGCTGGGATGACACTTCACGCCATCCGCGCCCACCATCAAGCCTTGGTTGAGCAGCTAGAACAGCCTTTTATGTAGAGGACTATAGGGCACATAGTCAAGTATGGTAGCAGTCTACTGGCTGCATCCCCCCGGACAGTCTCCAGGGATGCAAGCATTGTAGACGACGAAGAAGACTTTGGTCAATTTAGCTCTCTACTCGGTATCATTACACCTCCCACCATCGAATGAATCATTGCAAATTACTAAACATTCCCCCATCAGCCAACAGCCCCGTTGCATTAACATACCGACTCATCTCCTCACACGCCAAAAAGACCGCCGGGCCCGCCATATCCTCCGGGTCCCCAATCCTGCCAAGCGGAATCCGCGCCTCGAGCGCAGCCTTCTTCGTCGGATTCTTCATATCATGGTCTGCCAATTGCGTCGCAATGGTCCCGGGCATCAACGCGTTGCACCGGATTTTATCCTTGCCCAGCGAAATCGCCATCGACTGCATCATGGAGAGGACGGCGGCCTTGGTTGGTGTGTAGTGTGTTTGGAACCCGCCGCCGACGAGGGCGCTGACCGAGGAGATGCCGATGATGGAGCCGCCGTGGCCTTGTTTGACCATTTGGCGCGCGGCCGCTTGGCAGGAGTAGAAGCAGCCCTTGACGTTGACGTCGACGCTGTGGTTCAGGAGGGAGGGCTCGATTCTGTAGATGTAGGTAGCATGTTAGTCCATCGAGCGAGATGGACCGGATGCCGCGTGTTGTCGCGGGGAATGGATTGTCTTTATAACTCACTTGAGAAACTCTGCTTGCTTAAACACACCCGCATTCGCGACAAAAATATCCAGTTTCCCCCACTGCAAGACCGCCTGTTGAACCAAGTTGGAGCTGGTCGCGGGATTCGTCACGTCGCCCGGGAGCTCTAGAATTTCGCCGGCATTGACCCCGCTGTTCCTAATCGCCTTGACCTCCTCTAGAAGACTGTGCCGGTGCCCTTCATCCTGGGCAAGCCCAAGGTGGTTGACGGCGACATTGCAGCCTTGCGTGATGTATGCCAGCACAATCGCGCGACCGATTCCAGTGGTCCCGCCAGTAATCGCGGCGGTCTTGCCTTTGAGGAGGTTCCAGGCGGGGAGGGCGGCCATTGTGAGGGGTCGATGGAATGTAGCGAGGGGAGGTGGAAACTTGACAAGGAGGAGTGATTGGGCGAATTGAAGACCTGAGGAAGTTGGAGCTTCGTTGTCGCAGTGGTGTTGAGGTGAATAGCAGGTGTTGATGGTCTGGAATAGTTCTCCAAAGTTGCCTCGTTGCATTTTTGCCTTGGGGGCTTGCGGCGATGAGGGGATCCTCCATGATGTGGAGCGGGCTGTGTCGTCTCGGGGGCGACGATCCACGCCCGAGTCGAGTGCTGTGTTTGTGCGTCAAGCCCCCGACCCGAGGGTTCCCCGCATGAGGATGCGCATCGTTGACAAAGCGGAGAAGGAGCATGATAGAGGAGTGCTGCGTTTCTATAGTTTACAAAAAAGATTTCGCCATCCCAATTGTCAATCTTTTCCCTACAGATCATTTACGACGGCTTTGTACTGACATCTCCCACACCACATCATCGCAACCTGAATGGCTCCCTCTGCAACAGAATCAGCTGCCGCCCCGGCCAACTTGAAACATCGTGCCCCAGACCCAAGTCGGTCTCAGTGGAAAGGTTATTGCGACTACATATCCCAGCCAAGTTTTGTCTCGAGAGACTTAAAACAGATCCCTAGTAACTGAGATCTAATCGTATGGTCACCGGCGCAGCCAAGTTGACTCCATTTACATTTATGGAGCCAACCACGAGCTCGAGACTATGTCCAAGCGGTTCCCTAGCTAGCTGTACCCTGTGAACGCCAACGTGACTGAAGAATCGACCATAGCCACTGCGATTGATAAGATAATCGAGGAGGCAGGCCCTCTCGATGAAACGGAGTGCTTACTTGATTGCGGTGCTGATGCTGGTGCTGCTCCAGATACTTTTTGGTCTTCCTCGTAGAGCTTTGGGCGATTTTGCCATGTTTGAGTGTCCTGTGAGGCGACTGATGATGTTGTCTGTATGGTCGACGGCCCTAATCGACATCGACCATTGAAGCTGCCCATATTAAGCATAGGAGAGCTCGAAAACGCGCGAGGTAAATAGCGAGGTGCACAGGTGGGACTTGCAAATATATAATATTAAGAAGAAAGCGTATGTAAATCAATTACTCCAAGGAGTTAGAATAAACCAAGTTATAAGCGTCCTGAAGAACGCAATCGATACCTAAATATAGTAAATATTATATACCCCTTTCTACTCGTCTTTTATTCTAATATTAGCTTTATAGTATTTGCTGTATACTAAAGTTTATTATTTCCTTAGGTCTACAGCTCTAGAGTAGCAACAGTGGATAAATACCCTCGAGACGACGCGCTTGTAGTACGAGACGGCGCGTTCACCTGCCACATGACCTTCTTTTCTGGAGACACCTACTGGTCCTATAGCCAGAGAATAAGAAAGAATGTGAAAGCAATTGAATATAAATAAACCAGTAGTAGATCCAGAGCTCGTGTGCTAGCTCTTCAACTCTCTAGCAATCCTCGTTCAAAATGGTTCTCTCAAAGCCGAAGGAAGCCCCTGTGCAAAAGCTCTTTGATCTGACCGGCAAGGTTGTCGCCATCACTGGTACGTGAGATCGTTTCCTTCCTTTGGGTTAGTACCCAGACTAATGCATTGCTAGGCGGCGGGCGAGGAATTGGTCTCGCTGTCGCTACTGCATACGCCGAGGCCGGGGCCAAGGTAAGAAGTACCAAGCAACTACCAAGTCCCTCCCGCTACGCTCCACTAACGAGCCGTAAAGATCGCCCTCCTCTACCGCACAACAACAACCACCCCGGATACAGCACAACAGCTTGCCACAGAATACAACACAGAGGCCCGCGCCTACCAAGCCGACGTGACCATCCCTAACGAGATCTCCGGCGCAATCGACCAGATCGTCAAGGACTTTGGCAAGCTCGATGTAATTGTCGCCAATGCGGGTATCTGTTCCGAACATGCGGCTGAAGAGTATACACCCGAGGAGTTCCAGGAGATCATGAACGTCAATGTCAATGGGGCGTTCTATACCGCGCAGGCTGCGGCGAGGGTCTTCAAGAAGCAGGGGCTTGGGAATATCATTTTTACAGCGTCGGTTAGTGCGACGCTGGTGAATACGCCGCAGAGGCAGGCTTCGGTGTGTACCTCTTTCTCCTCTTTCTTTCTTTCCCTTTCTTCCGTATCTCGCTCCCATTTATGGTCTTGGGATCCTTGGACGAACGTTAAGATTCTTCTCCTAGTACAACGCCTCCAAAGCCGGAGTCCTCCAACTCGCCCGCTCCCTCGCCGTGGAGTGGGTGGACTTTTGCCGCGTCAACTGCGTCTCGCCGGGCTACACACAGACTCAGATTATGGAGTATGCGTCGCAGGATATGCTAGAAAAGTGGCTGGCTCAGATCCCGGCGCGGCGGTTTGCGTCGCCGTGGGAACTCAAGGGGGTGAGTAGCTGATGTGTGAAATCTTGGCGAGGGTGGATGGAGACTAATGTGGACCATTCTAGGTTTACCTCTTTTGCGCTTCGGATGCGTCGAGTTATATGACGGGTTCGAATATTGTTGTTGATGGGGGGTTTACTCTGCCTTGAAATGATTAGATGGAATGGATATAGAATAGATAGAAGTTTGATAGATTCTTGGACTCTCCTTCATAGCAGCACGCTATGGAATTGGAGCAAGCAGTGTGTCTGATGAAATTCCTGTACGGATATTGCGCGAGACGAGGCTCCGTGCTTTGCAGTATGTAATGACCAGCCCACTTTCAGAGGTACAAAGTGCTTTCAGAGAATTTCCCAACGCTTTCGGAGTTTTCATCAAATTATCGTGTATGCAATCGCAGGATCGGAAATGTAATGTAAAATTGGCACGTACAGCTCTTTTCGAACTGTTCCTTTTGCCCTATCAGTTTTTTCTTTGTATTTTCTAACCAGTCCTATTTGTGCACTTGATGCGATTAGACGTGGATTAAACTTCACGGCTCAACATTTTTCGCAGACCATTAAGCATCATACTCATACACTTTGAGCAGCCTAATGAGTCCGACCCCTAACAGTCCCATCAATCCCCTCGAGATCACTATACAGCCGCCACTCATAATCCAAGCTCGGATCATTGAATCTTGCCTTTGCATCCAGCGTCGCAATCCTCTTCATATCCTCAGCCGCAAGTTCAAAGTCCGCCTCCAAGTTCTGATCAATCTGCCAGTCAACAACGCTCTTGGGAATCACTGAGCGCCCGCTGTTGATCCCCCACGCAAGCACAACCTGCGCGGGACTCTTGCCGTACTTTTCGGCAATCTCCTTGAGCAGCGGCTGGTCAATCACCCGCGTCATGTGCGCAATTTCCTTGGACCACCCCGTTTGCCGGTAGAAGTCGTTCATGTTGCCGAGCGGGCTGAACTGCACGACGTGGATTCCTTTGCTCTTGAGCCAGGCGTTGAAGGCTTTTTGTTGGAGGTAGGGGTGGACTTCCATTTGGTGGACGGCGGGGACCTAAAATGAACTTTGTTAGAATAGAGTCTGGATATCTTGCAACTGGGGTAGAGGTACTAACCGTAGAAGACTCATTGAGCAACACCTCAATCTCGCCCTTGCTAAAGTTCGAAACCCCAATCGCCTTGACCTTGCCCGTCTCCGCCAACTTCTCCATCGCCCTCCACGTATCAAGAAACCCCGTCTCCCCCTTGATCATCCTCCCCTCCTTATCACGCGGGAACCTCTCCGGCCCGCGCTTAAACGTACACGGATAATGCATAAGCAACAAATCCACATACGGGGTATCCAGATCCCTCAACGAATCATCCAGCGCCCGATCCACGTCCTCCGGGTGATAATCATTACACCAGAGCTTCGTCCCCAGGAAAATCTGCTCACGGGGCACGCCGCTCTTCTTGATCCCGCGCCCGACCTGCTCTTCGACGTTGTACACGCGCGCAGTGTCGATTAGGCGCATCCCGCGCTGGAGTGCGCGGCTGACGGTTCCTTCTTGCGAGTCGGGGTCTTGGAATGTGCCGAAGCCGAGGGCGGGGATTTTGGCGCCGGTGTTTAGGGTGTAGGTTGTGGCGCGGGTGGATAAACTGCGGGAGGAAGAGGGTTGGCGGAAGGGGAGGAGGGACTTGGTGAGCCCCGAGGCGCGCGTTGCTCTGCTGGCGACCGAGGCCATGGTTGCAGCTGTTGTGTGAGCGGAGGTGGGGGGGGAGATGTTGGGCTACTTCTCGGGCTCACTACAGATATAGAACCACGTCGAATCCGAGAAGAGGAGGGACAATGAACATGAACCACCCGAGAGCTTTCCCCAGGTTGTCGCACTTGAGCGGGGGCTAAATGGGCCGCTGCAGAAGATCTCCAACTCAGCTTCAAAGTTGGAGCTGGTGTGCCTCAGAGCGGGGGGAGCGCGGGGACGCCAGGGTCCGTGACGAGGGCCCTCGACAGGGGCCCGTGTAATCGCTCCACCGTCGCTCCTTCCAGGCAGTTCCTCGCACAACAAGAAGCAGGTACGCCTGAGGCCCTCTTGATTGCACCTTCCTTGCGTGTCTAGCCTTCGATGAGAATGGATGGAGCCACCATGTCCACTCGATGTATTAGATAGGGAAGGCGCAAGAGTAGCACAGTGATAAGCCTGGCGGTCCTCGGGTACCTGGACAGACTGTTTGAGATTGATAACCTGATGACGGAGCCCAAATTCTCCCTGTGTAGACTTGTACTTGTATACTAATACTATCATACCTCCACTCCATCACTGCCACCCTGTCTGGCCTTCATGACGCTGACTCATGCAAGGCTATCCCGAAAGACCTGGCTAAGCAATAGCACAGGTTAGCGAATAATTCTTTTTACCCACTTGTTTACTGTACATGTACCTGCAATGTCAAAGCCAGAGATAATCAAGTGAGCGAAATACCTTGCTATGGACCCATTCTCAGAGAAGTCCTACTTGCATGATACCACACAGCGCCATGAACGGACAGTGTTGTTGTAACAACAAGCCCAGTGCTCACCCCAAAATGACCGTCCAACCCGGCACCCGCGTGCCCTCTTCCTGAAAAAGCACCCCATAATACAACAGTGGCAGAACAACCATACACAATGCCCTCAGTACCCAAACCCCTCGTCCAATACCACTGCCACTACCCCCCTGCGCGCCGTAAAATCCAATTACCAGGCCCAGCACACACGCAGCCCCCAACGCCCCCTCAACCCACGCCCTCCCCATCCCGTCCGAGAACCCGAATGCCTCCGCCTTGGAATGCACCGCCGCGAGGGGGACGGCGAAGTGCACGAATGTCCCCAGCAGCACGAACCACCCTTTCGCACTATCGGTTTCCGGATCCGTGGTCCATAGTAGGTCGGCCCAGACGGGGATGTGGAAGCCGATAAGGCCTGCTGGGAAGAGCATGTAGTTGAGGACAAAGGCCATGCTGGGCGAAGCGGGATTCTCTGCGATTAGGGCGCGGGATGTGAGGTAGATGGACCAGGCGGGGAGAGCGTAGATTATAGCGCTCGTCAAGATTGCGATGGCGGTCCAGATTTCGGCGAGGACTCGGATGTAGTCTGGTTGGTGTCGCGGACGGGGGCCCGGTTTACCGCGCGCTCTTATGGACTCGATTCCGTCAATGTCTGCAATGAGGATGAGGGCTTCGAAAATAATCCACGAGGCCAAGTACATGGCGCCCAGCGCCTGTGAGAGCGCGATGCCGACACCGAGACCCCTCGCCGCAAACAGCTTGAGGAACTGCGGAAGAGCACCGAGGAGGAACCCGATCCACCGCGGCCACCGCTGTGCCTTGAGCGACTGGATCGCGCGGATATCCGGGCGGTCGTCGTCTTCCTCGTCCACGATGCGGCGGAGGAGCATACGGGATGCCGCTTCGCGGATGCGTGTCGTTGTTATTATTGGTGATTGGTAAGTAGTGGTTAACAGCGATGCGACCACGCCTGTTGCGTCGAAGATGGAGATAATTGGTGAGCTGCGCAAGAGTGCGAGTTGGCCAAAGGAGAGGTCGAGGTTGAGGACTCGGCCTGTAGACTGCGCGGCGGCGTTGATGGCGAAACAGATCATCCAGAAGAATATTGTCGGCCATGGGATTTCGTTGGGGCATGCTTCGTTGGGCGCGTCGTTGGAAGGCATTTCTGGGGGAAAATGATCAGGGATGTGAACAATCGCGAAGGAGGAAATGGTGAGAACTAAGACAACAGGCAATTTTGATATCTTCGAGGGATATGGGGTCAGGACTTAGGAACGTGCTGAACTCTTACGCGCTGCCAAGAAACTCAGCCCCGTTTCAGCCTTGTGCCTTATGGGGCTGTGTGCATGCAGCGCGCCAGGCTGATTACCAACAATATAATCGGAGTATTCAGTACAGAAGCAAGTCAGTTTAATCCATAGTTCGAACCACTGACATAAACCTTGCCAAGTATAAACAAGGCGAGCCAAGATGTTTTTTGGTTGTTTATCCACACCGCCAGAGTCTGAGGCAATTAAGCAAACCAAATTGCTTCCTATGGCTTAAGCGCATGGAAATATATACCTTGGCATTCCACGCCAGACTCTAAAGGGACTCCAGAATAATTGTCAGGATATGGACTTTTGAGGGGCTCAAGGTCTGGACAACAAAAGGAAGGGGAAATGGTATATTTAGCTCTCTCTAGCTACTTGCATCCTAGACCGATGCATGGGCGCTTAAGCGAGTGGTGGGCCCGGCGCTAAGTTGGCGAGGAGTGAGTCAAGAAAATTCTAGCCTCATTAAGAAGTTGATCTTGATCACATTTCCCCCTTTTTCATCAGCTTACCAGAACGATTACGATATGTCGTCGATTGGTGATCTCCTTGTCCGCCGCGGGGCGGAGATGATTTCCGCGCGGCTTCAGTCTCGTCAAGAGCCAGAGCTGATCCATGGTTGGCTGGGCCTCGCGATCCTCATTTTGACGGGGTTTGCGTTTGTTTTTATGATATTCTGGGTCAGTATTGTATACTCCGGATGGGTGATCACGGCAACTAACAGTGTGCAGGTCGAGTACACGTGCACCCATGTGATTGCCGCTCTGGCCGCTGTTGAAGTCTCCGACCCCCACGCCTATATTCGCCTCGACAGCGAAAACACCCCAGACAATAGTCTCGGGGAAGAGTCCAAACCCATTACTAGCGGGCTTCGTTCAGCCGTCAAACACCTCCGCGCCCGCGGTGGGGGCAGCATCTGGTCGACCTTCCGAGCATTCCGCATGTTTCTCGCATTCACGGGCTTCAAGATGGTCGTCGGTGTTGTAGTCGGGGCATTGGGTGCCACTGCTATCCCGATCGACTCCGTGATCCCGTCAATGCTAAGCCAATTCGTCTCAAGCATGCTCTCGGCAACCTGGCAGATGGCCTGGGTGCACCTCGTCATCGCGGATAAATCGCCTCGGAGCTCCTACCGCCGCAAACTGGGGCTGCATCACTGGCCGAGAATTGCACCCGCAGCGGCGCTGTATAGTGGCCTGATGTGTGTTACCTTCTCGCTGCCAGCGCATGCTGCTGCGCGGCTCGCAGCTTCGACGTTCCTGGACACGGACGAGTATACCAAGGGGATCCTCAATTTCATCCTTCCGGGGGTCCTCCCGGCTCTGTTGATGTTCTTTGTTACCCTCCCGGCCAAGGCTGTTTTTGTCCGTGTGGCCGCTTCGATGCTCCCCGAGGAGGATGAGCCGATTGTCCCCTTCGACCGCGCATTCGGAGGCAAGGTGCGTGCTACCGGGGAGTTGGGGCTTCTGGATGCTTGGAAGTCTTTTGGCTGGGCGGCGCGAAAGCGCTATCTTGTGATTATTGTCAAGGCTCTTGCTATCGAGGCTGCGTTGTGTCTTGTCGCGGTTTTGCTGGTTATGGGTGAGATGGCTATCGTGATCCGCACCGGTCCTCCGCCGCTCTGAGTCTTGTCAAGTTGCTATTTCGGGTCTCACTGAGCTTTTGGAGCTTATTGTGCTTCACGTCAGCATCTGGGATGCACGGAAGCGGCTGGCGGTCTTCTGGTGGCTCAAGATAGGATGGAGTGACAGGCGTTGGCTCATGGGCAATCCGAAGCATATAGACCTGCCTAAAAGGACCAAGTTTGGAAGACTTTACATTTTATGATACAGGTTCCGGGGCATATATCCGTTATACAACACTCTTACAAAGATGAAACTTGTCTCGTGATGTCTGAAATGGCGAAATGGCGGAATTTACACCCAAGCCCTAGTCATATTCATCCCTCATGCACCTTGCACAACCCGAGATTCTAGGGAACCGAAACTTGAAACTGCACAAGGAATAGAATCTGCTAGTGCTGATGAGGCATGCTGGTCCTCTGTAGCTGGGTTAAAGAAAGTGTCGAGTCGCCATAAAAATGGCAGCATCATCATAAAGGACAGACTCGAGATCCTATCTACATAGAGTGCTCAGGCGCTCAAGGACTAGCTTCAGGCCTAAACCCTAAGGCCGCTTGTTGGTGTGATTGCGATGCCGGAAATCCCGGCAGACAAGAAAGCTTGAAGAGTTGCGCTACCTTGCTAAAGCTTGATTCCTGGTGTTTTGTTTAGTGATGCTTTGCTCTGTCTACTGAGGGACCACTATCGCTGGATTGGCGGTGAACTAGCTTGACACTGATGAAAGAGACTTGTACACACCTTAAGTACTATAGTCTAAGACACTAAGCTAGGGTTCGGCAACAAAGAAAAAGGGACTCATCTTGGTAAGAAGCCTAGCAATAATGGAGCTTTGCAGTACTGAAAGAACAGGGCTGATAGTTTGGGGTCAAAGCCAGCCGTACAAAGAAACGCCATTGCTTGGGCAAGAACGTTTCAAACGAAGAAGGAAATCAAGAGGCCGCAAAAGTGCCACGAACACTTCTTGTTTGTTTCATCGGTTGATTATCGCGATGCCTATACGTTGACACTTGCAACATTCCAAAGTGCCCCATTAGGCCACGCGCAGTCTTTGAACGATACTAGACAAAAGCCTCCGTTGAAACGCTCGTGCTGACATATAAAGAGCACCAGGCCCCTGCCTCGCCAAGTAACAGCGATTGACATACAAATCCCAAAGCAATATTTTATAGTCTTCACTAATCATGCGATACCTAATCACTAGCATTCTTCTAACAGCGCTTGCCCTGGCGGCATACGCAGTACGTATACCCTCCAGCAATCATGGCTATCTCTACTAACAACGATACCTAGCACCCCTTAACCGACCCCACGGACCAGGAGTCCGACATCGAAACCGTAACCCCAGAGATCTCCCCCTCCCCGGGCGGTCCCCCTCTCATCCCAAGCGGCACAGCCGAAGAAATCAACCCTGCCACCACCTACGACGACAACGAAGACGAAGATGACTATCAATACGAAGACGAAGATGATGATGAAGACTATGATACGCCAAGCCTAACCCCCCGCGCCTTCGAAGAAGAAGGCGAATTCTCACCAATGGGCAACGGCCACGACCCGCGCAGCTGGTGCCGCCACCGAGAGAAGAAACGGCTCCGCGAACTGACCGTGCGAAAGGGGATCAAGTACCTCCGGAATCGGGAACGGGACGGCGACGGGGCGCCGAGTCTCAAGGCGCGCTCGTGCAAGCGGGTGAGCTGCTCGTATGATGTTGCCATTGGGTGGTGTAATGATGTGAGTGATTGCTTTTTGGGAAGTGAAGATCGGAAGGGATGGGATGTGGTATGATGTGCTAATGAGATTTCGATGCTTATAGTCCGATCGGACGAGGGAACTTGCCTCCTATGTCAATATTGCGGATGGGGCGCAGGCTATCCTCGACGCGTGTGGCAAAGGTAAAGAGCATAAGACTGGGTTCATTGAGGCGGAGCTTAACCATTTCGATGACTGGAGGGTGCGCGTCTATGAGGATTCTTGCTAGGCGCTGCTCCACGTTTAGGCGATGTGTACACTGAGTCGCTCTTAGCAGTCAACTGGGCCTTGGTCGCCCGCTGGTCGGGTTATATATAGACTTTACGTATATTTTTCTTCGGTGAGTACCTGTAGTGAAGGAAATACTGCAAGACCTTTTGATATATTCCATCTAGTAGATACCTGCTGACATATATATTGAACACACTTAGTCGGCCTTGAAGTACTGCAACTGCCATTGAAACCACATTAAGGATCAGAAAATACACGATACTGGCATATAGCCGGTCGAAGAGGCAGAGACCCGTCCTGGACTCTGTTATAAACATTCTAAGGGTATTGTTACTAGCAGTTTCGTTTTATCGGTCATGTTCTTTCACCATCACCAGAAACAAGAACTCACTGCTTCTAGTGCTGTTGACCTAAAATAGGCATACCCTGCGCTATCATAAAATCCATCGCTAAATTGGTTGCTGTAACATTTTTTTCGCCATATGGAAAGTTTAAAACTGCCCTCAACGTCCACAGCCGCACCACTCAAGCAAGAATAAGCAAGAAAAGCAATGTATCTGTACCATTGTCCAAACCCCAGTGCTTGTACTGCTTGCCAAGTACATGCAGTCCAATTATTGGTGCCGATTCGTTATTATCCAATCGCCATCTAGACGCGCAAGCCCGATTATTACAATTTGAATTTTGTATTTTGTGGAGTATTATCAGGTGTGCCCTCGATTATAGGTGGCCGGAGTATATCGAGGTAGAGTCTAAGTGAGCAACATGTAAGCATCGCCAAGGAAAGCCTGAGCTGGCATAAAAGCTCCGGAAATGCCTGTACACTGCATCCGGCTTCACTATTCTTGCAGAGTAAGCCATCCTATGGCCGATGTCCAAGAAATCCGTCTAATAACCAGCAAGACCAATCAATTTCCCGCACGGAAAACAGCAGGAATCAGACACGGGCCGGAATGCTACTAGCGAGAGTCAGCTCCCACACGGTTTGCGTATAGAAACGCATCTGATAGGCCGACTATACGCTTATGGGCGCCACGCCGGCAATTGACATTCCTTAATCTAATCACAGCCGCAGCTGAATTTTGGGAGATTTAGGCTCTAGTGCATTGGGTTCGAATTCTTTGCCTTGTTGGGGATACTTTCCGAGGCGCTTTTGTAGTAGCCTAGGTAATTCCCCCGGATCGCATCGATTGTGGCAAGGATCGCTGGGAGGTGCTATTTTCAGGGAAAATGAAAGTGAGATAAGCGATGTTTTTGGCTGGGGCCTAGCGGCGATCTAGCCAATTCTCCACGGAGAGTAACGCAGGTTTCAATGAATCTGGGGGGCGCAGTCTTATAGTTATGCACCTAGGCACTTGGCGCAATTTCTGCGATATGAATGAAAGACAACACAGCGCCGGGCTATTAAAGGCCGAGTTTCTCCCCCAGGGATCTCGTCCTCCCCGAATTGTCCACCGCAACTCTCGCAATGCCTTCCCTCCTCCATTTGGCCACAATCGCGACAGCGATTCTGGCATCTGCAGCTCCAGCCACCGCAACAACAACAACAACAACAACAACAACAACAACAACAACAACAACAACAACAACAACAACCCTCGGCTCATCAAAGAATGTCCTCTGCGCCTGTAAAAAACTTTCCAAGTCCTTTCCCAAGCGGATAATCTACCCCGGGTCCGACCAGTACACCGCGCAAGCTACAGACGCATACTGGGATAAGCGCGCCGCGCTCTCGCCGTCATGCATCGTTGTCCCCAATACAGCGGACGAGGTCGCGACCGCCGTGGAGGCGATTAGCGATTGTAATGCGCCGTTTGCTGTTCGTGGGGGTGGGCATATGAATGTACGTCCAACCGTCTTCCCAGAAGTCTGAATTCGATACTTACCGGTGCTGGGCAATGCAGGTCGTCGGCTCAAACAACATCAACAATGGCGTCCTGATCGCGCTTGAAAACCTCACGGCCGTCAAAGTAAACTCCGAAACAGTCGAAGTCGGGCCCGGGCTCACCTGGTACGACGTCTACACAGCCCTCGAACCGCACGACCGCGTCGCGATCGGCGGCCGCCTCAAGACCATCGGCGTGCCCGGGCTAACACTCATCGGTGGCTACCACTACTTCAACAACAAGTACGGGTTCGCGATGGACAATGTCGAAAGCTACGACGTTGTTCTGGGTAACGGGACGCAGGTTGTTGCGAGCCGCGAGGCGAATCGCGATCTCTTCTGGGCGCTCAAGGGCGGGGGTGGGAATAATTTCGGAATTGTGACAAGGTTTGTCCTGCGGACGTATGCAGTCCCAGAGGTTAGTACGACGATACAGGCGTTTGATGAAGCGGCTGTTCCTGGGTTCTTGGCTGCGGTGTGTGAGGCTGCCAAGTTGGATAAGGAGCGCCCCGTTGCGGCCGGGATGGTTGCGACGGTTACGTATAATGTCACCACGGGGGTGACGTCGGCTTCGTTGTTGGGGGTGCAGGAGGGGGTGAGCAATCCGCCGGATCAGTTTGCGAATTTCTCGAGCATCTCGTCGTTTGCGATTAATAATGTCACGACGATGAAGGAGTGGTCGAGTAATTTCGACACGCCGACGCAGATGTGGAGGTTTGTATTTCCCACCCTTTTATGTAAGGAAGAAGAAACAAAGCTGACAGCTGCTAGAATCCAATTCACCCACCGCACCATCAAAGCCGACGCTGCGGTGCTCACATCTCTCTACGAAGCCTGGAAAGACGCAGTGGCCGAGATCGCCGACGTCGAGGGTCTCGCCCCGACGTTTGTAGCCAACGTCATCTCCCCCAATGCGGTCCGTGTCGGAAACACCAACGGTATCGGCAATATCTGGGGTCTCGAGGAAGAGCCCATGATCAGTACGCAGGCCCATCCCATAACCCATCAATTACCCCCCTATTTGCCCGATGGCATCGAACTAACATACATGGTTGTAGTCTGGCAATTCAGCACAAGCTGGTCCCTGGCGCGTGACGACCGACGCGTCGAGACCTGGGGCCGCGTAACGACCGAGCGCCTGCACGCGCTGAACCGGCGCAAGGGCGTTGCGTCCGAGTACATTTACATGGGCGACGCGGGCGACTGGCAGGATGCGTTCGCGGGGGTGCCGAGGGCGAATGTGGCGCGGTTGAAGAGGATTCAGAGGGCTTATGATCCCGAGAGGGTTTTTACGCGGTTGAACACGGGTGGGTTCAAGTTGACTTAGGGAGTTGGTTGTTGGTGGGAATGGGGCTGGGGTGGTCGGGGTGTGGTAGTTTGCCAGCACATGAAGATAGGAAGAGTTCGATATAGGACTTAGACTTTCGAACTGCGAGCAGCAGGCCGTGGTTGTTTGAATACACACTACAGTAGGCTTATTGGACCAGGTGTGTGGACCAGAGCTTCAATATCTAGCCAACAAGCTCAAACATATCAATCGATCTATCCCTATTCACTCTTTCCATCAAATAGATCAATCTACATCCAGTTTCTATCCCCCCTCCTCGAAACAAACGCCTCCGCATCCCCATTCTCAGTCACGTCAGCGCCAGCACCGCACTCGCCGATTCCGCCGGCGTCATGGCCCCCTTCCAGTCGGGCGCGAACCTCATGAATTTCGCAGCCAACGCCGCGAGGCGCGTTTGGTCTTTGTTGTGTGTGAAGCCTACATGCGTGAAAAAAAAAAAAAAAAGAAATCTCAGCAAGGCACATTGACACAGCTGGTGAAGGGAATAGTGAAGGATTACGGGTGTTTTGGCTTACCCCTCGTCTGCCTCTCCGTCGCGACATTCCCAGGACAAACACTCATGAAGAGGATGCCCTCGTTCTTATATAGTGCCCTATACTTTGCGACGGCAACGTTGACGCCGGCTTTGCTGATTTCGTATGGGGGCGCAAGGTCGAGCTCGGTTGAGTTGGTGAGGTCGAGGTCGGACATGCCGCTGGAATTGTGATGCCTTTCCTCTCGCCCGTGGCGGCTTGGATTAGTGGGAGGAAGGCTTCGATGGTTCTTATTTATATTAAAGGATGAGTGGAGGTCTTCTTCGAGGATTTTGAAATCATCATGGCTAAGCATCTTGGTTAGTGATAACCATCAGATAGGGTAAGAAAGTGAGGTACGGAGTATGGTTAAATGTACAAATCGCCTAAATTCCGCAACTTAGTCACCTCGGATACACTGGAGGCGTTGTTAATGAGGTAGTTTAGGTTTCCGCCTGTAATTGCCTTAACGAACTCTGCAGCTGCCTGTTGCATCTAGTTAGTACATTCTACCATATAGGATGAAGCCTACATAAATTCAGCAAAGCAAGATCCGTATACTACGCCTCAATAAAGGGAACCGAAGTCAAACCCTAAGCCTTGGACTTTGCCTCGGGGGAGACCTTGTTGCGGACCAGACCGATGACAATGTTTTCGGGGTTTGCGGCGAGTTAGCGGATGAATTCGAACCATCCACGAGTCAGCGATGCGCGAGGCTTGGTGAGGGATACGTACCCCAAGGCCCTGGCTGGCACCCGTGACGAGATAATGGGGCATTTTAGCGGGGGTTCTGAAGTGTCTGTTGTTGGTAGAGATGTTATTCAACGCGTAGTTGCGATTTTCTGGGCTCTATCACAACGGTGTTGCCGAGAGTTGAGATAGGCCACATTGCCAACTCTCCCTGCATCCCTGGTGATTCCAAAGCACCTCTCTGTAAATAATAGTCAATTGGTAGTGTTATCTGCAACAAGCAGTTCTGGTTGAGACTGGTCCGAGGATAGGGCTACCATCAACCCGGTACTCCGAGTGCCTTGCAGACTAGGGTATTCTTGGCACGCCTACGGAGATTGAGTACATTGAGTCAATGCCGTCATATTCGCATTGATAATGAGCAAGTGCACTACTATCCGGCCGTTCTAGGTCTCTGTGATGGCCCAACTACTGCGACTGTATAGAGTTCGATGCAAGGTTTAGTTAGGCCTGACCCGGCTTACGATCGGCCCACATACTACCGAGTGTCTTTGCCCTGGCTACCCAGTCCGATTCGTCTGCTACTCAAGAATACATGCAGCAAGGCAGTAATGAAAAATCAAAGTAGCTAGCAAACTGGTCGTGTGCCTGGCCATGACAAGTCAGTCACCCAGACCAGCCATAGCCATATCCCTTGTCAGGAGCACAGCGCTACCGCTACCCAGTAATGGATCAGATATTGGGAAGTATAAAGTTCGCAAATGCTAAGCTATCCAAGAAGCATGCTCCATATCATCATATGCGACAACAGAGCAAGAACTCCAATTTCAGGGGATTCAGTCCCCGACCCTCTCTCGGGGCACACCTTGACAAGCAACCACGACACATCTCGCAAAGCAGAAAACACTCGTTAAGATATCCAAGAGCTCCCAATTCACGCGCTGCATTCTATGCGGAAGCAAAGCGTCACGAGAGCGGAGTCGGAAGACCTGGCTGGATAGAATCCGGTTCCGTGAGTGTTGCAAGATCACCTGCATCCATCCGGAGACACCGCTCTAACCCACATTAGTCTATTATCTAGACGGAGTGACGACGCTATCTGAGTCCCTGACCCGCTCGCAGCGAACTGTACATATTGATGATGCCATTCTTGTTTGCGAGGAGCCGACGTGGCCAGACGATCCGCCGTGTGTGCCATTGGTGATTGTCCATGCCGAGTGTTGGGAGCTCCTGGTAAGATGCGTGGGTTATGAGAAGAGAATTGACTTGGACAATATCTGGGAGGTTCTGAGTGGGCTACCGAAGCCTCGAGGTCTGTCTTCACTAGTTGTTGTGATCTTTGTCGTTGGAGACTGACAGTGCGCAATGAATAGTACCGTCCTGGGTCGACATGTCGAAAGACGGCCCCTTTCGCACACCAACACTGAAAGAGCTTCGCTCACTTGCAGAAGATATCCCCGACTCTTGCACGAATCCGAAATACAGCGTTCGCGTCGATGCCGGCCTCAGGGACTGCTTTGCTCGTTTCCCCTTGGAGCTTCGTGAGGAGATAGCAACTCACCTTACGACGGGGGACTATTTCAACCTGCGGCTCGCATCCCGTATGATGGCAACTGCCTTCCACGGCGTTAGATTCTGGAAATCGCGCTTCCGGAAACAGGGCAGCCGAGGCTTTTGGCCTGATATCACAGCCGACCGTGGCGCGGACAGCCAAGTTGACTGGGCGATGGTATATCACGCTACATCCTGGTTGAGAAGCTGTTTGGAGTTCACAATGACAGTGTAGGATATTGTATCGTGGATTCGCAGCGCTCTTGTTGCTGTGGACATGCCCTCGTTGAAGCCGCTCGACTTCGCCGGGAGGGCGTTGCAGGAATATCGCGGCGATGAGACCGTTGGCGGGGACCGAATCGTTCGGATGCGCGTCTCGTCGCGCCTGGCAGGCATCGCCATCTCGTTTAGTTGCTCCCCGAGGCCGACAAAGGCTTGCGAATACGGCAAGGTTATCCACACATTGAAGATTTTCGCCCTCGAGTTTCAGTACAGGAATGGAGACACTGTGGTAGCCGGCACACTACAGCCAGAAACAATACAGCAGGGGCCGGATGAGGAAAAGGAGATGCCGTTTTTATGTGACTGTCTCCGCGATCGGCTGGTCTTTGATGCCACGTCGTTTGCGGGGTTCTGCGCCCACTATCATTCTGATGAGACGATCGCCTCGTTGGGGGTTTTGCAACAGGGCAAGGAGCCACCTACAACCCTGGCAGGTGGGCCCCGCTTCACTCCCCTCTTTGAGATGAAGATGAATCAGGTGGTCGAGGTTGTTACTACATTTCGGGTAAGCTACTCTCTTCTTTCTGATACGTATGTGGTGAATGGTTAACTCGATAGGGTCCTATTCTAGTTGATATCGGCATCAGAGGCCATGGATACGTGGCGCCGCCAAAAAGTACAAGTCTCTTCCACCACTGAGACGAGAAATATGAGATGAAAGTGTAGAAATATTGAACCACCAATCAATTAATAACATACCCCCCATCAACAACCATCGCATGCCCCTGCACAAACGACGCCCTGTAGGAACTCAAAAACAAGACACAGTCTGCAATCTCCCTCACATTCCCCATGCGCCCCATCGGCGCAATATTGACAGACTCCCTCAGCCCCTCCCGCACAACTCCATCCAACGTAGTCATCTCCGTCTCCACAATCCCGGGACAGACGGCATTCACTCTGATCGCGTCCTTTGAGTAGTCGATCGCATCCGCCCGCGTCATTCCTATGACAGCCGCCTTGGAGGCGCAGTACGCCGACGCGCCGGGGCGCGATACGACGCCTAGCTGTGAAGCGATGTTGACGATTGACCCACGCTGCGGCGGACGGGTCCAGCTCTCGTTCGTACTGGCTGAAGGTGAAGGTGAAGGGAGTGGTTCCTGGACAGTCATTATCTTCAGCGCGGCCCGCGAGCAGAGCCATGCGGCGCGGTAGTTGACGTTGTTGATAAAGTCGAATTCTTGCACGTCGACTTCGATGGAGCGCCGGTAGGGCTTGCCGACGCCGGCTACGTTGACGAGGTAGTCGATGCGGCTGAATTTGGTTTTTGTGGTCGTGAAAAAGGACTCGATGAAGGGTTCTGAGGTGATGTCGCCTGGTACGGCGAGGATTGTGAGGCTTTTGGGGTCGTCGTTTGGATTCCCGTTGAAGCGGGTGAGGAGTGACTGGCGAAGTTCGCCGAGTTCGGTCTCGAGGATGTCGGTGATTGCGATGCGGTGGCAGCCCGACTCTGCGAAGCCGGTCACGATGGCTGCGCCGATGCCTGTTGATGTCAGTGGATACGTTTACATACGTTCAGTCTACGAATATGACCGACCTCTCGCTGCACCAGTCACGACTGCGACACCTGGGAACTGATCCATGGTCTTTCTTGATGATGAACTCAGGAGTGATGATGAAAGTCCAAGGTTATCGGTGACTGGAGTGTTGCATATTGGAGCTGTTGGAGAGTTGGAGTCACTACGGTTGGGGTTCGGGGTAACTGATAAGAGTTGGGGTCAGTTGATGATCTATGACGTCGCCCATCTGCGAGTGGGGCTCGATCCGATCTACAATCGGAGAATTTTGAGCGATGACCAGGAGAGAATTCAACAAGTTACATGAACAAAGTTTAGGTGCGCCGGAGCTATCAACGAGACAAGAGACAGCGGCTGGAGCAAGATATTGTCTTTGGCCATTCCTCAGTTTACTTGAGAGCGGAGGAGAACGCCTGTTCCTGCAGAGGGAAAATATTGCGTGCCCTGGAGGTTATGACGCCTGGCATTGAAAAAGCAACTACATTGCGAGGTGGGTGGATACTCGAGCGAATGTTGGCCAAGGCCCAGGGCCAGCAGTGGGATTGATATCGAGCCAACACAAGATAGTTAAGACCGTACAATGTACGGACTTGGGTAGTAAGAACCAAAAGGGTCTCAAATTAGCATCTCATGAGTGCTCAATGAGTACCGGTAAAGACTAAGTGAATGTTCGAAAGAGCATCGAAATGAGCATTGAAATGAGCATTGAAATGAGCATTGAAATGAGCATTGAAATGAGCATTGAAATGAGCATTGAAATGAGCATTGAAATCCCAGATGCATTAAGAACCACAGCCTTTTTGTTAGGCTTGATACTCAAGAATTGGTATGTATAGCACAGAGCCATTCAGGGAGAAGTGAGTAACAATATTATACACACTCAAACTTGTAGATCCGTATTCTGTTCAATTGATCCAACCATTTGATCATCCGCTATTAAGCAGGTAAGCCTTGATCATCCAACATTCCTCCAAGCATCACCATCATTCTTTTCCGCCCCGATCACCCTCGACGCGAGAAGCATCGTTCCCATCGAAGCCACGATCATGGCTACAATTAGCATGATGGTGATGCTGACCAAAACTCCAGTCACTCAAATATACCCTCTGCTTCCTTTTTCCCCATCCAACATCAATACTGAAATGCCCCGTGTGCCTGCCACAAGGCTGGTCGGCAGGTTTATCGCTGGCTATAGGGATGCCCACAATCTCCCAGTCAGAATCGACCTCCTCTTTTCCCCCGGCTTCCTGGGTGATATCGTCTCTGGTATGAGAAGCATTTTCTGTCGGAGATCTAGGGTTGTGCTCGCCGTCCGGGCGTGGATGTTCTAGTGATGATTTTGCTTAGCAGAGTGATATGAGCAGCAATAGGGGGGTAGGGAAATGGCACTTTCAGAGGGTATTTTCTCAGCTGAATATTTCCGAGTAAGGTCCCTTCTAGCACCTTGAACCATCTTGTTTGGTTTCTGGTCATCAACATGCATGAGTCTAAGTCTGTGATTGTCAAGATGTTATTTCGCCTTTTAGTGCACAGGAGGTGGCATCACTGATGGCCCCATCAATACGTAATCCAGATACCAGTTGGCCGCAGGGGCCATCACATCCCTGGACGTACTACTAGGCATGCTATAGGTTGATCAGATGCAGGCTGACTGCGGCAGGTACCGAGGCATTTTGAATAACATCCATCTTGTGACCTCGCACTTCCGAAGCCCAGAGATCAGGGTCTCGTCCCATAAGCTAGAGTGCGCGTGAATCTTCACGGTACATACATCATTTCAAATTTGACATACATAGTACGTACATAATCAACATTATGGATAGGTGACACCACCCCTAAAGGGAGCAGGTGCAGGGCGCTAATCCTAGCCCAGGATGGTACATATATATTTGCTTATTCTGACCAGCTTGGAAAGCGCGAGAGCAGCTTTGCTCTTTCCCTTGCACATCCAACATTGAGTCGGAGCGTCGACGCGATGAGACACCTACCACGCTTCATCAAATTCCACAGATTACCGTTGCTTTCATCAGGACAATGGCGATGCGGGTACAGGCTGACTTGTCACCTGTCGTATGATGAGAACATCCCTATCCTCGACTACGAGCCGATCAAAGGTGTCGAGAGGCTAGAGAGATATCGTCCTGGAGGTTACTGCCCTATCGTAATTGGGGACATAATAAAAGGCAGATATCAGATCGTGCACAGGCTAGGCCACGGAAAACTTTTCTACTGTATGGCTTGCACGCGACAAGCAGCAGAAAAGTTGTGTCGCCGTCAAAGTCACTATAGGGGACTCGCCTTCTCGCGAGGCTGATGTTCTACGCGCTATTAAAGAATCACCTTGTGTAACAGACTCTCCTGGAAGGACTTTGCTTCCTCTGATGCACGATGAATTCAGTATCCGGAGCTCGAACGGGTCACATTCATGTTACATCAGGTCTGCGATTAGGTGCAGTGTCGCTGCGGCAAATTCATATTAAGGTTGATCGTGTGCTTTCTAGTCAGCTGGTTCTGGTCGTTGCGTATATCCATGCCCAAGGGGTTGCTTATGGAGGTATGTTGGGTATGGTAACTCTACAGAGCATGGCGGTGTCGAAGATTGTAGAATACATACACAGAGTCGGCCCTTCTAATGTGTCAAGTTAGATATTCGTCTTGGAAACGTCCTCCTACTTCTTCCATCGAACCTCAAACGTCTCTCCATAAAACAACTTTAAAAAGCTTCAGCAACCCCCGTACGGAACCTATCATGCGACTCGAAAACAATCCTTATCACCTGGCGTGCCTCTATACGGGACAGTCCCCATATGGCTCGGCAAGAAAGCTAAGGAAATCACACCAAGTAAAGTCCATCTCATGCTCAGCGACTTCGGCAGCGCATTCTCTCCTTCGAACCCCCAGGAGAGAGTGCCAATCCCCTCTCCCAGTTCTACCACCAGAAGCTCACCACCAACCTGATAAACTAGTCTCCTTCCCCGCGGATACTTGGACGCTTGCATGTGCTCTATGGGAGATATTCAGCTCGCGCGCACTGACGCTACGCTTGCGACAAGGGATGATATCACTGCACAGCAGGTAGCTGTCCTTAAGTCGCTGCCGGCCGAGTGGTGGAGTAGCTGGCAGGCGTGTGGTGAGTATTTCGATGAAGATGACCGGCCGGCTAATCGTCGGTTCGTGTTTCTGTCGCTTGAAGAGACCTTTGAGGTGGACGTGCAGGCTTCATGGCGGGGTAGTAACTTGAGCAAGTTTGGTATGGAGGAGAAGGAGGCTTTCCTGGGTATGCTCCGCCCAATGTTGATCTTCAGACCCGAGGAACGAGCTACGGCAGCGAATACTCTTGGGTCTCAGATGATTGAGAATGGGGATTGCCGAGTGTCGAGAGGATTTGCAAATCCTGATTAATCTCGGCTCATGATATACATTACCAGGTCTTTCCTAATCACATTTCAACTCCAACGCCCTTTGGCAGCCCCACTCTTCAATTCAAGATTACACTATCCTCGTCGTGAATGGTGACGCCGGGCATCCGACTCTTGAAACGCTCAAAGTCCTTTCGCCTGGCATAACATAGGCCAAAAGTCACCACGTCGACATTCGAGAACAATGCCTAGTGATACGAGTAAGCTCTAAATGGTTCTCTCTCATGGAGATACGCATACACGCAAGATAGATGCATAGGTATAAGTATCGTGGGCCACGACTTACTGGAATCTGCTCCAAAACCTCTCCCATAACATTCTCCCCGACACACTCCTCCGGCGGCAAAACCTCAACGTGCGGATCAATATCCAGCTGCTTCAGCCTCGGCGCCACGATCGCCGGCACGCCAGAGTTGTATAATGGTACATATAGCCGCATTGTTCTCAGAGCCGGCAACACGACCCCGTCAAGCTCAGATTTTGAGCCGTCTTTCCCCAGCCTGGTTGTTTCAATGGTGCCCTCGTCTATGAACTTTGCGTAAAACTCCCGTCGAGACGGAGGAAGAGGGCCAAGGCGGTCTTCTATGTCGCGCTCGAGGTGCTTCAGGTCAGGATCATGCGGGATTTTCCAGAGCAGGGCGATTGATTCGGCGAACCAGAGGCGGCTTGTTAGGGCGCAGCTGTGGAGGTCGTTCCTGCGCGTGATGACAAAGGTATAGTGGCGAGGTCTGTCTGGGATTTCTTCGAGGCGGCCCTCGTCTGCGTAGATCCAGTGGAAGATTTCGCTGAGTATTTCAGGGAGAGAGAGGGCTTTTTGGATTGCAGGTGTTGGTGTTGTGATTGGTGTAGCCATGATTCCGGATGTATAGATAGTTGTTACTCTGGGGGTTGTATAACGGGAATCATTTTTGATTGCTAAAGGTCTGTTATGTTATTGTTACTCCAGGGGTTGTGGTGGCTTATTTGCCAGGTTGGGTCGATGGTTTTTCGTTTCCAACACAGCCTCATATGACTCATAGAGTTGGCTGATGTGACCTCACTATTCCTTTGCAAATCTACTCAGCCTCCCAATATAGCTGCAGTTATGGTATTTTGTTTGTTATTTTGCTATTATCAGTTCACATAGTTGTTCATCTTAAAGGTAAGCTTTTCTTATAGCCTACATAAGACTCTATGGTCATTCTACCTCGGACCGTTAGTGCTGTGATATATATTTACAATAGTTCATGAAATAACTCTCCTCCACTTTACCATAGGGAGTCTCGGCGCTATGATTGGATTACTCTTGTGGCGTCACAAATATAGGAGCGTCTACATAAACTTGGCGGGTCCTAGTCACCACGCACAATTCGTCCACTGTTCAACTTGAATCTCAAAACCTTTACCCCACATTTCCTGGATTCTCCACTGCCAGCAGCAATTGAATCTTCTTCTCACCCAACCTACTTCCTACACTTGCCATTCCAACTAGACCACCGTATACACATCCACTCCAAACTTCAAGAACTCCCCAGTCCTCTTCTCCACATTTCTCACCTGCCCCTTCCTAGCCCGCCCATCCCTCAAAATGGCAACCTGGCGCCCGCTAACCCTCGACGACATCCCCGCTCTAATGACCATCGCAAACAAAATCCACACCACCCTCCCCGAACGCCCCGAGATCTTCGCCGAGCGGATAACCCTCTATCCCGCTGGCTGCCTCGCCCTTGAACAAGAAAACGATAAGCAACTCATCGGCTACGCAATCTCACACCCGATTCGGCGCGGCGAACCGCCAGAATTAGATATGCTTCTTGGAGAAAAGTATATGCAAATCGACGCTGGTGCACGCGATGCGGCGTATTATATCCATGATGTGGCGGTTTTGCCCGAAGAAAGGGGGAAGGGGTATGCGGGGAGGTGTGTGGAGTTGCTACTTGGGAATGCGGCTGCGAGGGGGTTTTCTGTTGTTTGTTTGGTTTCGGTTTATGGGACGGAGCAGTTCTGGGGACGGTTTGGGTTTAAACGCGTGGAGGTTGGGGACGAACTCAGGGGGAAGTTAGAGGGGTATGGTGGGGATGCGGTTTATTTGGAGAGGGAGGGAGTGTAGGCTACAATATGGGGGTGAGGGTTCTTTTGGACACAGACATGCATTGTCCAACTAGTAGTGGCTTGGTTGGAGCTGTATGCTGTCGTTTTTGGCAGTGGGGGTGATGGTGTGCAGTTTGCGTATGAGCGACTATGGGTAAGATGTCATAAATAGTATGCTGAGTCTTGTGTTCATGATTAGCTCCTATCTTTGTATCTCTTACGTCCCTATCAACATGGCTGAGGGGAAGAATATTGCTCTAGGGTGCACAATCATATGGTTAATCCAGTATATACCTAGCAGAGTACGGCGTCTCTTAGAGAGATACAGTATACTGGTCATGAACCTAGCCTGCATCTACCACATCTGCCATATCTCCCATCATAAAAAACCCTTGCCCAGCCCACCTAAACCACCAACCTAAACTTAAGCAATCCCCCTCAACAACACCCCATCTCCTCCCCTCAAGCTCCCGCATATATCCACAGGGGATTTGTACCCTATGGCTCTACTCTGGTTGACTCTACTGAACGTAAGCTTTCCATCTAGCGGACAAGCGTTGCCATCCGCGCGTAAGCAAGCGGGATCCATGCTGATCTTTGCGGTTGCTGGGAAGACCCATGGGGATGAACATGGAGCTCTGGGTCGAATACGTACACCAGCGGGTCTTTACGATTGTGACAGTGGTGTCCTAGCTGAAGGACCAAAACATGGGACTCTGAGTTAAACAGCTGTCACACCATTGAGGCCGGTCGTCCAACGATGGCTTGAGTATGGCAACAGCGTTGAACGGCCTCTGCAGCTACCAGTGTAAAAGCCCTGTGTAACCAAGTTTATTAGTAGATATAGACGTAAATCATGTCACTTGACTAGAAGGGGAATCTAGAGTTGGAAAGTATGTCAATAGAGCCGTTACGGATATATAAAGAGAATAAGATATCATCCCCCTGATTAGTTGTTTCCTGCTCATCTACTTTAATATTCAAACATTTCTAGGTGTATTGCACTTTCCCTGGAGTCTGGTCAGATACATATGCCAAGTGCAACTCGTACAGTCATTCTCAAAATCAGCTTCACCAGCAAACGTACGATGACTACTCTCAAGCCGCACTGCCCAGGCCTTAGAATGAGTAGAATACTGAGCCAGCCGTATTCGAAAGAGGCAGTAACTTGAAGGCACTTTAAGGATAAAATGTAAAATATAACTTAAGCTTCCAATACATCTAAGTTGAATTTACTATTAATGTCCATGAAAACCCAAGAGTCAAAACCGGTGACACCTCAGTGTATGTCTTTTTTGTCTCTCGAACGAACCCGGGAATGCTAGAACTAGAATGGCTCGCCTCTGCGCATGGGACCGGCAGTGAAGATCGCTCCACGCAGACCTTGGAAGCAAATGGCTACAATGGCCCCAAAAATACTCACTCCACACAGGGCTACAGCAAGAAATCCCACGCTTTCAACATATGCGGCGACCACTAACCCCAACAATATGACGGCAGAGTGTACCAGTATATACAGAGCATAGAGTACACTGTCATGATGCCCAACCTAGAAAACCAGAATGAGCACGCTAAAGTTATCATAAAAAGGAGCCAGCTAACTGAGAGAAACACGCGGACGGTTTCTGACGAAAAGCAGTGTTTCTGAGAAACTTCTTGCGGATCCTTTAACTCGACGGTAATGAGAACAAACGTGATCGACGCCCCGAGTGTTGCAGTTGCTCCCACATTCTGGAAGAAATCTTTCATATCATTTTTAGTCTGTTTGTCATGTTTTGGTTGTGGTGTTTCGAAACAATCTCTCAGAACCCAGGGTCTGCTGGGAGTTGGTCTGTGGGGCTGGGCAGGAGGCCCGTCTAGCAATTCATTGAGCCGGCGTCTAGGCGAGCTGAGACGATCGCCAGCAACAGCACTGGATGGGCCATTCCTTGTCTGGTCTTCAGCAGATCTCTGAGGGTTTTCCATCTCTTTGTCAAGGAGATATAGGGGTATAGTAGGGAGTTAAAACAGTAAATGTTGGAGAAATCGGCTAGCTTAAAGTTGTAACCTGATCTTGGGTGGGCAAAGGATATAATAATATACCATTTTATGTAGATAGTACGGCTATTTATATTATGATCGATTCATGTGTACTGTAATGCCATGTATATAGGTCATGCCACTATTAAAACCTTTTACAGGCCAAGATACTTTACGTTATGGCAGACGGCACCACCAACTATACCCGGCGAGCAGGCTGTTCTAGATCACCTTATACAAAGCAAATGACATCATCACCACCAAACTAGGTGTAGGTACCCAGGAAATGTGGTTCTTATCTCACCATAGATGCTTCAAGATTATGCAGGCTAATATATTAGTAGTAGGTGAAGAACAAAACCTCTATACTAATCCTAAGAATAGCCGTCTTCCTTGCATGTTTATTCTCAAGTGCATTTAGCCGTGTCACGTTGCTGCTCATATTATTATCTCAGGAGGAAGGTACTAATGGCTCTCTAAACTATATAGCTCTACAACATAATACGATTTACCTCAAAGGACCCCAAGTATCCCAACACAGTACAGTATAGCCCTGCATTCCAGCTTACTCTTTCAGAAACCGGTATGGCCTTTCGAAATCATCTCTCACAATCACTTCTGCGGATACATCGAATCCACAAAATCCCGTAAAACTTGCTCTTCACTCACAAACCCTGGCTGCCCAACCAGACGCAGTATCTCCTCAGCGCGAGAAATCGGCTTAGACGTATCCCTCCCGGCAATCGCAAGCTCAGGCCTGTCGAGGAACAGCTCCCGGACTCTATCGCGCAGTTTGTTCCAGCTTCTATTGATGCTGTATGCAAAGAGGCGCTCGTTCTTGACCAAATCGACTGCGACGGCGGCGGCGAGGAGGCGGGCTGCGTCTTGAACGTCTGTGAGGAATGCTGTGGGCATTATAGCATGATTAGCAAGCATTTCCTTTTTTTTTTTTTTTACTCTATATTTTCATCTATATTGAAGAGGAGCGGAAAGGGGGACATATCAGACTCAAGCCCGAACATCCTCCCACCTTCCCTCAAGCGCGCGCATCAACTGCCCCGTCGAAAACGCAGTGGTAACATTCATATTCTGCACATCAAGCACGCGCCCAAACTGGCCGTCCGGAACAACGCAATTAGCCACAAACGCGGGTCGTTTTCGCTCACCCACTCCCTTTATTGGTTCTTTCTTCTAACCATAAAAGAAACCGCAACGCAGCATACCGCGAAAAGCCTCATCAAAGGGTCCCTCCTCCTCAACGTCCTTCAAACTTGCCGGGCCACTTGTTGTTGAAGAGCTTGTGCATCCACGGCTGGTGCTTGCTGACGTCGCGGACTGTGCCGCGGATATGGTATCCGGCTTGTAGAAGCTTCTCACATGTTTCGGCTGCGGTGTATCCGTTTGCTCCGAAGACCACCACGGTGGAGTCTTGGGGAATTGCTCGATCGGTTATCTGCATTTTGTTCAGGTGTATACCGGCTCTGATATGCCATATCGATAAAGTAATTTCTGGGAATTAACATACTATGAGGGTTATTTACTATAGTACCCATTTTAAACCCACAGCCTTTATCCAGATTTCAAATACGAAACATAGAGACAGACTTCTAAGCAAGCTCTTGCATGTCTCCGATATGGTGAGCCAGGGAAAGTAGTAGAAAGAAACGTTGCCGCAACCTGGGCTGGGAACCCCGGGCTTTATAAGGAAGTGACGGAACTCCGGGTGCCAACCTCTACTTCGTACACCCTAACCTGATTCAGAAACGAGGCTTAGAGCCGGAGCGGCTCGGGAAGGAGGCTCCGCGTTTTACGATCAGGGATAGTCGAATATATTTTTCTTGGACAGTCATCTCAAGGGCATCATGTGGCCCGTCACATGAGTTAGCGCGGGGTACATCAAGCGGTTAATTGGGAGTCCAGAAACATCGAATCTTCATCTCCCTTCACCAGGACAAAGTAGAAAGCCCTAAAAAAATATTTCCAAACTACGTTGTACACAATGTCCTTCCTCTCCCTGCCTCCTGAGATCCGCCTACTGATCTACCCCCACCTGCTCAACCCCAGTACCTACGCAGCAAGCTACGACCGCATCAACCGGCTAGCGACACAAGCGTATGACGAGGCGAACAGCAAGCATTCTCCCCAGAGGATCCCCTGCGCAACGCTTCCGCGCTTCCACGTCACGCGCGCCACACCGGCAATCCTCCTCGTGAATCGGCAAATCACTCGCGAGGCTCTACCAATTCTATACAGCACGGAGCTCGTCTTGCAAGGCACGCCATCGACATACTTTGTGTTTCGGCAGATGGACATTGCAGAGTTTATTTGTGAGACGCTGTTGCAGAAGATGAGGTTTGTAGTCCTCGAACTCGCGAGCCCGAATAAGTTGTTTGTGCTTGCGCTCGTGGATATTTGGGGGAGGGGAAATGAGTTGGAGAGGTTGGTTGTGTGTCTTCCGAAGGATACCATGGCCGAGTGGAATTGGAGGATTGTCAAGGAGAGGGTATATTTCCATTCTTTTCCCTTGTTCGACGGTTGATGCTGATGCTGGTGCGCCTGTGTGTAGCTGCGGACATTCGCAGAGGTAGAGGGTATTCCGCTTGAGATGCGCACTCTCCAGCAGCCAAAAAGTGCAGAAGGACAATCTTCTGATGGCCAGTCGGCTCACTCTTCTATCGACATTCCCCGTCGAAGATCGAATGGAATCACGGCTTCAATACTTCCCTCACCCCATTCGCAAACAACAAATGCGCATAGCAAACGTGCATCGCGGTCATCGGTCTCGAATACACCTTCCCGCCCGTAAGGGGGTTACTCCGCACATGCGAATAGACAATTGTAATGTGCTCCTCGCCATCATCATTCGCCGTAGGATCATCCCTGGATACCTCGAAGCGATGCGACGCCGCGAGGCTCCGACCGCTGGTGCGGCCTGCGTACTCGACAAAACTACGGGCCGGTCGGGGGATCTTCATCGAGCCGGGGAAGACTGATTCTCGATCCTCGGGGCTGCAAATGCTTGTGTCGACGAGGTAGTAGAGCCCGAATAAGCAGGCGCCTAGGGGCGGGAGACGGTCGCGGGACATAGCGGTTGGGTTGTCGATCTTGTATGCCTCGAGAAGGAGATGGGCCTGGGGCTTGAGGACTCTCGCACTTGCAATTACTACTCACCTTAACATCATTCTTTTCTTCCCATTGTATAAGAGACATACCCTCATGATCAATGATCCCCTGCACAAATGGCGCAATCCACCTCTCGGGCGCAAACACAACCCCCGCAAAATACCCTTTCGAAAACCTCGCGAGAATCTCCTCGTCATTAAGCCCAGGCTTCAAATCGCGGAGCGGAATTCGTAATGTGTAGCTTTCCTCCTGCGTCGGGTTCCCCGCTGGGTCGATGACGTGCATGGCGAAGGAGCGCGCGTGGCCGGGCTCGGCGCGCCAGGTGAACTTCATGGAGCGGCATGGGAGGTATAGGACGAGCAGGGCGCCGAGTGTGACGCCGAGACCGCTATATAGGAGGTGCTGGGACAGAGTTGGCATGGTTATGGTGTGATTCAGGTTGTGTTGGGTTTGCGCAAGTGACGTTGCGGCGTGGAGGGATGAGCGGAATGAAGAGCTTACGGTACGGGCCGAGAGTAACCTGAGCAAGGCTGATTGTAGCCTGAGGGTGATATCAAAATGAATCTATTGATGGATGGATGATAACTGGTGAGGGGGAAGCGACGTAGCTAGTGAACAAGACGTAGAATTTGTTGCTCGGGCGATTAATGCTGGTGTGTTCCAAGGGCTTGATCCGGATGCGGACTGTTAAGGAATCATTTGCATTCGGTTCTAAATATCCAATGTTATGTCGATATACCGAGTTTAGGAATGCAAATCAACATTATAAACAAAAGCGTGGTATCTCAATTCGACAAATCAAATCATACAATCATTAGTCCACCCAACCCCCTCAACCCTAACCCACACAGCTACCCCCTCGCATACCCATACGCCCTAATAACCCTCGGCGGCGATGGCAGCACCAGCACCGTATCCTCCGACATCCGATCCGAGACCGGACAAGCCCCATCATCAACAGCATACGGCTCGAAGCCGCAGGGGAAGACGCCGGATGACCGCGTAGCAAAGGTCAGATGGCTTGGTGACGGGCTGAGCGGGGTCATGGTGTCCGTGTATATTTCTTCTATCTCGACGCGTGTCGCTGCTACACCGCGTTCTGAGCTTGGTCTTGCGGCTTGTGATGGTCGTTGGAGGGGGAGCCAGAGCGATGGGGGTGGCGGGAGGAGAGGGGATGTCGGGGTGAGGGGTTCGTAGCGTTGGGCGGACAGGGTGTCGCATGACTCTGTTTGCAGGTGCAACTGTGGTTTAAGGCACGACTGTGAGGACTGTCCAGATACTGGAATCACAAGCGTGGTCATTGTGCTCGATGGCTGTGGAGCGGGTGGATGGATTTGGTTCTGGTGCTGGCTTTGGCCCATCGCCGGCGGTATCCGAGGATCCGTCAACAGCCCAAGAATCTCAAGCTCCTTATCCACCAAGACCATCGTCCGTTGATTCACTGTCGACCGGACGGACGCGACATCATCGGCGCTGTGTGTAGAGGAGCTGGGTTCCTTGGCCAGTTTGCCGTTGCGGCCGCGTTTGGAGCGGCGCGAGAATAGGGCGCGGATGAAGCCGGGGCCGGTCTTGATGCGGATCATCACGAGGGTGGTTATTAGGAGGACGAGAAAACCGACTATAGAGACGAGATTAGTCTTGAGTCATAGAGCACTGTTGGGCAAAGACTCGCCTATGAGCCCTAGTGCGAGTGCAGATTTCCTAAAAGGAGGCTTGGAAAAGTCTCTCTTGGGTGTCGTTCGTGGAAGGAAAAGGAAATGCCTAGGAAATTGCTGGGTCATCGGACTTTTTAGGCGTTGACTGCAAATATAACGTAGCAAACAGTCATATCATGCCACGCGTAAGAATCGAAGAAAGCACAGACGGAAATATCAGATTGATCATGCGAAAACAGATGTGACTTATAAAATCGCGGGATCAAGCTGAAGACGCAATCTAAGTAAAGCGCCTCGATAGATCGACTGTCCAAACTGCTGGATCCCCCGATTGCGCAGTCTGACAGGTTCTCCGGGTCCGTGATACATCCCAACGGCCCATCAGCAGATGCAGCCAACAGACTCAGGGGTGGTCAGTGCTGTCCAACCAAAACCACGCCGGGACGCTGTCGGCAGCCCGCTTTGCCACACCCGACCAATCACACTAAGATGGGGGCTGTTGCTGATTGAGCGGATGTGATGCATCACCTGTCAAACGGCTTAGCCTTCAGCCACTCAGTACTTTCGACGGCGCAAAGGGGGGGCCGGATGACGGGCCGGGCCAGGGATAATGTGTGCCTAGATCCGGTCCCTATTGGCGTTAATCGGTATTCGGACTGGGATTCCGTTCCAGGGGTTTGGATGGCGAGCGATCATGGACCGGGGGGTGTCTCAGCGCGGTTTGAAGAACTTGGTCTCAGCTTCTTGATTCTGGGGCGATCTATGCGGACCCAGGGAGAAACTGTTTCATTTCGCGAGGGCCTCATCAAACTCTCGGGATACCGGTTGCTCCAAACTCTCCGTGATAGCACATCGACGCAAAGTACCCTCCCGGATAACTCTGAATCATCGTTGCATCCCCAAACCCCCGCACTGTACCACCCCGAGCGTCGCACCCGTCCAGCGTCAAGTCGCCGCGAACACCAAACGGCTTCCCGTGGTGGTAGCCGGACGCCAAATATCGCTCATAATGAAAGAATCAGAATGCGAGATAGGGTACGTACCTCGCAAGCGAAAACTGATAGGTAGCTTTCAGAACAAGTTTCACGAGCGCCACCTGATCCGGATGAGGGCAAACCACTTCCCCGAGCCTGGCGGAAGTACGCATAAATACCTCCCCGGAGGGCTGAGCGACCGTTGCCAAGGTTGGTGTCACGACACAAGATAGCGGCTGAAACTTCTTTGTTCTAGCGGGCGGAGCTGTTCGGGCTCTGTTGGGGCTTCAGTCCTTCATGAACCAGGTCTTTTGAGCATATTGTAGCTCGGTCCTAAATTGAGTCACCTGGGCGAGCTTAGCTGATACAAACAAAGAAATTCGTAGGTGGCTGCCATCCACATACTATAGTTCCCACTGTAATCTCAGGTCATCTGCAGTAAAGATTGGGGTTATTACCGAACGCTTCAGTGTCTACTAGAACCATCATGAACTGGATATCCTCAGTCTCGGTTTTCACGCGCATTTGCATTTTAAATCCAGGCGGAGTACGACTCTTCCCTCTTCGCTCAATAGGGATGATCGACATTGCAGTTGACTAGCAGCCGTTTAAACGCCGAGCTGCAGGAATTGCGCGGCGGCGCTGAGAGATGATGGACAACCTCAGGACTGGAAACCTCAAGACGCAATCCCAACAACATTCCTCTTCCTCTCATGACCATAGAAATGTTCATTCGCGGGCTAGTCTAATAGTCCACATTTGTCTGGAAATGGCGCGCAAGCTGCATCGTCTCCATTGTCAAGCCAACGCGGCGTTGCAAGTGAATTCCAAATCATCCTCTGTTGGATCTTCTTTTGGGACGATGGCTTGATTGCAAATAATACCCATGAAACAACCCTCAATTAGGTTTCTGGAGAGAAATCCGTGCTCGGGGGTGGATTGCTGCATGTCGACGAAGGAGAGGTTGAGGTCAATAGCCGTAATCCAGGAATCTGCCTCCATTGAGGCTTGCATGGGCGAATGCAGCAAAGGCCGGCTCATTACACGTTCTTTCTTCTCGACACTTATTGAGGTAGCAAGCGACGTGAGAGAAGGATGAGAAATGGCTAAACAGGGCAATGCAACTGCAATTCAAATCGCCCTGTAACAGAATGCTTCTCCAGTGGTTCTAGAATTGCTTGTCCCCAGCTACGCCCACATGGTGGGGGCGGCCCTCGACGCGAGTGAGGGGAACTAGGCAAAAGCAAAGCTTCTGACACCACGAGGTCTGAGATTAGAAGTTCATGCAGGCTCGATCATAATCGCACAAGTAATCATTGGTGCGCCTTGTCATCCGTGGGATGATCCATTGGCTTACCAGGATTCCAGGAAAAACATCGTTCAGCCCGTGTCATCTTCCATGCTTCCAGAACGCTCAGTCCTCTGGCCCCCCCATGTCACGGTTTGTCTGGTCGTTTCGCATTAACTGAAGTCAAAGCAAGGCAGGCGCAGTCACCAAGAGTACGTTACTCGAAGGAAACAGGAAGGAACAAGGGTTCCTGTTGTCACTTCATGTTCGCCCAACCTCCAATAAGGAAGGAACGACCCGGGTACCGCTCCTTCCTCGTCTATACTGGGTACATATGGAAGGCTACCAGGGGTGCCTTCCTAAAACAAAACAGGAAGGAACATAGGCCGTGGCTGGTCGTTCCTTCCTTTTCGAGGGCACGACAAATAAAGAAGGAACGACCCTGATACAAGAATAGAGGGAAGGCGCAACACATGTCCCTCCTTCCTTGTAAGAACCGAATGAAAGAGGAAGGCGCGCCCAAGAGCACCTTCTTTATTCGAAACTGGAAGGAGCGACTTGCAAGGTGTCGGTCGTTCCTTCCTTTTCTGCTGCGTTGGACGTTCGAGGAAGGCACTACCAAGAGCACCTTCCTAAATCAGAACAGGAAGGGGCAACTTCTTCCTTCCTTCCTTTCTCGCGGAGTTGACCATCCAGGGAAGGTACGATCCAGTCGCTCTTTCCTGAAACGAAACAGGTAGGAGCGGGATGTTGGTCGTTCCTTCCTTTTGCACTGAGTTGGCCGTTCAGGGAAGGCGCGACCCATGGGGGCGTACCTTCCTAGTTCAGAACAGGAAGGAACGAGGTAGGTGCAGGGTCACTCCTCCCTTTTGTGGTCAGCCACTCATGCGAGGAAGGCGCGACCCTGGGGTGCACCTTCCTGATCGGAAATAGGAAGGAACATGGACAGCCGTTCCTTCCTTTTATACTTCATTGACCGACAAGGGAAGGCGCGACCCCGTAGTGCTCTTGCCAAGTTCGAAACAGGAAGGAACGTGTCCAGCGGCATGGGTCGTTCCCCTTCTCCTACATCGGCGCAGTTTGCTGAAGATGGAAGGAGCGATCAGGCGCGTCTTCCTTATATGAATCGCTCAGACAACGAAGGTGCTACCGAAAGTGCCTTCCTGAAGCAGAACAGGAACCTTCTCGGTTGTTCCTTCCTCGTGGGCTCGGTCGGTCAAGCAAGGAAAGCGCGAGCACTATCCACGATGCGGAGGTGTGCCTTCTTGATATAGCACAGAAGGAGCATAGAAGAGCCCTATGGACGCGCTGGGTGCACTGAAGAAAAGTAAGCCAGCAGCAGTGGGCAACGAGGAGGCCTCGAGACCATGATGACTGGATCGTTAGATATCATCGCAGCTCTCCGCTCCGCGTTCTGTGTGGAGTAAGGCCCCGCTAGGTTAGAGGCTCTGCGGATCTGTGTGTTTCTGCCTCGCGTCGTGGAATGTGAAATCATGATGTCTGTGGTCAGAAGCTCAGGCTGCCCAGCGGAATCAACAAGAAGCTCGGGCGAATAGGTAATGGCACGCCACGTATATTGGCCACTGCGGTTCCCGTGGTAAATGGCGCAAAGGACGCAGCAACTGCAGACAACGCCCTGTCCTTCAAGACCGATATTTCAAAGCGACACAGGTCAAGTGCCTTGCGGGAATCTCGCAACTGTCGTTATCATCCAATAAATGACGTCAAATCACGACTTCTCATTGGTTTCTAATCCAAGCAGCTTTCTGATCTTCCAAGCCTGGTGGTTGGTGCAAAAAAAACTGAATTAGTAATTCTCCGTTGTCGTCAATCCTCGTCCCTGCGGCTGAATGCCAACGCCATCAAAGGAGCCCTGACTCTGTACTAGTTGTTCTTGGTACCTGCGGCTGGGCAGTAAACACGGGCAGGCCAACCAGTTTCAAGCCTATACCAGTGACTAGCTCTCCAAAGGGCCTGGCTCAAGCAAACCCAAGGTTGCTCTAACGCATTCTACAGCAACGGCGATGCACGGTCGGCCCCTAGCGGGGTCAAAGCGTTAGAAGGCTGCTCGGGGGAGAGTATAGAACCCAATCACCGAGCAGTCTGAGGGCTCTTGGCTCGGATAAAGATCCCACAGGAGCATTAGTAAACGAACATTAGGCCCATTAAAGTCCGTGGGACGCGCTATCGGCGTCGGTGGTTCGGTTTTCCGACTCGTGCCGTGATGACCAATGGCCAATAGAGTCGCATCGAAGCATTCCACGAGGAGCCCACTCGTATACTTAAACCTCGCCTGGACCATTAATTTGAGGAGGCATCAAACACAATCCATCACTGTTCTCATAGAGAAACAAAACATTCGAGCCTCTCTCGCAAGCATCTTTCTTACCTTCACAAATCTGAAGACCCATCAAGCAGACCTTCTCCAGTCATCACGAGCAAACAACACAGCAATGTCGAAAGCAATCCTCGTCACAGGTGCCACTGGCAAGCAAGGCGGCAGCGTCATCACGAACCTCCTCAAGCAAGACGCCGATGTCGAGATACTCGCCGTCACTCGTGATGTCAACTCTGCTAGTGCCACCAAGCTCGCTGCAAAGTCTCCCAAGATCAAACTAGTGCAGGGCAACCTGGACCAAGTAGGCGAGATCTTCGCCAATGCCAAAAAGGCCACAACCAAGCCAATCTGGGGTGTATACAGTGTGCAAGTATGTACCTTACACTCCTTTTAAATTGTGCACGCTAACAATGTAAACAGCTCGCAGACTTGAGTGGAAAAACCGACACCGAAGAGAAACAGGGCAAGGCCCTTGTCGACGCGGCGCTCAAGAACAACGTCAAGCACTTTGTATACAGCTCTGTCGACCGCGGCAACGAAGCCTCGCTGAACAATCCGACGTATATCCCGCACTTCATCCACAAGCACAACATTGAGCATCACCTAATCGACAGCACCAAGGGTACGGATATGCAATGGACAATTCTTCGGCCAGTGGCATTTATCGATGGTCTTTCGAATGACTTCTTGGGCAAGGTGTTCGCTACGGCCTGGAAGGTCGTACTGAAGGGGAAGCCGTTGCAGGTTGTTGCCGTGTCGGATATTGGATTCTTCGCCGCCCAAGCCTTCATCAAGCCGGACGAGTACAGAGAAAAGGCACTATCAATTGCGAGTGACGAGCTCACCTATGACGAGTTTGCGAAGATCTTCAAGAGCAAGACAGGAAAGGATGTGCCGACAACGTTTGATTTCCTCGCGCGCTTTGTCCTGTGGATGGTGACTGATCTCGGCAAGATGTATCGCTGGTTCCATGACGAGGGATACAAGGCTGACCTTCAGGAGCTCAAGAGGATGCATCCCGGGTTGAAGGATTTCCGGAGCTGGTTGGAGACGGAGAGTGCTTGGAGGGATTAAGAGTCATCTGATTTGTTGAAATCTGCCAGCGTTGGTTTAACAATATAGAGATTAATGTATAATAATAGAGCTTTGTTAAGGAATGCTGATCTTGAACCGTGGACACTGTAAGAAAACAACTTCGCGGAGAATAAAAATCAAGCAGTGTTATCCGTACGCAAAGTCCCTGATACATAACCGGTCTTGGCGCTAGCCCAAAACTGCCCTATAACACCACCCCAATATATCCTCCAGGGTACTCTTCATTCCCTCCAACTCATATATCATCACTCCAGCCCCCGCAATGTCTCCATCGCTGCGCCCTCGTGCTCAAAGCCCGGCACCAACAAGTGCTCCAGCTACAAACTCACCCCAGTGCAGTACTGCTCCAAGGACTGCCAGAGAAACAACTACAAAACGCACAAGAACACATGCAAGAGCTTTCACAAGTCCAGCTGCTAGATTATCCGCACCGGTCTAATTACCCAGATGCCGATCCTAAAGATAAAAGCCAACTACATTAAGCCACTCCACTTAAAGGCATATAAAAACTGGCAGGCAGAGAGAGCTTCACGAGCTAAGGCGCAAGATCCCAAACTTCCAGGCCACAGAGATCAGCAAGTTCTACTCTCACAAATCTAATACCATATGGTGGTATTACGCCGTCTATGGTAGTCTTCGTGATGGTTCTCGGAACAAGGTTGCAGAGCACTGCGTTGGTAGACGTGTCAATAGCAATGTCGCAGTGGTGAAGTCCAGCGCGGAGGAGGCTAGCAATTATCCCAATAAATTCACCAGGACCAATCTAGTAAACGCCGCTGCGCTCTACCACACAGAGGATCCCTCGAGTGTGTTTGCAAAACGCGAGGGCGCTCGAGCGTCAATCAAGTATAGGTTTGATCTGTCCAGTATTCCCAAATTCCACCACGACGGGACTGCCTCAAGTTAATCCAATATCAATAAACTTTCAAAAGGCGGCCATACTATAACTATGTCTTCCACGGATTTTTTAGAGGTGGATTGAATAAGCAATCATTAAAAGCCTACGCTTACAGCTAGGTCACTCAGCATTTCAGCAAGTACAGTACAATATTGATTTATCTATCGCCAATGTGATGCGGCACCGTCAGGATAGAATGGGTCATCATAAACCGCGACTCAATCTCACAGCATTTGGTTAGCTCTCTATCCTAGGGACAAAAAATGCAACTTTTACCAGATCACAAGCACCAGTTTTTTAAGCAGATGCCATCATGTCCCACAGTTCGATGATCACCTTTACATCGCCGTCCGTGTTCGGAATTGAGAGACATTATCAGCACTTGTCGATACCAAGATTGTCCATACCTTAGCCAATCCTCGTTCACCACATGGTCCGCATCTTCAAGTCCCTTTTAGTGAGACGTTGCGGCCGCCAATTCTTCTCGTAACGAGCCAGGGAACACACAGCCAAGGCACAAACGAACTGCTGAGGCGACTACGTATCGCTTGAAGTAGCGTCCGTGTTTAGGTATATATAGCTTCGCCCTCGTCCGACGTCGTATTCTAGTTTAGGTGGCGATAAGCGTCTGAATTGGCATTTTCCACTGCTATTCATGGCTGTACAATCCTCTATAACAGCCTGATATGCAGTGTTTCGAGTGGAACCGGAAAGCGTGGCGTCACAGGCAGACGCTGTGGAAGGGACCTGCATCTCCATTGACCGTCAGTTCGTTTACCGGTCCATCCACGGAATAATAACTTACCAAGAAATTGTATCCACAGGTTTGAGGATGAGGCAGGCACCGGAATACTCGAATGATGGGGATGGATAGTGTCCTCGACGACCCAAGAACCACACCAGGCACGGCTGGCTGCATATGTCCGAGAAACGTCAAGTCCACTTGAAGTACGGAATGGTAGAGATGGCATGGGCCATGTGGTACCTTGATCCCAAGGTTGTTCCCGCGTGTCCGTCAACCTTATTTTCAACATTAATTAACCTTCTATTAGTGCCCTGCGGTTGCTTGCAGGTAAACATGGAGGAGAGGCGAGGTTGATGCAGGTGGGATTTTATTTTGAGCACAATATCAGTCACCCAAGCGCACTGCTTTGCCCACGCACACTCTCAACCACTCTTTACCTTCTTTTCCCTTCTTTCTCTTCTCTTCATATGACTTCGTCTGACTTGTCTCCCATCTCTCAGGTCAAGGAACCTCCCGAGATGGCACAACTCAACTCCAAGCAGTCGCTTGACAGACAGCCTCTTCGCAAGAAGGCTTCCACTGTTGTCTCTCACGTTGCTTCCTCCATTCGTCGGGGACGCGAAGTCCCCACTGTCCAAGAGCTCAACACTCTTCGTCGTATTTCTGGCAAAGTCCCTTGGACGGCGTACACCATTGCATTTGTTGAGCTGTGTGAGAGGTTCTCTTACTATGGAACCACTGCCGTCTGTATGTCACACTCAATTAATCCTAACTTTCCCAAAAGGAAAGCTAACAGGTCTAGTCACCAATTTTATCCAACAGCCTCTCCCTGATGGCTCGAGCACTGGCGCTGGATTCAGCGGCCAGTCGGGCGCCCTGGGCCAGGGCCAGAGAGCGGCCACTGGTCTCAATTTGTGTATGTCCCTCTCGACCGTTCTTCTCGAATAATCACTAAAGACGCAGTCATTATTTTTTGGTGCTACTTCATGCCTATCATTGGAGCTTGGATCGCAGACGAGTTCCTCGGCCGTCTAAAGACCATCTATATCTCCATCGCCTTCGCCATGACAGGTCACATTATCCTCATCGTCTCTGCCCTCCCACCCGTCGTCAAACACTCAGACAGTGCCCTCGGTTGCTTCTGTGTCGGTCTCGTTATCTACGGTATGGGCGTCGGAGGATTCAAGTATGTCATCAAAGCCCTGATACGGCCCCAGCCCCAGCTAATAGTATAGATCCAACATCGCTCCATTAATTGCCGAACAGTACAGGGACACACGGCCCTACATCACAACCGAACCGAAAACCCGCGAGCGGCTCATCGTCGATCCGGCACAGACTATTGGGCGGATCTTTCTCTACTTCTACTTTATGATCAACGTCGGCGCCTTGATCGGGGCTATTGCCATGGTCTACGCCGAGAAATACGTGGGGTTCTGGCTCGCATATCTTCTCCCGGCTGGCATGTTTGCGCTCTGCCCTCTCGTGCTGTTCGTCTGCAGCAGCAAGTACAGCCTCACGCCCCCCACGGGCTCAGTCGTTGGGAAGGCATTCCGCCTCTGGACGTTTGCTGTCACGCCTCACTGGTCCTGGAATCCAGTCAAACTGTACTCTCCCACCTTCTCGAGGTTTGAATCTCACTGACCTATCCACTTCAGCGTAAAAAGCTGCCGTGCCCCAGGGTTCTGGGAAAACGCCAAACCCAGCAAAGTCCGGAACAAGCCCGACTGGATGACCTTTGATGACCAATGGGTCGATGAAGTCCACCGGGCCGTCAAAGCATGCGGAGTCTTCCTCTGGTATCCGATCTACTGTACGTCCTCACAGCCAGTCCCTTTTACCATTGCATAGCCCTGCTAACACAACCGCCCTGGTATAGGGCTCGCCTACGGCCAAATGACCAGCAACCTCACCTCACAAGCCGCAACAATGGAACTGCACGGCGTCCCCAACGACATAATCAACAACCTCGACCCGCTCGCGCTGATCATCTTCATCCCCATAATGGACCAGGTAGTCTACCCCTTCATCCGCAAATGCGGATTCAACTTCACGCCCATCAAGAAAATCTACGTCGGCTACCTCATCGCCTCCATGTCCATGATCGCCGCGACCGTCACGCAGCACTACATCTACATCCTCAGCCCCTGCCACAACAAAGCGAGCAGCTGCGACGAGCCGGCGCCCATCAGCGTCTGGGTGCAGACGGTCCCCTACGTGCTGATTGCATTCTCGGAGATCTTCACGTCGATCACGGGGTACGAGTATGCGTATACGAAGGCGCCGCGGAATATGAAGAGCCTCGTGCAGTCGCTGTATCTGTTTACGAATGCGATTTCGGCGGCCGTCCAGCAGGGCCTCACGGCGTTGTCGGCGGATCCGCTGCTCAAGTGGAATTACGGGTTTGTGGCGGTCCTGGCGTTTTTCGGCGGGAGTTTGTTCTACCATACGCATCATCAGCTGGATCAGGAAGAGGATTACCTGAATCAGTTGGAGCCCTCGAGCTTTCTTGGGAGGCAGGCCAAGGGCGGGGGCGATTTGGAGAAGTCGTGATCTTGTTGGTATCTACGGGTACTTTGTCATCTTGTTGGTGGTGATTTTAGGGATCGGGATCTGGTTGCATATCAAAGGTTTGAAAAAGTGAGCGTTTGTCTATTAGGCTGCTTTGCATTTGATGAAGTCGCTGTAGTTGATTAAGATAGGGCCAGAATTAATGTAATGGTGTTTGACTGATGAGTCCGCATGATAGGAGATATATAAACACTTCGGGAAGAGTCATCCCCCAAATGAGACTCAAACCCAATATCACTTGCGCTGATCCGTAGAAGATAGAAAGCAGATGATATGAAAGTGGTCTTTTTATTGAAAGAGAAGAGAGTAACAGTAGTAGTAAATGTAAAATATGTGTATCAAAGCCGTGGTACGAGAAACCCGCCCAACCACGATGCAAAAACATGCTAAAAACGATCTATCCGTTCCGTTTTATCATTACACCTCAAACAGCAGAATCAAATCAACCCAAAAGGAAATGACATGAATCAATCACTTTTGCTGGTTCTCTCCGGGAACCTTCTCGCCAACCTTGGTCGCCTCCGCCGACGGGGCGGGCGATTCGGCCTGAGCGGGAGTCTCAGCCTTGGCCTCGGCACCATGTCCATGGTTATGCTGCTCATACAGCGGCGTGTGCTTCTTCTTCAACCGCTCCTCCTCAGCAGCGACCATCTCCTTCCACAGATCGCCCTCGTTATGCGTCTCAGGCGTCTGCGACTCCTTGGTCTTGGAATCCGCAACGGCACCGGCAGCGGTAGCCCCCGCAGCCGCACCCTCAGACTTGGCGGCAATCTCCCTGCGCACGCGGTTCCGCTCGGAGATCTCAAACGCTGCACTGGCAACCAGCACCGCGAGCGTCGCGCCCTGCGCATACACACGAGCCTGCACAACCTTCTGCGGGCCCGTCAGATAAGGGTTCCGGCCAACGAGTGCAAACGATCCAGCCATGGACAGCAGCCACGTCACACCGACGATCTTGTATCGCTCGCGGCGCGCCCAGGCCGTCGCGCGGTCGGCAAAGGACATGCTCGCGAGCTCCTGCTGGCGGAGGCGCTCCTCGCGGCTCTCGTACCACTGGCGTTCTTGGTTGTGGGCGGCTTCGTAAGAGCGCGAGGCGTGGTCGGCGGCGATGATTCCGACAAAGGTTCCGGACGAGGTCATGAGGAAGGCTTTCATGGGGATCGTGAGGTTGCGGATTGTCTGGTAGCGGCGGGAGGCGAGCATGACGCCTGCGTAGCCTGCGACGAGACCGCAGACGCCGCCGAGGGTGCCGCCCTTGACGACCTCACTGAGCTTGAGTTAGCTTTGTTCTTGAGAATCCGGAGCTTTCAGATTGGGTTAGGTGGCGTACCGGTAGTGGGCTTCTTCTTCTTCTCTGGTTAAGAGCTTCATGGCGTGATGTGTGAAGTGTGTGATAGGTGAGATACACAAGGCAGAGTAGGTGTAGGTACGTTGTATTCTATCTGTATGTGCAGAACCCTGGAGAGGGGCAATTGGGCTTTATAAGGGAAAAAAATCCGAGGAGAAATTCTGATGCGCAGATGACGAGAAAGGGAGAATTCGGATAGAGCAAAGCCCGGTGACGTCTGCGTAGCGTCTGCTCAGCATTACGGGATCTGCCGGCCATATCTCGGGGTTTGTCATGCTCGTACGACCCCGATCAAACGCCGCATTCTGCTTGCCGGACTACCGACGACTAAAGCCTACTCAACCACCCGGGATTAATCATCTCGACTCATCGAGCTTTTGCTTAATTACTATCTTCATGTCCATTGGTCAAATATTTCCTGCCCGAGCGCCCGTTCCGTGGCAAATACAAAAATAACTGAGGTCTCCGGGGTAAGGTCCGAGGGGTTACAAAGCTGAATAAGAAGTGAAACTACCGTCGCGTGCCCTTCGACGCCGCAATCTGTCGCGCCCGCATTCTCCTGAATCGGTCTTCACCACTTGCTCCCAGAGGTCGCGCAAACTTGCTTTCTTGTACCATTGTGGGTCGCGGAACGACAGTGTAGCTGGTATGTGAAATTTCAGCCCGCGCACGGTTTGCAAGACGCGGGGGAAGAAGTTCACGTGCGCGGGTTTCAGCAGCTGAGGCATGGATGGATTGAGTGCGCGCAGCGATTTTGCTATAACAGTCAGTATGGTACAGCTTGTCACGCAGCGGGGAACATACGTAGGATCGAATGCGGCTTCTTGGTACACACGCTTCGAGTAGTCGTCGCTGCGCTGTAGGATAGGCCGCGTCCACTCAGCAAGCAGCCGCTCGGCCATGCGCTTGATGCCTGGCTCTGGACGCTTGCTCCGCGTGTAGAACACCACAACCTTGCCGATACCACTGGCAATCAATGTCTCCTTGTTGATTGGCAGTTTTCCCAGAGCCGTCATTAGATCGCGTTGGATGTTGTACGCTGGAAGGGATCCGTCGTCGAGGGGCTCAAGGAAGAACTTGACGGCCTCGAGCAGGTTGATTTCGGGATCAACCAGACTACTGACGTACTGGTTGCGGTTGAGCAGCGACACCACCTCGGGAAGCATCTTGAGCTTGTGCATAGCAGGTTTGCCTTCGCGTCTGTTGATCGCATCCATCTGCGCGGCGTGGGTCATGCGCTTGCGCATCTCCTCAATCTCCGCATCTGCCATTTGTTCCAAGTCCTATCCTGTTAGCATCCGACAGACCAATGGCGAGGTATACAACATACAATTCCATCCGCCTTTCTGAATCTCCTCTTTGTCGGCTTCTTCAGCGCCTCGTCCATAGCCCGATCAAGCGCCCTTCGTCGACCTACACAGATCAGCACTCCACTTCCAGACTACCCAGACAGAGTGAAACTCACGCGTAGCAGGATCCAAAGTTTCATCATCTTCCTCAACCTCAACCCTCTTTGTGCTCTTCCTCCTTCTCGCCGCACCACCCTCGCCTTCACTGCCCTCCTCCTCCTCCCTCTGCCGCCTGCTCTTCTTCCTGCGCCCCTCCTTCTTACGCCTAGATGAGCCCTCCTCATCCCCCGTCCTCTTCCGCTTATGCCGCCCAATGAGCTTCAGATTCTCCTCATCGATATCAAGCTGCGGGCGGTCTTCGATCTCGACATTCTCTGGGTCAAAGTCTTCAAACTGCGCCTCGTCGACTTCTGAGAGGATTGATTCGTCGTCTGACCCGACGAGGTCGTGCTCGTTTAGCTCGTCTGCGGCTTCGGCAGCGCCAGTCTTCTCATCGTCGCCCGCATCGGGAGTCGGGGGCTGGGCGGCTTCGTCTAGGGCTTGTTCCTGGTCGGCGGCGTCGACTCCGGGCTCGGTTGGCGTTGTAGCTTTGAGATCTGGGCTTGATGACATGGTGATGTGTGATTAATGTGTGTTGCGCGTGAAGAGCAGGATGAAAGAAAGGAGAAAGAAGGGTGTCACTGGACTAGTGACATATAAAAGCCAGGACCAGCCTCAAATCAGATATGGTAAAAAGCCAAATCACGTAAAATAAATACAAGTCAAGAAGGTAACAGGGTTCAGAATGAGGTGATACAGAGGTTGATTATCATTTGATTGTTGCCGACAGAGCCAGTGGTAGGTGAAAGAGATTCGGATCGGGAAATAGGATCGCTATCGGACGGACGGCGGTGGCGCGTGGCAGAATTCGGCTCAGCTTGACTTTTCATCAACTCGGTGGCCATCCGAAGAGCATACACTTGACAGCTACTTTATCGGTTCCATTCTACTTCTCCGATCTCATATATACCACAATGTTTGCTCCAGGTACGCTCTCTGTATCGATTGGTTGCCGTAATAGCAAAGCTAACCACGCCCAAAAGGCCAAGAACAGCTCTCCAAGGAGGAACTCCAGGTACATCTTACTTCTATCCTCAGCAGCTCGGTTTAGTTTCGAATGGTTCGACGGTACTAACTCAGAATAAAGGCTGGTGAGGCCCAGGCCAGCCAGACCATCCGCATGGCCGTCACCGGCGGAATCCTCCTTTACCTCTGTACGTCGACACCATATACACAACCCATCAATCGTCATCAAACTAATAAAACTCACAACAGCCCCCTTCGCCATCGACTTCGTCACCAAGTTCCTTTGAATTTCCCTATAAATTTATCTATCTCTCGGGATGACTGGATGGAATGGAAGACGGGATAGAATGGACGGTTTTTGAACATCCCGGCGCACGCTCTTGTCTTTCTTTGTCTAGGGTATCTAAATGTTCGGGCTTGATGTCCAGGATTGGTGTATTATTATTGTACAATCGTATTTGATTTGTTTTTATGGGGAAATTTGGCCGGTTCATGTGTCCCAGTTAAATTTGAACAACGTAACTCCATGCTCCGAATAGCAAGCGTCAACCATAACCAAAGAAAGTGTAAGCAATAGGACATGAGACACGGGAACCTAATTGAGTGACTTCTCTGCCTCTTCGAAGTCCTTTTTGACCACTGCGAGCTCCTTTTGGAGATGTTGGATTTGAGCATGATAGTCGTCCAAAATCTGCGTGTTGTTAGCCAGTGTATCAGAAAAGCGCGGATGGGAGTAGTTTACCTTCTTAGCGATCTTGATTGTGTTCTCATCCAACTCGTCCTCCGACTGCGCGCCGGCGGCCGATCCAGCACGTTCAAGCTCCGCCTGCAATCGCTTCGAGTGTTCTCGGATAGCCAGCATACGCGCCCAGATCTCCTCACCACGGCCGTTAAGCGACGGGTCAAACACAGATCGCTCCAACTGCGCAAGCTTCTTCTTCAACTCCTCCTCCGCATCATCCAATGCGTAGCCTCGATTCCGGAGGACCTGAGTCTTGGCAGCGAGCGCGAGACACCGCTTGCTGAGAACAATGTGTTTCCGGCGGCAGTCGGCAATCTTAACGGAGATCTTCAGGTCGTGTCGCGAGAGCAGGTCGGTGAGACAATTGTTGATTTCGTGCAGGCGCGTCTGCATCATCGTGAAGAAATCCCTCTGCCGCTGCGCCCGCTTGCCGAGTTGCCAGAACCCATGTACCAGAACAGGGACGTAGCCTGCGTCGGGCCGTTTCCGCAGCGCCTCCTCCCACTTCGTCTCGTCGTCTTCCGGGCCCGGTTGGTAGAACGGCGCCGCGTCCTCGCCTACATGGTTATAGAGGTACGCCCGGAATGGCGATGTGCGATTCGTGTGATCCCATTTCTCCTTCACAATGAGCATCTGCATGGGGACAGTGCGATGCACGCCTGTCACCGCGCGCCCCGGCGACCATAAACCCGCAATGGGGAGTTGCGACTGACCCAGCTGCGACTGCTGCTGCTGGCCCTGCTGTTGCCCACCACCGAGTATCGACCCGCCAAAGAGGCTCTGCTGTTGAGGTTGTTGTTGTTGCTGCTGCTGCTGTGTCTGACCTAGCCCGCCTCCGAAGACACTCTGCTGCTGCTGAGGCTGTTGTTGTTGCTGTCCACCCAGCCCGCCAAACAAACTCGGCTTCTGCTGCTGCTGTTGCCCTCCTCCCAACGCTCCCCCAAACAAACCAGTCCCCGCTTGCGGCTGCTGTTGCGATGGCGGCACCGGCGGCTGTAGCGTCTGTCCGAAGAGCGGCTTTTGCTGCTGCTGCGTACCGAATGCACCTTGTTGAGGCTGTGGTGTGCCGAAAAGTCCACCGCCCGTGTTCTGCTGTGTTCCTGTCCCCGTTGCTGCTCCTGTAGCGCCGAAGGGGCTGGTCTTTGCCGTGTTGGAGAAGAGGCTCGGGGCCGACGACTGGCCGCCAAAAAGCGACATGGTTAAAGGGGCGTTTCAACGGGTGGGCGCAGTAAAAAAAAGGATAGCTAGGTCGATATGCGAAGAGCGGCAGACGAAAGGTACCGGGAGCTCAATTGGAAATGAAGGAGGATATAAACAGGCTCTGCAGTAAGAAGCTCATCCGCAGTGACTCAGCGCCGCCTCTTCAAAGATACAAAGATGCAAAATCCAATGTGCAACAAGCAACGAAAGAATGCAAAGCTTGGGTCGGCGCCTGGGTATCTTGATTGTTCAAGCCGCTGTTGTGTTTTGGCACATGTCACGTGAAGCAGATCCAAAAAATCAACAGCTCTTTCATCTTGACGCCTTAGGCAGAAATGCTGCGTATCCCGTGACTCGCAGCCATGAGCCAATTACAGAGCGTCAAAATCCGACGACCAATTCCCACTCCTCCGTCCGGCAACCGAAGCTCCAAGTGCAAGACGTCGGAGTTCTCCAGGTATAACCCCTGCCAGCAGTGCGTCATTGACACGAACCAGCCGCTAGAATACCGTCACAATGTCGCGCAGAGAGCCTCAGTTTGTCCTCCCCATCCGTTTACCCCTGTCCCCTCCTTTCCGAAGCTCCAGCAGCAGCACATGCATCTAACAACGTCTCGCCCGCAGGTTCAACCAACAAAACCTCTACGACCCTACGCCTCTCCCGGAGAGCATCCCCAAGGTAGCGGAGATCGGAACGACGTCTGCGCCTTTGTACAGTGCCGCGTACTTCATCGGGGACCGATGCAAGGCGTTCAACGATGACTACATGAAGTGCAAGGACGAGGCCAACGGACAGGGCGAGGTCAAGTGTCTGAAGGAGGGGCGCAAGGTTACGCGCTGTGCGGCTAGTGTGTATGATTCCCCTTGAGGCATGCAACTGGGCCACTGATTGGGTCAATTGGATTGAGGATCTTGTTGCTAATCGGGCTGGGGCAATAGGATCAAGGACATCAACACACACTGCTTGAAGCAGTTCAACGCCCACTGGGAGTGTCTGGAGAACAACAACCACCGGCTCTGGGAGTGCCGTAAGCCCGAGATGGACCTGAACAGCTGTGTTTTTGAGAAATTGGTTCGTCCTCACCCCACATACAGCGACACTTCCGTGCACAACTGTACCGAGGTCGGCTACAATTGAACGTGGCTAACGCGTTTATCAACAGGGCCTGAAGAAGACAATCCCTGGAGCCCCTGAGAACCAAACACCCGTGCATTTGCGACCCAAGCAGCTGTACGCTTCTTTCCCCGGTCCGCAATATTAACCCACCCGCGCACCCACCACTGTGTTCAATATCACCTTAGAGAAAATGAATGGTTCGTTTTACCGGGTCTCTGTCTGTGCCTTTAGTTTCCTTTCTTCAATGTCATGGTCTGGATTGGGTTGAGATGAATTTGTGTACATATTAGCATCAAGAATATCATTATAAAGTCATGTTTTGGTTGGTGTTAGATTTGGCGCGAACTGGGTGAAGTTTGAACAGTGGTAGGATCCAAGCTGGATTATCGAATCTATGCTAGAATACAGATCGGTATGAGGTACCTCTAGTCAAGCCCCGAACAAAGGAAATAAACGAAAGAAACCGGAACGTGTTTAGATTCCATGTGATGCAACAAGGTGATTGACCAGGCCCAAATGTAGGGACAGAAATAAACCCTAATAATATGAAAGAGGCAATCCTCGAATGAATATTTACCTGAACAGAATAGCCAGTAAGAAAGGGGTAAGTGAAAAACATAAGTGATGCAACGAAATTAAGGAAATATGTATACCCTCTTCAACCCCCTCAGAGCCTTCAGACTCAGCAATCGGCTCTTGACAACCGACCACCCAGCCTTCAACTGTTCTTCAAGCCGCTGGTCTCGGCGCAGCCGCATCCAGATCAACAGCATGCCCAGCACAGCCAGGTCCCAGATGATCTGCCGCAGCGTCACCCAAACCAGCCAGCGCAACCAGGCCCAGACGCCCGAGCGTCGACGGTGGGCGACGGCACGAGCTTCCATCTGCTCGCGGGCGGCGGCAATCTCGGCGGTCATCTTGGTCAAGGCCTGCTCGACTCTGCGGCGCCATCGCCGGCTCTCGACGTCGTCTTTACTCTGCTGCATTAGCATGCCTCCTTGATAGATTGGTACGGCCTGTTCCTCCTTGGGGCTTGGGCTTGAGTCTGGAGTGCGGTGGGTATTACCGTAGTGGTTGCGGTTCCGATTGCGTTTGCGGCTTCGGTTGCCGTCTGGGATGTGATTTGAGTAGCCGTCTTGGTCGTCTATGGCGCCTAGGTCGTCGTGATCATCTTCGTCTTCGTATAGGGTGGCCTGAGCCTCTGCGAATTCCTCCTCCTCTTCCTCTTCATCTAGGTTGATGCCGTCTTCGTCGTCTATCGCTTGATCCATGCCTTGCTCGCGTTCATAGCCCATTCGCGCCGCACGTCGTTGATATATATCATCAGGCTGACTGACAGGGCTGAGGACTCGCATTCGAGAGTCCCCTTGCACTGGTGAGCCGATATGCTGATACTCTGGGTGCTGTGACATTTGCGCGCCGATACTCGGATATGACGACTGCATTTGCGGCAGCGCAGGGAACCCCGTTGACTGTATCGGGCTCGACACCGTCGACGAAGACATATTGGATTTCACCTGGTCCCACACAAACTCGAGTTCCGCCACGAGCTCGCGCGCCTCAGCGGTTTGTGAGGCATAGGTATGCATCGTCTCGATAAGCGTTGAGATATACCGCCGTTTAGCCTCGGTGCGAGACAGCCCACGTTGAGCGAACCAAGCATCCCTGCAACATATCAATATACGCCGGTTTCCTCTTCCAGACGATGCAAAGACATACCACTTCTCACACTCCATATAAACATCCGCGGTATTTCCGACAGGCCGGTCCATCACCCCCTCGACATCCCCCTCTGTTATCCAGTCAGCCAACTGCTCCCAATATTTGTGTCCGGACAACAATATTCATCGCTGGTCAAAGTCATACCCATGCTTTGTTTATACAATCCATAGAGCTTCAACCGCTCCGTGGCGGGAGGCCTTGCGGTGCCGGTTCGAGGTATCCGTTTGACGGTATTGAGGGCGTGGACGAAGACCCGATCTATGGGCTTTGGGTTAATTTTATCAAAATAAACGCAAGAATAGGCGGGCGCGAATAAAAGAGTACACACCCACAGAGTCCGACATGGTGCGAAATCAAAACGGCTCGGAGGTGAGCTCGTGCTTCATCAGAGCCGGAGTGCGCATCGATGTGGGCGGGACACCCTCATGGAGATTCGAAGAGGCAAGTGGAAATAGAAGCAATTGTGGTTGATATAATATTAGAGTGATCGGATGGAGTTAAATACGCAACAACCTCCCACCAAGTCCACGTCAAATCAAGCAGGCCGAGCGAGCTTCCCCAGACTTTGCCGTCTTCGGGCTCCAGCTGTGGTTTTGGCGGAGAACTGAGGGGAGACCGGATCCACGAGAAGACGAGGTTTGCGTGATGTCGAATTTGGAACGTGGATTGGGCGAGATTTCGCTCCTTGGACGCGAGAATAACGCACTGGAGAGAATAGCGATGGCCGTTTTGACTCGTCGGTCGTGAGTCGGTGCAGTTGTTGTTGATTGATTTGCAGCTGGTTCGCTCGAGCAGATGAGCCGCGGTTCTCGGAGGCGCTCTCGCTGGGCCTTCCCCCTGTGATTGTCCCTGCCCCAACAACTCCACTGAACAGCATTATTCTAATCATTTTTGCTCGTCGGCGACTTGAATTGCAGTCAATTGCGCCAGAGAATTCATTTGGTACTCGTATATAGTACAATTGTCTTATCAATTACTCGTGAGCACGCTTACGCTCAACGAACGAGACACAGACACGCCAGCTCTTAACGCCCAATTCAAGCACAGCAAACCAGGATTTGAATCACGACTTCTCTGTGGAAACCTCCTTAGAGCCTGCTTGCTCCGGATCAACAACCGCCTTCACCGGCACAACCCCAGGCGTATCCCGAAGCTGATCTACAGGAACCGGAGGGCCAGTAAAGTGCTTCCGAGCATAAGCAATGTACCACGCAACACTGATGGCGGCGAACCCCGCAAACACAACACTCGCATAGTTCATTGACGCCGCATCCACGGGGAGAGATACAGGCATACAGAACAACACGACGGCAAGGCAAATCCATACAATCGTCGTGACGTTGATGGCGTATCCGTAGCGGCCGAGTGAGAAGCTGGAATGCTTGACAGCTTGTCGGCCACGGACGACGGATATGAGGATTGGCAGGCCGTAAGAGGTTGAGAGGCAGATTGTGGCCACTCCCGTGAATGAGTTGAAAGCTGCTGTGGAGCCAAAGTAGATCAAGCCGAGGAGGCAAATAACCGTTGTTGAGAGGATGATTGCCCACACGGGCACGTCTAGGCGCTTGTTGACCTTCCTCCAGAGGCGAAAGCCGGGAATCGCGCCGTCACGAGCAAAGGCGTACGTGCATCTGCTGGCGGCTGTCAGGGCGCCGATACCTGCGAACATCATGATTCCTAAGATCAGGAACAGCAGACCGAAGCCGCCACCTGCGGAGCCTGTCGCTGTCTTGAATATCAATCCGATGGGCTGCCCACTCGCCACGTCCAGGAGCGTCTGCACGTCCGGCAAGATGAACAGGATGGGGATCAAGTAGATCAATCCAGTGATACCGGCCGCCACCACAGACAGGACAATGGCTTTAGGAACTTCTCGGTGCGGGTTCTGCACCTCCTCACACATGGCTGCAACCATACCATAGCCGGTCAAGGTATATGCAGCTTGCAGTAAGCCAACAAAGAATGCCCACCCAGAAGGCCTATAGAACAGTTAATCAACAAGCCATCCGCATACACCATAGAGAATGTACATACCATCCGCTCTGCGATGCATCATAATGCGCAAAGACGAACTCCCCACTCCTTTTCTCATCCGCCATACTCAACAACACAATCAAGATAACAAGCACGCTCGCGGCCGTCCACCAAATACAAACCTTGTTAATGAGATCCAACCACCTCGAACAAAACACATTGACCAGCGCGCACACTCCAATCACCGCCCAAAACATCAGAATCGTCTGCCACTCATTCGCAACAAACGTCTCATCCCACAGCGAAATCGCACTGAGGATCAACTGTCCGCCCGAAAACGTGATACTCAACGTCACCGTCCAGTTGCCCACGAGCGTCAACCACCCGTCGATGAAGCTCATCATGGGAGCCCATTCCTTCGTCGAGAGCATTGCGCTCCAGTAGTAGACGCCACCGGCCGTTGGGTAGACGGCGCAGATCTCGGCGAGCGAGGCGGCGATTGCGATGGAGATGAGCGTCACAAGTACCCAGCCCCAGATTATGGAGACGGATTGGCCGTCGGTTAGGGTGATGTAGAGGGTTGTGCTGAGGCCGAAGGGGGCGGCCATGATGGCGAAGGAGCTGGGGTCTTTAGTTTTCATTCATTCTTTTTTTTTTTTTTTTTTTTTGGGTTGTCAGTATGGCAAGAAACGCTTACAGGCCGAGGACGCTCATCATACTGAGATTCCGAGGTAGCTCGCTCTTATAGCCCATGCGGGCCAGCGCCTCGTCGGCGGAGGCATCGACAGAGGTTTGGCGCATTGCGGCGACAATAAGAAGGCAGTTGCTATCGAAGCATGAGCGTACTCATAAGGGGTAGAGATGAAATGTAAAGCGATCTAGTCAAGGAAGTTCCAAGTTTGAAGGAAAGGTGACGTGCGGAGGTGAAGGTGCAGATGCGGGCGCCGACAAGCTTAAGAGGGGGACTCGAGGCGAGAGGGGAAGCATCACGCACGGTGACGATACTCAAAGGATGCTTTTCCGCTGGCTCGAGAGTCATATCACAGGGTAATCAGCCAGGGTCGTATTCCCAATTGCCATGATTCCTTCCGCCGGTCTCGGGCGTTGCGTCGGCGTCGCCGGTTGGAGCTGATAACGAGATAAACGAGGCCATGCTACATTAACAACTCGTATTATGATGATATGCAGGTCGCGTGGTCTGTCTGATAAGCTCCCCCCTAGCTAGGATTCTTCGAGTTTCGTCCCGGGGGCTGGACTGTTACAGACTGGTGGGCCAAGACGAGAGCGAACCATGGCAGACCTGCCTGTTCTGCGGGGGATCAACGCAAGCACCTCGGACATCTTCTACCTCCTGAAGAACAGTATTCTAACTTCCAGGTTTTATTTTATCACTACAGAAACTTTTGTGATTGATATAATTTATTTATTCATAGCTATCGTTTCCAACATACATCACGGTAGAAATGTCACTCGAAAGTGACGGCTGCCACATCTGTCAGATTTCCAAGTCCCCGACAAGCCTGCTGCACGATGCCGGTTCCTCCATGGACAAAGATGAGCGCCAGTATAAAGGTGGAATGGAAGGGATGGAGGGAAGGGTAAACCAAATGAGACATTGGCGGATGGACGACCGTGAGGTAGAATGGGTGTCAACCAAGTATGCTCGTAACAGTGAAAATTCGGGGGGTATCAAAAGGGCGCGTGTGTATGTCACAAGAGACAGGTATATGACTTCCTCTAGAACCAGGGAAATACAATTGTCTTTTTCTGTTCTTCGTCTCTGCTTTTCGCTTTTGCTATTTCTTTTCCTTTTGGCGGCGGGTGAGGTTGAGAGGGTAAATAGGTGGGGGATGGATATTGAATAAAGAGGAAATCGAGAGGGCGAAAGTAGGTAACCACGTCCAACGAAGGAGGTTCAAAAGATTCCCAGGGGGTACTGGGCAAGGCGGCGAGTGAGTCGAGCATCGTGCGGTGTGAAGTATGGAAACAACTTCATCGTGAGCGTGGCTTTCGGGTGCCCAACAGCTCGCCCACCGCCAATTGCGGCCCAGCCCGAAGGCTCGGTCTAGCGATCTTTATAAAAGGCGAATTCATAATAAATGGGGGAGAAAAAGAATAAGTCCTGGCACTGTGCCATATCCGGCCAGAGAACGTCAACTCCATCGTCATAAGTCGTCATGACTGAAGGAGGAAGGGAGGGCTGAGAACTCCCGTGTGAAACGCACAAACGAAGAAGGGCACAACAATAATACAAACGCCCGTCATGCAGTCGTCAATCCAGATAAATCGTTACAAGATGATGCAGTTATAGTGGCATGCAAGTACATGAGCTTTTCGCCAGAAGCAGTCAAGGGCTGAGACCCGCGCAGAGATCGTCCGGGTTGTCGAGGCCAAAGCCAGCCATGTCGACGGAGTGCAGAGAACCCGGACCACCACGGCCTAGCGAAATGTCGGAAGAGGCATAGTCATGCTTCAGCCGTTCATGAGGGCCAAAGAACGGTCGACTCTCTTCGTTGGGCGTGTTACCATCGCCAGCGGCCCACGGGCCATGCTGCCAAAATCGGGTGTTGGCTTGCTGGTCGCCGAATAGGTCGTGATGGTCATGGTGGGCTTCTGCTCCGTGACTAGTGAAGTCGTTAGGTGAGTGGAATCGCAGATGCGACCGGCTGAAACTCGAACATGGTGATTCTGGCCGCAAATGAAAATCTATGCCCGATAGAGGCATATCCTCAACCGTTGTGATATCAATGGTCGGATTCTCAGTTTGTTGAGCCAATGCCGATGAAAGTCGGAGGTTCGAGCTTGAGCTTTGTCGGCTATGAGGGGCAGACCGTTCCATTGCCCGTTGCACGAAGCTCCCACAAGTCTTGAGAATCTTCTCCTGGTTCTCGGGAGAGAGGCTGGCGAAGTAATCGTTGGCTAAGGAAGGCTTGGGCAGCTCCGGCTCATGGCGGGTGAGACCATACGTCGTCCGGGCGTATTCCGTGAAGCCTGACGGCATATCATAAGGAGATCGATAGACAGCGGGAGCCTGCTCACGCTGTAGCTCAAGATATGCGTACGTCTTGGGCACCTTTGGAGTCACCCCGTTCGTCTTGTTGGCAGTCTCCTGTTTCACGGTCTCCGATTCCTTCTTCTGAAGCACATCCAAGCGGTCGCGATGACTGATGAGGGAGAACCGGAGCATCTGCAATAGCCGTGTGACTTCTTCGGAACGCATGTTCAGGGGCTGCATGGGGAGGACGGTTCCGTCGGGGGCACGGGGCTGGACACGTTGCTGAGCCATGGCGAGCTCCAATTTCTCGAGACCATTGGACGGCGGCACGGAGCCCATGGGCCCCAGAAGGGTCTCTACGACCAGTTCTGGACCGACAATTGTGTACCCGGCGAATACATTGGCATGGTCGGTGATCTGGAGCAGACGGCGGCGGGCAATGAGCTCGCGAACATTGGCAAAATTATTGGCGGGAAGGTGACTGGTGTTGTTGGCGGAGCCGTTCGTGTTCTGCTGCTGCTGCTGATGACTGTGCTGCTGTTGGGATTGAAGATGGGACTTGGTAAGTTGCGGGTACGGAGCATGACGGGCTGATTGATTTGGCAAGGAGCGATAGGCTGACGGCATCGCAGAAGCAGCAACAGCAGCAGCAGAGCGAGGAGGGACGGCGGGAGACGAGCGAGGGGGAGGGGCAAAAGGAGGGCGCTGCGGCAGCGAAGGGCGGAAGGCAGCAGCAGCAGCAGCAGGGACAGCGAGAGCGGAGGCGGTGGTGGTTGCGGCGGCAGAAGAAAGGAGGTGAGGAGGAGGGGCAGTCAAAACATAGGGTGGCAGACGGTGGTGGGGGTAGGGGAGTCGGGCCATCACGGCGCCAAGGGACTTGACGCTGTCAAGGAAATTCGACCGCGGGTTGTGGACGGGCACGCTAGGGTTGTGCGTATATTGTGCCCTACACTCGGTCGATGACTGGCCCATATAATACCAGATCTGTTCTCCCTTGTCCAGGTTGACCTGCACATTGGGTGGGGCAGCAGGATGGTTAGTGCTGTCCACCGTCTCAAACTCGGCCCACTGATACGGAGATCGCCCATCGCCAAACGGATTCCCTGCCACCGGCAGCGCTGACTCCAAGTGGCTCCGACTTTCGGGCTTCCGGGCGAGATGCACGGGGAGTGGCTTGATGCCCGCTGCCAGGGGAGCGAAATTGCTCCTTCGTACGACGAGCATCCAGCGGTATGGTAACTCGATTACGTCCCTGATCGATGCATGGGTCAGCTTTCATGGATCCGAAATAGGAAAAAGGCAAACAAATCACCCCGCCATAGATCGAGCGGAGAGTTGGAGGGTGGTCTTTGGAACTTACCCTCGTGGAAGCATCTTGGCCAGCAAGGTGCGTTCGGTCGGTCGGTTCTCAAGTATCACTGCGCCATTGATCTCTTTGTCCACCTGGAACTGCACTAGATCACCAATGACAAGACGCTTGGCGGTCTCAATGAGTTTACGGTCGTTCTCCGGTGACTCACTGCTGGTCATCCATGTCGGCCTTTTCTGGCGATGATATTTGCACTTGAGGTCAACACTAGGGACAGAATACTGGTTTCCATCGTCCGCAACAACTGCAACTTGACCCTCTTCCGCCTGCACACCCGCTAAAAGAGCGCACGTAGCATGATAGGAGCGGGTGCATTTGCCGAAGTTGCATTGGAAGCAAGCCCCGCGCACCTCGCGGCAGAAAAGGCACTTGAGCCCCATCCGGGCCTTGGGGATCTTATCAATGTCGCAAACCACTTCTTTGCCGGTTTCATCGCGGAGGATACTGGTTTCTTCGGTGTACAGAGCGCAGCGTCGGTGGGCGTGGGATTTACCATCCTCGGTAGGCAGCAGGTCTTCATAGTCGAGATCGTTAGGGCACAAAAGGCAGGGGATTTTCCGTGGGATATCCATGCTCATCCTCATGCGCTTGGCCTTGGTGGTGTCACCATCAAGCTTGCGTTTACGACCACGAGTGGAGGTCTTTTCAGGGACACTACGTGGCGGGGTTAGGAGATCGGAAGCGCCCTCAACCCCGTCAAGGTCGCTGTCGAATTCGCCGTAATATTCGGGAGTCGCTTCACCGCGAAGCTTACGCTCAATGTCCTCAATATCGATCCAGACGCTATCGGCTTCGCAATTGCATTTCTTCGCGACACGACCGTAATCCATCCACTTTTCAGTCGCAAAGTTGACGGATTCGGCGCAGTTGTACCCGAGGTTGTAGCCGGAATGGTACCCGTATGGGTATGTTATCACAAACTCGCCTTCGTAGTGTACCAGTTTGTTGACTGTAATTCCGTACTGGGATTTGAGAAGACTCGGCGATACGAGGTACGTCTTGTGTCGAAGAAACTGGTCACAAGTCTTTGCATCACTAGGCCAGATGCCTAAAGTTGCGGTTAGAACTGGTGCCTATTCTCAAAAGCTCAATTTCGGAGCTATAGACTTACTCTTCATCACCTGTTCGAAACGGGGCGCATCCTCCTGAGAGATACTGTACCATTGCTTCGGGGCACCGAAATGGATATAGTTGATACTGTACAGATCTACATCTTCCAGGTGCCACGCGAACGTCGCTTTCCACATACCAAGATACAGGTATGCTGTATTGACACCGGGTACCTTCTGTCCGATGACATCAAGGAGATTCGGTAATTTGGCAACGTTCCAACATGTCGTGTTGTCGTCAAAGAGAGAACCGGGCATGTCCGCACCATACATGGGGTTGTTGAACATCAGAGACTTCCAGTATGCGGTTTCGAGCTCTTCGCACCGCTCATATGTGTACTCGGCGTTATCAGTGATGCGATAATTAAAGTCCTTGAACGCTTCTTCATCCACGTGGTCGACCGCATCGCCCTTATTCTGCTTCCTTCGAGCAGTGACAGACCTGGGCTGTCGGCCTCTAGATTTGGATGCAGACAAAGACTCGCCGTCGCTGAGATCCTCGGACTTGGTCTCAACGGGGTTGGACTCCGGTGAGACAGGTGTCGGCGGGCCCTCGGGTTTGGTCTTGTCGATACTGTCCTCGACGGGCTCCTCCTTGATTTTAGGTTCCTCTTTAGCTTTAGCCTGGTTCGATCGCTTAGGCGGTCGGCCCGGTCCTCGTTTTGGAGTGTCCGACCGGGTCGTAGGGGGTTTGGGAGCCGCAGGCGCTTTGGTGACACGCTCCTGGTTTCTTCTCCGTTCTCCTCGACGAGCTGGCGGCTGGTGGCTTCCATCTTCGCAAAGTCCTTTCCACTGGGGTAAGTTATATGACCTTTGTCTTTCGATGTTGGCTTGGGTATATGTTCCGTGGGAGCCGTGGAATTCCTGCATAATCGGATTTTTCACGCGGATCTTCTTTACCGCTTCGTCGAGAGGAGGAAGGGCATCGCGCCTAAAGCAGGAATTGGATCAGCTAATGGATCAACCGAAACAATAGCAGTTGGAGAACTCACCATTCCTTAGGCGGAATAACCTTGACAATTCCAGAGCGCATACCATATTTATCGATTCTGTTGATGAAAGTCTGGAAATCGCGGAACTGGTCCATCGTCTGAAACAATCCCGGTCAGTTCAACAACAATCTCGAACCCAAGCTCGTTATCTAGCCAAGCAACTTACAGGCTTAAAGACAGGTATCTTGCCGCCTCCATAGTAGTGGTCCGGTTCTATCTCCTCTAACTCCTCCGCATCCTCGATCGACGGGGCCTCCTGGGCGCCAACAGCCTTGGAATCAAGCTCGAGGTCGGAGAGCTCGGATGGGACACCATCCGGGGCATCCTTCCTGCCGTTGACGCTGTGAGGAGGTGTGATCGAAGCTGCATCGGTCGCAGGCCCGCCCGCGATCGACTCGTGAAAAGGGCGATCAATCGTCGCAGCCATCACCAGGCGGATTGTGAAAACGTAAATACGGGGATATTCAGGAGGTTGATGCGGATGCCGCCGTCGTCAAATGCAACCGCTGATCGACGGCGAGTAAACTGGTCCCCAGCGGTCGGGGAAGATGGGCGGAGGAAAAGCGACTAGTGTTGACTTTCTTTTTCCGGTCCGCAAGGCTGTGTCCGTCGGTTATACTCGCAGGTTTTGGTCGCCGGAGTTCGTTGCGCTGCTCGCTGATAAAGGCGATAGAGAGGGATGTAGTGGTCAGAGAGAAGGAAAGAGTGATATAATGACGTTCGATGATCCAAGCTTCCTTGCGGGCGAATTGCTAGGATAGGCCGTCTATCATCGATGCAGGAAGGGGGTGGAAAAAAGGACGAAGCCGCAGGATACGAGATAAGGGACCGGGGTCGAGGTTCGGCTGAGTTGATTAGCGAGTTGATGATGCGATGGGTCTCGCCAACATTGGGATAAGCTGGCAGTCAGCAAGTCGGAAAGGGCAAAGCAAAGTGCAGCACAGTTCGTCCCCTCGTCCAGAACGAGAGAATGAAACGAGGAGATTTGCAGCACCAAGATTGAAGGTAGCAGAGTGATGTTCAGTCGGCAGGACGCTAGCCCAACGATAGTTGCAGAGGCAGGAAGTTGTCAGAGCCAAAGCAGGGGCGGTAGGACCAATCTGAGCGAGGCAGCAGCAGAAAGTCACGTCGGAAGAGGGTCGAGAGATGTGGAACCAGCATCTGGCCTGATTTGAGGAGGCTGCGCCGAAGTGGAATGATGAGCAGCCTGAGCGCCTGAGGAGCTTCTCAGGCATCAGACTAAGCCCAGCACAGGATAGCCTGGTCTGGCTAGTGTATCACTTACGTACGGCTCCGTAACTCTGGGAGATCACGCCAGGCGCTCCGGTGTCGGTGGTACTATCAGCAGATTGCGGCAGAGAGTCCAGATTCCAGAGGATATCAGAGATATGCAAGCTGCAGAGAGACGTTTTTTTTTCGGAATCAGGTTAGATCATTCTACCACGGACTGTTCCTGTGCAAAGTGCAGGCGCCAGCCTCATCACGTGCACCACATGACTGGACCAGAGATTACGAAAGGCCGGGACAGCAAATACTGCCAGGCGGGTATACAGCAGCACGGCGGCCTGAAATAGTCCGGATGCTCACGGACTCACACTCACATGAGATTGATAACACTGCAACGCTAGACCCCGAGGAGTAGTACTCCATCTAGATGGATGGTATGATCTCATCGGCTAAGAACATTGGACAATGAATTAGCCGGCGGCAGTTCGGAGTGGTTTCAGCCCAAGTCGTATCTAGCCGGTGACGATAGTTGAAGAATATTCTCTCGAAATCCTACCAAGTTGCCAGCAAAACTTGAGCAGATATCCACCTTCCCTTTCCATATGGTTGCATAAGTCTGGAGACCAAATATCCAAATCGCAGCTGAAAACCCAGTTCCTTCCTGCACTGCGAGGCCATGAGATTCGCGAGCTACTATGGTAAACGCCCAGTTTCCTTAATGGACCATGTACATGCCTATCGGGTATCGGCCTTTGCATTAGGTTCTTTCGAGGACAAGGCTTGGCTGGGAGCTTTTATGTATATCACTGTGTTTCAGCACTTAATTTCAGGCGGTTGTGAAATATAGGGGTGTTTTATTGAACGTGGCTCTGAAGCTTATGACATGATAGACATAAAGATATATATATATACCAGGCTAAGGAACGGTATCCAGATGGACATGCATGTACCAACCAAACACTGGCAAAATACCAGTTATATGCAAAAAAATTAAGTCAGATCAATACTCATTCAGTCGTAGCTTTTTGCCAACGAATCGTCGTCGTTCAGGCTTGTCCCCAACCCGGTCTCGTTCGACACTTAGTCCCTTAAGGGCATGGAGGAGCATTCCTGCGTCGAAGAATCCATCTATATCACCTTGTTAGGAGTGTCAAATTGAGAAAAGAAAAGAAAACTTACATCCACCCATGCCATCATCGTCCATCTCCCCACTATCTGTCGTGGGCGTCTCGGTGCCCCCCCGTAGATGGCCTGTGTCTGTGCGGACAATGCGACCCCTGCGCTGATCGCGCTGGACCCGTTCCGCGATCATCTCCATCTCTCGTGCGCGGCTGGTTCGTGGGCTTGCTGGCTTATGGTTGGTCGCGCGCAGCAGTTTCCTGATCTCCAGCAAATACGACTCGAGCGTCTGCATGAGACGAGCAGTCTGGCGATGTTTCGAGGAAGCGCAGATTGAAATCGAGTCGTCCTTAATGATGTAGCCGATGCCGAACCCGTCTGCGGAGGTCGGGCCGAAGCCGAAATGTCGCAGGGAAGGGTTTCCGCAGTTGGAAGTTGACAGGATCGTGTTGTTGATGCGGTCCCATCCGGGGTCGCTAAAGATGGCTGGGGTAGGAGGCATTGTGCGTATAGCGCGGCTGTAGCTGCTTGTGGATGACAGCCCGTCCACGTCCGAGATCGATGAAGACCTAGGAGATCCTCCAATAGACCCGTTCTCCAGCGGGCTCGTATAGCCATTGGACCCGTCCTCAACACTGTTGTCGGCGGAGATCGGAACTTCGTCGAAGGAGCGCTGCCAGAGCGTGTAAAGTGCGTACAGATGACGATCCTGCCCTTGGCCTTTAGAGCATTCCTTTGTAGTTGCAGTGTGCTTCTCGGCCGCCTTTCTCAGAGAGTTGACTTTTTCCTCCGCCGGGTTATCGGCCCAGAAAGTCTTCAAGAAGTCAACCGTTTCGTTTGTAACAGTTCGAATCGCTTCAGTTCGGCCGTGAAGGAAGGCTTTGGTCATTGCAGGTTCGTATGTGTTGACGACCTGGCCGTAAAGTCCGTAGTAGGCCGCCTGGAATGCCATCTGAACAAACGCATCTGGCGAGAAGCCCATCGAAGTGATAAAGTTCTTGCCATATCCCTTAAAGTCGAGCACCTGGAATTCGTGTTGCTGGAGAAGATCCGCTAGATGGGATTCGGCAAATCGAATGGCGATACTCAGCTCCGGTGCCATGTCCCATTCGAGTTTTCGAGGTGTCGGGCTGACATCGCCGAAGCTTCGAGGGTCTCGTTTAGATGGGTCAGGGCTGGTCGTCGCCCACAGACTTGGAGCCTGCCCATTGATGGTCCGGGCGAAACGAAGAATCGTATCCGTGTAGACGTCGCTTGCAAATCGGAGAACAGTATGCCCATCCACACCAGTATGCTCGAAGTTGATACCGGCACTACCGTTCTTGCACACGATGATCTGAAGCTTGTCGTACCACCGGTTCGTGCAGGTACCCACTTGCACGCCCTTTTCCACCTCGTTGGTTCCACAGAGCATATTGGCACAGAGATCGGACATGCTGTGAGGTTCGGTGTCATCCAGACAGAGCACAAATAGGGCAGTATCGACAATGTTGAGAGCTTCGGCGTTGTTCGAGTGCTCGTCCTTGGTAAGAATGTCCCTCAGTCCCGACCATACCTTGCGGTTCTCCGTACTGAGAACTCCAAGGGCGCCTTTTGCCGCTTCTTGAATCGGGGTCTGCTCAGCGTCCGCGAGAATAACCTCAAGGTTCATTGCAATATCCTTCTCCGTCATGATTTGGTCGTGGTTCGCATCCAGAACGTCAAACCAGTAGAACTGGCCTCTGCACATGACAACAATATGCTTTGCATACGGGTCCTGGCTAATGACACATCCATTATCCGTAGGAACGCGTGCGGTTCCGAACAGTCGGGAGTATTGGTACATGCATAGTGGCGTTCCTCGAACAGTATCCGGAGACAGTTCCTCGCGCCTGACAGCCCGCACGAAAGATAGAGCCGACACAACAAGCGACGCAGATCTGGTCACCTGGTTATTTCTCGCCGGAGTGGGGTCGTCTTCCAACAAGAAGAAGGGGTTAAGGTTGAGAACGACGGCTGCGATAGTGAGTAAACGGACAGGTACAGTTTGAGTAGAAATCACTTACGGCTGTCATAGTTCAGGTAAGAGTCATACCCTAGAAAGATGGTTAGCTTGCTTTGACTTGAAAGCAGCAAGGGCACCAGATAGTTCGTAAAAGCAACGTACAGAACTGCTCAATGTAACTCGTTTTCGAGGAGGCGTATTTCTGAAGTCTTTCCTGAAGAACAGGACCTTCTGACTTGAGAAAGTCCCGTACAGCAGCCCTCGTGTCTTCCTGCTCCTTGGGGGTCTGCAATGGTGCCACAGCGTCGATATATTTCCGGCATGTGCTCTCGAGATCCGGGATAGGAAGTTTCGGCAGAGAGTCTTGATGGGCGAAGGTAATTCCACCGCTCTTCTTGGTTACATGGTCTGTTTTGCCTCCATCCACAGATGTGGGCTTGATTTTCGGCTCAGCAGCCGGGTGAGATCTAGGTGACTCCATGGTCATTCCAAGTGGCTTTGGTGCCGTGAAGTAACGAACTGCGGTCGACGAGTAGGTCATCGTGTTAGCTAGTAGGTTTCACTCGGAAGATGTGATGGATTCAAGCGTAGCGACAAGCGAGGAAAGTAGGAATAGAGAGTAAACGCAGAGCGCTTCGGTAGAAATAGTGGCAGTCTTGTAGGCAGTAAGAGGGCATGGAGGTTAAAAGCTCATGACCACTTTTTAGATCACGCGGATGGAGATATGCCGACCTCAAAAGATTCAGAGCAGAAGTGGTAGAAGACAATTTTGTGTTAGAGGGAGGTAAGCTGGCGAGGGCGTTGTTTATGAACCATATAGGACAAAACTTCCATGATATGGCTCTTTTTTCCGGGGAGTCAAGGCCCGGGGAAAAGTGGAGTATAGGACTCGGAACAACGGGCCAAATGGCGTCTTAGAACGGAGGAAGGGACGCTTACTGGAGAGATAGTGTTAGGGAGGATTGCTACAGCCAGCCGGAGGCCTTCGACCTCGGTGGATCGCCTCCGTTGGCGCAGAAAGTCGGGTTGAGCTGGGGCCTGTCGGCGGAACGGATGTCGTGCCCACGCAGCTTAATCAAGAGTTTAGTAGGATACAGATGCCAAGGGATGAGCTCTCCCTGCAAGTGATGGCAGTAACGAGATCAAGCACTCTTGAACTGAAGATGAAGGTGCCAGTGAAGACTCGAGCAAGCTGAAAGCTCTATATGCGCCAGAATTCGAGCAGATGGCCACAGAGTGGAAGATGACGATCGGTGACGAGCTGGTAAGATGTCATGCGACGAGCGTATCATGCGCGGAGAAATGGAGGCACCCCAAAGGCTTGTTTCACACCCTTATCTGATAACCCAAAGTTCTTTCGATACGGCAAATGACCGTCGACACTGCGTCTGAGGGAATAGTCTGATCAGTCTTCTCAATCCCGTTTCTTTCGTTGGGCATAGTATAGCATTCTAGATTGGATCGGGACGAGCAAGTGGCAAACCGGCGAACTTGAGCTTACTCCGTATACCGTACTGACTGCGAACAGCCTCCGAAGAAACGAGCCTCTCGGGCGAAGGGAGCTGGACTGGCGCACTTCAGAGATTCTTCTGGTTGCGGGGGATCACGTGCACTATGGGGGAGAATTATCGATGACGTCACAGAGGGCTGGCCGGGGCCGACATTCGAGTCGACTACTACTCTGTACCGACTCCAAAATCTTACAACTTCACTGCAGTTTGAAGTCCAGAGCTTTAAAAACGTCCATCATGTTCATGTAGCCTTTGGTTATCCAAAACATACGCTATCCACGGCGCCATGTACACGCAAATGCAAAAGGGAAGCAGCAAAAGTGCAAAGGATGAAACCGTTCGGATTCCTGTCAGTTGACAAGCTCGAAATGGGTAAGTATTCACAAGAAACGAAGATAAGCGACATGTGCATGAGGAAGAATGAGCACATGGACCCGTTCCGCTCAGCGCCATGCGTATACAGAAGAAGCGGACGATCGGATATGAGGCTCTTAAGACAAGAAAAGCCACATAGCTAGCTTGAAAGGAAGGAAAAAACGCAAGTGATTGACAAGATGCTTGATTTTCAGATATCCGTTTATACCGAGTTCACTGCTCATGACTGACATCCAGGAAACGCCTCGCTACAGTAGATGATGCTTCATTGTGGCTTCACGGCTGCCTTCAAACTCCGATTCCAACCGCTACTTGGTGAGCTCGTTTACTGTCGTCATGTGAGGGAGGACTTCTTATCAACCGAGGGCAATCGAATTCAAGCAGAGTAGGCGGCGTTCCCGAGAGGACGGGCGATGTTGTCTGCATACTCTCCGTCATAGTTTCCTGCAAAGTATGTTAGGCCATGTCAAGACAACGTGGGGTTGTATCTCAGCTTACCTGGAGGGCTGTAGTTGCAGACAGTGAAAGGTACAGCAGTGGCAGAGTCCACGTTTCCAAGGCTGTTGCAAACAACGGTGGCGCAACCGACTTCAGTGGTGCCCTTCCAGACAATTTGAGAGAAGTGGCCCCACTTCTCGAACAGGCTCATGTCGGGGCTAGCCTGTCCATACAGGTTCTCGAAGTATGGGGCCTCATCGTTGTACATGAGGTTGGAGATCATGACAGCAACCTCATCAGAAGAGACACCGTAGCCGATGTTCTGGCCGTATCCGCCGCCGTTGATGCTTCTATAGGATCGTTAGTAAGTGCTGTCCAGCTTGAAGAGATGTGCTGAGGGTGAACATACGTGTCGTGCTGGTAGACGCAGCTGGCGGCAAGGGCTTGAGCGCTTGCCTCGAGATCAGAAGACCAGGTAAGGTCGGTGGAAGAGTGGTTGGCACGGTGAACATTGTGGCTGTAGAGAACATTGCCCTGGTAGGTGTTGGTGGTGGGCGCGGGGGCCTGGGTAGCCTCGCTGGTCATGGTAGTGGTGGTCTCAGGCTCCTGGGTGGCAGTCAAGGTCGACTCCCAGGTGGAGGTCCAGGTAGAGGACCAAGAGGTCTCGACGGGTGCGGGAGCCTGGGTAGTAGTAGTGGTGCGTTCTACCTCCACGGGCTCGGGCTCAGGTTCCTGAACCTTGACCTCTGTGGCAGGGGCCGATGTAGGCTCAACAGTAGCCTCGGTGGTAGGCTGAACGGTGATTGTCTTGGTGATGGTGATGACAGTCCAGTCGGTCACAGTGGTGGTGGTCCAGGTGGTAACATAGGCGGGCTCGATTTCAGCCATAGCGCCAAGGGCGCACAGGGCACTTAGGATAATGGAGGAACGCATATTGGGTACGGAGTACTGGTGATTGCACTTGACAGGATTCACGAGTTGTCGATAGGCTTGCACAGGTCAACTGTATCTGATCGTTTGAGCGACTTCTCCGGGAAGTATAGAGCGGACGACCTGAGGATAGTGGCAGAGGGACCTTTTGGTAATTCACCCGGTGGAAATGGATAAATCGAGTATAACGACGTCGTCGGGAAAGCAGATCGACTGCAGTACGGAGTTTTGGGGTTTCAAGAGGGGATACGAAGTCCAGTCGTGTCCTGTATAGGGTAAAAGGAATGACAGCCTCGAGGGACACTTTTTAAGGAGTGGAAAAAGTGCACCGAGACGGATGGAGAGATGGATGGAGGTGTGAGAGAAGGTCAAAGAAGAGAGAAACAGAGCGAGACAAGGGCAGGAAGTGATGATGATCAAGTTAAATGAGTGCTAAGGACTTGGTCGATGCTTGGGGGGATCGCAAAAGGAGCGAAAGTGGCCAGTGGGGCTCGCGATCTGGCTGGGGATAATCAAACGTAAATTAATCCATTCTAGACAATTGCTGACCCTGGGATTATTATACTTGTCAGACGGGATTCAGAATTTGAGACCCAGCAGAGGGCACTGCTTTGTTTTATTCACACTGGAGCCTTTGCACTTTGTTGTGTCGAAACCACGAGAGGGCAGAACCATGGAATGCATCGACTCCTTTTTTTTGTCGCGGGGACTGAGCCATTTAACATGCCGAAGATCCTCTTTGCTCAAAGCATTCCGCGCGTCTAAGACAATAATAATGCGCCAGCCATGAATGTCCCATGGAGAGCTATCGACAGCAGGCGCCCTCGAGCAGCCCGTCGAAATCGCAATTGATGCCACATCCATCCAGATCTCCAGCCATGATCGAATATAAAACGGGCTTGTCAGAGATGCAGGGACGCCTCATGTTTCAGGAACGGAAAATTGGGGCCAATCACCAGCGCCACCACGGGCCAAACAATAAGCTGCGCTGCAACGGACCGCGGTTCTGACCCTCTTTGCCGGCCTGGGCAATCTATCAATTTCTTTCTTCTCCTTTTGCTGTCTTCTTGACTTTCCCTCTCGGACTCGAGGTATTCCATCTCCACAAAGGAAGAAAAAAAACTCATCAAGGGCAACATGGTCAAATGAAATCAGGGGAGGGCCCGATGATTTACCACCAAAACTTGGCAACTCGGCAGCCGCTTTCGTGTTTCATCGTCGCCCAGTCACGCAAGCACATTGGCTCAAGTGCCCCGTTTTTCTTCCTTCAGGGGCGAGGTCGCGAAATAACCAACACTTATCAGACCCATCGGCGGCAACGCGGCCATGGTGGCATGGATCATCTTGGATGCGATCTTCAAGACTTCGAGTCTGGAACTTGGAATCCCGGGTCTTCGGCCTGGCTGACAGATAGTGACACCCTTGGCAGACTGAAACCAGGTCTCAGAGACCAGAGTGCTCTTGCTCTTCAGATGTTCTTCTCGCTTATCTCGAGTCTTCCATCTCATGATCTCGAAGAATGCGTCAGGCTCGTAAACAAGACATGTCATCCCAGACAGCACGAGACAACAACACGGCACCCCTCGGACTAAAGCCCCATCACCCACTGGCAAACGCATAGAAGATTAGCCTGACCGGCCGAATCGCGGTCTTCAAGTTACCCATCGGTCTCCAGTCACCGACCTGGCCTCAGCGGCCTGGACTTTCGCTTGACAACAGGCGAGAGGGCCGCTCATTTCAGACTTTTTTTCTTGAATCTTCAAAGACGGGACATGTCGACTGTGCAGCTTTCCTGTGGACTCCGTCCACGTAGACTATCCAATTTCCCCATCACCCGTTGTCACACTTAGCCCAATCTCCGCGGCTGCGACTACACATGTAATTAATCTACTTGACTTTTTAGCCCCTCAGCAAGTGAAATGAAGGAGTCAGCTCATTTTGTTTTGTTATTGGTTGGGGTTTTCTTTGAGGAGGGGTTGGTATTGGGCGGTTGATCCCTGTAAGACCGTTGGGTATAGATAGCAGTCGTTATATCTACTTTGGAACATCAATCGGCGTTCCAACAACAGACTCCCCAACACGTTGAGAAAACACGGAGGAAAGCATTATTCAAGCTTTGGTTCAATTCTTCTTGCCAACTGCCGACCAACGGTGGTGGGTTCTGCTACGTGGAGCTGAAAAGCGTTGCAGCCTTGTGACCATGGATGCTCATGCTGCGGTTCCGATGCTTTCCCACGGTTCTCTGCGCTCCGTATACTTCAACGCCCACACTGGTCCTTGGCGCCTAGTTCTTCTTACAGGAATGTCATGTTGAGTTGCTTTCATATTTTTCCAAACGGCAAAGGTCAAGCAAAATAGAAGATTGTTCAAATAGCCAACAAGCATCTCTAGATATCAAATATCAACCATCCGACAGCGCCCCTCCTCGCAAAGAAGTAGATAGTTTTTGGACGACTCCGTTGCTCCGAGATCCTTGAATAGTGCATTCCGTCTGCGTAGCCAGAAGGATTGGTTCCCAACAAAGTCTCCTAGATGTGAAGGCCGAACATCCACAAGAGCCGCAACGGTTGTTGAGGATGCTGATAACAAAAGGCCCGCTTCTGCACGAATTCTCTTCACTAACGCGGCCCGCACAGATACAGGGTCGATGGTTGTGGGCCCTTCCTCCGTCGAACGGCCGGGGCCCGATGAAGACACAGACGTCGTACTAAAAACTCCGGTAACACTCCGCGTACCTGTTTCTAGTCCTACGATCGCGTCGAGAAGACCCACGAAGAGGAATGGATGCTGTAAAATTTCAACCGCGAAGGCATGGCAGGTTTGACGGGCGAGGACGCGGTAGGTGTCTTCCTCAAGCAGACTGGACAGCCGAAGGAGGTTGCGAGCAATGACCCCATTGACTGAAGGTACAGCGGACTCAGTGCCAGTCTTCAGCCGGAGTAGAGGACCGGGCGACCCCGGCACAGCTGTTGAAGGAGTGGTATAGTAACCGGCAGGGGTCGAGTTGACGCGGGCAAGGAAATGGTCGTTGAGATACCCTAAGAAAGAACGGTCGTTAGCATACTAAACGCCTGATTAAGGTCGCGGAGCCAACTTACGTTGTAACTGTTCAGCAAACTGTAAGTAGCTGTCATCAAATGTGGCCTCGTACATGTCCAGCAGGCCTTCAGCTAAGAAAGCGTAGTCCTCTGCGAACCCCGGGGTCGTTCCTTTGCTGCCATCACGATAAATGCGCCAGAGTTGCCCAGAGGCTTTATCGAATAGGGTCTCTTTGATGAAGTTGATTGCCTTAGCCGCAGCTTCTCGGCATTGAACTGATTTCTCATCCCAAATCTCTTCAAACATCATGCTGCACTTGGCGAGGGCACCAATTGTTAATCCATTCCACGACACGATAATTTTGTCGTCCAACTCAGGCCGTACGCGGGTTTTTTCTCTGTATTCACGCAGCTTCTGCTTGGCTGATTTGATGATCCGGACGACCTCGTCCTCACCTAAGCCGAACTCCTTTGCCAGTATACTTGGAGTGACCTTCACTGAAAGCACATTCTGGTCCATAAACTCATCATGAGGATCGTTCTCTGGGGCAATGTTTCCGTCAGGGAGAACACCCCAGTGGCGAGCGCATACCCCAACATCTCGCGGTCCGAGAACTTGTGTCAGCTCCTTCAAAGTCCAAACGTAGAAAGCACCTTCTCGCTTTTCAGATTCATTCGGGTTGGGTAGGCTGTCGGCGTCCTCGGAGGAATGGAAAGCGCCTGTCGGCGACAGAATTGGTGGCGATGTAAGATAGGTGACTAGGTCATAAACTGCACCTAGAAGTTCGGGATTGTGTGTGATCTTGAAGGCGTCAACGTAGACACTGAGGAGCTGGGCCTGGTCATATAACATTTTTTCAAAATGAGGTAGGCTCCAATCGGCTGTGACGCTATACCGGGCAAAACCATGGCCAATGTGATCGCGGATTCCCCCGCGCGCCATGCTAACAAGCGTATTAACAGCCATTGCCGTGGCATTCTCGCATTCTTCTTTCCCAACAATATCAGTTACTGCGCTCGGATAAGCCCCAAGCCGGAGCAGGAAACTCAGATTGGCCGGAGTAGGGAATTTAGGCGCTCTTGAGAATCCCCCGTTGGTAGTATCGTATCGTGACGCGAAATGTTGATATGCCTCTTCCAAAAGCTCGATATCTAGATCTTCGTCCGCATCACGATCACCCTGATACGTGTGCGTCCCCTCTTCGGCGAACTCCCTCAACTGTTTAGTGATCTCCTTTGCGCTGTCAAGGCATCTCTGCTGTTGTGTAGTCCATACGTCTCGCAACTTTTCGAGGATCTCAATGAAGCTGACAGTCTCAGGGCCATGTAATGACGTCGAGCTTGGACCGGGCCAGTAAGTCCCGCCAAAGACAGGTTCCAGATCAGGGGTTAGGAAGACATTCAACGGCCAACCACCGGAGCCGGTAGTCGCTTGAACATAGTTCATATATATGTCATCAACATCAGGTCTTTCTTCTCGGTCGACTTTGATCGGGATAAAGGATTCATTGAGAATCGAGGCTACCTCTTGGGACATGAACGACTCTTTTTCCATAACATGGCACCCTATTGTCATTAGTAGCCGTTGGTAATTCACCTTGAGCTAAGAGCGATAACATACAATGGCAAGCTGAGTAACCAATACTAAGGAATATTAGGCGGTTATGCCTTCGAGCGAGCTCGATGCTTTCAGCGTCCCATAGCTGCCAGGCCACGGGATTATGACCATGCGCTCGCACCTGTATATCATGCCACGGTTAGTACAACTAGCATAGTTCCGGAATAAAAGGAACTCGAGGTATAGCTCACATAGGGTGATTTACTAGCTTCCAACCGGTTGACCAGCTTGGGTACCGCGCCGGCCGCGCTGTCCTGTCTTTGACTTCGTTGCGCCTGCATGTTTGGCAAGATTATGTGACGAAAAAACGCTGGGTGAAAGGTATACACTCCGATATAGCCGGGCAAATGAGGATAACTGGGTGAAGAGGATGTCTGCCCGCACGGGTACGCACTTCCGAAGCCAAGGACGCGCGGGGCAGCTGATAGGTGAGGCAGAGGAGCGAATCAGCAGATAACGAGGAACGTGATTCAAAAATCGCCTCCGAAGCCGATTACAGCGCTCTGTGCTTATGCAGGTAATAAGCCACAATATCGAGGCTCAAGGAGCTAAGATGGTGCTCGAAGAGCTTCGAGTCGTGTTGCTTCCGTTGATCGACGATCGCTGTTCGCCCGCACTTTGGTTTGCGTCATGATTGCATTGGTCACGTGAGGCTTCTCTACGTGTGGGGTTACAACACCGGCTACTACATCGTACGCCGAATCGATTTCGCTCTACTCCGGGTTGTGCCTCTTCCAGTGCTTTGGGACTAGCCCTTGTCGTTTCTTTATTAATCATCTTCCAGCAGCTCTGCCAGTTCTCGCTCTTCCTCCTCAGTTAGCATAGACCCTGCATTGGCCGTCTGTTCGTCGGCCGGAGGTTTTGTTGCCTGTTCGATGGCATTTCGAAGATCATCAGGTTTTAGAGACCATTGCCGGATAGTGGCATCAATGCCAACGCTGACCAGCGTCAGCCCTAGGAGGACTAGGCCGGTCACCTCCTCGTAATGGCCGGAGAATGTGTGATATAGTTGTCCAGTCTAATAGACGTTGTCAGCAATGGAGCACTAGAGCGGCTAGTAGGATGGACCGCACCGATCGATTCCATACGCGAACTTCTTCGTCTCGACAGGCAGTAATGACCCAACCGCCTCGCTCATCAACCACTACGTCCCGCACATAGTCTGGATGAGTGAGTGAGAGGTTCGCTTTCCATTCATCTTCTCGGACAAGACACTTGGCCGTTTTATCCGCAGAAGCTGTCCAGAGGTCCCCATCCTGGTCGAAGAACAGTTTATAGATGTTTGTATCGTGAACCAACAGAGCCTCCGTGCCAGTACTGTCCTGACTGCCCTTGGTGATATCAAATTGGCGAATCTCCCTGTCACTACCAGCGCTAAACACGACTCGCTCAGAGCTACCGGGGTCAAGAGTGGCCGGGTCTATCGAAAGATCCTGTATTCCTTTTGTGTGGCCCTTGAGAACGTGTAGCCGTTGTCCACTGGCGATGTCGAAAACCAGTATTTGCGCATCCGCTCCGCCCGATATCAATAGATCTTGGCCTCCTACTAGTCTCGTGCTAGTTACTGCCCTCACAAAATCGGCGTGGCCTTCGTATTGTAATTTCGGTTGTTCTGTTGCTACATCCCAGCTCCAGACAGTCTTGTCCCAGCACCCCGCGAATAGGAGTTGGCCGTTGGGGCTAAAGCAAAGACTCGTGACAGGCGCCGTGGGCCCTTTGAAAATAGCAGCAGTTTCACCCGTCTAAACACAGAAGCAAGACAGAAAGATTAGCGACAGTACTCAAAGGCTTTGCAACTGGAGAAACGCATTTACTGACTTCGAGGTTGACCCTTCGGACTGTTCCGCTGCTCTGCGCCACATAAACAAAGCCGTCTTTCAGAGGATCCGCTTGAACAGCGAGGATCTTGCTCTGCAGTCTAATGGGAGACCCGTTTGTGTTCTTTGATTTGGCATCTTTCCGTCTCTGCTCGTCAAGAGAGGATCTAGAATAGTCAGCAAAAAATGAACGTGAAAGTGCGGAGAATGTGGAGGGGCGGACGTCGTCTGGAAGAAGTCGTCCCGATGGGAAGACGTGGACATGGTGGGAAGGGGTAGAGGAACAGTGACGACAACAATAGGTATCAATTGAAGCAGAATGAATGGAGAAATGTACAAATCTACTATTCTTGTGGGCGGGGTTGTTCAGAGCAAAAGGTTCATGGGGTATCCCAGGACTGCTCTCAGAGCTCCTGCGGCCGACCGTAGCCCTCAGCCCTTTTCCCACCAAATCTCTGCCTCAGCTTCCAGCTTCTTCCTCTTCCTCTCCTCCACCTCACGTCACCCTATCGCTCCTTGTTCAACGCCTCAAGCTTTCCTCCCCTCTCCCATCTCTCACTCTCTTCTCGCGCCGATCGCGCATCCCTCCCGTCAAAATGGATATGAACCATTTAATAGGGTCAGTGGCCTGAATTAGGGTATGTGCGGGAAGGCTAGAGTTAACACCTGGCAGTCAACGGTTCAACCTGATCTCCAAAAGCGATATTCGGTATGTTCCTCAATGAGTGCCACTACTATGCACCTGCATCTTCCTAGCGTTGGCTCAAGTCTAATCCACCCAGCTATGTCGGTACTTTACATGAGATCAACCCTGAAGCCTCGACAATCGCCTTGCAGAATGTGGTCTCTTTCGGAACCGAAGGCAGGCGAGGGAAACCTGCTGAAGAGATCCCGCCTTCTAACAGCATCTACGAATACATTGTGTTCCGCGGAAGCGATGTGAAAGATATCAGTGTTGCAGAGGACAAGAAGGAGAATGCACAGCCAGAGGCTCCTCGGATGCCAGATGACCCGGCTATTCTAGGGGTGAGTACTCCGCAGCTTGTTCTCTTCGCCCTATATTTCCCACTTCTGATCGATCGATGCCATTCATTGTATGATCAAATGATGAAATATTTCGGATGTAAACTCACAGACCTGTTCTGAATTGCGCAAACAATTGTGTGGAGATTTCCGTTGCCTTCCTTCTGACATCATACGCCTGCTTTACCACATTTCTATATTTAACGACAGGACGAAAGACTTCTAACTAACTCTCCCGTCTAGAGTGCACCCCAACCCGGCCCGGGTCCTCAAAGCCTTCCGCAGCAGCCCCAACAACCGCCACAGCAGCCGCATCAGCAACCGCCTCCAGGACGGGGCCCTCCCCCTCCCGGATATCCTCAGCAGCACCAATTTCCGGGCTATTACCCTCCCTACGGACCACGATACCCTCAATTCCCCCCGGGCCCTGGATACCCTCCTATGCCCTACGGCGCGCCTCCGGGCTGGTATCCCCCTCCTGGTCAAGGCTTCCCGCAAGGGCCTGGTCAATTCCCTCCTCAAATTCCGATCGGACCTCCGGGCCAGCACCACACCCCTCCCTCCCAACAAGCTGCTCCAAATGCACCCCAGGCAACTTCCGAACTTCCGGTCGGTGACCGCCCTGTGAGCAGGCCTGCTGACCAGGCGACCGCTGCCCCACCTCCTGCACAGGCTGAGAGCGCCCCCACCCCGCCTGTTGAATCGAAGCCGTCTGTCGCAGAAGCCATCAAGGCAACAACCGCTCCAACTGAGAGAGCGCCTCCGACTGGACCCAGGGCAGGACGCGCACCGCCTGTCATCCCGATTGCCACTCCTACAAAGCCAAGCGGCCCTGCGGTAGTCAACGCCCCTCCGCTCGCTCCATCCAACGCAAACAATGTGACTCAAGGCACCGCTCAGGCTGCCATCACAGAGGCGACTCGTGCGGCAACCGCTGCTGTTGCAGCGGCCATGGCCAAGCTTCCCCAACCCAATGGTCAGAAGAAACCCCAGCACACGGACGTCTCGGTGGAGGGTATTTCCCGGCAGTTGGGCGAGATGAAACCTTACGAAGGTGGCCGTGCTCCTCGCGGAGGTCAGCAATCTCGTGGCCGTGGTGGTTACCGAGGTCACTATCAACAAGCACAGAACAAGAAAGTTGAGGTTCCAGATACCGATTACGACTTTGAAACAGCCAACGCCAAGTTCAACAAGCAGGATCTGGTCAAGGAGGCTATTGCCACCGGCTCCCCGGTGCAGGAAGTAGAAAGCCCAGCTGAGGTCGCCAGCACTGCAGAGCTTCCTGCGACCACTCAGAATGCCAATGTATACAACAGGACAACCTCATTCTTCGACAACATCTCAAGCGAGGCTCGCGATCGCGAAGAAGGCACCGGTGCCCGAGGCGGAGGTCGAGAATGGCGTGGTGAAGAGGAGAAGCGGAATATCGAGACGTTCGGCCAGGGTAGCGTTGACGGATACCGCAGCAGTCACCGTGGGCGTGGAAGAGGCCGTGGCTTTGGTCGAGGCCGAGGCGGCTATGGCCGTGGCTACGGATCGCGAGGTCGCGGAGGACGCAACATCTCGCAGTCTACTGGTGTCCCAACGCCGAACTAATCGATCTCGAGTTACCATAACAAACTCGGAAACTGTTTGATGGCGCATTTAGCGGTGGACATGATCTTTTCCTACAATATGTTTTTCGACTTTCTGACTTGGAAGTGACGTATTCCTTCAAGTCTTTACATTTCTCCATATTCTCTCGGCGTCGGATGGTAGCATTCTTCGGAGGCCTCGAGTCAAATCTTGACAACACACGTCAAGAGTCGCAGACTGCTTGGATCCACATGAGTTTACAATGGGTGGGCTTGGTGTCTGTACCGGCGTTTGTTTTGTTGATTGCATGAATTGGCTGTGGGTCGCATCATTCACATATCCAGACAATGGTGCTTCCGCTTTACTTGTTGTGTTCAGCGCGGCCGTTACCCTAGGCAAGCTTCCGTCCATGGACAGCAATGTGCTTATGTATCATACCTAGTGGACGAAATCCGTCCATAATTCAAAAAAATGAATAAAACGGGGTCGAACGGCTGCTCGACCTCGGTTATAGTCAAGAGTCGCTGTGCTTCCTTGGGATGTCCTTTGTAGTCCCCGCGCATTGCGCAACCCCTCGTTCCAGCTTCTCCCTCGTCTCCGCACCCTCCACGCTGATCTGATTTGTAACACCTTCCTCGGTCGAGAGCATAACCGAATCCACCCTACCACCTTGTCCAAAAGCTTGAAAGAAAACGACCATGGCCTCGTTCTTTGTCCTCCAACTTCCCATATCCAGATCCCAACTCCAAGAGCACCCAGCGTACACCAGCAACGATACTTACAATGAGCCCAACTGATCGCCTGAGCAAAGTCCTTAGTACCCTTGCTGGCCAAGGCGCCGTCCAAAATCCCAATGAACTCCCCTGGAACCCGGATTCCGCGCGGTTCCCCTCTCGCAGTGAACTGCCCAAGATCCCTGGGGCCCCGGAGGATGCAGCTTGGGTATGGGGAAAGGATGACCAGGTACTCAATCCATCCATTTCAACCACAATGATACGGCGGCTGATATACTCCAGATTGGCCGGTTGAACCTCCTCACTCCGGCTAGAGTGAAGGCTGCGGCGGCGGAAATCAAGACTGGGGAGATGGTTCGGTTGGAGTATGCCGCTCTACACTTTGGGTGCTGATGGAGGCTAACGGGGAGATAGCCTCCCTGCCGACGTGCCGAAGACGCCGGCGTTTGGACGTGAAGTCTTCCAGCATAAGATCAAGCCCTTGGGCAGTGGAGTTGGCTACGATGATTTGTATATCATGAATACGCAGAGCGGAACTCAGTGGGATGGATTCCGACATGTACGTCCTTGCCCTTCCTTTCTCTTTCTGAATGCTTCTTATATATCCAATAACTAACACCTCCATAGTTCGCCCACCTCAGCACAAAATGCTTCTACAACGGCGTTCGTCCACCTTCCGTCCCCCAATCCAATACAGCCAAACTAAACTAACAAAACTCATGCAAAAAGGCCACAGCCGCCGACATCGACGGCCCCTCCCCAACAACCCGCTGCAGCATCCACCACTGGGCAACCCACTGCATTGCCGGCCGCGCAATCCTCCTCGACTATCGGCACTACGCGCAAACCCATTCAATCCAATACGACCCCTACACGAGCCACGCAATCTCGCACGCCGACCTAACCGCCTGCGCCGCGTTCCAGGGCCTCGACATCCGGCCCGAGTCCGCCGGCGGCGACATCAAACCCGGCGACATCCTCCTCGTCCGCTCGGGGTTCGTCCAGCGGTACAACGAGCTTTCACCCGGTGAACGCGAGGCCGCGGCGCTCCGCACGCACGGCGATCTCCGTTGGGCGGGGCTGAAGCAGGAAGAAGAGGTGCTGGATTGGTTGCATGACTGTTACTTTGCGGCCGTTGCGGGGGATAGTCCGACGTTTGAGTGTTGGCCTGTCACGGCGACGGAGGGCGGGAGGGGCAAGATTGGGTTTATGCATCAGAATATTTTGGCGCTTTGGGGGATGCCCTTGGGGGAGATGTGGGATTTGGAGGCGGTTGCGGAGGTGTGTAGACGGTTGGGGAGGTGGACTTTTTTCTTGACCAGTGCGCCGGCGAATGTTGTTGGTATGCTATGCTCTTCCTTTCATGTCTTGTTTGTTGTGCTAACGCATTGCATAGGTGGTGTGAGTTCTCATCCAAATGCTACGGCTATCTTTTAAGGAAGTATAGGTTTTCAACCCCTAGCAACGCTAGCAACAGCCCAAGAATCCATTCTGATATGGAAGCTGCATTGCAATGGAAACAAATCTTATATTCAAGTGTCATGACTCATGTACATTCGTGATTTGACATATCGTCGTATCATCCAATCTTGTCGAAATCTCCCTCTAGGTACGGTAAAACGTCCAAAGAAATGAAGAAGTAAATCAGAAGATATCCTCAGGCCATTGGAAGCCCTCGGCCTTAGCTTTCGCATCTTGCTCCCTCTGCACACGCCTCTTGCCCATTTCCCTTGCGAGCCGGCGATCGACCTTGGCCGCTGTTGCGGCGAGGTCTTTCGGGAGAGGGGGTACGGGTGGGATATACTCGTATCTCGCTTTGCGTCTGGTAGGGGTGGTAGATGTAGAAGCTGAGGTAGTGGGCGTTTGGTCTGGTTCAGCGTCCTGCTGCTCTGGCTTGTGAGCACCAGTATCAGTCTCGCCGTCATCTCCACCGTCACGTTCGGTGTTATTCTCTTTATTCTCATCGGGTCCAGTGCCGGGACCAGGCGAGGCTGTAGTTCGCAAGTCAACCCTTCCTTTCTTCATCCTCAGTACGGGCGTCGCAGACCTATTACGCGGGTTGGTAGACCGCAGAGGCCGACTGTCACGGCCGCCGTCGTCGCCAGGGGAAGAGGCATTCTCTGCTGCTGCGGGGCTCCGTTTCTGCTTCTGCTTGCGCTCGACGGAGCCAGGGCTGTCTCCACGGGCGGTCTTAGGCAGCTTTGCTTTGCGCGAGGGGGTTTTTATTACTTCTGGCTCTGCTGGTACTGGTGTCTGATCAGGTGTTGGGGCAGGAGGGTCTTCCTTCTGTACTGTGCTGCATGGATTTTGTTGCTGTTGATCATCGGATTGATCTGGCTTCCTTGTTTCAGGGCCTGGCGATTTGCGCTTGCGAGACGCCGACCGCGAGCGAGGCGTAGACTCCGAGGCCTTGCGCCAAGGCTTCGGGGATAAGAGGCGCGTCTTCTCTACACGGATTTGTGTTTGGGGGTCAGGTTCTGGCTCGCACTCTTGCGATGCGCCCTCTGCAAGCGGGCTTAGCGATGTTGCAGGGTCTATCCCATGCAAGAGCCTTTCCGACGGCAACGAGGGTAGAGCCCCGGGAACAAACTTTCGCTGATACGGCCTCTCTTCCTGAAGCCTCTGCACCAGCAGCTCTTTTTCGCCGGTGAGTTCTTGCAGCTCTCGCCGAGCTCGATCCAGCTTGCTCTCCAAGTCACTAACCCGCTTGAGCAGTTTGGCCTGCCGCTGCATATCTTTGCGGGACTTCTGTGGTCGAACTTCCTGGCCCCGGCTGTCAAGGTGTTGCAGCAAGGACGATATGCCGTCCGAGCGTTTGATGCCGAGTGATGATTTTGCCTTGCGTAGATCAGGAAACGAGGGGCGGAGCGAGCTTCCACTGATAGAGTCACGGTCGATGGGTGTGTTGGCGGAGCTCTGTCGTGAATGCTGGCCACCTCCACTGCCGTACTCCATCTTCTGCTGGATGGACCTCCAGGTCTGGTCTGGGAGACTGGCATTTGCTGCCCCAAGACTCTGCATGTAGCTTCCTTTTGCCGTACCCTGATACCCAGAGCGCTTTAGCTCCTCGTAAGCAAGCTCCGCCTGCCTAAGCCTATCGTTCGTAACGTCTTCTTCACGATGACCCTCCTGCGACCCCCTCCAGATCTCAGACACACTGCCCCATCCACCAAACGGGTTAAACGCCGACGCAATCGCTTTTCCGAATCGAAAGATCCCAGACTGTCTACTAGCACTGCGAGCAGGCTCATTCTGCTGCCCAGCATCCCGTAGAAAGATGCTAGGTGGCTTCTCACTGACAGTATCATTCATGTGTCCCTCGACAAAGCGGGACCGCCGACCGGAGCGCCCATGCTTTGGTGAGCGCGGTGACCCATGCGCTGAACCAGGCCGTCGGCCATAATGGTGAAATGGCCACCGCTGCCGAGACCTAGATCTATGTTCCGTCCGCGTAGATGAGTCGTTATTTATCGCTTGCCGCGGCCAATCGTTCGAGCGTCGTCGCTTGACAGAATGCGAAGGAGAGTCGTTCTCGCCTTCTCCAGGGATACCAGTATGCTCGGGAAGAGGGGATGCGAACTCGTCTGCATCGTCAAATTGACCAGACACGTCAGAGAGAAATTCCGATTCTAGACTCATGCAGCTCGCATTCCATCCGTGCCCTCTAGGCGTATAACTAGAATTGTGAGGGTTTGGTGAGGGGCATGTTGATGCGAGGGAGCGGTGGAGTTGGTAGTCTGCTTGGTTGTGGTCGGTGTCGAAGACTCGGTCGGTGGCCTGAGAGACCAATGCAGAAGCCATCTGGAGTGGTTGGTTAGTCTTGCGATCACTCTTGCGGTTGGATGGTGTCGTGCAAGGGAGGACAGAAAGGGAGATTGTCTGACCTCCGCACCAACGGCGATGCTCTGGTTGCCTTTTCAGCCCTTTGCTCTGTCTAAAAGCAGTGTGAGATTGAGATGAATCAAATACGACGATCGATGACTCAAAACGACAGAGCGCGGGGAGCCTGGCCAGAAAACGGGGAGAGTGATGATGAGTTGTTCTGGCTGTTTGTTGTTTTGTGTTGTCGCGCCAAGCAACGAAGACACTCAACAGCTATACTCCGTCTCCGCTGTGCAGAAACAATCCTTCAGCGGCAGGTAGCAAAAAAGAATTAACTTGATGGGAGAGACGAGTTCGCATCTTATGCCACTAGACTTAATGTTGTTCATGCACGCGTTCAGAAAAATAGTTATCTCGTGTCTGGAATGCAGGATGATGGTTCCTTCCAGGCTCAGGCATTCTACAGCCCAGTTCGAAGAAGATCCTAATTACTCCCAAGGCCTTTTCAGAGTATGGAATGACAAATACGAGTTTACAGTCTTAACTTGGCAGCTCTCACAAGACGTGGTTATATTGCACACATCTATCTGTTCAAGGGACAAAAATGGGACCGCTCACAATATATTGGTCGTTCGAATCATAGGAAAAATGTCAAGCATATAGAACACCCAGAAATAGGTAGCCAATCTCATGGAATGAAACAGAGCATCCCGGGCAATATAGTAGATCCGACAAAGTACATATGGAAGAAGAGAAGGACAGATATGGGCAGAATCATATACAGCTTTCGAAGGATATCAAAGGATAAAATAGGGTTTGCAATCATGAGAAGAACGCCAGAGGGCCGGGCTTGCGACTTGCAAAAAAAGGAACAAAATATAATGGAAGACCTGAACGCCTATACACCGTTTCCTGTACCAGACGCGTGCCGAGAATCTACAACGCCAGGCTAATGGTGTCGATATTTTCTCGTTGAGATCTGTCCGTTGGCTCGTTTGTAGGCCATCTGATCATCGGCGCCGTCGCCAAAGAGTTCTGCCCGCGGGTCGAACGAGTCCCTATGCCCGCCTTAGTACACTTCACTATCAGGCCGCATGCCATTATAAAGTGGCCGGTCATCATGGCCGAAAGTCTCTTCGTGCGTCCGCTTCGAGACCTTTTGGTTGATTTCGGGAAGGCCTTTTCCGGAGCTGTAGTCATTGCCTGGGCTGGATCCAATACTGCTAGATGGTTGGGAAGGTACGGAATTGTACGCGGAAAGAGATTTGAGTGGAGGAAGTGACGTAACCATATTGGATGGGGTTTGAGATCGAGGAACTCCGTGCTCTGGGTGGTGTTGTTCTTCAGGAAGGCGTAATGGTGGTAGAGATGTCGTCGATTTCAAATAGCTCGGTCGTTCAACAGTGTGGCGTGAATGGGAATAGGTGTAGGTTGACGGAGAAGGCTCATATTCTGTGCCTGACGACGGATTTCTTTCATGCGAGATCGATGGGCGGGGAGAATACCTGTGTGTTGGTGTGGTCGTCGGCTGTGGCGTATGAGACAGCGGAGGAGCTGGGTATTGGATCTGAGTCGAACCGAATGACAGATGGGACTGATAGGAGGGTGTGTGCAGTGGCGGGGGAGCGGGAGGAGCGGCAACAGAGGAAGGCGAGGGTGTTGACGGGGGCGCAGCGACAGGAGTTGGGATTGCAGCTGGTGGAGGAATCGGGGTAGATGATGCGGCTGGAGCGGGAATCGGACGCTGGTATGGTTGGTGACTTCGAGGGCCATACTCCGGTCCTGATGGACGGCGCTGTGACTGATAGGCGTAGGAGTGGTCGACAGTGCTGATGCTGGTCGAGCGTGGTCTCTCTGGAGGGAAAGCGTCTGGTGTGTGTCGACTGTTGTAGCCCCTGTCATCATCATAATCGTAATCATCGGTTCTCTTGTCTCCACGACGCCTCATTCGCACATCACGGCGGATACGGACGCGGCATCCTTGCTCTGCGATAAGGCGACTGAGCTGCGTGCTCGTCGTCAAACCAGGGAACTTCTTCGCACTGTACACAGTGAATGGAAGAGTTTTTACTTCCAGACGAAAGTCTAGAAACTGTTGCGGGGCCGACAACTTTCCTGGGACTGGCGGCAAAGGCGCGGGTGTTCCTTCAGTGGCATCCTTAGGATCCTTGGTTTGTTCGAATAGGTGGAAACTCAGGCGATAGACACCCTCATGTCTGACCGAGAGATCGGGGAAGATAAAGTAGCCAGCTTGCGAAGGGCGATCGAGATATGCCACGCCGGCGACCGGCACACCTGTTAGGGCAGGGCAGCTAGGAGGGGACGGAAGCCGCCCTTGTGCAATTGGGCGAGCGGTTTCCAACGTTGCAAACAGGAAGAAATTGGCGTTGTAGCGAAAGGTAATGTCGGTTTTATGGCTGTCATCGTGGGGATCGGACTCGAAGATAAGCATCTCGACAACCGGGGGAGGATCAACAGGACGACGGTCCGCAGAGGCTATTCAAAGCCAGCATATCAGTACCCTCTTCACATCAGTTCAGGGCTTGAGAGAGAGATTACTTACACTTGGCACCTGCACCACAAGCTCTCGCACGTTCGGGCTGTTGCATAACCTTCAGCTGGTATGTGATCTTCTTGCCCTCTTGAGTGATCCGATCGACGCATATCGCCTCGTTGGTCGGTTGGGAAGCACCTGTAGCAGCCATTTTGAGGGAGGAACGGGTTCTATTCAATATTACTAGAGGCGATTAGTACCCAAAAGCTCGAGCCACGGCCGTCTTCATTGAAATCGTGTCCAACAATTGCAACAGTAGAGCATACTCCGATTGCTTGATATGTGCGACGCAGCTCCAGCCAGTGCTGAAGACAATGGTCGGCTGGTATCTCGAGGTCGAGTTTCACGAGCGCGAATGCGAAATGCGTCAGTCACAACGTGCACCAGCGCGTCGACTATCAGACGGAACGAGGATTTCAGGCGCCCGGTCGTGCAAAAGGGTTCCTGAAAAGGGGAGGGCGAGAAAGGAAAGGGAAACACAAGATGGGCTGAGCCGGAGAGAGAGAGCCCACAGCTTGTCCCCTTTGGGAGGAGAGAATAGAAGGGAAAGGATAGGGAGCGTTCGGATTGGAAGAAGGGATCACACACAGCGAGCGAGGAGAGGGGGAGGGCAAGCAGTGATAGAAAAGAGGGTCAGAAATGGCAAAGTCAGCCGTCAGTGCTCACAGCGTCGTCGAAAGATACCGACCGACGCTACGGCTAAGGTAGGTTGACACTAGGGAAAATTAAGTACTTTGGCCGGGGTTGGATGGATCGACCAGGCTGACGGAGACGAAGATCATTCGAGGCACATTAATGATGCCTTTGGGCTTTGAGAATTCGAAGCTCGTCGTGTTAACGACGGTCTTGTCTTTGTTGTATCTGGTGCATATCAGACTGTTTTCCCTTTCAGTGTCGCCTGGCTGGAGAAAACAACTGGCAACCAGAGCAAGGAAGAACCGACCGACCGGACTGGAGCGGTGGGTTGCAGAAACCTCCACTGCCCAGGTGAAAGGAAGGGGGCCGGGGGCAGCGCTAGTGGAGCGCCTGGTCATTGGGCCAGCTCCTGCGGGAGAGTTCCACCGTCGTGGTCTCAGTAACCGCTAGTCCAGGTTGGAGCCGAGTCCGAGGCCCAAAAGTCCCAGCTTCGCCGCGACGGAGGCTTGTGGAGCAAACTTCACCAGCTTTCATGGGCGCTTCGCTTGCATAGATAGATATCGCCATCAACCCAAATCTATCCGAGTCTTGATAGGAGACTGAGCCTCGAGGCTATGGCTGAGAACACTGGTCAAATTGTGACGTGTGGCGCCGGAAGCTGGAGGGCCGTCCTCATTAAAAAAATACAAATCAATTATCCCACTAAGTCTCTCGGTTCCTCACCAGTGAGTACACTACTCTCGGGTATGGCTCTGTTCCCTTTAAATAAGGTAAATATGCCCGGCGAAAGCGCTAGCCAAAAGTCGCCATCTGTCAAAGATACCATCCTCTGGAGCAATCGTCTGTCATGCAAGCTGGATGCATAATAATCCCCAAAGGGTTCGATCCTGCATCAAATTGTGCTTGAAATTTGAAAACACGTACTCGTACCCAGCACAGCGGATCAATCATGCATTCCAGAGCCCAGTCGTTTGGAAGAGGATGCTCGAGCGAAAGCCAGCAGAGCTGGTCAATGCACGGTCTTGCAGGGTGACATGATCTCCACCCCGACCCATTAGGACCCTATCGGATGGAAATGAAGAATCTCAACCGAGCCGGGCCTGTTGAGACTTGGAACCCATCGTATGCAGGTTTCTTGCCATCAACATCGAACGAAATAATGCCTTCAAGGGCCCGAACAATGCACAAATAATGGAAAGTAATTCAGCAATAATGCTTTTGTTCTGCGAGACTGCTCACTTTTATCAGCTGAATCAGCGCACACTCTTAAGCTTGATCTCTTACCCCTGAATAGTGAAAACTTCCTTGGACTGGGTGGTCGAACATCTCTCAAGTTCGAACTCTCGACCAGACTACCGGACATTTTTATCCAGTCAACGACGTCCTGGAGCCCTTCTCAAAATTGAAGATGAGACAAGTGATCGATCGCCTCCTCAGCAGCACGGACAATAAGAAAGTACCAATCATCCTGACTCCCAGGGCAAGCAAGTCTGGACTCCGATGGATTGGGGCACAAGCCACTGAACTTTGTTTCTGTGTCAAGGCTATGGCGCTAAGCGTTAAAAACAATCAGACCTGTCCACGGAAACCGCATCCAATCCCATTGCTGGATCAGGAGAGCAGGATTTCGCACCAGACCAAAGCAGGAAATGCAGGCTGAAAGGCTAGTCCAGGCTGGCTCCCTGCGAAATCCCAATTCCATCGAATCCTTCGACGGATCCTGGGAACGTTCCACTCGTTGCTCGGGGCGGACCGCCCAAGGTGGGACTTGTGAATGACACCTGGTCTGGTTCGAAGTTAGAACTGAATCCTGCCAGACACTGACACGACACTGACTGGCCTTTTCCCAGAATAGCTCCTCCCAGCTTTCATTTCTTGCCATAGCTTCTTGTTGTTACAGACCATGATTCTGGTCCTTGTCTTTGGGACAGCACTGTCTCGTTAAGAATCGCGAACTCCCATGCATCGCTCGAGAGCTGAGAAGACAAATTGATCAAGAGTACGGAGGACGAGAAACAGAGGACGTCTCACCCCTCAAGTGCACTGCAACCCAGCAGGCTCTCCAATAACCGCATTGTCGGGTCTACCCGGCATCCATCATCGTCATACAATCACAAACCAAGGTTACTCATCAGTGCCAGGAATTCCAGTGGCCCCAAACACAATCAAATTTCAACGGCTGGGTCGCAACACCAACTTGGAATCACACGACTTTGGCTTTGCTCTCTCTCCTCTCCTGTATCTGTATGTCAGACCTCCAGGAGGATGGCGAGCAAATGTACCAAGTGCGGAGGAAATGCCACCCTCCCTCAGGCCTAACCAAGCCAGACTCCATGCCTAGCCTTCAGGCCCTGGATGTGGCGAGTGATCCGAATGGACAGCTATATTAAATCAGATGTAGTCCGCATATTAAAGCGTCCTTCAGGCTTCTGCTTCCTGCGGGCGACTTATCCCTGTTCATTTGCCGGATTCGTCCTAAGGCAGGGTTGATTTCAAAATCCGATCGAGGATCTTTCGAGAGTGGTTCATACTGGCTGTCCCAAATTTGATCCCTGTACAAGTCAGGGCCTCGCGATTCTGTGCCACTTTCAGGGTAACATGACTCCTCCAGAGCGTCGTCCCTTCCGTATCTTCTAGTCGGCCGTTATTGAAGGGTTAGGAATGTGATGTCTCGAATGTGACCAGTCTCAAAAGTCAGAATGGCTTGCTCTCCCTGAAGGCGTGCCATATCTGATCTTTGAGACCTTTTTCCGGCCACTGCTGTAAACCCATCAAGTATCCGGCGTCACTTTTTTGCGGATCTGACAGCTCTTGTGGCTCGTGAGAGGATGGTTGTCTCATCTGGGTCGTTTATCATGCGCTTGGGCCGTTGAACCGCCTCGCCGTCCCCAGGATGGAGTCTGGCGAGTAACCTTCCCCAGCTTTTATGCTCCGGAGCTCATGCATGACTTTTTCTATGGGTTGCCTCCAGCGGCCACTTCTCGGAGATCTCTGTTCCACCCAATTTAGGCATTTCGTCCACCTCAAAATGGCTTGTTGCACAAGCCTGCACTGCCTGCACTACCTGAGCAAGGGGCATCACACTACATCCAACACAATACATGGTCAGCAGTCAGTAGGAAATATTTGTCTTCCCGCCCTTGCCACTCTTCGCTGTGCTTGATACTCTCCTGCGACTAACAGCTTGGCTTGCGCGTAGCGATATAAATAAAGAAGCGCTTTTGAGACGTCCTCATTCAAGCTGGACGTAGCTCAGGAGTTCTTTTCCCCCCAGGGTTTCATGGCGACATTGTGTCGAGTCATTGGACCTTGACCGCACGTTTGCAAGGATATATAACCCGATCCGTTGTATACTATTTGCGAGACCACGGAGCTCGACCGAGGACCGGCCGAGCTGCTCAGCTATGCAGGACCATTTTTCGATCGCCATCAAAGGCGATCTTTTGCAGTCGAGGTGAGAACACAGGCAAGGACAAAAAAGAGAGTCCTTAGTCAAGCAAGGTTCTGGGTAACTGACGAATACTCTCCAGATTTTCAGGATACATAACAAAGAAATCCTCCGGAGTCCAGGAACTTGAAGGTGAATTAATGACAAATCCCCAGACTTCTTGCCCTCCGCTTATCCGTACCCGCGCTTAGCGTGACATCAAACAGCGTTTATGCGCGAAGACTCTGACCTCGGATTTCAGGGCCGGCGTCGCAAGTCATGCAAGTCGCTACTCACAAAGACCGGGCCGAGGGATAGACAGAGGAGATGGGATATGCATACTCGATATCGAATGCTGCTCATTGTCCTCAGCCGATTGCATGCGCAAATCGCCAACCGGGGAGTCGGGATTTGAACCACGACCCGGTTTGCGGTCTGAGCCAGTCATGCCTTGCAGAAGGATGCCACATCCTTGGACGCTAGATCCTGATTCTAACGGGCGGTTGTGGCTTTTGAGTTTTGGCAGCCTGAAATAGCTCCATCGGAATCCATCCACGCTTCATGGAAGACTCTGACTGGACTCAAGAATCCCATTGCTGTCCATCCGAGTGGGGAATTGAGGGGCTTCACCCGTCCAACGTCTTACACTCGAGGTTTCTTTCGGAGAGCAGTGTGGGAGGGGCTCAGTTATCAGCTCTGAGTTCTCGAGTTATCCAAACCCGGTGAGCCGGTACAGTCAAAATATGAAGCTAGATTACGCAATGAGGATGCTCTCATCCTGGAAATCTGTGGCCGCTACTGCACAATCTCTACGCCGGACAGGGAGACGAACTCATCGCTGGAATACACATAGCTTCCCGCTCCACCAAGTCTGCAACTTGTCGAGCCGAGCCGCGGATGTGTTTTCCTACTAGGCGTGGCCCATGAGCAATGGGTGGTAGTACAGCATAAAGCATGGCTTTCCGCTGGATCCCCGGCCCTCCACTTGCCCCAGCGTTCGAGGACTCCATCTTTCCGTCTTCTCACCCTCTGTCCATCTCCAACAATTCTCAACTGGACTCATAGGCGTGTTATATCACCATGCACCCGCTACATCCACTGGAGCCTGCTGGTCAGAACATCTGGCTATACGAACCGCTTAGAGCGGTCGACTACGTCGTACCTGATGGACACCCAGCCCTCATTGTTCTTTGCACCTGGCTTGGAGGGGCAACTCCTCGGCGGATAAGCAAATATGTGGGATATCACCGACAGCTGTTTCCCAACTCCGCCATCCTTCTCATCACGACTGGCATGATCGATATAACCGTGCGTTCTTTTGCTGTCATTCGATCTCGGCTGCAGCCAGCAAGGGAAGCTATACGCCGTATTCTCGGACCTGACGCTGGGGATTTCGAGAAAAATCCTAACGGCGTGCTGCTACACGTCTTCTCCCACGGCGGAAGCAACATCGCCATTCAGTTGATCCTTTCTATGCAGGATCCCAAGCACCCAAGCGGTATTCAACGACTGCCGCTACAGGGTATTGTGTTCGACAGCTGTCCCGGTGATACCACATTTATGCGAAACTATCAAGCCAGCGTTTACTCGCTGCCACCCGCTCCTCTTCCGATTCGATTGATAAACCAAGCCCTGCTCTTTCCGGCTATCGGCATTATCACGGGGCTCCAGAACCTGGGCATTACGAGCTCTATTAGTGAGATACAGAAACAACTGAACGATAGCCTTGTTGTCTCAGCCCGTGTTCCACGATTGTACCTTTTCTCCAAAGCAGACACGACGATCCGTTGGGAAGAGGTGCAGGCACATCTCGACGATGCCAGGATTAGAGGATATAACATTGCAAGCGTGGTATTCCACGAGAGCCCACATTGTGCATTGATTGTTGAAGACGAGAAGAGGTACTGGGGAGCTGTTCAGCAGTTCTGGGAGCAACTAGTGAAGGCGCGCGCCCCGGCATCTGTTGTGACAGGCGAGGCGGAGGTCGCGACAGTCGTCCCGGGAATTGGAGGATTGCGTGGGAGTAGATTGTAGACGACGTGCGTATACACGAGTAATGAAGCAATGACATCTCATACCCATCCATTGATATCCGTTCACAGAAACTTAGTGAGCTCCTGTGTTGTATACTTCCTGCTGGGGGGCCGAAGTTGGCCTTCCCCGCACCAAGATTCCGCAGAAATCTCAGCTTCAGCTTCACCGCACCTTCTCTCGTTCACCTTCCATGGATCTCCTATTCATCCTCCCCAACTTTTCAATAAAGCCATACGCTCATATTCTCCCGCCTCTTGAACGAAGCAGAATTACCACCGTCGACCTAATCTCGCTCGACACTCTCGAAATCGCGAAAAGGGCCCACGTTCCCCCTGCCGATGTCCGCCGGCTAGCCAACCACCTCATAAAAGCCCTGCACCACGATGTCGGATTCGAAGAAATACCCCGCGTCGAGCAAAGCGAGCCGGACTCCAGTGTCGATCTCGACGTACCGCTGATTCCGGGGCCGCAGACCCGGCTTGACCTCTCGCATTGGTGTGTTATCAGTACGCTCGACCCCGCATTGGATACCTTGTTAGATGGGGGGATACCGACGGGATATGTGACGGAGATAACGGGCGAGAGGTACCTTAACTGATCTCTGGGTGGTACAATGGATTGGTCGCTGATTTGCTGTAGTGGGAGCGGCAAGACGCAGTTTCTTCTTGGCCTGTTGCTGGCGGTCCAGCTTCCACCACCGCGGGGTGCAGCGAAAAGCGCCATCTACATTTCTACGGAGGCTCCTTTGGCTACGAACCGGCTTTCTCAGCTCATCGAGTCTCATCCGTATCTTTCGAGTCTTGCACGGGACGATGCCCCCTCACTGGAGAAAGTCCTCTCCATCAATGCAATGGATCTGGAAAGTCAAGACCATATCCTGAACTACCAGCTACCTGTTGCTATTAAACGGTATAACGTTGGGCTCGTCGTCCTCGACTCGATCACATCCAACTATCGAGCTGAGCATACATCTCACGACTTATCGGGCCTATCGACACGCTCCGGAGAGCTCGCGAAGCTAGGTCAGATGCTGCGCAACTTGGCCGCGAATGAGGATATTGCCATTGTGGTCGCAAATCAGGTCTCTGATCGATTTGAAGGGGATGTCCCGACTTCTTTTCCACACGCCGCCCGCGACCGAACTCCCATGTCATCTCCATCGCAATATCAACGAGACCCAATCGATCGCGATTTAGGCGCAGCGTCGCCTCTACCTCGACAGCGCCCGCCAGAGCTGAATAATAACGAGTCATACCAAAATACCCTTGCCATACCCCAGTCTACGCCGAATATTCTGTCCTCCTCTCCTCTGCCACCGACACAAGATGATTCGCAAGCGCAAGCGCAGCCGGACGGCTCGTACCTAGTGGGCAACCCGGTGCGGAACGAAATTCTCAGTCTACAACATCAACAGCGCTTTTTCACGGGGTGGGGGGACCGGCCAACTACCTCAAGTGTCTATCCTTTTCGGCCGCCAACACTCAAAACGCCGACGCTGGGTCTCGTGTGGTCTACGCAGATTGCATGTCGAATTGCACTGAAGAAACACGAGCGTAGCCTTGATATCTCCGCGGACGAATACCCGCTACCGAGCCGCGCGCAGATGTCGTCAAAGGAAGAAAACAACGAGGCCAACGAACGCCTTGGACAGACCCTTGAAAGTGGCAGCCCCAGTGCAGCTCCAGTCGACGTTGAGAATCAAAGATACATGCACAAATCTCCTTCGACATTGAAAACTATGGTTACGCCCTCTCAAACTCAACCCATCGAGCAGACCGTCCAACGAAGCATGAAGCTCGTCTTCTCCCCATGGGCGGGAAAGGGAGGATTGTCCCAGTTGCAGGATGAAGTGGAATTCGAAATCTGGAAGGGTGGGATGAGGGCTGTTTCGAATAATGTAACATAGTTTTCTATCTTGGTCAAGCCGTACTGATTGACTGAGAACGTCAGCTGACTGAACTCTATTTACAACTACATGGTCGTTATTTTCTTACCTCTTTCAAGACTGAGTGGTATCCACAAACCCTCCGCACATCAAGAGGGGCTTCAGAAGCCAAGGCCACAAGCTCCAGAACTATAACAAGGGCGGATCACCTCAAAGATCCTTCCCTGCAAAGCAGTTTGCTTCTGAGCAGCAACTCTCTGCACATGCCTTTGAAGCCATTCAAACTTTGGCACACCATTAAGAGCTCTTGTACACAGGGGTTCGGCCGCGGTGGACAGTATACATCCCTCAGCATCTTGAAGAAAGAATAGATGCTAGTAAGGTATTAACATGAGCAGGATTTCCCGGAACCTGCATAGCAGCAAGCACGCAACCAAGCCGTCACTTTCACCCGGCAATTGCTGTTTGGGAGCCCGAATGATGTGTTTCGCCTAGAACTAGATCTCCTCAGGGAGAAGGCTAGAAATGCTCCTGGCTTGATGGGACTTGCGCCAGCTTAAGACATTTGCATTGTCCGCGTCTGGCGTATTCATGCGTCAAGCCCACCGTGTTTACTCCGCAGGAATAACGGATGTCGCTCAAGGATGTGGCCGGGTAAATCCGTCTAAATGCTTCAATGCCACCAATGATGGCTCTTGGAACCATGTCATGGATAATACTCCGTGCCTAAACCGTCAACAATGGAGTATATGAGTGCGAACCCCACATATTCTCCTCGTCCGTGACTCCAGAAAATAACTCTCAACTTCATACCGACGATGAAGCCCTGGACGCTCATGATTCCACTGATAATGTCGGCAACTACCGCTACAACCCTCCATTCAAGCTACACAAACCCCATTCTCCCGGGCTGGCACTCAGACCCCAGCTGCATCTTTGTCGCAGAAGAAGACAACACTTTCTTCTGCACCACCTCGTCCTTCCTCACTACTCCCGCAATCCCCATCTACGCATCCAAGGACCTGACAACCTGGAAACTAGCCAGCCACGTCGTAACCCGGCCCTCCCAGGTCCCCGAAATCAACAACAGCACTTCGCAAACTCAACAAGATGGCCTCTGGGCGTCGACAATCCGCTACCGCAAGGGCAAGTTCTACCTTCTCACTTCGTACGTCTCGATGTATCCGGACTTCAAATTCACAGGACTCCTCTTTACATCTACGGATGTATTCAGCGACGCAGCTTGGAGTGACCCGCTAAGATTCGAGATCGGAGATATCGATCCCGACATCTTCTGGGATGACGATGTCGACGGCCAGGCGTACATAACGTACGCCGGCATAAGCCAAGTTCCCATCGACCTGGAAACGGGCGAAACAGGGGCCGCGTACAAGCTCTGGTCCGGTACAGGCGCGGGACTCCCTGAAGGCCCGCACATTTACAAGAAGGACGGGTGGTACTACCTCTGCATCGGCGAGGGCGGGACAGAACTCGGCCACCAGCAGGTCATCGCGCGGGCGAGAAAGGTCTCTGGCCCCTACGAGGGATATGAGGGCAACCCTGTGCTCACGAATAAAGGGACGAGCGAGTACTTCCAGACGGTGGGACACGCGGACCTCTTCCAGGATAAGAAGGGGAACTGGTGGGGTGTTGCGCTGGCGACGAGATCTGGGCCCGATTGGAGGGTTTATCCCATGGGGAGAGAAACGGTTCTCTTCCCTGTTACGTGGGAGGAGGGGGAGTGGCCTGTCTTCGGGGCCGTGCGGGGGAAGGCGACGGGTCCTCTACCTGTTGCTGAGGGTCACAGTGTGCCTGGGCACGGCCCGTACGTGGATGCAGACGATGAGATTGATTTCAAGTCTGGAAGCCATATCCCCAGACACTTCCTTTTCTGGAGATTCCCCAACGAAGACTCGTTCACCATCTCCCCAGCCGAACGGCCACACTCGCTGCGATTACTGCCATCAAAGTCGAACATCACCGGTCCAGGGACTTCAGAAGAAACAACAGACTTCGACCCAGCCATAACCCTGATAACCCGGGTCCAGAGCCACACATACTTCACGTACAGTGTGGACATCTCCTTTGCCCCCACAAAACTAGGCGAAGAAGCCGGCGTCACCATTTTCCTAACGCAGTACCAACATATCGATCTGGGGATCGTTCTCCTTCCCTCCTCTTCTCCTCAACATTCTTCATCTCCGAGGCCAGCCCTAGAACCGCATATCCGCTTCCAAACAACACACCTCGACGACCTGAACACACCCGCAACGCAGAACGTGTCCGTGCCCGAGACCGTGGTGCAGGCGCTACCTTGCCCGCGCGGCGAGGAGATCAGAGCTAGACTCCAGATCCAGGCTGTCGATGATGCGCACTATACACTCTCTGCTACACTCCTACACTCAGGCGAGAAATTTGAGTTCAAACGGAAAGTACAAAGTGTCCTGGTCAGTGGAGGGACGGGGAGGTTTACTGGTGAGTCCTTCCTGCGTTTCACTCTACTCATTCTGGATAATTCCGGGTAATGATTCTTCTAGGTGTTCTCCTTGGTGCGTATGCGACGAGTAATGGGGGTGAGGGGACGACGCCGGCGTATCTCAGTCGGTGGAGGTATAGAGGGCTGGGTCAGAAGACCGAGTAGATGTAGATACTCCGTCCACTTGCATAGTATGAAGGTTCAGAGCGGAGAACGTAAGATACATACACTAATGAGAAATCCAGTGACCTATACACCAGGCCTGCCAATAAGGATAATAGGTCAGAAGTGGGTTTCCGGAAATACCGGATGCCTGGAGGCTCTGAGGCCAGGAGTGGAGGGGCTAGGCTCATCCCCGCGTTTTGGCCCCTGGCCCTTTGTACTCAATCTTGTTCTCGATCAGAATTTTATCTTGACCTCTGCTGAGCGTTGCTGCTCTTCAAAGCCAGTGACCATGACATAACCATCTACAGTTTGAAGGCATATACGAGAATGGTCTAAGGCAATTCACCAAAAGTCATATCATATCTTCGCTAACAGGTGAAAGAACGATCTAATAAAGCCTTCGGCCTCACCCCGTCAGGTTCAGCTCCCAACCGAGCAACAGCCATTTTGTTTGTCATCAAGGACGGAATTATATCATATCAGCAACCCCCGCACCCCAATACGCCGAATAAACGAAACTCAATTCATTCCGCAGCGGCTTGCTCTATGAAGCGATGTGTATATCGTCGTCGAAGCGGATCGAACTGCGTATCGTATCGTATAGTGGCCGTGTCGTTCCCGCGAGACACCACGAGATGGAAGGAGAGTGTAATCAAACATAAATCGCAACCAGCAAAAACCCGAGAAGATAAGACGGACATTCTTTCTATGTACTATACTGATGCAGGCGCGAATGGACAAAGTGTTTGCTTGCTCTATTTGGTGAGCTTGACAGGGGGGACACCGATGCCGTTGGTGTTGCGGTAGAAAAGAACGCCGGCGTTCTCGCCAGTGGTTCCGGCAGAGGGCTCGACCCAGTGGCAGACGCGGGAGCTGGTCCAGAGAGCCTTGATGAAGCCAAGCATACCGGTGTGGGCCTCGGTGCGGTAGTGGGTACCCATGACCTTCTGGATGGCCTCGCTGGCCTCGTCGGCGTTGTAAAAGGGGATGGTGCTCACGTAGTGGTGGAGGACGTGAGTCTCGATGATGCCGTGCAGGATGTGGCGGCCGATGAAGCCAAAGTCACGGTCAATGGTGGCACCAGCACCGCGGACGAAGTTCCAGGACTCGGGTAGGTAGTGAGGAAGAGTGGGGTCGGTGTGCTGGAGGAAAGTGATGGCAACGAGCCAGTGGTTCACCCAGAGGTAGGGGATACCGTACCAGACGAGGAGGTTCAACCAGCCGTACTTGGATCCGATCAGGTACAGGACGCTGGCAGTGATGGCAAGACCAATGTCGCTCAGAACGATGAGCTTGGCATCCTTGGCCTCATACAGGGGGCTGGAGGGGTTGAAGTGGTTGACACCGCCAAAGTAGCCGTTCTTCTTGCCCTTTCCGCGTCCCTCAGGCTGGCGCTCGTGGTTGTTGTGGCCAGTGACGTTGGTGAAGAGGTACATGGGCCAGCCAGCCAGCTGCTGACCGAGCAAATGAAGGGCAGTCGCGATGGGCGTCTCCTCGATGAGTTCGTTGAGGTCATAGATGGTCTTCTTGATGCGAGAAGCGTACACCTCGCGAGTCTTGGGAACAAACACCATGTCACGAGCCAGGTTACCGGTGGCCTTGTGGTGCTTGCCGTGGGAGATCTTCCACGAGAAGTAGGGCACCAGCAGGGCGGAGTGACAGATCCAGCCGACAGTGTCGTTCAAAACCTTGGAGGGAGAGAAAGCCTGATGTCCGCACTCGTGGGCCAGAACCCACAAACCGGTACCGAACAGACCCTGAATCACAGTATACAAAGCCCACAGGACAACACGGGCCGGGTACGAGGGAACGGTCTCGGGAGTGACATAGTTGTGGAAGCCGTAGAAGACGGTAGCAAGAACAGCGATGTCCCGGAAAACATAGTACAAGCTGGTGGCTGCGGAGCGCTCGTAGCAGTGAGCCGGGATAGCGTCACGGATTTGCTTGATGGTGAAGTCCGGGATCTTGAACTCGTTGCCATAGGTGTCTAGCATCTTGCCATTGTTCACCTTCTCCGCCTCGGAGGCCATTGAGGAGAGCGAAGTAGACGAGGGAGATTGGCGAGGAGAGTCAAGCGGGGATACCGAGACAGAGCTAGGGACAGACGAGTCCGTGGTAGGGTTGCGATGAAGCGCAACGCGCTTGGGGACGGCGGTGGAAGACATGACGACTGGAGCTGGCTCTGCCTGAAAACTGGTTAGAAGAAGAAGAAAAGCGCGCACATGAGGTACTTTAGCAGGAAGGAGGGAGGAGAAAGCCTCCGAGAGGATTGAACGCTCAGACGCTGGGGAGAGCTGAGCATGCTTTTCACTTACCAATGGGTCGACGGAGCTTAAGGTTACACCGGATCTGACTGAAATGACAGGGAGACCTGAGATATGGTATGTCAAAATCTTCAGATCGTCTCCAGGATGTCTTGACGAGCAGCCGGAGGACGGAGGGAGTAGGATGTAAAAAAGGAAGAGGGGAGGATGTCGAGAGAAGCCCAGAGGACAAAAGAAGGTGTACAAACAGGCCAACTTTAAGGAGAGCAAGAGGCAAAGAGAGGGGAAACAGCGCAAAGAACAGGCGAATCAGAGGCAAGAGAAAAAAATTGGACAATTGACAGGAGAGGCGAGAAAGAATTGCAAATCCAAAGCAATCAACAATCAACGATAAAAGATCAGAAAAAAAAAAAGGAGTGGGAAACTTGAAGACTGGATTGTTCCTGTCCCAGAGTGGAAATTTCCATTTTGCAGTCCCAGCAGCGGTAATTTGTGGGTAGATAGCGGTTCTGGTTGGCTGGAGAACGCTGTTCCTTGTTCTGCCTTACAGTGGCGATCGCCCTCAGTACTATTAGGTTACCTTCCTTTTTTTCAATCATGAAATTCTGTTCGTTTTTAAGCCAGGCCCTGGTGCCAATATCTAATACAGCTAGCTTGATTCGAGAGGATCAAAGCTGGTCGTCCCAGTCTACCGGGAGCTTTTTAAAGAACTATACAACGTGGAAGAGTGCGAGTGATGTCTGCTTTGGAGATGCAAGGATACGAAGTAGGGCGAGATAAAGTTGCGGAATCAAGGGACCCTGACCGGAGCCACTCAGAATTCTTCCACCCCGAACGCGAGTTCCTCCGATTGCCCGTGCACTCCTGACTGGCAACGAGCTGCAGAACCTGCTAACCAATGAATCACCAGTGTCTTCAAGCATCGCCATCATCAGCTATATTGCTCTGGTTGCCAAACATTTAGGAAACTTCTGTATAATTATGAACATTCGATAAATCGCTCAAGCTAACAAAAAACCGGGGGTGGAATCAGATATCCATCACCGCCTCAATTAAGCCAATCAATACTTTCCAACAAGAGCCACTCGAGACAACAAGCAGAATCGGCAGCTCAACAGTCTTGGCGAGTTCATGGAACGGAGCGAAAATTCCATGAGCTGGCTGTGTCCGATGTGGTCTGGGCAGAGCGGCGAGCCTGAACCTGAAGCCCCGAGGTTTCATGTGTTTGATTTTTTCGGTATCTGTAGTTCGGCTCGAGTCTGTTATCTGAGTTTTACTGACCAGCCAGCCACTGCCCTCGCCACAAGCTGATTTGATGAACTCCTGCATCAGAAAGCTTGTCAATCAATCATATCTCGAACTGAGTTCCAGCATGCTCATCGCTTATTCGTAGCTAAAGTCTATATGTATGGAGATGTGCTTTGGCTCATGTCCAGAATAACCTCATCAAGCAGCAGTGGATCTGGTGCTGGCGTGGCCTGCAAGCGATGCGCTGGTGAGTGATCGATCTTGCAATCCCGCTCTGCAACTGTTTCGTATTTACACTGCTGACGGACAAGACTGCGGGAAAGATCTAGACTCGCTGCTTCGACCATTCGTTTGACCATTTCCCTTCGATTGTCATCTTGTAGTACGTAGAGAGTGTATTCGACGTTTGCGGGCTCTGCTTTGATGGCGTGACCTTGTGCAGGGCAGGTCCGGAGGGCGACTGGTGATGGACAGTTTTGTTGGGGAAGGCCGAGAATCTGTTGAGGGCTTGAAGCTCAGGTTGGGTGCTGTGGGGTGGGCTAAAAAAACTAAGCCAAAAATACCGGGTCGTATCTTTGGTTTTTTTCAACGATCGTCTCAAGCTCAACTTAAAAGAACTTACAAGTTCGGCCTGAAGAAACACAGTTCAGGCAGAGTATATCGTCGACCTCTAGTTTCTGGTATGATGAGGATGCAGATGAGCTCATACTTGAACCCGTCGCTCGGAATCTATCAACCACGCCCCTCCATGCCCGCCTGAGTTGCTCAGACTCACCGTCGTGCCCCGCAGATCTGGTAATACGAGCACCGTCTCGCCGTGATTTCGGTAGTCGACCTCGCAGGGGATCGGCCGACGCTGAAGCCCTCCTGCCCCCGCTGCTGCTGCTGCCGCCACCGCCGCGGGCGCCCCTCCCGTCGTGGTCGACGGCGACTGCACCGTCACTGCTGGTGGCGGCACAAAGCTCCTAATCTCCAGCCCTGGCAGCAGCAGATGCCCCGATTTCTGGGGCAGCAACATAACAGCAAATGTCGTCGTTTCGCCTTCGCTTGCTGTGAAGTTTCCTCGTCTACGGCCGCCAACCATCCACAATTCTGGGTTTGCATGAAGTTCGTATGAGAATTCTAGTGGCCCTCCTGCGTTTTCGCGCTGGTCGGGTGAACACCATCTTCGCGTATGGGATAACCGCAGCTCGGCGGTGATGGTCTGTCCAACCGCAGCGTGAGGTGCTTGCTCTGGAAGGTTGGTTATTCGTAGTTCTGCGGTGTGGACCACTTGTATCTCAGGTATATCAACGGGAATAATGATGTGACGCTGGCGTATTGACGGTTGCTCGGGGAGAGTCAGGATCAGATGATTCTGGAACAAGTCAGTATGCCACATTCTCCCAACAAAATGGAAGAAAACTCCTTACATCATGCCACTCCTTGAGCCAAGCCCGTAGACCGTCCATTGGCTCCTTGAGCGCACCCAACAGTACATCCCAACGCACAGCTGCGTAAGGCAAGGCTTCGATCTCACGAACAAGCCCGATGACCTCCATGTCTGAGGTTGACAACTGGCTACGGTACGCTTCGACAATGTGCGGTGTGAGCAGGGTCGTATATTGCGCGAATTCGCTGCCAGATATACTCGCTTTGAATGTCCTCTCCACTGTATCAAAGCACTCGTCATCGATGCAAGTAAAATCGACGCTGAGACGTAGAGATCTTCGCGCTCCAGGCGAGGTAACAATGTCTGCCCTTGGCTGGATTTTGTAGAGCAAAGACGCGGGCTGTTTTGGAAACACTCGCATGGCAACGGCCTCGCCGACGTTGGACTGAACCTGATAGACATCCGAACTAGGGATGCTGCATCTCGATATCCAAAGCGGGATCATCGTGGCTGGGCTAACAGTGAAACGAGAAAAGAGGATACTTTGCTTGAAGACATCCTGCACGTTGACGCTGATCGGTAGAGCAGAGACAACGGTATGCCCTGATGAGTAGGAGAAACGTCCTTGTTCAGTCTCGTACGTCACTTCGGCCCTTGCAGAGAGCGTTGCGGGGTGCTCCTCGACTGTGTATGGAATGCGGAATCGAACAGTTGAGTTTCGACCTAGCTCATTGAATTCAATATTCCCCGATTCTGTGTTCGCTTTGATTTCGATATCACCTTCAACGACCTCTGTCTCTGCAATTCTCAGTCGAAGGCCTGCGGTGGCCGGCCGCACTCGGAGAATTCCCGACTTGATATCGTTCCACCCGCTGTTGAGTTCTAGCTCTAATGTCCGCATGGCTTCCAGGTTCACAAGATGAGGTGACTCAATCTTTGCTTGTAAACCCTCTGGGTGTGGGTAGCAGTAGATGTAGGGCCGGATATCCTCCTCTTCTTCAGCGATGGATTCCCTGAAACCTACAGGCAGGGCAAGCTGGTTTCCGCCAGCCATAGTGAATACAAGATTTCTTGCTCGCATCTCAACGCGGTCCACAAAGTACTTTCCTTGCAGTGTCGTCTGTAAATGTTAGTCCGGGTATACTCTGAAGATGGGGACGGCATGGCACTTACCGTTGAATCAACCAGGACCCTTGTTGAGGATGACTTGACGGTCGTTTTTGCCGGAGCCTCTATCCAATGTTCGCTGCTTTGGCCACTGCCACTGGCACTCACAAGTCGGATTTTGACTGAGTCAATATCAATGCGTTTCCCCAGAAGGAACCGCAGATGCAGTTGGAGCTGGAATCCGTCCTTGTCTTTGTAGTGAAGGACCACAGGCTTGACATGCATGTCGGCGAAGAAGTCCGTTAAGGAGGCAGGAATATCCTTCTGTAGCGCATTCGATGCTCGGAACAGCTCCTCCACATAGTCCGAGACCAACTCTTGTTCTGCAAAGATTGAAGACGCATCCAACGTCTTCTGTCGGTTTGACAGTTGAGACTGGGTATGCGCCGCATATTTCGCTAGAAGGCGGACGACTAGTCGGACATACTCCTCATTTCGATCCAGCTCTTTCAAACACCGTGCGTACATCTCTAGCATTACTCCTTCTAGAGCAGTCCAATGCTTATTGCCGTAAAATGGGGTGATTTGATGGAAGTAAGATGCAGCAGCGCCGTAGTCGCTTTGTCGATAGCGTAATAAGGCCATGTCAGCCAGAGCCGTATGTGTTGAGTTTATACGGTTCGCCGCGATATGATGGCGGTACATCCGATCCGTGAGTTCTTCATAATGAGCGCGAAAGGCCTTCCTTGACCCGAGACCTGCTTTTAGGGCTGGTAAGTCAACACCACTCAGAGAGTTCACTTGCTGAGGTCTTTCAGCTGGCTGCGGATTCTCCTCATCAAGGGAGACGTCATCCATGTCGCCCGAGGTAGAGTTTCTATCATCAAAGAGAAGACCAAGGTCGGTCCACGTTTCCTTCCACCCACATCGACCAGCAATTTCCTCTAGGAGCCTTCGAGCCATCAAAAGCAATTCGCCCCTCTCAGAGGCTAGTTGTTCTGACCCAGTCCTAGTTGTGAGCTTGGGGCCCTCGTAGCCCGGTTGGGCGTGAATCGATGACAATGCATCGGGGGAGACCATTTCTGTTTTTACTGCGCGAGACTGGCGATTTGTGGGCATGATGAGAGAACTTGTTCGCCTCGGGACATCTGGCTTTTGCTGAGCCACGTCCGCTGCGTGTAGGGATGATTCGGGAAGAGTGAGCGCTGGGGTAAATGTCTGGAGCAGAATCTGAGACGCTGCAGCATATGCCCATGAGGAAACAAGATTGCTGATGATCTCCGATTTGACATCATTTTCAACTTCCACCAGACCACTTTCCAAATCAGACCGGAGTGTTCGTGCAGCAAGGCCGATAAACTCGGTCGAACGTTCGCAAATTTCAGATAATAGCAGTAGATCTTCAGGCTTCTTATCCCTCTTCCCAGTTTTTTTGCCTGGATCCGTGTCATCTCCGAGAAGTGATGGGGCCCTTGATGCCCTGAGGAGGAGCGTCAATTGACGGGAGAAGATATAAGTGCGGAAGTCGAATATCGAGATGTTGCTGGATAGAATCATTTCCCGATAGGGCTTCTTCACCGGGTTGATTGGAAAATCCGCAGGATCTATATCTGGAATCGGAGCCACTTCCCCATCCTCGCTTGGCTCTTCGGGGTCAACTCGACTGTCTAGAGCTGCTTTCGCTTTCTCCTGCCAGTCTTTGCTGTACGTTAGAAACGCACTGCCATGCTGCTCACTCGATCCCTCCAATTGCTCATATATCGCAGCATCCAACCCAACAGCAAGCTCATCGTACCCAAGCAGTGCATCCTCAAATAGCCCAACATTCTCAAACCCTCTTGCAAGGCCTTCCTTCAGGATGAAGAAGGTACAGAAATTCCAGCCGGGAAGGCTCCGCTGGGAGTCCTTCTCTTTGATATCCTCCTCATACTGCGCAACACGAAGATCAAACGACGCCAGAATCCCGTTCTTGATCTTCTCAACAAAGTCCTCGATCTGATCCGCCAACTCCGGGGACTTCTGCTGGGTGCCCCCCTTCGGCAGCCGTAGCTGAGCGACACGGTCCATAGCCGACTTGGAGGAGCCATTGAAATCCGCCTTGACCTTCTCCAGCACTGTCGTCGTTGTCCGACCCCATTTCGACGTGGGCGCGGCCTTCTCCAGCCCGTCACCGTCCTGGACTACGTGCAGTATGAGCCATTCGAAGGCATCGTGTTTCTCCTGGCTAGTCGCCGAGGTGCTAGTAGACGTCGACGACGAGCCGTGCGACTTGATCCACTCCCGCAGTGCCTTCCTCGCAGTAGTCTTGTATGTGTCGTTGTCGTCGCACCGGAGGATGTAGATCTTCAGGTAGGGTGTTTGTCGAAGACCTGGAATCTGATGGCGTCTATGCGTTATGGCGTTCCCTGGCGCATCGCTGGAAGGCTTGCGCTCAACGACTTCATGGTTCGCGGGTGTGAATCCGATGCGGAGCGACTCGATTGATCGAACGGGGCGGGTTGGAGACTTCCAGTGGAGGTTACGCAGAGGTAGTTTGTCCGCAATTACCGGCTGCACGGCAGAGAACAGTCCTGAGGGGTCGGTGTATTCGACTAGACGAGCAAGAAGGGTAAATCAGTGGTCTGCGGCGTGGAGTTGGGGGCGTGCTCAAATACCGGTGACACTGCTCGAAGCGGCCTGGGGTAGAGCGTCCATAATTTCGCTCACTACTCAGGGGACAGCAGGTTGCTCTAAGAGCATTCCGGTCCAGCAATTCCAGCGCGAATTGCCAACCCTGATGTGCAAGCGGTACGTGGAGAGTTACGGAACGTTGTTGACTGTGTGGATAGATGTTTCGGGAATGACCGCCTTCTCCGCGTCGGACTCTTGGCGCAAAGCACAAGCCGGCCTGTATGGTAGCCAACACCATGAATCAACTTAGGAGTGCTATGGAATTACTGTATCGTTTAGGGTAGCTATGTACATTGACTATCTTTCGGCTATATCTAACTATCGGGCACTGCTGCACCAGGGAAACCCATTTAACCCTGCAGAGCACGAATCCTCCTGTAACGGAAAGGAAAGAGAACAGTGGAAGAAATGTATAAGATAGATAGTCATTCCCGTCATTATACGCAAGAGAATATCCGGACAAAGGAAAGGAAGAAATCCCGGTGTATTACCGCCCAAACTCACACAACGCCCCAGCTGAAGAACATCAATCAAACAAAATCGAGATAAAAGATGTCTTAAGTTTCAATATCCAACACGCGCTGCGTGGAACGTGCTTTCACAAAGTCATACGCATCAGACAATCCCTGCGATATGCCTGGAATATAGCTTCGAGTCCACGCAAAAATCACCAGAATGAGAAGAGGAATCTGTAGAACGTTAATATGATGAACCTGGTAAGCATGTAGAGTGGGGGATCACTCACCCAAAAGAAGTACAGATTCCGATCGCTGGCAAGGCCCTTCATCCGTCGTGCTTGCTGCTCCCGAAGATGCTTCTGTTGCTCCCGGGAGATGACATTGCGACCGATTCGGATGTCCTTGATATCTTCTCTCTCCTTTGCGACTGTGGTTCGCGAGGAGCTGGCTTGCGTCTCAAAATGCTGGTCCAAAGCCGCTTCGGCAGCAGCTTGCAACATGCTAGACTTCTTCACCCGGGCTGCTTCTTCCTCATCTTCGGCCTCCTTGCGTGGATAAAGCTCGTCGTAAGATGGGAGTTCGGTAGCGCTAGGAGAAGTGTTGCCCGTCAACATATCCCACCATCCCTCTTTAGCACCGCGGGAGGAAGCTGGCCGATGGGGAACGAGATTTGTGATGCGGCGCATCATAGGATTACCCTGGTAGCCTGGCAGAGCCGGCATAGGCGGCAGAGCTGGAAGATTAGGTAGATTTGGGAAAGCATTCGCAACACTCTGTTGGAATTGATTAATCTGCGCCTGCAGGTGATTCCGCCAAGCAACGAGCGCCGCGGGAGGTGAGAAAGGCCGTGCGTCACCTGGGGGTGCGGTTGGTTCAGTAGTCTGTAGCGGGGCGGGAGCATCATGGTGAATGCTAGAGCGGCGAGAGGGTGAAATAACGAGTTCATCATCTGAGTCTTCCAATTCATCAGAATCATCGACAGTCTGATTGAAAGAGTCGGTCGCCGAGGATGATTCCCAGAGCGAATGGAGGGACGCTGAACTACTCTGCCTGCGTCGCGAGGTCAATGAGCCTACGCTGCGTGAACGAGAGTGGGGTGCCGGTATCAAAGCTGCCTGATGGGCAGGCAGTGTAGTAGCCAAATCAGCTGGCGTGAACCCTCGGATGCTCCGGGCATTAGGGCTGGCGCCGGCAAGACGGAGTCTGTTAACAATGTGTGCGTGGCCATTCAACGCAGCAAGATGCATTGGGGTATTTCCGGTGTTGTCCTGCACATCCGGGTTCGCGCCTCTGGCGAGGAGACCAGCAACAAATCGCGTAAGGCCTAGGGAAGAAGCGAAATGAAGAAGAGTCTGGCCAGTAGAACTGCGGGTGTTATACCTCGGCGGACGAGGGCTGTCGTCGAGGTCGATAAACTCCAAGTAGGTCAACATCTTCGAATCCATGTCACCGAGTTTACCCTGTGACTCCAGCCCAGGAACCTGCCTCTGATGGCCGCCAGAGGAACTTTGGAAGTCTTTCTGAAGGTTGAATGCGCCCTTATAATCACTACCCATGATTTGCTGAGCAGTGTGGAATGCATCCGCCTGGTTCCCTAATTTCTGCCCAAGGATTCCGAGTGCCAGGCGATACATTTGCAACTCACGATCATCAACGTATCTGAAGTACTGCTGCTGTTTGGGGATCATCGGTTGGTGCTGTTGTTGTAGCTGGTTAAAGCTCGGATGCTCGTGCTTGAACAGAACGGCCACTTGTCCAGGCTGAAGGGCTGGCGGAGTAAGACAGTTGAGGCATTTGTCACCCCAGAACGTGGTGGTAGTGGCAAGCGTATCACCGAATACAACTTCCATGCCCGGATAGAAGCCACTTCCTAGAAGAGTAACCTCTGTCCCACCGGTGATGGAACCCTCGGCTGGCACCAGTTTATGAATCACTGACGGTAGCCGGTTTCCAGCATTGGTCATAGCGGGCCACATTGGTGTGGTCGGAGTGGGGCCTAGTGAGATATTGAGGCTTTGTTCTTGGAAGCTATTCCTGCCAGATCCACCTGGGGTGCCTGGGCGACTGGGCTGCGCTGAGTTCGGCGCAGACATCAGTTGCTGCTGAATAAAGTTATCCAGGGTTTGCTGTTGCAGGCTCGTGAAAAAAGAGTTGTCTCCGCTCGTAGGTGTAGGAGGACCATTCGCAAACTGATTAGACATAGCGGCTGTTGTAACGAAAGGCCTCTCAGTCGGGGAGGCGAATCCATGAGCGCCTGAAAACTGGGTGTCATTTACAGGAGGCCCTGCCGATGACTGACCGTTCTCTAATTTAGTCATAGTCAGCTCCGAGGGAAGCCTGTTGGTATTGCTATGCTTGCGGCGTTTGCTATTGGGACCTTGGAAGTCATTTGGCGAGGCCTGTCGCGAGAGACTTCGAGAGCCCTGAGAACTAGACGATGTCCCATTCGCCAAGCTTACAAAAGAGCCAGTCGCGGGCTGGTATTGAGAGTTGAACCTTTGCTGTAGGCCCTGTAGGTCTGTTGCAGAAGGGGAGGTAGCTGCCTGCTGCGTAGAAGTGGACGACTTTCCAGTATCAAAGCTCGGACCAGATGGAAACACACCAACACCAGGAAGTTGTGTCCCATCAGGTAATGACGGCGACGGGCCGGGGGCGGGCGGCGCTGAAGGCGCATGGGTCTTGTGGTCATCCGTGATCATGATCGAATTCGTGATCGCCTGGGCAATGACATTATCCCTATGATCCTTCAAGGTGAAGATAACTCTGCATTTTATGGTCAGGTTGGCAGTCGGAATAGATAAATTGGGTATACGTACTGGAATCCTTGCTTCTCGTTCTGGTGCCTACAGTAGCAGGCTATTCGCATAGGCAGCTCGACCTGCATGCTCCCGGGAATTTGCGGCATCTGAGATTCGGAAGCGGCAGATTTCGATGGTTCGGTCCAGTCTTTCAGCTCATTGGTATTGAAGACGATCACACGCTTGTCTTCATGCTTCTGAAACAACTCGTCCTCTTCAGGTTTCCTCTGCTTCTTTCTAAAGGCGCGTTTCCGTTCACGCTGTATGCAACCATTACAGATCTTCACCTCACCCCCTTCGAGAGGCTTATCCTCCTCCTGTGTTTCAGCACTAATGGCAGAAGAGCTTGATGGTCGATATCTGGTGCCGGCGGCCGCCTTTGCAAATGCTTTCCGCAGTTTTTCTTTATCCTGCATAGCACTCGTACAGAAAAGGCTTGTATATAATTCAAGGGTTTCCGGAGAGCGCTCGGTAGCAGCGGAAGCGAGAAATTTGGGTTTTGAGATGGTGTGGCTCGGCAAGCGTATCTTCTTAACTCCAGGCGGCAATGGGTATAGAGTCAACTTGATCGGAATCTGTGTTTCAACACGTGATTTAAGAGAGGTCGGATGAACGGTTAGGATGGGGCGCTGGTTAGGATCTGGAATGATGTTCTTCTGGGCGGGTGAGGCCGCGAAACTGAAATTGAAAGAAAGGCTATGCGGGGAAAAGTTCAAATGGGAGTTCAGTGGAGAAGCGGCATTCACGTTGATACCGCCAAAGCTCTCCTCCAGATAAGACGAGGGAGAATGTCCACCCCATGGACTGAGGGGTGTTTTGGCTTGAGGGTGTGCCCTTGACGGCTGGAAGGGAGAGGGAGTATCTTTGACATTGTTGCCAAAGTATGGGGCGTGGTTTTGCGGAATTCGCTATGACATGTTAGCCCAATTCATTCCGAAAACAGTGTATGGGAACCTGAATCTCACCGGCGACGCGGATTTTCTTTTGGCGGAACCCGGCGCCCCACGCATGCGCGACCTAGATCCTTTCTGTACCCTTGATTGCGGCGTGACGCCCGCTTTTAGAGGGCTTGGGCTGCTGGCAGCGCTCTCAAAATCAAAAGCGGCATCCATAGCTTTGTTGCTTGATTCGAGGTCGGTTTCCGCTGGATAAGGGCCTTCCAGGTTCGGTAGCGAAGCGTCGAAGCCAAAAAGAGACTCATCCTTCACGTGGTCGTAGTCTGGATTTACCCAATCTTCAGATGTATAGCCAAAGGGCATCACTGTATTTTCGCTGTGGACCGCTGATGTGGACGACGCGACGGAGGAGTTTCGAAGGTGGTTTCGAGGTGACTCCGAACTCGAGCTCGGGCTTGAGTTATCTAACGATTCGGCCGGTGAATCTGAGGCAAAGACTTTGGGGTGTCGCAAGGTGTCTTGCTCGTGATATGACCGCTTCAGCGACAATTCTGACGGGGAAAGGCACGGTGGATCGGATTCTGCGAGAGTGCGGGACGGTGCGGCACGGGTGAAGAGGTCATCGAAGTCTTGTCCAGCATTTTCGGATGATAACTGCAGCCTCGTCGAGTCCAAAAAGTCCATGTCCGTATCCTGATAGGGGTTCATATCGTCGTCCACGACGATTGGGTCGAGGGTGGGAAATGTAGGAGACGATGCTGGTCCCATGCTTGACCTTCTGGCCGGGATTAGAGCGACCGAGGGAGAGAGGCCAGCGAAACCCCCTCAAGAGCCGTTCGACCAACTCCCGGTATCAGAACCCTTGCTCTCTCTCTGCGACGGAAATTCCTTGCACGTTCGGCTGTTTGAGGGAGCGACAGGAAACGACCGATCGGGGGAATCAGACTGGCCAGGAGGCGATCTCCACGGGCGCACGGAGGTGCAATCGAGCGTGTCTGCTAACAGTGGCCCTCGCTCGATACCATGGGAAGCAATGTGTCAAGAACGGACGACCGATTATTGGTGAGACGAATGGTGAGACAGAGGGGGTGAGTGATCAATATCCGGGGAAGTAGTGAGGGCGTTTGTTGGGAGAGAGGAGTCAGCGGCGGGTGTATGGTAATGAGCGGAGAACAGAGTCGCGGCGACAGGAGTGGAAAAAGGAGGAAATCCAGAGGCGGCAAAGATCAAAATTCCTGGGCGCAGAGATTTGCTGGCGCTATTGGCGACGGTCCTGGTCACAAAATCGGACTTGTGCGGCTTGACGGTCTGGTGGAGGGAAGATAACGCATCGGGCAGTCCATCTAAGGCCAACTCAACAAGGATAGAGATAGAGCGACTCGCCCGTATTTTGATTACGATCACGTTTGTTTCTGGTGGTGATGGTGGAAGAGGCCTGCTTAGCTAATATTCTCGCGGTGGGACACCTCGACTAAACCGCCTTAGCCACCCCAGCCTCCACCAAGACAGGAACGAGATTGAGGCCTGAGGCGAAGCCCGCCCTGAGGTCGCTGCGGTCGGCTGCCACATTTTCATTGGCTGTGTTACAGTTCAACTGACAGCCAGCCTTGTGGTATCTAGACTATCATTTGAACTTCAGACGAATAATTTCTTGCATGTTCGGATCAAGTCTGCATATCCATGGCTCTCCTCCATTATCCATGCAGTGCAGTGGTCAAATAACGCCACCACGAGATATCTTCTCTGACGGCTCCTCACGGCCCGACCACAGAAATATATACCGTGGTTATCGATCTATACATCAGATGGATGGGAGACGCATCAAGCTTCTCGACCTTTTGCTCTATATGGAAACCCGGCGGCTTTACTACACTAATCACTTCTATTGCATGATTTTCTAATTTAAGAACATACTTGTTGACCTGTGCTAGGACGCAGGCCACATTCCTGATCGACGTTTGTGGTCTAGAGAAGGACTCTATACGCCAGAGCGGTTCGCTACCTAGTATTCGAGCGGTACCGATTGCTATGACCAACTTACTCCTGATTCTCTTTCCGTCCCTGCACTACTGACTGACGCACTGCTGGGACTAATTGGTGGCATGCACCTCCTCAGCTGAGATCACGACTACCGAGACGGACGCAGACATGGCTCTAATATGAGAACAGAAAAGCTTTATCCTGAACAATTTCTACAAGTCAGTGAGGTCTAGAAATGACTGGAACAGTCTTGCAAGCGTCATCATCTAGCAAGCCTCAGAAGATGACACCCTTGTACTCGCCGAGGTACAAGCAACAGATCTGGAATTCCTGATTAAGCCCTAACTGACAAGCACAGCCATTGCCTGAGACTCAGCAAAGCGGTTGCCTGGGGCATGACCTCAAACTTCCCTGGAACTAGTCTCGAGAAATTATGGCAATACTCAGGGCAGTATCCGGCGTCAGATTTAATATGAACTGGGCTATAGAATCACTAAATGTGCTCCGACTATGAACGGACTGTTCAACAGAATCTCATTTTGCAAACCTTCAAGTTTACTCGATTACGCTACTATATCCCAATACTATGTTTCTCCAAGACCATGAAATCACCAATTCAGATCCTAAGCAGCTGCCTCGGATTCACCTAGGTGACATCGCACAATACCGCCGAGGTGATCGTCAGCACTTAGCTTTGTCCTTGCCAAGGTCCTCAATTGGAATAGCTTGGGTGACGCACTGCTCAAGAAGGGGACGCTTATGCCCTCGAAAAAAGCTGCTTTTGTTCTGCAAGCCCCGATCCAGATACTTACTTACGGTATTGCTCTGCATTTGATCGGATATCAGGTATATATATATCTATATCCTATCTCGCAGGCTGGATGGCCTGCGGTGCCCGCAAAGGTAGGCTAGACATTGTCTGCGCTGAAAAGGGCATTTTTCACTGATGACTTGCAGACTGCCCTCTTCTTCGGAGTCTTGCTATATGCTACCTGCGGCTTCTTTGTCACATCCCTAGTCTTCTTGCAGCGGTTGATTAATCGCATGTAGAAAGGATAGGAGTTATTCGAACATTATGCATGTGTTATTATTAGAGTTCCAGATAGTTATCCAATTCATCTCATTATAAGCCAATATGGGCAACCTCCTACACATGTTTCTAGGCATCCATATACCGAGGTATCGAGTTGAGAGTAGATGGCTGGCCCTGTCGTAAGTCTCTCATTGCCCCGGTAAGCTGCATGAGAGACTCTTTCAGAAAAGAACCGCATCTCTAATCTTTCAAAGAACAAAAGGTCGTCACCTACATAATTTACACCGGCAAAGGTTGGCCGACAAAGCTCCTAGCCCCATGGCTCCTAGCAAGACTTAGATGCTGAGTTAATGATACGTCCAGGTTTGGGTGCCCCGCCATAGAAACCGCGTATACTTATGCATGGACCAATGACAATGCAAGGATGTACTTCGCAGCACTCAGCTGGAGATGACATCTTGATTCTTCTTAAATAAGGAACGAACCCGGGGAAAGGAATTGGGATACTAAAGAATGGCACAGGGCAGACTCAGCTTACCTGGACATAGCTAAGCCCTAACGATATGATAAAGAAAGCGAGAATCGCTCCCCACCCCTCCGCCAGTCGCCGGGTCGAGCCCTGGGGGCGCCCAACGCCAATGATATCGCCATAGAGCCCAAAAGCAATCTAATAAAGTCATATACAGCGACGGTATGGAGACTAGCTAGTTGAATTGAGCCTTGTGAAAGCTCTCTTGGGCCCCAAGGCTCTTATGCACGGATGGGCACTGCCGCCGCCAGGGCTCTCACTCATTCATGAGGCCACGAATCCTAATTCAGAGGTTTTGGAATATCAAGACCTCGGTCAAAGGTGACTCATATAGATGATCTATACGCAATACAAAATAGGTTCCGCGGACAGCCGATTAAGTTGGTTCAACAGACATCCGAGGTGTGTATATCGGCAGGGGTCATGAACCAAAGCCATCACCACACGGGGCGATCAGCTTTATTTGCACAGCTTACTGACTGGGAAAGAAGACTCTAGAGTTCTGGAACAGACTTCCTGGACGTTCATATATACCTAGAAAGCCGGCAGTGGTCAATGTCATATCAAGAGCCGAGACAAGACCGCAAGAGTCAAAAGACCACAGGGAAGAAAACCAAACGAATTAGGCTGACCTTCGATTTTTCCGCTTAAGCATCAGCAATGACGCCCAAAATACGAGTCCAAGGGGTCAGCCGTCGCCTCGCATCAAGCCCTGGCTACTACAATGTGGTGACGAGCAATTGTCAAGACTATGTTGACAACTTGGCAAGAATGGTTAGCCACAAGTGGTGGCGAATGTCTCGCGAGATGACCGCCAAGCTTGGCACGGTGGGTGCGGTTCTTGGGCTTCCGGTTGCCATTATTTAGAAGATGTGCTGTTCGCAATCGATTATGTATATAGGAGTAATGTTAGGTTGTTTAGTAGTACCGGGATGGGGGAGAATGTATCAACGTGCTTGGTGGATAGATGATTGGAGCTTGCATGCTCTGCATACTGCAAGAATAACTCCTGTCTTTTCCATGTGGAGCTCAAGGACAGACTTGAAGAATGCCACAATAGGCGCCAAGTACCTAGTAATACCGGTTTGATAGATTGTGCCGTGCGTGCGCTCGAGGATGAGACAAGGCCCTTGCTAAGTCTGTCAGCACAAGGCCTCCAGGAAAGAAATGGCACCTGAAAGATCCAGTCCGAACGCTGGGAACAATAACAGTTCTTCCTCCATGGGCGAGAAACGAGTCCGCCCATCAGTCATTCATTACTGAGTTTAGTGGTAAGTGGGCAGCAGTAACAACACACTTTCCGAGTGCTCTATCTCTCGCGCCGACTTTCCTACCTACTCATGCTGTCCACCGTTTGGAAACTCCACACTAAACAACTTGCCAGCCAGCGCCAAAGAAAGCACCCAATCCCATATGATGATGCAAGAGCAAGGAAGAAGTGAGTGATATATACAGTCGAGAGCTTCCAGAAATGGCGCGGACTCAGGAGCCGTGCTGACTGGGTCACTGCTTGCTCGGGATCCGAGACGAACAGTGAACTAGGCGTTTCAGGTATTCTGGCATAGCTCCAGACAGGCATCAAAACAGGGCATTTGTATTCTTCAGATCAAAAGAGTTGTCCATGCAGTCGCCGTGGATATTGGACGGTGTCAGTGGACACTTGGCCCCTGGGAAAAGACGAGGCTGCGTATTTATCCTTTCGGGAAAGCCGAGCAGCGCAGGCAAAATGACCTGTCAGTGGCAATGCTGGGCAGCGCAGAAGTCAAGAAGAGCTTCAATCAGAGTGAACTTCAACCGAAATGAAGTGTCGCCAGGCACAGAATGTGTTGCCACGGCGGCTAAACGACTGACTCAGGAGATGGAATGAGCAGCGGGAACAGATAAAAGCTTCGGTCGTTGTCCAATGCCATCATTGTTGGCTGTACCTGCTTTGGCGATCTCCACGCAAGCGGATCACACCTCCACCCGCCGTGATTGCCTGGTCAGTCTGTTGCCTTCCTGCAATTTATCTGGGAGTGGCGGTGGGGGCTCAATATATCAGAGTGGTTGTTGGCGCCGGATGATAATTCTCAAACACAGTTTACTCAGTGCTTACTTCTCTGCTGTTGATTGGAAGAGTGGTAAAAGCTACCTGCGTAAGGATAGCATGACGGATGGAAAGGTGATGGTTTTGCAGTTCGTCAAGATGAAACAGCCGGCACGTGGCAGCCTCAGGCCTTCAACAACACCAAGACGGAGGAATTCTTCCTTCAATCCTCCACCCACCAACAACACCTTAAATCATGAAACAACTACCAATTGCTTCAGAGGAACTCGAGTGGAGTGACTCTGTCGGGCCGTTTTTTGGGTCAACCCTACTCGTTCATATGGCAGGGCAAATGGTGTCATTTTTGATCTGCTAAGGCTAGTTTAATGACCAGGTTCTTGGCAGGCGACGACATGGGGCGGACAGCCTCAAGTTGAAACTTGGACTGTCACAAATAACGTCCTGAGGGATCTCAACGCAGTCTAGGCACTTTCGCGATGGCATGGCGCCTGGAAACGGTGAGGGTCCCTGTCTCCGCAACGTTTCTCCATCACATCTCATTGAGTGGCGCTAACCCTGGAATAGTCTATTCTCCTGACGGGGGGCCAACCCGGTGATTGTGCTTTCATCTACTTCAGACTTGAAGCCTGAGTCGACCTATCGCAATGGTTCCCTGCCCTCGAGGGATCACTCAAACAGGGAATATCTCGGCCTCAAAGCAATCTAGATGCGGCTGGGCGCCGTGTCCACGAACCTTCCATTCGCCAGAAGGTCTGAGCTTGGGCAGTCGACAGCGGCTGCAGCAGAGGAGAAGAGCGTATAAAGGCATTGCTCGTCCAGGGTGTTGGATGGCTCTTCTTTCTTCCCAACTAACCTCTGCATTCTTTTCCAACCCAGGATCTACGATCCATTCATTCTCTTGTTTCTCTTCACACTTCATTGATTGAAGTCCATTCTTTTCAAACTCTCCCCAATCCTTCAGAAACTGAGTAACGCTGTGCGTATACGCTCCAATTGCTATCAACAAAATGTCTGTCGCTAGAACTGCTGGTCTTGCTCTCGCCTCTGCGGCCATGGTCGCTGGTCACGGCTTCGTCTCCGGAATCGTCGCTGACGGCCAATACTACGGTGGTTACCTCGTGAACCAATACCCTTACACCAACACCCCCCCTGATGTTGTTGCTTGGTCCGAAACTGCTACCGACCTGGGCTTCGTTGACGGCACTGGATACGCCAGCGGCGATATCATCTGCCACAAGGATGCTGAGAACGCCGCCCTTTCTGCCAGCATTGCCGCTGGTGGCTCCATCGAGTTCCAGTGGACTGAGTGGCCCGAGTCTCACCACGGTCCCGTCATCGAGTACCTCGCCAACTGCAACGGTGACTGCTCCACCGTCGACAAGTCCACTCTCGAGTGGTTCAAGATCTCTGAGAGTGGTCTCATTGACGGCAGCTCTGCCCCCGGTACCTGGGCTTCCGATGAGCTGATTGCCAACAACAACAGCTGGACCACCACCATCCCCAGCGGTATTGCCGCCGGTAACTACGTCCTCCGTCACGAAATCATTGCCCTGCACTCCGCCGGCAACGAGAACGGCGCCCAGAACTACCCCCAGTGCTTCAACCTCGAGATCACTGGCGGTGGCTCCGACTCCCCCTCTGGTGTCCTCGGAACCGAGCTCTACACCCCGACCGATGAAGGTATCCTGTTCAACATCTACCAGCCCATGGACTCTTACCCCATTCCTGGTCCTGCTCTGTACTCCGGCGGCTCCTCCGGTGGCAGCCAGCCCACTAGCTCTGCTCCTGCTACCACCGCCACCTCCAGCGCTGTCCCCACCTCGGCTCCCACTGCCACCGCTACCACCACCACTCCCCCGGTCACCGTGACCACCACCCCTCCCGCTGAGACCCAGGTCGTCGTCCCCAGCGAGACCGCCGTCCCCAGTGCCACCTCCACCCCGGCACCCAGCGAGACCCCCTCCGTCCCCGACGACAGCACCAGCCTCTCGGACTACTTCGACTCCCTGAGCGCTGAAGAGTTCCTCAGCTACCTGAAGGAGACCCTCTCTTGGTTGGTCACCGACAAGGTCCACGCCCGCTCTCTCAACTAAATTGATTGAGCAAAACGTACAACCTTCTTTCTCTTAGACTTTTTTTTCTGTCATCCGACGGTCTCGTTCAGTCGATGAACTGTTGGATTTCTTCATTCCTTCTATTTAATGGGATCCGGTATCCTTTGTGTATCCATACTTGAGGCATAGCGAATAGTTGGAATTTCATCCTCTGCTACTTATGTGTTTCCCACTCCGTCACATTATCTCGTACAAGTACCAAAACACATACATGCAGAACCGTAACTTGGAAAAGCCCATACGCTTTATTTATACGCGCCATGATTGCTAGAAGTGTGATGAATAACTTTCTATGTGAACCTCGCTTACGTAGACCTTTCGGGATGAATATGCTTGACGCTCTTTTGAATGTGGATGCTCCCCAGCCCAGAAGCTCAATTAAACCACGCGTTCTCTGCAGTTTGCCTTCCAGCTAAAACTCGATGTCTGCATAGTCAGACCATGGATGTCGTCGCTGCGCTTCCGTAGTTCCTCAACATAATTCGCTGCAGGTACTTTTAGCGTTACATTACGTTGACAAGGTTCCTACTAGGAGATCACAGCTACTTAGATACTGAATATAATATCGTATTTCCCCTTGAGCCTTGTCTGATGTACGACCTGGATAGTCATAATTTAATGAGCAGGGATACTGAAGTCTGGGAAGAAGTAAGCTCGGATATAAAAGCCACCTTCACATACAATGACATGATCCGTCTCCCCAGATACAGGAAAGTACTCGCGGATTGATAATTGCTCTTAACATTAACCCTCCTATACTCACAACCAAGACCTAAGGTAGAGTGTTGATAGAGGCATGTCTTTAGACTCCCAATGCATTTCTTCTACCATTCATTGCCATTGTCCTCAATTGGCTCCATCCTCACCGTCATCATCATGCCCCGAATCATCCTGATCGTCGTACCCAGCCTCGTCGTCCGAGAATTCCGGATAGCCTTCGAACTCGGGCTCATCAACACCCCATTCAAAGTGCGAATAGCCTCTCTCAACAGTGTCTTCCTCGTCCGAATCGTCTTCGTTGTCATCGTCTTGGTCGTCATCGCCCACGCCTTCAAGAAAGAGGCGAATATCGGAAGGACGGTCTGAATCCGGGATCGAGTCTCCGTTCAAGCCAGCGTCAGGTTCGTGGGTAGTAGTTTGGTTGTTCGCGTGGGCTCTGTCATTCTCGTCAAAGCGGGTGAGGATTTCCTTCGCCAGCTGCACGTCTTGATCTTCGTGCATCCTTAAGTTCTGACTGTCCATGAAATGCCTGAAATCTTTGTACCCGCCTTCTCTAATGAATTGGTATTGACTCTTGTCTTCGAGAGGATAGAGGGAGCGGTGGATCAACAAGATGAGGATTGAGACGAGAAGAACGTCATTAAAAGAAAGAAAGAGTCTGGGTGATGAAGAGGGGTGGAAGAGGGAGAAAAACGAGACTGGAATCCGTTTGTTGTGTCTCTGCCAATCCTTCACCCAAGGACAAACACCAGGTTCTAAGCAAGCTGAATTGCAACTTCAATCTAATTACCTTCCCCAACTGACTCTGAATATATTATTCTGGAAACGGAAACCACGAAGATGGCAAGTACGTCACGTTTAAGCAGTTCTTCGCAGATCTCTTTTCGAAGGAGGAGCTTCTTGGGCATGCCCTTAGCCTGGTTAAAAGAGCATCGCATTGTCACAAAATTCTTTACCACAACGTTCAGCCACCAGCCGCCGTTTATGTTCTACAGCAGCTCGAAGAGCTTACCCACCAGAAATCCGTCAGGTGAAAGATACCAGCCTGTTAATGCTAACTGAGAACTAACCATATTTGCTCTAGAAAAAATTTCAACTCAATCACACAGGCTCTGCGACTAGTTATCATGCCAACCAGCATCCACAATTCTATTCAAGACTGGGTTACAAGCGAGGTAGGGGTGCGGTGCTGTAGGGGCTTCCTCAACGAGGATGAAGTCCTTCTTCTCGAAGTCGAAGCTGGTACCAGTGAGTTTCATGCTGCCTTTTCAATACATGAAAAAGGCGAAAGTACCTGACAGTATGATTCTAATTACATGTATAGCCTTGCGTTTCAAAGATCCCCCATATGCTGGTTCGACGAAAGAGCCAGATTTACTCATTCAGCATCAAGACCATCCACTTCCGCCTATAGTGTTTGAAACTGGTTGGCATACTAAATTACAGGACGACATGAACCTTTTACTACGTTGAGGGGAAATGGGGCGATACGGGCAGACGTGATTGTTGATTGGCAGGTGACAACAGCGAATCATGTGCGCGGCACAGTCGAGCTGTATGTCCTCGACCGAGCAGGCATGCCCATCAGGCGCCAGAGCAAGGAAATTTTCCTAGAACCCGCTGCGCAAGTAGCAGCTGCTCAGGAGATTAGGGTCACTCGTCGTATGTTATCTGGGAGCAACGTTCTTCCAGGAAGAAATTCGCGAGATACATTTCCATTAAGATTGGATGTGCTTCGCGAAAAAGCGCGTGCTGCATTTCGCCTACTGAAACTTTCGCCAGCCTGATGTCTCCTTCGTTGGATGGACAGGAAAAGGCTTGAGCTCTTGGGTAGCTGTATGACTCAAAGAAATCTAGATCCGCTTCTTAAAAACCCCCTGGGATCTGCAGTTCGCTGCAAAAGGATAAGCGGGCGATTGTTATTGCGGGGTTAAAAATCCAGCTCTGACATCAAGTCTTCCACTCCCTCGTGCTCTACGCCCTCTCTTCCACGCTACTCGGCTCTGCCCATAAAGGCCAGCTGGATACACATAGCGTAGCGTTGGCAGCTAGACAGGATCCTGACAAGTTTGCATCCTTGTCCCCGGCAAGATGTTCAAGAAAAAGCCTACTGTGAGTGTACCCCGCATCCAACCACTCGGTGCTCAACACGATCTTGAGTACTCACCCGCAGCTTCAAAGATCAAAAATCTCTCGCCGCTACGATCCTCGGACCGACGCAAGATCGCCGATCAGATCATCAGCGACTACAAGATTGAAATCCCTACGAACCCACCCGTGGAATCTAGTACCGACGATTCCACCCCCGCGAATACCACGCAGCCCACCCTCACCTCCCTTCGGAATGCTCTCCTCCCCGAGAACTGCCTCTCTGCGCGCTTCACGACAACGGCCGGTCCCGACCTGCGTGAAGTCCAGGGCACCGTATACGTAGGCACACACAGCGACGGCGAAGAGCGCGTACTATGGTTCCGGATCGACCAGGGCCCTGGCGCGGACAAGCGTCTATACCCGACCGTTTACACTCTCTGGCACAACCCGAAGATTGTCCCGCTGCTGTACACGCCTGAACTTGTGATGTGCAAGCTCCGCGGGGGTGCGGATCTGATGACGCCAGGTCTGGCGAATGAGCCCCCGTTTCCTGAGCGCGCGGTCAAGGGTGCCGTTGTTGCGGTTTCGAGTCTGGATAGGGAGACTGTGCCGCTTTTTGTGGGTATTTGTGAAATTGATGTCTCTGCTCTTGGGGAGGTACAAGGGACTAAAGGACATGCTGTTCGTGGAATCCAGTGGGAGGGTGATGAATTGTGGGCTTGGAGTCCGTCTTTGAGGCCGGGAGTGGCTGCTCCGGAGTATATCCAGGGATGGGACGAGGAAGAAGTTTCTGAGGAGGCGGAGGTCGGCGAAGTTGAAGAGGGAGTTCAGGGGCTAGCTCTGGAGGCCCAAGGGCAAGAGGCCGGAGAAGTGCAGACAGGAGAACCCGCTGAGGAAGAGGCCATTGAAGATCCGGTCATCGAGGAGAAAGAGCCGACCACGAAAGGTACGTCGGTTCTCCTTCGATAGTGCGTGGCGTATCTAACAGAAGCAGAGATCGATGATGCCTTCGAGAAAGCATTCCTATACTCGCTGTATAAGCTGAAGCAGGACAACCCCACCACGCCGAACCATGGCCTAGCTCTCCCGATCTCGCCATCTGCTCTGATATCGAACATGATAACGCCTTACCTCCCTATATACACTGCACAGCAAGCCCAGTTCTACCAGATCAAGAAGACCAGCTGGAAAAACGTGAAGAAGTTCATCAAATATCTCGATAAGCAGGTCCTGGTGAAGGCGAAAGACCGCAGCGGCCAAGAAACTGTCATCTTAGACGTGGACTTTGACGACCGTCGGGTACTGAACTTCGTGCCATACCGACTCCCGAACAAGAATGCATTAGAGGGCGCAGGAAAATCAACTGCAACCGGCAAGAAGCCCGCAGCGCCGACAGACGGCGACCCAGCTGTTGGCCAGACGCTCAATGTGCAGAGTCTCTACCGGCCGACGTCGAAGCTCACACCAACAATATTCCCGTCTCTGGGCAGCACCAACCCCAGCAACTACTACAAATACTCCGACGTCTCTACCCACATTGATCAGTACACGCAGTCCCAGAATCCTCCAATCATCGACCCGCAAAACAAGCGCGTCATCACACTCAACCCATTCCTCGCAAACACCATCTTCACCTCCTCCTCGCCAGAGGACCGCAACACTCTCGCCCGTGGCAAAACTACCCGCGATATGCTCTTGAAACGGCTCGTGGAAGACCCGACACTCATGGCCCCACACTACGCCATTCTCAAACCAGGCCAGACGCTATCAGACGTGAAACCCAAACCTGGAGCAGCGCCAAAGGTGAATGTAATCCTCGAGCGCCGCACAGGCTCCAAGACGGTGACAAAAGTCTCGAATCTAGAAATCTTCGGCATAATCCCTAACCTACTTGCCGAGGAATTGCAGAAGAAGTGTGCCAGCAGCACGAGCGTGTCTCAGGCCACAGGCGCAGCAAAGGGTGTGATGGAGGTTCTTGTACAGGGTGATCAGCGCAAGGCATTGGAGACTGCGCTTACACGGCGGGGATTGAAGTCGCAGTGGATTGAGGTGGTGGACAAGACAAAGAAGAAGAAATAGGCATATTTTAGTACTATTTGTACCTATCGCGATTTGCAGATGTGGTATTGGAATAGTGCGCCATATCCGGACTATGTTTAACCGCATCGGACGGATTTCACCCGACCCCCATTGGATATACATTCGGAGGACTCCCGAACCCCTCCGTAGATTCAGTTAGCTCCGCATCCCCGCACATTTTTGAATCACTAAACCTCGCCTTTTCGAAACCACAACTACAACGTTGTATAAAACCTCAAAACTCACATCAAAATGCCCGTCTATCACATCGGTACCGCCTCCTCTTTCCTTTACCCTCCTCACTAACATAACATACTGACAAACCCGACAGTCCTCTTCCGCCTAAAGCAAGGCGTAACAACCGCCCAGCTCTCAACCTGGACATCCCTCGCGCAAGGCATGGTGGGCAAGATCCCCGGGTTAGTCTCCCTCAAGGCCGGCGGACCCTTGCCGATCTGCGTGCCGCGCGCAAAGGGATTCGATATGGGTCTCGTGGCTGTCCTGGAGAAGCCCGAGGATGTCGCGACGTATGCGGTGCATCCGGCGCATTTGGAGTGAGTGCGAGTCTTTGTTAACTTGTTCCTTCGCGGTGTAAGTGGGGTTTGAAGGGTTGCTAACGAGTTATCTACTATTGCATTAGGGTGCATAAGATGAGGGAGGAGTTGTGTGAGGATACGTTGGCTTATGATTTGGAGTTCGAGCCTTGAATTGTCGCTTCTTTGCTTTGATGGGTAGATAGATGCACACGGGGTCGGCTACGAGTCACTCAATGAGGAGTCCAGGGCTATGAGTAGTCGGAGATAAAGAATGATGAGTCCTTGCGGGTGGAGCTTGTATTACCTCCGACCCTGAAGAAGGCAAGCAATGGTATTCGTACTTTTTATATGCCAACCCGAGCGAAAATTGAACGTTAAACAAACATAGATGCGAGATTATGTCATTACTCCTTGGAATCGACCTTCTTGGCAGGGTGATCGCCGTTGGCTTCGACTTCACGGGTGCGCTTTTGACCCGTGGACTCTGCGGTGCTCTGCACGACAGGCACGCCGCTGTAGTGGATAAATAGTTAGAATACCTGTTTTCATGAAGATGCGGGGAAAGCTTACCGAGCATCCTTCTGGACCTCACGACGCTCAGGCTGATCACGATCCCGGTCGTTCCTGAAGCCCCGCTTCTGGTCGTCAGCACGTCGCTCTCTCCAGTCACGGTTGTCACGGCGGTTGTCGCGACGGTTGCCTCCGCGCCCTCCGCGGCCGCCCCTGTGCCCGCCACGGCCTCGGCCACCGCTGGGCCTGATCCGGCCAGCCTCGATGTCTGCAACCTTCTCATCGCAGTATTCCTTCTTGCTCTTAATCAGAAGGTCCTGGCCCTTCCACTGAGGCTTGGGGTCGAGTTCAAGGAAGGCCTTTTGCTTCTCCTCGGAGTCGAACTCAACGAAAACGCTGCCCTTGAAGTGCTTGTCGGCGGTCCGACGCAGACGGATAGCGTTGATAGGTCCGTAAGAAGCAAAGAAAGCTTCAATTTCAAGCTGCGTGGTAGGCTGCTCCTCTCCAAAGCCCTTGGCATAGATGCTGCGGGCCATGGCCTTGTCTTCAAACACCTTCACGACGCTAGGATCGTGTACATCCGTGACCGACTCCGGAAGAGGAACCTTGCGGCGCACGGAAGTGTCGTTGTCGGTCAGCTCTAGGGTCTCGGAAGTCTTAAGAGCGTCGACGATGGCACTGAAGGGCTGGAAACGGCGCATGCGCTTGAAGGAGTGGAGAAGCTCAAGGGGAACAGAGTTGTTCTTGCTACCGCCGACCTTGGAGAACAAGAACTTGTCCATGGGAAGGTTGGAATCTGAAAAGTAGAACTCGACTTGCTTGCGAATCTCGACTGGGTCGTCCGTCTCCTCTTGCGCGGACGGGTCGAACTTGCTCTGGTTGGCGCGCCGGCGACCGCGGTATTCCTGTTGACCCTCTGATTTGGCATCCTTTTCAGCCTTCTCGGACTGCTCGCCGAGCTTCGCGGCAGCGGCCACAATGCGAGCCTCCTCGGCGTCTTCTGTGGTCTTATCGGCGGGTGCCTCTTCCTTTTTCTCGGTTCCATTGGTAGGGGCTTCGGCCTCGCCCTTCAATTCGGCAAGCACATTCTGAACATCCTTCTCAGCCTCAGCATTGGGAGCCTGGGCGGCGACGGGCTTTTGTTCCTCGGCCATTGTGTGAATGCGACGAATCGATCGCAAGAGGAGAGATAAGAGAAAAAACGAAGGATATCAGGAAAGGAGTGGAGGGAAAATGGAAGAAACGGCTTCTTTCTAGCTTTGTGAGTCAGTCGGGAGTCTATAGTGTCGCGGGATTGCGAAAAGTGTGATTCATGGGCAGTGCAAGATTTATGGCGTTGCGACGCGTTGATAGTGAAAGTCCGAATGAGCAACACGGAACGGCGCAGCAGTATTGGGGCTCACGAGGCTGCTTACCTAAAATCCGGGCGCGGTAAGGTTTGACTCGTTCAATAAAGGCCTCGCAAAACTTCGATTTCTTTATCAGACAAGAAAAATGGTCAACTCAAAGAAACCTGCGGCGGGGGAAATTTTCTGAGCTGCGGAGCTCAAAAGTTGCTCCAGAGCCACAGCCAGAGGCGGCTAGCCGCTAGTTCAGTCACCTGGGCGCTAACCCGCTTTCGGGTAAGCTCGTCGATAAGCCTACCTTCCTAATCCGTCAATCGCGTCCTTGCTCCTGTGCAGCTACAACACTTCGCATTACCACACGGTCAGAAGAAGAGATAAATGGTCTTGTAAGTCACTGCTTGTCAGATGTGAGCCAGTGGCTTACTCTTGCTATTTGTAGTAAAATAGGCCCTCAAAAAATGTGGATCAGCATCGGATTTTACGACTACTGGAGCTCCAAGGCCTGGATTGTCCAGGGCACCTGCCTTGCGATGGCCATATCACAGGGTTTCCTGTCAGTACTCTGCAACTGTTCCAGCTGACCTTAACCCGATTGTCTTGGTCACACGGCCTTTAACCACATGGATAATCCAACAATTTATTCCCCTCGCATCAATTACAGCGCTGTCTTTGCACGTTGAGCACGCTGATGGCAACTACATCGGTGGAGGAGACACGAAAGGTCACTTCACTCAGCTCTCAGCCTCAATTGATCTCCGGACGAAGTCGATCATATTTTCGTGCAGGTGCTCTCACGCTCTCGCCCCTTACGACCGCGATACGCCCCCGTGATGCATGAGAGTGCAGAGTGCTGCTGAACACCCTGAGGATAAGGCTACTATAACTAATTGGGCTCATCATGGCGGAGGTCCACAACCAAACATTGAGATGGCCTGTCAGAGATGTAAGTCTACGACTAATGCATTCCGAACTCCCAAGAGTAACCTTGGCCAGATCATCTTCGTTGCCACTATCAGCCCCTTCATGCTAGCAGCCTTTATAGAATGGGCTCTCTTTATTGCTGCTTTTATATACTGTCTCGCCAAGGTGTACCAGAAAGCTGATCACTGGAGCATTAAAACCCTTGCTATTGCCATGATGATCATATTCTCTATCTTGAGGTACGTTTTCTTGTCCATGCCGGTGTATTCGCATGTTGACATTCCCCTAGAGGCATTTTTCTCCCCGTCATGATCACTACGCTCCCTCTCCCTTCCCATATCGCGCAGCGCTTCCCTCCCGTCATGGTTTCATTTCTTCAGTGGTTCGCGTTCTGGGCTTTTGCGGCGCTTCTGACCGTCCCGTGGCTCTTCTGCATCTACAGAATCGTCACCAACTCGATAGGAAAGACGCAGAGAATAAAGAAAGTTCTGGACGATAAAACCGCGCCAAAAGTGGTCATCATAATGCCCGTCTACAAAGAGACCCCGGAAGTGCTGATCAAAGCTGTCGACTCGGTCGTGGACAGTGACTATCCCGGGTGCTGCATTCACGTTTTCCTGTCTTACGACGGCCATTTCATCGATGAACCCTACCTTCAAGTGATCAACCATCTCGGCATTCCCATATCGCTTCGAAACTACCCACAGAGCATCGACGTGGCATACAAGGGAGCAAGAATCACTGTGTCTCGCTTCAAGCACGGCGGCAAGCGCCATTGTCAGAAACAGACCTTCAGACTTATCGACAAGGTATATGCGGAGTACCTCAAACAGCATGACAACCTATTTCTCCTATTCATCGACTCAGACTGCATGCTTGATCGACTTTGTCTGCAGAACTTTATGTACGACATGGAGTTGAAGCCAGGGAGTAAGCACAATATGTTGGCAATGGCCGGCATAATCACATCAACCACGGAGAGGAATTCGCTTATCACAGTACTACAAGACATGGAATATATGCATGGACAGCTCTTTGAACGGTCTGTCGAGTCTGGCTGCGGAGCAGTTACCTGCCTTCCAGGTGCGCTGACTATGCTGCGATTCTCTGCTTTTCGCAAGATGGCCAAGTACTACTTTGCAGATAAAGCTGAACAATGCGAGGATCTGTTCGATTACGGGAAGTGCTACCTGGGCGAAGATCGCTGGCTGACCCACCTCTTTATGATCGGAGCGAGGAAGCGGTATCAAATTCAGATGTGTACAACGGCATTCTGCAAGACCGAAGCGGTGCAAACCTTCAGCAGTCTTCTCAAGCAACGGCGTCGATGGTTTCTAGGCTACATCACCAATGAAGTTTGTATGTTGACCGATGTTCGGTTATGGAGGCGATATCCCCTCCTCTGCTTGGTCCGCCTTTTGCAGAACACTATCCGCACGACTGCACTTCTTTTCTTCATTCTACTTATAGCGATCACCACCAGTTCTAGCAGGGTGGACGATTTGCCTGTCGGCTTTGTCGTGATATCACTTGGTCTCAATTACACCCTGATGTTCTACTTTGGCCTGAAACTCAAGAGATACAAAGCCTGGCTCTATCCGCTGATGTTCATCATGAACCCTTTTTTCAACTGGCTGTACATGGTATATGGGATATTCACTGCGGGCCACCGCACATGGGGAGGACCAAGAACTGATGCTGCTAGAGCGGATGAGCATACTACTCCTGCACAAGCCGCGAGACAGGCTGAAGAACAAGGGGACGAACTCAACGTCGAAGTGGAGACATTCCGATCGGGTGTTGAAGGAAAAGGAGTGCCGGTCCGCCCACCGCGAAAGATCACAGGGCGTTTCTCTGCGGAAGAGCCTATGCCACCGAAAGGGTGTTTTGACACTCTTACCGACTCGGAAGCTGGTTTGACAAAGTTCTTGTCTCCCCTCCCAGAGATTCCTCGTATCGGCCTTCATTCGCCATGGTCAACAGAGTCAGTCCTATCGTCTGAATCCGGTTGGGAGTCAATTGATATGCCGCACAACGTGGAGAGCTTGGTTAACGAAGAACGGCTGTATCTCAGTCGTAAGGTACAGGATCCCGTGGCTGCTCGCCTGAGCGTTGGGACGTCTTCCGATGTTCAGAGTACGGACAATACACAGTCACCGCGGACGATCGTTGGCATCGATCGCACCAAGCCTGGGGACGACCAAGACAGCTTTATAACGTCACATAGCAGAGGTTCAGTGGCGGATAGCGCTACTGAAACGGACGAGACATCGCAGGGCCCTCAGACGCAAAGCTCATATGACTCAACAGAGCCTCTTACGGCCTTTCGGAGACTCTCAGATATCGGGGTTTCTCACCTGCAGCGTGTGAGCCAAACACCGAAGATGGCGAAATCACGGAAAAGGGGAACGGTGGCCTAGTTGTTGGTATTGTGTGAGTTGGGCGAGGATTCAGTGCTTGGCAATACGTAACTTTTACAGCATTGGTTTTTGAACAACCTTGGAATCCAATGCGACCAAGCCAGATATGATGTTTATCCCCGAGGTGTATTCTTGAATATGTTGTTAGCCAATTCAGATCCAGGTTTCTCAAGCTGTTGTCAAGGACTTTGAACCCCTTTCACATTCAGCCCTGCGCACAAGCTGATTGGAAGAGAGTCGATATCGATAAGCGACAGCCCCTCCAAGAAGGCGTAATTCTGCCGGTGGTGGGCTGGCGGTGAGGGAGGGGAAGTGTCCAGCAGGAGCCAGAAGGTTCGATGGGCACCAGCCAAGTCAGTGAGGCTGCACAAAGGCAATTTTATCAAAACATCACTTTTCTCACAAATAGAGCTGAGCGCCCTGCAAATCTCTTCTTTGCTGGACATAATTTCTGCCATCTTGATTCCGTGTTAAGCCAACTCAATCTAAGCGTGAGAAGTGGACCAAGGAAAAAAGTCTTGACCGCTTGACAACCCAAAGCAACCCACGTTGCTGGCCCTAGCCACATCTCCATTCGATAGAAGACTCGTTGCTCCAGTGGCGCTGCTGCTGCAAATTATTACTATCACCTAACCCCCCCTCTCGTCTTTCGCTCCCCTCCTCATATCTCTCTCGACGTCTCCCCCATCCATCTTCCTCCCCTCCCCCACCCTCCGATTACTCGTCATTATGTCTGTCGTCGGCATTGATTTCGGTGCCCAGAGCACCAAGATTGGTGTCGCCAGGAACAAGGGTATTGACATTGTGCGTATCGGCTCTCTGCTCATTATAATCCCTCTCGATGAATCTCTTAAGGCTAACTTGACCTCGATCTGATCAGATTACCAACGAAGTTTCCAACCGACAAACTCCGTATGTTTCTTCTGCTCTGGTCTGGTCTATTTTTTAGAGGTTTTCCCCGACACTAACTTTTTCTTGCGATCAGTTCCCTCGTCGGATTCAGCGCCAAAAGCAGACACATCGGTGAAGCCGCAAAGACGCAAGAGACCTCCAATCTCAAGAACACGGTCGGCAACCTCAAGCGCCTGATCGGCCGCACATTCAGCGATCCCGATGTTCAGCTCGAGCAACAATACACCGGTGCACAGCTATGTGACGTCAATGGCCAGGCCGGTGTTGAGGTTAGCTACCTGGGCAAGAAGGAAAAGTTCACCGCTATCCAGTTGGTCGCCATGTACCTGACCAAGATCCGAGATATCGCAGCCAAAGAACTGAAGACCGCTGTCTCCGATGTCACAATTAGCGTTCCTGCTTGGTTCACCGACGTCCAGCGCCGTGCTATGCTTGATGCTGCTGAAATTGCCGGCCTGAAGGTCCTGAGACTGATCAACGACACCACTGCTACCGCTCTTGGTTATGGTATCACCAAGCTTGACCTTCCAGGTCCCGAAGAGAAGCCTCGGCGGGTGATGTTTGTTGATATTGGATACAGCGACTACACTGCCTCTGTCGTGGAGTTCCGCAAGGGTGAGCTCAACGTCAAGGCCACCGCCTTCGACCACCACTTTGGTGGTCGCGATTTCGATAAGGCCTTGACCGAACACTTTGCCGACGAGTTCAAGGAGAAGTTCAAGATCGACATCCGCACTCATCCCAAGGCTTGGAACCGTACCCTGGCCGCCGCCGAGAAGCTGAAGAAGATTCTCTCGGCCAACCCAGCGGCTCCGTTGAGTATCGAATCGCTCATGGAGGACGTTGATGTCCGTACCATCGTCAAGCGCGACGAGTTGGAGACTATGGTCAAGTCTTTGCTGGACCGCGTCACAGTTCCTATTGAACAGGCCCTCGCCGAAGCTAAGCTTAAGCCCGAGGACATTGATTTCATCGAGCTGGTCGGTGGTAGCACCCGTGTTCCTGCTATCAAGGATGCCATCAGCAAGTTCTTTGGAAACAGGAACCTGTCCTTCACTCTTAACCAGGACGAGGCCATTGCCCGCGGTTGTGCATTCAGCTGTGCTATCCTCTCTCCCGTTTTCCGTGTTCGTGATTTCTCCGTTCACGATATTGTAACCTACCCCATCGAGTTCACCTGGGAGCAGTCACCCGAAATCCCAGATGAGGACACTAGCTTGACCGTCTTCAACAGGGGCAACGTTATGCCCTCCACCAAGATTCTCACATTCTACCGCAAGCAGCCTTTCGACCTGGAGGCTCGTTACGCCCAGCCAGACATGCTTCCCGGCAAGATTAGCCCATGGGTTGGCCGTTTCTCCGTTAAGGGTGTGAAGGCTGACGCCAACGACGATTTCATGATCTGCAAGCTCAAGGCTAGACTTAACCTGCACGGCATCCTGAACCTGGAGTCTGGATACTATGTTGAGGACATGGAAGTTGAGGAGCCCGTTAACGAGGAAGGCGAGAAGAAGGATGGTGATGTAAGTTGCATCCGCCTTCTGGCCTCTTAACCAATTTTACTAATATGGTGCTAGGCTATGGACACGGATGCCGCCAACGGTGATGAGCAGCCCAAGAAGACCCGAAAGGTCAAGAAGCAGGTCCGCAAGGGTGATCTCCCAATCTCCTCCGCCACCCCTGCCATCGAACCGTCAATCAAGGAGAGCTGGTTTGAGCGCGAAAACAGCATGTACATGGAGGACAAGCTGGTTGCTGAAACGGACGAGAAGAAGAACGAACTTGAGGGCACCATTTACGAATTGCGTGACAAGATCGATGGCATTTATGCCGAGTTTGCTAGCGACGAAGAGAAGGATAAGCTGAGGTCTAAGCTGACCGACCTCGAGGTAAGGAACCCAAGATATTGAACTTTGTACGACCGTTTTGCTAATTCACAATCCAGGACTGGCTCTATGAAGACGGCTATGATGCCACTAAGTCCGTCTACGTTGCCAAGTTGGATGAGATCCGCTTTGTTGCTGGACCTATCATTCAGCGCTACAGAGAGAAGCAGGATGCGGAGCGGCAGGCCATCCTGAAAGCCCAGGAAGAGGAGGCTGCGAAGAAGCGCGCTGAGCAAGAGGCCAAGCGCAAGGCCGAAGAGGAAGCCAAGAAGGCCGAGGAGCCCAAGCAGGAGGAGACGCCCGATGCTGAGATGAAGGATGCTCCTGCCGAAGGCGAAGCCGCTTCCGAGAACGCTGAGGGCGAGAAGCAGTAAATGGCCTTGGAATGATTAAAAATACCGAACCCACCTCATCAATTATACCTTTGGATCATTGAGCCCCCGTTTCTACAGCTTGATGACTATCGCCCTGAATGAACACTCGATTATGTCGATTTTTCTTTTCGTCTTTCTTTGCGTCACCCCACCTCGATGAAACGACAGTTGTAGAACGAATTTTTCTTTTCTTTTTTCAGTTCTTGATGAAGATTTTGCACGAAGATACAGTGCTGTTCAAGCAGTCTCTTGCCTCATAGGCACTGTATTCTATGATTCAGGAGGAGTAAATATGAGACCATGTGGATAGACCGCAGGCGAAAAGTAACTATACGTTCGCTAATACTAGAGGATTTTAATAAGACTCTTGCACATATCTAGGACCTATTGAGTACACATTGTAGTATGTCATGGCTATGGGACTTGATTAACATGATCCCGCCTCTCTGGACATGAAGGAGGGAATCTTAGGTAACCCTAATTTCGGCCGAATCAAGGACGTATGTATGGATCTGCGATGTGCTGTCGAGTTCCTGCTCCTCTACTTCTGTACACTTCCTCAACCCACGTCCTCTTTTCATTGTCGAATGCACAATCCGCAAAATACCTGGGTACAGCAACGATCCAGGCTCCAGCATCCCCCCAACTGGACGCTTGGTCTTGTTCTTGACGTGACTTCCTGTGGGCCAGCGTCAGAATTTTCATTCCAATTCCGCTTCTCAGCAGACAATGATGCAACCGAAGCGGTAACAACCACGAATCTAACCAACCTCAGATGAAACACTAAAAGGAGGGGGGGAAACTATCAGATCAGTTTCAGAGCGGAAAAAAAAAAAAACAGTGTGGATCGGCAGCTACTCGTACACCTCAGGGTCATAGTCACTGTAGCGTAGATTTGCCGCATGACTGGTCCCGTAGCTTAGTCGGTTAAAGCGTCAAGCTTATAACTTTCTCATGAGGGAGTCTTGGCGATCGCGAGTTCGATCCTCGCCGGGACCAGAATTTTTGCTCCTTCTCTTTTTGCTCCAGTCTTCTCGTTACTTTGATTGGCTGCTATTACCGCTGTCATCTTCCCTCGACTACCTACCTGAACTTTTTTACCATCTATCAGATATCTCTTTGTACACATCCATGCAGTACCAGACTATCAGTATCTCGCGTGACCTGCCACTGCACCTCGGCTCGCGGACCCTCATGGTGGAGCAAGGTGGACGGTTCAGGTCGCTAAGACTTTTAAGGGTCCGACGAGATGAGTTTGAAGATGGGAGCACACGCTCTCTTGTTGGACGAGTTATGCTTGCAGCATGATTGAAGGACTCGAACCATTGATGGCCAAGTCCCCAATGCATTAGCTGTGATGATCTCAGGAGTGCGGAGTTAACGGACTCCGGAGGCTTGAATTGAGGGAGCTCAGGGCAGTGTGGGTCAATCGTTCGGGAAGGATGGCACGCGAGGGATTCAACAGGCTTTGGTCCTCCTCACCATCTTCACTCGCGCCCTCAATGTTGTCCTTGTCATTCTTCCTGAATTGTTACTGACGCTGGAGTTCCACCATAGTTGTTGCAAAGCACGAGCCCAGCGCCGAGGTCTTGTCCTGCGTTGGCACCCCTTGCTGGGCGATATCTGAGCAAGAAATGGGGTAGCCTAAACCGCCAACAAAGTCCCTTTGCAACTCCTGGGCCACCGTTCCTGAGCGACTAGTGGAACCGTCCGCTTTTTATCTTGAAATTGCCCCGCTCACACCAAGGAAATTGGCAAATGGGCAGCCTTTCCATCAGAGTTAAGGAGAACCAGCGGATTTATCGGTTCGCTGACGTCCCTTTTTCTAAAGTCTTTGCTGTCGTTCGCGGGTTGGAACCCCTCGTGGCCTTTTTCTTTGTTTGCCATTCATCGACCTCGACAACTTTCTCCTTATGGGTTGATTCCTGCACATTAGTTTCTGTCCTATCCGGTTGCGCCTTTCTCTAGCGATATTCGTGTCGCGTGCCCAGTCATTGGAAAGGCCTCGCTTCCCTGAATCAGATCAGCCGGCCCTGTTACGCCTCAAATCTCTTCTACCAATCATTCTCATATCCTATCTTTAATATCCAACTAACTATTGTTCCTTAATCTCTTATCCCTTCGACCGAAGCTCCAGAATGCGAACCAGGACGTGAAGCCCCACGACAGCGACTCCGACACCCCGAGATGAAGTCCCAGAACCTGCTGGCTTTTGTCAGTACAATCGCCTCAGTAGCGGGAATCGCCGCTCCGAGTCCTGATACCAGCAGTACACCAGAGACGAGCAACCACGGCACCATCATCAGCCATAATGCGCCTGATGCCCTGTGGACTGACTACGGGCTTAATATATCGGCGGAATACAAGTACTTCCAGGAGCCAGGGAACGATGAAATCCATGCTCACTATGACTCGCGATTTTTCAAAGAACCCGTACCGAAAGAGCAGCGTTCGCAAACGCTGACCCATATAATCCACTCATATTTCGAGTACTTCAAAGACAACGAGCTGGAAACCTGGATTGCGCACGGGACGCTGCTCGGCTGGTGGTGGAACGGCAAGGTATGCACCAATATCCTTGAGTATTTTTAGGCTTCGTCTCATTCGGTCCGCTTGTAGATAATGCCCTGGGACTGGGATATCGATACCCAGGTTTCGGAAGCAACCCTTTTTCGCCTTGCCGACGAATTCAATAACACCGTTGTCAAATATAACTCGTCCAACTCTGACGTCCAACACTCCTACCTCCTCGACGTGAATCCATGGGCACGGCAACGTGCTCACCACAAGGGGCTAAACATCATCGATGCGCGGTGGATTGACATGCAGACTGGGCTTTACATTGATATCACGGGACTCAGCCGGCTAGACGAAGAAAAGCCGAACGAATGGGGTTGTAAAAACAACCACAACTACACAATTTCCGATATATACCCACTTCGTGTCACCACGTTTGAAGGCGTGGAGGCTAAAGTGCCCTTCCGCTACGAGTCCGTCTTGATAGACGAATACAACGACAAGGCGTTGACCGAGACGCATTATAACCAGTAAGTCATCAAATCGGATCCGGGGGTGAAAAGGCTAACATAGTCACAGTCATACGTGGGATCCGGAGCTTGAGGAATGGATTTCTGACGAGGCGCTCGAGCTTGCCGCTGAAAAGGAGAAGGAGAAGGATGACAAGCAGTACGAGTAAACTGCTATTCTCGCTATTATAATTCGGCATCATTGTTGCGATAGCTTGACGATCTAGCGTATCCTTATTTTTGGTCTGTACAACATCGTTTCTTGGCGTTACTGGGATCTATTGGAGTTATTTGGGTCATCATTGCATGTCATCTTACTGCTAGAGCCAATTTAATATCATTAATTCCCGCCTGCAATACTAAAAAGAGAACGTCGTCAAATAACGCCTCGGACGGACTTTGTATACTTCATATTCTGGGGGGATCTGCGGCTGACTAACCCAAGCATGGAAAGTGATCGAAGATCGGCGGATTCATCATCAAGCTTAGCACGCCTCTGATTCTCCTCATAAGCCCATCATGTCGCCTCCCCTGACTCACTCTCCCACCAAGAAATTCTCTTTTCGACAAAGATGGCTGAAACCGCAGAGATTTTGACCGTCACGGTCCACCACCATGGCCAGGCACACCCCATCGAGCTCCCCGCAGAAGCCACCCTCCAAGACCTCGCGACAACCCTCGCCTCTACCTTCCACATCCCGCTCGAGAACCAGAAACTCCTCATCGCCCCGAAGCCCGGCATGCAGAAGGCTCCCTTCCCGCCAACCGCCGTAGCAGAGATCCTTCCGCTCTCATCGCCAAAGCTGAAAATCACCCTCCTCGGCACACCCATCAAGGAAATTGACGAGCTCAACACACAAGGCGCCGAAACCCGTCGCCGCGACGAGAAGCGCGCTGCCGTTCGCGCCGATGCACGCGCACGCGCTCGCACGTCCGGACGAACAACAGGAGGCGGCGCAATCCACACCATCTCCAGCGCAGGCAACAACTACACCTTCCACCGCCTCGAACCCCTCCAACACCTCCCGAACCCCTCGCGCTCCTTGACGTTCCTCGCCCGCCTCCGCGACGACCCGGGCATCCGCGCGGCAATGGCAAACCATCGGTTCTCCGTCCCGCTGCTCACGGAAATGGATCCGGCCGAACATACAACCTCCGAGTCGCGAACGCTCGGGTTAAATCGGAATAAGGGCGAGGTCATCGAGCTGCGGCTTCGGACGGACGCCTACGATGGGTATCGCGACTATCGGACGATTCGCAAGACGTTGTGCCATGAGCTCGCGCATTGCGTGTTTAGTGAGCATGATCGGGATTTCTGGGATTTGACGAGTCAGATTGAGAAGGAGGTTGAGAGGGCGGATTGGAAGCATGGTGGGCAGAGGGCTGGGGGTGCGGATGCGGAGTTTTATAATCCGGATGATTGGGAGGCTGAGAGGGAAGGCGAGCATGTTGCTGATGAGAGGGGGTGGGTGGGGAGTTCACAGGTTCTGGGTGGAGGCTCACCTGGTGGTGGAGGCGGCGGGGGTATGAGGGAGGTTTTGGCGCGAGCCGCGGAGGAAAGGGCCCGTAGGGCGAGGGAGGATAAGAGGGATTCTTCATCATGAAGGTTCACTTTGATAATGCATACTTGTACAGATACAAACCCATTGATCATTTTAGCGATATAGACATGAGATACCTAGTTACACAAGAATATTTACAGCTGCTCATTCACAAACAGTCCAGCCATACCCTGCCCAGTGCCAATGCACATACTTGTCACTAGAACCTTCTTCTTAGTCCGCCTGGCCTCGCTCAGAATCGTCGCGATCTGGCGAGCACCGGTCGCGCCCAGCGGGTGACCGAGGGCAATTGCACCACCTCTCGGGTTTACCTTAGCATGGTCCAGTCCCAGCTTCTCAACGCAGTAAACAGCCATGGAGGCAAACGCCTCGTTTATCTCAAAGATGTCAATATCCTCCTTGGTCAGGCTGAACTTCTCCAAAAGCTTGGGGATCGCAGCGGTGGGCCCGATACCCATAACCCTAGGCGGGACACCAGCAACTGTGGCGCCGACGAACTTGGCGAGAATGGGCTGTCCCAACTCAATAGCCTTGGAGCGCCTCATGAGCAGCACCGCAGCGGCACCATCGGTAACCTGACTGGAGTTTCCACCAGTGCTCCTATCCCCGAAATCAGGAAACGCAGGGCGAATCTTCGACAGCGACTCAACAGTCGTCCCATACCGCACGCCATCATCCTTGCTCAGTGTAACGCTCTTCTCCTCCCCAGTCTTCGGATCCTTCACCCTTGTAGTAATGGGCACAATCTCATCATCAAACCACCCAGCCTTCTGCGCGACCTCCGCGCGCCGGAACGACTCTGCAGCATACACATCCTGCTGCGCACGGCTGATGTTGAAGTCCTTACCCACATTCTCGCTCGTCTGTCCCATAGGCTGCATGCAGTCCGCGGCCTCCTGGTTCTTCAGAACTTCCTCGTTGAACGGCTTGTTGAGCCGGTCGCCACCCGCGCTCATGAGTTCTGCACCGAGCGCAATACCAACGTCGATGGCGCCGAGCTGAATTTGGTTCGCGATGTCCTGAACTGCCTTTAGGCCTGAGGAGCAGAAACGATTTACGGAGGAGGCGCCCGCTGTGTGGGGGATTCCGGCTGCGAGGGAGGCGGCGCGCACGAGGTAGGCGGCTTTGCCATCGTTGACCTATACCGTTCATTCTCGTTAGCCTTCTTCATTCATCTCTCTTTTGAAATCACGGATTCTACAATACAGGTAACTTACGTTTCCGAGACAGACGTCCTCGACAAGCGCAGGGTCGATCTGGCTCTTCGCGATGACTTCCTTGAGGAGGGCGTAGACGAGGTAGTCGAGGTCTGTGTCCTTGAAACCGCCCTTGCGGGCCTTTGTGAGGGGCGTGCGGAGAGAGAGGGTGATGACGACATCATCGGGGTTTTTCTGTGTACTACATTCTGTTAGCCATTTGTTCTTCAGGTCATCGAGAAAATGACCTTTCAGACTGATAGAAGAGAGAAGGCATACATAGTGGCGACACCCTTGTTGCCCCGAAGGTGGCTGAGGATGGAGTTTAAGCGTTCAGCGGCCATATTGATCTGAGTTCTCCCTTTTTAGATGGGACAAGATAAGGAAAGGATATATGTAAACGGATACGAGGCGAGTAGAAAGGATCAAGAAGAGGAGAAGAGGAGTCGCCGCTCTTTTGACGTTGGAGTCTGGGGCTCTGGGACCAGCCGAGTGAGAGCCGAGGCACATCTGACCCCAGAGAGGATATCCGACCGTCCAATCGGCCAGCCTTGAGTACTGTGAGACGCTGCGAAAGCCGAGCCGATGCACGTAATGAATATGATTTTTCATCAAATAGGTCGAAACGTGGCTCTCAGAGGAAGTCTCTAACCTGTTTTGGAGATACTGGTGGTGGTGGTTTATTTTCGTGGATAGAATATGCAATGATCGCCTTGTGAAGCATCTATAAAAACCAGAAACTGCTACAAAATTGATAAAACATGATACCAACGCCAGTTACACCGTACCCGGTCCACCAAGCGCCTATTGTACCCATCCAAATCCATATATCCCCAAAGCTTGAACCCCCTCTTTTACAGGCCATGTTGATGGTACTCTTCGCTGCTCACACTTCCTATTTCTGACCAGCTGGCAGGAGTATGAGCCCGTTCTATCGAACCCTCAAAGTCGCTGAGTGTGCCGTCAGATGACGCATCTACAGCAATGTGACTGAAGTTGTCTGCCGTCGAGGGCGTAGGTGGAGTCGTGGGACGGTCTCGAGGAAAGCGCAGGCCTTCTAGGTCCGAGAAGGGGGAACGTGTGTCCTCAACTGTCCCATTAGCGGCCGACTCGGGGTGCGCATAAATCACTTCGGGGCGACTGCCAACAGTGTGGCTAGACAGAGATGAAACAGGTCGCTGCTTGTCAAGTGACTCTCGAGAAACTATCAACTCCGACATGCCATTCGACACCTCGGATACAGGCGTGAAATCGGCATGCGACAGTGTCGAAGCACGGGATCGCGGAGCCGGAATAGAAAGCTGAACCCCCGAAAGCTCAGGTACTGGCTCAGCATCAAATAAGACTGTCGAATCAGCGGGTGAGGTTCCCAGTTGCTTGCTTCGTTGTACAGGCTGCGAGGCGCCCAGATCCACGGCCGTGGAATTTGCCATAGAGTGAGCTTGGTCTGCTCCGTCCAACAAATGCCCATTTCTGTCCACCAATGTATCGAACGTGCCCAGCGAGCTGTTTGACCTCTTCTTCTGACGTTCTTCGAGTAAACTTCGTCGTCGTTGGATCTCTTCCCGGGCGATCCGCCTGCGTTCCTCAGCTGCAGGACCTACCTCTTCCACCATGGAAATGTCATGCTGAAGTGGTAACCCAGCTTCCCCAGGATGAACTCCATCTCCGAGGTTGTGCAACGCTGTCGCAAGTTTCCGGCGCGAGTTGTTCACCCATCGTCGGAATTGGGGGGACTCGTAAACTGCGATGCCAGCGGCTACGAGCGCCGCCACACCGATAATGATACCTAGCTTGTCAGTTCTGCCACAGAATGGTTCAACACATGCAAAGCCATATGGAAACAGCATTAACTATTCTCTCAAGGAAAAGATTCGAGTCGGCTCGGCATCCCAGAGAAGCCATATATCATCACTGATAAGCACACCGCCTCCGAAGGCTCAAAGACAAGTGAGAGTCTCATGTAGAAGGAAAATAGCGGCATACCCTTTGCAACTGGGGTCGGCATCTCGTAGTAGACGGCTTCAGTGTCGCTTTTGAAGCTGTATCCGCAACTATCTTTTGTTGGAGGCAGCAGCGAAAGTTGCCGCAGCGATAGTTCCAGTCAGCCCACTTCCCCCGCTGCGCCACTGTTCACGTGAGACCATCCCACCCTTATCTGATGCCCTACTTTCTGACCGCTTTGGGTATCCCGTGTTTTCCCCGCAACAACAACTTCAAAACATCCACCCGCATCTTGATCGGCTTCCACTTGTACCCCAATCGATTGGCCTATAACCACAAGTTCCAATATGTCGCGTCCCTCGTCAATGGCCCAGCGCCCATTGACACTTACAGAGGAATTGGAAAAGCTGGAACAGTCTATCACCCTTACTCTCCAAGGTAAACAAACATCTCGGCCGGTCTTGTTCTCCAATGTTGCTAATTACTTCGCAACTCTATCATAGAAATCGACCACAACTTCAGCCGCGCCCACCGTATCGTCACAACTAGTATCCTCCCCGTTGTTGAGCAATATTCCGAAGCTTCTCGAGACGTATGGGAGGGCGCGAAGTTTTGGAAACAGTTCTTCGAAGCCAGCGCAAACGTCTCCCTATCTGGCTACGAGGAACGACCGGACCATGACACAACTCTCGAGCAAACGGTAACAGACGATGATCCGTCTAATATCTCCCAGAGCAACCTCGACGAATCCCAGTCTTACCAGACACCGTCCACTGAACGCAGCGACCGCAACAAAAGACCCGACGACGTCGATATTACCTCCTTTAGTCTCTCCTCTCACAGTACGCCGCGCGCTGTACTGCAGGAAGGCCCTCACGATGACACGACTGTGACTTCTTCTATCGCCCAGCCATCCCCGTACGACGGGGCGGGCCACGACGTGGACGAGTACCAAGGAGAGGACTCTTTCCTTCCCAGCACACCCGGCAAACAAACAAGCAGATCCCATGAAACCTACAACGACGACCTCCTATCTTCTTCTCCGTTCATTCCTCCAGTGTCTCACGATAAATCCAGATCAACAGCCAAGAGCGAAGCCGATCCCGTCATGCATCGTCTTCTCGACAAAACGTACCGCGTACAAGCCACGCCACTCGGAAAGGGCTACGACGCCACGCGGTCCCGTTTTGCGGTCACGCCTAAGGCTGCTTCGACAACTAAATACGATTTCGATGACTCCCCCATGTCTAGTCCTGAGCCCGAAGCTCCTCGGTTAAATTCGGAACTCTTCTCCTCTCCGTTCAAGCCCCAAACCCCGGGGACAGGCCGCAAGAGGCGCCCAAGTGGCAATCGTCTCCGTATTACTCCCAAGCCAGGCACGAGTGTGCTGACGCCGGCGAAAGGTGGCTTCGGCAAGCGTAACGATTGGGATAGCGACGACGACCAGTTCAACGACGACGACGACGATGAACTAGGTCTTAGCCCACCAAAGACTATGCAGTTCCATATTCCCCAGAGTCGGCTCATGAAGACACCAGGTTAGTGCGCTACATGCCACCCTTTCTAACAATTACTAATGCCGCGTTCGAATAGCCAAGGAAGCCTCCCGACGAATTGTGGAGCAGCTTCTTTACACGGCTGGCGCCAATGACACTACGGAGGATATAGGCGATGATCAGAGTCCAAGCGTTATCCGGCGAATGGAGCGGCTAGAGGATGATACGTTCTAAGCCCCTCGTGGATATTATCGATCGATAGGCAGAGACTGGAGAAACTACGTGCACGATGCACTTGCGAATGACCTCCCTCTACCATTCAAGTAAGGATATACACTAAGGAGGAGCACTCTAGTTATTTGTAAATCGACTGCTCATTCATACGTGCGGATGTATTGGGAAGATAGTCCCAGGCATTACTGCACAGGAGACAAGCCACCTTATAGAACACTCGAACATTAACATACAGTCCAAGAGGCCACAACGGAGAAGAACTGGATGCTCCAGTCACTCAGAACCACCCAGAAGGATAAGAAAGTCGTCTAAAGATTTTTAAGAGCACACATACACCACTGGTTGGAACTGGCTTCGAACCTGCGGAATCAAATATTGGGGAATCGAAATAGCACGCAGGCACTGAAAGATACATGAAGGGTATCGAGAGGGAAGCGCTGATCATCAGAGAGGTTTTGAGAAGGTAGGCGGGCGGCGCTGGGTAAAAGATGCGCGAGATAGCAGAGCGGAGCGGGTAGATTGGCCCAAACCCCATATATACAGGCACTTGGGGGCCGGATCCATGCGAACTTCGAAGGGCCCTAGGAAGAGAGAGGAGCCTAAGAAGGAAAGGAAGACGAGAACACAGTTGAGGCTGAGCCGAGTTTGAACTTGGACGCGACGATTAGTTGTGATTTTGCATACCCATAAACACTTCCTGGCAATTTTCCACTAGGAATTTGACAACCTCGTTCTTCTTCTGCACATCTGTCATTTCTCGCGCGAGACTCTGTGGTCTCATGATAGTCGGCGCGAAGACAACGGCGATGTTCTGGCTGGTCATTAGATTCTCCTTCTCTCGCTCCACAACACGTTTCAAGTGGAACACGAGGAACTCAAGCACATCCTGGTGGACACGCGGGAGCTCTCCAAGACTCTGCTGCAGGGATTCAATGCGGGCAGATTGTGAGGGAATCTCCCCCGTTTCAATGATTTTTTCGTAGACATCGTAGGTAATGAGCGGCATAGGTAGTTTTCGGAAATATTGTTTCAGCGCCGATGTCACTGCATGAATATCCAGATCGGGGTCTGATATGTCATAATCCTGAGGAGATCGTTCAAAGCCTTCTCTGATGGTTTGAATCGCTGAGCTAGCACCTGATTTACGGTAAATTCCTTCCATATCCATGCCTAATGAAGACCCAGGTATTAGCTCATTGTTCATGCCACGAGTAAAGAATAGAGTAACACACCCCGTAACTCAACCTCCTGGATACAGCGAGTGACGATGCCTGGGATAATGCTCTTCTCGTGTTCCATGCGTTGTTCTAAATCAGTACCGAAGAGCCCTGAAAATGTGTCAGTTAAGGGCGACGGGAAGATATACACTAGTCAAGGCCATGGGAAGAGCTTACCTGTGGGAGACGCCTCAGCCAGAGCAGGAACGCTATCGGTCTGTGGCATCCTTGTGCCTGTCTGTTTGTTCCTCTGATTTCCGAAAAATCCAAATCCCTGGCGGCTGGGGTCTTGTGTCTGAGAGCGCGGTAGACCTGTAGGATTATCCGTACCACTCGTGTTGCTCTCGCTCGACATGAATGCCCCTTTGAGGCCTTTGGTAACTCCTTTTGCGACATTTTGGCCTCCCTTCTTCCAGTTGAATTTGCGTGGCTGTCCTTTGCGGATGCTCACAACTTGGGGGCCAGGAACAACAGTAGCTGGCTCGGCTTCCTCAGACATGTTCGGCGTAGAAACCGATGGCGGTAAATCGCTTGCTGCTCTCAATGCGTCGATGGAGGACAAAGACTTTTCCTTGCCGTGTGAGTATATGCCAAGGCCGTTCGCACCACGATTTCCGTCGATAGAGTTTGCTTTGTACAGTTCCTGGATTTGATGTACAAGCTGGTTGTTTAGCTCAGCCAACTGAGCATTCTTGGAGGAGAGTTGCTCGAATTCCTGGAAGCTCTTATCCTTCATGCGATTCACATTTGCAAGTTCCTCTGCAACCTCGTTGCGCCTTTGTATCAGTTCTTCGATTTGTGGTGTGAAAGAATCTTTCAGCTTCTGAATAGATTCAACAAAGTCACGTAAGACTTTGTTCGTGAGTTTGCCCAAGTCAAGGGGCCCGCTGTTGCCGCCACGCTTTTCGGACTCTAGATGCTCAGTCAAAACGGTAAGTTCTCGCATCACAATCTCCTTCTGCGCATCTAAAACCACCATGGTCGAGCGCTTCTCGTTTAGTTCCGTATTGACCTGCTTTACATCGGCAGTGGCTTTCAGAACAGACTCCATTTCGGTAATCTTCTGGTCACGCTCCATAACTCTTTGGCGCTCCTTTCTCAACTCGCTTCGAAGCCAGGCTATTTCATCACCGCTGCCTTGCTCCGGGGAGCCGGCCGAAGGACTTGCTATATCATTTATAGACGAGGACCCATTGACAGGTGATTTTGGCCACTTGGAATCTTTCATAAGCCGGGATCCCTTGTCGCTGAAGCTCCGGCCATGGCGCACAGAGTTGGACATACGGCGCAAGAAAGATTCACTTGATTGTGAGGGTTGAATATCGTCTGAACCAAGAATCCGAGCCATATCCTCGTCCATTGAAAAGTCGCCCCCAGCGCTATAGCGTAGAGGGGAAGAGGAGGCCCCATAATCCCCAGGGCGAAAGGGCTCTGTTTGTTGAGGAGTGCTGATGGAGTTGGGGCGTGCCTGGGATTTTGTCCGCTCGTAAGAATCGTTGCGCTGACTTCGCGGCGATTCTCCGCTCTGCGGTGTACCCTTGTTGAACGTCTCCAAAGATCGGTCACTCCACTGGTCAGTTGGACTGATGGATTTAGCACCAGGAGACTGTACAATCTCCTTTCGAGAAAACTGATGGTTCCTGCTTTCCAGAGAATCACCCCGTTTAGGGTGTGCAACTGCCGAAGATGAATCAGCCGAGCCGCCATTCTCGTGCAATCGCCGGAGCTCATGCGAGGGGCGAGTGGGCAGAGTTGTGGTGCTTTCCGCCGCGGTAGATCTCTGAGAGTCAACTGTCGAGCTATCTCTCCCATAGGTAATCGACGACTTGGTGCTCTCGAACGTAGTAGATGAATAAGAACCGGCTCCCTTGTGGCTCACAGGCATGTCAGACCGAGAACTGCGGGCCGAGTTCGACCTGCCAGCTTTATGCATGGAGCTACCACCGAGAGAGTCGTCCTGGCGCCAGCGATTGGAATCTTCGGGGCGAGCGCGACCTTTCTCCTGGTAGGCAATGTGAGGAGAAGAACTCTCCAGAGGAAGGCGCTCAGGAGACTTAGTCTGGTTGGTGGAATGTGTGCGATGAGGTCGCTGTTCCTCTGATGGATCGAACGCGAGAGGGATGAGAAATTCCCCGCCCTCTGCATCGGACTCGGTAGGGACAACAGAATGCCGATTGCTGCGATACGTGCTAGAAGGGAGGATCAAGTTGTCTGTTCCAATTAACGCTGGTTAGATTGTTTCAAATGCGACACTGGGAGTATTCTTACCCTGGTCATCAGCAGCAGAATGATTGGGCTCAGCTCTCTCCGCGTCCAGCACAGGCGCTGCCCTCCGCGACGCCATTTCTGATGTTCCATCGGCGTAACCGTCAATGGAGATGTCATCTGCCGCATGTAACATGGCCTCGGCTTCTTCAGGTGGTAGAGACGGAAGCGACTTATCCAGCTTCACGCCGGGACTGCTATGCTTTTTCGAGCTAATACCGCGATTCTTCTTTCTTCGTCGTTGCATTAGGGACTCGTGGCAATCCATACAGAAGATTCCTTGCGATGTGCGGGCGTAGCGCAGGTTCTCAATCTTTCTCTTGCAATTCCGACACCGAAAGCACTGAGCGCAAAACGCTTGCTCGCCGGTCAAGATAGCCAGATCCTCAATCTTATTCCCACAAGAGCTGCAGCTATATGTGCAATTGCTACAGATCAGTGATCCGTCGCCGAGGAGAAGGAGATGCGCATCCGAATCTAGAAGCGTGCTGCAGGAACTGCAGCGAAAGCAGTCTATATGCCATCGGTTGCCAGCTAGAAAGGGAGAACCATTGGTTAGTAACTTGCCTGCGTAAACAAGTTGGGTTCAACGTAGGACCTACCTAGCTCAAAAGCTTTGCCTTCTTCCAAGATCTGTGCTAGTCAGTATCTGCGATGCTATTCCTCGACGGATCATCTGCGGAGCTCTTCATGCATACCTCTCCACAACCCTTGCAAGGGAACGGAACATCCTCCTGGTCCATGGGAGACTCCGGGGGGTATGATGTGGGGGACTCCATGGCGAGCTTGTCCTCGATTATACGTATTTGAGAGCGACTGCGGAGTGATTACTCCAAGACAACGAGACAGATGTGGTAGGTACGAATGAGGGAGACCGCTGCGCAACAAGAATCGGTCAAGCCAAGACTACCTATTATTCATCGACGTTTAAAGCGAGGGGGTCGGGTCCAGCCACGCATCCGACAAAGCTAGCGATTTCGCGATCGGAGCACAAAGATTGAACTCCTGGTGTAAACGACAGTTGAGCAGGAGCGTAGGACAGACGAGTGGGAAGAAGGGTTTCGCAGAGGGAAAGGACACGGGGTCCGCGCTTCAAGTGGACGGACGCAATTCGATTACCACGGCAAGGGAGCGGAAGAGTTTCTGGGTCCTAGCGAGCCTAGTAAAGTTAAAGAAAGGCCAGGATTAGTAGTCGATCTAAAACCAGCATAGTGAGCCGGGGGAATGGTGAGATAGGAAGCGAGAATGTCGAAGGCGAGTATGGGGGAGAGTCCGAGAACAGTGGACAGGAACAGGGGCCAGACTGAGGGAGGGAGCGAAAGTGAGGGGGGCCGAGTGCCTGGACTGGACCATACAGTAGACACCTGTCGATCGGACAGGGGGTCGTTGCAGATGGAGGGAGCGGAGGACGATATAGGATCTCAAGAGATGACCCTGGGAGAAAAGACGAGAAAGGATTGGAGAGATAGCGGAGGATTAATCAGATCAAGAAGATGAAGCTGAAGAGAGAGAGAGTTCTGAGAGCCGATTGAAACACACCAGCTGCTGCGAGTTGTTTCAGATAAACTCGGCGGACGGGAACGAACCCCTCGCCAACTCACTACTAACCACCTGCGTCAGAACCGATTACTGAGTGTCGGTGGAGTTGAAATGACAGATGAGAGGAAATCCAAATTATTAGGGATGGACAACAAGCTGGTTCATGAAACTATTGTATACAGACGACGCTGTGTTACGCAAGCCACATATTCCTGCCTCAGGCACTAAACTTTCCGAGACATCTTTCACTGGTGCAGGTGGTGGCCCTGGTGGGGAGTCTCCAATCGTGGACTCAATCTCCAACAACTTATCTTTGCATTGATATTCATCTTCTTGATATTATTATGTCCGTGAATCAGGCTAATTGCATGACAATCTACGGAGTACCCATGTCCCGCTTTCTGAAAACAGTGGATCCTTGAGCCACACACCAAGCAATTCAACTTGCGTCTCGGCCCTCGAAGACAGTTGGCTCTGTGTATTGAAATCATATTCAAGCCGAGTCTCGCAACTAGGTCCCCAGATAACCACCAGTCTAAGAGAGCATAAACGATCTTTTCGATCGCCTTATTTAAAACCCATCCACTTTCCGGCATAACTCCGACGACACCTACAGCATTCCATGGCTCCCTTTCATTGAACCTCGACTTATCTGCCCTTCGTTTCGGCTGTGCCAATCCGACCTCCTGTCCAAGAATCTGGCCCCCCCAAGGTCGTGTATAAAACTCCCCGCAATATCTCACTCAGTCTTCTCCAGTTTCGACGCCTTAGTGCCAAAGTCATAAGACACATTACCAGATCCACGTTAACAGGTCAAGTTCCGGACGCCTGTCCAAAGACTATGGATACATAGGGATAGCCAACATCAATTGGATGAGCAAAAGTTCTCTACAAAAGTTGTAGCAGCGGATCGAATTTAACAAAGGCCTCAGACAAGCGAGGGGTATCTTAGCCGTGGATAGCAGCAACGTTGAGTCCAACTGACAATGTGTTCTAGAGCCTTTCGTCACTTCTCTTCTTCAGCATCGCACCCTGTGCCACCGACCAAAGATAGGGCGACTGTCAGATTGTGAAGAAGACATAGGAAGATCTGTTTAGCATTCACCACCAGAAATCAACACCCACCGGAGATGCATTGCGGGAGTACCGCAGAGCTCCGGAAGAGCAAACAGACAGAGGATTAAAATGCTGGTAACCCAGCACCGCTACGTCTTATGTCTGGGACGGTACCATTATGGCGAAACTGGAACCAGGACGAACCCGACAACGTGATTGGTATTAGACCGATCTATATTAGAGGATGGCCTGCAAACCTTCTCCCCCTCAAACGTCTGGTTGGCACATCTCAAGAGAAGTTGATAGAGGCGCACCCGGATACTTTGACAAATCTCGTAGTCTCAGCTCCAATATCCCTTCAATTGATAGGAATACTTTCTCAGTATTTTGGTCATGGTTCGTTGTTCAACAGCCTATCCTATTCATCAGGCATACCCTAGCTGAGGCGAAATCAGATATCCTCCATGGTACGCTTCTAGGGCCATTGCATTGCAGTACTATAATATTGGCAGGCTCGCCGATTGGTAACGAAATATAGGAGGGACATCATGAAAGATGTCTAGAACGAGAAAAGGTCCGGGGGCCCTGGAGGGCTCTTTCGATCGAGATGTCTCTGCTTTCCAGGTCCGTACTCTTTCTCGAGGCAAACCTCGGTGAAAAGAGTACTCGATCCTATCGCGCGCATATATATCCCTTGCATATGTGCATCATGCAAGCCAAGTGCAGCATTCGTTGGCTTCCATGCACGTCGCAGGAGTCAGAGCTGCAGATGGAAATGGAAGTACGTGGCGATTTCCGGGTGGTAGCATGGATAGATCCAGGGACTGAAACCAAGAGAGGCCCACAATCTTGCTCGCGATCGAGGTCAATACGTCGTCTACTCTTGCCGAGTACTGCATCGATAGCAGAAGTTCCGATGGCAAGGCTCCGGGAATGAATTCCGCGGTAATGGACTCTATGCCACATGCCTAAGTTTGAACTTCGGCAAATGGTCTTGTGAATTCGGGATTCGGTCTCTTCCGCGGTTTATCGTGTTTCAGGCCCTCCTCATTATTAATAACCAGATTTGCTCTCGCAACCGAGATGGGTTGCTGTTAACGCTAAACTGGTGCAGTCTTGAGCCCTGTCCTGCCAAGTTATAGGCTCTACTCTACGGAGAACGAAGCATAAAAGACCGCGGAGCACAAGGCTGACCTAAAAAAGTATTTGCAGCATGGTGTGTACCCTAGCTTTAGAGATATAGCTAGCTACCCTCTATGTTTACGCACCCTTTGGATTATTGAACAAACGGCCACGGGGCACGTTGGGTCTCCCAACAGACAAATTACACTGGCAGGTATCAGAGGGAAATGACTCGGTTAACAAATCTAGAGTATGTCAAGCCCAATCTGGAGTCCATTTTCTTCTATTACCCACATAATCACCATAGTACTATTCCTTTGAAGCTGTCAAACTCGGCGGGAGACTGACATTTTGGGACAGTAATACTCACGGGCTATGGGAGACCTGGGAGACAAGAGGGGGAAAAGACGGACAGTCAATGAGAGTGAATGAGCACAATTTTGGTCGACTGTCAGCGATTCATTCCAAGGCGAATTCTACGCGTTCACTGCTGCCCCAATCATCCACCAACTCTCCTGCAACCAGGGGACGATAGAAATCGATTATAAGACAATCGGATCAAGGTCGACGTGCAATCTCTTTGAGTTGGCAATTTGGACACCAAACTAGCCTCAGGCTGGCAACTGCTCAGAAAGCCTCTGATGGGAAACCAGCACCTCTCCCGCCGCTTCTTCCTAACCTCCTGCAACCTTTTTTATCCGAGAGTCTAGCATGATCTGTTCATCGGACTCATCAGCAACATGTTAGACCAATTAGCACTTGAGATCTTGCACTCGATAGTAGGTGAGGTTTGTTTTCCTTCTCCAACTCTTTGCTATTCATTCCTCATTCTTCCAAGGTCAGTTGCATCAAAGACTTGGTCAGTCTCTCTATGGCCAGCAAGATTCTGCACCGGTACATGTTACAATTCCTCTCCAAGACAACTGTCATCAATACGGATGAATCGTACCTGGAGCGTCTGGAGATTCCTCAGGTGAAAACCTCCTTGGAACTGACCGTGAGAGGACAATTATCAGCATCCTTCCATATGTGAGACACCTACATTTCATGTCACAGATCAAGGAGAAGACCCGGAAGAGATGCTACACGGATGGGTACATTGCCCACCCACGCACTGAAAATCACTGGAAGAAAAATCGGGAGAGTCATTTTTCTTGTATCGGTTACATGGACATCAACATGCAATCCCAGCTTTTCCACTTCCCAATCCACTCTTTGGAAAGCTTCTCGTAAGCTCATTTATTGCCTTTCCTGTATATCTCTTTTCGATGCTCATGAGCTGCAGATGGAATATGGGATGCTGCATTCCTCCGTCGCTAAGTGGGGAGAATGATTGGCTTGCCTCGCGCCAGAGTCGCCTGAAAGCTTTATCACAGGTTTACGGATGGAACATGTTATGAGAATCGTCAAGACTTTGGCGGGCTTTGAGCCTTAGCCATCTGCAGTCATTCTCCTGGAGAGGCTTCGACGGAAAGGACCGGAGAACTAAAGCCGTCATAAGACAAATCTTGCGGTTGAATGCGGGACACTTAGGAGTCTTGGGGCTGGAACCGCTCTCTGATGACACTCTCTATTATAGCCTCGCAATCGCCGATGTAATAAGCCTAAGTGTGGATCATCCGTGCAATGAACTCATTAAGTTCTTCACGGCAGATACTCTACACCATGCTGGGGCGGTCGTTGTCAATTTTCCTTCATTGCGAGACCTTTCTCTTACTTGTCTCTAGGCCAATCATATGGAAAACTAGCCACTGTCATTTGTTTTGAGAAACTACGGTCTTTGGCACTACGCCATTGTGCTGGTGATCTACAGCTTCTCTCAAATCTTGCGACGTCAAGCCAGACTCTGAATCTCCGGTCGTTCAAAATAGTAGAGCACGGATTGTTAGGCCTTCGGCAGTGGGAGCGAAACAAGCATCCGAGCACACAATTCATGGATTCGTTTAAGGGCCTCGAAGAGATTTATATCTCAATTCGAGCCAACAGTATTCTCCCGTTCTCTAAAGCAAGCATTGATCACAGGTCGACTCTGAAGCGTCTTGTCCTCCACACACGTCTCGAGTACTTCGAAAGCTGGAACTTACCATTGGTTCCTGATGGTGTACTGGACTGTCTCGGAGTATCCGTTCCACCGGACCTTCTCGTATGGTATGCCTTGTTGCTCCTCTTCCTCTTCCTCTTCTCTTGTCTGCTATTTTACTGGGAATTGTTCTGACATACAGTTCGAGAGACGAACTTTGGAATCTGCTCAGCCCCTTGCAAAGCTTAGGCTTATCCATGCTCGGATACGCAGTGGATCTTATGACTCTTCTCGCGCCTTTTGCAAAGAGTTTGCCACTTCAGACGGTAGCTGCACATGCACCGAGCTTGATCAGATATGTCCTTGGGACGAAGTAACCTGCATGCACTGCTTGCGGAGCTTTGCACACTGGGCTTTCGAACCAACAGGCCTTCCTAACCTGTTAGTTATAGCGTTTGGTGACTTCTCCCATGACCGTCGCTTCAGTGGGTCACACATATGTGATTTTCGCGAGCTCACCCCCTCAACGAGACTATTTCACTTCACAGACCGAGGCATCCACGATCATGTACTCGACGGTATACAAGGGGCCCAGAGGATGCTAGGCGCTTGCCCGACACAGCCGATTCTCGAGTACTTCGACAGGAATCTTGATGATATCGACACAGAAGATTTAACAGACTGGACTGCCGAATTCGAGGTTGATTCCTCTCTTGAAGGTGTCAATATTGAGCCAAAAGAGCGCAATTCCGCAAATCATCCCTGAAACGGGACCGTAAATCGTCTTGTTCCAGAAGCTCTCTTTTACTTTGCGGCAACATTCCAAGATTAGAAAAACTGGATGTCTAACCCAGGGGGCCAGCAGCCACCGAAACTTTCTGCCGCTTGATAATTGATTTAGGCCATGAGGGCATCCTATTTTAGCGCAACGGTGCCTTGCCGCGTGGAAGCTTTCTATGCATGTATATTAAGTTTGCTCCTCTCCTAATATCCGAAACCGACAAAAGGACCTGGAGTGGACGATAGTACTCAGTGTTTGATTTGATTGGCTCAAACAGTCAATCTAAAAGTGGTCCGTGCAGCGACGCGAAAATCCGCGTCTCCCCCATTCCTGAGAAAGAGGCGTCAAGCAGAACAAAGCACAGCAGTTTCCCACCTTGGCAGTTGCCTCAGCTGGTGTTGTATCCGGATTCTCAGTTATCTCTGTATGAATTTGATATTGCTTGCCTCTAATTTAATGTCCAGTTTTCTCTCACCATATACTTCATCCCTTTTATTTGCCTACCACGCGACCTTTTTTTTTTTTAATTCAGCGTGGCTATAAACCAAGCCTCCTAAGATTCGGCATAAGCTTTCAGTTTCTCATGATCCAGAGAAATGATATCGAATCCTGGAACCCCGATCACCCCGGCCTTCTCGAACGCCGCGCGACAAGACTCGCATCCCTCCTCGCCCTTAACAGATGCTGATCAAGATGTGAGAATGACAACGGACAATGGCGCGAGCGGCGTTCGGGACAAGGAAGAGCAGTCGGCCGCGGCTGTAGAAGATGAGGAAGACATGGACGTCAAGGCAAAGGCATTAATGCATTTGTTGAATACCAGCGAGGTGTGTAACCCCTGCAAGTAAGCTCAATTTATTGCATGCCAGTCTCTGGCGGCTAATATCTCCCGTCGCTTAGGTCTTTGTCGCGATTATGGCCGAGAAGATGAAGAAGCAACAAGAAGAGGCCAAGCTTGAGGCCACGAGAAAGCAACAGCAAGAACAACAACAGAAGGATGATACCGGAGGAAGCAAGATAGCTTCTGCGACGACTGGAAAGAGAGAGACGCGGGCCAATGCAAGACACAAGGAAACAGCAGAGCGCACGGATGAGATCGGACAGAAGGATGAGCCGGCAACCAGGTCAAAGAGAGGGCGTGGCAGAAAGGCAGCACCCGCTGCCAAGGGCAGCACAATCTCCAGCTACTTCAAGAAGGCGGACGTGAATGTTGACGAGGCCAAAAATACCACTGTTCAAGAAGCTCTGGAGTATGCGGCGGATGAATTCGAGGCCAACCCTACCGTTCTTGGTGAGCAGGAGCTCGTCGCCACGCAACAACCCGCGCCTGTCACTGGAGGCAAGATGAGGAAATATCAGCTCGAAGGGTTAGAGTGGATGAAGTCCCTGTGGATGAACGGCTTGTGTGGTATTCTTGCGGACGAGATGGGCCTCGGAAAGACCGTTCAGGCAATTTCCCTGATTGCCTTCTTTAAGGAGCACAATGTTTCTGGGCCGTTCCTGATAGCAGCACCGCTGAGCACCGTAAGCAATTGGGTGGACGAGTTTGCCAGGTGGACACCTGGTATCAAGACGGTCTTATACCACGGCTCCAAAGACCAACGCGCGGAGCTGAGGAGAAAGTTTATGAGCATGAGAAACCAGAAGGATGCGGATTTTCCTGTGATCTGTACGTCTTACGAGATTTGCATGAATGATCGGAAATTTTTGGCGCAATACCAATGGCGCTATATCATTGTGGTACGTTGTACAGAGCCCCGATGGACAGTCAGGCAACTGTATGCTAATACTCACAGGATGAGGGTCACCGGTTAAAGAACATGAACTGTCGACTCATCAAGGAGTTGCTCTCCTATAATTCTGCGAACAGGCTCCTCATCACTGGTACTCCGCTACAGAATAACATTACTGAACTATGGTCTCTTTTACACTTCTTACTGCCCGAGATCTTCAATGATCTCAACAGCTTCCAGAATTGGTTCGATTTCTCATCCGTACTAGACAACAATGGTCAGACAGATATTATTGAACGTCGAAAGCGAACTCTGGTCTCCACGATGCACTCGATTCTGAAGCCGTTCCTTCTCCGACGCGTCAAGACTGATGTCGAAACTGCTCTCCCGAAGAAGCGGGAGTATATTCTCTACGCGCCCCTGACTGCCGAGCAAAAAGACCTCTATCGCGAGATTCTCAACGGGACTGGCCGCCAATACCTTGAAGGGAAGGCAACAGAACGGTTGATGGCTCAGAGCGGGACGTCATTACGATCAGCAAGCCGGAAGCGCAGTGCAGAGAGTAGTGGTGTTTCTACACCTAACAAGAGTCTCAGGTCTAGCCGTGATTCGACCCCTGGAAGTAGGGCTAGCTCTGTTCGTCGGCGAAGAGCGCCTCAGACCTACAAGGAGATTACTGACCGCGAGTTCAATGCGAAGCTGCGGAATCTGGAGCAGGGAATTGAGGAAGATTTGGATATTGAAAGTATCGATGAGTCGGAGCAAGAAGAGCTCGAAAGGGCAAACACTATCAAGCTTGCCAGTATGCTACGCATGCATCCCTTGTTATTCAGGTGCTTGTACTAACGTTGTCCTCATAGAGAGAGAAATCGCTCAGAAGAAGATGCAAAACCCCGTAATGCAAGCCCGACTAGCCTGCAACTCGCCACATAATTTCTACTGGCCCTGGGGAGACGACCCATCCGCCATCGACGAATCCCTCATCACAGCCTCAGGGAAAATGCTCCTTCTCGACCGCCTCATCCCGTCCCTCCTGAAAAAGGGCCACAAGATTCTCATCTTTTCCCAATTCAAGACCCAGCTCGATATCCTCCAAGATTGGGCCACCCACCTGCGCTCCTGGAACTGCTGCCGCATTGACGGCGCAATCAGCCAGGCAGACCGCCAGGCCCAGATCAAGGCCTTCAACGCGGACAAGGACTACAAGATATTCCTTTTATCCACCCGCGCTGGCGGACAAGGGATCAACCTCGTCGCCGCGGACACGGTTATCCTCTACGACTCCGATTGGAACCCACAGCAGGATCTCCAGGCGCAGGACCGAGCACACCGAATCGGACAGACGAAGCCCGTCATCGTTTACCGCCTCGCGACCAAGGGTACAGTTGAGCAAGCGCTTCTCGAAAAGGCAGACTCAAAACGCCGTCTTGAGCGTCTCGTCATCCAGAAGGGCAAGTTCAAGAGTCTCCTCAATGAGACGAGCCGAGACGACATTGACGAGCTGAAGATGGCTCTTGGTGAGGATGAGTTTGAGCTCTTTGAGGCCGGCGCGGATTCAGCTTCGATCCTCTCCGATGAGGATTTGCGGATTCTTACGGATCGCAGTGAGGAGGCGTATCTGCGCGCTGAGAAGGGTCTTGAGACTGCCGGGCGGGCGTTCAAGGCTGTCGAGACAAAGAGGGATGGCACAGGGCTTATGGAGCAGCTTACGGCGAAATAAGTGGCTCGATATCCTTGCGGAGTTTCGGTGGATTTGGCTCTTATGGGCGGAGTTTAGGGTTTTCTTTGCTTCCTCTGGTTGAGGCGTTGATCATTTATGGAAGTATGCGAATGTTATTTGAGCATGTAGGTTGCTTTGTAGTATATGGGCTGGCTAAATGAGGTGTACGCGATCTGGTGGTTGATTGACAAGTCTCTAAATGAGTCTTGAAGTACTATAGAACGACATAAATCAAGAACCAATATTAATTGATAAACGCCTGAGCTCCTCGCCGAAAGTGGCTATAAATATAAGCATACAAATCAGACCACCGAATTACAGACGGAAAAGAGAGTTAAAGAGGTTGGACTATCGGGACGATCGCTCATCTTCAATCTGACTCCGCAAGTCGGCAAGGTAGCTTTTTCGCTGGATGAGGTGACTCTTCAGTCCTTCGACCTGTTCACCAACTGCTCGGACATCCTCGCTCAGGCGCTCAATATCACCACCGGCCTTGGCCCTTCCGGTGCCCTCTCGCAATTCGCGCATCTCACGCTCCTTGTACTCCAGAAGCTGGAGCGCCTCTTTCTTGATGAGAACCCAGTTTGGCCGGCCATCGCCCCTTTGACCACCCCTCCGGCCTTCCGAAGCTTTTGTCGCCGACTGCAACTTGGCGTCCAGCTCTGCGAGTTCTCGTCGCAATCGGACCTTCTCCCATTCCTCATCCTGAATGGTCTCGCTAAAGTCCGTCCCCTTGGGAGTGTAAGTGGTTTTCCCGGCTACCCCGAGTCGACTCAAATAGGTATCGCCAAATTTAGCCTTGCGGCCCGATGCGGTTTCGGTATCCCCATTTGAGCCCCATTTCTGGGCCGGACGTGTGTTCTCAAGTTGGTAATCGATCTTGTTGCTTTCGAATGACGCGCGCAGGGAGGCGGGGATGGTGCGGGGAATGCGAAAGCCCTCGTGACGGTAGTTTAGGATATGAAGGAAGGCTAGAGTTGCGTCTTTGCTGATAGCGGAGGATGCAGATGGGTTCACCAAGTTCCAAGCAGAGCGGACGTCGGTATCCGGAACATCAAGCGATTCATATAGAGGCTGCAATGACTCGACTAGAAGATGAAATGCGGGTTAGCGCGCATTCAAAAAAAAAAAAAAAAAAAAAGGTCGAAATCAGGTTGATAAGACGCACAGGTAATATCACCGCGATGATTCTTGTTGGCGGCATATATCTCCTCATACTTGGACTTATCCGACGGGTTCATATACCAGTCAAAGCCGTCCTTCAAGCCGGGTGTGCTGTCCTCATCCTCTATGCGTTCAAATTGCTCCTGACCCCCACTCAGAGCGCGAGTGGCATGAACAAGGTGGGATTTAGATTCAGGAACGAGCCAGTCGGGTAGTGTATTGGGGACATTTTGTAGTTCCTATCGAAGAAGAGTCAATTCAGATAAGCATCCATGCACAATGACGACGACGAGGGTTGATGATGCCATACCCCGTTCACGATATCGAAGATCAATCGCATAGCAACACAGAATTCCTCAAAGTCTAACTCGCCGTCTCCGTCGAGATCTGCCAGATCCCAGACTTTCTCGAGTTGATCATCGCGGAGCCGGCTGTTCCTGAGCACGGAGGCGGCTTGGGAGTTGTTCAGGCGGGTCTGGCCGCCTGCGAGGGAAGAGAAAATCTCCCAGTATCGCTCAATTTCCCATTGCTCGATCTTTTTATTTGACATGATGCGCAATTCGATAGTTTTTCGTATTTGAGCACAGCAAAAATGGCAGCGTTTGAGGAGAACAGAAGTCAATGGGCGGCTGATGCGGAGATGTTGCTCCGTTTTGATAGTTGAGCTTCGGGCGTCCCGCAATTGGGGGTGGCTCACTCCCACGGGGGCCCTCGGATTAAGATAGATCCGTTGCTAGTATACAGCTCCAAAATATAAAGCAAACGCAAGAGCTTCGAGATTTCAGATTTCAGATTTCAGATATACTCAAAGTCATGATTGTCTATCCTTGTCGTTTGCCTAATCTACAATGCTGGTGTACACGGGATATCTACATAATCCCCAATTTCCCATGAATGTATGCTCTCTTGCTCACTGTTGCTTCTGCTCAGACGACTTCGCAGTGCCGTTTTGTTGCTTCGGCGAGTGGGGGGCCTTGAGGTGCTCTGAAACTTGAACGATGGCTCGCTCCGCTTCCAATGCAAGCCCTGGTGCATCAAGGATCGTCGCTAGCTTTTTCGCATCCTCCATGCGAAGCAGGATCTTATCATCGCTTTTCTCTACATCCTCCACCATCTCCGACACGGGATCATTTCGATCCGTCTCTTCCAATGTGCTCGAAACGCGCTTTGCATATAGCTTCACAAGCCCGGGATACGACACCGGTTTCAGCAGGTCCTTTTCGACCAGAAATTGCAAATGTTTGGAGCCGTTCAAAGCTTGCCCTTTGTCAGTAATCCGAACATGGGAAAGGGAGAGCGGAAAAACCAACCTCGCCAATGCGACCAGCCTCGGTAAACGAGGTAGAAGAAGGGAATATTGGGTATTCTGCAACAGGCATCATATATGCAATTAGCATATAGAAGCAGGAAGGCAGTAGAGTTCGCAGATATTGCACGGGAACATACACAGGGATTAGGGCAATCGGCGCCGTAAAGGGAGCAGCGATAAAACTCCACCACATTTTTCGACGATGCAAGTCCTGCCTCTCCGTCGCGAGTTTGCGTAGGATAGAAAGCACCTTTTCCTCCTTGATCGCATTGCCCGGAAACAAGACATCCACCTTTCTCGTTCCATGCAACTCGTCAATCCGGCGTTGTGCGCTCAGGGAAGGGATACTCTTGAGGCCCCATTCTTCATAGGGGATCCGCTGCTGCACTCGGTTCCCCCACAACACGAGGTGTTTCTTCCAGCCTTTGTCGGCCTCCTCCCATTTAGCCCATGTCTCCGCGGCCTTGTTCGTGACCCGATCTAGTATCGAGCGCTCTTTCGAAACATCCCCGCGAAGCAGTTTGGCATAAATCAACGCTCTCCTAGTCGAGATTGGGACCACAAATAACCTCATGGCAGCAGCGCAATCTCTCGTTCAAGGATTCGGAGGCGAGAACAGCCAAAGGAGCGCGCAGCTATCGATCGATGAGGGAAAGGAACCGATGGAAGTGACTTGCGGAAGGTATCATGCCTTTCTCCTTGCTTTTGATAGATGGAAATTGCCGCTTGTGATTTTTTTTTTTGGTTTCAGCTGAACAAAAATGATATTATTATGATGATTCTCGTCGAAAAGAATTATGGGTGATGAAGCTTCCTTGATTAATAACGTCATTCCGCAGCAATGCCTCGCCGTATCTAATTCACCAGCCACAGCCTGGAGAGGGTACATTACCGCTTACAGCTTAGCCGTGTCTGTCGATATCCGCCAGCATCCATGGGACTCTGAGAGACTTTCATTGCAAGGACCACAAACCCAACCTTCTCTTCGTTTCTCTCAGTTTTTTTTCTTCTTCGCTAGTCGCCTATTTTCTATCTCTTCCTCTCCGACTCAAGGGATCTACCTATCGCAGCGAGGTGGGCTCAGCTGCCGGACAGTTCTTTCGAGCCCCTTACCCTGAAGGGGATATGAGGCGATGCAGCTCGTTCCACTCCGGCAACTCCTGACAGCTCAGCCTCACCTCGCCTGGAACGGACGCTGAATCACAGGGCAATGGCCCAGGATGTGGGCGGAATTCGAGTCCAGCCTCCCGACTCCGGCCTCGCAAACGATCAGTTGATGGAGAAATCATCACCCGCAGAATGGACTCCGACACAAACTAGCAATCCGCTTAGCGGACAGACCGGCAATATTCCGCCTATGGACTCGATTCACCACGGTATAACTGATGGAACAACACGCGGCATAGCCGACGAAGTGGAGGAAAATGTTGGGCCCTGTCAAATATTGGGGGACAAGCCACGGACGCTGCCCGGTAAACTAAATATTTGATGACCACAAGGGACGTTTTGTTACTGATTCTACTCGCGTTTAGCCTGGATTCGGTCTTTTGAATACCCAGAGGATGATATCGAGGCCAACGCCACCTCCCGACTACTACCCGCCCAGCCCAACGATGCATTTGTCGCACAGCATAATCACTCGCCCTACTCAACGTCAAAGCCAGGTCCGGGGCCATCAACACGCGAGGGCAGCTGGGAAGAAGACAACATACCCCGAGAATCGCGCTGGAAAAGCTTTTCCAAAACCATTGCGTACCCTCGAGAACACGGCGTGGAGGAGAAGCTTGTAACACCGGAATGGCTGAACGAGAATCATGGCGATTACTCACAACCATGGCGAGGACAGCTTGACCCGGACGAAGACACGGAAGATCCGCTCAAGAAGAAAAGGCGTCGTGAAATATGGTTCAAGCGCTTCCACAACACCCTTCTGCAAAGCCCTATTGTCCCGCTGATCATTCGTCTGACGGTGTGGTCCTTTTCCCTCACTGCTTTAGCCCTTGGAGGGTCCATACAGCGCCTCTCTAAAGATTTCCCTCATCCTCAAGGTCCCTCGGCGTTGATGGCGATTATCATTGATGCTGTCGCCTTGGTCTACCTCATCTACATCACCTGGGATGAATACACATCCAAACCGCTGGGACTTCGTTCTCCATCTGCCAAAGCACGTCTCATCCTGTTGGATCTTTTCTTTATTGTTTTCGATTCAGCCAATTTGAGCCTGGCTTTTGAATCGCTCTCGAGTGCAGAGGGTGCGTGCACTGTTGCGGAGATCAATCAAACCCTGGCTCCAAAGAATGACGATATATGCGACCGGCAAATAGCCCTAGCCTCGGTCCTGTTGATTGCTCTCATAGCATGGCTTATTACCTTCTCCATAAGTGTTCTGAGGTAGGTCACCCCCTCCCCGACCCCCCACCACAGCCCACCCCACACGACAGTTTGATAAGCAGGATGCTAAATATAATTTATTGGACAGACTTGTCAAGCGGGTATCAACCAAGTAGTTCCTTAGCACGTTGAGCCAAGCAAGCCTTGCCTCCCTTCGGCTCTCATGCCGCCATTCTTTACTTGCTCTCTTGCTTTCTTCAGCTCTCTCTCTCTCTCTCGCGATATTATTCAGTATTTATGGCTGGAACCACATACTGGGTGCATACTTGATCTACTCACTATTTGCTTGTGTTACCCTGTCCCTCCTTTTGACTTATTCTCGCTTTTGCCTGATTACGGCCTTTTTCCCTTTTGATTACTGACTGTCGGTTGCTTTGGAAGGCTCCTGTGTTTCAGAGCACATCATTTTCGATCGAATACCCTATGGCTCTATATATAGATGGTAATGTAGCCTAATATATTCAAAAAAGTCGCTTCACACAAAGGCCATCAAAAACTGAATCTCAAACCTGTAATGCAGGCCCATCGCGCCCATACAGCGGGTCCCTCTGGAACCAGCCTAAAGTCGGAATATTCTGGCGTTTGGCTTCCTCTCCTGGTTCTCCATAGCACATATCCCAGGATTTGTTTACTGGATAAGCACCAACCATCTTAAACGATCCTCCGCTTTTGTCCGGCTCGGACAGGAGCCGGTGGCCCACGCCCGCCGGGACTATGATCAAATCGCCTTTTGCGACTGTAGGTTCAAATCGGTCAGGGTTTCCCTCTCCACCAAAGCAAAGTCGTGCGGAACCAGAAACGACACCGAGGACCTCGTGGCTAGTCGAGTGAAAGTGTGTTTGGCTGTACATGCTATACACCCAACTAGGAGAGACTTCTCCAACCTTTTCCAGATGCTCGCAAAGCTCATCGGCCGAGGCGTCGAAGGCCTGGTGGTATATCATGAGAGGCTTGGACTGGAGGGAGGTGTTTGGGATTCGCTCCCACTCGGGGATTTGACGGCAGGTAACTTTGATATCTGAATGTGGCTTGATAGGCATGACGGTAGATTCTTGTAGTGTATGAGTTTGGCGTTGTGTGCTGAAAACACCGATCTATGGCGGTGACATGATGAACGATTCTAGATGACGTCATTTCACAGTTTCTCATGCTAAATTCTTGGGGTTTTGGGTTGAGAGCCGCATCCTTCAAAGTGTACAGGATAACCGAGTCGCTGGTGGTTCATGCGCTCCACCATCCCTGAGCATAATAAAGCCAGTTAGATCTCGCCATGACTCAGGCGGACATCCCCGTATTCTCAAATTTTCCAGGCAACAAGTTCGTCCTGGAAAATGATACGTCTGGAGCCTGAGACCCAGGCGCTTAAGAGCCCCGAAACGACTGCGCCCCTCGCGGCTCCAAGCTACTAGTAGCCTCGTAAATCCACATAAACCAGACATTATCCCGTCTATTCTTTCGAGAAAACTCGAACTCGGGAGCCTTGGGAAGACAGAAAACCAACTGCCTGGAAAAGTGGTATAAACCGCCAGGCAATCACCACTTCCAGACTCACAGCCTAGATTCCGCTGACCGCCTGCCAGAAACACACACACAGCCTCCTCACCCCCACAGCCTTCCGCTCGCTCTCATCATCGCCCAACGCCACGCCTGCTCGCGTTTGTCTTTATCTCAATCACGCCTCATCTTCTTTTCTCGCAAAGTCCTGCTTCTGTCAGCGTTTTGAGCAACTGGCTCATTTGGGATTTCTTTCCAACGGTCGTTTCTTGCCATATTTTCTGGCGCAACAAAATTATATCATATTTACAGCTTTCGAGACCGCCCACCGCTCTAGCTGAGCAGCAGAGAGTATCTGTGAAGCATTTGGGTCGCGCCACCAAACCCGGGGACTCTATTTCACCCACCTCTATTCATTTCCGTAAGCCAAGAGCTTCGATGTGAATATATCTCAAGACTGACTCTTCCATCGCAGTCTAGTCCTGTGTTCTTGATAAGATGCCTCCTCTTATTCCTCAGCCACCCCATAAAGATGATTTGGGAGAAACGTAAGTGCCTACTTGCCTGTAAGTTGTTGGGTTAACTCACTAAAGCTGGTTATTCGCTATAGATGGGCGTTCCTGGAGAATGGCATCGACAACGTGATGGTAAAGCTGGAGGAGGGAGTGGATATGAAGACAGTATGTATTGAATGAGTTCTCATTCAGCGGCAGGATTTTGCTAACAGATGCTTTTTTCTCCATAGTACATGGGCCTTTACACGTACGTTGATGCTCCGACAACCCATTCTACCGTGAATAACATCTGAAACAGGGCGGTCCACAACTTTTGCACTTCGCACAAGGCGGTTACTGGCACAGCCATACAATCACAACGTGGTGGTGCGAAAACCCGACATCTCTTGAGTTGTATAGCATAAGCTGACCGCCACACTAGCGCATCTGCTCGGAGAAGAGCTCTATAAGAAGCTGGGAGAATATTTGTCGCGCTATCTCGAAAATGTCTACACACAATCAACAAGTCACGCCGAGGAAGCCCTTCTCGGATTCTATATGCGCGAGTGGGTTCGGTACACCACCGCTGCCAAGTATATCAACCACCTTTTCCGGTACCTCAATCGCCACTGGGTAAAGCGAGAAATCGATGAAGGGAAAAAGAACGTCTTTGATGTGTACACCCTGCACTTGGTCAAATGGAGGGACGACTTCTTTCAGAATGTGCATGAAAAGGTCATGGACGCTGTGTTGAACCTCGTTGAGAAGCAAAGAAACGGCGAGACGATCGAACAGTCGCAGATCAAGAGTATAGTCGATTCGTTTGTATCGCTTGGGCTGGACGACACGGATCCCACAAAATCAACCCTCGATGTCTACCGCTCATTCTTCGAGAAGCCTTTCCTTGCCGCTACTAGGACCTATTATGAAGAGGAATCGCGCCAGTTTGTTGCTGAAAACAGTGTCGTCGAGTACATGAAAAAGGCCGAGGCCCGTCTCGATGAAGAAAAGGCCCGTGTCGGACTATACCTGCACCCTGATATCGCCAAGCATCTCACCGAAACATGCTTGGATGTACTCGTTACTGCCCACTCGGAGCTCCTCCGTGACGAGTTCCAGCCGCTGCTCGACAATGAACGTCAGGACGACCTCGCTCGGATGTACCGACTGCTTTCAAGGATCAAAGATGGGCTGGACCCTCTTCGAACCAAGTTTGAAGCGCACGTACGAAAAGCAGGTTTAGCTGCAGTCGAGAAGGTGGCTGCGGAAGGCGAGTCTTTTGAACCAAAGATGTACGTTGATGCTTTGCTATCGGTACACACGAGATATCACAGCCTGGTCAAAGAAGCTTTTAACGGAGAGTCCGAGTTTGTCCGGTCGCTGGACAATGCTTGCCGTGAATTCGTGAACCGCAACAAAATCTGCAAGTCCGGATCTACAAAGACACCAGAACTGCTTGCCCGCTACACGGATTCACTTCTAAAGAAAGGGTCAAAGGCTGCAGAGGAATCGGAGTTGGAAGAAATGTTGGTCCAGATTATGACGGTCTTCAAGTACATCGAGGACAAGGATGTTTTCCAGAAATTCTACTCCAAGATGCTGGCGAAACGGCTGGTCCACGTGAGCTCCGTCTCTGATGACGCGGAGACCAGCATGATCAGCAAACTCAAGGAGGCCTGTGGTTTCGAGTACACCAACAAGTTGCAGAGAATGTTCCAAGACATTCAAATTTCGAAAGATCTCAATGCCAGCTACAAGGACTGGTTGGACAAGTCCTTTTTGGACGACGATGACCGAAAGAAGCTTGTGGACTCGCACTTTCAGATTCTGGGAACCGGGTTCTGGCCTCTGAACGCACCATCAACTGACTTCCTTGCGCCACCGGAAATCGTCAAGACCGCTGAGCGGTTCCAGAAATTCTATTTCGACAAACACAACGGCCGAAAGCTGACATGGCTGTGGCAACTGTGCAAGGGCGAAATCAAGGCCAATTATATCAAAAACACCAAGGTCCCCTACACTTTCCAAGTGTCGACGTACCAGATGGGGATTCTTTTGCTGTTCAACGAAAGCGACACTTTGACATATCCCGACATTCAAAAAGCCACCACTCTCACCCCCGAAATCCTTGATCCTAATTTGAGCATTTTCCTCAAGGCCAAAGTCCTTACCATCAGTCCCGAGGGATCCAAACCGGGCCCAGGGTCAACTTTCAATCTGAATTACAACTTCAAGAACAAGAAGATCAAGGTCAACCTCAATATTCAGATCAAATCAGAACAAAAGGTTGAGACGGACGACACGCATAAGACAATCGAGGAGGATCGCAAGCTCCTGCTCCAGGTATGGCTATATCCCGCATATTTGCTGAACCATAGACTAACACGATGAATAGTCTGCTATTGTTAGGATCATGAAGTCCCGGAAGAAGATGAAGCACGTGCAGCTTGTGCAGGAAGTGATCCACCAGGTCAAATCCCGCTTCCCTCCGCAAGTACCCGACATTAAGAAGAATATCGAAGCATTGATGGAGAAGGATTACATTGAGCGTCTGGACGGCGATGAAATCTCTTACATTGCATGATTGTCTCATTCAGCTTCAATATATTCATTCCACTTGCAGGCGTCTATCACGAGAACAAGGAATCCAGGCCTATTCATTGCATCGCATTTCACGTTACTTTGCTTCTTAATCTCCCTTTGTCCTCTTCCACTTGCTCTGATTATACCGATTCTCCCCCATTTGCGCCTAGACATGAAAGAAAAAATGACTTTACGCAATGATCCTGTAATGGTGTTGAAGGTATATGCCATAACCTAGTTAATCAACGTGCCTAATATCCCCTGTGCTCAAGACTTGACAGACGGAAAGCATCACATCTTACTTCGAACAACTGAGTGGCCATGTGCTTAATAAAAGAGACTGTGAGATGCATGCCTGGCCATCATGTATTCGCCTTGAAATGAGCAATGTACAGTAAAAGTGGTATCAAAAGAAGTAGATACATCCGCGATGATCTAAAAAGATTAAACGAACGCTAGTGTTTCCGATGAATATATGCAGCAGGTATGCATGGGCTTTATACAAACTTGGCAATCAACAGCATCATCGAAAGGTATAATTCAACTGTCGATGTTGATTCGAATGCTTATAGGCTTTATGACAAAGCCTCGTTGACAGTAGTCGAGTCCAGCGGCGATGACTTTTCTGGAAGTGTTTCCCGTACACCCTTAGGATTGGGCTCGGCAGTGGTAGATGCTGGCGATGGCTGTGGCTTTGCGTTCTCATCGTTGACGAGATTGAGATGGGGCTCCTTGCCGGGAGCGTCATTCTCCGCTTGAGACATCCCTTTCTTGGACTCGCCGTCGGACTGGGTGCTCGGGGCTTCCTGGGGAGTATTGTCCTCGATAACAGGCGCCTCCCGCGATAGAGGAGACTTTGGATACACCGATTCCTGGTCGTCCTGCTCACGGTTGATGGAGCTAAGATCCAAGCTTTCGCGTTTGAGGAAGATGTTACTCCATCGCTTTCTTCTGCTTCCACTGCGTGAAAGCGTAGACGAGTCTTCGCTGCGATGAGACTGCATTGAGCGCCGTCTACCTCGGTCCGAGTTGTCGTTTGCCTCTGTGGTGCTCGTCAAGGTCGGAGTTGACGGAGACGTTACAGCAGCACTTGGCGTTGGGGAGGGGGTGGTGGATTTCTTTTCCTGCCATTCCTTGCGCTTTTCGGTAGCCCATGAGCCCCAGGAGCTAAAGTAAGCGCCTGCCTTTTGACCGACCGCGCTGACGGAAGCCTGAGCCTGTGTCATGTCTACGGCGGGGACTGCTACTTTCCGGTTGGGGAACCAGGATGAAGACCCGCCGGCGGATGTTGTTGGAGAGGACTCTGAGGCTGAAACTGGGAGTGAGGCTGTCCTGTCCAGGGATGGCCGCGGTGACTGGTTTGCTTTTTCTTCGTTCCTCTTGCGCTGTGCCTCTCGCATGGATTCTATATCAGCCCAGAAGCTGTTGAACGCGGCGGTTACTCTCTTTTGCCCGGTGGAGATGTGCCTGTTTAGGGCTTCGCGACCTTCGCGGACTCGTTCATCGAGATGGAGGTCCGCAACCTGCTGCGAGATGCGTCTTTGGACATCGTCAATGGTAAGACCACCGGCAGAAGGATGTCGGGGTTCAGCGATGGAGAATAAAAGCGCATCAGAGGTCAGGCGCTGGAACAGAGCATAGTTGGAGGTGGTTCTCCATATTGCAAGAAACTCCTGGTTAAACTCTAGTGCTGGGTCGCCTTCGATATTATAGGCGTCTAATTGCGCCCGGCTGCGGCGACCCTGTTCACCGGTAAGGTAGGAGTTGAGTTCTTCGTGATACTTCATAGAGGAAAGTAGGGCCAAAAGGTACTCTTCAAATTGAAGCCTAATGAACTCTTCGGAGCCCACATAGCCGTGAGTCTTCGGCTGTTGGGGATGCGCTTCGTCCCATGTATCGTTGACTATCTGCGTGATGGCGTCAATCCAGCGCCGATCTGCCACAGAAAGTGACAGGGCATTCCGTAATGGAAGCGAGTTAATATTGATCGTATCTTCGTCAAGCTAGATGCGATACGTCAGCCTGCATCGAAAATCAATGGACGGTCTTCTACATTTATTAGAATATCGCTATAGCGATCTTTTTGCTGCAAGAGCAAAGAATTCGTAGACCCAACAACATATGATTTCGTTCCATCGTCCGCGAGCAGATCCAGCTGCTGAAGGGGTGTATACGGTCCGAACATGCTTCCCTAGAAGGTGTTAGAACAGCTCAAGACGAATCCCCCTTATAGATCGTCACCTACCTTTCCAAAAATCTGCAAGGGAAGTCCCATATAGGCCAATACTTTTCAAGATCAGTATGTTTTGCAAAATCGGGTCTTGGCCTCTGAAATCATACAGGAGCTCCTATCGCTTGTCTTGAGAGATGTCGGCTTCTCAACAGTTTGCGCGTAATCATCGAACGCCGGGTCGGCACAGTCTTGGAGATGGTTCATAAGTCCTGGAATGAGGGATACGAGCGAGAATTGAATCATGCACAGGCGCTCGCATCTTGAGCCGAAAAAGAGCATCTGATCGCCGCATTTGCATGAGTAAGAGAGGCGGCGCGCTTCGAGTGAAAATTACCTTGGGTTGCAAAAGTAGAGCTTTGAACAGTACAAGGGTCTGGAATTTGAACTCGTGGATCATCTCCCGTAAGGAAAGGCCTTGCTGTACGTCAGCACCATTCTGGCACGGTAGATGGAAGTAGGGTCTCACCCAGAGTCTGGTCTTTGAATACCTCATCCTTCTCCAGGCTGATAGTCAGACCTTCATGGAATTTCTAGACAGTCAGTAAGGCTATCCAGCTCAGACCATATCGAGAGCGCCAACCTTGAGAATGTCGAGGTCCGAAAAGTCCCTATATCCAATTCTTCGTCAGCCGGGTCTTCTGAAGGCAACTGCCTCCTTTCTTGGCTCGACTCTAGGTTTATTCTGCAACGAAGCCGAGACATAGACATACCGTTGTGCGAACCATGCCGAAGTGACAATAGACAACTTCTCCCTGAGTTGCCCAAGGCTCCTAGGCTTATCCGTGACAACGACAACCGCCTTCTGTACCGTCGACCTCGTCACGTCTGGCGACTTGTAAATGAGAGCTTTGGAGTCGATCTGTCTTGAACAAGCGATGCCAAAGAGCGAAGTCGGAGGTTCTGTGTCGGTCCCTTTGCGGCGCAGAGTAAAGTACGAGAATTCTTCGGTAGATCTGGTTGAGACCAGCCATATTAGCGAGTGTTTATCATGCGCAAGGGACAGCTTCGATGTCCATACAAGTGCGCTCCGTCCGAAAGCGCCATGAATGGTAATAAGGACCAGTCGTTCTCCGCTGCAGGGTCGGTCCCTTCTGGACCAATGCACAGTTCGATTTCGGGGCCCCTATATACACAGATGGAATTAGTACATGAGCTGATAATTGTGCCATTCCTTTCATTCGAAGCGCATCCCGACGTGTTTGCGGAGTTGCACCGAGAAAAAGACCCGAGTGTCAGGACGCGGAGATAGCCTGGACCCAAGTTCGTTTTCAGCGATGCCCCCCTTCCCAAACAGCCTGTTTAGAAGCTTCAGAGACCACTCACCTAGCATGGTGAAAGTCAATGACCATGACAATCGGGTCTTGTGGGACCCGATTGCGCGGCATTTCGTCAATCGAGACACGGAATGTTGGTCGGAAGTAGTGTTGAAGTGTGATACTCTTCCTAAGGCGGGGGAAGGTTCCCTCACAAAGACCAAATTAAGAAGACCAACCAAGAAGACGACTGCTCGAGTACGATAATCGACAACAATCAAAACACAAGAATGGGTGAGGGAATGAGGAAACGAAGTCGAGTCTGGGGTTGCGCAGGTTGGCTCCTTTTGGTGGGCGGTGGCAGACCTGCAAGATTATCGGCCCCGCGTTGTGGAGGAGATACTGTATGTAGTGTTTGCTATGTATATATCGTGTCAGATTTTGGAGATTATATAACAGCATCGCGCAAGCCACCTGAAATTTAAAGGGAAAAAAAAAAAGCCCTGTTACAGCGCTTCCAAGAAAAGGAACCTCAGTGACAATAGGCGTGTATAACTGAGAAGTCACAAAAGCAGAAGATAGTGAGGAAGATATATAGAGTGATTGAGTTGAAGATGTAGGAATAAGGAATAAACGTTCGTAGATATAACATAGCACAAGTCTCACGCCCAGTCTACATGCCAGGAAAAAAAGGAAAGGAGAATAAGCCCACAACATCGTGCTCGTACTGCTGCCTGCGCTGCATCCACGCGATTGAGCTTCATTGGAAGGTTTGCTGGCCGTCTGCGACACTTCCAACAAGGGCTGGGTTCACATCACCACCTTGGTCAATATTGTGGAAGTCCAGGATCTCAGAGTACCTGTAGCCAGAGTCAGTAAAGACGACGGAGGTTGAAGCTGAAAGAAGACAAGACTCACATCATGATCTTCCAGGTGTCCACGGGCAGGTCAGCATCATTAAACGACCAATCGAACTTCTCCTCCGCCTCCGGCTCATCAGTCGGATCATGGTACGGGGCAAGATATTCATGCGCAAGCGCTTGGTCAGCGCGAATTCGCTTCTTCGGGTCAAAGACGAGCATGCGCTCAAGGAGATCAACAGCTACATCCATTAGTTTCGATCTCGCCAACCAATCTGTAGGGCACATACCGTCCGCATCTGCATTTCTAAACTTGGTGGAGAGGGGTTGGCGCTCGCGCTTCGGTAGTGATTTGACGAACCGTAGAGTCTGTTGTAAAGTCGTGGTTAGCGAGCGTTTCACGTATCAAAAGTCTGGTTTTTTATGCATACATTCTCGCTGCAGATGGTCTGAATCACATCGTCTGGAGGCGTGCCAAGAAGCTCCGTAATGATGGAAAACTGGTTGACATGGTCCTTTCCGGGGAACAGAGGCTTTCCCTCTAGCATCTCGGCAAAGATACATGCGGCGCTCCAGATGTCCACCTCCACGTCGTATTTCTGCCACGTGAGCATGATTTCCGGCGCACGGTAATACCTAGTCGAAACATATCCTGTCATCTGGGGATCCTGGATACGGGCAAGTCCAAAGTCGCAAATCTTGAGATCGCAATTCTCATTGATGAGAATGTTACTGGGCTTCAGGTCACGGTGGACAACTCCAGCGGAGTGGACATATTTCAACCCCCGCTATATTGTATTAGTCGGGCTGCGATCGCGAAAGCGCCAAGGGTCTTGTTGGCACGCACCAGAATCTGGTATAAGAAATACTGGATAAACTGTTTCTCCAGTGGCCTGGAAGTAAGAAGTCTGTGCAGATCGGTGCCGAGAAGCTCTGTGACAAAGTAGCTGCAATAAGGAGTCAGCATGAATAGTTGAAGAGTGTGGGCAGCGGTGCGGCGTACATGTCCTCGAGAGGGGAAATGAAAATATCACTCAAGCTGATGATCTGCTCGCAATTAGCACTATAGCGATAAAGCGACACATTGAGTCATGCGCTGACTGACGTTCTCGTGCCGTAAATGTTTCAAAAGCTTCAGTTCGCGATATGTCCGCTTGGAAAGCACTGGGGTGCTGAAAGGCTTCATGATTTTCTTGACCGCAACCGGCTGTGCAGTCAATTGATCCCTCGCAGAGCTTTAATTATCAGGATGATGTATCAGCATGGAGTTTTTGGTAGCCAGAAAAAGCTATAGTGGGCGATGCGGCGACAGAGGGATGGAGGGGTTAAAGCCATACCAGACCAGTCCGAAAGCACCCATTCCCACGGGTTGCAAATCTGTGTACCTGCAAATTCATCATGTTACAATCGAGCTCTCTTTCTCCTCTCGCAAGAAAAGGGAAGCATACCGGCTGGTGATCTCAAAGGTCGTGCCAAAAATCTGGGCACGTACGAATTCGGCCATTTTGGATCAAGAGCGAGCGTGACACCGGCGCAATAAGGACCTCGGGTTTGTCGGCAAATGACTCTAGGACTTGACGGTCCTGCTGGCGGAGTCGATAGAGGATGGAATCAAAGAGCGGAGAGGAGTAAGAGCAAAAGGACAAGAGCAAGGTAAATGGAAGGAATTTGAGGATGCTGTTTTCTCGGAGGTGATGAAATGACGAGGGGAGCCAGAGCGGTGGTGGCGCGTCCAATGGATGATAATGTGTGGGGGGGGAACTTGGAAAGGACGTTCTCCCACCGAAGGAGTTTAGTCCGCAGCTATCAAGTTTCCGAAGAGAAACAGTAGAAGAAACCGATGACGTGCGCGACAAGAAAACAGACATTCGAGAAAGGGACAACAGCCCGTCTGCCAGCGCCAACAACTGGCGACTAAACCTGTCCGCGCAGCCTCCTTTCTAGATCTCGACACGCATTGGCCGGAAGATTTCTGCGGCTTGATTTGGTTGATCCAATAACCGCTGACTAACCGTTAGTTAACAAGCTGTTCATCCCTCAAACAGCCCTCCAGGGCTCACTCTGATGTTGCAGTTCTAGGCGTTGCTTTCTCTGAGTCGCTGGGGGTGAACCCCGCCGACAAAATAAAGAACTGATATTTCATTAATAACAGAGTATCCTACTACACAGTTTTCATGTACTTCAAGGTGCTTGCGAGCAGTTCCTTAGGTGCTGGGCGATCGGAATGCTGAAAGGTTCTAGTCCTCGAGGCGGGCGACGAGGCCTGCCGGTCAGGGAGGGGATTTCGCTGGGCTCCAGTGATGTCGTCATAGATCTCCGCAGTCCAGCCAGGACCCTCTTTTCAGGAATAATCACACTTTTCTTTAGGAGGATGACAGAAAGCACTGTTTATGATGTACTCTAGTACCTTAGTAGTTGGCAGAGGCGAAAAAAGAAAGAACCTTAAGGATCACATAAATAAGCATACGGTCTCCATCGTAGTATTAGCTTTCCTCCCCTGCAATCCAAGATTGTCCTGCCCATATGTATACCTCTCACCGCCCGATCTATTTCGTGTATAAGTACTCCGTATAGGGGGAATTTCATGGGACACAGCAGAGACCTAAAAATGCCGACGAGTTGGCCCTTGTGCTTCAAGGGTTCAATCAAAATTCAATCGGCGGTCTACCATTTGTGTCACGATCAGGCATAATTTAGCAGGTTCTCCCTCAGATTCGAATCACAGACCTTGTGTTACGATGGACTGAGCGCCCAGCATCTTCTGTTTATATCATGTTCAAGGGGAGTGCCTCGTAAGGTCCCGCCCGGCTCGGGGTCCGTTCCTAGTACTTGTCTTGTGTGTCTGCACAGCAGCTTACCCTGCCTACCACCGCTTCAAGGGAGACATAACCAAAGGCCTGATGGTGTAGCCGGCAGTCTCAACAGTTGTGAAGGCAGCAAGTGTGCCTACATGTTCTCCAGGATGCAGCATTAAGCCTGGGATGGGTGATGCTGCATATCGAGGTGCATAGAGTATGGTTAAACGATGAGGCAACGCCGGGGCCAAGTGTATAACCTTGACAGACAGCTACTTTAGGCAAGACTCTGCAAACGAATTGCTTTGCTTGCAGTTTGACTTTCAAGACCCCTTTGTCCATGCTGGAAACTGGTTCTTGGATTGACAAGCCGCAAGAGGATGATCTCGTGGGGAAGTGGTGCGAACTATGTTCTTCAGGACGATCCTGGGCAAACTCGAAAAGTTACCGAGTATCAACAAACAGTGGTCCTTTTGAATTGGAGGCGTAGCGTCTTGTTCTGGCTTCCTTTGGCGTCTTCGAGCCAAAGTAAAGAAAACTACATGAAGCAGCTGACTTACTATTGCGGCGAGATCTTATGGCGAGGGGAAGTTCCGAGACAACTTGCTTTCCCGGCAAGGCCCCACCCCCAGTAGTCAGTCGGGCGCAACACCATAGAGACCGAAGCCCAGTCTCATTGTGCTGCAAATCATTGAGCAGAACACCAGGATTGGCAATGCTGCGAGTCCTAGAGTGCGCTGGCTGGACGCCGTGAGGATGACACTGAGCGAGACACCTGATCAATATTTGCGGGACGAGAGGCACAAACAGATAGTTGTGTCTTATTCTCTTCTTGGCCTTGCAATGTCCTGAACGAGGCCATCATGTGACTTACTTACTTACATCACGTGCTTCTGCACAAGAAAGCTCAAGATTGAGTGAGTGCCAAAATGGAAGAAGTTGGTTGGTTCGACTTCAGACTTGGACTATTGAACTCATCGCAGTCAAAGGCAGATACATTAAACTGGCCATTATTACCCCAACGGCTCGTTTTCATCTCCCCAAGTTCGGGTGTGAAAATGCGAGTTGTCAAGTATAAGTTCGAGTACCGCTCCCCTATATATAGCACGCATCAATCGGCAGACAGAGTGTAGCGAAGAAAGGTAACTGCGCGGAGCAGCTATCAGAGTCTCGAAGGGCTTCGAGACCTTCAAAGCCTTTATTATTACTTATCTTGTCGTCTACTATGCTCTCGATGAATCGGTGTCTTCCCTGAGATCTATCTACGATGTAGCCGTCTTGCAAGTTCATTTGATAGCCCGGCCGTCTATTTGCGGCTAACTTTACCGGTCCACAATTCCCACATTTTGCCCCTACGATCGAGATGGATAATTATGGAGGAGCTGTGAACTTACCTTACTCCGGAGTAGTTACGCACAGGAGAGGATCCTCTGTTCAGCTCAACTCCACCCTCATGATGGAGATGGCCAAGATGACGAAAATGGACATGCACCACTCAGCCAAACTCTCGACACTGACACATCTTTAATAAGAAGAGCAACCTACAAACCGAGACTTTCCAGGGCCTAAAGGACGAACAAATAATAATAGCAATGCTGTAATCACAAGCGGACGACGTCAGGGCTCGCTCGTCCTGTCACCCGCTGCTAATTACCTGTCACCCACCTGGATTAGTTCCACACGTCCTCTCAGACAGTTAGACTTCCAATATCAGCCATAATTAATATCATGTCTCTCACACAACGTGTCAACAATAGAGCCTAATTAATTGTTTAGAATTACTTGCATATCCCCCGTGGTGTCTCGTTGCCTGGGTCTCAAAACGGTGTCAAACCTCTCCAGTTGCTGCTGCTTACATTATCTGACTATTCTTTGGAGATCCGCGCCCCCATCCAACTCTCCCACATCATCCCCGATCGACTCTGCTACCCTTTTTAGCGTCCGCTCGTCGCTCTCTCACGTCTTTGCTCCGCAGTTTCTATCCTGTCGCCCCTCACTCCAATCGGTTCTCCCAAGCGAGACGTATCTTGTCTAGTCGGACTCTGCTGCTTACAACTCCTCTTCGTCGTCGACCCGTCTCCCTAGTTTCGATCAACCGCGCCACAACCCGTCATCTCCGTACCCGGAAGCCTGCAGTCATTGCTCAGGCCTTTTGCCCGATCCCTCATCTTCCCCGTGGTCCTCTTCCTGACTTCTACTCCCTGGTCTCGGTCCCTCGTCGGCCATCGTCAAATAACTGCGAAGCTATCATTACTCCAGACCAGTCGCTCTTTGCCCCTCCATCGCGCCGACACTCGCTCTCATAGCTTATAGGGGCGATCCATCGCCCAAGAACTTCCCTGCGGGAGCCTTGCGGTTCTGCTCTTGTTCGCCGCTTTACTCGATAACCTAGCAACGGCGACAAGCTGAAAATGGGTTCCTGTTTTAGCTCGGAGTCTACAGGGGATGCGGAGCAAAAGAAGAGAAGCCAGGCAATCGACCGAAAACTAGAAGAGGACTCTAGGCGATTACGGCGAGAATGCAAGATTTTGCTACTCGGTATGCTGCTACTGCTGCTACTGCGTTCCTGTCTACAGGCGCCTGTAGGCCCTTTCCAGGTTTTGAGCTAACGAGTTGCGCGCTGCTTAGGTTCCGGAGAAAGTGGGAAATCGACGATTGTCAAACAAATGAAGATCATTCATCAGAACGGATACACTGTCGAGGAGCTGGCTCTATATCGTTTGACAGTATACAAGAATCTCCTCGAATGCGCAAAGGCCCTCATTGGCGCCTACCATCAATTCTCTCTGGAGCCTTCAAGCCAAAAAGTCCGCGACTATATCGAATTCCTCACCGACTACAACATCGATCCGGATCCTAATATACCCTTGGATCCCTCGGTTGGAGATGCGATAACATACATCTGGAATGACCCATGCACATCAACAGCATTAGAACGGCAAAATGAGTTCTATCTGATGGATTCGGCGCCTTAGTAAGGAACTCGCGATTACGAGTCAGCAAGCATTATACTAAATAAGGTCATAGTTTTTTCGAGGAGGCCAAGCGCATAACAGCACCGGATTATATACCAAACGTTAATGATGTGCTGCGCGCAAGAACCAAGACAACGGGTATCTACGAGACGCGTTTCACCATGGGACAGCTGAGCATTCAGTACGATTTCTTTCTTACAAATGTTCAACTCTTTCTCTGACCACGGTAATAGCATGTTCGATGTTGGCGGCCAGCGCAGCGAGCGGAAAAAATGGATACATTGTTTCGAAAATGTCACGTCCATCATCTTCTGCGTGGCTCTAAGCGAATACGACCAAGTGCTGCTAGAGGAAGGGAACCAGGTACGTCACCCACATTCGTATCTCTGCCTCAAACTGACTCAGTACTGGTAGAACCGAATGATGGAGAGTTTGGTACTATTTGATTCTGTGGTAAATTCTAGGTGGTTCATGCGAACAAGTATAATCCTCTTCTTGAACAAAGTGGACCTCTTTCGACAGAAGCTACCGCGCTCGCCATTGCACAATTACTTCCCAGACTATTCAGGTGGCAATGATGTGAATCGAGCCGCAAAGTATCTCCTTTGGCGGTTCAATCAGGTCAACAGAGCACATCTAAACCTATATCCCCAGTAAGGAATATCCTCACTAAGTGATTCAAGTGCTTGTCCTAATATCTGACGCTTTAAAAGCCTGACACAAGCCACCGACACCACGAATATTCGTTTAGTATTCGCCGCAGTGAAAGAGACTATCCTACAGAATGCCCTGAAAGACTCAGGAATTCTATGAACAACTGAATAATTGGTTGACGGGCAGGCCCGGGCTTCCATACGACTAAACATACCCGACACAAACCTGTTCCTGACCGTTGGCCTCCATTCAGCCTCTTCGTTTGATGGCTTTTTGACTTTCGCTTCCCATTATCTTTCCTACCTGCTTTATTCCCCTTCTCACGTGTATTCTTGGCGGAGAGTTTTTGGCGTACCGGCATGCAAATTGCGTTCTTCAATCAACCGTCTTCTTTTTTTTTTTTTTTGTTCTCGGCGCTGGGTTGGAATTTCATTGACTGGCAATTCTAGCATGGTGTTTATTTTTTATATTTTTGATTTTGCTCACCTTCCCACCAATTCTCACATATTTCTCATACCCTGACTGGGCAGACGCTTGCTTAATGCTGTTTGTCAGTATCACTTATTGATTGACATTATTTTCTATCCGGGTTCCCCTTTCTTCGACCTATCAAGTCTCAATTGTTTTTGGGATACATGAGCCTATTATTTTGATTCTGAAAAGTTGCAGATCCCAACGCATATTTTGCCTATATCTATCATGCGTGCGGGGCTTCTGATATCCTTGTCTCATGTGCCCTGAGATTCAATTTCCCTATTGGTTTGGCTTTTTATCAGCTCTACCTTGCGTTGTCAGTGTCCCTGTATCGTGCCGCGCTCGGCACACGAATTGCTATGGATATAGGTTGAAATTCCTACAGTACGGCAATTATACATACCCTTCATGCCAATAATATGACCATCTGCGTCGGAGAGCAGTAATCTGTTCTAGTGCCAGCCTCAATGCCTAAATTGAGCCCGTTCCGCTTGCGCGACTCGGAAATGGAATGACATATTTCTCGGCTTGTTGTGTCAGAATTTATCAACTTACAATACCCTTGGCTGCGGATATTCTTGTCCAGTCGGATTGGAGAGAGGGGTTTGAGATCGAACCATATAGTTACTAGTCGTTGGCCGGGTACCGTGAGATTAGTAACAACGCATATAGGGTGGTTGCGTCATAGAGAGGGGCATCAATACCAACTGTCCTTCTCTGGTTCGTATAGCACGATTAGCACCCTGGTACTCAGAGCTGTTTAAAGATAACGCAGCTAGTATCCGAATGATCCGTAGTAAACCCACATCTCTTTGGGCACCTGACAGCTGACGGCTGATCCTCCACAGTGGAGCAAAAGTCTAGACCCCCAGTTAGCTCCTCGAGCCTTTGCAAAAGCAAGTCTGGATTGTAGTCTTCTCTGAGAGATTATCGAGTTGCGCTGCAGCCCAAGTCCCCGTGCTGAGGTGCTGCCATGCTTTGATCCCAGCATCCTCGTCACGGGGTACAAAGACCAGGCCATAGCTCCTCCTCCTTCCCATCCGTCTCAACTCTCTCCTCATCGCCACCCCTCTTATTTACTCGTCTCTTTGCTCTGTCTCAGCCCCTCAGTTCCTCTGGAGTCCTTTGCCGCAATTGTGTTGCTTAGTGGTCTTACCACACCAAACCTTTGCGTCGAATTCCTTTGCCTGTTACGATCCTAGCGTCAGCGATCGGCTAATCCACCAATCCCCCAATTGTAGTGCACTACTGCTCAGCTGCCGCTATCATGCCTGAGAGTCGCCATGAAAGGAGGCCCTCCGTAGGTGCCCCGGTCTCGAGCCTCCAAGGCCCAATTGGTCCGGGGTTCAGCCGTCCGAAACACAAGCGTAACTACACTGGTTTTGGGAGAGCCGAGATCAAGAGTGTCGAAGCCAGTATTCCTGAAGCGTTGAGGGAGGCGTAAGTGGCCCTTCTTCCTTTTCCTCCCGTGGTGGACACAAAAGCTTCGTTGGTGAGCTAACATATTTTGTCCATTTAGATGGAAGAAGCATGTAAGAATGAGTGCAACAAACAGGATCGAGACTTGCGGGCGAAACTAATCCAGTATAGTCTGCCTATGGTTTCACAAACAAAGATGAGTTTGAAGTATATTCTATATCTTCCCTCAAGCTTGTAGACGTTTCGCTGATGACAGTAGCACGAATTGGTGCGACATGTCGAAACCACACTAGCTCGATCGCTGTACAACTGTGATGAATTGTATGTCTACTCTTCTTAAAGCGGTTTTGCAGTCTTGACCAGACCTTAGGGCTGCATACTCTGGGACCGCTCTGGCATTTCGAGACCGTTTGATCATTGAATGGAACAAAACCCAGCAGAGACAGACTCTCAACGACCAGAAAAGGGTCTATTGTATGTCTGGAGCGGTTGGAGATTTCGACTTATGGAACTGATCATATTACCAGATCTTTCTCTCGAATTCCTCATGGGCAGAGCTTTGGATAACGCAATGCTCAACGTAGGCATGAAAGATGTTGCGCGAGGTGTGCCAAAGTCCATTTCCTATGAAGATAATCGCTGATCTCCGCTCAAGATGGTCTAAATGACCTAGGCTTTCGCGTTGAAGATGTCATCAACCAGGAGCATGACGCCGCTCTCGGTAACGGCGGTCTAGGACGCCTAGCCGCTTGCCTCCTTGACAGCCTTGCAACCCTCAACTACCCTGCCTGGGGCTATGGGCTGCGTTACCGTTATGGAATATTCAAACAGGAGATCGTGGACGGTTACCAGGTTGAGATTCCCGATTATTGGTTGGATTTCAACCCCTGGGAGTTTCCCCGCCACGAGATCACGGTCAACATTCAATTCTACGGCTGGGTAAAGTCGTATGAGGATGTAAATGGCAAGACCGTCCACTCCTGGCAGGATGGTGAGACCGTGCAGGCTGTAGCCTATGACGTTCCAGTTCCAGGTTACGGTACTCGAACGACAAACAATCTCCGCCTCTGGTCGAGCAAAGCCGCAAGTGGTGAGTTTGATTTCCAGAAATTCAATGCCGGCGAATATGAAAGTGCAGTGGCAGACCAGCAGCGCGCGGAAACCATTTCGGCGGTTCTCTACCCCAATGACAATTTGGACAGAGGCAAAGAGCTACGGTTAAAGCAGCAATACTTTTGGTGCGCTGCCTCTCTGTTTGACATTGTGAGGCGGTTCAAAAAGACAAACCGAGCATGGAGCGAGTTCCCGGACCAGGTTGCCATTCAGCTCAATGACACCCACCCAACACTGGCGATTGTCGAACTTCAGCGTATCCTCATTGACCAGGAAGGGTTGGAATGGGACGAGGCCTGGAATATCGTCACCAACACATTTGGATATACCAATCACACTGTTTTACCAGAGGCACTGGAGAAGTGGTCGGTTCCTCTGATGCAAAACCTCCTCCCGCGGCATATGCAAATCATCTTTGATATCAATCTCTACTTCCTGCAGACGGTTGAGAAGAAACTTCCCAAGGATAGAGATATACTTTCGCGAGTGTCCATCATCGAGGAGTCCCATCCCAAGATGGTCCGAATGGCTCATATTGCAGTCATTGGCTCCCACAAAGTCAACGGTGTGGCAGAACTACATTCGGATCTGATCCAGACTACCATCTTTAGAGATTTTGTAACGATATATGGCCCTGACAAGTTCACCAACGTCACCAACGGCGTCACTCCTCGCCGCTGGCTTCACCAAGCCAACCCTAGATTATCCGATCTGATTGCCTCCAAGATTGGAGGCTACGATTTTCTCACAGACTTGACTTTGTTAGATCAGCTTGAGCGCTACGCAGATGACAAAGAGTTTCAACAGGAATGGGCCGAAATCAAAACGTCTAACAAGCTTCGCCTTGCCAAACACATCAAGGAGGCCACGGGCTATAGTGTGAACCCAAATTCGCTCTTTGACGTCCAAGTTAAGCGCATCCACGAGTATAAGCGCCAGCAACTTAACATATTCGGCGTCATCCACCGGTATCTCAAGATCAAGTCCCTATCCGCCAAGGAGAGAAAGAATGTCCAGCCGCGAGTGTCCATCTTTGGAGGCAAAGCAGCGCCAGGTTACTGGATGGCCAAGACAATCATCCACCTCATCAACGAAGTATCGTCCGTTGTTAACAATGACAAGGATGTAGGCGACCTACTCAAAGTCATCTTTGTGGAGGACTACAACGTTAGCAAGGCAGAGATCATCTGCCCCGCGTCTGATATCAGCGAACACATCTCCACCGCTGGCACAGAGGCAAGTGGGACTAGCAACATGAAGTTTGTCCTCAATGGAGGCCTCATTATTGGCACCTGTGATGGAGCAAACGTACGCTTGACTATCCCCTTGACCATGGTTTATCAACGCTAATAATGCAATAGATCGAGATAACCCGCGAGATCGGCGAACAAAACATCTTTCTCTTCGGTAACCTTGCCGAAGATGTCGAAGAGATCCGGCACAAACACTTCTACGGCGGCTTCAAATTAGACCCTGACCTGGCCCGCGTCTTTGACGCCATCCGCGCTGGCACATTCGGGGATCCGTCCCACTTTTCTGCGCTGCTTGCCTCCATTGCCGAGCATGGGGACTATTACCTTGTCTCAGATGACTTTAGTTCATACATTGCGACCCAGGATATAATCGACAAGGCCTTCAAAGACCAGCATGAGTGGATCTCAAAGAGCATCACCAGTGTTGCAAGGATGGGGTTCTTCTCAACCGATCGAGTGATCAATGAGTATGCGGATAGCATCTGGAACGTGGAGCCACTGGCTGTAACAGACTGAGGCGTTGTTGATGCATGTTGTCGACGAACCCATGTTCTGTGGATTTGTGTGTCAGTCACAGCTCAAGCTATTATGTGAGTGAAGTTGTCCTTGTTTGTTTTATAGGGTTATGTTGCCTAGGTAATACACATCTACCATACTATTCTTCACATATCTGCATGGCATAGGCTACAGCATATCATTAGCTATCAAGATCAAAAGACCCTGTGCGTAGCCTAGGATTGTGTTATATGCTGTTGTGTCCTTCCCAGCCTCTGTGCCGCACACCAAGCGGCCGTCACGTCTAGTAGGGCAGTGCGAAGACTGCGAGGAATGACGACTGGGTATGCGATCTTTTGAGGGGTTGAGTTTGTTGATGCATTTGCTAATTAGTTCGTACGCTTCTAATACCCAACACCCATGCCACAGATATCTCGCTATAAATTCTAAAGGTACACATTACCCAACCGCATATGGGTATACTGCGATTCTATGCAGATGTCAATTCCGCCATGCGCTTCTGCAGTTCAGGAACAGCTCGGAGATGGAGGTCAAGCTCTTCCTTTTCACTATTGAAAGATATGTTAGTACTATCCAGAAAGAAGAAAAAAAACTGGGAAGCGGGGCGCGCATACTCTTCCAACTTCATTCTCTTCTCCCAGTCCAGCCCGGTGAAGATGTATCCGCCCTGTCCGTCGAACTGGAGGATCATCTTGTGGTATTTCCATAGACTTCGTCGATGTGAGACGGTCATTAGCGTTGTGCCTAGTTTTTTCGCGGTCTCGTACATGACGCGTTCGATCTCAAGCGTCACAGAGGACGTGCACTCATCCAGAATAGCGAACTTTGGCCGGTGGTAGAAGAGCCTGGCCATTGCTATCCGCTGTTGGAGACCGATGGAGAGGACGTCTCGCCATTCCTCTTCTGCGTCCCAGCCGCCTGGCCGGTTTACAACCGAGGCAATCTCGACGATAGAAAGGATTTCGTATAAGTCTTCGTCGGTAACTCCCTTGGCGCGCATTTCCCGGACCCCATCGGGGTATATTACTTGCTGACGCAAGCTTCCGCGGGAGAGATAGGGCCGTTGGGGAATGTAAAAGATCTCATCGAAGCGAGGCTTCTTCACACGGCCGCCGTATACGGGCCATAGGCCACCCAAAATTCTGAACAATGAGGATTTACCACAGCCGTTGGGGCCAACAATAAGCAAGTGGTCACCGGGGTGTACGGTGAACGTCAGTTTTCGGACGAGGACATCTCCATTGGGCGAGACAATGGGGACATCGGTAAACTCGATCGCATCGCTTTCCTCAATGACTCCACGGCCGGACAAAACGGCAGCGTTTTCCTCTGTCGAAGCTGAAGAGACCAACTTCTTCTCGAAACGCCCCGCCAATAAGTCATCCATAACGTCTAATAGAGATGAGACACGAGACGTATAGCCCGCTAGTTCCGAGATCTCCTTGTAAGAGAACATTAGACGGCCAAAAGCATCTGAAGACGAAAGCAGCATCCTCCTATTCGTCACGAAGCCTATTTTTCAAAGTCAGTTCTAAATCAAGCCCTGACACCGTACAAGGCGCACTCACTTTCCGTTCGGTCACCCATGGTTTGGGTGACTTGACCGGGTATTCTGAAAAACACCGGCACACTGCACAAAATCAACCCCAAAGCACCCCAGAAATATTTGATGACAAAGTCCTCCATGAATCCGTGGTATAAGCGTCTCCGTAAAATGCGATTCACATGCTTGATTAGTGTAAAATAGCCTTTATCCAGCGTGTCCTTCTCCGCCTCATGGCCGTGATACAGGGCGATCTCCTCGCTATAGTCGATTAACCTCGAATGAAGGAACCTAAACTCTCCTTCCAGTCGGGCCTCATCTGCGACGTATTTGCCGAATGGTGGCGTCAATGCGCGCATGACATTAGCAGATAATTGAACCAAAAGGCTCATTATGAACAGGCCTTCTCCACCAACGCTCTTTGACAGGGAGTAGTTGTATATAACCATGTCTAGGATCGGTTTAGCAAGGTTGGAATATAGCTCTGCAAGGCTGTCGGAGAAGCGAGAAACATCCACGGTGATGAGCTGGTCGGGATTCTTGACCCGGTCGTCCAGGGCGGAGATTGCATAGAAGGTCATATTCGACAGATACTTTTCGTGAATGTGATCGGTAAGACGCTTCCGGTAGCTAAGTGCGAGCTTGCATTGGTGATAGGACAGCTATTGCAGAACCAGGTCACGTTAGTCAATCAACACCGTTGGAAATAATTCCACAAGTGGTCTAAGGTACTCACCATAGAATTCGTAAATGTTGCAGGCACTGCAACAATCATCCACCACACCAACCCTAGCAAGAAGTCCTTTCCTTTTCCGCGAACCAAGTTACTGACGAGTCGCCCATCTAGCTCGGCCACATACAGACTGAGCAACGTCCGCAGAACCAGAAAAACACTATGACTGACGAGTAGTCGTAGTTCCTTGCTCCGCCAACTCGGTATCACGATCTTCAACAGTCGGGAAAGATTTCTGAAAAATTCGCGATTTACCCCGACCTTCTTTCGTGGTTTGTCGGGGCCGTCCCCTAGACTGCTTGTCCCTGGTTTCCTCCGCAAGTCCACCTGGTGCTGGGAGGCCGCTTTTTGCTCGGAGATGGCATTATGGATGCGCTTTGCGAGGGCCGCAAAGAGAGCTAGGTAGACTGTGCGCGAGATGTTGGTACGATGACGGAGATATACTGATGCCAGACTAGAGAAGAGCTGCCGCACAGAGCGTTCGGGCGGGAGCAGCTTCGATTGCGCAGCCATAGCGACAGAAACGGCCGCTCGCAGGAGGGACAAAAGTGAGTTTATCCAGAGTCAACGTAAGCCAACATGTCCGTTGATGATCCTGGTCTGACGGAATGAGGGCGGAGGTTTGGTGTAAACGAGACGTTGAAAGTCAACGACAGCGACCACGCGGACAGCGGAATTGGCATGTGATTCTTCCCCAACTTGCGGTTTCTGGGGAACCGAGGATGCATGACTAAGGTCGAAGTCGCCCACTCCGCGCTACAATGATGTCACTTATCAGAAAACCAGCACGACTGGACATTTTATTCGGTACCCAATCTTTTGCATTTGATCAAAGATTAAGCAAGCGCCATCATTCCCATGGCATACAACATACACACTGTACGCGTACAATGACAACACGGTAGAGGTACAAGAGATGAAGCAACAAGAGTAAGCACAAAATGGCAATTACGTACACGCTAATTGTCACAAACGAAGCGAAAGACATGTACCGAGTGGGTATAGTATAGAGAATTAACAGTGCACTGAGCATCGAGAGTTAATGCAAGTATAGATGTCGACAAAGAGGATTGTCGGCTTATGGTGCCGATGGCGGCTCAGAACCAGAATTGTGTGCTCTGGTCATCTTGCTGTCCGACATCGAGGGCGTCCTTCTGCCACTATTGATCTGTGCCGCGATTTGACTTTGCTTGAACCGTTCAAAGGCTTCCGAGTCCTGTTTTTGAATCGCCCACAGTTCCTCAACCGTTGAGCCCAGTTCATGGAAAGCCTTGTCTGCTCCTACACTTTCAAAGTGGGAGCGCGTTTGTGCCTCGTGCAGGCGATCTAGTCTCTCACGCAGAGCTGCGATATAAGACTCGTCCACCGTGTTCATCGAATCTCCTTGATTTTGATCCAGAGGGTGCAAGAAGTCACGGCGAATGTTTTGACCGAGGCGATGGACATGGCCTTCTTCAGAGGTCATTGCGCGTGAGTGCAGTGAGGTAATAGAACTAGCCCGCGACAGTCGGATAGCATAATGGTCACCCTCCTCATCATCGACTGCGATGTCGTTATCGTGGTTGTTAATACCTGTTGACTGGGCATTGGTGAAACTGCTAGCAAGATGGTCATCGTCCCCGGAGTTTTGCGAGCTAGTTTCTTGGTTGAGGTTGATAGGTTGAGGTTGGATGATTCGGGTTTCAGGGTATTCATCCTCAAAACGCTGAATCATTTTCTGCAATGTGAAATCAAGGAATTGAAGACGTCCTAAAGAGACTTATTAGTATTACACAGATGGTAAAGTTGGAAGACATACTGTAATTGGCATCGTTGCCAGCACGATCCTCGCGCACAAGAGCAGACTCGATTCTCGTACGTATATTCCGAGCTGATTCCAAAAGATTCTTGGACATATCACGTGGTCGTTTGGCCGTATAAGACCTAGATTTGCGATGCCTAGGCGTCGTTGTGCCACTAGGAGGACCGGACGCGTCCCCAGGGATATGCTGGTCAAGGTTACCGAGACATACCCCAAGAGCTTTGACGACGCCAGTGCCACCTATGACGTAGTCCTCGTCAGGAGCAGGATCGCCATCTTCTTCACCTCCTTCTTCAGCTGCACCATGGCCGACGATATGCTGAAGAATGTCAGGAATCGGTACGGCTGTCCGTGGCAGGGACGGGTCCAGGTTCTCCGAGAGCTCTGCCTCGAGAGCGCCTCCCTCGAGGTTATGGAGACAATAAGCCACAATCTGAGACGCCAGGGCTTTGACAACTTCATTGTTTTCAGCGCTCGGGTCTTCAATGTCCACTGCAATGATTGTCCGTGAGACACGCACTGCAGCCAGCAGGGATGCATAAACAGCGCACGCTTCCTCCTGCGTTTCTGGATCCTTTGCGGAAGCAAGGGCGATGAGCGCCGGGTTCTCTAGTATATTCAAATGACTCAAACTCGGACATTCCGGTAGAATCTCGGCGAGTGCAATCATATGTTCAGAAGAAAGATTCACATCAGCCAGATGAATGCGCTTCAGGAAAGGCAGTTTCGGAAGGAAACGCCTAAAGGTTGACAACGCGTCTGGTTGTGTCGAGAACAACGCTGGGTTATGCGAGACATCGATAAAGCGAAGGTCAGGCAGGCGCGTAAACGCTTGGAGCAGTGGATATAGGGTAGAGGGAGTCAGAGAGCAATCCGCCAGACTGAGTGCGCAGAGCGGAAGGTCACCCTCAATAGCATCGGTCATCAAGTCCAAATCGGCTCCAATGGGGTTTCCACCAAGATCCAAGCCCTCGCATTTGCCAGACTCGAGATAATGAACAACGTGTTCCATGCCCGCTCGAGTCAATTCGTTATTGGCCAGGCCTAGCCTCCTTAAGCCGACAGCTGTGGCAGCTTCGCAAATCTTCATCACATCCTCCATCGTAGGCTTGCACTGGTTGAGTAGTAGCTCTTCGAGGTGGTCACCTCCGAAACGTTTCGAAAGAGAATTCGCGAATATGGTAGCAACATCCACAGTATTAGCGGAACCCTTGGGTGGCATACTGCCAGGATCATTCAGAGAAATAGACGTCTTCGGAAGCGGAATCCCCGTGAGATCAATGGCTTTAAGCGACTTGGAGAGATGTATGAAAAGACTGATATGGCGCCATCCTTCAACACCAATCTTGGGATTATCCTTCAAGGATAGCCTCTCCACAACACTGAACCTTTCTGGTTTCTCCGGTGCCTCAGAGTTGGGCTTTTTGGTTCTCCCACGCCTGCGCCTCATATGCTCAACCGTTTTCGTAGACAGTAAGCCGGAGAGGATGGAACGAACGGAATCGTCGGTCAAGGCACACTTTTCAAGGATCAGCTTTCGTACCGGTACGACGGCCAACCAGTCGCTGAATGTAGCGATATCCTCGGAAGTCATGGGAAAATTAGTGAGGTCAAGCACAGCAACGGTTCCAGGAGATTCTGCCAGCGTCGAGGAAGGTGAGGATATTTCGTCAACTATGCGTTTCAATACGGGTGTTTCACGCAGTTGGCAGCAACGACGATAGATTCGAATTGGGTCAGTGGTAGGATGGCTCTGAGCGACAGATCGAGTACCAGCCGCTTTGGGGTCGCTCTCGGGATCGTCAGCCGTCAGCTGCAGAGGAATGGTACCATTTGCCTCTGCTAATCTCCGTTTTCTCTCCTTCCGTTCCCGTCTCTCTTCTTCCGAACGTTTTTTCTTCTCTTGCTTCCTTGTGGGTTCTTTGACATCCCCACTGGGTCTCGCATCGTTGTTCGGCGATGCCTCTTGAGGGATACTCTTCGGCGGCGTGCCATTTCCTTGGGGTTGGACGTCTTGAATGTCTTTCTCTGATGACGCATGTTGCGCTTGTTTCAGCGGCTCAGCCTCATCTTTGCTTTTAGACCTTGAATTAGATCGCTTCAGCTTATGTCCATTGACATCGGGAACGTTCTTTCGTGTTGTGCTGGTGCTGGTGCTTGTGGGCGGGCTCTCTGCGTCAGAGTCTTTGCGGGATATACCTGCTATCTCCACATCAACACAAAAGGCGACCCGGTGTAACTTTGCTGGGTTCAAATCCGGAACCTTACACCTATCGCGTTCTCGGTCGATGTTCAGCACGCGACGCTCACAAACGACACCGTTACAAGGTGCTGGTTTCCCTCCTCCGGAATTTGATGAGGAAAGCTTCCTGAAAGCACTTTGTAAGAACGAAGGGCCGCGAGGCGAAGTGGAAGTCAACGGAGTATTTTCGTCCTTTTTCTCGTCTTCCTTGTCTTTTGGCGAATACGCCGCACCAAACGGATTATGCATGTCAAGTTTCGAAGCGGGGGAGCTTGCTTTTGGAGGTGCTTGAGGCTTCACGTGAGATTGTGAAGGAGGAGTGGAACCAGACGAGAATTTGGAGCTGATGCTTGATATCCATGAGCCTCGCCTTCCTATAATCGGCTTCGGCGCGCTCTTGGGAGCCAGTGTTGGCGTGGCATCTCCGGTCACACCATCGCCGTTCCTATGTTCTTTTTCGGATCGAGAGGTAGTGCCATGAGCCTCTACCTTGACCGGTACGGGAGGAGCGGATGTGGTTTGCGGTGACGGAAGCGAGTTTTTGTCGCGGGATTTGTCATTCTTATGATGCTGTTCCGCTGCCGTTTCCACATCGTTCACGGGTTTATCGCATGACAAGGATGAGACGGACCTACAACGGGAGAGGTTATTGTCTGCATTCAGATGACGTTAGAAAAACCTCACACACTAGTAGAGGGATAACAACGACCGGACGGCACCTTTTTGAGAATGATGAAGCCAGCTAACATCCACAGTCTCGACGCCCTCCATTTTGAGTTTGCTGTGGATCGTAAATTGAGCGGTTCAAACGAGATAGTTAGAATAGCGCCAGTCCGGTCAAGCCTCTGGTTGCTTGAAGCTGAAACGCATAACCCTCGGTCCGTACAAGTCGGTCCGTTCAACAACACCGGGAGGTCTCTAGCGGCCGCAACACTCTACCAGATGTATCGCAACTTCTTCATTCAAGGGATGCAATAGCGATTTGCCCAAGTTTAGGAGTAGTGGCGGTTGCAAAGGTCCATTCTGGCAATGCGGCGGAGCGATGCGGGCAGCATAGTATGACGTTAGAGCAACGAGGGGAAATGGGCACACATAGGAGGAAGGAGAAAGTGCGAAGAGGAAAATGAATATAGAGGCGGTAATGTGAAGGTCAACGTTGGGGGGAAAACGATGAAGCGCTCAAAGGATTAGTCGCCGGCCTTGGTTTAAAAAAGTAGCGAAGGACAAATGTGGATGTCTCCCATCAACCACGGCAGGAGCGGTACTGGCATTCTCTCTCCTCTCCGTCACGGTGCTCCGGGTCCCTGCGACCCAGCAGGGCATCCATTACAAAATGGCAGCCCGGATGGTTTGTGGTATGGTACGGTAATTACTAGTATGTTTTACCCGCAATAAGCTTCTTGAAGAACAGAATCTCGATCAATCTTCGGCTTCAAGTTGAAGTTTGATCATGTCTTACTACTACTAGTGCTGAGTACCAAGTACTACTGTAAGCTGATTAATTCTGATTTCCAGAAGTAAGTCTCTAGAAGGATCTTATTTCGCGCACTTCCGCTAGTCTCCGATGCTGGAGTTTAATCGTTGACACACCCTGCCAAGACCGCATACTGCTGAAAATCTGAGCGGAGTCTTCTCGACTTCTCCGGACTTCGGAATCGAATATCTTTCTGTCGCAGACCGAACAGCCAAACATAATGAGGTTTACAAAATGCCCCCTTGGACTTTTCCAATCTCTACACGGTATTCTATTCTCCTACGGGACCTGAAGAATATTCAGCCAGGACTCCTCCACTTAGCACTGGTATATTACACCACCACGACCCCAATTGACTGAATCGACGCCAAATGCATTCTCACTAAGCCCAAAGATATCACCGCTCTCTTCGTTTTTTCAGCTCCCCGGTTGCCGGTGCGGGATAATCCTGTCCCAGAATGCCAAAAGCATCACACACACAGAGTCCTACTACTAGTAGTTTAAGATCTCGAGCCTCTTGGTAACCTAAGCCTAAAATCAGCCTGAGAACTGCAACTTGCAGGTTGCAATGTGGGCTGTGCGTTGCTCTATGTGCTGTAGGAAGTGTTCCAGTGCAAAACTGCCAAAACCTGGATGGTTATATGATTTTCATATATGTTACACAGAATGCCTCGATGGACAGCATCCGTTGGTCGACGGACAGTGCCAGATGCATGCGAGGGCGATTGCTGCAAGGTTCATCGTTTTTTTTTCTCCCAACTTCTCTATAGACTCGCCGGTGTATTGTATTGGTTTGATACAACTAGTACAATTACCAATCTCAGGTCGTGGAGTCGAGAGGCAACGCAAAAGTCACCTGAGGGAATGAACATCCCCCATCCCCCAGAATGGCCATCCGCTTTGACCTGCTGATCTAGCTCTGGAATGGCGTATCGTCCTTCGTGAGGTATCCCAATCATGTGGGCGCGTTGAAACAAGTTATCTACCAACATTATCGAAAGCAACTTCGACTTTTCAAGAGTAAAGGGAGGTCTCAAATAAGGAACAATGGAGACGAGGGACGACTGCAGCTCAGCTGGACCCGCAGGCAGGTATCCTCTCATGGTGATCCTCCAGGGTTTAACCTCATGGATCCGTAATCCACAATCCATTCTTCCAGCACGAGAGAAGATACCCCATATGGTAACATATTCCGTCGGCTGCAGCGGCATTAGCCACGGAAGCAGAAAAATCATTGAACACGCACACTGGCCTACAAGGGAATATCTTTCTCTTAACATTCTTTGCGTCCGTAAAAAACCAAAGTACTTGGACACACATCAGCTAATGAAGAGGGTAATAGTGCAAATCCGGCATAGCGGGGGTGGCGAAACCGGTTGGAGATGGTTGACGAAAGGATCTAGGGCTGCAAGACAGTGGCAGGCACACTTCCATTGGGTTCTGGACAGTTTCCAATCTTACCAGGGCTACGGCAAGGCCGATTTTAGGAGCTTTGAGTCCTGAAGAACTAAGAATCCATTCCCATTGCTTGCACCCAATATGCTCCGATAAAACAGCCCTAGCCATAAAACAAATGTCGTCGTGAAAATCATCAACTACAGGATATCTTGAAGAAAAACGTGAGTTGGCAAGAAACCGGATGCCCACTGTATATTGTCGGCAAAGTGAACTTTTTCTTCAACTATCGCACTCAGTTATGCATCAAGCACGATCAATCCGCCTCAAGTGATAAACCATTTAAGCAGCAAGCTCGCGGATCTTAGCCTCAACGCGAGCCTTGCGCTCCTCGCGGGTAAGCTTAGCCTTCTTGTACTTCTTGCTCTCAGCCTTCCACTCCTCCTTGGTCTTCTTGGAGCCCTCATCCTCATCCTTCTTGAAGGGGTCCTCACGGATAGCCTTGTGGGCCTCGGCGTAGAGCTCCTCGAGCTCACCAGCGTCGATCTCGTTCTCGGTGTACTTGTGGAACTGACCACGGAAGCGCTCCTCGTCGTCATCGGCAAGACCCTCCATGTACTCAGCGACGTGGCCACCGAAGATGTAGTTGCGGAGAGTCTCAGCGTCGAGCTCCTCGGCTTCAATGTCGTAACCGGGGAAGCGGTTCTCGGAGTGGGGGACGAAGATACCACCGTCGGAAGCACCCTTCATGGCACCGAAGACACGGGCACCAGTGGATGTACGGGCAAGACCAACATCGAGGAAGGCCTTGAAGGGGCGGCGGGAGCCCTCATCGGTCTCGGCAGCCTCGGTGAGGGTGAACTCACCATCGGCCTCCTCAACACCGGTGAAGTCCTCGTCGAGTCCGAGCTTCTTGAGAGTACGGCGGGCAAGGAGGAGACCGGTGGCGTAGGCGGCAGCCCAGTTGGTCAGACCGTTGGTGATGCCATAACGCTTGAGCTCGTGGGAGTAGGCGCTGGCGAAGACCTTGTCACCGGTGATCTCAGAGTAGACGATCTGGGTGACGATGTCGCGGTTGGTGAAGCGGACGACCAGGCGGTACTTGGGAGCGTTGTACTTGTTCTTGGCCTGGGTGATGAGGCGCTTACGAGCATAGTAGTCGGTCTTTCCCTCTCTGCGACGGCGGTACTTGGTCTGGTAGCGGCTGGAGATGGTGTTAGCATTAATTTTTACAAGTTCAAGGGCTGCAAACCAAGTCTTACCTGTAGTACGCGCTGGACTTAACAGTCTTCTGGTAAGGGGCCTACCGGACAAACACTCGAGTCAGCAATTTGCGCTTCAGAAATATCCCACTCCGAAGCATCTTGCAAAGACCCGGATGCCACGAGAAAATCCCATGGTGCCGAAGAAAAAGAGAGGATGGAAACAATGCGATGTGCTCGCCATTCTCAAATATGGCAGTATAAACTCACCATTTTGACGGATTGGGCGGATGAGAACCGAGTTGTCGACGTTAGCTACAGAGAAAGAGATCGAGAAATTTCGTGGGATGAATTTGTGGACGGGCTTCGCTTAGCGTGGCTGCATCCCGCAACTTCAGTGTGGTCGGCGACGAGCATGCGGCAACCCCAAAGTTTGGCTCAGCATAATATCCGCCCGACCACTTTATTATGTACACGACGACAACAAAAGACTATGAAGGGCTAAAATTGAGAAATGGTTCTCTATTCAAGATCTACCGGTAATATAAATGCCAATCGCTCGTCTATAGTTTGGCCTTGTCTTGTTCATCCAAGAGACCAAGCCCAGTGACCTTTTCCAGCTCCTTGACTGCATCTCCTATGTGCCCAAGGTTGACCTTGATCGTCCTCATCCCAATGGCCTTCGCTGGTTTAAGATTCTGGCCAATGTCGTCCAGGAAAACCACATCGGACGCGCGCACAGGTTTCAGTCCTTTTCTTTTGGCTGCCGCATTCATCTCCTCCAGCGCAACCTGATATATCTTCGGATCTGGTTTCCGAAGACCAGTGTGCGCAGATGAGATGAAAAAGTCGAACAATGCCTTGCGCCCGAGAATATCATCATTATACTGGTGCCCGTCCGGAAAGATGACTGTATTTGACAGTGCTCCCAAAATAAACTTGCCAGACTCCTTCAACTTCTTGAGCGCAGGCCACATGAAGCGATCGGGTGTTCTAGATATTCTCATCATCTCCCAGAACAGCCACTCTGCGTCTATCTCAGGGAGGGGTGGGTTTGACGCGAATTCTTTGGCCGGATTCTTCTTTTGAAGACTCTCGTTGAACTGCTTCCATAGCTCGGGGTCCCGTAGATCTTTATTGAACTCGGCGAAGAAGTTCGCATCCATCTTGATATCTCCCCGCTCCAGCCTGTGCCAGCTACCATGAGGAGAGGTGCGGGAGATGCTGAAGTTTACCCATCCTGGGGGTATGTTTTGCGCGATTTCGTAATCAAGGATAGCTTGAAAAGGCGACACAACCTGGATAGAGTCAGCGCGATCCTCGTTTTCATTTCACGGATATGGCTTGTAGACTTACACAAACCCCTCCAATATCAAAGAGGAGCCCAACTGGCCGTTGGTTTTCTGCCATGATACATATATATATATAGATATATATATGTCAAGGTATGTGGTGGGTGTGAATGAGATCTTGCGCTTGCAGGTAAAGCAACTTGTTGCTCATCGAAAACGACTGTGTATGTTGCACTCACTCTGTTTTGCGGAGTAATGAGGCTTTGAAGGATGCGGTTGCCGAGGTATATATCGGAGTTGGACGCTATGTAGTGGTTCAAGGCCGAGGAAGACAACCACGCAGCAAAATAGTCCTCCTGGTATGTGTCAACTTCAATTATGAAGGTATCCTCTCTATCTGCCTCCATGGAGGATTTCAAGTCGATTATCTACTGCAACCTGACGATGCATGACCTTGTTTGGAATAGGACCATGCTCCATCTGCCGACGAGTCACGTGAAGCCTGTTATCGATAGCGGCCGGTACAAATAGTTGGACCAAGACACTTTCATTGGCATCCCACTGCGGTCAGTATGGGGCCATGGAATCCTCTCGGTCGATTCCCGAATTGAAGTCATCATTTATCCGAACGCAAGTTCGCATCCTATCGGAAGCCCTCGAGGCCCCAGAGGATTGGAGAAGCTATGCCGCCGAACCAGCAGAGGAGGCCCTGAGTGATAAGGTGGTTGGCGATGTGCTACAGAAATGTAAGCGCAATAATGTCTCCGTCCTTGCTGCACCAAAAGACCTTATGCATATGAGCTACATCGACGTTCGGCAGCTCTATAGTCCATGCCTCGCCCTGCTGACCAACCCCCTCTACGACAGTGAACGCGGCCTTGAAACAACACAATCGCGTCATTTACTCGTCTCAGGCGATCCAGCACGTGGCACAACAGATAGCAAGTCTATACTGGTCCTCCGTGAGCCAGGCTACGCGGGAGACGATCTCGTTGGAAGGGAGCATCGATAGAACCGTTGACCTGTCCAGCCACCTGTGAGACTCCGTCGCATACTCTATAATCGGGTTGTAGTCTGACGCGTGGTAGAAACATTACTCAGCTTCCAGGAGAGCTCTACGACCAGTCTGCAAGTGAAGGAGATCAGCTTAGGTTCGTCTCCTATGCGGCGAATTTCCGCTGTACCCGACTCATCGTTGTACAGGTACAAGCGCTTGCGAGAACGCCTTGCTAGCCTCGATAAACTGCGGCAACAGCGACAACGGCGCCTAGAACAGCTACGCCAGTTACAGCGTCTCCTGGAGCCATTCAGCGAACCGCAGAACAATGTCCAGCCCAACCTCGTCACAAGGGACGGAGAACTAGTTCGCGAGTTGGAAAAAATGAGGATGCTGGTTGCGCGGGTCAGTGGTCGAATCGCGCATAGTCAGAAGGGCGACAATGGGGGCGAAGCTGCGATTGTGATGGGATCCGATCAGAAGCTTACGGCGCTTCTTGAGACGGATTAGATACACAGCGCGGAGACTGTGGTTCCCAATGACACTAAGTATGAAATACCTGCGAATCTACTATAAGCAGCGATTCCTGGTTGGTCTCTAGTTCTTGCGTGTAGTCACACAGACTGCTCTGAAAGTAACAGTAGAAATTAAGCCGCTTACCCGTACTATTCTTCGGTCGCTGAGTTTTTTTTGGGGGGCTATTGCCTATTTTATTGCAAGGGGGAAACTGTAGGACTGGGAACTGACTGCAGCTGCACTGGTCGCAGCAGGAGCCAGTGACGGGATTGTGAGAAGAGAAAAGAGAAAAAGAAACACCAAATAATCTTTCTTTCTATTTCAAAACTCTTATTGCACACATATGATATGCTCACCATTATTTCTCTGACAGAATCTCCCCTTTTTTTGTGAACTGTCCTCTCTCAAAATCATGGAGAATCTATGCCAGGTCACGGCCCCAGCCTGTGGCTTTTTTGAGGCTGGGGCTCGGGAATTCACCTCCGAATCCCCGGCGCTTGACTGCTTTGGTGAACTGCTGGGAGATACTCCTCAACCCCAGCTACAACTACTTGCTGAACAACAACACAACGCGCAACCGGCGAAGCCCTCCTCTCGGGCTTTCCTGTCAGCACCGAGGGCTCTTCCTCAGATACCAACTCTTTCTAAAAGCGAAGATTCTGTCCCATCCGACACCATCGCTGCGTCTACTCCTCCCTGTGCTCCTAAAGCACCGTTTGTGCGTGGGCACCGTCGCCGCTCCACCCACGTATCCCACCGTGACCTTGAGAAGTTCAGAAAGGAGGTCCTGGGTGTTGAACCCACCGGATTTGGGCTCGACGACGAAGCCGCGCTCAGACCAAACACCAAGGAATTCGAGTCCCAATTGGAGGATTTGAACCGTGCTTTTGACACCGCCACCATGTCTCTGAACAACAGCGGAAGTAACGCTGGATCCGCAGGCATGTTCTCGAATTACACAGACAACTCGGCTGCCGGACCCTCCAACATGCCTGGTGTTCCCCGCCAGCCTATTCCCTCCCCGATTGCTACTCCACCTCCTCAAGTCAATGGTGCTGGTATGGCTGGGATGAATGGTGGAGTACCGATGAATGCTGGACACCAGATGGATTTGCGTCACCTTTTCGACATGGTGCTTGAGTTGAGCGAGGTGCTGAAAAACAACCGTGAGATGACCAAAAGTATAGTTTCCAGCGCGGAGGAGATCATGGTATGGCTTACCTTTTTATGTCTTTCTTCCTGGACTACGCTGACGATGGTAGAAGCGTTCTTCTTCCGAGGGAACCAGTCCAAGCATTCAGCAGGTAAATGGAGAAATTACTAGTGAGTTTATGAAACCCGCATCTATCGATTGACAATGTGCTGACCGACCTAGGTGCTCGCATCGCTGAACTCGAGCGCGCCCTTGCCAAGGAGAAACGCTCAGTGGAGATCCTCAGAAACGAACAGGTCGAGAATACCAAGCTGATCGGTGAATACGAGGCGGCGGTTGGGACCATGGTGGAGCAGATCCGCAACTACTGTCACAACAATAAAATGAACTATCTGTCTCAGAAGCGCCATTACAACAACCTGCTTCAGGCAGAGCGCGATTCCCATTTGGAAAGCCGCCTTGACCGTGATCATTGGCATGCGCAGACGATGAAGTGTGCTGAGATGATTCGCACCGCTTACCGTCTCCGCTGCGAGGAAGAAGAGCTGCCTACCCGTATCGTCGCAGGGCTACAGAACGAGGTTCGCGCCTACCGCAACGCCCTCGGCATGGAACCTGAGAAGCCAGAGGAGGAATACGGATGGGAGATTTTGAAACATGTGCCGGGAGGCTCTGAGTGAAGAGCTACCCCGGCGATGTTTTACGAGCTACGATGATCTTTCGATGCATAATTTCTACATTGTGCGGGCCCGGCGTTTTGGGTACTCTTTTGCTGTTTTTTTAGCACTCGGATTTTGCTGGTGAAGGATACCCATCTTTGCATGACATGTGTGTACTCTAGTCTCTCTTGCATTACTGGCTGAGCGGCCCGATTGCCGACGTGATTGTCTGGTTGACTCTCGATGTGCCGGTCATACTGGGCTTCCAAGTCCAAACATTCTGTCTGGACAGGACCTTGCTGGCTAAGTTAGTTTGACCTGGCAGTCTCCTGCACTAGCAGTCAAAACGACCAGTCATCGAACATTTGCAACACCTTTATAGAAAAAAACACTGCTTTGTACATGAATCATGATCCACACTCTCAATCCGTATAGAACACTTCCTCGAGCACCTTCCACCACCCCGGTCCCTCTGCGCTACCCACTGCCCCAGGGACAGGGCTCTCCTGGCGAGTTCAATTAGCACCGTACACCGGCACGCCTCGATGATAGACCCCCGGCGATTATTCCGGGAACCGAAAGGGATAAAAGATTCATACCTGCATCCCATCTGTCATAGCCCACCACTCCCGCACCTTCGGATTTGCCCGCATCTTCTCCATATCACCCTCATAGTCGTCCCCGATATACTTGAACGTCGCAAACAGCGTGCGGTCATTATCGTAGAATATGGAGTCTAGAATCACCGAGCCGGCAAGCCCAAAACGTTAGCAGCCGAGTCACGGTAGGTAGACGGTAAGTATGCAACCCTAATAGTTCGAATCGAGAGGGAATGCAAGGGAAGGATGTCGGGCACGTACAGTCTCGAATATTGCACTCTTTAATCTGCTGCAGGACCTCGGGCCAGACGCTTGCGTGGCATTCCTTGTACGCTGCGAGGGCGGAGGGCTTGAGGTGGACGATCTGGGCGATGCGGCGCATTTTCAGTTCTTTTTTCTTTGTTGTTTTTCTTGACAGGTGTGTCGGGCAGTCAATTGGGATTCGCTCTGTAAGTCTCTATCTGGAGACTTAAATTGAAGACGTGGTTGCTGTGAGTGAGGCGACAAGCACTTCGCAAGGGTAAATAGTATGAGCCCCTCAGTTCGGGGCGTAATAGCCCGAAGCGGGGTGAATTAATGGGGTTGTGGGGGTTATTTCCTCCAATGTCGTGAAGGATCCGGAGGGTTCTCCTGCTGTGCAATGATTGTGCTGTATAAAAGCCTGCAGATCTGATTTTCTGTCAATAGGAGGGAATTAAGTCTTGAATGTTTATTGTATCTATGACAATCTATATCTATCCAATGCAAGTATCACGCTCAGTCTAGTTGGTATCAAGTCGCTAAAACAGAAAGAAAAAGTGAAGAAAGAAAACCAAATCGGAGTTGGAGTAATCGATCCAACTCATCATCCCAACTACTCGCGCATCTGGTTCTTCGGCACGGGTCTGATCCATGCAACTGCGAGGTGAGCTCCAATGGAGATTGCACCAAGAATCCAGATACCGCGCGCGTAGTCGTGGTGGCTGTAGCGGAAGATGATGGCGAAGATGATGCCGCCCAGGTTCCCGAAGCCTCCAACCATGCCGGAAACGATGCCTAGTATGAATTAGTATTTTGATTGATTCATATGAAAGAAGAAGAGCGTACCATTTGCGAATGGGTGGACATGAGGCACAAGGGCGAAGATAACGCCGTTGCCGGCCTCGAGAAAGAAGGCAAGCCCGGCAGTGAGTCCAAACATGGTGGCCTCGGACTTTGGATCCGAGAGGCCCATGGCAAGCATGAAGGCTCCCATGACAACTCCGAGGAAGGAGAGAAGGATCTTCTTTGACCATGTCGTCTTGGTGTAGTGGTAGAGAACATCAGCGAGGAAGCCACCGGCAGGGCGGCAGATAACATTGAGGAAACCAAACATAGCAGCCCATCTGCCTGTCTGGGTCTGTCCCATGTATGGAAAGTTCTTATCGTAGTAGTCACCGAGGATGGAGTTGATAGCCAGCTCAGCCCCAAAGGAGCAGGCATAGGGGATGGCAACAGCCAGGCTCGCTAAGCTGAGAACCACATTCATGGCTTCCTTGCGCGAAGGGGCAGCGACAGCGTCGGTTCGGAGGGTATCGAGCTGGCCCATGACCTGGACACCATCGGAGGCCTCCATTGGGGTTTGGGCACCCTTCTTCTCCACATCTGCCATGACGTTGGCGATGATCGAGGGCGGTCCGGAGGGTCGTGTGGACTGGTTGCCAGAGCTGAGATCGACAATGTTGCCTTGAGACTGGTTTGGGTCCTTGGCCCAGATATGACGTTCTGACCATTTTCCTGTAGGCGTGTCCTCACATGTAAACAGCATACCCAGGGCGGCAACAACAATCAGAATAAACGGGACGATGTAGGCAACTCGCCACGCCTTGTGTGGGGCAAGGCCTTGATCTTTGACGAGAGAGTCGTAGATGGCAGGCATAACAAAGCTGAACAGGCAGGGTTAGACTCTTGACCATCTAGATGTAAGAGAAGGGTACTCACTAGGTTATACCGCCACCAGCATTTCCTAAACCGGCGGCCAAAGAGTTGGCTGTCCCCACGACCTTCTTGTCAAAGAACCCAGTGCACCAGACTTGGCAAGGAACAAAAGTGCCACCAAGGATCCCAATGAAGAACCTCAAGGCAATGAGACCTTCAGGAGAGGTAACCAGGCCAGACATGGCGGTAGGAATAGAGCCGACGAGTAGCAAGCCAATGAAGACCAGACGTGGACCAAAACGATCGCATAGTGGACCACAAATAAACCGGACCAGTAATCTGGTATTGTTAGTTAGGGCTGTTGTTGGACCATGTATGGAACTACCTACGTGGCTAGTAGGGCAATGATGTTGGAGTTTGCGATTTGTGTCTGAGACATGTGCAAGTCCTCGCGGATAGTAACAGTCAACTGTGGAGGGGCTGTTAGAGCGGCCCTGATGATAGTAGAACAAGGTTATGGCACTTACTAGTGGAGGAAAGGCATACCACGAGAGGAATGCAAGCATGAACCCGAACCATGAAAAGAAAAAGACCCGCCCATAGGTATCAAAAGGGTTTAGGAGCGGGATGGAGAGTGCTTTGCGGTTGGTAGGGTTGACCTCTGGAGAGGCTATCAAAGATTTGAGGAAGCCCATCTTCACCACACGGCCTCGGCGTCAAATACTATTCGGTCGATAAGGGTCCTGATGATGGCCAAGCTTGAGCTGTCGAGAGACGGATCTTGCCGTATAATATCTCTAGCGCTAGGATATGGGATGATAATCCAATAGAACAACAAGAACTGAACGAAAGGGAACTGTGGTTCGAGAGAAGGGTATCAGAAGGATTCCTGGAGTTGCTTGGCTATTAATCTTGATGTCTGATATGAATTTAAGAACGACGAGCCTGCTATATAACCAACAGCCATAATCATGATTCAGGCATGGATCACTTTCTGACGGAAAAGAGAGTGTCATGTATCTCCCCGGAATATCAGAATAACGTCAAGGACGGTTTGGTCCCGGAAGAGCAATCAGGGTCCGGCTGGTGATTAGAAATGGCAATCCGATTGATGTCTCCTCGATTTTCGTAACGAGAAAGCCACACAATAGAGATTAATCCACTAAACAGGGAAGGCTCTCTTCAACCGTCAGCCTGATGCCGTCGACCCACATCCACACTCTGGGTTTAAGGCAACGTCGGCCCGTGGAAATAGCAGAGATGTTCTCCATTTCCCCCCAAGGCAGCGGATGCCAGGAGACCAGGCCGTGATGTGGCTGAGATCAACCACTATCAGGCATAGAGATAAGGGAAAGTATACGGCCCAGTCAGACCCACTGGCCGGAACCTGGTCTCGAAAACAGAGTTTGGGTTCCCGATAACGCCTAGTATTTTGCTGCACAGACTCCGCGGCCGTGCTATCGAACCCCGAGGGTCTGGTCTTGACTCCTCCATAAGGACTGACGAACGGCACAAAAAGCAAAGCTGCAACGGTTGCAGAAATGCACTGACGTCAAAAAAGTGTCAGTTCCAAGTTGTGTCCGACAAACTGCCACAATCTCCTCGGAAGAAGGACTCGTTCATTACTGCCCTGAACGCTCCTCGGACCTCTGACCCCTGGTCTTGGGTGCTCCATCCTGTTGATGACGGAGGCGAAATCTGGACGTGAACCAGAGTATGCAAGCTTGACTCCGCGGAGATCTCTGAGGAGAAACGGGGCGTTTTGTGCTCCGAAGGAGGGACTGTTATCGGCGAAGGATGGATCATGGAGCAGGGTAAGCCGGATGGCGGGTCTGTCTGAGATTTGATAGATAACACTCTGAACCAATCACACTCATGCTAACGTGAGCAGAACAAGCCCTGTGGTGGCCTGAGGCATCAGAAGGATCTCCATAGACTATGATCGACCCAAGTGGGATCGCAAAGTGGAATAAAAGTGGCCTGGGCGGCTTGTTAGAGATATGCTTAAAGTGCCTACCCAATCCCAGTACATTGTTTACATATAGAGGAAGGACAGTTATCTTAACAGGAAATGTGATTCAACACCATATCTAGGTATAATGCGCTATAGAACAGCCACCCATGAGAAAACGCCATTGAAACAACCGAAACCAATAGCCATGCACTCTAGTCCCCTACCAGTCTATCGAGTTTGCAGGACGGGCTGTTTTGACACGCTCGAGGCCCTTCTCGCCTGCTCTCTTGCCCTTCATCCCCTTGTATTTGTTGTCATACGCCTCGAATGGATCGGCGGCTTCACCCTTCTTAACCTTCCACTTCTCTGTACCCAGGACAGCGTCGAGTTCCTCTACCGGGGGGAGCTTCATGTAGATCCAACCGTCGTCCCGCTCCTCGACTGGGAATGTGGCAATGTTCATTTCCTCGTCATTTGAGCAACGACCCGCCTGTTCACCGTTGAGCTCAAAGTTGCGCTTGTGGTACGGGCATGATACCCAGTACTTTCCGGCGTCATCATCACCGATCAACCCGTCGGACAGAACAAACGCCCGTTTGTGGGGGCACATCTGTTGCGTGGCGTAGTACTTGCCCTTGATCTTGAAGATCGCTAATTGCGTGTCTCCACGTTTGATGTTTGCGGACGAAATTGCAGGTGGGCCGTCGGAGAAGTAGTCGGACTTGATGACGGGCTGCCACGAAAGCTCGGACCACTGGTGTCCCTTGAAGTCTTCGCTTGCCCCATCCTTGGGCCAGTATGTCGGACGTGCTTGGTCACGTTCCTTGACGATTTCGACCGTCTCGAGTGTCTCATCGGTGTTGGCGAATTGTTGAAAGTACTTGCGGCGCTTGGGGTTCTTGACCGTCTCCGTCCATTCGCAAAAGTAGCTGTCGACCAGCTCCTGCATTTGCTGCTCCATTTCCGCTGCGATCCCGAGCTTGTCGTTAAGGATGACTTCTCGAAGATAATCGATGCCACCCGGTAGGTTCTCGAGCCATCGTGCTGTCCGTTGAAGCTTGTCTGCGGTCCGGATGTAGAAGATAACGTATCTGTCAAGAATGGGAATGACCTCCTCCGGTGGTACGTCCTTGGCGAGCAGATCGCAATGCCGTGGTTTGGCACCTCCATTTCCACCAACAAAGATATTGAATCCTTTTTCGGTAGCAATAAGACCAAAGTCTTTGTTTTGCGCTTCAGCGCACTCTCGCACACAGCCAGAAACAGCACCCTTGAATTTATGAGGGGCTCGGATACTCTTGTATCTTTGTTCTAACCGAATGGCCATTCCGACACTGTCTCCGACGCCGAATCGGCACCAAGTAGTTCCAACGCAGCTCTTTAGTCTTTTGTTAGTGTGTCGTTCAGTTGAATTTGAGCGGAGCTCGGAGTCTCACCTTTATGGTTCGAAGCGACTTGGCGTAGGCATGACCACTCTCCATACCCGCATCAACGAGAGCGGTCCAAATGTCGAGAAGATCCTGCTTTTTGGCGCCAAACATATCGATACGTTGACCACCTGTGATCTTGCAGTAAAGGTCGTACTTCTTCGCTACTTGGCCAATGGCGATCAACTTGTCTGCGGTGATTTCACCTCCAGGAACACGAGGGACGACGGAAAATGTACCGTTCCGTTGGATGTTCGCAAGGAATCTGTCGTTGGTGTCTTGTAGCTCATGATATTCCTTGTCCATGATGTGAGGGTTGAAGAGACTCGCAAGGATTGATCCAATGGCGGGTTTGCAAATTTCGCATCCGAGGGAATCGGCGCATTTTCCAACAGCTTTCATCACCTCGTCAAAGGTCCGTAGTTGTTTGATTGCAATGACATTGTAGAGATCGGCACGGGAGTATGGGATATGGATACACACTGTCACGAATCAGCACCGTTATAGGGATGAATTGTTGTGAAGCAAACGTACAATGGTTCGAAACTTCCTGACCCATGTCCAGCATGGTCTTGTTGAAGATAGACTGCACGAGAGGCATGCATCCGCCGCAACCAGTGCCTGCCTTAGTGCACAATTTGACATCTGCTATGGTCTTGCAAGTGCCGCTCTTGACGCCCTCGACCACGTCACCCTTTGTCACATTGTGGCACGAGCAAATCTGGGCGTCGTCATCACTTTATGGACCGGTCAGTTTGTAAAAGAGTAGTATCGACTGTAGGAAGACTCACAGATCATCTGCGTTCTCTTCCCCTCCGCTCTGAGCACCCAGGATAAATTCGGAGGGTGGCACTTCAAGCGGCTTTTGTGTCTTGACCATCTGGTTCAACTTGACATAGTCCTTTGTGTCACCGATCATCATACCGCCGAGAAGGTATTTCCCATCCATGGTGAACAGATACTTCTTGTAAACACCGCCAAATGGATCCCTATACGTCAATGCCTTGACAGGAGGCTCTTTCTCAACTATGGACTCTCCCTCGGCATCTGGCGCGGACGGACGTTGACCTGGGAGGAATTTGGGCCCATCTCTATCGGCGAAGAAATCACCGAAGCTGGCAACATCGACACCTAATAACTTGAGTTTCGTGCTCAGGTCTGGTCGGTTGAACTTCTTGGGTTCCTTGTCGGGGTTCGTGAGGTTGAATGAAAGGACGTCGGCCATTTCGATGCCGGGGGCGATGATACCAAAGGTTTGGTTGTCCCAGCTGGCACATTCACCGATGGCGTATATATCGTCAACGGACGTTTGTAAGCTGTAGAAAGAATGTTAGGGATCAAAACATAACAATAGACTCGGGAGGATAATACCTTTCGCTGATAACGAAGCCGCCACGTTTGGCGCACTGAATTCCTGCGCTTGCACCTAACTCATCTCGTGGCCGAATTCCGATCTGCACTATATTAGCATATTGCCCGAAAACATTCCAAGTTATTCATACAGCAAAGCAGATGCAAGAGCAATCGATCTCCTGCCCATCCTCAAAGAGGAGGCCCGTGACATTGTTGTCATCGTCGGTATGGATCTTGGCCACACGTTTCTCGTGGAGAACCTCCAGGCCAAGGTCCCTGATCTTCTTCGTCACAAGAGACCCAGCATCGCCATCAAGTTGCCTAGCCAGGACCCACTTGTTGCGATCAATGAGCTTCACGCTGCCAAAGTCTTCAAGATCTGTCATGGCCTTGGCAGCTTCCAAGCCAAGCAGTCCTCCTCCCACTGTGACACCGGTTGAGCCCTTGTGAGCAGCAGCGAACTCCATGAGACGCTCGAGGTCGTCGATTGTACGGTATACAAAGATACCCTTGGCATCATAACCAGGTGTGCTAGTTGGAAGGACAGCATCGGAACCAGTGGCGAGAACAAGGGTGTCGTAAGAGATCATGTCACCGGTCGAGGTCTTGACGGTTTTGTGTTGGGGAAAGACATCGGTTACCCGAGTGTTGAGGTAATAATCGAAGGATCGATCTTTGAATGAGCCGTACTGTTAGAGAGGTGCAGTTAGCTCCGCACCCTATACTGCAAATTGCAAAGTCCTTACCCATTCTTTAGGATTGAGGTACAAGTCTTCGATCTTGCGGTGTTCAAAAAAGGATGATAAGCCAACACGGTTGTAGGCAATGTGCGGCTCTTCTCCAATAACGACAATATCATACTTGCGTCGTTCTGAGTCGAGTTTGATAAGCTTCTCACTATAGATTCTGTTAGCAGAGCAATTGCAACTTGCAGGCCGCAACACACATAAAAGCGACTGCAACCATTCCCAATCCGACTACCACAATCTTCTGGCGTCTGTTGGGGTCATCATTGTGTCGCCCATTCTCTGTAGTGGGGTCAATCCCCTCAATCACTGGAATACCATTGTGAACGCTGGCAGTGACAGCGACAGCGTCACCGGTCCGCGAACCGTCCAACAGTGGCATGGTGTTGGAGATGGAAGAAAAGCCGGGGAATCTGAAAAAGAGAACATCCCAAGGGAACGGCGGCCGGCGACTTTCCCTGCCTCATATATCTCCATGTGGGCAAAGCCGTTTGTGGCACGACAAGACACCAACATCTTGGGGACCAGTTTCTCCGTGGCTTTCGGGAGCATGAGATAATCGAATGGGCCAATTACCTGGTTGCCTCCACGCGAATCAGCGATCTCGCAATTGACGGTTGTCAGAAGAGTCCAGATGCAGCGCCTGGGGGTGTGTGGCTCGAGCGATCCACGATAATGGCCGTGGGAACAGTCGGGAACTAACAAACTGGACGATAAGGTTGAGTCAGTGTGGTAAACGCTCACTTTCCAGCTTTCCATCAGGTCCGCGGAAATCGACATGTCAGGTCCTGCACGCTGATTGATTCCAGCAAAGCCATGATCTGCCGCGGTCTCCACAGCAAAAGATAAGAAAATCCACATTCCTGATTGGCTGCTTCAGGTGCATCCGTCAACATCACAAATCGGGCCCTACCTCACTATTCACTGAGAAACAGTGCAAAGTCATAATGAGCCCATCTGAAGGTGGGGCCTTACTAGATCTGACTTTGAATAATCGCTATTAATCATGACATGATTGTTTCAGGGCTTAGGAGAGCCCTTTCATTTGGAACTCGACTTGAGCAGGCAGAGTTGATTAGCCCAGGTTAACCCACTGGGTAGCTTTGCCACCGGATACAGTGATCGAGCAGCCCTTCTTGCACGAGTCAGCGGTTAGCTCGTCGGGATTTGCTTATGCTTGACGTCGCGTCTCCGTTGCGGTCCCGCGGAGATGGGAGGTGCGCCGTTCCATTCCACTCCTGGGAGCCTGGTCTTGCTACCCTCGTACTTGGTTAGTTGTTTTCGATAATTGTCATTTTTAATCCTGCTTCTCCGAGGCTGCGAGGGGATAGTCTTTCAAATCCCGTTAGTCCGACCGCAGTTAATGGTTCTTCTATTCTTACTGTTTGCATCATTGCTCTCCTTCCTGACGCTAAGCCGCGAAGTTGATATAGTAGTGCCGCTGAGCCCTCGATCCATTCCGATTTCATCTCTGTTCTATACGACTTCAAGACATTCTTTCATATCCAACTACTCACAACATGTCAGCCACTGTAACGCAAATCAGAACAGTCAAGGCTCCTTCCTCAAAGGCCCGAGCCCTCAAATCCACCCAGATCAAAGTCCAAGAGCAGGAGATCACATCACCCGACACATCAGATATTCCTCTACCTCCCCTTTCCAAGAAACCAACCGAGATCCTTCAAATAGACCAAGGCACACCCGATAGCCATGTCCCGCGAGACCCTCGACTTATCAGATTAACTGGTGTTCATCCTTTCAATGTCGAGGCGCCGCTTACGCCACTCTTCCAAGAGGGTACGCATCATCCACTGGTGCAGGAATACAGTATCTTATACTTTTACAGGCTTCTTAACATCGCCCGAGCTATTCTACGTTCGAAACCATGGACCAGTGCCACATGTCAGAGACGAGGATATTCCCAACTGGGAAATCAGTATTGAAGGGTTCGACCCCCTTCCCTTCGTTCAATACAACCCTTTCTAACAATCAGCATGCAGGCTCGTTGAGAACCCAATAACCCTAAGCTTCAAGCAAATTCTCCAAAACTATGACCAAATCACTGCTCCCATTACATTAGTATGTGCCGGAAACAGACGAAAAGAGCAAAACACCGTCCGGAAATCAAAAGGTTTCTCATGGGGTCCAGCTGGCCTGTCAACCGCCCTTTTTACCGGGCCTATGATGGCGGACATTATCAAGAGTGCTAAGCCGTTACGAAAGGCAAAGTACGTATGCATGGAGGGAGCGGATAAGTTGGTATATGGCATTCTACCCCATCAACCGGTAGTGCTCGGGTTAACTCTCTCCATAGCCGAACGGTTACTACGGGACGTCCGTCAAACTAAACTGGGTGATGGACCCTAACAGGGGTATCATGCTAGCCCACAAGATGAATGGCGAGGATCTTAGGCCGGACCACGGCCGTCCGCTGAGGGCTGTTGTTCCTGGTCAGATTGGAGGCCGCAGTGTCAAGTGGCTGAAGAAGCTCATCGTTACCGAAGCTCCAAGTGACAATTGGTACCATATCTACGATAACCGAGTACTGCCGTATGCCTTGACGTATCCCTCCTTAGCAAAGGTGTCTTACTAACCTAATTAGTACAATGGTCACCCCGGATATGTCCTCACAGGACCCTTCATGGTGGCGGGACGAACGATACGCTATCTACGACCTCAACGTCAACTCTGCCGCAGCATACCCCCAACACAAAGAGGTCCTCGATCTTGCCTCGTCAGGACCTATATACGCCGCAAAAGGGTACGCTTATGCCGGCGGTGGACGACGAATTACCCGTGTTGAGATTTCCCTAGACAAGGGCAAATGTAAGTTTAGCCAAGTTCACTACCTCGTTCCTTGCTAATAAAGTCCAGCCTGGCGTCTCGCAAACATTGAATATGCTGAAGACAAGTACCGTGATTTTGAGGGCACCCTTTACGGCGGCCGCGTCGACATGGCCTGGCGAGAAACCTGCTTCTGCTGGTCCTTCTGGTGCATCGACATACCCACGTCCGACCTCGAAAACAGCGACGCCATCCTCGTTCGCGCCATGGACGAAGCCCTAAGTCTCCAACCAAAGGACATGTACTGGTCCGTCCTGGGCATGATGAACAACCCTTGGTTCCGCGTGACAATCACCAAGGAGAATGGGAAGCTGTTGTTTGAGCATCCGACTGACCCCACTGGTCCGGGTGGCTGGATGGAGCGGATCAAGGCTGCAGGAGGTGACCTGACGAATGGAAACTGGGGGGAGAGACAGGAAGGCGAGGAGCCTGTTGAGCCTGAGCCAGTGCAGGAGATCAACATGAAGAAGGATGGCGTGAACAGGATGATCAGTTTGCAGGAGTTCAAAGAGAACTCGACGGACGAGCAGCCTTGGTTCGTTATGAACGGGGAAGTATACGATGGCACAGCGTTCCTTGAAGGACACCCTGGTGGAGCACAAAGTATCATATCGGCTGCGGGAACGGACGCTTCTGAGGAGTTTCTTGCCATCCGTAAGTCTTTTACACCTGCTTCTCAAACTGTAAAAACCTCTGACATTCAGCAGACAGTGAAACCGCCAAAAAGATGATGCCAGACTACCACATCGGCACCCTCGACAAGGCTTCCCTCGAAGCCCTCCAAAAAGGCGACACGACCGACACCGCACCCACTACCCCACGAGAGGTCTTCCTAACATCCAAGTCCTGGACAAAAGCCACCCTAGTCAAGAAGACAACAATCTCTTGGGACACGCGCATATTCACCCTTGCGCTCGAACACCCAGACCAATCCCTCGGTCTCCCCACAGGCCAGCACCTCATGATCAAGATCCCTGACCCAAAGACCAAAGAAACCATCATCCGCTCATACACACCAATTTCCGAGACAGATCAACGCGGTACAGTCGATATCCTCATCAAAATCTATTTCGATTCTCCGACATGCCCAGGTGGGAAGATGACGACCGCTATTGATCAACTGCCTCTGGACTCTGTGATTGAGTGCAAGGGCCCGACAGGGCGATTCGAGTACCTGGGTAACGGTAGAGTCCTCGTGAGTGGCAAGGAGCGCACGGTTCAGGAGTTTGTGATGATCTGTGGCGGCACGGGAATCACGCCTGTTTTCCAGGTTCTGCGGGCCGTTATGCAGGATGAGGAAGATTCGACGAGGTGCGTGCTGCTTGATGGGAACCGACAGGAAGAGGATATTCTCTGCCGTGTGGAACTCGATGCTTTTGAAAAACTGGACGAGAAGGGAGGAAAGTGCAGCATTGTCCACACTTTGACCAAGGGTCCCGAGAACTGGACTGGTCGTAGGGGACGTATAGATGCGGAGCTCATCAAACAGTACGCGGGTACTCCAAATGACCAGAGTATGGTCTTGGTATGTGGGCCTGAAGCCATGGAAGAGGCTTCGAAGAAGATTCTTCTTTCCCTGGGGTGGGCCGAGTCCAGCCTTCATTATTTCTAGACATGATCATCTTTTCTTCTTGAGCGAATAGGGTTTGGCAACAGGCGTTGGTTATTTCTGTGTACAGGGTATATGATGTTATGTCGATAGAGATGTGCTTTTGTAGTTTTATAGAGCAACATCAAAGAGGTTATCTTCCTGACAGTCTAGTAATATTTCCTCATGTCCAGTCGCACCAGAAGATGGTCAAACACGTTGGTGGGCGTTTTTCTGGACGCAGGAGTCATCCCAGACCTACCCCTGCTCCGAGGGTCAGACTTCGCTCCATCAAGTCTGCGTAGATACCCAACGAGCGCAGACATTTGCTTTCTGAAGACGACGTATAAGCGCTTGATCACCGCCTCGCTCTCATGGCGCACGCCATGCATCCCGTCCATCCGCGACAGTGGAGCAAACTTGAGGATCACATCGAATATGTCATCAATCAATTTGGCAACCTCGGCGTGCCGTTTGCTGAGAAATAGCGCAAAGAGCATTTGGTCCAAAGTTTCTTCATGGTAAGCTCTTAGTCTTGAGATCGAATGGGCTGCTTCAATTGTGCCGTCAATGTCACCGCGGTCGAGACAGGTTTCGACCTTAGAGAGAGTATCCTGGAATCGCTGCCAAGTCGAGCCGATGCCGAGCTGGAAGCAATAGTCGCTCAATGAAAGAACAAAATGTTGACAATCAATCCGGAACTTTTGCAAGATGTTCCGGGTATCTCCTGAAAGTGAAGTCCTGGCGGTAGAGTCTCGAATAAGCCCCTTTACGACTGAGACCATCCGAAGGAGCCGAAGTAGTTGTTTGAAAAGTCGGTCATACTTGTGCAAAGAGTGCTGAGTGATAATGGCATCGAGAACGTTTGAGGGTTTGTATTGGAGGCGGAGGAAGTCGAGTGCTTCAATAGCGTTTGGATTCTTGCACTTGGCGATATCTTCCTCTGTCAACTCGCGAATGGAGAAGCTTAGGCCTCCGGGAAGCTCCTTTTCATTTTCAAACTCTGGATTACCAGAGCCATCCGCATACTCAACACCATAACACTCGTTGAGAACGCCCATCAACACCAAGCGCAGCTCTGAGCTCGCTGGAGGCCAGGTATCTCGACTTCCGAGGCGTAGACCTGTATGTACGCCGCTTCGTACGACGCCAGTCTTTCGCTCGCTGCTTTCCATCTCAGGGTCGAAGAGTGAGTGAGAGAGGCGGGACGTAAAGTACCCATCACCAAGAAGCTGGAACCGCCATTGCAAAGTCAGATGGTCTCTCAATTTATGCTCCTTGAAAAGCAGATGAAGGCAGGAATAGTCAATCAATAAGGCTTGCGACGAAAGCAGAGGAGCAAGTGAGAGGTGAAGCGACGACGTGACCTCTGGAGCGAAATTGGTTCCACATCGCTCTCTGGTGGAATCCTCATAATCGACCATCAATTGTCCAAGTTTTCCTTTTCCCAGGGACTGGCTTGCGAGTAATCCGGTCACATTGCGAGCATCGTCAATATCAAACAGATCAAAGGCGTCTGGTAGGTCTTCATATCGAGGCGCACCCATAGTTGTCCCTTGCTCTTCATATAGTCCTCCGCTGTTGTACTTGCGAATCTCTGCCCGAAGTCTATTCTCGTAGTCACGCGCCTTTGTTTGTATTCTTTCCAGCTCAGCCCAAGTTCCCGCACCACTAAGGCTCGGAATTTCCGTGGCCCGTCTTGCAAGGGGATGATTTGGATGGGAGCGTTTGAGTAGTCGTAGGCTTCTTCCACTTTCAAATATCAATTGCGCCTGGTCTGGTGGAACGAAAGACGGCATTTGGTCCGGAAGGTAGACGTAGTCCAGTCGTTCCTGTGACTGGAGTCTTCCTCTCTCTTCTGGCTTTTCGAAGTAAACAAAACTTTTCCCACTTGCAAGCCGCTCCACCGAGGCGGCCGTCTCTGGACGAAAGCCTATCCAGGATTCTACGTAGTCCAGCCAAGGTCCAGCAACTCGGAAGACAATCTCCCGAAAAAGATCCTCCATCTGACCGTGGCTATGGGAATAATGAGCAGCTAGCTTGAAAACAGAGGAGATGACTTGGGCTTCTGATCCTGCTCTCTCCACGATGCCTACCATATTCGACAGAGCACCTACTAGCTCACCGCATTGCTGGAATAAGGCCCTGACCTGGAGAGCAGAGTTAATGTGCTTGGCGCAACTGAGTAACTGCTTTTCGAGTGTGTATATGATCGCGGATGCAGTCGTGGAAAATGCAGACAGTACAGACGGCTCCGCCGATTTGAACGGTACTCTGTCGATGAAAGCCCGGATTCGTTGCATATTCGTCCCGCATTGGAGAACCTCATCCATCAGTCCGTTCAGTGCAAGAGCACTAACCCCGGAGATACGCAAGTCCTTGATGACTTTTTCAAACTTTTGTTGTCGGTCGTTGTACCGGAAGAGCATAGAGCTCCATCCTAATCCAAGCCGGAACAGCGACTGGAAGAAGATATCATTTCGCACAACAGATTTCGTCTTTCCGGTTGACGTTTGCTTGCTATGATGGTCTAGCGCCGCTTCAAATCCTTTTAATCCAGACTCGCTAAAGTATGCCGAACGAGGCTCAGTGTACCCACGGGTGTGATACTTCTCCCATGAGGTTAATGACTTGTCAGGGGGCGCTGCTGCGTCAGCCACCCATAATTCCTCTACTTCGGCGTCCGACTCATGCGCGTCACTGCAATTCTCGAGTTGAGTGTCACTTGATGTATCTGTTACTGACTCCGTGGACAGACTTGGCTCCGAAGGTTCGGTCCCAAAAATATTTAGCCCGTGCAATTTGGATTGATCAACATCAAACAAGTCTAAGGGGTTCTTGAAGATGTCTTCTGAGAGTACTATAAAAAAAGAATAAGCTTTGAGCGTCCAGCCGAGAGTTCAAACGTACCAGGTAGGTTCAAGTTCTCGTTCCAAGGTAAAGGCTCGTTCGGCTGGAGGGAATCCAAAGTAAACTTGGATATCCGCCACAGCCCATCGCTCGTAAACGGATCTGAGCCATAATCTTCATGGTCCATTGTCAGCGACTCATGACGAGCCAGTGTCGCATCAATGCCTGGGGATGATGAGTTCCACGACTCCGGACACTTATCGATCTTCACGACGCGTGGGCGATCGCGAGATCACGCGGCGCTAGCCATTAAAGGCTTAGCTTATTTCGGACTCCCGCCCGCTTGGCCTTCCACCGCTCTCGTTCGCGGACCCAGAGCAGCTGCTCCATTGAGTGGAATGATGTCTTTCCGGGCATTTTCCATTGATGATATACAATGCCTCCAAGGAAGAAGGCCAAGCTCGCCACACAGGCGGAGAATCCGCAATCCCATGCCAACACGCCGGCTGGTGACGGTGCTGGTCAGCGCACCCCCAGCTATGACCCAGTCTCGGATCCATGGACTGACGAGCAGGAAACGGCCCTGCTAAAAGGAATCATTAAATGGAAGCCTGTTGGTGCGTTCACTCGAGGGGTATCGAAGCTGTCTAATTTATACTAACTGCGGATCTCACTCAGGCATGCATAAACATTTCCGAATGGTCGCCATCTCGGAGTTCATGAAGAGTCAAGGCTATGCGCCGTCTGACGCAGAGCATACACGAATACCGGGAATCTGGAAAAAGTTGGGTAATCTATACAATCTGCCAGCGCTTGATGAGAGGGTATGTGATGCACCCTTAGCTCTGGGACGGTCGCTCATTCTCATGATCGAATGAATTATAGGAAGATTCGCTCATAACGGAGACCTCGGACGATGTGGACGGGAAAGAGGTGTATTGTCCATTCGAACTGCCTGAAGACGAATATGGCGACATGATGTTCGAGCGAAGATTGGCGATGGAAGGGTCTCCGTCCCCTGTTCCTAGTGGCCAGGCGGAGTCGCGGAGGGGAAGTACTGTGGCAGATACAGATGGTGCGTTTTCCTTATGCTCAGTAATGCTTGGGACCGTTGAGAGCTCGGCTGACTCCTTGCGCTATTGCAGAACCTCGATCCTCGCCAGCTCCCTCACGAGTAAGGAAACCAGGTCGTGGCGGTCGTTCAGCAGGGCGAGGTACACGGTCTTCACGCCTTCAAGTAGAGGTTGAACCCCGCCAGGAGAGCTCTGAATCGGAGGACGAAGATGCAGATTCGGAAGAGGAGAACGAGGAAAGTGATGAGGATAGTGATGTCGGAAAAGAAGATAGCGAGGAAGACGAGGGAGAAGACGATACGGGAGACTCACCAACCGGCCGGAGTACGCGCGCCCGGACATCTCGGGGTAAACGGGGAAGCAAAAGGGGAGGCGGCGTCACAAGGAGGGGCCGACGGCGTGGGAATTGATATGATTTAAAGAGAAGGCCTATGCTCTTTTTCGATTCACGTTTGATACCTTGAGACTTTGGGTACGGAGTACAGGCGTTTTTGTGGGTCGTGCTGTTACACTATCTAGCCCTGTATGATAGCTATGAATTGAATTGTCTCATCGAAGGGATCCTCAAGATATGCGATTCCATCTAGAAGCTATTTGGATGATCCCGATTTACCGCACATGCTCAAATCTGCATAGCAGATGAATACTGTTCGATAAAACATTGATAATCTAGATACATTCCAATACATATAGTAGATCACTGCATTTAGTCTAATTCATTCATGGGCTAAAAAGGAAACAAGAGAGGGATATAGTACAGGGAATGAACCGAATCCCTTACAGACGCTTGATGATAGCATCAGCATACTCGTGGGTCTTGGCCTTACCACCCAAGTCGCCCGTGAGAGCCTATGTGTTCGTTAGTATCCTGAGACCATTAAGCTCAGGGGTTTCTAAAAGCTTACCTTGCCCTCAGCGAGAGTGTCGAAGATAGCTGTCTGGATGCGGGAGGCGTGCTCAGTGAGGCCCATGTGCTGCAGCATCATGATACTGCTAAGGAGCAGAGCAGTGGGGTTGGCAAGGCCCTTGCCAGCAATGTCGGGAGCGGAACCGTGGACAGCCTCAAAGATGGAGCACTCGTCACCAATGTTACCAGAGGGGGTCAAACCGAGACCACCGATCAGACCAGCGCACATGTCGGAAAGAATGTCACCGTACAGGTTAGGCATGACGAGAACCTTGTCGTTGTAGGGGGTAGGGTCGGTGGTGATTTTCAGGCAAGAGTTGTCCAGCAGCTCAGCGTCGAATTCGACATCAGGGAAGTCCTTGGCGACCTCACGGGCAGTGTTCAAGAAGAGACCATCGGACATCTTCATGATGGTGGCCTTGTGCACGACACGGACCTTCTTCTTGTTGATGGAGCGGGCGTACTGGAAGGCGAAGCGCAGGACTCTCTCGGAAGCCTCACGGGTGATGAGCTTAATGCTTTGGACGACACCATCGACGACAACGTGCTCAATTCCAGAGTATTCACCTTCGGTGTTCTCACGGATCAGGACGGTGTCGACATTGTCGTATGGGGTCTTGTAGCCTGCGACCGAGCGGCAAGGGCGGAGGTTGGCGAAGAGGTTGAAGGTACGGCGAAGGGTAAGGTTCAGAGAAACGTGACCCTTTCCAACGGGTGTCTAGAAGAGTTGTTTTAGTTTTGCGCTTTGCGACGGTCGTACATTGTCAGGAAGGGACATACGGCGAGGGGTCCCTTGAGCGCGACGTAGTTCTTTCGGACACTCTCAATGGCATCATCGGGGATCGCGGTCTTTCCGTCCTTCAAGATAGGGGTGACATCGACGGGCTCCCACTTGATGGGCGCCTAAAACAGACTTAGTATGATGATGTTTCGTAGCTATGATGATCGCGAAGGAAGCGTTACATTCGCAGCGGAGAAGATATCCTTGACCGACTGAGCGATCTCGGGGCCAATACCATCACCCTCGATCAAAGTCACGGTGTATTTTCCCTAATAAACATAATAAGTTAGCGGCAAGTCGAGTTGAGATGTAATTTGCTTGTAACATCATTGTTGCGATTATCGGCGGATGTCTTCGGACTAAGGGAGCGAAAAAAAGAAAACAGCAAAATAGCGCAACATACATCGGAACCCTTCTGTCCCTTGAACTTGGCAACTCGCTCATCGGCAGCGGCGGAGTAGGTACGGAACTGGAAAAGGGTCAGCGCATTGGTGAAGATTGAAGCCGAGTAGACAATAGGCGCTGTTTCTTACCTGCAGGCGAGAAGATGCGAGGCTGGGAGCCACACGTGTTGTCCGCAGGCATTGGCGGGCGGGAGCAACAAAGTTCCTGGCAGCAATCATTGTGACTGAGATCCCAGGATCAGCGACAAACAGAAGGGCTGAAAAGAGAGGAGACTGTGGGAGTATCGAGGACTGAGGAGAGAGGAAGAGAGAAGAAGGCGGCGGGACTGCTTGTGCGGGAAGAGGGAGAAAGGCTGATTGAAGTTTCGATCGGTACCGCTGCAGCCGATCCGACCGGGATATACGCCGTCTTTGGCGTGTCTGGTCCACTTGGGGTCTTGGGTCTCATCAGATAACCCCCAAGTCGCCAGCTAGCATCATTCCGGTTTATTATTTCCCCTTCTTGACTAAGGCCATATCATCCAGCTCGCTTCTCCACACTCCGACTTCGTCACTTTCGATTCCCGCCCCCTCGTGCTCCCGGTCGCCGTCAATCCCCCGTTCCGATCCCCTCGGTGGAGCTCAGGCCTGGTAGCCAGAATGACCGACGCTGACATCGCGCACTTCTACAATCTACCATCGGCATACCCGGAAGAATGGCCTGCGGAGTTGGACGAAGACGATGAGGAGGAGGAGCAGGCCCTTCAGCGCCGTGGCTCGAAATCCGGCTACATTGTCCTCGACCGAAGCAACAGTCGCAAGGGCCTCAACATTGGATCGATAAAGGGAAGCAGCCGGGAGAATCTCGTCAAAGTCGACGAGCCTGATCCGCTAGGGTCGAGTGACAGCGTTCTCAATTATCTGAAGAGACGGGGGCTACCCGTCGACGAAGACAGCCGTTTACGAAATCGATTCCTACTCTCCTCAACCGGGTTCTCGCCCGCCCTCTTCCTCTCGCAGGTCCACTCGGATGCATCCATCGAATCACTTCTTGATGGCCTCAATTTCCTTTCACGGTCCATTGACCAAAAGTCCGCCTCATTAAAGGTCCTTGTTGAGGCCAACTTTGAGCGGTTCGTCCGTGCCAAGGCAACGATTGACAGCGTGTACACGGAGATGCGAAACCAGGGAAGGGAACAGGAACTGGTGGCTCACCGCAGGTCGGCAAGCCACCTCCGGAGCATATCCGGTGCTAAACAGAGTATATCGGACTCCGGGTTCAGAAAGAATGCGTTATTGAAGGAGAGTGACTATGGTGTGAAAGGCATCCGGGTGCCTTTGACGGAAGCGTCTGTGAAAGCCGAAGAAGTCTGGGGCCCCGCTCTAGGTGGCCGCGAAAGAGAGCAAATGCTCAAGTCGGTGCTTGGCAGTATGGAGAAACACCGGGAGGTCTACGAGATAGGTGGGCTCCTCTCCAAGTCAATCAAGCAAAGGGACTATGACTCTGTTTTTGAACAATACAGGACCGCTAGGGCTCTTACTCAGAACGGTAAGAGTATTGCCGACGCTGCAGCAAGTAAGAATCGGCCATTGACCGACGAAGAAACGCACGTCATATTGGCTTTGGGAAGAATGTGGATCGATGTTGACCAGCAGATCCAAGCGTTCAAGCGTGATCTTTGGAGACGTCTGAGCGAAGCCCCCAGCACGGCGACAAGGATAACAACGTCTGGCCCTGTCGAGGAGTATATGGAACTAATCGGCGCTTTATTGGAGTTGGGTGTCAATGACAACCCCATTTGGGTGTGGCTTGTCAGTCGCTACGATTACCTCAAGACAAAGATTACAGCTTTCTGTGAACGCTGCAAGGTTGAGATAGAGATTCTAAGACGTCGTCTTGCAAGTGGGGCCGAGCCGACACCTCAAGAGGTGGCTTCATACTTGCGTCGGACACCACAGGACAGCTCAACCAGCCCATCACAGATGCTAGATACGGACCAAGTTATAGAGCTTTGGGAATGCGTCCATACATACTTGAACAAGTTGTTATCATCACAAGGAGGCATCCTTGGCGAAGTATTGGACTTTTGGGATGTGGCGCAGTCTTTTATCGATGGGAGCAAGCAAAAACTCCTCCCGGCGGGTTTCGAGGGGGAAAGCCGAAAACATCACAACTTATCATCCAGCGATGTGAGGGACCTGCAAAAAGGTCTTGTCGAATTGGTCAACTTGATCCGCGAGAGCATCTTGTCCCTGTTTGCTGAACCACCGGTGGACGATGTTTCTCTTCTTACCTCGCCTATCTCCCCACCCAGCCCTAGTAGTCCGATCACTTTGGGAGTGACTCCAACGGAGTCGCGGTTCAAACTCGATCCCAGGAATATGCCCTTCCCCACTCCAAAACGTGGTGAACTATGGGAAGCCTACGCTTTTTGGCCTCCCTTTTCCAATTCCCTGAGTGGAGTCCACTACCTTGGCCAATTCCTCGTCATCATTGGCGCTGCAGCTGGCGAGATGGCTACCCTCGGGCCCGTCGCTAGCAATGGAAACACCCGTGAGCTTCTCAAGGCCCTTGTGAGCGTCATACGGGAGCGCTCCGTCCGAATCGCCTGTTCAGCGTGGGGAAAGGATGCGGAGGTCTGTAGATTGCTGGAAGATTGGACACGAGACTCGAAACGGCGGGACCTAACAAAGATGCCTGGACTCTTCGTCAACTTTGAGAACGCTATGCTAGGTGGAATGCAGAAGATTCTCTACATCTCCGAGGCGATGGCAAAGCCAGGTACGGTGGCCGTTGTCACGCAACCACCAACCAAACTCCTCCAGATGGTGCGCCGCGAGTTCATTGCCGGTATAGAGACGGCTCTTGGCGGCCTCGTCGAAAATGCCGAACATCCCACAGTCCGTGAAGAGACGGATGAATGGCATGTTGCTTCGTCTACGTCAGTACAGAACAAGAACGAACAAGTAACATCGCTCCTCGCTGCAGATGCTGTCGATTCCGATAACAAGGTAAGTCCATGGACGCTTTGGCTTCTAGTTCCAACTAACCCACCCTGCAGAATGTCCGAATACTCCTTACTCTTTCAAATATCAAGGCCTTCCAAGCAGACCTTGTTCCGCAACTTGTTGCAAACTTTGAGACTGCGTTTTCTGTGACGCTTACCGACGAAGCCAAAACCCTTCGGCAAGTGCTTGATCAGGTCGACCAACGACTGTTCCAGTCCTACACAAAGCCTACCATTGATAATCTGGAAAAGATCATCTCCGAAGGCGTCACATCGCCAGTGTGGGAACCATCGGATGCCCGCCCCGATCAGGTCCGGCCGTATGTATACAACGCAATGCTCACTCTTGTTCTTGTACACACGGAGATCTCAACTACCATTCCTTCAACATCATCCTCGGGAGCCAGTCGATCCTCCGTGGCGGGACAGTCACCACTACTTTCGATTATCCTGACTTATCTATTGACCCAAGTGTCCACGGCGCTCTTGAATGCTTTCAATTTACGAGCTACATACTCGCTCAACTCCTTGATACAAGCTACACTTGACACCGAGTTTATCGCTCAGACCATGTCCCAGTATTCTTCAGACGAAGCTTCCGCTATTCAAAGCCAGATTTATGTGGAACTAGATCGTCGAACGACTCATGAGGCTCGAGCCCGCCTCCAGTCCGAACTGGGAGAGATGAGAGGTATCCTGAAGAGGCTGAGAGAGAGGACAAAGGGGGAATTTGCATGCTTTAGAAAAGCAAGAAGCGCCACCTCGCAAAAGTCGACGTGAGCGACTATGAATCCATATATCAAATTAGTAATGATGCTATGAACGTCCAGAATGCTTCATGGCCAGGCCGTGCAAGATAACAAGTAGTAGAAAGAACATTAACCATTATAGGCGGGTATCAAACGTTGACATAAAACACTTTTGTCCCCTCTTCCTACGCAGTCTCCCCAACCAACCTCTGAACCCGGCTCAGCAAGACCGTGCTTTCTCTCCCTAACCTCCTCTTCCCATGTTGATCAGGGCGCTTGGCCCTAGCCATAGCCTCCCTATCCCTTTGTCTAGCCTCACGCTCTTGCCTCCTCTTCTCAGCAGCCTGTTTCCTCTTCTCTGCGATTTCTAACTCCTTCGCGAACGCTGACCGCTTCTGTTTCCGACCCCGACCCCGGCCAGTGCCATTCGCCCGATTTCCTCCCTGCTCAGGTCCTGGATCACGGGTGTCCAACATGGCCTGTCGATCGGGGTGAAGTTCCAAACTTGCGGGCTCCGCATCCTGCTTGTCTACATCTTCCCTCTCGCCCTCCTCTTCCGCACGTCGGAGATAGAACTGCTTCGGTTTGGGAGCGGCAAGTTCAGCGGCTTTTACTTTGGCGTAGGCCTTTTTGACCTTGGCTTTTTGGATTAGGTCGGCTTTGATTTTTTGAGCTGTTTATGGTTAGCGCTGGATGAAATAAAGCTAATACATAGGGCGGGCATGATCTGGTCTGTACCTTTGCGACGATAAGTGCCGTCGGGTAGGTTTGCTGGGCCGACGGAGAAGCCTTTTCTCTTCTTGCTGGCTGGGGTTTCGGATTGGTTTTTCGGATTGGAGGTGGTGCCATCGGCTTCTCTCGGGCGTTTAGGTACCATCCTGACAAATTCTATCTGGGCGTGTTGAGCGCGAGGACTTGCGAAATGCTTTGTGAGAGTAAATTTGCGAACAGACAGAGCTCAGAAATCAGGTTGCGATAAGAAGAATTTCTGCGGGCAATCAAGAACGCCCACCCAATGAGGCTTAGTCGCCAGTAGACTATACTTCATCTGGTATAGCTCAAACTACTTACCCACAGCCTACAACGTTGTAGAGGTATCACCAGGTCAGGCTGAGTGAGCGAGGAGAAACATGGAAAGTACTCTACAACTGGTTAGAATGCTTGGGAGTATTTACTCCGTCAAGAATTAGTAAATCATCCGCTATGGAGTAGCTGTGGTGCTGAGTGAGACGGCACTTTTCGGAAGTCAAGAGTTTTGCACTGCTCAACCAGACGCTGATTGTTTCTACCCAGATAATTAACCACATGGCTGCGGAGAATGAAGAGCACACACGCGCTGCACGTTAAAGGTTTGAGCCTTTTGGAGAAAGCATAATCATAAAGAGCACAGAAACCTGAAGTCACGAAGTACTGCCGAGTACTCTCGAAGACCATAGTGTCGAAGAGAAGCCCTCAGAGTACCTGATCAACTGACTCGATTCCTCACACGTCAAACCATCTACCAATAATGGCCCTTCGCAAATGGCTAGCGGTTCAAATCGCTGGGTTCCGGGTCCAGGATTGTCAGCGAAATTCGGCATAAGCGATGAGGAGACAATGCGTGATTTTGTCATTGGACTTCGGCGTAGTTTGAGGTGTCACCAGCCCAATGGCACCCAAATATATGCAACATACTTATTCGGAAACAGCGGTAAAGCATCGAGGCACAAACGGATGGCATGTCAGATGCTTGTACAGCACTTTGGAGTACTACTAGTACACACGGGATAGTGAATGACACAAGAATGATGGCACTGTTTGGGACGCTTTGGTCGGATTAGTTCTATAATGGTCAAGTGAGGGATGGCGAGTGGGGAAGACGATCGATGACTCCCAGTCGGTCCCCATGTCATTCACGCGGCACGCCATTTATTTCTCCTCACCATTCTTCCTATTAACTGTCCCCGGTGGACGAGTTTCTCAAAAATTCGTTGCTTGTATCCTGTTCCGATCCTTGCCTCACTTGCCTTGACCTGTCCAACACCCAGTTCCCATCGCCTTTTCCCCCGTACTGATCGTTACTTGCCGCCACCGGAGGTATCTTTAAAGTCAATCCACCCGCCGACAATAGTTATCGAGTTTTCAGTGACTTATCCAACGACTACCCACGTTTTCTTCTGATTCATGGCTCTTTTGTGGCGATGTTTGAAGGGAGCTTGAACGAATACGACTTCCTTATCTCCTCGTGACAATGCCTATATTCCGAGACCCCGATAGTCGGCAATTCTATGATCTTCGGTCCAACGAGCAACAGTCGACTCAGGATGTGCGCCGACATGACTCGTGCTGCTGGATAGATTATCATGAAGTCAATCATGATACGAATCCATTGGATCAAACTGATGCTTCCTTCCGTCAGCGTTCTAGGGAGAATTTCACTCCGACGAGGTTGCATGCGCAGGATCGAGAACAATTGATTCATTATATAAAAACCTCAGAAGCCTCGAAATGGCCCGATCACTACTTGGTATTTCAGTCTAAGTTCCACCCATACCGTGTCCTTGTCTGTCGCACCCACTAACATATCTTTTTCTATAGCTCGGAAACCATGGTGCCGGCCACCACAAACCGTTTCCCTACGAGGAGTCTCCAGGCGCAAATGGGCACGATGCAGAGAACACTCTCTTGCAAGAAGGTTTTCGAAGCCATAATCTAGAACTCGCATCCCCAGCCGAAATTGAGCGCCCACGCTCGGCACTACACTCAGGCGATTTTCGAGAGGGAACCTCCCAGCTCGAAGGTCAGCAGCAAATACCCCAGTCGCCTATACCGAGCCGTAGTAGCAAATTTCCAATCTCTCTTCTCGCCTCTTCGCCCACCACGCCCTGGTTTACCGGTCCCTCTTTCTCACCGCGGACGCAGACCGCGCCAGTGCAAGCTTTGGAAGCCCATGTGAATGAGGCAAATAAATCGCCGGCGCCGTCATTGGGGTCTTTCTCTTCAAGTTATGTCTTGAAGGCGCCGACGAGCCCTTTGGTTCATCAAGCAAACAATACCGATCTGGATTTCTCCCCTCGGGTAGACTCGACTGAGGCACCTGCTCTTCTTGACAGAGCTAATCGCCGGCGGACGCTCCCGCCGGACACATTTCGAGATCTACAACCGTTTGCTGCGCAACTTGAGGCGACTCAATCGATGGGTTGGTCATTGTCTCATCGTCGGTCTTTGGCATCGTCATACAGTCTTCAACACGCATCATCACTGCAATCTCGTTCTCCAAGGTCTAGAAGGCCGTCGCTTTCTTCCGAAGTATCCCATAGGTCTCATGCTCCAATGGTCGGCTCATATGAGGAGTCGATCCTTCGGGGAAGGATGTCGACTTGCCCGTCCAAGCCACTGGACTTTACCGCGCAGATTGGTGTGTTGGGCAAAAGCAAGTGCAAATCGAGTCTCAAATGCCCGCCCCATGTGACTATCCCATTTCCTGCCGTCTTCTACAGCTACCCAACATCTGGCAACGGCCGCACAATCTCAGATGATAGTCCTAGTCCTTACGTGGGGACAATCGACCTCGAGAATTCGCTGCCAAGGGACACCTCCCGCAGTCGACGTCGGAGACGTCAAAGCCCGGGCGACACTCGAAACGGTCGAAACACTGAAGAGCATATCAAAACCAACGACCAGGAAGCTCTGCGAAGACGGGAGAAAAGACACAGGAGGACAGAGTCGCCAAAATCGCCACCAGGTGGCTCTTACAGAATACCTCAACAAGGTCAGCTACAGGTCATGATAAAGAATCCCAACAAGACAGCGGTGAAATTATTCCTTGTTCCCTACGATCTGAGTGACATGGAACCTGGTTCTAAAACCTTCATTCGACAAAGAAGTTATTCGGCTGGTCCGATACTAGATATGCCTTTGTCCGCTAGGTCAAATTACGGCACTGATCGTCCTGAAGCGTCTTTGACCAATTCCGAAGATCCCAAAGACAAACCTGTGCTCCGCTATCTCATCCACTTGAACATTTGCTGCCCATCAAAAGGCCGCTACTACCTCCACTCAAGTATCCGTGTTGTTTTCGCTAATCGCGTACCCGACGGGAAAGAGAAGCTTCGGAATGAGATACAGCACCCTGAACCTCGTTATTCGCCGTACAAAGTTACCCGTGAGACTAACCCACTGCGCGCCGCCCCAAGATTCAATGCGGAGATTGTACCACGGGACTCATCTCCTCATCCGCATGCCAACCACCGCGCAAAAGTTCATCCATTCCAGCCCATTCCATCCATTCGAAGTGATATTGTTGGACTGGAAACCTCAGTGGCACCCATATTACGCTCTCCGGCACCTGAGCGTTACAATAAGCTCAACAGAGGGGAAGCAGGTTACGGAGGCCAGCACTTGGGGTCGGCTGGAAGTCCTGAAGGTGAAAGCCTCCTAGCCAGAAAACTCCGAGGTCTAGATGTCCAGAAACTCAAGGGCTCTTGAAGGCCTCGATGATTTGCCTAGCGAAGTCGTCTTCTTCAGGCTCCTCTGTCACCTTTCCCTGCGAACCTAAACCGCTTAACTTCTTCTCTCCTCTCCCCGCCCTTCTCAGATTTTTCTCTATACGGTTTGTAATAAATGTGGGAACTACACGCATCATACTACTTGTGTCTGGTCGGACTAACAGACTCCTTAAGATGCAGACTCTTATTGTATATTTTCTTCGCCTTACCTCTTGCAGTCATACCAAATCAAGGCACGGTCCTTAGGAACAGGCGCACGGGTCCATTTTCTCTTGATATTATACCCCATTGCGCAGCGTGTCGTTCGAGGCGTGGAGCTGGCACTCCCACCTACCTACAATCCTCAAGTCATCGGACGTTTCCGAAGTTTTTACTAGTTCTACTTATTGCTTCTTCTCTTGAACAATACTGGCGCGAAGGAGTTGGTTTTGGATATAGTATTGAGGGTTCTTCCACTTTGCCGATAACCCTAGGTATAAGCTCTCAAGATTTGTATACGTTTCCCAGTTCAAGAAACATACTATAAACAAAAATACAACCTTCTTCTGGAATTGACTTGTCCTATACTTTGTGCTTATGGGTTCGAAAATGTAAGCTAAAAAAAGAGTAAGCAGAGTTTTGTATACAGTACGTCCTTCTATATGCAGGTAATGCTGTTAGTGGCCCCTGGCGATTGGCTTCCGAACCAATGCAATCCATTTACACCCACACGAGATACATGAATGCTAGAGAAAATGCAGACTCTCTCTAACCTACGTGTTCGACAATCTCGTTGACGAGGACGCCATCTTTGATAGAGGTCTTAATCTGCTCGGGGATAGGGCACTCCTTAGTGTCCTCGTCGGTACCTTCCTTTGGAGGCAGCATGACATTCACGGCTGTAGACTTGCTCGAGAAGATCTCGGTTTCTAGACTCTGCTGTGACAGATAGATGGTAGCACCGTCGACCTGGTCTAGCAGAAGAGTGGGAGCGACACCATCAATCTGAAGGGCGAACTTGGAGCACTTGACGACGTCAAGGGAGCTAACCAGTGAGTCGATGATGATGGAGAGACCCTGGCAGTTATCGATAGCGATTGCATTCGCCTTGCTGGACACCTTGAGGATCGTCTTGTTACAGCGGGAGATGAGGATGGACTGGTTTTGTTTGGCGGGGATCTCAACAACGTCTCCGGGGTTATCAAAGTTTTCGACGAACCACTTCGTGCCCTCGAGATCCTTGCGGGGCGGTTTCCGGATGCGCATGCTCTCCGGCTTAGGCTTCTTGCTTGGAGCAGGGGACTTGGAACGGGCGCCAGCGCTTCCAGGCACGGTTGAGCTAGCTCGGAGGCTTGGGTTTTTGTGTGTCATCTCAGACTTGTCGACCTTGCGGAGACCTGACGTGACGGCGTCTCCTTGGTTGAGCTGAGCGAATACAGCGGACATGTCTGAGGAGGAGCTCGGGCTCTGATCGGGGATCATAGGAGGGGGGGGGGGGGGGGGGGGGGGGGGGGGGGGGGGGGGTGGTGGGGGTGCGCCTCCAGGGACATTCAGGGTTGGCACTGGAGGAGGCGGGGGAGAGGCCGCTGCGTTGTTGGAACCAGAACCAGAGCCGCCTTTCACTTGTTCAAGCGCTTCCTGCGCATCGATTCCATCTTTATCATTCCACGTCAAGCCCTTTGGGTAATGGGTCCGGAGGTAAGAGGCGAGCGATTTGAAGATCTGATAGTAGGCTTGGATGTAGTCGTAATGCGTGCGATCCCTGTGCATGTCAGTATCTCCTGCACAACCCGTCCCAATTTGTTGCAGCACATACTTGTCTTTGTATTCCTTCAGGACCTTGTTACCATAGTATTGGATGCCTCCGAGCATATCGCCAACGAAATCGGCAGGCTTCGGTTCGAAGAACCAACCCAAAGTGACAATGCCTTCAGCAATAGCGCTGAGATGGTTGAAAAGGGGCGACGCCCTGTTGGACTCGCGGATGTTGTTGATAGTATCGGAAGCTGTGTGGAGCTCGGCCATAAGCTCGGGAGGCTGCATATCTGGTTTCTTCGCCTTTGTAGAAACGTAGAGGTAAGTGCGCTCTGCCTTGAACGCTTGTAGAACGGCGTTGGCCTATACGATGCATGAGCAGCACATTCAACCCGGTACCGAAACTCCAGTGTCTTCCTACCTGCTCTTCAACCAGTCCCCCAATCTTCCTTCCCAACTCAACGAAAGGCTTGACGTCTTTTTCGATCAATTTATCAAAGTCTTCGATCTGCGGCGGAAGAGGAGCAGGTGCAGGGGCAGCGGGTGCAGTCGGTGTAGGTTGCTTAGAGGGCTCCGGCTCTAGCGCGGCTGCGCTATCGGGAGCTTTCTGGGCGTTGTGCTCGTCTAACCCCATGGCCATGTCTTCCAGGCGGGAGGTTGCGGCTTCCAGCCTGTACTTGCTTGTATTAGCCATAGAATGAAAGCGCAGTGCGCCAAGGAAAACACAAGGTTCCATTCAATGTACAAGAGCCCGAATGAGCTAGTGACTTACCGCTTGATAAGGGTGGTCAGATTGTGCATATGGCTGGTGGCTGCCATCTTGTCGGGTCCCTGAGGGAGCAAGGAGGCAGCAGACAACGGAGGACGACGACGCAGGGGAATCCTTGTTGAGAGTACACCGTATCACAAGGACTGAACGCAGATATTATATAGGCCAGATGGCTGAGACAAAGTGGTGCCGTGACGAGCCGACAGCAATTGAGGAGCGTTAGACGATGGATGTTGCTAGTAGTTGCTACGGTGTCGGCTGCGGTGATCACTGACGATGCTCCTGAGCTTCTGCCTGAGGCATAAGACCCCACTGCGCTGGGGCTTACCGTATCGTACATCCCATGGAGCTTGAGCTACGACTATCAGTATGGGCGCATGACGTATCTCTGTAATGGACGGTAATGTTCCTTGCATCGCCGATTAATCTGCAGCCGATAAGAACATTTGAGGAGCCCCGCTGGATGAGGCCCTCAGCTAACGGCAATTGGGTTCGTTAACTTCATTGATCCCAAGAATCATTCACGTCATCTACTTGAAGATGTCCGGAGACGCCACAGCTGGCACAAAGAGGTCCAATGTCGAGTTCTGCACTCTGGGCATGTTCATCCTTGGTATGTTCTGTTTAGCTGCCAGGACATTGCAACGCATTGCTTACCTATGGAGTGGTCTTGTTCTGTAGATGATATCGATTTCGAAGGCTCTCGGCCAAGTGTGAAGAACGTGCTTGGTGGCGCAGCTTCATTTGCAGTCATTGGCGCTCGCATGGTAGCTGGCAAAGAATATTCGCGTTCCGTCAGCTGGATCGTTGATGTTGGCTCCGACTTCCCACCAGAGGTCTTGAACGAACTCAAAGCTTGGGATACGGATTGCACTTTTAGAGAAGACCCCGGAAGACTCACAACTAGGGCATGGAATGGTTATGGACCCAATGAAAAACGAGGTTTGTTCTCCCCAACATCACTGGGTTGGTTTCTCTTTCTCGCCAGTTGATAACAGAACTAGCTTTCAAATACCTAACGCCTAAGTTACGTTTGGAGCCATATATGCTCTCCGATTCCCAGGTATTATCAAAAACATTTCATATGGTTTGTTCCTCGGCCCGGTGTATCTCGATAGTACGAGATATTTTGCGACGCCGTGAAGAGTTGGAAAGTGCAGGAACGCCCTCTTCCGGTCGGCCTGTGTTTGTATGGGAGCCTGTACCTGATATGTGCACGCCAGAGGAGCAGCAAAAGTTCCTAGAGGCATGTCGTGAGGTCGATATTGTGAGCCCCAACGACCTAGAGTTGGGAATGATGTTTGGTCGACCATCCTGGAGTGAGGAGAGTGAATTCGGGAAGCGGATAGCGGAGAAGATCTTAGTCTCGGGAATTGGGCTTCATGGTGAGGGACACCTGATTATTAGGGCTGGGAAAGATGGTAGCTACTCATACTCGAGAGGCCAGAGGCTCTGGCTGCCCGCTTATCATCAACCGGTTGCCTCAGGTGAATCCGCAGTTGTTGATCCAACCGGTGCTGGTAATTCCTATTTAGGCGCTCTAGCCCAGGGAATGATAAGCAAAGGTAGAGACGCTGCTACGGTCGTTGACTCGGTGCTCGGAACATCCGCAAATTGGCGCAATGCAACAACGACAGCTCAGGGAGAGCAGAGCTCGGTTCCAATGGCTCTTATCCTTGCCACCGTCGCTGCAAGCTTCGTTGTGGAGCAAATTGGCGTTCCTCGCCAGTCTACTTCTGGGGAGGGGAAGGAACTTTGGAACGAAACTGAATTCACGGAACGGGTCCGTCTGTACACACAGGGATTGTATCGAACACTCGAAGAATCTCCTCGAAAACACTTGCAAATGAACTGACCGATTGAAAACGCCCTTTATTGTCGTACAGCCCGCAGTATTATAGAACATGAAAGCCTCCCCATACCATCTCGTCCTTCCATAGGGGTCTCTTTTCTTTCTTTATGATTCGTTCTTGGTAGCTTGTTGTCTCTCGTGTTCGATAATTTGTTTGCTCCAGCTGCGACAAAAAGAATCAGTACAAAGCGGCACAGACTACCTAAGCAAAGACCCCCCGTAAAGGTGGGTATCGAGCAGACTGACTATCGGCTAGGGAAGAACCTGTCCGGCTCTGGCATCTTATCCCGGTATTCGCGCTCAGCGCTAAGACTCCATACTGCAGCGATAATTCCGACCATCGCAGCACCGATGATGGCTGTGTTGGCTTTCCAGTTGGCGGGCCGGGCGTACCAGCCTCCGGCGGGAGACCACACTTCCTTGGGGTACCTAGAGCGGCAATGGTTAGCATCGAACCCATTGATGGTTGTAAAGGTAGAAGTCGGCATACGGAATCTTTCCACCTCCGCCCATTTTGACTGCTGAGGGTTATCGTGGTTTTGGGATTGAATTTCGACAATGGCTTGCTCGAAAGTGATGCTAATGCATTGATTCCGAATGGACGGTCGTTCGTGATACTCACGTGATTCTGAGCAGATACGGCTTAGCGCCATTTGTCCTTTTTTCTCACACGACTCCGAGATCCCGTGACTTCCGCTGAGCAACTTTTCTCGAGTGTCCCGAAAGTTTGGACTATACCGCAGTGAACTAGAACTCCAGTTCTTGCTTCCCCGGCCTAACAATTGCTTCTTTTACCTTGACTCGCGCCTTTTATTCTTCGGGTCCCACACAATCTCCAGATGAAGAGGCTGCAGCTCCAACGATGGAGCAGTTCGGCCCTATCGTCGCGAGCCCGAACCGGCGGGCGATTGCACCGACATCTCTACTCAGGAACCCGGCTTCAGTCGACCAGTTCATATCCTTCACATGATCAGTTACTCGGAAAAGAATCGCGTCCGCCAACCGCAACCTCCGACGTCCCCAAATTCACAAAACGCCAACTTCCCTCTCCGCCAGTCGAGGCCGCACGCGAGTCGGCAAAACTTGCGGCACTCCATGCACGATTATACCTGCCATCGCGATTACCTCTCGAAACTCTAGCACGCTGCTTAGTAGATGCATCTGCGGACCCCAATGCCCAATTCAACAATCAATCGCTCTCTGTACTGGGCAATGACCTCCTGAGCAACTACACGTCCGAACACCTCATTTGCACATACCCTCGACTGCCCTTGACTGTGATATTCGCCGCAATGTACGCTTACGTCGGGCCCAAGACACTCCTCGCCATGTCAAGGGAGTGGGGAGTAGAGCATGCTGCCGCCCCCGGCGGCGAGGTAGACCCTGGTCTCCTTCAATACAAGCGACTCGCCCCTGGCACCAAACCCGACGCAGAGCCTCTCATCGGCACAACAAGACCGAACGAAGACCAAACAACATGGAGGAGATCGATTACTTCCAGTGTCGTTTATGATAACGAGTTTGGCGATCCTGAGATGGCAGCCAGTCCTCCTGCCGAACTGTCCGACGAGCCCTTTTTGATGAACGACAAGAGTCCCGCGCCCGCCACTCCTGAGGCAGCCAGCGCGACCTTTGTTCGGGCAGTGGTGGGTGCTATCTACCTCCATGCCGGCAGACCCGCTGCAAAGCGCTTCTTCGAACAGCACTTCCTCTCCCGACAACTCGATATTTCCAAGATGTTCAACTTTCAGCAGCCAGCTCGTGATCTCACTCGACTCTGCGCACGTGAAAACTACGATGAGCCAGTCGCCAAGATTATTAGCGAAACTGGCCGCAGGAGCAGAACTCCCGTCTTCGTTGTCGGCATCTTCTCCGGTCAAGATAAACTGGGTGAGGGCACTGGAGCCAGTTTATCTGAGGCTCGGGCAAGGGCGTCAGTAGCAGCACTGAAGGGTTGGTACCTCTATAGCCCACTAGAAGTCCGGGTACCTAGCGCAATGGAGGAGGAAGACGCGGCGCCTTGGAAGCCGGTTTATGTGGATTTGGGCGAGGTGATTGTATAGAGACACGAGCGGTGAGAGATAAACCTCATTTTCATTTCACACAGCGTGCTGTTGACGAGGAGACTTGGCAAGAGTCGTCGTGTATACCATGTCTTAACAGCTAAAGATCGAACTTGTATAGTATGGGAAATTCATCCTCTTTTCTGGTGTCTTTTGTCTCTTTATTCCCTTTTCATCTTTTGTTGTGTTTTGGTTATGGGAATGGCCCTTGTAGCAAGCTTGTTTTAGCAAAGAGATTTCTATGAGTTACTCCTAGTACATAGATCATGTTGATACTGTCTGCTGTTGTCTTGGTAGTAGCCAGCAGACCAACCTATAACCTTCACATAAACCACCTCGTGCGTAATATAGCCCCGCAACAGACAATTTCCTTCCAAAACGATTCATTCGAATTGAGCAAGATGCGATTTTTACTGCTCAAAAGCCGGGCAATGGCTGAGGTGCAGTGTCTGCCGGTGTTTACGTGCGGCTGGTAGACTATCCATTAACAAAGTGTAAAGACTTGCTTGCGTTGTGACAAACGATCGTCTTCTGTAATCTGCTCAATAAATGCACTGTTGCCTAAGATGGCCTGTTCAGCATGGTGCTCGTGTCTAAATTCGCGTCTGTCTCAACTGCTAATCTCAGGAATCTATGCAGGTGGGTTGACGATCTCATCCTCCCAATTCCCTTGGTTGCCGGCAGGAGTATCGAGCCAGCTACCATATTCTTCCCAAAGCTCATCGATTTCAGCCCCAAATAACCCCATCCAAAAGCCGACTTTCCTTTCACTTCCGGTATCGTGCTTCTTATCCTTTGGCTTGCCCTCTCCGACGTATCCAACTCGGCACAGTTGATCATTCAACAAGCCCACCGCGCCCTGTCCAACCCGAACATCCTCCAGCCACGCCAAGAAGTATGCCGTATGTTGATAGCCCGAATCCCATTTCTCTGGTCTTTCCTTGGCAGAGGTTGGTCGGCTCCAGTGCGGCGGCTCCAGTCCCGCCTTCAGACGGACAAAATCCGCAACCCCTTCAATTAGACCACCCGGCGCCCGAGGGGTAGAATCATCTGGTTTGCCGTCGGGAGACGCACGCGGGGCAGCATACTGAAAGCAGTGGACAAGCTCGTGGGTTATAACGCCTGTTAGCTCGGCTAGAGGATCAGCTTTTGAGCGACAATGATGTATATACTGGAGAGAGATGTGTATCTCTTTGTGGTCATTGTCAAGCTCGTTGCCGGTTGTGTATGCGACGCCGCCAATGTCGCGGAGGAGGATCGTGACAGAGCGAGTAGGTGGAAGGCAAGGCTCGAAAGTCGGTGCGTGCTTCTGTTTCCCTGGGACGGCGGAGGTGTAGAGGTTCCGAATAATGGCAGTCAACGCAGTTTCAAGTGTGGACGCAAGATCTGGAATCAATGAGATGAAAAACTGGGAGGAAGAATGGCGCAAATCGTGAATTTGCAGGCGGAACTTGGGCGCGGAGTGCGGAACCACATGCTTGTCTGGAGACCTTTTTTTGGAGCTGACATCTGGGATAGGTGAAGGTGTCGCCATGGCTGCTTATCAACTGTGGTAAAACAAAAGATGCAATCACCAAGTCATTTTAGAACTTGAAAACCTCACGATCTGTCAATAGTTCCTCATAGCCTTGAGCGGGGATGCGGGGGATGAGCTCGCGATATGGGACTAAACCTTTAGCAGGGCATGTAAGCGCACGGGGCCCCCATATTCAACATCCTGAATCAATCAATAATCGTGGACTATGGGTCAATACTGAACCAGTAACCGACGAGTGTCTTTATAACGAGTACCTAGGGCCGCTATGTAAAAGACAAGTACTGAATAGTACATCATTCAAGTTGGTAGTAGTTGTTCTATACGCGCTTAATGGTGATGCTCAAATATTTATCTTGATCACTAGAAGATTTTTGCGAATTCGCTAAACGTCACCAAGAAATACAGATGGGCCAGCAGGCCTGCAGTACCAATCACTCTTACAATCTCACACTCATACTCAACTTCGCTGCTCCTATTCCAGGCCTCCTTGGATTCGCAGTCGATATACAATGTCGAGCGCCCAAAGTGGGCCAATCGCGGGACGAGCCTGAAGAGACGGGGAGCTCCCAACCTAGGTAGGTTGCGGGTAAACAAACATTGTCTACAGGACAACAACACGGAAATTATTCCTTAATACCCCCTCAATTAAAGGTCTTTGCTTTCCCTGCCCATGATCGATCCTCAATCGAGTGCTGCCAATGCCATATATGTACTCGTATTAATCAATCGATCTGCGTGGAGCCGCCGGGAGTGCTCCGTGCCAGCAGCAGGGGCTTATCGCTGCGTCTGTTTCGCTTATCGGAAATTGTCCCCTCCGCTCCTTCCCAACTTGCGTTTTCGTCGTCACTTCCCAACTTTCACCACCACCATCGCCCTCGTTACTTCCTTTCGCGACGCGGTTTCCCGCTTGACCATGCTAAACTGACCTGCGACTGCTGTAATAGTTCTCTTCGCCCGGTATGTCTTCCTCCCTTCTCCCCCCTCCGTCTTTTCTTCCTCATCACCTCTACAAATCAATCTGCATATGCTAACATTACACCAAAATGGAAGCATCTTCAGGGACTTTGGCATTTTATGCCTTCATAATCACCGCGCTATTTACTTCCCACTTACGGAATCTTCTATTTGCCATTTTCGTCTTTGCCCTCCACTTTTGCGCTACGTATGCGGTACTCGTCGTCTCACAGCCTGTGATCCTCCGATACTGGCACGAGATGGAACCAAAAGCCGCGGAGTTGGTGGCAGTTCTGACGAACAGCAACCTGTCGATTGATGCCAAGGTTACCCACATACTTGGTTTGAAATCGGACATCAAGCAGAAGAACGTTCCAGAGGGGGCAGTCCCACCCATTTTCGAGAGTTTACGGTTGTCGATAGCCTCGCCTCATTATGCTCTGCTCGCTGCAGGTTTCTCCACACTCGGTCACTGCTTGAAACGCCTGTTCATCCAAGGACAGCATGATCTCGTTTCAATGCACGCCAGGGTCCTTTACCCTCATTTGATCGAGCGTCTCGGTGACAGTAAGGAGCGTATTAGGGCTCAGGCTGCCCAGGCGTTTACCGAACTGTGGCCCGCCTCGAATGCCGATGTCGAAGAATGCGTATTGGGCGCTGCTCTAAAGAGCAAGAACCCCAAGTCGAAGCAGTCAGCTATGATCTGGCTCGACACTGTAAGTCTTCTTGATTTCGCATTCGACCATGGTCTGACTCTTCGAAAACAGATGCACCATACGCACGTTATCCTCTTCCGGCAATACGTCCCTGACATCGTTGCGTGCCTTGAGAATGCCGACTCCACAGTTCGTGACCAGGCGAAAACTACAATTTTGACACTCTTCGAGTAAGTTCCATTGGTTCGCTACTCTGGAACTTGCCCTAACCACTGAACAGGAATGCACCAGCAGTTGCTAAGACTGATTTGATGCTACAAATGCAATCTAATAACGTTAGAAAGTCGATTGCGGATCCTCTTCTCAAAGCTATTGGGCTTGAGCCGGAGAATTATGTCAGTCGACCACCTTCTCGAGGTGATGCACTTTACGTTCGACCTCCCTCTCGAGGCGACGCTCTCCATAATCGCCCTCCCTCTCGAGGCGACGCTCTCCATAATCGCCCTCCCTCTCGAGGCGACGCTCTCCATAATCGCCCTCCCTCTCGAGGCGATGCTTTACACAATCGACCTCCTTCTCGAGGCGATGCTCTTCACAATCGACCTCCCTCTCGAGGCGATGCTCTTCACAATCGACCTCCCTCTCGAGGCGATGCTCTTCACAATCGACCTCCTTCTCGGGGCGATGCGTTGCGTCAGCTACCATCTGCCAATAGCATGACTACGGTCAGCATGCATACACAGGAGGATACTGATCTTGAGTGTGAGAGTGAGTTTATGCCTTCCAGATCTACGTTTGACAAAGCTAACCATGCACCAGCTCCACCTTTGTTGATAAAGCCTATACCAATAAGGCCCAACCAGAGCCCTCTGAAGGATGGCCAATTCAGAGCACCCAAGGGGGCAGGTGCTTCTGTTGACCGCCCTTCTGCTCAGTCCACACCAAAGCTGATCCTTCAGCGGACTGAAGAGGATGAAAATTTCGGCGAGTCGACTTCACAGAAGGACTTCGAGGACTCGGCTTCAAAAGACGGTTACCAGGAACCGACGAAGAGGCAGCTCGAAAAGTGTGAGGTCGCACCTTACAGAATCACTCCGCGCGATGTTGCATCGACTCGCGACCTTGACAGCGTCCTGCGTGAGATAGCGCCTCCTTTCCAGGGCAGAGAGACGGAGGACAATTGGATGCATCGTTTTCGCGGTCTCCTAACGCTACGCCGAGTCACGGTCGGAAATGCACCGCGCGACTTCCCTCAAGCCTTCATTGCGGCCATCAAGGCTTGGCTTGATAACATCTTCAAAGTAGTCCTTTCCCTTAGAACTAGTATGATCACAATGGGTTGTTTTATGGTGGAAGATCTTGCTCGGGTGTTGGGCCCTCGGCTCGACCCCATGATCGACATTTTCATGCAAAACTTGATGAAGCTTTGCATGAGTATGAAGAAGCTGGTCGGTTCAATTGGAAACACTACTGTTGAAGTCATGATCAAAAACTTGACTCGCAATTCGCGTCTGTTGAGTCACATCACGACAGCCGCCCAGGAGAAGAACGTCAACTTGCGTCTATATGGTGCAAGCTGGATAAAAATCATCATCACTCAACAATCCGAACACAAAGTCTCGGTCGAAGGCGTCAACAATATCGAGACTTGTATTCGAAAGAGCCTTGTCGACGCCAATCCTGGCGTTAGAGAGGCAATGCGTTCTACCTTCTGGGCCTTCTATGGCGTTTGGCCAAAGCGTGCCAATCGGTGAGTCGAACTTGATCCCACTACCCCCAATTCTCATCCAGACTTGGCTAACAGACTCTTAGCATCCTTTCCGACCTAGACACTAAATCTCGCAACTTGCTGGAGAAGGATCCTTCCAATCCGAACACTGATCCATTTGCATCGAACTCGGCGTCCTCGAAGACAGGACTTTTTAGCACATCTGCCACTACGGGCCGCTCGGCCCCGAAAGCGGCGATTGCTGAGGGAAAGAAGGCAAACCTTGCTGCTCCGACCAAGAGCTTGACTTCTTCCCCTAGGGCTCAGCATACTGCTCGGCCTGATGCAATGTCGGCTGATCGTCACCGCAAACCACCAACTACCACTACCACGCGGGCTGTTCCGAGGGGCACTAACACCTCATCTCTGACGGCCGCACCTATGCGACCGGGAGGGGCCTCCAGGCAACGACCAGCTCATCTTGATGTAGCCCGCCCGGCTACTGCTACCGATTTTCATTCGATTCCACCAGCGAGCCCGACTCGAACCCAGGTCGCCGACCCGTCGCCCTTGACGAGACAGCTCGGAGCAACTCGTCCACGGCAGAAGAGCGACCCTTTGCAGGACGCAAGTCCGACGAAGATAAGGGCCCCAAAGTTTGACTTCGATGCAAACAGTGCGGATCAGCCATTCGGGACTCTACACATCCCCAAGGCCCGTGCCAACAGCAACGAACAGAAGCAGGATGAAGAGGATACGCCGAAGCCAAGAGTGCTTTCAATCGAGGTACCAATGCACCCGCTTAGCGACGAGAAGAAGAAGATGGATGAAGAGGAACCTGCCGAAGATGCGATTGAGGTTGCAGCCCACCCAATCAACGATGAGAAGAAGGAGGTGAAGCCCGGACCGAGACGGATCTCAATGGAGGTCGAGGCCCCCGCAATCAGCGACGAGCAGGTTCATAATGGCGAGCATAGTGTACCGAGAAGAAAGATTTCACTTGAGTTTGGGCCAGGCATGCGCGTGCTTGAGAAGGATGAAGAGAGTCTCCTGCCCCAGATTCCAACGATCACCGTCGAGGCCCGTCGGGTGTCGTCGAGCAGAACTTCATCGAGCAGAGTTCCATCGAACAGCTTCTCACCTGAATTACCGAAGACGGGTCACAAGCCGAGTGGAGCTCACAAGGCGCCGATTGCGGCTGGTGATATTAGCATTGAAGATTTGCTGGCACCGCGAGTTGCGGACAGGTCGGTTTCGGGAGTCTCCGCGGTCTCGGGAGGATCGGACATGTCAATGGTGGATCTGGACAGAATTATGGATAATGTGATCCCCGGCCTACGCAAAATCAGTAATCGGTTGGTGAGGGCTGAGACCCCTCGGCGAAGGAACATCAGTCCCCGATCGCAAGATCCTGACCAGGCCCGCGGGATGCTTGCCAAAGGAATTGAACGAATTCGGGCGAGGGAGATGGATATTACTGGGTATCGAAAGATACAGGGGCTGATTGAGTTCCACGATGCGCTCTTTACCGACGAGGAGCAGTTTGACTTTATGCTCTTGGCTCTGATTGACGAGTTGCAGTCGCCGATCCCGTTGGAAGACGCAAAGAAAGAGTTTGGAACGGCGTGGGACCTGAAGCTGCAGGTTATCGTGACGCTTCGGTACATGTTTGATCATGCGAACCTATACTTCCCGGTCCACTACCCGTTCACGGTGGTTGCATTACTTCGCGCTCTCCGGGAATTTGAGATAGCGCCCACGGTTGTCGAAGGTCTTCAGCATCTGCTTCGCGACATTGTTGCTGTGTGCGATCCCTCGTCTACCATCGATGCTGTTGTCGATGTACTTGATACGGAACGCCAGAGCCATGATGTTGAATTTAGGTCGTTGCAAAAGGGACTGGAAGTGTTGGTGGACATCCTCGTCCGGGTAAATGCTGCTCGGAAAAGTGCTGCACTCAAGAAACAGGAGTCGCCTGCCTGGTCCGACATTTCTTATGACACTGTGAAGCATGTTGCCGGACTTGCAGGTCGTGCCTTGTCCATCCAAGAGGTTAGACGGGAGTGTGTCGCAACGTGTGGTCAGCTGCGCATGTACCTGAATGACGACGAACGTCTTTGGAGGCTTTTAAAGATGCCCCCGGAGCATGCTCGCAGTTTGATTCTCTATTACACCTCCAGAAAACGCTATGTTACACCTTGATAAACGATCATGAGGATTTTTGGGTCATCGAGCGGAGTTACAGTTTTGGAAAAGAAAGGTTTTCTTTTTGGTTCATGTGGTATTATTAGCGTGACGGCCATGGATGCTCTTTTGCTTTGTTTTGTGATTGTCTCTTGGTTTTGCTCTCTTGGTTTTGTTTGTAAAAGTGCTGCTTTCTTCAGTTTTTTTGCCTCTATTAGAAACGGACAACGTTTCCATGTATCAATATTTTACCTTATTCTTAATAAACTCCTTAAAAGGTTCAATCGGTATTTTACTCGGTAGTTCTCTTGATGAAACCATACGACTCGGGTAAGAATGCTAACATGCTGATTTAAACTCAGTTGGAAGAAGTACCATCTCGTCCCCAGGCATCACATTGTCTCCTTCATCCAGCCAACTACCATCATACACGTCAGATGACCTACTGGATGGGAAGGTCTCACATTCTGCCAGACTCATGGAAACACTTGCAGTTGTTGAAGTCTCTGGACTCGTAGCATCCGTCTCTGGCGAGCCGAGATTCGAGAACTCGAATAATTCATCCGAGTCTGTTAGCGAGTCAGCTCTCGAGGGCGCTGGCGACGGCGATAGACCGATGAAGACTGGGGTTTTGACCAGGCCCATGAATTCAGAACCGTAGTTGGCGGTGCTACTTTCCGGGGGGCTTGCTCGGTGTTCCGGCGTGTATGTAGTATTTCCATTTCTCGCTGTTATTATCTCGCTGATCACCTCTAGGAAGAACGACGATGGCTCTTGAGGAGAGGATCCCGGCTCTGGGTTCAGACGGTTGGTGTTGTTTTCTGTTAGAGGGAAGCACGAAGCTGAATTCGCTCTGTGGGTGGCCCCGTGCAGCCGCGCGAGCCTTTCGCCAACACTCGCAGAGACGTAGTGATGCGGAGGAGGGGGTCTGAGGTAGAAGCTCGTTGCTGGAGCGGAGAGAGTTTCGTCCCGTTGAGGCTGTCCTTGGTCTTCCCTCTTTCGTTTTCGGCCATGGATGTTATCATATCCGACCGGGTTCTTGAAACAGAGAGTTAGAAATTGCTTGCTGGAATTGGGATCACCGTTAGACCGGGCATAAGTCACTTTCGCTCCTTCAGCTGAGCTTCCGAACCAGCGTAACAAGGCCCCTTGCACATTGGGCAGCGTAATAGTTGGCTTGTCTTGCGCAGTAGATAGCTCTGCGTCCTCGGAAAGTAAGATAGGGCTAGAGCTGAGCTCAATCGCCTCATGGACCGATCCTTCTTCCTCATCAGCTTGAACAAGGACAATATCATTTCCCCAATCACCGGCAAACTTGGCGTCTATCCCACGGGCACGTAGAAACCTTCTTGCAGCAGTGAGTTCGGTCCCCTCGCAACAAAGAAAGTCAAAGCCCGTCTCCATGGCTCGCCTCACAATGGAGAACGTCTGACGAGATGCCTTGCGGAACAGGAGTAGGTACGGGTAGTCTCGGCTCTGGGCACTGTTATCCAGCTTCAGTAAGTCCTTGAGCTGCTTAGCTCTCATTGCGCTCAACTCGGCGTCTTCGAATCTGATCTGTTGGGAACGGCAGCAAAGGAGGTCCTCATTGGTCTCGCACTCTTCTTCTGTTAGACCGAGCATATGGTTGACCTTGGACCAGGTGTGACGCTCGAGCAGATTGCTGAAGATTTCCGTTTGCATTCGGCGAGAGAGGTCGGCCCAGGTTGGGCTTCGGCTGTCTGCCGTGGAAGACTGGAGGCCTTAGTAACAGGATACCTTAGACAGACGTCTCAAGACGCGGATCTTGACTTACCTCAGATGACCCAGCCATAGCCTCATCCGCATCACTATCTTCCATGCCATCCGCAGCAGACAATTCCTGACCCACAGCCGCCATCTTGGCCATATTGCTCACATAGATCGGGTTCATCTCTCCATTGCTCGCCATATGGTTCTCCAGTACATTCATAGGCATATCCTCAAACTCGTCCCTCGCGGCAGCATCCTTCTGGTCTCCGGGATTTGTCAATTGGCGTATGGCTTCTAAGCTCTTTCTCGCAGTTGTCCGGTCATCGTTGGTCTGGTTTCTCTCGTTGTCTTCGGCCCGTGGGCTATTGAGCGTCGGAAATGCAGCAGGGGGAAGATTCGGGTTAAATTCAGAGAAGCGTGGCTTGTCATTCTTCGGCTTTCGCAATGGCTTTTGAGAGAGCGGGAGGTAGACATGGTCTTGGTGAAGGCGTTCAGGGAGACGGACGGTTTCACGAAGCCTCATAATGCTCGATTGGGTCTCGCTTTTTTGCTTGCTGGATCAGGAATAAGTCAAAGAGTCATGATAAGGATACTTGGAGAGAAACAGAAGAGAATGAGAGTAATGGAGAGGATACAAAAATAGGGCGTTTGGTGTCTGTAATGACTGTGTGCCTATACTGCCATTGACAGGGGCATAAGGAGTGTATGAGCAACAGCGAGGCGCCCTTCAAGTGTAGAGATGGCTGTAGGTAGGATTTGGAAAAGCAAATCAATGGTTGGGAAAAGGTGTTGTGGAAGGTCCAGTGTTGGTCAATCTCTTACTTGCGCAAATTGTTGGTAATTGAATGGAGCTACCTGTTTTGAAAATCCAAGCCTCGCGAAATGCCCTCATTATGCGGATATTCATTAAGCTCAAATGCCTAGACGCCTGAACCTGCAGTTGCCTGGCTGATTATGGTAGACGAGAACTAAGATACAAAGAAGGGAAAAGCCATGAAAAACACGGTAAACGCAATGCCTAGCGATCCTGGAATGGTGCCAAAGGCTTCCTATCTGCAGAGAATTCCGCCTCCATACTCTCATACTCTGGGGGTTCGTTTTCGACTTGGTCGGCAAAGCTTCGTTTCTTTGATAGTGTCATCGTCGGAGCAGCTAAACTCGAGTGCGCAAAGACAGACTTTCTCGCATTCTCAACATCACTCTTGGCCACCAAAATTCCTTCAAAAGCGCTCAACAGAGGCCTCAACCCATCCTCCATGTCGATACAGAACCGCTGCGAGTGAAGGAAGTTGAGCGCGTGGCCCAACTCCATGTTGAGCATAACCATCAGATACGCCACCACGACCGAGGCAGACAGCCCGTTTCCGGTTTCGCAGAATACGAGAACCTTTTTGGGAATGGGCTGTCCGGACACCGAATCTATTGAAGGATAGATATGATCGTTGATGCGTCGTATAGCTTGCGGCAATCTAGCGATTACGTCCTGACTACTGGAGACATCGAAAGAGTCCGACTCGATACCCAGATCTGCGGCGGCTTTGTGTCCTGAGACAAGTCGTAATTTCGCCAGCCGCTCGTCTCGAACACCAAACAGAAGAGTGAAACCTTCATCTCTGAGCCACTGCTTGTTCGAGAGACAGCTCCACGGTCCGAGATACAGAAACGGAAGGATCCGTTGCGCCTCCCGGCGCAAACTGTATGTCCAGTCGACCTCCGCTTGTGGAAGAGTGAAAATCTTCGGATCGAGGTGCTGGAAAAAGCCGGGACTGACGAATTCACCTTCGGGAAAGCGATGAGTGCCAAAACTGGGACGTTCTGAAGCGTTGAAGCCATAGCCATTGTATTGAACGTCAGGGTAGTTGACTGTTGCAAGCCTCTGCGTGTACTGATGTGTGGGAATATAGTGGGAGCCGGCCTGCCCTGACATGGGGACCTCTGAAGAGGTAAATGCAGAACCCATCGTAGATAGACCTTGGGAGGAAGATTTGAGATCTGATGAGAAGGCGTTGTGGCTGTGGACTTGCGGAGGTAGAAAGCAAATTGCGAGTTTACTTCACTGATTAAAACGAGGAGACACCCGAGCCCAGCCTTTCCCTTTTCGGAATGGTTGCCTGAGGGCCTTTGATAACGCCCTTTGCTGCCTTGACCAGAAACAGACAAAGATAATATCCGAAAGAAGGTAGAAAAGAGTCTTGAACAATCAGCGAACCGCTAGTTACTATTCATAGGTCCAGTCTGGATAATTAGAGCTGTGTTCAACATCTTCACTAAACCCTTTTAACTCTCATCAACCATACAAGCAAGACACTAAATAAACACAGTCATCTTCTTTATACCCTAATCAACAAAAACCGATCAAGTCTGAAAGATCCAGCGCGGATCCTTGTCTCCTTGGAAGTCGCCCTCTGCATCGCCAATATCACCCATCAGTGCTTGAAGACCTTCACGCTCCCTAATCTCAGCCTTTTTAGCGTTTTCTCGGTTGAGGACCTGCCACAGAATGAACACAACCACGATATTAGCCGCAAGATAACCCAATGCGAACCCGTGGCCGAGAAAGTAGCGGGGGCTGGTTTCCGTCCGGTACAATTGTGTCCCAAGGACAGCACCAAGGTTGCCAATGGAAATCTGCATCGCATTAGCGATGGCTCGCTTCGTTTGGCCCGAAACATTGTTTGCGGGCCACGAGAGGACGATCGCAACAGCAGGATAGATGCCAGCACAGCAAAAAAAGGTTCCCGTATACGAAACGCCGGGTTTACGGCCTGCAAGGAGAATAATATAACCAATAATGGCAAACGCCGAAGAGCCCATAATGAAAGGTGCTCGTCGCCTAGTACGCTCGGAAAGAATGGCAACAGTAATCGTCGTAACGAATCCGAGTGCGTAGGGAGGTACAGTGAGCAACTGGGCCTTGGCTGCGCTGTAGCCGAGTTCCTTGATGATGGTTGGCTATTTTTCGGGTTAGAAGAAAGACTAATCAATGCAATCAGCAAGGAACTTACCAGGAATAGAGAGAGCGTATATAAGGGGAGGGACATTGTATGGAATCCAAGCCCATACAACCAGACCTTGGGGTCTCTGACAGCGTCGAGCACAGCCGACCAAGTAAATTTCTCTTCACGCGTCGCATCATTATCATGCTTTAGGCGAAAGGTGATGAACCTTCGCTCCTTGTCTGACAAGAATTCTGCGGTTGCTGGATAATTGTAAACCCAGAAATAAGCAACAAGAGCCATTACCACAGTCAGCAGACCTTCCTGTATTCAGTCAGTACGCAGTTTAGGATGCGGAATTTATATCCAAATCCTACCAAGATAAAGATCCATCGCCAGCCGGCGTAGCCGCCAACCCCTCGCATATGTGCGATACCCTAGCAGGCAGTCAGGGACTGTGTAGTGAGTATACCGTTTGAAAACATACCCAAGCAAGAATGCCACCGAAAGCACCAGCAAGCGAAGCAGCACTGAAAAACAATGCGACACGGTAATGCTGTTCATTTCGCTTATACCACATAGACAAATAGAAGACGACTCCAGGAAAGAGACCACTTTCCGCAATACCAAGGGCTGCAATGGAACAGATGCTTCCAGCTTCAGGGATCAGAGACCCGAGAAGATGGAGGAGCATCGGAGCTATGTTAGCAGTGTCTATATAATCTGAGTAAGCTTGGACTTACCTGTTCGCGAGGTAAGGTATCCGGCATAGTTTTGGACGACACCAAGAAGTGTGGCAACAATACCCCAAATCAGAGTAAGCGTCGGAAGCCACATTCGGGGCGTGGTCTTCTTCAATATAATATTGCAAGGGACCTCGAACACAACGTAACCAATGAAGTACAAGGTCAACCCAGTAAGGTATTGATTGCCGGCTATACAGATCCACGGCGTCAGCATCAACGTATAACATGCGACAATGAAGGTGGTTCGTACTCATGCCAACATCATCAGTCAGGCCTTCCAGACGCGCATTGCCGACTAACAATCGTATATATTAGCATGGAAATCGCCAAGTCGAGAGCTCATAGACTTGTACCGTTACTCCGATCGAGGAATGACAAAAGATATAATATCGTTAGCGGTGGCAGCAGCTTATAATCGAGCCTCCGAAGTAGGGCTTTCTCGTTGATATCGGCAAATTCGTTTGCAACAGTGCTTTCCGCCGGGGAGCTGTCATACTTCTCGCGAGAAGCATCGAGATCCGACCCCTGGACTTCTTTCTGGTCCGCCATGGTTCGCTAAAGGCACAGTGATCTCAACCTGCGATAAGCGTGGTATTCCAGAAGGAGACAACGAAGACTCGTGCAGGAGGAGAATTTTGCGACATCCTATCCTGGCGCACAGTTTCCGGCTGGCTTATTTAAAGCTGTCAACGGCGCTCGAGGCAACGCGCATGGCAGGAAGCACATCATCGCAGTTACCGTTTGCGCGATGACGGCTGCGAATCCCAGAGGTTCTTGTCGTGGGGGTCTGGATCACGACGCTCGTTAGGACAGCCGATCCCACATGGCAGCGAAACATCTTTCAGGCGTCAAAGCCAATGGTTGTTGACTATGTCATATCAAAACGAATCCCTCGGTTGGTTGTGAGACTTTTGTTGATGAGCAATATGGGCTCCGCGATGACGAGATCGAGCCACTTCTCCCGTGCTTTTCTTGTTCAAGTCTAGAGCAGAATAGCTTGTTCACGGGTCCTATCAAACAGCGCAATTTCCCGGCCGAGAAAGCAAATAAGGAATGGTGGCATTCCCTATTAGGCTTAAACACAACAAGCCTCCCCTCGTTTTCTTTCTTGGAACTACAACGTCTTCATCTGCCCAGACTCCCAAGACATTCCCAAGGTTCAGCGTACTTTCGTAGCGCTTTCTCCCATCAAGATGAGCATTCACGACGCTGACTGACGCAACCAATTGCCTGGAGCCTGACCTCTCAGGGCACGAACCCCCTTCCATGCCGAAGCGCCCCCCGTTTATTCAGGGGAAACCTTGAAAGCGAAGAGCAACATCCTCCCACAAACTGAGGGGCCGTAGGTGTGGAACACATCAACGAGGCTGATGAAACGAAATATGGATCATTGTGGATGGTCTAAGAAGAAGAAAAAGCCTAACTGAACGGGTCTTGTGTGGGGTTTTCCTCTGAAGAAGCTTGAGATCCTTCAATGCAAGAGGTAGAACATGCAAATGAGAAAGTACTTGTTGATCAACTCCTGGTAGGATACGTAGAAGCGAAGAAATAAAAAGACAACCTGAGCTTACATACACACCACATAGGAAGATGCGAAACAAATGCCTAAAGCTCAAGCCTCGAACTTGTCCTTGTTGCGCTCCGCCCATTCAGCGAATCTCATCGTTGGTCTCTTAAGAATCCTTTCAACGTTTGCCTTGAGTTCCGGGTCAAGTGGCTCATTGACATTTGCCTGCCTTTCATTCAATCCCGCAAAGTTCGATGTCAGGACCTTGGCCATTGGCTCTGGCAGACCGCTTTTGGAAATCAAAGTCTGCATATGCTCGTCCGGGCTGACTTTTGTCACTTTCACCGGCTGTTTAATTGCATTTGCAATCGCCTCGATAGCACCGGCCACGGTCAAATCCTCCTCTGCTCCGAGTAGGAAAATGGGGCTTTCATGCTCACCCTCCATTGTCCCAGCGAGAATCGTCCCACAGACTGCGCCAATGTCTTCCGGGGTGATGTAGTCGAACTTGAGGTCTGGAAAGGCCCATTTCACCTCCTTGTCTTCTATAATCTGCCTCTGCCACCAAAGGGAATTGCTCGCGAAGAAGGATGGCCGTACCGCCACGTATCCCTGCGGCCCAAAAACATCCTCTAGCGATATCTCAACCTGAGCGTGCTCGTAACCGATATAGTTGCTTGGCTGAACTGTCCGAATATCGCCTTGTACAGCGAAGCTGCTCAGAAGGACCACACGCTTGACACCCCCTGCCTTGAGTGCCTCGGCGGTGGACCGCATATGGTCCGGAGATGCCCCGAGAGTGGCATAAATGAAGGCGTGTGTTGCGCCTGTCTTGGATACCGTAGCGCGGATGGAGTCTGGCTGGCTGAGGTCGGCTTGGACTCTTTCATAAAGGTTGGACTTTTGTTCTTCGGCAGGACTTAGACCGGGGATGGACTTTGAGGTATCGCGCATTGCGAGAAAGACTTTGGCTCCAAGAGAATGAGCTGTGCGAGCAACGATCGAGCCAACTCCCCCAGTTGGGCCGAAGACCAACACCTTTCTAAGGCTCATTGTGACGTGGCTTGTGCTGGACGGCTTGATCAGAATAGGATGTGTTGAAGATGGACGGGAAATACCATGGTTCATCTGACCTTCACTTTATACCTTAGCCACGTCCGCCAATTTCCCCAATACATGACGCTGATCGGGGAAGTCGCCTGCCGACCACCGAACCTTCGTGTTGAGCATCGTATTGGCGCCCTTGTACAACCTCGACACACTCGAAATACGAGGTCATTTGTAAGCCATTATCGGGGATCGGACGCTTGGAGGCACCGGTTCACAATGCTTATTTGTAATCTCCATTGAGAACTGAGTTCCTCTTTGGCTTCGAATTCATTGTGGAGAAAGGGTCTAGAGCACAGCTTGATGAATAATGGAGAAGCTCTCAGATCCGCCTTGATGGCCACCGGCCATGATGTCGAACTGTCGGTCGGGAATTTATTATGCGTGATCCCGCGCCGATCACGGACGTCGTATCCTCAACGCCCGCCCTCCACGACGCTCAAGTCTTTGAGCGCCGATAGTCTGATCGATAATGCCTATATCGCGAGGATTCGCCGACCGCTTCCTGCCATACGCTCTTCTTCCCATTGATCATTTGTACCTGGTAGAAAAAATCGCGGAATTTCTCTCCACACAATATCATAAAGGATATCAAAAACTGCTCCGTAGAAAATGCCCAAAAATAACCAAGTAATGTTTCCTTAGTCTCTTGCTATACAAGTAACCCAGCCATTCTATGAGGGCAGCTAACTGCTATGCTTACCACACGCTATGAGCTAGCAAGCACATTTACAACGCCATTGTGAGTTGTTTCGTATCTTATGCGAGTGCTTGAAGCCCCCCGCATGAACTCGAGCAATCTTCATTCGACGATAACAGGTTGGCCGATGCGGGGACCCCAACAGCAACAATCGGCTCCCCGGCGCATTCGACCAACCACATTCTCGGCTTCTTTGTATCGGCATACCGAAAGAGAGTTTCTCCACTTGCGACATGCAATGTGACTCTGCGAGTCGGCGGATGTTGCCCACTGGTAGGATTATTATAAAAGGGGCTCGCTTTCATTCAAATGAGCGCCCAACTCACATTATATCGCATTCCTGGTTCTTGTCCGTCGGATAGTATCTTTTCGTGGAAACCTGCAAGATGAGCGCCCAGGTTGCAGACAAGTCAGGTACGTACAGAGCCACGACAACCCCGCCTTCTCCAACTTCCACCTTTCTGTCTAACACGACAAGCACAGACTCCCCGATGGCAAGTGCTGTCCTCCATCGACATACCAGCTTTGTCCCCAAAAAGGCAGTTGGGGGAAAGGGTAGTTATCTTTTCCTCGAAGACGGCACCAAGTTTTTGGATTCAACGGGGGGTGCTGCGGTTTCCTGTCTAGGTCATGGCAACGAGAAGGTCAACCAGGCCATCATCGATCAGTTGCAGAAAATTTCGTACTGTCACACTGCATTCTTTGGAACAGACGTGTCTGAAGAGCTTGCTCGATTTCTTGTTGATTCGACGGGCGGGAAATTTTCCAAGTTGTATGTTGTTAGCTCTGGTATGACCCTCCTTCCGTCCACTTTGAAGTGTTGAAACTTGCGTGCTAATCATGATCTTTCAGGCTCCGAAGCGGTCGAAGCCGCATTGAAGCTCTCCCGACAATATTTCCTCGAATTGCCAACACCCCAACCGCAACGAACGCGATTCATCGCCCGCAAGCCCTCCTACCACGGTATCACACTGGGTGCTCTAGGGGCAGGCGGTCATGTCATCCGACGAGAGCCATTTGAGCCTCTTCTCTCAACAAACACATCGCACGTCTCGCCATGCTACGCTTACCGCGGCAAGAAAGACGGCGAATCCGACGCAGATTATGTCACGCGTCTTGCCGACGAGCTTGACGCTGAGTTTCAACATGTTGGACCGGATACGGTGTGCGCGTTCATTGCGGAACCTGTTGTCGGAGCCGTATAGTCCCTTCTCCCTCTCGTTCTTTGATTTCTTTTGCTAACCATGACTTCCTCGAAAATAGGCTTTAGGTTGCGTCCCCGCGGTCCCTGGATACTTCCCTGCGATGAAATCAGTCTGCGAGAAATACGGAGCCCTGTTTATCCTCGACGAGGTTATGAGCGGCATGGGTCGCTGCGGTACCCTTCACGCCTGGGAGCAAGAAGGTATTGTGCCGGATTTGCAGACAATTGGGAAGGCCCTTGGGGGTGGATATGCTCCGGTGTCGGGGCTTCTGATCTCGGATAAGATCGTGCAAGCTATCGACAAAGGTACCGGTTCATTCCGACATGGACAAACGTATCAGGGTCATCCGGTCTCGTGTGCCGCCGCGTTGGCGGTGCAAAAGGTCATCAAAGAGGAGAGTCTGTTGGAGAATGTCCGGAGTATGGGTGGGTATTTGGAGAAGAAACTGAGGGAGACCCTGGGAGACCATCCATACGTTGGAGACATAAGGGGCAAGGGATTGTTTTGGGGTGTGAGTTGTTTCCATTTCAAGCTTCGTATGACCATAGGAAGATGCTTACTGACTGGAATCAATCTAGATCGAGTTTGTCAAGGATAAAACGACCAAAGAGCCATTCAGCACTGAGATCACAGTGGCGCTTCTTATCCAGGAGACCGGGCTCAAGCCTGAACATGCGATATCGCTGTATGCTTCATCAGGGACTGCTGACGGAATTAGGGGTGATCATGTCATTCTGGCACCCCCGTATAATGTTACCAAGGAGGAGATTGACATTATTGTCGAGACGACGAGGAAAGTCGTTAATGAAGTGTTTGCTCGAGTAGGATGAGGATTCAGGTAAGGTTAATGAATTATGTTCTACGGACTATGTCGGAGATTATTGGACTAGATTCGCTCTTATTATACATATTCCAGAACTAAGCTTTAGCTTCGGCTTCCAGCCCCTTGGAGACTACATCCCCATTTGTAGCAGTAGTCGAAGAATTCAGAGACCACATACTCGCAACAGTCTCAACAGCGCGCTCAATCACTACCCTTACTCGGTCCCTTAAGACTGCATTGACACATTCGACCTCCAGATCCTCCAGCCATACCCTCGCAACATGCTTATCTACTTTGATCTCGATGCCAGGGACGGGGATACCAATGGCTTGAAGACGGGCGAGTTCAGCCGCTTCAAGTTTTGCAATCGTCGCATCATCACGGAGATCCTTGGTTTCGGAGGAGGCGGCCTCGGAGTCAGACTTGGCGGTGCCGTTCGTTGCTGTCTGGCGGTCCTCCGTTGAAGGAAGTCGTGGCCGCTCGATAGGCGCAATGTCAGAGCCGAATTGCGCTTCTAGCATCATTAGGAGGCGGGCGAATCGTTCCTCGGCATCCTGAGCGGCGTGTGGGTTGATCAGGTCTAGCCCGTCATCGTGGTGATGGTGGTGCTTGTGATTGTGCTTAGCAGATTCTGTGAGTTTAACATTAGCAGGCGCGACGATGCATAAAACAAGAATAACATACGTTTCACGGACGCCGGGCTGCTTTCCACGGTGAGGAGAACCGCCATGACGGCATCGGCCACTCCGTCATTCATCATGTTTCCTTCCCACTGCAGCTCTACCTCGCGTGTACGAGGGTGATATCGGACTATGACGCAGCCCAGGACAAGGTATGTCTGCGGCTTTTCCATAGGAATCTCCTCATCTGCAGCTTCCACCTTCACATGCTGTTTTGATCCGTTGATCTCGGCTTCTCGGTCCTCTTCCTTTGTGTCGTTGCCGATCTCTTCAATAGCACCAAATGTACCCTCTAGAGCCCATTTGATCAAATCCATACTTGCAGAGCTTAGCGTGATGTGCTGTCTGCAGGTAATGGTCGTGGTCGCAAGACCAGCGTATTCGCGGAGATCATCTGGTGCCATTAATGACAGATCGAAGCCGTTTTGAACCAGAACTCCGGCCATGAGCGGCCCTTCCTCTTGCTCCGTAGGGATTGTCATTTGCGCTAGTTTACCCACGACCTTGGCAATTTTGTCTTTTCTGAAAGGGATCCGGACTTCCTCGCAGTTGGCGGGGGTGTAGACCTTGACTTTGACGGTTTTGTCTGCATTGAGACTGAGCAGTTTAGATTTGAGACGCATCATCTGATGTTTCTCACCGTGGACCAGAATCTGTGAAGTATTAGTCGTAGGTTGAGCGAAGACAATAGGGGATTAATTCGTACCACAACAGGAGCCGAAACCTCTTCGATAAAATTCCGGTTTTCGACTCCATCAACGTGAGCTGCAAAGGAGATTTCATCGACAGTGCATCGTCTGGGAATCATGATTTTCTGCTCTTCATCATTACCACCCATGCGGGTCCTGCCCATTCCGGTGGCTGCTCTCGACATGACAGCTGGGATTTGATCAGGTTCATTGAGAAGCTGTTTAGCCATTGTGCCTTCCACGCTGTAACCTGTCATTACAACGCCGTTGCGCTCGTTGGGAGCCCATCGTTCCAATAGCTCTCTACTTGTACCAGTTTGTAGCATACCCGGCGACGCCAGAATGACGCATCCTCCCACATCATCAAACCGTTCGAGACTACGTAGACTCCGGACGAACCTAAAGTCCCACGGTCCCGCACTGATACTCTTGTCGCCGCTGGCTTCTGCCTCTGCCATTCGTTGGCGGAAGAGCCGTTTGATGTTGTCGTTCATTGCTCCGATATATGTCTGATATACCACCATACATCTTCGCGCTGTGTTTCCGATGTAGTAGATGGGGATTTTTTGCAATTCAGGATGTGTCTCCCAATATTCGTCCAGAATAAGGAGGAGCTCCTGCGCGCGGCCGAGGGCAAATACAGGCATCAATACTCGGCCTCCGCGGTTCAAGATGCCAGTGATTGACTTCATGAGAGCCGCTTCGCGCTCCAGTCGAGGAGGGTTAGAAGAAATTCCAAAAGTGGATTCGGTTATGAGAACGTCGATTTTCACTCCTCGGGGAACCTCAGCCGGAATAAGGTGGCGATCCTCCTCGCGGGAATAGTCGCCTGTGAAAAGAATATTCAAGCCCGCGATTGACACCAGGAACATTGCAGCTCCAAGCACGTGGCCAGCGGGGAAGGGTGTAATGCGAATGCTGTTGATTGTGTGTGTGGTATTGAAGTCAATCGTCTCGATCATCGGAAGTGTAGACAAGTGATCCTGCTCTGTATATAGTGTGGTCCGCTGGTCCGACGACGACGCTGTATTGTTCACTCGCACATTGTCTTGGATTAACCATTTGTAGATAGCCTTTGTTGCATGCGTCATGAATACACGGCCTTTGAAGTTGGTTTTGCTGAGGACATAGGGGAGCGCGGATGAATGGTCGACGTGGAAGCTGCAAAGCAACGAATGTATTCCATCAGCCAACTATCGATAAGACAAAAGGTGGACGAAATTCATGACTAAGGATAATACGCAATACAGGTAATTCGGCACACGGGACACAAGATGAATTGAATTGTATTGCGCTTCTTGTATACATGACGGGGATGAACTGGGAGAATTGTTTGCCGGAAGAGTCATTCCACTACTGAGATCCAATGGTTCAATGAAGCCATCGCCCACGAAGCAACGATGTAGTATTGGGCATGACAGCATCTCGGCGAGAAGGAAGAAGAGCAGCAAGGAAACTAGGTGTCCGACGTACTGGCTGATCAGAAGAATATCTACCGTGCTCAGGTCGAACTCGTCGAAGAAAGGGAGCGCAGAGAAGCCTTCTTTCGCAGGGTGCATACCAGCATCAAGCTAGTAATTTCGAGTCAGAATCTGGCCCCATCAAAGAATTAAAAGACGCAAACGCACCATGACTGTTTTCCCTTTGTACTGAATGATATGACATGACCGGCCGACTTCGTTACCACCACCTAAACAGTAAAAGGCGAGCTCATCCGACGGGTCGACCGGTTCATCCTCGCCAAGGGCATTCAGCGCCGAAGCCTTTCGCTTTGTAGCCATGTTGAGATGTGTTTGTCCGCTAGAAGCTTGAGTAGTCTTTGGAGAACAATCAAACAAGAACCGCGCAAGACACAGTTAATCGAAGGGCTTCAATTAGCGTTCACTTGGTAAGCCATGGCATGCGCTCACACAAAGCTTATAGCAAACCACTGAAGCTCTCGCTCAAATCAAACAAAAAAAAAAAAAAATAAAGGTAGAGAGTTCGCCGCGTAGGGGCAAGATGGTTGAAGGTTTCGTTCCAGGAGAGGGCAGGCAGATTGATCTCACCTAACCATCACGTGACTTACCGCCAGCGGACTTTCGTCGCGGGAGCAAAACCTCGTCAAGGCAGAGCTCCCTTTCCGTACGCGCAGTATCCCGATTCACGCCAATTTTTCCACCGTACCCACGGCTTCCAATTTCCTTTTATGTCTCTGCTGGCGGCTTATCGCGATTGAATGTTGGATCCGATGTCTTGAGATGGTCACAGGTGGCGGCGGCGGCGGTTTCCAGCAGTCCGCATCACTCCTTCAACTCACGCGCAAAAGCATATCTTGGTAACTGAGGAAATACCATCGCGTTACTACGTATAAACTTCACCCAGGGCTGGAGGCCAAAGCCAGCAACATGGCGCAAACCCAACCTCAGCAGTTCTCCCAATCCTTTTCACCTCCGGGCTCTTCTCCCTCGCCCGCTCCGTCTCCCATCAATGGAAGTGTTCCACCGCCGAACAAGCGACAACGGCTCTCCCCTCTCCCTCAATCCTCACAGTCACCTTATGCCTCACCGAGCTTCGGAACCTTACAACTCCCACAAAGCCAACCTCTCCCAGTGAACGGAACAAATACAAATGGAATAACACAGACGCCGGCACCCCCACCACCTCCCGGCACAATGGGTCCCCCGTCTCGGCCAGTTGAAAAAGCCACAGATGCAGCCGAACTCACAGATGTGTTGGCGTCATCCGGTATCGATGTGAGGGAAGAGGAAGCCTTTCTCACAAGTAGTTATTCTGGTCCGGGCGTTCAAGCACAACAGCCACCCCGTCCTCAACAGCCGCTTCCTCAGCAGCAGCAGCAGCAACAACAGCAACAGCAACTCCCTCCTCTCAATACCTCTTTTGCCTCCCAGGCTTCAACTACCGGAACAGTCTCCGCGACACAGAGTTTTAGTGAGCCCTCACAATACAAGCCCTCAGGCACACAGGAGTCCTTTTACACCGAGCCCTCCACACAACCCCCCGCCCCTTTTCGAGATCCCAATGAGCCGACCCGCGAAGACACAGAGGCGGCCAGGCGTGCACAATACCATCTACAGGAACCGTTCCTGTTGACCAAGGTATTGGAACAGAGACTGCAGAAACGTGGCTTTGATCTAGGAGTACGTATACCTACGGAAGGCCTCTTTCATCCCGTCCCAGGCCGTCCACAGCCTATAGAGGTTACTGGGCCTGATGGTTCGTCCGTTGTCCGTACCGGCCAGACGATCCTCAATCAAGAAGGGGCACCTCTCGTGGATATACTGAATTTATTATCCATATCATGTGAGGAGAGGCTCCGGACAGTGATCGATTATTCTTCTACTCTCGCACAAAGCAGGCGGGCTCACTCACATGGATTGGTGCCGATCGATTGGAAGGATCTCGCGTCGACAGGTGGTAACAACGTGAATGGTCACGGGGATGGACCTCAAACACCTTCCCTCAAAAGTAACTCCCCTGCTCCTCTTTTTAGCAAAATACTAGAGAGTTGACTGACAATATCTCAGGATCTCATGCCGACGTTCAGTCAACGACCAGATCTCTTTCAGATAAATGCCGTCTCCTGGTAGATAAGGATGCCTCATACGAGGAGGCTAGAGCAGCAAAGCGGGCGAAACGCAGCGCAGAAGCCATTCTAGGCGAAGGCGGATCAGTAGTTAGACCTGATTCAGCGGATATACCTGGTTCCGGCGCTTCGACGCCGATCGGCGAAAGAGCTCCCAGCATTGATAAGAAAGGGATATCCAAGAAAGAAGCCAAGAAACTCATGGATGCAAAAGCGAACGAAGCGCAGCAACATCAGCAATCGGTGGAAACAGCACGAATGGCAACCCAAACTATGATGTCGGGAGGAATGTTTGGAAAAAAGAAGACATACTCCTGGCTCAACCGTGGCCCAGCAGCCGGAAGTGGTTTCTCCACACCAACGCGCATCAATAATCCCCCTACGCCAGCGGCTGTCAGTACAGAAAAAACACCACGACCCGGAGAGCCTGCTACTGTGCCGAGTAAGCAACTGGGAGCATGGCGGGAGGACAAGGAAAATGGGGCTGGAATACAGGTCCGAGATATTCTGTTTATGCTCGAGCTTGATGGAAGAGCATCCAGGCATATTCAAAAGGCGTATTCGAAAGACTTGAAGGAAGACAAAGCAGACTGATAGCGGCAGTTTTCCGCTCGGTCATTGTCCTCTTCGAGATTTTCTCAATATACTCCTTTTCACGAAATCATCTTTCTTCGTTCCGCATGGGCACTGCGCAGGATCGTGGTTTTATCGGGGGCGTTGCGGTATATCATTCGGGTTTCTACTCTATGTGTCTCTAATTTTTATTCGCCGTTGACATCCTCTTACTGATCAGTGTGGGCGGTTTTTGAATGCTTGCCTCGATAGGCTATTTCTCCCACTTTCCCCATTTTATCGTTTAATATGCATTGGGCTCGGCAAGGATCTCATCTTTTCAGATGTGCTGCCCACCTTACTCGAACCCCGTCACTTGATAATGTAAGGAAAATGAAACTATTCCAATGTGCGCTTTGGATGTAGACTGTATTTTGATACTAGCAGGAGTATGAGAATCGAGATCGTCGCCTGCCTGAGATGATCATCTCTGGAGCAGGACACTTGCCCACATCGGGTTAGGGTTCTGACGTACACCAAAATGAACCAGATGGCGGACGCGAAGGCCTTGAAACTCTGCAAGGCACAGCAATCGTTGTGTGTGTGTCTCTCAACTCTCGAGTATCGAATCCACTAGAGATGATCCGCGTGGCCAAGCCAATTGGAGAATCGTGAAAAGGTTCTACTTACCACAAAAGTCGACACGCTGCAAACAGAAACAGCGCGAGGGATGATGTCAGAGGAGGCGAGGACAAAAAGGCGGAGGCGGTTCCCACTGCGTGTCAATTCAATCTCCAATCATTCCATTCTTTGCAACGGCGCCGGCGCCCAGACTCGCCAGACTTAGGGCCGTTTCTACAAATCATAGCAACCCGCTTCTTCGCAGTCGCAGCGTGCAACAAATTCGAAAACGCATGACATAGATACGCCGTATGGCCTCTCTTCAGCACGCGGAATGCACCTAAAGCGTTGGTGCTTTGATCGCCTCTCATCGTTTCCATAGATGGGGCGTGTTTCTGACAAGGAGTCATAGCGAAGGCTCCGGCACGCCTCGAGGGCTCTGGTGGATATCTTGTCTCTCTTACAGTCTGCCTGCCCTTTCCTGTTAAGCCGGCTTACTCCAATAAATGCGTTTGCTCGTGCGATTGGTAGCGACGAGGCCCTGCGGATGTTCTCCAGGGTACACCAAGGCATATTTTGATTCCGTTCTAGTTTTGATCACAGAAATGGATACCTATCTTTTTGGGTGGTTCCGTAATGGCCAATGCGGGAGTTTGATGAGTATGTAGTGCTCAGGTATTATTATTATTCCCGGCGATCGCAAGGCCGCAAATATGACCAGAACTAAGAATGGGGGGAATGGTAAGAGACTGGAACAATATCAAAAACATTCCTCGTAGGATGAGCCCTCCCTCCACGAGGTATCTCTATCTGTCACCATGACATTCTGTCCCTTATGATTAAAGTCCTTTATGGCTCCAGTGGATGCCAGGCGAACGTTCCCACGGCTATTCTTGTCTTGCTCAGCGTCCCAGTGCCGGATTATTGTAGCGATCCCGTCTCGCCTCGCGGGCTCCAGCTATTTCACTTTAAACGCCCATTCAAAACAACCACGCGGTGTAATTTCTGATTTTTGATTTTTGATTTTTGATTTTTTTTTTTTCTTTGCTGGCGAATTTCTTTATTTCCGAATCCAACGCACTACTTCAGGGGAAAAATTAGGCTCCGGAAATACTATGTAGAGGACATTCTTACGAACCGCGCGCACTGTTTCTTGCCCCGACCGACCGCCTCGCCATCGAGTGAATCCCCACGCCTCTCTCATCTTTCTTCCTTCTTTCTCGTCACGTCTGCTCTGTCTACTTTAGCCTGCTGCGTCCTAGCAGTACCCTCGTCCCCTCTGCTTTCCTGTCAGAGTCTTCCCACCCCGTGATCCGAGCATCATCGCGAGAAAAACCCGGCTCTCCAGTCTGGCGTGTCGAGGGGCCCCCGTGTTCGTTGAGGGCGACGGTTGACCACCAGTGACGCTGAACGACTCTCCTCGCTCTTCCACACCCTCCTCCTTCCGACGATCCGCCGCTCGCACGAACGGTTGGTTTCCTTCAATCATCATGTCTACGCCCTCCACTGCCACCGCGACACATCCTTCGCATCACCAGCAGCATTACGGATTCCCTCATCATCAGCCATACCTCCCGAATCCATCAGCGTATCCGACCACGTCCTCTACCACCGCTCCGCACCTCAACCCGCCGGTCTACCCTTATACCGTCCCCTCATCGACCGCTACTCTACCTTTTACCCATTCTCCACAAATAGCCGCCGCCGCTTCAACGCCTACAAGCACCACAACTATGCCGCAGCCGCCTCCGAAACCCGCTAGCACGGGAATCTCGACTCAAACAGGGAGACGGAAACAGCCGGACTGGGGCGAGTTCTATAAAAATGGGATACCCGAAGAAGTAATCGTCATTGATGATACTCCTCCTCCGACTGACCATTCTGCTGCCGTCTCACATGCTTTCGCGACAAATTCCTCCGCTGCAGCTCCTAATGGCAGTATGCCACAGCCTGCGGGTAAGAGACGGCGTACCGGTATTGAGACAGCCTACGATCTAGGGTACTACGATCGCCCGTCCTTTTCTATAAATCCACAACAATATGGCGAAGAATCATCTGCCGGATCTCTTTCGACAGACCGGACGGCCTCACTACATACCACTGCCCCCACTTCTCTCTCACAGGGAAGTTCCGGTGCCAGCAACGGTGCCTATTATGAAGAGGCCAACGTTGGTCAGAAGCGAAAACGAGTGACGACCAGAAAGTCCGTCCGAGATGAGCAGAAGAAGCGGGAGCAGGAGACAGCAACTGATGCCTTTCTGAGCTACATTCCTCCCCCCAATCCCCCTGTCAAGGCCAAGGATGTGCCTGTTCCTGTCATTCGTTCTGTAAGTGTTGACGTGCCTTTATTTTATCTTTGCGTTCATTGTACTAATTTGCACAGTACGCAAATCGGGGCGAAAAGTTTGATGACGATGATGGTCACTACATCGTCACTCCTAATACCCCCTTAACAGATCGATGTGAGTGGCTGTTCGCATCAATCGTTCTTGTATATACTGACTATTTCAGACACTATCTCGAGGCTTCTCGGGCAAGGAACATTCGGCAAGGTCGTTGAAGCCTATGACAAACAACGCAAAACTCGCTGCGCCGTCAAAATCATCCGCTCGATTCAAAAGTACCGCGATGCCTCTCGGATTGAGCTTCGAGTGCTCTCTACCCTGGCCCACAATGACAAGCACAACCGAAACAAATGCATCCATCTCAGGGACTGCTTCGATTTTCGAAATCATATATGCATTGTCACGGATCTGTTAGGCCAAAGCGTCTTTGATTTTCTCAAAGGCAACGGGTTTGTCCCGTTTCCCAGCTCCCAGATTCAGAACTTTGCCCGACAACTCTTCACTAGCGTGGCCTGTAAGTTCAATATATCAAGGCTAACCATGAATCGGGGTAACACGTCGAGCTAACTCTTATTTGTAGTCCTCCATGACCTTAACCTCATTCACACTGACTTGAAACCCGAAAACATCCTCCTTGTCAAAAGCCAATACCAAACATTCACCTACAACCGCACAATCCCGTCCTCATCTGCTGTTATTTCTCGGAATGCACGTCAAAGACGTGTTTTGCTTGACAGCGAGATTCGCCTCATTGACTTTGGGTCGGCAACATTTGATGATGAATATCATTCGTCTGTTGTCTCCACACGGCATTACAGAGCGCCGGAGATCATCCTAAATCTTGGTTGGAGTTTCCCATGCGACATCTGGAGTATTGGCTGTATACTGGTCGAGTTCTTTACCGGAGATGCCCTCTTCCAGACTCACGACAACCTCGAACACCTTGCAATGATGGAGGCCGTCATCGGAGAGAAGATCGATCCCAAGTTGGTCCGTCAAGTCATGTCAGGTGGGAGGAACGGGAACCAGAACCAAGCCGCCAAGTAAGTGTCTTGAGCCGCAACATCGATTATCACTGCTGACTTTCCAGATACTTCCTCCGCAATAAACTCGAGTATCCTAACGAGGAAACCACCCGTGCCTCGCGAAAATATGTCAAGGCTATGAAGAAGCTAACGGTATGCGCAGCCCACACTGATTACAACCAACGATTAATTCTAACTATCCCTCAGGAATTCATGCCGACAAATACCAAGTTTTACCGATTATTCCTCGATCTCTTGCAGCGCATCTTTGTCTATGATCCGAAGCAGCGTATCACCGCTAAAGATGCGTTGAAGCACCCGTGGTTCAAGGAGAGTCTCACGGATGATGGGACAGAAGCTTTGCGAATCGGACAACAGTTGCAGCGCAACGGTCAACAACGCTAAGCGCTCTACTTTCACCCCTCACTTCTTTGCCGGCGTTGATCGACTTGTCAAAAGGCGTTGTTATGAGACTTTGACTTTATTGCTATTTTGCATTGGATACATTCGCCGGTACTCACGGATACCGGCACATTTTATTGTGTATGGGTACAGCTTACTTTTACGATGGCATTTTTTGGATAATCGTACGAACGGAGGGACACAATACTGCTTATATCTGACCGAATGTACGGGCTACTGGATAGTCTCGGGCTCTGGATTTGGGGTTGCCGCAGTTCGAGCCCGAGACCAAACAAACACTCATTCAGGTCTAGAGGGTCTAGTCCTTATCTTTACTGGACGGGGAGGAATATAGGGTTACTATTCAGTTATATGGCATCGGGTTGATCTGGATTTATGGGATCGTGGGCATGTTTACTGCGCTTTCGTGATATCTATCTTCTACTTCAGCAGTGATGCGATCCAGGCTTATTTTTTTTTTTTTTTTGTTCTCTGCATACCTGTCATGGCTGACTGTTGTAAGCAGTATCATGTATATATATATACCCTTGTTCTTCGCATTCACAAACTATACATTTACTCATTGTTTATACAAAACTCAACAACGTCCTCTCCATGATCATCCACTCCCTCCGCAACAAACCGAAAACCACATTTCTCCATGACCCTCAAGCTCGCCGGATTCGTCTTTGCAACAATCGAATAAACCCCCTCTAGTTCTTCTCCTTCTCCAGAATAAAGATCAAACCACCATCGCACCATCCCTTTAACAGCCTCACTCGCGTACCCTTTCCCCCAAACCCCGGGAGCAAACATATACCCAATCTCAAACCGCTCGACGCCCGTAACCTCGGATTTCGCCTTTCTGAAACCAGCCTGCGCAACAATCCTATCTTCCGCTGCCCCAGACTCGACATGGGAGACCTCCCTCACTGCAAAGACCACATCTTTCCGAGGATCCAATTTCGAGTCCACCGACTCTGACCGAGTAGTATCAGCTTCAGCTTCAGCTGTAACTTCCGCTAGAAACCCGTCAAGCCACTTCTGGGTTTCTGCGATGGAGGCGTCGGGGCGGCCCTGGCGACTCCATTTCATGCATTCCGGTGCGCTGCGGAGCTCGTGTAGAGCTGTCGCATCGGTTTGAGCGAGGGGTGTAAATGTCAGCCGGGTTGTTTGGAAGGCTGGTGTGGCATATTGTCGTTTTGATGGGGTTGTTGGGGTTGTGGATGTCATGTTGACTCGGGAGTTTATTTTTTCGTGGAAGAATTTTGTGAGGACCAGTCTTGTTTGCAGTTTGGTCAATTGAATGGATATATACTCTTGGCTGGAAAATTGGAGGCTTCATGGTCGTATTTATGGTCCAGAGATTTGCTAAGCGTGAGTCACCTCGATAGACATCTTGATCCACAACAAATGACTCGACTGGCTGAACGTTTTCTTAATCATGAAGAATTTATCTAGGCTTCTGCAAAACGAAGCCATTGGAGGACTTATAAAAACTTTATCTTGCGAACTCCATATATGAAGCTCGGTACTCTTCTGATTTATTCATTCTGTCAGACATAGATACAACTATCCAGCCTTGGCTGACTATTACTAGAACAATTAGTAGGAAATACTGTGGACAACACAGCGCGGTGAAATACATGGCCACCACTATGACTGCAAACATTGTATGATGCCTCAAAAGAAATGGGGTATGGGTATGTCTAACATGTTGCACATGAAACAAAGGAGACCCAGCAGGGTAATGAAAGACGAGTACTCTGTCCATAGAGTCGCTCATTAGATAGATGGATTCAAAGAAGAAGCGTTCAGTATGACGAGTGCCGACGCGAGTCGAAGCAGAACTCTATCGTAAAGGTACACGTATATTATCGAAATCGATAGGATTTATGCGCCAGCGGCGAGGTGGGCGCGGGCCCGACGCCGCTGACAGGTACACGGATTCTATTCTTCCGAGTAGGGGTTTGTGCGCAAAAGACACAGACGTAGACGGATGGGAGATTGGACCGTTCCAGGCCGACGCATTTGGTATGTAACCAGTGGCTGCAGGATTCGCTGCAACTCTTGTCAGTATGAGAAAAAATGGTTGAACAAGAAAAGACACTCACCATTGGATCATTAGATGGCCGCCGTTATCCATAGAATTGCAGATGCATCTGGTGCCATTGCTCGGATTGCTGTATCGGTCAGTGCTGGGTGTCGCCAGATCTGGGTCTGTGACTGTCGTGGGGGACGTATTCGGCTCCCGAGAGTCACCGTCGAGCTCTGCACCGAAACGAGGGGGCGACGATTGTAGCTGTGCCAGAGTCTGCAGCGAGCGATTGGATCGTGACCCAAAGCTTGCAACGGTCTGAGATCGGGGTATTCGCCCCTTGTCCCGCAAAACCTTACGAAGCGCATGCTGGGCATCTCCCGTGTCCTCCTCTGTTGTATCTGCAATACTGCCAGGAATGGAAGCGGCGCTGCTGTATGACAGATCCGAGTGGAGGATCGCAGACTGTCTCTTTGGTGTTCTCTTCCAATCATCTAGGGTAGCTTTCAACTGCGGCCTCCTGGATGGCCCGCGAGGAGCGGTAGCCCAGGGAGAGACACGGCCTGACTGTGAGGAGGTGTAAGAACCCATCGAAGGAGGCCGAGAGCCAGAGTCGCTGCGGGCAATCGTAGGTCCACCGGCTTCCGAAAAGGCAAAGGAAGGGTTGCGGCTGCTAGCGGTTGGGTAGTCAGGGAATTCCGCGGAATCGTACTCGCTCTCCGTTCCGGAACCATCCAAGTCCATGCCGTTGATAGGGTCCGTCAAACTGGTTGACGCTTCAAGAACCGGCTGCATTTCGGTCTTTGCTCGACCATCTTTGCCAATCTTGAGAACCACCGATTGAGACCGTCTTGGAAATCCACTGGCCACCGAGTTTGACCTAGGTAGCGGAGCACGGAGGGACTTAATCGGGGATGAGCGGCCTTTTGACGGGCTTTTCCGAATACCGCTGGCAGAAGACAACGTTCCACCGGATCCAGGACGAGGTGCTGTCACAGCACTATGAGTGAGACTACGAGTCAATGTAGGTCTTGACTGTCGAGGAGTGTACTCATCATCTTCCTCTTCATACTCGGAAAGATGAGAGTTGAATCCTTGCGCACGCCGCAATTCTTCTCGCTTGAACTCTTCGGTCTGGTGATGGTATGGTTGGCGTTGTTGCTTTGAGAAGAGCCGTTTCTCTGGTGTAGGCTGAGGGCCCCCAAATCGACGGGCAGGGGAGCTCAAGAAGAGTGCGGGGTCGTCCGCTTTGGGAATGGCAAGTCGGGGTGAGGTGGAAAAGGGAGCGGGAAAGAGAGCAGCGTCGGTTGGAGCGCCAGAGGCAAGGCCATAGATGGTGCTATTGAACTCTGGAAGGTCCAGACTTCCTTCAATTTGCGGTAATTGGGGGATATGGAGAGATTCTTGGGGTGGATTCGTTGTAGTATTGGCATGGAAGACATCTGTCTTTGTAGAGTCAACAAACAGCCCGCGCTCATTTCCAGACACACCGAAATCCCGCGTGTGTTGGTCCAGGCTATGATCCCAGAACAGCCTCTGCTGCGGGAAGAAAGGTGATGCTGACGGATCAATAGTTCCAAGCTGAAACGGGTCTGGAGAAGACTGAAGGCCTCCGAATAAGCGAGGGGATGCTCCCATGACCCGACTTGGGGTCTCCAAATGCCCTCCTACTGCATTAGATGAAGACTGCCGACGGCCTGATTTGCTTAAATCCCCAAACTCTGTGACCTTGGTTCTCGAAGCGCTACTCGGCGGAGGGGTCTGCATAGAGGCAGCAGACTTGGTCGAGTCGACAGTTCGAGAGCCATCCTCACCCGATCCCTGGAGCTTCGACGAGCGACGTTTCCTGACAGTCTCAATCTGAGGGTCCAATGGCTTTCCATTTTGTGCATCAGAGGCTGCAGAATCCGGGGCCGGCTTTTGATCTGGCAGACGAGGGGTATTTAAACCGAATCTCTGAGGAGTCCGGAGGAACTCAGGGCTGGAGGCATATGGATCGGAGGTGTCCCATGTGACACGGGGGTCGAAAAAACTTGATTCGAGTTTCGGAGTCTGAAAAGCGGCGTCACCGAAGAAGGTTGTAGGAGGAGTCCTCGTCGGGGTCTGAGGTTCACCGTTTGGATAGCTGAAGCTAAAGAGAACAGAGGGCTCCATTAGCATCATCCTAGCCGACTATGCTTTCAAGAAATCTTGGAGAATAGAGGGACAGAAAAAAAAAAAGCTGCAGGAGCAGATAAAGGTGGGTTGGTCGAGGTAACTCCTCCGGGAATTGCAGTCCGATAGGTATGAGCTTGACAAACATACCTGTGGATAGGCTGATCCCAACTCATGTCAGCAACGGTGTAAATCCTCGCAACATTCAAGTCCAGCTGCCAGGCAACCCTCTGGTAGGCCGCAAGAGTCGTCTAGATGTCCCGGAGCCACCAAGAATGCTAGAGGGGCGATTCGGTAGGAGAGACGACTGGGCCGATGAATGTATGCCTCCACAGGGTCATTGAAGATAAGCGACTGAACGGCGAGGACGAGCTTGAAGGGCCAGATTGGTTAACAACGAATTGAGGAAGAATTCAGTTCATTGTAGACCGATGATGAGCGAAGACGATAATGGTAGGGAAGGGCTAAGGAGGGGGCGGAAGATCGAGGGATCGGTCGAGGCTGGTGGAGGAGGAAGGTTCCTGGACGAAGGGAGCGAGGAGTGGACTGGAATGCTTCTGGTGCCGCCCTGGTAGATCTTCTCACGGCGGAGAACGAAGAGGAAGAGCGTTGGAGAAAAAGAGAAGAATTGCAAGAGAGAAGGAGAAGAAGCTGAAGTTGCGTGGAGAATTTTATGTTTTCGTTTTCCTCTGTTTGTAAAATTTGGTAATAATTTGACGTTTTTTTCTGGCTTTGCATCCGCAGATCCACTACTGGAGCGAGACTTTTCAAGGTCGAGAAAAGAAGAATCAAGAAAGACACTTGTGAAGTACAACTTGACTTAGACCAGGATATATCAAGGTCTTCAGGCCGAGAGACTGTGCCGTGTCTAGAGCTGCCTGGTGGAGTACTAGTATGGTGCCTAATCTCAAGATGAACGAGGAGATACGATACTGTACATCGTACAAAATGTCCTTCCTCCTTTCTGGAGAAGATAGCTAACTATGAGCTGAAGAGTACCCCGGTCACAGCAAGTGCACACTGACACATGAGTGATGAGCCAGACTCATCCACGTCCACCAAAGGCGAGGAGCGGGATAGGTCAAGCAAGAATAATAATGCCGACGCATATAGCCCCTTGAGGCATGTTTGAGTCCAATTATTGGTTCCCAGAACAAGGAACAGCGGTGGTTTTCCGTGGATCGACTCTCCATCACCAACAACTGCTGCTGACGCCCTCCCTGGGCCACTGCCTGCAGCCGTCGAAAGGGGTATCTTGCACCTTTATCAACGAATATACTACTATCCGTCTCTCATGACAACTCCTGTCTCTGTCATGAAAGACATCGGCATCCCTAGATCGAGACTCCTTGCAACGACGACCCACGTCGATCCGGACTGCTTCAGGAAACTTTGTTCCCAGGCCGCTCTCGTCCGACCTTCAATCACGATCCCACCTCAGGCTATGTTCTATCGAGTTAGTCTCTGAATTTGGATCCTCTTTCAGCTCCAGCCTCAGCCTCAAGCACCTCTTGGGTTTTGGGGTAATTTTAATGACCCAGCTTCCGTCCAGACAATGACGACATTGGCCCCGTTACCTGCTGGATGCTTCAATTGCTGGGGTCGTGACAGAAAACGGATGCAGGTGCTGCATTATTGCATTTCTCCAGACTACCTAGCAGATATCTCCAGATTTCTGGACAACGAATTTCACGATCCATCGATCGGCTTCCAGAGTGCTCTCCGATCTGACCAAGTCAGACAGGGCGGCCTCCGCTAGTGGTTCGTCTCCATCGGCCATCCTTCAATTCAAGGCGGCGCACACTCTCCATTTCCACTTGCAGTTTAGACGATGTACTTTTCATATTACTTGGCCTGGACTTCCAGCAATCACAGACCCTCGTTTCCCCTGAGATTGCAAGCACGCAAAGCTCGGTCGTCAGCATGAGTTCACAGTCACATTAAATTCCTCCTCCGGGAACCCCGCCATCAAGAGCGGAGTAGCAAAGATGCTTGCAAATTGCGACAGCATTTCGAGATTTGGCTCAGGGCTCTGTTATGGAGGAGTTTTTAGGGTCTCAGAACCGCTCTATTTTCATACAAGCCCCTCAGGAACAGTAGCTGCGGAGCATCCCCGTCGACTGCTTGATCTAATGCACATGTAGTGTGTGCAAGTCGACCCCTGTCAATGTTAAGCCAGCCACAGCCCGAAGGCAGGCCTCGGCGTGTAACTGTTCGGAAGTGTTTGCTACGAAGCCCTTTGTTGGGCTCCAAAAATCCAGACTTCAGAATCAAATTCCCAACAGCCTCTCCTGAGAAAATCCAGTCTTTGTCTTGACTCTTTCTTATCACCCGAATCTGGCCTGGATCTCGAGGACAGAAGTCAATGGCTGTGCCACAGTTGCTGAGCGAGCCGCACGGCCACTCCGGCTCTACCCCTCCAGAGCCTCCACAGTTCAAACTTCAAGACCCATACATACTCCGAGCATTCAAAGAACAAAACACCAACAGGCCACATCGTCCTCGCTCGCGGGGTGAATGAAGAATAGCAATTTTCGACGCAAAAATAGCAAGAAGCCGACAAAGCACCCTCGTTCTTTCAGGATGGTCGTGGTTTCCTCTGCTGCTGTCCTTCCAGTGCGCTGATTTGCTACTTGCTGCGTTCGACCAGTGAACCTAACAAAGCGCTGTTTATTTGTACCCGATGTATGCACAGCACTCATTGTCCAGAATTATTACTCACTTAAATAAAAGCTATTCTTCTTCTGCCTCCCATGTCTGCATTTGATCTACACAGTCTTTCCCTAGCTCTTCGGATAACACACCCCGACATATTCAACATGGCACCCACCACACCGAGACCGGCTCGGAAAAAAGCCCGACGAGTCCATCCTCGCTCAAGGAGACACCGTATTGACAAGCGCTCTTCCCCGAGGTCGCCACGGACAGTTCTAGCCCACAAGAAGACAAGGATACGGGCCAAAGGGAAGGACCTTGCAAACCCGAGTAGCGCGAGAGCCTTCATGAATCACAAAGCCAGCAAGAACAAAGTCAGTCCGCGCATCGTGAAATACAACATTGCCTCGCAGTGGCCGTCTTCAGAGCCCTTTGAGAAGGTGCGGGTTCAGCCATCAATCCCTTGCTTCGCTCCCCTCGCATGATCCAAGAATGTCTCTTAGTAACCGCAGAAGATCAACAGAACTGTCTTCAGCGAGAACCGTTGCCGGACAACTATGTGTTTGTACCCAGCGGAAACATTTATGTTACAAGAAACTGTCGAAGTAAGACAAAAGAGTCTCACCGGCTGGTCTACAAAGTTTATGTGAGTATAATCCTTACCTTGATCGGGAAGCATGCGATTGACTCTTTCCATAGAACAATACAGGGAAGAAGGTTATTGGAATCCGTATCCCTTCAGATGTTCATACTGCAGTCTTGCAGGCCGCCGAAGAAACGGCTGAGTCCCGCGCTATTGCTGTCAAGGCCCGCGATGAAAAGGAGCTGACTCGGGCACGACAAATCCTCTGCATCCGCTTCCCATTGATGCCCGTTGAGGACTTGGAGACTGTCCTCGACCATGCCTTTCTCAAGGGCTCTGGCCGCGTCGGGCGGACATCAACAACCTCGGACGAGCACAAGGCTATTCTCGCCGTGGAAGCGCACATTCGACACATGCATACACCATACGAGAGCTTACTTCGTGCAGGCACGAAACGAGAAGATGCTCGGAAAGCGGTATGGGACACGGTGCAGTCTATTCGAGCAGCATGGGAAGGGAGAACCACAAAGCCAGCCAAACTTTCTCTGCGCTCGAAGGATTCATAACAAATTTTATTTGTTAACGAAATTCACCCCTCCGTGATGAGTGTACTTGGAGAGCCCTGCACAGCCTGACGAGAGGTCTTTGGTTGCCTTGAGCTCCTCGACGATATGAGATACTGAACTGTACTTTTACATGAATAGACTACTAGGCATAGATTAACGTGAACTACGAGCTACGGCTGATGATGCACCATTATCTTCAACATTCTCAATGGTAAATTAGTACGTTATTATCATTTCAACAGCGCTGGATCTGGGAAGTAGTATACTTTTGAAATTACTTTGTGTTCCTGTAACTCTTTCAATCCAAATCATTGCTAGTTTGCCAGCAGTCTTTAATTCCTCCGATCTTCATTGTTCCCCCTTGTAGATATACTTCCCAAAATAGACTTAGGGCTAACCCCACTAGGTCTCGGAGATTTTCCTGAAGCTCCGCGGACGAGCTTCAACTTCTCCAGTCGACAACCACAACTCTGATACTTGTCGTCATGGATATCTCCGATCTCATCGAACCGCCGCAAAAGCGTCTAAAAACCGAAAATGTCGCTGACACGGCCGATGTCGCACTTCCCGCGACTGTCGCAGTAGGCGCTCTACAGCCTGCAGCGGACGACCAGTTGTCGCGAGAGATTGAAGTTGGAATCACCGAGTTTGTCAGCGCAGACAATGAGGGCTTTGTGGGAATTCTGAAGAAACGGTAATACTATACCGGAGAGGTTATAATGATGTCGCTGAGTGCCGTTTCCCAGATACACCGATTTCCTTGTCAACGAGATCCTACCGTCCGGGAAAGTTTTGCATTTGCAAAGCACCGCCGTGCCGAGGGAAGATGGAGATAACTCTGCGCCTGTGGAGAAGAAACTGGAGGAGAACTCAGAGGAGAAACAAAACAAGCCAGAAACTCCAGTGGAGGAATCGCCGGCCCCTGTGGAGCTTCAACTCTCCGATGAGGACAAGTCACTACTCGAGTCTTTCTTCGGTGCGCCAAACGTTGAAAAGATCTTGTCGCTGCACAAAAGGGCAATGTTGAATCCCAAGTCCAAGCCCAGCGACCTGGGCAGATTACCCACTGTTGTCGTCAATGATCGTGACCACCGGATTCAGATCCACCAGGCGATCCGACGGATTTTCAGCTCGCAACTCGAGTCCTCGACAGACAGCGAAGGGACGATGGTCATCTCGGCTTCCTCGAACCGGAACAAGCGCGGTAACCAGAATGCTGGACGTGGCGGCTCAAAGGAAGGCGGCCGAACGCGCGTCAACTGGGATGAGCTGGGAGGACCGTATCTACATTTCACCATCTACAAGGAGAACAAGGACACTATGGAGGTCATCTCATTTATCGCCCGTCAGCTCAAGATGAACCCGAAGAGCTTGCAGTTCGCCGGCACAAAAGACAGGCGTGGAGTGACGGTGCAACGAGCGTGCGCACTCCGCGTGCACGCTGATCGCCTGGCGAAGCTCAACCGGACCCTTCGCAACGCTGTAGTTGGAGATTTCGAGTACCGGCGCCATGGCCTCGAGCTCGGAGACCTCAACGGTAACGAGTTTGTTGTTACGCTGCGCGATTGTGAGATTCCAGGCATTGACATCCAGAACCGTGAAGCCGCCGTAGCAAAGGCTACGGAGCTCGCAAGCTTATCACTCAAAAACCTCTACCAACGAGGCTACTTCAACTACTACGGTCTCCAGCGCTTTGGGAGTTTCACAACCCGCACCGACATGGTCGGTGTCAAGATCCTCCAAGACGACTACAAGGGCGCCTGTGATGCCATCCTCGACTACAGCCCTCATGTCCTCGCCGCCGCGCAAGCCGGCGAAGCCTCAACAGTAAACATCAGCTCCGAAGACAAGGCACGCGCGCAGGCGATTCACATCTTCCAAACAACCGGCCAAGTCAGCGCCGCGCTAGACAAAATGCCTCGCAAGTTCTCCGCAGAGTCCAACATCATCCGCCACCTCGGCCGTTCCAAAAACGACCACCTCGGTGCCCTGCAGACCATTCCGCGTAACCTCCGACTCATGTACGTCCACGCTTACCAATCACTCGTTTGGAATCTGGCTGTCGGCGAGCGCTGGCGCTTATACGGCGATCGCGCTGTAGAGGGTGACCTCGTCCTCGTTCACGAGCACCGCGACAAGGACGGCTCTGCCGCATCATCCACGACAACAGAAGCAGGCGCAGTAACCGTCGACGCAGACGGCGAGGTCATCATTGCCCCACAGGAGGGGGACAGCGCCTACGCCGCCGAAGACACCTTCATGCGCGCGCGAGCCCTGACCGCCGACGAAGCCACCAGCGGCAAATACACCATTTTCGACATCGTTCTGCCCCTCCCCGGCTTCGACGTCATCTACCCCGCCAATCAAATGACAGACTTTTACAAGACGTTCATGGGTAGTGCGCGCGGCGGCGGTCTCGACCCGTTCAATATGCGTCGCAAGTGGAAAGACGCGAGTCTGAGCGGGAGCTACCGGAAGATTCTGAGCCGGATGGGCGCGGATTATTCGGTCGATGTCAAACTGTACTCCCGCGATGATGAGCAGTTTGTGCAGACGGATTTGGAGGCATTATCTGCCAAGTCAAATAACACCGATGTGAAAGAGGAGGGTGAAGCTGCTGCAGCGGACAAAATCGCTGTTGTGCTCAAGTTCCAACTCGGTTCGAGCCAGTATGCTACCATGGCACTGAGAGAGTTGATGAAGGGGAGGGTAAAGGCTTATCAACCTGATTTTGGAGGCGGTCGGTAAGACCCTGTATATACAATCTGATACAATCTTATAGTAAGTTATAAGAGCTATATCCGACACCATATACGCTCTCTTCCATTTTCAAATATGACAAACATTAAACATCATAAAAGCACCATCATCTACTTATATAAACTAACGAAGAATTAGCCCCCTCGATTTGTAGTACTCGGTCGTGGCTCATCCTCGAAACTTGATACAGACGACACATCGTCGTCCCTCGGACCCCTAGCTCTCATCATCGCCTCCCGATCACTCATCCCAGACACAATAGACAGATTATCGTCATTGTCGCGCGGGTGATCAAATGGCGAACGAGGTCGTCCACCGCGTTCTTCCGACGTTCTCCATTCCAGATCCCGAGCCGCACCTGCGGCGATGATGTTGGTTTCGGCAGTTGCAGGTTCGACTGGCTCGACGTATGGACCTTCTGGTACTGGACGACGAGTGATGGGTGCTGCAGCGGGAACAGGAACTGGTTGAATCTGAGGCTGTTGCTGTGGGAGGAAGACGGAAGAGGAATTGTCCATTTGCCGTGTTGTGATGACGGGTTGGGACTCAAGGTTGCGTTGTCGACGCCGGCGACGGAGCAGGAAGAAGAGGATGGCAGCGATGATGGCGGCGCCGACGATGGCAACGGGGACGGCAATGGCAATCTTAGTGCTGTTGCTCATTCCACCACCGCCTCCATCGTCGTTATCATTGTCGCTTTGAGTGTGATTGGCAGAGACTGAGGTGGCGGCTGTTGTCGTGGTTTGCGAGGTTAAGGTGGTTGGTGTGGTGAAGTCGGTTCCCTCCGTTGATGTTGCAGTCGCAGCCGGTACTGTTGCTAATGTCTCATCCGAGCCGTCCCAAAAGGTATCTGTAGAGAGCTCGTTTGCCGTTGATGCCCCGCCATCTGGGTTATTTTCATCGCCCCCAATGGCGGTAGGAACATTCTCTAATGAAGACGTTGTTGCGGTGTTACCATAATCGTCTGATCCTCCAACCACTTGGTCGAGAAAGTCCACCAGGTCAGTAAAGTCTCCGGATGTCATGTTTCCAGGTCGAGGGTGGTCCGAGGTATATTCAGCTCGCAGTTGCCAGAGAGCGGCTCTTTTCCCCCCAAATTCCTCTCAGGTGTGCTGACGTCCGCTCTTTCATGCGAGAGCGGTAGGGTCCAATAATAGTATTTGTACCAGGTAGGCTGATCCCTTCTCGTATTCGGGCGATTCAACAGCCACTTATGCTAAGCGGTCCGAAAACGCTGAAGGAGTGGAAAATGCGTCGCACAAGAGGGAAAAGGTAAAGGAAGAGAGGAAGAAGAGAAAAGAGAAGAAGAGCGCCAGCCTCACGAGAAAGGAAAAAGACGAAGCATCGCTGACATGGCGCAGCGGCTCCAACGAGGATAGCCTTAGTACGGAGTATAAAGCGATGCTAATTCCTACGGAGGTGGGCACGGCTGAAAAAAAAAACACGAAAGCGCCATCATCAGCTCAAAGAGGGGCTGCACCACCAAACCTGCGGCAGTAAGACGTTTCTTTCTCCTCTTTTTCTTTCTTGCTTTGGCGGATGACTCGAATTTTTTCTTCTTCTTTGTCTCTCCATCCCGGTCGTAGTGTCAGTAGGCGCCGGCATGCGAGTTTGAAACGAGTGGTGTCGCCATCGCCAAAAAAATCCGCTTTGTTTCAACAACGCCAGCGGGGCAGTGCTAAACGCTAATTGACCCGCAGCGCGTACGTATATAGTTCTCAAGGTTGTCTCGTCCATTTGTGAAGGGATCTAGTATGCATTTGGATGGTCGGCTTCGGCTCTAACAGGCTCACACAGCCTTGCTTGTTGCGTGGCAGTTCGGATCATCGCTGTTGGGGGCGAAACTGAAAGTCACATCGTTGGGATAATCAACAATAGAAACACGTCGCTTTGCTGCTGACTCGACAGTAGTCTTTGCACAAGAAGAATACTCGAATAATGCTGTTTCATCGGTAGCTATCCAATTGATGGTTCAGCGGGCTGGAACAAAGAGCCTCATTGAGTTTGTCCTTGGCGTGGGCTGTGGAGGCCTCAGGCCGGCCGGGCATGGGGCTGTCAGTCCCATTCAAGAATAGTGTCCCCACCAAGTGGGTTGAGCGCCTACTCCGTACTATGTACGAGTATGGCAACGTAAGACTCAGTCCGGCTCAAGGAAAGTTTGTGGTCTATCTGCTTGGTGTTGCAGAATCAGTGGGTAACAATATTCGGCAGGAGATAGCTTTGACTAACAGACATAAAATCAAAGATTGTTTGATTGGAAGCTTTGCCTCGCTTCGCATTCATCTTGCTTTCGGCTTCGCCTCTACATAACAAGGCGAGATAAGATGGCGTACAAACGGACGTTGAGGTCAACCTACTGTACTCTCTCTGCCAGCAGATCTTTCGCTCAACCACCTCCGAATCAATCAGACAGACTTCCAGGCCGCGTCCCTGATGTACCTAGTTTGATAGTGCGCTCACCACACCACACCTCGGTGATTAGGGCCTAAAGCGCAGAAGATCACCACAACAAAGACTGGCTCATTATGGTCCGATCCTGGCTCAAAAGATATCGACCTATTTCCCGGGTGATGGCCATGCGACAGGGATAAACGTTCCCGGTCTTTTATAATCTTGACAGTGCGATCTCAAAGAGAAGACCGCAGTGCTAAGGGAAGTCAGTGTAATAATGTAGTCAGAATTTGTGTTCTTTCTTTGCAGTTGAAAAGTTGACCTGTCATTCTCCCTCAAATTGAAAAGTCCTATCCACACGGTTTGTCAAGGGCGTGATTGTTATGAATTTCCGCTGCCTGTTAGCTCTTCTAGCATCGGATTGTCGATCGCGTTGGAGCTTCTGAGCTTGAGCAGGAGTAATCTCAGCTCAAATCTTGACAGCAACCAGAACGACTTGCAGCTGGCGCTTGCTTATCTAGTCATGGGGTCCAATGGCATGTAGATGTAGGGTTACTACTCCTGAAAACGGCTGCTTCATATGTTGTGCCTTTCCTTTTTCATGCAATCAACCTTCCTACGGAGTATAGGCTTCAGGTTCGGGGAAGAGACAATCACCATCGAGTGCGGAGTGAGAATGCGCAATTTGTCGACCAAATGGATATACTCTCGAGTCCTATCTCGTTGGGTATTGTAGTTACATAGTTTCGCGCCCAAGGAGGCCACGTCTTCCACCGTCCACGTACTTCAAAGACAATTCAAAAGGTGGTTGGAAGTTTAGTCCGCGGGTTTGCCAAAAGATTGATACTAAAAAAAAAAAGTCCACGTGAGTATAGCACGCTAATCCTATTCCGGGTAGTCCGCTCTTGCAGAGAAATGATGACATTCGTCAGCTTCTTACGACTCTCTGGCTTGCTGTTGATCGACAACTTGCGAATAATCTCACCATATATGCGCCATGAGTGGGTTTAAAGGGATTATGAAAGATGGATGGCATCCGAAAGGCCGGGATGGCAAGAAAGAGGGCTGGCGGAATGATTTCAAAGGTGTCAATCAGGTGGTGAGTCGTCTCACTTGTCGCACACGACTCTCCCACTGACCACCTTTTCGCAACCAGGCAGGATGGATGGGAAAGGGAAAGGAAAAAGACGACGACAGAGAGAATCACGTTTCCAGGCCGCTTGCTTCACTTAAAGATCCATCATCATTCGGTCCCCCACCAAAACACATCAAATACCACGGCGCAGGGGCACTCCCCAACGAGACCACCCCGGATCGCAGCGGATGGGGCGCGCCGTTGAGCCAGGAGAAAATCAACCAGCAGAACAGACAGAGGCAGGAGGAAGAAGAAGAAAAAAAGAGGAAAGCAGAGGAAGCGGCCAAACGGCCTCCAGTACCTTATCGTGCAAATCGAACAGGTATCGATACCAGCAACCTCCCGCCGCCTCCTGTGCGACGAGTACCTACGGGGTCATCAGAATCAGTCCCAGCGAGCCCTAGGCCGAAACCAAACGTTCCACCCCGCGTTCCCCCCCGAACAAACACCTCCACGCCAACAGCATCCTATTCCCCTTCTCCTCCGCCGGCGTACACTCCCAGTCCGCCAGCAGAGCAGCCACAGGCAGCAGCAGATGGATATCTGAACCAAGCCGCTGCTTCGCGACTTTCTCAGGCTGGCGTATCGGTACCCGCACTAGGGATCGGCAACAAGCCCTCGAATCCGGCCTCGCCATCAACAACAGGCTATGTTGGCCAGGCACCCGTCAACGAACTCCAGAGCCGCTTCTCGCAGTTGAGAACCAACTCCTCACCCAACACTCCTCCCGCCCCGTCGCCGCATCTCCGGCAGGGCGAGCAACCACCTGCTTCTTCTACTGCAAACGTCTCAAATGCAAGGTCGGCCTATAACGACTTTCGCTCCAAACACAACGATCAAATTGAGGCTGGGAAGCAGAAACTCAGTGGACTCAACCAGAAGTATGGAATCACAAATCGCATCAATAGCGCCTTGGAAAGCAAATCAGAAAATGCGGAACAGGCACCTCCGGTTCCTCCGCATCCAAACCTAAGCCGTTCAACGACAACATCCAGCACTGACACCGAGTCGTTGGCGCGAAGAAAGGCGCCTCCACCCCCACCACCTCAGAAGAAGGCCGAGTTACGGTCGACGCCGGTCAGCGCAGGATCACCAGCGCCGCCTCCACTTCCCCTCGGCACTAAACCCCGCTGAGAAGTTCTAGACTGCATCGGAAGTTCATGTTCGTCTCTATAAATTTATGGTTGATTTTGCGCCGTACTTCGGAGTTGGAGCGTGTATCTATGTTGGATTCTACGTAGCATATTGGAACTTATATATAGCCTGACAGGCGCGTTGATTATCAGCGAATGATCAAGTTGGAAGAGTCACTTTACGTTGGTTATTAGAGCCTCAGTTACCCATTACATGTATACATACTCATATATGAAGGGGTGGCACGTGAAAGGTAGGGCTACTAGCTGGAACGGAGCTTCATAGCTTCCCCGGATTTGGTAACGGACACAAAAATACAACAGTGAAACCTCATGCTGAGCACAATCAGGGCCTGAGAATGAGTTCGTGGATTACGATGTATGCAGGCTTGACGCAGCGACGCCTCCCACGCAAGAATCGCGCGGAGATCATTCACACGGCGCATCCCGTTGGTCGGCTTCAAAGCGGCAGCTTCTCGCGTGAGAGGTCATAGATACGTCAGAGAAAGTCAATATGAAGAAAAGCAACCCGTTGAGGGGTGGAATGATACTCGGATGTTTTCGTAAATGCCCAGTTGGAAAGTGTTCTTCGAGGGCGAGCGGAAGTGAGGATTCACAACATTCACAAGACTCACAAGCTGGGTTGCGCATTGATAGTGCATTGTTGGGACCGAGGTCTCAGTGTTGCATCCAGATTCTGTCCCAACAAAATGCAATCGAGGCTCCACCACAAAATCAATCGCAGCGAGTGACAGTGATTAGAATTATTTCATCGACAAGTCTCCAAGCTCTGGTCGCTGTCTTAAATATTGGCAATCCTGTCTCCAATTGCTTTTTAGGAGAAGGTTGCACTGAGGAAGTTGCTTTGGGCCCCTGGGCTTTTTTTCATCTACTTGTATCTGGTTTCCTTCCGCGCAGGACAATCCCTGGAACGTTTTTATTTCCTTCGCTTCTCCTCCGGGAGGGTGTGTTTTTTTTTCTTTCTTATCTCAGCCAAATCCTCTCAATTTGTGCCATGTACGATCTCGCTCTGGATACAGGGTCGGGCCCGGCCGTTGTACGACTCGGCCTACCCCCCGCATCCTTGTTGAAATTTCCTCCGGACGAGCTCCCGTTGACAGTTCCTGCGCCCCAGCTCGACGAGCCGACATGGTACCAGCCGTTCAACATCCCCGCCAATCTCTATAACAAGGTTCTCGATGTGCGCGTTCCGATCACCATTGCCAGCGTCTACGCTGTCACCGTCGTCGTTCTCAACCGCGTGAACAAGAGTCGCGGTTACAAGCCCTACGCGTTCGCCCACAGCAGAGCATTCAAGCTCTTCGTCATCCTACACAATGTTTTCTTGGCCATCTACTCCATGTGGACTTTTGCGGGTATGGTCCGCGCATTTCGCAACACCTGGCCGGCTTGGGAAGATAATGGCCTCGTGGGCGTCGTGGATGCGCTGTGCAAGTGCAACGGTCCACGAGGGTACGGGAATGCAGCTATCTATGATTCGACAGTGAACCAATGGTCCATTCAGAACCCAGAATATCGACTGGCTGAGGGTGGCGTCCCAGATCCTTCGGATGTGGGTCGTCTGTGGAACGAAGGTCTGGCCTTCCTCGGCTGGATTTTCTACCTGTCCAAGTTCTACGAAGTGCTCGACACCGCAATCATCCTGGCCAAGGGCAAGAAGAGCTCGACTCTGCAGACTTACCACCACGCGGGTGCTATGATGTGCATGTGGGCTGGTATTCGCTATGTCGCGCCTCCGATCTGGATCTTTACTCTGGTGAACTCAGGTATTCATGCGCTCATGGTATGTCAACAATTGGATTTCCGCTTGAGTATCTTCTTACTGACAATGCTAGTACACATACTATACATTGACCGCTCTCCATGTGCGCGTTCCTACTATCGTCAAACGGTCACTGACTAGCATGCAAATCACCCAATTCATCATCGGATCGTCAATGGCAGCCTCTTACTTGTTCGTCAACTATACTCTTCCTCCTGTCCGCTCCATCCCTACGACCCCTGCTGCTGCGGCTACAGCAACTGCCACCGCGGCAACGGGACTCTCCTGGCTTAAGCAAGTCGCGTTCCGCGCAGCAGGTGCGGAAGGCATCGCTGAGAACGTTGGCCATGTCGGAGAGACCCTCCTTGGTGCTCCCCGAGAGGTCGTACGGCCGGGTCCTATGGTTACTTGCATCGACACTTCCGGCCAGGGATTTGCCATCTGGCTCAATGTTGCATATCTTTTGCCTTTGACTTATCTCTTCGCACGCTTCTTCGTTCGCTCTTACTTGTACCGCAAGGAGCCAGCCCAGGCCACGCACATCCATGCAGCTGAGAAAGCAGGTCTTGATGCGCTCAAGGGAGTCAGCCGTGAGATTCAAAAGGCCGCCGAAATGAGCGGAGAAACCAGCGAGACAACCGAGGATGAGGCTGCGGGAAAGGAGGCCAAGCGAAACCGTGAGTCCATGCAGACAACCGCCGAAAACTCGCCCATTCGAACCCGTTCAAGCGCCGCCAAAAAGTCGCGCGCTGTTGAAGGCGAGTCCGACAAGGGCTTCGCCACGGTTCCCGCTGGAAAGGGCGCCAAAATGACCACGAAGGAGGAAACGCCATCGCTCAGCAATACAGCCGAGGTCAAGACCTCCAATCCCTACAGCGTTCTCGGCAGTACTGACTAAACATTGACTATTCGGAACGATTAAATTTGCATACACCACGAGTAGACTGATTCACTTATGAATGTTCTGGAATGTTACGAGTTTCAAGACTGGCATGCCTTCCATTCACTATTCTTATCCCTAGGGACTTCGAATACGTGCTTTTTTTCTCGTCTCTCCGCGTTTAGGCCTCCTGAGAGCTCGAGTCACGGAGTTCGATGAGAAAAACACACAAGACCAGAGCCGGCCCGGCCCGTCATGTCAGCGATATGCAGAACGTCGCTACGTGACTGATTCCTCTATTTTCCTCCCGGAGCCATTTTAGCTCTGTATAAAAGCGAGTGTCGTATTTCTATCTTTTTTGCGGTTGGTTGTTCTTTCATGTACATATTTGCAGGAGTTTTGGCATGCGGAACCAGGATGGCACATCAACCCGAGGGATACACGGTGTAGAAGGGGTGCATTTTTAAATAGAACAAATAGGGACCTTAGAACTCAATCAAAATCACAAGTTGTGCTCCAGTCAATATCGATTGTCTTGATAGTCAGGCGATTGTCCAGTCCGCTTTGAGAAAACTTCCGCTTCAACCCCTCTTCTTCTCCGTCGGACAATCTCCCAATTTATCCAACCTCGACGATCCCACCCTTGTTCCAGCTCGGTCGACGGGAGCAAACAACCCGGCGTGTTGATTGAATGGAGGAAAATCTACATCCTCTACCCCATCCCCATCGTCCAGTCCACAATGGACAGGTCCACAGGTACAGTGTGAGCTGAGTTTCGCCTCCACAACGCATCTTGGGAATGTCGATCTTCAATGTATTCTAGGCCCGCGGGGACTTGGCGTGTCCGAACTTGTATGATGCCTATTCTTGCCCTCGTCCCGGCGAGGCATAAATTCGGCCCACGGTACCTGGCATTGCCAAAAATATGTTGTCAGCAATAGGCCGTCCATACTCCACGCCAAAGGCCGAAACATGATACGCATCTTCCACTTTCTCCTCTTCTTTCTGGGGAGCTTTCGAGCCCTGACAGTCGCACAGAACAATTCCGTATCTGAATGGCCCATCCATGACAATGGATTGAACAAGGTCGTCCAGTGGGACCATTATAGTTTCTACGTCCACGGCCAGCGATTCTTTCTGTTCTCGGGAGAGTTCCACTATTGGCGTATCCCGGTCCCAGCACTATGGCGAGATGTTTTGGAGAAGATCAAAGCAATCGGGTTCACCGGCTTCGCGTTTTACTCCAGCTGGGCTTACCACGCGCCTAACAACCAGACGGTTGATTTCTCAACTGGGGCTCGTGACATCACGTCGATTTACGAGCTAGCAAAGGAGCTTGGGATGTATATCATTGTTCGTCCCGGTCCGTACGTCAACGCAGAAGCCAGTGCAGGAGGATTTCCTCTGTGGCTGACAACCGGAGCTTACGGCTCGACACGGAATGATGACCCGCGTTATACCGCCGCATGGGAGCCATATCTCGCTGGAGTGTCTGAGATTACCAGTAGATATCAGATCACGGACGGCCACAACACTTTTTGCTATCAGATCGAAAACGAATACGGGCAGCAATGGATCGGCGATCCGGTCGACAGAAACCCTAACCAGACAGCGGTTGCCTATATGGAGTTGTTGGAAGCAGCGGCTCGGGAGCATGGAATCACCGTACCCTTGACTGGGAACGACCCAAATATGAGGACAAAGTCATGGGGCAGCGACTGGTCGGATGCTGGAGGTAACCTTGATGTGGTCGGGCTTGATTCGTACCCTTCTGTAAGTCTAACATCTTGAAAATGTGTCTGAGCGTGACTAACTGGGCCAGTGCTGGAGTTGCGATGTCAGCGTCTGCACCGGCACAAACGGAGAATACGTCCCATACCGAGTGCTGCAATACTATGACTATTTCCAGGAGGTGCAACCGAGTATGCCTTTCTTCATGCCCGAGTTTCAAGGCGGATCCTACAACCCTTGGGATGGCCCCGAAGGGGGATGCACAGAGGATACTGGTGCGGAATTTGCCAATTTGTTCTACAGGTGGAACATCGCTCAGCGAGTTACCGCCATGAGTCTATACATGATGTACGGAGGCACCAACTGGGGGGGGCTCGCGGCGCCAGTTACTGCCACCAGTTATGATTACTCTGCTCCCATCTCAGAGGACCGGTCGATTGGATCCAAGTATTATGAGACGAAGCTGCTCGCCTTGTTCACTCGTTGCGCCAAGGATCTAACAATGACCGACCGGATCGATAATGGAACACAGTATACCACCAATGCCGCCATCAGTGCGACCGAGTTGCGAAACCCAGAAACCAACGCTGCCTTTTACGTGACAAATCACCTAGACACCACTCTAGGAACGGATGAGTCTTTCAAGCTGCATGTCGATACGTCCGAGGGAGCTCTTACTATCCCTAAACATGGAGGCGCCATCAGACTCAATGGCCACCAATCCAAGATTATCGTGACTGATTTCCGACTAGGCCGCGAAACACTCCTATACTCCACGGCAGAGGTCTTGACATATGCAGTCTTTGATAAAAAGCCGACTCTTGTGCTTTGGGTTCCCGCCGGTGAATCTGGAGAATTTGCGATCAAGGGTGCGAAAAGGGGATCCGCCACGACATGCTCCGACTGTTCTCCGGTCGAGTTCCACCGAAGCAAAGAATCTTTGACTGTCAGCTTCACTCAAGCTGATGGTATAAGCATTGTACAGCTCGATAACGGTGTGCGAGTCCTTTTGCTTGATAGACCTTCGGCATATACCTTTTGGGCTCCGGCATTGACTGATGATCCGCTTGTTCCTGAGACCGAGAGTGGTAAGTTTTCGTTATTTCCTGATTTTTGACTGGGCGTGAGCTAACCGTGCGAGCAGTCTTCGTTAGTGGCCCTTACCTAGTTCGATCTGCCAAACTCTCCGGATCTACGTTGGCTCTGCGAGGAGATTCAAACGGCAAGACAGCCATAGAGGTCTTTGCTCCTAAGAAAGTGAACAAGATCACATGGAACGGAAGAAGGATCAAGGTAACCAAGACACGGTACGGCAGCCTCAAAGCCAGTCTCGCGAGCGCGCCCTCCATTGAACTACCCGCTCTGGATGGGTGGAAAGTCAGCGACAGTCTGCCAGAGCGACTCCCAGCCTACGACGACTCTGGTGCAGCATGGGTTGGTGAGTTGATCGGCTGCCGATTCAAGGCGACATAGAATTAACAGAGGCACAGATGCCGACCATATGACAACTCCCAACCCTCATAAGCCGGCCACACTCCCCGTTCTATACGCCGATGAATATGGTTTGTTATCACGAACATCCACCTACCTCTCACACTAACCCGTCTATTAGGATTCCACAACGGCGTACGCCTTTGGCGCGGATACTTCAACAGCTCCGCCTCTGGCGTCTTCCTCAACATCCAAGGTGGCGCCGCATTGTACGTTGAGCCTATCTGCAAATCTAGCCCTAACCCGAGCCCATACTGATATTAATCTTTGATTCAGCGGCTGGTCTGCCTATCTAAATGGCCACTTCCTCGACTCCTACCTGGGTGACGCATCAACCAACCAGGCAAACGGCACCCTCTCATTCCCAGACGATACCCTAAACACAGATGGGACCCCCAACGTCCTCCTAGTCATCCATGACGACACAGGCCACGACCAAACAACGGGCGTCCTCAACCCGCGCGGAATCCTCGAGGCTCGCCTTCTTCCCCTCGACACCGAATCCGACACCGAAGCGCCAGAGTTTACGCACTGGCGCGTCGCCGGCACCGCAGGCGGAGAATCAGACCTCGACCCCGTGCGCGGCGTCTACAACGAAGACGGCCTCTTCGCCGAGCGCGTCGGCTGGCATCTCCCGGGCTTCGATGACGACGATTGGCCAGCAGCCAACAACTCCCTCAGCTTTACCGGTGCAACGGTCAAGTTCTTCCGCACCGTGATTCCGCCGCTCGATATCCCGCAGGGGGTAGACGTGTCCATCTCCTTTGTTTTCTCCGCCTCGTCTGGTGGCAACAGCAGCAGCAGTAGCAGCAGCACTGGTGGGAATACGAGGGCTTTCCGTGCGCAGCTTTTCGTGAACGGTTACCAGTACGGTCGGTTTAATCCTTACGTGGGTAATCAGATCGTGTACCCTGTTCCGCCGGGGATTCTCGACTACAATGGCGAGAACACGATTGGAGTCGCGGTTTGGGCGCAGACGGAGGCGGGCGCAAGTTTGGAGTTGGATTGGAGGGTTAACTATGTTGTTGATAGTTCCCTCGATGTTGCGAACCTGGATGTGGGTGGCTTAAGACCCGAGTGGGAAGAGGAACGGCTATCTTTTGCCTGATCATAGTCTTTCCAGAGAGTGTCAACAGTGTCGTGAGGTGGAAATACGGCGATGATCGGGAATAGTTCTGTCATACCGATTATATACAGCTTATGTATAGTCCATTGTTGGATCTGTTTTGTATATCATGCGGGGGACATATCCAATATCAAGTGGCTATAAGAGCTCATATCCTCCCAAAATATAGTTATAACACGGAGTCCTAGCCCAGGAGTATCAGACCAAGAAGCGGAATCCTCTAGCAGAGGCCTGGCCTGGTACACCGCCACTGATACCCTCACCACGATCAAGCTTCTTGTTCAATCGGACGAGAATAATTCGCAGCGCGGTAGCAGAGAGGATAGCCACAAATGCGGTGGCACAGTTGACGGACATGGCAGTGACTACACCTTTGTCAGCAAAATCTCAAGCCTTCTCACATGGAGCTAGTACGCACCAAATCTCGGCTTATCGCTATCCGGGTACATGTAACTAGCATAGATACTGCTGGCGTTACTCACGCAGTTAATTCCAGCGAGAGCAGCAGCACGCTTCGAAGCAGGACGGGGAAGCGTGTTTGAAATCCAGCCTAACGCGACGACGTAGCCAGTGTATAGCGAAGGGACCATCAGCATCATGGACAGGTAGCGTGGGCCAACGCTAGTGGTTGTTGCGGCGATGATGAACGCTGCAACGGCGAGGTACAAGGGTAATGTGATGTGGAAGTAACGCTCGCCTGTACGGTCAGCGTGCCAGGCGTTGGCGAAGGCAGTTATGACAGCGAGAACATAAGGAGGTGCGGTGAGGAGAAGGGTCTCAATTTTGCCGTAGTTGAGTGTTTCAACGACGGTGGGGAAGAAGTTTGTCACGGAGGCCGAGGAGACGATGCAGAGGATTAGTAGCATCTGTAGCAGAAAGCGTTAACGGGTATTATGGGGTTTTCTGAAAGGAGATATACCAAAATCCAGGTCTTTATGTCGCTGAAAGCCAGCATGGCTCCATGTAGGAAGGATTGCTGCTCGCTGTCGACCCAGTCGTCCTCACCAATATCCTCTTCCAGTCGCCATGTAGCCAGCTGCTTCTCCTCCTCTGAAAGCCAAGTAGTCGTTCGTGGAAAATTGGGCAGGACGAAGATGGCGATAAGGGCAATCACGATAGTAATAGCTCCTTCGATGATAAACAGCCAGCGCCTAGGAACATCAGAAGATGGCCAATATTTTGCCACAACGTCTCGCTCAGCACCTACCATGCTCGAAGCCCAAGCTTTCCATCCATATTTCCCGTAATACCGGCGGCGATCAAGCCGGAAAAGGCACCTGAGATCAACGATCCGGAGTAGAGAGCCGCAGTACGGAACCCCAGTTCCTTTCTAGTATACCAAGCACTGAGGAAGTAAAGGCATCCGGGCTACAAGATAGGCGAAAAGTGTCAGAAAGATCACGCGCCCCGAAGATGAAGGACAACGTACAAAGTATGCAGCTTCCACAAAACCCAGGAAGAATCGGATCACCACGAGTCCAGCATAGTTTTGAGCAGCGGCGGTGCAGGTAGAGATTATACCCCAGAGTATCATGGCGAAGGGAAGGTAAAGAGAAGGTTTGCCAAACTTGTTCAACAACAGGTTGGAGGGGACTAGCCTAGTGTCAGCGGCCTAGAACAAGTTTGGCAATGCGGTCCTTACTCTGCATCAAGAGGTATCCAACAAACAGAATGCTCACGCAGGTCTGGTATTGTACTCCCACCAAGCCCAGGTCCTTTTCAAGACCAGCAAGTCGAGCCGCAGCCTAGGAGGGTATGAGTGAGGCGGCCTGCTAATTTCCATTCAAAGTGCCACTCACAATATTGTTCCGGTCGAGATAATTGAGGATGTACATGATAATGGTCATTGGCAGCAGCCGGATGTCGATTTTGCGGACGAGGGCTCTCTCTGCCTGTTCACGCTCTTCCGGCGTCAGGCCTGCAACGTACGCAGGTGCCTCCTTTCTAGGGTTAGGCCTGTTTGAGTTGGCGGTCTCTTGAACGACTTCGACATTGTCGACATGGCTCTTGTCAATGTCCCCTTCGGGGTCATGAGATATCGAATGCCGGGGAGACATATTTCTATGAAGATGATGAGAAGGGTAACGGAAGAAGAAAAGATGGAACGGGAGGAGTGGAAGGAGAAAAAGAGAGGGAACCTGGGAAGTAAAAGAGACCGTGAGGAGGAACTCCGAGCCTTCATGTTAACCGCAGGATTTGTCACTTGTCTCGCGGATCCTCCGCTGTCTACCATTTCTGGAGGGATACTCCTGTCCGCGGATGCTACGTTGCAGCGTCGTACAGAGACCGCGATCCCGGGGTGGTGGAGCCCGGGGGAAATTGATGTTCACTCTTGCCGGTCAGAGGAAGACGGAGAAAACCCTGCCAATAGCAAAGTCGGCAGCGGGGGCGTCGGCCTGGGGTGAGGAGGGGGAATAACGGAACCCCGGTGCCCCGGACAAACACCGAGCAATCAGGATTGAGAGGAAGCCGGAGGTGGGTTCGACAAGGTTGTTTGTGGAGAGGGATGGATAATGGCGTGGGGGTCACCAAATCATGGGAGCAAAGTGTGGGGGGATGAGCGGATGATGAGAAAGCTGAAGAGGACAGTACGTTGCGAGAATATCTGAAGCAAGGCTGGATACCCAAAGCAAAGAGGGAAGACACAATGATGGAAAGTGCCAAACCCGAGGTCAAGCGTCCAGGTAACTACCAAGAAATCGACGCAGAATAAGCTCCCCCAAGCAATGCTTCGCTGCGCCAAGGCCTGTCCTTTTTAGCCGAGTTTCCAGTCCCCGAAGATCACTTCCAGTTTTCCTGACGTTTTGGCTGATATGCCAAAGTCCAGCTTGGGCCTTATCTCGGTGCAACTCCGAGTATACCTTGCTCCCTGTATTCAGCTAATGATTTCATCTTTGCTCAATACCTGTTTGCACGATGGTGTAGTTTCAGGATAGATCATCCCGCTACTTCCCCGTTGTAAGTTCACATCATCACTGAGGCCTTGTCAACTGCTACCAATTATCCAAACACCAACCTCGGTTCGACTCTCACGAGATATTATCATCGCCACCCGCCTGGATTCAACTCTGCGGAAAACAATATTCACCTACATTTCCAATTGAACTGAGGGACAAACTTATCTTAGGGCGATATCACTCGTGTAATCTGATGGACCTTCTTCCTTGAGTCACCACCAAGTCTAGCAGCCTCGCGAATTTATCAAGGCAATGTGTCGTGCTATTTTGACACACATCCACGACTTTTCGTGGCCATGGCCAATTCTCCAGCTAGGGAACAATGCCCGACTCTATACCTCTGACGTTGCTGAGTACAGCCTACGAAGTCGAGTTAACCAATCAACCGCGGTGGAAGGCGTTGAAATGTAGATGAATTCGGTTCACATGCCATCCAGTCAATACAGTACCAGCAACAGCTATGGAAGAAAAGAGACAGCGTGCGTATGAGAAATCGCAAGACGCGAATACACGGTTCGGATGCCCAGGTAAGAAATAGTGCAAAAGAAATGACAGTAAGAAAGCCCTGAGTATGCTGTAATTAGGCCCAGTTAAAAACAGATGTCAAACTGCATGAGATGCGCCAGTGCATCGATTTCCAGAACGCGAACACACGATGAAGAGTGGCTAGTGCGAGTTTGATGATGGTAAGGAGAATGAAAAACATGAAGATGTAAGACAAATGATCAATGGGTGCTGCCAGTTTCACGCTTGCCAAAGACATGATTAAAAGACTGGATGAATCGAACAAAGTGTCGGAAAAGTGTAAGACAGAATCCATAAACGTGACTGGATCCGGGGTCAGGATAAAAAGAATAGATCAGTACCCAAAATCCTGAGCGCGAGGTAGATCAACGCCGAACAATCTGAAGTGGTCGCGACACACGACAACAATCGACCGCTCCATTTTCTCTTTAATACTGCCTTTGCTGGGTCCGCATTAATTGGGATGCATGCACAAAATAAAAGCCCTTCCCATACCAGGGATTCTGATTCGAAACACGTGTATAATAGACCAACGGGGTCAACTATCATGATCGCAGTGTTTGGAAGAGGTGTTTGATGAGACCAGACAACGGCGCTGGTCAAGACATCAAAATCGGAATCGACCGTGCAACCAAAAAAAGAGTTGCTCTAGAGAGATAAACCAGGTCTACAAGACGCCAGGTGTGGATACCACACCTTTCATAGATCCAATCGCCCGTCCGGAGATTAAATGACACACGAGAAATCAAGGGAAAGAGAGAACGCCGTTTTGTTATGCTGCATTCAGAGGAAGTGTGTATAGATTTTCGAGGTTTCGTGAACCTCCATCTCCTATACGTAAAAAAGGTCAGTAGATGTCCAGGAAAAGAATGCGCTGGAGACCAACCATCTTGAAGGTGTTCAGCTCTTCTTTTATTTGCTGAGCGAGAAGTGGAGTAAGTCGGTTGCAAGTCGCAATATCTCCCCGTCGATCATATTCGCCGCTGGGCCACGTCTCATGAAACTGGATTCGCGGGCTAAAGACGAGAGATTTCGAGGACACCGATTGCGGTCCCAGAGACACATTCTTGGTGTCGGATAGCTCGTCCTCTCCAGCAATTTTGACCACATCAGAGCGTCGATACCCGGTTCGCGGCTGGTCCTCGGGAGTGCTTGGCGCGCTTGAATTAGGCGAATCAGTACCGTTCTCGTTCTGAGAAGCTGGCTTTGGCGGAGTAGAAAATGTGCTCTCGGAGTTGGTTTCTGTACAGGGTACGGTTTAGCAAGCTTGTTTTATAGAGACGCCCTGGGATGAAACTTACTCTTGAGGATGCCTTTTCTGACGGCCGCAAGAACCTCCGCGCGCTCTCTGTCTCCGCCAACAATGCTCTTACGCGATTGGGCAGCTTCGGTCAAGTCATCATCCTGAGTCGAGGCGGGTGGAACAGTCGATTCCATTTTTGGGAAAACTGTGCCGCCGTGGGGAACATCCTGTGGGTCGGCATTTGCTGCAACACTCTTTCTTTCTGCTTCAATATTCACCACAGAAAGCTGAGGTGCCATCGGCTCCGCTGTCATTTCATCCACGGGTGAGATGATAGCAGACTTGGGTCTGAATAGTCCGACAAGAGACCGAGTGGATCGCTTCATACCCTTGCCCATCTTTCGAAGCATGATCGAGGCGGAAGACGCCGTCGAAGAGATGGATAGATTGTCCGTGGAGCTGTTGAAAAATCGACCCTGGTGGTGAGAGTATATGCTTTCACCTAAGCCGCTAGCTTCCTGTTGTTCAGCAATGGCTGCCTGTTCAGCACCCAGTTCCTCCTTGAGCAGTTCCCTGCGAGACTTGTCCACGGAGAGTCCGTCCTTGCGATGGTTGTTTTGTGAGGCCTTGAGTAATTCTGAAGCACTCCCGAATGAAAATGCCCTTCGCAGTCGCGACTTTCCTGGCCGATGTGCATCGTTTTTGGTGAGCTCCGCTAGCCGCTGCGAGGCAGGGCTCATTGCCGGCTTGGGTTGCTGATTTTGAGGATTCGGCTGTGCTGTCGCTGGTGAAGTAGAGTCTGCAGACACAGGTTGGGACAAGGGGGATGGTTTCGGGATGCGCTTGATGTCGTCGGATTTTGGAACGGTTTTGGGAGGGACAGAAGGATCATGGACCTATGTGAAACGTCAGCAAGAGCATGAATGATGGTCTCATGGCACTTTACAGATGATGTAGAAGAGCGGGCAGAATGAATGCTTCCCGCGACTTCCTTTTGTGATTGGGCCGACCTGGGCCGATCCTGATCAAAATAGTCCGTTCCCTTGGGCATAGGAATTGGCGATGAAGCAGGTAGATGAAGCTGAAGATTGATGAGACCAGTATTGTCAATATTTCCCCAACTCCTCCGTCGATATCTCTTGGCCAGTTCCGGCTGTGGCTTTTCTGAGCGTGCTACATCGTCCGCACTAGGAGCTCTCGTATGGCCGACACTATGTGAGTTGTTTTCAGGTACCAGGCTTCTAACCCCTAGTGGGCCTGGACTTTCCTCGAAACCAGGTGCTGATCCAGGGATGGCAGTTGAGGGAGAATCTGAGCGGCGGTTACCACGCCGATAACGATCAGGCGAGGGGCGGGAAACGGTAGGTGAGGATATGTTCATAAAGGGTGGTGTGGGAGAAGGGAGATTGGCGGTAGATAATGGGCGAACAGAAGGGTCAGTACGAAGCTTTCGAGAAGGGATTGCCGTGTCGTCCTTGGACATGTATGACTGGCTAGAGGAGTTGGAAGATGAAGTAGATACAGAACCAGCTGCAATGTGATGGACGGGTCGTGATGCACTGACTCCGACGTGGGCAGCATTCGCGGAGACTTGGGGTGCTGAAGGGGCGGAAGAAGTTCGATGCTCAGGCCTCAAGCTAGGAGACCATGACTGGCGGTTTTGCGCGTTGGATGAATTGGAGAGGTTGGGGGTGGTGGTGAAGGCGTAGGGGGCCACAACCTGATGACCTTGCCTATACCCCCCCGAGTTGCCTGCCGCATTATATGTGTTCCAAGACATGGCTGCTTGATTTCGCGAATTCGATTGCTGTAGAGACTGAGATGTTGTAAAGGCGCCCGAAGAGGAAGAAGGACGAGTTTGGAGCACCGGAACCGCGCTGCTTTGCTGGGGAATTGTTTGTACCAACGCTGCCATGTTGTTATCCTCCACTGATCAGCGAGTTATCGAATTGGACGCGTGGCAACGACGTCTTTCGAGAGGGCTCCCTCGTGAAGTGAGAGCAACCCTGCAGTGCTGTTGACCAAGCCGTGTATACTGTCCGAGGGGAAGTTCGAGAGCGAGGGGAAATGGTTGGGGAGGAACAGGGGGGAGAATCTGTACCACGTATTTGTCAGTTGGCATTGTACGACCAAGGTAACCGGGTTCGAAAGAAGGCCTCAAGAGTTGGAGCATCATTCAGGCACGGGGAGAGGAGGTAGGGAGGGGAATTGCTTCTTCGGTCAAGGAAACATACCTGGTATAGCAAATGCCGGTAGCTCAATTATACTGGTACAAACGATTAAGAAAAAAGCGCTCAGACCGATGCAGAAAAAAGCGAATGCTGTCGAGAGTAAGAGGGAAGAAACGAAAGGCTTGGATCGAACGAGGACCGAGGAGGGACGAGGGAGGAGCCAGCGATGCGAGTGCGATGTAAGGAACACAAGGGTCAGGGGGGGCGGCAGATGCTGACTAGAGCGGTCGAGCCATATGTAGAGAAACAAGAAAGTAGAAGAAGAAGAACAGAGGAGATTCAAAGATGAAGATGACAACTAACGGAGAAGCCGCAGGAGATAAGGAGGAGAGAAAGGAAAGGAAACGGTGACCAGATCCCTTGGAAGACACGGAACTTCTGAATCAAGCAGAAGACGCGCCGTTCCGGCGGACTGGAAAGAATGGAGGAGAAGGGCGAAAAAGAGAAGAAGTCGAGAAACAGGTGGAGGGTGGGAGGAAAGGGAAGAGGAGGAGATAATGCCAGTGGGATTGAGGAGGACTGGAATGATGGGACGCTGCTATTCTCACTAAGGGGAGGGACTGACAGGCGGAGACGACTGACGGGCGGGATTTTCCTCTGTTTCTGAACGCGCAAAGGGAACGACCACGCCCAGCACAACGGTCCTATCCTCGTTTGGATTCTGCGATCGGTGACGATTTACAGGAACTTGTTATGTTATTGTGCGAGTTATACAACTTTAACGGGATTTTCAAGAAAAGGAGAAGGGAATCCAGAAGGAGGGAGGGAAGGTTTCCTGGTGCAGGTCGAGCGCCCACGAGGGGGAAGCAGATCGATTAGCGGCTTTGAAAAGCATGCGAAATTCCTCATAATCAGCAAAAATAAGAGAGCGGCGGAATCCAGATGGCGATGACTCTTCGTGCAGCTGCAAGTCATACCAGAAACAGCTGAGAGTCGTCACCTACCAACAGGAGATTATCTTGTCAACAACGACTTTCCCCGGGTTTCTTCCGCAAAGATCGCAGCTATCTCTAACGATATTATGAGGAGGCCGCAAGGTTTCATTCATAGTATCTATTCTTCCTTCCTTCATTCCGCTCATGACTCTTCCTGAGCATAGATTAAACCCAGATTAATTCTCCTGAATCTGCCTGTTGCTCAGCAGCCAACCAGCGTTACCAAAGCTCGAAAGGGGTAAGACATGATCTTGGGGCGCTGTACGGTAACTTCGGGTCCTCGATGGCTGGTTACTGGTAGGCTTATTCTTAGCCTGTGCTCTCAGAGGTTCCCCGTCATATTCATGGTTCCAGAGTTCATCCCTAATTGACTTTGGTCAAAAAATGGTTCAGGGCCGCTGACAGATCGAGCAGGCTGACCGCACTGAAAAAGTTCTACGACTACGAACTACTTCACCTGTAAACGGTGTATGACTCGTACAAGGAGTACTCCGGAGTCGAACATCTGGATCGCCACTCCGGCACTAAGAGGTTGTCAGTCCCATTCTCTGTGGGGTACTTGAGGTATCAAGGCTGTAACCCGTAATAACGACGATCAAGCCAGCCAATAGTACAGCCATAAACCGCCTCCTTTTTCTATTTTTTCCCTTCCGTTCTTGCTTTTCAAAGGTTCCATCCTAAATACGGTAAAAGAGGGGGGAGGGCAAGAATGCTGCACGGGAAGAAGAAGACGCCTGGATTCTGGAAGGGTGCAAAAGTTGGCAGCCCCGTGGTCCCCATCCCTGCCAGCAATCTCGGTTGGCGGGTATTCAACGCGGAGTCATGGTAAGTAGATCCAGATCAGACGTCAGTTCCTCAAGTGATGATTGTTGAAGAGCTTCGAGAGGCTCACGAACGGAAGAACCGTCCGGATATGCGTCTCGAACTAGCTGCTCAGCCGCCTTGTCGCCAAAAGGCTCAAGCCCAGACCTTAAAAGACTGGGACACTAAACAAGTGCTGTATTCTCTCTTTGCAACCTCACCGAGGGAAACGGCGAGGCTGTTGAAGGGGTCAAGAGAACTCAATCACCAATATAATACCAAACAAGACTTTTGAGTTTGAGATCTTAGTAAAGAGCGTATAAGTTTTGCAAAATCTCATGACTCGCTTCAGTAGGGCATCCTTGTGGGAGAACTCCTACGATACCCTACAGTCTCCGCTATCTAATCTCCTTCGCCGGCTTGATAGAAGGGCGAACTCCTGCGACACTTCGAGTGGTCGGAAGAAATGAATACTCTGCCCTGGTTGAGCGTCCTCGCAACTATGGTTCTGAAGTCATGGCGTATTCCCAAGATATTGTCACCCCTAGGAATTTCCCGCAAGCTGGTTCCATGGGTCTGGCCGTTCTACGATTGGTACCTAATCATAGTCATCAACCAGATCACCCGCAATCTGTGTTCCAACCCGGCGGGGACGGACCTATTGTTACAAACTGCTACATCTCAAGGTCCACCCGGCTGTGTAGCCGTACCACTTGATGAGAGTAAGGGCAAGCAGCGCGGAGGGGTCCTCGGAATCAACGACAAAACGGCCTGCCTTCAGGTAATCGCGACAATTCTTACTTTTTGTTATGCAGGAAATTCCATGCAAAAGAGCAAGAAAATGTGGCTCATGAGCTGCATTCATCACTCACTGGGATAATAACATGGCACTTGACTCAACTAGCCGACTTTTGCTTTGATGGGTCACGATCCTGCATGCTTGACCGCCAGAATAAGCCACTATGCTCTAGGGTAAGCAATCATCAAGTCGCGATTTGGATTGTCGCATCGGACGTCGTTGACTACCGACCTAATAATGGCAATAGACCTTACAGTTTGTCGCAAATATATATAGAACCAAAGTGGGGGGGTTCGAGATATATATATATATATATGCGCCCAGTCACAACCAGAAAAGCCACAAAGTTTATGATATACTTCTATCGACCAAGCTATTAAGACGCAAGACCGCAAGACAATGCTTTTACCAGGTAATACTAGTAGTAGTAGTAGCCATAGCCAGGACTTAGCACGATCAGACATGGTAGCATCAGATGAATGCATCGAGTCAAAATTCTCAAGATCCATAGAGATTATCCAGGACTCGGAACTCCAAGACTAGCGCCTGCAGATCAATGTAAGGAGTTCCCGCGTGATCGACAAAGCAACGTCGCCGTTTCAGCATTTTTCAAATCTTTCCGCGTCATCGTGCAGTGGGCTTCCATGATGGTGGCTTTCGGTATCGCCTCTGGTCCCACTCATGAATCGTTTTTACCGGACCCTTGAGGCATGAGCCGACAAAGTCGAGGTGCTTCTGTTGGACAGCTGCAGGATTTACCTGTGGAAAGGTCGATGGTAATCGATCGGAAGTACTACTAGTACGACATGGATATCCCGCACGGTCGCAATGGCGGAATCCTACTGTGGGAGAATAGTATTCGAGTCGGCTTTCGCGTATGTTGCCTTGCTCTTGAAGCTGGACTGATCATACGGTGTAGGTAGGCACTAGGCTATGGACTGATATCAATACGTATCCAACCGTAGCTCAAAGCTTGTCCTGGCTTCGCAGTTTTATCGGCGACCTTCCTATCAGACCTTGGACAGGATCCAGTGCAGACCTCGAACCATGATTGAAAACACAACCAAGCCTCAAGGGGGGACAAAGGACTGCTTACCCCACAAAATGAGACTGCTCCTCCCACCTCGTTAGACGAAGATTGCACTGGCTGCGACAGACGACAACAATTGACCACTCACCGACGCTGTACCTCAATGGTGATCGACCAGTCCACCAATAACGCATCTGACCCCTCCTGGAAGATTTCCACCACGGCAGGGTATTTGCAGCAGCCAAGGGGCTCGAGACATGGACTTGGTGCGATTCGATCAATGGTGACTCCGAGTTAGACCGACAAGAACAACTGGAGTATAAATTGTCCGGGGAAACGCCAAGGAGACAAATTATCAACTCGAAGTTATGCAACGTGCAGAAACATACGGATATATGCTCCGGTCTGACTCGGCCGTCGGACAAGTTCTCGGAAAATCGGCATGATACAAATATTCTCCAATCTCGAATTTTTGCAAAAATTATTCAGCTGATTGAATCTGTGTGCCCTCCAGCTGAAAAGCCACTCTAAGCGCCCAGCCAGCCATCTGTGTCATGACTATGCACCGCGTCCCTTGTCCACCAGGGCACTCGACGCCTACTCAGCCCCGGTCAGTGCATGCGACGCCCAGATTCGACGCAAGATGCATGAATATTAGGTCATCGCAGCAAGGCACGGACGCAAAACCAAGGACAAAAAGCAACATCGAGTTGCCAGTTGCTCATCCATCTATCTACGAGCGGATATTGCGGGCCGCCGATAGCGCTTGAATTTGTGCTAGTTTATAGTGCTTTGCTGACCGAAGCACTTGATAAGCGAGCGTTATGCCTATTTAAATTATCAACTACTCGATCGTGGGCCGTGCTGGACTTGACTTCTTTCACAAGAGGTAAACAGCTATCTCTCTACATGGGAACGAAATCACGCGCGGCTTGTTCGTGCCTTAGCTCCTGGGTGGAATCTGCATGTCGCCAGAACTGGAAATCTGCTCAAGTGGGGTTCGGCTGTGTCGAGTCAGGATCGAGTTACGGAGTACTGAAGTATCCATTGAGATTGAATAGTCAAGGTCCATGCGAAGTACCTCGGAGTTTGTGAACCTCTTGAGAGCTTGAATTGCAGCATCATGGCGTCTCCATCCATGACCGCCACTCAATAGGGACAATATCATGACTGAACGTATATGCCGGGGTATTCGTGAACGACAGTTTAGAACTTTTACCTTATTCGTTATCAGATCAAGTCTATCATCTATACAGGTCATTAGATAGCACGGGCGGCTCAGCACTAAACTTAACGAATCAGAATCCCAAGTCGCTGCCATCAAAGTCTTCGGATACATCCATGCCCTCGCCATCCTCGTCCAAACCCTCAAAGACCATGAATTTCTCATTCTTAGCGTCAGTTCCCTCCTCAACCACCATGCCGTCCTGAATCTCGCAGTCCTTCAACACGCTCTCGCGCTCGATCTTGCTGCGCCGTCCAACGATGCACCCTGTCAACTGGCATCGTTCGCCTATTACTGCCCCGTCCATCACGAGGCAGCGGGTTAACCGAGCACCGCTGGCGATGTGGCAGTTGGCAGAGATGACAGTCTCTTTGATCACACACTTTTCTTCTACAGTGACGTTCGGGCCCAGTAAGCAATCAGACTTGGTGACTGTGCACCGCTGGGCGATTCCCGCAGGATATGCCACTTTTTGCTGGTGCGCAAATGGAGAAGCGGTGACCCGGCCAACTTCTTCGATAGATTCGAGTTTCGCGAGGCGGAGGGAGACGGAGAGCAGAAGAGCAGAGGTGTCAACGCGTCTGACAAGAGGAGCCGAGGGTAGGGACGAATGCATGTAAGCCAGCATTGGGGGAATGGTAAAATTGTCGGCTTTGTTGGGTGGCTCCATCTCTCCACCGGGGCCTGAGCTTCTGACACGCGAAGCAAACTGGATTTCCGAGGGTGTGTCATGCGATGACGGGTCCAGACGTTCTCCAGTCGCAGCTTTGGTAGTGCTCATAGCTTTGATATCAATTTCCTCTTCGAGGGACTCGTCGTCCACGCTCCCACTTTCTCCATTCTTGTGACTTGACGGTTGCAGCACTTCATCCAGTCGAAGTTTGGTGCCCAGTCCTGACTGCCAATTTGACTTTGCCCACCAGCCCACAACGTCTTCACTCACGCTCTCAAACTTCTCGTTGAGCCGAACAAAGTCTTTGACCCAGTACGGCAGTACATAGATATGGCCGTCGCGGTAGCTCGTCAACATCTTGACTTTTGCGTGCTTCTTCACCAGCGAATGGCGTACAAGCAATCCCTTGTCTTCTTCCATCTTCTCTTTGACTGTATCCATTGGCATGGAGAGCACGAGCTTTGACAGCCCAAATCGAATGGCCGCTGGCCCGTCCGCAGGATGGGAGACTGCGGGCGCTTCATCTCGTTCAAGGGGAGCGGTGGCGACAAAATCAGCTACTTCACCCTTGACACTTTCCTCTCTTCCCTTTGTTTGATAGTATACCGCTAGACCGCCGCGGCGCCCACCCGCTTCACCGCCCATCCCTATCGTCTTTGGACCGTTGTTGTTCCAACCATCGCTCAGGGTTGAACCACCCAGAGCGCTTTGGGATACCATCCATGCCTCAAGAAGGGATTCTCCCGGAATATCGCAGATAAGGTCGCAGGGAAGAAGGAGAAAGTCGGACTTGATGCAGGCTTGAACTTCCGGAAGACGGAGTAGCTCCGCAGTACCCGTCGTCAGGGTTAGATTAGCAGGTGCCAGCACGGATGGAGATGGCGAAGGAAGGGAGGTGAGGTGAGGATTTTGTGATAGGGCGGCTTCGAGAGGTGCTTGGCTAGGAGGAGGAGTAATAAGAGTTATATCTGAGAAGTTAATCTCCATTACTATAGGAACTAGGTCGAGCACTCACTCGTTATGCCTTGTCTATAGCACCAATCCAAAGGATAAAATACCATGGGCCGATTTGCGACAGGGATCAAAGCCTTCGGAAACTCCTCCGGGTTCGAAGTAAAGGTGTTGAGGGATACACCTGGACCGCACAGAATGAGCGCTTGAAACCCCGTCGGGGGCACTGGAGCAGAGGGCGGCATCACGGTGAGCAGCTGTATCGCGGATCTGGTGTTGCGAATGTGGTGTTCTGGACAATCTGTGATATCCCCGCGGGGAGGAGGGGGAGGAAGTGGGATGAAAGAAGAAAATCGTTTTTGAGTCGCGAGTTGTTTATATTCAATTCGTGTCTCGGAGCAACCTAGAGCATATCATAATAGTCCGCTGACAATAACAGGGAAAAGAAGCTCAGAGAAGATGTCGCGTCGAATTTGCAGTCGTGAGTCAAGCTGCTGCTCTTTATCCGACTCCGCAACTATTTTTGAGAGAAAGGTAATATCACGTGCCGATACGGAGCGGATGACTAAGTGGACAAGCACAGGTGCAAACAGTGGAAACACAGCCGCCCGTCAAAAACCGCGGCACAAAAACAAAGCGTCACCAGCCACATGTTTGTCGCCCTGGCCCCGAGGCCCCAGCCCAGCCGTCCCCATAGTTCCTTTCTCCTTCCTCCTCTCCAGATCCCAGCCCCCCACCACCAAACATTGATCTTGCGACGACCTTGAGATGTGAATACAACTTAATGCGACAGACGTGAATCCTATGCGCAATCTATAATTGTTATCGTTGACCGCAATGTCTCATTCCCAAGATGCCCGCCATCGGCGGGTGGGTACCGGCTTCAGCTCGTCTGGGCAACGGACCGTCATGGGGTACTGGGTACCTCTCGCCATGACCGTCGGTATTGCAGCAATTGGGGTTGCGGCCTGGATATGGACTGAACGCAACGAAGGGGATGACGAAGATGACCGCGATCAGCTTCGCCGTGGTGACCAGCATCAACAACAACCTGCCAGTGGCCCCAGCGGAGTGTCATTCCCACGCGGCGAATTCGAAGGGGGCTACCCTCGAGCGACGGATGCCGATATCCCTGGTGATACTTCGGAGGATGCTAGCATGATGGCTCGCATGCAAGGAGCGTTGCGCCGGACACCGAGTCCCCAGCAGATCTTTGATGGCGCGAGCAAAAGGGTTGCCGCTGGAGTCGCGGCGGCTGGCGCTTTTGTGGGAGGTGCTTTGACCTCAATCCGCGAGGAGAACAGGGGCGATTTCGAGGACCATTCCCGATGGTCAGAGGAGGCGCAATCTCGGGACCAACAAAGGATCCAGACAGATACGTCGGTGCTGCCAGCCGCGGCTACCCCAGCTCCAGCGCGCAATATTGCGGGCGCGGCAACAGGGGACAAAAGGAGAAAGACAGTTGTGGTTGTGGTATCATCGGAATCGTCGCACCTCGGTCCAGAAGATATAAACTCCGACCATGTTGTAGGTTCTTCCGTGATTTGACGTTTCTAGTATTCGTGCTGACACTGTAGCAGTCTATCCTCTCGCATCTCCCCGAACACATCAACCCTGATGACGCCAAGATATTCGTCCTTATTTACGCGCCGGGCTTGAAGCACGCACCAAACCAAGGCAGCGCGTCTAATACGCTGTCGGTTACATCGTCATACTCAAACATTGCCCCCGAAGAAGCCACCGCATCTGGTGAAGCTACTCCAGCAGAGCTGTTGACATTGGAGCCCCGACAGGTCGAAGAGTCAGAGGGTGCGACGCCTCTTTTCAATACCCTTTACACACAAGGCCAGGCTATTGTTGAAAAGGAAACCATGATTATGCCTTTCAACTCTCGTACCGGCTACGTGCATCTTGTTCGCCATCTCTCCCCCGATACCGTCTATGTTCAAGAGTCCTTGGCCGGCGAAGATGGGAGCGCCGTGCAACATATATCCGGATGGGTCAGACAGGTTGTGGTCGTGGTTGGCGACGAGGGCGGCCGGGGCGGCCTGATCGATAGCGATGATGAGTCCACGCTTGCTGACAAGGACGAAAAATGGTGGCGTAAAGAAGGCGTTACCGGGATTGGAAAGCGCATTGACGTGGTTGATGTGCTCCGTGTTGGGGATGACTGGCGGCGCAGGATCAGTGGACACGATTAGATCTGTAAATGATCATGGGATGGCACGAGGTGGCTTTATGATGGTTAATCTTTTTGGATGTCTATATTGCGATTCTTTGCTTGGTTTATTCTGTCCTGGACAATCATGATGTGATTCCCCAGTTTGATGATTTTAGTCTTTTCCTCAATGTCATGTGCCTGTGGATAATGCATGATGACAAGGAACACAAACAATTCTGCTATACTTATAATGTGTATGCTTTGTGGTCTTCATACTCGACCACCAACCTGAAAAATCACGTGCCCCGGAGCCCCAATGCGGGCATCACCTGACATGGCGGCCTCCTTCACGACGTCTTGGCTTGGCATCAACCAAACTCCTTCTCACAGCGACGACCTCACCTCTCCAACCGCGCTGATCTATCTGCTCCTAGTAGGCGCCTGTTCGATGGGTCTCATATTACAATACCTCTAGCGACTCTGGGCATCCGTGCAAGGCCTCGCGTCGAATTCGGCCCTGCTCGTTGTCGTTTTCCTCCGCGTCCCCACATGTCTCGTCCCCCGGTTATATCATCCACGATCGATTTTCGGAGCACGGCTTCCGTCTATTACCTTCGGGTTCACGCTTCGGCAAGTCGCATTTAGGAACGGTTGACCGGGACAGCATTCCGGGATTGCCTCCGACAATGACGACGGCGATCTCCAAGACCACGTCCCATCCCCCTAAGATGAAGCGACCGCCCCCGCAGTTCGTCCAGCCTGGGGCCAACGGTATCAGGTCGCAGCCATCATCATCATCTCCTCCTACAACGTCAAAGCGCCTTCCCGGGGCCGGGCAACCTGCGGCCGCAGCTTCTACAAGCCACCCTGCTGTGAATGGCGTCAATGGCATTGGCAATTCGAGTAACACGCCGTTCAAGGGTTCTCTGGGCAGGCCCAAGAAAGAGGCGCAAAGGCCAGGCGACCAAGGTATCAAGGCACAGAGGCCGACATCGAAGCCGTCATCTTCAGATCAGGATCGCCGGGCCGGAAAAGCATTTCCTCAGCCTTATGGTTAGTCCCAAGGACCCTTTTTCCGGAATACCCTTCAAGAGTTCCAAGCTGATTGTGATATTTACTACAGTCAAATCAACGCCATATATCCTGAAGAAATATGCAAAAGCCCCTCCGTCATTAACCATCCATCTCCACCCTACGCATTTCCGCTTTGATCAACAAGATGGCAGTTTCTCGTACAACTCTGAGATGAAGGTTATCATTCAACATATCCGCATGGGCACCGTTCCGCATGATATATTGGAGAACTTGTTGCTCAGCGGAGTTCGCTTCTACGAAGGTGGATTGAACATCTTGTCTTAGGCTTTTCGCACTTTGCTGACTGGCTCTTATTAGGTTGTCTTATAGTACGTGTCATCGATCATAAATCAGTATCAGCACAGACTAGGAAATCTACTGCGCCCTCTTCCAGCGACAATAATACACCATTCTCAATTCACAACTACAATGAGCACATTACGCCGTCACCTTACGTACCATATCCGAAGCAAAACCAGCTAGCGTCGGAGAAAGCGACTAGCAAGACAACAACATCAGACCAGTCCGATACAAAAGATGGCGATGAACAGTCTCAGGGTAATTCCGAAGACACCAGATCAACCTCGCTGCAGAAACAAGCTGCCCCGAAACCACGAATATTTACAACTGTTCTCCATCCCACTCCTCGCTCATTACAAGCAGAGTTAACCATTCTTGCCACCACACCTGATCCAAGAGCTGCAAAGCAGGCAGTGTCAGGCATGTCCCGACCTCAACTAACGTCATCATCGACAACTCCGCCGTCCCCTGGTGCATCGGCGAATCCAGAGCGGGGCCATGTCGCAAAACGACAGAAAATGCTCGTCGAACCGCAGGAACTTTTAGAGTGCGAGTCCAAACTGACCAGAGCTCTCGCACCGCCCTTGTTCTTGGACCCGGTCTCCACCCTGGAGGGTGCGCACGATTTGCTGAAATACTTGGAAAGCCCGTTGCACCGTGATGCTCCACCATCGCCCAAGAGGAGGAAGCGCACAATCGCAGAGCTTGCAGCCGACGAAGCCTTGGCGGCGGAAGAAGAGCGATTTATGCTCATCATGGACGAGCGGCTGGAGCCCACTACGTCGGGGGCTGCTGGAGGGCCCAAGTCGGCTACCGTGGATGACACTGGAGGCGCCGTACCTTTCGAACCCCGGTTTTCACGATTCAAGACCCTTGAAAACATTCGTATGCAACATGAGGAGAAGGCAAAACGTGAGCATGATATCAAGATGAAGCAGGAACATATCAAGAGACAACAACAGGAGCAGGAGAGGGAGCGGCGCCGGGTAACAGAACAGCGCCAGGCGGAAGAGCAAGTCAAGGAAGAGAATCGAAGGCAACAACTCGCAGCTCAGCAAGCGCAGGCACAGCTTGCAGCGCAGCAGCAGCAGCAGCAAAACCGGCATGTTATGGCGGCACAGCCCAACGGCGTCAGCCAAGCACCGCAACAGTCCTCGCCCGTGGTTCGCCAGCAAACACCTCTCAATACCTCATCTCCGCTAGTTAGCAGCGCAATGGCTGCCCAAGCTAGTGTGCCAATGGCCATGACTTCTTCTATGCAGGGCGCTGGTAGCCCACCAAGGCCTCCTTCTGCTTTGCAGCATGCTCATCCGAACATGATGAGCCATCCGATGGTACCGTCTAGGAGCCAGCAAGGGCAGAGTAGGCACGGAACTCCACAGATGACACAGGGTACGCCGGCAATGTCTCAAGCAACCCCTGTAATGCGCAATGCCACTCCCACTCAACGTATAACGCATGCCAGCCCTCCGCGCTCGTCAATCGCTCCAACGCCTGTGATGAACCAGGCAATGATGGCAACGCCGCAAATGGGTGCTGGTATTAGTCTTACTCCACAGCAGCAGCAGCAATTCCTGTCACAGAGACAGCAATTGCTCGCGCAGCAAGGGCATCTGAACCACAGTCAGCTCACTCCGCAGCAGTTTGCTCAACTGCAAGCAAATATGCACGCGCAGCAGAATATTCAGAACCATCAGCAACAATTAATGCAGCAGCAGCAACAGCAACAACCGCAGCCCCAAAATCCTCAAGCCCAGCAGCAGAAATTCCCAAACCCCCAAGCGTACCAAGCTCAATTGATGCGCGCGCAACTCGCACAGATGCAGATGGCCCAGCACCAACAACGGCAGCAGCAACCGCAAAATCAGCAACAGCCCATGCCTCAACAGGGACAGATGCTTCAAAACAGCCCCCAGATGAACGCTCAACAACAGCAGCAACAACAGATTCTGATGGCAGCAGCTCAAGCAAATGGCGGCCAAATACCGCACAACATGCAGAACATGCAGAATATGCAGAATATGCAGAACATGCAGCCAAGAGTGAACGCAACGCAGCGGTACACCCAGCTCTATCAGCAGCGATTGTTACGTTTGAGACAGGATATGGCTACTCGTCTGATGCCCCAATATGGACCACCTACGCAATATCCTCCTCAGGTTGCGCAAGAATACAGCGTTGGGCTCGAACAAGCTGCCAAGGGCTATGTGCAAGATATCATGCGGCGGGACCGTGCTGAAATGGCTGCTGTTCAGCAGCGACAAGCCCAAGCCGCTGCTCATGCTCAGGCAGTACACCAACAGCAGCACAACATGATGCAGAATGGAATGGGCAAGTAGATTTGCATATTGACGTTGACGACTAATGGACTGGAGGCATCGGAGATTTCTTACATTTCGTGCTCAACTTTTCACCACCACCACCACCACCACCACCAAACATCGGACTCGAGGAGATCTTGAGCCTAGTTCTATATAGGAACCCCCGCACCCACACTTCACCACTTTTTTGCATCCGATTTGCCATTCACGCCCGAAGCTTCTTTTGCTTATTCAATTTGGGAGCAGTGTACAAGAATTATAACCAGGGATTTGCTATAAAACATGGGGCGTCTGGCGTTCTTTTGCCTTTGATCTTGGTCCGCAGTGCATCTTCTTCTCTGCCCTTTTATATTACCTTCTATCTAGCCTCTTGCTACACTTTTTTTTTCTCTTTCTGTTTCTTTCTTGTTTATGTTACATCTTGGGCAATTGTATCATTGGGGCAGGAATTGAATTTGGAACGGGAGTGGGAAACCGGACTTGATACCATGATTTTTGTCATAGGAGTTTGTTCTTTTAATGAGGCAGATAATCAGACTTGATGAATTGTCATATACCATCAGAGTAAAAATAGGTAGTTATAGAGAAGGTCATACTTGGCGCATCGCTGCTCGAGGGAGATCGGGTACAGAGCACCACGATGCGGTTTTCATCATGAAATTGCCGGAGAATCAACTAGGTGAGGTAGAGGTGTATTCTTTTTTTTCTCTCGAAAAGGGGACGTTTGGCCAAGGGTTGTGTAGCCGTGGCTTGTAGTTCATACTCCAGTCTTTCTCTCTATAAGCTCTTGCTGAGGGTAGTGAATTAATTGGCCATGATTTGGAGCGCCAAGATAGTAAAAGACGATTCCAACGTGATTTCAACAGTTACGGAGTGAGCAATTGACCATTATGGAAGGCCATGGGAAGTCGAGCATCTACTTTATGGTTCACTTAGGGCTTGCCGCTTCGCGGGTGTGCCCAAGTGTCAATGGGAGGGAACCGAGAAAATTTAGCAGAAATCGCAGTTGCTCCGACAGACTAGGTACGGTACTGCTTCGCCACTGCTTCAGTTAAATTTTATGAGATAGTCTACTTGATGAGGTTACTTTGGTCTGATCCGAGAATTTGGCCACATGCCGACGTGCTCGAGCCCCAAGAAGTACTGGGTAGCACACAACCATGCGATTGTAAATGGTCGATACCACGAGTATACTCTCCGCGGCTCCCAACGGCAAGTATCCGAGGGCACCGTGTCGAAAGTGGCGCATTCTCAGGCTGGTTCGAGTTCGAGTCCACCCATTCACCAGTGCTACCTCGAGGTGGCGGTCGTGCAACCGCAGACACAACACCGGACGGGGTTGACTGGAGAGGTCGAGGCCCTAGCGCAAACGACCCTACACAGGGCGAATAGGGAGCGAAGCCAACAGGCAACAGAGCGATCCGTGTGGGTCGACAGTGATCTCCGATACATGCATGAGTTGTGCGGATGGGTGTGCAACGTCGGCGGGGACCGGCAACCAAGTGCGCTGCACAAATTTGCTTTTGGTTGTTGCCTGAAACTTGCCTCTCCTGGGTGGATTAGATTAGTAGTATTCATGCATGTATTCATGCACATATCCCGTTGCATGGAACCTGCGCATTCCGACAAAATCAAGTATTGAGACCTGAGAGAGCTTGGACGTTCAATGATGCGTACCTGTTGGAGATGATTCCGCAGTTCCTGAGTCAGTCTGCGAAATGTATGCTTCATTGGCCCGACTACTAGGAGATCATCTGTCTAGCTTCGGGGACCTGGTTCCACCGTTCCTGGAAGCTCATGATACCGTGGTAGCAATCAATAGAATGACGTCGTTGGGAATGCGGGACTGCAAGGAGACGCGCATGCGTTTCTGTTATCTAGCGTCCCCAATAGAGGCCGATTAGGATCCATTATGGGGTTAGCTTCGTACTTTCCCTGTTCGGTTCAATACCGTTGAGGATTGTGGGAGGGAATATCTAGATCGGTGCACGAGTAATGGAACTATGGAAGGTGGTGGAAGTCGAGACGGACATTGCCACTCTCGACCGTTAAGCTTCAGCCAGATCCACCACACAATGCAATGTAACCGAACTTTGCCCGCATTGTTTAATGAAACGGGTGCGAGATAATGAGCAGTGCCTCTGATTCCGGCTCATTTATTGGATGATTTGGAAATGAGGAAAAGGGAAAGGAAATGATTGGGATGCAAGGGGTAGAATCAAGCCTGGGATTCCCCCCATTTTCCCCCTACGGGGCATGATCCGCCCGCCTTTTGATCGTCAAGGAAAGAGGGGCATGCAAGTAGATGAATCGATCGTGCCCTGCATGTAATCCCTAGGTCTGGTGGGGATGCTAAGATATAGCCATCTTGGTTCAGGTGAGACATGGGCTTGTTTCTTCTGCGATGGACCCAATTCAGAGACAAGACAGCCTCCTCTTCCTTCTTGGAAAGTTGGTCGTCAATTGTGTAGGTGTATTTTTGACGACAACTGGGTCGTAGAAAGACGCAAACAGGTTTCGGAACATTACCCTCAGCTTACTGCCAGGGTAGGCACAGATCGATGTGCTCTGAAGACGCCTGTGGTAATAGTAATAACGGTAAGCATAAGGAAAGAGGCCGGACGGAGATAGATGCGCATATTCTCGGAGAAATCAGAGCATTTCACTTTGAGGATCTCGGTTGTTCCTGGGGTGACAAGCTTTTATTGAAGGTTCAAGGAGCTGTAGGCTTTCATGCCCAGGCGACTGCCACCTCCATAGTCCTGAGCCTGGGAGGCTAATCCAACCTGTTGAAAATGGGCCATGAAGATTCAAATGGGGTTCAAGATTGACCATTGAACGCCTCCACGAAACTCACCTGACTAAGTGGGTGTGTATTCGGGTACTGGCTTATTGCATGCTCCGCATTTCAAGTCTTAGAATAGCATGAGAAGGGGTTTGCAGGATGAATAATAATCATTGTTCGGATGGATTCAGGGACTTCAAAGGAGTAAAATTGGAAAACAACCGTTTCCCGGGTCGATGGTCTGCGATCTGGGGTTCCAGAGCGTAAATCAAGATCTAATTTGGCACCCCACAGCGCTTCATAAAACCTTCTAGACGCCTTGTGAGGTTAAGCACCCTGGTCCGCCCTTATGGAGCTGAACTAGGGCGTTTCCAGTATAATTTTCTGCCAGGACTGATTCAATTGCCAATATATTGACGGAAGAGCCGAACTGATAAGAAGCATCCGAGTGTATGCCCGATCTGGTCTGACAGCGTCATCGCGGAAGCTATAGGGATCTCATCGCACTCCAGAGTAGAAGCCTGGTGGGCCACTGGTGACCGAGACCATAATTGCCCGGCTGGCCCTTGCGGCACACTTCCCCGTGCTGCAGGGGTGTAGGGACAAGATACACACGCGTCGGCTAATCATGGGGTGAGTCAATCGATCGCTCATTACTGTTCAGAGTATGGCACGAGTCGGCGCAATCAAATGCCTGATTGGATATTTTGATCAAGCTTCCAATAGAGCATCCAAGGTAGTGAAGCGATGCGTCGCCTGCTGTACGTATAAGTTCCGTTATGTGTACCTGATCGACTGACAGAGATCAACCACTCTATGCTAAACAGCAGGCCGCCCAGCAGGGGACAGTGCACAGAGTATCTGAACTTTCCTCGTCGCCTAGTGGTAATACGCATTGGCGATCGTTTATGCACTATGGCAAGAAGCTTGGAAATTCGCGGAAACCCAGGTCCATGTTTAGGTTCACGGGCTGAGGATTGACATGTCACGAGATAACTTGTCATGACTTGGAGTGCTATTCGAGAAAACCCGCAGCGTCTGGTCGAAGGGAATAGAAGCCATCGGCACATACAACGTTGCAGTTGGTTTAGAAGATGGTATGATTGAATGCGAAGAAAACTCGCGATCCGGCTGTGCAAACGTGATCCGAGACATTTGCGACGATAGCCTTCAGGAATCTGTTCTTACTAAATTTTAATCCTCACGCCCGTTGACAGTATGGTTGACCGAAATAGACTCTGCCCGGGAAATGAGGGCAAAACAAGTTCGTCTCTTAATGTGAGTGTGCGTGTCTGCCACTGGAGGATAAGTCCATGAATCCAGAGTAGGAATTACTGACGATGGTGTGGGTGGCCACTGAACGGGAATCATATTCTGATATCTCATTCTCCATACTCGCGGGGTTCGATGTGACGCCACGAGTGAAAGGCAGAGAACTCGGGTATGTGACAGCATGATATTCGGTCGGGTAAAATGCCGCAAATGCTCAAAAGATCTGTGATTCCTAGAGTCTATATCCAGAAAAGTCCCATCCTAGATGATATAGATAGCTGGCATACGGTTTTCGACGGATCAATTTCACAAAGTGGTAGAGGTGTCCAGGAGGGCACTTTGGTCAACTCAGGCCGTGCTCAAGCCATCATTCTTGGAGCGAAAAGTGTGCCTCCAAGTCGAACGTAAATGGGTGCCTAGTATCTCCGGAGCCTGCCAAAGTCCGACCTCCGCATGACATGTCAGACGGTCGGATGAAGTTCGTCCAGGTCCCTAGGGTAGTTCTCGTAAATTGACGCCTAAGCGACGCGCGGACGACGGATATGAAGGTCTGGCAGGAAAAGACATTCGATGGAAAATAGGTCCGCTGGAGACGACTATTGCGAGGCCCCCGTAAAGATGTGACTAGAGCCTGGAGCTGTTGAGTGTTGGATGATTGATTGATTTGGAAGGCCAATGCCAAGGCGGTCTGCGTCCGCCAGCGACCCCAAAAGTCTCCACAGCGCTGATCTCGACTGTGCGCCTTTACCCGTTGAGACTCTGGAGTGCTCAAGTAGTAGCCTCCGATCCACATTCCAGAACAAATGGGTACCAAACTATAGAGTCAAAGCGCCGAACTGAAGGCCCGAGTGGTTTATGAAGGGGCAAGATGGGGAGGAAGATGAGAGCTCTCTCCTGTGTGGTCTAGGACCTTTTGGGGCTAACACCTAGCAGCTTAACCCACCAACCGTTCTCGAGTGCCTGAGCCTTGACTCCTTGAGTCAAACACCGCCGCCGATTAATGATTGGCCAGCTTTTCGAAAGCGCTAACAAATAAGCCCTGATGATGTGCAGCGAAGGCAGCAAGCTAACACACTATAATGATCCTGACGTTCTGGTTCCAGTCAGGATCACCAGCCAAGAGGCCCTGGACCTAATCCAGCCTTGTTTTTCTTCATACCAAACGGTCGACACATTGTCGATCGGTAATAGATGAGGCACCGTACTTTTCGAATTCCTGCACGGCTGTTACGAGGTACTTCCCCAACGCCCACTTGAGCAGCGCAGGACTGGGGGTAAAGAGGCGTGCGAGAACGAGTCTGGTCTGACGACTGCAGTGTCCCGAGCTCTGTCGCACAATAGCCACCAGCCACTCGCATCCTTACTAGCGCTGGGCCCTCAAGAGTTGAGAAATCCGAAGCAACTTGAGAAATCGTTGGCAAGTTGGCAAGTTGGCAGTTGATCCTCTCCTCGAGAGAAAGTCAGCTCTGATCATCGTTGGTGTTTAGTCTCCGATCGTTTTTCAGCCCTGTGGAGCCTGATCCTAGAATGGATGCTATCCTCACATGCCCGCAGAAGAAAATAATCGGTGGGAAAAGAAAAAATTCTGCGACTGGGATCTGAATGGACGAGCCCAACTCGGCCAGTCGGAATCGAGATGGTACTCGGTATTAAGCACTTCTGCTGTCAAAGGTAGCCGCCAGGTATACTGTACCTACTACCTAGTCCCTTTGCTAAGATCCCGAGATAGCTGGGCCTATCATGCAATGGGAGCCGGGTTCGCACAGACCTTGACCCAGCAAACGCCTTCCAAGAAGAGGAATGGAATGACAAGCGGTAAGAAACCAAGTTTGCGGCCATTAATTCATTTCAGTAGTTTGTTTACTCACTCAGGTGTTTGTCGTCCTCGAAGTTTTTCGTGCAGCCATTGCTTCGACTCTCGGTACATCCGCAGAGTCATGTGCAATCACCAACCTGACTCTCGTGATTCAATTTTTCGAAGCAGGTGGCGTCATTTGGCACCTGGACACCGCATCGATCTTCCGTAGCTCCAGGATGCTCTGATTGCTCTGATTGACCCGGAGACAAGAATGACGATCCAGTGCTTGAGGAATGAGGCGAAAAGTCAAGACCACTACTCTCCCGCCAGAATCCGCATCAATGCGTAGATTGCCCCCAAGTGAGAGAAATCATTAGATGTACCGCCGAACGTTGGACATTTTCGGTCGTCTTCGAGCTTTCCCAGCAGGAGACCGGGGACCGATTGGCTATGGTTTATGCATATTCGACCAAGGCACAGGAGGCAATATTGAATCGAGCCGGGCGATTCCCACGAATTTTCGCCCTCTGCTTGGTTGGGCTTGTTATCTCGCCATCACGTTCGTGTTTCGGCCTCTAAAGTATCATCAACTTGCGATGCACAAATCGATCTTCGATCGTCGCAGAATTGCCCTCATCCAGCCAGAATGCTAGCATTGGCTATGTTTCGCTGATTGTCTGAGCGGAAACCCCCCTTCTCCACATGGAGTCTGTTCATCAATCCTTGCCGATCACTCAGTGCCCTGCAGGTTGACAACCGTGGAACAGGGCTTGCTAATCGCACTTAGCGGTGGGAAGGGAGTAGAAGCCCAGCACCTGATGAATAATGGATTGGTGTGTGCGGCTGTTTTACCTTCATTAGCCGATTTAGTCTTGTCACTTGCCCCAGACGAAGATCGCGAATCTTAATACCACTGATTCACAGCGCAGGATCGCCATCAAAAGTTTAACTGGATTTAGGTGATATTCACCCCTTAGCATACTAGGATGCTAGTTTCAGGCGAGTCTGATGATGCTTGCTCTGACGTTTGGAGCATTCCTTTTGCGTCCCGGAGGTTCTCGCTCTGTGCTGGCCTCTTTCTGAATGGCTCGAGGGTCTTCCTATTCATGCATTCTTCGAAAGGTTGAGGATAAAAATAACACAGAGCAAGATAAACCAAAAATGCAGGTCCGGATGGTGCTAATCTGTTGCAGACTCGCAATCATACGTGGTCGGCATCGGGCGTGATGATCCACCGTGTGCAGGCGGGCAGGAAAAAGGAAAATGGAGGGCAGAAGAACAAAATATTGGCGATAAATTAACCAGGAGAATTAAAATCAAGGCAAATCAAAATGGATCAAGATTAAAAAATAATAAGTAACCCCCTCTGCCACCCCGGGGTTGGCAGAGGACGTGAGGGATGTACTTTCCTCCTCTAAACGCCCAGATTTGCTTCAACGACCGCCCAAAGCAGTAAAAGGGACTCTGGCGCTGCAACAGCCAGACCTATTATATCTTGATTCGATCTCCCGAGATCTCCATGTTGCAGCGCCTGCAATTCCTCAAAAGCTTGAAGCTTTATCAGACCGAACTCGCCTGAGACATCCGTCCATCGTCCCCTTGCTGACCCTACCTACGTTGATTATCTATAACTACATCATCCCTCTGCTGCAACTGAGACACGAACCAGCTCTCCGTCCATCCAGAGTCTTCTGATCGCCCGTGAGCCCTCCGATCTGCCGTGCCGACTGGAACATAGGATCCGGATATCGCGTTTAAGGGCGGATCTACTGCCCCCTCGGCCTCGTTCTCCTCGCCCCCCTCCTGTTGCAGGGTCGCCTCTTTATCCAGAGACATTCTCGGGAGGAACCCCAGCCGTCCCAGTCCAGACCATTCGACCGTTCGAGAGGAGCTCTGGTGGTTACTCGAGGAACTCTATAGCGTACATTCCTGGCCTTGCTCAGGACCCCGAAAGGAACGCGACGCGCCCCTCCTTCTGCCATCCCCTCTGTGTTTCCCAGCTCTGGTTCGAGTCGGTACTGCTACTTCGGGCCAAAGAGTAATGACTGCTGGCTGTAAGTACGATCGACCCTCTCGTTACCTGCCTCCGTATATCCTCCCAGGATTTGTTTATTTCATCTCGCCGCTCCTCCTCCATTCCCGTTGCCCAACCTGACTTCCTTCTTTCCCTTCCTCACCCACACACTCTCTTTCTCTTTGCCTCCTGCTTCAACCTTCCTTTATTTCTTTCTTTTCTCTCACTGTCCTTTACTGTAATTGGGACACACCCTGTCTCTCTTTGCTGTCAATCAAACCCTCAACTGCTCCATATGACCCCACTGGCACTCGTCGCCTTCCCATTCTTTGCTGCTACTATACACTCATTGTCTTTTATGTGCCCGTCTCGCACTTGATCATTAAAGTCTAGCATATTATCTCCACGTCGTAAACTAAACAGTGCTTCGGCAGGTGATAACGTCGCCTATAAGGACCGCCACACCGAATCGAGCGAAGATATGCGACATCAGCAAAACATATCCGATCGTCTTACGGTTGATATCAATTGTTCGTCTTTGAGCTCCAACGAGTGCCCATCCATGACCTCGAGCTTTTCACCTTTGGATTCGCCTACACCCACACCTACAAGTATATACAGCCACGGCTCCTTAGAGTCACCAGGCTGGCACGAAGCGGGATCGTTCCCCAGTCACACTTACGAACGACACACCGGCTCTACGCCTATGCGCAGCGCCTTTCGCCTGGCAGGAATGGCGTCGACAGAGAGCCTTGGATTGTCCTATGGCAACATGGAACCACAGGAACGGATGCCCATGACGACCGACTTTTTGTCAGGGTATGACGAGAATATCGAACAATTGTGGATGCCTTCGGAGACACCCAAGACCTATGACCATGTCACTCAAGGGCTCGCGTACCATCACGGCATGCATCAATACCCAACCATGGGGCGCAACAACTACCGTCACCAACCGGCTACCTATCTACCAGAGTCTGCGACCAACCCTTGTCTATCGCGGTCGATATTTCAACAGCCAGAGCGGGGCTTGTCGTCATCAATGTCTGTAAACAGCATGATGCCCTGGATGCCACTAACGGACTCAATTCCACCACAGACGATTGCGCCTTCGCAAGTCGCTCCAGTCACTCCACCGCCATCGTACACAGAGTTTCCGACCTCTCTTAGTGCTTTCAAGCAGCACAGCCCCACAACGCCAGTGCGGTCCTGCTCCCTCGGTACGGGATCTGGAGCCGATACCCCGATGAGTCGTCTCTCTGGTGGACCCTGCGAGTATCTCGATGAATTTCAGCAATCTCCAGTCTATCGGGACGGATTCCAAAGACCCCACCGCATGGCCTCCAGAAAGACCCTCCGCAGGCAAACCTCCAAGCAAAACTTGATGCTGGAAAATCTTCCTCCAATCATCAAACAGGTTCAGTTCAAGTGCAAAGAGCCTGGTTGCAATGGGCGCTTCAAGAGACAGGAGCACTTGAAGCGGCATATGAAGAGCCATTCCAAGGAAAAGCCCCATGTTTGCTGGGTTCCCGGGTGCCACCGTGCCTTCTCGAGAAGCGACAACCTCAACGCTCACTATACCAAGACTCACAGTAAGCGAGGTGGGCGCAATCGATATGTTGCGACGCTTGACGATCAAAGTCCTGATTATGATCCTGACTTTCGGGGACAGCTGACACCGGATGGGCGTCCTATCTATGGGTCCAAGCTGGAAGATCCCATCCCCGGGGCGGGCGACATTGGGGTGGATACCTGGGAGGATTGAGGGGCTCCGGAAGGCTGATCTGCATGGAATCTCATATGATACCCGCTGGCTCGATGCTATGCCAAAAAATTTCCTTATGTCTATCTCTTTCTTTCTCTACTGACCTAGCAGATCCGGTGGTCCACGGCGTTACTCGGGCCCGCTTCGTTTTCCCTTGTCTTTTTTTTTCCTCTTGTAGAACATTACTGGCTATACGTTGACCGAGTGATTGTTTTCTCATCCTGTGCTCTGGGAGTGGCTGTTTATTGTTTTAAAACCGAATAATCTAATAATGCATGGGCGCGGACGATGTGCAACAGAGCGAGGGCCTGATCCTGTACAATTTGAGAGTGACTCTTTGTTTCTTTTCCAATCGATATGTCAACCCCGGATCGGATTAATAATAGCTAGACATGATATACGTGTTATTTTAGAATAGAGAAAAAAAGCCACCACTCGGCAGTTCCTTGGTTTGAAGATTCAATGGGCTTGGGGAGTTCCAAGGCTGGTTCTGATGGATCGCATTCGAAGAACCTACGGGGTACTTACTATTGGGCGATGTGTCAGGTACTTTTCAACAGAACCTTGGTTCTGGACATTCCTCAGTCCAAGATCCCGTCTGGCATGGAGCAACCGATGCCCATTCTTGATTTCGCGCTCACCGTGTGCAACCGCTGTGGTGGTTCCTGGTTGTTGGAATTTTAGTGCTGCACCGCAGCTGTTGATCGCCCTTAGTCCGACATAGCGGCGGGTGCTATTCGAGACCGTCACTTAGCAAAGTCCAGGCTGAGTGTGGTTTAGGGCAGGCGCTAAGGTATCCGTAGGGTAGTGGATAAGGTTAGTTTGGGCCGGGCTAGTGCTTACTCTGTCCACCCGGCCCTACTTTCTCTCTTCACAGCCCCAGAACTAAGTACCGAGTCCTCGAAGCCCGAGTAGCATGCAGGTCAACGCCGGTCGACGATTGAGGTATGTTGCACGGGTCGTACATGGTACATACATGGTAGGTTCGATGCCGGCCAACGAGATTATATTTACTCAGCCTTTATGGGATCTTGAGGAATTCTTCTTCTCGATTAAGTTTGGGATTCCCCATTGTTTGGGAGGTGAAGATTACGTCTTTACCCTCTCTTGCATGTTCGAGTTGTTTGAGAAGCTATGGCAGGATGATCTGCGGGATTTGGCGCTGCTGATGCTACGCTGCAAAGTATAGATTGTGTGTGCCTCGCCTGCGGCTGTCAATGTTACGGTACCTCTATGGCTCTATGGCCGGAACTCTAAGTATGGCCGAGGGCTGTCAGCAATGTGAATCACTCGTGGGTTGTAATGTGATTGTGATGTGATAATGTGATACTTTTTGTCGCTTTCTTACTGGACATTAGACTGGGAAAAGTATGGGCTGTGAGTGGCTTGTTTGGTGCTTAGATGTCAAGTAAATTTTCTACTGGTGGTGGCCCAGAATGACCACCTAGAGAACTGGTGGTGCGTATCGCATTCTTTTCCTTCTTCACCTTCTCGAAACAGTGAGCGGCAGATTTGGTACTAGGATGGTCAGGGCCAAGCAACTTGTGTCTCAGCTCAAAGCAGGTTTTCATCAAGGCCAAGGCCTCGTCGAGTCTTCCTTGGGCTCTCAAGATCTGGGAGCGAGATTTCGGGATCTTCTGCCTCGAGTATTCGTCTGCGGCCCTCAAAGGCCTGTTTTGCTAGCCTTTCAGCATCCTTGAGCCTTCTCGATGAGCTATAGGTACCCGCCAAATTGCTCATGATGAGTATGGTAAAAGGATGGCCAGATCCCAGCACCCTTGTACTGGTTTCAAGTACATATGTCTCCAGCTTTAACGCCTCATTGTATCTAAGGCGCTTCTCATATGTAAAGGCAAGGTTCCGCGTGATCCTCAAAGTGTGAGGGTGTTCGAAACCATACCAGCGCTTGCGAGCCTTAATCAAGCTTGGAATATGAGCGGGCCAGATCAGACATGCTATTCACGGTGACCGGATGCGCAGGCCCTCTCTCGCGCTTCTGAATTTCAAGGACCTGCTCTCTCATTGCCTGGGAATCTTTCCACTTTCCAAGTTCGTAACGAGTTGTAGCTAAACTCGCCATGGCAGCCAGAGTCTCGGGATGCTCTGGCCCTAGTATTTGCTCTCGGATTTCCAGCACCTGCAGTCCCAGCTCCTCGGCTTCGCTCCAGCGCCCTTGGCCCGCGTAGATCCATGCTACGTCTGCCATGCAGACCAAGGTCTTGTTGTCAATTTGGAGGAGCTCGATATAGTCAGATAACTCAATAAGGTTCTTATTGATATATGCCGCTGCTTGGATGATTGCCAAGGGAAGAAATGCCACTTGCTTGAGAAGTGTCATTGCTGTATTGGTGTCATCAAGCAAGCCTTTCTCGATTAGTGACCTTTTCAAAATCTGTACCGTGCCCTCCGTATCAGGCTCAGAGATATGGACAACGTTGAAAGATGCCAAATACACAGCCACCTTTCGATTGCGAGTCTTAGAAAGGATATGGCCGCTGCCTTTCAAGGGAAGACAGTCCGTCAGGGACAAGGAATCGTCGGTGGAGATACCCTGAACCGACATGTCCATACTATCAGCATTATCGAAAACCAACAGCCATCTATTCGCTTCATTTTGTTCAAGATAGACCTCAACCTTGCCTTTTGCCTCTACTGGGTTGAAACTATATACTCGAAAAAGCCTGCTCGACAGCCTCGTAGCTCGTACATGGAACCCAGAAGACTGGCGCCGAGTGATTCTCGCGTATTCGGTAAGCCAATTCAAGGGCTATCTGGGTCTTCCCAACTCCACCGAGCCCGCATATCGCGACTTTAGTCGGCGGTCCGTTGACAATGTCTTCAACCTTGGCCATTTACTCCTCTCATCCGACAAACTTCAAGTTCTTCCCAAAGGGCACCATCCAATGGTTTGTGGTGCCCATGCCGTCGTTTCTGGTCAGCATTCGTATGTGTAGGAACTGTCTCCAGCAGATCGCTCGCGTACACAGCAGCAGTAAGGGCTGCGTATCCTTGCCACTGTTTATGCTTGTGGGAGTCACAATAGTCGCAAATACCACGAATAACTAAACCGAGAGCTGGTCGACCAACCCGCTGCTTCCATTTTGAAGCAAAAATGTCCATCTGTCCGGCAATTGCGTCTCGTTTCGTAGCGTTCTTCATGCCTTGATTTCCGGAGGCAATTAGACCGTAGTGTATACGAGGCTCGTCCGTGGGCCTTGGCTCATGATCTGCCAGGTGATTGGGATCACATGCTAAAGAGCAGTCTGGTTTGCTGCTCCGATGAGGTATATAGGCCTGAAAAGCCAGTCGCTCTTCGGCCGTGAGAACTGCGCCTTCATTTCCGGATACCTCTCGAGTGGTCTGAAGATAACAGCTGTAGTATGACTGTCTCCAACCATACGGTTACTTCGCATCTGAGACAATGCCGTGAGCAGAAACCTTCTGAGGTGGCTTGTTGAGCGAACCAGTGAGTTGGAAGGACCCATCAGAGTTTTCCCATAGTCATACTGGACGACTCCTCCAGATATTATACTCGGCATACTGACAACCACATCACCCCGGCGGATATCGACATTCTCGCGGGGCACCCCGCCTCCAATCCCGACCTTCAGACAAAATCGAAGATTGGGAAAAGATTGTAACATGTGTGACAACACAGTTGCAGCCGAGATGGTTCCGTAAGCCCCAGAGGGTAAGCAAGCAATGGCGATGTTGTGGTGACCTCGTTGCAGGTGTTTGTGGTCGGTTGTGGGTTGGTGACGAACGGGGCTGTGGGTTTCATCCAGCATGGCCTTTGCAGCTGCCATGCACGTTTGGTGAGATAGATTGAAAGATTCTCGAAGTCGTGAGGCTGAGTTGGGGGGCAGGTTGGAGTTGGTGCATGACCGTCCAATGATTGATGTTGAGACGGATCGATAGGCGCCGGCTTATATATTTCAAGCCACTGAATACGTCCCTATAAAAGAAGGCATCTGCATTTATATCTTGCTTCTATTCATTCTATGGAGAACTGGTCACACTCTATTTCCCTGAACAAACCTCTAGAGAACCAGCCTACTTTTCGCCCTGATCCTCGCACCATAGATGTATAAAATAACAGGAATAGGAATGAGAGCAGCTGCAACGCATCCCAAAAGCGTCAGCGCCCATTCGATACCAAGCCCCTCGAACTGCGAGGTGAAAATTCAGCACATGGTAAGTGGGGTTTCAAGCTCCGGCTCACATACCATATATGTCGCAAAAAGAGGAAATACTGAGCCAGCGAGCGAGCGGAGGAACGTATGTGCTGCGATGGCAGAAGCAGCTCTGGTGGAGAATCTTGTTAGCTAGCTCTCACCACGACTCTTCGAGAGCGGGACTTGTACCTCTGCCGTCTATACTGGACAACATACTGTATTGACGGTATAAATATCGAGATGAGGCCGTAGCCCGTCAACAACCCTGAGAGAGTAGGAACAATCCAGTGGATATCCCGCCTATATCCAGTCCATCCGAGCCAGAAAAGGCCCGCTGAAAAGGCTACTGCTCCAGGAATCGCAGGTATGATGAACCATTCAGGAATGATCTGTCCGTTGTTCTTCATAATCATGCGTCGAAGCCCCGGTTGTCTGAGGTACATGACCAAGCCGGCGAAAAACTGACCGACGATCACGCCTATAAAGGGAAGACCGCCAACGCCCTGATTCATGCCGTGGACACGCTGAAAGATAAATGGATAGGCTGTGAGGAAGAGGTAGAGCAGACCGTAAACAAAGGAACCGAAGATACACATGCACAGTATGATAGGATCCAGTGCGAGCATCTTCAGAGGTATGGCTAGGTAGTTGTGAAGTATGGAGCGAAGATCAAGCTCGATCTCTTCATGCTTGGCGTGAATAGCCCAGTTCTGAGTTTCGTGACGGAGCTTTCTCGCCTTGGCGACCAGTATAATCGGCGCGTAGGTTTCGTCTTGAAAGAAGAACAGTGATAAGAACGAGGCCGCGCCGAGGATACCAGGAATATAGTGCGTCCATCGCCAACCCAAGTTCTCATTCATGACGATGAAGCCGCCAATAAGAGGAGCTAGGAGAGGACCTGCAAATACCGTAAGAACAAAGCAGACCATGCTGATCATGAATATATCAGGACTGAACATGTCGCTGGCGATGGCACCGGCGAGGGTCAAAGTGCAAGCCCCGAAGAAGCCGGCAAAAAAACGGCAGATGAAGATTGACTGCAAGTCCTTTGACACGGCAGTAGCAAACGAGAATATGCTGAAGCCGAATATGCTCATTAGGAAGGGTATGCGGCGCCCTTTGAGTTCTGAGAATGGGGCCCAGACGAGAGGCCCGGTTGCGAACCCTAGGACATATAAGGAGACTCCAAGAGTTCCTACTTCACGAGAAACTCCATATGTAGTCATTATGGGCGGTATAGCAGCTGAAAAGATACTACTCGTCAAGGTCACAACCACCGTAGATAGACTGACGAGGGCGAAAATGCGAAGCCTGGGTTTCTGATCAGCTTGGGGTCTCAGAGGGTAGAATAGCAATGCTTAGACGAACTTTTTCTGTACAGGCCAGTTTTGAGGATTCGTTTTATCACCAGATCCGTCGAATCCGACGAGGAGAGACTCTTTTTCTGAGCCAGTAGCGTAGGCATGCTGAGAGGGTGACGGTGTTGTGCTGCCAGCCTCAACATCATTCGTAGATGTTGCCAGGTTCTCGTCTGGGAAGTAGATCTCAGTATAGATACCGGAGAATGTCGTCTGAGTCTACCATACCATTGGAAATGTCTGCTAGCGCAGGGCCGGTGGCTTTCATGTTACTGTCCATCTTTCTGATGCTGTGAAGTGGGCTGAACGATGAAGGGAAGTCATAATCAGGGACTGAATGTGACTAAATTTTATAGGTTAATAAGTGGCGGCTGATAGTTTGGCATTTTATTTTGTGCACTTACATGCTCTTTGATAATGACATCTTTTCTCGCGGTCTGATCAGTAATCAGTCCAGCTCGGCAACAGCAGCCTTTGAAACTACAGGAACCACGCTAGTTTACCTCGGCCTACAGCTATATCTTGCGCAAACCGGCCCGGATTACTGATCGGTATGCCGTCCGAGCAGAACAATGATTACTGAGTCCTTCGCCATCTGCTGAACCTTGGGGTACCAGCTTAGAGTCCCGCCATCTTGGTCAGCCAGTTATATTTTGCGCATGGGTTCCAGATCGTCAGAGTTGGGTGACACGCTGACTGAAGATTTCTCAGACAGTTACGCCTTCGGATCAATATCCGAGACCAGAAATCCCAGGTTCCTTTTTCTTGATCCTGCGACCTGTCGGCGTGGATATACATCGTCCTCGAGGCCACTAGTACAATTGCGGGAAAGTGTGTGGGCGGATTATTAAGCTTCGGCGCATTTAAAACCCCCACCAGAAGCTCGTCCAGATTTTATCCTCCCTCAAATCTCTCGTCAACAACTGTGGACGTGAAGAAGCTCAACCACGTAGTACTACCGAACTCGTTCTCAACATCGTCCGGGATGGTCCTTAATCCAAAGCATGGTTATGTGCATGCTCTTCATCATTCCTGACTTGCATCTCATTCGTCACCTTGACTATGATGACTTCCTTTTCGGCCACGAGGCATCAAACTGCCGTGGGTGTTCCGATAACAAAGTTCAAGCTCAACAGTCTGAGTCCTGAGACAATGAAATCAAATTGCGATGAGGATACTATTTTGTCAGGTCGAGAGCCAGAAAAATCGTGTCTTCCAGAGGAGTTTCGTAGTAGCGATTGACCTCGACGAATCCGATGCGTGTATACAGTTGGATGGCCCCTTGCATGAAAGGGAGCGTATCTAACCTCATTTCACCATATCCCAGGTCCTTTGCACGTTGGACAATGGCAGTCACCAGGGCCTTGCCGAGACCCATACCTCGTGCTTCGGGAGACACGTACAGCCGCTTCATCTCGCAGTATCCTTTGTCCAAGCCATATTGTGGCTGCGAGTGCTGGTCGAAGAGGGGCCGTAGGGCGACACACCCTAATGGGGTATTGTCCGGTTTGTAGGCGAGAAGAAGCTCTCCGTGAGGTGGTGCATATTTCCCAGGGAGAGAGTCCAGTTCAGACTGAAAGCTCTGGTAGCTGAGGTCGATATTCAACCATTCCACATAGGCCGCGAAAAGATTCCGTGCTGTCGCGACGTGCTCTGCCGTCTCGGCGGGGATAATGCGGAACTTGGTATCCTCCATTGGCGACAATGTGGCAGTCTTCGATGAGAGGGCATTCGAGTAGAAGTAGAGCAAATATTTCCGTCCATGGTGATGTTTAAATGCCCCGCCAACCGATATCGGATTTGGCAATGACTCACTTTGCGCCAGCAAGAATCTGTGAAAAGGTGAGCTATTTAGAGCCGGTTGGCGAGCAGCCTAAGGCAGGAACACAAGCTCCTTCATTCATTGACTTCACGTTCATACCCTTTGCTGTTGTTAATCTAGCACTGGGCGCTGCAGAAATACAAAGCGATGATTCCCGCGGCCTAAAACTGCCAGTGATGTTTGAGAGTTGTCATTGGTGAAGGAAACAGGAGAGATCATCCTCCAAGACCATTCCGGTCGTGTCTTTCGCTGTTGTAGATAGCCTGTAGAGCAACTGGAGACTGTGGTGGTCAGGATCGGGGACCCCGGACCTGTGGAAATGCATCTGTCCTTGAAGCACGGCTGGATGCAATTTGATTTGGTCGCTTGGAATCGGGTCCGACAGGCACGACAGGCAATTTGTTTCATGGACTAGTCTCTTGGGATCGTCTCTCCTATCAGAGCAAGCAATCAGCCGATGCAACGTTCTTTGATGCCTTTCACGTCTTGCGTCCGCCTGAACTGGGGAATTAGATTCAGGCGCTGCTGCAATATCCGCCCAGGGCGCCCAATTGGCCCCCAAGACGGCCGGGCTTGTGCTTAGCGTAGGCCGGACCGCAGAGGCAATTCTAGGCGCTGAGGGTTGATCTACTAACTCGACGATCTCTTGTCAAATCAGCACCCTCTTATCAGCACATGTGCCTTTGCTCTCGAGCTGATGCGGAGCACGCCGATGGAGTCGTTTACCAGCGACGAGGTTGGTTGCACCTTGTCCCTCGCTGTTCTTTTCTTCTCGAGCCTTTCCATTCCTAGCTTCTTCCCCGAAGAACAGGATATATAACAGTGGCCGAGTTCCCAACTACTCAGGTGTCTTTCGAATTCCAAGATTCAACTCCCCTCCAAAGCCTCAACTTTTCTCATAATGGGTTTCAAATCAATCGCTTCCACGGGCATGCTGGCCCTGTCCGCTACGCACTTTGCTTCCAGCGTCGTGGCTGACGCTCCGACGTGTCCCAATGACACCCCTCTCAGCTGCTCGACCTCCACCGAGGAGGCCTCCTGCTGCTTCAACACCCCCGGAGGATCCCTCCTCTTGACACAATTCTGGGACTACGACCCGGCCACGGGTCCCAGCGACTCCTGGACCATTCACGGACTCTGGTAAGCTCCCAAGGTGCTCCCCCGTGATGGACTCCATGTCTAAGGAACACCTAGGCCCGACAACTGCGATGGCACCTACGAGGAGTTTTGCGACGAGTTGCGCGAGTACTCCAACATCACATCCATCCTCCAGGACCAGGGCCGCACCGAGCTCCTTTCCTACATGACCAAGTACTGGAAGGATTATAGCGGTGACGATGAGTCCTTCTGGGAGCACGAGTGGAACAAGCACGGAACGTGCATTAACACCATCGAGCCGGACTGCTACACTGACTATACTCCTCAGGAGGAAGTCGGCGACTACCTTCAGAAGGCCGTCGATCTTTTCAAGACGCTCGACACTTACAAGGTATGAGTTGTCGACCACAGGAACTTCCAGATGAAAAGTCGCTTACTTTGGCCAGGCCCTCGCCAAGGCAGGCATCAAGCCTTCCACTTCCAAGACCTACACGCTGAGTGAGATCCACGATGCTCTCGCGGCGATCCATGACGACTTCGCGCCATACGTTGGCTGCGATGGTGACTACCTGAACGAGGCTTGGTACTTTTACTACGTCAGGGGTAACCTGATCACTGGCCAGTACGAGCCTTCTGAGAAGCGTAAGTTCATATTTCCTGACTTAAGACTATGGTGCAACTAACGCGATTCGCGCTGCAGTCACGCAGTCAAACTGCCCTGAAACTGGCATCAAATATATGCCCAAGTCCAACGGCCTGGAGTCCACATGCCCTAACCGCGGTTAAGAAGCTCGCCTGCTTGTGTCGCGGTGATGTCGGGATTCTGTTCGACCCATCTGTAAACATAATGTAATATATAAATGAAGCGTGACAGGGCTAGAGCCTGTCCGTCTGAGTTTGTACCGAAAATCCACTATGACAGGACCTACGCAGGCCTCGTCTGTTCGGTGTGGAGTCAATACATGACAGTAGTATCCGTATCCGTACTTCGATAGACGCGTGGCGACCTGCCCGCGTGTTATTGGTAACGGTGTTGTTATTATTGACTGGCGTGGCTGTTTCCCCTCTTCCGTATTCAGCGTGACTCCACGAATGGGCGTGGCCTTCTATGGGCTTTCGGTTGGAAGTCCTTATGAGGTGGGCTCGCTTAGATCGTGGCCGCGTGAGTGCAGGTGCTCCGCGGTTTTGGCCGCTTGGGCGGCGTTGAGTCCTGGTCCGTTGCGGTTCTATATTACTCAGACCTGGACCAAGGTAGCGAGTGGGTGGAGTAAACACTTCCAGGAATTTCGTACGAGGCTTTGCGATCTTCGCTTCATATAGTCCCGGTATACCATGGAAGCGCCAAGAGACGAAGAGGCTCCGTCAATTATATGCCTTGGAGCCGGGCGTTCCTCCTCTCCTCCTCCCTCTTAGCATCAACACGATCCAAGAAGTCCATGCGACCAAGGAAACCTTCCTTCGCCTTACTATGGACCCTAAGTTCGTCACTGATACCAGCACGGTCCACATATGCAGCCCAATCCAGTCGCGACTTCTCGACGGTGTTGATCTTCGGACCGCGTGCGTTCTCTTCCTGACCAGTTTCTGTGACAGGCTGCTTCTCCCAGCTTTTCTTGATTGCTCCGGTTGGGTTGGGGTCGAAGCGGGAGACTCTGCGCAGAGGCCGGCGAATTTTCACAGTTATGCTTCCGTTTGCCATGTCGCCTTCTGTTGCCGCTGTAACTTCGCCATCCTGTTCGCCGGAGAGGAAGAGCTTTGCTTCGGCGGAGTCGCGAGGAACGATTTTCTCTTCTGTTATCATTTCGCCGGCGAACTTGTACGTGCGTTTGATTTTGATCATTTCATCTGGCTGTTGAGTGTGTGGCCGCTTTTCCTGCGCCATCTGCGTGCTGCTTTCTGAATCGCGCATTTCAGTGTCTTCGTTCTTCTCGTCATTCGTCTTCGATGCCTCGATTCGCTCTGCTGCTTGTGGTCCTATGATTGAGTCCGCGGCGTTCATCTGGGCCCATAGGGCATCAACATCGATCGTAGCACCGTCTATCTTCGCAAGCGGTTTTCGCTCTTCCTGTCTGAGGATATCGTCAGATCTGCCATCATACGAAACCCAGCATAGGAGAAAGAAACAAGGAATCCATACATCCGCATTTTCATAGCCCGCGTCTTCACAAATCCACCCTCCCCGCCCTCCTCATCGTCATCAAAGTCGACATCGTCCTCATCAGAAGAAGATTTCTTTTCTCCCTGCTTCTGTTTCCTCTCCTTGACCTTACGGATCGTAGCCTCATCTCCCGAGTCCAACTCCTCGATTCCCAGCGCTGCCGAGACTTTTGTATCCTTCTTTGTCTTTCTCCTCTTCGCTGCTGGCTCGGCTGACTCGGTCTCCTCGTCCGAGGATGAGAGCTCCGCGTCTTCGTCATCGTTTGCTGCTTGGTCAAGAGAGAAGTCCTCGTCTTCGGCGGAGTCGTATGGCTCGTCATCGAGGTCGAGGTCCGGGTCAGCCATTGCGACGGCTGGATCAGTAGCCATATTCTCTTTCTGAGTGAGTGTCTTGTAACTGAGATCTTTTGAATGCGACGAGTCTCCGATACAAGATGTTATTCTGCCGAGCGGTAGAATAGTGCTTACATAACATATAGTTGATGCCTGGGGATACAGGTGTCAATTTCCAGAAGAGAAGTATATCTACGAAAGGCTATGAGTTTGTCATCGAATGTTACTGTCTTAGGAGAGACAGGATATCTGTAGGTTAAAGAGAGGTTATATAGAGGAGCTGTATTTACTCGAACTTTCCCCCACAATCCTTGGGATACAGCCTGACACTTGTCGTGAGCATCCACACCAGACATGATTGACATTGCGACGTGAAGCCATCAAGTTATTATAGAGCAAATATATACACATATTCAATACATACCGCATGCTACTAGCACTTTATAGAAGTCCCAAGCAGAGTCACAGACCAAACCAGAACCCTTCATACCGAAGCTCGAATTACAGTATCTCCGCGACACCAACTACTGCAGATCTCCGCACACTCCTCCAAGAGGCGCCTAGAGCCCTCCCGAGACGCAGATGACAACACTTTACCTATGCTGCTTAAAGGTAGTTTCAACCTTCTCAAGGTGGTACTGATCCTGGCCTCGCTGTTTAGCAACGCTCAATTCAAGCCAAGTGCCCACTCCGGCAGCAACACCCATGATGATTTCGAGTCCGATCAGGAAGCCCAGCAGAATGAACGCAGCATAGGTCGCTGAGCAGTCTCGTGCAAACTGGGACGGGACAGGCGAGGCCGTCTCGTCTTCGTTTGAAAACCCCCCCGGGAGGTCGTGGGAGCGCTTCCACTTGCAGGTCCAGGAGTGGAGGGTTTCGACGCCGTCAAAATCATCGGGGTAAGATGACCCTGGGAGATAGATGGCGAAAATGAGTCCCACGAGTGCAGCGATGAATCCAGAAGCCGAGGTTGCAACCGCGGCCATGTTCACGCGTCTAATATGTGAATGGGGCTAGGGCTTGGTTAGCGACGGCATATCTCTTAAGGTCATATGAGAGACGTACCGAGGGCAGAAGAGCGACAATGATGAAGAACAGACTCAGGAAGGCGATTACGCAGCCACATGCCAGGAGAGCAATGGTTGGACGCAAGTCGAAGTTCAAGGGCCACAGGTAGAGCCCGACGCTCTCGTATGCAGATGTGCTTCGGTAATGCCGATAAGGCGCAACCTCACAAGCTATGATGGAGATGGAAATGCCTAAAGCAAGAAACGCAAGTCCTAGTCGAACCCAGTGGAGGACACGAATGCGCTTTAGGAAGCTCGACTCTTCATGGTCGGATGCACAGGATGCATGGTAAGAACCGTTCAATGATGCTGCGGGGCTCATGTTGACAGAGTTTATACAAGTAAAGGGTATAGAGTAGAGAGCTTGGTCTATGAGTAGCAGGAGAAAGAAGGTCTGAAAGCAACAAGTCCGATCAACGGTACTATGAAAGCGAGAGCGAATAGGAAGTCTTGCCAGAAGACGTAAATGAGAGGAGAGAATGAGATATTATTGCCGCTGCGGAACTGAAAGGAAGAGATCTTCAAGAACGAGGACTGGCTGTTAAGTATCCAAGCAGCATTGGAGTTGGAGGGCTGAAAACCCTCCATGGTCCAAGCGCCGGTTTCCAAGAGATTGGAGGTTTATTTTCAGCAAGCACCAAATCTCGTCCATCTCGTGCAGCAGGCCATTGACAATGGCTCTGTAGCCGCCCCTCAAGAAACGAGCCTGTCCATTGGTTGGAGCGATCTTTGCCTCCAGGGGTAGGTAGTCTTCAGGGCGACATCATGCAGGAGGGTTTCTAATCTTGTCCCTCTAAGGCGCTTAGGGATCCGGATAGATGCAGCCGGAAGCTGACGAATAACACACTGGGAACTCCTGTTTAGCATGCACGCCCATTTTCTTCAAGTCGCACGCAAGAAGCTGGCGCTGATCATCAATTGGCCTGGCCTGGAAGGGGAAACGCCACTAGAGAAGCGTCGGCGGCTACAGCAAGATGCGAGTTGAGGAAGAAGTCATGATTGGTTAAGGTCAGCACGAAGACGTTCCTGATTGAGGACAATCATCGGGAGGAGCGGCCTAGGATAGATGAAAGTGATTTGTTTGTCCCTCTTTTAGACAGATAGAGATATTGAAGTAGTAGTATCGGCCAGTGATGAAGAATAAAGTCCTGCCTCAGCGGGCCAGCAGATGGTCAAGCCATCCAAGTCATCCATCTCTGAAGGGTGGCCGGGTGGGTGACGCACATGATTTGAACCAATCAGTGGCCATGAACCGATCTACCCCACGCGATAGAGAAAAAAAATTGGCGGGGAAGAAAATGAGGAAAACTGCGAAAAGAAAACGTCACTCGTCAAGGCAAGAGGCATTGAGTTCTAACAGAATCATCTGGCCCGTCCTTTTCGACTCTGAGCACCTCGGAAGTTAGCTTACCTCAAGCGCCGCGACCGTCCACAATGCCTCTGTCTAAATTACAGGGGGTCAAGCTCCCTGCGTCTGCCGATTTCCATGGTGTGTACATTCAGCGCGTCAGGGATGGTGACTGTATAGTCGAGCTTAAACACTGACAACCGTCAAGTCCACCTTCGCGATGGCGACATGATGGAGCTGGTGACTCCCACCATCAGACAGGGTGGTGTGAACACTGTGTTTGTCATGGTAAGAAGATGCAGACACCAATGTATTCCGAGAGCTTCTAGTAACATGATATAGCCGAATCTTGTGCCCCCGGTGACTACTGTTGACCGCGCACTCGATTACAAGAAGCGTTTACAAGCCATCGAGCCCAACGTAAATTTCCTCATGTCTCTTTACCTTCACGAGACTATTACACCTGAAACCATCATTGAAGCCAAGAAACGAGGCATCACGGGCGTCAAAAGTTACCCCGCGGGTGTAACAACTAATTCTTCCGCTGGTGTTGTTGACTATGCTGCATTTTATCCCGTTTTCGCGGAAATGGAGCGTCAGGATATGATCCTCAACCTCCACGGAGAGGTTCCCTCCCAAGGAGACGTGACCGTCCTGTCAGCGGAAGAGCGCTTCCTTCCGACACTCAAGCAGCTGCATGAGAAATTCCCAAAGCTCCGGATCATCCTTGAGCACTGCACCACGGCAGCGGCGGTAGAAGCTGTCAAGGAGTGCGGGCCAACCGTCGCAGGAACAAGTAAACCAATCCCTGCCCTGACTGTCCCCTAATCTATTCGTTGAGGACTAACCAGTTTTGGCTCGTAGTAACCGCCCACCACCTTTCCATCATCATTGATTCCTGGGCAGGCGACCCCTTCTGCTTCTGCAAGCCAGTCGCGAAGACCCCTGCTGACCGTGATGCCCTCCTAGGGGCGGCGGCTTCGGGAAATCCCAAGTTCTTTTTCGGATCTGATAGCGCACCTCACCCCGCAGCGTCCAAGCGAGGTGGAGAAAAGATCGCTGCAGGCGTTTTCACACAGCCTTATACGACTCAGCTCGTGGTTGATGCCTTTGAGCAGGCTTGTCAAAATGGTGTTCTGAAAGAGGAGGACATTACTCCTGAAATCATCGAAGGTTTTATGAGCAAATTCGGGCGCGCTTTTTACGGGTTGGAAAGCGAGCAGAAGGAATTCATAACCCTCGAAAAGAAAGACGAAAAGGTCGTAAACATCCTCAAGTCAGACAAGGTGGACGTGGTACCATTCAGGCGGGATCAGCAGACATGGAGCCTAACTTGGTCTGCGTAGTGAGAGCAGCACCATTTCCGTGCTTTATGATCAACCCACAATATGGTCCAGTACTGGCTAAGAACTTGTGTTTTCGGCTGAATCGTCTTTTGTAGCTGCTTGCGTAAGAAGACTGGTCACAGCTTCCAATGCCTGGGCTTCGGAGATGTCCATCTTCCGTCCACCAATTGCGGCATGGCTATCGCTGCCAACAGGAAGCTGCCCGGACCGTTCAAGATGCAGTCTGATTCTGCTCTCGATGTATTCCCGTCTCTCGTCCGACTTGGTTTCCTTGTCATTGGTAGCCCCAGCTTTGGGTAGGGTAGCCAACTTGGGACGGAGCTCGTTTAGCAATGCTTGTAGTGCAGGAAGTTGAGATAATATGAAGGTAGTGTTGGTCGTCACAGGTGTGTGTTGCTTATTCGACCCTGTGGCAACACCCACCCGTAATTGCTGAGCAGCTGGACTAGACATCAAGAAGGCCAAGTCCAATGCTTTCGTACCAGCAGGGACACTTGAATTTTCAGCGTCGGCTTTGCTGTCATTAGCAGCACTAGACGTTCGTGAGGCCGTGAGCATCGCCTTCAGCTGGGCGATCATCACTTCGTTTCTTGCGCTCTCCTGCTTCAGGGCCCGATTGAGTTTCTTGGTTTCTTGTAATTTCTGGCGCAAGGCGAGAATGGTTTCCGGTGTAGGCGCATCCGGGGACGGGTTCAAAGAGATATTCTGCAGAGAGAAAAAGGTCAGATTCCACACGGGCGATACGCTTTAGGAGTGGCCAATTTTCACCTCGTAGTGTTTAAGTTTGATCCAGCCCATCAAGTCATCTGGTACTCTGAAGATGTTGCGCAGCACGAAGATTTCAAATTTATCAAATGCCTTGTCCACCGTCGCCTCTAGGAGAGTTTCTAGCTGGTGCAATCCGTTCTCAATTTCCAGCTGCGCTTCGGGGTAAACAACGTTCCCATCCTCGTCTGTGTCGGGAATGGTCGAGCCATTATTTGCGTGGGAAAATCCTAGTCGCTCCGGCGGGGTAGAAAGCAAGCCTCCTTCTAGACTGGATATTGCTTGATAAATCAAGTTGTTGATTGAGTTGATGATGTCGTCTATGAGTGACTGTTACCAGGTTAGCGACCGATTGGGCGGGCGCGCGGTGCTGGTTCAAGGCATACTAACCAGAGGAGTGTAGCTGAAATGCTCCGCGAGCAAGGAAGTTGTCAGGTCATCCATTGTGTTATAGTTTCAATTCACCCATCACCCATCGAATCGTGGAAGCTGAACGCTGAATCTGGTGTGCTCGGGCGCGTCGCGTGGGGATGAATATTTGACGCCGTTCCCGCACGAGGGGAAATTATGGCACCAACTGGAGCCAAGACTTTTGACCAGGCACAACATTCTTGCCAAGAACTCCGGAGGTTCAAACTTCCATCCTTTGCTGCTGAGAAAAATCCAACCTTTTCTGCCTTTGACTACTAATTGACTTGTGCTCTGGATTAAGTTGTACGATGCCGCATCGCTCTCTTTACCCGTGGCTCACGAGCCCGGACGGATGATTTACTGATCTCACCGTGACCGAGGACCGCTACTACGCCCATTTGCTCGTCTGTTTGCAGCCAGCAAATTAGCTTGTCAATTGTATGGAATTGTAGCTTCTGTACTCGCTAAGAAGGTGGTGCTGCAACATGAGTAAGTATGGACTGGGTCGTTGCAGTCCATCATACATCGAGAAATGACGACCACGAGAAGCATACATCTAGGCCGAGAGCTGCGCTTTTGCACTGCAAGATTCCTGACATTTGTCTACTCTGGTATCTTACTACGATGTATTGCTCGAGGGAAGCAACAGAAATACACTTGAAGCGGATTCGTCTTCAAGGTGCCAGAAACATACAACTCCTGATGGAACTCACATGAACAGCACTGACGGTCTAGTAACCAGCAGTCAGCAAAGTCACCCTGCAGGGTCTGGAGCTCTTCTGGTAGTTGTTGCTTTGCTTTACCCTGCGACATATCCCAACGGGAAAGTCTGGCTAAAAAGCTTTGTGGAGCCCGACGGGAATGGTAGACAGGACATGCATGAATGCTGCAGAGGTGTGCTATACTGAGCGGACATACTAAAACTCGAGTACTCGAAATAGCCCAGGTGTTTGGGTGCCACCGGAGTTAACTGGATGCGCCTTCCTTTCGACACCAGCATCTGTTCCCGCGACCAGTCATGAAACTTACCTTATAAAATGCGAATCCGAGAAGAGTGAGCGCCTGGCAATCGGACAACGCCGGACTATTTCTTAGGTATTCTTCCCTGGAGTATCCTAATCGACACCTCCTTTCCTAGCCCACGGCCCATTCGCCGTCGCATCTGAAGAAAATGCCTCAGAAACGCCATCGGATCGATTTCTCGATGATAAGAAGACGGCACAACATTTCTTCCACATCTTCTTCAGACCTGTCTCCCACTATTCCGGTTCTCGAGTCCCCGGTTTCCTTCCAAGCATTGACACCGCAGAGTATCTCAGAGGCGACACTAAAACAAAGCAGGCTGAATCGCACCCCCGTCAAGCCGTCCATGTTTTTTGAAGAACGGGAAGAGGATGAAGATGGCGCAGTGCCCAATTTGACCAGCGGTGACCCCAAGGACGGTCGATCAGCCCGCGCCGTACACAAGAGCTGTGCAGACGAGAGGCTATTGTGTCGGACTAAGAGCCAGTTCTTCGAAGACTCATCCAGAAACCGCCACCCCTGGATTTCTCCAAGTGCTCACATGAGTCAGGACTCTCTCGTCGTGATTGAGATCAAGATGAACATCAAGGTAAGTAAAGGATCTCACCCTTAGCCAAAGCATAGCAAAATGCTCGAGACTGATTTCGGCTCAAGATCAAAGACGAAAACCCCCTCATCTCTAGCATCACTACAAAGATGGCACAAATTTACCAGAGATCTGAGTCGCTCATGGTGGTCACTATCCAGCAAGGTTCGTGTCTTCAGTTTGGGGATATGGCGCTTCCAGCATACACGATGAAAATATTTGCGCTGCCATACCTCATCGCCCCGATTACCAATCTCCGCAGCACGATACTCATTCAGGCGGCGCTTCAAGAGATTATCCATATTGCACCAGCTCGAGGCGTCATTCTCTATATCCCGGTTGCTGAGGAGAACATGGCAACTAACAGTACGACAATGATGGGCGAAATTTTCCGCTTGGATCCAGAAACTCACGATCGGGAGCCTGGAATCTTCAAATCCATTTCCCGCTCATTGAGCAGGAGAAAGAAGTCAAGCAGCGGTCAAAGTGTTCCTCTATCCGTTGCCACAACCTCTTCATGGGCGGTGGGTAGCGATCAACCGAGCGCAAAACGAGTCACACCTTCGGGATCAGAAGATACCAATACATCTCTAGAAGGGGCTAATGCACGACCCGGAAGGCCCTCAAAGACACTGCGACTCTTTGTGTCCCGTCGGATACCAGAGAAGTCGGGAAAGTCGGGCGACGGCGAATAGGCCTCTGCGTTTACACCCTCTCTATCTGCGAAATTGACTCTCTTCTTACTTGATTTTGGCACGAAATATCCGGAGAGGCTCATGCCCTATATGGTGATGAATCGAGGGAATATACCTACCATGGGCGACCCGGTCTTCGGCTCAGAGTTTCAGTATACATCAACTGTCCTTTGTACTCTTTTCTTATGGTCTTCTCTACTGCATTGTATAATTAGATGGCTTGCGACCTCGTCTATATGGCTATTACTTCTAGATTATCTTTGGTATCGTAATTCTCAAGTTTCTCCAAGTCTCGGGACCCTTGTTGTAGAGCTACGGATCAAGGCGCTGGACTTTCTGTAGCCACTAGAAAGTACTCAAAACCCCTCCTATGAAATCGCTGTTATTAGCCGCAGTGTTAGGATTCCTTGAGTCATCACCAATATCTGGACAACCGAGTCCAGACCATCTGCTCTGGTTTCCTTTGTTGTCCGAGTTTCTTTGTGTGTCGTGATGCGGCGCGCTCTATTTCTTCCTTCTTTCGTCCTCTTCCTCGACTTCGACTTCTTCGACATTCTCAACTATCCGCGGCTACCAAAATTCATCTGATCTCACCGCGAAGGCGTATCCAAACGCCTTCATTTCACCCTGCCTACAAAATGTCCACTCCAAGCAAAGTGGAAGAAATTGAGGGCGACCTTTTCACTGCTCCAGAAGGCGCTGCTTTGATTCGTGAGTCTCTAGCGACCTCCACGCATTTGACCATCCTATGAAGGAGCCTTGGCAGCCAAATTAACATCAGTTTCCTGTAGACGCATGCAATTGCAAAGGGTCATGGGGCGCTGGAATTGCACTTGAGTTTAAGAAAAGAGTATGTCATCCAGCCCTCATGAAATATAGATCACAACCGCCATTAACAACCTGAATTACCTAGTACCCGGCCGCCTTCCGGGTCTATAAGTCCTTCTGCGATGATTTCCAGAAGAATCCCCATTATCTCACCACAACCCAACCTTCCGTTGGCGACGTTCAGGTCCAGCTCCCGGAAGGTCATACTCTCATAATTCCACCGCAGCCAGAGGACTACGAGAAGAGTTCCGGAAAGAAGCACTGGATAATTTGTCTGTTCACGTCTTATGGGCTTGGAGGAACTCTGAGCTCTCCCGCTGAGGTTCTCAGAAACACCGAGACTGCTCTCGCGGATCTGAAAACACAGCTACATGAGTCACAGTATGCTGAAATCGCTGGGCTGTACGCCTGTCGGATCAACTCGGGGCTGTTTAAGGTCGATTGGAATCTTACAAAGCAGAAGATGGAGCAGGCTGATTTGGATATTACTGTTATTTCTCCGTCGTGAACTGGTTCGTGGCCGATAGCCCGGGACAAGACTGCTTGATCTGAACGGTGGCCACACAAAGTTTGATTTGTAAATATGTTTATTATCGGCAAGGCTAGCCAGCTGAGCTATTAGTGTTGGAAATCCAAGTCCTGTTCGAAGGAATGTAGCTGATGCTCTTCTCTCTGGGTTGCATAATGAATCACATGACTTCGCGTCGCTACCCGCGAGACGCGTACAGACTGACTTCAATCACTCAACTGTTGATTAATACCTTAGTATTGAGCGCCGCAAAACAACGGGGCAGCAATCTAAGATGCCTCCAGAGCGGCAACCTGCACAAAAGCGCCGGCACCTCCCCTTCAAACCGCCCAGTCGAGCCTCATCAACAACAGCCGGCGCATCCAAACCGTCAAGCAGCACTAAACCAACTACCACAAAGCCCACCAAGCCAACCACAACCGGCGCATCCTCAAAACCAAAAACGTCAGCGTCCTCGTCAAAGACAACAGCCAACCGCCGAAAAGTAAACCCCTCCCCACCTTCAGACGCATCCGATGACGCAGCAACCTCCTCCGACTCAGACTCCGAACACCGCAACTTCGACCACGAGACCAACTCCGCCGACGAGGCGGACTACATCCTCGCCGAAATCACACATCACAAGGATCCAGACGCCGAAGAAGTGATTTCGTCCGAGCCCCTGATCCCGCAGAAGCTCCTGACAAAGCTACTCCATCACCACTTTCGCAAGGAGAAGACGAAGATCGCCAAAGATGCGAATGCGGTTGTTGCAAAGTATATTGATGTCTTTGTGAGGGAGGCTGTTGCGAGGGCGGCCTATGAAAGGTCAGAGAGTGGCACAGATGGTGGTCTGGGAGACGGGTTTTTGGAGGTTTGTTTTCTTACAAGTATCTTCCTTGTGAGGCTATAGTCTTGCTAATTTTGCACGTGTGTAGGTTGAGGATCTGGAGAAGATGGGACCGCAGCTTGCTATGGATTTTTGAGCGTTGATACGCCCTTTTCGCTTGGGGTTATGGTGTTTGGTGTTTGGATTCTACGAATCTCTATTTTGATACCATGATATACGCACAGCACTGTGAACTTGACCAAAGAAAGACCAGGTCTAATCTGATATCAACCGTTATGCATCAGGATATATAGTCTATGTACAGGGTGCATGGCGCTAAAATTATGCTTCTATAACCGCTAAAAATCACTGACCGACGTCCCGGTTCAACCACTCAGCAACGCATCTTTTGCTGCTGTCGTCGGTGTGTTGACGGATTCCGTAGGAGACTTAACCGAGGTAGCAACCTTGTCTAGAGCCTCGCCATTCTCTTGCTTTTTCTTCTTCTCACCCTTCTTCTCTTGAAGCGCGCCTGCTTCCAGAGCCTCCTCTGGTGTTGGACGAATGTGTGGTTGACAGACCCAGAACGGTCGACCGTATTCAGCAATGATGGCCTTAGAACCAGTTAGACTTGGGTCTGGCTTGGATTCGAAGCGCTCTGGGAATTGTTCGTATTCCTTGAGACCTTTCTTGACCTCCCGTTCGAGAATGGACAGTGTTCGCTCGAAGGTTGCCATATCATGAGGCCCTGATTTCGCAAGAGCGTCCCTAACATTCGTGTGTGTCGAGATCAAAGGCCGAAAGAGCTGAAAGAGATGGGCCTGCATGAATTTGAGGTTGGGGCTATTGGGGTAGGTTTCTGTCTTCCCCCGTTTCTGCTTCTTCCTTTGTGGGCCTTCCTCCTCATCTGGGTCTGACTCTGTAATGTGCTCTTCCTCCGGATCCGACGGCAAGTAGAGAGGTTTTCGTTCAGGGGCCGGCTTCTCGAGAACATATTTGTAAATGATATCCAGGTAGCGGCGGAATACTGCGTCGATGCGATATCCTCCCTTGCCGTCTCTGCCTCGCCAGTATTCCCTTCCCTCGCTGCCAACTGGAGGGGGCTTGCTGAAGATGGATGGGTCGCTCAGATTGCCCTCAGCACTCATCACACCATCCGCTCCCGTCGCTTCGAGGCACCGTTGCACGTCGTCATAGTTCAGATTGTTACCGTTGGCGAAGATGACGGTCTCCGGTGGCAGGTGATCCCGAAGATACCGGATATAACTCCAATCAGCCAATCCGGTATTATGACCTTTCTGTTCCCTTGTCCGCCCGTGGAGTGTAATTATACTCGCGCCCGCTGATAGAATCATCTTTGCATATTCCAATGTTTTCTCCTTTGATTCCTGGATTCTGAATTTTGCTGTGACCGGAATCGGAAGTTCTTTATGTAGTCGGTTGATTAATCTATATATCAAATCCCAGTCCTCTTGTAAGAAAGCTCCATAATGGCCTTTTCGCGCGATGCCCTGTGGGCAGCCTAGATTGAGGTCGACGGCGTCACAGTAAGGCGCTGCAAGGCGCGCTGATTCGAGAAAATCATCGGGGTTGTTCGCGCAGAACTGTACAAAGAACGGGCGATCAATTGCAGGGTTCCCGTCGAGGTATATCGAGTCATCGCCTTTGCGGCCGGCATGAGCGCGGGTGGGCTGGAACATTTTTGCGCGGTAGCCGGCCTCTTCACGGAATAAACGAGCGTGGAACATTGGGGAGTATGCGAGAAGCAATTTGCTTTCTTCTGGAGGCATGAAGGAGCGAGTGAGCATGCGCCATGCCTGTTAGAAACAGCCGTTAGCTTTCGGTGGACGAGTTGCTGGGCGTATACCCACAAATTCAGACCGGTCGACCATGGGCGCAACTATGTATTTCGGGGAGCCTATGCTCTTGTAAAATTCCCTCCCATGCAGCTTCTTTCCTGGTACCGGCTCCGGCTTCGGCGCATCCTGAACTGCGCTGCTATTGCTGGGGGCGGGGATTGATTCCGAGACGGCCATTTTGCCAAGGATCGAACGTGTAAAACCGAGTATATGTCGCCCCAGATTAGGGGTCGCGAACCGTAGGAGCCGTATGATGATAGACGGAAAGGAGGAGCGTTTAAAGAGTTTGAAGCGCAACTGCGTAACTTTTGGTTCACACCTCTTGCGGAGAACAATTTTCGGCGGCGCTGATATCTCGGGGTAGGAAAATCTATATTCCTTCTTATCTCTTATCGATACTGTTTTGTTTGCAGACTAGTCGTAACTGGGGTTTCAGTCTCCATCCCGCCTCTTCCAGCAAAGGAACTCACTATACCTGACTACAGAGCAAAGATTGGACGAAGGCGTTGAGTCCGCTTTACAGGATTGATAAACACGTCTGGCCCGTGCATTTGCGGAAGTGCGGGATGTGGCATGTTTCTTGCTGAATATGTCGCGAACATGTCCAACACCAACGTCAACAACGGACTCGCTTGGCGGAGGGGGTAAGTTGAAGTTACATATTTTGCTTAGCTAAATTGGCTCCTTGCTAAGACTCTGATATAGTACCTTCTTCAATCTCACTGTCAGATGATGGAGAATATGCCACCCAATTGAACGGAAAAGATCTTGTTATCCATCTCAACCCAACTTCTTCGGAGTTCAACGAGGTACAGATTGTCAAGGTCAAGGAAACAGCATGCAAATTCCTAAGATTCTCCCGTTCAAGGCGGGGCGAGCCTTCTCGCCGCTTGCTATGTGCAAGCGACTCCCGTATCCTTGTTTGGAACCTGAACCCGCTGCAGCCACTGGCTGAGATTGAGAACATCGAATCTGGTGCCCTGAACATTGATTTTGGGAGCGACGAGAATGAGGTGGTTCTGTTTCATTCGTGGAATACAAAACTCACCATTTTTGGACTCGACACTGGTCGCAGTCACGTCATAAAAACGCCCAAGTTCGCCCACCATAATGGGTTCGGATATCGGCCAAAAACAGGGCACCTTGCCATCTTACTTAAACCCGACGCAAATGATACTTTGACCATCCACGAGCCTCGCTCGTACGAACTTATCGGACGCGAGGTCCTCCCAACAGTGGACGCGCAGGGCTTGAAATGGAGCCCGGACGGGCAATGGATAGCCGTATGGGATGCTGCCAGTGCGGGAACTAAGGTTCTCATATTCACGGCCGATGGCCAGCTTTTCAGGGCGTATACAGGGCCCTCTGGGTCAGATGAGTCACTTGATTTGGGTGTCAAGGTGATTGAATGGAGCCCCGTTTCTCCCCATGGTAATCAGTCGGAGGTGTTGGCTGTTGGAAAGGTTGATGGTACGGTCGACCTTCTTCAGTCTAGAACAGTAAGTATGCGTTCGCCAGCACTAAAGCAGTCATGCTGACTGGGATAGTTCTCTTGCTCCGCCACACTTTCACACGTGTTCCAGATTGAGCAACATGCTCCTAGTATATGGAGAGAGCGATACGCCGCGGGCGGCATGGCTTTGGAATACGCCGAATCTTCAAGCTCTTCTGCTTTTACCACATTGCCCGAACCCTCGACTACCTTACGAGGGGTGTCAATGATGGGATTTAGCTATAATGGTGCTCTTCTGGGCACCGTGGATCAAACCCGGCCCAACGTTGTCTGGATCTGGGGATTGGAAAACACCCCTGTATTAGTCTCGGCCTTGGTACATGAGCATGCCGTCAGGCAAGTTGTATGGCATCATTCGAGCATACAACTACTCATTACTACGGCCAATAGTGCTCTTCCTGGTGTTCGGTACTGGAGTCCGCACCGTGCCCCGTCTGTCGTACGTATTCCTGTTTCACGAAACGAAAATGCGAAACTGGATGTACGATGGTTGCCTTCAGATGAGGGTGACAAATCAAGGTTCTGGTTCGGAACTCCGGATGATTATGTCCTGGGATATATTGGACCAGGAGAAGAGCAGGGCACATCGCAATTCCAATGCCTGAATACTCTTGCTGGGAAGGTTGCTCCTGGTAGCCATAGCACACTTATGAATCGATGAAACTTCAGCCAAACAGCTTCACGAGTGATAAGTTCGTAGCAAGCCAACTCACAACTCAATGCAAAGCAGAGCCCCTGGCATGCTGAGTTGTGAAACGGGCTTTACCCAAACCAAAAGACTCAGACTCAGACAAAGTGGGGTTCTGTATAGTCCTACCTCCGACGATCGTTGCTGATGCCTGACTACTGAGGCAGAAACGCCATAGTTCACCATGGGCGGAACGGGGATCACGTGAACTTTAACCGAAAGAGCCAGGGCTTAGGGTTGAAGTTCACGTGACCCCGATCATCCCCACTCGAATTTTGAAGTTGGGCTGAACTTCCAGACGCTTCAGTCTTGCAGCTCTCAGTCGAACAACCACACAGACAAAATGGTGAGTGCTACTTTGCAGTCTCAACGAAAGATATGATCGCCGACTATGATACTAATGATTAAATAGGCTCCCGCAGGCAAGCAGAAGAAGAAGTGGTCCAAGGGCAAGGGTATGCTTTCACCGTCCTCGTCTCCCATCACCGAATGATCCTCGATTCCCGCATCGGCAGAGAAGAATATTCTCATTCCACACGAAGATTCGCTACGATAGCAGGAGGATCGAGCACAGTGGGCTAACTATGATTTCGCCGTATAGTCAAGGACAAGGCCCAGCACGCCGTCGTCCTCGAGAAGCAGACCGCTGAGAGGCTCAACAAGGACGTCCAGTCCTACCGCCTCATCACCGTCGCCACCCTCGTCGACCGTCTCAAGATCAACGGCAGCTTGGCCCGCAAGGCCCTCGCTGATCTCGAGGAGAAGGGACAGATCAAGAAGGTTGTCGGTCACTCCAAGATGAACATCTACAGTACGTCTCTTGTCTATTTGTGCGTTGGACCCATATGCTTACGAATGATGTAGCCCGCGCCGTTACCGCCGAGTAAACGTTTTCCGTCACGAATTTTCTCTCGCGGTGCTTATGATACCTTTGCTACGAACGATATCTTTAAAATTCGAATTCGGCTGGGCGAATGATGTTTGTGGTTCGATAAATCAATTTCACTTGGAATGAAAAGTCGCGCTACTGGACGTGTCAAGTACATTACAGTGACTCCCTCAATCAAATCAACCTGATAAAACTGTTCAATTTCTGGCTCAATGCTCAAAGACGTAATGGTCCGGATATGTCCAGCGCATAAGGAACAACCGAAATACCCTTTCCTTGTAGTCGGATATCAAACACCTTAAGCACTCTTCTCCCTCTTCGGCCTCTGCTTCTTCGCCGCCTCACAAAGCTCCCTCTTCCCCGCCAGCTCATCCTTCACACTCCCATCCTTCACAACCCTCCCAACCTCAAAATACTTCTTATGTTTCCCAAAGAACCCAACCCAATGATTCACCTGCTTCTCAACCCTCTTCCGCGCAAGCCGCACATCCTGCTCCTTCCGCTTCTTCCTCTCCCCACTACTCAGCTTCTCCAACTCCTCGGGCTCATCAATGGGGATAAACATCTCCTCCACGCCCGTAAGATCGTCGGTAAGATCCTCCTGGAAGCAACCCGTCACGAAAGCGCGTGTTGCGTCTCGTCCCGCGAAGAAGTGGTATGAACCGCCTGGGCCGTACATGCCGGGATTCGCGGACACGTCGAAGATGGTGCCGTTTACGGCGACGTAGATTGGGAGCGAGGGGTTCGTGCCATCATGGAGGGAGAGTTCGGCGGGGGTCAGGAGGACTGGACCTTGCTGTTGAGGATGTTAGTATGTCTGTGTTGAGAGGGGAGGGGACAGAGGTGCCGGGCTGGCCGGGGGAGAAGCGTACGATATATCGGGCGAGCTGCGACCAGTTCGTAAACCAGGGTTTGTATCCCCAAGTGAGGGATTCGGAAGAGGTAAGGTAGTATGATAGACCGCAAGAGACGGCGACAAGCGTCACCAGGATGCGGATGACATCGAGGAAACCGATTCCACCGCTGCGAGTTTCACGGCGCTGAGAAGCAGCGGGGACCTCGTTTTTTGAAGCACCAGGTGTGCTGCTGGGCACGTTTGTTCTCTGGCGGAGTTCAGGCATCGCTAAACTGGCATCTGTGTAGGTTATGGTTGCAGTTCAGTTGATGAAAAGGTGATGGAGTATAAATAATGCGCCTGCCAGTGAAAGGACAGATATTTGGAAGCAAACCCCTGGGAGGAAATGCCGGATGATGATCGGACAAATGCCGTTGCAAAGTGCAGGGTTCTAGTTTCAGGTTGGCAGTGGTTCATACATGAGGCATTCTCGCGGATTCTAAGCCGAGGCATCGCTTACGTAGTTTTACAGATTATTCAGGAAGCTCTTAAAAGCACAAAAAATTTGAGATCGTATTCAATTTCTCTAGAGGCTGTTATGAAGACTGAGCTGGTAAATATAGTGTTAGCCGTCCAATGCACTTCAAGCTTATTGATGCCTCGCATATGCTCGGACCTTCACTGCCTTCCAAGTGCCTAGGATGTGTACGGAGTATGTCGATCGTATGTGTATACTCAACCGTTGTACATGACCTAAATCGGTCTTTCAAACAATCAGCAAAGCCCATGAAAAGCAAAATGAGTGAAGACCGTGCGTCAGGTAAAATCTCATCAGACATCCAAGGAAGTACTTGCGCTCAGAGCACGCCTGAAATGGGTTCATGCGACGGCTAGTAGCGTGGAAACTGCGAATGTGGAAAACTTTTTCATCATCGAGATTGAAGGGCAGATACTCTCTTGGCGAGTATGAAGTGAAGGTGTGTTGAGGCTTTGGCTTCGTTCATGAAAAGGAAAGATGATTGGAGCTTACCAATGGTGAATTGAGAAATCGAGGCGGTGTTGTGGAGAGGATGCTGTCGGACTAGTATACAAATGCAGCTCTAAATTTTTTGAGCTTGTGTGTTGCAGTCCGAGCAGAAGCAATTTTGCTTCTCGCAGGGAGTTGCGCAGTAGTGTTGTCTTTCGAGAGCAGCAAAGAACCTGAAGATGAAGAAGAGTTACTTTTTTTCTTAGCGTCTGCGGAAAAAGGTTGTTTCGCGTCCGAGACTAGGTTTTGCGTTTCTGCCTCAGGCGCGCATCATCTGGTCTGCGAAATTACAACATTTACTGAATAGAAAAGTGCGGATACGTCAGTCATTGGGTCGTACGAGAGTCCGCTATGTCCATGATGAAGCCACGTACTAGTGTAAGACGTTTCCCCAGTAAAGGCAGTCCGATGCCATTTAGGGTCTACCCAACACTGGCCAAATCATATCCTCGAACTCGAAAGGTTCAAAGTTTAAGCAACAGAAATACAAGAAAGATTTCATTCATAATGTCAAGACGTTGTTCGTGGCCGTTCCTCCTATCTGTCGTGCTTCTGCATGATCCTGACTTTGCTCACCGTCCTGGTCTTGCTCCCAACTGCGCGAGAAGACATCATTGAGCGCTTGTTGAAACGTGCGACAGTTCATATCAATCAATCCCTTTTTCTCCTTCGCTTCGGGGTTGCGGATGACGGAGACAAGGCAAAGATATCTGCATAGATTAGCAATCCGGGCAGCTTCTGGGAAGATGGCATTACGCACTTGTTCATTTCCATGAGGTGAATCATAGTCTCATCATGCAGCACGACATGGCTCTCTGCTTCCTGGTTCTGTTCTCCCTTCGCTTGGCGATCCGGATGATCCCACGAATACAGCTCAGAGATGTCAACAATCACATCAATGTAGTCCGAGCACATCTCATAGCAAGACATGTCGACAGGACGAGTATCGGAGGCAATGTAAATCTTGCTCAAAACATCGAATAGATAGCTCTTTTCAAACCCGCAGTTGTTGGAAAGAGTGTTGATCAAATTCTCCAGCGTGGACAAGTTAGGAATGAGCTTTTGGATGACCTTGCTAAAGGCTTCGAAAACCGAGTAGTCGTAGATCGACGTCAGATAGTAATGAACCGGGGCGTTCTCATACCCAGCATCACTTAACTCATCGGAAATCACTTGGACGATGTCCGAGAAAGTGTCTGTCCGGTATTCGTCGGAGAGTCCGTCTACCTTGTGGATGAAGACCTCGATGTTGATGTTGGGATAGTACTGCTGAACCGTCAGGATGGTGCGATTGAGGCGTGTGACAGATTCCATGTAGTCGTCTTGCGCATCAATAACCCAAACAAGGGCGCCTAGACTTCCGAAAATCTCCTCGAGATCGAATGAGGACTCAAGATATTCGAATTGACCGGGGAAATCCCAGACTTGAAAGTCCATAAACGAGCTTGGCTTCATTAGAATGCATATCAAGAAAGGAGCGGATACACTCACTGAACTGAATCTTTTTGAATGCGTGTGGTGGACTCTAGAAAGAGGGTCTCATTCGGGGGCATCTTATGGAAGACAACGCTTGCGATGGAAGACTTGCCGCTTCTGCAAATGATCAGCTTGCGAATATTGATTCAGTAGCCATGGCGCGTACCGGCGAAGCCCCATGAGGAGGAGCCGGGGTTTGAAGTCGTGAGGTTTGGCGGCTTTGGCCTGTGTAGGCTGTCCGGAAGGTGGACTCGCGACCTGTAAAAGATTCTCGAGTTTTAGCTCACAGCTGGTCTTGACTATTGGCCGCGCTCCTTGCAATATAACGGAATCTGAGAAAAGATGCCTCTCCGGCCCCGGTTCAATCCACCGACATTTTGCCATGTAGATGAAGTGCATGGGGAAGGCAAGGACAGGACGAAGGTACTGAAGCTCGACCCATATATGGGATATATAGGGATGCGCTCAGCAGTACATAATCATGTTTCGCCTTCAAGGCAAACACTCTTCCGTCACTCAAACGCATTGCCATGCTACCCACGATAGCTGGGCTGAGCGGAATGCGATCTGCCGAATCGACGGGAGACAGTATTGCCGCGCAATATGAGAGCGAGAATAAGAATAAAACAGATGAGGAAGAGGTGTCCTTACCTCCATAGCGTCTGAATCACCGGCGCTGGCAAAGTCCGCCAACTGCAAAGTTGATCCTAAGTCATAACATTAGGTTGAACATAAATAGAGCTCGTATCCAGGCAACTTACCGGGTTATTTCCAAATTTCCAAGGAGAATACTTGGGCGATCCAAACGGGGGGAGTGAAGGGTCAGTGTGTTGCGCAAATTATGGATGGAGCAGATATTAACACCAAGCGGTAGAGAATCCCAAAGAACTAGAATATTGGAGCATTCAACACACTATTATCCAGCTGCTTAGGGTCTAGAGCCTAATACAGAGATTCTAAGACCTATAGTGAAGCTGTTCGCTCTTGTGTTCCTGGGTGGACGGGTGCACATAAAAAAGCCAACAAAAGACCCTCATAGAGCGAGACCCATCTTGAACATCAGAGGACTGGACCAGTTGGGAAGAAAATCGAGGAGCGTATGTATCCTATACTCGTTGCCTAGGTACACATCAAGGCTGCGAATACACAGGGCGGGAGCTGGTGGAGATGAGGGGTAGAGCTTGCTGAGGATGGCGCTACTTTCAAGAGAAATAATATCCAGGAATTAATATGGGGGGCAGATGCTCAGAAGACCAAATGGCGATGGCTGTTCAAGAAAGAAGAAGTGAAGGGAGAAAGAGCAGGATGAAAGTAGTGCGCTCTGGCGATAAGCTGGGGAAGAAGGCTTGGCAACGCTGGTTGCAGTCCGCTTTACGGTAGATAGTCAGGGACGTTATCTCTCGACGTTGTTCACGAGAGACGAGTCCATAGTCAATCGACGCATTGTACCCTGCAGGGGCCCTTGTATTCAAGTAACGATAGGACCAACCCAGCCAAATAATGAGAAAAAGGCGCATTTATACTACAGTGGCAGGTGACCCTGGCCGGTCAGCTGATTGGCTGTCGCCGGCAGCCAGTCAATTGGCGTCATCACCGCCATCACTAGCGGAGAGGACCGACGAAAGTTGGGAGTCATTCCAACCTTTCTCTCATCTTCTTTCTCCGCAGACACCTGTGTTCTGGATGCTGTGACCTCTCGCTCTGATGACCACTCTTACCCCTCGCGAACCCTACTCCCAGGAGGAGATCAATAAGCTCTATCCCAAGGAATTGAAGCTTCAGTTGGTGCAAGTCGTAAGTAGACCGATCTTCCCCGCAAAATATGCCGACTTGAAGTTAGAGCTCACTACTAACTTTTGTTCTCTCCAGTTTCTAAGACATGGTGCGAACAATCTCTCCTTACCGACATGCTAGGCTGGCCAACGACTAATTCAACTATACAGGCGAGCGCACTCCAGTTTCCTCGCGATTTGAAGAAGTATGCACTCCCCATGCCCAGATGCATAGGCGCTCAGGCTAATACCTTGTAGGCAGGATTAAGCCCATGTAACTTGACCAACTTCTCGTTCATAGCCTTCCGCCGCTGACCAACTCCCTTTTTCACAAGATTGGCCATATTGCAATGTTGCGCGTCGCATGGTACAAATGGCCGCCGGTAACGAACGCCTCACGTCCTGGAACTATTTCCAATGGCGAAGGAAAATGGAAACATTTGGCGATAGAGATCAGTCGATAGTTACTGTTGGTGCCGGTGGTGACATCGAGGGAATCTGGCAAGTCATAAGCTGCACGGATGGATATACCTTGGAGCTAACTGAGGTTTTGACAGCCAGCATGGTGAATTGACAGACAAGGGGCGCGAAACGACCTTTCAGCTCGGCCAGCGGCTACGACACCTATATGTCGACCAGTTAGGATTCATGCCCAAGATCAAGTCCGACACTGAAGACATGTACCTCCGCGCGACCACTATTCCCAGAGCTCTAGAGTCCCTTCAGCAAGCATTCTGGGGGATGTACCCTCCCAGCGCCCGCACACAGGATCTTCAGCCGCCCGTTATTGTCGCGCGTTCGGTATCGGAAGAGACGCTCTTCCCCAATGAGAGTAACTGCCGTCGATTTAGACAGCTTGCTAGGCTCTTTGCCGACAGAGCTGCGAAGAAATGTACGTCTTTCGTCAAACTAAAAGACGCCATGATGCTTATCTGACCAGGGAACGACACCGAAGAAATGGACTACATCAACAGCGTCTACTCCAAATGGATGCCGGAAAACTCACCCCGAGTGGCTGTCGACTCTCACCCCCGTCTATCCGGTATCCAGGATACCATCAACGCAAGCGATGCTCACGGGCCCGCGACCAAACTCCCCTCTGAATTCTACAACAAGAAAGCTCGGTCATACATGGAACAAATTGCCGTCGACGAGTGGTTCACTGGTTACAATGAGAGCACCGAGTACCGTAAACTAGGCGTCGGGGCTTTGATGGGCGACATCACCGACCGCATGGTCACGACTGCTGTAGACGGCGGCTGGCGAAGCGAAACCGCCGCTTCTGGCTCTTCCGCCTCAAATGGCAAGGCTATCAAGTTCGCCATGAGCGGATGCCACGACACAACCCTCGCCGCTATCCTCGGAAGTCTCGGCACCATGAACGGAAGATGGCCTCCTTTCACCTCATCCGTCGCTGTTGAACTCTTCTCCCACGCAGACCATACCCACGACCCCAGAACAGCCATCTCTCCTGCCAGTACCTCGAAGCAGAGCAACGGTGGTCTTTTCTCTTTCTTCACCGGCTCGTCTTCCTCCACCTCCTCGTCAACCAAGACACACCTTCCTCCCTCTCCAACGGCCCGCACACCACTCGCGGCGCTTCCCGACTCCGCTCGCGAGTCCCTGCAAAAACACTACGTCCGTATCCGCTACAACGACGTTCCCGTCCGCATTCCTGGCTGCGCCGCGAAGCCAGAAAACCACCTGCCCGGCGATGACACATTTTGTACTCTCGACGCATTCAAGGAAATCGTCGACAAGTTCACTCCGCAGAACTGGAAGTACGAGTGTGTACAGAACCTGGGAGAGGGTATGTATGGGAAGGATGGTAAGGAGAAGGCTGTCTCTGGATTCTAGAGGGGCCTGGTGGTCATTTTGAGGCTGCGGTGGTTTTCTGTTTTCCAGAGTCCTGCAATGATAGAACGTAAATACTTCTGGGTGAATATGCGCTTGTATATACATATACAAAACTTAATGCAAGAATATATACTAGGTGGTGATATTTGCAGTGATGATGAAAGGGAAATGGTACCCAATAATTCCTCCCAGCTCCCAAAACAATTACCTGTACAAACTGCAATAGGAGTATCCCGTCTAACAAGTGCATAGGCATGAGAGGAGCTTCAACAAGAAAAAAGCAGAGAAAGAGAAGAGAGCAAGAGTCTCCAACCGGGAGAAGTATTATACAAGAAGTCTAGTCAAGACACAATGGTACTAAACTATATGTATTCAATAGATGCAGCTTCCATGTATACGCTAAATCGAAAGCCATGCCCCAGCTTCAACTAGGGCACTGCGTCTCAGAGCTCATAGAGCGCTGGAGACAGCCTCTGTCGGGCCCTCGTCATCACTCGTGCTCCAGCCGCTTTCGCTGTCAGACGCGTCCCAAGCCGACTTCTTCGGTGTCGGAGGGCTCGCACCGCGCGAGGGTGTAATTGCTGCCTTCTTCTCTTCCTCCTGTCCCGTCTTGCCCTTCTTGCCCTTCTTCTGCTTTGCGGCAAGTTCTTTCTCCATAGTTTCCTTCCTGATTGTGGCGAGTTCTTCGTTGGCGCGTTCGATGGTGCTGAATAGCTTCTCCATTGCGGGCGAATAAGCAGATAGGGTATACATGTCGCCAACGCGCACGCGCATGTGGTCAAAGGCAGTGACAACGGGGACCACAGCTGGTGGTGGTTTGTCGGACCCGGTGCTTATATTTGCTTTCGTAATGTCGTCAGAGGGGTCGTCTTGGTCAGATGCGTCGACAAGACCATGCTGGGCTTGTTCTAATTGTCGTGCGGTAGCGACGGCCACCTTCTGGTACCGCTGGCTGAAATGGGTGAGGAGGATGGCGCGAGCGCGCATTTTGCGGCCGACCTCGATGGCTTCGCCCGCTGTGGAGTGCTTCTTCGCAATGGCGGAACCGATCATGTCTTCGTTAAAGGTAGCCTCGTGGATCAAGACGGTGGAGTCCATGCCAATCTTGGCGAAGTTGGCCGAGGGCCGGCAATCGCCGGAGAAGGAGGCCTTGAAGCCGTTGGGGAACACTAGGGAGACGGCCATGGAGCCGTTGCAGTGGGGGACGTACGTGGTTAAGAGGTCTGAAAGGCCAGTGGCTTCTCGAAGCAGACGAGCGAGATTCGGCGCTGTGCTGTTGTCTCCAAATTGCAGCTCGGTGACCTTAGGACTCCCACCCGTAGATCCCCTCCCTGGGTAATTGCCAATCGCGGAACAATGACGGTAGCGAAACGTGGTTTTGATCTGGTCATATTCCTTGTACGGGTTTGCACTCAAAGGCGTAATTTTGGCGAAACCAAAGTCCTCGACGCTAGCATACTCTTCCAACCATTGGATCATGCTATGCTCGGATACGAGGAACAGCCGCTTGTCCTGCAAGATTGTGGCCATGTCCATTTCGATTTCGCCTGGGCGCGGAACGCCTTCTGGATAATTTGCGTGGTACCATGCCTTAAGCACAGATGCAGTGCCAAGATGATGGTCTGCGTGTAGATGGCTGATCCAAACCAATCGTAGATTCTGAAGAACCTCTTGAAGCTTCTCAGGAGCAAACGCACGTTTGAGTTGCCCAAGTGTACCCTCGCCACAGTCGAATAGGTAGTATCCTTGCCCGGGAACATAAAGCAGGGTGCTCGAGACATTGCGATACTTGGAGGGCAAGGATGACCCGGTCCCGAGCGTTATGATCTCCGCATCAGGGGACGGAAGATCTTTCAAAAACTGCCGAATTTTTTCTTGGGCCGGTTGCTTTTGCAGACGTTTGCTGATAACTTCGGCCCGCGTCACAGCAGCCTTTGGCATCTGTTGAATCATCAATCCTGTGTTGAGACGCGGCACCACTTCGGAGTGATTTAGCCCAAACTTTGGCTGCATGTCGATGATCAGACCCGGCTCAGCCGGCACAACACTTGAGTCTTCGTTTCCTGCTTCCGAGCGAGACTCTGATTCTGAGCTAACCCGATTGTCGTGAACAGGGATAAGATAGTTGTCAGGCCTCAGTCGGGCCATGCGAATAGTCGCGCCGGCAGCGCTTTGCATTACCAGATAGTTAGGGCACTTATCCGGGCTCGAAACAATATGGCGGCAAAACTGCATTCCGGCGACGAACTTTTGGAGTCGCGGGTGACTCCATACACCCGGGCCCAGGACCCATATGAACGCTGTCAGGCCGTTAGTCACGGCAGCGGACGTCCATTCCGGCCGGTCTACAAGGCTGTCGACGTAGTCTGGAGTTGGCAAGTGGACTATTGCTAGTCCCTTCCCCGGCCGTTCAGGGCCAAGGACCATCTCCGGAGTCACAACCTTGCCATCTTTAGAAATCACGTTTTGACCATTTGTTAGCAGACTGAAATTTGGTCCTTTTTCGACATTGAGTGCCATGGCCTTTGCAGGATCGAACTTTCCCCTAACGTCGCGAGACTTCATCACGTAACACAAAGACTCATCATGCGGTTTTGTCAGGGGGATATTGTCAACAGTCGCACCAGGCCACGGCTTGCGCACGAACACATTGATATTGGGAAGACGCACGCCACTCCCGGGAACCGGCCCCTGATATTTTTCCAAGTCCTTGGTTTCCGAGTTGCGCACAAACAACTGTGCAGGCATTTTGACATCGGCAAGGGGAGTCTCCACCAAGGCATCTAAGCTCCACGACGAGTTAAACATGTCGGCAACGATGGATTGCCTGGCAGTCTGATCATGGTCAATCGCGTCTAGCGGTACTGGGGTAGTTTCTTTGAATTCATCGAGACTCCTCTTTCTTGGGCTAGATGGTGTGCGCGGCTTGGGACCGACAGGTATAGCCCAGAGGTTGATGTTCTGGTCAACATAAGTCGGCTTGATTTGTCGTTCTTTCTTGGTTCCGTTATGCGTGTTCTCCGTGCTATATTCCTTAGTGTACAGTGGCATACCCTTTCGGAAAATGAACTTTCGAGCAGTTGCCAAAGTATGCGTGAGGTTTTTGGGGCCATGAATGGTCAAAGAATGCTTGTCATCCTTTCCTTTCTGTAGTTTGTCCGAGCTGCCCTCCTTTGGGCTCCCTTCCATTTTCATCCTATTTGCCTGCTTTGACAACTGAGCCTCCTTCAGCGCCGCAAGTGAATTTCCAAGTGTATCAGCCAGCGTCAATACCATGCCAAATAAGCCTCCAGTATTGGTCCAGTTCATGACGCCTGTTAGGAATATATCGGTAACACTGGCTACTTTTACCGATTGTTCATTACACGCTCGCTGTGTACCCTCCGACATCTGGCCAAAAAGATAGCGTTGCGAGTCAAAGTGTACAAGGACAGTTGTCCCAGCCGTATCCGCCGTCGGCGTACTGATAATCTGAGCATAGTACTTCATTGGTGAGGACTTAGGCGAGATCTTGGGTTTCTTGTTGAAATTGCCGGGATTCGATAGGATGTACGATGGGGGAGGTAGTGTGGCTATCCCAGCAATCGAGAAATCGGATTTCGATACTCTTCGTTTGGTGGACTTTCCCTTCCCGACTATGTTTGCAAGCGGAGGGCTGGCGTTGCGCGCAGTGCCCTTTCGGTTCGCCTGTCTGAACGAAGCTGCTGTGGCGTAGGCAGCACGGGGAGAAGATGGACGGCCGAGTGCGCGGGAGGCCCGACTTAGAAGTCTGGCCGAAAGCTGAAAGGAAGCCAACTTGGCCGACGACGTGAGAGACGGCCTTGACGATGGGCTAACGAGCAGTCATGAGTCAAACGTGATCTTAAAATGAAAGCTGCATGAATGCCGGCTGACAGGGCCCGTTTAAAAGAGAAAGGGGCTTGGTTTCCCGGGATGCTATTTGGGGCAGGTCATTGACTGAACCAGAAATTTCTCATTCGCAAAACTGTAAAGGTTCATATGAGATTGAATGGTGCAGTGGTGAAAAATGAGTTCTCGTTATCCCCCGTCGCAGGGTCAACTTTTTTTGCCGAAGGCGGAGAGCGATAGTTATCAATCATGAAGTGGATCGATAGCGCCAATCTCAATCGTCTGTTACTCCGTACATTGGGATAATCTCAATAATTTGATGTTCCGATGATTTTGGTATTGAGCTATATAATCATTCTAATTCCTTGACGAGTTCGCTCCCAGTTGTTCCAGTACAAATTCAATAGAGCCAGCCCCCAGTAAGCGCACAACACCATCCATAACACCTATAACAGTAAATATGGTAATATGCGACAGCAAGACGAAAAGGGCGGCAATTGGCATATAGCCGTGGGCCTCAAAATCAATCACAAAAGAAACAAATTGGTCTAGATGTGGGGAAGTGCTTATAGGCAATTACCCGAGGCACTGAGAAGCAGACAATAGGATAAGGATAATAACAAAGAGATTGTACAGTCTTCGGGTGAAATCATGCAGTATGATGTCGGAGATTTAGGAAAGGTGGGCAGTCATCATGGTGACGCGTTGAAAGGCGGCTTCCATGCTATGGCAGAGGTAATCAAGCCGGCTGGCGGCACTGCTGGAGGCGCCATCGACAATCAGCTCCAGTGTAGGTTTTCCCATCTCGATATCAGTAGGAGAGGATTCGCACGGTACTGCCGTTACCGACTGCTTAGGTTGATCGGCAAATAATGCAAGCACAGGATCAGACTCGTCAATTTCGACATTCAAGTCTCCGGCATCAGCAGGCGTTTGGCCGTCCACAGATGGCAGGGATTCAAGTTGTGATCTTTCCTTGATTGAAACCTCGGGAAGATTGACTTCGGAGAAAGTTGAGGATTTGCCAGTAAGCGCTTCGGTGTCGAGGACAGGAGGCTCGGGAACTTCAAAAACGGCAAAAACGGAAGGGTTGCCAAAGCTCAAGTCAATTCCAGTGTTCCAGCCCCCATTATTCATGTTCATCGCAGCAACGTCGATACCTTGGCTTGGAACCATCATCATGCCCATCTGGGAGCTCTGCTGCAATGCGAATTCTTGCTGAGGGTGGTTGGGGGTCGGCTCTTTGGGAATATTTTGCGGCTGCATTTGGGGTTGAGGAATCGCTGAAGGCTGTGGTTGAGGTTGCGGTTGCTGGTGAGGCTGCTGTGGTGGGACGGCTGGAAGACCACTGATATTCATCTCATCCAAAACCTGCGAAAAGTGCGGCGACGACAATAAGGTGCGGGCAAGATCGGTGAGGCGGGCATTCTCCTCAAATAGCGCACGGTTTTGAGTGCGGAGCTCCTGAACCTCGTTGTTTCGCTGCTGGACCTCACTCTCCAGATGGCCGATGTATTCTATAGGATAAATTAGCGTCTCCCGTTCAAATCATACCAGCTAATATTGAAATACCTTTTCTTCGAGACCTGAATGCGCGAGCGGAAACCTTGTTTCGGAGCTGCCTGCGCTCCTTGCTACTAAGTTTCTTTCCCTCCTCGCTAGCAAGAAGCCTCTCGTCTTCATCCATGTCCTGCTCATCCTTTCTGGACTTGGCCATTTGTGGCATGGAAGATGGGGAAGGGGATGAATCCGAAGGACTTGCAGATCCTGCCTTCATTTGCTGTAAAAGGCGCGAGATACGTTCGTCAACCAGAGGGTTGGAGACACGCGGATGCTGAGTCTGGGGAGTTCCGGGATTGTGAGGCTGCTGAAGAAGCTGTTGTGGTTGTTGATGGCGAACCAGATCGTGCTCTCTCTGTTGCTGAGCAGCCTTAGCCATGGCTGCTCGCTGGTGCATCCCGGGATACATGCGCCCGACTTGAGTAGACGGGCCCATGGAGAAGACCTCTTGTCCACCTAGGGCATTAGGATCGATGTACTGGTTGGGTTTGACATTTGGCGAGAAAAAGAATGCCGGAGCCGTGTTCATACTGCTGTCAGCCTCCAAGTCCATCTCTGAGTGGTTACGAGACGGTGTGGAGTTGAAATCTAGCGCAACGTCGGTCTTGATTTGAGGTTGGAACATTTCCCCATTCATAGCGAAACCTGGACTTGGGGCGCTGAATCCCATTTGGGGAATATGGGCGATAGGCATGGCCTGGGCCAGCGCACCAGGAGGAAGACCTGTCTGCTGTTTATGCTCATCATACTGGTGGCTTGGGGCAGGAAATGCGACCGGTGATTGACTAGATGAAGCGAAGCTGGAGCTTCGCGCATCACTGGAGACGAAATCTGAGCTGGGAAGAGACGGTTGTGTTGGTAAGCCAATTTTCGATCGGGCCTGCTCTGAGGGTGTGTAGGTGAGTTGGTCGAGGTGGAGGAAGGATTCGATGTCTTGATCGTAAGATGCTGGAGCGACAGCCGGGTGTTCTGCGAGTGTCGCCATTGTGTGAGAGAAAGTCCTAGTCTTCCAGGATTTGAGAATGGTAGTTGAGGCGTGTATCTGATGACTATCGCCTAGCGGTCGTCAACTCCTGTAGCTCCGGGCTTTGGAGAGAGGTCGGGCGAGGGTTCAGGTGCAGGGAGCAGGGAGGACGGAGAAAGCAAGCGACTGGGAGAGACAGGGGGTCGATTTCGAGAGCTCGAGGTTCGTGGCTTCGGAGCAGATATTCAAACACGGTGGGCGCGCAGATGGTCAAGAAATGAGTCGAGACCGAAAAAGTGGAAGGGATGGGATAATAATAAGAAAAGGATGCAGGGTGAAGCAGAGATGGAGAAACAAACAGGGCCAGCTGGTGGGAATCCTGACGATCAACCAAGGATGGGACGGGCGCCGGGATGATGGAGGAGGAGCCGCCAGGGGATTTGGCGTGACCGGTATCTTACGGTGAGAATAGAATCAGGTAAAGAAGGCTTGCGCGTCCTCTGATGATTCAGCAGGTTTTGGCAGCCTGGTAGGCCAGCCCGGGACGAGCTAGGGCAACCGGCTCAGCACCCTAAGCCCGCGGCTCCACCTCAAATTCTTACAGTAATGCAATACAATTTGCAATACAATTTCCCATCCACGGTCAATGTGGAACTTCCTGATGTCGACAGGAGACCGGAGTCCTCCTGTTTCGTCCAGACCAGCAAATTCCTCAATTTTCTGTCGTCGAGGTCCAACCTCAATAATAGCTGGAGGCACCGATGCTATGAAGCTACAGTCACTATTCCTGCGCATTATTCCAGAGCGAATAACTCGCTCTCTTGTGCTATATTTACTGATCTCTTCAGGCAACAGAATAATAACAAATGCGCATCCTAATCCGGAGTATGCAAGTGGTTCTCTTCCCGTTTCAGGCCCGGAGAGCCGTTGCTCCATGAGACTTCCACAGGTGCAGTAGCGCCACCAATTGGGTTATTCAATTGCCGCCTCCAAAGTCGCTCAAGAGTCAAGACAACGCGATGACGTCGAGTGGTCCGGAATACCAATGGAGCCACTTCCACTACGGAGGACTGTCCATGGGACACTTCCTTCCTGGCGTCCATGTGTCAATCTGTCAAGAGTATCGTCAGGAACAATCGACTTTGTTCATATCATTGGGCCATTCCTCCTCATCGACAACTTTTCAAGGGAGCATGCCCACTTCACTGATTTCACATGACTCCGGTAACGGTCGGTCAGGGATCGGGCGCCGGCTCTCTTACTCTGAAAAGAACAGCCAGATTGTAGTTCAGCAAATTGGCCTTGTTTTTCTCAGTCTTCCATAAAAGTTGCAGAATCCTTGAAGGCTCCTTCGGGTTCAAGTTTCACAGTTCAACCTGTGGGATGCCAAAGTGGGGGGTGGGGCACTACCGCCGAGACTTGGAGCTTGGCACACCATATTTAATATCGCACACAGCCACTGCGACAAGACTTTGGAACTTAGCGTCGGAAGTGCGACTCTTGTCTGGCTAATTTGTTCCAGCCTTGCGATGGCTTGCTCCCATTCGCTCGCTGGCTTGTGTCCACTTCGATCCACGAACGATCACAATCGCTAAGCTCTTTTGAAGTTTGAGCACAGCTCATGTTCAGATGTTCTAGAAACTCAGAAAGGGGTAAATCTCTCAGAAGAACGGCTGAGATATCTCGGTTCAATGGACCTGTTACCTTATTGGGTATGGCATCAGCCCACCTGTGTGGCATTTTCAGGATCGAACTCAAGACCACGTGCTGTTTCCTGGGGAGTCAGAACTGAGGATTCAGAACCCCCGGGGTGAATAATGAGAAACGATTCACCATTGAGCATATGCTCCGTGGCTCGCAGGCTTTCACAGGTCACCATTGCATATTCGAGACTGACTTCAAACGCGGCCTCTGTCAGAAGTTCTCCCCTCATCATAAGACTGCTCTCCCAGCGGCCAAAGACCCAAATCCGGGCGCTTGATAATAATTCCGATACGCCTCCTCTAATTCCGGTCCCTTGGTCTGAAAATATCTACGTTTCTCCAGTGCACAAGCAAATAATGGCATCGCGGCTAGAGTCGAGACAGGAAAAGTTTTTCCTCGGATCAGATCGCAATGCCGAACCACAGAGTCTGACACAAGCTGCAGCTAGGGCTATCCAAAAACCTCACCACACCAAATTCGGTCTAGACTCCAGACAAAGGGTTGGGACTTATTCCAAGCGCCTTCTTCTCGAACCTCGAATCTCGACCGCTCCGTACTCCATTCCTCTAGCCCACTTACAGCCCACGTACGTATGCAGCAGGAGTGTGGCACAGCACAGCACTGCTTGTCGAGCCATCTGGTTCTCGCCTTGAGCCTAAATTTTGCGGCCATGTGTTTCACGCTTGAACCATAGATACCTATACCCCGAGTAGCCTGTAGGCAACTCTTTTTCTCCTCTTATGATTCGATCAAGCTCTTGAAGCATCCGATTAACCTTAGTTATGCTCGGCTCTTGCCCATATGCGGTTTTAAATAGATGTACACGTCTGGACCGTGGACAGCAAGCCCACAGTGGCACATGCCAGGCTGAGCCTCGCAACTCTTATGCACTGAGCTACCCATCTACCAAATTCCGACTTTACAATCGCAGCCGAATTGAGGGTCAAGAATTAAGAGCCGAGACCGAGTTCCGTCACCGCGGTCTCTCGTACAGTGGGGATACCCTGGGTCCATCCGTGAAGAAACGCCGGATATCAACCAACCCACTCGGATACCTGGCCCTGCGAGGCTGCGGCTATCCTCCTGGAACAGAATTTATCAATCAGTGATCAAGCAACATGCATTTTCCTAACTCGTACTAGGTGGTCCGACAACGGGGCTCGCCTTTTATCAGAGTTATCCGCTGATCCCACACAGGATACGCCACATCGACATCAGCAGATTGCACAGCCTCGAACCCGGGTATAAAAATAATCTCTTCCGATGATGTTCCGAGCCTCGCATTGCTTATATGTATGTACATCTGTAGACTAATTATTGTGCCTGAGGCAGGAGTATGTATAGGGACTCTGTGGTTGCTGACCAGATAGTCAACTGCGTGGTTCATCGTACGTCTACGGCAGAGGCTTTAGTTATATATCGCGGAAGAGCCGATTAGACCAAGTTACAAATAGGTATTGTTACTATCCCATTTTCAATACTAGGTATGGAGTAGGGTTTTATACTAGACAACAATAACGACTGCAAAAAATACTAAACCCGAGAGAACGATGGACGTCTTCCAATCATGCGTTTGGAGGCATCTCTTCGCGTACCACCTGCCTAGCCAACTTTCCTCAAAAGAATATACATGAAGAGGACAATTATTCCTCAGGCCCAGCCCTATCACTCGGATGCGCCAGATTAGCGGCAGTGAAGTGGTAACTCGAAATGCTATGGTCAACGCCCGCATTCGTGCTGTCAATGCTGATCTCTTCAGCACGCCCCTGCTGAAGAATAACAACCACGTTAGCCAAGTCCTTAACTGTGTGTAGATTTTCTTTATTGCTTCGCAGTATAGCGATGAATAAAGGGAAACCTCAAAAGAAACGACCAACCTGTTGGCCGAACGACTCAGCCGTGGGATTCATAGTGGTCGAGCGCAGACCCTGACGGTGCTCGCTCTGGCTTCCAGTCGCCTCCTTGCCCTGGTTCTGGCTCTTGTCCCGGGTGTAGTCGGCATTTTGGTTGAAATGCTCGGTGAAACTCTCCGGGTCGTCAGATGGGTTTGGCTTTCCAGTAGGCATTTTGTTATTGAGTTGTTTGAACTGTGCTTTATGACTGGTTGACTCGGTTTGTTTGGTGATCTTTGTAGATGGATAGGAGATGGATCGATCAATGGAATGGAGTGAGGGCCCCAATATATAAACCTTGCATGACGGAGATGAGGTCATGATTTGTGATGATGGACGTAGGTATCATCTGGCCACATGTGGGAGAAACCTGGACTGAGCCCTGGTTACGTTGAACCTTATGGGTCAGTACCGAGATTCCATTCGAGCACGCAACTTGTTGCGAAGAAGTTATTGGTTGGAAGCTAAGAAAGACTGTCACAACCTGATGGAATAGCATTGTTATAGCATCGTTAATCCAAGGATTATTCATTTTCTGATTCGTTTCCCCGGATTTAGCGACATGCTGATGAGCGCTTGAGGTTGAAGTCATAAGTGTGCTGTTGGAACACGATTGGATGGATCCGGGTGTAGCGGTTGTCGGCAGTGGCGACCATGACAACTTGAGCAGATGATTAGGATTGATCGGGATAATTCATCGACCGTTCATAGTCAATTCCTCTAGTAGCTGTATGTAAAGTTTAATGTAAGTTGTATATACATCCTCTAGAGCTGTCCTCCCAAGGGTCATGTTTCCTGCGACCCATACCACATCGCCTTGTAGAAATATCATGTCTCGTTTCATGGCATGCGGGTGCACCCCGTTCAAAAGAGTGGCATGGCTGCCGTGTTGACATGGTCGACATTGTCCCTTGCTGACTCGATCCGATCGTGACAGGTGCCAAAGATCCGGTCCCAAAGGCGGGTCTGCTTCCCATAGTTGTAACTCTTTCTGTATCCCTTGCGGTGATGCAGGTCGTGATCTTCAATGACAATGTCGGCTCCAAGCAGGTCTAGTAACCAGCCCAATGTCGAGGGTGCATTTCCGTGAAGACGTAGGCCGCTATGTCCCAGGACCTCGGTAAAGGCAATGTACTGGTGGCAGACCCACCACTCGTAGAAGCTCATAGGTAGCCCAAAGGCCTTTAAAGTCATATAAGTCAGGAATGGGACTCCAACCATGTCGAAGAACTCTTGTTCGTGGTCTGCGTAGGCCGAAAGCAAGGGGTTGGGGTGCTTGGTCAAATGGTGGGTGCGGTGAAACCTCCACAGAAAGCCCACATCGTGCATCGCTCGGTGGTACCAATAGAACCAAAAGTCAAGAACAATGCCATAGAGGCCAATCTCGAGGGGAAGCCATGCCCAGCTCATTGTTGAAGGCAGCTGGTTCGCATGGTAGGACAGATATACTCCCATTGCAAGACGCGAGCCAGTGGTCTTGTAGAGGGCCTGAACGACCTTGCCCACACCCACATCGGGAATCCCATCACGCTCGTGTTTGTCGCCGTCTAGAAAGCCGAATTTGTGACCAAGCCTGCGAATAATCTTGACTTCGTGTATGACAATGGCATTGAACGCAAAGAAATACCAGTTGAAGGCTGCGATGGGGCCAAGAGTGCGCCCAGTATAGGACGAATAAACTTGATGAACGGCAAGTGGGATGGCTGAATAGAAGAGCACCCAACGATGAAGAGACCACTGGGGTACGTAGGGTACCTTCTCGTCCTTTGTGTGCACGGGGACCTCCTGGTCACGGTCGACGGGGTAAACGTTCAAGTAGTCGATGAGGAAGTGGTAAAAGTTCCAATCATCCCGGCTGCCATCACGCCAGGTGGACTTGATAGAGTCCTTGGGGTTGGCTTTGGTATCCATTGCTCTGGGCAACGTTGTGGTTCTTGTGTTTTAATGTCTCCAGCCTTGACAAAAGGGGTCGTTGGAGAACTCTTATACCGTCATCGTGAAGGATATTTGAGTCTCGGAAGCACGAGCTTCTCTTCTCAAGCATGTGATGACAATCTCAGGCCACGGCGATCAAATCTGAATCTATGCAGATCTCTTGTCCCAACAACTCTGGAGACCCAGATAGAAGGGCCCAAGACTGGGATTTGGAGCTCGCATCTTTATCGATATTCGAATTAGCGCGATTAAGTAATTTTCACCACATGAAGAACAAGACTTTGTTGAATCAGCCCCGCGCAAGTATGCCTCGGATTGCCGGTTATCGTCAACCTCATTCTTGCGAGAACTCGCTTCCACGGTCAAGAGTTGGAGAAGGGTTGGAAATGGCTATAATGAGCCACCTGGCCTCTGATGCGCCTTCAGCGTGACTTTTGCGCCTGAAGCGGCGATAGAAGGGGCCATTGTGTCGTCCTATCGTCCAGAAGCCCGGAGAACGAGATCAAGACCCCGCATGAATACGAGCGAGAAGATGCTCGCGACAGGCAGGACCTCAGCGTTGATAGTTGAACGGAGAGCCTGGTTTTTTATGGTGAGCATGCGAGAGAGCGTAACGAAAGAGCTGGGTCGGCAGTTGCAGGTTCATATAGAGAGGACGGAGGTAGGAGAGCTGATGCTCGAGAGACCACACCGACGATTCTTATAGTTACCTCTTGACTGCGATCTACTTCAAAAAGGAGCGCGGTCCGCCAGGGGCTTCACAGATTGGTTTGGCTCTTCAGATGCGGCTGATCGTCGCACAGACTACACATCTGGAGAAGAGGATCGATCTCGCCTTCTGAGTGATGTTATCTACATTTTCCTGCCACTATTGAGCGATAATCTCTCCAGATTCGCAGGGTTGGAGACCCAGATCGTCTGTGTGACTCTGCAATCGTATTTTATGCTGTGTTGTGTGACTCGAGAACCAGAATGACCTGGCAACAATGTTGATTCCTCAGGCCACCAAGAAATCGGCTATTCCGCTTTGGGTTCCCGACTCGATCGCGCCTTCCTTTTCCAGTCTTGCAGGAACAACAGTGAGTCAACTGAAATCTCTCGAACCAACTTTAAGCCTAGGAGCGGAGAGAATTGATTTGTCTTGGATCATTAGGTTGCTCAATATGTTTATAATTAGCGATCCCCGAAGCTACATGAAACCATCTTATTCCCAGCAGTTGCATTGGCTGCCGCAGGACATCTACACGATCACTGGACAGACCCTTGATTTTCCACACCAAACTTGAACTTCTGAAGCGAACCTGGACCGCCGATTGATTGATTGATTGATTGATAGAGGCTATTGTGATAGCCATGGCGCCATCCATTATCGCTACCTGCAAGCAAACCCGATTTCACCTTCTTGACGAGAAACCAGCACGAGAGGTGGGTTATAAACATACATTCTTCTGTGCTGCGGCTCTAACACGTTTCTGTTAGATTGATGTGGAAAATCTCACCATTGCAGTTGCCTCGCCTTTCGATGACGCGGAAGATGCTGCAAAGGCAAAGACGAAAGGAAAGTCAAAGGCCAAGGCCGAAGCGAGAGAGCTCATATCCGATGCGCATCTGAGGCTTAAAGCGGGTACTCACTATGGGTTGGTAGGTCGAAATGGGACTGGAAAGTCAAGTATGTCGCTCGGTCTTCAAGTCTATCTTCGACCAGCTGGCTGATGCATCCGTAGCGCTTTTGCGGGCCATGGCAGACAAGTTGGTACCAGGAATACCGCATTTGACCCGAATAGCCATTCTGCAACAGACAGACACCGAAGCCCAAGAAGGACTGCAAACCTTTGGCGATGGACGTCAGAGACAAAGCGACGAAGAGATCAAGCCGGTCCTGGAGTATGCCATAAGTAGCGACCATCACAGGAACGAAGTCATTGGAAAGATGAACTGTAAGATATTGCCACGCTCTCTCCAAGTCATTGATACTTAGTCCTCACTATCACTAGTTTTGTCGAACAGTTTTGAGACGGAGGACCCTCTGCAACCCGTGAAGGCGATTCGAAAGATCCGGCATGACGAGATCGAAAAGCAGCTTTTCCTAGCTCAGAAGAATGCCAACCTCAAAAGTGGTGCAAGGGGCTTGCAAGCGCGCAAAGAGTTGAAGGCCGTGGAAGCGAAACTGCAGAATTCTAGGGAGCTGTGAGTTGCCACCTTCCATTTCGCTCAGGACCATCGCTGAGATATTCTAGACTGGAACAGGAGGAGATTGACGTAGAGTCTGCCAAAGAAGAAACCCAGACTGCGGTGGAAACTTTACAAGACCTACAATCTCAATTTGAAGCAGTGAGTAAACGGAGGCTAGTTGTGCGAAATGAACGCTAAGTCAAATCTTCAGATGAAGGTTGTCGACGTAGAGCAGCAAGCTCGTCAAATCCTCCTTGGGCTTGGCTTCAAAGAAGATATGTTGGGCAAGCCATTCCACACTTTGTCTGGTGGCTGGCGTATGCGCTGCATGCTGGCAAGCATTCTGATTCAGAACCCCGACATTATGATACTAGACGAGCCAACCAACTTCCTAGATCTGCTAGGAGTTGTCTGGTTGGAAGAATATCTGAAGCGAATGCGTGAATCGTCACAGACAACAATCCTTCTAGTCTCCCACGACAGAGACTTTGTTGATGCAGTGTGCGAGGAGATTGTCATTCTTCGAGATCAGAAGCTCACATATTTCAAGGGCAATCTGTCCGCATACGAAAAGGACTTTGAAGAACAAAAGCTGTACTGGGGTCGCATGAAAGAGGCTCAGGATCGTCAGATTGCTCACATGGAGGCAACCGTCCGCGAGAGCATCAAAGTCGGGAAGAAGACTAACGACGACAACAAGCTCCGAATGGCCAAGTCGCGACAAAAGAAACTCGATGATAGAATGGGTGTTCAAGTGAGCGCACGCGGAGGCCGATTTAAGCTGAATAGGGATCTGGCGGGCTATCACCTAAGTTCCCGCGATGAGATCGATGTTCCGCAGGATGAAAAAGGCGTGTCAATTCAATTGCCCGACGCTTCCGAGCTTCGCTTCCCAGGACCATTAATCTCACTTGAAGGAATCGTTTTCAAGTACAAGTCAAGTGCAGCTCCCGTGCTGAAAGGAATTGAACTTGTGATGCACAAGGGAGACCGTGTTGGTATCATGGGCCTTAACGGCTCAGGAAAATCAACCCTGATCCGCCTTGTGGCCGGTACCATGGTGCCCAGCCAAGGCAAGGTCTCTACACATTCGCGGTTGAAGATGGGCTACTACGCACAACACTCTATCGAGGAACTTCAATCGCTAGGGCAAGAGGATCCGTCACTAACCCCGCTTGCGCTGCTGGCAAAAGATGTAGCCGGCTCACTTAACGAAGGGCAACTACGGGGGTTGCTATCATCATTGGGTCTCCAGGGAAGAATAGTCTCCGATGTTCCCATCCGCCGACTGTCAGGAGGACAGCTCGTGAGTACTAGAATGACCATGTTGGAAGAACATCATTGCTCATATTAGTCACATAGGTCCGTTTGGCATTGGCCCGAGTTATCTGGAATGCGCCGCACTTACTCGTTCTCGACGAGATAACGACTCATCTCGATTTCCACACAGTAACAGCCCTGGCCTCTGCATTATCGACGTTCAACGGCGCTATCTTGCTGGTCTCGCACGACCGGTTCATGGTCCGGGCAGTGATAGAGGGAAAGCGGGATCTAGACCATAAACTAGACGAGGACTTTGAAGGTGTCGAAGAGGACCCAAGCGAATCGCAGCCACGACGTCGTGTCGTGTACGTCCTAAGGGCTGGCGTTCTAAAGGTCCAAGACGAAGGCGTGGAACAGTTTGAGAAAAGTCTGGTGAAGAGGGTGCAGAAGATGCTGCCTGCACAAGACTAGTTGTGGATTTCTAGAAACTCTGGCCTAGAGCAGAACCATCGACCTTGGCCTCCTTGCACGAAGACTAACCCTCTTAATCTGTCGAGTAACTCCTAGCAATCCACCTGAATGACGCCCATTCGTGATTTGTACGCCCTCACTTAGAAGCTGTCTTCCCGAACAATAAGGGAGCATGTCAAGGCCGGGAAGAGGAGCAGGTAACGCTGAGCTTGCGTGGGCGTTCGGGTACATCATGGCGACAGGGGATGTTCTTGAAGGAACTTTAAAAGCGTGGCGATGCTTTCCGCTTTGCGACACATGTAGCGCTCTCTTCAACCTTAGGCGGAACTCCGCATGCTCGATGATAACATGCCAATGGCTGGCACGACAGGTTCAGCAAGGATCTCCAATCTACTGTTGCTCCAAAAGCTCTCGTTGATCTGGGCTTATTGGAAATTGGGGGCCGTGATGCTCTCTGTCCTTCCCTGTTGGGCGCCATGTGCCGACAATGCATCATGGCTTCGTCTATCACCGAACTATTCATCGTCCTAGATACACGGAGATCAGGGGCACAAAAACAAAGCTCTGGACTATATAAATAGTCAAGACGTGATTGCCACCATATCACCACAGACTTAAGGAATATCCAACTTGAAGCAACACCATGGTTTCGCTTCGCACTCTTCTTCTAACACTTGCCTTGCTGGTAACAGCAGAATGTACTTTCAACTGGACGAGCTGCGATCCAGCTCAGTTCGACTCTTCCACCGTTCCAGTGCCGTTCGAATGCGGAACACTAGATGTGCCCTTTGACTATACCTCCCACAACTCCAGCGAAAAGCTTACGCTTAAGCTTATCAAGGCTCCTGCGCCATTAGGTTCCAAAGGAACCATACTGTTCAACATGGGCGGCCCGGGCGTTTCTAATCGAAATGACTTTTCTACACTTGCACCCATCCTGATCCCGTAAGACTGTCACATCAGTCAATTTTTTATTTATTTATTTATTTATTAAATTTTTTTTTTTTTTTTTTTTTTTTTTTACGGATTGTCATACTAATCTCCTGCGATAGCTTGACCGGTGGTCAATATGACCTAGTAACTTTTGCTTTTGACACCCGCGGAACCGTTGACACCATTCCGTTCAGGTGCCACAAAGACCCTGTTGAGCAGTTCCGCGCGTTCTTCTCCCAAGAGCCTTCCAACTCCTCAGATACTTCGTTGGGGAAACTGTGGACGCGTGGAGCGGCTGATGCTGAGGCCTGTAGTACATATGCAGCCAAGGATGGAGCTGTCTTGACCACAGCTTTTGTGGCAAGGGACTTAATGCGAGTCGTTGACGCTCTGGACGAAGACGGTCTACTCAGGTATTATGGTGAGTTTGTGGGCTAGTCCGACGCAAGAATCGATCTGTTAACGATGTGACACCTATAGGCTTTTCGTATGGCATCACTCTGGGTGCAACAGCAGCTGCCATGTTCCCTGACCGCATCGACAAGATGATCCTCGATGCCGTTCAGAATGTGCATGAGTATTACCATGCACAGGCGTAAGTGTCCCTGGGGTTGCAAGCCCTAAAACCGGTTCTAATTCCATCTACAGTAACTTTGAGGAATGGGAACTGTCCGACCAGCTCTTCTCTGCAATTTTCCACCACTGCGTTGAAGCTGGTCCCGAACTCTGCCCGCTTGCTTCATATAACCAAACAGCTGAGGAACTGGAAGCTGCTGCCTGGGACCTTTTGGAAGCCACCAAGTATCAACCTGCGCCTGTAGGCAAACTTGTGGTGGATTACCCAGCCCTCAAGACGTTATATGCCCAGGGTCTTTACTCCCCGAGGTCCTGGCCTTCTCTGACGGCCGTCGTTGACCACCTGGCCTTTGGTGGTGAAAATGCCGCAATTCCTCTCGACACGATTCTGGCCGGTTTGCCGTCCATCAACACTACTGCTGTAACTCTTCCAAGCCTTATAATCGGCGACATGGCCTTGGCGGGCATCTATTGCGGGGACAACCAGGTCCGCACAAAAAGCTTCGCTGACTTTCTCCCTGCTGTTGAGAAGCTCTACAAGACAAGCTCTGTGATGGGAGACGTCGCAATGGGCTCTTATGCCAGATGTCAGCAATGGAAGATCAAGCCTAAGGAGACCTACACCCGAAGCTTTGACGTGCGAACCAAGAACCCGATTTTGTTTGTTGGAAATACTTTGGACGGACATACCCCTCTCAAGTCTGCTTACAATGTGAGCTCCGGCTTCGAGGGTAGTGTTGTATTAGAGGTCGACGGTTTTGGTCACGGGAGCAGCTCTGTACCATCCGAATGCTCTCTAAAGACTATATCCGCCTACTGGGCCGATGGGACGCTACCTGAGTCGGGCACGCGGTGCGATAGGAGTGTTGAACCATACACTGGGGAATGGTGGCCGAAAGTGTTTACGGACGCTGGTGTGAATGCCAGTTGGATCGCTGAACGAATGCCGGTTGGGCTTGGAAACGAGCCAGCCACTCAATTCCAGAAGGGCATAACATGTGATTCACATAGTGCATATTAGTAATTACTAGAGAATTTTCCGTGCACAAAGAAGGCCCCAGTAGCGATGCTCCATACAGCGCAATATATGGATTATGGGAGCATTTGTCTGACCCCCAGCCAGCGTTTTTATTGCCTGCCAATGACATCACATCACCTTATCGATTAGTAAAGATTACTCCAAGCCAGTCAGGTGACTTGGAGGCGACCTCCGAGTGAGTCCGCGGAGAACAGCGATAAGAGCCCTGGTTTGCTTTTCTCCCATCTTTTCGTGACCAAAAGTCATTCATGAGTTTCTCGCTTGCTTCGAGGAATGCAGGATATTACTGAATTCTGGAAGTCGTCGCGCAGAATCTCTGCTGAGGATGACTGAGCCCATGCTACTCAGGCGGGGTGCTGTTCATGCGACTACGTCTTGGACCAGACTCCCCCGCAACCGCCCCCGAAATCCAGGTCTGGAACGGTTGACTCTCTCGCAAACTCGACATGTTAGTAGTGGCCTGGACTCCATAACGACAAGTCGGGATGCATCGACCATTTCTCCTACATCAAAGTCGCCGTCCCCTCGCTGGGAAGCGCTCAAAACCGCAAAACCCTTTTCCGCGTTCCTGACGGATACCTTCGATCGCCAGCATGACTACCTCAGAATCAGCGTCACCGAGCGCTGTAATCTCCGTTGCTTATACTGCATGCCCGAAGAAGGAGTGCCGCTTTCTCCTCCGTCTCACCTCTTGACCTCGCCCGAAATCGTCTACCTTTCCTCGCTGTTCGTTTCGCAAGGCGTGACCAAGATTCGTCTGACTGGCGGAGAACCAACTGTCAGGAAAGATATCGTTCCTTTGATGCAGTCGATTGGAGAATTGCGGCGCGATGGACTTCGGGAACTGTGCTTGACTACGAACGGAATCTCGCTTCATCGCAAGCTCGAACCTATGGTGGAGGCTGGACTGACTGGGGTGAACCTCAGTCTGGACACGCTTGACCCATTCCAGTTTCAGATCATGACGAGGAGAAAGGGGTTTGAGGCGGTGATGAAAAGCATCGACCGCATACTGGAGTTGAACAAGATGGGAGCAGGGATAAAGTTGAAGATCAACTGCGTCGTTATGCGAGGGCTGAACGAACGGGAGATCATCCCGTTTGTTGAAATGGGACGCGACAACCCCATCGAAGTCCGGTTCATTGAATACATGCCGTTTGACGGCAATAAGTGGAGCCAAGGCAAGATGGTCTCGTACCAAGAGATGCTGGCTCTTATTCGGGAGAAGTACCCAACGCTCGAAAAGGTGACAGGGCACAAGAACGATACCAGCAAGACGTATCGGATTCCTGGGTTTCAAGGACGGGTCGGCTTCATCACCAGCATGACGCACAATTTCTGCGGGACATGCAACCGTCTGCGCATTACCTGTGATGGCAATCTCAAAGTATGCCTCTTCGGAAACGCCGAAGTTTCTCTGCGCGACATTATACGGAAGCAAAACAACCATGAACCCATCGACCAGGCTGTGCTAGAGGAGCTAGGACTCCTCGAGGCGGCACGAGCCGCCGCTCAGCTCCACGACGAAGGTGGACTTGTCAGTCAACGAGAGAAGGAACTTCTCGACGTTATTGGAATGGCCGTGAAACGGAAGAAGGCCAAACACGCCGGCATGGGAGCGCTGGAGAACATGAAAAACCGGCCGATGATTCTTATTGGTGGGTAGGAGCACTCTCCAGCCCTCGATTTATATGACCTTTTTGCGATGAGATTTTACGATATACGAGCTATATACATGCTTGCACATTGTTTGTATATGAGTTTGGGACGGAGGCGTTTGCAGGTTCGCGTGATTCTGTATATACGGCATTTGCATACCATGTTGGTTGGAAATTACTGATAGGCGTGGCTTTAGATAAAACAAGGGAATCCTCAAGAAATACAAGGCACCTTTCCTGGCAGTCACAGTCACCACTGGTTACTAAGGGGCGCCCATGGACAAACATCCCAACTTACATGCTCAGTACTGGAGCTTCAAGCAACCAAGTTCGCTTCTACCGCCGCGAACGTAGCAACACATCTGAGCCCCAGCAACCCAGGAAGCCTACCAGCACCAATGCAGAGCCAACCTCCCTCCCCACAGCCTCAGACCCAGACCTCCCCCACCTCAACCGCTCTCAAAACGTGCACATGACTCTCATCGACGAGAAACCGGTAACCAAGCGCCTCGCCACATCAACATGCATGGTCTACTTTTCCAACCGGCGCCCCTGGGAAATTCTCCGCGAAGGCCGCGGCACGCGCAAGGGTGACGTCTTTAGCATTGCTCGCATCGCCGGTATAACAGCCGCGAAAAAGACGCCTGATATCGTACCGCTTTGTCATCCGGGTCTTGGGCTTACGGGTGTAGAGGTGGACGTCAAGTTGGAAGACCCGACTCCGACAATGGAGAGGGGAGAAGAGACCAAGGAGAAGTCCTCAGCGAGCCTGAAGCATGGGGGAATGCGAGTCACGGCCTCAGTCAGTTGCCTTGGAAGAACCGGGGTGGAGATGGAGGCCATGACTGCGACTATGGGGGCTGCCTTGACGGTTTACGATATGCTGAAGGCGGTTGATAAGGGCATGGTTATCGGGGATCTGAAGCTTTTGGAGAAGATTGGTGGGAAGAGTGGACATTGGGTGAGAGAGGATGTCGTCAGGGATGAGTAAACTTATACCATTAGTAGGATTGTTGATGTACAGTCCCTAAACTTGTGTAGGACCGCGGAAATACGGTAGATCAGTAGGGCTGAGACCCAAGCTTTTGCCATGGCTTGTCCCGCGAATCTAGAATTTGACATTTCCTCGTCCCGTTTCTTTCACCAACCTCGCCGCACAGAGCACAAAGACAGTCAGATCAGGCACTATCTTTTATTCTTACCACTCGCCTTGAACATCTGGACCCTGGTCAAAGGATTTGAACATCGAAACCGCCCTACCAGTGGGGACCGTAGCGGTGTGGAATTGTGGATGCCTACGGTCCGGACCCACGCCGTGTGGAAGCTCCATCAGACGCGTCGATTTTTTCTCAAGACTTTGACGAAACTTTAGGTCACTTTTGCCATCAATCATCATATTACACACAGCCGCAGGTACCTGGCTCTCAGAAAACCATGTTCTTGTTTTGTCTTGTTCCATTCATCTCCTTCAGCGTTCTCCTCGATGACCCGTGAGTTCTCTTCCCTTCCGCATTCGGCCGACCATCTCACTGACATGAAGACATTAGCCCGGCGTTGTCTTCGGCTAACGAGCAGGCGAATCGCAAATCTATTCCCGCCGTTTGATTTTCTTACCTTGCACTATGCATACTTTATCTTTGTGTCTCTGCTCAGCAGTCTCATCTTCTGGGGGGCTTCCAACCCAGCGCGGAGTGTCTCCTACACTGATTCCCTGTTTATGTGCGTGAGTGCTATTACAGGTGCTGGATTGAATAGTGTATGCCGTATTCTTTAATTCTGCCTGAATACCAGTCTGATGATATACAGGTCGAGGCCTCTACCTTGAGCACATTCCAGCAGGCGGTGACATTCGTGCTCTTGTTACTGGGGCACGCCATTCTCATCTCAATCACAGTTCTCCATGTTCGGAGGAGAGCTTTCCGCCGTAAATTCAAAGGTATCGCTAGAACGCTTGCGCAACAGTCTTCTGGGAATATATCAGCTCCTCAGGACGGCACTTTGACTGAGGCGAAGCATGATTTGGAGCACAGCCCAACAATTCGTACTGCTCCTGTGCAAGGATCGAGTCGGTCCGAAATCTCCCTTTTCCAAACAGCCAACGCCACACAGCAGGATAGTAGTTATGGTCAACAATCGACATCACCGAACGCTGCGGTTGACACGCCGTCAGACTTCAAGGGCCACAACGACGTGACCAGAAGCAGCTATCCCTCCGTTAACAAAGCCTATGTACTACCATCAATGGGTATCTGGAAAGGAACACAAAAGTATTTCGAATCCAAGGGACTCATCTCGCGGAACTCTCAGTTCCACGGGTTGACTTTGGAGGAGAGAGACCGACTCCAGGGAGTTGAGTACAAGGCGATTTCCTTTCTGTCGGTAATTGTTCCTCTGTACTGGCTATCTTTTCTTGTTTTTGGCATCGTGGGTATGGGTACCTGGCTATCAGTCAACAAACCAGAAGTCCCTCGGGCAAACGGACTATCACCATTCTGGACAGGAGCCTATTTTGCTGTCTCTGCATTCGTCAACAGTGGTATGGGTATTCTGGATGCAAACATGACGGCCTTGCAGACTGAGTGAGTTTTTTTTGGCATTTTTCTTTCAAGGTTCGCGTCATACTGATTTATTAATCCAGTGCCTATCCTCTTGTCACAATGGGATTGCTGATTCTTGCCGGGAATACTCTTTACCCATGCTTCTTGCGGCTCATAGTCTGGTCCATGAGGAGAATGATACCCGACCATGAGGCGGGGAATACCTGGAGGATTACCTTGGATTTTATCCTCGACCATCCCCGCAGGGTGTGTATACTCAATGATTTTGCGTTCAAAAGCTAACCTAGACTAGGTGTATACGAACCTCTTCCCAGCTGGTCACACCTGGTACCTGCTCCTAACTGTGATCCTTTTCAACGGAATCGATTGGGCAGGATTCGAGGTTCTTGCAATCGGAAACAAAGAAATCGAGTCCTTACCGACAGCCTACCGAATCCTAGATGGCTTGTTCCAGGCACTAGCTGTTCGAGCTGGAGGTTTTTCCGTCGTCACCATTTCCGATCTTCGCCAAGGTCTACTCGTCCTATATGTTCTCATGATGTACGTGTCGCCATTCCCTGTGCTGGTCACGATGAGACACACGAACGTCTATGAAGAACGCTCTCTCGGAATATACGCAGAGGACAGCCCGATTGCCAACGACCCGCAGTCACAGAGCATATTCACCCGCCTCATGAATCAGCACCTATTCGCGCACGAGGGCACCCGCCGCCACTTCATCCGCGAACAACTGCGCGACCAGCTGAGCCACGATCTTTGGTGGATCGCACTCGCAGTGTTCCTCGTCTCCATAATAGAGTCCAATAACTACAACAAGGACCCAGTGGCATTCTCAACCTTCAACATCCTCTTCGAAGTGATATCCGGCTACGGCTGCGTCGGCATCAGCACCGGCTATCCTGGAAGAGACCTCTCGTTTTGTGGAGTCTGGCACCCACTAAGCAAACTCATCCTTGCAGCAGTTGCTCTGCGAGGTCGTCACCGGGGGCTACCTGTTGCTATCGACAAGGCGATCATGTTGCCTAGTGAATCCCAGGTGTGGGCTGAAGAAGAAGATGCTGTACTGAGGCGCGAACAGTCTCACATTCGTCCTACTCCGGATTTCGTGGCTGTCTAAATTTTGAACACTCCGGAGCAATCCTGTCCTCAGAGGATGTAACGATACATGATTAGACTTATGACCTAGATTAATGATATAGATTTGACGCTGTAAAGCTACTCGCGTGCCTATGTACTCGGAAGACTATTAGGGCTCCTAAATTCGTCACCCAAGAATAGCGAGAGGCGTAGTTAGACACCCAGGAATCTCGGGACTGTACCTTCCGGACTTGGAAACCTACACTCCAAATTTCTGTATCTGAGGAAGGTGCGATGGACTAATCCACATTAGTCGCGCCTTCCCATTTCGGTTTCTGTGCTTTTCAAGGAAGGTGCGATTCCTAGAGTGCTCGGGTCGTTCCTGCCTCCTGTGATGCTTCCGTAGTTGCCTTAGAACGTGTCTTTGTCGATTTGATTTTAGGCCCTCGGTGAAAGGGCCCGGGCAAACGCGAAAGGAATCATAGATCACGAATACCAAGCTATAAGAAACCTTTTGTGTTGCAATAGAAACAAGATATCATGAAGTTTAGGTACGGTGCAATTTAATACATAATGACGAGTCTACTCATCATCTTCCTCTTCATCATCTTCCTCGTCCTCATCCTGCTCTTCAGACTCATCCTCAACTTCTTCCTCGCTGTCATCCTCACTCTGATCAAGCTCACTCGCAACATCATCCATTACCACATCACCACCACCTTCTTTCTCTTCCTTTCGCCGTCTCTCCTCCTCCCGTCTGCTCTCCTCGAGGAGAGCAGCCTTCTCCTCTCGCAACTTCCGCTGGACCTTGACGAACGCTCCTAGTGGGGTGCTTTCCCAGTCAACATCCTTGAGGAAGCTCTCGACCTCGACACGATTCCTCGGCGCGTAGGTAACGTTCACTCTGCGCTCCTCAATCCACCGTGCGTTACTCTCGAGCTTTTGCACGAGCAGCAGGATCTGCTGGTTCATCTTGGTGTTCCTGTTCCCGGATGAGCGCGAGGAAACCTGCTTGAGCCAGCGCTTCAGGGCGACGACAACGGGAACAGACAGTTCCGGGAACGCAATGTGTTTCGACCAGAGGACGAAGAACTCGGCCAGGAGCTCGGCAACTTGCTCGAGGACGCCGTCCTGGTAGATGCGGGTGCGGAGATATGATTTCGGCGCGCGGATCGCGGTGTTGAAGTCCAGTGGGCGGAGGGTAGCTGATTTCGGGGGCTTGCGGAGCTCGGAGAGGTTGAGGGGTTCGAGGAGGGAGGAGGCGAGGGGGATGTATGTTCCTGTTCCTCGGGAGAGGCGGAGGAGGGAGCGGGTGAGTTGGAAGCGGAGCGGGAGGTATTGAGCTGTGGGGATGAGGCGCATGGCGCCAATGGTGATCTGGACCACGGGGTAGATGAGGGGCCTGAGGGCAGATTGCTTGCCGGCCTTGGCTTCGGCGAGGCCGTCGCAGTGTTGGGAGAGGACGCGGGACCAGAAGTCCAGGCTGTGCACATATTGCCAGTTGTAGATTGTCTTATAGGAGTCCTTGGAGGAGTTTGTGATGCTGCTTCGGAGGTGCATGGCGAGCTGGCGGATGAAGTTGAAGCCCGTTGTGTAGGAGACGTTTTGATCGATGCCCCAGAGCTCGGCGGCTGAGTTCTTCATGAGGTTGACGCCGGGAAGTGTGTGGACGGTTGTGTTGCGGCTTCCCTTGACAACGCCCTCGTAGGAGGCCTTTAGGACGGTCTCCTTGAGGCCGGCGTCACCGATGACCATGAGACGGCGGAGGAGGAGGAAGCCGACAATTCGGGTGGCTTCAGTGGTTGAGACATCGGCCCAGATGCCAACAATTGTCTTAATGACGACCTTCAGGAGTTTTCTGAACTGCAATAGATAAGGGAGCATGGGTTCAATGGATGAGAGGGTAAGCTTCAACGTCTGCTCGTCGGACAGGTTCTCGAGTAATTTGTGGACCGAAGAGGTGTATGATTTGATGAGCGGCGTTAGAGTCTTGAACTTCTTCGAGTCGAGCGACACCCTGATCTTGCCAGACGCAGACTCCTTGACAGGAAGGTGGTGGCTAAGAACCCGAGGAACGTTTCCGAGCGCTGTGACAAGAACCTGGTGATACACGTTCGAGTCCGAAATTGTATACTTCTGCTCCTGGGCCTCCACTTCGTCGAGTTGCGCGGCAGCGCGGAAGGCAAGGACCGTTTGTCGCATAGCACGAATAGAGTTCTGCTCCTCCATCAACTTCTGCCACTTCTTCACAGTCGCGATGGTGAGATCCGAGGCGGTATCTTCCTCCTCTTTGGCCGCCTTCTTTTTCTTCTTCTTTGGTTGTTCCTCTTCCTCCTCTCCCTCGCTCAGGGCATCAACTTCCGCAAGGTCGCCAAATTCAAGCAGTTCAGCATCATTTTCCTGCATGTATTTGTAGAATTCGGGGTCTTTTTCTTTCAGCGACTCCAGAGCAGCCTTGTGTGATTCGAAGTCATCGCTGGCGTCCGATTCCGCACCGTCTTCGTCTTGGGATTGCCCGTCTTCCTCGCTTGACACCGCAGAGTCTTCCTCATCATCCTCCTGAGCCTCTGAGCGCTTGCGCTTCCCAATCTTTGGGGTGACATCCTTCTTTTGTGCTTTCTTGCTCTTCTTAGCGGTGGGGTCCGCAATCTCGAATCCTCCAGAGAAGAAATCATCGACGTTCATTTCCGCGAAGGCATCCTGCTTCTTAGTCTGCTCCTCCCTATCCTCAGGCGCGTCCTCTCTGTCCGCTCGCGACTTCGCATTATCAGCCTTGCGTTTCTCCTTCATCTGATTTCGCTGCTTAATCTTCGCGGCCGCTTTTCGTCGTTCGAGAACATCCTTAAGATGGTTCTTCTCGAACTTCTTCGTAGATTTTTTCTGGCTTCCGGCCATTGTGGCAGCAATTCCCTACCGAGCGGGTAGGATTGATTGAATCGAGGAAAATTGGCTGCACGGCGATAATGTATGTACTTCCGACCGCCAGGGACCAAGCCGAAGAAAAAAAAAATCTTGGGCGGCGTCCACCGTCGGCGGCAGAAAGCACAAGGTCACGGGTCGCAGGCTGCCACTTGTGTTGACCGCCTTCCGTCCCCGTCCCCTCTCCTTCAGCTCCGCAGTTGACGATGACGAAGTATACCACATACCACACTCCGAGGCGCCATGTATGCTCAACGGCCGCTGGCCTATGCTCCTACTCCTTACAGCTATACACCGAATACCACTCGCTCAGCATCCATCAATCTCGATGAGGTACGATGATACCAAAGCTCCTTGGCGGCGTGGTCAGCTAACCCGCTAAACAGGAAGTGAAACTCTCATCGAGCTCAGCGGAGCGTGACCTGTACGAATCGTTGGCCGAGATTTACAGCATAATAGTCACTTTGGATGGGTTGGAAAAGGCCTACATCAAAGATGTGGTCACGGAGGCGGAGTACACTGAAACATGCACTCGGCTACTGAAACAGTACAAGTCCACCTTGGGTGATGACACTGTCGCGCGGGAGTTCGGTGACTTGGAGACATTCAAGCGAACATGGGGGGTAATGTTGTCTGGCTCGTAGCTCTTCGTGTGGCGTTACTAACTATAGTTCATCAACAGCTCGAATGCCCCCGTGCCACCGAGCGCCTCCGCATCGGACTCCCCGCGACAGTCGAACAAGCATCACACAGCAGCGCAACAGCCAACAAGGCGCCTGGAGCACCAGGTGCTACAGCTGGAGCATCTGGTAGCCTGATTCTGGCAGCTACGGAGAACTTCATCACCTTCCTCGATGCACTGAAATTAAACATGGTCTCGAAAGACGCGCTTCATCCACTGCTTTCGGAAGTCATCCAGTCAGTCAATAAAGTCACGGATATTGATTTTGAGAATCGTGGAAAGATCATACAATGGCTGATCACGCTGAACCAAATGCGTGCGACGGAAGAGCTGGGCGAAGAGCAAGCGAGAGAGCTTGCGTTCGATATCGAGCAGGCGTACCAAGGGTTCAAATCAACATTGGAGTAGAGCACAGTCATTCTTGCAGAGTTTCGGGGAAAGGCGTTGGGGTTCTATACCTTGGGGACGTTGTTCTTTTTTTGTTCTTTGATACTTGGTTCGTTTATCTTATCTCCTGGGCTGTGGCGGGTCCGATCCGCGGAACAGCCTTTCCTCTTTGGGCGATTACGCCTTTTTTTTTTCTGCGTGCCTGAATTCGAGATAGCGGTTCGCCACAGGCACGGCTTGTATAAGAGGATCGCCTCGACCCCGCGCTCCATGCTGTCGAAGAATTACTCCGTGCAAGCCCGTTGACCTCTCCGTTTCCATCATCATGATCTCTGCAGACCCCGATGAGCCGCTCCACGGTTTGACCGCCCATCCACCCCTCTTCGATAGGCATTGTGGGCCAAAGGAACTGATAAGCGTCTTGCAGTGTTGGACCTTCCCCAGATTTACACGAAACCATCCGGAACAGAGCTTCTTCAAACCCTCGATCTCCTCACGATCAAACCGCGAAGCTTTGGCTGCAGTGCTCATGAACCGATCAAAGGCCGGGCAGTCGATCCCACGGGGCTGACTCGGTACTTGACTTCAATCATTGCGAGTCCTCTTACTTGGCTGGATACCGATGAGTTACGAGAGGCTATCTGGGATGCTGCGGCTGCTCGCCTCAGTGAGCGGTCTGGCCGGACTGGTATGGACTATAAAACAGAGCCTTGGCTCTCGGAAACTGACTTGTCCAATTCACAGCAATGCCGGCGATGTCTCGCGTTTTCGGAATTCCCACGTCATGGGGCGAAGAATTTACATTGACCCTCCACGAGCCCTCGTTGACCTCCGACAACCTCGGGATGAAAACTTGGGTTTCCTCCTATCTCCTTTCCCAACGCCTCAATTCGCTGCTTGACTCTACTCCTGAGCTTGTCCCGTCCGAATCAACCACTCCCGTCGCAGACTGCACACTTCGAGCCCTGGAACTAGGTGCTGGTACCGGCCTCGTTGGTCTCTCTTTCGCGGCGCTACGCGGAAAGTCAGCAAAGATCCATCTCACAGACCTTCCTGAAATCGTGCCGAACCTATCCCACAATGTAGCTCTAAATGTAGAGCTGCTCACCAAAACAGCCGCGACAGTCACGACAGGAGTCCTGGATTGGTCCGTCTCGCCAGAAACTCCTCCATCCTCGGAAGAACAATACGACTTGATCCTTGCTGCTGATCCGCTATACTCCCCAAGCCACCCGCAGCTACTTGTGGACACAATCACCGTTTGGCTGAGTCGGGGTCTCGATGCCCGTGTTGTGCTGGAGATGCCTCTGCGGGATGCATACCTGCCACAGGTGCAGGAGCTCCGAGAGCGGATGGGAAAGCTTGGTTTGGCAGTGGTCGAAGATGGTGAAGAGACAGGGTACGACGATTGGGAGACTGCTGACGGAGGCGCAGTCGCAGTGCGATGCTGGTGGTCCGTCTGGGGTTGGAGCGAGAAGTTATAGCCTTTGATGGTTCGCGCCGCGTGGTTTGAGCGATCATACACGATGTCACGAAGATCAACGATAAACGAGTGACCGTAGATCTATAGGGTCGACAGATTTAGAGCTAGACTCGATCAGATAGACAGTTCATAACCCGAGAAAGACACTGGATATATCCACTTTGCTCTTGATAACATCATCCAGTCCATTTAATCTACCTCTCTAGCACAATTGAGCAGACGAAAGATAGGGTATATTGAGGGCCGTGTTGTTGGGGCCTGGAACCTGTCCACGTGCGAACTCCGCTGGTGACCGTATTTGGCCGGGACTGATACCAGGGATACTTCTTGTGGTCTGAGATGCTACTTGCTATTCAAGAGAAGATAGCTAGAGTAGGGATTCTGTTAATGATTAGGAGAGTACTTGGTATAAGACAGAGTAGAGGAGAGTAGTTTAAATATTTACTGGCTGCTTACATAAGCATTCCATCAGCATTAATTTTGGATTCGAAGCAAGATTGAACTCAGACACTCGTTTCCTAACAAATTATATCAAAATAACCCCCCCTCCCCCCCTTTCTCTCTCTCGTATAGCATATCTCGCACTTGAACTTGTTTACTGATAAGCTATACTCTCTCCCCTTCCTCTTTAATACATCTCAGACTTGAGCTCGTCTAGTAACAAATTGTTTACCACTAATTGTCCCCTCATTTCTTCAAAATCTCCATATTTCTCCAAGCGCCGTCTCTACTCTCCTCTGCAGATTGGGCCGCACTTGGGATCAATGCAGCGTGATCGCAATGTCTGTGTCTGAAATCCTTGGGAGCAAGAAATGAAATCATGGGTCATGTTGTGACGGAATGATGTAAGCTCTGGCGGCCGATCGAAGACTGAGACGCAAGAGTTTCTGGGGTGGCAACGCTCGTTATTGGCTGGGAGAGCTGCCGCGACACAGGCTTCTTCATGAAACTTGATATCGCAGCTACACAGGCGGTTGAAGCTATTTGGCGCTGGATTCCTGGTATTGGCCAACAGACGTGAGATTAATTTACATTGCAGCTGAAAGCTGCCTTGTGCTGTCCAAGACGTCTCCCTCACTTTAAATTATTTGCCGCCGTCCCCCACAAGGTGCGCGTTCTCCCAGGAAAAACAGGGAAACTGGAAAAGCAAAAGGAAAAAGAAAGGAAAAGAACTCTTCTTCGTTTCTTCAATACTAATAATCCCCTGGTGTTGTTTGGTTTTTGGGCTCCGAATTCCACTTCTGGACCGAGAAACCACCACAAGTTTTGCCCCGCGTTGATTTGACTCCCACTCCATCTGTCGAATTATTTCCTGCCTTGTCATCCTCAGCTTCAGTGACAACAACCTCATCCTCAATCTTACTGTGCGTCTCCAATATTATAACCTTTTCGGCACTTTCATGCTACAAGGCCGTTGAACTCTGTGAGACGACCTCTTAAAAGGCGTTGGAGAATTTCCTCCGGCCTTTCCGCCTTCCGCCTCCCTGTAATTCTCCTCTTGCGCGACTACGCCGACCATGTCCGCCGAACACGATTTCGCTACGGAGAATCCTCTAATCTCTCCTCGATCTGACGATGGCGAGCAAACACCCGACACTCCTGATAGCGACATTTCCCCGCCGATCAACACACACAAGACTATACCGCTCTTACGACCAACCTCCGATAATACCTCTGGAATCACACCCTCCTCTACACATCTAGGTCAGGTAAACGCGGCACGACATGGCGGCGGAATTACTCCTCGCCCACAGGCGTCAATGAGCAGTGCGAATCAGGATATTTTGGCCAAAATGAAGGCTTTTCAACTTTCGAGACAGGGAGCTCCGCCGCCTAGCTTGAGCCAAGCTGCGTCTACCGGAGCAATCCCAACAGGTGGCTCCCAGCCAAACGTGTCTAGCCCTGGACCGCTGGCGGGTGGTCATTCCCCGTCCGTTGCCAACGGTCCATTAGGCGGCGCACTCGCTGGGCGGCTTCCGCCTTCCCATCGACCGGCCGCGAAGAATTGGGCTTCTGCTCCACATGTCCCCGGTTCCTCTCCCGGGACCGGCTCCCCTAAAGGGCTGGCAGCGAAGCGTATGAAGCCTGGTCTTAAGCTTTCGGATGCCACTGGTGGATCACCTGCGCCATCTGTTGGAGGCCAATCGCCCGCCAGTGGCCCGGTTGGGCCAACCGCCGGCGGAGACACTGCATTCAGCAAGTATTCGGAATATATTGATACGAAATCCGGAACCCTGAAGTTCAAGAACAAAGCTATCCTCCACGGAGGCGGCATCGAGTTCTCTTCAGGCCAGAGTTTCAACATTTCGCTAGACGAAGTTGATCGCCTGGACGAGCTGGGAAAGGGCAATTATGGCACTGTATACAAGGTCCGGCATAGTCGCCCGCATATGCGCAAACCAGGACAGGGCTTGAGTGGGATTGTCAGCCGGCTCACAGAGACGACGGACTCTGATTCTCAGACGGTCAAGGTTCAAGACAACCTGTCTGGTGCTGTCATGGCAATGAAAGAGATTCGACTCGAGTTGGATGAAAACAAGTTTGCGCAAATCATCATGGAATTGGACATCTTACACCGCTGCGTCTCACCGTTCATTATCGATTTCTACGGCGCCTTCTTCCAGGAAGGGGCAGTTTACATTTGTGTCGAGTTCATGGACGGTGGCTCTATCGACAAGCTCTACGCCGACGGCATCCCCGAGAGCATCCTTCGCAAGGTCGCGCTATCCACTGTCATGGGACTCAAGTCGCTCAAAGACGACCACAACATCATTCACAGAGATGTGAAACCTACCAACATCCTTGCGAATTCACGAGGACAGATCAAGATCTGCGATTTTGGAGTAAGCGGCAACTTGGTTGCCAGCATCGCAAAAACCAATATTGGTTGCCAAAGCTATATGGCGCCTGAGCGAATCGCAGGAGGTGGAGTACAGCAATCGGGAGCCGGCGGCGGCGGCACCTACAGTGTTCAAAGCGATATTTGGAGCTTGGGATTGTCCATCATCGAATGTGCCATCGGAAGGTATCCATACCCTCCAGAAACCTTTAACAACATTTTCAGTCAGCTACACGTGGGTATCCTATCCTTTTTTTCACTATTATCGCTGACAATGTTCAGGCCATCGTCCATGGGGATCCTCCGACTCTCCCACCAGAGTACTCTGAAGATGCACACTCATTTGTGAATGCTTGTCTCGACAAGAACCCCAAGAACCGACCCTCATACAGCATGCTTCTCCGACATCCCTGGCTTTCCTCACTTCTGCAACCTCCGTCAGAACCACACAAGGACGGTGATGTACCATCCATGAATCTAGCAGATGGAGCTTCTGGTATGCCACCAGTTACGGATGATCAGGAAGTTGCAGACTGGGTCAATACAAGGTTGGCGAGACGCAGAGAGGGTACATACAAGGATTCAAACAAGCCAGCTCTGCATGCGGTTGCATTGGACGCTGTACCTGGGAGCCCTCTGCTTGACGACCCTCTGCTTTCTTTGCAGTAAGAAGAACAGTCTCCCACATTCGCGCATCATATCAAGAAACATAGCACTATCTATACACATGCGTTCCATCTTCTCTTCCCTCTCTTTTTTCACTCTATACCCTGTTTTACGATCAAACGCTCTTACTTTGAGCCGACATTTGCTGGCGCTGGCGCCATTGAGGCAGAACTCTGGCATTTTAAGCCCATTTCTACCGTGTTTTCCATCCCGACGGTTGCGATACCGAGGTTGACCTTTGTGGCTGACGTGAGCTGGCGTGGTGCTTCTTCCTCTCTAACAACACACTGTATACTGCATGAATGTATCGTATCATCCGAATTCTATAGACCGAACAACTTTTGTGGCATTGTTTTTGATGCATCATCATTTCAGGCCTAGACAAATTTCAATGCTTATCAATCAATACGTGATAGATGCTGAGTAAGAGTGCAGGTCGACGCAGATTTGCCTCCTCTACAAAAGATAAAAGGACAAATTAAAAGGGTTGCGAAAAGGCTATCTTACCAACACGATAGCCTCTTCGGATAATCAGCTGCCTCGTCGGAATTAGTAGTTGTCGTTGTGGATTGAGTCTGTAGAACGAGTCGCCCGGAGCGGCTGATAGCCCGATATCGTCATCTGCAACAGAAGCTCGCATGCGTCCGGCTTCCCCGCCAACTTTTTTCTCCTCCAATCCCTCAGCCAGCCAGCCTGCCCCCTCCCCTCCCCCTCTTTTATTCCTTTGGTGTGCGCAGACAACTCCCTCCATGCTTTCTCGTTCCTACCTTCGGCCACTTACTGCGCAAGCGTCAAAGATTCGGCTTCTCCCTTCGTCTTTTGTCCGCACTCAATCTTCCCAAGCTTTTGGCGGATACGGCATTGCCACAGGTGTCAATCGAAGCATCATCTGCCCTACCCCAAAAGGAGGCGCGCTGGCTTCTACTTCTTCAATTGCCTCGATTCCCACCGGGTCGCGTCTCGCCTCGATTTCACGACACTTTTCGACTACTTCACCCGCTGCGGACTCGAACAACATGGCTCCCGTAGAGACCCGGCAGTATGACTACATCGTTCTAGGTGGTGGAAGTGGTGGTAGTGGTAGCGGACGGAGGGCCGCTGGCTGGTACGGCGCAAAGACATTGATTGTGGAAAGTGGACGCTCTGGCGGTACTTGCGTAAATGTTGGGTATGATCTCCAAAAGTCTTTTGTCGTTGCGGCTGCTAATCAACATGTCTAGTTGTGTTCCCAAGAAGATGACCTGGAACTTTGCCTCCATTACCGAAGCCATCGAGGCCGGTCGTCACTATGGCTATGATCTTCCGCACAATGTCAGTGTCAACTACAACCACTTTAAAAAACTCCGTGACGCTACGGTGGAGCGTCTAAATGGAATCTATGAGCGCAACTGGGGCAAGGAAGGTATCGATCTTGTGCACGGCCGGGCCAAGTTCGTGGAACCCAAGACCATCGAGGTCGCTCTCAACGACGGCACAACCGCCCGCTACACTGCTCCCCACATTCTGATTGCGACCGGTGGCCGACCCAGCATCCCAGATGTCAAGGGCGCTGAGCACGGTATCACAAGCGACGGGTTCTTTGAGATGGAGGACCTCCCGCCCAAGGTGGCCGTTGTCGGTGCTGGATACATTGCCGTTGAGCTGGCTGGTGTTATGGGCACTGTCGGTGTCGAGACACACATGCTCATCCGCGGCGAGACCTTTCTGCGCAAATTCGACCCCATGGTTCAAAAGACCATGACTGAGCGGTACGAGGCTGTTGGTATCCACGTCCACAAGAAGCACCCCGGTATCAAGGAGGTCCAGCTCATTCGTGACGGCAAGGGCAAGGACAAGCTCCTCAAGCTCATCAACAACGACGGATCCGAGTTGGAGGTCAACGAGCTCCTTTGGGCCATTGGCCGTGTCCCCGAAGTCGAGGATCTCAATCTCGACGTGCCCGGTGTGAAGCTCGATGAAAAGGGCCATGTCGTCGTTGATGAGTACCAGAACTCTAGCGTCGACGGCATTTATGCTATTGGCGACGTCACCGGACAAGCTGAACTCACCCCAGGCAAGTCTGATAATACCAAGTGATTTCTTAGCTAACCGCAACAGTCGCCATCGCCGCCGGCCGCCAGCTAAGCAACCGCCTCTTCGGCGGCGAGCAGTTTAAAACCGCCAAGCTCTCCTACGACAACATCCCCACAGTCGTCTTCTCCCACCCCGAAGTCGGTACCATCGGTCTCACAGAGCCCGAGGCCCGCGAGCGCTTCGGCGACGACAACGTCAAGGTCTACCACACCCGCTTTGGAGCCATGTTCTACGACGTCTTCCCCGCCGAGGAGAAGAAGAAGAACCCCACCGAGTTCAAGCTTATAGTTGCTGGCCCCGAGGAAAAGGTTGTTGGGTTGCACATCCTTGGTCTTGGGGTTGGAGAGATGCTGCAGGGCTTTGGTGTTGCGGTGAAGATGGGTGCGACCAAGAAGGACTTTGATAGCTGTGTTGCTATTCACCCGACCAGTGCGGAGGAGCTGGTTACTTTGCGGTAGACTTATAAATGTCTACCTGGATATAGAAACACTCTCAAGAATAGAAATACATGGTGAAAGATCCCGACTTGATTGGTTTTGAAGGGAAAAAGGAAATATACAAAAGAATGTACCAGACATCGGCCTAAAGTGACTCCATGGACACAAAACATGGGCAAAGAAAAAAGGTTGTGTAAACTTTGTGGCAGGAAGCAAGAGCTTCCGCGGCAGTCCTTGTACGGCACCCGTGCTCGTCCAACATCCGGGGTTTGTATACCTCGAATTCGACCTGTAGCCACGGAGTTTGTACTGGGGTGATCCAACGTAGGATTCGGATAGCGACCTTGTTACTCCGCCGCGCTTGTACCCCAGCTCGTGCGACGAAGATCCTTGGTCCCTTTTGTAACTCGTAAGCGCCCTTTGTCAGACCCAGTCGCCTGTGCAATGGTTTGTACGACAGTGTGACGGTAATGTGTGGCTGGCCCGGAGACTGGGAGAGCGTTGCTGTAGCGTATTCTGCGTGGCCATAGTGTAGAACTATTCCATCACTCGTTGTTTCGCATCGGGGCTGTATAGTTGAGTATACGGTTTATGGTGGGCCGGTTAGAAAGGGTGCGGTGAGGGAGCAATTCTCCCGGTCTGCTGGAACTTCAATTTCATGCCCGGCAGATTGTTCCAGAGATATAGTGCGGTGCAGCCGCAATGGCTTAAGAGGCAAGGACAAGGTGCTGCTGTGCTGGCGATTTGTCTGCCTTGTTCAGGGCACCTTTTGCGGCAGGTCACCGCCTCGGGGACCTCGGTTGACGAGGTCCCGCCCATAGCGAATCAGTTGACGCAGACCATGACCGCAAAGGAGATTAAACAGAAGCACAGTGGGATGTAGACCTTGTTGTCTGATGGCTCTGGATCGGAGATTGGCAGGGCAGATACTGCGGCGGAGACTGTGGCGGGGGAGGGAGCGCGCGAGATGCAGGTACTATGTGGGCGAGAAGAGGGTCTGGGTTTCTTGGGGACCATGTTGACAGTAAAGTACTCGGGAGTGGTAGATGCTAGGTCTATCTCGTTATTGGTAAAGGAAAGTGATTTGGACATGATAGTCGATAACAAGGAGAGAAGTTGATGAATGCTAACAGAAAGAAAGCCAGAGTGTTGTTGAGGAAGCAAGAGTAAGGCGGGGAAGATCATTCCACTGTGGCCTGCCTGATCACAAGCTCTGCAAGTTGTCCTGTCCCGCCATTGATTTGTTGAACTCATTAAAAACCATCCAATGGCAGCTGCCAGCCTCGTCACTCCCCCAACAAAGGCCGTTTTAGGTGGAGCTTAGTCATTGAGGCGCTGTTGCCTTCCACGTGAGATTGCACGTGACAAATGTCAAGCACTATCAGTCATCAACAGATTTGACAGACAAGAGGGCCGACGGTTCGAATCATGGAGATACCTTTGCATAATTTCTTTTCCTGCCTCACCCACCTGTCGAGGCTCAGCCCTGGTGGAGGCTGAATCCGCCGTCCAGAGGTCGGCTTCGATTTCTACTTTGGTTTCACGCGGTGAATTCCGTGATGGATCACATGAGGCGCTTGTCTTGCTTTGTCCCAAGAAATAGACTGGCCACCTATTATTTTTAGTATGATTCCTCCACGGTGACAAAGAGATGATTCAGATTTGGAGCAAGAAGACATTGTTTTGTCTCTCCATGATATTTGGGGAACCCCACGAAACAGCGCCGGATTTTATCACTCGAGTTCGTGAAAGAGGCTCGGCAACTTTTCTGGTAAACCACTTTTCTGGAGTAGCGCAGGGCGGCGCAGGCAGCAGACCTGTGCCTGTGACGCTGGTTCTCCCTCCAGTGTCCTTCATCTCTTCCTTATCTGTGGATTCGCCCAATTTTTGACTTTTAATTTGTCCGACTCACTTGGCTGAGACATCAAATCATTCGTGATTGAATTTCTGAATCTGCTCGTGTTCGAGCATGACCGCAGGTTGACATCTGCAGCTGAATGCTGTAAACATGACTTCACCAATCCCAGCAACAGGAAAGATGCGACGAATCTCTAACACGATCAGCAGTAAATCATCTGTCCCTCCCGCGCTGACTGAAATCTGATTGTCGGTTGAACACGCTGTGGGACCGACCGATGGGCCCTCCGAGCAGTTTTTTACCGTGCACGAGCAAATCCATCCCACCACGACCTTGGCTTCCGCTAGAGCAGACTACTTGGCGATAGCCTTCAATTATAGCGCCAATGTGAAACTAGACAGTCTATTGATTGGACAGGGTCCAGAAAGGAAAAGAAAAACACGCTGAAATGTGACCATGGGACAGAGTCAGAGAATGTTGCTGGGCTTTATTGCCACACATCGACCGGTCTTTGTCTGGTGCGACCTTTTATTCTCCGACCCTCGTGGAACTGACTCTTTCTGAGGCTGTCGGCCTTAAGCGACCTGCTCCAGGGACGACGGACGTTTAGCGCTTCCCCGGGTTGGCTCAGGGATCCTCCCGGCGACTGGTTGTTTCCACTCACAAAATCCACTCGCAGACGAACCCTCGCAGGCTCGCCTAACCGCATGGCGTTGCCATGATGTCTTAGACTGGGTCCGGCTCCAGCATGGGTTCCGCCAGATCGTTAGCCAGTCGAGACTCCATCTGACTGATCTTTCCTTCAATCACATTGTCGAATTGCTTGCCTTCGTGACCACTGGCCTCTCAGCGTTCGGGCACAGGCTGGTGCCACTCATTGCCGCCGAGGGAAGTGTCTTTCAATATCCCAAGATCACTCAGGGGCACAGTGACATCGCCTCCAATGAGGTACCGTGGTTGATATGACTCGAGATTGCCCTGGCTGGCGGCCCGAGAATTGCCCTCACAGGTGGTTGGTGTTTTGCATTCAATCTCTGACTCTTTGTTCCTGACGAGGCTTTTTTACCCCGAGTATTAATAGTAGCTGATCCCCAGCGCGGCTGAAAGCTTCTCGGATATAATCACTCCATCTCTCCACTTGTGTTTGCCATAGCAACCTTTTCTTGTCCTTCTCTTTTTTTTGCTTTTGTCTGACTGAAGACCCTCATAGTCTCCGCTCGTTCCTGGGGCAGACTTTCATTTTGATTACACCAGTCAAAAGCTTACCTTTAAGCCCGTCTCATAAATAGACTGGCCCCCCCCCCCTCATTTGGCCTTTTGCTCATATCCACCTTCGCTTGTCAGAGGCCGTTTGCTCAAGCAATCATGTATCTCAAGTACGCCGCTGCACTGGCCTCAGTGCTCCCACTCACTGTTGCTCAGACCTGGACTGACTGCAGTCCACTGGAGAGTATGCACACCTATCCCATCCTTGGTTGTGCTATTGTACCAAAGAAGCTAACGTGTTACACCAGAGACCTGCCCCCCCAACCCAGGTCTGAACAGCAAGACCTGGTCCGCTGATTTCACCCAGGGTGAATCTGCTCTCAAGGACTGGATCAATGTCAGTGGCAAGCTGAACTTCGGTCCTGATGGTGCCGAGTTCACCGTTGCAAAAAAGGGCGACTCTCCTACCATTGAGACCGACTTCTTCTTTTTCTTTGGAAAGGCCGAGGTTGTCCTAAAGGCTGCTCCTGGTGTTGGTATCGTCAGCAGTATCGTTCTGGAATCCGACGTCCTCGATGAAGTCGACTGGGTAAGTGCTATATTTGCTTTTTTTTACTTCTTGTTTATGTGCATTGCATTGTGACAGAGACATTTTGTTCTTATCCGCATATGCATGAAATATCCACGCGACAGCCAAAGCTAACCGCATTCGTGTGGTACAGGAAACTCTTGGAGGCGACACCACTCAAATCCAGAGCAACTACTTTGGAAAGGGTGACACTTCCAGCTATGACCGTGGTGGCTTCCACCCCGTGGCTACTCCCCAGGAGGTCTTCCACACCTACACCATCGAATGGTCCCCCGAGGCGATCAGCTGGATCATCGATGGTGCTATTGTCCGCACTCTGGCCTTTGCTGATGCACAGGGCGGAAGCCGCTTCCCCCAGACCCCCATGCGCCTGAGACTTGGTATCTGGGCCGGTGGTGACCCCGACAACGCTCCTGGAACTATTGAATGGGCTGGTGGTGAGACCGACTACAATGCTGGTCCCTTCACCATGTATGTCAAGTCCGCCTACATTGAAAACACCTACCCCGGATCCAGCTACACCTACACCGACAAGTCTGGCAACTGGGGCAGCATCCAGGTCGACGACTCCAAGCCCCCTGCTCATTCGTCGTCCACCACCAAGACCACCACCTCTACTACCAAGACCACCACCTCGACCCCCAGCACTTCGACCTCCACCGAGACCGAGACCGAGACTGAGACTGAGACTGAGACCTCCACCGAGACCGAGACCTCCACCACCACCTCGACCTCTAGCGAGGAGCCCACCTCAACCTCCAGCTCTGACTCTTCCTCTCCTACCGCCACCGAGACTGGCTCCGAGACCCCTGAGGAGACCGGCTCTCCCACCCCCACCTCCGATGAGTCGGCCCCCGAGCCTGACTTCACCGGCGCGGCCTCGATTCTGTCCACCTCCACCGGCAGCCTCCTCGCTTTCATGGGCATGATCGCTGCCATGCTGCAGCTGTAAATTCAATCTCCGCACATATTTTTTTCCATTGACCATTTTGGAACGCAATGCTTAGAACCTGAAATGCACCCCTTTCTTGTGATTGTTTGATTGATTGGATGTTACACATGAAGCGATTACTATGCCGCAGCCCCATCTTTTGTCATTGGTGGATCTACATACTGTCCTAGGGCTGTTACATATCCCCCGCCCCCTTAATCTTCTTGTTTATCGAATGGCATGCTACATGTATTTGGGGGAGCGAATGTCTGTCCGGTCTGGAATAGTGGCTGTTGACTTACGGAGACGCTGTTACTATGCATCATGACCTTTGGTATTGTGTTATGAATCAGTTGGCCCTTTGCTTTTTGCTAGTTATTTTTCGAGTCTCTCCTTGATGTGAGCAAAACGCTTAGACACTAAGATTAAGATACCGCTAAACTATGACTTGATAAAGAGATAAACAAATTCAATTGCTCGCTCCGTGCTAAATACGCAACTTGTCCACTTCATTCGAAAGAGTTCATACGCCAAATCGAAACCGCCTTGTCAAAACTATAAACGCCGAGACTTGCCCCTGTCCTGGGTATCTTCTATGGATCATCATCATAACCGGCCGAGCGAGTGATTCGCTGTTCAATAGTGGATGGTCTTTTTATTCTGGAGAAACTGTTGCAGCTGCTTTGATAGGTTTCTTGCTGCATCAGCGACGGGGCGGTGATGCGCTGTGGCTTCGCGGAAGATTTGTGATAGTGTGAGCTCTGAGTGATCTGAGGTGTCCTCTGTTTCCACCGAGTCTCGACTCGACGGACGCACGAATGAAAAAAGTTTAACGCTTGGGGGTACAATGGCATCGACAAATGCTAGAAACCGGCGAGATGACCCCTTGGGCTGATCTGCCAGAGGGTCGTGGGGTTGGGTTGTCTCCCGATCCACGATGCTCTCGATCGATTCGAGGTGGTCGTCAAGCGTGGCGAGGTCCGTAGCAAGCGAATCAGCCTTGGAGCGCATGCGCGATGTGAGTTGCTCAATGTACTGCTCGCGACGTATCATCTGGGTGGATAGCCGGGCACCTTGCGCGACGGAGGAGCCGGAATCTGTTGTTGGCTTCACATCGCCTGCCGCAACAAGGCTGTCCACAGCCGATTGGAGGTCGACTTTGAGAGAGTCGAATTTCCATCCCGCGATGCGGATGGCGCGCCAACAGCTCTCGAATTCGAGGTCAAGTTCATGCTTGGTGCCTGGGTGGGCGCGTTTCAATTCTCGCTCAACCGTGCGTAATAGTGACTCTGTCTGTTTCAGAGAGCCGTTGAGCGGGGCAATTTCATGCAGGGTAGTATTGAAGAGGGATTCGAGGCGTGATTGGGAGGTTGTGACCGCTGTATGGGGTTTTGATTGGTGACGCTGGTGGGGGCTGAAGCGCTGTTGATCATAAGCGCTGCAGCTGGACGGGTATAGTGTCAGGATTGGGCCGACGCCGCACAAGATCTGGTACTGTTGTACAAATTCAGGCAGGACGAGTAAGTGTGCAATTGCCGCGATGAGGACGATGTTGATTATGGTTTGGATTGGTGTTTCGAGGAGTCTCAGACGGGTCGGTGTTTGATCCTTGGACGTCGTGGTCGAATGAGCGTCCTGATTTGGTACATCAGCAAAAGTCTCTTTTGCCTTGACCGGCGCGGCAAAAGGCGAAGACTCCAGCGGACTGGTCTGTTCGGACCGCAAGTTTGGCGCAACCCAAGATGCCTCGGAAATGGGTGTCTCATAAATCGAGGGCATAATCAATTCCGGGCCTGATACGGACGAGGTGGACGAGGTAACAGATTCCGATCCATGGTTGCTACCACCTTTACACCGAACTTGTTTCGGAGTCTCAGGCGAGTCTCTGGACGCCACATCTTCTTTTTCGGGTCGGACTGAAGGGACCACCCAGGATTCCCCAAGGACTGATGCGGACATTAGAATTGCGATTTGCCCTCGTTTTAGGATTTCTTTCTGGGCCAGATGCTCTGCAGGACGAGAGAAGAATGTTTGTTATTTGCCCCGCACACAGTAAGGAAAATGAACGCAAAACTGCCAGTCGCTTGGAGAATCAACCGGCGCAATTTGATGGAGTAGGGCAGTTTGAATCAGAAAACACCGGACGAGACAACCTGTTGAATCTTATATACTCTGTCGATCTATTTAGGAGCGAAAAAGCCATGGCGGCGGGGAAGGAAAACATCACGGGAACGCTAATCCCGGTTGGGCCATCACAGAAAAACTCCCAAAACGCAAATCAAACAATGTTGAAGAGCCTCTCATTCTACTCTCAAATCACCATGCGTCGAATATCTCAATCCTTACGGCAGTCGATAACATTCAGGCAACCTATACGCTACCACTACGCGCCGCTCAGAACGCAATGGCTCTCGACGACCTCGGCCCGGCCGTGCTCCTGCTCTGATCAACAACAACCCCCCAAACCGTCCCCAGAAAACCAAGCTGCCTCCTCGGCCGACTATCGCGCATTAGGAACGGAGCAGGACCTCTTCACCACGTCAGTATACAGTCCCGGGTCGCCGCTTTTTCTCCCCAATGGCACGCATATCATCAACAAACTCATTTCCTTCCTCCGCACCCAATACCTTCAATACGGATTCCGCGAAGTCTTGACGCCGACGATATACAAAAAGTCGCTCTGGGAGGTCTCGGGCCATTGGCAGAATTACAAAGATGACATGTACGAGGTCCGTGGACGAGGGGCTACAGGCGAAACGGATGGCGAAGCCGGAGAGGACGAGTCATACGGACTGAAGCCAATGAACTGCCCGGGACACTGTTTACTGTTCAAATCGCAAACCCATTCCTACCGAGAGCTTCCTATACGTTACGCCGACTTTAGTCCCCTGCATCGAAATGAGATATCGGGCGCGTTAAGCGGGCTTACTCGGGTTCGACGATTCCATCAAGACGACGGCCACATCTTCTGCCGGCCGCAACAGATTAAAGGGGAGATCAAATCAGCGCTTGGGTTTGTTGATTTGGTAATGACGACATTTGGTCTGGGGCCGTATCGACTGGTGCTGTCGACAAGACCCGAAACGGATTTCATTGGTGACATGGAGTTGTGGGATAGTGCAGAGGCTCAGTTGCGTGAAGCATTGGACCAAACTGGGAGGGACTGGGCGATCAATCAAGGCGACGGCGCATTCTACGGGCCAAAGATTGACATTCAGCTCCAGGACCAGGCCGGCAAATATCATCAATTATCCACTATCCAGCTGGACATGAACCTTCCCCAACGATTTGGGTTAGAGTATCAGGTTGCAGAGGGAGAAGAAGACTACAATCCGGCCACTCCAGGAAGGGCAACTCCCGTGATGATCCACCGAGCAAATTTTGGCTCACTCGAGCGGTTTCTCGCATTGCTCATTGAGCAGTACGGAGGTCGCTGGCCATTCTGGCTATCACCGCGGCAGGGTATCATCTTGACTGTGAACCAGGATGAGACTGTCGTGAAACAGGCGCATGAAGCAGCAGCAAAAATTTCTGGGTTCAAGGCTCTCGAACAGAACCCGGCCGACCAAGGAATTCCCAAACCTCTATCGTCCGTGCACTCTACCTTCTCGATCGAAGTCGACGCGAGCAGTCAAACGCTGGGCAAGAAGATCCAGCGCGCGAAACAGATGAAATACAACCTCATTTTCATTCTCGGGCCCAAAGACCTTGCCGAATCGCGCATCACAATCGATGTCACTGGGCAGATGCAGAGCCAGGCCGACCGCGATGCCCAGAAGCTACGGGGCGTGCTTGCCGAACAGGTCGGGGAAAAAGCGCTGCAAAATCCGCGCGCAATTCCGATACCGGTCGACTCGGTTCACGATTTACTAGTGCAACTGGAGAAGCACTTTGTATAATATTAATAACTCGGGGTCCTGACTCCTAGGGCCCATGTGCAACAGAAATAGCCATAGAGTGTAAAACAATCAAGAGACCATCGACAATCGGACGCGGGCCGAGAGATCGGAGCACATACGAAAGTATTTGTCAACCACCAACCAAGGATCCCATGAAGCTTCAACAAGCTGCACAGCCAGATCTATTTTTCCCCCCTCAACAAGGACCAAAGACAAGGCCCATCACGGGGACGCTGATTCGCCACTGGTGGCTCAACCTGCTTGAAACAGCCAATCTTCATCAACCGTTGTTCTCGTCATAGAAGCTTTTGGCTGTTGGCCTCTCGTTGCTCTCCACTCTTTCAGTTCCAGGCGTTCCAGGACTCCAGCTGCTCCCCCGCTCCGCAGCGATTATCGCTGAGCCCATCGTGAGGAGGATGGGACTGTCATAATTTGGCTCGCGTGGCAGCCTTTTTTTCTAGAGTTTCTTAGACTCGCGAGTTTTCGGAGAGTAGGCTCTCCGATTATAATTGAGAAGGGAGTCTTGTTCCCCGCGCCCTGCCCCCCTCGCTCCCCTTTTTCCCTTGATTTTCGTCTTCATGGCGACCTCAGCGGCCCTTTCATGGTCAAAGAAGCCAGTTCCTCGGGCATGGCCGACGTGCCAGTGAAGCCCAATCCTTCCCGGAAGAGCGCCTTCTCGTGTGAGGGCTGTCGCAAGCGCAAAGTGGGTTTCCGTGTCCTTTTTTGAATTGTGCTGGCTGTCTGCTCGGATAGATTCCGAAGAGCACTCCGAATGTCGACCTGTGGCTAACCGGCATTTTTTCCTCCTCGCTTAGGTGAAATGCAATGGGGCCAGCCCGTCCTGTTCGCGTTGTGTAGCACGCGGGACTCCATGCGTCTACAGCCTGTGAGTCAACCACTTGAAATCATGCTTTGATTCGCTTATACAATTTTTTCGCCTTTTTACTCCATTCTCGTTGGCCAGCCTTGCAGAACAATGCAATTAATCTTCGGCGCCGGCCGATCCTTGCTATCCGCTTACTGACGCCTCCTCCATTCTAGAGCTCCTACTCTATCCTACACTAAGCAATTAGAGGCGCGGGTGGCAGAGCTAGAAGATGCCCTGGCAAAGCTGCGCAATCAGCAACCCTTGGACACTACGGAGGGGACCCCGTCCTCTGTAGCGTCGACGGAGACTAATGCAAATCACAAGCCCTCGAGTCGCAAAGAGGAGGAACCAGGCCAGGACCTCAATCTAGCACGAGATTTCGAGGGATTGAACGTTGAACATGATGGACGAATATCATTTCACGGACCAACGAGCTTATTTCAACTTCCGAGCGGTGCTCTGAACCCGGCCGCGTCGAGCTCTCAGCTTGCTGTACAAGCAGGAGAGCGCAAAGAAAGGCTTATCAAGAATGCATGGCGGGAGCGAGCAATTGAACAGATGGCTACCATGCCTGTACGTATCAACGATGCTATACCTCCCCCCATCCTGGACTAACACCCCATTGGTTGAAATAGGAGCCGTTCCAATACCTCCTTGATTCACACTGGTGCTGGATTCAGCCACTCTTCAACTTTGTCTACAGGCCTGCATTTACCCGTATGTAACCTGTCATTGCGCTATTTTGCCCGGTATAATTGGACTAATATACTCACGAAGGCGACATGAAATTGAACGGCCCTTACTACTCCGATGCACTGCTCAATGCCATAATATCGCACTCGGTACGGTGGTGCAAGGCTGAGCCTAGAATCAGCGCTATTCTAGAGTCGTATGAAGGTGGCGCCGTATTCTCCCATCGTGCAGTGACAGGCCTTTACGACTCGCTCAAAGATGGATACGTGGGAATTCCAACGATCCAAACATTATTGCTCCTTAGTGCCCGCGAGTGCGGGCAAGGAAACAGGACTCAAGCTTGGCTGTATAGCGGGATGGCGTTTCGAATGCTAGACGACCTGGGAATCACAATCGACAGCCGCAAATACTCGGATTCCGCGCAGCTAAACGACGAAGATATTGAGATTCGGAATCGTCTATTCTGGAGTTGCTATTTTTGGGATAAGATGATGTCTTTATACTTTGGTCGGTCACCGACGCTGCAGAGCTCACAAGGCTGCCCTCCGAGGACGATTCTCGACGACACCTCCGAGCTAGAGCCTTGGTTTCCCCACGGGGTCGTATTCCCAGAGGGTACACATTATCCACCAACCCAGGCCCACTCCACCTCTTGTTTTGTTGAGATGTGCGGCTTGATGGAGATTCTCAACCAAATCCTTATTCACATCTACGACCACCACCGCCAAGTGTCCGAGTCGGAATTTCAAACATGTGTTCGCGAACAGTCTCGCAACCTCGTTGGATGGTGGGATGAACTACCAGAGCACTTGAAGCTCGTCCCAACCGAACTGCCCCCGTACTCTCCGCCCAGTCACATTGTGACCTTAAAGTACGTCAATCTAAACCCAAATCCTTATGCCCTCCGTTAGCTGATCTACTTTTACAGCTGTGTCTACCATACCCTCAACATCCTCATCCATCGACCCATCCTATGCTCGAAATGGAGCCGAGAAGCTTACGACAAGAGCCATCTAGTCCACTGCATAACTTCTGCAACGGCTATCCTTTCCATCTTTGGAATGTATCGTCGCACCTTTGGTGATAATCACGTCGTCCTCTCAGTCGCTTACAGCGTGTACACGGCGGCATCCATCTTCCTCCTCGAGATCCAGGCCCTCAAGTACGCTGCGCCAGGGACGCTTGACAAGCTAAAATTCTGCATCTTTGCATTAGAGCGAGTCAAAGCGTCTAGCCCTGGTACGTTACTCTCTTTACTCTCTCCCTCGACGTGTTTTGGGCAGTTATATTAACTTTTGCTTGACAGTAATAACGACCGCTTTAACCCTCGTATATCAAGAGATTCACCGTCTCCAAGTCGACTATCAGATTGTCTTATCCATACCACAACAATCCACGTCTCAACCATCTCACCCACCATCACCTCCCCGTCACTCACCCGCAGACCCTTCTCAATCCATTTCGCACCATGCACCTACGCACCACAGGGCGCCATCTTCAATGTCGACCGCGGACGTCAATCCAGCTGCCGCGCTATATCCGCTACAACAACCCTTACCGGAACAGGAGTTCGATCCTTATCAACCATCGAGTCTTCCCCAACTAGGCGTGCCGCATCATCCTGGCGGACTTCCCGATGAATTGATGTCGCTCGATAATCCCGCAGCTTATGAGATTACGCCAGAGGTGTTTGAGGCGTTTTCGTACGCAGAGCCAATTACCACGAATATGACGCCTGATGTGTACGGGTGGGTTGGACGGCCGTAGAGATTGGGACAGAAGGTGGGATAATATTGTACATAAATGCATTGAAATGGGTATATAGCGAGTTTGATTAAATCATGTACATATGCGAGTATAAACTTGTATCATGAGAATAAGCGCGGAAAGGATTTATCCATGTTTCTCACGCTCATCCTCAACCTCATCCTGTTTGATACGTGCGCGCCATCGCAAATACCAGGGTCCGTCGAAAAGCTCTCCCATCCGCTCAATAGGGACTCCCTTGGTCTCCGGCATCCAGATACCGAGTACGATCAGGCCAACGAAGCAAACCGCTGCCCAAAAGAGATATGCGCCCCAATCATGCAGCGAGACAAACATGTTTGGCGTCACTCGCACAACAGCAAACTGGAAGAACCAGTGCAGCGACATACTAACTGCATAACTGACGTTTCGGATGCGCGTGGGGAAAATCTCAGTGCCATATAGGTACGGGATGGTGCAGAGGCCGACGGACCAGCCGACGGCGTAGATGAAGATTGAGGCTATGGCAGCGTCGGAAGCGGATTTGTTGACCGATTCATTCGAGTCCGACGGCCGGAAGACACCCATGTAGCTGGCAAGGTAGATGTGTGCTGCTAGTTGGAGGGACAGGCCTAGGAGTGCGCAGCGTCGACGGCCGAGATAGTCAATTAACCCCCATGTAAAAGCCATGGTGAAAACAAGCTTGACAATTCCGTAGGCACCAGAGGATACGAGGGAAGTGGCATTGCCCGTAATGCCGGCGGACTCAAAAATACTAGAGACGTAATATGTTATGCCGTTGCCACCGGTCCATTGCCCGATCGTCTGCATGGCCATAAGGAGCCAGAATCGCTGGCGGTAGTTGGGGTTTGATTGAGTCTCTTTCAGTGCGGTCCAGTTGGAGAGTATAGAGGAAGACGAGGTGTTGCCAGCCTCTTTCTGACGTACTTGCATGGTCAAGACGCTGAATTCGTCTTTGATCTCTGCACAAGTAACGTCCTTTCCACGGAGACGTGCGAGGACAAGTCGGCCTTTGTCTGATTGGTGTTGAGAGATGAGGTAGCGAGGAGTTTCGGGGAGGGAAAATGAGGCGATGAAGGCGACCCCGACAGGTATGAGTGGTATCGATTGTACCAACCGGTATTGCGTTGGTGTTGAGGACATGTGGATGCTGGCGGCGTAGTTGATGAAGAAGCCTGTATTATCAGTATTAGCATTGCCGACGACGGTTTTGGTTGGAAAAAAGCATTAACCTAGAGCCAACACTGCCAACAGGACAACCATGTAGATACTGACAACCAGACCTCTCGTCCGTGCGGGTGCTGGGACCAATATCAGTCAGCCGCGCTCCATCTCAAGCATAGCTTTTACCAACCAATCTCAGACAGATATAGAGGTGTCACAACAGTCAACCCTCCCGCACCAAGCCCGCCCCATATTCGAGCAAAAAGCAACAGCCCATAGATGCCGGAAGCAAACACTTGGATGAATGTGCCAGACGCCCAGACAAGGCAAGCTAACCGCCATGACCGTAACCTTCCCAGACGGTCGTTCAAATCCAGAGAGATCAAAGCTCCTAGGGCCGCTCCCAGAACATTAAAGGATGCTATGTTCGCCCTGCGATTGGCCAATCCGGTCATGTTGTTTGTCCAATTCGAAGATAGGAGGTTGAAATCCGTTTTAAAGGAGTCCAGGCGCATCGAAGCGCTGTATCCGCCCTCATCGTAGCCTGAAGAGACCACATATTAGTATTTCGCAAGGGTTAAAAGGGAAAGAAAGGCACCTTTGGGTATACTCCCGCAGGCGATGGTGAGGACAACAAAGGCGAAAAAGGGATGCGTGGTCCACCGTGACCTGTCCAACACCAAGCGCCTCATGGCGGGATATTGCGACTGAGCGGGGCAGTCCAAAAAAAAAATGGTGTCTCGGACTCTCGGCTAGATTCCGTCTGCCAGGTTTGATTCATGCAGAGGTCCGGCAAGCGATTCGGGGTAATAACAAAGGTGCCTGGCCAGGATGATGGCGTCTGGGAAGAAGATCTCTGGCCACGAAGTCGCTGCTCGGCCAACTTCCGAGCTCACCAACGCTCGGCGTCCGCCTTTTGACCTCTGCGTACCAAGCAGAACTTCATATTAATTGCAATGCAATGAGATGGTTAACATGAAGATAGAGATGCAAAGGTTTCCCCTATATCATCTATACCTGCGTCATCAATTGACAGCTACGTCTTGATTTTAGTTGAGCTTTTGCCTGTCGGCTCCACCCGCATCCACCGATTCCACTCTTAATTTCTCTTCCACCGGCGGCACAAACGCGGTATCAAGGCTTGACTCAGGATGCCGATGCTTAGGAGTCCAAGACCCTGCATTGTGACCATCCATTGGTCCTTTCGTGCGAAGCCTCGGCTTAATCCTGGCCGTCTTTACGCACGGGGGTCCTCCATGGAACCCCAATGGGTTTACTGCTGATAGAGTCGTCTGGGTCCCTTGCGCTGGGTACCAGTCTGCTAGAGTTCTCTTGAAGGCTAGACAAAGACACAAACAGCAGCCATCCGCTGACCATGGCCATCCGACCTTGCTTTTCTACGACGCTGCTCTTTAGGCCGTCGTCTGTCTGGTTGGCCAAGCCTAGACTCAACTTTGGCAGGAGTCCCAGGGGATATCTAAGCGTTCCAACAACAAAAAGCGGAAGAAGCTATGGATCCCTTCGAAGCAAACTCCCTCATAAATCCTGGGACAGTCACATGCACGTCGTGGAGCCACGATATCCAGTCGTTGCAAATGCAGCATACGAACCTACACCTCACACTATTCGCGACGCCATAGAGTTCGAATCATCGCTTGGGATTGAAAACCTTGTTCTCGTTCAGCCTTCTATCTATGGACACGATAATTCGTGTCTTCTCGACGCCCTACGGCACCTTGGTCCTTCTCGCGGGCGAGGGGTGGTGGTGATAGATCCGGCCAATGCGAATATCAAGACATTGAGGGAATGGCATGCCCTTGGAGTACGTGGTGTACGCGTCAACTTCAGATCCTCAGGAAAAGTTCCCTCTCATGATGAGCTCAGACAAATACTAGCTGAACAAGCTCGTGTCATCCGTCCACTAGGATGGATGGTTCAAGTCCACACATCCATGAGCGTGATTCCTCTACTAGAGGAACTAATCCCGCAGCTCGGTGTCAAAGTCTGCATCGATCATTTCGGAGGGCCAGAGTTGCGCAATTTGATGCGGGAGCAAGGAGAAGCTTTTGACCCGTATTCCTTGAGAGAATTCTCGTCCTTGATTTCCTTACTCAAGGCTGGAAGGACATACGTGAAGATCTCCGCCCCGTACCGCCTTAGCAAGGACAAGGGATATCAAGATCTCGAGATGATGATTCGCGAGTTTTTCAAGCAAGCACCTAACCGGGTGCTGTATGCTACAGACTGGCCGCATACAAGGTTCTCTGATATCGACATCAAACCCTTTACGGAGATGTGTCTACGGGCATGTGGCTCGCAGGCTGTAGCTGAGAGGGTATTTCGACTAAACGCGGAGGAACTGATGGACTGCAGCCTCAAAGGCTAGACTTTGCTATTCTCAAATATACCCAAAAAACCCCAACTTGGCAACGGGGCCAACAAAAGCCTTTTCTTGAGCAGAAAACTACCTTTACTCCTCTCCCTCTCCAACCTCGGTCGAACAAATGACACCCTTCCCCTGTATCCAACAGCCATCAGCACACATCTTGGCCATTTCTATGGACAAGACCGAAGAACACTCACAATAGTATAACAACACTTTGGCGCCCCACCCTTTGGGCATGTCCACGTGAAGTCATCATTCGCACGGATATCAACACCTATCGTACACGCACTTGTTAGCAGCAATTCGAAGCATCACACCATGCCCTTCGGGTGACCAAACACGAAAGAAAAATGGGGTTATGTACAATTCACACCCTCCATCGACAGCTTAGAGTCACGCGCGGGGACAAAGCCCTCGCAGCAGAACGGGTACTGCATCATCTTTGAGTCGAGAGCGAGCGGGCAGAAGTAGGGTCTTCCGGCGAGTGTTGGGGTTGTGAGGGTGAGGGATGTTAGGAGGAGGGCTGGGAGTGAAAGACGCATTTTGGCTGTTCTTTCGGTATTGATCTAGAGGTGTTCGGGATAGCTTGAGACAGAGGTTCGTTTTTCTTTGGTGAGGTAGTTGAGTGTAAGGTGCGGCTTGGACACTGGATCTCGTTTACTGAGTGCGCCGGGGGTAATTAAACGAGAGAGAGAGGGAGATGGCGGGTAGATAGGGATGCAGGACGGGATCCTTGACTTCCTGTTCCTTGGTGGCACGGTGCTTGTTGACGGGTGGCTCATCCCTTGCATTCCCAGAGTGTTTGACCGTCACGTCGAGGAAGGCGGGAAATCCACGAATACGCGTCCATCTGTATAAAACAGGATATCTATATGACAACATAGCGGGATACAGTCTAAACCGTAGAACATGTTCTCGACCCAAAGGTATCGGATCCAAGAGTGAACATGCTAAGCCAGTTTCACCTGGGTTGGCTCGGTGAGCTCCCAGCCCGTGGGGATGATCTGTTTCTGTTCCGAGTGGGTCCGTGACCGAGGAGTGTAATGCTCTCCAGACGAACAGGAGAATCAGGGTGGAATTGACCCTTGAGATAAAGGAACCCACGGCGATACTCAATCTCGATATTCACCGTGGCTGTCTGCTCGAGAGAGTCTCCGTCATCGAGGTAAAGGCTGCCGAAGCCCTTTCCATCCAACCCGGGGGCAATGATGAGCTGGAAGCTCTTCTCGCGCAGCACCGTGGTTGTCATCGCTCCCGAGGAACGGACAGGGATGATACTGCCACCGCGAAGGTGGATGGGGATATGGGTAATGTCAATGTCCCTAAGAGTAACTACTCTGCCCTTGCCGTGGAGAGCGACACCCGTGTACCAGTCAAAGAAAACGTCGTTTGGGAAGTAGGCGTCGACAGAGGTGGAGTTTTCTTCGGGGATGGGGCTGATAAAAAGGGCATCGCCATAGAATAATTGGAGCTGGTTCGCAAAGGTGTTTCCATCCTTGGGATAGATATAGAAGAGCGGTTGGAGAAAAGGCTCGCCTATCTAGGACTACTTGTGGAAGGCAGTATAGATGTAGTCAAGCAATCTGTACCGAATCTCAATGGCCTTGGTGGCTGACTCTGTCACCGTACGCCAGAGGTAGTACTCTTGAGCGTTTCCGGTAATCTCATTATGATTGCGGTAAAAGGTGTAAAAGGCTCCATGAGCTGCCCATCGAGCGCACAGCTGCTCAGTAGTATTCCCCGCAAACCCGCAAACATCAGCCCCCGACCATGGGGATCTGGAACATAGAGGCAAAGGCCACAACCTGGGCGATGGAGATACGGTACTGCTCCCACGTACTCACATTGTCACCAAGCCTGCGGGTTATTAGCCTTAAGCTTTTATTTACGCAAAAAGAAAAACCCCAACTTACCAGTGTCCAATATGCGCCCCAGCATAGGTGCTGCGAGTGATGGCTAGGGGTCTAACATTAGGACGGCGTTGCTGCATTGCGTTACGCGATGCCGAGGTCATCACTAATAAATGGTCAGGACAAGCTGTGTGTCACAGATATTTCTCACCTACTGGTCCCGTAAAGATTGTGAGTATCGTACTCAGCGTGGCCTTCGCCCGCGTGGAGAATGTCAGTTTGAATCGTGTTCATACTGAGTGGCCCTGCAGCCGTAGTACACAGGATGGCTACCATAGAGATTCCTATGTGTTGGCACTGTGTGGGCATCGCGATCCCAAAAGGTACGAGTGTAGTTGGCTGTCTCCAGCCGTAGGGAATCCGTGTGCTCTCCGAGGCCGTACAAATTCGACTTGTCCGGTAACCAAGTGCGTAGTCTCAGATACTGAGACTGAAAGACAAGGCCCGAGGCCGATGTGTCGAAAAGCACTTTGTCTCCCCTTGACACTGTAAAAGAAAAAGGCTCTTTTACATAATCAAATTTTAGGGCTGAGTGTTTACGGTGGCCATGGCCGCTGTCGACACGAGGGAGGACGACCTCGGGAACTTGGTACACCTGCTCGTTTGCGTCGTAGATCTTGACGTGGAGACGTTCATCTAAAGCAATATAAGTAAAATGTTTAAATTCCAGGTCATCGCCACCAACACTCACCAGTCTGATACTCCACCAGGAGCCCCAAATCCTCCAGATCTGTACCATAGTGCTGTATAACTTGACATGCACGAAGCCAACGGAGATCCCAACCAATATCTCTTTGATGCATGCATGAGGGATCACGCTTGGAGGTGTACAGCTGGGAGGGAACGGGGCGAGTCATAATAGTACAGTAGCGAGATCGAGATAAACACAGAAGGCTCGAAGTACATATCTGAGTAAGTCCAGGACAGTCATCCCAGCACTCGGGGTCTTGCTCATCGAGATAAGCGGAGAAAGAGCTCAGTGGACAAGCATTGAGTACATGCAGAGCTGGTAGAAGAAACCGTCGCTCATGTTGATGCGGCATCAATTAATCCAAAGATGAATGCTAATTGCAACAGTAATTGGGAACCTTGGGGGACTTGTGAGTCGATCTGACCCCGCCAATTTCACGGCAACATGCACCTGATTGATCAGATATAAAGCAAGCGAGAAACATAACTAAATTTCTAGCAAAGTCTATAATACTATTGCTTCAACATGCACATATCTCTAGCAAAGCCGTCATAAACATTACGATTGTCATCATCACAATGCAAGAGCCACGCCTCCAAACACGACAAGAAAAATCAAAAAAGACCATGATATCACTGACAAGCTATCCTTGAAACGCCCCCGGTGTTGTTCCACAACATATCAACGAGTTTTAGATCTTCTGACCAGCGGAAGCAGCCTCGACGTCTGCAGCTGAGCTCATAATTTGGACCTTGATGGCTCCGGTCTTCGGGTTCGCGGCCGTCTCAAATGCTTTCAGGGCATCTTCCAGAGCATAGCGGTGGGTGACGAGCTTTTTCAAGTCAATAACGCCGTTCTTCACCAGACGAATTGCACGCGGCCAAGTGTTGCAGTACCGGTACTGATACTGCAGATCAATCTCCTGGGTGCTGAGGCGCATAAAAGGAATCTTCATCTCGTTCTTTCCGACACCGATCACAAAGACTTTCCCGCCAAACTTGACGCTCCAGATGGCAGACGCGACACTGCTCTCGACACCTGTGCACTCCAGAGCCAGCCGGGGTCGCAGCGCATCGGGACCATCACCTTTACCATCGTTGAATACGTTGACGATACCCGCGGCAGTCTCCTCCGCAGAAACGCCGATTTCCACCTTGTATGTGCGGACTTCCGGTACAAGCTCCTTTGCGAACTTGAGGCGACCTTCATCAATATCGGTGATGACGAGAGGGGTAGCACCGGCGGCGCGCGCGCTGAGCAGAGTGATAAGACCAATAGGGCCAGCCCCCGTGATCAGACAAGGGTCACCAAGACGAAGACCGCTGCGCTCAATCGCGGCTAGCGAAACACTGAGGGGTTCCAGCAGAGCACCATCTTCGTAGCTCATATCACCGATCTTGTGACACCAAATGGCAGGATGGTTGACATAGCGCCGAAGCAGACCGTCAACAGGTGGAGTTGAGAGGAAAGCGACCCTCTCACAGCCATTGTATCGTCCAGTCAGACAGGGCTCGCATGCATTGCAGATAATGTTGGGTTCAATGGCGACCCGGTCTCCAACCTTGAGCGACGTGACATCCGGGGCGACCGCCAGAACTTGTCCGGCAGACTCGTGACCCAGAATATGGTCTCCCGTGACGATCATGGGACCAATGCATCCTGCATGCCAGAAGTGGACGTCGGATCTGGGTCGGAGAAGGCAATTGTCAGTCCGGCCAATACAGGGAAGACACGATACGACTGATGCAGCCGAATTGATAACTTACCCGCAAATACCGGTGCTACGCACCTCAACGGTGACCTCTCCTGGCCTAAGGCCCTGACCACTTTTTACCTCCTCAACGGTAGGCTTAGATTCGGCAATCCAAAGGTCGTGCTTCGGGTTGGTGAAGACGCCGATATTCTTCTCAAGAACAGTTGTGGTGGCCATGACGTTTGAAGCAACAGTGAAAAGAGGACCGAAAATATGCGAACTAGAAAGGAGAGGAGCAGAGGCAGGTGGGAGAGCAAGAAGTTGGAGCACCGGAGGCCGGGTTCAACCAGCTTTAATAGTTACCCCTCCATGTTGTACGGGCCTTGATTTTTCATTGCGACACCAGTAATGGAGGGGAAATCATGCGGACAGTTCTCCAGAGCGGCGAGCATTATTCAGACACAACAGCATTGGGCCCGCCACAATCCATCATGGATGGCCACTTCTTCCAATTTATCCGGGCTGCTAGTGCGGGGTCCCCTCCACGGCCTTTGAACCCCGTGATTGGCCCTAATCCCGGTTGGATCTTCGCCAGCGGGCGGGATGCAGTGAAGAAGGACGGCGATTGCTCTTGATGGAAGACATTTTGTCCATTATGTTTCACTTCTTCAGGTTCGAAGGGACTAACTATGTATACTGACGTTTGCCTCGTGATCCGACCAGCCGCGGCAGACTGCAGATGGAGGAATTTATCCACGATGACATCTGGGTCGTTGATCAAGTAGGCTCCAATAAGACTGTCGCAGTTGTCAAAAGACGATTATCGGCGTAGAAGATCACTGGAGCAAATTGAATAATAGAAATCCAGGGCAGAGTCTCCAGAGTCCAAGGGAATGGTTCGGATCTAGAAGCATCTCGGTTAATTACGGTCGATAGGTTATTTTAGCCTCACCGTTGACTTTCTTCTTTGGCTCCAGACATAAAACGCACAAAGCCCAGAGCTCTCTATCAGAGGTTCTGACATGTTTCAATGATCAATCTTCGGGGTCTAGCTTCGAGAGCTTTCGCTTTGCTGAGATTGGCAATTCTCCGGTGGCACCTCATCGCAGGTATTACAATTGCCTTCTTTGGTGGAGAATTGCATATCCACCCTCAAACTACGCTCATGTCGACGAGGAGATTCGTGGTCGTTCGCTGCACCTGTTGATAGATAGTGTTTCTTTTTTCTCGATATTTACCGAGCCCTCATTCTCTAATGTTCATTGGTCATCCCAGACCTCGATAGCCTCCCGCGAGTCACTAGCAGCTATACTTCTACGTACCTTATCTTCCTTGGACGGGGGCGAGCGTGTAAATGAACAAAAAAAACTTGCGAACCCTGCTCAAGGAAGATTAACAGATGCCTGAGATTCCATACCAGCATTCATGAACAGGAGCCCTATGGTATTGCAGACTCTATAAAGTGTGTTGGATTGTCTGCCATCAATATCAATGCATTTGCTCTGAGCCTCTGATTCATCGCAATGCGAGACAGTCCCTGGATCGGCGTCAAGCAGCCTATTGCGTGCTTGTAACGGGTCCTAAGGCTTGCTAATGTTAAGCTTATCTTAGCCGGTAATCGCTGGGTTCCGGAGAAGCTATATAAGACAAGCGTCATGTCTCTGGACTGCTAGCCGCCTCGCTAACAGAAAAGGATAAGTGGGTTCATCGTTGTAGCAGAGCCGCATGTATTGGCCCATTGCTCTCCGCGAAGCCGGGCTACAACGTATAAGATCGCTGAGCAGGCCCGCAGATGTTCGAATGTGTGCCCGGCCTATAGGTTCCTCGTAAAACGAGTCTCCAGCTCAAACCCAATCTGCCAATCATCCACAATGACATATATCGGCTGATGTATGACTTAATCAGCGTAAAATGTTTCAATCCCTCGTGGATATAACGTCGGATTTGCCCATCCAGATATAGGAAACGTTCAGGACGGATATGCTTGCTAATACAAGAACGAGTGGTACCGCATCAGTCCACAACAGTCAACTGTAATATGAAAGTACCGCTAGTTGCAATCGAGGAGCTGATGACGTTTCTCACCAGACTCCAAGTTTGTTGAAGAGAGTAGTGCGGGCTACCTTGGTGATTCGAGGTCTTTCGATTCCATGGCCCAAACGGTAGTAACTCGAATTCGGATAGATCAGGACCTTGATCTCGCGCAGTGACCAGTGTCAAGAAGGTGTGGGTTCACGAGACGAGGCACATCAACTTAAAGCCGATTGATGGGCGTGCTGAAGATGAGTTGAGGATTTGCCAGGACCTGCACACGCAGTAGGCTGGAAGTCTTTTGGATCGAAACCGGTTCCATTATTGCAAAGAGCGCGTAAAAATCAATGATAAAATTGCGCGAAGCAACGATTTAGCACTGTGCAGTCTGGAAGCCTGAAGGAGGTTATGGGGAGGAAAGCAAAATGCTTGGTGATGCCGACCGAGTGGTGTTGAAATGGTGTCACGTGATGCGCGGGTGTGGGCGACGAATTTCCCTGAAGTTCCCGAGCCTCAAATCTGATTCTGGTCTTGCAATTGCGCGACGCTTCAGTCTCCGGCTCTTGACCATCCCGCCATTGGACCTCTTTGTCCCTCTCCTGTGACTTAGCAGGCCAACACCTTCCTTTCTTCCCTCTTTTTATACCAGTGGCTCTCAAGATGCCTGCCACGGCGTCCCGTGCCGTGCTGCGGCAATCGCAGTTCCTGACCCGGAGGACCGCAGTCAGATATTCCTCTTCCACCTCCCAGGCCGCCTCCAAGGCGACTGAGACCGCCTCTTCCACTGCCTCGAAGGCTCAAGAGGGTCTCTCTCGTGTCAGCTCTTCTGCTGGCCCTGCCATCTCAAGTGCTGCCCAGGGCCTCGGCAACGCTCTGAAGAAAGTTGGTGGAAGAACCGGAAAAGTTGTCTCCTTCGTTGAATGTGAGTGGTTTCTTGCAATATACCTTGTTCAATCATCAGGCTTGTGTCTTCGCTCTTCCGAGTGGTGATCTTTGTGCTATAGCCCATCTTGTCGCTTCCTGCGATTCCCTGAAGGGGTCAAACATTCCTCGATATGTTTGAGAGAGCATTGCTAATACACCGTTGATCGAACAGCCATGATACCCCCTACTCTTTACTACTCCAAGGTTGGCCTTGAACTCGGCAAGCTGGTGTTCCGTGGACAGAACATGACTCCCCCGTAAGCGCTCATCACTCAACCCAATACTCAACTATCTAAACGTCTACTAATGTAGAACTACGCTATATAGAAGCTCGGCTACTTTCCAATCCTACTTTCAGCCTCTGATCAACGCTGTTCGCAACCCTGCTGCCCTCAAGAACACCGCCGTCTCCCCACAAAATATCCTTGCCCGCGTCCGCAATGCCAACAAGAAGGAGATCGCTCTGGCCGGTGTCACCGCCGCGGAGGTTATCGGTTTTTTCACAGTCGGCGAGATCATTGGTCGAATGAACATTGTCGGCTACAGGGGACACGTTGACCACGGACACCACTAGATCATTCGCACGCAAATATAACTGGCCTGTCTTTATTTCTGCTATATCTTTCCTTTGTTCACTGTACCATGTATGATAGACGATGGAATTAAACTGTTGTCTGGGGTGAATTCGATACTATAATCTTCTTTGCCTCTTGGACATGTCCTGTTTGGTCCGTAAGACTTGATAATGCAGCGAGTTTCCGAAGCGCTCGAGGTGTGAAAGACGTCGTATTAGAATTCGCTCACAAAGTATGCCAGCAGATAGTATTGGACTCACGATGGTAGCGTATCGTGGGCAGTCATGTTGCTAGTGCTGTAGGGCCAGTCCCATTGCGTCTTGAACTTGTAGCTTCTACCTAGGTATGCAGTGGTATAGGTGGATTGCAGAGAACCGATTTCCTGGGGATCTGATTGGTCCGTGCGGGGAAGAATTCTGCGGAAGCTTTCTTTTTTTTTCAACAAGCCCGCAGCACCTGTTGACTTCTTATCATCATTCAACTTCTTATTCAGCTAGTGTGCTTTTCAGGCATAGAATAGGACGTCTATGCGTGAAGATGGACGCTTTCAAGCTGTTGACACGATCAACAAAGTTCAAGTCCCCTGGCGCACAATCAACCGCATCAACCCGGCTCCCGTCCACAGGCAAAGCAGAGAACCCACAACTATTCCGGTCTTCCGCCGCAGATGGGCTCTTGGAAAAGAGCGGGAATGGAAAGAAGAGGAAGCGCGGTTATGGTGCCGAGGAAGCTCACCATATCGACGAAGATGCATTGAATCTAGACTTCTTCAGCCAGAATAAAAGCTCTGCGCCTCGGGGTTTAGATGCGACGGCCGAGAAGGGACAGGATCGTGAGGATGCTTCTGGTTCTGATGACGACGAGTCCATGGATGAAGTCCAATGTCGGACGGTTTTGAACGCGCATAAGATCAAGGTCACGGATATGCGTGATATTGAAGATGTCAGTCCGGTCCAGGTTCAAGCTGAGGAGCCGAAGAAGAAAAAGAAGAAGCGGAAACAGCAGGAAGAGAAGCAGCAACCTCAGACGCTCACCAAGAAAGAGCTAAAGAAAGCTCGGCGGCTGTATCCGCAACCGCTCGTTTCGTTCAAGGAGCTGCGAACAAAATACAAGATCTCGAGACGCCTCGCCGACAACGTCGCCGAGCAAGGTTTTACTGTTCCTACGGAGGTGCAGCTGGGGAGTTTGCCTTTGCTACTCGGGAATAAGTCCGGCTCTGAGAAATCAAAGGCTGCTACTACCGAGCCAGATCTTTTAGTGGTTGCACCTACGGGGAGTGGGAAGACGCTTTCATTCATGATCCCAGTGATCAACAAGATTGTTCGACACCACCATGAGCAACCAGAGGAGCGTGGGATCTTCTCTGTTGTGGTCGCACCAACCAAAGAACTTGCCAGTCAGATTGCCAACGAGGGAAGGAAACTTGCACTTGGAACAGGTGTCAAGATCACCCTTATGAAGAAAGGAATGCGGGTTGTGAAGCGAGATGACGAGGATCAAGGCGATATTCTCAACGAAAGCAGTGCGGAATCGTCCGAATCGGAGAGTGACGAGAAACCAGCCGGCAAGCCAAAGGCAGCAATTCCCGTCACAAAAAGCGATATCCTTGTCTCGACGCCATTGCTTCTGGTCAACGCTCTCTCCGCAAATAAGACTAAACCTCTTGGGACCCTACCGCTAGTGCGCAACTTGATCCTAGATGAGGCAGATGTCCTCCTTGATCCTCTGTTCCGTGACCAAACGCTTGATATCTGGCGCTCTTGCACACATCCCGAACTTCGTGCCAGCCTGTGGTCAGCCACCATGGGCTCTAGTATCGAGGACATGGCCAAATCAACCATCAAAGAGCGCAAGCTCACTCTACCAGAAACACAATCCTACCCTCTGATCCGACTTGTCGTTGGACTAAAAGATTCCGCTATCCCCAACATTAAACACAAACTTGTCTATGCCGCGACCGAGCAAGGAAAGCTCCTTGGTCTCAGACAGCTTCTACATCCTACAGCAGCGACATCCTCAGATGTCCGTCTCCGCCCGCCGTTCCTCGTTTTCACGCAGACAATCCCCAGAGCCGTAGCGCTTCATTCTGAGTTGCTGTATGATATCCCTCCTGAGGCCGGCGGTTCGTCGAGAATAGCCGTCCTGCATTCCGATTTATCAGATACCCAACGATCAGAAATCATGAAAGGCTTCCGCAAAGGAGAGATTTGGATTCTCGTTACCACCGATTTACTCGCGCGTGGTGTCGATTTCCGAGGTATCAATGGAGTTGTCAACTACGACATACCCAACTCAGCGGCAGTATACGTCCACAGAGTAGGACGAACTGGGAGAGCGGGTCGCGAGGGCGGCGTTGCAGTCACATACTACACGAAAGAGGACATTCCCTATGTGAAAAGCATCGCGAATATCATCGACGCGAGCGAGAAGCTACGAGGAGAGTCTGGCGAGCGGTCGGTGCAAAAATGGCTCCTGGATGCGCTGCCTGACCTCAGCAAGAAGAATAAGAAGGAGTTGAAAAAGCACGGTGTCAAAGCCCGGCAAACAAACACCAAGGGCGGCGAAGACAAGGACCAGCGCAGAACGAGAATCAGCACAAAGAGCGGGTTCGAGCGACGACAGGAGAACAGGAAGAAGGGTGCTATCGCAGCAAGCCGCAATAGATCCCAGCACCCATCCCAGAAGTCGGACAGTGAAAGCGACGGTGATGATGGCTGGGGCGGCATCGACGATTAGATCTTCCCCTTCATACGGCCTTGCAGATTCTGTATAATACTTTTTCAAGATTCCCCAGACCAGCAAATTCCATGCATTACTTCTATGAACCCCCTTCTCTTTTCTCACCATCACCACCGCCTTGCGCCTGCGCCTGCGGCGGAGCCCGTTCTATCTCAACCAAAGACCTCTTCAACTGTATAGGCACGACAACCGCCTTCCTTCTCCTCGCCGCCTTCATAGCCCATCGTAACTCATCGCGGTCCCTATCAAAGTAAACCGCCCAACTCCCATCCTCCTCCTTCACCGCATAAAACCCTCTAGACGGCCGCTCTAGGGTAATTGTCGTCTCATCCTCTTTCCAATCCCACGGCCCCGGTATATGCTCGCAACTCTGCGTCCGATTCCCGTACTTTAGCTCGTGGGTCTCCTTATCCGCGTATATCCAATTCAGCATCGGTGGATTATCCTGTATCGTCGTGACGAGGCCTAACCCGCGCTTTAGGTCTTTCATGTGGTCTGGCTCAGGGTAATCGATGTAAAACGCTTGTCCGGCGTGCGCTTCGGCTTTGCGCTTTGCGGGGGAGGGGTCATCGATGTATACCTGAACGAACAAAACCCAGTGATCAGTGTCTGCATTGTCTCAATCTTGTTCGAAGCATATACGTACCTTGTTATCTCTCAATACAACTCTCTTCCCATGCAGCTCCTCGTCCTCGAAACATTCCACATCTGTATAGAACTTTGCCATGCGCTTCTCGTCATCTTCTTTCTTGTTCTGTTTTCGTTGTTCGCTGCATCCGAGGGCTATGCCAGTGACGGTGGGAATGGCAGTTATGGCCAGCAGGCCGATCACCATTTTGATGCTTTGTGTGAATGTTTTGGTGGTCGTGGGTGTAGTTTCTCGAGATATATAGGCAGCGCGTTTAGGTAGTGGGCCGATTAACTGATGTTTGAAGAGCCGAAGAAGAATGTTTATTGAAGAAAGCTGAATAGGATAATGTAAATGTGGATTACTTGGCTCATTATATACAGCAAAAACGGAAAAAAAAAAAAGAACAGGTCATTTTGGAGCTTTAAAGATCGAGATCGCATTGCAGGCGATCTGACCACCACGAGGGGTATGTCGTCATAGCCAGGAGTGCCGGTCCGTCTGGTGTGGGCAGTACCAGCAAGAGTACTCCGTACCTGCCAGCCAGCCAGCGCCAAAGTACACTGCCAAAGCCAAAGCACTCGTCGCAACTTTTCCCCGCTTTAACGAAATGGACCTTCTGGCGGACCGCTTGGTGTATCGTGGGGAATTGGTATGCCGGTACATCGATTGCGAACAATGCTTCAACGAGGCATACAAGTTGTATGAACACTACCGAAACGAACACGGATGGGCCGGCGGTTTCTCGGTCTCCCCGAGGGCATCTAGCTGAAATTTGACACGGCACGAGTGTGAGAAGAAGTAAACCAGAGAAGAAATCACCAATCATAACTGCGTACCCGAGAAAGTACCAGTAGCAGATCAACCGAACAAAACATGCCTTCAAGTCAACCTGGGACCGGCTAATAGATATAATCATTAGGAACGCCCTTTGGCACCTTATCCTCGAGTTCAGCAAACCTCTTGCGAATAGTATCACCAGCTTCCTGCTTGACAAAGCGACCTCCCGCAACGATGAAGCGTTTACACGCTGCCCGCTCACTCTTGTAAAATACACATGCGCTATATCGCGGGTATTCCCAAAGGCAGCAAAATCATTGTCGGGGACTTTTATAAGTGATTCGTTGATGAGGTTCTAAATCGTCTCCGTCGACTCGTTGACATTATGTACCATCGTGTTGTGCAGCAAGCTTCTGTCGAATCGGACACTCTTAGTGGGAAATCTGGAACACCTTGCTGGTGGTTTCATGACAAGCAGTTATCCTTCTTGCGGAGTTTGATGTAATCTGGGGTGACGCTCAGGGACGTATGGCTACATTCTCCACATAATTCCACGGTTAGTGTCCATATTGGAAACAAAGCGTTCGAGTATAGGGCCAACATTAAACAAGCCTTGGTACAGTTGTCTCTTGCGCATTGTTAAAGGAGATGCTGGTGGAGATCGTGCAGGATTAATGTGGGTGATGCCTGCTCTGGTCTTAAGACGGCGCCACATACTGATTGCCTTAACCACAAGCTGTCAATAGGTTTAATAGTGGCGGCGCTGCCACTTTTAGATTTATTAATGCCTTAAAGCCTGGCGAGCGGGAACTAAAATTTAGTATGGCTTGGAGGATACATAGCAAGGGAACATTGTTATTAAACTCTTAGCGAAGGCATACTATGTTTATTATTTAACCCTACCAAATCTCTTAGGACTCACCCATTGTCTACAACTAGACCTTGTCTACTATTAATGTGTATGGTCTACTCATCACACTACTATGATTATAAGCTATTATATCACAATTCGCTAGGACATGATTAGCTAGCTCATCCTTGCTTATGACTAGCGCCAACTTGCAAAGATATTTAATGCGTAGATGTGGTGTCTAATAGCTATATAGGTATATTTATAAATAATACCCCTGGCCCTTTGTTATTTTGTCTCTATTGCAAACTAGTGTCTATTTAACATGTCCATACCACTTAATCAACTCGAAGACCTCCTTGATTGGTTTAGTCTGAATTTAAAAGTTGACTGCTAATAAACCCCGCAAGATGCGATTCTGAGACGTCCAAGAATTGGACGCAAAACTGTAGCAGATGGCATTGGAAATCCGCGAAGCTGATCCCGTCCCTTGGGGAATGCTCGTGATGGTGGACGGTATGCAGGAGAAGCTAGCATACGAGCTTCGGTACAGGCCTCCACCGGCTGATGACGAAGAGGAAGAGGAGGAAGAGGAAGAGGAGGAAGAGGAAGATGAGCCAACCAAAGAGGATAGGCTTCCTCCAAGTCTTGTTTCTTTAGAATAGGTAAGTTGTTTCTCCTTTACTCAGTAATATCATGGTTCACCTAAAGGTCCGCTGCTAAGTCTTTTATCTTTGATTTTTCTTCCCTAACACAATTCTATAATCTTTGCCTCTCATCCTGTTTTCACCCTTTCCCATTAATTCGCCCGACAATGTCGAGTAATTGGAGGGGAATTTTCTGGGAACTTTTAGGATCAACTTTTCCAAAACAAATAAGTATAGTATAATTGCTAGGTTAGTAGACTTGATCGGCGGCGCGAATTACATATTCCTACACTAGAGGGAGAAGAAGTTGAACGACACCATGTCTAAGCTTTGGATAGATAATCCTTGGCCATGGAGAATTCTTGCTGATAATAAAGTTGATATTAATATCTAGTTATTACGCCTACATCGAGATATTCTCGTAGAGAAAGGGAAGCAGGGATAGGTAAAATAAGACTGGGTTTGAGAAGTCATCAACGAGTATCTTTTTGGCTAATCAATACTTGATGGTCAAGTTTTGCAATCGCCGACTTTTGAACCAGAGAGCGCTTCATCTAATATGCTACCTGAGTTGTATTTCACCAGCGGGATTATTAGATACAAAAGAGATGCTGTGGTTTTATTCCTATAGAGCACCGACATATCGCGTTTCCGACTGTTCGAGTGTCCCGCGGAATCAAATCAAACAAACCATTTATCAAGCTCTAGTTTATCTCAGTCTCGGTCACAGGTCACTCATCCTGGGAGAAGTGACACCACAACCTCCTATCAGGCGCATCGTGGCTTTTATTACGAGGACGGTCAACTGTAATGCTATGCTCCCCAGATAAGTATGTCTTTGTTGTCCTTGACGTCGATAGGCAGAAGGAGTGGTGAACTATAGGGGTAGGATATCATAGAGTTAGCCTAAATTCGCTTAACCAGAAAGAGACATTCTACCTTAATGTTTAGCCCGGTGATGGGCGGGATCCAGAAGCTCTCGGGGCGGGTGAAGATGGGGGTTCGACATTTCGTGTTGAACGTGTAGGGACCAAGGATCCATAAAAGAATCCAGTAATTGACTTTTAGTTCTTCATATTCTGCGTGCTGGGCATGGACTGTTTTTTGAGCGGAGTCGCCGCGCCCAGTGGGGAGATTGCGAACATGGTGAAAGGCCAAAAGGGCACACCCTTTAGATGTGCGCGGGGGACTCTAGTGGATGGAGCCGCAATAGGGTGCATTCTCGTTTTCGCGGGTTGTACGGAGTAGTAAACTATCGAGGCTGCGGCGCAGCCGTTGAGTTAGCATTCATTCAACAATAACAGGCGGTCGCCGAGCGATCGCCAGTCGTCCATCAGTGGCTGTGCAAGGGTTTGCTGCAGCCCCTCGATCATTTGACATCGGACCCGACGATCGTGACATATTATTCAGGTGTGGGTTGCGTGGACGGCTAGTACTAGCTCAAACAATCGGCAAAGTCGATCTGTGGCGAGTTGAGCCCAAAGATGGGCTCTGACGCGGCCAACACGATACGTACTCACTTTCTTGATTTCAGCCACAGAGCCTCATTGTATTGGCAGGGATGTCTGTTTCAGCCATTCTTGTTGCAAGCGGGCTGAACACACAGCCACAAAGCACCAGAGCTTTTGGGAAGGACAGAATGCGCGGAGCAACCAATAGTTACGATTCAACCTTGTGGCGTTGGGCCGAGTTATTCGCCAAGTCTTTTCAAGTTCGGAGAGTCTAGACTGAGATGAAGCTGCCAACCTTGAAAGTGTATCGGTATGTCCTTTTACTGGTACTCGGGTCGGCTTTATACACGGACAGAAACCTTACCAAGCAGACAAAACCTCAATACGGCCAACTGTTCAAACATCATGTCCTTTCCGAGTTCGTTGTTTAGTGGCGTTTGGGAAACCAAAGGTTGCTCGAGATTTCTTGGCGTCAGACTAGCCTAGTTGCGCGCGCCCTATCAGCGGCTCTGCTCCGAGCATGAAATCATGGCTGGCCTGGGCTTGGATGCAATGATGCTCAACGCTGTCATGCTGGTTGCCAGCAGATGCCAGGCACTTCTCACAGAGGACCCTCATCTCCCCTTTCGCAATGGCATCGCATTTGAAAAACAACTGCTAAACGACAAACCCATCTCATTCATTGATCCAGGTTTTCTTTGAGCGCCAGCCCACTGTTCCCTCACCCGTGGTAGGTTCCACTTTCCCATCTCCAACTTGATCGCGCTCACCCTTTCCCTGGGTGGCAGTCTTATCCTCCGTCATCTCAACTTCTCCTTCTCCCACCGTCGTTCTGACTTGCCATCTTGCAACAGTTCCAGCTCCCGCCGTCGATGGCCTTTTTTACAGCGCCCCGATCTTTTCAAAGCACCCAGTTTCTGGCAGCGCGCCAGTTCGTCACTCAATCTGCAGAGGGCTTGAGCCCTGGCATACTGCAAAATGTCCCCAATTCCCACAACAGCCATCCTCCCTTCCTGCAACTGGTGCTTCTCGTCTTTGAAGCAGTTCTCGAGGTAGTCTGTGTCAGCCTTCCTGGATACATCGCTGCCAGGGTGGGCATGTTCGATGCCGATGCGCAGAAATTTGTCGCCAATCTCAACGTCACTCTGTTTACTCCATGCCTGAGTAAGTCGCACACCCATCGCCTCGAGAAACCTTTTTTTGACATCTCTGTACAGTCTTCATCAAGCTGGGATCCCAACTGACAGCGGAAAAACTCACCGATCTTGCCATCATTCCTGCCATTTTTATTGTTCAGACAGCAGTTTCTTATTTCTGTGCTTTTGTGGTTTCACGATGCTTCCGATTCCAAAAGCGACCGGCCAATTTCGTCGCGGCCATGGCTGTAAGTTACCAAGTGGCGCATGCTCTGATAGCTTGCTAACGTGCTCTCCACTTTAAGGTCTTTGGTAACTCGAATTCACTTCCCATCTCGCTTGTTGTATCTCTTTCGCAAACCCTGCGCGGCCTTCACTGGGACCGGATTCCAAACGACAATGATGACGAAGTTGCAGCGCGTGGAATACTCTACTTGCTGATTTTCCAGCAGTTGGGCCAGCTTGTTCGTTGGAGTTGGGGATACCGCGTCCTTCTCGCACCGCGAGAGCAATACCTGGAGGAAGGTACGAATGAAGAAGAAGGAGTCTCTCGGATTGCACAAGGCCAGGAACGGTATACTGATAACCCGGGGCAAGTGGATCCGGATGAGCCTTTGATAAGAACAAGGAGCTCCTCTGATGGCTCCATTGAGCGCCCGAATCTTTCACACGATGGCTCCGAAGATTTTCACTCTGGGGAGGCGACGCCCGTCAACACGCGCACCTACTCGTACGCAAAATTGCCGCACCCCGAACATGAGCCAGACCTGGACCAATCGCCTCTACTTGGACCGCCGCCTAGTGGACCTTTTCTTCCTCGTCAAGACTCTAGAGGCGATATCCTACGCTTCCCGAATGTGGAGATTAACCACCAGCCGGACTCGTCGGAAAAAGGGCCCGTGGCACGGTTAAAGGCAGCAGTTGGTCGTCTCCGTACCCGGGTTGCCAATGGTTGTGTACAAGGGACGAATGCTGTGTACGACCGACTCCCACCAGCTGTGCAAAGGATGCTGTCAGCAAGCTCAAACCTGTGTACAAGGTTCTTTGGCGGCCTTTGGGATTTTATGAATCCTCCCCTTTGGGCAATGTTGGTGGCCATCATCGTTGCTTCTGTACCGTCATTGCAGCATCTGTTCTTCGATGAAGGCACCTTTGTCCAGAATTCTGTGACCCGTGCGATCAATCAGAATGGCCAGGTCGCTGTCCCATTGATTCTTGTGGTTCTCGGCGCAAACCTCGAACGCAATACGATACCTCAAGAGGCGCTTGAGGATATGGAGGATGCTGGAGAAGAGAAGAAGTTGATCATTGCGTCCTTGGTGGCCCGTATGTTTTTGCCAACTGTGATCATGGCACCACTTCTTGCCTTGCTCGCCAAATACGTTCCGGTCAGCATCGTTGACGATCCGATCTTCATCATCGTCTGCTTCTTGCTCACAGGAGCTCCTTCGGCTTTGCAATTGGCACAAATTTGCCAAATCAATAATGTTTACGTGGGAGCCATGTCGAAGCTGTTGTTCCAGAGCTATGTTGTCTGGTAAGTTGGATTTTTGTGACCAAGACAAGTTGCTGATTATCCATAGGATCCTTCCGTCGACCCTCATTCTTGTTATGTGCGCCCTCGAGGTCGTTGAATGGGCTGCTTAAGTATTCACATGCTGATTCTCGATGTATTATTGTTAACTGTCATCGTTATTGTAGTGGCGTTTGGTACTCTATGAAATGGTTGGGAAGTCGTTACGGATTACGGGTTAACTTTTAAATGTGTACTAGTATTGAGATTCACATCTTCAACAATGGATAAATAAGGATATACCAATGGTCCGGAGCAAAAATATCTTGGGAAAGCTAAAAACACGACTCCGGCGCGACTCGAACACGCGACCTCTGGTGCCGGAAACCAACAGTCTACCACTGACCTACGGAGCCAATTTTGAACAATTTTCTGTAACTTTTAGTCCTATGGGACAGCCAGCAAGTACGATTTAGATGTCTGAGTGAGATCTTTCACCCCTACATTTCCAGCTCGCTTCTCAACTGAACAGAAGGGGTTCTCCATAGAACAGTCTCTGCATGTATTGATATAGGTCCAACGTTAGCGGATCTCCAACTCTGGCTGTCCTACTAATGCTTATCCTGCCAGGTGCCCTGGCTGGTGATGCGGTGCCTCAGGCCAAATCACGCCATCAGCTGCCCCTCTTTTTCAGTCCAAGCTCCAGCCGCCGAGATACTCGCCCTTGAGATTTCTAGATCTAAACCTTCAAACCTCAACAAAGACAACCATTGTCTTGCCAAGATGACACAAAACGCCCTCCCTATTGGCGACCCTGATTCCCTCTGCAACATGAACCGAACCGTGAAGCGTACCAGCATCCCCTCCCCTTGCAACTATACTCGGCGTGCTGTTGAAGCGGACCACAAGAGACATCCGACCACCCACGATACTGGTAGAGAATTGCGGGGAAACGACGAAGATGGATGGATACTCATAGTAACCCCAGCTAATCAACTCTCGCGAATGTGTTCTAAGCTTCAGGGTAGCTCCAACTATCTGATCTCGCCACAATATTGCCCCATGCGACTCTCGAGCATGTCTCCTCTCCAACTGAGACTGTACCTGCTTCTGTGATCGGTTCCAGACCAGTGGAATTTCTCCAACAACCCAATAAGCTTTTCTCCAAGCGGAGAGCCTATCATTGCGTGTTTCGGCTGCTCGCGTGAGCAAAGATAGGAGCCTGGTGATCCATGTACACCGGAAATCCCAAGGCTAGGCTCTCTTCGTCTCCCTCATCCCAATGCGACAGGAGATGCTTGCGATATGACAGGACTTCTTATCGCCACCACACGCATGTTTCCCCCAGGCCGAGCAAATGGCAATCTTACGACTAGAAGCTGGCTTCTACTACAACCATTGGGTTACGTACAATGTTGCATGTGCCAATATGAAGCCCTTTTATCCCACGCTCGGGCAAAGACTTTGTGGGATTTCAATGTTGAGTGGGAGGTCACCTGCGGCCTGATAAGCAATTTCTGTCGCCACCCGCTTTCTTCTTTTGAGCAACTTTCGTTGCGAATTCGCTCTGTTCTCGCAACCTTCTCATCCCCGGTGCTGTTTTATGCGACCTGTACAAGCATCAGCTGTCGGTTTTTATATCGCAAGCAGCACCACCCAGGTTGTTCTAGGTTCGCCCCGATTCTGGTTCCTTGGACTCCACCCTGTGCCGACCGCTGCTTTTTTCCCCGTCCACACTTTGCTGGACCGCTATTGTTACCCCCACCAGGGTACCGTCTTCCTCTCTTTTCTCTTCTCTTCTGATCCTACTTAAACGCTCTCCTCGCCGTCATTTCTTCGTTTCGTCTTCTCAATCTTCTCGCAATATCGCTGTCAAGGGATCAAAATCGCATATGCCCACCAGCGTAACTGGGGACGCCGATAACCCGACCATATAGCAGCGTTTGCAACGTGACCAGCTTCCCCTTTGGATACCCCTCAGCGCTGAACCAGACTGTGCCTCTTTGTTGGTTCGAAATAGCGTCCGGGGATGCCGTCTTTCACTGACCAGATCACAGACTCGGACCCTGACCTTGAAGGTAGGTGTTCTGTCTTGTTTTATGATTGATTGTGCCTGATATTTTCCTCCCCTTTTTTTGATTTCTTGGCTATGGTTGTCCAATAGTAGTCGTAGTTCCCTCCGAGGCTCTGCACGGGGTAGTCTTATGATCTCATCACCCACGGTTTCCAAAAGTTCCCCGAAAAAAAGTCCCCTGCGCAACACTTTTACCTTGACACTTTTGCCGCAACCTCTACCAGCATATCTATAAGTGTGTCCATGGATTCTAACAAGTTAAAAGGCCCTCGTACAGGTCTCGACATTGTGACTCCTCCCCCGAAACCCCGTCAGGATCCCCCAACTCCTTCTGATGGAAACACCGCTACTAGACCGCGCCGCGTTTCTGTCGGCAGGGCGGCGGTGCGACAACCTTTATATCATCCGCCGTCCTTGACCTCCCCAAGCAGCCAGATGTCCGCCGCGAATGAAACTGTGACGAGAGAAGACATTGATCGGTGGCTGAAGCAGGGAGAAGAGGAATCGCGACATAACCTCTTCAGCCAGGTGTACGAATGGCTCTCGCGCGAAAAATCAAAACACGGGCATTCCAAAAAGTCGCACAAAAAAGGAGCTCGAAAGAGCGGAGGAGACTACAAAGACGACCAACGCGGCGGCGATGGCGCCCAGTTGACCAAGACCGCTTCGCAGAGCTCCGACTCTGCTCTCGCCCTTGACGGCTTGGAAAAGATACTTTTGCAGTTTGCTTCTCGATACGACAGCCGTCCCAACTCTACTTGCTCCTCCCGTCGCTCCACCCGCCGCCGTCCGCATTTCAAGGGTTTGCGGAGAGGCTCTGCCTCCGAGTCCGACTACGACTTTGAGCCGGCGACTCCTAGCGTTGATGCGATCCTGGACAACACAAAGACACTGTCATACACTGGAGGAAGCGCGGAAAGCGAGAATGGTGATACTTCAAGTGTTGGCAAGGCCAAGGACCGAGAGGCTTGGGTGGTGTTCAAGAGCGAAATCCTCCGCCTGACGCACACGCTGCAGCTCAAGGGTTGGCGAAAGCTCCCAATGGATATCGCCGCTGAGATTGATGTAGAGAGACTTAGCGGCGCTCTTACCAACGCCGTCTACAAAGTTATACCTCCGCAAAATATCCCTCCTCCGAGGGCTGAAGATGGATCTTATACCCTAGTACCTCGACGGCCTCCTCCGTAAGTTGCCGTCCGCCTAACACCTTCAATTTCTAATTGTCATGCAGGAAGCTTTTATTGCGCATCTACGGCCCTCAGGTGGATCATCTCATTGATCGAGAAAAGGAACTGCAAATCCTCCGACGGCTGGGGAGGAAGAACATTGGACCCAAAGTGCTGGGGACGTTCAACAATGGCCGATTCGAAGAGTATCTTGATGCCCGTCCGCTGACACCAACCGAGCTCCGCGACCCGTCAACGATGAAGCAAATCGCAAAACGTATGCGTGAGTTGCACGACGGTGTAGACCTAGAGGAAGAGGAACTGGCAGGCGGCCCAAAGGTCTTTTACAACTGGGACAAATGGGTTGACCGCTGCGAGCGAGTGATCGGCTGGCTAGACAAGGAGATCCAATCTCCGCAGAATGAGAGTAAAGCTGCGTCTGAGCCTTGGCGTCGACGCGGCTATGTCTGCGGTGTTCCGTGGCCTCGGTTTCGCAAGGCCGTCGAGGATTATCGCAAGTGGCTTGTCGTGAGCAGTGGTGGCGTAGAGGAGATTAAACATCAGCTTGTGTTTGGCCACAACGACGTAGGTTTCCAACACACTTTACTGACCCAGCTTTACTGACCCAGCGCTTTGTAGACACAATATGGGAACCTCCTTCGCATGGAGCCCAGCCAGCAATCTCCTCTCTTGCTTCCGGAGAACGAGCACAAACAACTGGTCGTCATCGACTTTGAATATGCCTCTGCAAACCCTCCTGGATTGGAGTTTGCAAACCACTTTGTGAGTTCAGCTACACGGATATCGCGGGTAAATACTGACTATCCCAAGACCGAATGGTGCTACAACTACCACGATACCGAGAGACCCTGGGCGTGCAATGCTCGCGTCTACCCAACACCAGAGCAACAGCACCAATTCATCACTGCATACCTAACACACCGACCAGGTCTCGGCGGTCGAGCCTCACCCTCCATAACTCCGCTCATGCGCCCCCTCTCCACGAGCACCTCCACCATGACACCTCTCGATCTCAACGCGAGCCCCGACATGGCCCCGCAGCGGCAGACGGACATTGAGCGCGCTCATCAGGACAGTCTCGAGGCAGAGGCCCAGTTCCTCATGCGCCAGACCCGGCTCTGGCGCGTCCTCAACTCCGCCCAGTGGGTGGCATGGGGAATCGTGCAGGCCAAGGTGCCTGAAGTCGAAGACGACGACGAAGCGAAAACTCCCACCGCGGCAACACCACCAGTAGACGGTAATGTCGACGAGGCCGACGAATTCGACTATCTCGCCTACGCACAGGACAGAGCAATGTTCTTCTGGGCAGACCTGGTATCGTTGGGTTTCGTGAAAAAGGACCAGCTTCCGCCCTTGTTGGCTGAACATGTCGAGGCGAGAGTTATTGACTACTAATACTGCACCTCTCGCGGAGGGGTCGGAGCTGTTTCCTCTCTTTCTCTCCATTTCTTCTCTTTTTTTTTCCGTCGTATCATATTGATCAAGCTTTTCTCTCTCTCTCTCTCTCTCTCTCTTCGCTGAACTCTTTTTTCTTTTCTTCTTGACCATCATTATGTTGCGATACCAGAGACGCCATGAATGATTCATGATGACCATGATGTACCTACTGTACTCGTAAGAATGGAAATATTGAGATAGCCAACTGATTGTAAATGCATCGTCGTTGTTTAAGTAAGCGTAGGACGCCATATATATTGTACTCGATGCCGCCGGAGTAATTGTTGGTTATCTCGATAGGCTGCATTAGATATATAGTATGATCACAGGAGGGATCGAGGTGGGACACAAGCTGGGAGACGATTGTACCTATTGTAAAATCTAGTGGTAACGATTAGTTGTGGATTCTCTCATGGCAGACAGACTGGGAAAGAGATACTCATCTACTCGCGCTGCAAATGGACAGCTGGGTAGAGGGATAGGTACTCAAATGAAGAACAGTACGAGGAAAACCGTTCACCCAACATCATGGGATGAAGTCGGTCCCAGAATACCCATCAACAAGGCAGACCTCAAGGCTGACACGGGGTTATTGTCATGTCAAGGTTGCCACTAAGCTCGGTGGCTTGCTGGCTCGCTTTGCTACGGAGACGGTCGTCCCCTTGATCTACTGGGCTCTACATCATGGTAACTATAGATGATAGTTGCCTACGCAGGTGGCTTCGCGAATGGCAACTCGACAACGAAGCCGGAACAAACCAAAAAGTGCCCAGGACATCGTAAACCAGAATTGATACCTTGCCCCAAGGCCACTACTTGGGTAGCTGCCTGCAAGTGGGATTACTCCTCGATCAAGAGAGGAAAGCGCGGACGACTCGGGGCAATGTCGTTCCTTTCGTGATATGCTGGTCAAAGTCTGCACTCGGGAACTGTGACTGCAGGATGGTGCGGCATTAGTGCAGGTGTCCTGTTGACCACTCATCTAAATTTGGATCATTGGAGATATCAACAAGCATTCGTGGAACTGGTGATATGCAAATGGCAAGTGTAGTGGGCTACAAGTTACCGAGGCGAAGGTGTGGTGGAGTCCTGTATTGGGAAACCTCGTATCGCACCGTCAGAGAACGTTGAGGCGGAATCTGAAGACTGCAGTTTGCAGCGTGCACGGGGCAGCCGGGGCTGAATCAAGAGTTCCTGATCATCAAATTCTCCGGAAATTAAAGATCTGATGAAGATTTTGCCGTGGTACTATGAGAGGGATCGAGTCAAGTTCTGGCAAATCGTTGGAGGACGAGAGAACCTCCTGGTATAGATCAATCACGAACCGGGATACTCGCAGAATGAACCCACATTGGGGAGCTTTGACGATGGAGAAGCGAGCTTGGCAACGAGACTAGCTCGACATCAGGACTCAAGACTTGGCCCCAAACAGGGTAGTTTGGGTGATCAGAGTTCCTGACTTGGTGCAAGTTGTTAGTGGCCGGAATGTTTAATTTGGATGACAGGTCCAAGAGGGTTGACTTGAGATTATTGTCTCACTCTGCAGCGAGTCCAAGGATTGACCGACGTTATCCTGAATATGGTGCTACTGAGGGCGCGTTGGAGTCGACACCCAAGGCATATACCGAGTATTCTGTGGGGACGGAGAACGGGGTCCGGAAGCGAGAGCTTTGGCACGGCTCGTACATCACTGAAGATCTCCGCCATTGGCAGACCAAAATAGAACAGATATGGCAAGGACATTGATGAAATGAAAAGTCCTTCGAGTTGCTGCTCCGGAGATGAAGGGTCAAGAAAGGCACCGCCAACGGTGAGCGTGATGGTACAGAGTATGTGGGCCAAGAGGATGATTCACCGACTGTAAACTTGAATCCTCATTGATTGATAGGACAGACTGGAAGAAAGACGGCGTGACTCACGGTCAGAAAGAAAAGAATGTGACCCCACTCAAGCTTGCTGAAGCGATCTTAATTTCATTGTATGAGACGAACCCCTCGCTCAGAGCGAGGCCCAGGGCACCAAATGCACAAGAGGTGATGCGATATTCTTAGAAACGAGCAAAAGAACCAGAGAGCTCGGGGATTTGGGTGCTGACATGGGATCCTAGCCTGCCTCTCGGGACTCAGGGAATGGCTGGGCATGAGAAAGCTCCGATACAGCAAACTTGAAGTGTGCGGCGATCTTTAGTCAAGACGACGGGATAGCGCCCTTATTGGACAGCAATGAGCGCTGTAACAGAAGCTTGAAGCAGGTGCAGCCGTGCAGGAGGATAGTGCCAGGAATAGAAACATATGCCTATCACCTCAGAATGAGGATTTCCCCCTTGGACAAGGTACTCCGTTCTCGCGTCCCTTACAGAAACAGAAACAGAGGAGCATTCCATGGCGAAACCCACATGGTCGCAGGCAACATGGTGGAACGGCATCTCATCTGGCTCTCCGACTGAAGAAGCAGGCTGATCACTCGCGAGCCAGTAATATCGCGCGCTCGTTGGCAACAGGCAGCGGGATGGAGGACCCAAGAAATCTGTCCATTTCGCACAAGAGAAGCGAGGCAAAATAAAGTTGCAACGGACCCAAACCGAGAGAAAGTTGACAGTCCCCAAATAAGCGGTGATCAACCACCAGTCTAACTCGATGAGGATCCATCTCGCGAGATGGAAACTAATTCCTGACCCACGCCCTTCTAAGGTCCATTAGGTAAAGGCCTTTCCGAGATTCCATTGGCGAATCGGCCCCGATCGCCTTTGATGAATCTCAGCTTCATGACTGGCCAAGGGTCAATGAATGCGGAGAATGGCACATGGCTGTTAATTGGCCCAAACGGTCGGAATCCTTTTAGGTTAGGGTTAGGGCGGGGTTACTCTGGACTCGGCCTGAGGGAAACATGGTTGATCCGTGCTTTTCAACCTCAAGCGCTGGCGGCTGGAGGCTGGGGCCACCTTGTTGGGGACAGAATGGACGAGATTGTTGCCAGAGTGGTGAATTCCATGGCCGCGTCCGATCGGTTTCGGAGAGACTCGAGTCCGTCGGGTGAAAGTCGGCACGACGCTGGCTGGGTCACATGGGTTCTTTGTCCAGGATTTCCCCCTCTCTCGACCCTCGATTCTCGTCGCGATCTGACCCCCGAAAAACGTGGCAGGAGCTCTGTTGTGCGACTTGATGCATGCAGCGCAGCAGAGACAGCTCGATTTCTTTCCACCGAGGCGGCAAGCTTCCGCGAGACGACTCTATCAACAATCGAAGATCACTGTTCGGGTCAGGCCTGCCCATGCTCGAAGCCAAGCCGATCAACCTTGCAAAGAACCCCACTCACCGGACCAAGCAACGCTTCGCTCAATCGTGAACATTTATGATTGCGCCGCTGGACGTGCTTCATGGAATAATCATAATGGACCTCCGGCCCTCACCTCCGGATAGGCCTGTTTCGGACACTCGGCTTGAGTAGGGTCAGAAACGATAAACGACAGGCAAACGCGGGTGCTATTCGTCAGGACGTGCCCGTCGTGGTGATTTCCCTTTAGTTCATCTTCGCTCAGCCCAGTCCCCGGTCGTCACACGGTGGGTTGCTGCAGTAGCACCATGCTGCTGGGTGTATTTTCTTTTCCCTCCCACCCTGCCAGGCTGCTCCCGAATAATTCTTCCTGTCCACAGCGTCGCCAAGCAAACTTGACAGTCTTGACCTCAATTTCCTTTTTCGATCAAATTTAGCGAGGCTGACTTGGATTGGGTAAGTCGGATGTTTCACAATAGCATCTTGCCATGTTTGGTGACAGGTGTTCTGTGTGCACTCCTGTGTCAAGAAGCTACAAGTCGTCTACCGACAGACCGCATTTTCGTCCCTCAGAACCCTCGCCCATTCCTGCCGCTGAGCCTTGGTGTGAGCTTGTAACTCTATCTGTGCGACTTTGCGACGACTGCGTCTGCGGAGGAGCGCAGCCCATATGGAACCGTCTAACCTGCATGCATTATTCCATCTTCCATGTGGACCAACCGCCATGGAAGGCTCTTGATGTCCCCGCCTCATCGGACTCATCCCTCAGCCGCAAAAGCATAGCGACGGCAAGCGACCAGTGACACGTTACCACCATCTGTTGTCTTGGCTGATGGCTCACTCCCCTGACGATTTGACTCGACTGCCAGTACAAACCATGACGAGAGGAAAATAGCATCACACTAAGCGTCTTAGTGCTTTGTGCCGAACCAATCTGAACAAGAGTCCAAGCCCAGCTAAGCCCAGATGGGCCCGCACAATGACACGCCAAGCCTAGGTATCTTTATTATTAGGTACGTGCTGGACACTAATTAGATCATGGCTTGTCTGGCTTGCCCAGCCTGCACGGGAGTTGATGGGAGCACCTTGGGAAGTGCAGACTGGTTGATGAAGGACCTGTCTGTGATCTGAACTCTCAACTCTGTCCCGGGACCAACAATGCCAATTAGCGCATGCATGCAAAATATCCCGACGACTTCATCAGGCAGGGAGTTGCGGTCAATCTGAGCTCCAACCGCAGCCTCCCCCTTGCGCTGATGAGAGAGAAACTCGACTTTTACTCCGCGGAACTCCTCCGCAGTTTCGGATAGAAACGGTGCCTGAATTGTGCAGCAAAGGAACGCGCCATCGCATATTCTATTGAGCTCGGAAATGGACTTCAAATTTCGACTCATCGAGTGTGAGTGGGTAAAGGGAGAATAATCTTCAGCGCGAGAGGCTACCCTAGTGCGCATTAGCCTTTAAGGTTGTTACAAGGCCATGAGGAGCTCCACGGTGTCGCCTTAGTGCCGTTTCCATTGTTCCGAAGGTCTGCTTGTTCGGAAGATTGCTTTGGTACGTCCTGTATATTTAATGGGTGGCTTTCCTCCAACGCACCGGGCACCCAATCTGCCTTGCAAGGCAGACTTGATAACAACCTGATTCCCCCCGCAAGAACTGCGGGGATTAATCGCTCGCTTTATGCGCCAACAATTTTGCAGTGTCTCACAAGATGTCCCGTAAGACTTGTAAAAAGACGATCTTCCCAGCAATCCTTGGTCGTGGAACTCGCGATCATCTGACGGAAAGGGCAAGATCTTGGATCATCGCCGACTATCGCGGGCTTAAATTCGTGAATATGATGATTGACAGGGTCTAGCTCGTTTCTGGCGATGCGTCAAACCGCTCAAGCCTCAAGCGCCATCGGAACATCCGAATCTGGTAAACTAGACGTGTGGTGACAGACTGCTGACACTGACAGGGCGTCACCTTTTGCAGATAATGACACCCCAGCCAGACGGCCATGGCAAGGCAGAATGGGATTCAGCAGGTAGACATCTTGAAAGAAAAGATGAGCTGCCTCCTCGTCAAGAACACGACAAGTTGCGATTACTGGGGAGCCTGCGCCTTGGACCGCTCGCCCGACCTGCTTTTGATGAACCAGAGATTCGAACGGCGCCGTTGGCTTGGTATGGGTCTCCCCACCTCGGGCTTTGCTTTGTTCAATGTTGCTTTCCCCTTGAAGATTTGCTTCACTGCCTTGTCATTGCGATTCGCTGATGTGCCAATTTCCGTTTCTGGTCGTGGAAGAAGAGTGTCGCTTCTCCCCGCCTCTGCCTGTTCCTAGGTAGTCGGTAAGTTTGGCGTTTGAGGCTTTTGCTTTCCGTGGACCGGGACCCTGGTGCGGGAAAATACATCGACAGGGCAAATTGAGATGGATGTGCCCCATCCAAGGGCGTCTTGGGCCAACATGATTGGATCGATGGATCCTGCCTTCTTCAGTTAGACTATAGGTTTTTGGAGAGCTGTACTCCGTGGTAGACTGGACCCAGAGTTTGACGGTTTCGAGACCACCTGATGATTGCCGCTGCTCATTCTCGACTGGGTGCGGCTGCCATCCCTCGCTTACACAAGAGGTGCTTTTTTTATTCTCATGCTGTAGCTCACAGGTCAAAGTCGAAAGGGGGGAGCCGTGAAAGTCAGGGACGGGGGCTGAGAACTTGGAACGTCCCACCCGGCTGGGAACGCGGACCAAGATAACGTTATGTGACAGGGCCATGTCAATCATTAATAATGGGAACTCGTCGGTGCGTGTCTGGAGTGGCCCCAATCGGTGCTATTTCAGTCGTCCTGGAAAACGATTCCCAAATCAATAATCTGGGGTGGAAGAGGCTCAAAATCCTCATCCTCCCTGACCACGTTCCTGCTGCACTAAAACACGAGCGAATTGCCGGTTGAGCGTGTTCAATCTTCAGTCTTGAGTGTTGGCAATATCAATGTCCGACATTCATCACTTGGTTTGGTTTTGGGGCATTTTCATGTAGTCATTTCTCCAGAGAGGCGAGAAAGCTCTCTCATAAAGGACCCAGCCAGATCAGGTTACTCCCGCATTTCTCGGACTCGTTCTCGTTCACGCCTGGATCTGGGTCGCTGTCAACTCCCCATCGCAGACTTTCCGTCACAGTCAAGGGATCAGCTTCTGACTGGGCGTTTTCTGTGGCGTCTCCCCATTTCTTCTCCAAGCTCTCCAGAGATTCGACTAGCTGCCAAGTGGTTGCTTTTTCCATTCTGTTCCAGGATGATTTCATTTTAGCGATTCTCGTTATAATTCCTCTTTTATGATTTTTTTTTATTTTTTTTTATTTTTTTTAATTTTTTGGGATTAATTACTTTTTGGGCTTTTTCTGGTGATTCCCCCCTCCACACCAGCCAGGCCCCTAACTCGAATAACCTTTTTGATTATTTTAATTATTTTCCCTCTTCTGCGGACCGTTTTTCATGGCTTCAATACTTTATAATTTAGCAGCGCCCTCCGCTTCCTCTGATACTCTTGTCTGCTCCTCTGGTTCCTATAAAAATAACTGCTGCCGTTTTCTCGTATTCCCACGTGCATCCCTCACCACTTGCTTCATCTTGACGACAACTCCGTGTTGCAAATCTGCGGCTCGTGTTTTATTTTTGGAGGCTGCATTCCAGGCCTCGAAATTCCTGCGCAGGATTGATTACTATATTGATGCTGTGTTAAATATCCTCTTCACCCTCCTCCCGGATCTCGTCCTACTGCCCTAACGCTCAGCGCCTCTTCATCACTCTATTTTGAGCCTCCTCCAGCTTCCTTGGGTAGTTGACTTCTATCCTGTCCTTTCCTTATTACACACACTCCCTCCTTTACACACTTGAACAATGGCTGGTCCCGGTGGCGGTCCTCCCCGCAGGAGCCATACCAAGTCCCGCTTTGGCTGCAGGACATGCAAGAAGCGCCATATTCGCTGCGATGAGACCTTCCCTCAATGGTATGCCTTGCTCAAAAGTTATCCGCAGACAGATGGCTAACTGAAATAAGCCGCAACTGTACTAAGCACAACTGCCGTTGCGATTATATGGACGTTGCTACCGTCCACGACGAGTCGACCTCCATTCGTAACGTGCCTGACCTCCTCATGTCCGCAGAGATTGAGATGGAGATCAAAAACTGGCACCTCACTGGGCTACCACCGTTCCCAGAACTGATGCATTTCCCGCGCAACTGCTGGAGCAAGCTATCACGGACCGACCTCCGTCTCATTCATCACATCATCGGCCTGTCCATCGACCTTCACCGGCGTGGGCTCAGCAACTGCACCATCTGGGCCCAGAAGATGCCTCTGTAAGCACTATACGACGTGCTCTCTAAGAGATGTTGTTGAGCTAATACCATCTAGTTTCCTCTCCATTGCCATCTCGCATGACTTTGTCATGAGCTCGATCCTGACCCTATCCGCGACACACCTTGCCTGGATTACTCGGAACCAGGAAACCAAACAGCTCGCCTTTCACCACCGAGGAACCGCCATCCAAGGCTTGCAAAAGGCGATTGGTACTTTCTCCAAGGAGAATAGCGATGGTGTCTTGGCTGCCTCGATTCTGTTGTCGTGGCAGGACAGCGAATGGCCAAGCTGGGCATCTCTGCAGCAAGGAGTGACATCCGTGCTGGACTCGATGCCGCAAATCTGGAAGCAAGAGTCCGAACTGGCTCTATTCCTGGACAACCAACGATACCTAGCAAACGCAAACTCCCCAGTCATCTCTGGCTACCGGTTCCAGGAGGAAGACCTCGCGAGCCTTGACCACACCATCATGACCCTTCAAACTGTCCAGAAGCGGGTTGCTCACAATCACGAACACTACCGTCGGCTTGGAGAGCTGCTTGAATTTGTACGGCAGTTCCAACGCGATATCCTTTCCCTTACCGCGGAGCAGGCCTATCAACGTGTTCAACCACTTCGACAGTGGCTGTTCTGGCTTCCTCCCGCGATGCTGCGAGGCGGCGATGGGGATACCGGCGCCCTGGCTATTCTGGCGCAATTCTTTGCTGTTGGAGTAGCTCTCGATACTCTATTCCCGGACCTTGGAGGAGCCTATCTTGGCCCCTTGTCGGTAGGACCCATTGACGAGATTTACCGCACTGTCTACTCTCGAAACGCTGCAACCCCCTACAACCCAGATGTACAGCTCGCCATGTCCCTCATGGACCTCCCTCGACACCTAGCTTCCAAATACCGATCTCGGGCACAGTGGTCCCCTCGGACATCAGTGGATTATTACTCACCCTCACCTTCAAGTCCCTTTCAAACCATCCAAGACTACCGCCTAGCATCATCATCTTCTCCCTCGTCAACATCCGCTACATACACGCCATATACACCGCCCCTCCAGTCTCCCCCAGCGGTGACGATTGCAGGCTCGCCCTTTGAAATATCCGCACCGTATGTGACGGCACCAGGCTCTGCGAGCCTCTACCCCTCCCCTCGACTCCTCTCAGATACCCGCGACGAACCGTCCGATTGCAATCCGGCCTCGCTTCAACATTCTCCGACATATCCGCCACCGTTTCTGGAAGACATCGTGTGTGGGCCAGTTTCTCGCGTCGATGGAGGACTGGGACTGCATCCTCTGGACCTATATGACGATCCGCCTTCTGCGGTTGGCGACTACGGGACTCCAGAGTCCTGGAGCATTTGCACCTAACTCGGCTCCTTTTTTTCTATTATCAAGTTCCTTATCTTACAAAGGCATTCAGGTTGACCTTTGAATTGCATTGACTTTACGGCGATAGATTGCAGGGATTGATTCTCTTGACGTGACATTGGATTGGCACATGTGTTTTATCTTCTCACCCTGAGACAGGGTCTTTTTTTTTTTTTTTTTGCAATTGTACTCTGCGCATGAAATGAACTTGGCAGAAGCAAAGCATCGACGAGAACAGAACAGCGGGGGAACTCCGGAAAGCAAACCTGACACGCGAATTATACCCTTCTCTATTTGGCGTTGAATTATTCTAAAACTATGAGCATACCTGGCTATATGTATGAAGATCAAACACTCAATCAACAAAACTCCTCTTTATCCTTACTTCATTCTCTTCTCCCATCTCCGTATTCCCTCTCCATCAGCTAAATCCTTAACTAAACCTCCGAACCTTGAAGTTATTAATAGACAACGCCGTCTTTGCAGATCAACATGAGCAACGTCCCACCATTGGACCTGAAACGAGGTTAAATCGATCGTGGAGGGATGAATACGAGCGAGCCTCCACAGACCATCCACACATGGCACGTGTGGACAGTGGACACCGGCAAAAAGCGAGGACCCTGCTTTCTCGGGTGCCTGTCAGGCTGCCATAGGCTGACGGGAGTACCTAAACTAGGTATACACGAGGCAAGGGCCGGGATCGTCGTCGAGAACGGTTGGATGGGAACATGATGGATTGCATCTACGAGTGAGTGGACTTGAGATGCGACGTTTGTGATAACAATAGAAATAAAAAATCGCTACTACCCATCCTTCGAGTCTCAGGTCTCGAATCGAGTCTTGAAAGATCAGCGGTGTTCCTGTAGGTACATCGGTACATCTCGGCCCCTCTTTCACCGGAGGAACTCTGGAGTCTGCAGCAGATCGAGCCTTGCGCCCTTCCAGTGACAAGCACGAGAAAGAATATCGAGTCGACACCTTCCACCGTGACTCACTTCCTCTGACTCAAACAAGTACCTCGGAAACGGCAAATCTCCGTTCCTCCCTCCGTCCTCAAAAGTTATTGCTTGGTAATACAATTTCTTGTCCTCCGTCATGGCTCAAGTCTCATAGAAAGCTGCAAGAACCAAGAGTCTTGGGGCGAAACCAAGGCTGCAACAGTGGACCTCTAAAGTCTATCCCTGATGAGGAAGGCTCGTATTCGGCATCTACCGCTATGCCTTATTTAGAACACCGCGGTGCTAGCTGTAATGGGCTAGTTCAAGGGCTTTCAATTGAGGTTAGCCTAGGCAAGGGTCAACTCACGGTCAGTGAGATTTGACCTGTTTGCTTGCTTTGTGCTATTTGTCCTCAAGGCAAACAGAGCAAACGAGTCCCTTCGCCGACTCCGTCATCGGTTGAAGCTTCATGCTTGCTGAAACCGGGAGCTTCTGTTTTGTGACGAGAGCCTTTTTTGTTATCATTGTGAAAATGGCTGATACTGGTGGCTGGAGTACCATTGAATCCGACGAGGTATGCTGCTCACATTGATCTATCCACCTGGATCTCAGCATGACCAGAAACTAACGGGCGGGCAACAGGGTGTCTTCACCTCTCTCGTCGAGAACCTCGGCGTACAAGGAATTCAATTCGAAGAACTCATTTCCCTCGACCCAGACACAATCCGCTCGCTCGGGTACATCCCCTCCATCCCCTTCAAACCTCGAACCTTCAGCTAAAACCCTCCACAGAACAGTCTACGGCGTAATCTTCCTCTTCAAATACCTCCGCCCCCAACCCTCCACCTCCACCACCCCTTCAACCCAAGACGGCACCCCAGCCTCCCCCTCAACCCTCCCAGACTCCTTCTTCTTCGCAAACCAGACAATCCAAAACGCCTGCGGCACACAAGCAATCCTCTCCGTCCTCCTAAACCACGACTCCGCGAGCCCCGAAAACAACAACACGCCCATCACGCTCGGCGCCGAACTCTCCTCCTTCAAGGACTTCACAACGGGTTTCCCCTCGGACCTCCGCGGCGAGGCGCTCTCCAACTCCGAGGCCATCCGCACAGCGCACAATGCGTTTGCGCGCGCGAGCCCCTTTGTCGACGAGACGAGTCGGCCGCAGAATGAGGATGAGGAAGGGGATGTCTATCACTTTATTGCGTATACCCCCGTGAACGGGGTGTTGTATGAGCTCGACGGGTTACAGGCGAATCCGATCTCGCATGGTCCGTGTGATGCGGCGACGTTCCCGGAGAAGGTGATTGAGGTCTTGCAGAGGAGGATTGCGAGGTATCCCGAGACGGAGACACGGTTCAATCTTATGGCTGTCGTAAGGGATTTGCGAGTTCGAGCGCAGGAAATGGGGGATGTGGAGGCTTTGAGGGTGGAGGAGAGCAAGAGGGCTGGGTGGGCGTGGGAGAATTCGTTGAGGAGGTCGAATTTTGTCGGGTTTATTGGTGAGGTGCTCAAGGGGGTGACTGCGATGAAGGAGAAGGAGGGAGAGGGTGCGGTTGAGGAGTGGGTGAAGAAGGCTCAGGGGGAGACGGCGAGGAGGTTGAGGCGTTAGCTTTAGCCTCTTGAAAGAAACCTTCTCCTCTCCTTTTGGAACCGAGAGTTATGGTGACGTTGGGAAAGTAAGATGTATTATATTCACCTCTGCATCTGCAGCGACAATGATGGAATCTAGGCAAAAGACAAGAAAAGACTTCTATAGACAACCCAGCGACGAGCAAGGCAACGACGCAATGCAAAACAGAAGCAATACCCATATGCCGATGAATCTACCTAATATGCTACCTAGTCTATCTAATGGAGCTAACTGGTATACAAACAAATAACATAAGAAATGGAGAAACGGAGATAGAAAAATCATCATCATAAGCGGGCCATTACGCATCTCTCATATCAGTCCCATCAAATTCCATTGGCACGTCATGCCATGGTAGTTTCCCATGTTTCCCCCCTCTTCCTCATGCAAGAGGTATGGTAACTATACCAGTCCACCTCCCTTCACCACGCGCCGATGCAACCCGAACCAGACCGCAATGACATTAAGCAATAAGATACTCGGAAATCAAGTTAAAGAAAAGGACTTGCAACGTTGCGAGGAAAATGAAATCAATGTAGAAGAAGAAATGGATGGAAGTTTTGTACGCCCTTTCGCCCTTGACCCACAGGAAATGCTGCACATATGAGAATCTAAATCTGATATACAGAACGGAGCTTCTGCGCGACAGGAGGGGGAAGCTGAGACATAAAGGAATCGAAACCGGGTATCATATTTTTGTAGCCTTGTAGGACCTATTAAAAGATTAGTTTGGCAGGTTCGCAAGTACCAGTATAAGGGGTCGCCGCACCTGTTGAAACGAGTTTTGAATGTCGTGGTACTCTTCTTGGTGGAGGGACTTGGTCGGGAACGCGGCGATGGCCTGGAAATAGTCTCCGAGTGAGGATTCCATGGCCGCTGGGTTCTGCATTACCACGTGGTTGAACCCTAGAAAGGCGGATGCCTTTTCCCGCGTGAAGTCGATTCCGTTCATTGACTTGAGGAAGAGGCCGGCGTACTCTCCCAAGCGAGGCGCAAGCTGCTCTGAACAGCAGATGCCCAGCCGGCCTAGGGCCATGGCGGCGTTTTCGTTGACCGAGTCGATAATCTCCTCGTTGTTGATGATGGCCAGCAACCCCTGGTATAGCTTCTCCGCGTACGGGGAAAGCGCTGCCTTTTCGTTCACGGCGATCTCACCAGCGGACCAGCACGCATTGTTTAGCACGCTGAATGTGGTGTGGCGGTCGTCATCCCGGATCTGATCCAGATCCAGCTGCTTAATCAGGATCGGCATGATGTTGTTTACAAACGGCTCCAGTTGAGGGAAGATGTTGATGGCACAGTCGCCCAAAAGAGCATAGGACGATTGCCGCACTTCGTAGTTTGGGTCCTCCATGCAAAAGCAGAGCAAATCAAAGAACCGTGGCTGAGAGTTGGCGACCAGTTCACCACTCTTGCGGGGATCGATCGCCTGGATAATTGCGCTCAACAGGTCCAAGCTAGTTACCAAAAAGTCCTTGTCAGGCTCATCCACAGCCTGGTTGTTGACCGAGGCCATGTACTCTTGCAGATTCTGGTAGATGATCTTGATACACCTTTGGAAAAGGGGAGCAGCAAACGGAGAAAAGGCATCGCCATATGCAGCTGCCACATAGCCCAGACACTCCAGCAAGGGGAAGAGTTCTCGAGACTGGTCCGACACCTTGTTGTACCGCTCGATGAGAGCGGGCATAAGGATATCGACTAGTTCAGGCTTTGCCAGCTCGTCCATCACGCATTCCGCAAGGGTCTGCACACAGTCGTAGAGGATGTACATGTTTCGGTCCTTGTACTTTGCAAAGCACAGCACGAATTGCTGCAGAATGGGCTGGCAGTACGGGATCAGGTTCGCATCCGACTTTTCCTCAAGACTGGCAAAAGCAGACGCCGCTGCCTCTTGGACCTTCTTGTTGCCATCGAGCATACGGTGCAGAATGCCTTCCATCATGGGCTCAAAGAATTGGGCACGCTTGGCTGGGTCCGCAATGTGAGAAGCCCATTCAGAGTAACGGCCAAGACACCAACAGGTAATCTGTCGGACCACCGGCTGAGCATCGTTCAAGAGCGAAATAAGATACGGAACGAGTTCAGGCAAATGAGGAGTAACCGCGTTCATACATCCATCTGCGACCGCACCGAGGGTCAGGACTGCCGCCTCTCGCTGCACCCACAGGTCGTGACGCAGAGTTTCCTTTAGATAAGGCAGAATGATCTCAAAGATTGGATCGTGGTACACATTCGAAAAAACGTCCAGCGCAGCAGCGGAGCACTTGCGCAGGGTCCACTCGTCCTCGGGGTCGTCTCCAAACTCGGAATCCTCAATCTCGCCTTCGCTCAGGTCGTCATCTTCCGCTTGCGGTGCTGGCGCATTATTGCCGTTTTGCTGGTTCGCGGCCTTGGAAGCATCTAGCCGACCGGCTTTTGATTTTGCAAACTGCGGCTTCAGATCCTCCTCGCGGTCTTCCACATCAGCGTCGTCGCCCTCTGTGCTTAATCGGTAGGCTTCATCCGCATCATATACCATGCTTTGCAGCAACACGGGGACGATTTTTGGCATGTGGGGAGCCAGAGCTTGTTGCAGTGCCGCCTGCTCGCCTGCGACGAGCCAAAACTCGGCTGCGTCCAGATTCAGCTCCGGGTCTATCTGGCTCTGCTGCTGCATGATGATATAATTGACCAGTCCGTCCATGTGTGGGATAAGCTTCTCGGGAGCAAAGTCTACGAGCTGAGCAAAAGCCTGGCAAACCGTACGCTGGACATCGGAGGAAGGGTCGCCGGCGAGCTGGAACAGATGCGACAGAAACACATCCATCGAGCCCATCAAAGCCTTGGGCTCATGAGGAAGGAAAATGAGGAGAGACTTCAATGCGAGCTCCCGAATCTGAGGGCTTTCACTGGAGCTGAATGTCAAAAGCTTCGGAATGATCACATCCAGAGGGCACTGCCCGCCGTATTCCCGCTCGAGGATCCTGCGGTTGTCCTCACAGACCTTGTGCAGAGCAGACATGGCGGCTTCCCGAGTCGAGCCAGCGACGTCTCCGGACGAATTTTCCACAAGCGACAACAGCTCATGGAGCACCTCGGGCCACGCCAACAACCCCGCCACTGAGATCAACTCGGTTATCATGCTGCCGGCCGTTTTCCGCACCTGCGGGTTTTCGTCACGTAGTCCGATAAATGTAGCCGATCTGATATATACGAGAGATTCTTGGGGAATGGTGTTGTATGCAACGTGGACCTTGACTTTGAGGTTCATGCCCGCGGCGAAACGGACAAAGCTGTATTCATCTTGCTCCAAGTTCAAGAACGACGGCTTCTGCGGAGTGCAAAACAAGTATGTGATATAGTTGACATAGTCCGGGGATGATGTTGCTTGTTCTAGCAACTGTACGGCCCGACGGGGGGCGCTCACGTCAGTTATCCATTTCGCCAGAGAAAATTTCCAAAACGAGGCGCAACTGATCAGAAATAAAAGGTCACGATCGCAAATACAGAAAGCTTGGAGCAAAATGTCCCAAAAGTACAGAGCGGAAAGTTGATGCGGAGGAGAGGGGAGAAACAAGAAAATCAATACGAACGCGCAACGTACCTGTTCAGCCTGCTTCTGAGCAGCGCCGTCGCGAGAATTCAAAGAATCCCTGAGGCAGTAGGCCAGCTGCCCCAGTGGCCCCTCCTGAGGTTGCCACTCCATTGTAAAAAAAAAAATATATAAGAAAAAGAGTAGGATTCAGCGGTTCACAATTGAATCCCAGGAGCGGGAATGTATAGAAAAATAAGGTGGAAAAGGAAGGGGGGGAGGGGAGAGCTCGCGAGAGATGAGAGAAGTGGTGGTAGTGGACGGTGGTTCAATTGTGTAGGCCCAGAAACCCCGCCGTGTGCTCGTTGAGTGGGCACTGGCTCCAACCCTTTTCCCCAGAACCAACCTGTCGATTATGATACCGTCCGCCTTACGGCCTTTGATGGGAATAAGGGGTGGAAATATAATCATAAAAGGGTAGTACTAGGTAGGAAATGGACAGATAAAGAGACGAAATACCCTCCCTCTGGAGTGGTGAAAACGCAGGGCTCAGGCTGGCACCAAGGAAAACAAAGTTTCAATAAATACAGAAGCAGGTCTACCAACACACTCTGGGGCCAACAAAAGGCTTGCTGAGAAGATATCAGCTCCTTGAATTTCACATCAGACTTTGCTCATAATATTTATTATCAACGGGCTACTTCTGGCCCCTTCCATGCTATAACAACCCAACTTGAAAGGTCTGCTGATCATTCACCGCAAACCATGTTTTTTACAACATCCAACTCGCAGTACGACGCAGTACCGTAACAAACGGCCACTGGCTCATTAATATATTTATAGCGCCACAAGACAAGTCTTGAGATGCAGCTGATCCCAAAGACCGATAAGCGTATATACAAGCTAGGTAAATGTCGTGTATGCATTCCAAAGTATATGTATGCTCGAGGTCAAGCCCAGACCATCTTCTTGATATCATGCACCAAGTGCTCCAAGTACCCCGTGCGCTTCCGTGCATCAGCCAACGATATAATATCCGCCAACTCGATAACAGAAGGCCGAGGTTCAGCCGGCTCCTCCGTCTGTGTCGTCTCGCCAGCCCTCATCGCCCGCTCAATTTCTTCACAGATATTCCGCACCCAATAGGTCTCGCTCACGGTGACGCTCTTACGGCGCTGCGTCTGCGTCACAGAGTTTGACAACGGAAGGGCTTTAAAGGCCATGATGCGGGTCTTTGGTCTTTGCGTGCCCGTGAACCACGAGGCCACGCCTCCTCCTTGATTGTCTAGTGCTTTAGGGTCAACTTCGCTCTGAAGAGAGCGTGTGTTGACTCGGAGGGCGTTGTTGTCGCCCTCGCGGAACTCAACTACCAGTCCGATGTTGCTCTGTTCGTCGGATTGTGCATCCGTCAGGGTTGATGTTATATACGTGCCATATTTGATTCGGACGATCGAGCGCAGATCGATTCGCTCGAATGAGAGAACCTTGTCAATGTTCCAGTCAAACCGGCAGCTGTAGACCGCAGCGTCTGTGAGTAGCAGCACAGACTCTTCAAAAGGTAGAGTCCTGACGGTGTTTGGTTGCTTAGGGGTAAGCATGGTCCAACCGCCCAAGAACTCCTCGGACTGGTCGCTGATGACAATGCGACAACTTGTGTCGATGGCATTCTGCCTGAGCTTGTGAACTGAGATACCGGGGTCTGCAGTTTGCAACTCTGTCGCAAATTCCGAAAATACCTGTGTGGAGACGTTGCCGAGTAGATAGTCGATGCAGGCCTGCGAGAAGTAGTCGTTGACAATGTTATTATAGTATCGAGACAAGGTCAGGCCAAAGTCATTCAGAGCTCCGCGGTAGTCGCGTTTCCTGGTTCTGGTATAGTCGCCTTTCAGGGCCGCTGTGGACGAGTACTGCTTCGAGATTGCATCGCCGTTATCCGCCCACAGGATGTTGAACCATCGGGTAGAGGAGTCTCCGCCGAGGTCGATATCGATGCCTTCTTCTTTCAGTTCGCACTCAAGAGCCCATTGCCCAAAGGCACACTGCGCGACACCTGTGCGGTCGAGACAATCCATGCAATTTGTGCGCACAATGCCCGTCTGACTCTGGAGGATGCTGCCATTGTTCAAGATGGTATCCTTGAACTCACCAAGAGTGGTTGCCAATCGGTCAACCAGCCGACTCACATTCTCGAATTTCATCCCTCGGCATTCGTTGTGAAAGTCGAACCACTCGAATCCAATAGGTACATTGTCAATACCGCCGGACTCGTTCAATCTTTGGGCATACCGCTCATACTGCTCTCCTAGTTTGAGTTCAGGAGGGTGCTTATCCACCAGAGACACGGATTGGATCTTTCCATAACGTCGGCTGAGGTGACGAAAGTGCCGCTCAAACGCGAGTTGATTCCTTTCGGTTGAATGGTGGAGAACAGGCACCGGCTTGAAGGAATACGGCGACTGTGAAAAGTACAATGGAATGGATCCGCGAACCTGAAGATATGAATAAGTGTTCTGGGAAGGGTCCCAGTCTGGAACCGATAGGATCTGCTCCGTTTCGACAGTGTTGGCGGAGTTGCCCTCATCATCCACCCCGCGACGGAGATACCGTAGCCCTGGCCGCTTGACTGATCGTCGAGAAATCAAAGTGAGGAGAAAGTTCCGCTTCTCACCGGCTGTTTGCGTAGCTTGAGCTTCCTCTTTCTCACCGAGGATACAGGCTTCATTGAACTGGGTCTCGGAAGTGTCAGAGCTGGGCTTTACAGCCACAGTGAATTCGCTCTGGCCCACGAAGCCCTGTATAAGCGGCAGTACGAACTGGTGTGCATCTGCCGTCACAAAAGGGACCATGAGATTCTTGTTCCAGAAGAACTAGAACAGCTATTAGTTACGAGAAGAGTATTCCGAAAGGGGGGCGGGTGTCTGCCCACCAGCTCATCCGCAACCTTGTGTAGCGGTAGATGCACATTCGGTGCCGAAGGCTGTGCGCTAACAGACCTTGTAAGGTCATAGTCGTAGGAGAAGAAGAAATTGCGCGAGGAGAAGATCAACTTCGTATATCGCAGGAGCTTGGGAAGCAACTCTATGGGTTTGGTCGTTGCAGGTAGCTCTACTTGCTCCTTTGGCGGCACGCCATCGTTTGCTTCAGCTGCAGGCTCGTCCTCGTTGGCGGCAGATGCTGAGCGAGCTGCAACGTTGCTAGTAGTATCGTCTTTCTTCATTTCTACCAGCGGCGTATCCGGCGTGTCCGGGTTCAACTCGGCAGTGCCGAGCCCTGGCAATCCCATGGCCTTTCGCGACAGCCAGTTGGCGGCGAAACGTCCAAATCGCGGCCTCTTACCCATCACAGTTTCCGTGACGTTACTGCTTATGCTGTCAGTTCTAGTGTGAGGCCTTTCCCGCACCGGCGAAGTCGGTGTGGTACTGACGTCCACCTCTCCGTCTTCGGTCCCTGTATCAGATACGTCTGTAGCTTCCGAGGATGTGTCGGTGTCGTCACTATCCTCCCTCCCTTGGAGAAGACTCTCCTTCGCTTGGCTAATCGCATGGCTGGCATCAGCATGAGAGGAGATTGGGATGACGGCGACATTTGCGATGGTATAGACCGGCTTGCCCTGAATCTGAGCCACCTGCTGCCGCTGGGTGATTGTGATTAGGAACGAATATGACGCAACCGATAAAAGGCCTACAATAAATGGAGCGCAAGGCGCAATCAGAATTGGTATCCTAAAAAGACATCCCTCGAATAGGTTCTATCACGACTTACCAACAATGCCGTATGTCTCCAAGCCTGCATAATCCTTCCTCTCGTTCAAATCAGTTGCGGGGGCCGAACAGGACGAGATGCGGTTTGTTCTGTAGTCGATACGGATCGACGAGGACTCATTATTCGCGTTATAGCGCACTCCGTTCCCGGTCGATTGCAGAATCAGTCCGTCGACTGCTGCAAAGATGGCTACCTTTCGAAGCAAGCTAGGCATCTTGTCAGCATGTTAGTTGGCCGTTTACACGTGTGCTGCCTTCTCGCTGTAAATCTCCCAAAGGTGGGGAATGCCCGTAATCGCACAGGCAAGCAGAACCCAAGCGCCCAGTTCAGTCAGTGGCTCGACCAGTACACCGGAGGGGCGAGAGTGAGTTCGACTGTGTTATCATGTACATTGTCCATGCTGAGATCGAAGCTGATGCCTCGACGAATAGAGGAATCTTGGTCTGATCATGGGGCTGCATTTTGTCATGTCCCCACTCGGCTGCTGATCCTACGCAGGAAGCCGAACCGCAAAGAGATCTAACTTTTCCGTAAAACCAGGCAGTGGCGGCTATTTTCAGTGTAAATCCCACAAGTCATCCAGTGCGCTGCTACAATAGCCCCTATTCCTTACCTAGATAGGTATTGGGCTTGCCTTTGAGTCAGTGCGACTCGACGGGATCATCCATGTATGACGTAATCTCAGAGCAAATGCTTTGAATCTATTTCAAAATTGACATCGACGCAGAGAGGTATATACATTTCAAATCCAGATCACAAGCACGAACGCCTGCGTTTTTGCCCAATCCGTGGTGAAAAAAAGTCATACCGAAAAGCATCCCCGCATTTCCGATTAGTCGGCGTCTGTTGGCCGCTGCTCTGAATTCGGCCGTGCAGTTTCTTCCGTTCTTGGAAGGATATAAAAGTACAGTGTGCCCGAGTGGTGTCACACCAAGTTGGGCTAAACAGTCAACGGTACGCGTAATATATCGCGACGAGGTTCTAGAAATGTAGAAGAGTAAGGAAATAGCAAAAAGGGGGGAACAAAAGGAAATTGGCGTAACAACTGTCGTAAATAAAGCTAGCACAGCCAGCGGGACAGCTGTGCAAATCATGTCATGCTATTGATCATCGTGTTTCTTCCGTGTATGGTCCTGGCTTCGTTTGAAAGTAGGACCAGGTTCTCCGTCACTCTCTTCAGTCAACTCTGACAAGCTGAAATTTTGGCTTTCGATATCGTAAGAGCGGATAAGGCCTTCGCGATCAGCATTTCCGTTTAAGAAAGCGATGCTGGAGGAGCTGCGGCGGTGCGGATCGGTGCTTCTGCGAGCCTGCATTGAGCGGCGTGTCTGGTAGCCCGAGATGCCATCTGTCGGTACTCCCTCGTCATCAAACTTAGAGTTTAGCGCAACCCCGTCCGGATCGTGTCGGGAGATATTGAGAAGATATACTCCGGAGAAGATGATAAGGAAGCCGCAAAGTAACGAAATGGTACTGACCGCGTCGGTCGTGTTGAATCCTTTGAACAGGATAAAGGAGGCGCATAGCGTGGCAGTGGTAAACGTGACATAATATAGGGGGTTGACACTGGCAAAGTTTGTTAGCACGACTCGGTCTTCTGATGGTAAAACCACCCACATTGAGGTCGAGAATTCGTTCAACGCCTTGTTGATATAGTTCATCTGCGTGAGAATGCAAAAGACGGTAACGATTAGGAAAACATATGTAGAGGCATGCGTGAACTGGTTGTTGCCACCCAAGGTGAGTTTGAGGGCGATTCCGAAAGCCTTGACCGACATGACGGATACAGAGCCAACGGTCGAGCAGATCGAGATGAAGATCAGCGGGTTCTTCTTTCCGTACACAGGCGCAACTCGGTAGATCATAACAGTTGAAAAGATCGCGACGGCAAGGCAGTAAACTAGAAAACCTATTCAGGTTAGTACAGATTGAGTCTTATCCGGCTGGGAACATACCAGGCTGAAGCGCATATTGCAGAATCTCGTCGATCGTCTCAACTGGCTTGTCCGGGGGCGCATGCAGAACAATGACAACTGATCCAAGTAGACACATTGCGCAGCCCAGTTTTCCCAAGACACCAAGTCTCTCCTTTAGGAAATAGGAACCTAAGACAGCACTTGTGCCGTGTCAGTGAACCGGCCAGATCTTGCATTGAAGATCAAGGATTCCTACCCGATCAGGACACTAAGTGCACCCAAAGGCGTGACCAATATAGCGGGCGCAAATGCGTAAGCGGCGAAATTGGCGGCTTCTCCAATGGCCACTGTGATAATGTCAGCCTCCTCCTCATTGTTTGTATTACTGTTGGTCTCGTACAAATACTGGTGCCAGCCCACCACGTAGGGCTCTTGAGGTATGAGAACCCTTCTCCTTCAAACCCATGTCGTTCGGAAGCATGATTCAAACCCTGGTATCATTAGTCGGGGTTATGCGGTTATGTGCGTCGGGCGACATCGTCGACAGGCTGAAGGAAGGGAGGAGGGCTTATCGGGAAATCAACGCACCATTTTAGTGATCACAAAACTTGTGCCTAAGACTTGTCAGTGCGGTGCAAGACGCGAGTGAATCAATGAGCTCGTACCGATAGCCATTGTAGAAAGAATGGCCAACAAAAGGCCGATATACCTGTTCACCGAAGCGTCCGATCAGTATGCGTCGGGAGCTGAAAGAGGCGAATCAAGGTATACTTGTCTGAAATCATTGTCGTTGTGTTCTGAGCGAATTGCTCTTCCTGGAATTGAACCTCCAATGCTAGCAGTAGTCGAAGAAAGAAGAACGGATTGGCGCAGGAAGTCGCGGGACAACAACGGGGTCGGCTGAAAGGCTGGCGACTTAGGTAGTAGCCAAGCGTATTGAGGTGCGCCAACAAACACAAGACGGCTCTGTCGGAACGAGGGCGATAATCGTATAGCAAGGGCAGTAGTAGTGGAAGCTGAAAGGAATGTAGCGGCTGAATAACCCGCAGCCTATGAAGGATAAAATAGCACAGTTGAACTCTGGGGGACGTTTGGACGTTGTTTGGAAGGAGAGATCTCGAACTCGATTCGGACGCTGGCTGCGGCCGGCACTACTGCTGCTCTCGTGCGGTGGGGTTTGCTGGGGGACTGGATCTGGACGCGTAAGTGGCCGAAGCGAACGAAGGCGGCAAATCCAAGTACTATGTCCGTCACAGATCTCCAGACTCAAAAGAAGGGGAAGAATTCGCGATGCAGAAAAGAGAACTTGAAAGAGGGACGGAAGAACGAGTGACCAAGGGTTGAGCAAAAAAGTCTGGTGAAAGCGCAGGTCTCAAAAAGGTCATCTGGCAAACTTTGGAGGGTCGCACCACTAATAAAACTGTTTGTCTGGGCTGCTGGATGCCTAGGCAAGTCAGAATTCTTGACAGGAATAGCACCTGCTAATATGACAATCTTCGCCAACTGGTCTCTTAAATCTGGACGGTGTAATGACTACTACTATGCAATGATAGACTCGATAATAATGTTAATGGCTAGGAAAAATTATAAATTATAAACGAAAGATTCTGCCTTTCACATAACCTGTCTACTTGTCCTCATACTCTGGAGTAGGTCTCTCCAGAATGAAAGGGCGGCGGCGATGTCTGGCTCTTAAGCAGTTTGTCTCAGGCGAGTTTGGATCCCTTGGCTTCTCGACCCCTTGGAACCAGAAAGGCCAAGTTGACCGATCAGCGTTTCAACATTAGAAACTAAGAATAGTTGGACGCCTTGAGCCTTGATGATGGAGGCTGAGCAGCGCCTCATCTCCTTTCCGTGGCCCGATGCAAATTGTCGAGTTTCTGATCCTTGTCAGAAATTGGAGGACCATGAATCTCGATCTTTTGGGACTCCACAGTCCAGACGCCCACCTCAACTCGGACCGCATGTGGTTAGACAGAGCAATTTACTCACATGAACTGCATAAAATATAGTACCGTCCAAGCATCCATGATGCTTTCATTGAATTTCATATGTAGCTGTTACCCCTTCCAGATCTGCATCCCGCTCACATGGCAATACAGACTCAGTCTAATTCTACAACCAGCGTATACATTAGCTAGCGTATAAGCTGGTCTTTAAGAAACAGTATACTCAGTCTATAAATTGGTTGCTCATTTCGTTTTCTTGGTTGCTTGCTGAGGTCTTCTTGGCTCTTTCTAGGTATCTATGCTCGCTCAGCAGCATCAGCTAGCTGACCATGTGGCATGTAGTTTGTTGCTTGCTGAGGCTTCGTTGCCCTGTTTCACAAGCCACAGGCACGCAGTTCTTTTCACAGAAATAAGATGAGAATCTACCAAGCATACAAACTTCCAACAACTCTAGAGGCCACATCAATCAACCAGAGGTCCTCGTGGCAATGATATTAGTTCGATCATCCGACGTATAATACAGTAAGAAGCACTTCTTCCGAAGGGCGAGTGTTTAGTGAACTCTTTTAAGAGCTGGATAACAATATCGAGTAAACCGTCCGTGACCCCGCGTCCTTAAGGCCGCCAGACAGCAGACCGACTCAAATACTCCATTTACACCTCCAGAGGGCCGATCCCAAGGTATCACAAACACCAAAGTGACAAGAAATGGAAAAAGAAGAAAAACAGAAAGCGCCACTGGGATTGGGTATAACAAAAACACAAAGGGGGGGCCGGCGCGTAATATTCTGAGCTCATTGCTATTGTCGAGGGTACAAACCTGGAGTTGCACGCCGCGACTGGGATGTCCCGGGCGAGCAGAAAGTGGAGGGATACCTAGAAGAGTACGCCTCTCGGCATTAAGAAGGTGACTTGATGGATACGTACCTGGCTCAATAAAATTGGCCGCAAGCCGGAAACTTGGGGGTAAACCGTTCACGAGAGTTCGAAAACGTAAATCAAGACATGCTTTATCACCACCATGAGTTACAAGGCTGAACTTTGTTAGGTATCGTCTGGACAGGTCCCTTGAAAGTCGCTGCGGCAATGAGGCATTTGCAGAAAGGGCGGAATAAAAAAAATCATAGCAAGGCAGGCGGAGGAAGCTTATGAAGAGCGAGACCGCTTGGCTTCTGGCGTTGGGCTTTCAGGCAAATCAAGCTCGTCCTCAGGCTCACGGGTACGTTTAACAGAAACGTGGCTGGGTGATGCGGTAATATTCTCCTCATCAAAATCATCGTGGTCCTCTTCGAAGCCTAGGTTCAGATAGTCTTCATCGTCAAAAGGCAAATCGGCCGCCTCGTTTTCATCTGCAGGTAAACCGGGTGTATGCTCATCATTTTCACCAAGCCCCTCTGGTTCATCTGCGTCTCCAGTCTGATCAATCTCCACATCGGCCTTGGAGTCGTTGCCAGCGCTCTCCAAGAGGTCTTCTGCCGTACCTAGTGAGTGATCTAGCAGGGGCGGGGCTTCCTGAGGCTCTAAAGTCGATGGTGAGATTTTCAAGATAGATTCTGTTTCCTTGTTGCTGTCTTGAGTCTGCAGTTTGTCGACAGAAACAGCCTCATTGTCTCGTAAAGCATCATCACCAGTGATATCCTCTGATATATGGGACTCGTGATAGTTCCGTTCCAGGTCCTGGTATTCTTCCGTAGGCTCCTCGGAGAAGTTGTCTGTATGACCTCGAACGACTTGTTCCTCGCTATCAAGAAATTCAATAGCGTCTACCTGCACTTCTTCCTCGTGCTGAGTTGCATCGTCGTGATAGTAATACTCATCTTCATTGGTCTCACCATAATAAGGGTCAGTGGCCTCGTCTCCTGCTCCTGATTGCTCTTCCGGCATATCGGTCGGAGGTAATGGCTCAACTGTGCCAGTAGACTCGGTATTCTGCTCCTCTATATCATGGGACCCGACGCGAGACGAATCATTGTCGACCGAGGCGTTTCCCTCGGTATCCGCTTCATGGACTGTGGTGGCAACAACATCGTGTTCCACATTCTCGGCGGTCCCCGCTGCTGGCTCGGTTTTTTCAGGGTTAGACACATCCTGGCTTCCGAGAGTAGACCTTGTTTCGTGGGCCTCATCTGCTTCATTATCCGGGGTATCCAGGGTATCCTGGGGCTCTTGCGGATATGGCTCCTGGGCAGTTTCGTTCAGTTCCGCAGAGTCACCATCCGCTTCATCGGGGTAGGTTTCCCAAGGTTGAATTTCAGACAGTCCCTTTCCTTCGCTTGAAGCTAGGAAAAGGTCTGATAATTCCGCGGTGATGGTTAGTTTCGTGCCAAGTGTAAGATACAGGGCTTCCGATCCCTCGACGCCATCGTTGTGGCATAGGTGCAGATACACGTCTACAATCTGTTTCAATGTAATCTTATCCGTTTCACGAGAATCCTAGAGGAGTTCAGTTAGTGAGAGATTTAGACAGAGTGAATATTAGGTTTGGTAGCCTACCTCGCTTATTTGCATGTTCAAAGGATCAATATCCACAACCAACACCTCATTTTCATGGATGTGGTCTTGCAGTACTTCACGACAGGACTCAAACAACTTTTCAAAGGATCCGTATGCGAGACCCTCGTTTTCAAGGAAGAACGTCTCGGTGGAGTCTCCTTCTCTGGGTGGGAACAGCGACATCTCGTTTTCCTGGTAGTAGACTTTGACTGGATGTAGAGGTGGATACTCCGACGACTCGTGCTCTTGTTCGGCTTCTTTGTACGTTTGTTCAGAGAGTTGTTGCTCTCCATCTGAATGCACATTCGGGTCATCAAAGGTTGTTTGAGCCGGCTCTGAATCATCTTTCTCCTTTTCGGCGTTTAACGGTTTCTCGAAACCATCTGGACGAGGGCCGTCACACGTCGTCTCTACCTCCCCTTGTTCCCCCTGAATGTGGTGAGTGGCAAGTTCCTCTGTATATCCAACTTCTGACCGGGTGGTTTCCGGCTCCGGCTCGTCGGCTTGTTGTTGCTCTTTAGTATCATCGACCGCGTGCTCTTGGTAATGCTGTTCGCCGGTCTGAATTTCACTTAGATGCTTCACTTCTGTTTCAAACGAAGGCTCGTTGGCGCCATCCTCATCGACAACCTTGTCGTTTGTCAAAGTGTCCGCCGCCGTCGACTGCTGGTTCTCTGAATGTCCAAGCAAAGTCGGTACCTCTTGTTCATGTTCCGGAACAGGCGCATCGATATCCTCGTCATATTCGTCCTCTAGCATTTCTGCTTCATATGGCTTTCCTTCTTCATCCTGCATCTCAAGATTTTGATTCGTTTCGCGATATTCATCGGCATCTATCATCGATGGCTCGGCCGTATCATCAACCATATCCTCATCAGGAGAATCATCATGATTGTAATTTCCGCTGTGAGAGTTGTCCATGTATTCATCCGCTGCTGTCATGTCCTTGTCTGGGTTGGAAGCCTGATCCTCCATAACATCAATATCAATCTCGAAATCGTCAGCATGACCGGGGTACGGAGACGCCATCTCCATAGAATCCTCCACCAAGGGAGCTTCCATGGTGGAAAAAGGAAAAGTTGATGTGGTTGTCATGGCATGAAGTAAAAAGACGCGTCGGGAAGTTTTCTAGTGGCGTTTCAGCCCAACAAACGTCGTCGCTGTTGCGAGCAAGGAAGTCCGTGTTCAAGAACCCAAGGTAGTCTTGTGTCTGTGTGTGAAAAGTGGAAGAAAGAAAAGATCCTACTACTCCAGTGTAGGGAGGTGACTGCTGATGGCTTTGCCCGACAGGAGGCAACTCTTTGAAGGTTGTGTTTCAGTGGTAAGCGAGGGGATAGCGCGGCGCACGGGCCAACGGGGGCCGAAGAGAACAGCAATGCTCAAGCCTGAGGTCAACTCACCTCCGCCGCAGGTGGAATATCTCCAGAGTCACGACGTCCCTGGCTTCCTCCCTCAACGCTCTCATTACTTGAACTATTTCAGCTGCAATTCCCCTCCTGTGAAACCTTCTCCCCCGTTTTTAACCATGGTGAGCCCAATCTTTTGCTTCTATTTGTTTCAGTTATGCTTACCGGTCCACACAATATAGGTCATCCTCGCAGCTTCAATATGCACCCGCGGGGGCAAAGCAGTTCTTTCACGCCAGTTCCGAGAAATCGCCCGCTCCCGAATCGAAGCTCTACTCGCGTCTTTCCCAAAGCTTGCGGACTCGGGCACACAGCATACGACTGTTGAGCAAGACAATGTCCGCTTTGTCTACCAACCTCTAGACGAGTTATACATCGTCCTAATAACGAATCGCCAATCGAACATCCTGCAAGACATTGATAGTCTTCACCTATTCGCACAAGTCACCACCAGTATCTGCAAGAGTCTAGATGAGCGGGAAATCCTCCGCAATGCCTTCGAATTGCTGAGCGCATATGACGAATTGGTGACCCTCGGGTATAGGGAAAACTTGTCGCTCACCCAGATCAAGACGTTCCTGGAGATGGAAAGTCACGAGGAGAGGATTCAAGAAATTATAGAGAGGGTGATTGCCGCTCCCAACTCAGACCTCGACGGGATGCTAATTCGTCGCAGAACAAAGAACTCGAAGCGAGCGAGGAACGCAAGAGAAAGGCCAAGCAGCTGGAGATGCAACGCAAAGAGGCTGCTCGCAATGCGCGAAGCGTGGCTCCTCGAACTCCTTCCTACCCTGTCTATACTCCTCCCTCGCGCCCGGCCGTGCCGGACACATACGACAGCTATGAAGCGGAGAAAAAGAAGACTTTTGCCAAGTGCGTCTCCTCCCTTCCACCGTCACTAATTGCTCCCTCTAACATCTACCGTCTTTCTAGGCCGTTGCCCACCCGCGGAAAAGGAATGCAGTTGGGTAAGAAGTCAAAGACTACAGACATATACGAAAAAGTTCGCGGCGATTTGGGCCCAGAAGCGGAAGAGGCGAGCCCCCTGGTGACTCCACAAGCATCAACACCAGTTGTTGACATGGTTTCTTCTGCTCGTGCTTCACTATCTACGGACCGGGAACCTATTCATATCACAATTGCCGAGACTATTTCGGCTTCGCTCACTCGTGATGGCGCCCTCAAGTCTTTCGAGGTCAAGGGTGACCTTCAACTTCGCATCACCGACCCTGCCTTCACCAAGCTCAAACTTGATCTACTGGCGAACCCTACCCACGGTGCGCAATTCCGCACACATCCAAACGTTGACAAGGCTGTGTTCAGCAATTCCTCCGTCATCCAGCTCAAGGATACATCCAAGAGGTTCCCAGCCAACAATTCAATTGGCGTCCTCCGCTGGCGCGTGGCGGGCTCTGGATCCGACAGCGCCGATGTCCTTCCAATCACATTTACGGTCTGGGTCAACAAGGGCTCAGACTCAACCACAGTGACCGTGGAATATGAGCTTACGGGCTCCCATAGCCTTCGAGATGTTGTTGTGACAATCCCTTATGGCACAACGGAGCCAGCGGTATCCAGTTTCGACGCGGTTTATGAGGTCTCGGGAGATAGTCTCGACTGGAATATTGGAAACGTGGACGAGGACAACGCCACGGGCAGCTTCGAGTTCGAATCTACTGGAGATGACGAGAATGAGTTCTTCCCTATGACAGTGCAATTCTCAAAACCCAACCCATTCGTCGAGGTTGACGTGACCGACATCTCTCTACTAGACGAAGGTGAAAGCACAGGATTCTCAAAGGACGTCAAGAGCGTCGCCGAAGGCTACCACATTGAATAGTCACCGCCTTCGGGTACACCAAGTACTAATGACGTTCGGACCGCCCTTCCTTTGTATTCGATTACTACAATAATCTGCGTTTTATCCTGTTTTACAAGACCTTGATCGAATAATGGTATCTCATTTTAAAGTCTAATCTTCCAAAGTCCTCCATCAAGAGAGCAGCTGATTGACTTGTGCTAATGGCTCCAATGTCGGGTCTTATTCTTGCAAAGCTACCTTCAACCTGGCTTGCCTACCTACTTGAGCTTCTGCCATTGCACGCGAGCAGCAATAATGACGTTTACCACGGCGTCCACGTGTCTGGGGCTTTAGGTTTGCGACGTTAAACTCCCGCTGGTCGTTACGGGTCCATTGCCACTGGCACTCTCAAAGCTTCGCTAACAAAGTTGCAGGTGTTCTAGTTTGCAATGGCCGACTTGAAAAGTCAACAAAGCCTAACGTCCCGGGCCGCGCATATCATTTTGGACATCACTCCCTCAGCTCTTGCCTTTTTCCTTCTGCTAACAGCGTTCAGTCTTACTTCTCCGTGTTTCCAAGCGATTTGCCAGGAATAGGACACATTCTCTTTCTTCTTCCATACTCACTTACCCCTATATCGACTATTATCTATCAACTTAGCCGCCACGCAGCAGTGTCGAGAGCGTGAACTTTGGTCTTTGCAGGGATTTTTGATCTACAGATGCGTCCTCTGAATAGAGGTTGGCCTATCACTAAATCCTTTGCTTCATAGTTTATTCTTGACCCACTTGGTCACTGTGCCGGTGTGCCCAGCATGGGCTGGCCAGACAGGCCCGGGTCACGGCAACTGCCATCTCAGCCTCCATCTCTTCAAGCAACATCCCAAGAGACACCTCAAGCGTCGCCACAAACGGTATCTCCAGGTAGCCTGTTCTCCGCTGAATGCAGGGCTCCACTTTCAAGGTCTTTTACTGGCGAACGATACTATTCCTCAGAAACGAACCACCGTTCACATTGCAGCCGTGCCTGTGACTCGTGCAGGAACAGGAAAATCAAGTGTAGTGGTGAGTATAGTGGCTGTGGCAAGTGCAACGCGACCAATGGGATCTGCACTTATTCAGATGGCAAAAGGGAAATAAACAAAAGGTACACCACCCGTGCGGGAATGCTATCGTCGGGCCACTTTCGCTAATATTAGTAGCTTTTCTTACAAGTGCACAGCCGATCGCGAAGAGAAGTCTCAGTTTATGGACAGATGGAATTATTCTATATGCTCTGGCAACAATATATCCGTGGAAGAGCAAGATACCCGTGCCTGGCTTGCGGTCTGGACCCCGACATACATCCATGTTGACTTTCGCCCATATCAAAACAGGAAAACCTTGGAGCAGAGCACGAAGAGGGACCAACAGCCAAAAAACAAAGTCTCGATAAAATGGCTACCCCGAGGACTATGATCAAGGGGCCATCGGATTCATTGGTGGTAGTTCAGAGATCACTTGGTTGCAGCGGCTGATCAAAGAGCTCGGAATCTGTGGTGACCTGAATTCTTCTAATGCGGCAAGCTATCATATTGAATACCGAGGGTCGCCAGTTTCCGATTCATTGTATACAACGCACAGGCCGGCATACAAAGTTGCTTGCCGACTGTTTGACAGATATGCTGCGTCAGTCCATGTCTCCTTTCCAATTGTCGCTGTCGAACGTTTCCGGCAAGAACTCGAGACGTACTACCAGATAATTGGAAGCCCATTCCAGGAGATCCTCCCCAATCCCAGTCGCACCAATGGCTGGTCATCTCTTATCTGATCCTTGCGATCGGTAAACGACACCACTCTCTCATCGGTGACAGCGTATCTACAGAACTAGACGAATCGAGACCCCACAATGTATACTATGAAAGAGCCATGTCCTTTCGCTCGGGATGTACGATATCCCATCACTCGAGGGTGAATCAAGTGCAAATTGATCTACTTGCCTCGCTATACTTGCTTTCCACTGGACAAGTGACTAGGTAAGCCTTAAAATTTTTGGTCCGTGCTATCTGTTTATTAGAGTCGGCCACTAATGTTATCAGGGCCTGGAGTCTATGCGAGGAGACAAACGGTCTCCATGTGGACCTCAGAACATCAGCCTTGTCGGAGAACTTCAAAGAAGAACGATGCCGTTTATGGTGGTCTTTATGTGGTCTGCATTATCACCTCAGTGTCATGACAGGGCGACCCTCTCTCCTAGCGCATGGCATGGCGACAGAGACACTTGACACTGTGAATTCAGAGAGTGCTCGCACTTTTTCCGAGAAAAACTCCGCCGATTTGGACATGGACCAGCTCTACTTCGCTGAGCTTTCCAAGCTCGTTTCGATCGGCTAAAAGATGATGTCTAGGGATTACAACACGATCAAAGTACAACAGGCGCCGTCGATCGAAGCACTGGACCATAAGCGAGCTGCTAAACGAAATCGACACCTGGAGCACGACTCTAACCGATAAGCTTGACCCCAGGGGTCCCGCGACGCCTTCTAAATCGAAAATAACAAGGCAGCGACTGAGCCTTGGGCTGCATTATCATAGTACCAGGATCACTCTGACGCATGCTACCCTTGATTTGCAGGTTCCGGAGCCAGCAGACCAAAACGACCAGAGAGAGGTTTGTCGTCCAGAGTATTTAGCAGCTGAATGCGTCGAACTCTGCATGTCACATAGTTCGGGTGCTCATTCAAGCTTCAGAAAAGAAGATTGCTCTACATGACATATCTTCTTGGTGGTTCGTGCTGCATTTTCTCATGCAGGCAACAGCAGTTTTATGCCGTGAGATATGCGATGGTTTTCGGCATGCCCCCGAGAGGGCTTCCGTGCACAAACAAGCTGCCCACACATCAGTTGAATTGCTGTCAAACTTGTCCAAGAACTGTGAATCTTCGAAAATGGCCCTAAAGCTTGTCAAACCTCTCGTCGAGCATCTTCTTTCGAACGACGGAAAAGTCGAGAATAAGATGGAGGAAGATGAAGAGACAGACGGGGACGCAGTCGGAGAGGCAGACGGAGAGGCAGACGGAGGTGTAAAAGGAGTGCCAGGGGTCGAGGAAGTCGGCGAGGAAGTTGACAATGTCGAGCCCAATCATTTCCAAGGAATCATGGAGGGATTGCTCGCCCCGGACTCCTACCCTACGTCTCATTTCCAGACTGACGTACTACGAATTATCCAGTCAATTCCAGTCGACATGCCTCCGCAATTCGTGGATCCGTCTCAAGTCTCTCTTGGGGGAGGATTCCTGACTGAAGAGGGATTCCCATACCCCTCTTCATGCACAGACAACCTCTACCATTTAGTGACGAGGAGCCGAGACCCCGGCCAGTACGGTTCTGGATACTACTATCCTATCTAACTGCGCAACACCGCTCGAATCAAGCCGCCTGCTGTATTGCATGTCACTCGTTTTGATTAACTAGTGCCAACCGATGTGCTTTAATGTTTTGTTAGCGGTGCCAGATTGGAAATTATCCCTCTTCAGCTTTATCAAGCATCTTGATATCCTCAGAGTGTACTAGAAATTTATCAAGTCTCCAAGGTCAAGTTGCTCGTCCTGTTATCCAATCGCGTGACAGCAGCGCAGAGTATCTTCCGCTATCTGTCAGCACAAATCTAGAAACGGAGTATTTCGTATCCTCTCCAGCAGGGGCTAGTGACTAGATACCTCCTCTGAAACCACTTTCTCGCTTATATACAAACAAGCACATATACAAGAAGAGACAGGATAGATCATGATGCCTCCCAGTTGCGCTTCTTCGCCGTAAATAATAACCTCGCATCCTCCTCCCGAAGCTCCGCTGCAGGCATACCGCGCGACATGTTCGGTACCCCACTTATCCTAGACAGACGAATATCAATAGCGAGGGCTCTACGATGAGCACGATTCGCCCAGGATCCGTGGATCTGCGGCCAAGCGCCACCCGGCGGCGCTTCAACTCGACGCCAATACCGCATATTGACACCGAGGAGGCCCCGCTCGTCGCCAACGAAGCCTTCAATGCAATCGAGAGACGGAAGAAACCGTCGCCTGATCCCGCAGGCTGTATGGTTCGAGTCTATCTGGTAATCTGGACATTGCTTGAGGGACGAGATAAGGGCCGTGATGTCCGCTGGGGGGAGCGAGCGCTCCGAGGACAAAGTTTCCGCGGTGGCGGGATTTTCGTTCTCGTCCATGTCCGGGTTAAAGTCTGGGTCTATGAGCGTTGAGCCAAGGAATATGGTCTTTGTGCGGAGGGCGAAGAAGCGCGTCATTTGGCCTAGATGGAAGGCGTCGCAGGCGCTCGAGTTGCCTAGACCACAGCGGCACTGGTATGGTTTGGTCGGCTGATTGGGGATGTTGGGCTTTGTTGGGACCGTGTGCTCTTCGATGGCGCCAAAGACACGGAGGAAGTGGGCTTGCAGGTCTGTGATGGTGTTGAGGACGCATTGTCGGCGGTAGTAGAGCTCTTCTGCTAGAGGTTAGTGTGCTGCTGTGTAGCAAGGGTGGTACATGTAGCTATACCTTCAAGGCCATCAGGAAGATATTGCCACTTGGGAGTATCGGGGTCTGGACTCTCGATGCCACTAACCCAGAATTTCGACCCAGACACGATCAGGGCATGAGTTAGTATTTGAAAAATAGTCCGTTCATTTACAAAACTGGCAACGAAAATAGATTGCCGGATACGGTCTTCGCTCAACCTCAATACTGAAGAGTTGAACTTGGTCAAGGGGAGCTTTGGCCTCCCCAGCGTATAATTGCAGCGTCCAAGGGTATCATAGACAGCCTGCGTAGAGTTATAGGCATCGGCTAGCTCAATCAATTTCGCGATAGATGACGGCCGCTGTCCTCTGATTTCGGCACTAAAGCTCTCCTGTTCTTCCTCATTAAATGAGTGATATGATAATATCCTGAGGAATAGCTCAATGGTGTCTAATCCGGAACAATATGATGGATGATTGTTTGGCAATCGGATAGTCGGCAAGGCATAGTCCTGTACGTGTGCATAGTCTGAAGAGTCAAAGTTTCCCCCATGTTTCCAAGAATCTAGGCCCTGGCTATAAAGTTCCCGTTGCCTCATGAGATGTTTCCCCTCTGAGAACTTATTCGGGTCCAAGAGAGCACAAAAGTAGGGGCTGCTTTGCATTAAGCTTTCACTGTCGACTCTCCAGCGGTAAGAAGCAAGGCCATTCACTCCCGTCGTGGGAGATTCATATTCCAAAAAGATGTCGCCGCTCTCAGCAATGACCCGAGTAGTCGTTTGAGAGCCCAAGTCGGGCCCGCCGCCGTTGAGACTCTCCGCGACGGATGCCAGCACTGGTCGCCCTGAGAATAATGAATTCGCCACACCTCCTTTATCGGAGATTGCGGTATGTCGGAGCGAATTAGCAATGGTCTCAGTTGACGGTAGGGGCGGATATTCCGAATCCATCGCCATCCATCCGAAAAGCTATAACGTCATCGGGATAGACTTTTGGCTGGGTAAAGTGGCAGGGTCAATGCGGAGTGGAGAGCACAGCGAGCACGATCCATGCACGCTATAAAATGATAGAGGAGGCTGGTAAGCTTTTGAGGGACGAGTTGCTAGAGTTGGGTTGAATCTCTTGTCTAGGATAAGTCTCTTCCAGCCGTTGGGCGATGAATAACGAACGTCATGTGACCCCTCACTCACTCCGCTGGCTGCTAAAATCTGTTTGATCTCATTCTCCTGTAGGCGTGGTATTCGTTTTTCGAGATACTGCTATGAGGGGTACTCACTGAGTGAGTTCTCAACCATGACCATGACGATGTAGTCAGGACTTTGGGGACCAGTCTGGACTCGAGGCTTCCGGCCGGGTCGTGACAGCAGTATACTTCACTAGGAATTTCAATTCACCACCACGAGTTGAAAGGTCATTCATGACGTATTGCGATCTCGCTATTTGGAAAGAAAAAAAAAAGTACCAGATTGATCAGGTCTTGAAGCAGTGTCTTGACCCGGCTCCCACATAGTTCTGTTGTCGGAATGTGGAAAAAATACCTTCGATCGGCCGAGGAGAGCCAACACCCGTACCTAACTCGTCAGCATCGGAAGTTTCAATGAAACTTCCTGGGGGCTGTTGCATGCTGAGCAAAACTCTAAGGCGCAAAAGCAAGTTGGAATATCATCGCAAACTGTGTCTTTAGAACCTCGCCCGCCAGCACTGCGGACCATGGGTGGATTTTGATTAATAATTAATATAATATATCGGTCTGTAATAGTTCTGCATCCGTTAATTTCTGCAATCAAATGATGTCAAATTTTGCCAGTAGTTGAAGACAACGTCGAAGTCCATTGGGCCAGAAACGCGTATTAGGCATGAGGATCGAAAACAAAGCACAAATGTCTATCTGCCCTGAATACGAGGTAAATGCTGATAATGTAGGAATATAGTCATAGTCATGATAGAATATCAAAAGAATAAAGGAGTCAGTCCAGTGCTTCATGGTAACGATACAATAGGAACATGCAGTAAGCTAGGCCGACGACGATTCGTCTCCGTTGTCGAGTTCGCTGTCGCTGTCGCTGAGCCGATCTGCTGGGAAGCGAAAATCTCGCGAGACTTAAAGCCTTGTCTAACGATTGAATGTAACCGTGAAGCAAGAGGGTTGAGGGAGTCTGGGAAAGAATCTGGCAACTCAGAGGCTGTTGTCTGTTCGTCGGGCTGTTGATCTCCAATCAGATTGAGCTTTCGTGAGATTACTGAGAACAGGGCTAAACACTGCGGCGGTGTTTCGTCACCCTCCGAGTTAGGCTGCTGTTGCTCGTCCGAACTCATTGTTTGCGCCAACACATCCGGGTCGAAAAAATCATTGTCGTGTCGTGACGCCAATTGCCATGGTTGTCCGCAAAGGAAGCCTAGAACAAAATCTCGATTGGCATAGGCGGCAGCCATCGAGCTCTTGCGGTACTCGGGTGTGAAGGCCGAATCACCGGCAGAGGGAAGGCAAAGAACAAGGCCGCGGGCGAGAAGAGGGGCAGGTGGAAGGTCGCTATCAATTGCTGGCGGTGCTGCGTCACTATAGTCCCAAATATCGTTCTGTTCATGTGATTCGAGCTCGTTCAATGCCTCAGTTGAGTCCTCGGTATGCTGAGTTATCGTTTGCGTTAGGGAGATGGTGGAGGCTTTTCGGGGAGGAAGACCTAGATTGTTGTTGTCGTTCACGACATATTCTGGTGCCGGATGCTCGGGAATTGAATCTTCGCTGTTTCCCCTCGTCCAGGACGGCCGACCCGGGTTACTGTCCGCTGTGATCTCTGTTCTGATGGTCTGAACGGCGTCCGCCACGGCTTCCCGAGCAGCAGCTTTCAGAGTCGGGATCAATATGTCCGCCGCCTGGTTGTTGACTGCCACGCCAGAGGCCCAAGCGGTCGAGATGTTTGCCCACGACGCTGGCTTGACCACTCCCTTGGTGTATTTCTTGCGGATGAGGTCAACCAAGGTGTTCCTCATTTCCCTTGACTCAGCTTCTTGCCGGCCAATGACACCGACGGTTGAGTTCAAGATTCGACCACTTTCCCAGACCAGAAACGCATATTTCTTGGCCAAAGAAGACAATTGACGGATGGTATCCTCAGACCAGTCATCAATGATATCGGCATGAACTTGGAGAACGGCGATATATGGACCCACGAGAGTTGCTAAACGGATGAGAGCATCTGTGTTGGTGACGGTGTGGGAAGGAGACACACAAACGGGTAATCCATATGGCAATCCCTTTTTGGACTTGGTCAAAGCTTGCAGATAGGCGATCAGACGATTGCCCGGGAGCGCTGAAGATTCTAAACTGGCAGAGGCCATTTGGGATGAGGTTCAGAGGTAGATGGATGAGGGGTAATCCTCGGAGTGAGCTATGCGGAGGCGGTGATGTATGTGTGAGCGAGGAATCTCTTTCTTCAGCTCTTCAAATAGGTAATTGAAAAGAATAGTGTGAATACCGAGCAGGGGGGAGAAAGAAAGATGGTGAACCGTCAACGAGGATCTGGAGCTGAACTAAAGCACGGCTAAGGTGGCTAACGTGAATTAAACTGATCCTGGGGGCTCTCCAGGTCTGCTCGGGTCTGAGACTCTGGGGCCAAGACGAGAGATTGACAGCTTGTCCGAATCTAATAATTCTCCACCGAGCCTTTAGCCGCCAGTGGCCAGCAGTGATTTGGATCTTTTGACGATTATTTGAGACCAGTCTTCTGCTTCGGATGTTTGGCGCATAAATGCCTATGTAGAACGGCTGGATGCGGAGTAGAAAAGCGATCGCAGGAAACCAAAAGGCGTCGGAGAACTGAAAGAAAGGAGAATGAGGGGCGGGTGGCCCCTGGAAACTTATACCACCGATCGTTCAAGAAGCTGGAGCTCATCCATACTTTTCGCTTGTTTTTAACTTCCAATCCAGCGACAGCTCTCACAAGGACCTGGTGCTCTTTTTTTTTGCTTTTTCCACTGGGAATTGCTTTTGCTTGCTTGATGCACGGTAGAGCCTGTGATCAGTCAAGTTTCTTCTGTTTGATGCTGGACATTTGGATAGACTGCGGGATGATCCAAGAAAATCGAGTAACTGGGCTCGGAATTCCGCACTAAGCTGCATAAGTTAATAGGTCGAGGATGATCGCCCCAGGTGGTTCCAAGTCCCAGCTCACGGGAGACAATGTTGCAGTAGCCTCACTTTTGCCGGGCACCACAGAGCTGAGGAGTCGGAGGGAAGGGGGAATTGTCCAAGGGGGAATAATCGAATGACATGCTGCAATTTTCAATCCACTTGAAGCCTTGAGACAACATCCATGAACCTGAGAACCCGATTCGAGTCCACCGTCTCTGAGACTCGCCAGTCGGACGGATCATTCAATCTTTCAGGGGCTGTCCCAAACAGGCTTAGCCCTGCCGAGAACGCCTTTTGCATCCGCTCCCCAGACTTCACTTTTTTGAATGAACTTGAAGTTTGAACTTCTTGGATTCCCGAGTCCTTGCACTGTCAATAACTTCAAACTTCGAGCAAAGCGCCAAGCTGTCTATTCCTTGCAGGGAATCCCTTTTTGTCCTCTGTTTCGCCTGTACGGTTCCGCGGTGATCCGTAGCTGGCGGGCTCTCGCTGAGCAAATTCTTTCCTCGGAGCCTCCGGACCCGTCCCTGAGTATCAATTTCGAGCTCACGCCACTCTTGACCTCAAACCATTTATTGCGGACGCTCACCATCCCCGGCCACAAAAGCCTCGGCGAAATCCTCCTTCGTTTCCTCGCTTGCTTCCCCCTTCGCCTGACATCTCCCTTGATACCTTGACTGTCAATTTTTCGGGGTTTTCCCTCTGTGCCGATCATGCCTGGGAGGACTCTGCCTACATTCACCTCAGCAGAGGTCGAGTCGCACAACAGCGCTAAGTCCTGCTATGTGACGATAGGCTCGAAGGTGTACGATATTACTTCGTTTGTTGAGGACCACCCGGGAGGCGGAGACCTGATTCTAGAGTATGCTGGGAGAGACGTGACCGAGATCCTACGCGATCCAGTCTCCCATAATCACTCAGATTCAGCCTACGAGATCCTAGAGGAGAATCTCGTCGGATTCGTTGGGCCTGGATCGTGCAGCAAAGCAGCAAACGGAGTACCACAGCCGGTGTACGCTGGTACGGGAATGTCGACGGAAGAGGATCTGTCCATCGACACAGACTACAACAAGGATTATCAGACACACAAGTTCTTGGATCTCAACAAACCTCTTCTTATGCAACTATGGAACAGCGGCTTCAGTAAGGACTTTTACCTGGAGCAGATTCATCGTCCTCGTCATTATAAGGGAGGCGAGTCTGCTCCGCTTTTCGGCAACTTCCTGGAGCCGTTGAGCAAGACCGCCTGGTATGTCGTCCCGATCATTTGGCTGCCTCCTGTCGCCTACGGCACGGTCCTCGGGTTTTCTGGGCTGGCAAACCCCCTCGGTGCCACTGGTTATTGGATCTTTGGCTTCTTCCTATGGAGCTTGATCGAATATGTCATGCATAGGTTTTTGTTCCATATTGACAAGTACGAGTTACCATTCTCCTATACTTGTACAGTAGTTCTAACGTCTCTTAGATACCTTCCCGATAACCGAGTTGGAATCACTCTGCATTTTCTCCTCCACGGCATTCACCACTATCTGCCAATGGACAAGTACCGACTGGTAATGCCACCAACCCTATTTGTTGTTCTAGCCACACCGTTTTGGAAACTTGCGCACTCGGTCTTTTACTATAACTGGTATGCCGCTGTGCTTGTGTACTGTGGCGGCGTTTTTGGGTATATTTGCTATGACTTGACACATTATTTTCTTCACCACCGCAAGTGAGTAAACCGGATTCGAGAGACACATTGCTTGTCCCTTACGCTAATCTTCACAACAGCCTGCCTTCATACTACAAGCAGCTCAAGAAGTACCACCTTCAGCATCACTTTGCCGACTACGACAACGGTTTCGGTGTCACTAGCCGCTTCTGGGATTGGGTCTTTGGCACTGAGATTGACCTTCCACCTCCCAAGGTTCTGAAGACTCAGTGAACTGTTCATTATCCCGTGTTCTCCACTGGACTATACACTCTATACGACCTTTTGAGGGCATTTACTACTTACGAGATAATGTTGTGGTTGGGTGCATCATGTCATCTAATAAGCTTACATTGCGAGTGTGATGGGCTCTGCTCATGCTTCCCGATTGTATTTCTACTAATAATCATGTTGGTTGGGGGTACTTGTTTCTTTTATTCATTCCTCTAACTATTCTTAGTACCTTATGACTGTATATGAATAATTAAGAAGATATGATACTATATGCGTGTGTCTCCGCCCAATCTTGTCTCTCTTAACATAAAGATCAGAGCAGAAAAGCGAGCCTGTCGACCAGTTTCCATGGTTCAACGCGGGAGCGAAAAAATTGGAGGCAAAAGGCTAAGCGTCACGTGATATATGCGCTATCACGCAAGTCGCCTGAGGTTGCCCATTTCTCACTTCGACTTTCATCTCAAAGGCGATTTCAACGCCAAGAATCTCAAAACACTTTCGTCATTTTACCTACAGAGTTGAAAGGCTCGATTTCCACTACTGCGTTGGCTTAGATTTCTATATAAAATAGCGGACAGCAGAACTCCCAAGAGAATCTAGGTTTGAAAAGGGTTCGCTCGAAACAAGCACAATTCGCCTTCGCACTCTAACGAGACCAAAGTGATTTGAATCCCATCCGCACGATCTCTATAGCCCTCCGTCTCGTCATTCTTTCATCATTTGTTCTACAAAGGAGGATTCTCAGCCTATAATTCGACATGTCAGGTCTCGACGTTGAAGCTCTCCTCGAATCAACTGCCGCTCCCGCCGCCCAGGACGATCGCTCCAAGACCGAAAATGGCGACCGACGCGATGAGCGCGATCGTTCGCGCGACAGAGAACGCAGACGACGCGATCGCAGCCGTGACAGACGCCGCTCAAAAGACGCCGACGGAGATGATGACATGAAGAGTCCGAAAAGCGAACACGGCAGTGCTAACGGAAGCCATAGAAGCAGAAAGAGGAGTAGGAGCCGCGACAGTGACCGCCGCCGTGCTCGCCGGGACCGTCATGGCGACGACTACCGCTCGAATGGCGATTTCTACCGTGGTGGCGGCCGCGCTCGCACCCGATCGCGATCTCCATACGACGACAGATATTACCGCCCCTCGGGTCGCTCCCGCCGAGATGAGCGCGATGAAGATAGACGTACTCGCCGCGACCGTGACACACGCAAGCGAAGTCGCTCGAGAAGTCAAGACAAAACCCCTGAACTCAACGAAGATGAACGCGATAGGCGCACCATTTTCGTGCAGCAACTCGCGGCGCGACTGAGGACGAAAGAGTTGATTGCTTTCTTTGAGAAGATCGGACCTGTCAAGGAAGCTCAAATTGTCAAGGATCGTGTTAGCGGAAGGTCTAAAGGGTAAGTCACCTCTTCCTACCTTCGATCATCATTCTCTCAAAACTAAATTTCTCTTTCCAGTGTCGGTTATGTCGAATTTAAAGACGAAAGTTCCGTTGCGCCCGCTATCCAGCTTACAGGACAGAAACTTTTAGGAATTCCCATCATCGCTCAGCTGACTGAAGCCGAGAAAAACCGCCAGGCGCGCAGCTCCGAGGCCAGCAGTGGCAACAAACACGCTGCTCCCTTTCACAGGTTGTATGTGGGTAACATCCATTTCAGTATCGATGAGAGTGACCTCCAGAGTGTCTTTGAGCCATTTGGCGAACTCGAATTTGTTCAGCTTCAAAAGGACGAGACCGGTAGGAGCAGGGGCTACGGTTTTGTGCAGTGAGTCACTCAAGTCCCATAGTTGCCTACAATAATCACTAACATACGGCTTGCAGGTTTCGTGATCCCAACCAGGCCAGGGAAGCTCTGGAAAAAATGAATGGCTATGATCTCGGTGGTCGAGCCATCCGCGTTGGCCTTGGCAACGATAAGTTCACCCCTGAGAACACCCAACGCACGCAGAGCCAAGGTGCAAACCAAAGTAACTTCCAGGGCTCTATGTTCTCAGGCTCCGGTGGGCGTGGTGTTCAGGCTGGAGGCACCAGCAATTTCGATCGTGCGGGAGGCCGTGAATCTGAAAAGGGAACCGGTGCTAGCGCGTTGGATGACACAGACGTTGCCGGTGTGAACTTCAACAATTTCAGTAGAGACGCATTGATGAGGAAGCTTGCCAGAACAGATGAACCTGCTGAGCCTTCTGCGGACGTTCCGCAGCAGAAGATAATCCTGCCGAAGACTGAAGCAAAGCCGCTACCTGTAAACGTCAACATGGCGAGCCGATGCGTTATGCTTCGCAACATGTTTGACCCGACTGAGTTCGTATCACCCCAACCTCCCTCCGTGACATCCATTTCTAACCATTTCTATAGGGAAGAGGGCGAAGCTTGGATCAAGGAATTGGAGGATGACGTCCGCGCTGAGTGCGAAGAAAAATATGGCCATGTTGTTCACATTGCACTAGATCCCAACTCCCAGGGCGACATTTACCTGAAGTTTGACCGCGTCCAAGGCGGAGAGAACGCCATCAAGGGCCTCAACGGACGATTCTTTGGCGGCAAGCAGATCACAGCGCAGCCTGTCGTTGACGCTGTTTACAGCAGTCTGTTCTCTCGAACGAAGGCCATTTGATCACACCTCGCTACCCTCGTCATGCCCTCTCAGTCGAGCGACCTAGCACGAGAGTAGGCGGAGAATGGTAGGTATCTCGTCTAATTATCTTGTCTACCAGGTGCGACTTGTGGACGACAGGACCTCTGAGGTTCAACATTGTCACTTCCCCTGGTAGGTGCTTGTTTCTCAAAGTCTCGCCCAATCCGGTTTATCTGAAGGCCGAAGGGCTTGATGCGCAATGATTTGTTTATAGGGCTCTGCATTTTGTTCTAGCGCAAACCGAAGTTGCCATTTATCTCAAGCATTGTTTCTTTCTAGGAGTTGCAGTATAAGTACATTTGTAGGTTTCGATCAAAAGCACCATCTCCACTTCGTAAGGACACTACTCGAAGCGCCCAAGAAACAGGCTTGGAACTGAGGACAACGACACTGCTCATTGTTATTTAGGCACTAGAGCCTTTTGCGCTAAAAAGACAATGATTAAACCCAAGAGAAAGCTTAAAGCAAAATCAGCGCAATAACACTAGGAAACATTGAGGAACAAGTATAAAAGAGGTCGCGTTTTACTCATATCAAAGCTAGTAAAGAGAATGTGCGTATTAAATCTTGGAGAAAAGTCATGGCGCATAAAGACTTTCATGCACAAGTGAGACAGTAAAAGCTTCAGTCTTCTTGGCTCTTTCTTTCATGTCTTGTTTCCCTCTTGTTGCGAGTTTCTTTCTTCTTGTTTCGTTCTTGTCCTTGTCTTTTTGTACCCTAAGTGGTGGCACCTCCTCTTGTTTACCAACCACTTAAAGCCCAGTCGTGTCCTGGAAGGCCTCTTTCGATGGGTTATAAGGTACGTAAATCCTGAGAGCAAACTGACTGTGTTTACTCTCTTGCGTCTGTTACTCACGCCCATCTTGCACTGCGTGCTAGATACAAACCAGCTTCCTTCCCTCGTTGGATATGACTTCCAATAGCACCAGCGACTCTGTTGCCGGTAGCCCAGGACCCAGCGTCCGTGTTGAGGAAACAGAGTACGAGACCATGCGCAACTCCAAGGAGCGTTTCTCATCGCTCTCCAGCTCTGAAATGAAAGAAATGGAGCGTCTGCGCCGCGAACTCGAAGACTCTCGCCAGCGCATCGACCGCGATACTGAGGTGATCAACAACCTTCATGAAAAGGTCACCGAGTTGGAAGAGCTCGTGAAGAAGCAGAAGATTACCATCAGTACCCAGAGTAGAACGATCTCTGATCGTAGGGTTCTCCGGAAGAACCAGCAACAACATCAACAGCAGCAGCACCAGTCGCCCATGGGGGTGTTTCCAATGACACCTACTCATCATTCTCATGTGAAGCAGTATCAGTTTCCTAATTCTGGTGCTTCAGCCGTCTCGTGTGCGGGTAATGTTGGCGGCGCTCCTGGTGGTGGTGTATACTTGGCACATCAGTCTCCCTCGCCGTTCGACATACAGACTCCCCAGTCTGTGCACTCGGTCAGGCCAGCCTCTCAAGGCAGCACTGTCTTCGATCAGCCTCCCCCAAAGTTTGAGATTTCATCAGGGCTGTCGGCGCCTGCTCCCACCTCTTTCGTTCCGCCGGCACTGGCTCAAAGTGTGCTCAACCCTATGGCTATTGCCCTCTCTAACAGCTCTGATCCGGGAACTTCATTCTGCCCACATCCGGTAGATACCTATCGTAAGGAGCTAGCGGATTTTTCAACTAGGTTCTCAGGGTTGATGCGGTCGGTGGAGATCTTCGGCCAGGCGCATGCGAGCCTGCCCAACATCTTCATGGATAGCCACTTGGATGACCGCGTGAAGGATTACCTTATGGCCATTTCGAGTCGCTCACAGGCCTCTGCTCTCATTGGAAATGCGGCGACTCGAGGGTTCTTCGTTGCAAAGGCGATCAGTTATTATTTGGTTCATAACGTCCTGACCACCTCGGCGATAAAGGGCTTCGATATCTCTGTTGATCTTGAGATTGATCAAATTGAGGAGCAGATGACAGCCCGTAAGTCCCCATTCCCGGCTATGTGGTCATTTACCAACTAACTCTTGACAGACTCCTCCGCCAGCATGCGCCATCTCATGCTCACAGCGATAACCACCCACCTCACAACCCTCTCAAAGAGACCCAACTTCGCCGAACTCTCCCAGCTCAAAATCAAGAACCACATGCACAGGCTATGGAAGTTCATAGGTCCACTCAGCCACGACCCCTCAAACCAAACTGGTCAGGTATACGCAGATCTCACCCATATCATAACAGACGCACAATCCCTAGCTATCGACATGTACTCCGTCCCTCTCGAGTACCGATTCGACTATCCCGAGCCGGGTGAGCCATTCGATTCTCTGACTATGATCAATCGCGACCCGTATCTCCACGGGGACCCGCTTACCCTGAAAAACGGTGATACTCACGTCCGGTTGGGGATTTCGCCTACCGTGCGGATCCGAAATAATGCTCAGTCGCCCGGTGTGGTGAATCTGATGTATTTGGGACATGTCTTGCTGAAGATGCCCAAGAAGCAGAATTCTTGATTACACTGTTTGATTCGGACCTTTCCTTTTTTTTGCTGTTCTCTTCTTCTTTTCATTTCAAATGCATTGCATTCAGCGCTGGAGTACATCTGGTAAAACAAAAAAAAAGGGGTAGAGCCCGCCATAGAATGAAGAAATCGGAGGACAAAAGAAAGGCGTTTGTCAGGTTTATGACTGTGATGAGGACTTGAAAGTACTGTTTCTTCCTCTTTCTTTTTACTTTATCTGTTTTTGATCCTCATTTTCGGTTTCGATTCCGGTTGTTGTCTTTTTCTTGCTCTCTTCTCATTTCCTTTTTCTTCCACATTTGACGTTGCTATGTCCCCGCTCTGTCGTGTATTTAGAATGAGCACTCCTTCAGGAAACGAAACATGAATGGAGCAAGTCCGGTTAGGTCTAATAGGATAATATGGTCGTTCCATGGTGAGCAGGTCTGCCACGCACGGGCGTATACCAAGTTCCAGGAAACCGTTCGGGACGATGGCTATGTAGGTGCACCGACCAGAGGGGCCAGAGGCACTCGGCTCTCAAGGAGTCTAGGGCAGAACTGAACTCATACCTCGCCGTTGCTAAGCACGTTCATCGGCCCTTTGGTTTTTTTATTACTCGGGAGCGAAGCTCCAAGTATAGATGAGAGTCTGTAGGGCAAACTAGTCCCAAACGGTCGGCTAGCGCTTACTAGCTTTGTTTAGGCTGATAGTGTCAAATAATGAGACGACTACCACCAAATTGGGGCTGTGGTTTAGTGGTATAATGTTCCCTTAGCATGGGAGAGGTCCTGGGTTCGATTCCCAGCTGCTCCACATTTTTTTGCGTCTTTACTGTAATATCAAAGTAGCACCCTCTAACCCAATCGACCACTCCTTATGGTCTATTTTTTTTTTTCTTGTGATATAGACAGGATATGGACGGCCGAAGGCCAGATCCGAAGTATACGTCAAGGTGCCGTTAACGAAGCCCTAATGACTCTCGTTCTCACCACAAAGTATGCTCGACAGCACGCCAACGTCAAGGGAGCACATAATAATAGATGCCCCAATTCGCCTCTCCAATCCGAGAGGACAGAGCTATGCTGGTTGGTTTTATGGGTAGTCTGATCGTGCATATCACGAACTGGGGTTGCCCGACTCAAAGAAAGCCGAGACATACCAGTTTCCAAACCAGACGTATTAATCCCGTGGATGACCCGGCCCTAAATAATTAACACAAATTATTCCCTCCAATGGGAAGGGATATATCATACCAGGGACGGACAGTCAAGAATGTGTATGCTTACTGCTTCCACGGCTCCGAGGCTCTGCTACCATGCATGTCTCACTCATATAACCACGGTTAAGAATCGATAGCACGGATCAGTAGCAGGACACGACATTCCACGTCATGCGCCGCGTGGTTGTAGCCGTCGAAGCTAATTATAAGAAAAAAAAAGCACTTGGCATGGTTACTGTAGAGTTTGGCGTGGGCTTCCCCGGACATCTTCGACCAAGGATTCCAATCGGCTCCTCAACAACAATCCAGGTCACATATATCCATGGACTGGCCATAAAGGCAGTTTCTCAGGGTAGATACAGTACCAGCTAAACCGCTGAAAGGTCATAGTCAACCCGCTAGAATACAATGCATCATGGTCAAGTCACATGTATGGAGAACCAAGAAATCACCTGGAAGGATGTTAGTACATGAAAATGGAGTTTACGTGGCAAGTGTAACTCGGCCATGCAGTGGTGACATACTAAGCTTCATGGAGAGGCCATTCTTCTCTTTAGAATAGTGGTAGACATACTGCTCGTAGGGTTGGTTTTAATATCTACTATGTAACTATACCTTGCTGCAGTCGATCTCATAGGCGAGTATAGAGTTCAGCTCTGCATCCTTCAAGAAGCAACCCTCTTTCGCAACCTCCTTTCTGTTCAACGAGGATAGAAGAACTTTAAAGGTGAAATGAAGAGAGGGGGAAAAAAAAAAGTCTTCCCAGTTTAAAACATACGCTCGAGGAAACGAGTAAGATGAAAAAAAAGTGGAGCAGCTGGGAATCGAACCCAGGACCTCTCCCATGCTAAGGGAACATTATACCACTAAACCACAGCCCCAGTTAGATGAAAGCGCAGTCCTTTTTTGCCGCTATACTCTATATCCATAAAATGTATACTATTCTTCTCGTGGCTGGTATCCCAGTTGGTCCTTGCCTCTTTAAGTACCTGTTCAGAGGTGTGCCTTATTCTGAATAAGTCATCCTAATGGGATTGGTTCCACCTGCCAGCTTGAACTGGCTACTAATCCAATTGCGTTGGTTGACATTTCGGTGGCCGTCAAATATATATACTTTGTGGGCCCCTCCCGTATCATTCTACAGATGTCAATGTCCGCTCAACAGGCTCCCTATACCAGCAGCGAGTACCAAATGGATGGCACTTCTTCGCCTGGCTTGCCAAGAGATCCCATGTACGCCCAAACGAGTCGCAAACCCACGTGCGCTGTACACAGCACAAGGACGTCCAGCGGAGAGACAAACACTGGCACTCAACCTGCAACCATACAGTGCTCCTACAATAACACCTATCACGTCACCAGGCGAGAACGGCAGAGCTGGATGTTGTAGTACGGTGCGTGCGTCGATACAGCTATCGCATGCCCACCCGAAGGCACGGCCGGGGTGCAATTCAAAGGATCTCGGCATATCACCCAAGTAGCGACGCTCCGTCGTCCGACATGGTCGATCGAAGTCGAAGATCTGGCTATCAAGGGGACTTCAGATTAGGACATGTACGTAGGTATCCACTATACACACAGACGGCCGCGAGAAAGTGGGACGTGAGCAGACCGCACCGCTACGACAAAGTAAGCCCCTTCACATACTAGTCAAAGACAAACCACACCACCCACACCGGTACTCACGAGCATTGGTGGTAGAGTCTGAACCGAAAAAAGTCGTACAGCGGAGACCGGCTGAAGGAAAGAGATAGGAACAACCAAAGCGCCGAGTCATCTCTGGGGACACCCGAGGTTGAATAAAGGAAACAGCGCACACCACACCAGCCGGTCGTCCCCCCCCTCCAAGACAAGCCGTGCCCCAAGCAAGGGCGCGGCCCAGAGAGGCACCTTCCTATTTCGAAAAAGGAAGGCACCGCCGGCGAAGGGAACGGTCGTTCCTTCCTTAGATACCGAGCGGGGTGCAGGCGGAAGGCACGACCGTGAAACGTACTTTCCTATACCATTACAGGAAGGCACCCCCACCGTTCCTTCCTCCGAAGTCCGCTTGGTCAAGGAAGGTGCGACCGGAACATGCACCTTCCTAATGCGAGATAGGAAAGAGCGCTGATCGTGCCTTCCCTCAAGCTCGGTCAGCAGAGCGAGGAAGGGGCGGCCAGAACACCATAGCCCGAGTCTGGAAGCAACGGCTGGCGAGAGCCATATCGTTATATACCCCCCATATTCAATTGCAGTGGATGCGAGGGTAATATGGCAGAAACGGACCATACTGCCTCACATCCCGCATTGCTAAGTGGACTCGAGAACAATTCGCACGAGACAAATAGTGGGTTTCCAACTGGCAGATATCGGAGGAATAGGATAGCGAATAGTCTATACCTAGGTACTACCCCAATGGACCGCGTCTCACCTGGGGCAGTGGTCCCCATGGCCCTCCAAAGCAATGATGTGACCACCGAGACAGCAGGGTCACCAGGAACTGTAGAGTCAGGAAGTCATCCAGCAGCAAGGGAGCACAAAAGCTCAGCGGGGACAAGACAGCGGCACCACTGCAGAACAGATAGGCCCGCTATAAGCACCCAAGTACCCGTTCTATTGACCCAGCACTCAGTAGAGACAGTGTAAACGGCCACTGAGCGGTCATCGAGCCATGGGCCTCAAGGGAACGCCCAACAGGATCCAGCAAACACGGTTAATGCGCGAATCACTGGCAAGGCAAACGAAACGAGCAGTGCATACGTAGTCGACATGTTGTATACTGGACGCTAAGCGAGGTTAATCACGTGCCAACCTCGCGCGCACCAAGATCTTCAAATCACAACCCTCTGTTGTCGACACCGGAGATGCGGCAACAAACGAAGCCGCCAAAAAAAAAAGAACTGTATGAACCATTAAGAGGCAAAATGGTGGAGCAGCTGGGAATCGAACCCAGGACCTCTCCCATGCTAAGGGAACATTATACCACTAAACCACAGCCCCATCTTGTTGTAACTCAAGCTGCAAGCGAGGATCATCACGGCGTGAGTGGTATCTGTGCAGGGAGGCGATGCCCTGGTTGGCCCTGGTCGAGGGGGATAGACGTAATGGTATCGGAAAGGCTTCGGCGTAATGGCAGGAGTGGGCGGGGGAACAAGGAGACTGGCCGGATAGGTCGCAGACATTCGCGCGATAAGAGTATAAGAATGCCAGCAGGACACACTAGCTTCGGCAAGAGAGCGTTGGGTCGTCCCCTATGTGGCCTTCGAGATTACTGGCGTTGCGGTCCCTAGAGCAACTGGGTGTCTCGCGATCCTGGACTCCTTGGAGAGTACATGTTCCATATGCCGGGTCAGTTTGTCACTCTGGGTGGTCCTCGCTGATGACGCGGGAATTGATTCGTATGTCCCGAGATTCAACCGAAGTCTGACGCGCTGTCAGTCCGAAGTATATATCGAAATTCAGCCATATTGTTGGTCCTAAGGCAACGCCACTTGACGGATCGACAATGGCGACCGTGGCCGTAAAATAAATGCCCGACATGACGAGAACATTGGAGTGGGATGAGACAGAGTAGATAACAAGGAATGAGACTCGTCTGAGGTGTGCTCTAAGACCTAGGTCGTAGTGTGGAACGGGGTGTATCGGAGGCACGGGGAGTTTCAGGAGCGTTTATGCATTGCAGGTCCTGATTCCGTGTATTTGACGGGTACACGGAGCCCAAACTTGAAGAGGTTGGGATATGAAGGCGATGGTACCCCAGGGTGGGCATAACCAAATCGTCGTCACTGTAGTGTTAGCTGCCAACCATGGTGAGATGTGATTCCGGGACATGGACAGATTGGAGGGGGTCTCAGCTCAGTGTCCCTTAGCATGGTTAAAGCGAGTAATAGGACCGAAGGGTCCGAGATATGGGAGGTTGGTTTATGGGAGGTTGGTGGCTTGATGACAACACGATGCTAGTAGGAGTTGGAACTCGAGGTCCATGGAGTCATAGGAGCTTTGGTCTTTTTTTCGAATATAACCTAAATTACTGCCTCCTTGCTTTATCAAACTGGGGCTGTGGTTTAGTGGTATAATGTTCCCTTAGCATGGGAGAGGTCCTGGGTTCGATTCCCAGCTGCTCCACTTTTTTTTTTTTTGATTTTTCCCTCGCCTCCATCCTGATTCAGGAGGGGCACTCCTTGCCTTTTGTTTTCTGCCCCCTGTTCTTTTTGCCTTCACTTAATGCCGTTGTCGAGTGATGATGTAACTCTTGTCCACAGCTGGTAGGCACTACTCGCATGATTGCTCCATGTTGCTTGGATTGTTAGTCGTAAAACGAACCTAGTATCTGCAAGACCACCCACCACCCTTGGACATAGGTTGCCCTCTAGTTCTCATTAAACGATTCAGTTTCCAGGAAAAAGCTACAACATTCCGGCTTTATCGGCGAGGGTGGCTAACGAAGCTATGATAAGAATAGTAACCACGAATTGCCGGGAGTTTCTCCGTTGCATTCTTCGCCCGGGCCGCAGAAAACGTTATTAGATCAGCCCCCGCAACAGTTGGATCAAAGATTGCCTTTCCTCAACTCATCGCGACATTTCCTTTGTTTTCACTTTCCTCGAGCATCGATGTCGCGGCCTTCATGACTCTGGCCCCGTCGAAGAGAGTCACTGTCCGGGTCTGGACCCTGGCTGACAGTTACAGTACGCTTCCCCATCCCTTTCTTATCTCCGATAGCTCAATGGAGATTACGACACGAAAAAGAAACCATCTCGAAGAACCAAAGTCTCAAAAAACACTTATTCACATTGCGCTTTTTATAGGATGTGTTTCTCTCTGCAGACGCAGCTACCATTCAAACACCCACAGCTCAGATCCGACGCGCAGCGTAAAACGACGCGAATTCCATGATTATTTTGTTACGCATCTTCCGTCATCCTCACTCCATCCAGACCCTAGGGGGCCGCTCACCTCTTTCCACAAGCTTCCTCGCTCAGCTTCAGTTCCCCATACTGGAGAGTCATCACACCCCCCAACTTCGTTTCAGGCTTTAGTCAATCGAGAGACGACCGTAGTTCGAATCCCATTACGCAGCGCAAAACACCACTTTGGAGCTACCACCTCCCGCGGGACTCGCCCTGCTAATGAAGACACATACCAAGCCGGAGTCATTGACATTCCGGCTTTTGCAAAGCGACCTCCCTCATCTCTAACGATACGAGGAGCCGGCGCGCGGGATGTTTCCGGTCCCCGGGAGAATAGAGCCGCCGATAGTGCAAGCGGAGATCCGCAAGTGTTCTACTTTGGTATATTTGACGGGCATGGCGGGTCGGAGTGCAGCACTTTCTTGAAGGATACACTGCATGAGTACATTCAGGATACTGCCGCCGAGTTTGAGCTGCGGTCAAGTTTGCAAAAGCCCGGAGATGACCTCACCAAAGAGGTGGCCGATTCGCCATCGGGCGATTTGCCAATCCGACAAGGTGGTAATGCGTCGCGAGTGCGGCAATTAGAGAGCACTTTAGTGCAAAGCTGGAGGACGCTCGTTGGTGGATATTTCAAAAGATTCGTCCCGCCTCATTTCTCCCAGCTCCCCAAACAGATTGCAGAGGGCGATGAACGACCAGGGCTGGACGACAACAACAACGCCGTCACAATTGAGGAGATTCTCGAGTATGCCTTTTTACGTGCAGACCTGGACTTTGTCTCCGCCCAGGCCGCTAGAAAAGACGATGAGTTGACGAATGTCTGCCGCCCGCTATACCAAGACGACATTCTCTACGGACCGCGCCGTGCTCAGGATATTTCTGGTCTAAGACGATTTAAAGGCGGAAGCACAGCGAGCGTCGTGCTGATTTCCACACCAACGCCCTTACCTTTCTGGCATCCATCAAGCCCTTCCAGCTTGCTGGTCTCGCACGTTGGCGATACTAGGATCCTGCTATGCTCGACGGCAACTGGCGAAGCTATTCCGCTAACATCCAATCACCACCCTTCCTCGCCGGTTGAGGCGAACCGTCTACGACGATACGCAGCTTCATTTGTCACCGATTCCTTTGGTGAGGAACGCATCAGCGGGTTAGCCAATACCCGTGCCTTTGGCGACGTACAATCCAAGCGCATTGGAGTATCGGCCGAGCCAGAGCTCCGCCGATTCGAGATGGCACCTGCCGAGTATTCGTTTATGGTCCTCATGTCCGATGGTATCACCGAGGCAATCAATGACCAAGAGGTCGTCGATATCGTCAAGGAAGCGAAGACCCCTGATGAAGGGGCTCGAAGTGTGGTCAACTTTGCCACGGAGGTGACAAAATCAGGGGATAACTCTACCTGCCTCGTTGTACGACTCGGTGGATGGGAGCGACGCTTGGAAGGTGGATTGGGGAGCTTGGGAACAAAAGAATCTCGCGAATGGCGCCGACAAGAGGCCACTGATCCGCGCAGGTCACGGACATAAAAACAGAGCAATGCATATACTATGATGAGCATTTTTTTAATCAGCTTTCGCTGTACTTTTTTTTTAATTTTTTTTTTTCTGAGCATGAACTGTACATACATACTGAGAATAAACATTTCTTATGATTTCCATTTGGTTACACAACCACACGCGAGAAAGGGAGTCGAGAGCGGATGATTTCCTGTAGATAACCACGGTGGTTTAGAAACAGTCTGAGAAACTCAGGGAGCGAGCAGCAAACTATGAGGTTCTCCTTTCTTTTGCGTGGCTAATGATATGGAGTTGTCCGCACTCCTATGGGGACCTGAATTATTGTTTCTATTCTTCGGATTTATGACCTTTCAATCGCATTCCATCTTTATCTTGCATGGAAGCGAATCCTGCTTCTTCTGTTAGGACTGTAAGTGGCTGAGTTGGGTCGCTTCGAGACTCCGGCTTATCGAGCTTATCGTCCCAAATGAAATTCATGTACTCCGTAGGCCGAGTTGCCCGAAGGAGACGATCCTTGGAATTTGCTGACTCCGACAGTCGTAGCTTAGTTAAATAACTATCACTGTTTATCATCTGGACCTAATCATTGATTCCATCTCTCATCAACACCACTCAATACTCTGGCTTTGTTTCAACCAGCAGCTTCCAAGGACCCTCGCGGTTCTGCTCGAAATCGGCGAACGCGTGCATCCGCGCTCCAAAAGGTACGTTGCTGGATAAAGCTCCCCCCGAGCTGACATTTGACAACGCAGCATTGTTGCACACCTGATTTCTTGAGGTATTTAGAAGATCAGCTTTGTTTAACTGATGCCCAGCTCCTACTTAGTTCTTAAACCTGCGATCTTCGTATGCCGTCAGCCTGATCGTCGAAGTCGCGCAAACACTCCGCGGTGGAAACGCTCGGATAAGAAGTTTCTCCCCTTTTCCACCCACCCTTCGCCCTCGCCTTTCCTCGCCCTCACAATCCACCAATAATTGCGATAATTCCATAAATCGCAAAACCGCATCTCACACATCAAATCTATAACTATGAGCGCTCGAACTCGAAGGCAAAAGGCCGCACTGGCCGCTCAGTCCGAGGGAAGCGACGTGTCGTCGACAAGCAATGGCACGACACGGAGATCACCCAAACCCAGCAGATCTTCGGCTACACCGGAGGTAGAGGATGACGGAGTGAAAGAGAATGTCTACTTATTTGCGCCAAACATTATCGGTAGGACACCCGCTTGTGATGGCTGATAGCTTTTTTTGCAGATTGGGTCTCGCTAACATCGTGTCTCGATAGGGTACGTCCGAGTCGTTTTAGCGATTGCTTCCTTATACTACATGCCTCTCCACCCACGAACGTGCTCGATTCTATACAGCGTGTCCTGCTTGCTGGACGCCCTAGACGGCTATGCCGCGCGGTATTTCAACCAATCCACCACCTTCGGCGCAGTACTAGACATGGTGACCGACCGCTGTACCACTGCCTGCCTTCTCGTTTTCTTGAGCTCTGCCTGGCCGCGGTGGGCGCTCGTCTTCCAGTCTTTGATTGCCCTCGACATGGCCAGTCACTATATGCACATGTATGCTACACTTAGCATGGGAGGTGCGAACCAAAGCCACAAGAAGATTGATTCTTCAAGGAGCTGGGTTTTGTACCTCTACTATAACAGCAGGGTGAGATTTTTGTCTATTCCTCTCATTGATTCCGGGAATTCATGCTGACAAATTTCCCAGACGGTTCTCTTTATCTGCTGTGCTCTCAACGAGCTTTTCTTCATCGGCCTCTATCTGCTCTCTTTCTCTTCTCCCACCCTCTCCCCTTCTCTACTCTACCCTCCCCAGGGAGTCACTGTCGGTGGAACTCCCCCTCCTCCTGCGTCGACCAGTGTTTTCGCTAGTCCCTGGAGTGCTGGTGCTTTGGAATTGGCTCGTGCCAACAAAATCGACAGCTTCTGGCCGTGGGCGATCACCGCAGTCTCTTTCCCTGTTATGGCTTTCAAACAATTCGTCAACGTTGTGCAGCTGGTTAAGGCAAGCAATTGGCTGGTGGAGGGTGATCTGATCAACCGCCGGAAGGCACGCCTTGCTAGGAAGAACTAGGGTTCCCTCGTGTGGACAAGACCTAGAGGCAAACTTCATCTTTTCGACCTGTTTCATACTTTGATGATCTCGAATTTGGTCCCTTGAGATCTCATGGGCTTGACCGTTCCTTTTGACGGCCTTTTATTTGCATCTTTGCATAGTTCTGGTGCTCCGGTCCCATTTTCTGTGGACAGCATGGGCAACTCTTTGCCATTTTCTTTTTGCTATTTTCGCGGCGGATCTCGGTAATGCAAACCGGGTTGCAGGATGGATAGGTTATGCCTGGGCGTGCTTGGGAGGAATTTGTGGAATTGGCCGTGTATATCTGCCACCAACAAGCGTGTTGACCAGGAAGTATTTGAGCGATGGTCTATGATTTCTGTTGACTTCTCTTTCCTTTCCCTTCTTCTTTTACCCTTCTTTTGGACCTCTTTCCTTTCGCTTCTTCGTGTTGTTAATGATCCTTTTTACACCTTGATTTTTAGTTATTTTAATCTTTTCTTTGGCATCGTCTCTTGGTTACACCTTGTATAGAGTGGATAGGCCCAATCGGATTTCCGTACGTAACCGCTCCGGTGTCGGCGTGGGGAAGGCCGCAAATCCACCCCGCCGAATGCCTTAAAACATCAAAGCAGCTGCAACTCTCCAGGTCCTTTTTATACTGCTTCGGATTTTCTGTTCTTGCTGTTATTTCATTCTTCCCTTCAAAGGTGCTGCCAGAATGCCGTCCTACAACATCGTCGTTTTCGGAGGAGACCATTGCGGTCCCGAGGTGAGATTCGCGTACTACAACCACTTTGGCTGGTAGCTGATACTGTATGACATGTTAGGTCACAAAAGAGGCCGTCAAGGTGAGCTTTTCAAAAGCATAAAAACTGCCAATTGATCAATCCAACGAACTAACCCCGCCTTCACGTAGATCCTCCGTGTGATTGAGAAGAGCCGTGATGATATCACCTTCAACCTGCAGGATCACCTGCTTGGTGGTGTAAGCATCCCCTGAACAGCTTTCTGCACTTCCATATTATCAATGTTCGACAACTAATATATTGCAGGGCTCAATTGATGCCACAGGCTCCCCTCTTACCGATGAAGCCCTGAACGCCGCAAAGAACGCCGACGCAGTCTTCCTCGGCGCTATTGGTGGACCAGTAAGTGAGAAACAAAACGCCCAAGACACATAATAAAGGAGAAAACAAGGACTAATTGGGGTCAATCGTAATCTAGGAATGGGGAACCGGCTCCGTCCGTCCCGAACAGGGGATCCTGAAGCTGCGCAAGGAAATGGGCACATTCGCCAACCTGCGGCCCTGCAACTTTGCCGCCCCCTCGCTCGTCGACAGCTCCCCACTCCGCCCCGAGGTCTGCCGAGGGGTGGACTTCAACATCATCCGCGAACTCACAGGCGGTATCTACTTTGGCGAGCGCAAGGAAGACGACGGCAGCGGCTTCGCCATGGACACGGAGCCCTACTCGCGCGCTGAGATCGAGCGCATCACCCGTCTAGGTGCCCACCTGGCCCTGCAGCACAACCCGCCCCTCCCCGTGTGGAGTTTGGACAAGGCCAATGTCCTCGCTACTAGCCGTTTGTGGCGCAAGACCGTGACCGACGTCATGGCCAAGGAGTTCCCTCAGCTCAAGATCGAGCACCAGCTGATCGATTCCGCTGCTATGATTATGGTCAAGGATCCGCGCAAGCTGAACGGTATCGTCATTACGAGTAACTTGTTCGGTGATATCATTTCCGACGAGGCCAGTGTTATTCCTGGTTCTCTGGGTCTGCTGCCTAGCGCTAGTCTGAGCAGCATCCCTGATGGCAAGGGCAAGGTTAACGGTATCTACGAGCCTATTCACGGTGTGTATTCTCTAAGCCCCTTAATCAGTCCCTGTTCGGGAGTGTACTAATGGCTTTGTAGGCTCCGCTCCCGACATCTCCGGAAAGGGCATTGTTAACCCCGTCGCTGCCATCCTCTCCGTTGGCTTGATGATGCAGTACTCCTTTGCTCTTTTCGACGAAGCCCGCGCTGTCCAGCAGGCTGTGAGCAACGTCATCGAGTCCGGTGTGCGCACAGGCGACATTGGTGGCAAGGCTTCCACAACGGAAGTGGGTGATGCCATTGCTGCCGAGTTGGAGAAGCTCCTGAAGAAATAAGTATGTCGGAATGATGGTACATGAAAAAAAAGAGCAGTACTGCGGAATGAGATATGAAGTCTTTTGAATAACTAGAATACCATGCTGAATGCACTTTCATGACGATTTTATAACCATTCAATTCACTGTGCTGCATGTATAGTATGCTGGTGCTGATAACTAACGGGTATCATAAACCGAGCGCCGAATATAATGTAACTACCTTTCTAGCCCTTGATTTCGTAACGCAAATGAAATAAGCCGCTTGCCCTAACTCCTGTACCGCAGAAAGGAACATGGACGAAATGACGAAGAATCTGACTACCGAATCACTGGATCTCCCATCCAATCCGGCTCCTCTAGCGCAGTCACCTTTCCTCTTGTGCTCTCACCATTACCGTCGCGTCCATCATCATCGGCAGCAGCACGTAGAGACTTGCGGGCGCTATGTCTGCGTGTTCGGCCGTCTGCCGATGCAGAGGGGGCATTGCCGATCCGTCGACGGTCGTCGTCTCGAGCAAAGACCTGGAACCCACGTACATGGGTATCCTTTCCGTTTTGATGATTCTCTATCACGCGCATTTGGAGTACCATGGCCTTGAGGACGTTCCCAGCATAAGGATCGTCGTCGTCGTCATCATCGTCGTCAATCTCATCGTCTTCATCGTATACTGCAGTTGTAAAACCGTGACTGCCTCCCTGAGTCTCGCTGTCAATGACCAGCGAATCGTCCGCTAAGACAGCATCCGAATATTTTCCCTTCTCCTTATCCCGTTTCCCCTGAGGCCGAACTGACTTGCGCACCCGTCGGCGGCGTCGCCTGTTCCGCACCCATCCACCATTTTGTCCGCCAACGCCATCAAGCGGCACATCTACCCAGCCGCAAGGGTTGTCGCCGTCCCACGTCGCGAACTCAACAAGATCGTTGCCGCCCATGCCCGCCATGAACGTCATCTTCGTAGGCGTGTAGCTCTCATCTAGGCTAAAGTCGAGGTAAACTCTGATCTTGACAATGGCGACCAATTTGAAAAAGTGTAGCGTGAGCGTATGTGGCTGCGGCCCATCGGATTGCCAGTACTGTGTATGATCTGTATTTCGGAGCGCCGCGACACCGCAGCCGGGCTTATGCGTCGAAACGGTCCAAGACGCGAGCGAGGATATCTCACGGAGGTCGCTGGGGAGTGGAGTGGGTGATTTATCTAAGCAATCGAGCCCGTTAGCTGTCTGTATTCTCATGCAGTAGAGCAGTATACTTACCTCGATCATGCATCATCTCATCCTCGTCCTCAATATCCACATCCCCATCATCTTCAATCTCCTCATCCTCAACACCTTCCAAGTCTTCCCCCTCAGAAAGCTCGACTTCTTCCTCATCAGCATCTAGCCCACGCGCACGTCCAATCTCCGCACCAAACTCCACATCTTCATACTCCTCATCGCCACCATGCTCGAACCCACTATCCCCTTCCTCTTCATCCTCTACATCCCCTACAGACGACCTGGCTGACCTTCCAGTAACACCACGCCCGAACAGATTGAACAGCGCTGCTTGCGCCGCCGCGGCGCGCCTCACGGGCTCCGGTGCACTCGGTCCATCGACATGGGGATCAATTGGGCCCGACGATGGGTGGAGCTGTGGGATCGAGGTTCCCTGAGATGGAGGTGTCTGAAATTGAAATCGCCCTGGCTCAGGGAATATGCGCTGGTATTGCCGCCGGGCCTGCTGTGATTGTGGAGGGGAATCGGAGGATGGGGCTTCGGTACGAGGGGCCGTGGGTTGACGGCGGAGCAGATGGCGAGGCATTGTAGGTAATGCGAAGGTCTATTGAGGTGCTTTCTGGATTTAAACTGTCCCCATTCTCTTTTTTTTTTGGGTGGAAAGGTCGTCCAGGGGAGCCTGCTGTTGAATGTTTGGGGAAGAGTGTTTCTGTTTGGGTTCTTTCCTGCGGTGGAATTCCGCGTCACGTGTTGGTATACTTCAAGGGACTCTGGATGAATCATATTTAAAAAAAAAGTCTGAAGCTGCAATTGTTTGCATAGTGTATTAAGAAGTAATAATATTACATCACCATAGTTATTCAGGGAATAATACAACGACCGGGACATAACGCCGGTAGCAACAAAACCGTAGAGCGCATATTTACATCTACTCCACGATATCCACGTATGCAATTTTTTGGCCCATCTTGATGCGTTGGCCCTTTTCAATTGTCCAGTTTAGTCCGCCTTCTCGTTGGCCGCCTGCCCAACCGGCATCAAATGATTTGCGGGTGCCCATAGGAGCTTCAAACACCAACACGATTGAGCTTCCTAGCTGGAAACCACCCATTTCTTCACCTCGTTGGAGGGGATGACCCCTGAGAGTTCGGCTAGCGTGAAGGTAAGTAGCTTCAGCGAAGCCAGGGTATTTTTCGCCTCTCTTGGCGGCTTCGGCAGCCGCGATATCTGCTGCTGTGTCTGTTGTAAGGCTATTGGTGCGTAGCTCGGAATCAAAGTTGATTTTAATCGAGCCCACGTTTGTGGCACCTACGGGGGTGTAGCTGAAGAATCCCCAGCGCCACCGACCTAGGAGTACGACGCGCTCGTTGAGTGTGAAAAGACCGGGAAGATGACGTTGCAGGTAGGGTGAGACAGAGAACAGTTCGCCTGCAAAGTGCCGACGGCTTTCGACAACCCAGGGAACAGGAGAATGGAAACGGTGATAATCACCAGGCGCAAGGTAGATAACCACGTAGTAGAGGGCATTGTTCGAGGTGGGCTTCGGTTGATACCACGGGACACCATCGCCCCGGGCAAGGTCCTCGCGCACTTGGGCTTCGGATGTCGGTTGGGATTCAGTAGAAGCATCCATGGACGTTGATCGCTTTCTTGAACTTGGCTGGTCTCCGGCGAAGAGCGACGGCAGAGTGTAAGAGATGCCATTCATCCTGGCAAACTCTTCATGGGCGGTCATGTTTGCGGCGTCCTTTTGTGAGGGTTCCTTTTGATGATCCATAAACTTTTTCGCGTGGTCAGCCTGAGACGGGGTGGCAGAGCCCAGCAGTGCGTCTAGACTGTAAGTTACGCCTTTGACCTGCTCCACCTCTCCCCGCTCTATCAATCCAAACTGAAGGATACGTCCGTCGGACGGAGCTAAGATGGCATGCGGATCCGGGTCTAAAGGCCGGGCGCCAGGCTTTAATTTGCGGTAGAAGAAGGCAGCCAAGTTCGGGTAAACATGAAGGTCGGGTTCCGCAATTTCCTCCAGGTTGACGCCGAAAACCCACGAGTATAGCTTGAAACCGGGAACACGAAGGTAGTAGGGGAGCTCAATCTCATTGAAGCGGCCCCATAACCGAGACATTGCCTTCAAAGGCAGGGTGGACATGATCTGGACCTGCCATGGACCGCTGAGTCGGACTTTTGGGCGCGGAGGAGGTTTTGAGAAATCAAAGGACTCGCCCGTAGCTTCAGCCTCCCTCTCTGCTCGAATGCGTTCATTTCGTTGCGACTTATAGTAATGGAGTATACCCAAGAGACCAATTCCTAAACCGACTGGGATCGGATACCATTCAACCTTGGTATTTCGTAGGGCAAATCGCAGCCGGGAGCCGAACGTGCTTCTGGGAGACGAATTTTGATTCTGATCGTTGTAGTTGGCTCGAGACTTGGAGAAGAACCGAACACCGGTCCTGAATCGGTCCGGAGCTCCAAAGGACACCATATCTATCGACCCAACGGTATCTTTCGAATAGCGCAAGAAGTTCCGACGAAAAGGAACGGTATAGCTGGATAGGCACGAGGCCATACTGCGAGCTTCACACCCTGAAACTCATCCCCGTAGCGGTGGGGGAGGAGGAAAAATAGCAGATAAAGGCAACCGAAGGGCGGGAAATAATGGCAGATTGTCTCATGTGAAAAGGCAATCTGAAACAGGGAGATATGATGTTTTTCGGGGCGTGGTCTACCGCCCGATTCTGCCGGGCTGATAAACGATAGCGACCGTTTCCCCATGCCTTCCCTCCTCCACTCTTCCCCATCTCCTCGTCGGCTCCTATCTATATGCTTATTCTCGTCCCTCTTTTAAATCGCTGACTTTATACCTACCTATAGCGCGGGCTAAATCTTCTCAGCTTCACACCGAGGGTTGTGCTTGAGGTTACCATCCAGTTGTCGGAAAGGCCAGCGTCACCATATACTAGACTCGAGCCGAACCCCCCGCGTCACCAACTTTCCTTCGCTGTTTCACTTAGTTGGCCTTTTCTCTTTCGTTTCCCTCCGCCACCTACAAGCAAAGCTCCTTGTTCGGTTATCATCCATGTCTCAATCAGGGGAACCGAGTAGCCCGAGTAGCCTTGTTGTCCATGTGCTGTGCCCTTCCGTTCCAGCGCCGAATCGATTCACGTTTGACAACCTTTCCTTGAACACCACCGTCGCAGACCTCAAAGCCCGGCTTTCACGCTCCATCCAATCTCAGCCCGCTGTAGACGATCAAAGGCTGTTCTACCTGGGAAAGCCACTCTTAGACGATGGCGCGACCCTGCAGTCACTTTTCGGGCCGCTGAATGTAAGCAATGCGCTCCGGATCGCATACTCCGTCTTCAAGGCTAACATAAACTTGTTCAGGGCTCTGAGTTCTCGATACACCTTGTTCTCCCCCCTTCTCAGCCTCAAACCTCGAAATCCACCTCCTCCACTGCAAGTTATGATTCTCTTTCTTCATACCAAGCAAGCACTAGCATACCGAGAGACAACACGTCACAGTATTCTACTGAGCAAATGAACCCTAGAGCAAGACACAGGCCCCCTGGTCAGTTGAGTCAGACTGACATGGCACGTGCTTTGCAAGAGAGTGCCCGCCGGCGTCTCATGGAATTGAATCAACGAAATGGAGGATTTCCCCATCATCGAAGCTGGGACTCGGCCCTCTGGACATCGTCGCGCCAGCTCCATCGATCACCATTGCATATACCGGAGCCGTCAGCACCTGGTACACATACTACAGCACCTTTTGTGGCGACTCCTACCTCGCCGTATTCGGCTTCGGGGCATGAGCTACAGCTTCCTGGCGAGGTCCAACCGCGGCTGAGACTGCTCAAACAATATATTAGCCTGGCGGAAGAACAGCTAAATTGCGGCATTGCGCCCCCGTTAGACCATGTAATTCAACTCCGCACGCAACTGTTTAAACTACTGGACGACCAACTGCAAAGGCCTCTCTCCGAACGAGGCGAACACCTTGAACCATTGGTCTCTCGAGTTTTTGAGATTTCCTCGCGCTCGGATATTCTCCGCCAACGCCATTTGCTGACTGTGCACCATGGCTCTCCCAGGGCAGCGGCTCCTATGTACCTTCTCTCTTCACCCAATGGCTACCAGGCTGTTGTTGCATCGCCAACCGCAGCAGATACCTCGCGGCATTACTCCTGGGCTCGTGGAACAACACCTTCCGCCAGTAATGCGCCCATGCCAGATGCACAGCAACCACACGCGGAGGCAGCTGTTATGGAGAACGTAGTCCGTCAAGCTGTGCTCAACCAGCGGCCTGCTGTCGCCGACGGTCAATTGGGCTTGGGTCGGAACCTACGGCGACTGTGGCTTTTTGTGCGGCTATATTTCTTCTGCTTCATGTTCAGTCCCGCTGGGACTTGGACCCGTATTATTTACGTTGCTTTAGCCGTAGTGGCATCGATCCTTTCAGAGACTAGTGTCCCACGACGGGTGTATGAATTAATCCTCGCCCCTGTTCAGAGACACCTCGAAGGGTTGGTGCACTTTGCGCCAGAGGAGCCACTTCCGCCACGCGCACAAGGTACGGAAGGGACTGGTGACGACGCTACAACGAACCAGATGGGAATTCGGAATGACCATGACGCCAACTGGACTGCTGGTTTGCACCACAGTTTGCGAAGAGTGGAGCGATCCGCAGCTCTCTTTATCGCCAGCTTAGTGCCTGGCGTAGGAGAGAGGCACATCGAGGTACGCAACGCGGCGGAGGCCGCACGCAATGCTGAACTGGCACGTCAGGAAGAGGAGCGGCGCCGACAAGAGGAAGAAGCTGCCTCAGCTGCAACCGGAGAACAGGAGACAGAGGACCAGCCGCAGGCGGGAGATGCAGCGGTGTCGGATTGGAGCACTCGCGCAAGTACAGGGAGCCCAACCCCAACTGAACGCCAACCCTCGATACCCCAAGAAGCCTCGCCATGATCTCGCTTCTCTCTGTCCTATTCATTGTTACTATCTGGCGTCACTGGTCGTGGGATTAGCGTCATACCCGGTTTTGTACTTGCAAATATTTTCACGTTAGCAACCACATAGATAGTGTCATCTACTCTATCATTCATTCTCCCTTGGGTATCTGGATACACTAGACTATACTCTATAACTTCGTCCCCAACTTCGCCTCTCCACCATCCGCCATCGGCCCCGTATCAAACGATTCCTCTCCATTGAAATGCCACCCCCTCTCCGCACCACCACGCAAGAAGCTGCAGTCCCCGTTCAAAACACAATCCCACCCACCACCTACCCCTCTACCACCTTCCCACTCCGGCACAACCGTCCTCACAGGATCCGTAATCCTCGTACCCGGTGCCAAAACCCCCTCGTCCTTCTTCACCACCACCTCATCCCCAGCACCCCTTCGGCGAAAAGTCGACAACCCCGCCGTGAACACAAAAAAATCCTCCTTACTGGAGTCACCCGGCATATTGCCCGTTAGTACCCTCCCCATGGCAATTAGCGGCGCCGCATGCGAGCAGATCAATATCGCCTTATTCGTCCTCTCCTCCGGCGGCTGCAAGGCTTCGACTGCCGCGACCTCGGCGTCCACTTCGGCAATTATGCCCGCTAGGGCTGTTGCGAGGCGGTTGTGTAGTTGCGGGATTGATTCACCCCTTGTGGAGGTATAAAGGAGAGCATTCGTGCGGGATTCATGTAGAGTGAACGGGGCACGAGGTTTGTTGTTGGCGGGGAGGGAAGTTAGGGTTGATAGTGTTGGTGGAGTTGGATGGTGAAAAAAGGTCGTTGAGCCAAACCACTCTCTGTAATCGCCCAGTTAGCCAGCTCCTTCGTTTCCGAATCTTCAACGGAGAAGTGCATTACCCAATCCCATTCTCAACCCTAATCCCGAACTCCGCGCCTTTCTCTATCTCAATTCGCTTTCCACGCTCGTTTCCCTGTCCCTTAGCAGCAGCACTCAAGGCATCGACGGTCGGTTGAATTGTTTGTAGGCATCTCCAAAAGGGACTCGAGTACACACGCCACGGCTTCGGATCGATCTTATCGCCCACGATATGCGCAGCGAGTTCGTGCGCTTGGCTGACGCCGTGAGAGGTCAGCGTGGGATCGGAGGGGTTCCCTGTTGGTGTGGGGAATTGGGAGGTGTATTTTCCGGTTTTGTAGTCGATTGTCCAGTTTAGACGGTGCTATGAGGGTATGTTGTTAGTTGCGTTGCGGAGAGGTGGGGTGATCATGGACAGGATGGGACGTACGCCGTGGCGGGTTAGGTAGATTGTGTCGAGGGGCATCGTGAGTGGGAACGCATTCGAAGATGTTGAGGATGCTACCGAAAGGAAGGGGAATGATTAGGAAGAGTAGAGGTGTTGAGTTGGGGTAGGGCCCGGAGAGGTTGCGGGGAGAAATGGTGAAGAAGGCTGAACCTCGGCCCGCGATGGAGCCCTCAGATCCTCAACCAGAGAGGCCGATATAACGAAAAAGTCTAAACTACGGATACAAGAGAATATAATGAGGTTCAGACATGAATATGGATTAGCGAACACAAACTATCTAGCGTCCAGTACGGGTATCATCCCAACGCTCGCCAAAAGTACATTTTCACATCCCATCCAATCCATGACAGAACCATTTCAATTTTTCAACTTTTGGTCGATTTTTCGCTTAGTAGAAGAAACCGAGGAGCTTGCCAGCAACGTGCTTGCGGCGAGCCTCCTCGTGGTCCATGATACCAGCGGAGGTGGTCAGGACGACGAAGCCGAACTGACGAGAGGGCAGGAGCTGGACAGCCCACTGCTCGAGGTCACCGAGCTGGACGGGGTAGCGGGGGTTGATGACACCGCACTTGTTGAGACGGCCGTTGAGCTGGATGACGATCTTGCCGGAGCGGTGGTCGTCAACTTCCTCGAATTCACCAATGTAGCCTGAAATAGGTAAAGAATCAGTGGGTCTGTAGCGAAGATTTAAAGGTTGCCCTAACATAGGAAAGAAGCAAAGGAAACTTGTAAGATCTCCGCCGTCATATCAGAGATATGAACGTTTTAATATCTCGGGCACTTAAAGGGCAAAACTTGTAAGAGATCGAAAGCGCCGCCTAGTTATCAACCCGAATTTCTGTATATCCTTGATCTCACAGATTTCCTTTGCTTCTTGTCTAACATCATGGTATATCGGATTGAAGAGAGAGGTAACATACCGTGCTTCTGCATGACTCTCAGGAACTTGGTGATGACCTTGGAGCTAGGTCTGATAAGCACCTGGCGCTTACCAGCCTTCTCGGCGTTGTTGATGGCGTTGAGCGCATCGTTGAGGACGGATGTCTTGACCATTTTGTCGGTATTGGGTTATTGACGGAGAAGAGAGATTCTCAAATCGAGTTGAATAGGACTGGAGATGAGGTATCTGTATTACGAAGATCCTCTTACCCCGTCGTTCGGGGAGTCGAGGGTCGAAAAGTCAGCCACCAGTAGTCCGCGAGCGCAAAGAGTGCCCCCTTTGGTTGCAACAATCAAAAGGGGTTCTTCAGCCCGTGCCGTAATGAAAGATGCGTATCACGCTGGAAGGATCCTGGTCCCCGTTGAGCTCTTCGAGGTTCGAAAGTCTTGCATCAAAAACTTTTTTTCCAATACTCAAGATGCTCTGCTTCTCCGGTCGCAACTCCGGAGAATTGGCGGACCAGGAATTCCATTGTGATTGCTCTCTCAGACTAGCTGTAAGGCTGTAGAAGAGGGGGGAACTTCAAAAAGAAACATACCTCTATTGACGGTACCGACGGTGGTGAACGAGGTTGTCGAAGAGCGAAGGTTGATCAACAGCAGTGAAGTTGAGATTTCTTGCGGGCTGTGGGCTAGGGTTTCACCCGCCCTACCCTTATCAAAAAGTCACATGACGATAAGGATTTTATGCCTGAGGCCACAAAATCGACCAAAAAACTATACCGAGTGCTCGATACAGTTCTACGGCGCTTAACCAACGTGCTTATTCAACGTTTTGTCATTCTCTATACAGGTTCTTTTGGGTCAGGGCGAGGGCTATGTGAGGGTCAGGTCAGGGTCAGATTATACTAGCACGTGGGTCAAGTACTTCATGGCGGTGTATCTCTTAGGGGTTACATAAGTTGGGCATACATGAGCTAGGGGAAACGATGCGAGTCTAATAATGAGAAGAAGAGGAAAAAAGTCAAGAGGGAGAAGACAGGGGTCTGAAATGAAATGGGTAAATGGTGTGCATTTGGGACATGTCATAACAGTAAAAACGTCCGAAAAGCATATGTTTACCAGCTGTCCTTGTAAAAGGTCAAGGATATGTAAACATCACAGGGGCGGGATCGGGTAGGGTAGGCTAGGGGAGGGGATGAGCCAAAAGAGTCGGGGTATAGAGGATGACGGGGACATGTGTCAAGGGGGATGTGCCAGCTTGGTTGTCGCAAACGCCGGCGAGTTGGCTTGCAGCTCGCCGCTAGTCATGGCATTTGAGTGTCCGGAGGACTCCAAGGTAGACGGTACCTCTTAACTGCGAGGTTGTGTCTCGGGAGATACCGAGGGCGTTGGTGCCAATGGTAGAATCGATCTTATACCGGTGGTTTATGACATTCCGCCGCCCTGCATGTTGATCTGGTTCTTGACCTGTTCGCGGGCCCAGCGAGCGGTTTCGATAGTGCGAGGACCATATTCACGGTTGGTTCTGGTTTCCCTCACCAGGCTCGTGACCCACTCGTTGCGGAAGTACTGAGAGATGGAGCCGTCGGGGAATGCCTCAGCAAGATCACTGACTTTTGTCAGCACGAGCTCCTGGAATTTGATTGAGGAATGGCTTACCCAAGAACACCCATCGCCGATCTCATCAGTCCCTCACTGCGAGTAGTGGGGTCCTGAGAAATGAGGCGAAGAAGCTCGAAAATAGGCTGGACAAATGGCTGAAGAGATTTGACTGCAAAAGTCAGTAAATGTACGAGGGACAAAAAGTGGATTCGTGACATACCTTCAGGCTTGCCCTTGTATGCGATCAGAATACCACCCCAGGCGTCCATGATACCCTCACGAAGAGAGATGACATAGTCGAGCATCTCGATAGTAACGTCGGAGTTAGCAGTGACGAGGGAGGCCTGCTTGAGCACGGTGCCAACGACGTTCAAGTACTTTTCAAAATTGACACCGATAGCCTGGGCAATATCTCCGAATGTCTCAAGGATAGCAGGCTTGAGCTGGTTCGTCGAGCTCTGTTTAGAATTAGCATAGATCGCGAAAGCAACACACGCGCTACTTACGCTCAGAGTGGTCATCATGTGGTTCATAAAGGTATCGCAGTACGGCGCGACCTTTTCGTTCAGTGCACGAGAGATATCGCTGACGAGGCCAATGGCCATGGAGCAGAGGCCCGGCTCTTCTTGGTTACCCAGGGCACCGTTAAGGAAGGGGCTGAAAGAATCCATGTACTTGACAAAGTCCTCGTCCAGAGCACTGGCAATGGCGCCAACGGTGGCAAACACAACGTCAGGTACACTGGACTTGGGAGGCACGCTGGAGAGGACTTGGAGCAGGATTGTCATGATTCGGTCGGCCTGAGGCTTGATTTCGGCCTCGAGTCGCTGAACAATGGCCAGGATGACACTGGTGATGCCGGTCTGCATTTCCTCCAGGGTAATGCGGTCTTCGACGCTGACAACCTGCGATTGCATGGGAACGGTGTGCTCCAGACGCTGAAGGATGACTTCTGAAAGGCCAGCAATCATACCAAGGTTGTCGTTGGCAGCGTTTGTCACGAATGAGTTGAGGACTTCGTAGCCCGCAGTTCGGAGCTGGTTGTCCGCATCTTGTCTACAAAATAGTTAGCTAGATTTCCCCCCTCCCAAAAACAGAGGCTACATACCTTTCGGTGAGAGCGAGGAGCGACTTGACGCTCTCCTCGAAATACCTCGAGAGCGGGTTGGTTTGCGCGCCAATATCGCCAGCAAAGCGGTCGGCAACGTTCATCAACGCCCAGCAGCATGAGCTAGCGATCTTGGGGGAGCTTGCAAGGCCGTTGAAGAGGCAGGAGATGAGGGGTTGAAGGTGCACTTCAGGGTCGAGGGTCTCGGAGCAAAAGTCGCAAACACGGCCAAGGGCGTAGGCAGCGGAATCGCGGACCTGGATGGATTGGTCTTCCATCATGCTGACAATAACACTCAGGGCTTGTTTGACCAGAGGCTCGAGAACCTTGGGGTCTGGGCCGTCCATGATCGCACCGAAAGCGGCCACGGCGGCATCTCGCTTGCGCCAGTCTCCATCACGGATGTTGTTCTCAATGAAGGAAAGGACAGGGGCAATGACCTCGGCCTGAACGCACTGAGCATACAGTTGCAGAGCCTGGTAAGCCGCGCGGGAAACGTTGTACTCATCATCACCAGCGTCCTCATCCTGTCTGCACATTGACTGCAGTAAAACGGGGACAACTTCGCGGGTAGCGATGCGCGCGAACCCGTACATCGGACGCACATCAGTCAAGCCTTCTGATTGAGCCTAAACAAGATGGTTAGATCAAAACATGGCCAATAAATTTTGCAAAATATACTTACGGCAGCGTTATCATCTTCGATGGCAATCTCTTCCTCGCAAACGGTGCACCAGAATTCAATAGCAAGCTTGGCTACATCTTCCTCCTCGCTCTTCATACCCATAATGCTCAGGCCAAACAGAGCCTTTTCCATGTAGAAGCTCATCTTATCGTAGTAGGCGCCCATGATGCGGTTCAGACAGCCAAAGGCACCAGCCTGGACACGGAGATCCTCGGCCTGAGTGGCCTCACAGACGACCTGCATAATGTAGTTGCGCTCACCCTCGTTTTCCATGTTCGACCGGACAAAGTCCACGGAGTCACTGAGAGCCTTGATGGCGGCATATCGAATGTCCATGTTCTCCTCCTCGCGCCGAGCACCCTGGACGACAGCTGTGAGGATAGCATTGGAATGTGCCGCCAAACTCTCACGAAGTTCCAAATCTTGAGACTCGCAAATGAAGCCGATGGTGACCAGAGAGGCCTGCTTCAGTTCGTTGGAGCCGCTCGCGACATTCTGGACGAGGATCTGCATCAGATCCGGCCATTCATTCCGGGGCAACTCGATAGCGGCGATGGAGACGATGAACTGGGCGGCGGACTGACCGGCCCGCCCGTCTGCGGACTTGAGTGTGTCGAGGGCAAGTTGCTTGACTTGCGCCTTGATTTCTGGGGTAATTTGCTGGAGCCATTTTCCTTGAACTTCGTGTAGCCTTTCTCGATCCCTGAACGTAAAGGCGTTTTTTAGGGCGAGACCGGCGGCGGTTCTGATGTGGGATGCGGTGTTTTCATTTGCAAGTTCTTGTCCTAGAGTGACCAGATATCCGGCCTAGAAAGCGAAACAGCGTTAGCACATTGACAGGCTCGGAGAATTTGTGGTCGAGGAAACGGGCGGAAGAAGGGGAAAACAGTGTGAGGGGTCAAAACGCACAAAGTCGACCTCCGCCGCATGAAGCAACTGTTGTTCAGCGTTGGTACGTGTGGCAGCATCTATACATGGCGGGAAAAAAAGGACCATTAGCAAGACGGCTTTTGAAACACACCTTAAAATAGGTAGAAGAAGGAATAGAAAAATACCTGGCGAGATGGTGCCTTCCAGCACCTGAGTCACATTCATATTGGATTATGCGGGAGATGATACCAAAAATCACAAGCCAGTAGGAGGTTGTGAGGGAAAAAGAAAAGAAAAGGAAAAGGGAGGGAGGGGAAGATGGAGAGAGAAAAACTTCGTCTCGCCTGATATTAAAGGACGTAAGAGACAGGGAGAAATATAGCACAGGAGGTCCACGGCAAAAGAGTGGTGTCGTGTGGACTGCAGGTGAAGGGCGTGTGGAAGAAGCGCGAATTATGAGATGGTAGATCGTGGTGGTGGTTTAGGTTGTTGTGAGGAGCAGGAGGAGGGCGGAGGGCGGGAGAGGTTCACTTTGTTTTTGTGGATTATGACGAGGAGCTGCCTGTTACTGTTGGGGTCCCGTCGCAGTCGTCGTCTTTCGCACTTTAAAACAGCCTGTCCTCTCGGTCAACAAGGTTCTTTCTTCTCTCGACTCAGGACCGACTCAGGACACTGAAAATCAGAGCGACGAAAAAGAAAAGAGACCAAGGTGCTCAGTGGTCTATTACTTGAATCTTGCCTTGGCTTGCTTAAGGCTGAGGCTAACTTTGAAGGATAAGAGGGCCAGATCAGGGGGAAACACAACAGCAAGTAAATCCAGAACGGGATACAATCAGAAGCTGATAGCCAACACCGTACCTGGTTTTATGTATAACAAAATGCGTTCTTTCTTTCCGCAGTGTTTGAACAGCCTGCAGCTTGAACTTGCAAATTGATGAGTCCCCGATTGACACCTCCAGATGACGGACGACGTTCAAAGGCGGCCGCTGATTGGCTGCACTTCGACTCTCGCAGCCCCGATCCGGCTAGCTCGGCACGTGATTTTTGATCCCGACAAAGAGACTGGCGTGAAAGATCACATTCTTCGAAGCTCAAAGACCTGGAGAGAATCTCAAGTGTTCACTGAATATGCCTAGGACCATTATTATCTATGCAACGATGACGCCCGGAAATAGAGTTATCGCTGCCCTCAATATTGTAGACTCCCAACAAAAGAAAGCTTCCTAGAGCATCTTTAAACTTTGCTCCTTTAATTCCATACCAGAAGCTCAGGACAAGATCGGTATCTGGCTGCCTGAGGCGGGGCACTGGAACCCTGTTCCTTTCCCTTCGAAAGCAGAAATCGATGGGCAGAAAAAAGGCCCCTCTCTTTTCTTTGCTTGTTGTGATTTTACCACATAAAGAGCCCCTCCACTACTCCAGATATGCCCTAGCAACCGCGAAAAAGTTTTCCATTTTTTCCATTCCGATTTGCTAATCTTATCGATTTTTTTTATCGATACAGTAATGTGTCATTATTGCTCGTGTCATGATTTGTCGACTTCTTCGTCTTCTTCTTCTTCCCCGTCTTCCATCTCAGCGTCCATGTCCAAGACCTCGTACCGTAGCCCCTCGCCGTACAGCACGCAAATCGCTCGCCGCCCTTGCCGTCCGTTTACATCGATTTTGACCGGTCGAGCTTTGCCCGGGAAGCGATGCTTGACGAGGTCCACGATGCGCGGCTCCGAGGATGTGATATCCAAAGGTGTAAGCTTAACGCGGTCCCCGTAATTGTTATGCATCTTGATAGTAAACGGGGCGTTTGGATCTTTCGGCGAATATCGACGTCCACGGAACGGGATGTGAAGAAGGTACGAAGCTCCTCCTGGTGATTACTGTTAGAGGGGATAACCGCGGCGTCTCAATTGTGAGGAGCACGCACCGTTGTTGGTCCACAGAATCATCATCTTGTCATCATCGCCAAACTGCACTTGGCCGATTACTCCTTCCTTAAGGTCGATACCCCCCACAAGTATCTCTTGGGTAGAGCTGACTCCGTTTTCCGACTGTATGTGAACTTGATAGAGGTACACTGGTCATGGAAGAGTTAGATCTTGACATAATGCAAAGATAAATGGGTACTCACGTATATGTTGCGACGTTGCCAATCTCGAGGCAACAAAAATAGAACAACCATCCTGCAGATCATCAGCCACACTGTCTTCGTCTGCATACGATGAATCCTACCACGTAGCGCATCGTAACATCAAGAACCGTCTTATCGCAGTCACTGTGAAGAGTGATGGGTGATCGGTGAAGAATACCTCTCCTTTGCGTCTGCCCAATCTGGCCAAAGACCTTTTGAAACTGCTGCTCCAGGCGCTTTGTCAGATCGTTGACCTTGGGAATTTCCACCGGCTCTGCATCATCAGACGCCTTGCTCTGCTGCTCCAGCAGCTTCTTGAACGTATCGTAGAACGACCGGTTGAGCCCTGAAGTCGGCGCCCATTTCTCCGCTGAAGATGTAGGAGGAGCCGGCCTTGGAAAGCCCATCATGGGTAGTTGCTGGATAAAGTTTCGGAGCGAGCTTTTGGTCAACGCGCCTCTGATGTACTTGAGCGTCTGTGGATACTCCACGAGGTCTGTTTTCTCCATGAGTTCTTCCAGAGTCTGAGATATGGGTTCTGCGGTTAGCATATCGATTTGGTGGCGGAGCCATCGGGAGAACGAGTGGAACTGGGTGAGCTCTTCGTTTGTGTTGATTATGATATGATGCGCCAGAAGGTGGAGACAATCGACTGTCTCGACGATGGCATTCAGATCGGAGGTATCTAGTCCAAGGACCTCGCTCAGTTTCTGGAATTTCGAGAGACCAATAAGCCGACTGAGCAGGACTTCGCATCTCTCTAGCGCCGGTAGCAGACACTCATGCGTCAAGCGCCTGACATTTTCGTAGCCAGCCGAAACGGCCTTCTCCCATCTCTTGTGACCCTGCGGCTGTCAGCGATTACGAAGCGAAGAAGAGAAAATACATACTCGATCACCAACTATATCCACGAGGAATTCCCTCATGGGCTCAAAGCAATCCCCTGTCACTACCAAGTGATAAGCAGCAGTAACAAAATCACAATGACACTTGTCGTTTAAGTCCATGTTGACACTGCGCATATACCTCGCCGGTAGCTCCTGGGCATTCTTCCATTCTAGCTCAATTTGCCGCTGCACCTGGCAAATGTACCGGAGCAAGTTCTGCAGTTGTGTCGTTTTGTGCGCGAGGAGCGAGAGATATCGTCCAGAACGTGTGATGAACCGGAGGTCAAGCGTAACAAGACGCAATGAGCTTGCTTCGGAGGCAATGATTGCATGTGTCGGGCTCATTGGGTGGGACGCATGTTGAAGAATCCTGATTCCCCGACCTCCAGGCCCGGAGGCGACAACCTGGAACGAGCCAATCTCGAAACAATCAAAGATGCGCAAATGAACAGTCCCATCCTCGAACCCAACGAGAAGCACATCCACCGCATCGCTCATACTCTTTGTCGTCGAATGAAAAATCGCATCAACCGACGCTCTCGAGCTAAATACATCGTCGCTACAAACAACCGTCAGCACTCACGTAAAGACAGAAGGGGGTTGAAAGCCACTTACTCCCCTCCCGTACTCGGCAAGGTACTCAATCTCGGCAACGACCCCTCGATATCCAGGAGAGCCAACTCCCTAGGCAAATCCGCCTTGAGCAGTGCAGCCGCTTTGGCCGGCTGAACATCCAGCGAGAGCAAGTCATCAACCGTAAGCTGGCCTGCCGCCTCACCCAGCTGACGCTGCGCAGCCCGGGTATCGGTGAAGTTCATGCCCCAACCTAGACACGTCGCGTGGATCGTCTGACCCTCGCCTAGCGGGCTGTGAGCCGCATAGTGGTGCACCGTCTTGCCACTGTACGCGCTTATAATCCGGATACTGGCGTCCGCGCACGCGACGGCTAGTAAGCGGCCTGGATTTTGAGTCAGAGCTGGGATTCAGCCTCGCGGGAAATCTAGACAAAGGTGTTTGTATTGTGGCAGGGCAAGACAGGGCGTACCGTTATCCTTCCACCTCAACCCCAAAATCTCACCACCACCACCATCATCCTCATCAAGGTACGGATCCCCCTTGAAAGAGCCTCCAAATACCTTTTGCCCATTTAAGCGGAAGACGCGGAGCTCGTCATCTTCTGTCACGAGGGCGATGAGGTCCATCGTGGGACAGTATGTGAGCATGCCCGCCTTGCATTTTGCCGGGAGCGACTTGTCGCCGACGGGCGTAAGTTGTGGATGTGTTGGAGAGGAGAGCCCGTCGTCGGCGGCCATTTTGCGAGCAGTTTTCTTTCTTGATTTTTCTTCTAATCCATTGTATATTTTGAGCTGGTGATGCGAGAGACTTCGCGTAATCTGGGCGTCCTTGGAGTTTTGTTATTTGAGGGAATCTGAGCGGGTGTGGATTCGGGATTCTTGGCGCCGGCGGCTCATGCCTCTATACCAGTAGATAGAGCAGCACTCTAGAATAACCGACCCCTACGGTCACCTTCGGTGGTCGCGTCTTAGCGCAAGCAAATACAAAATGAGATTCTTATGCAATATCGTGATATACACTCTATTAAGCAATATCTATCCGCTAAATTGTACAGTACAATATATCCTAAAACATTCTGCTCCACTCGCAATGCTGTAAAAACAAATCCAATATGCGGGCAATGCTAAATCCGAGAATAGACGCATAAATTTCCTAGACCTCTGGGACACCTCCTGACTGAATCATGTTTTTCAGATAACTCAGTTCATCCATCATCTCCTTCATTGTCGCAGACTGAGAGAGCAGCATGCCGTTGCTGTAGCGAGCAGTGTCGTTCGTGCGCGTCATGGTCTTGTCAGATGACATGACGTCTTGAACGCTCTCGGGAAAACGAAGAGTAGAAGCTGGCGGGCTGGTCAGGCCGAGGCCTTTCAGTTCCATTGCCTCGAAAAAGGCCGCATGTCGCTTCGGGTTGCTCTCTAAAAGGTCATCCCTATCTTCGTTGATATAGAGGCCGGGAATGTGTAGATCAGAGGGAGACAAGGTGATGGTGAGACGGGGAAGAGGGAGGTCAAAACGTGGCGAGTCTTGCTGGAATGCAGAAGACCCTTCTGAGCCTGTGGTAAGGTGCGGCGTCTCTGGGTCACTAGGCTCAATGTCGGTAGAAGCGTTGGAGATTTGCGAAAACTCCATCGCTGGAATGGTAGGAGAGTCTTGTTTCTCATTGAAGGTGGAGGAGGAAGTCATCGACTCGGGAGAGACGAGGTCAGTATCGGTGCTCCACTCAGAGAAGCGGCTCCTCTCGCATGCTGTAACCGATTCGGTCGTGGTGAAGTCCGAGAAATGGCTTCCAAGAGCCTCCATGTCCAGTTGCCTTTCACGCGCTTCGAGCTCAGCGAGTGCCTCGTCCATGACAGAGGAGGGAGAGTTTGGCAAAGTAGGAAGCCGCTTATTTATGACAGTGTGTGGGGTTGGGGTCATCGATCCTTCTGGGGTCCTTGGGCGACGAGACGGCCTTCTTAGCATAGAAGGGGTAGATGGGGTAGAGAGAGGTCTTCTTATAAGAGATGCAAGCATAGCTTCACCGTCGCCATTTCTGGCCTGGGCAAGCGCCTGCTTTGGCTGTAGAGTTAGGGGGTTCTTGGGTGTAGAATGATCCGAGGTCTTTGCGGTCAAAGCGCGTCGTTCCTGGATTGTCAGGGACGCCGAGTTATGCGCCCCTGCGGAAACCGGGCGACGAAGAGGCATGGCAAGGGTCTCGTTCTCAGGCATCTGGCCCAGGGATGGAGACCGCATGTAGCTGTCATTTGAGTGGCTTCTCACATGGAGGCGATCATCATACTGCGGCCGCATACTCCTGTGGTTACCAGGAACAAGCCAGGCCATACTTCCATCCTTTGCCGTAGGCGACAGGTTGGGTGAAGAGGCATTCCATTGGCGAAAGGCAGCGCGAAGACCCTTTGGTCTTGGTGGGGATACAGAGCGAGCTGGCTTGTCCTCCACACGGTGAGCCTTGACCTTGTGTGCACCGTGGGCGGGCTGCGAGGCGCCCCTGTTGGTGATTGCTCCTAGCGGAGAGGTGCTGAAAGACCAATTCGGGGTCGGTGTTTGTAGCAGCGGCGGAGATGTCCGGAGACGAAGCTTAGGCTTGGGCGGCTCGCGAGGGTTCATGTATTTGTCCTCCGGGTTCATCGTATGTTCTGTTTTCTGGGCACTTGGGCTCCTTGTTCGGGTATGGATGGGCGTTGTATCGGGAAGAATGATGGGAACTTGAAGGACATTGACCGGTTGGCCTGGGAGAAATGGGCAGTGTGTGGTCACTGGCTCCGACTTGTTGAAGTACTCGACATCGTCATCCAACAAATACTATGATATCATTAGAGAGAATGCGTGCAATGGGGAATCTGTGGAATACGAACATAGTACCAATAGGTGCCTCCCATCTTCAGGCCACCAGAGCGGGCCCGGCCCATACTATTCGGCTGCCCGTCACATACAATGTTGCTGAAGGTATGACATCCCCGCCAATGGCCAGCACCGACACGCTTGTCCCTTTCCATGACATACGGTTTCGAGAAGTTATCCCATGACCCCAGCAATTTCACCGAACGGATGTGAGGAGCGGTGCACCTATCAAGGATGGTTAGCAGCATTCCACCCTGGAACAAGTGAAGGCGAACTCACAGTAAGAACGTCATTAATGTAGTAGACGTCATATTCGACGATTCGACAACCATATAGAAGAATGAAAATGCCGCTCGCTAAGAAACTTGAAGAGAGTGATAGTTGCCGGATTACGAAAGAGCGACTCCAGCGCGATTGCTATATAACACAACAAGGAGTGTTATCCGGAGACCAGCCCGGGAAGATAGTGAATGAAAGAAAAAGAACGAGAAAAGAAAGAGAAAGAGAGACGCCTTGACGGCTAGAGAATCAGCCTGGCCCTTGAGGATTGGAGAGGAAGTATTCCAGACCAAACTGTGCCCTCGAGGCACAGCCGGCGGGAAGATATAGAAGTTCGAAGCCTCCACGAAAATAACAACAAACAACAGCAAAAGGGGCCAGAACGATCCGAAACCAACAATTGCGACGGATGTTCTGGACGTCAATGATTCAGTAGCCGCGGCGACGCAGGGGTTTGAGATTAGACGGGCCCTGGTGTTCGTGAGCGACGAGTTGTTGAGAAAAGCTGAGGGCCAATAATCGGTGGTGAGAGGCCGTCTGTAGGCGCCAACAGTGCGGACCCGACACCGGAAGAAGAACGGCGATTGGAGGGCGAGGACGAGTGGCAGCGCTTGCTGCAGGAGTCGGAGGTTTCAAAACAGCGCACGTCAAAGAGTTTCTACGTGGCACAGTTTGAGCGATGAGCGTCGCGTTATAAGTCGATCAACAACGATCGCGGGAGAATCGGAGGTGGAATTGGAGACGAGGAAAGGACTCGGTGGGCCGTGGATCACAAAACGCGTCCTTGGACTGGATCGTCAGCACAGAAGCCGAGAAATAGGCTGCCTTGGTGAGCCGCGAGCTGAAGAGTTTCAACTAAAGGCAAAACTAGCGAAAATAAAGAGATGCCGCTGCATGGAGCACACATGGTTCCTGAACTAGGTCAGGAAGCGGCGTAGCCTGGGAAACTAGCAGGGCGCTTACCTGTGGAGAATGGGTTTCGAAAGCGCTGGAGGAAATTCGTGATGAGGCCGCCCCCTTGCATCGGTCCATGACGGGGACTTGACGTTTCCAGGAGAACTGGAGATGAAGCTGAGTGAGATCGATCAGCTTCCCCGTTTCTCCAGGGATTGGCCGGATCTGCAAATTGTTCATCAAACGAACCAGAGATAAGGCAAGCTGAGCCTGGCAAACGAAGCTCGGACTGGCTGGAGATCCTTTTCTCACGGACCAAGAGTTATAAACTAGTGCGCCAATCAACGCGCGATTTGCGGGAAATTCCCCTGATGCTAATATTTGGGGCCAGTGAGATCATAATATCGGATGTCGCCCAACAGCCAATACCAACGAGAAGATGCGTGTTTCAGGATCATCATGATGCAGTCTGAAATAGAGTACTTTTCTCAGTGTTTGATTAGTTCCAGCGCTTAGTGTCACAGTTTCAGGTTTTCTAAGAAAAGAGAACAAGTCATCAACCCGCTTGGTAAATAATATTATAGGCTGGAAGGAGCAATGAAGAAACTAACCCCATACAGCTGGACTCAGAAGGATGAGCAGTGGTAGAACAATCCTACTTGCCTGCGGTAGGGCATCCGTTCAAATGGGATGCTCAGCTACCTACGGATCGCTACGGCAGGCCGACAATATATCTAGGCAGACGAGAATATAATAAATCAAGCAAGAGCAATTATTGATGTTAGTTCTTCGCCCACCAGCCCACGTTTCAATATGATAGACCAGATGGGGGAACGGGTTGGGTAGATATAGAAAGTCAACCCAACTCTATACATCAAATAGAGTGCACCCATATCCTTAGCGCTTGAGAATAAAGACCACCGTTCTTGCAGTGAAGACATCTTTATCTACAAATTGGAGTATAGTATCTTACAACTGGGTCTACTCCTGCGGGCAAACAAAGATCATTAATTCTGAGATTCTGATATGGAAAGCCTGGTCTTGACCGGACTGTCTGAGGAAATCATCCGGAACGCCTTTGAATCGCTTCTGAACCCAGACGGCCGCCCAACTTGGAAAAGAGAAAGAAAAGCAATAAAACACTTGAGAAACGAGAAGAGAAGACCGACGATGAACCATTAACGGGAAGCTTCACTCTTATCATACTTCTTGTTCACTGCCCCAAGCACGCACTTCAAAATACCATCAGCATTGAGCACCTTGCCCCTATCCCCGCGCCAAGGTACAGTATCAACGATATCTCTAATCCCATCATAGCTCCTCCTTTTGACAAGGTCATCGTCCAGATTCTGCAGATACTCGCGCGCCGGCTCATCATCGCCAACCTGGAAAAACTGAATGCCCACCTGCCAGGGAGCAGCCTGCACGTTGGGGTGATCAAGCTGGCGGGCGACGCTGACAATGACGCTCTCTGCATCGTCGGTGAAGACACCATCTGTGATGACAATGATGTTCAATGGTTTGATATCTGACTCGCGGCCCTGCGAGGTCAACCTCGATAGATCACGCATATATGGTGTGAGAATCTGATGCAGCCGTGTTCCGACGGGGGTTGCACCAGAGGGTGAAACCGACTTGAAGATCTCGCGCACGCCCGAGGCATCGGTGACGTTCTGGTAGCCGCCGACCGAACCGCCGCCAGAGGACGAGTGGTTGCGATGGTTGAGGAAGTAAATGTCGATCCCGTCGGCGTCGTAGTGTGTACAGATGGGTGCAATCGCGGCGATTGCGTCTTCGGCTTCGCGCCAGCGTTTGCCGCGCATGCTGGTGCTGTCGTCGACGAGGAAGACAGTGTCAAAGGTGCTGAGGAAGGAGTACGCGGTGTCGTTGAGAGCGGGGCCGCTGGATGACGAAATAGTTGTTGCTGGGATAGTGGTGTTATTGTTTGTGCTGCTGTAGGGCGGAGGGGACCACATCGAGCTGTCCATCGGTGTACTAGACTGCTGCTGCTGGTAGGGCTGAGTCGCCACGTGGGAGTGCAGGGATTTTGAGCCTCCAACAGATCTGCGCTGAGCAGGGGCTGTGTGCTCCGTGTGCTGGGAAGAATGACAGTTGCCCATGTTGGCTGGTGTTGTGCTTGGGGAAGATTGAAATTGAGGGGTTGGTAAGGAGGAAGAAGATAGAAGTCTGCGAAGTAGGGACATCGATTAAAGAGTCTCGATGGCGAATCCAAGTCAGTTGGTAATTCTTAATGAGTCAAGAGTAACTTCACTTTGCCTCGTCAATCCATGGAAGGCGAAACCTATTTACACCTCAGGCTCTTTTGTCTATATACTCTCTCCAACCTCCCCAAGGCATTCCGTTTGTCTGCCTCAGAAGACGCGTTTCATTACACTGCTTTCGTAGCCGACCTTTTCCAGTTTCATGGATTCTCAATTTATCCATTAGCTTTATCAATAGAATGCAGCTAAGCTGCAAGGGCCGGAGTAATGGGTGCGATGTGGTTGTCGAATTGTGGAACGGCAAGGCTGAGTCGACAGTAGTGGCGGAGCGAAGTCAAAATCCGCCTTGCACAAATGCGCCGGAGTAGTACAGCCTTAGCCTCAGGCCCGAACTACAGCGCCCTACAAGACAACAAAACAGCCTTGTGGCAATCACTTTAGCAAATATTAGATTTGAATTCAACCTTGACACCGTGCAAATGATAATGAATGTGACTTCCCGGGGATATACCGGACGCCAAAACTAGATACTCTCTCAATATTACGCCAGAACCCCATTTCCGATCCATGGTAAACCAAAACACAGCCCTCTTCTCTTTCCAGTGTAACCGCGAGACCAACAAGGTGGACTTGAACATCACACGCTCCATGTTCCAACCAATACCTTGTTATGAACGCTCGCGTCGGCAGTCGGGCGGAACGCGATCCCAGACTCAGACTCATCCAACCCCTCAAACACCCCCGCTTCCTGTTCTAGAACGTCGATAAGCGCCAGAGCCTGGTCGATGCCAATACTGTGTCCGATGAGCCGCAGGCAGTCTCGGGTCCACTCTCGAAGTGGATGATCCTTTGGCTCTGTACCTCCGGCCAATGTCAGTGGCCAAAGGAGGAGCATGCCGCCGACGTAGCAATAGTTTGTAGGCACGGTGAACGCGGCTGTTGCAGGAGAGCCCTCTACTCCAAGATGGTATGCGGCGCTAGCGCAAATGTCGCCGGCTAGTTCGCGTGTGACATTGCGGATCCGGGCGCAGTGGTTCTGGAGCTCTTTGGACATGCCCATGGTTGGTGACACGGCCGAAAGTCGGCGGAGGCAGCTGAGGATGATTTCGCAGACGACGATCCGAGCGCACCGGTACTGATTCCAGGTGTGACAGATCCAAAGGTCTCGGTAGACGTGGTACTGGTTGTTGTACGGAAAGGGCTTGTTTCCAAACATCCTTACCCATTGCTCGACGGACGAGCACTCGTATGTGGTGTAAAGAAATTCAGGCGGACCAGCTGCAACCCATGCTAGAAGCTCTGCTTCTAAGCCATACGCAGCAGATAATACTTCGTTGGCATCTTTGATGACTCCTCCGCGGATATCCGCCCGTAGGTTGGACAGTTTTCCAGCGATGCATATCAAGCGATCGCAGTAGGCGTCTATCTGCGGTCGGAGATACATGGCAATCTTTGTACACTCTAATAATGATTTTGGCACGCGCATTCCTCGTTGAAGGCAGCTGGTGATCTAATAATACGGTCAGCCCAGAAACAGAATTTGAGATTAAACATACAATCTGAAACCTCAGCTGCACAAACAGCTTGAGCCCTTCCTCGCTTTGTAGATGTTCCGGGCCTCGTAGCTCTAATAAAGTGGCAGCTCCATATATATGATTTGTCCATTTCTCGATACTCATTATCGAACGACTGGTAATTACCTGCAGAGAAATTAGTTTCAAACGATAGTAGATTGATAGTAAAATCAGCATGGCGCACCTCAAAAATAGCCAACAACAACACCGCCGACAACGTTGAATTTGTCCGTGATTGCTCCTCATTGCAGACAGCACGTGTGAGCAGCGACAATGCATGCCCATACTCGCGCTCAGCCGCAATCTCCAAATCCTTGGATCGCCGGACCCGCGAGAGCATCGCAGTCCCCACAGAAACAAGCGCCGCCATTTGAGCTTGCTCGCTAAGCGTGGCGCTCGGATGTCCTGGCGACTTGGGCTCAAAGTTCATCATAAAGATCGCCCCCGGCCACACATTGTGACGGAGAAAATAGTTGACGGCCTCATCTACAGTCAGCTGCCATGACGGTTGCACCTTCCATGGCGTATAGACAAGGTCTTGCTGTAGCAACTGCTCCCTATTGATCAGCTGCACCTCTTCGAACTCAGTCAGGTCCGCAAATTCACTGCCAAAGTTGATCGATGGCGACGAGGTCGACACCACCGACGGGCTTTCCTTCCCCACAGACGAGGAGGAAGCAACGGGACTATTAGTGCTGCTGCTGCTGCCGCCGCCGCCGCGCGGGGACGATTTCTTGGATGCTGCACCTGCAGCAGCGGGTTTCTTGTTCCGCCGCCCCGACGAACCGGTTTTGGCCTTTCTCACAACCTGTTGACTTTCATCACGGAACATCAGAGACAGTTCGTCTCGGTAGCCGGGGCAGGCCCGGTTCCCCTTGGCGCACTGAGAGCATGTCGGGCGGCCTTGATCGCACCGGATCTTGCGAGATCGGCACTCGCCGCAGCCTTTACTTGGTTTGCCGCAAAACACCATCCTGAGTGTAGCAGCGAGCTGCCGCGCCGATGCAGGGATTGGCGGGGTACACACGTCCCCCGTTGGGCCGTTGCACGAGACCCGCCGCGGGAATTCGGGGAGGGTAGCACGAGTTGCCAGTGCGTCGCGAGTCGTGACTCGCCTTTCGAAGGCACGAGATGCACACACAAGTAACGCTGAGTCGAGAGGAGGTTGCAAGAAAGGGTAAGCAGTGCGAACCACTGAGGAGGGATGGTCTACGGAGCACCCGCTGGCACTAGTCGGCTGTGGCCCTGTGGGTGTGTCTGTGAAATTGGCCGAGAAGATCTGCCGACCCGAACATTCATCAAGGAGCGGTAAATCCGACTCAAATCCTCCGGGTGCGCGCAGAAAGCCAGGACAGCGTCGCTTTTCCGAGTCAGATTCGGCGAGAGGAGTTGGAAACGGGAGCCTCAGTCGAGTCCCTTTGTGATTGTCGGGCGTCCTGTGCCTGAGGCGGAGAGAGTCACTCCCCCTGAGTCAGCCCCTGTCCGGGGTCGCGCATTCCTTGCCACAATCACACGTGCTTGCGTCACACAAGAGGTCAATAATTTGTCAAGTATTAAATAGGATAAGTAGGTCTAGGGGGTGCACTTGAAAGCTGGTGCTCGTCTCAAATCAGTCAGGTACAGTTTTACTGAAGGCTGGGTCAGGACCGTATTTGATGTTCCTCGGCTTCACAGAATAGGGAAATGCGGGGTAGACAAGGAGGCGGAGGTAACCTAAGGGGATCGGTGCCGTCCGCGGACCGCCTCAGCTTTAGGGAGGGCCGCCACACAGTGGCGTCAAACACGGTGCAGTGTAGGTACTCAAGCCAACTACATGGGCTAAAACATTGCATAGTAGTAGGTAAAGCGCGGTAATCTATTGTATTGCTTGTTACGCTTGCTGCGGCTTTGGCTCGCCCACTCCGCGCATATCATTGTGCAAATAATGCTGGTACTCTTCCGGAACCTCAGGCCACTGGTCGATTCCGTCCAGCAAGGCCAGAGCCATACCACCGCTGTGATGAATTTGAATATGGCAATGGAGGAGGAACGCTCCAGGGTTAACGACATGGTATCTTAGTGCCAGCCACGTCGATCCAGCTGCGGCTGGAGGAGTGATAAAGGTATCCCGGATTTGAGGATTCTTCATGTTGAAGCTTCCGGGCATAATCTTCGTTGCTTCGGCCACAGAGGTGTAGTTCCATTGACCCTCGCCCTGTCCAATCACGAAGAACTTGTTAGAGTGCTTGTGGATAGGGTGAGGAGGATGGAGGCCCCCGCCCACGTCAAAGATCAAGTCGACCCAGGTGCCGTTGTTGGTACTGATTATGAGTTCCTCCTTCCCCGTCGTAGGGTAGAAGAGCAACGGCTCCGCGTCTTCTAGGGATAGTGGAAAGCTAGAGTTGCCCAAGGTCCAGAGATACGACTCCCCGTAACGCTGAATGCTTAAAACGTGTGTCTGAGCGACTTGTACCTGGGATACGTCCCGAGAGGGGAATGGAATAATGTTCGACTCGTTGAGCACCCTAACATCAGGTGATGTGGGTGTGCCGACAATGCTGATTGACGGCTCGGAGGGTTTTTGCTGCTTCCCAGCACCGTTGTGATATGTCATTAGAGCAGTTCCGTTGAGGATCTGGTTGACACCATTGTTCGCCACGCGAATGGTATAGTCGCCTGCTGGTTTGTCCAGCTTGACCAGCACAGAGTAGCGAGCTCCATTGTTGATGGCAATTGTGTCTACCACGGTTGGTTCAATATAATGTCCGTCAATCGCATAGACGTACAGAGGATGTTCGTCAATGGAGAACGAGAGTGCCGACACGATTGCGGCGCTGACTAGATCGTAGCTGACGTAGGGCTCTGCGGCGTTTGGGTAGAGCCGCTCTGTTAAGCCATAGGATGGGGTGCACCCAGCAAAGACCGATGGAGGAATGGCGCTGATATTGTGAGAGTGGTTACCCTGCGCTACCTCATTCGTTGGAGGAAGGCACCTGCAAACTGTCAGCTGATATCAGCATATATATTCGTCAAGGGTTAATACCCTATATCAGTTAAGCTCTGGTTGCCCAACACCATCTTCTGGGCGTCCGTCGTGAACTCGTCTATAGTCTGCTGTCCAAGACAGGTCACAGATCCCTTGCCGTTGACAAGCAATGCATTCGCACAAAACGCATCGCGGCCCCCGTCAATTTCCGCTTGCCATAGTTGCTCCGAGGTCAGTTGACGCACATCCGAGAGCATAATGGTCGATGAATTGCTTTCAGCTCTTTTCATGGCTTCAAAATCCGCATCATCTTTAGCGATTAACATAAAGGGCTTTTCGATAGAATCATCAGGCAGAATATGAATTGCGCCATACAAGCCATCCCCCTGCTGGCCACGCTTATGTGCATGGTACAAGTAGCTTCCGTAGTTTGTTGCCTTCCATTTATATAAAAACGAGTCACCAGGCGCGATTGGCTTTTGCGAGAGACCAGGCACACCGTCAGACCAGGGAGTTTCCCATTGCTCAATGCCTAGCACACTATTAGCTCGCAAATAATATTATATTCATCAAAATTCTCACCGTGAAAGTGAACGGTAGTAGAGAACGGCATCTCGTTAGTGACCAGAAACTCGACATTATCGCCCTGCTTCAGCTGAAACGGTGGGGCAGGGGACTGGCCGTTGGCAAGAATCATCTTTCGAGGAATACCGGCCGGTTGCGAGTCCGCCCATGTCAGCGTCACCTGGAAGGACACTGTGTTTTTGCCTGTGCCATTGACGCTGGCAGCGTAGCCGTACACAACAGAGACAATGTAGTAGAGCAGAAAGGCTGGTAGAGCCATCCCGCCGCGAAAGAGACCCATGTTGTGAGAAGGGTAGAAAGAGCAGCTCAGCGAAGGATACCGCCAAACCAAAGGCTGAACTTTATCTCCAATCGGGGCGTCATTGCACAATAAATAGTCCCAGTTCGATTGCCAACGTGGACATCCTTACTTGGCTTGCAGTGAGTGGTCACCGATCTTGTTGTATATCCTCCGATGGGCACGCACCTTTGCCAAGTTCAATAGTATGCGTATTTGGAGTACTGACTCCTTATGACTCGGCATCGGTAGTGGGCAGTGAGGAATGCTACTGTGTTTTCGTTTGGTAAGATACCTGAAGTTTTCAAGCTCCTCGTCGTGTGTGAAGATCATTGAAACTTCGGAAAATATACAAAATCGATGTCCGCTTACTTGTATGTCGCCTGGGATGCGGCTGATCGTCCCCAGGCTGTGTTTGCGAGTCAAAGCCCTGTGACAAGTACAAGAGCATGATTCGTGGACTGATATAGTGGGCTGCAAACTCTAAGACCCCATCCGTAGGGGAACCGTGGAAATGATGATCACCTTCCTTTTAGGGAAGTGGTTCATCCTGGAATCTGACCATTCCGTTTCCCAGGCAGCCAAGCTCAGGCGTCCAACCAGTCAGAACTGACGAGTCGGAAGGACCAAGGATCACGACAGCCGCGAGTTGGCCGACGTTGTCCAGGCTGTGTAACCGTGTTGGCTGCAAACAACTCGAGATTGTAAGCATGCTGCGCTCGCTTGCGGCCGCCAGTGTTGAGAAGCTGGGGCTGTTGTGACTTGTGCTCGGTGTTGTGGGACTTGTGGGAACTAGCGGGGGGTGTCCGCAAGCTCGGCGCGCCTGAGCGCATCTCGATCCTCGAGTCTCATCCCAATAATGTTCTGAAAAGTTCGTCGAGGTCTGGTTTCTGCGGCTTAACGACCCGCATCTTGGCACTCTGGGCCGAGACGCCGAGAGGCTCGTTTCTCGGGTCACTGGGTGAGGCTTGCCATCCGCTCCATGGCTGCTGTGCGACAACAAGATAAAGGGAGAAATGGAGCACTCGAAGGAGAGTCGAGACGATCGGCAATCTTCCGGACGAAATCGGCCTGAAGAAACCTGCAGTTGCAGATCATACAGGTAACGGGGGGAATAGAAGTGGGCTCAGATCCCAAAATTGAAAAAGTGCAGCTAGTACAACATACGTACATACGGACTAGTGAGGAACGAAAGTCGGAAAGGTGAGATTCGGCTGAGTCGGGCTCTCCCTTGGGCACCACTAGAAGCTGAAGCTTGGCTTTTTAAGGTGTGCGACTCCTGCCTGTTCATAGTTATGCAATACCTCCGTATTTGCACCAGGAAATTACAAAATCAGGAAAGCCGACGGAGATCATATCCTGTTTTATTGACTTTCGAATATAAGACTCGTAATGCTAATAAAAAGTCCTGATAACTAATCGAAAAAGACTAACTAGACGAACATAACGCCAAGACCTATCAAAGCTCCCACAGGAAAGAAAGAACGCGAAAGTATCTTCGTAAAGTTATTATTGTCATGGTACAAGCGATGCGTGGCCTGAAGCCAGCCAGGCCAAGCTGACAGTTAAGATTCGATACAGTATCCTGCAACGCCGATCACTGACTGCTGACCACGAGCCAGCAAGGCTCCTTCTCCTTCTTCTCCTTCCTCTCTTTCGGACGTGGGACGAACTCAGGCGCATCACCACGGAGCAGGAACTTCTTTCCTGCAGGCTTGTCTTCTAGTTCGGCGATGTTCTCTGCTCCAAACGCCTGCTCGGCTTGTCCGACTTGGGCATCGATTGCAACATGGGGTGGCTGGTAGGTCTAGAGTCAAATATGGTCAGCTATGAAATACATCTTAGCGCTAGGGCAACTCTTATACCTGATGAGGGCCAGGAAACCGGTATTCGTCCAGAAACAGTCTGTTATGGTAGTCCGGATACCCACGCCTGAATTGGCCATTGAAACCACGATCCGCAACGAAAGGTACAACGGGGTAGTACGGCTCTTGTCCCCCGAGCTCATGAGGAACCAAATGAGGAGGAGGAGGAGGAGGAGGAGGGGAGTGGAAAGGGCGCTGGGTTGGACCGTTGTGGTTGGCGAACCAGCGGCCAGGACGATGCTGCCAACCCCAGAAGGGAGGAGGATAGCTGGCGCGACGTTCAAAAGGACCCATATCCTGCTGGGCATTGATAGAAGCGCTATGGTTTCGGGGAGGATAGTTTCTCTTTCTGTTGGAGTTGTGAGACTGGGCGCCGCTCTGTGTTCATCTCAAGGTTAGTCGCTGACAGCCAAACCACGCGCTGGAAACAAAATCAAGTGTGATTGCTTACTGAACTTCTCTGGTACTTGTGTCCGCGCGGCATTTTGGGCTGAGTGGAAGGCATCGAGTAAGATACAGAAGGAGAGGTAGGTTGAAGCTGAAGAAACAGTGGGAAGTAGTGGATGGAGGTAATAGTTGGTAGCGAATTTTGCTCAAATAACGCAGGAACGTCTGTTGCTAGTCAGAAACACACCACTTTGCCAGGGTGCTGGCAGATCGATGGGCCTATGTAGTTCTCATATTCTTTATCTCTAGGGCTTTGTCTGTTCTCGTTCATTATATCTGTATATATAGCTTTGATTGACTTGTCGTTGTTCAGGTTTCGTCGTTTCATCTGGAATATCGATAGACCACATGTCAGTCTGCAACGCCAAAGAAAGCCCGAGGACACTATAATATTGCATCTGCATCAAGTTGGCGAAGGTCTAATCGTGTTAAGATCTTGGACTGCAACTTGTGTTGGCACAGAACACTCTGTTGGCGCTCTGAGAGGAAGATTGTGACTCTGACATGTACATTGAGAAAGACGACACCTAGCTAAGATATCCTAGGCCTGTACTATTTACATCTCTCTGGGTTTTCATATTTCTTTTTGTCCTTTTTTGTTCCCTCATTGTTTGCCCTTGATAGATGAGAAAGGACCTGAAACAATCGGCCAACTGGGGTCCCGAGAACTCTTTCAGATCAGAGAGCCTAACAAGACAAAGGCTCGAAAGAGAAGCCGATGTAATCTGTCAGAGCCGCAGAGTTGGTGTTGCTTGTGACTTTCTTTGCATGTTTCTGTTTTTCGATTTTTTTTTGTCCTTTGTTGCTTTGTGCTTTGATGGAAATCCGATGACAAGCCAAAACTAAAACGCGATTGGTAAGAAGTGTACTCGGAACAATGGATCATTGCTCAATAACTGAAGTGAAAGTGAGGTGTGAGTGGCCTGTATCTGATCCTTCCTCTGTCGACAACGAATGGATTAGGACTCAGATTTAAGTCTCCTCAAGCTGGGCCTGAACTTCAACTAGGCTTGTATTGAGGCACTCCTCCGCAGCTTTCCTCTCAGATCGCTTCTCTTTTGCTGCGTCCTCGGCTTCCAGAGCACCCCTCTCGATATGTTGGTAATCAGCAAGTTGCTGCTGTAGGTTGAGCGCGAGCTGGAGAGTTGTTAGTCACCAGAACATACAGCCAGGAAATTACCTACACGAATGTGTCTTTCTCTGTCAAGCGGAGTGGTTGCTTCGCCGACCTTTCTGCAGAGCGTGTCTAGACAACTGCGGACTGCGTCGACATTCTTGGGGAGGCTGTCAGTCGATTCGTCTGCAACCGACACAGCGTTCTCGGGCTCGGAAAAGGGAGATTGGACATTTCGCTTCTGACCGGCAAATGCCAACAGATTAGTTGCTGCACGTCGAGGTCCGCTTGTCACGCGCTGAGGACTTCCAGTCGACGCTGTTCGAATGTGAGGCCTGCGAGGAGGGCGAACTTCAGGAGTAGTAGTGGATGCTGGACCCCCCAGGCCGGAGGCGGCTTTTGTACGGGTTGATTTAGTCGGTCGAGCAAAAGAAGGCACGCTGCTATCAGGGTGACGATTTGGGGGAGCAAGGAGACGGGGAACTGATGAGGTGGGAGTATTGGGGGAGGAAGTCGGTGACTTAGGGTTACGGACGCTCTTGTTCCAGCTGACCCCACTAGAGAGTCTAGTGTATTTGGGTTTGGGCTTTGCACGTTTCTCAGAGTCAAGACGGAGTCGCCCACTCTGAAGAGCCGTGTTTTCGTCTGTAAATTCCGAATCTTCGCCCTCTCTTTTGGTTCCCTCTTTGTCTGAAACTCCGATTCGAGACTTGAAAATGTTGCGGAAGCTTCCAAGGAGGTGGGTGCTGCGTGACTCAGGGATTCTGGTTTTGATGCCCTCCGCTGGTATCTTTTCCTTTTCAAAAGTCAAAGACACGAAGTCATTGAAAGTGACATTCCGTCTCAGGTTTGTAGCTGCTTTGGGGGGCGCTTCGGCTGCAGATGCGTGGCACTGGCCTTGGGCGGGATTGTTGGGGAACTCGGAAAGTGCCCGCAATGACGAGGTCCGAGGTGGATGTGACTGAGAGGTACCAGTCTTGATAGCAGTAACAGGTGTCTGTGTAATTTTTGTTTCAGCACTAGCTGGTGTAGCTTCGGGCTCAGATGCAATCTTTGCCGGGGTCGCTGGTTGTAGGTTGTTTTTGGTCATATCGGTGCAATATTCGTCGGGTATCTTTGGCACAAGGTGTTCTTCCCCAATCCGAGGGCTCTTTGAGCTTGGTGAGAAGAGATTGCTAAGACTGGGCTTGCTCACTGGCTTTCGCGAGATTGACATCTCCTTGCCACTGATGTCTGTCGCTCCCCTCAAGTCTCGCGCGACTTGCGTGCTCTGCTTCTTACTGCTACCGCCGACGCTCTTCTTGGTGTCTGACGCAGGCGTGTTTCCTTTGGGGCTGCTGCTGAAGACCTTTGGCGTACTCGGAAGCAGTTTGTCAAAGTACCTCACTTTGCTGGGGTTCGTTCTCTGAGTGACAGCGTAATTTGGAGGGTCACGAAGGGTTCCTCCCAAGATGATGTTGTCGGCAGAGGTAGCTATCCTCAGAGTAGGGCCTGTAGCTTGATTCCCAGGAACATTGAGGATGCGAGTACGATATTCACCTGTAAAGACATTCGTGGGTCTCTCAGGCACATCTCCCTCGTCACCAAAGTCCCAGCTGCTGGCGGACGAAGAAGATATAGATGTAGGAGTTGAGATCTGTGCCTGATCCACTCCTTGAGCTGACTCGGAAGTGACAAGGCTAGCTTGCTCTGCCACTGGTCGGGGGCGTGGTCCACGGGGCTTCTCAACCATCCGTATACCGCTTGACGATTCGCTCTGCTTTCCCTGAAGGTTAACCCTCAACTGTTCCACGCTGCGCCGTTGAACCGAGACTGGAATAGAACTGCGAAGCTCGGGAGTGCAACGAGTTCCTTTCTGTGCAGAAATGTTGGCCGATTGTTTCAATCCAGTTCCTCGAGGAATGCGTGAGCCTGCGGAATCTTCTTTATCCCTAGGCAATGTGCAGTGCGGCAGGGGGCTTTCCTTGTTGCTGATCTTCTCTGGTGGACTTTCGGACTGGGGCCCTTCTGTACTAGTATTAGTTCCGCGTCTACATACAAGTTTCGAAGAGCACTACCTTTGAGATTCTGGGCTAGGCGGAGTGGAGATTTTTGTGGTGGTGGAGGGATGTGGCTTGGAGAAGTAGGGCTATCGTTCGCGGTTTCTACTCGTAGATGTCAGTACTTGGCATTTCAGTCAGTGAGGACAACCTAGTACCTTTCTGAGTATCGCAAGTCTTTCCATCAGAGCTATGCTTCTCCGCGTCAGTGTTAGAGGGCTGATCCTCGGTCACGGTGCCCTGAGCGGGTGCCATGCTTTTCGTCGTTCTGAGATGTGAAGATGGAAGGGCAACTGCCAAATTGCTTCCAAAATCAGACTCTGGGTGGGTGTCGTCGGTGTCGTAATCAGACGTAGGAGGGGTGAAGGTCATGGGAGGAATGTAAATGGGAAGATATCTTTTCAAGATAGATGTGGTTGTGTGGTCGCCTTTTGGTGAATGTGAGTTTGTGTTATTCTGTGAAAGAGCTAGCCTGATGCAGGAGACAGAGACTCACTATCAACCCAATAATCATCACTAAACATGACTTTCTCCCTCCATTCTTGTATCTCTAACCATGTACTTCCCACAGCATGGTTTGAGCTTTTTCCAATCTCGGTCTGATCATGGAATCACCACTTCCTCAACGCCTTGATCTATACCAGCAATGGGCACATACCTGAAGCGACATCTCTGCTTGATGCCATTTCAGCATCCTGAAAACGTCGTCGTACAACTTGCGCTTCATAATCGATCTTCTGGTTAATTTCCAAAAGATCTCCCAATTGAGGTTGGAGATCGCTTCTCGGTGTCCCAGCCCCTTAGCGAATCTTCTGTGCCGCGTTTGAGCAGAACCTCTCTTCGATTTGTTTGGAACATAGGATGAATGCCTGGGACCGGCCTGGAGCTGGGGCTCCCAAGTTCTCAAGTCTGATGATTGAAGAGCCCTTGAAATCATAACTGATCCAGGCACCATTGGAGAGGCATGAGCCGGGTCTTCTTGACGGCGGCGGCTCATATCTGGCCCCTCTTTCAATCTAGCTGGCAAAACGGGATATTATTGAGGAACCACAATGAGTCTAGGGCTTGGAAGAATGAGGTTAAACCTCTTTACTTTCCATTGACAGCCTTCGGCGGTGTTCTGGTCCGAAAAAGGGTATGGGGGGCGGGCAGCTTGGCCACGCTGCCTGAGAATCTGTCCTGCTTTGGCCGGAATGATAGATTTTATCTTCTCCGCGTCAGAGGCCATGCGCTTGCGCAGGCCCCTTTGTGAGGAAGACTGAATCTTCATTGTGGAGAGACTCGGTCTTCAATTGCCTGTTTATACCACCTGAGGGGGGAGGTACATGGTACTGAGAGGAAGATATGTCTGCTTGGTCAACCTTGGTGTTACTCCAGTGGCTGAAGTCTTTTATCTTGCTGAACCTCGCATAGGCAGGCGATGGTTTACTCGCAAGAAGGCTGCTTGATCGCCTATAAGACTTCTGTCTTCGACGATGGGTTACTCGACTTTGAGGAATGAACAAACGGGTTGAGGGATGAAAGTAGAAGGGAGAAAATAGGAAAGCAGTTCCAGAGAGCACAGAAACCAGAAAGGTCATTTTCCAGTTTTCTTACGGTGTTTACGGTGTTAACCATGCTGCATTCACTGAAATGCCAAGCGATACTGCTTTGGGAATATCAATCGTGCAGGGCAGCACTTTGGTTGCGCTAATTAGCATGGCACCTCAAAATATTTCAGAGAGCTCCTCTGGCCTCTTTGCTCATCGAGGTCTTGAGAAATTGAAGCTTTTGTCTGTTCAGCAGCTTCACGACTTGCCTAACTGTCAGTTTACGCTGCATAAGCTATGAAGCTGAGATGGAAATGCAGTCCAGACTTAGTACTGATATACTGAGTGAAACCGACCCCTTTTAACCACTAAGAAGATCTCAAGTATCTAGGTGTGATCCCCTCGCTTCCTTTTCCCTACAGCTCGAGCAGACGAGCCTTTTGTTCCGGTGCCTGTGTCTGTCCATTCGCCAACCTCCCATTCTATAGTCGTCGACTGATCACCACTGACTTCGCCATCTCTTGTTTTCATCAATCTGCCCAGTCCACTCCCTTCGATCATTTCCTCAAACCATGGAATACCACCGGTAGTCCCGTGCCGATAGGTCCGTGCGATATCCGAACCAGGTTTACCGGACGGAATCGAAAGAGCGGACATGCTGGAGTTCGAAGCTTGTGCGGCTGTTATAGTATCTGAAGTCTCTGGTGTGGAGCCTTCAGAACTTTCCCACTGCGGAAGAAGATCTAGATCTTCCAACAATCGCTGATCGTCACCGTACAGACTGCCGATAGTCACGGACATATATTCTGCCTCGTCACGCGGCTCTTCGCTCCAGTATGTGAGCGGCGAGCCACAGACTCCGCAAAAGACTCTCTGCGTGTGCGGTGCATGTTGTGGGGAGAAAATGCGGCGTATGGTCCCATGCGTTTCATCGGGGAAATAGGACTGGGTATGCGACTGATACCAGCCAAGCGGGACTCTTAGCCATGCGGTGAGAGGTGCACCATAGGACCGTCCTAGATATCAGATTCAACATTAGAGAAGAATGAAATCTCCGAAGAAATGGACGTGAGCTCACGGTGATCTCGATCTGTATCAAAGTAGACTTGAGCGTGATTGGTCACGTCGTTGGGGATTCGAATCAGATATTCATTCCGTCCACACATACAAGAGCCGTGCAGAGGCTCGTGTTCGTCCATGCTGCTACAAAATATAGTAAAAGTCACGATTTTGCTGCAAAATATTGTAAAAGTCGAGATTCTTTCAAGGACGAAGTACCAGCCAAAGTATGCAGTGATGAGGTCATAGGCGAGCTAGACCCACCAACCGTTTGATCATTCTCTGCATAGCTAGCAACGTTGGAATATCAAAAGGCTATAACAGAGGAATGGAGCACGTCTGATTGTCAATCAAGCTTGACATCTCTTCCAAGTTCAATCTCATGATATCCAGACGACCAATTAATGAGAAAAGAGCCAAGACTGGTGATACTGGGGATTCTCTCGGCGAGTCCGATAGCTATGTATTCTCTTAAGGTTCGCCAGTCTCTCCCACAACCGGCAGGCGGATCCGAATAAATGGCCAAGATACATTAATTCGATTTCCTTGTCGACCCTTCGGCGGTCGACCGAGAAAATTGCAAGTGGGTAAAATGTGGACTGATCTGGTCCCGTACGAGTCGACTTCTCCGCACGCTAAAATGGTCCTAATCTTGAGGATTTGAGATGACTCCAGGAACCGTTGGGACCTTGTTCTTCGCTCCTTTCCTCCTTTTCATCCTTTTCCTCCCTTTCTTTGTGCTTAATCTGACCGAAGCCCACACTTTTTCGCTGGCTCCGCCGACCGTCACACGAGACTCGCCCCTCTTCTGTTCAACGCTCGCTTAAGGTTCAAACCAACTTTCCCACGTTTTTAACGCAAACCAGACAACAATGCCCTCCGCGCAGCCCATCCTGACATCAAACTCATCCGAGCCTTCTTATTCTCCCATCGCAGCAAGCGCATCTACAAATGCCGATGACCGCCATGATCGCTCTTCATCCACTCCGACTATCAACTCTTCTCGACAGGGAGGCTCCGGCGGTGACAGGGACAAGCCTCGCCTGACGGAGCAGGAGAAGAAGAACAATCACATCGCCTCTGAGCAAAAGCGACGCGCCGCCATTCGCGAAGGCTTTGACCGACTCACCGAGCTCGTTCCGGGGCTCGAGGGCCAGGGACGCAGCGAAAGTATTGTTCTCAGGAAGACGGTGGACTTTATCCATCTCAAGATTCAGGAGCGCAAGGACCTCATTGCAGAGATCGAACGCAGAGGCGGCCGGATCAGCGAGGATATGCGAACTTGAGGTGCTTTAATCTCGGTACTTCGTTACCGAGGTCCGCGGGGCTGAACTTTGCAGGTTTTAAGTTTGACGGCCATTTTCAGATTCTCTTCACGGCGCACGGATGAAACGAGACCCTTTTCCTCATTCTGCCAGCAATAATGTGCGATATGCATTTTGGACTCTGGTAATCTACAGGGTGCGCGTAAACCCCCTTGCTCTGGAGTGAATATCCCGGCATATCGACTACTTTGCTTCTCCTCGACGTACCAGCGCGGTAGGGTTGACTTGTACCTCGTCTCGAAGACTCTGAACGGCTTGGCGTTCGGGTGTATGGATATGGAAATCGGGTACATTCTCGGCGGATCAGAGTCTTCTGGTCTTTCAAAGATTCTCATTTATGCGTGTGCTCTGCTTCAATCCTCCACAAATGGCCATTCCTCGAGCCGATATCGTCTCGCAGGAGTGTGCTGACAGAATATACCCAGGACTCACATCAAGCCGTGATCCACCGTGCTCTTTATATATATATATATGATTTATGAATACAGTCATTTTAGTGCTTAGCAAGCTATACACATACTATATACATGATATATATTTATTTGTGTGACAACATGATAGCAAGGCCCAGGTGCATCTTATCAATCTGTGCAAGTATATACGTTGTAGGGTATAGAATTATTGTGTATGTCCACCTTAACCACGCAGTAGTAAGCAGCCGCATTGTCTTTTATGTCTTGAGTATCACAAGACGATTCCTAATATTCTTGAGACTCATGTATATAGATCCAAAAGCCGAGAAATCGATAGTTGGCCCAAGCGAAAGACCCAATAACAAGCCTGACCGCCCACCGATTACCCAATGAGTCAAAATCATAGATGGCGGGGAACTGAGAACTTACTACTACCTCTCAACCTTCGCCAGTTTAGAGTATCTCAACCCCAATTGACACCAGAACGACGGTGTGCGCAACTCTTAGACAAACTTTAGCCAAAATGTCCGACAAAAAAGAACCTCTCCTCTCCACCGCCACAATCGACGACCTCCCGCCAGCATACGAAACCGCAACATCAACACCAAAGCGCAATCTCCCACCACCACCGCCTCTCCCTCTGCCGACCCTAATCTCCCTGCGCAGCAAACGCGTAATCCTCGCTTCCTCTTCACCCCGGCGCCGTCAAATAATCTCCTATCTCGGCCTCCCCAACATCGAAATCATCCCCTCCGACTTCCCCGAAGACCTCCCGCACACCCTCCAGCCGATTGAATACGTCCTCGCGACAGCAATGCAAAAGGCCGAATCTGTGTACACGCGTGAGATCGTCAACGAAGAAAAGGGCGAGCCCGCGCTCATCTTGGCCGCCGACACAATCGTCGTCGAGCCCAAAACGGGCGCGATCCTCGAGAAACCGCGCTCGGAGGCGCACCATATCACCATGCTGAAGAGCCTGCGTGATGCACGCGATCACAAGGTCTTCACGGCCATTGTGGCCATGGCGCCGTTGAGTAGTGCGAGGGATCCCGGGTATGCGGTTGAGACGGCGATTGAGGAGACGAATGTTAGGTTTGATTCTGAGGTAACGGATGAGTTGATTTTGGCGTATGTGAGGACGAGAGAGGGGGTTGATAAGGCGGGGGGTTACGGGATGCAAGGGATAGGGTCGATTCTGGTCGAGAGTATTGAGGGAAGTTATGATAACGTTATAGGGTTGCCGTTGAAGACGACGTTGAAGATTATCGAAAAGGTTATGGCGAGGGCCGATGATGAAGATCGATTGGGTTCTGATGGAGAGGGGGATGGGGATGAGGAGGATAAGTGATTGCGTCTTAAAGATGTGTTGTATGGCTTCTGTTGGGCATTGGAGATACCCGTGGATTTATAGAAAGGTGGTTCATCATAGTGATTCCGGAACAGTCAAATTTTGTGCTCAGTGAGAACCAGGTCTATCCCTGAGTTGGCCTACCAAGAAGAATCACAACATATACACAGGCAGACGCCTCAACATGGAAAAACAACTCTGATATAAGGTAAAAAAAAAAGGAAAAGAGTAAAAGAAGGAAATCAAATGTACTCCGTCTATGCCTTCCAAATGCGCTTGATGGCCTCAGTCAAACCGACATCGTTCGTCTCAAATTCGTACAGACCAATGGCAGTGGTGAGTGTGAACCCGCGCAGAAGCCAGTTGAGGAATGTGGCAGTCTTGGGGACACGGCGGGCGGGGAAGTAATCGATGATGGAGGCCCTATAACACGTCAGATAGTGTCCAGCAGCCCTGGAATAGATGCAAACCATACTGGAATCCGACGTGAGAGTGAAGAATGAGGAGAGAGCAGAGAACAGCATCCATGGTAGGGTTGAGGGTGCCGGCAGCGAACGGAGCAATGGTGATGGGGACCAGACCAACGCAGACCAGCCTAGTTCACATTGTTAGTAGAGCCCCGAAACATCCTTCGTATCAACGGCGAAAACACGCACCTCTCGAATGTCCAGTGGTAGCTACCGTGCGAAGGATGAGGCGGAGGAATAGGAGCCGGGTCGTTCACTGGGTGGAAACTAGTTAGTATGTCTGACTCGCCATATATCCTTGACCAGATATATCCCCCGTTTCCGACAGCTTCCAATACTCGCAGCAGCCGCTCCATCCGTCCATTCGCTCAATTTGATCTCGCGAAGGTGAATCTGGGGTTGTCACGTACTCGTTCCCTGGATAGTCTCTATATCGAAATCGTTAGCATGTGTCGCCGCCCGGTTATACAACAAAAACGCCGCATCTAAGCGTCCCCTATCTGGTTTCACTCACGAGGCTCAGGAGGCAGAATCTGTCGCCTCGCAGAGGCGTGGAAGGCCACGACCCGGGAGACACCGGCGACATTCCTCGTCGCGAGCGGCGTCCGAAAAGCAGAGAGGCAAGACTGGCGCATGAGAGAAGCCATTGTGACGAGGTTTGATTTTCACACCGGGAAAAGGGCTTCTATCAGCGATTGAGCGCACCAGAAGACACAGACAGTCGTTTCAGAAGGCACAGAGTGAAGTCAAAGTTCCGCTGAAGGAACCTCGGGAGTCCGCTCGGGATGCAGTCATCAAATTGCGGGTCATGTGATTGGTCGGTTCCCTCCGCCCAGCCGAATTTGGCCGACAAGTCGGTAATACCTGGGGAAGCGCACGAGATTGGGATGCATCATGCATCATCTTTACAGAGTTGGCATTGATCGTTCTTCACTGCTTGTGGTTACCGTGTTCTCTATTCTGGCTGATCACTATAGTCTTCAAAAGTGTGTTTACAACGAGCGGCACTGTACCGCAAGCTCAGTCTGATTTCGTTTTCCAATTGCCGAGGGCTGCAGAACATTTTTGCGCCTGGAAACAACAGTATTATTTCCCTAACCTAGGACGAACCCAGGGTTCTTATTACACATTAGAACTTCAGGACAGCCTTGCCCTTGTTCTTTCCATAGAAAATCCCCACCAAGCCTTCTGCAGCATTGTCAATACCTTGTGTTTCGTGGATGAGGTTCTTGAATGAACCATCCTTGATCCACTTTTGCACATTCTCCTGATGCTCCTTGGTGTACTTGTCGCCCATGCCAGCATCTCCAACGATGAAGCCACGCATGGTAAGACGTTTGGTAAGCACGTTTGCAATGTTCTTGATCGGATACGGGGCCGAGTTGTACTGCGAGATGAGACCGCAGACGACGACACGGCCAAAGTTGTTGAGAGCGTTCAGGGCTGCCTCCATATGCTCACCTCCGACATTCTCGTAATAGATGTCGATGCCATCAGGAGCCAACCGAGCCAGGGCATCTGCGGGCTTCTCATTCTTATAGTTGAAACCACCATCGAAACCGAGGTCCTTGATGATGTAGTCGAGTTTCTCGTCTGATCCAACGCTCCCAATCACCTTGAGACCTTCGTGCTTGGCCAGTTGACCAACCAGCTGGCCGACAGCACCGCTGGCTGCGGAGACAAATATTGTCTCACCCTTCTTCGGCTGGCCGATCTCATAGAGAGACGAGTAGGCTGTGAGGCCAGGCATACCCAGTGCGCCGAGGAAGACGCGGATATCCTCAATTCCAAGGGGATTCTCAAGAGGGCGGATGCGAGACAGTTCATCCGCGCCTACCGAAACATACTCTTGGATAGGCAGGCGTCCGATAACAAGGTCGCCTTCTTTGTATGAAGCATTGTTGGAGCGGACAACCTTGGCAATAGTTGCGCTTTCAATGGCCTTGTTGAGTTGAAAGGGAGGAGAGTACGATTTGATCTCAGGGCTGCGCATGCGGCCTCGCATATAGGGGTCGAAGCTGGTGTATAGCGACTGCAGGAACACGCCATTAGCAGGAGCGGGCGCGTTGGCGTCATATGCAACCGGTTCAACGACGAGATGTTCTCCAGGCACAGGGTAGCCTTCGGGGATCTTCTTGAAAATAAGAGCCTTGTTTGTAGCCATTATGCAGGTATAGATGTGACAACACGGGAGGGGGGAGAGAACAGAGGAGAGAGGAGGTTGGAATGAAATGATGATATCAATCCACCACACCCCTCGACTTTTATAAACTCCCGAGGCAAGTTCAAACGGGAGCGGGGCAGGTCAGGACAGCAGATTATAAAGCACGTTTCCACCCAGAGAAAGTTCTCGAGGTGGTGCAAAGACATTCTGTACAAAGGTTTATGCCTAGGTACTTGCCGGAAACGGGTTGTGGCGCCCCAGGCCATGGATTTTCAAGATAATAATGCTCGACAAATCAACATAACTCGCAGGGAACCCGGCGATTGGGCTATCTGTTGCGTGACGGCCTGCCAAGAATACACTTTATAGGCACAAAGACCGAGCATAGACTCCATTCTCGGAGATATTGCTGGAATGGAATTGGAAAAAGGTGGTGTGCATAATTCGCGGTGGTGAGGTCACCATGAAACCCGGGTCGATCAGTGCTGAAGAATGGATCAAGATGGACCCAGCTCATTTTCATTTCGTGCGGGTCTTGTTCCAGGTTTACTCACCTACGCCGAGCTGTTGGCGATAAGAGATACAGTAGAATGGTTAGGCTTCTCCCATCCTGAGGACCCAGGAGACTAAGGAGAGTAGTCCTGACCTGCCAGCCATCGTGCTACGAAGAGAGTGAACGGAAGCCCAGATCGGCGGGTGAATTGCCTGAGGCAGCAAGCTCTATGAGGCTGGAGGTGTCTGGCAGCGAACTGATAAGGTATTGGTATGGATGGAGTTCTCAAGAAACGACGAGCTTCATCTCAGTGATAGATAGCTGGCATACAATCGAATAAAGTACGTAGATCCATTGTTGTTAGTGCTCACTTCTTCGCTGGGTCCATTGAAAATCGAGATCAGGCCCAGCAACCAATGATCGCTTTTAAGTCCTTCTCCGCCTCGACTTTTCTGCCAGTTGACAATTTTTTGAATATGGGACCTTTTTTTTTTTCCATTTGCCATCGCCATCATCTTCATAAACTCCCTATCCCTCCATCCCATTTATTTCTCTTCTGCTTGCAGTTTCCTTGAACCTCTAGGTAGCTGCTGCATATCCCCCTTTACGTTTTCTTCACCCACCATGTTGGGCGCTTTCCGTCGCTCCGCCGTGAGCCACGCGCTCCGGTTTTCCGCTCGCGCCGTATCAGCAAGGCCAACACCACAGCGATTTCAATCCCTTTCTTCGTCGATTTCGACACCTTCATATGCCCCTAGATCTCTATTTCACTCGTCGTCGCTCCTTTTCAACTCTCAAGCTGCAGCGGAAACAGATATTGGCGATGTTGGCCAAGACCAAGTTTCGAGCCGGTTCTCGGAATTAGCAGAGAAGAATCTAGTCGACCCTTCAATTATCCGAACTCTCACGGAGAAAATGCGCATCGAAACTATGACGGACGTTCAGCGCGAAACAATCCCATTGAGCGTCAGAGGTGACGACGTGTTAGTTCGCCCTCCTTTTTCCTTGCGCCTGGCCAAAACACTAACTTACGAAATGCAGTCTCGCTCAAGCTAAAACCGGTACAGGCAAGACGATTGCCTTTCTTATCCCCGTCCTGCAAAAGCTTCTCAACGATCCGAGTGTGAAGAGAGCTCAAAGGGGTCGAGGTCGATTTCAAAGAGTCCCCACGGACATCCGCGCCATCGTCATCTCGCCCACACGCGAGTTGGCTGAACAAATTGCAGTCGAGGCAAGCCGCCTCGCCCAAGGGTCCGGAATAGTTGTTCAGACCGCCGTTGGTGGGACGCAGAAGCGTCTGAAGCTGCAGCAGGTACAGCGCGAGGGTTGCCATATCTTAGTTGCCACTCCTGGTAGACTTCGGGACATTCTGTCGGATGAGTTCTCTGGTGTCGACGCGCCTAATCTCTCTACATTGGTTCTGGACGAAGCAGACCGTCTTCTGGACGATGGGTTCGGGCCTGAGCTCATGGAGATCATTCAACATTGGCTTCCAAATCCCGCCGAGGTCCCGCGCCAAACTCTGATGTTCTCTGCCACCATGGCCCATGAGGTCATGGGCATGGTCCGCAAAACCATGAAGCCTGATTTCAGTTTCGTCAAGACAGTTCGTGACGACGAAGCCCCCACGCACATTCGGGTACCGCAAAAGGTAGTGTTCCTGGAAGGCTTTGAAAACATACTCCCAGCTCTCCTCCAGCTAGCCAAGCGTGCCTATGCAAACCGTGAGACGTCAGAGCGCCCGTTCAAAGCCATTGTATACTTCAACTCGACCAAAGAGGTCAATGTCGCCTATGAGACTTTTGACCGGCTGCTCAATAATCCGGAAGACCAGAGCAGCGGGCACCCTCTGGGTAGAATGTTCATCGGCGAGATCAGCTCGCAGCTGTCGCAAGCGGCGAGAACTCGGGTTGCTGACAGCTTCCGACGAGTCAAGTCCGGTATTCTTTTCTCATCCGATGTCACCGCTCGCGGTATGGATTTCCCTGATGTAACGCACGTTATTCAAATCGGTCTACCCAAGAAACGCGAAGACTACATTCACCGTCTGGGCCGCACAGCACGCGCAAACAAGACCGGCGAGGGTTGGATCTTTATCCACCCCGCGGAGAAGAACGCATTTAGGCGTACCTTGCACGGCATCCCGGTTGAACTCGACACCTCATCCCTCCCCGTCGCCTCCCTGGATCTAACCATGGATCTCGAAACGGTCCGCACATCTCGAGCTGATGACTACGAAATCGTCCAGCAGATCAACGCGTCCATTACACAAATCCCGTCAGCAGACAGAGCCCGCGCCCATCAAAACAAACTGCTTGACTGTGCCGCCACCTTTGATAACAAAGGTCTGCTGCCCGAGGCCGGCGATAGGCTGGCACTTCACGGTCTCAAACTCAAATCGGTACCGGAGATTAGCCCCGCGTTGGCACAAAAGCTAGGTCTTTCCAAGCGGGACGGCTTCCGCATTAGAGATGGCGGATTCGGTGGTCGTCGTGATGGCGGATTCGGTGGTCGCCGTGACGGCGGATTCGGTGGTCGTCGCGATGGCGGGTTCGGTGGTCGCCGTGATGGCGGATTCGGTGGTCGCCGTGACGGCGGATTCGGTGGTCGTCGTGACGGTGACTTTGGTGGCCGCCGTGATGGTGGATATGGTGGTCGCCGAGAAGGCCGCGCCGGACGTGACCAGGACTCATTCCGAGGATACCCATCCCGCGAGCGTGTGGACGAATGGATCTAAATCACCAACTCACTTGACGTGATCATCCCTTCAACCAGATAACACCCCTCTCACCCTTCCCAAACCTGCACCAGTCTCTTCGAAATTGCATCGGCCGGCGTTAAATCGGAACTGTATATCACCTCATCATCTCATCTCGACTCAACTTCATTGCCCATCTCATCCTTGGCTTCGATCTGGATTTATGTGTATCATAAGGTCACGCACGGTACGGTTCAATTCGGTCTACACTCACTCCGTGGTATGGCGCCCTGTACAGCTTTTTCGAGCCCGCCAAACTTAGCTGGTTGGCTCACTTGGTTATGTATTTTCTTTTTAATATCCTTCTTTTTCATCTCTTCAAGATGAATTGTGTACTTATATAGATTTTTCAACCTCATTCGTTTTCATGTTTGATGCTGCTGCCTTGCGTTCTTGGAAAATGTGGGAAAGATAAAATGAGATATACCATGTCCCTTTTGCAGATATAGTGAACCTCGTATCATAGACTTTTCTAAGCCTTCTATATCTCCCAATATCGCTCAAGTATCCACCCCCCTCAGCCTCCCAATATAAAAGTCGAAAAATGATATTTAAGACTAAGAGTCTAGAAACCGAATAGAGATGGTACACTATTTGTTGTAGACAACTGACTTTACACAGAGAAGTAAATCTAAACCAGCAGAGAAGAAACATAGATGGAATCAAAACATGGCAGTGAATTATAGTAGCACAAAGAAGATAACTAAGCAAATCGCAATCGAGATCCGCCTCTCTAAGGGAATAACTCTATGTCCGTAGTCGCTTTTTATCCTGTATGTCGTTTTCGTCATTTAGAGAGGTAGAATTGTGAAGAGAAATCTCCGCAGGCGAGTCTCGTCTATTCGCGGAAAATCATGTCGTCGCGAGCAGGACCGGTTCCGATCCACTTCACGGGGACGCCGCCGAGTTGTTGCTCGATGTACTCGATGTATTGGCGGGCGTTGACGGGCAGGTCCTCGTACTTCTTGACGCCCATGGTCTTGCTCTTCCACCCGGGCAGCGTGACGTATTCGACCTCGACTCTGTTGAGAACCTCGGCATCGGCGGGGATGGTGTTCTCGAGACGAGTGCCGTCTGGCAGAGTGTAGGCGACACCGACCTTGATCTCGTCAAAGTCGTCGAGGACGTCGAGCTTGGTGAGGTTCAGGGCGGTATAGTGGTTGATCGACTGGGAGTAGCGGAGGAGGACAAGGTCAAACCAGCCGCAACGGCGCTTGCGGCCAGTGGTGACACCGAATTCCCTACCGACGCTCTGGAGCTTGTCACCGGACTCGTTGAGCTGTTCGCTAGGAAAAGGACCGGAGCCGACACGAGTGGTGTAGGCCTTGACGACACCGATGATGTTCTTGATGCTGGTAGGGTTGAGCGAAAGCGCCTGCACGGCACCACCAAGGCCGGTGGACGAGGAAGTCACAAAGGGATAAGTGCCGTGGTCGAGGTCGAGCAAAAGAGCGTTTGCGCCCTCAACCAACGTGTTGGGAGAGTCCTTGTACTTGTTGAAAAAGGCCAATTGGTCGACGATGTGCGGGACGAGTAGCTTTCGATACTCCTGTTTTCTCATCAGCCTCGGCTCACATCAGCTAGATCAGGGATCATACCTTGAACCGCGCAATCTCCTCCTCAACATCGTAGTTCAACTCTCCAAAGCGCGCAACGTAACCCGCGTGCAGGGTGCGAAGCTTGCGCTCAAAGACCTGCTCATCCAGAACCTCTCCGATGCGCACACCCCGTCGCGAAGCCTTGTCACTGTAGCAAGGGCCAATACCCTTGCCGGTGGTACCAACCTTGCGACCACCAAGACCGGCCTCCTCAAGCCCATCAACAACCGAGTGCAGGTCGAAGCAGACATGGGCGCGATCGGAGATGAAGACGCGGCCGGCGGCGCCCTGCAGGCCCTTGGTCTCAAGAGAAAGCAGTTCCTTGAAGAAACTGGGGACGTGAACCACGGTTCCGGCACCGATGAGATTGACGCAGCTCTCTGAGATCAGACCAGAGGGGAGGATGTGGAAGTCATAGGTCACGTTGCCATGAACGATTGTGTGGCCCGCGTCTGGTCGCAATTAGATTGTGGTCTAGCAATTGAGACCGGACATCGACTTACTGTGGCCGCCAGCGGCACGGCAGCAGAGCGTCGCCTGCTGCGACAGCATATCCGTGATCTTTCCCTTTCCTATACCAGCGATCAGAACCTAGGTCTATGTATACCAGACCACAAAAACCCACCTTCATCGCCCCACTGGCTACCAAGGACAATTGTTACAGCCATGGTGAATTAGATCGGCAGGTATACCTCCAATTCGGAGAGATAATAAACCGGAAAGTTGAATCTGCAGCTCGACGAATGGTTAGCAGCCAGCTCGCGCCACACACGCAAGACAAAAAGTCAAAGGAAAGCAACGTACAAGCAATTGACCAGCAAGGTTGATATTGTCGAAAGTTTAAACCACTCTGGAGACACCAAGAGTGATTGGAGCAGCGGCGAAAACTTCGCGACCGTCAAAGACCAAAAGCCAGAAAAAGGAACGGAGGGGAACTGCGGATGACGGCCATATAATATAATTCTGGCCCCCCGTGACTCATGTATGACGCCTGTACAGCACAGCTTTTTCTGTGTGACAGCTGCCAGTAATTAATGTTCCGTATTGTACGGTCCCGGTTAGTCCCCCCACGGCGGGGTTGCCTTGATTGCGCCGAATTAGGAAGGTGGCGGCCTGGGGCTTAAAGCCGGTATCGGCGATTCTCTAGGGTTTAGGGTTTTCAAGCTAATCAGCTTCTCTGCATTACGACTTGATCAGGTCTATCAAAACACAGAGAAAGCTTCAGGACAACAGTCTCACCAGGGTGACTACGGCCGTGATTGCCGCCATACCCCCATCTCCAAGACTTTTGAGCCGTCGCCATGCTCCAGTATCGCAAATCACATTCACATCTTTTTCAACAGTAACATCACAGTTGAACTTGGAGTTCATCGTGACAGCAACCCATGAAAGTTCCTCAAACTCGGAAACGAAGCATCAAGGCGGTTCGTCAGTAATGATCGAATGAAAGACCCGCCGGCAACCAAATCGCACATTTGAGTTTTCCCCTGCAGGTGTATTTAGCCGGCGTTCTCGACAGGAAGATCAACATTCAGAGATTCGTCTGTAATCCACATTGAACAGCCCTGGGTATGTCTTCAGAGTAGGCAACGAAAGACTGTATACCGATCAGCAATGCACTTCTAACCACGGAAAGCGAACGAACGATGTGAAAGTCGCATTCTCCACGATATGTTCCAGCTTTGGAAAGCTCACCGCAACTGGCTGCCCCTTGAGCGAGAGTCTCAGGTCCGGAAAGCCGGCACTCCCGGGCAGCGCGACAGTAGTCAACTTCGGTGCAGACAGACTGATGCTGGTAGCCGGCTTCTGAACTTCATTTCGACTGCAAGACGAACCTCGACACTTTGCCGCTAACATCCAGCCTCATGACGCGCTCCAATGCAGCAAGGGAGATGTTCATTGTTGTTTGCGCGGAGAGATCTTCGTGGTACAGCTCGGTATTGCAGATTTCCATCGCGCCGTAGACAGTTTGCAGTGCGTCGAATGATACCCTACGCCTGTTAGCCTGGGTTCTTCAGCTGCAAAGGAGCAGTAGTTTGAAAAGTTCGCATTCAATTGAATCTCCGAGGCATTCTTCAGCAACGGAAATTCCAACTCGTTCACCATAGCAGAAAACCACAGCGAGAGATGCTCAACATTTTCCAGCTTGGGGAATGAGAGCTTCTCCAGCGTGGTGATTCCATAGACTGCAAGCGATCCGGCAGTGACAAGGTCGGGAAGCTCAATAGATTTCACTCCAGAATCTGCGGTACCCAGACACTGCCGTGATAGTCGAAGAAGTAATGTTGGTCACATTGTGAAAGGCGAGAGATCCGGTATAGTCTTGGCCGAGCGTGAGTTGACCTGCGAATGCAGTGCAGTTTTGGACGAGGTGGTCGAGCTCCTCTTGACGGCTGATTTCAAAGTTTCCGACTTCGCAGACCTGGGCTGCGACGGGGATGATTGAGGCTGCAATAACCAGGCCTATCTTTGGCTCGAAGCTAAGATACATCATGCAGTGTACAGTAGTGTATGTTGGATTCAACCAGGAGACATTGGATCGAATTAGCGGCGAGATTACCTCGTTATAAGCACCATAACGAGTCGCGATTAGTCTAGCGATAAAATTGAACAGGGCAGGCCATGATTTAGTATGTGCAAGTGCCATCTAGCGCAGGAGCTTGGCCTAAGAGTAGCCTAGGAACAGGAGGCTCTATGCCCTATGAGGAGCTAGCCATTCTATAGCGCAACAATTTCAGCGTCAAGACCCAGAAAACTGGCAAAGGACTTCCGAGATGACTCATTCAATCAAATACATAGCGCGATCCTCGGGTGTTTCTCACATACTCACCCGACATCATCGAAAGGATAATGGCCCCATAACTCGGTGGACAGATGTGATAACTCCTAAAGCCTGTGGAACATGGTTCGGGGCGGCTTTCCTAAAGATCTCCCACGGTCTGTTGTCTTTACGTTGTACAAGCGAAGCAAGTCTTTATTGCTGACTAACATAGAGGAGTACATGACTCCTGTTTAATCTGTTGTGAAATTAGAGGGATGAGCATTTATGCCGTCTACATATCTAGACTAAGTATACGGATCTACGAGCAGAATTTGGGGTCAAACTTGCCAGGCGAGGGCCAGTTAACGATGTTCAATCGAACTATATCACTCAGTTTCTTCTTCTTAGGGGAGCAGTTATTGACTATACATGAAGAATGATGGAACCACCAACTACTAACTAATCCTCAAATCCAGTGTATAGTAGCCAGCAAAGAAGAAGAAGATGATTGGCTACATCCACCGCAATCACGTGCATACAATGCTTACCTATACGAGCACACAACTTTTGCCTCCTTCTTCTTTTCCATCTCACACCAGCATTATTATCAGAAAGTTCATGACTTGATAATTCAGCTCATTATGCGCCAGGGGCTCGGAAAATATTGTTCCCCATGGACCGCTATCTCTCGCGCAAGAGACCACGCAGTCCTGCGGTAGCCGACGCCGACACCACCAACGACGATGAAGCCTCGACAGATATCAAACTCGCTCAGCTTGTGTCCCTTTTCGCAGACACGCCGCAGGACACTCTTCTCGATATCCTTGTCTCTTGTGGTGGCTCGGTCGAGTCTGCGATTACCACAATAACGGAACAGAAACAGATAGCCTCGTCGCCAACGGCTCTAGGCAAACGGGTAAAGACGACGAATGGGGCCTCAGCTATCCAGACGTCCCTGACTTCGCATGTCCTTCAGTCGCCATCTGGACAAGGTGACAGTCCAGCTAAGCGCAGAAACCCGGTGCAAAAGGGTAAGACGCTGTACCTGTATAGCCCCGAAGACGTTTCGGCGCATACGTCCTGCACAATCATCCACAACTTCCTGCCCGCAGAGCAGGCGAATGCGCTTCTGCTTGAGCTCCTCGACGAGTCGAAGCATTTCTCGCGGTACCAGTTGCAGATCTTCGAGCGGACGGTCGAAAGCCCGCATTCGACATGCGTCTATGTTTCCACGCCGGAAGAGCAGGACCAGCATATGAATGATTATTCGTATGGTGGTTCCTACCACACGAATATTCGACAGGCAACGCCTCACCTCCGCGGAATCTCTGCACGAGTCCAAGAGGCAGTGAATGCGGAGATTCAGAAACGCATTCGCGACGTCTATCCCGGGGGCAAGAAGCTCAAGTATCAGTCTCCGAGGGAGTGGATGCCTAATGCTGCCTTTGTCAACTGCTATGATGGCCCCGCGGAGAGCGTAGGGTATCATACCGATCATCTTACGTATCTCGGCCCTCGCGCGGTTATTGGCAGTCTCAGTCTAGGTGTCCAGCGGGAGTTTCGTGTGCGGCGGATAGTTGCGGATGAGGGTGAATCTGGAGAGGAGAGAGGGGATGCAAAGGCTCATGCTCAGGGCCAGATATCCATCCCCCTACCACATAATTCTCTTCTAGTAATGCACGCACAGACGCAGGAGGAATGGAAACATGCGATTGCACCCGCCCACACCATCTCCCCGCATCCGCTGTCCGGTAATCGTCGCATCAATGTCACCTACCGCTGGTACCGGGACTCGTTACATCCGCGAAATATCCCACGCTGTCGCTGCAACGCCCATGCAGTTTTAAAGTGTGTCCAGCGTAAGCGTGACAGTAGGGGTCGCTATATGTGGACATGTTATATGGGTTCTAAACCTGGAAAGAAGGGCTGCGGTTTCTTTCAATGGGCCGAGTTTGACGATGACGGCGAGCCGCTTTGGAAGCCACCGCAAGTCAACAACGAACAAGACAACGAGGTCCCTAGATTGACGAACTTTGCTGAATAGAAATGATTTCGTGTTCGAAACCCCACAAAACTGGGCTAGCATTGTATGCAGTTAATCTATATACACGAAATTACCAGCCTAAGTAACCTAGCCGCAAATGTACTGTTGACAACGACAGGCAAGGTGTCGGTAAAAGAGGGCATCGTTAAGATCGCTATGTTGTTCTCGATTCGCTTGCTCTCTCAAATCCGGTTGTGGTATACACCGCGCCGGATACGGCGGGCACCTGGTCAATATTTAGTCGAAAGTGTATGTAAAGCAGCGGCTTATTCTCGTAAATCCCATATGTGAACATGTGTAATCGTCTGTTCAGGATTTGACTATAATTGTGTTAGTTTGATGCCTCGGATGGAAACCCGAGCGACGAAAGGGTTCCGGACAACACATACTATGCCTGTAAGTCTAGTCAAACAGAAGCGTCCATTTTTCCCACGTCTAACAATAGTCCCACACTGAGTCGCGTTGCAAACGACCTCCCGGTCCGTCTAGCAGTAAGGCCGTAATGACAAGGGCAAATCTCGACGAAGGGCAAGCTTTAGAAGGAAGCGATGACTATGAACAATACTAGTATTAGCGCAAGGATGGTCGTTGGAGCACAGCGCACCATACCTATGAGCGCAGATTCGCATCAAACTTCAGCTATCATCCGAGACTCAGACGAGGTACTGTTGTCTTCGTCCGACTGCCCAGCGGTCTTTGGACGAATCGGTCTAAGCCCCCTCCGTACGGCACTGAGCTTTCTTTTGAACCAGGGTTTGATGAGAGTGAAGCGACCGGAGCTCCAAAACTCGGCGCAGCCGAGAGCCAGCGCGAACGCGCAGCAGACGAGAATAATCGGAACCAAGACCAACGCCACGACGATAATCGTTGTTTTCTGTTTAGGATTCATGGCGGTACCTATACAGTGGAATCCAATATTGCCATGTAGAGACACAATAGGGATGGAGGAGTTGGATAGCGGGTATTGATAGGCAGGGATTGTGACTCGGTCTTGGATGGCTGCATCCGCGTTTTCTTGTTGATGGAGCGTGCGTGCCTGACCAGGAAACGCATCCAAGAAAGCGAAGGTACTCTTGAAGTCCAGGAGAGGTAAGAACGAAGCGTGCACTTTAGTCGCCGTACCTGCTTGAGGCTCTCGGTTCATTCCGAGGCAGGTTCCACAGATGGAACCAGCATCTGCTTGACCGACTCCAACGTAGACCTGTCTAGCCGAGTAAAGCGAATCTGCACACCGTGATTAGATATGATTTATCCATAATGTTCTGGATAGAACCGCACCAGCTCGTCAGGGGCCCCTCGCGCAGCGCTCCCGAATAATGTCGCATCCGACCGGCTCCCTTCAATCTCATATTGTACGCGCCTGATCCAGATCCCATCCCAGTTCCAGTCTCCCGGCGCTCGCGCTTGCGGATTGTCGCGCTTGGAATCGCTCGTTGGAGCAGTGTCTGTGTCCTTCCGATGCGCTTTCCACGCGTGCCACGCGCTGGGGTTCCCCGCGGCTTCGAGCGGCACGGAGTCGAGAACAGTCTCGTCATCGAACGAAGTGCGAATATAATCCAGAATTTCCAACACGGGGATCGATGTTCTGATTTTTGGGACAGGTTCCGCTGTGGGAGGGGGTGTGGGTTCACCCTCTTCGTTATCATCTCGTTGCTCCGACTCCGTTGAGGCATCTTGTGCAGATTCCTCTTGCACAGCTGTTGTTCCCAGACCCGCATTTAGACTCACAGACCTCGACGATGGAGCCGAACCGACGCCCGTGCGTCTGGCGCGGCCAAACCAGTGGGGGAATGCGTGTCGGAGACTGAACCCTCCTGGGGCTAAGCGTTGCTCGTCCGACGCGCTCACGGGGTCTTCGTTCGAGACACCAGTGCTGAAGGTGTAAGTGGTAAGGGGTACAATCAGAGGATGGAACACGTCGGTGGAGAATGTCACTAACGGTGGTCGATCGGGGTAGGTCGGTGGGAAGCGTATCTGGAATCGGAGGATGGCAGAAGCGTAGGGGCCTGATAGCGAATGGATTATTAGGCAGCCCAGGGGTGGAATCTCGAAGTGTAACATACCGGAGCGGACAAAAATCACGCAGGCCCAGAGAGTAGGATCGCCAGGGCTGAGGCTCACATAGACTCCCGGAGGAGCTGCATGCTTGAGGCTTGCACTGGGTAACCGTTAACAAAAAGCCGTGTTGTGATGGCTCCGGATCGTTGGAAACGCTCACTATTCTTGCAGAAGTTGATGTCTACGAAGAGACGGGATATTAGGCAGCCGGGTCGTTGACATGGCGCCAATCGAACGAGATCAAGTCGTGGAATGGGAGTGTTTTCAGGTAATCTTAGGAGACAGTTGGAACTTGGGAACTTGGAGAAAGCTCCAGGCGGTGGAGCTTGGCGGCGGGTCCAGATCTATCTTATCTGGAGCCATGGAAAATGCAACCACTCCATTCTTTCTTTATCCTGACGGTTCATAAGATCTATATCTAAATATATGACTAAATCAGTTTTCATGGCCTCCCACTGTTCGTTTCGACACCAGAAGGCGTCTCCAATTTCGAGTTTGGCGTCGTAAATCCAAGAATCATCATCCCCTCCTCAAGACCCTCATAGATGCCACCAGCAACTCCCTCCACCCACCAAGAAGTTGCGCTTGAGGCTGTATCGCCTATCTTTCCATCGTACATATTCAAAACAGTAGCCCCAAGGTTCACGCCTCCCCTGCTGACCTGTTCAAGGATGTATAAAGTGAGAGAAGTCGCACGCTCAATCAGCCTGAGAGACCGTTCATGCTGATAAAAGTGGTAAATAACTTCCTTGATAAACGGCATGAGGAATTGCAAGAGAAGGCAGAAATATATGATGCTCGACGCCAGCAATCGATGGAGGTAGGACCGCGCAGGAGGTGGAAAACCGCTCGGGTGTGGAGACATCGTCAATGGCTTCACCTTTTCCGGTACACTGTTGCGAATTTTCGAGGCCTCTTCATCGGTCAAATCCTCCGGTAGTCCGGATAAAAGGTAAGAAACAGCGTCGAGGTACAATGAGCGGACCAGGCTCCTTTCGCAATGAGGCCGCTGGGCCTCATACCCCGCAAGACGGAGGCGGCTGAGCGCTATCTCACAGTTAGTTAATCTCACAGCTCAGGTGTAGAACGGCCTAGGAGATAGTCCACACATACCCGAGTTTACGCAGTTCCATCTTAGACCAGAATTTACCTCGTAATCAGTTGTTCTCAGCCCTAAAGAGTCCTTGGTCTCTTGAAATTCCTCTTCATACGTAGCCGAGGCGTAGCCCGAGGATTGTTCAGAGTATTGTGCTTTGTTCCCTGGCGATGAAGACGGCGGCAGGTTGTTTCCAACACTCGTAGACATTGCGCGAGGGTATACGATTGCGTATCGTGAAGTCAGGCGCCGTTTGATGACTGCAGGAATGAATGGTGGGATGATAGAGAACGCCGGCGGCCCGGAGGCGTCGATGCGTGAGATCGCTTCAACCATTTTCTTCGCGAAAGATACTTTTCACCCAAAAGCAGACAAACTGAATCCAGAGTATACTTTTGGAACTTCAAGTCGAACCACCGTCGTGGCGTCGTCCGGAGATCGTTTCCAAACTTTGGAGGTTGTCGAGAGGAGAGAGACCTGGTACCGATATGCCATTCTGGTGGGAAGAGAAGAGCGCTGGAATCACCCCGCTGTGGCGGTACTCATCATAATGGAGCTTCTATAGATAAGTAAAAAAATTTGAGCCTAGAATCGGGGTTTCAGAAATAGACGCAAAAGAGAAAAAACCGTTGAGGGCGAGACTTGGCTTGCATTTTCACATGTCAGCGGGGCCGATCTTCATAGGGTGCTTGGAGTCGGAAGAATCACAACTCGAACGGCCTTCAAGACGAAGAGGCAAAGACGAGGACTTTGCCAGTGGATTGCTGAGCAAGCCAGTAAGACTGGTAACTTAAGCTCTCAAGCCCGAGTTCCGTGCCGTCAAAAACACGCCCTGTCAGACTCCCGACCAATCGCGGCCTCTATTGTTACCAATGCCACGCCCTTCAGACAACTCGCGCTCCATCTAATGCGACCATAGCCCTCAGCCAAGCACCCATTGATTAGTTATGAGGAAGCGATTATAAATCCAGTGCTCGTCTTACAGAAGATTACTCTGTAGTTCGCGGCTAACGGTTTATAAAGACAGAAGACAAAAATATTTAAATACAGCCGAAATCCGCCCCTATATTATGCCACTCTATTCACATGCTGAACTTTGTCATGTCCGACATTATACCATTTACAATCTACCCAACACTCCATCAGGGTCCATCAGTGCCGCCTTGAGATCGAATATCTGGCCGATGGAGAGCATCAGGCATCGGAACCTCGAGTTGCTTCGACGTAGGGATGGGAATCGGGGCCGTCGCGGCACTAGTGACGACTCCCGACATATCCATAGGATCACCAATGTTGCTCGTGTCGAAACCTCCTCCAGTTCCATCGTCAACTCCATAGCTCAGGTCTTGCAAGCCCTCCATGGGTAGTTGCTCATCGTACCGATCACTGAGCTGTTGCAGGAACTCCGGGTCAAAGCCCATTTGCACAAACGGGTCGACAGATGTGCTTAAAGGAGTAGAGAATGACGATACCCCAGCAGACACACTACTACCCCAGTCGGTCGACAAGCCAGCGTGTGAGTGTCGAGCAGCTGTGAACTGCCCCGCACTGCCCGCATAGCTACCAGCTAAGCTTCCAGGGCCGCTTGGAGCAGCGGACGATTGGCCGGTACCAGGAATGGCTGGGCTCTGGAAGCCGGAGCCAGTATATCCTGAGCCCGGGCACGACTGGCGAAGACACACTGGTGGTTGCCGCAATCCTTCCTGAGACGCATAAGGTGGTCGCATGCCTAGGTTGGCAAACTGGATGTGCTCCGACCCTGGTTCAAGCTCAAGCCCCGCCTCGCGCTTAAGAACACTGAGCCAGGTAGGGTTGTCGGCGCAAGTTTGATTCCAGGGATCATCGGAGCCGTATATCGTTCGTCGACCTTGATCTTGAATCATCTGATCTGTGGGAATGGAACCATTCGCCATATGCTCTCGTACAAACGCGAGAAGTTCTCGCCTGAGACGGTCAAAACAATTGGCATCTTCTGGAACCGACAGGCCGGGTGCCGCGACGTTACGCTGGGAGAGCTTGTACGGATTAAGAGTTTCGCGCTCATGCCCAATAAGGTAAGGAGGCATTGCGTTCTCGACGAGGCTCTGCACAACAGGTTCGAAACCCCAGTCACCTTGCCATTGGGCCATGTCAGCACCATTTTTGAAGTGAGTAGCGAGGTGGTCAGCTCGCCCTTTCCACGTGGTCAAGGTGACTCCACAGAAACCACATCGAGATATGATTTCTGTGGTGTGACTCCGCCATTTATCCATTGATGGATCGAACCGCACATTATGCATCAACCTGAGATGCTGGTTAAGATGGTCTTTCCGATAAAAGGTCCGCTCAGCGACACTCTTTTCTGCACAGGCGCTATAATTGTGTGCCTCAAGATGGTCATCGTCTGGATCGACGGCCATACAGAATACACAACGATTGGCACCATTTAAAAAGGCCACACCTCCATGGGGTGCACAGGTCCACTTCTCAAGGGCCAAGTGCAGTGACTTTTCATGACGCTGCCAGTCATACTTGGTTTGAAAGGTATCGGCGCAGAAAGTGCATTGATATATCCTCGCGCTCTTGGCTTTGTGAAGAGCGAATGTGTTTGCAGGTGTTGAAGGCTTGCGGCGGCGACGTCGTTCTTTACGGTCCATAGAGCCGAGAGACCCGCGAGAGGAGCGATGAGAAAAGGCAGAGGCAAAGGAGAGGTCAGACACAGAGGAGCGAGTAGCTGAGTGACTGGCTTCATGGCTGCTGTGTAGGGAAGAAGCATCAAAAACATTCGAGTTGGCATGGCTTGAGTCATTGCTAGACCCAGTTCTCCGAGAATGGGAGCGCACGTGACCAGACTGGGATCCATGACGCACTTCAAGGGACGTGTCCTCTAAAGCCCGCAAAATGTTGGACATGGCAGCCGGTTCGTTTTCAGGGGGGGAGTGCTTCCATCGCTCCAGAGGCGTCATGAGCGTGGGATCGGCTTGTGGCTGCCTAGGGATATCAACCGCGCCAGGCACAGCAGAGCGTACTTTACCACGCCGTCTAGCATTGGCAAGCCAATTGGTGATCTGAGTGCGCCTTAACCCTGTGCGCAACTTCAATTCCTCCTTTTCATCCTCGGTAGGATATGGATGGTCGCTATGTTCATTGAGCCATGTCTTGAGAATCCGTACTGCCTCTCGGGAAAGCCGAGAGCTGTTCTTTCTCGCGCGGTTGTCGATGTCTTCTGTGATGCCGGAAAGGGATTTGAGCGCCTTTTTTCCAGTCAGGCCACCGGTGGGAATATCGATATTCTCAGAGATTGGATGTAATGTGTCCAAGAATTTGCCAGCGGGCACTGTGTGGGTGAAGCTACATTCGCGGTAAAGCGAGATGCAGCAAGTACAGCCGATCTTTTGCATCACTCCTCGCTTCGCCATGAAGCAGTCTAGGCCCATGTTCCTGCAGAAATCGCATGGGTCTTTGGCGCGAAACATGGGATAAACTCCCTCCGGGTCAGGTGTATGAGCCATGACACCCTCGCCGGCGACTTGGCCCGAATGAGCGCTGGGATCTTCCAAGGCACAATCTTGTAAAAGAGTCTGGTAACTCGCGATAGCATCATTCTCGTCTATCTCAATAAGATCAGAGGCGACATCGTCGTCCCGCACGTAAGAGCCGGATGCAGCCTCATCGAAGTCAAAGAACTCCATCATGAAACTGTCCGGAGGCTTCGAGAATTTGATGTGAGTCGTTGCGACTGATATCGCTTACACCCAGCAAGAGGGCGAAAATATCGAATTCAGTGTGAATAATGAATCGAGAGGTGGGTGGGAAAGAGACCAGATAGAAGGATTGATGAAGGTAGAGGAAGGGAGGGGGTGGATATCACTTTGAGGACTATGTTTTTCGTCTGGGGTATGAAAAGCATGCCGGAAAGATAGGGCCCTGCTAGCGTCTGCCTCCTCCCATTTACTGCACCAGGCTTCAGCAGAGAAGAGAGCAGCAAAGCATGGAACCTTCTGTCGTCTCCTCCGGTCGGGCCACCTGCCCGTGCATATTGGAGGAATCGCTCACGCGGCTTGGTGTGGTTCGAACCGAATGGTGGTTGTCAATTTGCGCTTGTTTGGGGCCGCAATTGATAGATCAGCCCATCAGATTGCGAGATTTCGGGGACCCCTGCTCGAACTCGACCCATGGCTAGGCGCGGACAGAGGCTCGTTGGTGGTCAAAGACTTTTGAAATGTTCGGGACTAACAGGACTGCACGCCCTTCAAATGACAACGCTATACCCGATAAAGTTTAGCCCAGTCCCCCCGCTGGGTGAGCATGAATCATCACTGGCTAGCCAATACGATATCGGAGTCTTTCTCCTCTCGCATTCACGAGGACGACATTTGAAAGATATTCCTTTGTCAGAATTACTATATTACTACTCGTCATGCCTGTCCTTCATCAGGAAGCAAGTTTGCCCGTCTGACATCGAGGCGTCGATCACTTCGGGAACTCCGCCATGGCGCCGACAGAATACGATGGACCGTGGACGCGACATGAGTATCTCTAACTTTACTACTCTTTTTCCTAACCCAGCTTAGCTCTATCTCATTCGCCCTTCCAGCTTGCTTAGCAACAGAGAAGATGAGTTACTTCGCAAGTCTTCCATGTGAGACTCGAAGATAACAAGAGGATGACACGACAGCTCCATCTCTTGCTTATCCCACGCAACCACCAGCGATATCGATAACGGCCTTTCTTCGGCATCTCGCACGCACTCCGAGACCGCAACCCTGTTAGTGGGCTGCGATATCCAGGAGCACACGGGCATACCGCTAAACCTTCGCTCAGCGTCGCTACAGATGGAGGAGGTATATTCGGCAGTCATGATCAGGACAATTTCTAGGTTTGGTATAGGGTCAACCTAGTCATCCTCGGAATGTCATGATCACTTGCTGCGGTATCACAAGCACGACAAGGTATCGCGTTGTCAGGAGCAGACATGATTCCTCGAGTTTTCTTGAGAGATTCAATAGGGTCAACAAGACGTGTCATCAAACTGTTTGGACGTGATACGAGTTGAAATATATACACCAGCGCTCAGAATCCATACTTTTTATTGAATTCGTCCGCCACTTTCCGTGTTGTCTTCATGATCTCCACGCATCCCGGGGAGTCTGAGTGGCAACAGATGGAGACGCTGTAGTCCTTCATCGGTAGGGGCACTACTGTCCCCTCAACGCTCGTCACAGATTGCTCCTCAAGTTGCTGCCGGACATGCTTCTCGACGTCCGCAGTGTCCCATGGCTTCTTCTTGCGATCAATCACAAGCATTCCCTTGGAATCGTATTTCACATCGCCATAGAATTCAGCCTGGAATTCGATTCCCAGATCATTGGCGGCCTTTTCCATATTTGTTCCAGCCAATCCAAAGACAGGCACTCCCTTTGGAATCCCCAGCATGACAGCCTTGGCTACCTCATAATCCCTGCACATCATTCCATAGAGGACCCCATGGGGCTTGACATGGTTGAGCCGCACCCCCTCGCGGTCCAAGAAGGCTTGAAGAGCGCCCACTTGGTAGATAGTGATTGCTGTGAGCTCTTCCGGGGAGAGCTTCATCTCTCGTCGCCCAAATCCTTGAATATCTGGTAACCCGGGATGAGCTCCGATCAGAATATTGTGGGCCTTGCAGTTTCGCACTGTTTCCATCATGATCAAAGGGTCACCAGCGTGGAAGCCACAGGCGACGTTGGCAATATCAATCAACGGAAGCAGCTCGAGATCAGGCCCACAAGCCCAGTTCCCGTACTATGCGCCTCGCATCAGCTTCTTCTCTGCAGCTAGAGTGGGAATGAGTGGGATATACCGCTTCTCCCATGTCGCAATTGATGAGCGCCTTTTTCTTGATTGGAGCCATGACGATTAATACTGTGTATGCGTTTGACTTTCTTTCTGAGAATGAGGGTCGCAGAGTCCGGGTCGGTGGTACTTATACGCAGTCGTGAAGCGTCCTGCGAGCCATGGAGAAGAAGATATGGGGAATTCTTCAGAACCGGTGGGGGAGGTGGGACTCGGTGATAGCGTCCCAATCAAACTTCTGTAGATCGCTCCCTTGAGCCGGATTCCCAATTTATTCGGCGTCATCGTGCAATCACGGCGACGCCTCTTGCTCGAATCCGTTATCGACAGCTCGAGCTGCCTTCCTAGGCGTAATGCTGGAGTTCGTTCCCCGCATCAACTCGAGTGGGATAGGGCCCCTCCGAGATATGGGGAGTGCAATGCTCCCAGCTATTTAAGCATCCAAGGAGCCGGTTCCTCTCCGGTAACCGCATTAATCATTCATTACGATGGAGTCTCTCAAAACGCTGCTGATTGCTAATCGGGGGGAGATTTCTGTTCGGATTCTGAAGACTGCCAAGTACGGATTGGCCTATACTCCCGCAACACAGTAGCTAACAGCGTGGTAAAGGGCACTCAATATTCGGACAATCGCGGTTTACACCGAGCCAGACGCCGCCTCAACCCATGTACGTCTTGCAGATGAAGCAATCCTTCTATCTGGGTCGCCTTCAAAGGCGTATATCGACGGGTCAGTCAATTTGCTATTCTGGTAGTCAATTACTGACGTGGATGCAGAGACCAAATCATCGAAATCGCAAAACAAAGACATGTCGATGCGGTTATTCCAGGATATGGCTTCCTGTCAGAGAACTCGGAGTTTGCAAGAGCCGTGGCAAGCGCCGGCATGGCGTTTGCTGGACCATCTCCTGAGAGCATTGAAGCATTCGGTCTCAAACACACAGCACGGGAACTTGCGACAAAAGCCGGTGTACCCATTGTTCCTGGCTCACAGGGACTAGTCACGAGTGAGGAGGAAGCTGTGACAATAGCACAAAGCCTTGGGTTTCCTGTACGTATCCCTCTTGCTCCTTGTCACAAAAAACCACGCTAACGTCTCTCAGGTCATGCTCAAGGCAACAGCTGGCGGAGGTGGAATGGGCTTGCTTACATGCAACACAGAGAAGGAGGTGCGCGATTCATTCCAGACAGTGCAATCCAGAGGCGAAGCTCTGTTTAAAAATGCCGGGCTTTTCATCGAGCGCTATTACCCGTCTAGCCATCACATTGAGGTCCAAGTATTTGGCAATGGACAAGGAAAAGCTATCGCCATTGGAGAAAGAGAGTGTTCTATCCAACGGAGACACCAAAAAGTGATTGAAGAGTGTCCGAGTCCATTTGTTACCAGGAACCCTGAACTCAGAAAAGGCTTGTGCGATGCTGCTGTTCGTCTTGCCGAATCGATCAACTATGGTTCAGCTGGAACAATCGAGTATCTTGTGGATGACGAGTCAGGTTCTTTTTTCTTCCTCGAGATGAACACGCGGCTTCAGGTTGAGCACGGCATTACCGAACTGTGTTACGGTGTCGACTTGGTGGAGCTGATGCTGAAGCAAGCGGATGCTCAACTGTCCGGCAAGAAGGGTCTCCACGCGGAGTTCCTGTCGAGTATCCCAGTGAATGCTCCGAATGGTGCTGCCATCGAAGCTAGAGTTTACGCAGAGAACCCAGTCAGGGATTTTGCTCCTTGTCCTGGAACACTACAGAGTGTTGAATGGAAGGAGATACCAGGCTCTCGGATCGACACCTGGGTCTACCGCGGCATCAAAGTGTCGGCCAACTACGGTGTGTATGTTCATGCTCATTGGAGCACAGGAAAGCTAACAGATAGATAGATCCCCTTATTGCCAAGGTCATGTACCACGGGCCAGATCGAAAACAGGCCATCGAGGGGCTCAGGGACATATTGACCGGCTCTCAAATTTGCGGTCCTCCGACAAACCTCGGATTTCTTGCTGAGATTCTTGCCAACGAGGACTTTAATCGCGGAAACACCTTGACCAAATTCTTAAACACTTTTAAATACAACTTGTCGGCTATTGACGTCGTGTCCGGCGGCGCTTACACGCTTGTTCAGGACTGGCCGGGCCGTCCGACGATTGGAAAGGGGTTTTGTCACTCTGGTCCCATGGACTCTTTTGCTTTTCGCATTGCAAATGCTCTCGTGGGAAACCCGGTGGGCCTCGAGGGGTTGGAGATTACCCTGAGCGGTCCAGAACTACGCTTCCTGGGGCCAGCGCTAATCTCGCTATGTGGTGCGCCAATTGATGCCACACTCGATGACGTGCCAGTCCCAATGTGGTCGAGAGTCAGAGTATCTGCCGGTCAGCGCCTGAAGGTTGGAAAAACGACCGGAAACGGGTGCAGAGCCTATTTAGCAGTTTTTGGCGGATTCCTCAACATTGCCAAATGGTTCGGCTCAAAAGCTACCGCGCCTATGGTTGGTGTCGGTGGTTATCAAGGGCGACAGCTTACATCTGGCGATTATATATCGGTCACAGACCAGCTTCCTGAGGTTAGCGGCGAACTTTCCCTGCCAAAGCACCTCATCCCGCAGTACCCAGATAGCTGGGAACTCATGTCCATGCCGGGGCCTTACGACGTTGGCTACTTTGTGCCGGAGAGCCTCGACATGTTGTACGAAGCGGAGTGGACTGTATCGCACAATGCCGCGAGAGGCGGAGTGCGTCTTCTAGGTCCCAGGCCCAAGTGGGCTCGTCCAGACGGAGGTGAAGGTGGCTCCCATCCTTCGAACCTCATCGAATACGGATATGCAATCGGATCCCTGAATTGGACTGGAGACGATCCGGTCATCTTTCCTCAAGATGCGCCAGATCTCGGTGGCTTCGTGAGCAGCCATACGATCGTCAAGGGAGACCTGTGGAAGCTGGGACAGGTGAAAGCCGGGGACAAGTTGAAATTTCGCGCTACTTCTCTAGCCGATGCTCTGTCTACGCGGAATAAGCTGGAGAAGTTTGTCAATGATATCGTACAATGTTGTCAGCGAAACACAGGCTTCGACGATGTTACACCGCTAGACTCTGCCTTTCCCCCAGCGGTGGCGGCAAAGACCCGAGGTTCTGGTATCGTCCATCAGATACAGGAGCAGGGAAACCAGCCAAAGGTTTCGTACCGACAAGTATGAAAGAACGATTATGCCTAATAGGAACTTCGCTAACAATGCCCAGGCCGGAGATGACTACCTTTTAATCGACTACGGCGTGGGTGCCTTCGACCTCAACCACCGCTACCGAGTAACCGCATTGAAGAAGGCATTGAGCGAAGCAAAAGGCGACATCACATTTGCAACCGGATTGACCTCCATGGTCGGCTGTGGAAACTGTAAGTCCCCCATTCGCTGTCTCCCAAATCAGTCTACTGTATATTGACAACCCCTACAACAGCCCTAATGCTCTACTACGACGGGACCAAAGTCCCCCAGAAAAATCTGATAGCCCACCTCTGCGCCATAGAGACCCAACTTGGCGACCTCAGCCGCGCAAAGATGCCCAGCCGCGTCTTCAAGCTCCCTATAACCTTCAACAGCAAACGCCAAACCGCCGCCCTGCAACGCTACACCGAAACCCAACGTCCCTACGCCGCCTACCTCCCAGACAACATGGACTTTGTCGCAAAGAACAACGCCTTCACCCGCGCCGAGTTCGAAAACATCTACCTCACCGCTAGCTTCCTCGTCATCACCGTCGGCTTCTTCACTGCCCTCCCCATCGCCCTCCCTGTCGACCCGCGGCAACGCATGAACTGCCCCAAGATGAACCCCAGCCGCGTGTTCACACCCGCCGGCCAAGTCTCCTGGGGTGGAAGCTGTCTCGCCATCTACACTGTCGATTCACCGGGTGGATATCAGATGACTGGGATGACGATCCCGGGCGTCGACATCCTCGGCTCGAAGAAGGGGTACGCACCAGAACGACCGTGGCTATTCGAAGACTTTGACCAGATTACTTTTTACAAGGTCGACGAGGAGGAGTACGAGCGGCAGCTCGCGCTGTTCCAGAGCGGACGGTACGAGTACGAGTGGGAGGAAGTCGAATTTGATATGGCGGAGCATAATCGGCTTCTTGCGGAGACGAAGGACGAGGTCGTCGCTATTAGGGCTAGGCAGAGGGAGGCGCAGAGGGAGATGGATGAGCTTGAGAAAGAGCTACTGGAGAGGTGGGCGAGGGAGAAGGCTGAGAAGGGTGTGCCGGTTGATACGGTCGATGCCTTGTTGAAGGGTGTGTTGCCCCCCCCCTTCTTTTCTTCTCGTTATTTGTTGCGTGACGTGGACTAATGAAAGATGCAGACCCGCAAATATCCCCAATCGAAGCACCGCTCAATGCAAACGTGTGGAAGGTCGAGGTGAAGGAAGGCGATAAGCTGGATACAGACCAAGTCGTTGTTATTCTGGAGGCGATGAAGCTGGAGATTGCAGTGCGGAGCGAAGCTTCCGTTGTCGGAAGCGTTGTTGAGAAAATCCTGGTTCAGCAGGGGGACTCTATTGAGGCTGGGAAGCCTTTAATGCTGGTACGGAGGGCCGAGAAGTAGATATTTTGGTTTTTTTTTAACAGGTTGTTACTTGTACCAATATGTAGGTTAGCTGTTGTATGGCTTGGTCTTAGCGAGCCTAGTTCATCATCATCATGTCATTCCAATTCATATCAGGTTCATGCGCAATAGTGTACAGTAGTGAATCCTGTTGTTGAATCTACCACCAGAAACTAACACTAATGCCCGCTTTCAATCCCCTCACATAATGCCACCACCCAACAGGGATATACAGACACTCGCCCTCTCTCAGAACCGTCTCAACATACTCTGCGTCCTGAAACCCGGGCCACATCGACTCCCAGTGCTCGGACTCCGCAGGCGAAAGCTCAATTGCAGCGAGATCGACTTGCGACGTATTCGACATGTCTATTTTCGGTGTCGTCGGAGTAGCAGAATCCTGCACGAGGCCTGGGTGACTGCTTCTCCTCTCAGAAGTGACGGCTTCCATACCACGCGGGTGAATTTGCGTTGCAGGAGTGTGGGGCGAGTATAGCCGGATGTATTTGGTTCCTATGACTTGAACGAGGATGTTGTGGTAGGGGTCGTGGTGGAGGGGCGAGATTGTCCAAGAGGGCCCGATCCAAGTGTTTATTAGAGGATCGCTCGGGGGTGTGATGCCTGGTGAGGAACTGGTGTTTTCGGCGCCGGTGTTCTGGTCCCTCTCGGAGGTCTTCTTGCGAAGGTCCGCTTCTTCGCGTTCCTGGAGTTGCTTCAGATACACGGGAGTACCAGGCTCCGGGGGCGGGGGGTCGATGTAACAAAAGTCAGGGATGGATATATCCTTCCGCAGAGCAGGAATCTGAGCGAGGAGGTCATGCTGCGCTAGATATCCCGTTTGATCTGCACTACCTTCCTCTCCCTCGCCGCCCTCGGTCTTCGATTTCGGCGAGTATTCCCTCCAGATATACTTGTCGATAAAGTCCTTGAACTCCATAATCTGCTGGCCCCATCCCTCATCCGTGTATGACCTGCCCACCTCCACGGGAACCAGCCTGCGCCCGCCGAATGTCCGATCGAGCCAGTAGTCGCGAGAGGACCACGGCCGCGTGGACAGCGCTGGCCAGTGGCCCACCGCGTCCGTGATCACCAACGGCGTCTTGACGTCCTGTATATGTTCCTCCATGTAGTCAAAGCTCGGGTCGGATACTCGTTTGATCGGGTACTTTACGTTCGGCGCCGGGATACCGTCGGGAGGGAAGAGCGGAGGTGAGAGCTTCCGGCGTTTCGACGCGCGCGAAGGCGAGTGCGGCGGGGTGTCGAGTCCGTCTGGGGGGGTTGTTCTCTCTTCACGGTCAGAGCTGGTGTTAGAGATGTGCGTGGCTTCTTGTAGAGCAGCGAAGATGGATTCGACAAGCCCCTCTCGCAGCGGTGCCCCGGTCATGATCAGTGCTCTGTCGAGGAGATGGACGGCTGGTGACAGCCATGCGGCGCTGGGGTTGACCCTCAGTACATTCTCGGGCAAGTTATTGAGTGCGTGAAGCAGCCGGGTCAAAAGATAAGTGCCTGTCAGCCCATGGCCATTCCGCAAGACGCCCAGATTATCGCAAATGCTCAGGCAGGCCTTGACGATGCTGGCGTCAGTGTAGAGCCTCCGCCAGCAGATCTCCACATTTTTAAAGGGGAAAACGCGTAGCTTCGCGTCTGCAAGACGAAGAGCCTCATCTGTGTTGTTGATCAACGTGTCTCTGAGTGTCTCAAGGTCGCCGTTGAAGCATCTGAGGATCGGGTCGTCAACGCTCGGGTTTGTTGTTGCGGAGAGCGAGGCGGCAAGGACTTTCGGGAGGACCATTGTCTGTGGTCGAGTTGATTAAGAAGACTGAAGGGGGAAGATTAAAGAGGGCTTCAGGGAGGTGAGGGTGTGTGGAAAGTATAGTTTCCCGTCATTTTGAATGCCGAGCAACAGGTTGAAAGGTTTCTGTTGCTGTGAAGATCTGAAAGGATGAGAGATGCGACCTCACGCTCTTTCGTCCAGTCACTGAAGGTCCAACTCATCCCTTTATTTCTTTGAATCAATATACTATCAACAGTATCAAATGTAGAAAATTGTTTATATACACTTATTGAGTAATGAGCAGTCGTAAATCTATTTTACATTTTACACTTGATATACATGAATATGGTACAGGTCGCGGCTAATCCAAAAGGTTAATCACAACTCTTGGGATCTGCTGGACATTCTCTCCTCTCATAGCGCTCACTGGGATCGCAGCAATCTTCTCCCTCCATCCATCGGCGTAGCCCCCAGGGTGCTCGTTCTCGCCCTTTTCGACCCCGTGGAGGTAGTGTTGGAGCGTCTTGAATCGCTCGCGGGTCTCAGGAAGATCGCATTTCGTGGCCACAACGAACCACGGCTTGGTGTGGATAGGCGGAAGAGAAAGTTCAGGAAGTCTAATTTCGGACTGCGGCATATCAGTGTCCACTTCGAGCTGGAGCTCTGGTAGGCCGTGAGTCGGGGGACTCCATTCTAGGTCGTCGCTCTCCTCGTTCGAGGCCACAGTAGTCTCGCGTAGCTCTTCGTACTTCCCAAGCTCGTGCCACAGTTCTCTGAGCTCGTCAATGGGGTCTCCCGCATTCAGATCGACCACAAAGGCCAAGATCCCCGCTCGCTCGATATGTCGCAGGAACCCCAGGCCCAACCCCCGATCGAGATGAGCACCCTTGATCAGACCGGGGATATCAGCTATCGTGAATCGCTTGCGGGGAGCCTTGCCTTCAATCTCAACCAACGGCCGTCCCTTGTCGTTGTCGATAATCACCGTACCGATGTTGGGCGAAAGCGTCGTGAACGCCCAATTTCCGATACGCGTGCGGCTATTCGTCAACGAGCGCAGCAATGTACTTTTCCCAGCATTCGGCTTGCCAACAAGCCCAACATCTGCAAGCAGCTTTAGCTCAAACTCGAGCTCCAACCGCTTCCCGCCCTCTCCCTTCGAGGCAAACCGAGGTCTTGGATGTTCCCGCGACACCCAATGAGGGTTCCCCAACCCACCAACTCCTCCAGCAGCCAACAAGATCGGCTTATCCATATGCTTTGAGAGATCAAGGAATATCGGCGCCTGGGGCTCCAGCGAGGCAATAGCCTGCCTGCGCGGAGGGTTCTTGGGGAAAACCGTCGTGAGGAAATCCGACGGGTTCGCACCTGGATACAGAACCCATCTATCATGCCGTATCGATGTAACGCCCATCTCGTCAAGCTCATCGCGCTCGCGAGCCAGCCATTCCCTTCTCCGCCGCGCCTTCTCTTCAGTAACGGGGTCGAACCGGTCCACCTCACGCACGACCGTGCCAACAGGCACCTGGATAAGAACATCCTCGCCGCGCTTGCCGCCCTTGCTCTTCCCCTGTCCGTTCTTGCCTCGCTGTGCCTTGATTACCCCTCTCCGGTCCAGCTTATGCAGGCTGGTCATGCCGTCCACAGCCTGGATGTAAACGCTTCCGCCGCTGCCGCCGTCACCGCCATTCGGGGGGCCTTCTTCAACGTACTTTTCGCGAAGGAAGGAGACGCATCCGTTACCGCCGGCACCGGCGTAAATCGTTGAACGGCATCTGTCTTGGAAGATGAAGCGGGAGTAGTCTTCGGGGGGAGGGTTGAGATGAGTGGGGGCTTCGCCATCGCTGGTGGGCGCGGAGGAGTCTGCCGACTCATGTGTTTCGGGTTTTGTAGCGTAATGTCGGTAGCATGTGTGTAGAGCGATTGGTCTCCTCGATGTGGAATGATAGAAGCTTCGCTGAGAGAGCAGGTTGCGGAAAGGTCGGAGGAGGGTTCGTGGAGTCGCCATTAGTGCCAGAGCTAGGCGTCGCACATCCTGTAATTAAAATCTTCCGTCGCGTACAGTCAATATCGACGCGATTAGTACAGAATTCAATTCTTTATCGTTTCTCAATGGAATATTGGGTATGTGAAGTTCGTGGCACTCAAGGCACTCGAGATCTTTTGCGGCACATGACTTGCTTATCTACACGTGATGATAACAGACAATTTTTGGACACTTGTGTCTTTTGTTGACAAGCAACTCTCGTCGAAATCGACAGCCTGGAATTGATGGGAGCCTGATTTCGTTTCTGTCAGACTCCCAGGCCCATGCGACTCTCAATACGTCTAAACCAGGACACAGCCCTGGGCAGGGCGGCACAGCCCATCGACCAACGCGATAACGACCTTTTCATTCGCCCGCGGTTTACATGCTGATGATTCTAGCTATCGATCAGTGCTGACAGTTTTCCCTAGCAAGTGTTTCATCTCTGCGACGCGTGAGTCCGCAACGCATTCGGCCGATAGCAGAGTCAAGTGATGGTATTTTTTCCAGACGGGCAGGCAAACCCCCGAGCGTCTGCTCAAGCATCATGATGTACGCAGCTCATCGAGAGACGCGGAGGGATTGGATAGCAGTATCCCGACAGGGCATCATCACATCGATTTCGGTGCATCCGAGAGCACCAACAGCTGTCGCCCAGGATGGATACTCGTAAGGCTTACAACCTGGGGCGGAAAACGATGCCGGATTTGAATGTGCAGGGCTATCGATGACCACGTAGAGATATCATACGACACCTCTTCCTTTTTGCCTTGTCCACCGTAGACGATTTGAGGTACTCTGCAAGGTTATGCTTGCGCGTATCGTGCAAGTCAGCCTCGCTGTCGAGTTCCCGGAGGAGCAGATCAAGTGGCGGTCTCCGGATTCGTCCAGCCAAACGCAAAGGAATGAGATCAATGATACTTTATCTGCACAGAAAGGTCTGGAACGATTTGACGAAAGAGAGCTGAAGCTACGCAAGCTGTGGCAACTTCTTCACAAGGACATTGGGTGGTCTAGACCTGGACGCCTTCGCGGATCCAAACTGGATATGTCAGAAACTCACAAATAAATGCAATAAATGGCCATTCAATGGAAAGCCATCACGTACATCCAATCCTCGAGGTTTTCGCGGATCCCAGTTACATCTTCGCTGCCTTTCGCTTTCTCGCCCGTCAAGCATGAAAGAGTCAAGTGACTCGGATGATTCTCAAATCTCCAGCGCAAAGGCTCCAGCTTGTGGAAGTACTCCGTACCTTGTCCAATACACACCGCAAAGTACGGACTTCCTTCCCTCTTCCCCGCCGAGACCTTTCCCGTGTCCCCGATGTAAGGTACTCCATCATTTAAAAAACGTCGGCCAATAGCACTGCAGATCAGCCTATCTTCCGCCAGCTCCGAAACCGGGAAACAAGGACGAAACTTTCGATGAGAAAAGAGGGGAGTGCACCAAAAAACTCAAAAAAAAGTTGAAAAATTCGGTGGTGCGTAATGAGGTAATCGAAAAGGGGTACTTTTGTCAAGCCAGCGGCCAGGCTCGTCTGAGTGGATCGTGGGGTCTGAGAAGGAAATCAACTCCGTCACCATGGACGGCCCTCACTTGAAGATATGGAAACTGCGGTATGCCGTCTATCCTTGCCGTTGAGGAGTCACGGGGACACAGTCGACATCGTGTCAGCATAATTGCTGTTGATATCATGCCGTACTATGTCCAATCGCTGGCTATTCTTTCGAGATCCTTTCGTATCGAACTGGTTCGTGCCAGACGACGCCACGATTTCTCAACGGACTGCTTTAAAGCATCAGGAAGATTGGTTGCCTTATTTGCAGGATGTGCAAAGCTTTTCCGTTACAAAACCCTTTGTCACGAGCATTAAGCGCTTATTACCGACAAAGTAAGGGCCAGCCTGCGTCATGTGAGGGGCCGAAGATATTTAGTTCGAAGAATGAGGCTGGAAGGAAAAGGACATTCGAGCAGCAGCCATACGAAGCCTGCCAGTAGACCGACATCGTCGAGTGTTGCCTCTTTGCAGCAATCAAAAATGCAACTGATTCATTAGTACAACATTATGCTGCTGTGATTGGGGCTTTCACTTTTGTCGACCCCCTGCAGTTGTCACATTCGCCGGAATCGTTGCTTAACTACGTTGGATACTGAGAGGCATTCCTGTGTCACTGGGGAGAACGGGCAATATTCCTTGAATCGAAAGGCAATGTCACTCAGGGCAAAAGCGGAACCAGATTGCTCCGTACTGAATGTGGGTATTTGCATCGCGGCACGGGCAGGCATCGAGTCAGGAAGAGAAGCCGTGCTCTTTCTCATGAATAATAGATCATCCACAGATAAAGGACGACTGGGTTGGTATGAGAGAGTCAAAACGTGCTCTGCTTCCTGCCCCAAGCTGAGGACGGTAGATCGAAAGATCCAATGATATGCATAACAGAGATCGCCTGTCACCACTAACGTTTCAAACAAGATTATATTGTCCATGGACACATGCAAATTGAATCAGTCCACGGACTAGGGAGTGACAAGTGTCGTAATCACCAGCTCACCATGGAATAGTCAAGGTCTGAAGCCGACTTTGAGTACGCATGCGCGCCCCTTTCATGATGCTATCCCGTCTCTCCAATGACGGTGACGCTGGACATCATCGACGTCACGAGCAAGCCCTGCTCACTACCTCACCGATTCTTCTGCCTATTATCCACGTATCACCCATCGTTCCGCGTATCACGCTGGCTACTATCATGCATGAAGGTACAAGTACTTTCAAGTACTTTTAGATGCCGACGGAAGCCCTCCCCAGACCTCGTACAGCATGCGCGGCATGTGCAGGGCAGCGCACACTCCACATCCACCCTTCTGAAAGTCTTCGTTGTTTTATCAAGTCTAATTCTGCATTAGATCAGACTGCGATTCAGGACCAAATGCAAGATGTCGCAGCGGGTTGAAGAACAATATGCACTGGCCATGCATGTGAAACCGCACATGTCTGGTTGGCAGACAATTGCATTGAAGTCAGTCTGATGGATTTCGATCTGAAGGGCAGTTTTTGACCCAGCAACGCTTGCTGTTGGCTGTGCGACTCTGAGAACGCCTTAACTTTTGAAAGATTGTGCGCGTGGTTGTCAACAGCCATGTTGGCTCCGAGATAATGGATGACAATCCCTGTCGGAGTATCATTGACCAGGGTGATCTCGAATGATGGGTCGCGGCTTGAAATCGTCTCGGCACATTAATCCCGCTAGGACACAATCCTGGTCGAATCCTTGCTCGATCAATAAATTGACAGGGCCCCCACGTTCATATTTAAACATGTTTGCACATTGGCTTGACAGAGCCTGGAAATGCGTTTTGATTTAGCGTTGCCGCGTTGGACAATGAAGCTTGGAAGGAAAAAAAAAAAGCAAAGTAAGCTACATCGTAGGTTCGGAATCGGACAGTGATCTCCGGGGAGAAGTACGACCATTTTGGCTGAAGTACAGAGACAGTGGTCGAAGTACGAATTTCATCAGAAAGTTCGTTCCGTAACCAGGATCTTCCAGAGAGAATATTCCAAGTGGAGAGGGCCTGAGCAAATTAGAACTCCTTCCTGCGGGCGCTGCTCACATGACTGAAAAGGGGCGATAGTCAGGAATCACTAATGGTGGTGAAGTGGGTGGTCTAAGCTCGAAACAGTCAATGAAGTCGAAAGGACGGGATTTCCACTAAAAAGTCCATCCTCCGTAACAGCGGACCAGAACCATGGTAGAGTCGCCGCGGCTTCGGATCGAGCTTTCCGATGGAGTGGTACCTCAGTCAGAGAGCCACTTAACAGCGCCAGAAGGTACCAGGTACGATTTGACTTGCAGTGCCCGATTCGGTTTGCCACCAAGGGCTTCAATCCTTATTTCTTCTTGGGTTGGGCTCTTCAGCGTCATCGAGTTCAATGTTTTCGAAGCTCCGACGAAGAGTCTCTCAAACAAAGTTGGGGTTGTATTTTGTACCCACGCGAGAAAAAGCAAAGCCTGGGAACTTGGGAGATTTACCCGGACAGGCCTCCGGGTTCCCACCAATCCCACTGACTCGTTATGCCTGAATTAGAGCACAAGAAAACCTATGTACTGGGCTCTGCGCAGTGCGAAGGCGGACTTTTGACGGTGAGTTCTCCGTATCGCATGCTTCCCATGATCACACCACTTGGGAAATGAAAATGCGAAAGACTCTCCAAGCCCAAAGAACAGTTCCGCAAATTGTGGGTGAAACAGAAGCGGGTTGGAGAGTTGGACTTTGTCCACAAAGGGAAGATTAGTAGCATCACTTCGTAATGATGTTGTTTCGTCAGAATTTCGATTTGTCTCATCCGGATCCGTACCGAGTCTTTCCAGAAAAAAAATTAAACCGCCGGATTGTTCGGAGGCTTGCCATTCATTCGATAAACCGATGATAGCGAAATGGATCAGTCAAAGCAGCCGTCAAATAATCAATGTAAGTGCGGTTGTGGCGGCCAAGTGCCTAGTTTCTCAGCCAATCCAAGGCCCACCACCTGGTGATCAAAACTCTTTGTTCAGACCGGGCGCGGAATGGCTGATTGGAATGGAAACTCTGGAGCAGTGCTCTGAGTTGCTTTGATTTCAAAGCTCAAGCAGGATTGGTGACGGGCCAAATCGTCAATTCCTGTCAAAAGGCACCGACCCGACAGTTCGGCACCGTGGGCTGCATGGGAAAGGCGATCCTTGATCCACTCATGACGCTATCACATTCACTAACCATGAGAAGTCGGCCAGTGCGTGGCTTGCTTAAGAAGACTCAAGAGAGGGCCTGTACATCGCAATTGGAAGTATGACCCGAAGGACATCCAATATCAAGTCGGCTCCAACGTTCAAGACGTGGTGGTGACGGCTCATGCAGATGGAGGTGACAGGGGACTCGGAAGTGGCGGGATTGTGCTGCCGAACCAAGTCACGATGGCAATATCAGATAATCAGTGCTTTGTCTCATC